TTTATAACTAAGAACTTTTAGTAATTATATTTAGCTTTAAATAATAGTAATATTACTTAGAGGGTGCACAGCATACTATTAAAGTTTTATTTAATTATAATAACTTGCGCAGCATGCGCGCTATATAAAAGCTAAACTTTTATTAAGCACGCTAAGTAATATACTTAAGTACTTTTAACTTTAAAGTTAAACATTAGTAAAAAAAAATAACTTTACTAATAGCTTATTATAAAGGGCAGACTATAAGCAGCAAAATAAGTCCTTAACTTGCTTGCTTTTAACACTTTAGAATAAAATACTTATAAAAGTAAATTAAAGTAAATTTGCTAGAATTATATATAGGTAAAGCTTAGAAAGTATAAGTATAAAGCATACACTCTAGAGCAGCATTATAGAACATAAATATACTGCTAGTACTATAAAAAGCCTTTTATGCGTGCTACGCTTACTAGCTAGAGTTTTAGTTAGTAATAAACTTATAATAGTAGAAGAGAATTTAATATCTAAGGTACTATATTAGCTTTAATAAAAAGACGCCTTTATACAAGAGCAGATAGCAGCTTTAAAGTAGAAAAAAAACATCTAAAGCTGCAGAGAGGCGCAAGCGTAGCGCCTTAATAAGAATAAAGTTTTAAAATATAATAGTAAAATGTATATTCTAAAAGATATAGCTATTAAGTAAAAAATTATAATATAGTACTATAATATATATATAGCTAGCTACTTTAGCGCACGCTAAACGCAAGAGTCTATTAGCTAAGTTTATTATTAGCTATCTTTAAACTAAGATGTTAAAGAGTACGTTAAGACTTACGCAATTTATTAAAGAAGTAAAGCTTTAAAACACTAGAAATATAAAAAGCTAAGTTCTTTACTTATCTTGCAAGACATATTTAAAGAAGTTTCTTTAAATTTTATTATAAGGTTTTTTTTAGTAAAGTAAAAAGAGCGCAGAAGCTGCGCTTATAATATAGTCTTAGTAATTATAAACTATTTTTTAAAAATAGCTATCTATATTTTTACTTTAAAAACATAAGACGCTAAGCAATTTGCTAATGCATATTTTAAAAATATAATACTTATATATAGCGTCTAGAAAAAAATTATATTAAATAGAGGCATAATTTTTACTTCTTAATTTTAAATAGAAATCTACTATTAGCTTTAAGTAAAGTGCAAGTTAAGCACAAGCTTCTATTTCTAAACTAATAGCTAAACTAAACGCTAAAACTAAACTTTAAAATAATACCTACAAACCTTTATAATAGACGCCTAAACTAACTAGGTAAATTAGCTAAAGTTAGCTTAATTTGCGTATAATAACTTAATTTATAACTTTATAAAAATAACTTTTTTTTATACTATATATAGAAAGCACTTACTTTTTAATAACCTTTCTAAGAACAGCAGAGCTAAGAGAAAAGTACTAAAAGTAAAAAATAGAGTAAAGCGCATATACAATATAAAAAAAAAGCTAGTAAAGTAGCTTTAAAAAGTATAACAGTACTAAGCTAAGTACTATAATAAAAAGTACAGACTAGAAATCTTCTGCTAAAGTAACTTAGTATTACTTAATATAAAAAATATTAACTTTACTTATTAACTAAGTAAAAAACTATTTAGTAAGTTTATAAAGCCTTTTAAAGTAGAACGCGTAATTAAAACGCAGGCTTACTACCTAATGCTTTTACCTTACTATTATATTTATAACATCTTTTATATTTCTTTTTTAGAACGCTAAAAACCTAGGCCTAGTTAAGAAAAATTAAATACCTAACTACCTAATATAGATTTAAAAGAAGAAGAACTTTAGGAGGCAGAAAAAATATTAGAAAAAAAAACTTACAAAGAGAAAATCTAGTACCTTATTTATTAGAAAGAATATAATAAAACTTAAAATAGCTAGGTACTAGAGTTAGATTTTAGAAACATGCAAGAGTTAGTTAAAAAAAATTTTTAAAAAAAAAGAGCACTATAGCATAAGCGCAAGTAAGAAGCATAAAAAATACTTTTATTATTAAAGAAGAGAGCAAGCTTTAGAAAAGCTATTATATATAGATAGAAAAAAATCCCCTACTCTTTATCTTTACCTACAATTTTATCTTTACCTACATTTTTATTATTATTATCTTTATTTTTACTTTTAGCTAGAAGAAAAATATATGCTGTAGCTGCGCTATTAGCGCAACTACTATAAGCTAAACTACTACTACAACTGCTATAAGCACTACTCTAATTTCTTTAAAAAACCTCTAATAGGGGCAGCAGTCTAGTTAGCATTACTATTATTATTATTAAAAGAAAAAGAAGAAAAAAAAATTTATTTAAAGATAAATTCTTATTACCTATACTAAGATAATTTATCTATAAAGCAATTAGCATGCGTTTAAAGTACGTACTAAAAGTAAATATATAATAAAGCTTATAAAACTAGTAAGCTACTTTAAAGCAGCAGTAATGCAGCGCTGCTTAATAAGAACTAAACTTAAGTAATTAGTAGTAGAAGTAGAAACTTAAGTAGGCAAACTTATAAAAGTACTAAAGTAAGCAGCTTAATAGTAAAAAGCTAAAAGCTTTAAATTAAATTAACGCTGCGCAAGTATAAGCTTTACGCTATAATAATATACTATAATATCTATATAAAAGATAGCAGCAGCTTTAATAGCTTTATTATATTAATAATAAAGCTAATATAAATAATTAACATAGCTATTAAAGCGCGTATAAGCTTATAATAATTAGCAAAAGCGCAGGTAAAGTAAACATCTAGAAATCTTACTAAAGTGCACTAGCCCTAGTTGTTTTTAAAGTAATAGCTATAATAATAATACTTTTTCTTTTAGTAAAGTTTTTTTTAGCTAGTAATATTCTAAGCGCAGCATAGGTAAGTTACTACTTAAGTAATATAGTTAGCACGCTTATTTTTATTACTTTAAGCAAAGAAAGCTGCATTATAAAAGTAGAATTTCTTAATATATTTAAAAAGTAAATAGTAAACTATATTAGCAAGCGTTAATAGTATAAGAGAGGTATGCTAAGTAAAAAAAAGTAAAAAGTAAAAAAAATAATAAGTAATAAGGTAAAACAACTAATAATAAAGATATAAATAACTTAAGCAAGCTAGCGCTAAAACTGCATAATTTAACTTTATATTAGATTTTTAAAGTAGTAAATAATAATAAGCAGCTATACTTATTACACGCTAGGCGTACCTGCTATATACTTAAATAATAATAGACGCTACGCACATACGCACGTACGCGTACTTTATAAATAAGTTTTATATAAAAAAACTATATAGTAAAGCTGCTAAAAATATTAGCTAAAAAAAAAGTTTTATAATATTACTATATAAAAGTTAGTGTTAAAGAAAATTAATATTACTAAAGTGCTACTAGTTAGTGTAGGCAGCTTAGTAAAAGTATATAAAAGGCGCACCTAAAGCACTAAAAGAAGATAAGTGTTATCTTAAATTATTAGAAGAGGATACCTTTTAAAAAGAGCTATTTTTTACTATTACTAGTAGTGTAAAGCAAGTACTATTGCCTATAACTACGCCTTACATATATAATAAAAAAAAACTTAGTAATTTAAAGTATTTTAGCTTAAGTATTAAAAATAGCTTAAGCTAAAAAAGTATGTTAAATTAAAGTACTAAAAAAAATAACTTTAAAAAAAGTGTTAAAAAAGTAATTACTTTTTAATAAGTAAATTTAAAGTAAAAAAAAAACTTTAAAAAACCTTTTAAAAGTATAAAAGTTAAGCTAAAAAAAAGCTAAAAAAGTATATATAACTTACTTAAAAAGTAATATCTCTTACTAAGCTAATAGATAGCTTTAATTAATTAATAATATTAATTATTAATTAAAGTATGTAAATTAATAAAGTAAAATATATTTATTATTTCTAAACTTAAAACTTAATAATAATAATAAAAATACTTCTACTTAAAAATATATTATAAGCTTAATATAAGGTAAATATACTTAAAGTAGTAAAAATAAGCTAGCATAGCACTTTAATAATTAAAAAGTTTCAAAATACTTTATACTAAATTAAAGTAATAACTTTAAGCGTTTTTACTTAATAAATATACTTTTTTAGTAATTTGTACTAGCTTACTTATTTATAAGTTTAGCTTAATTATAAAAAGTATAAAAAAAATTTATTTTTATATACTAGCCTATACTACACACTATTAAAGGCTTTTTTAATATTTTTCTTTTTTTTAAGTAACTTAATTAAGAAGCAGCCTTTCTCTAAAGAGTAATAATAGTAAAATACTACTACTTGTTTCTTGCTGCGCATTAGTACTTCTATTTATAAACATACTTACAGTAATATGTCTTAAAATCTAGTTTAGCTTTTATAACAGTAGAGAATGAAGTGGTGTAGTTGTGTGTGCCTTCCTCTAGCAGGTGGGCACTTTCTACCCTGTTTACTGGATCATGGATACGTCATGACAACATCTCATAGCAAGAGCAGCTGCATAGATAGAACACAGACAGAACAATACAATACAACTAGAGGTTCACTGCCACAGCTTAATATCGCCGTTTAAGTAGAACTACCTGCTTTGGATTCGGCGCCACGAGAATATCCATATAGACGTTTGGTAGTCGCTCAACCTGACCCTCTGGGAACCTTATATTATACCTGTTGACGAACAGTGCGATGAAAACTCTCATCACGGCGCTGGCGTACCATCGCCCTGGACAGGTAAACCGCCCGCTGCCCCAATGCACGTTGCCGTTCTCTGTACCGACGAAGTCTAGATTCCCCTTCGGTGTGTCTGTTGGATAGTCGTGGAAACGCGATGGCGAGAACAACTCTGCAGATGAATAAAAGGACGGATCCATGGCCATGCTGCCGGCGGACATGCATATGTATGTCCGGCGAGGTATGGTTATCCCGGATGACAGCTTGATGGGCGTCATAGTCAAGCGGTCAAAACTCACTTTTCAATAATTAGTGGGGAGATAGTTCAAAGTATAATTGCTTCAGGGTTTGATTCCAGGGCAATATGCACAGTAATTGGGGGGAGTGAAACGTTGGGATTCCTTCAGGAAGGCATCAAGCAGCCTAAGGCGGGCGATAGCGTCGGCGGGCCAGGGTGGTGTTGGCGAGGGTAGATGTTGCGAGATTTCATGTCGAAGCTCTGAGGTATGATCCGGATACGCGCAAAGATCTATAATGGCGTGAATAGTGGACATAGTCATCGTATGCAGCTAATACTGTCAGTTTTGTTCTCCTATTGAATAGAACGTCACTTTGCGAGCTTAACATACCGCGGCACCACTGACAACTAAGAGCTTGGCGACGATATCCTCCTCATCCAAGATCTTGGATGTGTCGATCAAGTGCTGCAGCAGCGTATCCAAAGGTTCTCCGCTCTGAGTTGTTCTACGGTGCTTGAACAAGATTCCCCGCATTCTTTCATGCAGACGGCGCATGCGGACACTCGGTGGAAGAATTGGCAGGATCCAATGCCTCATGAATTTAGGAACGAATAAAAGACATACAGCGATGTCGCGGACGAGGTTGGCGTGTGCATTAATGAGCGCATGTAGCTCAGCATTATCTGCCAATTCTGGGCCTACAAAGGCTAACAAAGTAGTTCGCAGGACGAGATCAGAGACGACATCTTGGATTTCAACTTCACTATACTCTTCAAGATATCAGTTTCGAAGAACCGCCAATATACAATATGACCGTGGGCATGGTATTCTTACCTGATGTAGTCAATGCGTGAAACCTTTCCGAAAGAATCTGGTCTGCCTTTTGGGAAAGCGCTGGGAGCAGATTTGCTATATAACATGAGCAAGAACACTGTACGGGGAGTTCGGGGCTTTACGTAGACTCTTTGTTAGCTGGAGCCTCGTAACATCGTACGCTTGCCGGTCCTTTAGGATGACGTCTACACCGCTGTATTGCCCTAAGACACTAACAACAAGGGCTTCTGAAGCGCTTAGCTTACTACTAGGCAGCATACGCAACTCAGGAAGATACTCGGGCGGTAAAACCAAAACATCTTCGATCAGCGTCTGCAGCCTGTATGGAACGTTTTTTGCCTGCCATCCTTGAGTACGTCTATCTTGGAATGCATCAAGGGAAGGCGAGTACCTCGCGGTAAGCCGTCTCGACGACATCGTGGCCTTTGAAGAAGAAATACACGCGGGCTGGCCACACTTTCAAGTCCCAGTACCCTGGTTCCCAGCCTCGACGAGCGAATTTCCGCGTTTTGGGGGGCCAAAAAAGGATGGCACCGATGACAAACACGATGAGCATCGAAATAAACTCCATTGAACTGGGGGAGAGCATCGTGGATGGACGCGGACGAGGCTGAGAAAATCGAGCGCAATTATTGACATGCGACCCGATACGTACAGCCGGTAGGAACCCCGTCTTATACCGGTAGGCAGTCGACGTGCATATATTGACAGTGCACAGTGCAGCCCCACCTTTACATAGATTGAGTATTAGCCTAGTCAGTACTGTCGCATCTATCAAGAACGGGACTTCGGTAGCTATTGGTGCTGATAAGCACACGCTATTTGTTGCTGGGGGTGACGGTGTCATTTCTTCGTTTAAAGCTCCAGCGTAGGAACTGTCAACTGGTGTAAGTGGGACCATATATGTCACGTGGGTCATCCACTGATTAATCTAACCATATTAGTAGTATTACTTAACCTAACTTTACCTATAAGAAAGAAGGGTTTTATAGTTGCCTATTTGCATTCTTAATACTAATTACACAACATGACGTTCTTGTCTGCTTAATACGTGTAGGTGTTTGCGTGGGTGTTATGTTGCATATCCTAAAGTGCTTGCCCCCTTGACTGCTATGAGAATTAGATTTTTAGATTCCCTCAAGCGTTACAAAAAGTCTAGGAAGAGAACTCTTATTAAACACTTGTACTAATTATGCATTATGTCGCGCAAGCGATAGCCGACCACCCAATCGTCCATTTCACACTGCCCATGACAACGACCAAAAGCAAGACCCCCAATATCACACTGGCAACCCCGTACAGGTATGCAGCTTTTCTCTTTAGCTCATTCAACTCGCTAATCCATGTCGACACAGTAGTCAACGAACCGCAGAATCCGTCCATGAGACCCTGTAGGATCTGGCAGCCAACGTGTCCGCCTCCAGCACCGAAAGAACGGATCTGAACATGCTGAAGATCATATGTCATACCGATGACTGCAGTACCAAAGATATTAACGACAAAAGTGCCAAGCGGAAAAGACGGCGTGAATGGATTGAGAAACAATGACAAGTAGTAACGAAGCAAGCAGCCAAGAGGCGCAAAGACACAGGCAAAGATGGCCTGGCCGCGCCATGTCTCATTACTCCAGGAACCATGGCTGGAAGCTCCCCCGGGACGATCGGGAGGCCAAACGGCCATGAAAACTGCACCTAACCAGCATGCCCATGCCAGGAAGACAACGAGAGGATCAAGAGCGTATCGAGTCAGGCGAAAAGGCAGGGATGGTGTCCACGGGTCCACAAGATTGCAAAAATGCACACCGACTCGAAAAGCTGCAGAACAGAGGCCTATCGTCACCGATAGCACGGCAAGACCAGCCATGAAGGAATAGCCACCGTTGCGTTGAAGGTTACCGCCTTGGTCGGACGGTGATATAGGGTGGTTGATAGGAGCTGGAAGATCGTTAACGAAGGCCAGGAACACATCGCGCATAAAGCTAGAGAAGCTGGTGAAGGAACCGCAAAACCCTGTGGCTAAGCCAATATACAGAGGTATAGTCTTCTTTACTTTGTTGTGCATTTTCCCCCCCGCGATAGTCAACGATGGAGGTCCCGCTTCCTCATCGCCCTGTGACGGACGTGGTGTGTGGTGTGGCCGAGGAGGTGTATACGGTGGAATACCCCATTCTTTACGAAAAAGCCGCTGGTCTTCGGCGAGGAATCCAAGGAGGAATGTTCCAGCCACGTTAGCCCAGAGTACTGAAATTGTGACGGGCGATCCAGGATAGAAGGTCAGCGATTGCAGGCCTAGGCGAGAAAGGGTACCCAAGATAGAGAAAAGGACCAGATAGGATATAGAATATAAGTTGGTCAAAGTCGAAGAGTGGGCGGCTTTGCCTGGAATTCCAGTCTTGTCGCCTAGCGTTGGCAGCGCAGTGATGTCCAGCGCAGAACCTTGCGCCCTTCTTCCGTATATTCTATTTGGGTGTGACCAACGCGACCGGTGGGAAACTCGTTTGGTATGCTGCTGCTGCTGCTGTTGTCGCGATTCGGCGGGGTGTGTAAGCGGTGATGGGGATGGAGGACGTGAGGTGGGTTGGATGGATGATTGAGAGGGCATCGAAGAGCGCTGTTGGTTGTAGCAAGAGCGGCGGGTCCTGGCAGGGCGATGATCGGGGTTGGCGGACATGAGGATGGTCCTTTGGGGTCGCAAGTGAGGGTTTGGTCCAAGTGACGTGGGTGGTTTGGGCTAAATAGTCGACCGGGTGGGTGGAGCAGCAGTACAAGCAACCAGAGCAAGCAGGAGATCAGGGGAATCTGGCCATGGGCGAAGACCCCGGTGTGTGGCTGTCGGGGCAGGAAGCATGGTTGCAATTAAGATGGTGTGAGTTGGACGACTCGACGACGATGACGGCAGAAGAAAGACGAAGGATAAGATTCGGGCGTGGGCAGATCGGCACATGGGCCAACATGTACACATGCATGTACAGGCATGCCTGCATGGGCGCCGCTAACGTGTGGATAACGGCGAGAGCTAAGCTTCATGCAGCAGCAGCAGCAGCAGCCAGCTTATCACGCAGCCATGTGTACAGGACTACTTACTAAGGTGCCTATCTATCTACCCATCCATGGACGTGTGCCGGTCGGCCTGCATGACAACAAGCAGTGAAGTAACCAGCAATCAGACAAGCACGAGTGTATCAAAGCGAAAGTCGGAGCTGTTTAGGCCTCTGAAGAAAACAGCCACCACATCCAACCTCTGCATCTGTCCACCCCTCCACCCCTCTCTACATACCTACTTGTTCACTCCACCATCCCCAGCACCATGTCTGCTTTGCCTCGCAATGCTCACGTATCCGTCCATCCATGCTTACAAGCCAAGCTCTCACTGCTCCGGTCTGCCGATACAAGCCCCAGAGATGTGCAAACGCTGGTCCATGAGATAGCCCTCATGGTGGGCTACGAAGCTCTGGCCTCGGGCCTCACATCCCACCAGAGCGGCGAGGTAACTTGCTCCTCCACTGCTCATGTACCTTACCCCATTGAATCCTGTATTGACAAGCAACGCCAGGGTCAATCTCCCTTGGGCTATGCGTATCCCTCTACAACTGTTTCCCCTTCTCCGGCTGCCATCTCACTTGTCCCCATCCTCCGCTCCGGTCTTTCCATGGTCCCCGCCGTCTCATCGCTGCTCCCCTCACCCGTCGCTGTCCACCATCTCGGTCTCTACCGCGAGAAGTCGACCCTTCAGCCCGTAGAGTACTACAACAATCTTCCCTATCATGCCTCTTCAGCGTCCAACCCCAGCGCCCAAGGTCCAGCTGAGCTTGCCATCATCGTGGATCCCGTCATCGCCACCGGGGCCACAGCTTGTGCCGCCATTGACACGCTCAAAGACTGGGGTGTGAAGAAGATCATTGTGCTCGCCGTCTTGGCCACCGAGGAAGGTCTAAGGAATGCCTGCGAGGAGTGGGCAGAGGGTGTCGAGGTGTGGGTAGGTGGGTGCGACAAGGAGGTTGATGCCAAGGGCATGATCAAACCAGGACTTGGGGATATCGGAGACAGATTATATTTGACAATTGGCAAATGAGACGCCACATCTTGAACATGCAAGAAGCGAAGGGGGAGTGGCACAATGCGAGTGACAAATACCAAGGGAGCATTCGCTACCAAAATAGTAGCATGATCCTTGGTTGCCCGGCAATCATGGCGAGTATATCTACCATGTATGCACTTGAACACCTACATTTCAAATCCTAGCGTGGTTTCACAATCCTGTACCAGACTTTTGATGCTATAGAAGTATATCAAAATAAACATTCCATTGTTGATTTTCGGTGATCAGTGGCTGCACGGTCCACGCAATACTGTATGCCATCACCTCGCTAACTGCATTCACAATGTGATGGAAGCACCGTGACACCCTGACAATCATGGCGCTAATTCGTTCCCACGGAAGAAACTGCAAACCAAGTGATGGAATACAGGTAAGCCACAGGAGGAGGAAAGGGGAATGTCTGCCCGCTCGCTCACGTCTACATGAAACATTTGAATCCATAAGTCATCCGTACCTAGAAAACACACTTGAACAGATAGGACATCTTATGGGGGGTTAAAAGTTGACATACCAGCCAATGGTCGCTCCATCGCACTGGCTTCGAGAAGGTTTGACGAACGATTTATACCCCGTTGTATTACCTGCATGAAGGGAAAGCGAGCCATTGGGAGGAACCGTGATTACATTCAGGGGTATGGTCATCCCAATAGAATACCTCCCTGTCCTCACCTCAGCTTACTGGGCAATGAAAAGGCTGCCCCCTCAATTCACCTCCACTGGCCTTCCACCGCCCTTTCTTTAAACCAGATGGCTTATGTGCTCCTAATGACAAGGTGCTACAGCTCGAGCGCAAGGAATACCGCCAAATCTGGAAGGTTGTATCATCTTGCAAGGAATTAATCAAACTCCACCCTCCCTTCAACCTCGACCGTCATCCGAACTCCGAAGGGTTTACTTTATTCGTCCAGGGTCCTCCTATAACGCGAATCGACTCAAGTTCCGCGGGGGTTCTGCATACAGCGTACGCACAGTCCGCGAATTGTCGTGTTTCCCCGTGTATGCATGCGGGGGATCACTGACTGGCTATGCAGATGCGGACGGAGAGAAAACAATCCATCTCACGTCATTGATGCACCGCGTCGTCGTTGGAAAACGGCATCAATAGCCCGTGTAGCCACGTCACGACTAGAGGCACTGGGCCAACTCATTGGAAACCAAAAAAAGAACGTCATCATTTCACTACATAGCTCAGTCTTTGCTTTGTTACACACCGAGGGCAAAAAGTACATGATGTAAAGAGTAGAAGTACTGGGAGTATCCGCGCCAAAAGAACAAAACATTGTGCTTATTAGGAGACAGGTAAGAGAAAGGTGTGGAACGGAAAAGAGAAAAGGGGAATAAAGGGTTCGTGACCTTCGATACTTTGTAGTAGAATTACAGAGCCAGGCCCACACCATGACTTGGCAAGGAATGCCTCCCCCTTCCAGTGCAAGCAAGCTTGCCGCTGGGGGATATAATAGGATCGAGGGTAATGAGCAAGTGAAAAGTACGCTTAGGTATCGAAAAGAGAAGCGTCTGAATTTGGCGGTGACAGACCCGACCCAATCTGGGTATTATAGAGAACTCCGGGGCTGGGGCAGCCACTCAGCCAGAAGCGAACGGGCGTAGGGAAGTAGACATGAAGAGAAGCATTTTAACAACGCCGTGCATGATAGGCTCTGGTTGCCGTCGTGAGAAGACATACGTCCCGTGACTCAACTTCCATCAAAGGTCTTTTTTTTGTTCGAGGTCCAGATGCAAAACACACTTTGATTATATCAGACCGCACAACCTGAGGTTTTCTTGAATGATGATGTCTGGATACAGTTAGCAGCCAATTCTTTCCATTGCACCCGACAGTCCGGCGGCGAAACATACCATTTACGGCAGCCATGACGAATCGAATCTGCATCGTGTCTGTGGCACAGGTGAAATGTGTGTAAATTTGCTTAGTTTCGTGTTGGTTTAAGGACACGAATCGGTTCAAGATGTAATCGCAGGCGGCGGCATAATCAGGACCTCCTTCGTAGTCTGGGAAATAATTCTTCATCGGGCTGACTGGCAGCTTCTCCTTAAACCTATCAATCTTGTTGAGGAACAGGATGATGGATGTCTTTACGAACCACCGCGAGTTGCAGATGGAGTCGAACAGAGTCAAAGCCTCTTGCATACGGTTGACGGTTTCGTCTTCGAAGAGGAGCTGATCGTATTCGGAAATGGCGACCAGGAAAAGAATGGTTGTGACATTCTCAAAGCAGTGTATCCACTTCTTTCTTTCGGACCGTTGACCACCAACATCGAACATGCGGTATGTCAGGTCACCGATGATGAAGGTCGTCTCAGTAATACCAGTGGTCTTAACACGAGAACGGAGCACATCCTGATCGTTGGGGATGTAGTCGGGGGCCGCGATGCGCTCAATGGAATCGAAGTAGCTTCTCTAGTCAGCATTTGTAATCAAGCATCCGAAGCGACCGTGCCACTCACTATTTGGCGGAATCGTTGAGCTGGTACTCGCGCGAGCGCTGGAAACATTGTTGAACGCCAACGTCCTTCCATAACACCGAGATGGCGTTGCCAACCTCTGGGGGAAGGCTGTCGCCTTCAATTTGAGCAGGCTGCATGAAGATGGTCTGCACGTGGTATTCGGCGCGCTGGTCGTCGAGGGGGAGCTCAAGCGACTCCATGGCTTCGAGAATGACGCGCATCGACTGCACGGTGTTGCTGAAGATGATTTCCTTGAAGGACTCGCGCTCATCGCGGGAGTATCCGCCTTCGTGGATGAGCTTCATCTGTTTGAGAATAGTGGATTTGCCAGATTCACCAGCACCTGCAGCATGTTAGATGGGTAATGGTATGAGCGGATGAGGACTGACCGAGCAGAAGCATCTTGATCTCGTTACGCTGCAGCATCTTGTCGCGCTTGAGCTGATTCTCAATCTCCTCGTTCCTCTGCTTTCCCTCCTTCTCTTCTGTGCTCATTCCACAACCCATGGCGACGACGGCGGAAGAGGGTGATTTGGGTAGATATTAGATAGGTGGAAACGGGTACTTGTGTCGAAAGGCCGGCCGACACGGAGCCTGCTGAAGAAAAAAAAAGTCAATATAAAGCGACAAGATGAAAACGGCTGATGAAGGCGCGATGGTGGGTAGACGGCAAGAAAGAGGAGCATGCGTTGCGGACGAGAGGGCGTCGGTTGGTGAAAATGTGTGTCGGGTCTTCAGAAAGAAGTAAAGGAGGAGGCGGCAACGGGGCAGGCGCGCATCCAGGAGAGAGGATGCGGAGTGAAAGGGGAATGGCGGAAACGTGAGGGGGATCGAATGGGACAACTCACCTAGGATTATTAATGAAGAGGGAGAGAGAGAGAGCGTGTGTAGCGGTCGACGACTCGCAGGTTGAGGTGCAGCAAAGTGCGGTGGTGTGAAAAGGAAGGCGCGCAAGCGGGAGATGGAATGATTGATTGAGAGGGTGCGAGCGAGCGAGTAAGAGGGAAAGACGGGGTTCGGCAGGAGTGAGAGAGGATGGACGTGTGTGTGTGGGTGAGTGTGTGTGTGAGTGGACTGTGCAGGCACAGGCAGGCAGAGGTCGGCCGTCTCCTAGTCGATCGACGGGGCACCTGGTTGGATTGGGGGGTGGTGTCAGACCGCCAAACAATGGGTGAGGGAGAGGGCGAGCAGGGAAGAGAGACAGGCTGCTGCGAGAACCCAGGAAGCAGTAGGCGTGTGTGTGTGTGTATGTATTGATCAAACAGCAGCAGCAGCAACAGCAGCAATAGCAGCAGCAATAGCCCAGAAGCGTGTGAAGGAAGGGGAAGGGGACTTCAAGGGAGGCAGGGACCGGCGGGCAAAAAGACAAGGAGGTGGATTCTCCTTTGGGGGCGTTGTCCGGCCTTTGGGCGCACGGGCCGCGGCCTGGGATGGCTTTGGGATGCGACCGGCGGGGGGATGAACGTGTCTAGTCGAATTCAGTAGCCGCATCATCTCCACTTGACTACCATTGATACACGCATCAACAAAGCGACATGACTGATGAATGGGGACCTTTGATCCAGCTGGTCCAGTTGCGTATGCACTTGCCTGGATGCAATGCTCTCGCGTACATGGTGGCTAACACGCGAAGCAAGGACGAGAAGAGAGACTTTAGCAGTATTATACGCAGAATACGGTACCGTGAATAATCGCTCGCTAATCCAACCAGCAAGCAAGCAAGCAAGCACGCACGCAAGCACGCAAGAAAGACGACGACCACCATGGAGCACTGATAGCCATGTACATGGATAGTACCGTGGCGTGGCACGGCGTGGCCTACTTTGGCTCTTGATCGCCAATAGTACCCTTCGCCGCCCCTCGCTCCAAGTGGCATGGCATCACGACAATCAACCGTAGTTGGAGATGCTAGAAGCAAGCTAGAATGGATGTGTATCGTGGCCTCAGCCGGCCGCAACCACGTCCAAGAGCGCCGTGTCCGTCTGACTAGCAGTCATTCTAGAAGCTCTGTCGAAAGGGACCTTGTGGAAGAAAAATTCACAATAGGGGCAGCGCCGCTAGCCAGCACCCCGGCCGTCGTCTTGAAACGCTCCTGCATCTTGGCCGAGCTGGCTCTGGCAGGCTGATTCAGGAAGATGAAATGTGGAATCGCTATAGCAAGTCGCTTCGCCCGCCGTGTCATGTCGTGAACCTTTGCCGTGCTGCTATTGCTGCTGCTGCATCCACCAACCGCTCTCATTTCCTTGAATCGCCAGCCGCCAACCATGGCCCGCGCTAATCTTGTCCCATCGTAACCTGCCTGCCTGCCCCTGGGCCCGCGAATCCCTCTTGTCCTGTTGTGCTCCTCGTCCTCGTTCGTCGTCCTCTCCCACCGTGACCCTTTCCCCCACGCGCTGCGCAGCATTTGCCTGCCTGGCGGTGAGAAACATCAAATGCACCGTGGGAGCGAAATAGATGTATTGTTTCTAATCCTGAAGTCCGATCCATGTGGGTGAGCGAGCGAGGGTGCTGCTGCATGCGTGAATAGATGGGTACCTCCCCCACCTGTATACAGAACACCAGCACTCGGGTACTGTTCATGTACATGTACTTTTCACGCCGAGGCTGAGCTGAGCTCCGACAAACCCGATGCCTCAATACTTGCTCTCAGTACATGCATCGGCCGTCCATCACAATCTTCCCTTATCAGCTGCTGCAGCCTTACCATACTGCACACCCACGCCCGCAAACATCCTCGAGTACATGTCTATACATGTCGACGCCGTGCGGAGCGGAAGCGGATCGTACCGGGCGGGACAGGGCAGGGCAACATGCCTATCCACTTCCTCCTGGCGAACCTCTGCGAGCAAGAGGCACAGCGACGAGCAGGGCAACTCTATTCTGCGCATGCACGCAATACATGTCTTTCGACCATGACTGGTACATATGCCGGGGAAACACAGCCTCACCAACGAGAAAAATAGCATGCACGAGTGCATATATACACACAGCGAGGCCAAAGGAGCGAATGATGGGCGCGTAGCTGCAGCTGCCGATTCGGTAAGGCGCACCTCGAAGCGCCGACACTCGACCGTACCCATGCTTCAATACAGTCATCCTCCACCACAACCCCGACACTTCTTTGGCAGCCGCTCATCGACGTCCAAAGTCTCTGCGACACCGTGTCTCTGGCCAATCCCTTCGAGTATGCCTGCAACTCGACGCCTCGGCGGCTGCCATTGTGTGCTGCCTCTGACGCACTGCGAACAAACGGCCATGCATCATGATGCCTACTTATCATCCACATGTCTTTCCCCCCAAATCTCCTCTGGATGCACATTTCCAACGTCCATGAGACAACAGCCCCGTTACGAATTTTCTTGACTTTTCTCCTTCCCTTCCTTTTTTCCCTTTCCTCGCATCTTGCATCTGCTACACCGCTGCTGGATCAGCACGATTCCCTTTGTCCAGTCTTTCTGATCATGCTGTCCTCGTAGATCTTCATTCGTACGTCAGCCGCCCATGTTTTGGATCGCATGATATTGACAAGTACATACAATGTATGCAGTCTCTGTACCACTATGTTTCTAAGCCTCGCAAAATGGCTGTGCATGATATCGCCTACCTTCACTGTCGCTACGCCGCAAAGGACACTCTCCGAAGACCCATCACAGCAGATCCCGCTCCCGGAAGAATTTCAGACTCACATCCCCGACTGTGCACAGCCATGTCTACGTACATTGTTGTCCGCAGAGTTCCCTCTCGCCTGTACCCTTCCCTCTAACCTTAATTGTCTGTGCTCTACCTATAGCCTGGATGGTCACTCTCTCGGGGAGGTGGCTCTTGGCTGTCTGTATACTTCCTGCTCTTCGGTCGGCCGGGAAGCCGATGAAGCATATAACATCTGCCTGGGCCAACCAGATGCTGTTACCCCGACCTTGACGGCTTTGACAGTTGTGGCTACAACTTCGTCAGAGCCACCGACCATGACCACCACGAGCGAGATTGTCGTCACCAGTTCGCCAACTACCACACTCAATACCATACTGTCTGCGGTTCCTACCGAAACCGTCCATGCTGATTCTATCCCATCGATTGCGTCTTCCACATTGACCTCCTTGGCTTCCCCTTCAGCTACCCAATCCTCAATAGCAAGTACTGCAGATGAGCCTCGCACAATGAAACCCGCACAGATTGCGGGTCTATCGATCGCGGCAGCTGCAGCCTTCATCATAGCCATCGGTTTAATAGTGCTGAGTATTTTTCTGAGGAGGAGAAGGGAAAAGAAAAGAATGGGAGAAGTTGATATTGATGAAAAACGACACTCTCACTATCGACATTCCTTCGACCGAAACAGGCCGTTACCAGAGCTGCCCACCGCCTGCTCCCCAACGTCGCCCTGTTCTTCCCTTCGAGCGGCAGATGAGCGTGCAGTGAGGCCTGCAGCGAGAAATTGGAACATGAGCACACGTCCTCATCAATCTAGTCATCGTACCGCTTCATCGACACACCAGAATGCTATACCATCAAAGAATCTCAAAAGGGTTTCCCAGTCACCGCGCCAAGGCCCTCTATATCCAAAAGCAAGGCCCGGCCCTTCTCTTCCACCCAATCAGATCGGTATGGCGATAAGTGCGGGGATGCCAGGGGATCCTGTTGGAAGAGGAGGATTTGCGCAGCCTGGTCAAAGAGATGACAGGAGACGAAAATCCACCCGCATGCCCGGCACATCCCAGCGCCCAGATAGTACGATAACCCAGTGCACTGTATTTGAGGAGGACGACGTGTCTAGTGTTGCCGAATCTCGAGCATCGTCAGCGTTGTTGCCCGCCTTCCCAATACCCCCAATTCGCAGCTTCCAGCCACCAAGACCTCCACCACCAAAATTCACTCTCGAACGACCTGTTGATGTACCAGCGTGCAAGCACCCGATCAGAAAACACCCCGGAATAGCACTGGAAGTTGCGACTCAACCGTCAACGGTGCCGTCCGTGGAAATCAATGTACCGGAACCCCTGGGCACGGCATCACCGAAAATCGTATCTTCTAGAGGAGTCGATGCTGACTCTTCCAGCGGCGATATCCCGGATTACTATTTTACCTCTGATAAATCGGTTAAGGGAACCCCCAAAGCCAGTCCAGGCGTAGTAGCAAAACCCTCCGATATCAGACTCAAATTTTCATCAAGCAATGCCTCGAGGGTATCATCAAGGACATCCACGAACAGATGCGACTCGTTCTCTTCTCGCTCCTCGTTTGAGAGCGTAGATGTGGATGATCCCACACCGGGGAGTGAAGACGATGGTAAGCTCTCACCAGTTGCCGAATCTCCAATCTCCAACCTCCGGTATCCCAAAGTCCCCCGCGCGTCCAATCAGTTGGTGCCTCGAAGTCCCCCCATAACTCCCAATAGCCAGTCGAGTCGCAATAGCCTGCGTTTGGCAACGGAGCCATCCTCGCTGCTAGTCAAAAGGCTTGGTGAACAAGGGGCTCTGCAGCTTGGAGGTCCGCTGCAAACCGGTAGCCCTACGAGACCAAACGCAAAGTTTCGCATGCGTCGCAATAGCATGGAAAAATGGAGTCCTGGTTCAGTGAGCGAGCGTGGGATTCGTACACAAAGTGGTGGTGTATGGCCACCAAAAAGCCCGGCCATGTATGAACCGAGTGTCATACGACCGCTGAGCATCCGCCCCAAACAGACGATTCTCCAAACCCCCCAGGAAACAATGAACGCGTTAAAAAGCCCGGCATGGGTGACCGATCTGACACCAACACGCCAGGGGGAAGATCTTCTAATATCCGTTACTTATTCCAAACCCAAGCGCTGACCATCAAAAACTTCTTTCTTTTGTTTGCCATTTCTTTGTTCGCCCTGCAGTATACCTACACGCTTGTTGATCCCGATTCGATTCTTACTGACTAATTGATTGTTTGGAACACCGTAACATGATTTGCACGGTGTGGCTTTGCCACTTTTCATGTTGGCGTTCTCGGAATACCCGCCCCACAGTATCCTCATTGGAGCGACGACGAGTCTCTTTTATTATGATTTATTTTGTCCCATAGCCATCATTTTTACAATTTGTATGTACTTGGTCCATGGGACTCCAACTCGGAATTTATTCACTGGATTCATCTTTACTGTTGGGGATTGTACTATCTTTGGCGATGCGAACTGTAACATAGAGGAGGTAGAAGTATTTGCTGAGATAGCAGTCGATTTAGAAATAAAACTGTGCTAGATTATCAGGACGCACATCTCTCTCTCTTTTTTTTACCCTCCAAGTCTACGTTTATTCTAGTATCCAGGGCCCAGGGCAAGCACTTGTGCAATTCGGCATCTCCGGGGAAATTATCTCCGAATGAATTGCTCGTTCGGGGAGTAACAGGTTTTGGTGTTGGGCTTTTGCTGGGCCGGATAAAAATAAAAATCAATCATCATCAGACTAGGCATGCATGCCCACGACGCAGCTTGAACGCAGCAGCCAGCGATGACTTTTTTTTCCCTGTGTACTTATGTACATAGGTACATGGTTGACACTGTGCGTTGTCCCGCTGGCTCGCTGTCGTTTCAGCGGCGAGTACCTATCCAGTTACCATTAATGCGCGGGCAAAAATATGATACACGACGGGCGTCAATCTGCCCAACCAAGTAGGCAGATAAACCACCGGCTTCACTCGGAAGCGGTTGGGGAGGGTTTATTCTGCCGGCCGTTAACAAGTCCCGTTTCTTCTCGCAATTCCGAGTGAGGCGAAGAGTCTGGATTATATGTAACCATGTGGGTAGTCATACTGGGTAAGAGCTTACTCACGACATGGAACACGGCGGAGGGCTGAGGCTGCACGCACGTCCTGCTGCCTCTCTCTGTCATTAGCCAGCCAACCTACCCCCACCCACGACCCCACCATTTCATCATTAGCAAAGCACAGCAAAGCACAAAACCTTCGGCCGCCCTCCCAACGTTGGCTCTCCTCCCCCTCCAAACCTCCTCTTTCCTCACACAACCGCCATCATGCCTTACGGAAAAACGGACGAGCTGGCCATCAACACCATTCGCACCCTTGCGGTATGTATACATGCATGAGGCCATATTGCCCCTCCTTTTTTCCTCGCTCATGTCGAGCCCCGCTTGCACGTTACCTCTCACCATCATCATCACCACCACCACAATCCCTCCCATCCCGACCGCTCGACTTCTTTGTCTTTCATTGGACAGCATGCCTGGCCATCACTGCCATTCCAATTGCTGATTTGTCATCTCCTTCCAGGTCGATGCCACATTTGCGGCCAACTCTGGTCACCCGGGCGCCCCCATGGGCATGGCCCCGGTGGCCCACGTTCTCTTCAACAAGTTCATGACTTTCAACCCAAAGAACCCCGAATGGGTCAACCGCGATCGATTCGTTCTTTCGTATGTCTTGCCCACTCACAATCTGGTTGTTTTGCTCCCGCTAACCTTGCTTTGCAGAAACGGTCACGGATGCATGCTTCAATATGCTCTGCTTCACCTCTTCGGCTACGCTTTGAGCATCGACGACCTCAAGAACTTCCGTGTAAGCTCGTCCTTCTTCCCCTCACCACTAGTCATCAGACATGCTCGAGTTTGGCCACTGATTCCCCCATAGCAAGTCGACAGCATTACTCCCGGCCACCCCGAGTCTCACGACACCCCTGGCATTGAAGTCACCACTGGCCCTCTCGGCCAGGGTTTCGCCAATGCTGTTGGTCTTGCTATTGCTCAGGCGCACACCGCGGCTGTTTTCAACAAGCCTGGCTATGAATTGATCAACAACCACACATATATGTTCTTTGGCGATGGTTGCGCTATGGAGGGTATTGCTAGCGAAGCTGCATCCACGGCTGGCCACTTGCAGCTCGGTAACTTGATCGCCATTTACGACGACAACAAGATCTCCATTGGTAAGCGTGCTTTGTTCTCTCGCGTCATATTTTTTCATTTCTCTCGGCAGGCTGACATGACTGTGTAGACGGTGACACCAAGTGTGCATTCACCGAGGATGTTACCAAGCGCTTCGAGTCCTACGGCTGGCATACTCTGCACGTCGAGAAGGGTGACGATGATCTTCAGGCTATTGAGGAAGCCATTGCGAAGGCTAAGGAGGTCAAAGACAAGCCCACGATGATCAAGCTTACCACCACCATTGGCTTTGGCTCCAAACTCCAGGGAACCGGTGGCGTTCACGGTAACCCCCTCAAGGCCGACGATATCAAGCAAGTCAAGGAAAAGTTTGGTTTCGATCCTGAGAAGACGTTTGTCGTGCCTCAAGAGGTCACTGACATGTATCACAAACACGCAGCCGACGGTGCCGCCGCTGAGCAAGAGTGGAACAAACTCTTTGAGAAGTATGGACAGGAACACAAGGATCTCCACGCTGATCTGTCGCGCCGATTGAGGGGCGATCTTCCGGAAGGATGGCAGAACAAGCTCCCCACATATAAGCCCACAGACTCGGCGATTGCATCCCGAAAACTATCCGAGAGCGTACTGGAGGCCATCTACGAAGCTGTTCCAGAACTGCTTTCGGGTTCCGCAGATTTGACAGGTTCCAACAACACTCGCTGGAAGAAGGCTGTTGATTTCCAGCCGCCCAACACTGGCATTGGTGAGTGGTCTGGTCGATACCTCAGATATGGTGTCCGCGAGCATGCCATGGCTGCCATCATGAACGGCTTGTCCGCATATGGTACCATCATCCCAGCGGGTGGAACCTTCCTTAACTTTGTCTCCTACGCTGCTGGCGCCGTCCGCCTGTCCTCGCTGTCCCGCCAACGCGTCATCTACGTGGCCACTCACGATTCCATTGGTCTTGGTGAAGACGGCCCGACCCATCAGCCCATCGAGACGCTTGCTCACTTCCGTGCTTTGCCCAATATGATGGTCTGGCGTCCTGCCGATGGAAACGAGACCTCGGCTGCGTACTACATGGCCCTCACATCCAAGCACACACCCTCCATCCTGGCACTTACCCGTCAGAACCTGCCCCAACTTGAGGGCTCTACACTTGAAAAGGGCATCAAGGGTGGTTATGTAGCACTTGAGGCCGAAAACGCCGACGTCACCCTGGTTTCTACCGGTTCCGAAGTATCGCTCTGCTTGGAGGCTGTCAAGACTCTTAAGGAGCAGGGCAAGACTGCTCGTGTGGTGTCTCTTCCTTGCGTCGAGGTATTCGATGCCCAAGACAAGGATTACAGGCTGTCAGTCATTCCCGACGGCATCCCTACCATGAGCGTCGAGGTCATGTCGACCCTCGGCTGGGAGAAATATTCACACGAACAATTCGGACTCAACCGCTTCGGTGCCTCGGGACCATACAAGGATGTCTACAAGGTATGTGCCTAGAATGTGTGCACCATGGTGTGATTATTTGCTGACTCCACGCGCAGAAATTCGAGTTCACCCCCGAAGGTATCACCAAGCGTGCTCTGGCTACCATTGACTTCTACAAGGACGTCAAGCCCCTCCGCTCACCTCTCAACCGTGCCTTCACACAGCTCATCTAAGAAGTTTGGCCGAAGCAGCTGGGCGCATGATTATGAATTACGAGGTTTCCCCTCCAAAGGTTGACACTGATTCCGAGGAGCAAATGGCGTACTTGACACAATAGCTAGATAGCTAGGTTGCAGTAGAAATGCAAAGACATATGTTCAACTCTAGAGCATCCTGTGGGATGTAGTGCCACAGTTTGGGTGTACATGTGTATATTTTAACTACGTAGCTATGTACCTAGACTGGCAAAATGGCGATGACGTCGTGCCACAACAAACGACAAAAACAGAACCCCAAGGGACGGGGGGGGCCCGCGGGAGATTGAAGCACAGTGCAGTGCAGTGCAGAGAGGAATGCAAACTGCGCCTTGCGACGGCGGCCTCTGATTTCTAGGGAGGCCAGATGATGAGATGTACATGTGTAGTTTCAGTGTACATGGTGCAGCAGGGTTAAGCGCCCACGCATCCGTCCGTCGATCCATCCATCCATCATCTATGATTGCTGTGGCGGACGGCAGTTGTTCAGCTCGCTAAAAATAGCCACGTATTTAGCAACGCAAGCAAGCAAGTAACTGAGTATCCATTGGAGCGGGGGCCGGAACCACTCCTGGTGGCTGTGGCTGTTTGAACCCAAGACAGTGTGAAGTAGAAGGATGATGACAGCTAAACTCTATCGGATGCAGAGCCCTTTGCTCGTTCATGCATTCAATCAACCCATCAACTGCAAAGCATATTAGGTAATTCTATCCCAAGTGCTCATCCAGATTGCAGACCAGACAGACAGCGACCATCGATCCGTACCTTCCGGTGTCCTTGCAACTACCTACATACTTACATACATACCTACTCTTCCCTACCTCCCTAGGCACCTACCTACCTACATGTGTATGTACATGTGCATCAGTCCTTGAGCAATTGATCCTATAGCGACAACACGCGACAGCATCGAGGATACATCGTATGAATTTATCGGACTGGCGCGCAGCATCCTTCCAGATACTACTCAAGTACTTGGTTACCTGCTCGACTTGGTCAATCAAGTTCATACCGTGCCACACATACACATCTCACCTACTTGCCGCAATCACTTCATTTCAACTAGGCGGGAGAGAGCTGCTCCACACCCATAAGTAGTCCAATTATCTGCTGCGACAAGAGGCACAAGCACCCCTGCGACCACCACCACTGCCTTACCGCGCTTTCTTGTTTACCCAAGTACTGGCTGTATAGAATCCCCACCCCACCCTGCACGCCACGCTCCCTTTTACCAACAATCGTTACCTACTCCTCGCAGAATCGTGCCGATTCCATTCCGGCTCCAAGATCCTGGCGAGCATTCAAGACTTTCTTGGCTCCGCGCCCAGCAGGATCGTGCATCGCCGCCCGCGGTTACGTAGCCCGTTACGTCTATCCCAGTTGCCTCTCCAGTAGCCAACATGCCGCGGCCAGCTCTACACGCCAAACTCTCCCTCCCCTCGCGCCTCAAACACACAAACAGCAGCGCTGCCAACTCCAATCCCAACAGCGTGCCCGCAAGTCGTAGCGCAAGTCCAAAACGTACAATGACTGAGAACTCAAAGCCGACCGACCTGGTGCTGCGCGCCAATGTCATTCAGGTGGGCGTGTGCCCCGCCACCAGCCAGAGACCACTTCAAGCTGACGGTTGCTTCTAGGGCAGAAATCTGGCTGCAAAGGACCGCAGCGGCACCTCTGATCCTGTGAGACTCTTCTCTACACCCTCCGTGCACCGCTTTACGTACATTCACAATGCCTCAGCCATCTCACCTGCCTCTCGTCCAAAGACTCTAGCTGACCCAGCCTGGCACAGTACCTCGTCTTGACCTTGGGCGATGCCAGACACACGACCCCCACCATAAACAAGACGTTGAACCCCGAATGGAACTGCACCCTTGAGTTCCCCGTCACCGGTGAGCAGACACTGCTCTTGGAAGCGTGTTGCTGGGACAAGGACCGTTTTGGAAAAGACTACATGGGCGAGTTCGACGTCATACTGGAAGACCTCTTCCAAAACACCCGCTTGGTCCAGGAACCCCGATGGTTCCCCCTCGAGTCGAGGCGCGGAGGGAAAAAGAAATCGGTTGTGTCGGGAGAGATACAAATGCAGTTTACTTTGGCCGATACAAGCAATCCCAATGCGAGCACGGAGGAACTTGCTAGAAAATTCATGGCCTTGACTGCTCAATCCCCGAGCCCTGACGAGGAAGACGATGATGCTTTGCTGCGTGCGGATAGTGCTGATGCGGATGACATGGACGAGGACGACAGCTCGGACGAAGCCATGGATGAATCGAAAAAGGCGGAGAGACACGAAAAACGAAGGAAGAGACTGAGACTAGCCAAATTGAAGAGGAAAGCTATCAAGTCGAGTGCTTATGAATTCTCCGATAAAACAGAAGTGGCTGGCGTTCTGTTCCTGGAAATCACCAAGATCACAGACCTTCCACCAGAGCATAACGGTAAGTCTATCCTCAACGCAATAACTAGCTCTGCTGACGCCGCTTAGTTACCCGAACATCCTTTGATATGGACCCTTTTGTCATTACATCCCTTGGAAAGAAGACATACCGGACCAAGACCATCAGGCATGACCTTAACCCTGTATACGACGAGAAGCTCGTGTTTCAAGTATTGCAGCATGAGACAAACTATTCCGTCAACTTTACTGTGGTCGACAAGGACAAATTTTCTGGTAACGATTACGTTGGAGAAGTCAACTTCCCTCTAGAAAAAGTGCTTTCCATTGCTCCCGTGGCTGATCCTAGCACGGGACTTTTTAAAATACCTGAACCTTCCGACTCTCCGGGTGTTCCAGAAGCTAGGAGATCTCGGTTTCGTCTGCCCATGTCTCGTTCTTCTTCAGCCCATAGCCTTTCCCGACTCGGCCGGCCGGGTTTGAAGAAGGAGAGTTCCGCGAGTTCACTATCTAACAAAGATAGTAGCGGCAACCTGGCACCACCTTCGACCAGTACCCCTCTGACCGGGAGCGAATCGAACAGTAGCACGACGCAGAGCATGTCTACCGTCAACGTTGACCCTTCCGCAGTAGATGATCAAGACCTCAAGATGTTCACGCTGCCTCTGGAACTGAAGAACAAAGAGCGCTGGGAGGCCACCCATAACCCTACACTCTACATTCAGGCCAAATACCTCCCGTACAAAGCGCTTCGGCAGCAATTCTGGCGTGCTATGCTCAAGCAGTACGATGCCGACGATAGTGGTCTAATCGACAAGGTTGAATTGACCACAATGCTCGACACCCTAGGCTCAACCTTGCACGAGTCTACCATCGACAGTTTCTTTACCAGATTTGCGCAGCAGCATCAGGGCGAGGAGCTTTTGACTTTCGACGAGACTGTGAGGTGTCTCGAAGACCAATTGCAGCGTATTGAAGAAGCATCGTCAAAGAAACATATTTGGAGTCGATCTGCGACTTCCACTAGCGACCTACTAACGACAGGAACAGCGACACCCGCCCTTACATCCGGCACACAAACACCGCTCAATGCTCATTCCTCCCAAACTTCTATCCCGGCCTTAGAGTCTGACCTTCTTGGTAAGGAAGGGGAAGAAGGGGACTTCATTCGGCCAGATGAGTTGGGAGACGAGAAAGGGGAGGAGCACGTCATCGAAATCCGCGAGTGCCCAATCTGTCATCAACCTCGATTAAATAAGAAGTCTGACGCTGACATCATCACTCATGTGGCGACATGTGCTAGCCAAGATTGGAGGCAGGTTAACAATATTGTCATGTCCGGTTTCGTCACCTCCAGCCAGGCCCAGCGCAAATGGTACTCCAAGGTCATCACGAAGATCTCATATGGCGGGTATAAGCTCGGGGCCAACTCTGCCAATATTCTGGTGCAAGACCGTTTAACTGGTCAAATTAACGAAGAGCGGATGAGTGTCTATGTTCGACTTGGCATCCGGCTGTTGTACAAGGGTCTCAAATCCAACAGCATGGAGAAGAAGCGAAGTACACAATCCCTTTTCCCTGCCAAGGCCATTTTGATGCTAACGTATATAGTCCGAAAACTTCTCCGTTCTCTCAGTTACAAACAAGGGAGAAAATACGACGACCCTGCTTCGGCAGCCGAAATCCCTGGGTTCATAGCGTTTCATCAACTGGATATGTCGGAAGTGCTCCTATCAACCTCTGAATTCAAAAGCTTCAATGAATTCTTCTACCGCGCTCTGAAGCCTGGGGCGCGACCATGTTCTGCTCCCGACGATCCTCGGGTTATTGTGTCTCCCGCTGACTGTCGATCGGTCGTCTTCAATACCCTAGAATCAGCACAGGCAATCTGGGTCAAGGGACGCGAATTCACGCTCCAGCGTCTGCTTGGAGATGCCTATCCTGAAGATGCAAAGCGATATGTCGGTGGCTCTCTAGGTATTTTCCGTTTGGCTCCGCAAGACTATCACCGATTTCACATTCCCGTGGATGGCGTAATGGATGAACCGAAAACAATCGAAGGCGAGTACTACACTGTGAACCCAATGGCAATACGATCGGCGCTCGATGTATATGGTGAAAACGTGCGCATCGTTGTCCCCATCGACTCCGTGGCCCATGGCCGCGTAATGGTTATTTGCGTTGGCGCTATGATGGTCGGGAGCACCGTCATTACACGCAAGAAAGGTGAACAGGTGAAGCGTGCCGAAGAGCTGGGCTATTTCAAGTTTGGTGGTAGCACTCTTCTGCTTCTGTTTGAGCCCGGCCAGATGAAATATGACGATGATCTTCACGACAATTCCAAGTCAGCATTGGAGACTCTTGTAAGTTGAGATGGGATAGAACTAGTAAAACAAACTAATATGCCACAGGTCCGCGTGGGCATGTCTATCGGCCATAGTCCCAACAGGGCAGCTCACGAACCCGACATGAAGAAGAGCAATCCCACCATGGAGGAAAAGCAGGATGCAAAGAGGCGCATCGAGGGCAGTCTTGCGCCGAAAACTACAGGCCCCATGGCGGGCGCTGGCATGTGAGGAAACAAATATATGATTTGGGTGACGCGACGGTCAAGGTGTTCGCAACCGAGGGTATACGGCTTTGGATACATTGCGTTAGGGGATACGAAGGCATAAACAGATAGCATGGAGGTATTGGTTAGCTGCTGGCTCGCACTTCGCCGGTTTGGTTTGAGCTTCCTACGTGCATATATTTTACGGAACTGGCATCGCAATACTCAATGTTGACGCCTAATCAATAGATTTAAAGAAAGAATAAAAGAAACTACCACATGACGGATGCGTATTGCTGCATGCATGTGTGAATGTCAGAGTTAGGTACAATAGCGTTGCATGACTCCTAACAACTTATCGACAGAAATGCTCGCTACGTATGAACTTTGAAAGAGGCAAAATGGAGTGTATCGCAAAACTGAGTGTTGGTGTGTTGGTGGTGATATTACACAACTGACATGGAACTCTTCATATCGTGGTGCCGGCTTTACATGTGGTGCACCAACTCGAGTGTTGTTGATGATGGTGTCTTAGTCAGCAACCACACTAATGCAGCTTCCATGTTGAGAGGGGACGGGGCGACGGCCAAAACCAAAACAAACCCACCACCAACTGACCCAGCGTTTCCTTGCTCGCGTGCAAACAACCAAGACCACGCGCACAGATTATCCCACCTCATCGCCAATCACTACCAACATATATACTCAACCCATCATCCAACGCGCATCTCGACCAGCCCGTCTGCCTCCCAGGAGATCCTAATCCCGGCCGTCCCAAACGCCGCATTGTAGCTGTTGCGCGTCCATGCACGCGCTTCACTCTCAACACCCGCCGCTCCGCACATAGCAATCGGTATCCATGAACGCTGTTCTTGCAAGATCGCCACTTCAATCGCTACTCATGGCCGCAAACCGTCCGACGACGCGACGAAGAAGCGCAAAATCCGCATTCGAAGATGACGATGCGCCTGCGCCAAAGAGGGTGAGGACGGAGATCAATGGTACTGGGAAGAAAGCAAATGGTGCGCCGAGGAAGGCAGCGAAGCTAGGTGAGTTTGCGCAACTGTTGACGATTTCGGCGCTAACAACGGACCAGCATATGACGAGGATGACGACGGTTTCCAGTTCACACGTCGCACTTCGAGACGGATCACGAAAACCCAACCGCAGCCAGAGCCAATATTGGAAGAGCCGCTCAAACCACTACCAACACGCAGAAAAAAAGCTATCCCTGCACCACCACCACCGGCACCGGCAGATCAAAAAGCTCCTGAAAGACGACGACGATCAGCGCGTTTATCAGGCGATCAAAACCATATGAAGCAGGTCGAAGAACCAGGTGAGCGCGAAGAGTCCTCAAAACCAGCCCCGAGGCGCACGAAGAAGACGGCGCCGGCATCAACAGAGAAAGAGAGGAAGAAGCAAATTGCTCCGGCACCAGAAGTACAGCCCAAAGAGAAAACCACGATATTGGGTGCGCAGACGCCCACACATAACGAGTTGCATGTATCAAAGAAACGAGATGGAGGAGCCACAAAGATTATGCTGCCGTTTGCCGACACCCCGGTTATCAATCGTAACAAAGAGATGCGGAAAGCCAGCAAAGATGGCCACAGGAGGAGTAGCACAGGCTTGAGGGGTAGAAGGGCCAGTTCGTTAATCGACAGTGGCATGTCGAATGGTGAGCAGCTACCAGTATCAACTTGGCTCGGTGACTTTGATCACGTCAGGACTGGCCTTTTTGAAAGTTGTGGGGCTAACAATGATTTAGCTCTTCCGCATTCTGAAGTAGAGGTCAGCGATTACTTCAAATATATTGAGCAGAGCTTACCGGAACCGCGGCGAATGAAACAACTCTTGACATGGTGTGGATCGCGAGCGCTTCCCGAGAAGCCTTCGGGAGATGTCAAAAACGCAAATGCAATTATGGCGGGTACGTTAGCTCCTGGAACGTGGGGGTGATCGCAATGGCTGACTCTATCTCTTATAGCGCGCGCAATACAGCAAGAGCTCATAGACGATTTCGCGAATAAGCCCGGTCTATCTGATTGGTTCAGTAGGGTATGGCTTGAGAATTGCGCAGGCCGGCTGAGAACATGAATTGACGAAATCATAGGAAGAAATCACACCCCCCACGATTGTGAAAAAACGACCAAACCCTCAAAACGACAAAAATCACAACACCTTACTGGAGCTAGAAGAGGAGATAAAACGGTACGTAATTCATGATACTCCGTCCAGATTGTTCTGACCGATTGTTATCTAGTCTCGAAGAAGAGAAGTCTGCGTGGGACGCCATCGCTTCGTCGTCATCCAAAGCCAGACCAACGGACCCACCGCCCTCAATACAAAACACAATTTCTATCACAGACGACATTGACCCTACTGTACTCGATCCCTCCCAGGCATCCATAATATCCGCCCTTCAACCGCCATCAGAGACTCCAGAACTTGCGCCAACAGCAACATCATCCACATCACCCAGATCTACACCACCGCCTTCGTCCACATTCACATTCCAATTCACCACATCCGCTGCGCTCCAATCACATCTCACAAAAATGTCGCAGTCCCTCGAACCCAACATAGACGTCTTTGCAGATGGCTTACATAAGATTGAGCAATACAGAAACACGGCGGAGCGGGTGGCTGATCGGGTTCTGGGGACGGCGGCGAAGAAATTGGAAGAGCGGGAAAAGAGCGTCAGAGAAAAAGTGGGCAGCGAGGGCATCGGTGTGGGCGATGTGCTGAGGGGTTTGGCAGGCGTGCTCAACGAATCTTGAGATACTTCATCTATGCCTCTGATGTCTTTCTGTTCTTCCCCTTGCAGCCTTTCTTTCGTGCTCCATTCCAGCTGCATCCAGCGTGTGTTTTCTTGCGATACGGCATTTCTACTTATACCTCGAGTTCCCCTCTTTTTTTTTGGTTCGAACCCTTTCCTTGCTGTTTACGGTTCGAGCGCTGTGGAATGACGGTTTCCTCCTTCCCCCTTTTGCTTTTGTTGGCCTCGTTTGGAGAAGGTCCGAATTGGTACACTGTAGAACCAGTCGCTGCACGAGAATGATGTATATATAGAAAAAATGTCCATCTGGGGCTGCAAATGCATCGTCCGCTTGGCATGATTCTGATGGCTCTCATCAGCTTTTGTTCTTGTATAAGAGGATCTTGGAAGGCAATAGATGACCGGCCACACATTGCAATGGGCAAGAAGCATTCCTTCAAATCATTTGCCTTGAACATAATTCGCGCCAACGAGACTCCATCTAGTCACTTCTCACACTCCCCCTTTCCGAAAATATCACACGTCACTTCTCAGCTCATTTACTAAACCTCGATTGACAGAGGTGCCATAGGATCTGCGACAGTGACAATGTGATGAAGATGCACATGTCTACATTTTCACGCACCAAACCGCCAATCTGCCGATACCGACATCTCCAAGGTCGAGACCGAACCCAAATGTCAGTCTGAGGAACATCAGTCGAGCTTCAAGGTACGCAAGTACGTCCAGAGACGCAGAGACCAACTGATCGGCCGTTCTACCGAGGAGTTGCTCCCATGCTGTATTCGATAAGATGAGTTTACCCGATTCGATCTGGCCTGTTTCGTCGATGATGTTTCCCAGCTATGTGGAAATGCATTAGTAGGTTCATTCAACTAGAGGTGTGGATGATTACGGGACAATGTGTCTACTTGGAGATTGTGCTTACAATGTGCGGGTTGATACGCAGCGCCTTCACTGTTTCACAATGCCTACACCTCTCATGGGCAGAGTTTGCAAAGAGAGGGATTCCGCAACACTCTGTACCCATCAACATATTTCGCTGGCAGTTGGCTACGAGATGGACGCCCGTGAGAACAACGCTGATGTAGCCCATGATGTTATCGGGCGGATTCGACCGCGCAATCTCATCAATCTCGCTCAGTTTGAACAAAATCTTGATTGCCGCGGTCTCAGTAGTCTCCATCTGTGGCGGGAAAGGCGGAATGGCGTGCTCCCTTTTGCTCAGTCGCTGGCTGAGTGCTCGTACAAGGCGAGCATCGGGCATGTCCGGATCGATATACAACTGTGTGTCGGTGCCCAGCGAAAGCCTGGCCCCGCGCCCAATACGACATCTCGGACTCGCGAGCAAAAGGACAGTATGGGAAGGTGTCCATGTGGTTGCAGAACTGCTGAGAAAACCATAGAGGGTAAGGGAGGCTTGTGCGGTGTCGTCGAGGATGCCAATAGTGATCAGTTCGGATGTTGCGCCATTGTTCTTGATGACTATGTGCTCATGTTGGTTTCTCCACACGAAAGAATAGAACTGACCGCATGACTTACATTCCGTTCTCGCTCCGATATACTTTACGCAGACCATGACCTTGCATTCGTCGACGTGAAAGCCGCCATCCAAGTATTGCTTCAGCGTCATCAGACCAGGCACAGCCAGAGGTCCCGCCTTGAACGGCCGTTTAAGCATGGTATTTTTTTCACTCCCGTCGTGCATCATAAAGTGACAGTGTTTCTCCCCCTCCGGAAACATGGAAGTGAACAAAGGTGCAGCCTTGGGCGCCAACCCTACGGACTCGGAGTTTCCGTGGCTCACATGTACCGTCCAGATGGACACCAGCATTCCCAGACGAAGCTTTACGGCCCAGTCAACATGTGCGTACCAAAGTCTCACGGTCATGGCCCCCGTATCATCGGCTATTATGATTTTGACGTATCCCTGGGCGGTCTGAGGTCGCTTACTCGGCTTGGGGATATCATGAGCATTGACTACGCGGCCCTTGAGCGTGATGTGTTGAGGGCCAGGCTGAAGAGAGCCGATGCATACCGCTTGGTAATGGAGCGTGGGCATCCATTCTGAGCTTTGCACCGGGGTATGTTGCTCAGGGGGGGTCAAGTCATCCTCCGGTGCTGGCGTCGGGGGCGGCGACCCAGGCGGGCTGGACTGGACTGTGATGGACGGCATTTTTCTCTCAAAATGAAGATTGAAAGCCGGCGAGACAACTCGCATCATTAGCAATGGTCAAATGATGGGGTATAAGGGGAGCTCACAAGCAAAGCGCGAAGGACCAATGAGCACGTTACCCGCTGAATGCGGAAAGAAGGTTCGCACCTGTACCCTCAAGCTTTCTCGCAATTGTTCTCGTGGTACAGCTCGCTCAAGAGTACGCAACAATCTGAAGCGGCAAGATGAATTGAAAGTGCTCAATGCTCACTCATGTGTTCATATTTTGCCTTCGATTCCATGTGGGCAGAGATTGAGAGACCCTATCATCGATTGCGGAATCACAAAAGCTACGAGTACGAGGATTCAAACCACAATTGATTGATTGACTACATGCATATTGGTAAAGACAGTATAAGTGCGGTTCATGTTGAATGAATCGCCATCAGGTGGCGTGTACACGTACACCAGAGTCCGCTGTTAACATCGCGGCTCATCCCCCAAACGCCACAGTAAAGCACTTCACAAGGAGATGGTGACTCTAGAAGAGTTTGTGTTCCAGAGTCATGTCGCTCTCAGGTTCCAAGCCCACGCAGGCGCGGAAAATATTTGTGAGGGCGGCACGCTGTTTAGCCAGAGAGTTGATGACTGGAGTGCCGGGAGGGGTGAGCGGCGCCTTGAGCATATAGCTGAGAACGCTGAGCACACTGTGAAAGCCAGCATACTTTGCCTGAGCGTTGTCGGTTCCGTGGGCCTTCCACTGAATGCGAGTCATCATCTCAGCAACCAAGACCAGATCGATGATCAACGGAGAGGCCAAGAGCGAATCCTCGCAAACGTTGAAGATGCTAATGGTCTGGTGGCCACCCAAGAAGATCTCAGCGTAGTATTCATCGAGCGCACGCTTGTTGTCACCAACAGCGGGCATGTACTTGATGACCACGGTATGGTCGGGGTGCTCGTCCTTTTCGTAGAGCACAGTGTTGGCAGCGACCATATCGTCGACCACATTTGACTTGGAAATCTCCTTGGAGCGGAACTGCTTCTGAGAGCTAAGATTCATGCCGTCGTTGTTTCCTAGATGGTTGTAACTGGCGATGGAGGTGAGCTTGATGCCTGCATTGATCAAGAAATCGACAAGAGCAGACTTCATTTTGGTCTGACCAGACTTGAAATCATCGCCACCAATGAATGCACCGTGCTGTTCCGCGAGCTGGATGGCACCAGGCACAAAGGTGTTCTGGGGAGATCCGTTGATGAATGGTACTTTGTCCAAGATGCATGCGACAGCAAAGACGGTACTAGGAGAGACCTCTTCATGTCCGCCTTCAATGGCCTTGAGAAGATTCTCAGCAGTGTCGTGGACACCTTCAGTCACATCCGAGAAACGTTCGGTGTTGGCAGTCCACTGCACAATCACCTTGTCGAGATTGTGGGCGGCTTTGAATTCTCTGTTCATTCAGTCAGTGGGCACTCTCTGAATGGATTCCAGCATAAACGTACTGGATGTCCTTGCGGATCTGTTCGACATGGGCCATGGAGGCCTTGGTGCCGGGGATGACGTTGTCAGCGCGTTCCTCCTGGTTGGCAGCGATGAAGTCTGGATAGTAGATGCTGGGCAAAGGCGTCATGGTAGCCATTTCCTTGTGGACAAGAGCTTTCAAGGTGGGCTCGAGGACCTTTGCGCGATCCATGGCATCTGCGAGGTTCATGCTGCTGATGTCCCAGCCACCCACGACGAGATCATTGGGATGGACCATGGGCATTAGATCATGAAAAGGAATGTTGATGTCGTCGGAGGTTTCGCTGTCGACACCGAGCTTGGTTGTGGAGCCCATGATGACGGAGCCATAGTAATTGGCGGCTCGTTTGCCCTCCTTGGTATCCCAGACGAGGCCACGACGGTTGGCAATGATACCAGCAGTGACAGTGGTACCATTGTTACCACCCAAGCCGACAAGCATGACGCCGAGCTTGGGGATTTTGCGATCAACCTTGAAATCATAGAGAGTCTCCTTGGGCACGGCTACAAACTTGCCATTGGCATCCTTGGACACGGCCGTAGTGCGGTAGGTGTACTTTGTGTTGATGGTGTCGTCGGTGTACTGGACATTGGGAGAATCAACAACAAAGAGGTTCTTGGCCGGGGTTGCGGGTACTCCATCACCCCCCGTCGCAGAGCCAACGTGATCCTCAGCGTGAGGAGCCATGCTGAGTCGAATTGGCTTTTAGCTGGATTGATTGGTTGAAGACCACGGCAAATTTAGTTGCGGTAGTCTAAATCCGACGCTCCTCCGGAAGGAGAGGTGCGTTGGCCTGCGAAGGGGTGGTGAACGCTGGAGGGGCGGTTAGTTTGAGATCAATCAATATCATGGTTGGGGAGCAGGGGGCAGCAGCAGCAGCAGCAACGTACGAGTTGAGAAGGTTGGAAAACATGCGGGTACGAGCCCGGTTTGAGGAGTTTGTGAGTTCTGGGAGAGTGCAAGAAGAAGCTGTGTTGGACGGTGGTATGGCTGGAGAATTGGACGGTGTTGATGGTGGGGAGGTGGGAGGTGGGGGGGAAACAGCAGGAGGGACTAATTTATACCACCAAGCTACGGGCAGTCAACTAACTGGATGTGTGGATAGGGAGAGGCATTTAGCCAATAGAACAGGCAAATAGATGGAGCCGCCTAGGAGACAGCAAACGAAGGGTCAACAACACATCCGCTCCTTCCCGAGTAGGTTACCAGCTTGCTCGACTGCAATTGTTGCTAACTGGTAACGTCCCTGTGTACATGGCGCCCAGACGCATGGGGACTGGGACAGAGATGAATTTTTATAGTACATGCAAAGTACATAGATACATGTGGACTCGAGTACACACATAGCCAGGTGTGTAGTACTTGTACATGCATATGCGCACGCATACATGCATACACTAATGCGTGCAACGTGTATATACTATATACTCCGGTCTTGACAGCATGCCGCCGTTAGCGCTTGTATGCCTGTGTATGTACAGTACAGTACAATATAGTATAGTACTTGAGTGTACCCGTCTCTTGTATGGGACGTGCCTGGCTGGTTGCATGGCCTGGCTATATTGATCCCCCCACGGCGGCCAAATACTTTCACTGCTGGAGGCCGATCTCGGGCTGGCAGGAGGGGAGACGACGGCCAACATATATGTACACGTATGTACATTGGTAGCGTACACGATGCGCATGCCCTCTCCCATGAACGGGCGGGTCTCAGCTGTTTGGATTTGCATCGTCTCAAGCTTCAGGTGTTCCGTTTCCCACTCCAGACAGAACAGCCGCGTTTGGAAGCAAAACAGATGCGCAGATGATGCGCCGTGGTGGACATGACATGTATGCATCTATGTATGTATGCATCTATGTATCGACTTCGAGACAGTCCCGGCCTCACTCTTGTTTGGTGGCTGGGGACAAGATATCTTTCCCCTTCGGTCCCCACTTGGCCACTCACGCACTCACTCATTTATTCAGGCTGCCGCAGCACACGTTGTCACTGCCATGGACCGTTTGTTTGCTAGTGATGAGCGAGGTCAGGTACCTAGGTAGCTATGTATGTAGTTAGTATTGTGCGTGCTGACTGTCACCACGGCCTAGCGGCGGACATGGATATTCGCGAGAGAGTCATCGTCGGAGAGCACCACAGCGCCAAAGGGCTGCTTCACCGAGATCTCATTCTTGGTGAGTTTCATCGCGTGCTAGCCGCCCGAAACACCGACCGGTGGCCTGCATGGGGATTGGTGTTGTGTTGTTTTTTTCTTTCCAATTCTTCATCCATCCACCTCAGTTATGGTTTGGTATACAAACACTCGGATTTTGCATGTCAGCGGCACGCGACCGTCACACGTCACACTCCATGTGTCTCGGTTTACACTTTTGCCCTACATGGCCATGTACCAAGCCAAACCAAGGGGGGCCGCGCGCATCATCTGTGTCCATGTGCCGTAACAGACAGTACCCCAGTAGCCCATCCATCCATCCCTAGGATCCTCAGAAAGAACCACGACGACGATCGCTCCTTTTTTTACTTCAGTGCTCAACCCGTCTGTCCGTCCTGATGCTGCCTTTTACCCATTCGAGCTGGGGCTCGAGCCATGATGTGCCTTGCTTGGCCGCCTCGTCGTGGTTGGCCGTTTGCTATTCCTGACGCCTTTTGGTGCCGCTGCCGTGCAGAAGTGAACAGAACAGCATCGTCATCCCCGTCCTCGTCCTCCTCGGTCCCTCCACCGTCAGCCCTTGCGACACAGCCCGACGCAGCTCCGCTCAGCCTGTCCGTTTCATCTCGTCGGTTTCCCTCAACTCAGTTGCATCATCATCATCGATAGCCGCTGCAACGCGACAAACTGCAGAATAGCATGCCGCAGGCCTAGCAACCTTCCGACACCCCCCCAGCCGCCTCGCAACGAATCACAGCCTGCCGCCTGGACGCCACATTCAGGGACAGGCACGGGATATTATAAAGGATCCATGATATCAATACCCTCGCATGCATCCACCCTCCAATCCAGTTCTGCGAATCCGTATGCTTCTTCTTGCCTGCTGCTTTTTCCATCGATATTCACAATCACCCAACCAACCAAGCAACCAAGCAACCAATTCATCCATCCATAGATACATACCTACATATATACGCGCAGCATCCCCCCCATCCCTTATGCGCCGTTCCTGAACAGCCTCCTTGTTCGACTTTCTCTCGTTGATTCACACGGTATTCCAACATTGCCTGTGTCGTGTGCGTGGGGCGCCAGAGTCTCCTCAAACCGGAAGTGGAGCATAGGCGTTTTCCCGCTGCCATTCTCAGATCAGGCCCGCTTCCAGCATCATTTCCGCGCCAGCTGGCCCAATCCAGCAAGTCCCTGCTGTCGAGGGCATCCATCGGCTCTTGACTTCACCAGGGTAACCCCTCGGCGGACATTCTCGTTGCTAGCTCACCTCCATGTCACCCATTTCCAAACATCTCGAAACCACACGCCATCGCACTTAAGAAACCCGCACTACCCGCCTCTGGCCCGCGTTTCGCTCTTGCTCCCGACAAGAGAATACCTGCACATTGAACTAGCAGCTGCGCTGGCTTCGCCCACACCCTCGTGGCCGCCATGGAGACCATGAGCCTCCTTCCCAAGATCAAATGCTCCAGCTGCGGTGTGGATATTGACATTGCCCAACTGGCTGATCATATTTGCGATGCCACAGCTCCTGGTCAGTCCCAACCACCCATCTGCGCCTTCGTCCAACCAACTCACAGTCACCTACAGCTTCCGAACCCTCTTTCTCCCCTACCTTGGACCGCGCTGCCACTTTCGCCGGCTCCCAGACTACTAACAAGCATGAAGCTCCAGCGCGGTCTCGTATGCCGCCGCCAGTCAAGATAGATCCATATGCTGCCAGTATGTATCCTTCCTGCACGGGGATTGCATAGATACCGCTTCTAACGCGTTGTAGATAAACCGTTTCGCATGCCCGACTCCCCACTCTCTCCCTCACCTCTCTCCCCCGGTGGGCAAAAGTCTTTCCAGCGCAGTGCTACGAGTCCTTTACCTCAACTTACCGCGCCTTCTTCTCCTGGCTTCTCCGGGGGTAGAGGCAATCCATCTTCACAGTTTTCAGCCTCACACGACCACCTACCAAACATTGCGAAACTACCATCCACCACCTACTCTGGTTCCCATCATGGAGAAGATCATGTCCAGCCGCACTCACTCTATGCACCACTCAGCCCGCGTACAGATGGGGGAGAAAATGTCCTGAAGCGATTAAACACAATTGCGCCTGGTCCCTTCGATGGGAGAGGTTATGAGCGCAGACCAAGCACTTCAAGTGGCCCGCATTCGCCTTCATCGACATTCTCTCCCGCGGGTCATAAAAGGACCGACACTCAAGGTAGCTCGCGGAGCTTTTTCAATCAAAGGATTTCTTTGGCATCTACAGGCTCCGCCATGTCCAGCAACAATGGGGGTCTGTCACTGCGACCGAGGCCTGGGATGGCAGGGACAATGCCTCCCCCTCCCCCGCTGCCCCCAATTCACCTCGAGGAAAAGACTGAAGGCATCGACGCGTTTCTTGAGCGTTTACAAAAGGAGACTATGGGTACCTCGAGGGCAAATCAGGACAATCGTTCAAAAAGCCCCATGGGCCGCCACGATCGATCTAGAAGCCCTATGCGTCCCGAAAGCCGACCGAGGAGTCCCATGCGACAGGGTCTCACAGGCTCCCTGGAGCGGGAGTCGAGACCAGAAGGTCCGAGAGCCACTTCACGACGACCACCAGACATTCGGACCTCAAACTCACCTCCGCGTTTAACCAGTGCGAAATATGCAGGAACTAACTCCAACGCAGCAATGGCAATGCCATCTGACAAGGAACTGCCACCACTTCCTCCCATGAAGGATGTCCCCGTAGATGCTGTATACACTCCTTCTGATTCAGGCCGCTCGGAAGACTCGTATGCCAGCTCCGGGTTCAGAAGCGTGGCGAGCTCCCGATCAAGCCCTCCTTCATCAGAATTTGGGCATTCGCGGCAAGCATCCAAAACCAGCCGTGTGGACAATATAGACGAACCCGTGCAACGCACGCTTAGTCCGGATACTTTCGTGGACTCCAGGATTGGCCCTACGCTATTTCCAGATAGTAGGAGAGTTCACGATCATCACAACATGTCCCGAGGCCCGGAGCCTCTACTCAAACCACCGACTTTGCCGCAGATGTCTGCATCCCCTCAGAGTCCTATAGATCCTGCTATTCAGAAAGGGCTGGCATATGGCCAACGCAATGAGAAGATACGGTCACCCCGCGATCCTGCCCTCAGCTATGGGCCCGACCCTCCCCGCATCCCCAAGGCGCAATCCCAGGCACTTAACAACCGCCAACCGTCCGGCGCGAGCAGAGGGAGGTGTCGCGGGTGTGGTGAGGCAATCGTTGGAAAGTCGATCAAGGATTCTTCTGGGCGACTCACTGGTCGCTACCACAAGGAGTGTTTTGTGTGCCGGACATGCCGGGACCCATTCCCCACGGCCGAATTCTATGTATTCGAGAACTCGCCCTACTGCCACCAGCATTACCATACACTCAACGGGTCGCTTTGTCGAACATGCAACCGCGGCATTGAGGGCCAGTATCTTGAAACAGACCAGCGCCTAAAGTTCCACCCGCGATGCTTCACGTGCTTCACATGCCGCATAGTTTTGCGGGACGATTATTACGAATTGGGGAGACGCAATTTCTGCGAAAGGCATGCATACGCTGCCATGAATCAAATGAACCAGCGCAACAATATGCTCGGGGGACCGAACGGACAAAATCGCAACTTGCAGAAGAGGAGGACCAGGATGATGATGATGCGTTGAAGCGTTTTTGGGGACGATGGACGATTGATTTTCCCTTGCATTTCGATTCCAAGGTGGGCCCTAGTCGGCCAGCCTTTCTGCTTCTCTGTTTTATATACCCCGGATACCACATCCATCTAGTTATGATTTAATTGCCATGTTATCACAGCATGTTGACGTAGGGCATTTACGGCGCATGGGGATTTTCTAGTCACAAGGGGAATGGGTGCAAACGAATGCACATGTACTTCTAGGGAGGAAGGAGGGGAAAGTAGAGGAAAGACGCGAGATTTGGCAGGCGTGGTAATGTCTGGGTAGAAAAAGGGGTGGTTGTACATGTAGGAGGAATTGATCAAGTACCGCGACGACATGATGCGACGGAGCAGTGCCATTTACTCTTTGACGTGACATGACACGATTCATTGGATAGATCAAGAACGAGGGAGATGGGATGATGATTGTATAAGACATGTGTATTGACATGATATGATACGATTTGGTTGTGGCATCGATGGTATAGGCTAACACGTGAAGTCATGCGGCTAGCGAAGGTCACGGGAGAAGGATGGAGTCGGTCAGTCAGTCAGTCACACTGTACATGGATGCGCATACAAATGTTCATTGCTATATGACATACATATGTATGTACTTGGGTAAGTACCTATGCCCATCTACTACTTAGCTTCCTACCTACTTACATGTACCCGTCAACACCCACCCGGCCGCATTGTTTTGCTTCTCTCTCTCTCTCTCTCTCTCTCCCCACCCGCGCAGCCATGCATAGTGGACCCAGCCAACAACGACTAAACCACGAGCTGCCCATTGCTGCTACTACCCTTGGACGGTTTGGATGTTGAAGCAGCCGTGCGTACAGTGCGGTGCCTGTAGATATGCTTATACTTACATAGATACTACATAGCACGCATACTACTACCCCACAGCCTCTCACGTACCCACGCACCCATCCATCCACCATGCCTTCCGGGTCCCCTACCTCACAGCCACCTTTTCCCTCCCCCAACGCCATCCCGCCCCGGACAAGCTCTCACGGGCTCATAAACGGCGTCAAAGCCCGCTCCTCGGTCCTGCGCCCTTTATCAGAGGTCGACTGGCTGAGCCAAAGCAAACAGAGCAAGCTCCAACCCCACCAGCAGACCTCGGTGCCGCCCGCAGCAGCCATGGATCCGTCGCAACAACCCACCGACACTACGCCACAGGAGCCGCCACCGCCCACCACCACCGAGACCTTGGGCGCGGATCTTGTGTACGGCCACACAACACGCTGGACCGATGACAAGGAACGTATACTGCTGGGGCCGTACGATTATCTGCTCGGTCACCCGGGCAAGGATATACGCAGCCAATGCATCGCTGCATTCAACAAGTGGCTCAAGGTTCCCCAAGATCGATTGCAAGTCATTACCCGCGTAGTGGGCATGCTACACACTGCTTCACTACTGTATGCTTCGCCCACCAACAATCCGCCCAGCGGCAACCAAGACCAGACGCATACTGAATTCGACCCCTTCGATCCTGCCATCAACGAGAACTAATCTCATGTTTGTTATAGTGTCGATGACGTCGAAGACAACTCCGTCCTACGCCGTGGCATCCCCGTCGCTAACAGCATATACGGTGTCGCCCAAACCATCAATACTGCCAACTATGTATATTTCAAGGCCTTGCAAGAGCTCATCATCATGGGCAATCCTCTCCTCGTCCAAATCTACTCGGAAGAACTGTTGAACCTGCACCGAGGACAGGGCATGGAACTTCATTGGAGGGACAGCTTGACATGTCCAACCGAGGCTGACTACCTTGAAATGGTGGACAACAAAACAGGTGGACTTTTTCGACTAGCCATCAAACTAATGCAGGCCGAAAGTTCCGTAGCCATGTGTGTATTCCTCATCTTCCCTGTCGTCACTTGGTTGTCCCAACAGCTTCGTCTCGCTACATGCTGATCCTGGATGCGCGTAGTGACTGTGCCCCTCTCGTTTCAACCATTGGTCTACTCTTCCAGATTCTCGATGACCATCTCAATCTCTCACCCAGCAGCGGTTATTCCGATCTCAAGGGCCTCTGCGAAGATCTCACCGAGGGCAAATTCTCCTTTCCCGTGATCCATGCCATACATACCGACCCTGCCAACCGCATTCTCTACAACATACTGAAACAAAAGACGACAGACGAAGAAGTCAAGAGATATGCGCTGAAGTATATGCAAAAGAAGGGAAGCTTCGAATACAGCATGTCTGTTATCGATGATTTAAGGGGCAAAGCCCTGGCCCTAGTTGCTGAGGCGGAGAAGCTGCTGGCAGGCCAAGATGATAAGAGCGGAATGGAAGGTGCTGAGGGGCTCAGAAGTTTACTTGCAAAGTTGGTGGTACGATGAAAAATTAAGCCAAGGTTAGCACGAGAATGTAACTCTCAGCAAGTTGCCGAACGTCAAAATATGAAGTAGTGTGGCTGCTTACGATGTACCTACTGCTTGGTTGGCTTTTCTTCCCCTTCGTACTGGAGTTTATTCTAATGATTGATGTATCGGATCTTACCAAAACATTAGAATGTGAGATGGTGGACAAAAGAAAGGGGGGGACAACATTCTTTGTGGGGAAACACCCCTCCCAGGAAAAGTAGACGAGTATGTGATTGATTTGTCTACTGGAGTAAATTTGGGATCCACAAATTCAAAAGCGCTTGTCCGATCTTTAAAATGATGGACATTATCTACATGAGCAGGCCAGACCTTTTGACTACATCCAACAAAGTGGTTATAAGTGTATGGATAGGAAATTTGCAGATCTCCCGACATAGTAAGCTAGTACCATGCAACTGTTTCCTTCCTACGTACTTTACTCAGGATACGTGCGTGATGGGACAAGCACTGGCGGTATATATCGGGATATCGCATGCTTCCTCGACGAAATTGATTGTGAACTCTCCGTCCATTACATTACCGCTGGGTTCGAGTGGTGCGCTTCCACCTTGATACTGAAGTCAGTCAAGTGATCATGGAATCGCGGGAATGATGATGAAAGGGAGAGGGGAAGAGCACAGCTGTAAAAAGACAAGTCAAACATACAATATTGGCAGCCGTTGGCGAGCAAATCATCAACCTTCTGCTTGGCGAGAGCAGCTGTCAAGACACGGCCTGGCTTCGTTCTTTGGAAGAAAGCACACTGGCAGGCACTGTCAGCAACCGCACTTAAAATTTTGAGAGAATACCTTGGATAAACGATCTGTTCGGACGGAAGAAGGGGGGAGTACTTGCCAAGCCTGATCGGACGTCCACGTCGTGGAAAGTGGCACACGCGATCTGTTCGCCATCCATGTATTGGCGCGAATCTGGGACTTGAATGGATGTTAGATATCAGAGCTCGTGACAAATACCGGTCGCGAGGGATGAGGGGTCTTGTTTCCATCCAGAGGTCGACACATACTGGCATGAATGTGAGGCGCTATGTATTTGATCATCGCACGATGGCGATCGATCAACACTGGAGCGCAGAAAAAGGAGCCTTTGCAGTTTATCGGCATGTAATGATGCTGCTGAGTACGTGTAGTATGGTTCGGTTCTTGTTTTTGATCGAAGGAAGCGGCGTTTCTTGCAGTTGTATCGGTTCGGTTGTTGGGCAGTGCAGCGGCGGAAGTGCAGAGCAAGGCCACAAGCTTGATAGAGAGCAACATGGTGATATCGGCAATGGGCAGTAGGCCTCAGTATAAAGATATATCGGAGGCCTTTCGAGACTGGTGTGAATCTAGGGGGCAATGGGTTCTATATTTTAAGAGTTTATTTTCCTAGAAGCTAATCAGTTAAAACAGTGCGTTCAATAGTATCCTTTTCATATGTAATCACGTCTCCTGCAACGAATTGGAAAACTAAGCACATGTAATTGGAACATCCAGAGGTCCGATGCACCCAGTCTCTGAAGATATTCACGAATTATGACACACGTATCTAGAGCTAAGGCATGATATGAGTAGCTACAGTACCTTTGTTAACTCAAAATCTATTCACCTCAGTTACACTGGGGCTGTGTCTCCTCACGGTAATATTTATTCCTATCTCAAGTTCTTTTCATCTTCTATATCTTATCTCTGATCTGTTCCGGTGCGGGGGCATGGGGACAACTTAGAAAATATCATTCAACTTGAATGTACCTAAGGCTGCATTTACAGCAAGAAGCTAGCAAGATCATAGCTTATGAGCCCCAGTTGTTATTCTTGACTCTACTGTTCCGCTTTGAAATACCTCGAAAGCCATTCGTCCTGCTTAGCATGCTCTCGTACGCATGAAAAACCAGGAAATAAGCAAGGTGAAATATGTCCCCTATCAGCACACTAGCAACACCTAATTAACAATTTTTTAAAACTTTAATTAAAAAGATAAAGACTGTATGTTATGTAAAAGTGCTACAGACTATATTTATCTATTTTTTTTTGGGTTAAAGTTTAAGTGATCCTACACACAGCGAAGGGGCTACAGTGATAATAGACTAAAATAATGAGCAATAACTAAAAAAACGCTACAGTTTATATAAGAAATTACTTTGTCTTGTATTTTAGGTAGTTTGGCGCATTACGCGGGGTCTACTATTTCCTGGTTTCTTATGCGTACGAGAGGCATGCAAGTGTAAGCCGCTGCCAGAAAGTATGACGCATTCTGCCATCGGACCTGTTGTTGGACAAAGCATGGTATACATTGCATTTTATACAGATATTGTGTAGCACATGATTTGTTGCATGCTGGAAACCGTCCATTACCCCATTACCCACCCTCCCGGCCTTTCAAGATCTGATCATGTTCATGCGCGCATTCAATAGCTTCGCGAGCTCGTTTCGGAATGAGTCAATATCCTCATATGTTCCATTCTTCTTCCCAAAGATCCACCCATTACGCCGGCTGAAGTGATTGAAATTGCCGGCTGATATGGTTACCAAATGGACAGCTGCGTCGGCTTTGCCCTTGGCAATACCCACTGCTTCCAACCATGGAAAGGCGTCACGATAGAACTGAATAGCAACAGGCTTCGGATGCGTACGATAGCTGGTATGGCTCACCATGTTGAAGCGTTCAAGGTTGGTGGCTGCCGACAGAGCACCGAAAGCAGCGTGGTTGTATGCTTTGTTGACGCCACGTCCCTCTGCCCAGTGTATCAGAGTGACAAACTTGAGTAGAGATGCGGCTCGGGCGCCAATATCAACAAGAAATGAATGCATTGTCAACGTGTCGCCCATGTAGAAGTCATTTCCGTAGAGAATCTGACGGCCTTCGCGGTAGATCTGCTTGTTCGTGGCCAGTAGCGCGGGCACCTAAAAAAAGAGGTGCGAAGTCAGTGAGGTTCACAATCAACGCGAATGCTGCAATCTTGAGTCTATGCGATTATAGAAAGCAAGATTCACATGTATCACATACCAGCGTCTCGAAAGTTTCAGCGGGTTTCTCTGGGTCGTCGTCGCCGCCTGTGCGATGAGGAGCACGATACCTCGCTTCAGCGACGCGATTGACAGTACGACGGAAGGCATAGGTAGTAGGGCACAGATAGACGCCGACAGGATCATGGAGGCACAACTTGTAGATTTGATTGCGGATTTCTGCAGGTAGTTGAAGGAACGGGAAGATCTTTCGCTTTGGAAGAGGCTTGGCAGGCTTCTTCACCTGTGGCTTCTTGTGAGGGGGGCCGTCTTCAGCATCCTGGGGGTCTTGGGTATTTTCATTTTCGCTCAGGTCCTGTTCACGGTAATCGACGGTAGGCCGCTTCCGTTTTGAGCGCCTTATGGAGGTGGAGTCAGCCATGGCAAGGTGAAGGGAATTGGAGGTTGAGAGATGTAAATCAATGGAAACGCGACTGACAATCACGAAAAAGACGCGCTCTCAGGCGTCACCAGTTGACCTTTATAGAGGCCAGGAGGACTGGAGGTGGTCAAGCGGTGGTTAGACGGAGCACGGTCAGTGTAGGCAGCAATGGGGTGAAGCAGGGATCAAACTCAGGCAGGAGGCATCAACAGGCACTTGGTCAGTGGCGCTTTCCAGAAGCAGCCTGGATGTTTGTTTGGGTGCTTGCTGAATACATGACACAGACCGATGGGCTCCATGTTTGTGTGTGTGTGTGTGTGTGTGTGTGTGTGTGTGTGAGGGAAGGGAAGGGACCAGAAGTGGGGCGCCCTTTTCGGCCTGGAGGTGAGGGAAGAACAGTGTCTGACCCCGCCAGCGCGCTAGCTACACACACACTCAGTTGAGTAAGTGGCTACTTGACTATGTAACCAAGTAATAATTTGAACACAACTCAAGCATTCATTTTCCCATCCATTGATTTGCCACAAGTATCGTCTGCCTTCACCATGGCCACGGTCCACTCTTTGCAGTCGCTCGTGTTGGATTTACCGCCAAGCTGCATTGAATTCTGGCCATTGTTTCCTCGCTATGCTGTGGTGGGAACGTACAATCTGGAAAAATCATCCGAGACGGAACCTGCAAACCAAGACGACGCTGCGGTCGACACACCAGAATCAAGACACCAAGAAAGAAACGGCTCCGTGCTGCTGCTTGAGGTAGATGGCGATCGCGTGTTGGTCAACCCCCCCTTTTTTTTTCTTGCAATGTGCTAATTGCCACAAGAAACATCATCCACACAGTGGCCACTCCATATGCAGTACTGGACATCCATTTCGCTCCCAAGGGACATTCGCAGTTTTTGTTTGGCGTAGCCTCGTCCACTGGCTCAGTCGGCTTGTACCGGCTCACTGAACCCCGATCCCATGCCATGCCTGAAATTGTTCATCTTCATACCATTAATGTGGCCCATCCTGGTACCCTCGTCACCGCATTCATATGGCACCCCAAAATCACCATTTCCAGTGAAGCAAATCTCGTCGCCTGTCTCTCTCTTACAGACGGCACCATTGCCATGGAGGAGATTTCACCGCTTTCGGCAACTGCAGACCGGAATTCGCAAACCGTGGGAAGCCATGACCTGGAGGCTTGGACTGTAGCTTTGACCCATGATGGCATGGGTCTATTTTCTGGTGGAGATGACAGTGTCTTGGGCTTTTGGAATCTGGTGAGACACACTGAACAGCTCTGTCCCGGTGCTTTAGGTCTGGGAGTGGCTGAAAGCGTGGAATGGAAGGATCGGAAGATACACGGCGCGGGCGTCACGTCAATACTCCCACTGAAGACGGCAGACACTGAATCACTCATCATCACCGGAAGCTATGATGATCGTATTCGCCTCCTCCACGTATCCGCCATGGGAAGGAGGAGAGTCCTTGCGGAAGAGGATTTGGGAGGCGGTGTGTGGCGGCTCAAGCAACTGAACGAGAGTGATGATGTTTCTCCAATCACCCAGGAAACTTGCAAGCCAGTATTGGTTCTCGCAAGCTGTATGCATGCTGGGGCACGGATCTTGAAGCTTTCGCATGATGGTGGCGAGTGGCATTTCGAAGTGCTAGCCAAATTCGAGGAGCACAAGAGCATGAATTACGGGAGCGACTGCCAACCATCACTGGATGAGCTTGATCGGCGCACATTCATCACGACAAGTTTTTATGACCGACTTCTCTGTCTCTGGAGATTTTAGGATGTGCAAACCTCGCACATGATACCTCAAGCAGACACGACTATTGTCGCCATTTTTCTCTTCGCTGAATCCGTTCCCCAAGTGCAACTTGTGGAAACAGATCAAGGGAGCATAGTGATTTTTTACCTGGTCGCGCGATAGTTTTCAAACCCGGAGCTGAGATCAGCAGCAGCTCTTTCGCAGTAACCATTTAGGAAATCGACCTTTGCATAAAAACCCGAAGGCTTGAATTAGGTAGTGCCGAGCCGAGAGTTGACAGCTAAAAATAGAAGGCTAAATCTCAGCCTCAGTATGCTGTGGGACCGACCACTGTAAGCAGCCAGCAGTACATCAAATCCCAATGGGAGCTGGAGGAAGCTATGACGGGGTCTCGCGAACTGAGATGGGTATTACCCACACGCGCAGCAAAAGTCACCAGGACTTGTATCCTCATCTACATGGCGAAACTTGCACCTGGGCGGGTGAGCTATTCACGGTGAAAGCGGCTAATAACGATGGTAGTTGGGAGGCTCTTGGTCGTGCGTGGTTTTTGTTGTAGGGCTGACTTAGGCGCTGGACCCCTATGTAATTAAACGCACATCACGTACAAGGGTCCAACGACACGAAACGACAGGCACCACCACTCGGGCCATTCCACTTTGCACCGCTCGTTGGCCGCGCACCCCACTTGTAACTTCCAGGTTGTCATCCTCCGCCGGCATCGTCATCTCCATTGTTCGGCCTGCTGGAAATTCGGGCTCGAGTGTCAACCAGGCGTCCCTCCTTCCAGGCATGGCCGCGGCCGTAGCTATTACCTCTACGACAGGCGAGCCCTCGATACACACCAAGCACATGGCCAGCAAAACGCACAACTGCCCAAACTGCGGGACCGAGATGCCACCCGAAGAAAGCAGACGAGAGCAAAAGAGAATCGTAGAGCTGGAAGCGCAAATCGAAATGCTCAAGGAGAAAGCGACAGCTGCCGGTAAGTTGCTTCGCCGCTACAATCATCACCCTTGAAGCCATGGTAGCAGTATGCGCTGACGCCCGCAAACACAGTGGATCGATGCGCCGATTACGAAGACCAGATACGCAATATGCAGCAAGCCCAGAATAGCCTCCTCCCTTCAGATGCGACCAACTCGCTGCAACCCACGGGTAGACCATCGCACGAGGAGGCCCGCCCCTCGACGGCAAACTCCACCACGGGACGAACCTCACGCTTCTCTTTCCTCATGGCACGGCGCGGTTCTCCGGCCGCATCCACAACGTCCACAACGGATCCCGAGCTTCTGGAGCAACTGGTAAAAGAGCGCGCATTGCGCACCAAAGCGGAGGAAAAGGCACGCAAAGTGGACATTGAGATCGAAGAGCTGAGTGTCCAACTGTTCTCGCAGGCGAACGAGATGGTGGCCACGGAGCGCAAAGCCCGAGCCAAACTGGAGGCCAGGGTGGAGCAGCTGGAGTCTAAAGACAAGGAGAAGATGGCACGGCTAGAAAGACTGGAAAAGGCAGTGAGCAGGATCGATCGCGTAAAAGCTTTGCTTGCGGCCCCGTCGCCAGCGGCTGTTGGGCCGAGAAAGAGCTGAGACGAAAGACTGCCTCGATAAAAAGGGCCCTGGCGGGTCATGGTTTCCCTTTGCGTTTCTTCCGCTTCCGATTCTTTGGACGATACCCGCGATACCCATTACGCTTATTTCCTCCCATCACACTTTGTTTGCATTCAGAGCGTAGGCAGGCAGCATTGGGTTCACATGTTTGATCACTGCATCACACGGAGTTATTTGGCTGCATTTGTCGAGGAGGGTTTTGTTTATTTGCAACAAGGTTGAGATTAGGCCTACTGGTTACTAGTTTGAGCATCTGGCATGCATGTGTGCATGTATGCATATATGTAAATTATTTATATTAATGGCACCTGATGGAGACACGAGAAGAATGGCTCGGTGAGTGACAAAACATGGGAAACAAAGCCAGGCGCATGGAGGATGGATGTTTCTGGTTGCAGTTGCAGCTTCAGGTCCTTGTTTGTTGTTTGGTTTGTTTGTCCTTTTGCTTGCTTTGGTGGAGTGTTTGTTGACTTGTGAGTCGGGTCCGTTCCCTGGCGGGGCTTCCGGTTTGATCAGCCGGGCTGTGGGGTTGGGAGTGGGTGAGTGAGTGAGTGAAGGAATGAATGAATCAGTGGATGGATGGACGGCAGCAGCAGCAGCGGCTTTCGGGTGACGGGGCCATTGAGGAGAGTTGGGACAATGAGCACAAAGAGGCGCAAGTGGGCGGGTCCTTTGTAGATGAGATCAAGCCTATCAATTCTCCGGACTGTTCCCCCTTTATCGCCATTTGCACGGGGAAAAGAGAGGGAGGGCAGCGCACAGCTTAGCGCCGTTTCACGTTCACGTTCATGTTCACGGGGGGGCCGGCCGTGTCCTCGAAATAATTCCTGCGGCCAGAGAGAGACTAAACCACGACTGCGACCACCTCCTCCACTCCACACCCCAACCAACTCTTGCACCATCTCTCCCACAGTGCCCGTGTCTGTGTCTGGTGCTGAGCCGCCTTGTTCACACCCACACACGGCCACACTGCCACTGCCACTGGGCCTCCTCCTGGCTGCATTGCGCCTGTCCGTTCTTTCCTCTCCTTCCCCCCCGTTGCAGCGGCAGCAGCAGCAGCAGCAGTCTAGTTGCTTGCGCCTTCTCCCCACGGCCTGTCCACCCTATACCCGACACCATTTGTGATCCACTTCCACCTCCTCCGCCCGCCTCCTCTTCTGCGCCTATTCGCATCTATACACGGCCATCACCGCTGCCTGTATTATTTGTATTTCTTTGTGGACCGCGCGCACCATCGGCTCTCCAGGGCTCCCACCCCCTCGTATCCTACCTTCCTTCCTTGCGCCGCAGCTGGCTTGGCGACCGCTCGTCCCCGACAACGTCAAGGGATCAAGAAACAAGAACTACACCACCATTGTTGAAAGACGGAAGAGCTGGGCTTGGGGACATGAGCCATGACGCGTCCACAAATCGTCAGAGCTGGTATGCTTGCAATAGCGTCATCTTCCTTGCCGTGAACAATCTTTGGAGCATGCAGGCTAACCCCATCACTGCACAGACACGCTTGACCTCCAGGACAAGTCGTCCCCAACGGCCGCAGACCACTCCCAAAACCCCCACCCAGCGCCTCTAGGCATTGGTCCCGCTGCCCCCCATCAAGAAGCATCCTTGCGACGTGTCGAAGACGAGCGCTCCGACGAAGAAGCAGCGCTGCAGAATGGCTTGGACGCTACGAATGGATCGCACGAGGACCCTGGGACTGACGGTGACCGCAAGGCCTCTCATGGCGACTCCGAAGGCGATAGCGCAGCAGTCCGACTCAATGGAGGTATGAGCGGCGAAGGCGATGATGCGGAATTGGAAGATGCAGAGGTGGATGACGAGGATCTAGACGATATGGACAGAATATCGAGCTCTCCCTCGATTAGTGATGGTGGGTGCTCTTTACCTTCTTATCCCGTCTGGTCTGAGCGATGGATCTCCCCCCCTCCTTGCTCTACGCCGGTTTCTTCTCCCGTCGAGTCCGCACAAGAGTGCGACTCTTCTTCTCCTTATGTCGATACACCTATACATTTTCCCTTGGCTGCGTACGCTGCTCGAGAACCCTATGGTATCCCAGCTGGCGGCGCGGCCGCCCCATTCTCTCATCACCAACACTCTGCTCCCTTTCCGATGCAGTCCCCCAAGAATACAACGCAGTCAGCGAGTCATCATCAGAGTGAGTATACATGGCCGAGGACCACTTCCGGGCCGATCAACAAAGCACCGGGACCCGAGTGCAGCGTCAGTCCCCGCTCAAAGCACCTAGCGGTTGTGGAACAACGGCTTCAGGGCTTGCGCTTGGATTCGGACATCTCGTTGATGTCTGACCTTGACGATGCAGCAGTGCAGGCCATGCTGAAGCCTGTGCCGAGTCCTCTAGCGGAAGCGGAAGTGTGGGACGACTCTCCCTTGGACTGCCCCGTCGATAATGCAGTAGGTAAAATCAACGACAATGTGGACGATAAAAAGTACGAACACTCTGACTCTTCCTTCTCTAATAACGGATCGGATAACGATAGCAATGACCAAAACGACGATGACGACTCATGGATAACGGACAGCGATGCCGATAGCTGGGACGATAATCAGGACGACGATGATGACTTCAATGACATTTCCTTTTCTCATGACTCTCGATATGTGGACTCGGCTTGGGAAGGAGTATGCTTACGAGACACAGAGGATATCGATTTTGATTTCGTTTATGCGCTTCACACGTTTGTTGCGACAGTCGAAGGCCAGGTAATGATGTCTGAATCACGGCTATGATGTCAATACATGACTAACGTGACCAGGCAAATGCTACGAAAGGTGACACGATGGTGTTGCTCGATGACAGCAACAGTTACTGGTGGCTAGTTCGTGTTGTGAAGGACAGCTCAATTGGTATGCATTCGTGTGAAAGGGACAGACTTAGGACAACAGAATTGCTAATCACGTCTGCAGGATATCTGCCCGCCGAGCACATAGAAACGCCCACAGAACGACTAGCACGTTTGAACAAACATCGAAATATCGACCTCTCTGCCACTATGCTTGGGGACACGGCTGACAAGCCCAAGAATCCACTGAAGAAAGCTATGCGGAGACGGCACGCCAAAGCAGTGACCTGGGGTGATAATTCTGTTGTGGAGGCATCCGATTACGACTACTCGTCTGATGAAGGGGGCGATGAGGAACTTTTTGGTGGAGCCGACCCGAACGAGGCGCAGTCGCAGCAGCAACAGTCTCAAGGCGAGAAAGCAGAAGGAGAGCAAGACGACAGTCTAAAAGTCCAACCGCTGAAAGTAAATGGCGTTAAAAACGATACAAAGAGTAAAGAGGAAGGCGATGCCCAGGAGAGCACAGACAAACCGGCCAACGGCGACGAAGCCAAGAACAGTGATGAGATTGACGATCGCCCTCTGGACCCGAAGGTATCTCGAAACGGAACAGTGCGCAACACTGACTCGTTCTTCAAGGACGAAACTACAGAAACGAGGAAGATTACGCTCACGCCAAACTTGCTGCGCGACGATTCAAGTACATCCACCACAGGCTCCCGAGAACGTGGCCCAAGCCTCGAGAGTTTGGAGAAGAGCGGTTTCGCGGATAAAGTCAAGGATGATAAAAAGAAGAAGGAGAAGAAGCCAGGGATGCTTAGCGGGCTGTTCAAGCGTAAAGACAAGAAAACCAAGGGAAGCCCTGACGCGCACGACAGCGACAACGAGAAACAATCTGAAGAATTCGGTCGCGATTCACCACAGTCCAAACAGTCAGAGGAAATGGATCGCTCGTCCACGGAGCAACCGACCGCCCTTCAAAGACAAGCAAGCAAAGGGAAGCTACAGAAGTCACAACGCCCAAGGGAAGAATCGCCAGCCAAGTCTAAGGGTATACTGAAGACTGAAAGCCCGGAACCTCCCGTTGTACAAGCTCCTATAGCAAAAGAGCCTCCAAGTGACAAGCCTGCTGTGCAATCCACATCGACTATGCGTTTAGTATCCCCCGAACAAGACGATCCTTCGAAGTCCACCTTGGAGGAGCGTACCAAAGCTTCCGAAGTTCGCCCGCGTTCCAATTCCACAGCTTCCAAACTCAACCCTATTAATATGTTGAAGACTCAACAAACTGCAGAGCCGAAGCCAGAGAAGGTCAAGAAAGCGAAGAAACGCGTCCAGCTTGACGATTTTGATTCGGAAGAGGAAGAGAACAACCCCTTCGCCGATCCTGATAAGCAAGCTCAGTCTATGAAGCCCGGCGACGAAGGCACATCTGGGCGCCTTTCCGAATCACCGGTCCATGTGTCAGCTGCCGACGTACAGGCGCCTGGCAAAGAAAATACAACCGAAAAAGATCCAGAGTCTGATTCTCAACTCCCGCCGGGCCTGACAGGTGATACTTCGAGTCAAGACACCAACTCCCCTGTTTCGACGCCTACACCAGAGGACGCCGCCACTACAGTAGCGCAACCCAACAAGAGCAGTCTGTCGGCTGTTCAAACTGCCGCCTCCCCTACCACAGCCCAACAACCATCCACCTCATTGCCACCGCCATCACGACCTGCCCCTGTGCTTCACAAAGTCGATACATCCCCGCCTGATTCCTCGGAAACTACTTCGCTCCCAGCATGGTCAGACCAGTCTTTGCGCAACTATCTGGAGGATGGTAGCGACATAAGGGATATGCTCGTGGTCATCAACGATACGACTGGCGTTACCCCCGTCGGCAACGATCATCCTATCATGTCACAACTGTTTGTAGAAGAGACCAAAGCCGTGTCTGGGCTCAGCACCGAGCTTGACTCGTTACTCAACGGTCTGCTTGAGAAGAGGATGAAGAAGGCTAGCAAAGGTGGCACACCGTCCCCAATCGCAGCCAGGCCTTTGAAATGATATGTCCTGGAGTTTAATGAGAGGCGTGGCAAATTTTGGCTTGACGTTTCATGTACGAACATATTGTGTGAGGATACCCCGCAGATTTTGTGCCTTGGGACTCGGATATTGGAGTTTGGTTCACACTTTTTGCAAAAGGTAATAGCGGTGTTCCGTCTTTTTCTTATAGCAACTTCCCCTTTTTTCAATCTTCATCTTTCATTGATCGCATGAGCTATTTGAGCATGCAATCGGGCATACTGCATAACAGGACACTACACAGGCGATCATAGCTGCTCTTGGCAGATGCTTTGTTTCCCGTCCATCATCCCGATATCCATTCCTACTCTCCTTAATCAAACCTCTTTCGCATTTCATTTACCACTTCAAAAGGCAACAAACCGAACAGCGTCAACGCAGTGCGTTACGCCCACCCTCTCTCTCTCCCTCCTTTCCAGTCCACTTCTTTTCTAATGTTACAAAGATTTCTTCTTTTTTCTTCTCGGGGGGTGTCAGAGCTTAAGATAGTTTTCAGGTAGCCTTTCATTGTCAGTGTCGGTGATCATCGCTGGGAGGGTGGGAAGCGATGTTGAAGATGAATATGGCTGCTTGGCATCCCATTGCTTCTTTCACATGTATATACGATGAATGAAATGTGTGGTGGTCTGGTTCAATCATGATTGCTATTCTACTATGGTCATCACGCATGGATCTTGGGAGTCAACCAGAGTGATGGAAGGAAGCTTTTTGCTTGTCTACATCGAACGCTTACCCCTACCCCCTTGATACTGGCTGAGGTTGATGGATTTGGGTGGGCAAGAGGGAGCAAAGCCGCAAGAAGAGCGTCTGTGGAGACGGGGAAGGATAGTGAGTGCTGACCCTGAAATGCTACGCCGGGCTCAACCGGCTAGACGAAGTGTTCTTTTTATGCACCCCTCCCACGATGAAGACTACGATCGAGGGTTCTGCATCGCATGTTGTGCCACCACCTGCAGACCACGACTAGACCGCTGTCCGTCATGCTCATATCCGGTAACGCACTGCTGCCTTTCCTTCCAATCGTGATACTGGTCCTCGAGTTCAGCCGTCATTTTTGCCTGACTGTTCACGAGTATGTGCTTGAACGGCGGGAAATCTTTTCTCCTGATCTTCAGCGAAATAGAGAATGACGCAATTTCATCCTCGGTCGTGGCGGTCTTGTCCTTCAAGTAAGGATGGCCAGACCACGCGGTGAGCAAGTCCGACTCCAGCGTTTGCACCATCTTCTTATGGCTCGCCACCTCAGCAAGTGAAGCGTTCATATTTTTCTTCTGCTGCTGCTGCTGCTGCTTCAGGCTCTGGTTGCGCTGGTTCACAGCTTCCTTGGCCTTCTCCTCCTCCTTGACTGCCATGTCCCTCGCATTCTGCGCTTTTTTATGCGCACCGCGGATCTTCCTGGCCTTGCCCTCGTTGTCGTCAGACAGCAGCGTCACCTGCCGCTTTGCATTCTGCAAATCTTCCCTCAAGCGCTTGTTCTCGTTTACAAGGTGACGATCTTTAGCAAAGAGGCTATCAAGCACCGCTACGAAGTCCGGGTCGATCATGGTGTTTGTAGCGGATTTGACGGCTATGCGTCTACGCAGGTCCTCTATGATTTTGAATGATTCATCGGCGAGGGCTTGCTCGGTCGAGAGTTTTGCTTCTAGCTCTGCGATACGCTCGTGCTCGATGGTTGTCTCGAAAGTGACCAGGTCCGCGCCCAGGCCGTCTAAGTTGTCGGCATCGTCTTCACAATCCTTGGTGTCGCTCTTGTCGTCAGTGACGGGATTGACACCTTGGTGGTCTCCAGCGTCGACATGTTCAGAGAAATTATTTGTAGCATTATTTTTCAGACTGGTGTCCATGAAAGCGGAAGGAAAGTCGACAGCAAGGGTATGTTTATCGTCAGTGTGGTGAGAGAAATCCATTTGTATGATTGTAAGTGGGGCTTTCTCATTCTTTTGTTGTCGATATATACGTACCTCACTGGAAGAAGTCATCTCACGAGCTTCAGCTGAGTTTTGAACAGGCTATTAGTTGCTCTTTATAGTTCAACACACTGTTTAATAACCTATCAACATGCCTTTCTTAGGCTATAAATATTGACTTGAATACTGACAGAGCGTTGACAGCCAATTCTAGAGTGGGCTAAACCCCATAATGTAGGTAGTCGCACAAGTTGAAAAGACTACAATACTTCAAGTTCCCATCCCCCAGCCTCTTCAAATGAGAACGAGCCAACTCACTGCACCGTGGAAATCCATCTGATGTTTCGTTTCGCCAACGACATGCAGGCATAAATAGATTATACAAGCTCCTGCCTTCGACCAAGGGAGGGCATCATACCTTTTACACCATCCAATGAAGTATCAAGGCGGCGTTCAATGTTAATGTCAAAAGAGTGTGCCAAGACCTTTGTGGAGAAATAGTCCTAATCGGCATATCTAGTATTAACGCACAGTGAACCAGCGCCATATTCCTTTCTCTATTCCACCACTTGCAGAGTCATCGCATACATCTTTCCCTTTGTAATACAACCCATTTGTCTCACCAATTAATTTGGATTGCGCCGCGGTCCAAACTTCACTATCTTCACCGCCTGTGCGGTGGCCGCAGCTGCAATGGCGTAGTTGGAGTTTGAGGTGGGAATGCTAGCTCCTTCGCCGGAGGTGCTGAGAATATGAGAGAGGGCTTCATTGTCATCTCGGCGGACGATGAGAGGAGTGAAGTCAGTGTTCTCCCTTCTATCTCCACCCCCAAAGGTCGAGAACGAATCGACAGGTTCGGCAGGGGTGGTGAGAGGAGCCTCCGTGGTTTCCTTTCTACCTGTATCTGTATCTGTACCTGCGTCTGAATCCCCGTCTACAAGGGCCGGCGACGCTTTGAAAAACTTATCATGTGCATTGAGAGGCATTAGGTGCTGATTTGGACTGAACTCTCGCGAATCAGGCTGGAATTGAGGCGGGAGCTCTGGCTCTGGCTCTTGGTCATCTGTCCGGTGACTCATGGCTCGTGGGGTACGTGACAAATCTCGGCCCGCGTTACTATTTTGCCTTCCAAGCTTTGATTCTGGCATCTCTGCATTGGCCTCGCCCAACTCGAAAATGTGCTGTTCGGTCTGCGCTTGAACCTGCCTGCGTGCCTCCTTGGTCCGCTCCAACTCCATCCGCACCTTGGCGAGTTTTTCCTCATGCCTCGCAATTAGCAATTGGATATGGTGGCCCTTGGCCGGACCATGGTCTATTGGCCTGACCAAGACAGGCTCTTTGAGCGCCAACTTCTCGCGGAGAGGGGCACCTTTCGTAAAGTCCGCATTCTCCTGCCTGAGTTGCTTCAATTCTTCGTCCTTTCTTCCGAGCTTAGTCTCCATATCGTGCAGATCATCTCTAAGACGGATCACCTCTTCTTGCAGATATTTGTCTGGCTCAGCATTTGCTTCCAGCTCGCGTTGCTTGACCTTGAGCTCCTCGATAGCTACGTCTCGGTTCTGTAGCATCACCTCCTTGTCTCGGAGGTCAGATTTTAGTTGTTTGATAATCTGTTGACCTTCGGGATCATTTTTCGCGATCTCAAGCTTGTTACGGAGACTGAGCAGCTCCATGTTCAGTTTGTCGACCTCTTTTTGTGTGACTACCGCTATGTTGCGGTATTCCTGTATCGAACTTTCCGACGCGCGATAGACTTCGCCTCTGTGCCTTTTCATATTTTTCTCGAGCTCTTTATTGTGGTCTTTGAGCTTGTTGATCGTTTCCACTTTGGACTTCATTTCTTCAACGTAGTTCGTACACTCCTCTTTGTGACTTTGACGAGCGGCTGTGAACTCTTTCAGAAATTTATCTGCATCCTCTCGGGCGCTAATAATCCTGGCCTCCGATATTGTGATACGCTCTTTGATTTCGCGTTCTAGCGTCCATAGCTTTTTGGCTTGAAATAGAACGGTTTCGATATTGCTCTGAAGCGCAGAGCGGCGCAAAAGAATGTGTATGGTCAGTTGTTTCTTCTCATCCTCAGACTCTACCAACTCTTTCAATGTATTAGATAGCGAGACTGATTTGTGCCTTAGATCGACTAGTCGCTCTCTGTATTCGCCTGCCAATCGATCAAGCCGTTCAGTCATCATTCGAGTATATGTGTACAGTTTCCTAATCTCTGTATCTAAAACCTCAGAGGTCTCAAAGCTGATCTTAACTGCAGCAACTGGTCAGTGGACTCCAAGTGGTCTTCAATAGGTCTTGGGGATTTTGACACGCGGCATCACGCTTTGTCTCAATAGAGATATACATACCACCTTCGGGTCTCGCTGCCAACAGAACCATACGGCGCAGCCAACGGATGATATCTTCAGCTTCTTCTGAAGATGCATGGTTTCCCTCCGTATACGCATCTTTCCATTTCTTGGCTGATCGTGAATCTGTAATAATGTCAGATGTGAGCAGGAGTTGATCTGTCCAATCAAAGTATGACGAAAATATCGGGATACGACTCTTTTTCCAGCTTTTACTTACATTGTAGTACATGCTCGGTTAGGTTGTGGGGATTGGAGCGCGATCCCGGCGCTGAGGCATTACTCCCATTTTTTGGTTGAGTAGTATCAGACCGACTATGCATATTTCGACTATCTTCGTTGGCAGTCGGTATGTGGTGAGAAGGAACAGCGACCGAAAGAGTGGGAGACGAGACTGGCACTCACGGCGTTAGTAAATCCAGCAGTACGAAAAGAAGCGCGTGCAAAATTATGCTGCGTGTCATCTCCACTATTAAGAGAGAGATGACACGATGGGGGTAAAGCATGAGTCGAATTTTTCGGTGTCGAAGCCTGTTCATTCTGGTCTGCTTTTCCTGCAGCTTATTTACCTTTACATGCTTGCCTCCATTCTCCGCGAAGCTGCTTTGCCTCTGTAGACACGGTAGTCCAATCATGAATGCAAAGCGACTCCACAATTTTGAAGATGTCTGTCTGAACCAAAGCTTCTGCATCCAGTTTTAAGCCGCGAAGCTTTCTGAGATGCGGAACAAGAAATAAAGATTTGCCTCGAGCAATGTCGTGTGTGATTGTGGCGGCAATGCCGCGGACTTCATCAAGTTCACGCTGGTTTTCGGGAGTATGCGCCATATCGACTTTGACCAGATCAAATTTCGAGCATGTGTCGACTCGTGCCAATGTTTTTGATGGGTGGTGTGAGTGCGTGTGGGTGGGCGTTGGACACGTAGTCAATAGATGTTGTCAGCGCTGAGACCCTTTCACATATACACATATAGCTCCCCCGTCCTCCCCCAATAGCGGCTCATGACGTAGTAGAAGCTGTTTGCTTTTTCGGATGTATTTGTTTGTAAACACGTTTGTTTGCTGTCGTGCCAGTATTTGGTAGTGGCTCTCGCGTGTTTTCTACAACCTCACAACCTCCCAACCTACACACACGCACGCACACACGACCTGATACATTACTTCGAACTCATTTTCCTTATGGATCCTAGAAATTCATATATTGAGGCAGAATCTGAAAACGACGGTCCCTCAAACGGACAAGGGTTGGAATGGGTACCGCCACAATCCACCCCCGGGACGGCCAGTACGTATCCTACTCTTGAAACAAGCGAAATTCCAGGTCTCTACCCTCAGATTCTGCGTCTCAGCCACGTACCGACGTGAATATGGGCGGAGATCGATTGAAGCTATGACAAACTGCAGTGCGTCAAGCTTGAAAACTCAGAACAGAAGCGCGAGACCGAACCACTTGAAAATGGCAATGCGGCAAAAGCTAACGTTATGCAATTACTTCAAGCTCAGAACGTGGCAAAGACTATCAAGATTCAACACCTTGGTAATCATGTGACACTCACAACTGACGATTTTCATGCTCTCTTGGACACGGGAATGGCACATACTCGCGAAATACAACAATTGGTACATGAAGATACTCGCACGAGCAACGACTCGAAAGTCCTCCAGGACGTGAATTCTCAATACCTGCAACAAATCCAATCCTTGGAGACCGAAAAGAAACCGCAGCCAGACTTGATGAAGTACTTCAGGGTGGAGATCCAACGCCTGCGAGACGAGATCTCGGTCAAAAATCTCCAGATTCAGCAACTCAAGAACACGTATAGTGCTAAACACCTAAAAGATGATACTTCTCGGAGAGGCCATGAGATACAACGCCTACAAGTCGATAATACCAGAGAGGATCGTGACATCCAATCCATCAGGAACAAAGACGCTGCTCAACACAGTCGGATATACGAAGAAAGCCATCAATATACGGTTTTCCAGAAAGCACATGGAGTTCAACTTCTGCAAGATAGAAACGCGGAACACGATACCAAAACCAGGAACCTGACAAACGAAGAAGTGACTCCCAAGGCCAAATTACAACAGCTTCAAAATGAGATTCTTCAAAAAGGCCGGGTGATCCAAGGTCTCCAAAACGATGTACAATGTCTTAGCAATGAGCTCTCGAATGCCCACATCGATTTATTCAACACCCAGGAAAAACTCTCGAATATTCATGATGAACTTACAGAGGCTAAGAAAGAGCTTTCGAACATTCCAGATGCTGACGCTCTGGAGAGAAAGTTCCAAAATATCAGGGCAGAGGTGGAGAATGCGGAGAAAGAACTGAAAATTGAAAACATACAACTGAAGAATGAACAGGATATTGAGCGGGAATTGCGACAAAGAGTGCAGCACAATAAATTTCCATATTGGAAAATCAAGCCGGCAAAGAAACGAGGCAAAAGAAGGATCTGAGCCGCAAAATATTGCAGCTTTCACGAATCGTTCCTTGCTGCTTCTTTTCGTATCCTCTCTTTATTATTCATGTATTTCTGCAATTCTCGGTGGTTGGGTCTATGAAGGGGCATACGGGCGGATTTGATTGCATTCCTGGGAGGGATGGGGTGAACGACGATGATGCGAATTTCAGTTAGACGATCAGTCTTTGAGAGAGTTGGTGGCATGATATCACTTGTGATGGCTGTGCTCCTTTGAGTTGAATTTTGTTTTTTACACCAAACCCATACATCACCCGCGAAAAGAAAAAGGTATAGTGCATAAGAAGTTGACAGGGTTAGGGTAGGATGCCAACATCATATATGTTCTGCAACAGGCAGGCTGACCTATTGTTGCAGTCGCAAGGAGAGATCTCTATGCGGTTATCTGTCGACAAAGGGGGCTCAATTAAACATGTAATCTTCAGGAACCCTACCCCAAATCATGTCAGAATACCGCGTCGTGAATTGCTTCATGGCTTCAATCACTCATTGAAATGTCATCTCCGGGAAGATTGACGACCCTATGCTTGCTCTTCTCGTAGTGTTTTGAACATGTCGAAGGCTCTCATCCGAATCAATTCATTTGCAAATATACACAGCAGAATCCCGGCAACCTTGCTTTCCACTAAAATTATGTACAACTGTATCCCTGACATACCAAAACACGCCTGTTGTGACAGGTACCGTCTTCAAGTCGAACAACTCGCTCAGGCTGTAACGGCTGCCAAGGCGACAACCTGATCTATAAGGGCCTTTCTCTCCCCGGCAGCGTTCTTCGTGACCTTGTCCCTCAAATGGTCTACCTGCAAGCCAGCTGCTGTGGGCGGGTTACCCTGGGCCGTCTGTATTCTGGAGATCTGCATTGCCAGGAAGAATTTTGGCACCTTGATCGCAAGGTTGCCGCCCACACTGCGGATACCCGCCTCGGTTGCAGTGTATACATTAACACTGTCCTGGAAGGTGGCCAAATCTGTATCCGCCAAAGGAGTTTTGGTCGCGAATGTTTCGAGAGCGAACTGCAGAGGCGATTTACTGGACTTGCTGAAGTCGATGGAACTGAAAGAAGTGGAGCCGCTGGTCACATCTGGAACACCGCTTAGGGGTGTAACTGCCGCATTACAGGTGACAGTTGACTGAAGGGAAGCGGCGGCATCGACTACCTCTTGAGGCAGCGCGGTATTTCCGATCAAAAAGCATGCTCGGGCTTGTCTGTTGGAAAGAGCATGGGGGATAGCCATGACCGATGTGGCGCTGAGAAGCGCGAAGGTGGTGAAAAATGAAGTATACATTTTTATCGTAATGGTGTCGATGTTTCCCGGAATGAATCAAGTTGAATTAATACTCGGTGCAAGGACTTATGAAAGGAGTGAAAGAATGAGAAACACAGGCCCTTGCCAGAAGGGGGTTGGGAGAAAATAGAGCAGAGATGAAGCGAAAGTTGCTGAAGATGATTCCGAGACGCAAACATTGGGATGGCGAGCCATTTTATTTACGCCCCAGGCCACTACAGCTGTCAGGAGAATGTTGAAGCTGGTAGCTTGTCTCGGTTGGAAGTGGCAGTTTGATGCTCACCAGGGGGTAGCGGTTAGGCGGCAGGCATACTTCGGTAGCACAAGCACTTGAAAACGCGAGTGTTGTCGTCGCTCAATACCAGGCAAAAACCTCATCGCAGGCATCTCAGAGATCAAGGCACGAAGGTTAAGACAGTAAGCAAAACAGGATACATTTCATATACATGTGTCAGATCACAAGGGATGCATTTCCAAATACCAGTCATCTTGTCCTTTAACTGGTGTTGATGTTTTGGAGCGTGATGATACGCAGTGTTTGCTTAGTCATGCAAACTGCGACACTCTCGCCCTCAGGCTTTGATAAGTGTCTCAAATTCGCCCCTAAACAGGTACTGAGGCCGCACTGCCGATGAGCCAGCAGCGCTCCAACATGGTTGTCTACTGAGATTGTGGACCGGCGTGATGCTGTGCGTCGACTCCGGTCCTCGATCCGCATCTCTGAAGTGGCTGGCATGGAAGCAGCCTTTCTAAGAAAAAGCTTTGCACATAGGCGGCCCGGTGATCCTTTGGGAAGCTCATTGGCGCAATTATTGTGTCCTCGATGCCAGCCACGCCATCTCAACAACCCATCAGTCTGACATGAACGTTGTCTGGCATTGATTGGTCAGTTGGTCAGTCCGGTTCCCTCCTCAGCGGCTCTTTCTACTTGCTTGGTAGATCATTCTCAAATCCTACCATTTGATCCGTGTGCAAAAAGGCAGGAGAAGCCGGTAAACTAACAAGATTGACTTAATATAAAATAACGCTCACATCTATCCGTTGTTCCATGGGCTGGCAATCCCGGGAGTCCATCGTTCCTTGCGAGAAGGGTGGAAACGTCATCGACCCTCATTCTTCACCCAATGCGCAATGCTCTTGCTCGTCTTTGCAGGTGGGCATCGCTGCAGTTGACCATAGATGCGTCTTTCTTCTCATTGTGAGGCTCAAAGCCACCCTGAATTCATCCTGCTTCATTGAAAAGAGGTTCGCTGCACGACCGGCATGTGTACAAGAGCAGTTAAGCGGCAATAAGCTTTGATGGCTTGTAATAAGCATCTCGCAGATTGTTTGCAGCGAATTGATCCTCCGCTTATCCGTAACTTGCTGGGATCGACGGGCGTGGCTTCCTCGGCCCTGCGATTGCTTGGATAAATGCCGTTCTTTATACGACCGCATGCTATCGGCATGCTGAAGTACTTTCCTAGGTGTATGCATATACCACAAATGTGGGGCTCAGGATGAACCGGATCTGCTGATAATACAAACAAAGTCTTATAAATAGGTTGAGCCCACAATTGCACTGAGTACACTTTTGCCCAAACAAATCTTGATTTTCTGGTCTCCAACATGGGCGTAGGCGATAAAATCAAAGAAGGCGGAGCAAAGGGGAAAGGGACCACGGGAGATCCCCTAGTAACTCGTCTCGCCGAAGAAGACAAAGTATCTTGGATCCAGAAACCGAACCTGCGCAACCTCTACTTGCTCCTTGTCAGTATATTCTGCGTGTACATCCTCATCGTGCCTGGCGTGTGTTGGCTTCTGATTTTGATGGCCCAATGACACATGTTTGCTCAGGTTTTGCTGACTCCACGCTCGTGAATGTAGGTCCCGGCGTGTATTGGGATAGAGATTACGAGTGGATTTGATTCCCAATTGATCAATGCCTTGCAGATTGTTCCGGCATGGAAGGAGTGTACGAGCATATCCCAACGATGAGAGATGGCCGCCAAAAGCTGATTGCGTACCCTAGACTTCAACCATCCAGCGGGCTCGCTCAAGGGTATCATCTCTGCTGCGTATTCCCTCGGTGCAATCATATCTCTTCCTTTCATCCCATGGATTGATAACAAAGTCGGTCGTCGTGGTTCCATCGTATTCGGCTCCACCATCATGGTCATAGGCTCAATCATTCAGGGTCTTTCTGTCAATGTCGCTATGTACATTGTTGCACGATTGATTCTGGGGTTCGGTATTCCTGCTTGTATCGTTGCTGGCTCTTCCTTGATTGGAGAGCTGGGATACCCCAAGGAAAGACCTGTCTTGACTTCTCTGTTCAACGTCTCTTACTTCGTGGGTCAGCTGTTGGCCGCAGGTATCGTCTTCGGCACCAATAACATACCCGGCAATAACTCTTGGAGGATTCCATCATATCTGCAGCTAGCACCTTCGGTGTTGCAGATTGCGTTCGTTTTGTTTCTTCCCGAGAGCCCGCGATGGTTGATGGACCATGATCGAGTTGAAGAAGCAGAAGCTGTCCTTGTGAAGTTCCACGCTGAAGGCGACGCAGACTCGGCATTCGTAAAGGGTGAGATCGAACAAATCCGGGCCACAATTCAACTCGAAGCTGAGGCATCAAACAAATCGTGGCTTGATCTCGTTCGCACTGCGGGCATGAGGCGTCGCACCCTCGTCACGTCGATGCTTGGACTCTTCACGCAGTGGTCGGGCAATACACTTATATCGTAAGTCCCTTCCCCCACCCTACCAAGTCAAGGCTATGATCTGCTTACGCCTTCGAAGATATTACTTCGGTGACTTGATGACAATGGTGGGCATCAAGGAAGCCATCACCAAGCAGAAGCTCAATGTCGGCTATGCAGCTTGGAGTTTGATCACTGGTCTTGCGGTCTCGCTTGTCGTTACTCGATTTAAAAGGCGTACACTCTACATGATTTGTACCGTGTCACTTCTTTTGGTATACACTGGCTGGACAATCTGCTTCCAGAAGGCTATAGTCGCCGAGGATGCTGGTGGACACAACGGCGCAGCCAGCGCAGCGAGCATGTTTTTCATATTCGCCTATCAACCTTGCTACAACATTGGCTTCAACGCCTTGACGTATACCTACATGGTTGAAGTCTGGCCTTTTATGGAGCGATCTCGTGGTATCGCAGTCTTCCAACTCTTCGGACGTCTTGCCGGGTTCTTCACGACCTATGTCAACCCTGTGGGTCTGGAGAACATTACATGGAAGTGGCTCATTGTGTATGTCTGCTGGCTTGCATATGAGGTTGTGTTTGTCTGGTTCTTCTTCCCAGAGACGGCCGGTCGCACACTGGAGGAACTGGCTTTCTGTGAGTTTACCCGTGTCTATGCCACGTCAATTGATTTGTATCGACCACGTAAGCTGACAAACACGCAGTGTACGAAGGTGAAGAGCGTGCCATTCGAGCTGCAGAGGCGGTGGAGAAGGTGGTACATCATGCCGGCGAAGAGACGCACATAGTGGGCGGCAGAGAAAAGTCGGCGTAATCTCCCAGTTGCGATCCAAGATAAGGAGAGAATGGCGAAATAGGATGGAGCAAGTCGTAGTAGTATACTTAGGCCAGAATCATAGCCGTACAAAAGAGGGGTGGTGTCAAGCAATGTAAGTGATGCATCAATGCGAACAAGATGGCGCGTTGCTTTCAGGGGTTAGTTGTAATATGGTGGAGAAAGTCTGTTCGGGTGAATGGCTTTCGCGTCAAAACAAAAGCTGTATTCTCACTCGGTGGCGCTTGTCAAACACGTTAATAAGCCGCTTTGAACATTCCTATCCGTTTGAAAGTGAAACATAACTGTCCAGTTCGCAATACGAAGAGTTGTGCAGGCGGCATGATGGTTGAGAAGCCGAGCAGAGAAATGGAAGCTGTACAGTCTGGCGCTAGCTTAATCCCGACGCACGCTCCAAACCTTAATCTGTACATACTCACCACCCACCCGTCTCACTTTCACGAGTCCCGCTATGACAGAACTCCTCTTGCCTTGAAACCCACCAGTCCCTACTCGGCCAAACCGCAACTCACAGGCATCACTTTAATCCACCCCAGCTTTCTCCATCCACAAGGACCAGCCAGTCACGGCACAGCAGCCCACCCCCAATAACAACAGCATCATCAACGACAAGACACCATGAGCTCCTCTACACCTTCAGGCTCCGGTCTGCGCTACCCCTCAAACAAGAAGACAATCTACGATCGCAATCTGAACCGCAGTAAAAACGCCGAACTGAGCCGCGCTGCCTTCGCCTACCTCTTTATCGAAATGATAAGCTACGCACAGCGAAGCGCAAAGGATGTAGGCGATCTAGAGCAAAGGTACCCCAAGTCCAGAATCCCTTTCAACACGGCTCATCCTCGAAAACAAATTGAGGGACAACATCTCCCAGATACCCTTGAATCAACATACAGGGCCTGGACTAACACATAATCAGACTAAACAACCAAGGTTATCCCCTCGGCATCCGCCTCCTTGACCTCCTCCTAACCCGCTCCGCAAACCCGCTCTCCTCAATCCGCCCGACGCGGATCCTTCCTTTGCTCCAATTCATAGCGCAAACACTGTACAGACATCTCTTCGGCCGCCCTGCAGATGCGCTGGAGCGTTCAGGCACCGACGCCGCACAGTACATGATCTTCGACAACGAGCCGCTGGTCAACTCGTACATTTCGCTGCCGCGCGAGCTGAGCAGCCTTAACTGCGCGGCGTTCGTCGCGGGCGTCATTGAGGGCGTTTGCGATGGCGCTGGATTCCCCACTGAGGGTGTGAGCGCGCATAGCGTGGGCGATCAGGACGAGGCTGCTGCAAGTGGTGGTGCGGCGGCCCCCGCGGAGGGAGGGAAGAAAGCTGCGGGGCCGTTATGGCCAGGGAAAACGGTGTTCTTGATCAAATTTAAGAAGGAGGTTTTGGAAAGGGAGGAGATTCTCGCCAGGGGTGGTGGGTGAACGGGGGGAAAAACTATGATTTGGTTTCACAATTACGTGCAGACGCCCTCTTCGAACAGAGAATAAAGGAGAGGAGTGGGGCCCAGATGAGGAGTCCTGGCATAGCGATTGATCCAGTGTTTGGTGTCTGGTTCATCTCGTATAGACTTGCATTTGCAGGAGTCCGCGGAGTTCAAGGCAGAGAAGTGCATGGACATACCTACCCGATAGAAGCAGAGAGCCGTAACGGGACTCATTGTTCATGTATGCTCGATTGAGTTGGCTGTGTACCGTTTATCGTAGCGAGAACGTTTTGTATACTGCACCGGCTTCGCTCACCCAAGAGCTAAAAACAATGGCATTTTAATCGATATCGGTTGCAAGCTGCAATTTGCACAAACGAGAAGTGCCTGGGCAGAACAAGTCTCATCATCATACATGTGCATCAAACACACGCTCTTCAATCTCAAAGAGAATTGAGAATCCATTCAGCTGACATTGCAGCATATGATTATGCTATTATGTACACACAGAAAGTCCTTATAGCTCTTACAAGAAGTTGCCAACCAGTTCCAGAAACAATTAAATGAAACCACCCAACTCAACTGATTCCGGAATAAACACAGCACAGCCAGCCAAACCGAAAAACAAATGGGGGTATTATCAAAAACAGGGAGAAGGGAGCAAGTCTTTGCTATTGTTTCTCCCGCTCACAGGAACTACACAACCCAAAGAAATAGTAACGAAGAACGCAATGATAAGAGTGAAGTTAAAGACAAGATAAGGGAAAGAGGTTGAATGAGTGACTCGGCGATACTATATGCCTTACTTTTGTGCAACTGTAATCATTGATCTGCGCAAAGCTTTTGGTGGGCTTCCCGCTCGCCTTATGCAAAATGAATGATAAACAAAAGAAAGAAGATTGCGTCAAGCGCAGCAGTGGGACTTCTGATATGGTCGTTGCAGTCGTGTGGTAGGGAACAGTGGAAGGAAAAAGTTGGGAGACCAGGAAGGTCTCGGGTATATGCATATCCTCTGAAACGGACCGGTGGTTGAACAGGGGGATGAAAGAAGCAAGATTGAATCAATAGTTTCTAGAGTCCTTGATTGTATTTCTGCCATGCTTGATGGGCCTCCTTGAGCGCTGTGGAACAATCAGCATTACACGATGTGAAGCAGCAAGGTTCATCTTACTATATAGGACATGTGCCTGCGCAGAAGGAGTTTCGCAAGCGCATTGAAGTGTACGTCCGTCGATGAAATCGAATACAACACTGTTGGGCAGTTCTTGCCTGTCTTGATCTGGTGGGTAGGGTGCATGGAATTCAGACAAGTGGAACCGCTTCATTATGCCTTTGGACTGCTATACGTGATTCAGATTAGTGGAAATTTGGACCACAAGGCTAGGTCAATGCATACCTCGTTTGACTTGGAAAGACTCATGACAAGGTTACCGGACACATCAATCTCAACCCATCTCCGTTTCCATAACTATGTATTCAGTCAGCTCGAGTTATGAAAAGGTAATCGCTAGTACCCACTAAAGTGTCCGGAAATTGGATATTCAGATCGCCTACTTGGACCGGCGAAGGAGGCTCTCGAAGCGATGGCAGAGTAGGAGTGGATCCTTCCTCTGAAAGGGTTGAGCTTGCAGCCGAGTTCTTCCTAGATTTCGACGAAGGGATCGTAGACATGCGTTTGAACAGTTTGCTTGCCCGGGATTCCTTTTTCTCCTTCTTCTCGTACTTTTCATGTTTATCCTGCTTTTCATCACTACTGTCCATACTGTGGGAAGAGCGACTGCGCGGAGAGGATGCGCCTTGCTTGGATTCGCTCATCCTACGACCGAATGCCCGCCAGCTGATCTCTGAAGACGAACGCGGGACACCAGAGCTAGCCTCACGCAATGAGGGCGGTCGAACAGGGGATGGCGGGTCCGTCTTCACCGGGCTTTGCTTGCTAGAAGGTGGCCTCGTTGTCTTTTGGTGGTCAATGGTGATATCGCTTTGGCGCAACTCGAGTGGTGTGCTCTCTGTTGGCATTATCAGCGACGGTCGCTGTGCTTGTGGATCGCGGACGATGCGAGCTGTGACTTGTACCGACTGAGACTTTTCAGGTTCTGTCTGCACGTTATATACTGGCGGTGGTTGGCTTTGTTCACTAGGCTGTATCCTCCGCTGGACATCAGGTGTGGGTGAGCGTGATGGCGAAGGCGAAGGTGACGTCGAACGGTTTCCTAGATTGGCTGGATAAAGGCGTGAAATGGGCCTTCCGTTGGGTGAACTACCGGATGGAGGGGTTGTTGCGAAGAAGGAGGATTTCCTCTGAGCAACAATCGAGGTGCTGGATTCAGGAGTTCCAAGCGGGCTGATCGTCACGGAGGAGTCTCTATTAGACTTCTCTGCCAGAGCTTTGATTCTCTGGGAGATACCAGAGGACACGTTGATCTTTTTTGCTGTAACTACAGTGTCTGACTGTGAATGGGGCACCCAAGGCCCGGAAAATTTGCGTAGGGTCGGTTGGTCCGGTATGGCATTGCCAGAGCGAAGATTTTGCGAAGCAGATCGCATTGGGATTGCTCCGCCAGATGCAGTGTTTCTCTGGGCAAAATAGGGCGTTATCGGCGATTTGGAGACTGATACTGGCATAGCCTCTTCTACCTTAGCACTCTGTAGCTCCTCCATAAAAGAGTCGTCAGAGAGATACTCAGTTTCCGAATTCTCTGCGCTCAGGTGGATTGGGTCACCCAAAACACGTCGTTTATCCGTGACATCCGAGACAGCCTTGACATCGAACCCATTTGGCGCCGCAAGCATCATCGATTCACGATTGCGCTTTCCTGTCTGAGTGGGTTCTTCTTCAGCTAGAGGTGGAACAAACAACACAGTGTCTCTTTCTGGCTTCTTTGTTGGAGTGCCTATATCGGTCTCTTCTGTCGCCATCGGCACCGCAGGTTCTTCCTTGTTCTCAGACACGAACTTTTCGCTCACATGCGAGTACTGCAACTCTTGATCAACCGGCGCAATCTCTACAGAGGGGATAGATATGGAATTCTCGGGTACAACGGTGGGTGTGCTTTCGGTAGATTCCTCCTCGTCTTCTCTGGATTTTTGGTCAACCGCTTGCACACTTTCTTCAGAAATCAGTTTCAGACCATTGTCAAGCAGCTGCTGGTCATCCTCAGAAACTGAGGAGGGCCTGGTCGATGGTGCACAGGATGAGCCAGCGGTCTGGGCGGAGGTAGGCGATGAAGCCGAAGCCGCAGAGTGCAAGTCGTCAGCTTCTGTTTGCCTACTAGCCACATCCGCGGAAGACGGACCCTCAGCTGGTGGCGATTTTGTGGAGTCGGTCAGCGCGCTGTCTTCTGGACTTGAACTGTGTTGATTCGATGGCTCGATATCCTGGTGCTGGTGCTGCTGTTGTGACGCAACTAATCCTTCATTACCCACATGGCTGGGCTTGCTCCCCTCCTCTTCTACCGATTCCACGGTCGATCCGTTAGAACCTAGATTCTTGGCGACATTAACGTTTTCCTGCGCGCTGCCCTCTGTGCCGCCACGTGAAAGCTCTGACGACTTTTTCTCTTGTTTCTCCTTCTTCGCTTGCATCTGCTTCTTCCTCAACTCCAGAGCTTTCATCAGTCTTTGTTTCTCGGGCGTGACGCCGATCGATCTGTGATTGTGACTGCTGTAAGTGTTGGCAGGCAAAGATTTGACGCTAGCAGCCGAACTTTTTGGTGCGTATCCGAGCGTGGCGGGTACCTCAGGAATGGCGGGGATTGGAGGCGGCGGTGGGAAATCCACGGTGGATGCGTTGCTAGCATCATGAGGGTTTGGCTGTTTTTGCTCCGCCGCCCTGCGATTCGCAGCGCGGAGACCCGAGGGTAACGACGAGACGGGACGTGCAGAACTCTGAGCCCCTGTCCCAGAAGTATGAGGGCGCTTGGTCTCGAGCGAAGCTTTGGGTCGGGGCCCAAGCCTGACCTTAGGTTTGTTGTATTGTGCGTAGATTTCGGCATACAAATCTGATAGAGCCGGCCGCGCGGTTTGAGAGGAAAGACGTGGGTCAGGTCCACCTTCGAAGAGCAAGTCATAGTGGTCGAAGCTTTTGCCTATAGGAGCTGTCAAGGGACCACCGTCTTCGCCATGATCCACCACCACCACCGTATCAGTGTCCTTTGAAGAGGGTTCGGATGGCGGGGCGCTGTTCTCCTCGGCAACCTTAACGTGCTGTTCGCCTGCAGACGAAAGCTCCGTGGTTGTCGACTCCAAGGCCGATTCGCCGATATTCAGCATAGAACGCACGGCAGTAGGTGGCTTCGCGGTAGAGACGGATTCGCCGGCAGTGCTCTGACCTTCTTCGGCATCCTCTGTTATATCATCCAATTTGTGCAATTGGGAGGAAGAGCTGGAGGAGCTACTCGATGGCGCAGCAGTATGGAGAGAGCAGGCTGAAGCGAGGGCGGCATCGCTCAGGTGGTCGGCGGTGGAGATGGCAATTTCGGTATCATATGGTGTAAACTTGTCGGTGACGGCGGAGAAGTGGACAGCAACGCGGGCTGTTGCGACGGTTAGCAGGGTTGGCTTTGCAGGGTGTAGATAACAAGGCAAGAAGAGTAGGTGGTTGACGTGCCTTGCAAAAGTCGCGATGTGCCATCGGGGACATATTTTATGAGGAGTTTGCGGCGGCGATAGAGCAGGAAGCCGTACAGCGGCGACTGGTCCTGATAGTGAGCAATAGCATTGCGAACGTCAGCAGCACCTCCAGAGCCGCGGGCCAGGATGTCAACAGCGTCTCGTGAAGTGTATTTGAGGAGGAACCTGAGGCCAGAGTGGTTAGCTACGTCTACGTGCCTCATGGTGTGAGGGCGGGTCTCACCATCCTCCCGCCTCGGCCAAGGCAGCTTGGTGAGCCTCTAGCACCTGGACGGCATCCAGGCCATTCAGCGACATGGCGGAGGCAAGGCCGACGGACGATACGCAGCAGCGACAGCAGCGGCGGCGGCGGCAGCAGCAGACAGAGTGCTGGCTGTCTAGGCCGTCAAGCGATGCTCAGCCGTCTTGAGAGCGAGCAGAAGTTTGGGGAGCGGACGGGGAACAGGATGGGGGAGAAGTTCATGGAGGCCGTGCACGGTTCAGGGGTGTGGGACTAGGCGAACAGGTACGACGAAAGATGCGCCACGGCAATGAGTAAAAATGGAGCATGCAAGTATCTATCATGTACCTGTATGTACCTGGCCGCTTGCACATACAGTCAGTGTCTGTGGTAGATGGCGGCTTGTGGCAATTGGTAGCAATCGTGCAGTGGGCCACCACCACGAAGCCAAGAATTGGGATTTATGGACTGGGGGTTTTGGAATCGAGCGGGGATGGATATGATAATTCGGAAGGAAGCAAGACAAGAAGACAGGGAAAGGATAGAGAGATTTTTCTACAGACATGAACAAGACCATGTCCACGGGCGCGGTCACTACTGTCGGGACTGTGCTTGTTCACATCGTCGCCATCAGTTTCCATGTGGTCATAGACACATATATAAGTCTATAGATAGCAGACGTCCGGATGCACGATGATGCAGTCTTCAGTCTCCATCTCCCAGCACATGTGTTTCCGCTCGGCTGCCCACATTGATGCTGATGCTGGCTGCTGCTGCTGCTTCGGAGTGAGTCCCATTGGTGGTGTATGTGTGTGCGGTAGCTGGTTCCATCCATTGCATGCATCCTACGGGTCAGTCATCCTCATCCTCCTTCTCTCGGGCCAAGCAGCTTGATCTTCATCCGCTCGGAGCACGCAGAACAGAACAGAAGAGCGGAGATTGATTGGCACCATTGATTGCCTGTTTGCTCATTCTGTACATGCCCACATACTTGAGTAAGTAAGTACATGACACCGGATGTACTCCAGCACTGTACTGTACTGTACCTGGATGTATCCGCACGTGGTTGACGCGCGCGCAATCTTTCCTCCGATCGATCCCCTTTGCCCACCTCGGCAACCAGCAGCCAATCACCAGTCACCACCTGCACGAGAACCCATTCTATTTGAATCCATCCATCCATCCATCCATCCGTCATCAATCGACGGGCCCAAGGATGGATCGCGAAGACGCAAGAAAAAGCAGCAAGGGAACAAGCAGAACAAAAAAGAAATTGTATCCCTAGTCTCCCGGCTGTGTCGTGCATGGCAATATCCCATCCCGCCGCTAGACTCTGTAGTCATCAACCCTGCATCCGCAGCCCGAATAGCCTCGTTCCCAAACCCGAGCCCATGCCGGCCGCGACCGACCGATATGTATCCTACAGTCCACACATGTACATGCTTCAATCAGGTTACTACAGCAAAACAGTCCCACCACATCAGCTATCCCACGTTCAAAATTGAAACAGCATCCCCGAATCCTCCATCCAACCTCTACTCACTCAAAGCTTCCACTGTGGACAACCTCCAAAGAAAAGTTAACAAAATACCATAAACATGACATCACTCGCCCCCATAACCACCCTCTCTCACGCCTCCGATACCCATCTCAAAACAACCCTCGACCTTCTTTTCGAGCCCTCACCCCCTCTTCATGCCCTAGCTCTACCCGTCCTGAAATCCACCGTCTTCCCCTCCTACACCATCCTCGCCAGCGCCATCCAATCCCAACTAATCGCACTAGCCTCCTCCTCAGCGCCCGAAGACGCGCAGAAGCTCTCCGACATCTTGTCTTCGCACCCGCGGCTAGGCGAGAAGAAAGTCGAGAGTGCCCAGAGCAGGGCTGAGCAGGCTCAGCTACAGCAAGGTGCCGAGGAGGAGAAGCAGCGACTTGCCGAGTTGAACAGAGAGTACGAGGAGAGGTTCCCCGGCTTGAGATATGTGTATGTATCTGTCATTCGACTCCTTCATTATGCACCCTACTGTTCTTCCATGTGCTACTTTATGGGTACCCATCATGTGCTACGACCTAACAAAACAATTTCCCACGTTGCAGCGTCTTCGTGAACGGCCGTCCTCGTCCCATCATCATGGAGAACATGCGGGCACGCATAGACCGCGGCGACATCCAGGCCGAGCGTTTGGAAGCCATCCAGGTACGTCTGTAGCCCACCCATCCTGCCAATCATTTGGAAATGAATGCTGATTAGCGGTTTGCTGTTATGAAAATAGGCCATGTGCGATATAGCTATCGATCGAGCGACCAAATTGCAGAAGGACTGAAGATTTGTAAAAAAAAAATAAACATGATCTCCTTATCTTTTTAAGGTGGTGTGTGTGTGTGTGTGTGTGTGTGCGTAACTATTCTGAGGACAATAGTGTATGTCGAGACCGTAAGGAAACTCCTCTTATTTACACAATATGCAGCCTCTACGTGTTGCGCACAGACTACCGAGACTCGCCGATGTAAACATGTATACGTTAATGTCTCACAAATGAATAGCAGAACAGACGACAGTACTGACATATCTAAAAGCAAGAAACATGAAGAGAAACTTGTGAACAAGACTGCATGAAAACATGGCGGTATGCACATGTGTACATGTACGACAGATTGATTCAATTCACATGTACGTATATAGAAATCAGAAGCACTATAGTCCTCCCGGAAACTTTTGCCTATCCGATTCCCAGACCCCGAGAACTTTTAACAGTAATGCCATCCTCGCAACCAAAACCCGAAGGAAATAACATGGAAAACGCAACAGAAACCCACCATGCATGCGTGAAAGACAGACAAAACCCTGCAGTCATCTCCTCAGCGTAGAAACTCGGATCTGGCAGCATGTCTTCCCACCGCAACATCATCATCATCCCCACTGACATCACAAAACCCCAAATGCTTTACTGTGTCCCCAGCAGCCACATCATCCAAATTCGGTGACGTCGGTAAGGGAGTCAACGCCGGGCTAAGTAGCGGGCTCGTGAAATTCGGCGACTGCGCTGTAGGCGAGAGCGACATGTTAGGCACAGACGAAGTTGCCGCCGTCGTTGTTGCCGCGGGCAGAGCAGCGAACAGCGCAGGGATATTAGGAGAAGTGGTTGCTACCGGGTACGCCTGTTGATGAGGTTGATTTTGATATTCAAGCTGCATGTTACCGTTGGTGGTAGAGGGCCAGATAGCACAAGCGCCTTCGTCGACTTGGTCGTAGTCGCCCAAGACGGGCTCATCCGGGTCTAGCACGCCAAAATCCGAATAAACGGTTTGTGGTGGAGATACAGCGCCAGGAGAAGGTGGAGTGTAGGTTGGGGTCGCTTCGTACTCCTCGTCCAAGTGCGCGTAGGGATCTGGCATGTCGTCTTCCTGATCAAAGGCATCGTAGTTGGAAAGGCCCAAGGGGGAAGGGGGTAATGGAAGATAGGATCTTCGTGGAGACCGCTGGAGCGGAACTTGATTAAAGTACGCATCGTTTGGGGACTTGTACGTGGTGGTGGCGGCGATGCCTTGGATGTAGGGTTTTTGAAGAGGAGGCGGGGTGTTGGGAGGGCGTTGCTGGATCGTGTCTGCCACCTTTTCCGCGGGTCGAGATAAGGATGGGCGTGGCATGTGGGTGTATGTGTCATGGCTGCCAAACTTCAGCGTCAAAGTCGCCAGCTGAATATGTTCTTGCTCTCTTTCCTGCTCCAGTAGCACCTTCCCGAGCCCGGCAGAGGCGTCTCGCGCAAGCATGGCTTGCCGCCGGATGCGATTTAGGATGGATGCTTTGCAGAGAAGATTGCGCCCCAAGGCCTTTTGCTTTGCCCAAACGGCAATTTTAGAGTGGCCACGGTGAACTATGTTCGTCGCAGGCTGGGAATACTGAGGAGAGAGGCGGGATGTGATGAGGAAAAGACGCAGACGCCGCTTTTTGTTGTGCGGGCATGAGTTCTCACCGTCGACATCTCCTGCTGTCCGCCGACGCTTCCTAGGTCTCTGTGGGATTTCCCGGGGTGAGAATTTCAGAGTCATGTCTGGTTTTGGCGCCATTCTGAAGTTGAAGGTGGTTCTGCTTGGATCAGTGGACGGTATGTAATTAAAGTTAATTTGCCGAGTCGATGTTGGCTGGGGAGAAGGTAGCGGCATTATCCTCCTTCGAGCTTCTTCGGTTGCGTGTTGGGCAAACGGGGTTCCAGATGTCGACTCGACATTATTCTTTAGCGTTTGTGAGGTGTGGTAGGATCCGGGGTGTCTATTTCAAGACAGACAGGCAGCCATGCACCAGGGTGAGAGCACGGAGAAGAAGGCGTGGTTTGGAAGCAGAGGGCGGTGCTCGCAAATGGAGAAGTGTACGTGTAATAGGCAGTTGAGCACCTCCAAAGTTGAAATGTTGGGAGTTTCCAAATATGGTCACGAGACCCTCTTAGATTTCCATGCTAGCACGGCACGCATGCGTACATGCACAGCACTCGAGTATGTTGCACAGATTGTGGACTCGGAATTGATGTCAAAGTTTGAACCGGAGTCGGCACGCTGGAGAGGACAGGAAAAATGGTGGTGTGATGCAGAAGAACGATGAGCCCGGAGGGAGGGAAAGAGAGGTAAGAGCGAGTGAAGGCGTGTAATAATGTGCATCCATATCCATGCCGCCGCTTGATGACCCAACAGCACGGCAGTGCGGAGAAGAGACCAGGCCTGATCGCCGTACGCTCTGTGCGTGTCGTGTGCCCTGGCTCCGTGAGCCCAGGCTGTCCAGGGACATTGTCATCCTTGCCGCCTGTCATTGGAGGAGGGCGAGGCGTCGGAATGCAGCGTCGACGTTGAAAAAATCTTTGCACAGCTCAGACGATTTCTTCATGGCGATTGGTGAGGCATTTGATGCTCCCTGACGATGGGGGTTGGACCTGACCGGAGAATATTTCCCGCGCCCTTTGCGGTGTTTTGCTTTTTTGTTTCGCTCTTACGTTTCTCATCCTTGCAGGTCAATCTTCTCTGGCAAGGAAACGAAAGAAAGAAAAAAGGCGCAGCACACTGGGGGTATGAGGAAATGAGGCTTCGGTCCAGGGCCATGTCGATATTCTACTGGACACGGGCGGCAAGCAGGATGCACACCACCAATTCAGCCCTAACAGACCAAGGCATTGCGTTTCAGTCAAGACATTTTCTTTTCTTCTTTTTCTTTCGCCATCCAAGCCGCCACCCACGGGCATGATGGGCGATGACGCTTCCTATAAGAAGCTAACAGCAGGGTCAGTGCGGGAGCATTCCGCCCCAGTTTTGATCTACTAAGAACGGTCAGCCGGCATCATTGACTGGGTGAGTATGTACGTTGGGTACTGCCAACACAATGAAAATGTCGCAGACGATGCAGAAGCAACGTCCAAAGGAAAAGAAGATGCCTCTCGCCGGTCCCTTTGAGTGACGGTGCTTGGACAGAAGACTACAGCAAACAGGTATACAGTGGCTCGGGGACCAGAAACAGGGACCTCCGCAACTGGAGCTGAGGCTTGCTGCCTGACCGATCACGAACGGATGCGTGAATTAAAATCTTTTACTGGCTGACGCCCAATGCGGTAGCGTATTCCCTCCCCCTCGAGCAGAGCAGAGCAGAGCAGAGCAGAGAGGCAACGCTGTGCGTGCTTCGGCGAGAATGGAATGGATTGGGATTGGCATCGTTCGATCTGCGTCGTGCATGGGGTGCATCGTGCATATTGCGGAGAAGCAATAATGCTCCACTCAAGCGTTGCACTCTCCTCTCACAGCCCATCATGCCCTCTCGCGCCGTCGTTACCGAGTGGTCTGGCCCTCTCCGCGGGCAACGTCAAAAATCTCCCTAGTCACGAGGGCGGGCATTCGCACTCTCCTGTGTGCATTGCTGATGTGCTTTTTGCCCCTCAGCAAATACTCGAGTAGTCCAGTACAGGCAGTCGTCTAGTCCACTTAGTCTACATTGCCAACACACTAACACGTCGAGCGAAACACTACTATAGGCCACGCCCTAGTCACGCAGTCCATGTGCATGCTCGTGCTTCAATAAACCTGTGCCATACATAGGGCATAATGCTAGCACGCGTGTTTCTATTTTCGCTTCTGCCTGCCTGCCTGCCCGAATCTTTCCTTCTTTCTTTTTCTTTTTCTCTTTTTTTCGGGGGCCGGCGAGCCCCTTTAATTATCGAGTCTATCCATCCCTACGAGTTGAGCCTCAATGGGCGACTAGACATGCGCCTGGGGTTTTGTACGCTAACATACGGTGACGGGCGACTACCCTTACTTACCTCCCGGCCTAGCACTCTTTGTGTTGTCGATCGAATCAAAATCATCTTCTCCGCCCGCCATCCCCTTGCCGCTGGCTGCCGTGTGACGGCCGATGCTGCAAAATTGATGAAGCTGCAAGACATGCAGATTGGGCCGAATCATCGCCAAACTCTAATCCAGCTGCCTCCGCAAACGACTATGAAGCGTAATATCGAATGCTGCTCTCCGTCCAACTGAATATACGTGGTCGCTTGTGTATCGCTGCTCGTCCATTCATTGTTCCCTGTTCAACTAACCCTCGTATTCTACAGCAAGCAGGTCATTCATCCAACGACAGCCAACGAGGCCCGGAACGAGTTGCGCGCTTCCACAGGTGCACAAGTCATGTGTGTGAATGTCAGGTCCACAAGGGGGGAAACCGTTGAATACAAAATTAGCTATTGTCGATATTGCCCTTCGATATGTGCAGCCTTGGCTCACATAACTCCTCCATGTCACGAATAGTCTACTGCGTCAACCCATGAATTCTCCACAACAGTCGACACCCTCAACTGCCCATAATACCCACCGGTCCTTTTTGATGATCCAACCGAGGCCAAAATTTTGATCCGCTATGCAAAGACACATAAAACATGATGAACAAATATTTGTACACTTCTATTGAGACAGAAACCGATAGCGTGTTGCTGATGCTCAGCCGCCAATCTTGCTGTTTGCAACATGTCATATCCTCGCCTTCGTTTCCGGAGACAACACCTTATCTTCGAACCTTCTCATCAGCTTGTTGGTTTGTTCAGCGAGCGTGAGTGTGAGGATCTGTTTCCTGTCAGTTTCCATTGCCCAGCCACCTACAGCTTGGAGACGTACAGTGTGTGGTAATATGCGAGCAAGATGGGCAAAGTACCCCTTGTAAACTGCCAAAAGGCCTTCGGTCTTGACCGTCTGGTAGAGGCAGTCAAATGCCGACTTGTACAAGTTACCGGTTTGGTTGTACATGCGCGACATGACAGTATCCGGCGGATGCATAACGCAGCAAACTACGAAACCACTTGCTGTACTGCTCATCAGATGCAGTGGTGTTCCCTCTTGTATGCCGAAGTGCTTGACCAACTGCCTTTTCGCAAAGAAGTACGTAGGCAGCTGCACAGAGCTACCGAAGCCTGTGCGTACCATGGCTGGGCCGACTCCGCGGTAAAGACCCTTTATGCCTTCGCTTTTGTATATTTGCTTCATGCCATCCACGGAGTTCTTGTACTTGTGTTGGGTTCCTACGGGAAGGAACGGAGAGAAGGACTGTAAGCGCGTCTTGATGAGGAAGAAGGGGGACCCGGCAGCAGCACCCAAGATTCCGGAGGCGGCTCCGGAGAAGAGATTGATGCCAAAAGACTGCACGGCAACATCTTTATAGACGGCGTTAGTGATGGCCTTGCGCGTGGGCTCGTAGAAGCCCAGTCGGCACCCATTGAGCACCATTTGGTAGACGTAGGCGCATCCCAACCCTCTGAGCAGTCCCTTTGGACCCTCATTCTTGACAATGACTCCTACGCCGTGGAAAACACCTTTGTATAGCCGAGGAGCCTCCTTCTTCGATTGAAGCTCTCCCTGGAGTTGTAATCTGGGCAGATGTGGTGAGCTGGGTGCAGGGCAATGCGCATACGTCAGAGCAGCGCGTACCGAATCTTGACGGTTTCAAAACCGTGGGTAACCGTGACAGCGCCGCAAGCTGCAATGCCGCCCGCGATGAAAGACCTGGGCCATTGGTGAGCTGGCTGTTGTTGAGCGCGACGGAACGCGGTGCTCTTACCCTAAAGTTGTGGACATGATGCTCTCGTCCTAACACTCCTCGGCTGAGAGAGCTTGAGGCGCAAAGCAAAGCAACACACCCAACCAGATGATGCAGCACTCGGTGACTCTGATGACAGTTGGCGATAAGTTGGTACGAGAGTGCAACTTCTCCGGTGGAAGATGAAGCTGCAATGCTCTGGCCGAAGGATCGATTATGTGAAGCAAGAGAACAAAAGTCAAAATCCGCATCACCTCCGAGCCCCCCGATCCCGGAGCGGAAGCTTAGCGGGCGATTCCACAGCGCCAAGAAGCAGGGTCCTAGCTCTTCCATATTCCTCCATGCAAACCTCCAGGTGGGAACCGTTGGAATTTACTGTCACCCTTCACCACCTACCGCCCGCTCCGGTGCATACACATTCTCGCGCGCGGGTCAGGACAGGCGCATGCGGGTATAGATGACCTGACCAAAACGATCGAGCCCTCAACATGGCCACGGGCTCTGCGACTCCCGGCGCACCTCCGCCGCCCGGAGGAGCGTCCACGCAAAAAGTGGGCGACGTCATAGCCGCTTTCCGGCCCTCGAGGGTGTGTCCAATCGATCCAGCCTTTCACTGTGGACCGAAAATGCTCACAGCTGTCATCTAGCGCTTCAAAACCCCCAATTCCAGCACCTCCATCACCTCGCTCGATTTCGACGACACCGGCGAACTGGCCATCGTGGCCCGTGACGACGATACACTCCAAATATACAATTGCAAGGAAGGCAAGCACGCCAAAGAACTCAAGTCGCAAAAGTATGGCGCCCATCTTGCCCGCTTCTCCCACCACGCCCAGAGTATCATCTACGCCTCCACCCAGAAGGACGACACTATTCGCTTTCTATCCACACACGACAACTCGTACATCAGGTACTTCAAGGGGCATTCCGATACTGTGACCAGTATATCTCTGTGTCCATCCAGCGACCAATTCATCAGCTGCTCGAGAGACAACACAGTGCGACTATGGAACCTGGGGAGTCCAAACTATTTTGGCATGCTCAACCTGCACGCGCCATATCTGGCTGTCTACGACCCTTCCGCCACTGTCATCGCCATTGCCTCACCGCCGACACACTCGGTTCTTCTCTACGATGTGCGCAATTTCGACAAGCCTCCCTTCGCCAGCTTCGACCTCTTAGAGCTCGAGCAACGTTTCCTCGGGGCGCAGGGCGGGGAGTGGACCAAGATGGAATTCACCAATGACGGCAAGAGTCTGGTAATCAGCACCACGGGCAACGGCCACTTTGTGCTCGATGCCTTCTCGGGCGACATCACTCACTTTTGCTACCGCAAAGCAGGTCATTCGGGTCGTTTGGGCGCCGGTGCCAAATCAGCGAGCCTCGCGCCAAACGGATCACCCGCGGCCCTCGGCCAAGGCGACGTATGCGTGACGCCGGACGGTCATTATCTCATCGGCGGCAGTGGGGACGACGGCCTCTTGGTCTGGGATATCTCTAAGCCGGCCACAGCGAATAACTATCTCGAACCCACGGAAGTTCTTCCGGGACACGGAAAATCGGCGATTGTGGGTTACAACCCAAGGACAAATCTGCTCGCAACTGGAGATAAGGACTTCTTTCTATGGCAGCCTGATCCCGACTTGATGATGTGAAGAGGTGTAATGATCATAAGCATACGAAGCATGTGTCGAGAGCCCGACCTGTAGATCGCAGTCTCAAATCCGAGGTCGAAGAACTTCACAAATACCTCGAAGAAGAAGGACAATTGTATTGTAGAAAAAATTACTCGCTTTTGATTCCCCTGGCTTGTATTGATGTTGATGTTCTATTGGCTACCATGGCAGGAGTCTATGGTTCCTCTTACCTTCTCTTAATAGGTAGCTACCTCACCGCTAATGGACACTCATTGTCGCTCTCCGGTCCGGCATGCGTCTACCACCTCCGCCAATGCAAGCCCCGCGCCTTCTTCCTCGAACCCAAAAACTTGCCGTATCGTCCGGCACTACCCATGCCCCCGAAGACTCCTACGCTCGCAAGCTCACGGAGAGACACGCCATAGTGACAGAGATGGATAAAGAGGCGGTTTTTGACACAGTGTCCAGGCGCAATAAATAATCTTCACGGTTGAGAAGGAGCGAAGATACGGCGATCGCTTAATGACGGGCATCAGTGTGAAGGACAAGAAGACTGGGCTGTGAGGAATCAAAGGGTTTCCCATCAACAATGAAAGTCAAACCTTGAGATGTTGTATTGGCTACTGTTTAAACAAGATAACAATTACTTGAATCATTCATCATCCTCCCATCCTACGGCCACAGCACCAATCGGCCGCCCTCCCCACAGCCCGACCACTTTCCTGGGCCCTGACGATTTCTCTGCCGTCACTGTTCCCCTTGTTTCCTTCTTCGATCTCGCAATCGGCCGCGATTGCGGTGAGTCCACATCCATCTCCTCTGGGGGAGCTGTTTGAGATGTAGGAGTTGGGGTAGCATGGCTCAACCCAGCATCTTCTTCTTCTTCTTCTTCTTCTTCTTCTTCTTCTTCTTCTTCTTCTTCTTCTTCTTCTTCTTCTTCTTCTTCTTCTTCTTCTTCTTCTTCTTCTTCTTCTTCTTCTTCTTCTTCTTCTTCTTCTTCTTCTTCTTCTTCCTCTTCGTTTTTGACTGCTTTGAGGATCGCCACCCATGAGGCTCGACCGGGGATGTTTATGCCGGTATGCTTGTTGGAGAAGAGTATAGCATCTGCAAGTTTCAACGGCCAATACGATGGAGCGAGGAAAATCTGCTGAAGGGTGTGCGTGGTGAGTCTACCCGACGATGACGATGACGATCGTATACCGTCCCACTCCTTTGACGATAGGATATGTACTGCCCACTCCAGCATACCTTCTTTCTTCGCGTCATCTTCAACTGCAACATGATGATTCGACGAATAAGAAGAGGGAGAACCACTCATGAACGCGATGAGGTGGTCCAGTAGTTCGTCGACCCACTCCCCAGACACCTTCCCCAGCGCAGCTAGGAACGGCGTCCACATGATGAAGGCACCGGACATGGTACTTCCCAGCTTCTTGTCAACAGGTAAAATAGCCGCATCCGTAACCAGAAGCTCAAGGAGAATGTCGCGTTTTGTGGCTGCTCCGCTAGCAGCAGCACCCGCTTCCAAGAACAGGAAACTCGATACCGCTGCCTGCGCAGCTCTAGACTCTCCATTCTTTGGCCTCGACGCGCGATTCCGCACTTCCGCTTTGCGTGCTCGTACGTACGTTTTGAGTGCCATCTGGAGGCGTTCTCGAAGCTCGCGTTTCGAGAGCGGAGGTCCTTGCGTCGTCGTCGTCGCTACGCTTGACGTGGGGAGCAGCAGCGCAGCGTCTAGGTGCGACCAGTACCACTCCCAGAGCCACGCGAGGCTTTCGGATGCTGCGCGCTTGAGCTCTGCGAGGCTGGGCATGTGACGGTGCACGATGCGGTGGCGGGTTTCGCGGAGGGCGAGGGGGAATTGGAGAGGTTTTTCCGAGACGGGTGGAAAGGTGGATGGTCGGAGACGGGTCAGTTCAGTTTGGGTGTCTGCGAGGCCGGTGATGAATCTGCATGCTGGTTAGAAAGATGTGGCCTGTAAATGGACGGATTCTTTGGATCTTGTGTGTAAGATCTTTGAGGAAGGAGATGGACGACGATATTCAGAGCGTCTGAAATGACTTTATGATATTCACTGTAGCCGTCTTCTTCGGGTGGAAAAAGGAGACAAGCACTCACCTAGATACAGCCGTAGCATACACCATCCTCAATGTATTATGCGACAATCTTCCACCTTCATCTTGAATAACAGCATCGACAATATCCGCCGTTGACTCGAGCAGAAGCGGAATCTCCAGCTTGCGGGCTCGCCATGCGAAAATCTACAATTCACCAGTGTATCAGCAGACATTCTCACTCTTCACACACATACAGCCTTCCACCCAAAACGTAGATGAACAGATAGAGTTAAAACTTTTGAAGTAAAACATACCTTGTCGACAGCCCATCGTCTCCTTCTGCTTGGACCCTTTCCACCATGTTCATTGAGGGTTGCAGTGGTATTTTCAGCGGAGTAGAGCCCGGCCCTGACTTCGAGTAACTCGCGGCGATCTCGCCATGGGGTGGCTACAAACTTTGTTTCCATGACTGTCGCAGCTCGCGTGTACGCCTATCGCCAATTCCGCCTTCTCAGCCTTTCTCCTGCAAAGAGTTTGTTGGTCCGATATGAATGGTGAGGTGGCTGTTGAGTTGGTTGGTGGATCGGTCCGCTGGAGAGCCGTTCCTTGGAGTAATATGCACAACGACGGAGAGCGAGAGCGTATGAGACTAGTGCTGGAGAAGAAGTTGAAGGCGGCAGAGAGTTTTATGACAGTAGCCAAAAGGTCTGAAAGCTCGATTGCGTTGGCTGCTCCTGAAAACCTAGTGCTGCTTGTTCTGTCGATGGACACCGAGCTTCACTGTTCAATCGCATTGATGTACAGAACTTAGCCCGCTTTCTAGTCCTGTTCTTTCCCGTACTCTTTGTTTATGCGACCTATAATCGCTGTTTATTTACTTTGGTCCATGGCTATCATCATGCTGTCTGTCTACAGTTGTCATAGCCCTGTCCCAAAAATTCTCTTATCGATAGGAAATCCAGCTAATGATATGGGCGAAAAGGATGAGTAAGCAAGCCGGGGTTTTCCCGATGCAGAGGCTCAAAAGCAAGTCGGTGTTCCAACAGTGTGCAAGTGGGCGCAGCGATCTATGGCTCGACAGTTGCCTTCCTAACATGGAAGGTTCGAACCTCAACCAACCGCCAACACTAAATGTGAACCTTTGAGTGTCGACGCCCCAACGTACAGATTTTTCGTCTGCACTTTCAAGTTATCAAAGCCGTGTAGAATCGGCTTCTTTTAGCACACGTAAAGGAAATGTCACGGGTTTGAAGTCGAAGGGACAAATTGAATGAGGTAAAATATAAACAGATGCCGAACGAACGACACTGCTCATCTTGTTGAGGTTGTGGAGGCTACTAGATTATGTTTGCTTCTTTGTGCAATTCTGCATCTCTCCAACGGACGTGTTACACCACGCTATCCGAAGGCCGGGGTATATGTGTCCAAGTCTCTGAAACCCAAAAAACAAATGCTCAGGTGGAACGCCAACGCTATGCTATGCTATGCAGAATAAGGAAAAACAAACAATACAAGTACTAAATATATGGCGAAGGGCGAAAAAGAGAAAAAGATGCAGATCACACCCAGTTGTATCCCATACCGGTGTCCTGCACTGGCATGGTAGGCTGTTTGTACTGATGATACCACCACTCCTTGGTGGCCATGTCTTCTTCGTCGAAAAGGAAGCTGTGCCCAGCCATGCTGTTGGGCATTTGTGGCTTCATCATAGAAGGAACTTGGAGTTGCTGGGGTTGCTGTTGTGTGGGAGGGGAAGGCAATTCGTCTTCGCAATCGTCCGAGCTGTCGTCTTCTTCTTGGTTGTCCACGTTTTCATCGTCGTCTTCTTCTTCATCATCCTCTTCTGGCGGTTGCCATGTCTCCTCAAGCTTGAGCCCTTTGCCAGTAGCCTCGGCCAAGGAACCCAAGTCGGCAGCAGAGTCGGGGAGATCATAGAGACCCATTCCAATCAACTCCTTGCCCGACTCCTCGATGGTCTCCTCCTGGGAAGAGTTGACCATGTTTTGCTCTGTCGGTGGGTGTTGAATGGGCAAGAAGTTGGTGGATCCGTCGTCGGTAGTTCTGATTTGATCTTGGTTTCTGCGAGCCCACTCCTGGAGATACCATGGCAGAGACTCGGAGGTGGACATGGCGTAGGAAGTGATTGGGTCCTGGAAGGCAAGAGACGTTTGAGATGCGTTCATGTATACTGGTTGATCCTGAGGCGGCACGAGAAAGGCGGAATTGCGTGCGGAAATGGAATAGAAATCCGAGCTGGACGCAGATTCTGTGCCAGAAGACGAAGAGTAGTGGCGAGTCCAATCTTGTGGTTGAGGGTATTCTTGTTGCTGGGGTACGAAGCCGGGATGAGACGAGGTTGGATGCCAGCTCACGGGTCGTGTAGAAGCAGGCTGGAAGTAATCGTCGGTCATGTCATATTCATCGGTAATGCCCATGAGCATTCTGTAGTGGTCGTCCAGAGAAGCATACAGTTTGGCACCGGTAGTGGTTTTCCTCCGTTCCAGGACCATGGGGCTATTGTGGTTACTCCTGGGCTTTTCGACACGGTAGGAATGTGCTTGTTGGGTGAAGGAGGTTCGTGAAGCACGACGTGAATGCGAGGTGGGCGTAGTGGTGGACTGTGTAGGGACAGCAGTCCCGTAGACGTTGTGTGACATGTTGAAGATGATGGATGGGAGCAGGCGTTTGGTGAGGGATTGGTTGGGGTTGGAATGAGCAGGAAGCTGGGAGGAGTGCTATCCATATAACGATGGAGCATGCATGCGTGTACACATGGCGGGTGTGGGGAGCAAGTGCGGTGCTAGGTAGGTATATCGTGTGCCAAGAGATATAAACAGATTGGGAAGGATGGAAAGGAAAAAAAAGAAGACGTAGGACGGACCGGGGCCACTAAGCACCACGCGGCATGGAGGTCACAGATCCATGATTGAGGACGTGAGGACAGGGCCGGGGCGGTAGGGTAAGGGTACCAAGAAGGGCATAGGTGGAGTGCAGGGAGGCAGAAGGGGAGATGATTTAGTATACGGGGCCATGGACCAGGGAACAATGGGCCGACGGTGAGTGGGTTGGGTCGAGTTGAGAAGTGAGTGAGGGAGTGTATAGCATACACAGACAGCAAGCATGAGGTAGGGGTGGTGTAAGTTTAGGCGGCAGGCGCACGGCTGGAACGCGGGCGGACAGGAGCTGATCAGACCCAAACTCCATGACGGCGGCGGTGATGAAGAGAAACAGGCGGAGTGGGCGAATCACAAGGCCCACCGAGCGAAGCAGCAGCAGCAGGAGCGCGCGTGTGTACTGTACCGTACTGTATCATGGATGGATGGATGGCTGGCAGGCATGGCGCAACAGCCAACGGAGATGGGTGCAGGCGAGAGAGAGGCGGGACGGTGAGGAGCAGCATGTCATGGCGGGCATGGCATGGAGGCGAGGGTGATGGTGTAGTGTGCGACTAGCCTAGCAGCATGATACTATCTATGTATGCGACTAGGGACGAGTCGCGGAATCGAGCATGGCATAGCATGGCATGGCCCGTATACTAAGGAACGAAGGAATACCCGTACGTACAGGCTGGACAGGACCATACATAGTGGTAGTAGTACAACGCAACCCCTGCCGTGCCGCATGTGTGCCTCTGTGTGCGTGGGTGCGTGCGAGCGATTCAGCTGGGCCTCGAAAACGGGGCGAGAGTGTGTACCTAGCGACCGGGCTTGGGCTACTTAGTCAGAATCTACCTCTTGTAAGGTGTAGAGTGCCGGGCTTGGTTTGGGACAATGTACCCAGTGCATACACCCTCATGTCCCTTTTTCGGCCTCATGCAGCCAGGCAAGCGCTGGTCCATGATGCCTCAGGGGTCATGATGATGAGGAGGATGATGATGATGATGATGGGTAAAATGGAAAAGCTGATGTCAGGCAGTCGGTCCGTCAGTCGTCACTCAAGTCACCCAGCGGACAACTCTGTGTGGCTGGCATACATTGGCACATGAAGGTTAACTAGCAAACTTGTTGGTGCATCCTCTAAGCAATCATCCACACTTGCTTGTCACACATACACCCACACACCCACGGACAGCAGATGGATGGAAGAAGCAAAGGCTATGCGGCCGCAGCAATTCAACAACGGTGACCGGGCCAGCACAGCACTCGGCACGCACGAGGCAGGCAAGCAGGAAAGCAGGCAGGCCGGCCGGCCGTGCAAATTGACAATTTGTCAACTTTACCGTGGTCCAAGATCGTCGTCCACGATGATGATGATGATAATCAACGACCAAGGAGTCCAGTACGTCTCAAGGCGGGCAGGCAGGCAGGCAGGCGGAGCGCCCCGGTTCGACGCTGTTTAACCGCCCAGCATCACCGCAATGCAGGCAAGGTAACGGAGCTGGCATGCTATTGCTGTGCAAGCAAGAGTTTTCTTGCGGTGGACAAAGGCGGGCAACGATGAACATGCGGCATGATTACGATTCGGACACACATGACATGGATGCGCCGGTGGATGGAGGGTGACGGGCGTGCTTGTGTGGTGTTGGTTGGTTGCTTAGCTGGGCCCCATCACCACCTCAGGGGGGGGTTGGTTGCAGCCAGGCGGTACATAGCTCTAGCCCGTCTCGCACAGGGTGGGAAAAGCAGGCAAAGGGAAAAGTGCAAAAAGGAAAGGAGACAAGAAAAAAAAGGGTACGACGAAACGAAGACGAGGAAAAAGGAACGAAGGGGAAAAAAAAGAGTGCAAAGACCCCCGCACGTTGGCCCGGTCGGGTCTAGCTGGCAGGACCACCAGGACAGCAAAGACGCAAAGACGCACGCCCAGGCGGATTGCAAGCGCGATCTGGGGGGCGGACCATTGCCGGGACTTGTTTCGGGCATGCTATTCGCCTTGTCGTCGACGGGCGAAGCAGCCTCCATCTTCCAGAAAGCGTCCCCTCTGGACCCACGGGCGGGCCTGACCAGTCAGAGGCGAGTGACAGGCCGACTGACAAAAGCAGGCGAACGCAGGCGATGCGCGCCACCCTTGCAGGCCACCCAGTCCCAGGCGGCGGCGTTAGACGAGACGAGACGTGACGAGACGAGAGGGGCAGCCCAGCCAGCAGCCAGGCCAGCAACAGACCAGCCAACCGCGGCGCACGGAAATTGCTGCAAGCGGCAATCCCCCCCAGCAGCACCAGCAGCACCAGCAGCCTGTGACCCCCCCCTCGTTAGCAGCCCACCGCCGTCGCCAGCCTCGTCAGTCACAGACCGCCCGACCGCCCACCGACCTGCAACGAAACAAACCCCACCACCATATGCTATGCAATCATCACCGCATATCGTGTCTCCATCTGATTCTGCTCCTGCTTGCCCGCTAGCCTCCCCCTTGTCCCATCCCAGGGAACCGAGCGTGGGAGTGCCATTGCTGTGGGTCCAGCCGACATGCTGCATCAAATCTCCCCCATTCACCCATTCCGCGTTGCACATGGCATTGGCCCGCCTGGCTGATGCCTTTTTCCAACATGGCTACTATCCACCTACCATCATCTGACGGTGCCGAAGAGCAAGCAGCCAACACAGCATGGCGGAGGCGTTGCTGAAACCATCGACATCTCGATCCCGCACAACCACCGTGGATGGCTAGCCTGCCATGGGTGGGTGGATGCCCATCCGATGCGTGTTTGATGTTTGATTTGATCCGGTGGACGGTGGCCTTTATTCTCGCCATGCCTTCCAGTTTGATTGATCGTGTCCATATCCTGCCGTTGCAGTCATCATCCATCGTTAACCATGCATGCATGCATGCATTTTCCACACCCATCCAAGCCCTGTCCCCTTTTTCCGATTTCTTTCCATGTGCCTTGTAGTGGCTGGCGAACAGTTGGCTGCGCGAGTGCTCGAATTAGCAGTAGAGGTGAGTGAGTGTGCGCTCAACCGTTTGTCTTGCGGAGCGGATTGCGTCAGCACAGGAGCATGGCCCTGGTGGTGGTTCGGACGGCGTTGCAAGCGCTCTCGTCGACGACGGAGCCAGGTGGTGCGGTGAGTTGCAGGGCTCGCGGCATCAGCCAATAGCGTGCATGCAAGCCGGCTGAGTCATGCAGGCAGCTCTGCCCAAGCGTGCGTGCTGCGGTGGTTCCCTGGCTGGCTGGCTGGCCAAATTCTCTGCCTGATCACGGCGGCGGCGACAACAATCAGCGGGCTAAAAAAGAATGAAGGGCTTGCCGCCGGTTCGTTTGCCCCGCTTGGGCCGCCGCTGCAGATCTCCCAGGCGGGATGAAGCAGGGTAGGGCAGGGCAGGCCATGCATCGTTTGATCGTGGGCGGCGCTTCGGTTGCATCCCATGGCACCGCATCCATCCATCCATCCAAAAGGAAAAAAAAAAGTGGCACAGGCCAAAGCCCGGGGATTTCTTGTTGTGACCAACGGTGCTGCTGCATCCGGCCTAGCATGTTGTCATCGTATTCCATCCTATCCCATCTGTATGTAGGTATGCACTTGCTCGGGGGTGTTTGGTTGGTTACATCAAGGAGGGAAATATAACCGTCTTACGATCCATGGGTCTGCGCCCTCCTGGAAAATTAAACCGATGGCGAAGGATGAATGAATCAACGGTGATGATGATAGCCAGATGATGATGCTGCTGCTGCTGAGCTGCTGCAACGCAACAAGACGTAGATGGCGGCGGAGCCCTCATCCGGATGGAGAAGCGGGCAGCTCAAGTGGAACCCAGCCAAATCTGACATGTACAGCTAATGCAGCACAGTGAAGCAAGTCAGTATAGTATAGTATCAATAGCATCGATGGTATGGCATAGCATAGTGTTTGACTTTGGTGACGGATGATTTCATCTCGGCTCGGTCCCATCGTATGTACGGCACCAGTGTACATAGACATGTACCGCCGCTTTTCTCCGTGTGCGCTGAGCGACAGAGTGACAGTTGGTTAGTCCGTCTTGGTGGTTGTTAGTTCGGCAATTCACGAGGAAGCGAAAAAGGACCTGCATCGGTAGAATTCGTCGCACATCACGCACCAGACAAAAGATGAATGATGCTGCTAGACGTGATTGTGTGTGTAGCCGGGCTAGACTCCAGCAACCTGGCCTGCATGCATGACGCACGCCATTCGTCTTTTTTGCACTCACCCCACTGCCGTCTGCTGTACTCGTGTCTGACTCAGCGGCCAAGTTGCCCGCCACACCATCACATCTCGCCTGCCATGTTGAGGCTTGCAGCATCGTATGAGCACCGGCGTTTCGTCGGCACTTCCTGTCCAAGCCGCTCGCTCGCTCTCTCTTTCACCACTCAACGGGAATTGCACTGGCACATCCTTTCGGCGACACGGCCACGTCGGTCGGTGAGAGGTGACTAATAATCTCCAGCCCTTCCTCGCTCCAACGTCCGCGCACCTCTGATGAAACTTTGTTCGGTCGGGGGTTGAGCGTGCAAAGCCATGTTTCTCCGTCCCATGTACAGACCATGCTGAGTCGCACACGCTTCCGGTGTACCTTCTCGCCGCCACCATGATGAAGCGCTCCACGTCTTCCAACTTCCAAGCATCAAGCATCAAGAGGCAGCTCGTGTGCCAACGAGCTGACTCCCGTCCGTCACATTAGCTAGTTACGTGGATGGGTGACGATCTCTTCCCCCCGCCGCCGACGACGACGACGACTTTGTCCGCAATGCACATGGATGCATATCCCTCCGTCGACTGGTTCAAACAAGTCAGGGAACGTCACCCACATTCTCGGTGCATGCATGCTATTTTGCGCTCGCACTCGAGTAGTTGAATAATAAAGACTGCCAGGGGGCCTGTTGAGTCCTGTCTCAGCACATGGCTCTTTCCCGTCACAGCTAGACGCCCGATCTTAGCTGCCTACGATAATAATGGTCATGTTATTAACTCATCTGGCATCGGCCCAGATGCCAGCCGATGCAATCTCGTCAAAGGCCTCATCCACCACACACACACTGGCTGAACGAGTGGGTGGATGAATGATGCCGCAACCGCGCTGCTGCATCATGTATGTTTCCATGTCACCACCCCCTACCAGGTTCCTTCGTTCCACCGCCCCAACCCCACTCGTGTGCAATCTTTGAACCCACACCGGACGTTGCGCGTCACATGGTTGCTTGACACGGCATCCCAAAGCAAAAGCAACCCTTCCCCTCTGTGCAACATACGCAGATACGGCCGTGGCCCCACGGGGGGGTGCTCCTCGAAACTTGCATCCTTCAGGACAGTCCGTCTCACCAACAAAATCCTCCACCAGCCCCGATCGCCTGTTGATTGTCGTGTATGCCGGGTTTCAGCGCTCTTCGTCCTGCCTGCAGTGTTGGCCTTGAGCCAATATTGCCATTTAGGTGTCTCCACCGCAAACCTGTACATGCACTCTATGTACTGCCTGCGACTGCCTAGCTGACCGCCATGTTCGATATTCCTTTTCGCCACGGCCCTACCTGGCCAGCTATTCACCCGTGATGCGCCCTCTTCTTGCTCCTGGTCCCGCACAAATCCTGCATCACAATGCGCCCGGGTTCATTCACCAACTATCCTGCCACCCAGCCTTTGCAACCGTTCCAGTGAAACAGATGACCGGGCCTCTCAACCCACCCAAGCGAGCTGCCACAGATCCGTACGAGCACCATTACCCTTTGCGTCTCGCTCGCAAGGGACTGCCCACAACTCTGTTTATTTCACATGAGCGTTGGCAACCCACGGGCTATCATTAGATTGTCCATCATCTTGTTGACACTTCGTCAGCCTGACATGTTCTATGACTGACTCTCTATTTTCGTATCCATTTCCGCGCTTCCCGATGGCTTGTAGAGGCCGCGCTCCACTTGGATACTATTGTTTTTTTTTTATACTTCGGCTGCGAGGACCTGCTAGTATGCTTTCTTCTCTGAGCGGTACAGAATCACTAACGAGGTCGTCGTACCATGCGTTGCACAGCCACTACAATGAACACCAAATACTTCTCAGGGGGAGAGGGGCACTATCGATTAAGAGCAAGCACCTCGGCCGAATCAAAACCCACCGCTGCCCGCTCCCAGTGACAGACCCCGTTCAATCTAATGTAATAACCACTCCCTCGACAGCGTCTCATCCGCTCTGGTGCCAATGATCAGCGTCAGCCGTTTTCTTCTAGGACGAGGCTCGGGCAAATCAGCCCAGTCGACACAATAAAAAATAAGCCCGATATCGACACAACTCCGGCCCGCTCTGGCGAACCAACCCCTTGACGTTCATGCTCATATTATTGTACCCACACAGGGTTCACCATCTGCTGCTTGGATGATGGATCCAATATAATATGCACGCATAACAACCGAAACCGCGTCTTATGTCAACCTTCCTTTCCTAGTTCCTCAGCCCGGAAACGTCTCGTCTCGTCTCGCCTCGTTACCTGGCGTTGGAATAAATCCGCCTCATGCTATGATGGCTTTTCGGACTCCGCTCTCACACATACACGCGCGAACGGTGGCATCCTGAATTCCACCTTGGGATACTCCAAGCGCAACTTAGTTGGCCCGTATTACCCATGGAAGACCTCGCTTCTCTGCATCTCATTTTCCTCTTTCCTTGATTCTTTCGCACGACTATCACCCACTAGAACAACGATCCAATATCCTGAAAATGACGGATATTGCTTGCTATTGTGGGAAATGCTCTGCGGCTTACACACCTACGCTCCGTTTCCCTGTGACTAGATCCAACATGATCTGCTTCCACGGGTGCAAGCCTACTACGCCCTCAACTTAACTATCAGGCCAAAGGAAATGCATTTCTACCGCCTACATCCTCCTCGGAGAACATTGTTGCAGATTTCCGTTTTCTTGCATGTGACATCGTATTGTTACATAGCATCGCGGAGTGGCTCATCTGAGCTCATAAGTTTTTATTGCCCCGTGATGAGCGAACAAACTATTATCATTCCTGCTGGGATTTCCTCCGCCATGCATCATCTATACATATATCTACCCAACATTCTGCAGCATGTTCATCCTTGTTTATTGGACTGCTATCTACACATGAGGTATCAGCACCCAGTGTTGATCACCGGACGTTAGTACCGTTGAATATAGCGAGAATAGAAGGGTAGTAAAGTTGAGATGACCTTGTTATCATCAAAGTTTGTCTGTCACTGGTTGTACTCTGCATGCACATCACAAGCGCAAGGTGTGGTACTCGCCTTGCTATCATTACTCCTGATGTGTTTTTTATCTCATCCTTCTCTCCTGCCCACCATCCCAGTGGTTGAAATTGGTGATTGCCTTGATCTACTGTACTACGCTTTCTTCCATCTCTTGAACTTATCCTCCAGAATGTCCCGAATACCACGGGAAGCATGTGGGGTCATCGTCCGAGGTTCTCGTCTGTGTTGTTTGTTCATGGTTATGATAACGATAACTCACTCTGCCACGCCCATCCCAAAAACAATCTCTATTCTCATTGCGATGATTTGTCTTTTAGTAGGACATTGGATGCTGGTGCGATATCTGTTGATCACAGACACTACGAAGTGTAGGGAATTTCCATTACTAACGCTGGTCTTCCTTGACACTGGGGATAATAAAAAATAAAAGCCAGTCAGTGATCAGTCGATATAGCAAGACATATCATGGCTGGCTGTTGGAATCTCTTATTTTTTGTACCTTCATTTTGTAACTACCGTGTGTGTGTGTGCCAGGACCATTCAAACTCCTGTACTGAGACTTTATACGTTGAATAACGTGTTGCACCTTCTACAACGATGTGGATACTGCGCAAATGCACTGGCTAATCTTTCTTTTTTCTTTTGGTCGCTAATCACATCCATCTGCTAGAGTGTCTACTATCGATACCTTACTATTTTTTGCCCTGTGTTTCGTTGTTTGTCTAAGAGACTCAACTTATTTCGAAAAGCTATGTATTTGATATAGCAATTGTCGATATAGTGAGGGACATAATGGTCATGAAATGCCAAAGACTCAACGATTACTACAGAGCATCGAATCATATTCAGAAGCAGACACTCAAAAACACTGCGATAGCAAAAGAAAATGCAATCTCATAGCTGAACCATTTGAGTAGTAACTACTCTTGCATGTTACAATTATCCCCACACTCCATAGTACTTCCACCTCTACGCCAGTCTAGTCTTCTTACAGCGTAGATACGCAGAGTGTAAATGTACGCTGCGTAACACCTAGATAGTCGTTGTATCTATATACCCCATCCTTTTTATCATCATGCCTACCTTTGCCATCCAACAACATTGATAATCTCCAAAGATATTCCAAATTATGGGATAGGTCTGTTACCGAGAAATACTGAATGTCCATTGAGCGATCGGAAGTCAGCTATCGGCTATATATCACGCATACCTCAACGGAATTGATCAGGTGAGCTTTTTACCTTGGATTTCCATGTTTCTAGACCACCTCTTATGGCTGAAGTCAACCCCCCCTGTCCGGAGTACTTGCTGATAATTCAATACCGAGGACATGTCCCTCATTTTTTTGACATTCTTTTCCCAGTCCTGTCAAAAACACATGGAATCCGATATGATCAAATGTTACCTCCCATAGAAATAAATGGGTGAAGTACGACTGAAATTACATCAACTCATCATACGCACACTTGTATCTACAAGTGTTTTCTAACATACACGAATGATAGTCTACATAGAGTGCGCTCCATTACAGGCAACTAACTGACTGAGGGTACCTTCGCCAAGTACGTTTACTTGTAATCAACAATCAAGATGCTTTTTCGACGCTCAGTTTTTTGACCGCTCTGCAATTGATCCTTCTTGCTATTCGCCTGTCTTTCTCATTGCAATACCACAGCTACTTTATTACATAGCTGAGGGACACAGTGACACCTTACCGAAACAGTGGAATTAAATCAGAAATAATGACATTTGGAAAGACGGTAAACGAACTAACGTAAACATTGCATCCGATCGTAAGATGTGGTATATATGTCCTCCTCGGCAGACGAGATCCGCATTCTTCCCGCTCACATCACAAAAGTGAATCAGAAGCACAATCGTACATCATATCCCGTCCAAGCTGTAGATTCAATGGGGCTCACTCATTTCTTCTCTTGGTTTCCGTAGCTTGCTATACTTCTCCGTCTTTGACATGGTGTTCAGCTCCTGATTCCGGAATGCGTTATCAACCGCTAGTTATTCGTGAAGGAGGCAGAATGCTACGAAGATTGGCAAGATTGCTCAATCCATGAGGTCTACAGGACAAGATGTCAATAACCAGGAGAAGAAAAAAGCCTCCAAAGAGCGACGTGTTCAAGGGATTATGTGGGTTGTCCAGTATGCTCTTGCTAGTCTCGTGCTGAACTATACCGGTCGTACTAATAAACTGGAAAAGTACATCAAACCGGCACTGTTTATACTCTTTCAAGTCCGACACATACAAGGCGTAGCACATATCGATATGATGTATTGAATGAAACCCAACTTTTGTGGTGCTCAAATTTTTTCACAAGTATAAATTGTACAAACAAGTGCTGGAACCCCCCAAACACTTACGAAAAATCACAACCCCCACCTCGACAACCCCAATGGAGAAAAACTAATGATAGCAATCCTCGTATACATCCCAGCTGCTAAACTTGGAAAAGAAAGCTTTTTATCCCATGACCATGCCCTTAAGACCTGCCATGTCGCCCTCCTTGGCGGCGATTTCAAAGTATCCATAGATGATAGTGACAGCCAATAGAATACCGGTTCCGCTACCCAAGGCGCCGAGGAGATCGCTACCAACGGAAAGAGCACCAATGCAAGCACCACCAAAAGCGGCAGCCGTGGGAATGACGCGCTTGAGCTCCTTGTACATCGACTCCTCGCGGTGACCAGCCATAACAAGACCCTGTTCCTTGAGCTGCTTGGCAACGTCACGGGGGGAGGAGCCGGAGACTTCGATCCAAGTCTTGGAGAACACGGCGCAGGCGACGAGCATGTAAACGATGAAGACGGCGGTCTTCAAGGGGTCCGAGAGAGCCTCGGTGATGCTGAGGGGAGGAGACCTTAAAGTGTTTTGTCAGTAAGAAGTAATCGGAAGAGAGTTTGGGCAAAGGTACATGTAGTAAGCAACACCAGAGGTAGCGAAGAGCTGGGCAGAGCCCTCCTTGGGTTCCCACACGCCGAGAAGACGGACAAGGAGGTTGTCAGAAAATCGAGAGTAAAGCATCTGACTGATGAGGAAGACGTTGGATGAGAGAGCGGATTGCAGCATGATAGGCATGTTGGAGGTGTAAAAGAGGCGAACGGGGTATGAACCGCGGACACCGCGCTGGCGGGCAGACTTGACGGGGATCTCGACACGGAAGCCTTGGAGATAGATGACGGCGCCGAAAACGATGACAGTGGAGATCAAGTTCATAACGTTGGGCAAGTTCTGGCGGTAGAAAGCCTCCTTGAGCGCAACAGTCTTGTCGGGCCAAGTGAAGAGCAAGTGGACGAGAGCAATGATGGCACCCTCGAACTCGGGACCACGACCGGTGTTGATGGTGGTTGGGGAGAAGGCCTTCCACATGATGGACTCGCAAATGTTGGTAGCGATGAAAAGCGAGATACCGCTACCGAGACCGTAGCCCTTCTGGAGAAGTTCATCCAAGAGAATGACAATCAGACCGGCAATCATGAGCTGCATAACGAGAAGAACACAGATACCGGCTCCCAGGTCAGATGGCTGTCCATAAAGACCGGAAATAACATAGACGACAGCTTGACCGAAAGAGAGCAAGATAGCAAGAAGCTTCTGGGCGGTCTGGTAGAGCTCGCGATCCGACTTGAGGTCGAGGTTGACATCAATGAGATGGGTACCAGCAAGAAGTTGGAAGACCATGCCAGATGAAATGATCGGTGTAATACCCAGTTCCATCAGTGTTCCCCGATTACTCGCCATCATCATACGAAGCCAGTATAGCGGATCCGATGTGTCGGAAGAGACGATTCCGTACAGCGGCATCTGGCTCATGACCAGGAAAACGAGGAGGGTGAGACCGGTCCATACTAGTCTGTTGTTGAAAGGCACCTTGCTCTCGGGCAGCTGAATTTCAGGCACAAGAGGAACGAAGGGCTTAACGAGATCGAGGAACCGTACTACATGGATATCGTGGGTTAGAGGGAAGCTCCCTAGATTGGGTCGCGTAGCACTTGCGCGGACGGGGGAATTGACTTACGGCCACTCATGATTGCGGTGGATCGGGTCCCAGAGAGAAAGATGGAAGAAACAAAGGAGGAGAATGATTGAGTGGTGAGGACCAGATGGCGATGGGGTTAAGAGGGGGTCGGCGCTGAGCTCTCGCAACGTGTCGATGTGGGAAATAATCCCCGCCAAGCCACGCTAAGCTTCCCCTAGATTCACCTTTCTCTACGCCGAAGGCCACGCTGGCCTTGAGATTATTATCGCGAACCTCGAAACAGACCGAAACAAAAAGAAGACGCGATTGCCATATGACTCCTCTCTGGTGCATATGGCATGCAGGTCTTGATTATCTACAGGAATGAGAATAGGCTGCCGCATGCTGTTTGGGAAGCAATGACGATAGCCTTTTGAAGGTGATTCTGGTGCTATAAACGCATTTGGAGTAGAAGCATCCCACCGCAAGCTAGCTGAGTATAGACTATTGTGAGTGACTGACGATGTGATGCGTTGCGCTGTAGCGAATGAAGTCGCAAGAGCAGAGGATCTACGTATAGTGTGGATTCTTCATCTCTCCGCGAGAGCTACAAGTAAGATGGTTGTTATCCGGGAATCGAACTCAGTCTGTAGATACCGTGATGATAAATTAGGAGCTTTACGTGATCCAGCATCGCTTTACGCTGTCGGCATGATTTCACTTCATATGCGATCCTCATCGTCTGAGGGCAGGCCGATCGAGTTACTTCTCGATATGCTGAACCGCCAAATAGGCAAACTACGTACTTGCAATGTGTATGTGCTGGGGACAATCGACGAGACACACAAGCGGCCTAGTACGCGTATCAAGCAACTGGCAGTCTGCTCACGTTTGTCACTATGTGAACTCAGTTATGGCGAAAACGCAAACGTCATCCGCCGTTTGGGGCCCCCAATTTCTGACCCCGGATGCTTATAGGCCTTCCAGGGCTGTAGCTGATTGGCTCTTCCACGAATGCGAATTTAGCGCCCTTTCGAGCCCTGTGTAGGAATGCGAAGCACTTAAATGCGAAGCACTTGAATGCGAATGTTGTATAACAGCTACTTCGTCATCTTCAGCCCCCGAATCCACTCTCTCAAGCGATTGCGAAGCGGATTGTAGCGAGTGCGATAGCATTCATCATGTATAAGTCGAAGTCTGTTCTCCCAACAGCGGACCTGTTCCACTCATATTTCATTCATATATTCTCGCCGCGCTGACTATTATCATATTGTTCGCATTTCGCCCTCCACCTACTCATACACCTAGCTACGTCTCGCACAAGTAACGCAAACACACCAACATCATCATGGCCAACCCACCCAAAAGTCCTTCTTTCGATTGGGAAATGTTCCGCTACGTCCCGTCTCTTGCGGGTGCCATCATCGCCATCATCGTTTTCGTTATTATGACATGTCTTCAAGTCTGGCAGTGGACCAGGACAAGAAATCACTTGGTCATATATGTGATCATAGGGACTCTTAGTAAGTCGCCTTGCTCACCAACCATCATAGCAAAGCTCACTTTAGAACCACAGGCGAAATTGGCGGGTATGGCGCACGAATTGGCTCCCACTTCGATAACGCAAGCTGGGCTCCATTGTAAGTGTTCTCTTTATGTTGGAATTGAAGTTTGCTGACCGTTGCTCCAGCATCATACAGGGCACGATGCTACTCGTGGGGCCCCTCTTCTATGCAGCTACAATTTACATGATGCTTGGTCGCACCATCATCCTCGCCCAAGGAGAAGACGTCTCGTTGATCAAACCGAAATGGTACACTCGCGTGTTTGTGGGCGCGGATATCAGCACTCTGGTCATCCAAGGTTTGGGTACGTTCAGTGTTTTCGACGATGGTCATGGCGATCGAACGAAATGTTCTGACGAAACACAGGGGCTTCCATCATGGGAACCAAAAAGTTGGAGCTTGCCATTGCCGGCGAGAAAATTGTCATTGCAGGCCTGGCACTTCAAACAGCTACCTTCGTCTTCTTCCTTGTCGCATCCGTCGATTTTCACATCCGAATGAACCGCAAAGCATCATTTGCTAGCAATGGAAGTACTGGGAATCCAGCCGACAGCATTAGAATGTTGTGGATCCTTTACGTTATCAGTTCGCTCATTCTAGTGCGATGCATCTTCCGTCTCATCGAATATTCCACGGGCAATGCAGGCTATCTCATCTCGAATGAGTGGACATTGTACGTGTTCGATGCCGTGCCGATGTTTATTGTGCTTGTACTATTGTTGGTCCTGCAGCCAACGAAGTATATTCCAAGGAAGTTGAGTGGGTTCAGTGAGATTGAGGGAGGTGCATCAGAGCTGAGGACACAAGCTGCATAATCAACATTGGATTGTAGCACTCGAGGATTATGCCGGACGTCTTGATTTGATTATGGGATCGGAGGAATCTCTCTGTACATACCTAGGTACTCTCTGGTGGGGGTGTAGTGGTGGGAATGTATCTGATAAATAGAAATCATTAGAAACGGTCACTTGGCCATACGCCTTTCGACCGCCTTAATACACACGTCAAGGTGCGGCGATTCTTCAAACCGCAGTTGACTTCAATGTTCTCAAGAATTATGTATTATGGTGAGGTCATGAGTCGACACATTAGCAGAGTACATGTAAGGCAACCACTAGGCTATTTATAGAAAGCCCACGCGTCTGCTGGTAAACCCCCGATCCTAAATTGCGACCGACTTGCACGCACATCTCGACTGTCTATTCACACATGCTATGCACAGATGGCACGCCGAAATCCAGGTTTTGTTAGTAAGCGACCACATAAGAAATCTAGAGCTGGCTGCGTGACATGTAAGAAGAAGAAAGTGAAGGTGAGACTAGTGTACCCTTATATCCCCGGCTCGGGTTCGATGTCGAGAGGTGGAAATTGGCTATCCATTTATCATGGCCATCTCCATAATCCGTCAAGGACGTTGCAAGAGTGTTATCACTGACAGACGCGGCAGTGTGATGAGGGCCAGCCAGCATGCTCGTATTGCGCTCTTCGGAGCATAACGTGCATATATCCACCCCCGGAGCAAGCACGTTCACGAGAATCTACGACACCCCGGGACTCTTCAGAAGATTTGACTCCAGTCAGTGCACAGATGATTCCAGCATGCTACACTTCGTCTGGCCAATTCTCCTCACTGGAATTCGAGTTAATGCACCACTACAAGGGATCTGTGTGGCCTACGTTGAGCGGTCGAGTCGATGAGTCAATCCAATACTTGAACAGAGATTGGGTACCCATCAAGTCTGTTTCAACTGACTATCTTCGATTCTCCATTCTGAGCATGTCAGCTTCGCATTTGAACCTGATGACGCCCAGCATTCGGCTTGAGACGGCCGCTTTGCATTATCGCCAGAAGGCTATCAAAAGCTACATGGCCGCGCTGAATAACATCACCTCGGATAACTATCAGACTCTTCTCATGACTAGTCTCTACATGATGGGTACGTTTCACTGGGTTCATTGAGCTTTTTGGCTGTCTTTGGATACAGCGATGTGTGGCATTGAGAATTTTAATAGCTTACAAACCCTCACTGTTTGCATCTTACTGAATCTTCGATTCCTTTTAGGCATGGTCTCACCTCCAGAACAACCCTGCACAGATGATGAGTGTATAAAGTGGATGAATGCACTGTTCAGGATGATGCAAGGGTTGAGAGTATTAGCGGGCTTGAAGTGGATTGCGGGTATTGAGAAGTTGGAGGTCTATCCAATATTCAGGCGGGAGGTTAAGACCTTGCCTGCACCGCCTCCAATCAGAAGCGTACGTACATCCCGGGTGCTGCAAATCACGAGGAAAGATGAATTGTCAAATCGTTTCGATTTTCTTTTCTCCCGCGCTGAGACAAACTTGGACTGAGTTTCACTTCGCGTGGGTTTGGCGTATCTCTCCACTGACTTTGTAACTATAATCTTAGTTACCGTCTGATCCGAAGTTTTGGTCGACAAAGAGAGCAGGCGGGGATGATCCTGTTAGGCCAAACCCACCAAGCACGTACGAAACACCTACACCAAATGCTACGCCATCACCACCGCAAAGCCCAGCCAGTGTCAGTTCAGGGAAAGATATGTCCGATCTGCCGTTCCGACCATTGCAGCTCATGTCTGCTGGACATACGCCATATGCACCTCAATCTTGGAAGAAGCCTCCTTCTTGGGAGCTTCCGTTCCCAGCCTTTCTTCCGCCACCACTAATGTCAATTTTAAAGAGAACGGTACGTGGATAATTTCAATTTGCGATACTCGATGATGCATTTACTCCCTGTATTTACTGACTATGTATGTTTTCATCTTAGGTCGAGCCTCCGTGGGAGCAAAAATCGTTGGATCTCCATGCGCCAATCCTTTTACCATCAATACACGCACTCAGCCCCATCTTTCTCTCCCTCTACTATTATCACTTACATCCCGACTTCTTTACTCGTATCATAGTATTTCCCACATTCTTACCTCCCCCGTTTTTCCAGCTCGTTGCCCAGAAAGAACCACGTGCTCTCATTATAGTGGGCTGGTGGTTTGCTCTGATCAGACTCTCCCCAAATACGTGGTGGATCGACAAGTTTGTGCCCAGAACCTTGCAGGCAATTAGTAATGAGATCATGCGGTCAAACGATAAGGGTTACATGGATGCTATGGAAGGCGCATATCGTATCTCTAAAGAAGTGGATAAGGATGGTGGTGGAAAGAGGGGCCGCGAAAGAGCAGCAATCAAGGTCTTTGAGGGTTGGGATGGTGTTATATGGGAAGAAGGCCCTATAATGGAGGAGAAGCTCAGATTCGAAGAGTACGCCGATATACCCCAAGTTTGAACTTCATATTAATCACCATATATCAAACATAACTTCCATTACTGTAAATGGAAGTCTGTTATGCCCGTGCAGGCGACTTCGGCTCCCTTATCATACAGTACAGCTTGATCTTATCCTTTTCGTTGTTTCCATCTTCGCAGGCCATCTCCCGTACCAATTTGAAATCAAATCTCTCATAAATAGCGACGTTGGGTATGTTTCGGCTGCTCTCCAGGTAGCACGGAATACCTTCCTCATCCGCCATCTTCAACACTTCTTCCATCAGCGCCCTCCCCACACCTTGACCCTGGGCTTCAGGTAGTACTGTCACAATATTACAGAAGTAATACCCCTTGCTACTCGTCCACAGCTCATTTTGCGCCTCAGCCTGCCGCTCCTTCCAGATCCAGTACCGCTTGGTCGAAAGTCCACCACGTCCATACCACAAATTCATTCGGATCTGTGAGAGCCAGAGGTACCAGGATGAAAGGTACAAGGACCAAGACTCTGGTTGCGAAGGCGGGGTGGGCCGAAGCCACATGGCACAGCCGAGGATCTTCTTGGGGTTGTCTGTCGAGCGAGCAACATGGAAAAGACCGTGCTTTATCCCCCAACGGCAACGTAGAGTGAGTGAGACTCGATTGCGGACGAGGTCAACCTGCACAGGTCAATGACTGTGGAAAAGTTTTTGATTTATTCAAAAGTAAAAAAAGCAATGTACCTTGGAGCGGTCAGGGTACACCCAGTTGTTGTATGGATCATTCGCGAATGCCTGTTGGATTGTATCGATTGCCCCGTCAATATCCGCCTCTTTCATTCTTGTGACAGAGATAGCCATATCTTTGGTCTGTTGTAATTTGTATTGTTGAAAATGGGAGTTGTTCTTTTTTCTGAAGTTGAAGGCATATATGTAAGTAAGAAGAGGTAAGGAAGTCCCACGATACCTAATAACATAGACTCGGCTGCAACTACCATTGCGGGCACTAGTCACTTCAGGAAACTGTACTTAGTACTTTACGCTAGGCAAGCATCGCCCTATCACTCATTCCTACTGTTATCCCAATTCGAATCATCCCATCTCTTCAGCATCTTGCTATTTTGATATCCTCTGACGAGGCTCCACAAAAGATATGGCACGTACTCCCAACCGTCGGGATATTGCTCGCTCACTTCTGGCGGCCGAAGACTTCCCACCGCTCCCATCGCAAATCTCGCAGCACGCAACTCCCAACAACTCATCCGACATTACGTCTGCGCCAAAAAGAGGCCATGAATCAGTAACATCCATAATGAGTCTCCCTGATGAGATTTTGTTAGAGATATTGGAACATCTTCATCCTGGTCGTTTCTCAACCTGCCTTCGTCTCTCGCGTGTCAATAGGAGGTTTTACTTCCTGGTGCGCAATGAGCTGTATCTCCGCTACGATAGTTGTTCCAAACAAGGGTACCAATTCATGCGCACAATCATGATCAGCCCGGAAATCGGGGACCTCGTACGTTACGTTCACTTTTCTTGCCCTGGGCAGGACATACGTCACCTCCTGGGAAGAAAACATCCCCCCACAACGCGGAAATATTATCAACCCACGCCCTCCGACTGCAGAATCATCAAGAATGTATTGAAGCAGCTAGATATTCCAAGATGGAAAGACTGGGCTACGCAGTGTAATCATGCAATCTACGACACCAAGCAGGAGCCCATCTACGCCACCATTCTGATGCATGTGCGCAACATCGCGAAGCTTATCATCGACCAGGATGATTTTGCAGATAAAAATCCCAGGTGGATTGAGCTGATTCGAGGATCTGTGAACGGGGAATCTTTCAAAAATGTCAACCATTTTACCCATCTGCATTATGTGCGAGTACGAGTCAGGCACTTGGGCATGCCGAAACTCGCCCCCCTGTTCAAGCTTCCGGCGCTGAGATACCTCAAGATTATTGATGTTGTACATGTGCGTCGTGGTCTAGATAAGGAAATCAACGGCCTGCGACGCGCACTCCCCGCTGCGAGAACATGCATGCTCCAAGGGCTCACTTTGGACAAATGCGTACTCGGATCCGACATGATTGAGGTCTTGCTACAATGTGTTCATTCGTTACGATCATTCAAGCATCATCCTCCCCGCTATTTGCCGCGGTACGAAAACCCCCCAATGTTGAACTACTCAGCTCTTTCAACCTCTCTGTCGCGATTCGAAAACACACTCGAGCACTTTTCCCTTGGGGCGGAACTAACATCCGATGAACGAAGACTCGATTCCGTGTTTGAAAGTATGAGTAGACTTACTAAGATAACACATTTCGAGGCTCCGGTCGAGGCATTGATCGAAATATTGCACCGCGCGGAGGAGCACATCGTGATACAACGCTTACCGCCATTGACCAAAACTATTATCATTTACTTTATCAGTACCAGGCTCAGTAGCGTAATCGCAATGAAACATATGAGGGCATATATAAAGACAGCGCAGGAGCAGGGCCTGCTCCCCTCGGCTAGATTTATATCATTGCATGACTCACGTAGGTTCAACCGGAGGTATTACGGTGCTGTGAGCGACGATGAGATGGAATCTGACATCACGGACGAAGAGAGCGGCGAAAACGATGGGCATGAAAGCAGTACGTCTAGTGACAGCAACATACATTTCTCCGATGACCTTGGTACTTGGGGAGAAGACTCGAATGAGGATGGAGATGAAAGTAGTACATCTAGTGACATTGGCAGTGAGTGAGGCCTACGTTGATATTGAGGTCCTCAATGGCATCATCACTTCAGAAGAAGAATAGGATGGCAATGATATAAATTTCACAGACGAATATATCACCAAAAGCACTATGAGGTTGCATAGTCCGCTTCGCTTCTTCATGTTCCTGCCTGACCACATTCACTGGCACGCAATTTTCATTGCCATGCGCATCGATAGAAACAAGCAGTGATATTTGACATTCATAATTCCCCCACAATTATTGCGAAATAAAGATAACACGTATCGTAGCTGAGCAAACTGTACCCGAGCAAACACTCAGCTTAATCCACAGCACAAATACCTCCACACCAACTTTTTTGAAAGCAAGACACGCCTAAGACTTCAACATGTCTTTTGCTCGGCAAACTTGCACAACATGGATTGTCATCTACTAGGGAGACTGGTTTATGCCTACCACTCAATACCGACGGTCATATCACCAAAAGAAAATTCCAAAAGAGGACCCACCAAGGTATCAGTGACAATGTATTGTGAGATGATAGATGGCACATTGAGTATGTGCTATGCCTGAGCTATTGAATGGATGAGTGTTGAACAGCCGGGTATTTTAGAGAAGATATACGGTAGAGGATCGCTTCATCATATATGTACATGTATCTATATAGGTTTAATTAGAATCGTGTGGCCGGACGCTGATCAGCCACAAAGTTCACGCCATGGGTATAAAATCGATTAGTAGAATACTCAAGTATACGTGTTGAGGGAATATTACATATGAACATTTATATCACATGTTACAAGGCACCGTAAAAGACAGATGCTTGATCAAGACTAAAATATAAGACTTAATCAGCTGCGGGAGACTATCGTCGACGATCACGGCTCTTGCTCCTCGAGCGATCACGCCTCCTTCGATCGCGGTCTCGATCTCTGCTCCGCTCTCGTTCCCGATCTTTGCCACCACCACCCCTATCTCTATCACCGTCACTATCTTTCGAATTACGTCCCGGGAGATACCGATCTGAATCCTGCAGCCTTGTCCGCCCGTGCCTATCTCCATCCCAGCGATCGTAGTCCCTCGCTCGATGATGAGAGCTCCGTCCACCACGATCGCGGCTGTCGGCGCGTTTGCGGCCACCGCCACCAGGGACGTACCTATCGATACGCTCTTGGTCGCGGCTCCTGGACCTGCGGTCGCGGTCTCGTCGCCTGGGCGGAGGTGAGTGGTCACGACGACGGCGATCATCCCGCTCGCGGGACCGGTTGGGGGAGCGAGACCGGCGGCGTTCGTTACGCGTACGGTCAGCAGATGGACTGCGTGTACTGACGCGAGATTTGCGGCGCGACGTTGCTTCTCGAGACCGACTGCGCGATCTCCGAGTGTGATGACGGGAGGACCTGTCGTCGCGGTCATCTCGAGGGCGATAGGATCCTCTGTCATCTCCACGTCGGTAGCGGCGATCATCTCTGTCCAAGCGGCTTCCGCGTGATCGGCTTCGACTGTGTTTCCGGAGGCTCGCGCTGCGTTCAACGCTTTGAGACCGTGAGCGGGAGCGGTCTCTGTGTCTTTCGATGCTCTTCGAGGAAGGTAGCTGGTCCCATCTCGATTTAGGAGCTGTTTCAGTGGGTGTGAGAGGCGGCGCATCCTCCATGGGCGTGTCTTGGTCGTCGGACTCAGATGCCTTGGTTTCTGGCGCAACAGACCGAGTTGCAGACGCAGGGTTACGGGGAACAAGAGATTTAGGTGGCTGCGCTTTACGGGATGGAGGCTCCAATGATCCTGAACGAGTCAAAGCAGGTCTGCGTCGAGATCTTTTCATCTCTTCACTCTCCTGGAGAAGGGCTTGGAGAGCCAAATCATCATCCACCTTAATGTCATCGTCTTCAACCTTCTTGACTGGTTCGGGTGACCTTGTCCGGCTGTCGCGTCTGCTGAACGCTCCATGATCTCTATCCCGGTCCCGGTCTCTGCGGCGTTCCCTACTCCTGCTGTGGCGTCGGGTGCTGTGAGCGCGGCTATCACGACGACGTTCGCGGTGGCGTTCGCGCTCAAGTTGTTCCTCGATTGCGAGTCGTTTCTCCCGTTCACGATCCTCTTCACGTATCCTCTTCAGACGTGCCTGGCGCTCCGCTTCTTCTTCTTCCTTCCTCTTTTTCTCCTCGGCCCTCTCCTTTTCTTGACGCTCGCGCTTTAGACGACGACGCTCTTCCTCTTCCCGATCGCGTTCTTCCCGATCCCTAAGTCTTCTTTCCTCACGTTCCTGTCTTTCCTTTTCACGAGCCTCTTTCGCCTCCCTTTGGCGACGGTGCTCCTCGTCCCTCCTCGCCTTCTCTTCCCTCTCGCGTTCGCGCTCCTTCTCCAACTCCTTTTCTCGTATGGCGGCTCGCTCTTCGCGGCGAGCATCCGCTTCACGCGCCCAGTCTTCCTCACTCTTACTTCCGCGCTGTTCTTCTTCTGCTGCAGTCTCCGCTCCAACAGCATTCACCCGATATTCCCGCATTTTAGCAGAACCTTGTGTATCGACGTATTTGTTGATCAATTCGGCAAGGGAAGAACGAACGGGTCCGTAGATATCGCTCCGCTCGCCAGCACCCAGAATCAGTGTCGCTGCTAGTTTGGGTGGCTTCGAAAGTAGCGTCGGGTTGCGGTCCGTTTCGCGGGCGACCAGCTCTTCATATGAAGATGATAATGCGACCTTGGCGGCCTATTGATAGAGAGGCACGATTAGAAGTCGTAAAAAGTTTGCTAGAAGTAAAACCTACATCGGACTCGTGTTCAGTTCGAACCAAACTTTTAATAGCATCGTATTCGCCCTTCTTGCGAAACGTGTCGACCAGACTGTCGATTGCGGACCGTTGAGCTTGTGTAAGAGGAAGATCGGATAGTTTTGGTTTTTTACGCGTAAGCGTGCCTGAATCTTCGACTTCGAGAGACCGTTTTTGGTTGATTTCGGCCATGGCAGGCGAGTGTTTGATATGTGAGGTGTAGAACGGAAGCTTGAATGAATGTTTAGCTTCGTCGAAAGCGAGAGACCGTGATCCCTGTCTCGTATGGGGGATCCCTGACGTTGAAGTCTTGGCAATTGTTCACATCACGTGACCTTACCGAACTCGTGAGATCCCGCCCTCAAGCTTCAACCGCCCAAGCAAGCAAGTCCCATCCCGGCAGGGCGAACAGATCCCACGACCAACGACGACCACCACGGTACAACCCCTCCACCCTTCAAGTACCTCGATCACCTCGAACCCCTAAATTGCACTACTGCCGCCGTTCCACACACTCTTTCTCTCCTTCGAACGTCCACAATGGTTCACAAAGTGCTCTTCTGGAGCGGCCTCGGTACATCTCCCAGCATCCCCAGGTCTTCCCAAAAGATCTCATCGAAGCTTTAGACTAACAGCTATAGGGGTTGGTGTACGGCTATGGCAGCTCGGTATTGAAATGCGACCTCTCTTCAACCGCGAATCCCTTTGGGTGTACCCCGTGTTTGCAGGTATTGGCGGCAGCTTCGGCTACTGGCTTATGGGTGTTGAACAACGTCAATACAAGATGCTCGCGGACCGACGAGATGCATTGCTCGAAAAGCGCGCGAGGAGGAAGGCGCGCGAGGAGACAGCATTGGAGTCTTAGGGAACGCGTGAAACGGAAGGACAGGAGGGACGCGCGAAGCAGGGACACTTGATGTTGCCCAATTGCACGCGCGCACAGTACAATAGAGCTGAGCTGGAATCTTCGATTTTCTTCGCGTGGAGAGGCACGAGCGGGCAGAAGGAGTGCGTGCGGGGGGGGGCAGATGTTAATGTACTTTTATGACTCCCTTGAGCTGAGGACTCGCTCTGTACAAATTCCTCAATCCACAAAAAGCGCTTCAAACAAACATTGCTCAATGCCCGATTCCCAATCATCTGTAAACTGTGAACCTCTTCCATCTGCGCAATGGTATCGTGTAAAGTGGCGCAGGTATGTACATGGGAAGTATTATTAGCTCTATGTAATGTCGGGCTAGCACGCTGGCCAAATAACCAGATTGGGTAAAATCTGGAATCGCGCCTTCTGCCGATACTCCACCTACCAACCAGGTTTCCACCCTTTTGCAGCTCTCGGACGGAAGAGTGTTTGTAAACTTATATGTACAATCGAAATGACACGTACGCGAAATTCTTCATGACCGACTATAAATCAAACTGAAGTCCGTTCACCATATACTACTGACTGCTTCACATTGCCACATTCACCCTACCACCAAGCCTCCTATTCTACCCTATCATAATGAGCAACAACAAGTCGAAAGGGGGCATCGTGGTTTTTTCCGGTGGAAGCGCGGCAAACAACCTCGTCGATGTCTTCCAGGCAGTAAGAGAGAACAGAAAGTGTCTTCTGAGCTATGTCATTCCGATTAGTGACAATGGTGGGAGCTCTTCAGAGTTGATTCGGGTGTTTGGTGGACCAGGTATTCGATTTGAGAATCTAGAATTATACGTAACATACTAACTGGAAAAAGGTATCGGCGATGTCCGCAGTACGTTTTCCCACCAACCAGAAACTTAGGCTTCCGTACTTATCTTGATACTCTAGGTCGTCTTGTACGCCTGATTCCGGATGACCCTGAACATGAGGATAGCGAAAAAGCCGCGATAAAGATCTTCTTCAACCACCGACTTCCAAAAGATCAAAGACTAGCGAAGTTGGAATGGTTGCAGATAGTGGAAGCAGACCATGAGCTCTGGACCCATATCTCCACCGCTAAAAAGGAGCTCATGCGGGCAATTCTAAACATGGTGAATTTCGAGATTTTGAAGAGGCTGAGACCAAGCTCTACATTCGACTTTTCGGGAGCTAGCATCGGTAACCTTTTTCTCACTGGGTATACTATTTTCACGACTCCAACGGTGTGATATCAAGATGCTAATTTTCTCATCCAGAGCTCGTCTTTTCACTGGTTCCTTCGAATCAGCCATCTACCTCTTGTCAAGCATCTGCTCTGTTCCAGAACATACTTCGGTGCTCCCTGCGATCAACACAAATTTCACACATCACATCTCTGCTGGACTGGCCGACGGCACCGTGATTACTGGTCAGAACTCCATCTCACACCCTTCAATAACTACAGCGCTCGATGACACAGCCCCCACTGTGCACGAGGACACCGAGCTTCACGATGCTATAGAAGATGCCAATCTTCCAGGAAGTCTCCCCACTCTACGAAAACAATACATCAACTTCTCCAAAGCGGACGAAGACGATTTACCAGCCCGTATCCAAAGGCTATGGTATATCAACCCATACGGCCAAGAAATCAAACTGGCTGGAAATCCAAAAGTGATCAACGCACTCAAAGACGCGCAGGCAATCATATATAGCATAGGATCGCTTTACACGTCGCTCATACCATCACTAGTCCTAAAGGGCGTCGGTCAAGCCCTTGCCAACCCAACCATCCGCTACAAGATCTTAATTCTAAACTCGACCAACGACCGCGAGACTGGGCCTTCAAGCGCCCCCTTCTCGGCGCTCGATTTTATCGAGGCAATCGCGAAGGCCGGAGCTGAGAGTAGGGGGTATGTGGGCGAGGTACCCAAGTACGATTACTGCTCGTACGTGACGCACGTCATACATCTTACCGGCCCTGGTACACCCGCAGTATACAAAGAAGAATTGAGGGATATATGGATCGATACGATTAGAATATACGGAAGGAGGGAAGAGGGCGAGAGCTTTATACGATATGACGAGAAGGCTTTAGTGCAGGCGCTTGAAGCTATCTTGGGCAAGAGAGATCCGAGAGCGGATAGGAATAGAAGGAACACACTGGAAGGCTAGGGATTTGGTTTGGGCGGTGGATAATGGAAAGCCGATCTGTTTCAAAGATATATGTAATAATTACAGTACATTTTCTATGTTAAAAGAATGTACTCGGGCGAAAGCTGCAAAATTTAGAATGAACACTGTGCTGAGCATTTACTATAACTTCTTGATGATCAGGAGCGAAGGGCGGGCATGATATACATCTTTACGGTATCCCTTAAATTCAATTCATGTATAGTGTATGCTGTTGAGCTATCAAACCATGAAACATTGGTGGAAGGAATGACGTATAAGGGCATGAAAGATGTACGGCATATTCAAAGAGGTAAGAATAAGCAACCTTGCTCTACTTTGATTAATATTCAATTCGCCTTCGATGCATGTGGGAGTATTAATATAAGCCCACATGTTATGGCTCGAGAAGAGTAAGGAGTGCCTTGACATATTGTGCTTTATTATACAATATAAGGTATGGAATTGTACAAAACATCCTGAAAGTGCACACTTCCCTATAAATCATCTAGCAAAAACAGGAGATATACCATCCTGAGCTGATAATGCAAATAACGGATAGTGGATCGAGATATCTGACAGCACTCTTTCGGCGTTTGCGAAATAAAGCAGCGAAAATGAGACGATATAGATAACACAGTTACTTTACACATACAAATATATTATTTTTAATATCATAACTCTTTTGCTGTGGTGTATAATTAGCACAAGAGAGTCATGGGATATTCAGTCATAAAGATCAGTCAGGATATAGATCACTCATCTCATGCGCCCCCACACAATCATACCCGCACGAAATGACAATTAGAAGTAGACTTGGAAGTAAAAAAAAAAAGTCATGAATTACGATACAATACGATATAAGGAAGAAACCAGCACCCTTCCCCTCCCTTTCCCCCCCACCCCCGGAAAACCCAGAAAAGCAGAACCCTTACCAGAGGAACCACACAAAAGACCGCCTAAGCACACCGCAGTTTATTCCTCTCTTTCTGTCTTTCCCATTCACCACTCCAATTACGCGGAAGATGTCCTTGATCAACGGGATGTTCTTCTGCTGTGGGTTGAGGAAAATGTGAGAAATGGAGCTGAGTAGAAAGTGAGGTGCGGGCCAGCGCTGTGGTTGGTCCGACAAGAGTTTGAAGACAACATTGAAGTTGGCAGGCAGGCACGTGTGGCTTGTTTCCTATCAAGGAGCTCGAGGTTAGGATTAGATAAAGCAAGAGCGAGGCAGATTGTGACCAAGACAGCCGGTGACGTGTTGTATAAGGAAAATTCTGTCCAGGATCTATCCACAGAGAAGCTAGCAAGATATGGTCTTGGGAGCCAGATGCTATGGTTTTGCATGTTGTTCTTGATGGGTAATTGACTGTTGTTTTGGTACATCGTATTGTTCGAGTTGTATTAGCTGGCTACAATAACAGTAGAAATTCTATTTCATATGGACATTGCTAGATACCACTGAACATACTAATATACAAAGAGATGTAATGAAACGTAAAGAGAGATCAATAAATGTAAGGAGATATAAGGAAAAAATGAAGAAATACACAGGAATAGAAAGAAATGTAGAGAGATGTGAAGAAAGATAAGGAAATACAGATCACTTGCCTAGGTAGACAGTAGCTTCTACTGTATACAATTTTCTACGTCTAACACACAATGTGCAGGTGAATGGTCTAAGTCATGGCAACCTTAATTAAGCGCACTGCCTGCACGTCCGCACGAGTGCTTGGTCGGTGGTCCCGGGGAGCGTGCCCTGTTCTGGCGAAATCATTGAGCATTCCCAGCGAGATAGAGATGTCCAGAGCCAGACGATCATGTGTCTTGAGAATTGTGAGCAAAGGGTTGCGGGTGATGTGCCCTGAAAATTCATGCTCCTAACTCTCACTCTACTGGCACATGGGCGTGAAAGTCGTTTAATCATATGAAGCGTGTGGTTGTAGTAGATGACGTATATTTTTTTTTGGCAGCAGTGGTGGAAAACCGTCGTTCATGGCGTCGCGACCAGCAAACCGTACATGCGTCTGGCTCTCGTTTCATTTATCTCATCAACCAGGACTTCCTTCACCCCAGGTCCTTGCTCTTGGACCTCGATGCCTTCCTTGTTCACCAGAATCTTGAATAGATGGTCAAAGTCTTTCACCACGTAATCGCAGAACCGGTTCCATGCGTCCATGAAATATCCTTTGCACTGTTTTACCTCTTTCGGACCTAGGCAACTGTATTCCAGACTCCAAAGCGCAAGCTGTTTCCAACCATGGACAGAGATTGTTGGTGAGCCGACCATTATTTGGTAGAATTCGTGGGACATGGAATTGCTGTCGAGTTTGTTAGCGAGAGGTGACAATAGAATAGACCAGGAGATTGCGAGACATACCTGAACAGAGACGGATTATCACTGTTGACAGTGCAAGGTATTCCGGCAGCAAGTAGTTCAGGGTAGGGATGCTCTTTGATGTTTCTGCACAAATGAAGAAGCTCGTTCGAGATGGGACAGAGCTCAATACATATCCCGGGACTGTCAGCTGTCTTCCTGAATTTTTCGACAAGTTGAGGGTGCTTCAATAGAGAGAACCCATGACCTATGCGTTTTGATTTCAGGGCCACTGCGTCAAAAAGGTTCGAATTTTTTGGGTCTGCTGAGCCGCCTGTATCGAGCAGTGTTTCGCCAGCGTGGAAGAGAAAAGGAATCTCCAAGCCTTCGCGTTTGCACATCCTTTGAAAAGCTACCAATTCTTCAAAGTAATATCCGATATGGTTTGGTCGGTCTTCGGCACCGACAAGATCAAAGCCTGCATCTCGTTAGTACACGGATAAAACCACGCTGCCAAGGGAGTACTTGCCGCAAATGAGATTGGGGAATTTCTTCTTTAGCTGGATGCAATCCATCATTTCGCTCTGCATTAGAGTTTTGGGTATAGATCGAGGAGTGCAGTAGATGATCTTGAGTCCACAAGGAAACAGGTGACCTTTACCCTCTTGATCGAGTCTGGCTTTCTTACTTGCGACGCAGTCAAGAATGAGCTGCATTTGCTCAGCATTGTCGATCTTCTTCTCGCCATTGTCTGAAGGAATGAATTTGTCAAGAAGCATGGGCCGCAGTTCAGCGTACATGACTTTTTCATCAATCATCCGATTGATTGCTTGGTCTATGTACCATTCGTATACTTTCTTGTAGTTTACTAGCCCTTTGAAACACCGCGTGGCTTGATTGAATCTTGCCCAGACTCTGTATCAATCTAGGTCAGCATTCGAGCCAGAGCTTGAGAGTGGTGGAGAAGAAAGGAGTAACGTACCCGTTCACTGTCTGATCGGGAGCGTATGCTTCGGCTTCGCTGAGTACCATCTTCTGCAAAATCCAATTCTCGGCTGGTTCGAGGTCGATGGGTACCAGATCTAGATTCAGTTGGTCCTGGTCACTGTGCTTCTGTACGTATTGTCCTGGGAATTTTGCTTTGAAAGAGGCTTTGAACTCGTCCCATCTCATCCACACCTTGTCATTGCATTCCGGTTTCTTCCACGAATCGCTTTCCGTTTTGAAGTCTTTGGAGAACATGTTGTTACTCTTGGTATGCCTGGGCATTACCTTGAACATCATCTCGGTCAGTTGCAAATCTGACTCATCCAGCAGAGCCCTGGTGCTCCAGACAAACATATTGTCCATTGACCGGGCTTGTTCGAGAAGCCGTTCTGGATTGAGCTCAGAGTTGAAGTGCAGATGCAGGAGTCCACCTTTGGGAACCTCCTTTGCGATTTTCTTGAAGAGAATGCTGTCCTCCTCGATTTTGACTTTGTTGGTAAGAAATTGACCGCCCATGTCACGTGTGTGGGGACCTGGGATCGCTTCAGATGCGACATTGCCAAAAACCACGCGCCTTTCGAATTCTCGAAGTCCTCGAACGATGACGGCAGCCCTCTTTTCTTTTTCGCTCGCAGTATGTACTGCTTCGGCATCCCACGATCGGTCACCCTCGGTTTTGACTAGATCCTCCCGGGCCTTCTTGAATTGTTGGAGTTCTTTGTATTCGGCTGCTTGATTAGAATTCCTTTGCTGGGTGGAGAGAGTCTCTCTAAAAGCTTGTTTGAGCGCTTCCTTTTCATTGCTAATATCGTCAGGTGCAGCCATCTTGATAGGTGTTCTGGTTGAAGGATGAGGACTGTGTGATGGTCGTTTTCTCTTCTTATAACGTTGGTCAGCCAAGAACATGACTGGTTTGGATGAGTCCTCGCCAGAACGACGCCTGCCACGTACAGAACTGGGAAGAGTCAGTAGACTGTGTAACAAGCTTTGTTGACTCAGTTGGGACTCACAGAGGTAGGATTATCCCACACTTTGATAGTAGACCCTGAAAAGAGTTCTGAGAGTCACCGCTAGCCTTTCTGTCGACTTCAGTGCGCATTCCGAGTAGGCCTGTGCCAATGACTTTGATTCTTGCTTCTCGGGCCAATTCTGGCAAAGTCAAGCGAGGTTGAGGTTTCACAAAGATGATGATTGGAATATCGACTGCGAGTATAACAGTAAAGTAGAAGCCTAGACTTGGTGGCTATGTTTGTCAAGAAGGTACTGACGGGGCGACGGAGGGCCGCCAGGCAGACAGGGCGATTATCCAGGTGGAGGGGAGTTGGAAAAGGTTTCAGTAGACGCTACTTGCTGATTGTTCTTCCTAGAAGATAGATGGGGATGGTTAGAATCGATACTGGCATATGGTGTTGGTGCTGCGCCTCTGCCGATAGACGAGAAGGCTGAATCGCGAGATGTGATGCCTGACGCGAGAGATAAGAGAAAAAGGAGGAAAAGCGACGAAATGCGGCACAAGTAGAAAGACAAAGTTTTATGAATTCAAGTCATGCGATCAAGATGCAGCGGCGCACGAGGAAGTGGCTATGATGCATGGAGTAGTATTGATTGGAATGATGCAGTCACGATGATATATGAGACATGCAGGGAAACAGGCGTAGGTAGTAGCGACAAGCATAGAGGAAGTGAAGAAGGAGTCGATGAAGCCGTAACATACATGTACATGAGCACACGGTCCGAGTTTTGCGCGTTCACTTGATCTTTCAAGATGGTGTTTGCGATGGGCCGTGTTCCAGAAGTGGGAGTGCAGGCGTCGCTGGCTTGGCACACGTGGTCGGTGGACGGATGTGAGGCCGAAGGTCAGAGCAGGGCAGATGGAGCACGCGACGAGGAGAAGTCAGTGCCTGCGCAGCGGTTTCAAGATGGGCGAAGATGTTGGAGGTTGCTGGAGAAGGGGATGCGACAGGCGCTTAGGGGGAGTTGAGGCAGTGTGGCGGCAAAGAAGGAAGGGGATGGGTGATGGATGATAGAGGGCAGACAGCCGGTCACAGAGTGAGGCTATGCTGGCCAGGCAGGCTGCTGTGTCGCTTACAGGCTGGCTGTGGGTGGTTGAACCTCTTCTTCGACGACTACGGGATACCTGTACACGGTCAGATATCCATCCATCCATCTCCCCCACTCTGCGTACGTTGTTTGTGATGGGCGTACATATGGATCGACTGTTGGCCTAATCTAGTCGACGCAGTTTGACCGGCAAGGCTGAGAATGTCTTCGTCCTCTGACCGGTCCTGGCCCTTTCTGGCCCCCAACTACCTAGCTATCTATCCTCTGATTCCTGTGGTAGAGAAAAGCTTGTGTAGGATCTACCAACCCCCCCGCCCCATAGAGAACCTCCGCATCTCGTGTTCACCCGTCCCGCCACTTTTTTTCCCTAATCCCTCTCCATCTCTCTGGGTTTTGCTTGCGCGTCGTTTGCTTTCTCGCCTCAGGTTCTGCTCGGCCTTATATACCCGCCTTCATACTCTTTGCGTGCTCAGCAGCCCCCATGTTTCCCTCGCTTTTCTGATTTTTACTGCCTAACTTGCATCTTCGCTATCCTTCCTTCTTTCCCAGCATGCACTGGCTGCAGAGCGCTAATGGCGAGGTTCCGGATCTATCATCTCTGCAGCTCGACATCGTTGGTTTCCTCGCCATCTTGGGAGAGGGTTCCGTTTTGGCCAACGCCCAAGTCCTCACTCTGTCGCGATGGATATTCCTGCCGCGCCTGATTCCTGCCCCTCAAGCTCTTATGCGCCCTACCAGACCTCCCACCCTAGACACCGTGCCGGGCCATGTCACGGGCATCTTCTCGGGCAACTACAAGAATTCCATCAACCACATTGGCAACATTCTCTGGTAAGCAATCCTTGCATCAGTTCGTGTGTATTTGTCATTCTCCAGCTCCACATACATATGTATCCAAGTTGCTAACACTCCACCCCAGCGATGGCTCTGTTCTCCCCGAACACTCGGTCCGTGTGGTCAACATTACGCGTGCTTCTACTGAAAAGAACATCAAAGCACGAACTGTCGCCCCCCTCACCGTTGTCCTCTTCCTCGGCTTCTTCCTCTCTTGTCTGCTCCTCGGTCTATCCATTCATTACAACGATGGCATGTCAATTCTGGCTACCGTCCTCCTCTCCCTCCTCTCCTCGCTCATCGGTCTCGGTAACAAGTGGGAATTGAAGCTTCCCGAACGCAAGGCCAAGTCGGACAAGGTACCCAGGGGAGATGTAGTTATCCGGTACGATAAGGGTAGTTTCCTGGTCGTCCGGTGCTCCGAGGACGTGGCTCGAGAATTATACTTTGCCCCCGAGTCGATACACTATTTGCTGATTAACGGATGGGCATACCGCCTCATCAGCCTGGTCGGGACCATGATGCTCATGGGCGGCGTCGTGGCCTTGGCCAACGCTCGAATTGAGCTCCAGATCACCTGGGCAGGGTCCTATATGACTCTTGGCTCGGCATACTGGATTGTCGCTGCCATGCCTAATAAACTTCACTGGGACTATTCATGCTACGAAGTCACCGAGGAACGTCTTTCTGACTCCAAGATGAATATGAAAGGCAAACCTTCGGTGAACGATACCTTCACGCAGGCTCTCTGGCGGGCGATTGTCGTTACCAAGAACACCGACTGGGTCATGCGTAGCAATGCGTGTCCCAAAACCGCCGCGTGGAAACAATGGCTGGAAGAAGCAAAAGAAGCATCTCTGAGCGCCAGGGAGCCTAGTAGAGAACGCACGCCTGGGACCAAGGTGTGGCAAGTCCCCAAATGGGATGCGCAGAAGCGGCTTGGAAGTTTGCTGGCGTCACAGGCGCACAACGACAAGAGGGACTTCCTTGACGAAGAGGTTCTCGACGTCGAAGGTGTCTGAAGAATGAAGAAGAAAAACAGATATCCCCCTCCACCCAGGGCTGGAAAAGGGTACGGCCGCGCCACGACAGCTTATGATACGACGCCATGATTATGAATTTCCTTTCTATCTTCAGCCAAAATCAACGCCCTGCATCAACAGTGTCTGTAATTTTGTCCATCATATAGGGCTCATGCCACGTTTAGCATCGTTAGCCACTTCGGAATCATCCTAGTGTAGCGCAGTCAGACTTGAGCCTGACAGTATCCATCTTCCATCTGCTGTATCTTGCATCTTGCACCCACCTTCGCCCGCGCCTCTGCGGCAGCATGGCCAGCATCCAGATCTGAACTGCTCAGATCCTGGGGTCTGCTCTCCCGCCAACGCGGGTACAACTACTCGTGATCACAAAGGACTTGTAAACTCCTAGCTTTCAGTCATAGCCTCATCTAGCCGTCTTCCACCTCATCTCCCAATTCACCTTGCCCCGCACAACTTCTCTCAGCCACGTATCCAAGCTTCCCCCTTCTCTCCCATCAACCTCCATTCCCTCGCTTAATCCCACTCCGCCTTCTTCTTTGCAGCATACTTCCTCTGTCGCTTCTACAGCTTCGTCCCACTCCTGCAGACTGAACACTCCATCGCTTTCATTCATCAACAAGCTCCCATCACCGGAAAAGGCAAATACATGTGCAGATCGTATCGGTTTTGCGCGGAGGAGCTGATTTGCGGTCGGGGAGACCAAAGGTGTGGAGGAGGACGAGGGGATGACGACGAGCGCTGCGGTGAGGATCGTAGAGAGCGGTATCGAAGCGCTAAGGAGCGCGAGGAGCGCTGTGTGCAGGAGATGCGGGAGTATTGATAGTGACTTTAAAACAGAGATCAATTGGTTAGCCACTGATTACATTTCAGCGCCAGATTGCGTTCTATCCCTTCCCAAATTCCTATGTACGTCTGCGTCTTGCGACAACTCCACGTGCAGCTGGGGGAGGGAAACAGAATCCAGGGAAAACTCACAGAACTAACACCACAGTCCCCTTCCTCGCTCGGCATCCCGCTCACCTGCAGTGTAATCTGCACCAGCGAGCGCGGCAAGCTCTCCGTCAATACCACGCTGCGCAGCGCGCCGTGCAACAGCGTCTCGAGGTGTCGCTCGCGCGGACTGCCTACACCCACCGCGGGTCGTACGTTGACCTCGAGGGTCGCTTCTGTGGGGAGCTCGTCGCGGCGCTGCACTTCGATGGGGCCGTTGACTGCACCGATGATGGTGTAGCCGTTGGACGTGTATGTTGCGGAGCCGTCGGCGCGGTGGAGAGGGGAGAGTTGCGTTGTTGGATGCATTGTCCTTGTTTTTCGTTCTTTCTTCAGCACAATTTTTTGTTTCTTTCTTTTAATTTTTCTTCTCGAAGTTGGAGATTGGTGGGTTGCGAAATAGTCGTGTTGTTGGGAGGGATTTCTTTTGGTGGTTTAGGGAATTCAATTGAAAAGGTAACAGGGATTTGATGGATTAAATTTTGGCGGGGAGGTCATGTAAGATGTCCGAGCTCCCTTTGCGGGTCGGTGGTGGCTGTCTGTTAGCTTGGCCGAGGCCTGGCTGATTGACTGATTGACGGATTGACCTCTCTCCGAACGAGCTTCCATCTTTACTTTACATATACCAACACTCAACTTCCTCAAAGAGACATAGTAGTGCACATACTCGGATACTTACGTATCAATTTACTTCATCTATAATTCCAGTAAATACTAAACTAGAACACGTACTTACCCATCTCCGTACATCGAAACCGCAACAATGGCGAGTAGTTCATCGCGCAACATAACACCCACCAAGCGACTCCTCACGGAGCTCCAAGCCTACCAATCCGACCCCAACGAAGCGCTCCTCGAGCTCGGCCCAATCAATGACGATGAGCTGATGCAATGGCGCGCCGTCATGAAAGGTGTAGAAGGCACAGCGTACGAAGGTATGATATCTATGCATCCATGCATCCATGCCGAATCCCTCTTCAACCCTCCCACCCCCTCAGACTCTCACTAACACCAAGACAAAACCTAAAATAGGTGGTCAATGGGAACTCTTAATCTCAATTCCCTCATCATACCCCATGGTCCCGCCAACAATCCGCTTCGCAACTCCCATCTGCCACCCCAACGTCGACTTCCGCACCGGCGAGATATGCCTCGATGTCCTCAAAGATCGCTGGACGCCCGCCATGCAGATTTCCTCGAGCTTGACCTATGTCCACCAGCTGCTGACGAGTGCGGAACCCGATTCCCCGCTCAATGTCGATATCGCGCAGTTGTTCAGGGCGGAGGATTATGTCGGGGCTGAGGCGCTGATCAGGTTCTATACCGAGACGGAAAGGTGGGGTGGGGTTAGGAGGGAGACACGATAGGAGAGAGAGATGAGGATAAGTTGGTCTGATATCCAGGGTTCAGTATGGGTTGGCGTGTGAAGGGTTAGGTGGGGATGATTTATTCCGTTTCGTTTCCTATGGATTGGGATGGCGATGTGGAAATGTTTATGTTTATATTGCGTGCGAAAGCGTCTTCATATTTCCATGTTAGCTCAATTACTCAGAAACGAGTACCAAACATTGTTTCTCGGAAGTTTCACAAGTCTCTGCTTAGAAACGTTTGGATGCGTCACACTTGGTATATCTTTGAATTTCGACTCTGGCATTCAAAGTATTCAGGCTTTTCACGGTGTCTGTTCGGTTATGTGTCTCGAAAAAAGAGTTGATAGATATACATAAGATCAAGTAAGCACAGATCGACAAGACGAGAGAGACAGAACGCAGAGTGGAATATAAGAATATAATGCGAACACTCCATCGTGTATTAGACATAAAGTTAGGGAGCCCGAGGTTTTATCCAATAAAACATGCTGCATTAATGCAAATAAATGCCCATATTCCACATAAACAGGCCCAGAAGGCGTACGGTGAGAGCCAGCCGCGCCTCCTTTTAAGTCCTCGAGGGTATCGCCCAACATTGGAAACGAAAATGAACACTTCAAGTCGTTCTCTCCTTACATTCAGAATCATCAAACGCTCTACCCATGCCACCTGAAGGAGAGAACCACCTAGTCGTGATGGATCACGCATGTGATCGGAAGCATTATGTATGTCAACTGGTACCATCAATCGATGGCCACAGCACGTGACCATAGCCATCCAATCAATGGACGGATCAGCGATTTTCCACTTGTGCAGCCGCGTACCAGATCGGAAAAGTAGCAGACTCTATTAGCCACGTCGTTCTCCTTTCGAGGATTTCTTTCATTCTTTTAGTCTCTTTCTCCACCCACCACCCACTGATTTCTCCTCCAGCCCTTGCTAGAATTGGTAACTGTCCCGCGGACGACAACCCTCGCCGCAGTCTGCGATGTTTGAGCTCCCGATCTAGGGATATTCGTGGCAGAAACTCGGCGCGTGTACGAAGACGCTGTCATTTCTGCAGCTTCTGCATGAGGAGTTTTTTCCTTCGTGACGGTTGGATCATACGAGTGTCGCCGTAGAGTTGGGAGAGGGTAGAATGGAGGATCATATGGGCCAGGGAGAGGTTGCGGAGGGGCTATCCATGGATATACAGATTCTTCTGCTGTCGATGTCGTGCTTTCTGAGGCGAGCTTGTGTCTTGCATGTTTGCGGCATGGATCGAAGGAAGTGTACGGGTTGGTTGTCTCTTTTCGTTTTATTTTGTTTCTGCTCCTGTGTTGTCCTTCATGCTCCCTTGTCGAAAATCTCGTGACAGCTAGCCGAAGTCCGGTCACGACGACTAATACGAGAAGGAAAATCTTGAAAAGAGGCCCATATCCACCACCATATGTATTCCCAAATACGCTTGCGGTAGTGGTACGGGTGTTTTCCGCAGGCACAGATGGAAGAGGGAGAGGAGGCATCAATGGATAGGAAAAGAAGAAGGCAAGATATATGACGGGGTATAAAAGGTAAGTGGTGATCTCTGCATGTGAGCGTGGTATGCTTTGATCAATGCAGGTAGATATCCATCTAACCAGTCAGTGAACAGTGAACGAGGGGGGGGTCCCTCGCGTGCTTTCATACAAACTCGGATGCAAAGACGGGAGAACCTTTTGCATAAGCGCTAGAAACACTGCGCTCGAGTGGTCGTCAGCAGGTGCGTATGTGTATGGCTGGCGGGATTAGCACCGGGGTGGATGTATGCATGCATGGCGAATTTATAGGAGCTGGAGGCGAATGTTGACTTTGTATCGCCAGTCAATCAATGGACAAGGCCCCGCTCAGCGACTACCTGAGCGACGGGAGGAGGCCACGCCGCCTCAGTGCAGTCCTCTGTAGACATCGGTTCCATACATAGATGGATGTTGGCGTGATGGCCATTCAAGCAGCGAGCAGCCGATCTGGATAGATTTAGCCAGCCCTTGCCCTTCCCGTCCACCCTGCAGACAGAGACTGTCTCTATGGTCACGGGCAAGAGCTCCAGGCGGGATGTTTGCATGGTGGACAGGGCCCCGTGGGCATAGTCGAGTGTTCAGCTGCGCATGATGGCGGATTGCAGGATAAGGCTGGCGACCGCGAGCCCGAAGAAGCAAGGTCGCGGCATCTTTCAGCACCGTCTGGACATGTTCGGGGCGCGCAGTCGTCGACTTGTGGGAGACTTTCCAGCTGAACAGCTCAAGAGCAAGGGTTGACGTTGGGGTGGTGGCGTGGCCGCACGGGCCTCTGGACAGGGGTGGCCCGAGATCCGATCACTGCAACGGTGAGAGCTGGACTCGTCCGACTCGCTTCCTTTCCTCCACGCTCACTTGGGCATATGAACCTCTCGTTTTGTTTTCCCCTCCACATCTCTGGGCGCTGATGGGGAAAGCTTGCTTCAGCTCTATCGAATGCGCCAACCGAACTCGCATCTTGCAAGATTGGGACATGCACATGCACGTACATGTACAATCAATCATTGTGACAGTACTCCCCAAACAGCTCATCCATCATACACAGGCCCGAGTACATATGTGCATGCATGTGTATGTGTACCCAGCTTCCAATACCTGTTCTATAACGATAGAGCCAATACTCAGGACGCGCATGCCCGAGGTAGCCATCAGATCATCCATTGCCGTAGGAAGCATCACCATCATTGAGGTATCCACCTCGATGATGTACATGGCTCAAACATGGCACCTGGCGCGTGCACTGCTTTCTCCGCCGCCCGCACCGCCATTGACGCCCATGTGACAGATGTAGCACTGAAATACTCTCCGGCGTGCCTGATCTGCAGCGCCTCGGTTTGTGCCGGTCAATCAAGTTTAGCAATCATAACTCCTAGGGCTGGCTGGATGGCTGGCGGCACTTTTGCTCATTATCTCGACTGACGTCCCAGCATATACCTTGGTACGAACCTTTTCAAGGCTTCTGTCTACTTTCATATCCGAGGTCGTGGAGCTGCGTCTCAATACAATGCGGAGAGGGTGTTCCCAGTATCAGCTGCGCGATTGGATTGCTCCAACCCACCATTCAATCATCTCAGCTGTACTGACATCTTAGTCTTCCTTCTCTCGCTCCTCTGCTTAGACGTGAGACCGGTCCACGCGGCTTTAGGACGAAACGATCATCTCCGTCGATCAATGTTGCCTATTCAGTACAGCGGAACGACCGAGCACTTAGACGCTGACGACTGTAATTTTCCATTTTACGAATGGGTGGTGCGCAAGTCGACGGAGAGCAAGGCTGATGGGTTTGCTTAGCTAACGGTACGTACGTACCGTAGTCAGCACTCGGTCATTCGTCGTAAGCTAGTTTCCGAGTCCAGCGGCCAGCCTCTCGGTTCCATCCCCAATATCAACACCTCACTGGCTCAGCGAGACAATACATTGGAGATGATGATTATTCTTTCAACAGTCTCGATGCAATTCGCGGACTCCGCGGTTATTCGGCTTCTTCTCACTGACATACATCTCAGGGCGTCGGGCAAATACTTTTTTTTTTTCTTTCACATGTGTGCATATCAACTGTGCGGCGACTCCGTCGCCACACCCTCTCATCTCCTTCATCTTCCAATAACTAGCCACCCCATCACCCATCGTTGTATCGCCTCTGGTAGTTATTACGTGTTTGTCCAGGATGTCGCCGTTTACTTGTTGCTCCAGCCCAACTCGATCTATCTACGATATGGAACCACAGGCTGTCCAATAACCGTCCTTATTGATACGCGCCCTCGTGAAAACTAGCCTTCCACAGAAATCTGCATCACAACGTATATCGTATGCGGATATCTTGGATGATATAGACATACAGACAGGGATAGCTCGTGTTATTCCGCTTGGATGAATGAATGATAACGTACCTTGTCACAGCCACAGCCCTAGAACCAACTCATAACGCAAGGCAAAATAAATGTAGCACAGCCACACAGCACCCTCGCATTCGTTTACCCCTCTAGTTCCAAAACAGAGGGCACACTGTACTTGGAGGGAAGATTCAACCTGCATGCTTGCTCACCGGTCGACATGCAGGTGACTCACTTTATTGCCTATATATCGTATGGTCTTGCTGGCAATGGGATACAGGTACATACATGTCCTTCATGCATGCACGGGTAACTGTAATCGTGCATGTGTCTCTAGATTGTGCACCCGGTGGTTGCTCGTATTTCGCAGACACAACATCACACAGCCCCCGTTGAATCCCCAGGCGGCATATTCATCACATGCTGCGAAATAGAGGAGATGGTTTGAAGTGGCCGTGAATGGAAGATTCGTCTATTCTCTCCCCACACACTCATGGATATCAATGTAGTAAAATTTACTCTGAACTCGCGGAGCTCATCCAGCTTCTGGTTTCCTTCCGTGTAATAGCTATAATGTATCCGAATGAGTCCGAAGACAGATTATCCTTGTATCCTTAAATAGCCAACCTTGGGGAAAGGTAGAGAGGTATCATACCCAGAAGAGCGTGCGCGCCCATCACTATCCCCCCGCCCATGCACATAGACACACAAACGTGTGGGAAACGAAAATGAAACACGCAAACACAAGTCATGACTACGAAGAAATTAGAAGAGGTAAGGAAGAAGCTCAAAAGCTACCTTTCCAATTGCATTGCTCTCGAGTGCCACTCCCAAGGCCCGCCCCCCGCGGTTGTCATATAACCATGTCATGGTTGGAAAAGATGAACAATCAACCCTCCAGGGTGTAGTCGTCGTCTGATTCACCTTCTGCATCAATGTCCTCCTCCTCTTCCTGTTGAGCACCTTGTTCGGCATCCAGGGAAAAACGAACACGTTTAGGATTGCTGAAATCCTCAACTGGGTCGCCACCTTGAGTAAGCACCGTCTCTCGTGTTTGAGCTGTGCTCCCGTGCTTTATGACAGCAGGAGCATCAGTCATGACTACGTCTCCATCCACCGCGGCCTGAGTCTCCGCAGATTGCTGTGATTTGTGTAGAGCTCTCTTGACAGTAGTGTATTGGGATTTTGGCTTGTTCACGATGCGTTGAAGTAAAAGCGACTGATCTTCGTTTTCCGACGACTGAGAGCCATCTTCATCATCGCTACTTGCGTCGCCGTTTCCTTGCTGTAGTGCTGAAGCGGTGATTTTTTGCAGCGCGGAAAACCGTTTGTTATACTCTGAGCGCCATGTCGGCTCGTCCACCTGCTTGACTTTGCCCTTGCGTTTCACATGCTGCCCGAATTCGTCGGTCTCCTCGTCGATCAACTTGTCGCCAAAAGCCGCCCAGAAGTTACCATTCACTTCATAAGTACCATATGCGCTTTTGGTGACTGCAAAGACTTTCTCGAGCCAGTCGAGGACAAGCTGGACCTCAAACAGTTCGGTGGTATGTTCAGGGCAATGATTCAAAATGTATCCGGGTGTAGCACTAGGCTGAAACATGAGACTTTGGAGTACCATATTCAATATGCGGTTCCACCATGGATAAATAACATGTTGGCCGTCGATAGTGCTCCAGATAGGGAAAAGAGCATTCGGATCGTTAGGATCGGGCATGGGAGGTTCGGGAAGGCTTCCCCAGCTTGTAGAAGCATCTCCCGGGTCTGGCATGACAGGCCTCGAACTGAGAGGATTGCCGTATATATAGGAATCGGTCGCAACGACTTGAACTTCCCAGAATAGACTGTTACGGTCGATGGCGCGGTGAACATAGTCACCAGCACTGAACCCCCAAACAGAGATACGCGGTCGCGGGGCGTCTAATTCATTGTCAATAGGTGGTAGTATAGGTATCAATTTGATACGACCATCGCTAGCAAGCGATAGTATGGCCATGACAGCTCCATCTTCGGCAGTGCGGGATAAGGTGAATTTGCGATTCGAAGCAAAGGCAGAATCAAGCTCCTTTTTCAGTTGAACAGCGGCCATGAAATCTCTCAGTTCAAACACGCGACGGTACTTCATTGCAAATCCTGCAGAGAACTCATAGTTCCGACCGGGACGGAGGCGTTTGATCTTCCACATGCGTAGCAGACGAGCCTCGACCAGTTCCTGGACCGCACCGTTCAGGACTGACTCGCCCAGCGGCCGCAACTTTTCATGGGCTATCTTCTTATCATACAGTGTTTTTGGTGTAGAGATGTTAGCACGGATCCAAGAACGAGCCTTCAGGCTCTTGTCTTCCTTAGGGTCCTTTTGCTCTCTAGTAACGTGGAGAGGAGCTGCAAATCCGTAACCCAGTATTTTGTGCGATCGAACTAGGGCAGCTGTATCGTTTCTATACCATGAAGAGCGGTCGAAAAGCTGATAATTTGAGATATCGATTTGGTAATCTTTCAGATTTTCCCGCTCTTGAGGCAGAGACGGAAGAGGGTAACGGCAGTGTAACATGGCCCACCGTACCAAATTTGCCCAATCATAGGTTTCCGGATCCTCGATACTAGCCACATTACCCTCTTCATAAGCTTTGAGGAAGGTGGATTCGAAGTTCTCCGTGACCGAATGTAGTTGTCCTGTCATATTCTTTTGAATCCATCGCCATGTCTCTTTGGTCTTCTCCAGATCGAAGCGCGGACGATTTAGAACCTTGACCACTATATCCCAGTTTACAGTGCCTTCCTTGCCTGACATGCAAGATGCCACGACAAGCGTGATGAACACCTTTTTGAAGCGTAGAACAGGATCTGGGTTCTCCGGGTATTTTTTATCCTTTGCTTGAGCTTCGCGCATTTCGCGCCTCTTTCTCCTCTCCTTTCTCTCAGGCCAAGTGTAAGTTGTTATTATTTTCTTGGAAGGTGGACGATAGTCAGGCTCATTCACATTTCCCGTCAATCCAGTCAAGCGTTCAACGAGGGTTGGCCCAGACTCGTCTTGATGAAGGCTTTTAGGTGCCTTTAGTTTGGCTTTGCGAAGGTTCTTAGACGATCTTGCAGGAGCACGTTTCAGCCGTGTTTTACTGTTTGAACGGTCGCCCTCATTTGTAGGTATGGAGAATATTGTAGAGAATGTCCCGTTGGACGGGTAGAATCGAACGTCTGGTTTCGTCAAATGCTCGTGGATGTGATTCGTGTCCGATGCAAGTATTTGTTCTGCAGGCTGATTTGAAACCAGCCCATGGCCATGTTCCTCTGGTTCACGATCTACATCCGGGTTCTCATCGTCATCCATACCACCCTCAGCATCGTCAGCAACGGCGGCATCTTCGGCATTCTCTGCATTGTCCTCGACTTCATCATCCGAATCCGAAGTCGATTCATGATCAGACAGAGGGCCTGAAACGGTTCTCACCTCGGGAGGTCTTTCTGGGTTGGATGCCAATGGCTCAGTATCAACGAGCGCTCCCGAGGACGAGCTTCCCACTTGCGGCCATTCAAACGCTTTTTGCGAGGCCAGAGCATCTGATTTGGCACGACCCGGGGCGTTGAGACCAACGAGTCTCATACGTTGTGGATGGAGATTCTTAGACTGTTCACCTTCCACCCTTGACTGCGTCTGGTTCGGCATCAGGTTCCGCAGCTGATACGCTTTGGCAACTTGTTGCTTTTCAGCTTTTTCCCTTGCCTTGTTCGATCGTCTAACGCGTCTCGCAAGACTTTTCGTTGCTTCTGATGTATCTTCCGGTACTATACCATCATCTAGTTGAACTATTGGAACTGGCCTAGGCTTTTGTAGATCACCAACCAAGTGACTGACCTCTGACGGAAAGTATTTGTACGGATACGCTGCCCTGATCTCCTGAACTACCTTTATGACCTTAGGGCTGGTCACTGCTAAATTACTATACGCGACAAGAGCTCTTTTCGCTATAGTGCCAGTGCCATATTCGTGAACGAAAGTATATCTCTTTAACTTCTGCGTGGGATCATTGATCATATCATTGAGCGTACGAATGATCGTGCTGCGCTCGGGACAGGCCATTTTCTTCGGTCCACGTTCTTTCCAGACTTCTTTGTAGACGTGCGCAATCTCGCCGTTCAATGGGAAGACCCCATTACACAGCTCGAGGATGTACCGGACGACAGAAGTGCGAGAATTGTGCACATTACCTCTCCCAAGAACAACATTCCGGTCTTCCCCACGCTTGCGACGAGAAAATTTGGAGTTTGGATCATCTAGTCGTGGGTCGGCGAATGCAGCACGTACGTTGGTCGATGATTGAGTGTTTTCCAGAAGTTGGGTGCCAACCTGCTCCACTAGCTCGGGTGGTTGATCACATGCTGACTCTGCCAGCATCGGCTGTACTGGTGTAGAGGCATAAGGACTCTGATACTCTCTGGATGGGTTAGGGTTTGGCATATTGATAGCCACCCACCCAGCCGGCGATACACGAGACTGCTGTATATCATGCATTCTGTGAAGGACATCTGGGGGCACACCTTTTTGAGCATCGGCCGTGGTTCTCTCAGAATCAGGTGTTGCTATCGAGGATTCTTTACGGGATTGCTCACTGGGGACGGTTTGCTGCCGGGGTTGTTGGAATTGCTCAGGTGACCCTCGCATTTGTCTATCAATTTGAGGCTCAACTGGGGTGCATGTTTGCTGAACCAGTATTTCACCTATCACGAATCCTGGTGGCTTTTCAGCATCTCGTGGTTGAAGTTGTGGCGACGCCACTTCCAGACTTTGCGGTAGATGATCCTGTGATTTTTCTTGGGAGACTTGTGGTTGGGCACTAGAAACGTCGTCCATTGGTTCAGATAAATCCCCTATCGATGCTGTATCTCGTGTTGGCACAGGAGACAATACCGACAGAGGCGGTGTTAATTGTTGAGATGACTCGGCCCCTGCTTTGAGGGAGTGGTGATTTTGAAGCGTCGCGTCCGCACATGGGTCCCGATCAAGTTTTTCTGAAGTCTTGTAATGATTTTTACCGGGCTCGAGGTCTTCTCTGAAAAGGGTACCAGAGGTTTGAGTATAATCTTGTGGCTTTGGCCACATGTGGCCTTTCCAGTTCGAAGCGCGGAATCTAACGGGTGATGCAAATCGCGGCTCATGTTTGAACCATGTGTATTTCTGTAAGCCCGCAGTTTTAATGATCATCATAAAAGCTTTCCTGGGTCGACCCCTGCCAACTGAACGGGTGGCATCCGCGTCAAAGTAAACACCTGGGAGTGCGATGTGAAGCTGGTTTCTATCAACCATCTTCTCGTCAGGTTGGCTGCCAGAAGTTTGTTTGTTGTTCTTCGACACTGATGGCACGCTACTGTCAGCGCTGGTCCGCCTTTTTTTCCGTGGCGTCGAGGGAACTTCATGGGCGCCTCCCAGTTTACGCTTAGGCGGTTCAAATCCACTGGCAATGGGGAGAATGCTAGTCGGCGAGCCAACATGCCCAACATCATCGTGTGGAATGGGGGGGTCAGGTCGCAGTCTTTTTAGTGGTGAGGACTGTTCCGCATTGAGCTCATCAAGGGTGCGCTTGTGCGGTACGTTCATGGCTGTTGCATGGGCATCTGTTGAGAGACGTGGTGATGTCTGACTACATATAGCCTCAGAGGACTCCTCAGGGGGCGACGCCTCCAAGATCTGATCGTGCGCTGAGCTGATATTGTCGGCGTGGTGGTCCGACTGACGAGTCGGATTAGTTTCGACTAAATTGTCATCTGGCAACGGCAGAACGATGGAAAAAGGATCCAGACCTGCTGCAGCTAGGCGTCTAAGCTCAGCGACAATTTTTTCGGGTAAGCGACCATGGGGAGCAAGACCCTTCGCCCTCCGTTGATCTGGTGTCAATAGAGGGCCTTTGATTCCATTATCGATTGGCTTGCGCCTCTTGTTCACAGGCGTTCCTTGTGGAGTATTGGACACCCCTTCGGCTTTAGAGAGCTCTCGCGTTTCTCTCTGTTCGGGTGTTGAATGTGTGGCTCTAGAATCGGCAGTTGGGATAATTTCTGGTATAGAAGTTGGGTCACCCGTCTTCCGTCGGTGGTCACGAATCAATTTCTCAATTTCGGCGCCCAACCGACCGTTCTTTGGTAAACCAAGTGCCTGTCTTTGTTCACGGTTCAGTAATGTCTTCTGCGCAGTCTTTACAGATCGGCCCGTTGATGTCCTAGAGGAGCCCTTTGGTTTTGTCTTGTACTTGGGTGTGCTTCTAGCACCAGTGTTGCGAGCAGCTGTCTGCCCGTTCTCCACTCGGTCAAAGACCCAAGTATTGGCCAACGTATCGGGTTCCTCAAGAGCCAATTCTTCAAATAAGACCTTCTCCCAGCGTTGCCCGGCACTACGTACATGCACTACACTTTGACGACACTCGCTCAAATCAGAGGTTCCAGAACGACGATGGAGCTGCGCCATATTGACTGGCGCAAAGCCCCAAGGATCGAGGTAAGTACCTGTGGTTTGTTCCTTGCCTGGAAGTCTCCTTCCTTCTCGAGCTTCTTTGCTCACGTTTATCCAGTCCACTTCTCCTGCATCGGCGACCTTCTGAAAGTTCGCATGTGTTCGGTACAGGAAATGTGCATATTTCTTATCGTTAGTCACCATTGTATCTTTGACTATGGCGAGATGTCGTAGATGGCGAGGCTGACTTTCCTCCCAGTCATCTGAAACGCGGGAAATGAAAGATTCTATTGGTCTTTTCCAGAACTTCCCTGTTGTTAGGTCCCGTATCTTGCTGGTGTCGTCGCCGTCTATTCCAAACGATTCCGTGGCATCAAAAACAATGTTAGCAAGTAGTCGATCAGGTGTCCATTGGGGTGCGATACGAGACCCGTCACCAACATGGTTGTCGACGACATGGTCAGTCTCTTCCATCATGTCTAGTTCCAAATCACGCATGAAAGTCTCTCCTTCAATGTCTTCTTCAAGAAGCTCATCGGCTTCTTGTTGGGGTTCATGCACACCACGCTTGAATCTCAAATTTTGTATATCATCTTCCGTGGGTTCTCGAAGAGCTTTGATGCACACAAGTAGCCTTCCTGATCCTTTTCTGGGCGCTTTCACTCGCTTGATGTATTCGCTCGCTTCCAGTCGATCAATTGAACTTCGCACACTTCGTTTGTACCATTGCTGAATGGGGACACCCTATAACCATCAGCAAAAACCGGCTGGCGAACATGATGGTTGTGCTTACCAGTTTGATCCTCAGTTCACGGATAGGTACGAGAGGAGTGGTGGTGAGTAGCTCGTGAAGAAGACAGACAAATCCAGAAAAGTCAAACGTATTGGCGCCAAAGACATCATCGACACTATAAGATTTGGTCAAAACACTACCTGCCTGAACGAACTTCTTATGCACGCAGAGGCTTGTGCGTAAACTTCCATCTTGAATTGGCCTTTTGTCGATGTAACCCTTCTTTGCGAGCTCATCTGTTCGTTTAGGCACAGATCGTTTATCTTGGCCTGTGATCCGGACCAGGTCAGGTTGAGTAATACCGCCTGCTCCACGAGTGGCAATAACACACAGCAACAAGAATTCCATGCTGGGTACTCTTTTCAAATCAATTGAGTGTCCTGTGACTGCTTGCCAGACGCGGTCTTGGCTGGCGAACACCCGGGGGCACTTGATGGGCGACGACAGGTCATCGAACACGGGTTCGGTAAAATTAACGGGGTCTGGTATATTTCGAGCGCTACGGCGCTCGTGCTCGCCCTCGACATGGTTGAAAAGGGAGATTTGATCGGATTGATGCTCCTTTGTCGTGGAAGTTGAGCTCCAGCCAGCGAAACTGCCTTCGGCAACAAGTTGGGCACGTAACGAGTTACCGAGCGATAGCAGCGAGTTTGAAGGAGTAGCCTGTAGAGAGGTAGGGCGAGGTGTCAATTGTTCAAGACGCTCCGTCTCCCGTGCAACCGGCGATTGGTCATGTGATGAAGTATCGGTCTGACGTTCGAGCGATTCGAATTCCGAGAGAGAGAGTCGGTAGGTTTTGTCACCATCGAAAACGTGGATATCCGGGTGGGTGGTCACCCAGCACCATGAACTTTCATAAAACTTGCGACTGTAAGGCTTGGGAGATGGGCGCGTAGTTGCTTTTGCCGAGGTATCGCTCTGTGATTCGATGGGCGCATCGTTTTGGCGGTATGCATCGATGAAGCGATAGAAGTCTGCACTGTCGGCACCTAGAGATCAAATTAGCCAAGCTCAGTTGGGAATCGAAAGTAGAATTAGGATCCTGCAAACAGCGAACGCAGGAACGGGAAGGGGAATTGTGCAAGAGTGTGTGCAAAAGTACAAGATACAGATACTCTTCTGTGTAGCAGCTGCTAGCGTTCGCAGTCGAATGCATCGTGAGGGAATCGAACCGACGTACCTTGGACTCCACACAGGGCGATTTCCGAGAGCAGGAAATGGAGCAGCCCGTCGAGGCCGGTGGCCATGTTCTCCCGGCCAGCCACGCGCGTTACCGCAGAAAGGGCACTGATGGAAATTGCAGCAGAAGCAGCCTGACCATTATCTTTGAAGGGCGGCGAAGGGAAGATTCGAACACGGCGCACGCAGAATGGGGAGTGGCGGGATGATTGGCTGCGTGGGAAAAAAGAGCTGCAGCAGCAGAAGCGGGGCAGGGCAGAGCAGGGGAGAGGGAACCGGAGGGAAGGTGGGATGTGTCTTGGCCTTGTCAGCGCACGCTTACCTCTTTCGGAAGCACCCCACGTGATTTGTGCCCGCTCAGCGAATCAAATACATGTACAGCTCTCCTTCTCTCCTTCACTGTCACTTCTGCATATCTTTTCTTGTTGCTAACATCCATGTATCATTCTTTTACATCTGTAATCTTGTGTTGAAGGAAACGGAAGACCGCATACCTCATACACCATGGATTTCCACTCACTATCATAACCCTCGTCTCCAAAACTACTTTCGATGCCTTTCACCTCGCCTTTCGCGCCATCGACAGCGACGGCTGGCCGTGGATCTATCCAACTTGCCCTTCTGCCGCCCAACACGCCTGTTCTTCGCAATGTGTCCTATCAATACCCGCTCAAGCTAGTTGCACCGGACGCTTTGCCCCCTCCTGACCACGATAGTGACGCGAATGCGCCTGAACTAGTTCATACCGTCTTTCTACTCACTTATGGAGGCGGAATCGTGGCAGGAGACGGCATCGACCTTTCTGTGAATCTTGACCAGTATACACGACTCGTTTTGCTCACACAGGGCTCAACCAAGATTTTCAAGACCCCCGATCCAAAGCTGGTTTCGAGGCAGCATATGGCTGTCCGCTTACATCTTGGTTCTGCGCTGGTCTATTTGCCAGACCCTGTGCAGCCCTTTGCCCATACTTCCTTCTCGCAATCTCAAATCTATCACCTAGAGGACGCTCAAGGGAGCCTGTGCGTGTGTGATTGGGTGACGAGCGGTCGCTCTGCTCGGGGAGAGGATTGGGATATCTACGAGTACAAGAGTAGGAATGAGGTTTGGTCTTCAGGCGTGAACGCAAAGAAGAGGCTTCTGCTCAGAGACAATCTTATTCTGGACAAGCATGGTCGAACCGACATGCAGCTTTCTGCGCGCATGGACAACCATGCAGTCTTTGGCACCTTGATCATCCACGGGCCAGCTTTTGCCTCGCTATCGCAGTACTTCCTCGATGAGTTCGAAGCCCTGCCGCGCATCGGCGGGAGAAACTGGGGCGATACTACGCAGCCCGACCTCAACCCAAAGGAACAGAGGCGTGTCGATCGGCAGGAGCAAGAGCGTGCGAATGGGCTGATTTGGAGTGCGGCTCGCGTCAGAGGCTTTGTCCTGGTGAAATTCGCAAGCAGGGAAGTGGAGGGCTCACGCCATTGGCTCCGAGACATGATATCGGAAGAGCATTCAATACTCAATAAGTTTGGCGAAAGAGCAGTGCTTTGCCTAAAGTGATGGACTTGTACAGATCTCCCGAATTTCTGCTTGGGCTAGTGCAGACCCTTAGGCAGGAACGAGTGTCGGATTGATCAATTGATGTCAACGAATATCCTCTTGTACAAGCACGTATATTATTAGAATAATGTAAATTCCAAGATATCATCGAATCTACCATCCAGGATTTTCACCCTCAAAAACCATACACGCAGGATGAGTGTGTAATATAGCCATGATGATTCGCGGCCCCACGTGGAATATCCCTAATCTTGATGAGTTCGGTCTTGGCGGTGACGGAAGGAGGTGAGGCGATGTGACTTTGCTCTCACCAACAACAAACTCCTCCCACCAAACTCTTCTCACTTTTGCATCCCCTGTACCCACATGCAATCATCTATACCTGCTGGGACAAACCTCGATTCAACATGAGCGGCAGGCTCATTTCCGCACGCCTCGCCACGCTCGCGCGCCGAACCCCCTCAAACACGCCACGCCGTCTATTCAACAACACCTCGACACAGCTTCCTACCGGCGGCTTACTCCGCAGCCCCGCGGGCATCCGCGTTATACAACGCCGAGCATGGCCCTTTGGTAGCTACGCATTGCACAATGTGCCCGTCGCGCGCTCCATATCTTTTGCAAGGGTGATTCCCAAAATCGTAAGCAAGTTTGCGACAGTAGGAGCTGCCACGGGAGGCGCGGTGGTCGCTGGTGTTAGCTACGTGCAATATCAGGCCGGGCAAGCGGGCAGCTGGGCTGTGGACGTCTTCCATCGGACCAAGGACGGGGCGACCGGAATCGCTGGCGAGGCGCTGGATACAGCGGGCGGCATCTTCGACCAGGTGGGCCGGGGCTGGGATAAGACGAAGGACGACCTGAACAAAATTGAAAGGCCAGAATGGCTGCAGCAACTTCTGACACCGGGAGAGGCCAGTAACGCAGGCGGTGGGCAAGGTGGTGGAGAGCCCCCGAAGGAACCGAAACAGAGCGGTGCTGCGACGGTCGCTGCAGGCGCGGCGGCTCTAGGATATACGCAAGACGATGAAGAGACGCAAGAGAATGGGGAGAAGATTGCGCGCGATGAGCAGATGATGATGCTGACGAGAAAAATGATCGAGATTCGGGGATTGTTGCAAACGGTTGGACAATCAGAGGCACTGACGTTACCGTCGATTGTGGTTATCGGATCGCAATCTTCGGGGAAGAGTTCGGTACTGGAAGCAATCGTCGGACATGAGTTTCTCCCCAAAGGTCATAACATGGTGACACGTCGCCCTATCGAGCTCACCCTCGTTCATACGCCCGATGCACACGCCGAGTTCGCCGAGTTTCCAGCATTAGGATTGAACAAGGTCACAGATTTCACTCAAGTACAAAAAACACTGACCGATCTGAATTTGGCTGTTCCTGCTAGCGATTGTGTTTCCGACGATCCAATTCAACTACGTATACATTCTCCCAATGTTCCAGACCTATCTTTGATTGATCTTCCGGGGTACATTCAAGTCGTGGGCCGTGACCAACCACCTGAGCTAAAGGAGAAGATTGCGAACCTTTGCGAGAAGTACATCAAAGCTCCAAATGTTATCCTTGCGATCTCCGCGGCAGACGTGGACTTGGCGAACAGCACAGCCTTGAGGGCATCGAGAAAAGTCGACCCCAGGGGAGAGAGGACGATCGGAGTGATCACAAAGATGGATCTCGTGGATGCTGAGAGAGGTGCAAGTCTATTGAGCGATAGAAAATACGCTTTGAGGCTGGGTTACGTCGGAGTTGTCTGCCGTGTGCCCTCAAATGCATCGAATTCGAAGCTGTTCAACCGCGGCAGTGGAGATATTACAAAGGCCATTGCCAAAAATGAGAAGTCTTACTTCTCTATGCATCCCGAATTCTCTCCAGAATCTGAGCTGTCAATCGGTACCGGAAACCTAAAGAAGAAGTTGATGCATGTACTCGAGCAGACCATGGCTTCGAGCTTGAAGACTACTAGTGAGGCCATTCAACGCGAGCTTGCTGAGGCAACGTACGAGTACAAAGTACAGTATAATGAACGCTCACTCAGTGCCGAGTCCTATCTAGCTGAGTCGTTGGACGCTTTCAAACATTCTTTCCGTAGCTTCTCCGATCAATTTGGTCGACAACAAGTTCGCGAGCTACTCAAGCACGAGCTTGATCAGCAAGTACTAAACCTTCTCGCGCAACGCTACTGGAACAGGCCCCTTGAAGATCTTACACCGCCACTTCCGGAATTGGATCCTCTCAGTCGCCTGGCTAAAGCAGATCCTGAAGGCGAAGATCAGATCTGGAAGATCAAGCTAGATAGCTCGAGCGCTGCCTTGACGAAGTTGGGTGTGGGAAGACTCGCAACCAGCGTCATTGCCAACTCCTTACAAGCACACATTGATCACCTTGTCTCGACTTCGCGGTTTGCGGCTCACCCATTCGCACGTCAAGCAATCACAGAAGCTTCCACTTCCATACTCAAAGACCTCTCGTACGATATCTCCGATGAGCTCGAAATATGCATCAAGCCATACAAATATCGCATTGAAGTCGAGGATAACGAATGGGCAAAAGGGAGAGAAAACGTCACCAATGTCTTGAAAGAAGAATTGAAAGTAGTTGAGGCAGCAGCCAAGAAACTCGAAGACCAAGTAGGTGGAAGGAAAAAGGTCAGGGATGTCATGGCATTCATAGACCGTGTGAGGAACGGTCAGGTTGTACTGGAAGGGGATGGCATTGGCGGCGCTGGCGGTTTCAGTGCTTCGCTGTTGGGCAAAGGTAAATTAATCCAGCGTTGCACGGCTACAGGATATTTACTCACTATTACAGGACGGGAAGCAGTTTTCCTCCGTGATCGAAGCGATATGTTGAAGATGCGTCTGCTTGCCGTGAAGTCGAAACAATGCGCCAATAAGAAGAACAAATACAACTGTCCTGAGGTCTTCCTTGATGCCGTGGCAGACAAGCTCACCACCACGGCGGATCTCTTCCTGGACGCCGAGTTACTTTCCAAGTTTTTTTATGCCGTAAGTGCATCCACGTGCGTGCCTTGCGCAAAAATACTAACGGCAGCTGCAGTTCCCCCGCGAGCTTGATAGCCGTCTAGGCCGCGGTCTTTCCCAAGAAGAGATCGATCGCTTTGCTCGTGAAGACCCAAAAATTCGACGCCATCTAGATGTTGTCCGACGCAAGGATCTCCTGGAGCATGTATTGAAGGAAATGGAGGGCTTGCGAGCCCTAGAAGCAAGAGAGAAGAGGTCTTCGAGGAGGGATTCCAAAGAAGATAGACGAAGTAAGGGTTCGTGGAGTCTGTTTTAAGTAATGTTGTTGCCTGCTCTTCGGCTCAATGCCATAATACGATGGCGCTTATGAGGTATAGATTGGATGGCGTTGATTATTGAAGTTTTGTATGGATAAAAGATACCATGATTTTAGCTTGCGAGCTACCCCATTCCTCGATATATGTAGTAGTCATCTGGACATTACGCTGCTCTGTGTAGAATATTGTAAATAAGCTGCTGTCTCGCTGGATCTATCTCCTGCATTTTACTAAATACAATGCGTAAATCCTTGTGACAGGACATGATGTTGTCAATGCTTGGAGAACATTTGAACCTTTGAAGGTTGAACAGTTGGACGTGAGTGAAGCAATGCTACATCACGTGCCTTGGCGGAAGAGCTGCCTGATACACGTCCTAGCCCCAAATATTTCTCGACCGCAACACCATTCGTGCAAACCCCAACCACCATCCTACACCCACGATGCTTTGCGCCATTTCCGGAGAAGCTCCCCAGGCGCCAGTGGCCTCGCGAAAAAGCGGCAATGTCTTCGAGCGGCGACTGATTGAGGCGCACATCGCCGAGCACCACACAGACCCCGTTACTGGCGAAGACCTCGCGGTAGAGGATCTCATCGAGCTCAAGTCGCCCCACATTGTCACTCCCCGACCGCCCAATCTTACCTCGATACCCTCTCTTTTGAGTGCATTCCAGAATGAATGGGACTCCATTGTACTTGAGACCTTCACACTCAAACAACAGTTGGCGCAGACTCGGCAGGAGCTCAGCACCTCCCTGTATCAGGTCGACGCTGCGACGCGCGTGATTGCGCGATTGACGCGTGAGCGTGACGAGGCGAGGCAGGCGCTGTCGAGTGTGACTATCAGCGGTGGAGGCGCTGCCGCTAATGGAGATGCCATGCAGGTCGATGGCCAAGGGCTGCCAGAAGAGCTTGCAGCCAAGGTCGACGAGACACAACAACAGTATGTCACCTTATGGATTTCTTTCGCAAGTATAAGCTAACATCATGTAGGCTTTTTGCAACTCGCCGCAAGCGACCTATCCCCAACGGCTGGGCCACGAACGACGAGGTCACCGCTTTTGACGTCAAAGCAAACGTTCCTCCTCTGTATCCTGGCAGTACCAACGTAACGATGGACGAGTCAGGTGATCTTGCTCTATTTGGAGGAACTGATGGAGTCGCGGGCATCTACTCTCTACAACAAGCACGGGTGATCCACACATTGAAATGTGGCACTCCAGTCACGGCAACCGCGTGGTGGGGCTCAAAGGCCATTGTTGCGACAGCTGCTGGCACAGTCAAAGTGTTTGAGAATGGGGACGAAGTGGCGCAAATGGGCTCCCATGCTGGTGCAGTGACATCCATTTCACTCCACCCGAGCGGTGCCATTCTGGCTTCCGCTGGCGCAGACAAGCGCTTTGCGCTTTACGACCTCGCGACGTACAAGACAGTCTCCCAAGTGTACACAGAGGCAGATATTACATGCTGCGACTTCCACGTAGACGGACTGCTTTTCTTCACGGGTGGACTAGACGGCAACATTCGTATCTTCGATGTTAAGACGGGAGCATCCATGGCTGTTTTAGAGACTGGCGGCCCCGTGCGTGCCCTCTCCTTCTCTGAGAATGGCACCTGGTTTGCCGTAGCTCAGAAGGGGTCTGCGTCCGTCTCCGTTTGGGACCTACGGAAACAAGCGCCCATCAAGGTTCTTGATGTGGGCAGCCCAGTCGATAGCCTCCACTGGGACTACACAGGGCAGTTCTTGGCGACAGCAGGATCTGGCAGCGTTTCTATACAACAATACACAAAAGCGTCCAAGAGCTGGTCAGAGCCGGTGCGGAAGGCGGTGCCTGCGCGGGACATCGCGTGGGGAGCCAATGCTACGACCTTGGTTACCTTGACGGTGGATGGTGGGCTGGACATCATGTACACAGCTTGATTAGACCATAATCTGCATGTGCAGAGTGGGAGGTTCTAACGAGCGTGGGCGCTGGGGATAATCAGTCACGACAATAGGCTTCCAATCGCGGGCGGAAGTTTTGGCTGAATCGGGTATCTATTTCTTTGGTCTTGTCGCGTGTATAGGATTCGGTCGGTCGCATTTGACAATTGAATGGAGGATGAATGGGCTTGTGGTGTCAGATCAAAATGTAATATACAGAAAGTACCTTCTCTTGGGTGTAGCGGGCGAAAATTCGATGCATGTTCAATCTTCTCTATTACCTTGGACTGTCCAGATAGAGTGGGCGGCACATCATACTCAATTACGTTAGTGGCACCAGGCACATCCACCCATGACGTGAATGCTGGCCAGAGTGAAGAGGTTCGCTTCACCGTGAGCGGGCAAACGCGATGATAATCCCCAGATGTTCTCACTTTTATTTCGCGATGGTTGGCCGAGACGTAGCCAATGATTGGCCAAGTATACAGAGACAAAGTCGCGCTTGTGACAGCCTGGCTGGCTGACTGTTTGTTTTGTTGTTCCTGCTGCTGCGTGCGGCTCTTAACTACCTAGTCCACCATCCTTGCCACTGCTGCATCGACGTCTCGAAGCCGGACCTCTTCCCTCTCAACCCGCCCACAGCACCAACTCTTCTCCACCGCCGCCACCAGCACCGCTGTCTCCCCCTCCCTCTGCACGTTTAGAATCCGGCCGTCACCAGTGCAGGCATGAACATGCCCTTTGGCTATACCCACAGGAACAAGGTTAGTTGGTACCCTCTCATGCCAACGCAAGCACGTATTCACTACTACACTGCCCTGGGCGTCGTTCACGGACTACTGTTATAACTGACACAGGCGGCGCCAGCGCTCTCATGATCAAATGGACCTAGAAGATTCCGCCTCACCACCTTGGGGTCACTTCAACCACCGTCTTTCCGCGCCCCGCGAGCCCTCTGCCGGCGCCTCACATTCTCAAAGGGAAACCGGAGAAATCAACCACCCCAACACAAACCTCGACCACACCATGCCTCGCCGCTATCATGGAGATGGTTTGGACTTCCGCCGCCCCGTCGTACCCCCGCCTGTCATAGATCTCACCGACGAAGATGCGGTGCCCCCCCGCAACACCGCCCGACCACCCCGGTTCAGCCGAGACATCATGAACAATGTGATTGACTTGGAGTCGGACGAACCACAAAATGCTTCGGGTCCTTCTGAGCCCGACATTCAATTCATTGCCTCTCGGCCTATTCATGCAGCCAATCGACGACCAACCCGACATCCGACACATTCAGACGCTAGCGAAGGGGGTGACGACGAGGTGGAATTCCTGATGGAGACAAGGAGGGCTCTTCCCAGTGTGGGTATTATCCAATCCATGATGGAGCTTCCTCAGCTACGTGTGACCGCGGGGCACGCGCACAACGAGCATCGGCGCGCAGAGCGCCAGCGCCAGGCCACCGAAAATCGGTTTAATAACCTTGCGCATGCTGCTCGTACCCGAACGGGCTCTAACCCTGCCCCGCGACCGCCACCAAGACGCTCTGCAGGGTCCACCAGGCTGCAAAATGTCCATGTTGCTACTTTTATAGCACCCCGTATGGAGTATGCTCGAGCGGCATTCGCCCTCGGGATTCAGGACGAACCACCATCGTCGCCAGCGCCTACATACGATGCACCTTCCAAAGCCCCAGATGGTTTCACGAGGAGTCCGCAGGAAGAGGATTCGCTGGTTTGCCCCAATTGCGAAGACGAACTGTGCATTGGAAACGACGAACTGAAGAGGCAGGTGTGGATCGTGAAGCAGTGCGGTCATGTAGGTTATTCTTCAGAAGCTATGAAGTGCAGGGTTTAACAGAAAGCAGGTGTATTGTGGAGAGTGCACGGCGAACCGATCTAAAAAAGGCAGCGCCAAAGGCAAAGAGAGGCAGTCAGTGATACGGAAACCTTTCAAGGAGTGCGTTGTCGAAGGATGCAATAAGAAAGTCTCCCCGCCAAAGTCCATGATTCAGGTTTTCTTATGATCAGAAACTCCGGTTGTCCTTCTCTGGCCTATTCATCTCAACGTCCTTCTCACTTTACATGCACATGTGTGTTCCGGGCGGTACTTTCTAACGATACCCATACTCTAGCGGCTGTACTCGTCTCGGCCGCCGAGTTTTCCTTCCTCTTTATTTTCCAGCGAACATCGAACGCAACCGACCATATTGCGCTGGGCGGCCGGTATTGCATTTGCGTTTTCATACCTGCATTTCCCCTCTATCCTGGTGTTTTCTCGACAGCCGACCTCTCTGCATGCTGCGGGAATATTGCATAGCATCGGTGTTCAATCGGACAACGGATTCCTCCCATTCTGCCGAGTGTCAAAAGCGATGGTGCAATTTGCAGTAGCTGCTCGGGAATAGACATGAGGATGTCTAGACAGCGAACATGGAGATGTTTGTGGATTGCCGTCCCATCGGGATGCTCCATCATATGTATATATCAGATGATATGCAATGCTTACATGTATATTTTTACCATATCAACGACAAGTGCTGTGGTGTGCGTGGTGAGGAGTGGATTGCATAGTCAATGCATAGATGTGTACTTAACCGGACGCGACATGTCATACATGTGTGATAACAACTAAACTGAAGTCTTCGTTTTGTAACTGTAAGAGGTGAGATCATAGACGCTGGGATACGGCTCCTCTCTTCGCTAAAGTAAGTCTAGGAACAAGCCGAGGCCCGCATAGCTTAGATGGACCCCCAAAAAAAATCTCCCGTACTCCAAACAAATCGCTTTGCTGAGCCCACGTGCAGCCGATACGTCTACGACAATTACGTTGACTCCATCAAGTCGTACCAAGACAGACTTTCCCCATCCACTCCTCCGTCGATACTACACCTGGAAGATCAGTCGGTCAACACCACACATCAAGGTGATCAAGCCGCGTGAACAAGATGGCGCCCCCGACAGCAGACAGCATTACGCCCGCCTACCTCAAGAACCAGTATCTCATCAGTTACAATGCAATCAGCGCCGCACTCTGGTTCGGCGTACTCGGACGTGTCGCTATCCACGGGCAGTACTATGGACTTTCAGACGGCCATGTATACGAGGAGAGCGAGAGGTACACGCGCTTGACGCAGAGTCTGGCTGTGTTGGAGGTTGTGCATAGTGCGATTGGTATGTTATATCCGCTTTCACTTTTCTTCGAAAGGGGAAGCAGCGGAGAGTCATCAATGGTGTATTCGCTAACCAATCCTTGTTCCGCAGGACTCGTGAGAGCCCCGATGCTCACCACTCTTATGCAGGTTGCCAGCCGGTTATTGCTCGTATGGGGTATTGGATACAACTTTCCACAGACGACCAAGTATTCTCCTGCGTATAGCACTATGCTGATCGCGTGGAGTGTGACTGAGCTGATTCGCTACTCATACTTTGTCTTTCTGCTGGGAAAATCCGGTGTACCTAAGCTATGGACCTGGCTGCGGTAAGTATTCTCTCTCCATGTATCACCCAAGATAGAGCTTTTTCGCTGATATTGTCCAAATAGATACAACACCTTCTTCGTTCTCTACCCTCTCGGTGTCGCCAGCGAGTGCTGGCTCGTTTACAGCGCTATCCCCCCGGCTTCCAAGCTTGACGAACGATACGGATACGCCCTGTGGGCCATTCTGGCCACTTATGTCCCCGGATTCTACATGCTCTTTACGCACATGTTGAAGCAGAGGTCTAAGGTTTTGAAGGCCGCTAAAACAGAAAGAGCGAAGAAAGGCCAATAAGGTGGACATCCGGAACGTCAACGATGACGATAGGATAGGTCAGGTCTTTGGTGTCGCTTACTGGAAAAAGGGAAATCAAATTTAGAGGTTCAGGGGAGCTTCTGGTCTCCCAGCTATTGGGCGTATTTTTAAATCCCACCAATCCGCTGTATCGAATTGCAATTCTACGTGTAATTAAGCTTTTTAGATTCGCAGAGGCGACATGCTTTCAAGCTCCCACCCAATGTTTTCTTACTTTGTACCTCAAGATTACCTTAACCACGCCGGTTGACCGACTCATGAGGTCAACCAAGTCAAGCCGAGCCACTCGCAACACAACCGCACCAGCAGCCAAAATCCTCGAGTAGGCCAGTGCTACATCAAAGACTTCATCGCCACTCACCCTATCAAACCCACACTACTATACCTCAACCAACCCCGTGAAATCGATTACCCAACCTACCTCCAACTCGAGAGCCCACCCCCACCGTTTGAGTTTCTGGTATTACCTTGCCGTCTTGGCCTCTGATACCCAACACAGATACCAAAAGTACAAAAGGCAGCCTTCGCAACATAAAAATCCCTTATACGATCAAGATAGTCGACCGTACTGAACCGCGTTCCTTGGCAGATCATCCCATCGTTATAACTTCCCCCCATCTACTTTCCCCAACTCGACTACGCGGATATGGCTCACAGTCGACAATCCCACGGATACAGCAGAATTCAGCAGCAGAATCAACAGGGATCGCCGTGGAACTCAGCTTTGCCAGGAACGCAAACCCACGACCTGCTGCTTAACAACGACGAACCTCCCTACCGCACGCTCAATAGCCCATTCATGGCACCGAGAGAGCAAAGTCACACTCGAAGGATGAACTCTGTCGAAAGCGATTTAAATTACTACCACACCGGAGAGGAACTCGATCATTTTTTTCACAGGATAATCCCGCCCCCAGATCAAGTCAGTTCCAGGAACTTTCCAGCCGCTGGTCGGAACCCTGCTTTGCCTGCGTACAGGGGAAACATGGGAAGAGAGAGGACGCCTTTATACGCGGCAGGGGAGAGGCCTGCTGGTGCCTTTGAGTCGTTTTATCAGCCACTTCCGTTGTTCAATCACGCCCGGCCTACCAGCCCCCATCCTCTGCAAGATCAGTCGATGGGTAATGACTTTGTCACGCCTGCTTTTTCGGATTTGCCTGTTCATCTCATCCCTCCTCCTCCTCCTCTTCCTTATTCTACTTATTTACCACATTGGCCGGCGAGTGATGGCCGGGTGACGCCGAGAATTCCGTACCAGCCTCATCATCCTGTCACCACTGGCTTTCCTTCAACCCTATCCAATGTGCCTAGCCCCGTCCGTGAGCCCGGGCACCGCAATCGACAAATGGTTGCTCAGCTAAACAACATGGCTGACGAGGGAAGAGATTACCGTCCTGGTAGCAACGATCCCGTAAGCCACACCAATATGATGGAGAACCGGATGGAAATGCTCAAGCAGCGCCTGAGCAACATCGTGCTTTCAATCGTCAAGACTGATCCTTCCATTGAGCTTGTACCTATCGAGAAGAAGATCTCAGGACTTCTTCATGATCTGAAAATACCGGCTCGGATTCGGACGGCGGCTCCCATTCCCATGGACCGGATTGATCGGGAACTCGGCATGCTGCGCCGAGACGTGCGATTGGAGTGGATCGCTCACACTTTTACGCCGGGCAGCAGGCCAAACCAGCAGACCTTCTTCAAGATACACGATGCGGCGATGACGGCTGTGCAGCGCGCTCTCAGAATCGTCGATGTATTGCTAGAGAAGCAGCGTGTGTGCATGCCGGATGAGCGTGTGGAGTCCGACAACGCTGATGGCGCTGAGAAGAACTTGCCGGTCGAGGAATGTAAGTATTCACCTTGATCAAGTTGCCATGAATGTTTGCGCTGAAGATGCTGCCAGCTGTTCCCTGCGAAAGTGTTCAAGCCGCATCGGCATCGAATCAGTCCGCTCAGCATCCAGTTTTCCGCAAAAGCGAGGAAGAAATCCAGGCGGAGATCCAGGCAGACTCGATCGATATTGATGTAGAAAAATCGGAAGTATGCGAGGAGGATTGGCTCGTTGTTTGATCGCGGACCAAGATGTAAGGATCATGCCTTTGAGACATATGGGATTTTGTGTAGAAGCCAAAGGGAAAAAGCAACAATCATGGTGGGTGGAACTGGACTGGATTGGAAGCGATAGGAGACTGCCGGGATCGGCTGGGTTCTTCCCTTTTGACTTTTTCTTTACTTCGGCTTCTAGGCTGCTTGTGCCATGCATGGATATAAAGGTATACGTAGTATATTTATTCCTCTACATTACCGTCGTATATATCATCGTTAGAGTTATTCACCGAGCCTCATGCGTGTGGCACTCCCGACGTGATATTCAATCAACTCAAACCCCCTTCAAACCGTAACCCCCATAGACACACCCTCATTTCTCCAGCTCGCAGAAGGGCCACTGAGACATGTATACCGTATTCCATCCCCAAATCAGAGATAGAAAACCCATCAACACCACACCCTCTCATTTCTTCCCCTTCTTCTTTTTCTTGCCCCCTCCACCACCTTGCTTCTGCTCTCCCTGTGTCGCTGCCGCTGCCGTCGCCGCGATCCCATCCCCCAGCTTAACATCCTCATCCCCCTTCGGCGTTGATACCGACTCACTCGCCTGCACCGCTGCAGCGCTCTCTGGTACCTCAGGCAACGCAGCCATGTGCCTTCCCAAGCGTCCCAAACTTCCAATCAACCTCCCTACTTCCGCCGCTTTATTCGTCTGGTATTGCAAACACGTTCCCGAATACGGATCATATGTCTTCAGCGTGAACGTTGACGTTGGCTCGTTTGGATCTTGCGGTTGCTGTGGCTGTTGTTGCGCTTGTTCGGCGGATGTAGAGGATGATGGTTTAGCGGGTCTCGCAGCTTTCTTTTCGAGGTACTTTTGGCGCTTTTTTATCTTTGAAGCGGTTGGTTTCAGGACCGTGTATTTGGAGGTTATGCGCGTCTATATATTTGCACGTCGGGAGCTCTGATTAGTATCTATGTAAATAGAAGGGCGGTGGGTCTTTTGTGGGAGGGTTGTAGCGTACGGTCGTGGGACGCGCTTTGAGCAGGAGAGAGGATTGCTCGAACCATTCTGTACTGGTTTTGAAGTACGGCATTTTGTCTGTGCCCTTTTGGGTGTGGAATTGAGGCAAGTGTTCACCTAATGAACTCTGGCGTCAATTGAAGGTCGTGGATGCGGGTGTTAGTATTTAGTGGGGTGGTGTTGCTCGGCGTAAGGTTGCGGGGGGTTATGTAAGCAGAGACTCAAATTCACCACTGTTTTCTGGCCTGTCAATGTTTCATGCTTTATTACGAAATTTCCTGGTTCGCTGGCTTTTTACTTGTTCGAAAGGCTCGACACTTATCTGGACTAGAAAGTTGTGCGTTCGTACTAAGTGTCAGACAACTGAGGGAAACAAATCGAAACTTCCGTCCTTAGAAGAGTCATTTCATCGTTAGCCTCAAGGGCAACGTACGTGAGAAAGGGCGGTTTATTGAGTATTTATAAACAAGATTTCGCAGAATTCTACAGCATCTGAAAAGTTTCGATTGACGGTTTCTATATTCGCGGAAGGGATTTCAGAGACACTACATTATTATCCAGCATACGCCTGTTGAATGCAATAACTACTCGGCATCTACCGACCAGATTTACGCCTCGCAAAAGGACCATGGCAGACTCAGTGGTAACCAATCTGGGCGAACTATCTCTAGACTCGCGCAGCCCGGAAGAGATTCTCCAAGCCCACGCGGAACGAGGCGCAGAACTGTTAAATGAAATCGAGCAATACGTTTCCGCCGTGATAGCCAGCCAGGAAGATGTTAGAATGCCGAAAAAAGTAAACTACCGCGCCTTGCGCAATGATCTCAAAAACGAGTTGGATTCGCTGTCAGCGTCGCTGCTCAAACTCCAGAACTCGAAGCTCTCCCAAGCGCAGGCGAGGAATATCGCTTCTTCGACTAATCTGACGTACTTTGAGGCTCTTTGGGCGGTTGCGAAGCGCTCAGAGGCTCTGATCAATTTCCGGAAATACTTCTCGTGGGACACGAAGAAGCAGAACAGCTCGCGGGGGAGGAAAAGAGTGACCAACAACAGTCCAAGGAAAGATAAAAACTCTACGCTGGTAGACATTATAGCTTCAAATGGTGCCGAATGGATCCGGATATCGACCGCAACCGAAAAAAGGATCCTCTTCGATCTAGCGAGGCTGGGATGGGCGAATTCTGACGATGACGAGAGCGATCTGGATGGTGAAGGCAATGCAAACAGCAACAGCAGCAGCGACGACGACGACGATGAAGACCAAGTAGCTCTTGTGAGGAACGCGCGCGAACTAACCCGAGCCGCAAAAGCCAACCCATTGAAAGGCCGCCCTCCAAAAGTCCGCATAGTACTCACGCGCATCGAATCCGGCAAACTCAAAGAAATCGACGCCGTGCTGGACAAAGTCCGAGCAACGGGCGCAATCGTCCAGTGCTCGAACGACCTCTCTCTCCAAGATAACCCACCGTTACCCTCGGTCCTGCAAACCCTCCTCCCAGATCAATCCCACACGCTGTCCGAAACGCTAAACATCGACTGCACGATTCTCCTCGCTCTGATCAGCGATATATCGCACCGCGACTGCCCCGTTCTCGACTTCTACCCGCACGAAGTCAAGATGCAGATCGCCGAGGAAAAAGACAAGAAGCTCCTCCCGACTAGCATCTACCCGTTGATAGGCTCGCACGCCATGGTATGCACGCAAGATGCCGCCGACCAAATGAACCTCATTGTCGACACGCTCGCCACCGACGCCGAAAAAACACGCGCGAATATCCTGCTGGGGCAGAAAGATCGCGAGAAAGTTCCGTCGGACGAGTTGACGAGGGAGTGGCAGGATATGTCTAATCACGCTATCCCGCAAGACTTTCAGCTCCCGTTGAAAGTCGTACAGTGTGATATTGATGAGACGATAGGTAAACCCCCCTTTCCCCCTTTTTTCTCATTTACCTTTACCCAACGTACACACACACATATATAATATATATATGTTATAGCAACAGTAACAGTAGAACTACCACCCATCTAACACAAAAACTCCCAGCAAAACTCCCCCCCGTAGCCAAAATAATCGCCGCAGAACTGACGCCGCTAAACACATCCATCTTCTTCCACGGCTGGGCAGCGGACCTGACGACGCTAAGCGCGAACCGCACGCGCGCCCGCCAAATCGATAAGATTATCAACGAGGTGGGGCTCAGTGATGGCGAGGCCGGGCCGAGGATCTGGATATGCGGGGAGAGTAGGAGTTTGATTGCGAAGACGGGGAGGCCGGGGAGGGAGGCCAGGAAGTGAGTGAGTGAGTGAGTGAGTGAGTGAGTGAGTGAGTGAGTGAATGAGCTGTTGGCGAACGACTAGAAAGCCACCTAGTATTGGCGTTGAGAAGAAAAGGAAAAAGAGGAAGATATGTGTGCTGGGTACATAGATGAACTGGCTTTTCCGTGTCTTCAAAGATACAAACCAGGGGCGCAAACGATCAGTATACGAAGAAAAGAAGAGAAATCGAGAGATATAAATCACCACACTAAATGGGAGGCTCGTTTGTAATGAATTTTTCGGTTGATTCATGTACACGTACATATACAGACACTACCCCAAAAAGCAAAGGAAGAGAGCAGTAGCTCACGCCCACCGATTGGAAAGGCGGGTGAGGAAGGGACAGTTATTCTACCATTTTGCGATGTATCCAAAGCATCGGCGTTCTCATGACTTGACCCATCCACCTTAACTATACCAGAGCAACATCGAGAAGATACAGATGCCAGTCCGATGCCCTGCTGTCATGCCTATTTATCAGTCGGTTCCTGGTTCTCAACGACTTCCTTCTCAGAAGCCTCCTCATAGACGGGCGGTGCATCGTATTCTGGAAGTTCTGCGATATAGGCCTCCTTCTCACTGCTATTCTCAATGTACCCGGCCTCTTCTACATCCTCCAAAGCGATACGCACATAAGGTGCGCGGCCACGGACTTTAGCCACGACGATGGCGATGACATACCCCAAAGCCAAACCAATAAGATAGGTAAGTGTACCCGCGAAGATGCCGATCAAGATGGGAATCAAGACGGTAAAGAATGCGCGGCGGAGGAAGGCATTCACATTGTGGTGAGAGTGATGGTGTCGGTGATGATCGCTCATGGGGGGCGGACCATTGTGGGGGTGATGGTGGGGGTGGCCAGGACGGAACCTATGAGGCGGTTTGCCCTCAATGCCAGCTTCGGTCATGGGGTTGCTGCCCTTGTGCCTGTGGCAGGCCTTGCTGACAGACGATTTCAAATCGTTGATACCGTGGGAAAGATATGATCGCCACTGGCAGAGCATCGGCCATTCGTTGCACTCGGCCTCTTTGTCCGCAACATCGTTCTCGTCAGCCTGTTTCGTCTGGAATGATGCAATCATAAGGCGACCGTTGGTGTCCTTCAAGAGATTAACTGTCAGGGCTGGGGGGTGCGCAGGCCGGCCTTCGATCGAGGTGATCTTGAGGGTCACAGGAAGAAGTTCAATACCAGCTTCCGAGACCGTCGCGGCGGATGTGAAGTGGAACGTATATCCAGTGACCATGAGGCGCAAGGCATCTTTGGTGGTAGGGTCGAGTTGCGTGACAAAGAAGGGTCTGGAGCCATAGCTAGGTGGATACAGCTGGACACCTTCGACGACAAGGCTGTCTTCGTTGGTCCCGACGTCAAAGTCAAGCAGCTGCGGTGGGAGGTGTCAGCATGAGTTACATATGTATGTCTTGAACAGAAGTGTATTGGGGAGCATCATACGTAGGTGCTGCCAGTGTTCTGGGACCAGGTATAAGCCGTCTTGGCTTCCTTGGTAGCAAATGCGCACTTGGGGCATTCGAGGGCAAAGGTTCGTTTCATGGGGTTTACGGATATTTCCATGGCGCTATCATCGCCAAGGTCCAGATCTGTAGCTGTGATAGTTGGAGGGAGCAAGATGGCACTGGCGGAGGCGGCGGCCAGCGCCGAGAGTCCCAGGATGCGACCGATCATGGTTTGCAAAGAGTAAAGAAAAAAAGACAAAAAAGAGACGGGTATCAAGGTGTTGGGAAGAGGTCGTAGAGAAAGAAAGAACAGGTGGTGAGGCGACTGCTTAACAGCGAAGACAAAGCGGCGACCTCTCACTTGAAGAGCGGCCGCGTCATCGCTCGAACGCGCACGTGACGCGCGACTTAGCGGCTTCCCGGGTTGTTTCACAGGCCGTGATAGGGCTTCGTTCGTCCCAGTTAGAGTGCAAGGAGGAATGCTGCAATCAATTTTCGACACTCTTGTCAAACAGACTAATGCTGTGACTCCTGTAGGATACCTTGTATATTTCTTGACCTCTACTTATATCCATCCCTTTATCCCCCCCAACGCTGTCTTCGCACCATTCAATCGAAACTGCGCAATGCACATAACGCAGGCCACAGCCTTGTCTCCGGGTATGCGCGTATATCGCTCATACTCTACTCCGCGCAACAACATACATGCTGCTTAATCTCAAACCCGCACAAACAAAAGTCATGATTCAGCAACCAACACCACCATTTTCAAACATGTCTTTATATACAACAGCAAACACCGACAAACACTGTATTTGAGTTCGGTTGGTATAGTCCCTCGTTGGGCTGCTGGCTTGCGTTTTTTTTTTAAGTCTACCATGCTGTTTGGTTTTCAACCCAAGTGGTGGCAAGACAGGTGCTAATTGTAGACTTGAAACCCCGCCCATTCTTCTTTGGTACTATGTTTGGTATGAGTGGATTGCAGACAGTATATATAAACGTATAGATACAGCGCAGGCAGGTAATATACGGTTGGTTTAGGTCAAAAGTTCCTTCGCCTGCATGGCTGCATGAATGTCATTCTATGTCACCGTCTTATGCGCGAATTGTAGATGGTAAGGATAGGGTATAACAATAATATATTAGTGGCATGACTCTTGAGCATGATGGTTATTTATCACAGGATGAGCCAACAGCCTCCTGTTGCCGCATATGCATCCGCTATGGGAGCGCGGATTCCATTGCTGAATTTCCTTTCTAGGCACGCCGTGATACCGCAGCGCGCAAGTCTGAGTGAGCCCAAGAGATACGTCTGCGTACTGGCACGCTGCCTACTATATATACTCCACCCAGTCAATGCGGATTGGCTTAGCTGAGAAGGTGTCCGACGCACATAATCATTGTGATCCCCAACTCTCAGCTTGTTCTGCGCCGCGAAGGACTCCTCAGCTTATGTCCCGATGCCAGAATCAGCCGAATCTGACGGCACAGTATAATGAGATGGGGAGTAAAGAAAACCTCGAATGCCGTAGCGACAAACTGCCATTTCGGGATCAAGTGACCCTTACACTTGCATGCGGGTAGATGATGCGTGGAAGCCACGTTGACAGGCGGTCAGTGTGTTGCTGCATTGCACGGTAGACACATCCCGACCGGTATTTCGCGAGAGGCGAACACGAGCTCGAGGCGGTCGTGGTATCGTCGGCTTGGTAAGCGAACGCCGCTCTGCTCATTGGAAGGAACAGGTTGCAATGGATGGTGTCATAATCCGGTTTTGTAGGCTATGACGCAAGTACACACCGATCTGTTATATTGCATGTTCCACGTGAAAGGAAACGGGAGTGGATTGGCAGTCCAACGTTGACGGGAGTGCACGCTCGCATCTTCCACAAAGGGAACAAGATGCATGGTGTTGGGACGCCGCGAGGGTACGTGCTTGGACGATCAGGGCAAGGCACGGGCCGCATATCGGTTTACAGTTCTGGGAATCCTGCGCGAGACCGACGCAAACCTGAAATTAATCGTAGCGAGTGGAGCGTCTTCGATGAGGGTCAACGCAAGAGGCACATCGCAAAGTCCATAGGGACCCGCAAGTCGCTTTCTTTTTCGCTGTCTCTTTCGCTAACCCCTTCACTAGCAGCGCTGTGTTTCGGACTGGGCCTTTCAGGCTGTTGGATGAAGTGCAAAGTCCGTGATATTATCCCGACACGGTAAGCATACGGAAAACGGATACACCCGAGGATAACGCTCGCGTTCAACACGTGACCGCAACCGAAAGCGGGCGGGAAGCGGACCTTGGCAGCATATTCATCCTGAAATCTGTACCCGAATTAACCCCTGCACAGGGTAAGATGGGTGGTGAATGAAGAGGTTTGGTGGATGAGTCGAGATAAGACGGGCCAGCCGCCACGTAATACAGAGGACTGTGTTGGAAACAGCCTTGCGCACTATCATAGTGATGAATCATGTCATGCGGAGTCATCCGGGATGAAATTTGAACTTGATTTTGTCTGAAATGCATTTCCGCGGCGAGCGAAACGTCCAATACGTCTATGTGGGAATCGTGCCTAGCCCTGGGGAATCTGTACAAGAAGAGTAAAAAAACAAGAGGAAGAAGAACTCGTCGCATCGTTTCAGAGGATGGTGCATCTAGGCTTGTGCCTGGGCCGGGGTCTGGAAGTTTGGGTTCTCTTCTTTTCTGAGCGATCCTTCATGATGATCTGCCGGCAAAGGTCGACAAAGACTTCGTCCACGTTGGCTCGTCTTCGGGCGCTGGCTTCGTAATAAGGAACACCGCCCCAATCCTGTGAGGTTTTGAACGCGCGTGCTCTAGACACTGCTCGGTCGTCTTCCAGATCCGATTTGTTGCCAACGAGAACCATTGGAACATTGGCTGTCGAGGCATGGGTTAGCACACATGGATGCAACATTGACGATGGATGGGCGGCGCTTTTACCAGACTCTTTGATCTGCCGTATCTGTTCTCTGAGCTCATTGAGCTCGTACAACGAAGACATGCTTGTTATGGAGAAGACCAAGAGGAATCCTTGACCTGTTTTCATCTACACATGTTAGTGTTGTGGAATGGAGCGGAATGGCAAGATGTTTACATAAAGTTCCCTGGACATATTAGCTTCATGCTGGTGCGAAGAGCGACGGGATCATTGCACACATACCTCATGGCGGTAAATTGTTCGGTGCCAGCCGTGTCCAAAATTTCCAGAATGACATGTCGGCCCTAGTAGTCGATCAGGTCAGGCAGGAACAGAGAAGAATGGCGGCAGAGCTTGGTACTAACATCAACTTCAATGGCCTTGCGATATGAGTCTTCGATTGTGGGGTCGTACGACTCTATCCATACATTTTGGACGAATTGTGCTAGGCCGGGTCAACAGTCGTACACGGGCATGGGGGGGGGGGGGGGGGGGGGAGGAAAAAGACATACCCGTGAGACAGCTCTTGCTAACGAGGGAAAGCGGTTAGCATAGCATTGAGGTGCATAGGGCTCATGTATGTAGTCCTTACCCTACTCCACCTGACTGGCAGACTAGTCAGTATGGCGAAGGATGATTGCAGATGAGAGGGAGGAAACGTACCCCCAGCACAACAATATGATATTCCCGTTGGCTCATCCTGACGGGAAGCCGGACACGAGTGGCAAGAACGCAAGAGAGGGAGGAATGGGGAATTCAAGGGGGGCAGCGCCGGTGGTGGTTTGTTATTATTATTGTTGTTTTTGTTATTGGGGTTGTTGTTGTGTTTGGATGTGGCGATGGCGCGTCTAGAAGCAACTAGGTGCTAGGACAAGCGGCGCAGAAAACCCGGTCTCCGGAGCGATGCTGCAAATGGACTGAGCCGAGGACAAGAAGGTTGAGGGGCTGCGGGAGGGCGAGGTGGCGGAGGGAGCAGATGCGAAGAGCAAGAAAGTAGGTATTGGGGAGCGGTGATGTTTTACGGAGGCCAAGTTAGGGGCTGAGGAGTGGTGGGCTAGCCAGCCAGCTAGCTAGTAGGAAGAAGGTACTAGGGAGGTAGTGGTGGTGGTGGTGGTGGTGGTGGTGGTTGCGGACTGGATGAATGTTTGCGGTTTTGAGGGCTCACACACGAGCATGCAAGTGGATGGCGGGCAGGGTGGATGGGGGCGAGGGATATCCAAGTTCAGTGTACATGTGACGGAGGGGACGAAAATAGGGTTGGATGCAAGGCGGCGAGGGGGAACCTGGAGAAGGGGGAGGCGATGGGGTTGCTATGAATGGAAAATGACAGCAGCAACTGCAGCAGAGAGAGGGACCGGCTGCATGATTAATATTAAGTGGACGGTGGGCTGGGCCAGCAAAAAACATGGACTGACTTTAACTACCCGACTGACTGACTGACTGACTGACATGGGTGCAGTAGCACAACCGGTGCATTGGGATCCCGCCCCGGCTGCCGCACGCGTGGGTGCGTGCCCTTTTCCATCGTCATCTACTTCCATCCAAGTACATACACCTGGATGTATACATGTACTCGAGTACATGTAACTGCATTTCAATATACTCGGCCGTCCGTGTATCACACTGTGCCGTCGTGTGTGTGGGAATCAATCTAGAGTGCCTGCCAAAGCCGTCGTCGTTACAACACCATTTGCTTGCACTTTGCGTGCATGTGAATGTATACATATAGACTGTGTACATGTACATGTACCCAGCTGTGCATGGATGGACTCATCATACGCCGCCGCATCCATGGCATCCATTGTCGCCTTTGCACTGCCAATACCACCTCCCCTACCCAAGTTTTCCATACCATACCGTTGATGCACTTCCCGCTTACTTGCAACCCAAAAGCTCGCATTCAACAAAGTCACGTCACCAAGCAGAAGATTCGAACCGGCTCACCGTTAGCTACCACCAGGCCCACGCACGCTGTGTGCCTGTGTGCCTCCATCCCTCTCTCCCAGAGTCTTGTGCTGCAATCTCCGATTGCCTAAAATAGCCATCCTGAGGTACCAATATGGATGCCCTTCACTGCGGTCCGCTCCGGGAAAACTGTAACGCTTACAGGGCACAGCTCTGTACATTGCTGTTGAAATGTACCAGGCAAGCTACCCGTGTTCCAACATTCCTACATACTAGAGTACCTGGGTCATCAGGATGAAATCCCCCATGGCTTGTGCCAGCGAATCAGAACCTGGCAACAACGACACAAAGATAGCAGCCCGGCTGCCAACGCCTACAGTACCTAGACAATCGAGTGATGGATGACGTCCAGCCATCCTGTGCCGTCGCTACGCTGCGGCTTGCACCACACACGTAGCAGTTGCATTAGACCAACGTTGTACAGCGACTCCAGTACAAATCGGTAAACAAACAATCCACCGCTCGCCAGCCTGCAGCGGAATGCAGCTGTAGCTGGTAGACCCTAACGCAGACATGGTGATGCCTGCGATACATGCGCCCGTGGACCGACACCGTCTTCTGGTGACACACTGACTCCAGACGGCGGTTGATTGCGCGCCAAAGCGCACGTCGGATGCCATCCAACTATTTCTTTCCATAATTTCCCATGCCAGTGGGATAAATGCAGCAAGGCTTGAATTGGGAAAACAGACGGGCCAGCCCAGTACTCCCCGCCTGGGAAATCAAACCAGCGGAAGCCTTCCCGTAGCCGCGAAGAAAGTGGGCTGGGAGAGGAAAAGAAAAAATGAAAAGTCGATCCCAGGGATGCCGGATGCATGGGCGGCAACGGACCAAGAGTCAGGAACTGGACACTCGATTCAATCTCAGAGATAAACCAGTTGCGGCGGCTTTGCATAATTCGTCGGGGGCACGGCATAAGTTTAAGCTTCGACTTGCACGCGCGAATCGAGCAAAACCTGCCCAGCCCTGCTGTCGGCCCGTTGCCCGGTAAATCACGTGACAATGCCGTTCGGGCCGACTCCAGCGTAGCCGGAAGTGGAGTGGTTCCGACCCTGTTCAGTCCACCCCCAGCCCTCATCTCCAGATATTATCGAGCTTCCATGCGTTGCGCTGCTTGCTCTGATCCGACCAGCAGCCCGTGACACCTCCATTATGCGTCTCTATGCCGCCCTGTCCCTTGCAGCATGTCTCGTCCCAGCTTCCGCCATCTTCGAAGATGATGCCCACCACATAGACTTTCATCATGCTTTGCTAGGCCTGCCTAACCACGAAGCCACCTTCTTCTCCAAACCTTACGTCGCCTCCAAAGCCTCTCTACTCTACACAGTCTCCGAAAACTCCACGGTAGGCGCCGTCAACCCCAAGGACGGTGCATTGGTATGGCGCTCCTCGCTAGCCCACAACGGCGCAGCCCACCTTAGGTTTGGGGAAGACCAAGATGTTGTCATCGGTGGGGTTGGAAATCGCATAGTCGCCTTCAGCGCCTCAGACGGCAGGATCGTCTGGGAATCCAGCATTGACGGCATGGCGGTGGAAGACCTCGAGATTCTGGAACAGGAAGACGGCATGTCCAGCAATGACGCCAAGGATGCCATTGTCCTGGTCGGCGGCACGCAACAAGCCGTCAAGAGATTGGATGGAAAGACCGGACGCGTCAAATGGACATTTGAGGACGCAAGGTCAGTTTTCACTCCTCTTCTCAATCTCACCGTCTTCCGCGCTGACAGTGTGCCAATAATAGTGGAGACATTCCCTTCCAAGTCTCGACGTCCCCCACCACCATCTACTACATCTCCCTACACTCACCCCTTCTGGGTGGCGGCTCGAAGCTGCGTGTGACCTCGCTCAGTCCCATAACCGGAAAGAAAATCGATTCGTATACGCTCAGCTCCGAAGGCGAGGTACAATCGAAAGCCAACATCTTGTTTGCTGGTGCGAACACGGCAGCTCCGCTGTTGGCATGGACCGACAAGGCGCACAAGGTGCTCAAAGTGAACATCATCGGAACCAAGGGCATCTCTACTTTCGCGACACCCGCAAGTGACCCCATAGAGAAGATCGTGCTCCACGCCCCCAACCGCTTGAATTCGCTGGCCCACTTTCTGGTGGAATACCAGACCGCTGCTGGCCACTCGGCTGAGGTTTATCATGTGGATTTGAAACAGAGTACCATCTCCAAAGCCTATAGCCTTCCGCAACTCAAGGGCAAAGGCACTTTTGCGACTAGCACCACGAACGCCAACGTTTACTTCACGCGTATCACTACTGATGAAGTCACCGTCGTCTCCTCCGTATCTCACGGCGTCCTCGGACGATGGACCGTTAAAAGCTCCTCTGCTTTAGCTGGTGCCCACCCCGTGCACGCTGTCTCCGAAGTTGTAGTCAAAGATAACACTGCATCGGCCGCCAGGTCTGCTGTCCTGTTCTCCAACGGCCAATGGGCGCTCGTGCGCAACGGCGATGTTGCTTGGTCTCGACCCGAGTTTCTTTCGAGCACAACATCTGCCGTATGGGCGGAATTACCAGAAGAGGAAGAAGCGCTCGCACATGAATTAGAGGTAGAAGGTCACCAGAATGTGATTGCTGCCTACGTTCACCGTGTCAACAGACATGTCAAAGATCTGAAACACCTTCCATCTTGGGCACAGAACCTGCCGACCCGCATTCTGGGCAATCTTCTAGGCACGACTGGGGAGTCTACCATAGACGATATCCAACATGATACTTTTGGCTTTCATAAACTTGTCGTCGTAGCCACCAAAGGAGGTCATTTGGCTGCACTGGATGTGGGCGCAAAGGGCAAGACAGTGTGGAGCATCGACCTACATCAATTCGTTCCGGAAGTTTCTTTCTCCAATCCTGCACTGAGAGCCTTTCGCGGGTTCGTCGAGGTCAAAAACACGGGCCTGTCCACTCCTCTACTTATCAATTCCACTACTGGTAGCCAGATTCTTGCCAAGGACACTAAACGCAACCTCCCTGTCTTCTCTCAAGGCCAGAAACTCATCACCTTCGACTTGGTTGATGGCGAACTCCAAGGATCTGTTGGACCTGACCCTGGCTCGGAAGTGGCTTGGACGTTTACGCCTCCTCCGGGAGAGACTATTGCGGGCTACACCACCCGACCTGCCAAGGATCCAGTGGCTTCCATCGGCAAAGTTTTGGGAGATCGACGAGTTCTCTACAAGTACCTCAACCCTAACCTAGTTTTAGTCACGGCCGTGGCTGAGCCTAATCATAAACTGTCTATCTACCTCTTGGATTCCGCTTCCGGGCAGCTCCTGTACACCGTTACCCATTATGGCGTAGATACTACACGGCCAGTTCCGTCCGCCTTTTCTGAGAACTGGTTCAGCTACTCCCTCACTATGGACTCTTCTTCGTCGTCTTCCGCTCGCGGATATCAATTGATTGTCGCAGAGCTTTTTGAGTCCCCGCTTCCCGACGACCGAGGTCCATTGGGCGCTTCATCCAACTCCTCTACTGTGCAGCCCAGTGAGACCAAAGGGGACGCCTCGAAGCCACATGTGATCTCGCAGAGTTACCAAATTCCCGAGGAAATCTCGCACATGACCGTGACACAGACGCGACAAGGTATCACCAGCCGTGAACTACTCGTCACCCTTCCCGCTTCCAACTCCATCGTCGGCATTCCTCGTCAAGTCATTGACCCCCGGCGACCAGTCGGTCGCGATCCCACTGCACAGGAACAATCCGAAGGACTAGGCAAATACGTGCCCATGATCCTGTTCGATCCAAAGTGGCACCTTAATCACGTATACGAGGTTGCTGGCATCAAGGGTGTCATCACCAGCGAAAGTGGTGTTGAGAGCACCAGCTTAGTGTTCGCATACGGTTCTGATTTGTTTGGCACGCGAGTAGCACCTAGCTTTGCGTTTGACGTTTTGGGCAAGGGTTTCAACAAGATCCAAATGATGTTGACGGTTGCAGCATTGTTCGTGGGTGTGCTTTTCGTGGCACCTTTGGTAAGTTCTATCCTGATTGACTTGGGTAAACGCGGATCAAGGCTAACAAAATTTACAGGTTCAAAGGAAACAGATCAACACGTTGTGGACGACTTGAAAATGTCGAGTATTGTGAGCGTTTTTGTGTGTCATTGTATAGAACAAAAAGTAGAAACTCTCGTCAGCATTGTCTCATATACCCGAAATTGACGATGTCATTCGACAGCGATATCATAGCAAAAGCTGAAGGGGCGGTTGAGAAATGAGAGGACAGATAGCAGTAGTGGTCTGCCATGGATATGAGGATGAGGATAAACGACGAAATCCAGTATATTGCTAGCATAAATAAAAAGAACAAAAGTCCTCAATACTACCCCCCCCCCCCACCATAATCCTTTTCCTTCACAAGAGTACCTCAGACAATTGTATGCCCTCCATCCGACCTAATCATAGTCCCAACCATATTCCCGTCCTTCAAAACAGCCAAATAACTCTCGACAACATCCTCGACCCTCCCCACCCTCCCCGTCAACAAGCCCGCCCCGATGCCCTCAAACATCTTCTTCTTGGCCTCCTCGCCCATCTTCCACATCTCGGTATCCACAGCACCCGGCGCAACCCCATTAACCCTAACGGGCTTCAAATCCACCGCCAAATTCCTAATCATGGCATGCTGCCCACCAGCATAACTCGCGACAACACTCCAATTCTTATTCGGCTTCTCCCCAACCGCGCCGCTCGTAATCGTATACGAGCTCGCGGCATCCTTCCTCACGTAGCGCTGCACATATTTCGCCGCCATCAACGGCGCGAAAAACCGCAGACTCCCCGCCGCAATCACCTTGTCGATGTCCAGGTCCTCGATCGAAGTCATAAACAGCGCGTCCCCGGCTGTATACACCACATGATCCAGCATACCCTCGTCCCCTCCAATCTCCTTGACCGCGCTTTCGAACAGCGAAGACAGTTGTGCGTCGAGCGTCGCGGGCTGCGAGAGATCGACTGTGAAGGTGGAGATGTTTGAGGCTTTGCTGGGGTAGGATGCTAAGAGGGAGGCTTTTGCGGATGAGAGGCGCGAGGGCGTCGACGAGGCTAGGGCGATTGTCGCGTTGGATTCTAGGAGCGCTTCGGCGAGGCCGTAGCCTAGACCGGAGGTGCCGCCGATGATCAGAACGCGGGCGTTTGAGAGTTTGGTGGTGTATTTGGTTTGGTCTGGCATTTTTTCTTGTTGTTCTTTGTCTGGATTGATTGTCGGGGTGTCGTGGTGGTTTGGTAAGAGAGCTCTAGTACTGTTTCCTATAGTGATGCTTTGAGCTTCTTGTTGCCTCTATATTCTCGCTCAGAGCCGTTTTCTTCTTCGTGTTCTATTGATTCGGCGTCTCTTCAAAATCTAAAACGATCTTTGAAAAGTATGTCAGAATCTCGAAAAGTGCTTCTTAATCAATCTATCCATATTTGAAGAGAGGGGGGAAACCATCCAGTTTATATACCCGCACCCCAAAAACGCTTCATCCACCTCCGGCCTGCAGCCAGAACCACAAACGCGATGAGATAATCAATGAGTAAACCAAAATAATCATCATTATCCCCAAACCCCACAAATGAAAAACGATGGTTCATTCTGAGCCGCCCCGACGCAAACGCCCCGGGCAGCTTAACTCCTATTCCCGCTTCGCCCTGCAGTAGTCTATGTACACGCGAGCTGGTTGGGTCACGATGACACCATCGTAGCTCTCGCTTTCGCGCGTGAAAAAAAAATAAGCTTCCTCGGGGCTACTAATCGAGGATCCGAAAGATGAACGCATGGCCTGTGGATTGTTGCGGTTGTGATGTTGATTTGTTATCTGGCTGATTGTTTTGGCTTACGCGCGGGAGATGGGGTCGCATACACACGATTGATTCAAACTAGTGGGTTTAGGAGAAAATGGTAGGCTGTCATTGCATCTTCTCGAATGGAGAGCATACGAGCTTGATTACATATTTGTGTAGAAAAGGGAATTATGATTTGTAAGGATTCGAAGAGATGGGATGATGTCCAAGGTTGATACGAAGTAGCCAGGTTGATACGAAGTAGCCAGGTTGATACGAAGCAGCATGCAAAAACCAATCAAGGGAGTTTTAGACATGGATGCCTCTTTGTTCCCGGTCCGGTATCTGAAAAAGAAACGGGTAGGGGAAACGAAGCACGGGTGAAGCTATGCACCTTGATCATCATGAACATGGTTTGTTGTAAACGGTGATTGGTTGATGGATTGCATTGACATTTGATATTACAGACACAGCGCTCGACCTGGAAAAGGAAAGCGCTTGAAAGGCAACGTAGGGTATCGATATGAGATGATGAGAAAAGCAGGAAACCTCGGAACCATCAAGGAGAAGACGTGTTACAGGAGATCGACATCGTAAAAGGAGAAGAGACTTTGATTGTAAGTTTCTGATCGAACACGAACATCTAGTAAGATGATTCAGGGTCAGCACAGAAATCCGGGCATTATTTCATGTAGATGGTTGTGATGGTTCGTAATGACGAGCAGGTGGCAAGTTCACTAGTGCATAGTGCATTTAAGGGTGCTCTGAGCCACGGCCAGTTAGACTAGTGCTTGCCTGCATGTCTGAGTTAGCATCTATATTGCATCTTGAGGCTGCGAAGGAGCAGGATCGGAAGCAGGATTTACCTTGCGGGACTTCCAGAAGATGAAAGCGCCATAGCATGCGGTGATGAACCACAGGAGCATGTTGGTCAGCAAGCACCACACAGCTCGCTTCATGCGGATGATGCCCGCGTTGCCTTCGGGGTCCTCCTTGATGTACATTTTACCGAAGATGCCAAAGGCTGTGAGGTACAGGATCCAGATGATAACGTCGACGCCGAAGAAGAACCAAGCGCGGAGCAGAGGGAGCATCAAGACGAGCGCCGCGATGGCTGAAAGCGTGCCGACAATGGTCGCGTACATCCACTTGGAATCGTAGTAGACGCCTGCCTTACGGGCGCGGTCAAGGTCGACTGCGTAAAGTCCGATTACGACGATGCCCATGACGAATTGGAAGAGGCGTAGAGTGATGCGAAAGGCGCTGCTGAGGGTGAGGTTGGCCGAGAGGCGGTTCTTAAGGCCGACCTTTTCGCCCTGCATCGTGCCTCGATTGAAGAATTTGAGAGCCATGTTGAGAAGCTGGGGTATAATGAGCACCATGTCTAAAGTAGGCTTGTAGGTGTTTTTGGTTGTTACGTACGTTCAGTTGGAGATATTTCTCTTGGGGTTCGTGTAATGTAGCGTTCTCGTTGAGTGATCTAGATCAGAAAACGATGGGGGAGGAAGCTATAATAATAGCCAGTGGCCGTCTCGCTGTGTCTTCACAATGTCGCTGTGAGAAGAACCGGGACACCCAGAATTATATCTTTGGCGTCGAGGGCCAGACAATCGCTTGGGCTGTTCTTGCTGCAGAGCAGGGATGGCTTGCGATATGACGTGATGTCGGTTCACAATACCAGGATTCTTCTTTCCCTTTTGTACAATGATCGACAAAGAACCTGATGAGGGAGCGGTTGCAGGACAAAGAGAGATAAGGAGCAAACAAGAGGTTTGTTCACAATTAAATAAAAAAGCACAGTGGAGCGCAGCTCGCCGTGAAGAAGAGAAGATGTGAGAGAGTTGAAAGGGAAGACGTCCGTGAAGCGCACGTGGTGTTGTTGCGGTGAGCTGTGTCTAGTGAGTGAAGACTGCTGCATCTCTTATATATTGTCGCATTGAAGCCGAAAGCCGCTGGCCAGATGGCCCGCTTGATCGCGTTTGCGTCGCGCGCTGGCTCTGTGGGCGCCTGTCTATTGCTCCTATTGTGTTGTACTGTGAGCGCTGGCCTGTCACTGTGGGCGCTGCCACTCCGTCATAGGCGCCCGCGTATCGTGAGTCTTTGGGACCGGGGTCAGCCCGGGCATGATTGGCCAGCGTTCTCCCAAACCTCAACGCGTTGTTTTACATGTCTATTCCAGGCGGTTTCAGATGTTCTCAAGGAAGGACGATGTATGAGCGTTCCATAACGGTCTCTATGGCCTGAGAAAAAATCCGTTCAAAGCGCTGGAGTGGGGCCATGGTGCCTGTTGCGCTTGTTCAGTGTCTGGGCGGACTCTCCGCATTGCAACACAACCATGATTGGGTACAGCAAAACAGCAATGGGCTCTTTTCAATTGGACTTGATAGTTCTTTTGCTATTTTTCTCACATTTCACAAACGCTACACACGTACACTGTTTAGGGTGATGAGTACTTGTACCCATACTTGTCCTTGGCGGCCTGGATCTGCTCCTTCAACGTCTTCTCCTTCTCCGCGTACTCCTTGTCATTCTCCAACTTCTCCAGGTACTTGTTGTTTCCGAGCCCAATATCGAAGGGTACCGCCAGGCCTGCAGCGACCTGGGGACGGGCAAGGATCCTCTCCCACCATGCTTTGAGGTTAGGGAAATTGTTGATTTCGACACCCGAGAATCGCAGCGCATTGACCCATCCGAATGAGTTGATGTCAGCTATGCTGTATTTGTTACCGACCAGGTACTCTTTGTCCTTCAAGTGGGTGTCAAGGACGCCAACAAGACGCTCAGTCTCGCCTGTGTAACGCTGCATACCGTACGCGATGCGCTCGGGGGCAAACCTCTGATGGAAGTGTCAATATCTGGTACCAAATGTTGGAAGGGACTCAATCCTACGTTGAAGTGATTTGCTTGACCTTGCATGGGGCCAAGTCCGCCATGCTGCCACGCCATCCATTGCTCAGCGCGGCTAATGTCGAGAGGGTCTGTGAAGGAGAATTTGTGGTCGGGATCGTAGTGACGGGTCAGGTACGCGAGGATAGCTGCAATCAATTGTTAGCTGTGTATGCCGGATCGCATGGAATGACCACACTCACCAAGACCTTCCTGAACAGCAAAACCACCTTGGTCGTGATCCACTATGACGGGAATACGGCCATTGGGACCCAGCTTGGTGAACCACTCCTCCTTCTGGATGTTTTTGCTGATATCGATTGACTGGACTGTGTATTCCTTTCCATAGGCGGCCTTGAGCTCCTCCAGAAGAATGGAAGCTTTCACGCCATTGGGAGTAGGGAAGGTGAGCAGCTCGATGCCGCTGGTTGCTTTGAGTCCGGTTGGTCTTTCAGCCATGGTGGTGGTATTGTTGTCTTGTAGGTGTCTGGTGTAAGTAGAGAAGGGAGTTCTTGTTTGGCGTTGTATGCGGGGCAGGGCACGGAATATGAGGGGCCGCGATAGTGACATGAGAGCTGAAGCTACAGCGGATTCGATTGGGTTTTGTATCTGCAAAGTGGGCAGGTACACGAAGGCTCACAGTACGCAATCCATGATGCTCCACGTTGCAATTACTAATTGTCCCTTCGTGCGGACGAATCCCGCTTACAAAACAACAACCGTCTGTCAGCCCCATACCACGATCTTCTTTTTCCGTCCGGAGCATCGAATGATAATACAGTGCAACTAGAACCGAGAACGTGGATGTGAGATTCGTGATCGCTTCAGCATAAACAACATTCGCTCGTATATGCCGCTTCCTTGCAGCTGCAGATGTCCGCGTTCTTGTGCTGTGGTGCGTGACGTGATGTCATCATACCCTGCATCCATTGTCTATTAGCAAGCACGGCGCTATTCAACGCCGAGTCAGTGTCTGACTAACCTGTTCAATTCATCTCCCAGACCATCCCCATCCCCCGCCGGAAGCACGTCGTCTGTCATAATGCGCATGTACATATTCCTTCTACGACTTCCATGCCGGACCTCGAAAGATAACGTGGTTCGATGGTCTTTTCATCCGACAAATCGGCGCGCCCAGTGCCGGCTCTTATTCAAACTGTGACCATGGTCTGGTGTGATCTGCTCCAGCTAACGAGCGGGGTTGAAGAGAGGACCGAGGAAAGGAGGAAAGGAGCTTTTGAAAGTCGATCTTCGTTGCGACAATCCAGTGACTAGAGCTAGTAGAATCTCAATAGCATTATATCCTAGCAACAACCACAACTCTTTACCATTTTCTGACCGCTTACACTTGATTTGGTGATATTGTATCAAGTGCGAGCAGAGACGCCATGGGATCAGAACTTATCTTCCCTGCCTTCGATGACCTTCCCAGCGTTGAAGACGAGCCTCAAGGCTGTCTATGGGGGTTCTTCGACAAAGACGGAAAGAAAGATGAGATTGGAAGTTAGTGTCACCCCAAAACAACTCAAACCAGACGATGAACACTAACAAAAGCCACTCCTGAACAGCTATCAATCTGCTATCTCCCACAAATGTTCTCACCGCGTCACGCGAGATCGCCACCGGAGAATCAATCCAACTCGATTGGCCGCTCCATAATGTCCAATTCCCGGGTTTCAGCAGAAAGCCATTCGAACATACTAAAGTAGATCTGCAACCTCTGATAAATTTCAAAGGGATGGACGATGAGCTGTACATCAACACGCAATCTGGGTCCCAATGGGACGGCTTAAAGCATTTCGCACACCAAGCAACAGGAAAGTATTACAATGGGCTATCGCACGACGAGAATACTAAATCGAATACAAATGGGACTCACAACTTGTGCAAAAGAGGCGGGATAGTGGGAAGGGGCGTGCTTGCGGATTGGTTGAGTTGGTACGAGACTCACAAGGGAGAAGCGCCTAGCCCTGTGTCGAGGCATGAGATCACAGTCGATGACTTGGAGCAAACGTTGAAATGGCAAAAGACTACCACTCGCCCGGGCGACATCCTGATCATCAGGAGTGGCTATGTCCGATGGCACAAGTCAGTTGATTCCGGTTCACCTCTACGTTCATTGTTAGCCATATGTCCAACGTGATAGGCTACTAACGACTACCAGCAACGCGTCCACTGAAGCCCGAAAGTCAGGCACCAAAGACAACAGCGTTGCGATTGGGATGCAAGGCAGCGAGAAATCCGTGCGATGGCTCTATGATCATCATTTTGCAGCCGTCGCCGGCGATACCGTTGCTTTCGAAGCCTGGCCCCCAAAATTGGACGAAGGCTGGTGTTTGCATGAGTGGCTACTTGTCCAATGGGGCACACCCATCGGAGAGATGTGGGACCTTGAAAGTCTGAGCCAGAAGTGTAAAGACGAGCGAAGGTATACGTTTTTCTTGACAAGCGCCCCTTTGCATGTTGAGGGAGGCATTGGGAGCCCACCGGGTGCTATCGCGATTTTCTGATTGGGATAAACGATGCTCTCACACCACAAAACACCTTGTCAAACCGAATACAAGATTATTTTGCTATTATTTGCGACCTGATGATTAGTTATAAAGGTTGTAGCATCATCAAAGCCTGGCATTCCAGTGCCATTACACGGATACAAACCAACTTTCCCTAAACTCCATTACCATCCCACATAATCTCCACCAAACAAGTCTCAGACCTCTCCCTCCTTATCTTCCCTTCCTCCACCTCCCCACGATCCACATCCTCCCCTTTCCCCTCAACAACATCCTTCTCCCCAACCATCCCATCAACAACCCCCATCAGATTTCCCACCGCATCCTCAAAACCACTCGTACTACTCGCTCTCACCCACGGCTTCGTCACTCTCCGCCCTCGCTCTCTCCGATCCACAAAGATGGTGATGTTGTATTTGTCGAGCTTGCATGCGTCGTCGTTGGGGTTGCTGTTGCTGCAGAGACAGTAAGGATCACCGCAGATTGTGGGGCGTGTTATTGCGAGGAAGATTTCTGAGGGGGTGAGGGTTGGGCGCAGAGTTTTGAACAAAGTTGTTAGATTTGCTGGATGAGGGAGGGAGAGACGTGGTTAGTTGGATGTATGTATGTAGATAAGTGGGCATCTCTTTGCTGTAAGGAGAGGAGAGGGGAGGGGAAGAAACATACTTATCAACCCATCGATTTGAGACCCCGGAACATCGCCTGTCAGTGCCAGACGTAGCTTTTCTTCTATAAATTGATGGAGCGATTCTGGCATTTTTTGTTTTTCGTTGTATTCGTATTAAGGAAGCCTTTTTTTTATATCGCGGGTCTGGATTGCCGAGTTACGGTATGAGTGTAAGTGAGGTTTAGTTGCACCAGAGAGAGTGAGAAGGAAGCGAGAAAGATGTAGTCATTGCTATTTGAGGTTTGGTGAAGATCATATGGCATGTGTTCAACGTGTGAAGCACGGCCAGGTTTGATATTGCTACTGGTGATATTGGACTGCGGATTGAATGGTGTACAACGTGGCAAGTAGCGAGGCACCTTTGACCCAACCGTGAGTAAATTCTGGCATCACGAGAGTATGTGTTTGCTTGCCATAGTTGCACGATGATTGCTTCAAGGTGGACTGCCACATATCATGTGCAAATGGCTTGTCGTGTGTTCTTCATGTTGACAGGTTTGCGAGATGAGAGCAAAGCAAGATCTGTGGTGTTCTACGGCGTGTCTAGTTCTTGTGCATTCAATAAGGAAGCGTGAGCATCGGCATTTGAACTTTGATGAAGCTGATTGATGAATGTACGAAAGTGAATGCTGAGGTCTGGGGGAGGTGGGGGAGATGATTTAGTGCCTCCCCTTTCCGGGGCTAAGCGAATCACGGACCGTCATCATCCCAAGGAAACATCATTTGAAAGTTTTCTCCTGTTCCAGAAAATCCACCATTGACCATCCACTTGATAGCGATACCTCAGCTGGTCATCCATCGCACAATTTTGTGCGTTTAATGTACACTACGAAGTCAGTGTATGGCCTCATAGCGAGGCAGTCTCGAGTATACGCTGGTCGTCCACGACACTCCTTCGGGTGCAAGAAGAAATATTTCACCATGGATTTCTCAACAAATGCAGGGTCAGAAGTTCGTAGGTCACGTACTCATTATAAAAATGATTTGGACTGATTGTCATGCAGGAGAAGAAGTCGGTGCATCATGATACACATGCGCAGCCACCAGATTTCATAGTACGAGAACATTGGAAGTACCAAAGCATGAGAAAAGCCGAGCTGGAGAGCGATCCAAACGTTTTCGATCTCAGTAATAGGGACTCGTTCTCCGAAGAACAGAAGCAGATCTGGCAACCGGCTGGCGTGATACCAGCTGCTCGTGTCCAGAGCGCATGCGAGGCGTACGCCGGAGGCAAGCCACTGTATACGCCATGCAAAGACGTACCGTACTTCGAACATCGCGATTTTCCAGGTTTGCAGGTGATTCCGGGTCTGTTACCACCCGAGACGCAGGTGCTGTTCACATCGTGCTTAATGCATAGGGATCTGGCCGATCCCGAGCATAAGATTAATCTTCAAGCCGATTTCGACATACCGTACCCGCCAAAGACTTCATCAGACGGCCAACGGTTCGACACTTCATTTTTCGCTCGCGACCGTGCGTCGGCAGAGCATGATTTAGTACCGAAAGATTCAACCAAAAACAAACCGCTCAAGAATGAGCAGTTCCTGTACTCCAGGTTACGCTGGCTCACTCTCGGCGATCAGTACGATTGGCCGACGCGAAGTTATGCACAACATGCAACTCCGTTTCCTGAGGATCTTTCAACACTGGTCACTGGCCTGTTTCCTCACATCAAGCCAGAGTCCGGAGTTGTGTTGATGTACAGCGCAAAAGACTTTATGCCCGTCCATCGTGATGTTAGTGAACAGTGTCAACGAGCTCTTGCCAGTTTCAGCGTCGGTTGCGATGGCATTTTTATTATGGCACGAGGGGAGGACAACGGCCAAGGCGAGAATGAACCGAAGACGGTGGTTCTGCGAGTTCGAAGTGGTGATTGTGTACACCTCGACGGAGAAGCTCGTTGGGCCTGGCATGCCATGGCACGTACGATACCAAGCACCTGTCCACCTCATTTGGCCGATTGGCCTGTCGGCACTCCCGGCGCAACACCCCAGGAGCAAAGGATTTTCAAGAAGTGGAAGGGTTACATGAGCTCTAAACGAATCAACGTGAGCTGTCGACAAGTCTGGGATTGATAGATAGTCACGCGTTACTGAACAACAAAGTTGGATGCAAGAGCAACTTGATAAATGTGCCGATCACCATGGATTTTCCCGTCGAGACTTGGACCCTGAGTCATATGCCAGCAGTTTTATAGCCTGCATTGGGGGCCAGGTCGCAGCAGGTCTTAGGGTTCGTCAGTGACATCCATACACGCCAACACGGGGTCGTGGCGTCGCCTCAAACGCTGGCATCGTTAATGGCACCGAATCTTTCAAAGTCCTCACCCGGTCGCATCGGAAAGTCCCGGTAGGGCGTGGAAAGCATAATACACTGCCAGCTCCACAAAGATTCAAGCTCTCGAAATGACATCATCATACCCTTGTGTACAAGCGAGCATATTGTTGCCCTGCAAAGCAGAGGCACGGTAATGAGAATCTAACCTAATCGTACGTTTATCCTCCCAGCCATGCTCCTTCCCTGCATTTTCAATATCTCTCGCCTCCAATCCGCTCGAGGGACAGCGTCAATCTTAGCATTGAACGCAAGATGGTCCCCAATTGTCCTAAGCGCTAGCGCCATCACACCCCCAAATACCCGCTACCTTGTAGCTTAGAACGAATATGAACGCCTCTGGCTGGTCTAGGGACTGCATCTCCCGCACCATTTCCCCAGGCTTCCGTTCAACTTTGGTCAAAGATCGACTTCCCGATTCATACAGCTAGAGCGTGCTCTGAGCATCACCCTGATGTCCCGAACCCTGCTAGAATAGCCGCCATGTTGTCTTGGGAGCCTGCCGGTGTGGGTTTAAGACCCTCACCCGCGCCGCTTCGTCGGAACTTCGCGTAGTTCATTATTCTATTCTGACTTCTAGTCACACAGTTTGGCTCGATAATATCTTACCTAAAGTTTTGTTCCTTTGCGTTATCGGTTTTTAGGTAAATGCGCGCGTCAAGATGGTATTGTCAATTTTTGGCCATGAACTTCGTTACCATAGCCCATGGGTACAAAACATCATCAGCGGAATTGGTGTAGGTGCGTCCGCTGGAATTTACGTTGCGCTCAACCTCCTGGGCGCCGGGGGCGGCAAGCCGAATTCCGCACAAGTAGTGCAAGTCGTCAACGCAACGCTGTGCGCCGTCTGGTTCTTCTCTTCCTCTTTCGGTGGCTCCATCTTGAACAAGCTGGGTCCTGGCCTGACCATGTGCATTGGAGTCCAGACTTATGCTGTCTACGTAGGCTCACTCTGGTACTTTGACGAAACGGGTAAAACTGGGTATCCATATGCTGCCGGGCCTATCATTGGTATTGGGGCTGGAATGGTATTCATCACTGCAGGTTACATTTCCACGGCATATCCGGAAGAGAGCGAGAAAGGATCATACGCGACTATCTTGATGAACATGCAAGGCCTCGGTTCTGTCATCGGAGGCATCATTCCAGTCATAATCAACAAAGATAAAGACACGGCAGCGGGAGTGCCTCGCGCCGTCTACATCTCGTTCATTGTGATCATGGTCATTGGTGGACTGATCACGCTTCTCCTGCTGCGTCCGCAAGATCTGAAAAGAGACGACGGATCCGTTGTTGCGGTGCATCCGGCGCGAGGGGCATGGGAAGAGTTCAGGTCCAATTTGCTCATCTTCAGCGATCCTGTTCTGTTGATCATGTTACCTGCTTTCTTCCCAGCGGAGGGTTTCTTAGTGTACAGTGGCTCAGTCAACGGTAAGACTCTTTATTGATATAAGTCCCTTCACGCATTCAGCTATTAGATTCTGATTTGTATTTGTGGAATACAAAAGCATACCTCAACAGCCTCCGTGCACGTTCGCTCCTGTCCTTTATTGCAGTGTGCTTGCAAATTCCTGCTGGATGGGCATTACAATGGATCCTCGACCGTCCTCAGTGGGGTCGCCGCAAAAGAGGTCTGATCGGACTGACTGTTGTCGCTGTTCCTATGGTGGCAGCCTGGGTTTGGGAGATGGTAAGTGACTTTCTCACTTCAAGACATCGATCCGCTTTACGAGAAGACATAACATAACGGGGAAGTAATGCGTCCGAATTGATATATTAATCCTTGTTCAATTTAGATCCGCGTTCGAAATTACAACCGGAGCATTGCAGTCACCAACCCCACCGACTGGGATGAGCCAAAGTTCGGCTGGATTTTTGTTCTCTTCATGTTGACTTGGGTGTTCTCCGTGAGTTTCCCTTCTCCAATTCCCCCCATGCTCTGTCACGGAAACAACCCCTTCCTTCCGTGCCTCAAGAAGCAGAAGATCCTCAGCTAATACCCCTCGTAACTAGCAACTCTGGCACAACATAATATACTACTACATCGGCGCGCTCACCAACTCCCCCCAAAAACTAACCCACTACGTCGGCGTCTTCCGCGGGGTTCTGGGCGCAGGTGAAGCTGTTTGTTTCGGACTCGATTCTACCAAGATCCCTTTCCTCGCTGAGGCCGGCGGTATTCTCCTGTTCTACGTGCTAGGGATTGCGGGGCTCTATTATCTGGGTGTGACGAAGATGCGGGATACAAACTACGATAAGAGGGAGACGGGGGCGGTGGTTCCGAACCATGTGCTTGAAGGAAAGGGTTTGACAGAGGGGATGGTGGGTATTATCGCTGGCAGGTCTGAAGCAGTGGAGGATGCCGGGAAAAGCGAGGAGGGACGGAGAGGGGAGAAGGGCGCGGTTTAAGAGGGACGGACGAGTTTTTGTCACTTTGGTGCGTAGATCTTGTATGGGATTCGTATTGGTTCATAATCATTTGTACTGTTTACCCTTTATATGTATACTGCGAATGAGAAGGGTTATTAGGAATATCGCATCCGCCACCGTCTTCGATCAACCTCCACCACCCGTTTCCATCACTATTCATACCCTTGATTATATATCCAAGAACTCGAATTTGACCAACAAAGTACACGTAGTTTCATGCCCACCCAAATCCAGCATGCGGATGAAACTCCACCCAGGCACCGCATACATCAAGCGCACAGCCGCAACCGCAAAGAGCGGATTCCTAGCAAAAGAATCGTCGCTCTTGACTAACAGCCTCAGGAACGCCAACTCGTTATCGTCGTACTCCCACTCCAACACCTCATCCCAGAACGGATCTGTCGCGGGAGGGTTGCCGTGCTTATGCAAGAACCCAGTGACTTTATGCTGCTTATACGGCGCCGTCTTGCGCTTGGGCGGCATGTTATTGAGATCATTGGGATGCACAAGCGTGCACGTGAGATAGGGCTTAGGAGTATCGTCCTCGTCTCTGCCCTTGGGCAATGGAACATCTGTAGCGCCCGCAACATGGAGGCGCAATTTCCTGCGACGGCCCGTATTCGTGTTGCCGTTGCCGCCGGTACGGAGGGCAGCGGGTTTGAGCACATAGCCGCCTGATCCGGCGAAGAGGGCTTCGTTGAGCTGGGAGCTCGCGCCAAAGTGCTGCCAGTTTAAGGCGCAGATTTGCGCGCCGATGCCCCAGAAGGGGACTGGTGCGAGGTTGCGGGAAGATATGCGTGTGCCTTTGGGGTAGACGCGCATCAGATGGGAGGCGTTGTGGACGGCGATTTGAGGGCTGTGTGCTGGCATGAAGTCTTTAAGGCCGGATTCTGAGACGTTGATGAGGTGGTGGTGCGGGCGGTTTTGGAGGGTATCTTCGAACCACTATGTTGTGTGTTAGTTTTCTAGTGAGCTTCATGAGTTGAATAGGGAGGTTGGAGTTTTTGTCAGGTGCATCTTCTTCATAAGACGTCGATAGAAATTGCGTGTGTTCAGTAGGGAATGCATCACTCACTATCATGACATTAGCAATATTTCAACAAAAGCAATCACTTTCACTTACCCGAATTGTTGACAGGTTTGACACTTTGCGCATAGACGCCGAGCTCGGCAAGCTCCGGTATAATGATTCCGGAATTGGTCTTCTTCCTGTCCTCGTGATACTGTTGGTGCTGTTGTTTCGTAGTCTCGTCATCTGCACTGCTGTCTTCGCTATCACTGCTATCCGCTTCATCGGGGAGATGATACTCGACAATGACTACAACCTTGTTTCCCAGCTCCGCAAGGGTAACGTGTTCACCGGTGCCTTCTTCCTCACGGGTACCCTTGTCGCGGACGGCTTTGCTGAGCAGGCGATGTCCGAAGACCTCCCTCATTATCTGTGCGAGTCGTAATTGACCCTGGGCATCACAGTGATTTTCCAAGGAGATCATGATGGGGGCGGCATTTACCCCCTCTGACGCCTCCTTATCGATGACTTGTGCGATGGTTTCGCATACGTCTCTGAAGGGGATATGCGAGACCAGTGTATAGCCATGCGTCACTTTTGGCTCGTCTTTATTGTCGCTGTTGTCCCATGCGTCGATTTCCACACAGCGAGAACCCGTGTTGAGCGCAATCTCATAGGCAACAGCATGCGACTCTCCAAACAGCTGGTGAGCGGTGAGGTAAGTGTTGTGGCTCGAACTAATGAAGTAATTCGGCAAAGGGTGGTGACGGCTGAGAACTTCTTTGGGAACGTTGATATGCGGTTTGTCTAGCAATTCGCGCATTGCAATCGTCGGCTGCTCCTCATCCAAGCCAGCTTCAGCTTCTGATATTACTCTTTCCTTAAGCAGGTGATTCCGAATCGTTCTGCTGACGCGCAGTTGATCTTTGGTGATAGCTGATTCTCGCGAAGCATGGCCGCCGCCAGCGACAGTTCCCTGGTCGATAGCCTCGCCTTTATCATCATCGTCCACGATACTCCTCTTGGAGAAAGGGCTCAGTTTTGCGATCCCAGAAATGAGTTGCGACATGTTTCTAGGTTGATCGTTTCCTGGTAAGTGAGGTTTTGGGGATAGTAGGGTGATTCGGTGACGTAGCCTGGGGCTGTAAATGTATTTATACCTGAATAGTTCCAAGAGGAGGGGCACAGCCGAAGTCCCGAGCCACAAGGCCCTAGCCACACTAAGCAGGATTATTGAATGAAGGACGTGACAGAAATTTCAGCCTTATGCTACAATCTTGTCATAAAAAGAGTATTCATTCTCCTCTATTGACTCCATTCGTAGTGCCGGTGTACCAATCGTTGATGCAGGTGCTAGTTTGCTGTACTGCATTCCGGTCCTATGGCCGACAGTAGTAGTGGGGCTACCGGAAATTCACGTTCCTTAGAAGCATATAAGATGAACAAGAAACAGATGCAGAAAGCTCACTGGAACAAAGTTTTAGGCTTACATCACTCAATTGAATCTCCAGAGCCTTCGAACCATCAGCAATTGTCTATCTCAACTCGTGAAATGAGATTCATTCAAGTATTTCTTTCCCATCATCCCACAAGCTTCTTTTCTCGCTCTTATAATATAGCTATCATTGCATCTTGCTCTATCCTAATTTTGCACGTCAGAAACAGTAACGCGAAAAGTTGCTTCTTAGGCACGATTGATGCTCGGATGGTATTGGACTGCACCAACAAGATAAACTCTCAATCTATCGGGTCGGCCTTGAACGCGTCAACCTACACTGATTATCAGTTGATCTGCCACATGTTGCCTAGACACAACGTCTTACAAGGTGTAACCGATGTCAAGGCTCGACGTCCCTCTTCTTCTGGGTAACGCAGTTTTACATCTTGCTTTTTAGAACGGGTCGCAAATGACGTAGCATTACTACTTCACTTCGACGTCAAGACCGATGGGTTACTGGAATGCTGCTCCAAAAACCAATTTCATATTTCACGTACATGGGCCTGCTCCCCGTTTGTACTCGCGTGCTGATGTTTTTGCCAGCACCCTAATTGATCTAGGGAATATAACGAATAGGACTTCGTATATAAGTCATCATTGATAAGCCAACCTGCGGCTGCTCTGTCTCGAGCTTCCGGTTAGCGGACTCGGTTGGAAGACAAGATTTTGAATCATCGACATAACAGATACGGCTTAACTAGCTACACCACAGGCACAGAGTCAATATAAAAGCATCGACACCAACCGCGTAAAATATTGGCCCTTTGCATCTTCGACCTTTCAGCTCAACCCATTGCTACACTAAAGAGCCTTCTTTCCAAAAATGCATGCGACTAACGAGATTCCGAACGCGTTCCGCCAGGAAGGGACTCAGGCTCCAAGTCGGGCAGTTACCATCGACGGCAACTCATTGCAGCTTGCCGAAGTGATACGTGTTGCTGAACACAAGTCCCCGGTCACACTTACGGATGATCCCAATATCATCGAGGCAATTAATCAGTCAGTCAAACTTTTGAACGACAAAATCAGCCAAGGAGATACAGTGTATGGTGTCAACACTGGCTACGGAGGCAGCGCAGATGTACGCTGTCAACCGGACGAAACAAAGAAGGTCCAACAAGCTCTCCTACAGCTTCTCAATTGCGGCGTATTGCCTCTCGATATCTCATCCCAGTATAGCGAAGGCGCCCATACGCCTTCACTAAAGCAAGAGTGGGTACGGGCAGCTATGCTCATACGGGCAAATACGGTAGCCCGAGGTCATAGCTGCGTGCGCATGTCAACCATCAACGCTCTTCTTGCACTGCTCAATCGCGACATCATCCCAGTAATTCCCACTCGTGGAAGCATCTCAGCATCTGGAGATTTGTCACCGCTTTCTTATATAGCGGGAGTGCTAGAAGGGAATCCCGAAATCTACTGCTGGGCAGGCTCTGGAATAGACAGACGCGTCGTGCCCGCCAACGAGGCTTTGGCAGATGCGGACATTAAACCAATTGTATTCGAGCCCAAGGAAGCACTGGGGTTGGTAAATGGCACTGCCATATCCGCGGCTGCTGCAAGCACGACTCTAAACCATATGAGCGAAATCATAACACTGAGTCAGTTGTTGACTGCAATGAACGTAGAAGCAGTCCTGGGAACCGCAACATCTTTTGCACCGTTCATTTCCCAAATTAGACCTCACCCTGGCCAGGCGCAAGTTGCCTCGACCATCCTCAACGCACTTTCAGGATCGAAACTCGCTACCGGCCTACTAGACACCCATTCTCACGACTTATTCCAAGATCGCTACTCCTTGCGAACAGTCCCACAATGGCTCGGCCCATTTGTCGAAGATATCGCTCTCGCAGATTCCCAGCTCAAGATAGAGCTTAACTCAACCACCGACAACCCAATCATGGATCCAGCAACCGGCACCGTCTACCACGGCGGCAACTTTCAAGCTATGTCGGTGACTTTGACCATGGAAAAGAGCCGCGCCGCCGCTCAGGCTATCGGCCGCATGCTCTTTAATCAGTTTACAGAAATGATAAACCCGGCTACAAATCGCGGTCTTCCGCCTAACCTCTGTGCCGACGATCCTTCAACAAGTTTCACCATGAAAGGCGTTGATATTAGTATGGCAGCTTATCTTTCTGAGCTGTCGTTTCTAGGAAATCCGGTACACAACCATGTTGTGAGTGCGGAGATGGGAAACCAGTCTTTGAACTCACTAGCGTTGGTGAGCGCGCGGTATGCGGATTCTGCGGTCGATTTATTGAGGCTTATGTGTGCGTGTACGCTGTATGGGACGTGCCAGGCGCTGGATCTTCGTGCTATGAACTTGATTTTCGAAGAACAGTTGCAGGCTTATCTTAAGCAGCGACTCGATGCTTTCCTAACGGAGCTAGAAGTTCATGGAAGCACCACCCTTTCGACGAAAGTCAACCCAAAGATCTGGGAAACTGTGAAAAGGGAGCTGTCAAAATTAACCACTTTGGATGCCGATGATCGATTCGGGAAAGCATTATCCGGAACCAAGACGCTTCTGCTCGACTTTCTCGAGGAATCTGGGATCAGTACGGATAATCTTTTATCACGCACAACGCAATGGGTCCGCGACACCACTACTGGCACCACTTTGTTATACAGTACCGTTCGCAGCGAGTATATCAAGTCCGGAAACGCGAGCAAGTTTCTTGGACGCGCTTCCAAGCTCTTGTACACGTTTGTCCGGGAGGATCTAAATGTGCCTATGCATAGAGGGATCATAGATCATCCGACGCCAGCTTCTTGGGATGTTGTTGGTGAGGGTGCTGCAGATGATGATGAACAGTGGAGACGGAAAACAGTTGGACATTGGATTAGTGTTATCCATGAGGCTATTAAGAGTGGACGTATCATGCATGTTGTGGGAAAGTGTAGGGCTGAAGGTGGATCGGCAGAGGTGTCTTTGCTGCATCAGGAGAAAAATGGTATTGCATAATTGAAGTATGCAAAGTTGCGTGGTGGCGTGATTTTAGGCAAGAGGAAAGCAATTCATGCGAAGAAAACAGATTTACATGATGTCACCTAGGAATCTGCGAAGGGTTTGTTATAGAGCAGAATAATGGCTCGACGCGGGGTCCTGTCTTTCAATAATGTATGTAGCGTACCTAGATGTCAGAATACTCATGATGCCGAGCTATGCAATGAAAGTTTACAAGCCTTACACTGAAATAGGAGATATATGATGAAGACATCTTTCAGGGAATTTCGGTTTGTTTATCACTAGGTTCATTGTATGATTATCGCATTTCCTATGTGAAGTACAGGATTGAAGTTGGTCATATCACACATTGTCACACAGATGAACACAAGCAGAGAACATGGTCTCACTCCTCGGTGTTGGTAGCACCTGCAGGAAACGGGAGGGAAAAGGGCAAGGAACGTACTTATCATAGATATCGAAACTCTCTTCGCTCTCTTCAATTCTGGCAGAAAGTCGTTCTGGTGTGTTGGCGTGGCGAGTGGTCGGTCAACAAGTCGAAGCTTTGACCTACACACAAGTTCAAAATATAGGTGAGTGCATCTTCATTTGCTCTAACCACCCTAGAAAATGACGCAGTAAGCAGCTGTTAAGCCAATTGCATGTTTTCACGGCACCGCTACACAAACTCCTTTCCCGTATACTTTGAATGTGACTTTTTTAAGTGTTATATATACCTGTGCGTGACCAAACAGATCTAACTCCCAATCCCACCACCCACGGGGCAATTAGGCACGTTTTTCTGCCAAGCAATTTTCGCATACGCCGGAAGATAGCTATTCGTCGTGAAGCTCTTGTCCACGTAGTAAGAAACCTGATCAAGCGAGAAATTCCCTCCGACATCCGGCTGGTTCAAAGCGTCGACAACGTCACTGGCAATGAAGTCGAGAAAGATGAGATCAACGGTTTGAGGCAATGAGCCGTCAGCAGGAAGACTAGCGTTTGCTTGCAGGGTATTAGGTTGGTGATAGTTTGGAATCTTCGTGTGGACCGTGTCGTCTCCGTCATCGCCGAAATCGTCGACTGTGGTGTATCCTGGGGAGGTTTCGAGTGACTGGCGACGAATGATACGGCCTTTTGGCTGGGAGCGCTTGTGCATGCCTTCGAAGGAGTGGAGGACTGGTGGGTCGATACATGTATCGCGATCTGCGAGCATGGGGGAGAAGTTGAAGTCCGAAGTGGCAAGATCTCTCTTCTTGAGGAACGGACCGGCGTTGAGTATTTCGGAAACCTTGGATGCCTGTTCATATGGAACGTCCGAAATAAACTGGAAAGAATCTTTGAATGGCGAAACAATGAACGAATCATCGTATGTGAATGGTCCTTTGGCAAGGTCGAACCGTACACTTCCAGTGTTTATGATGATGAGACGAGGTGTATCCTTGCGAGTTTCATTGATGACCACTGTAGACAATGCAGTCTGGAGTAGTCCAAACAAGTTTCCAGGTTCAAGGAAAGGCTTGCAAGATTGGCAGTAAGTCTCAGGAGCACAACCGTATAGACTGGTGAGGTTGAGTCTAGCTCTCTGAGCAGTGATCTCATTCGTGACAGCACGCGCCTTTGCCGTGTCAATTGTGGCGTAACTTTGACTTCCTTCGGCGTGATAAGCAAACGTCAAGCGGTTCCAGTCCATATAGCGACGGGCATAACGTAGCTTGGAAGGGGTTGTTGAACTGGGCAAGGATGCACTGATGGTCCCGGTGCTTGCTGGCCGAACAGCATTCCGTGTGGGAGTTGGCACCCCAGTAGGGCCTGTGCCCGTGCAATTCGAAGACTCAATACCTGAGATTGCCACCCATCCTAGTGTTTCGCAATAGCGCCCTGATTCCATACCGGTCGCTTTGTTGTCATATACTACGAAATCGCGGATATGTGTATGACCTCCGAATCCCTGAATAGGTACATCTGGGCGTAGGTTTCTGATGGCGCTGAAAACTGTCCCAAACGTCGAGGAGCTGACTGTAGTACGAACAGGATTATGTCCAATCACAACAAACAGGTCAATGGGCTTGGTGGAGTTGACGGCTTCGAGAAACCAGGGTTCTTTGACCATATCGGCAGCTTTGATGACCTTGGAGACATTGGAATTGCCCGTGAAATCGAATAAAACACCAAATGCCATAATGCGTAGGCCATGTTCGGTGGTGAAGTATCGGGAGGTGTGGCCGATATACTCAAATTCGCCCGTGGCGGGATTGATGATCTGCACATTGCTAGTGAGATATCTATCGCCATACACTTTCGAGAAATTGCTGAAAGTCTCGTAAGCAATTTCGGTGACATAGAGTTCGTGGTTTCCGATGGTCAAAAGATCGTAATCCAAGTTTTCGAAGATGGCGTTTGAGACATTGCCATTGATCAAGGTCGCATCGCTTAGTCCTGCGCCATCATGCAAATCCTAAAAAAGCGTGAGTCCGGATTTTGTCATCATTGGTCCACCTGTACTTCTGCAACCATGAATTACAAGGTAAAAAGATCGAGTAGAAATAGTAGTTCCAGGTAACAACTAGAAGAAGACTCACCCCTGTATCAACCACCAACAAATCCACCCCCAGCCCTTTAGCCTTCTTCCTCATCCCTTGGACAAACCCCACATAATCCCCCCAATCTGCGCCATAACTCGGCTCCTTGACGTGTCCCTCCAGCCATCCATGCGTATCCGTAGTCTGCAAGAAATTGATCTGGCCCCACTCCAATGGCGCTTTCGGTCCGGATGTGGCATTCAGCGCGTCTGGCTGCATGCGCTTCACGCTGCGCGTGAGTATGACATCGTGGGAGGGTGTGCCGTAGCAGCTATCGTGCACTGAATCTGAATCTTCGCAGGCTAGTGAGGTATGGAGTGTAGAGATGATTAGGGGGAGGAGAGGGAGTAGTGATTTCATCTTGCGAGGGGAAGATGGGGTAGGATCAATGGGTGTAAGGAGGACGGCGACTATGTAGTATTTATAAGATGGATGTCAATTGGAACTTATGACCTACTTTGATAATCATAATTCCGTGTGCACGATCTATTGATTGTGACCAGTGTGAAAGATAAGCATGGACAAGCAAAGCTTGTGAAGCTTGATCGTGGCTGAACCACCGCGCGGGTGGTAGGGACCTTCCTAAATTGAGCTAGTCAACAGGTCGATCCCTACCCGTTCAATGCACGTGTAGGCGTTCCTGAGATGCGATTTGCATATCAAGTCCGAGGAGGATTGGTTTGTGGCATTGTGGCCTTGTTGGGGATTTGCTGTAAGTGCGCGTCATGTGTTGCTAGAGATGAAGCTGGTACAGAAGGAAATGTTGTGTATTCTCTGTACCCTTGTGGTGAAACTTGTGTAGTTGAGATGCAATGGGGGATGGCCAATTGTCGACAATAGCATATCAGGATAGAACGCCATGTGAATTGAGGTTGTGATGAATTGGATAGTCACGGCGTTGATGATTGCTAGAGAATCTACACACCGGATCCCAAACTGCATAATTGCCAACAAGGAAAGGAACATGTGGAAGGAAATGCAGCAGCCCCTATCTTTAGTTGATCAAAGCAACAACAGTCGAATTCAATCAGCAAGTAAACACTTTCGGTCCAGGGATCGTATAGGTTTGAGCTGCAAAGTTATCAGTGACATTCTACAACCTCTTCACGTCTTTCTCAACTTACCTTTGTAAGCATCGTATGTAACTCCAGGATCATTCGCTTTGTAAGCGCCCGGGAATGCAACCAAGCCACTGCTAGGTGTAGTGCTTCCAGACCCAGACACCTTAAGCTGGTGGCAGCCGGGATAGAACTGCGCGCCAGGGTATGAGTACGCCGAGTGCAGAGCAATGGTCTCGTGGCGAACGAGGTAGTAACCAGGCTTCAAGCACGCTGGGATCGTGTATTTGGCCACCGAGGGGGATTTCATGATGGCGTTGGAAGCCCAGTTGTTGGAAGTGCCGGAGCGACCTTCTTCATGGATCTTGAACCATACAGCACTGGATGAACAAAAATCAGAGATGACGTGGGTTTGAATACAACAGTGAACGGGTAGACGAATTTAGACTTACGCAGTTCCAGGCATGTAGTCGTTGCATCCGGTATCGGGGCACCGAGCCATATATGTGATCAAAGGTCCGACATGGCTGTCAGGCCAGAGCGTCCAGTTGAGCGTGACTTCGGATCCCGCAGCAGCATCGGCATGGAGGGCTGCTGGTTTGGAGCCTGAGACTCCTCCTGCCGTGTAGCCACCACATTGAACGTCGGCGAGAGTCACGTCTTCAACAGGGCCGTTGCCCTGGATTTCACGGGATACACGTTGGACCTTTGGGTTCATGTATGGGTCTTGGTACGGCTGGTAGAAGGTGTATTGTTTACCGCCAATAGTTGCAGTGTCTGAGAAGTAGATTAGTCGACTTCGGAACTGTCATATTCTCAAGTCCAGTCTTACCAACATATCCATGGGCTGCAGCAGTGGCAACAAGACTTAGGGTGGGTAGGATGTACTTCATCTTTGCTAATGGTTAGGCAAGGTGAGTGTGAGATATCGAAAAAAATGATGTTCTCAAACGGATCCGATTTGAATATATAGGGCCATGATACGCCTTGACAGTTGAACAGCCTGTTGGCCAAGGAGAATTCGTATCCGGATTTCATATCGCGAAGTACTGCTAGTGGTCTGATATTGGGGACGGTGCGTGTGTCCCCATATTGATCTAAGCGCACCAAGAAGGTCATGGGGGGTGGATATTTGTATAGTTCAAGTCCAAAAGCTCATGTAGAAGGTTGATTGCATACGGATCGTTGATCTCATTGGAGGAAACACGTGTATTTTGCGTGTGAAGGTTGTCCACAAAACAACGATCGCCTTCGTTTAAGTGTGTTATAGGTCGGGTGATGCAAGCATTGATATTACCTTAAGGCTGGAGAAACGTGGTCGGAGACCGGTACCGTTGTTTCCATCTCGCTACACGAGCGCGTGGGCTTTCATGGAAGTCACTGTGCATGGAGCATGATTGGGACGAAACGTTGAGTTTGATTGGTGGGAATTTGCGATGCCGTAGGAGAGTACGATGTCCATGGCTCGACTTTGCATATTAACATAAATTCGGACCCGTTGAAATGGCTTAGTCGACAAGACAAGAATTAGCTTGGGGTCTCATGAAAGGAAGATTGGCATACACATAGCGCAATCGAGATCGAAACCAGCAGTCTGGGTATGCACAAAAACACACCTCACTTCTTAGTCCATCCCGGATCAGCCTCAGACGTTTCCGCGCCATCTGGTATGGAAACAACAGCGCTTCGAGTGTAGATATGCATTGCACCCTTCCAATCTAAGCCATCCAATAACCCTCCTTTTACTGCGACCACTTCTGGGTGTCCTTGGTCGACAACGTGAGCGTGAAGGATCCTGCTTCCGCAGTCTTTGCAGAAGTAACATTTTTGTTTACGCCCGCTGTCGCACGTGCGAATGAAATAAGACACATGGGGGTCATCTTCAACACTGAAGAAGGGGAAAATGGCGGAAGTGCCATAGGCACTGGCGGACTGCTTGCGACAGTCGAGACAATGGCAATGAAAGAGGCGTAGTGGCGAATCTGTGGGAGTGATGAACTTCACAGCGCCGCAACTGCACGAGCCCTCCATAATGAGATGAACGAGTTCGCAGATCCTGTCGTAGTCAATGAAGAGTTGCAGACCATGTGTTATTTATAGAGGTCCATAAGCCCCGCAAGACCACCTTGCATGCGGGGAAAGGAGACTCGACGAAAGTAACGGCAGAGCACAGCGAGCAGAGTCAGGCTAGGCTGAGTATTCGTCGTGTGTTCCTGTCGAATCAAGATAGGATGGAACAGGTGAAAGTGAAGTCGATGCGATTCATGGTGAACGCGAGGAAGGTGCTCGAAGGAGGGCCCGAGCTCTCCCCTCTCTCAGACTTCAGTATTTGACCCCACCAAAGCTCCCTTCACCCCACTACGAACCGACCTCTTTATTGAGTAACTTCTTCAACCCAGCGCTGCTCCTTAAACTATACGGCATACTAATATAGGCTCTTCAGCATGGTAATCAACTACAGCAAATGGGTATGTCATCTTCGCCTTCGCTAGAATCACTACCATGCAGGCGACCACTAACCGTGCGTTCGCAAACAGGATGCCCTCGAGCTGTCCGACGACAGCGACATCGAGGTGCACCCCAACGTCGACAAAAAGTCCTTTATACGCGCCAAACAGACTCAAATCCATCAAGAGCGCGACCACCGCCGGCACCAAATCAAGACGCTGCAATACGAGCGCATAATCAACGACGGTTTCACCGAACGCATCGACCGTCTCCTCACGGCCCTCAAGTCGCACAAAGACAAAGCGAGCAATGGAGATGACAGTACAAAAACCGATCAGCTGGTTTTCCAGAGTATGATGGAGGGCATGATGGCGAGCGGAGAAGACAGGCCACCGCCACCCCCGGAGGGCGTACACGAGCACATCAAGGAAAAACCGACGTACCCGCAGATGCTGGCGAGCTTGATCGATGAAGTGAAAAAAGAGGTCGACGCAAAGAAGGCGGACGAGAACATTACACGTCTTGACCAATTCATCGAGGTTATAGACTCTCACAAAGCGCGTGTTGTAGATCTGCAAAAGCAGCTCTTCGCGAAGCTCGCTGAGCTGGAAAAGGAGGACAAGAAGCACATTACAAGCGACGACATCCGCGACGGCTTCAACTACTCAAATGTCAAGCAGCAGCCCCAACAACCCTCGCCTTCCGCGTCCGCACCCAAGAAATCCGAAACCACAGTCGAACTCCTGAACTCGCCTTCCTCTTCACGACCCTCTGCCTCCCGCACCGACACCGACGAATCTTCCGGCGCCGAAGCCGATATCGAAGAAGGCACTACTGCAGACGACGATGATAATGTCGAAGCCTCACCCCTCGCACAAAAATTTGCCAAAATCCCCCGCGGCGACTGGTCAACGTACTTCAGCTTCCTAAATCAATACCCCAACCTGCTCACTGAAAAAGAAACCGACGGCCTCCTCGTCGAAGCGTTCAACTCCGAGCTCGAAGGCAAGCCCAAACACGCAAAACAGTGCGTGCACGCCGGCCTCCTCCTCCAGTACTGCCGACAACTCGGTGGCCGCGACGGCGTCGCCCTCTTCTTCAAGCGCGTCCAGAGTAAAGACCACCAAGCGTACAAGATGTTCCATGACGACGTCGATAGCACATATGGCCGTATCCACGTGCGCGCCGCGGAGATCAAGAAGGAGCGTGAGGAAGCCCCCACGGAAGGCGTTGAGCAAATCCAACTTCACGCGGTTGACCCAAATACCACAATCTCCATCTCCGTACCGCCGGAGGTCCCGACTTCTACCGAGCCTGAGGTGCGCGAGGCTGAGAAGGCTGCGAGGGCTGTTTACGACGCGTTTCCGCCGGGGTTGCAGAGGGCGCTGACGAGCGGGAGCCTGGACGAGGTGAATAAGGTGTTGGCGAAGATGAGTGTGGATGAAGCGGAAGAAGTTGTGGAGAAGCTGGGCGAAGGGGGTATGTTGAGTTTAGAGCAAGGGGTTGTCGATGCGACGACGGATGAGGGGAGGAAGGTTATGGAGGAGATTGAGCGCACGCATAAGATGCCTGGCCAGCAGGAGCCACAGCTGAACTCGGTGGAGGAGGTGGATTAGAAAGGGGGAGGATATGCCATGCTGTTCCCATGAATGAGTGAGGCAGTGAAGAGTTTATTTCAACGCTGATGATTACGATGCTGAACGAACAAATGCATGCATGGAAGTGCGGGATGTATTATATGGATGGATCATTGATAGCTTCTCCTTGCTATTAACCTGCGACGACATCCCTATCAATTTTACAATGGAGTTTCCCTCAAATATACTGCTGGCTTACTTCCTTATTCTGGATTGAAACAATGTGCATTCCACTGAGTATCCAGTACTGAATATAATACATATATCCTAGAACATCTAACGATACAGTAGAAACCGCAGGCTATCATAACACAAGTACCAAATGTGCACAAGCTGCTCAGGGTCCCATTACACAATTTCTCAAATGAGTTCTCCAAGATTGGAATCGATCCCGTTCATATCGTCGTCCTCTGCAAACACGGCGAATTCGTCTTCTGCGGCATTGCGGCTCGTCTTCCGCTTCTTAGCGGAGGTTGGGGCATAAGCGCCATTGTCCTCCTGTCTCGCATGTGTCAAGCTCCGCAGCAGATCGGCTCCGGGAATAGAAGGCGGGGGAATGGTTGCAGTGGCAGCAGCAGCAGGAGCCGAGAGGTCAGAAGTCGGATTAGCCCAAGCTTGGGGTAGTGCATGCTCTGTCGATTCATCGGTTGGAAGAGCGGGTGCGTCTTTGCTAGGCTGTTGCACTGGAGAGCCTACTGGGGTGAAAGACTCCATGGGAGGCGGGGTGAGCTCTTCGACATCGGGCCGCTCGTGCGAGACTGGGGTCACGCCGGGGAGGGGTGCAGCGGAGATGGCGGTTGTCTCTGCGGTGGAAAGGCCGCGGAGGATGGCGTCTTCGACCTCGCGCTTACGGGCATCGATGGCTTCCTTTCGTGATTTGACGTCCGCTAGTTGCGTTTCCTCTTGTGCCACCTTGGATTTGTTCGTTTCGAGCAGCTTCTCTAGGCCAGCAATGAGCTCCTTTCGAGCTTTGATGCCATCGGCTACAGCGCTTTCAGCCACGGCGAGGTTTCTGACGAGCGTAGCGAGGTGTGCAGCGTGCAAAGGAGCAGTAGGAATCGTGTTATTTGGGTTCGTGAGCTTTTCATACTCCTGGTTCGCGGTCGCCAATGCAGGTTTGATGTTGAGCTCTGCCTTCTGAACAGCCGTGGCAAAAGGTTCGACGGATTTCAGCTCGGGTGGAATAGAGGAACTGGAGAAAAGTGAGCCTCCGAGGGCAGGCTTCCGAGTGGACCGAGAACGATCAATCTCTACGAAGAGTTAGCGATGGTGAATTTGCTCGACTTGTTGAGATATATACCATTCAATGCCCGTTCGATCTCATCTTGGACCTGTGGCTTGAAAACAGTGCGTTGGCGCCATACTTCGATGACCCGTCGAATCTTGTTCTGAATATCAGGACCAGAGCCTTTGTATGCAGCCGAGCTGCCTTCAACAATGACTGGATCAAAGGCTTTGATGAATTCTTCCTTTTTGCGGATCTTTGCTTGCTGAGCAATTTCTACACTCTCATTAGAAAAGCCCCAAAAAGTGCAAGATTCCTTGAGCAGACACTCACCATTTGCGAGATAGACCAGCGTCAGTCGCTTGTTTGCTTGCGACTCTTTGACTCGCTGGAACCAGAGTTGGGCAATTTTGTCAGCATGGCGCCTGAGATACGTTAGCTTCCATTTCGATGAGACATATGCATGGGATGCAATTCAGATCGAACAAGAACTGTAGTGAAGTACACACAAGAAACATCCGAAATCTCCACGACGCAAACATCATCACAGAGAGTGAAAGCACGGGAAAGTAGTTACCTGTGGAATAAAATCCATTGGCCAACAGTGGAGATGGAATCTTGAGTTTCGTTGAGAGAAGCCAGCTTTGCTCTCAAACTGTCTTCGGTGAAAGCCATGTTGCTCAGCTCAGATCGCTGTAATCACGATTGTTTGGTGTTTTTGGTGAGAGACGCGCTATCAAAAGTGACCCACGCGACAATCTTCAGCCTTTAATGCTGCTCAGATAGTCTCAAACAAGTACGTATAGCAGACTAGAAAACACTATATTGCTCTTCAGAGCGTTGACAGCGACAGCAGCGAGATCACCGAGGTTCTGCGAAGATGCAGTATTGAGGGTGAAGATGGCGTAGTTGGGCTGTGGAGGACTGGGGAACGTGAAAGAGCTGGCTTGAGCTCCCCAGATTACTTAATCCTCCTGCGCCCCCGAAATATTGCCGGCCACCTCCACATCTCCTGTCCAGTCCGCAACTTGACCCCAATAAGCCAATTCCCGTGTAACGACATACGGGTTCCGTCCTTTTCTCTTCTGCATCTCCCTTATACCGTAATCCTCAAATCCACAATGGCTGACAGATTCCCTTCGCTCGACGATTTCGACGCCGGTAAGCTGCGAAACCCCCCGTACCTTAGCTACGCAGCTCGCTGAACCAATACAGGCCAAACAGAGGCGCGCGGCGACGGCAACATTGACTTCTCTGGCGACAATGCCGATGCTTCTTTTCTCGAGCGTGAGAAGGCTGTTCTCGGCGAAGAGTTCTCTACTGCAAACGACAAGTTAGCAACTGTCGAGGACGACAACGATGACCTGTTGGGTGGAGGCGATGCTTTCCAAGCCAATACGGGCGGCGAGGAGATGTCTGGCTTCGAGAGCTCTTTTCCCGCTATTGATACCAGCAACGAGGTAATACGACCTTTCCCCCATTCCCGACATCATATTTGAGATTGAAATGCGATGCCTATTCCCGCGTTTCTCAATTCTACATTTGGCATAAGCTTTAGAAGCTCGAACTGACGTGAATCAGCATATGGCACCCGGCGGAACCATCACGGGCTCGTCTCTTCCATTCCTTCCTGGCCAACCGCAGCCATCCTTTACCCCCCTCCGATCAAACTCCCCCGAGCCCGAAGTCATCCGCGAATGGCGCGAGCGCCGCGATCTTTCGAACGAGCATCGCGATACTGTGTCAGCGGAGAAGAAGGCTAGGACGATTAAGGAGGCCCAAGAGAACATTGACGATTTCTACGAGAACTACAACAACAAGAAGGACAAGGAGATTGCCAAAACCCGCAAGGACGCCGAGGAGTTTCTCGCGAACCGAGATGACACTACGGCCGGCGGAACCAGCTGGGAGCGCATTGCCAAGTTGGTGGACTTGAGCGGCAAAGGTGTCAAGGGCGGCGCTTCCGGAAGCGAAAAGCAACGATTCCGGGAACTGCTGTTGACCTTGAGGAAAGACGAGAAGGCACCAGGTGCCACTGGCTACTGAACGCGATTAGGATTGGTTCGGAATACTTTTGAGTCGTGGTTACAGCGAGCGAGGAATGACATGGGCCCTGTAAACCACATGGTTGGGTTTGCGGTTTGCCCTCAAAGTAGATTACGGATATGCGGGCTGGGGGCGTCTTCTGGATTGGCTTCCATCCATGGCTTGGAGTTTATCGGATAGTGACGGTGATCTTTCATGCACCTGTGTTACTATCATGCTATCATCTGCTCATAACGTCTGTTCTCCACAAATTTCATGCTAAGCTTGCTGCCTATGTATATTGCTGGCAGGTTCATCATTGCGTTTGCCACAACAACTGTCTTGACTTCTCTTTTTTTTCTAGTTCACGTTCTTCCGAGTAGATGCTCACGGACGGTTGCAGTTGTAGTACGAGGTTAGATGGCAGCAATCTCCAAAATGAGTGCTTTAGATGGTAAAAGTAACGACATCTCTGTGTTTTGGCTCACGAAGAAGCCTGGTATCTCAAAACAAAAACATTAAACGCAAACCCCGCTCCCCGCAAGAAACAAAACACTCGCCCCCTCTTTTCCAACTTTGATCGATCTATTTAGGAAAACAAGAAAAAGAAAACAACCCCACTCAAGGGCGAAGGAAACGAGATGCGCAATGTCCAGCCATCTATCCACCGCAGATGTAGGAAACCAAATAAAGCGGGAGCAAGAGGAACGCTCAATATTTCCTCGCAGGCTCATGATCCTGGACAATGCCCTTCCCACTACCCCCCGTAACAACCTCCTCATCGTACCCAGCGGCACTCCCATCGCTATCGCGATACGCGACCGAAATCTCCTCGATTTCGTCTCCGACTTCCAACCACACGCTGCTAGTCGCGGGGATGGGCCAGACCCAGCAGAGGCCATAGTACACGGAGGCGCTGACGATGAAGCCGGCGAAGAAGTTAAGATCGTAAATGTGGCGGGCAGCGATGGGGACGTCGCGACCGATTGCGCCCGCGAAGCCGACTACGTTGATGGCGATTCCCGAAATGTAGGCGGCGTAGGCGCGCAGCGAGATGCCCCAGGTGTAGTAATACGGACCCGAAGCTTTGCCCGAGTAGAGCTCGCGGATCTGGAGGTAGCCTTTGCGGACGAAGTAGTAGTCGCAGACCATGACGCCGGCGATGGAGGAGAGGAAGACCGAGTACGCGGAGAGGTAGGTGGTGAAGGAGTTTGTGTCCTTGAGGAGGTTCCAGGGACACATGACGAGGCCGACGAGTGCGCAGATGTAGCCGCCACGGCGGATGTTGATCCAGCGTGGCGCGAGCGCGGTGAGATCTGTACCTGCGGACACGGAGTTTGCGGCGATGTTGGTGCCGAGTTGCGCGAGGGTGAAGGCTGCGGCGATGATGAAGACGCCGAAACGTTGACCGCTGCCTTTGCCTTCGTCGAGGAATTTTTCGAGGAGGTCGAGGGGATTCCAGATTGGGTCGCCGCCGAAGATGACGGTGGATGAGGAGCCTACGATGATGCCGATGAAGGAAGTTACTGCGAAACCGAGGGGAATGGTGAAGAGTTGGGACCAAAGAGCGTCTTTTGGTTTACGGGCGAAACGGGCAAAATCTGGATCGTTCACGATAAGGGTTGCGAAGTTTGCGATGGCAGACATGACGCCGCGGACCATGAGCCAGCCCAGTTCTGAGCCTTTTGCCGTCCCAGGCTGCTTAACGATGGGACCAAGACCCTTTGCGCGGACAACGGCCCAGATGAAGAAGGCGATGCCGGCTACGGGGACGAAAAAGGCTTTGACGGTGAAAAGATGACGAATCTTGTGGACAGGGAACCAGAGAGCTGGAAGGGATCCCGCCCAAAACAGGAAGAAGGAGACGAACGCGACCGTGTTGGTGCCCGAGGAGGGAATGCCGTTCTTGATGCCGCCGCCGCCGGGTTCGGTTTCGTCGCGCCAGTTGTTCCATATGCTGCGAATCATCAGGTAGACGCAAGTGCCGCCAATCCAGCCCTGCACACCGTACCAGATGCAGGCCATGGCGGCGCGGTTGAAGACGGGCCAGAGTGCTCCCCAGATGCCGAACGAGGAGCGGTTGACGACGGGGAATGAGATGTGGTAGGTTGCGCCAATGCGACCTGTGAGGCATACGAAGCATGCTGCGATAGAGTAGCCGAGCTGGACATGGGTGCGATTAGCTTGATGTTTATTCTCTCGGCTTGATCTTGGGATAATGGGTGGAGAAGGAGCAATTGATCAGATGATGGCAGCAGGGTGAGGGGAAACGGGCATTGAAAAGGTTGGCGTGCATACCCAAACACAAATCCAGCTCTGCCACCAAGACAGGCCATCGGCGATGTTGCTGGATGAAATCATCCATGTGTTGATGTTGAACGAGTCAGCTGAGCGGTTGTGTTAGTCGCTAGTTGTTATCAATGGCATGCGATGAGGTGTGATGCGACTTACCGACCCAGAAACCCACGAAGTTCCATGGCCTTGAAGACGGTCAGTTCCAATTGCTCGATGTATGTAATGGGGAATGTTGAGTCCATACCCCCATTGACGACGCGCGGGTTCGACAGGTTTAAGATCGTGGTTACTGTCGCGTGCATGTTAGCAAGATATGGTATCAACAAGTGCGAAACGAGGGTTCATACAAGAGCATGAGCTGCGCGGTCGTCAAGCCTTGCTCGCTTTCGACGGCGAGCTTGTCGCTCCAATGGGCGACCTTTGAGTTCTTGACTTTCTCCATGATGAAGGAAGGCCACAAGAAGTAGGAGTAGTGGAAGAGAGGAAAGTCGTGGCTATGATCGACGCTGGCGGCGACGTTGTTTAATAACGCGCGCGGTGCAGCTCCGCATCGGGAGCTCTCAGGAAAAGAGGCGTGATAGTCCCCGCCCCGGTAGGCTTCGTCGTCGACTATCTGGGTGAGATGACGTGGGGGCTGCTCAGGCCCAGGCTGGCCCAAGCGGAGGTGAGGAGGATTTGATAGCAGCAGCGGTTCCCGCTCGCCCTGGTTGGGACGGGAAGCCAGTGTGGCTGGTTGGGATATTCTTTCTTGTTACAATTGGTATTACTCCTCGGGAGGGCGAATCGTTCGATGTCGCGGTGCTACTGCTTGCTTGTGGAGACCCTTGTGGATTCTCCGCGGCTGGGCAGTATACCGCGAAGATGGATGATTCAATGTGCTGATGGTGAAGGTATGATGTCACGTTCAGTGTGTATAACATCAATGGAGTTGATCATGATGCTTTGAAAACACGACTCCCTCGTTATATACTGTATGAAGGGGATTCCATGATGACCCACCCACACCCATCACATGCATACATACTGCGGGATGGTGGATGGTGGTTGGGACGTGGAATCCATAGCTACTAAGGAGCTTATCTGGTGTGGTGATAACGGTTTTGGCTATCTTTTGGTTAGCTGGAATCTGGCTAATGCTACCTGCATCCTGCATCGCCAATCTGCGATACGATATCGGACATTGCAAGTTCTTCGCTGAAGCATAGCAAGCGACTACTCGATGCGAATTGGTAACGACAGGCTGGTTGCGGCTATCTCGTTATCTCAGGCGCCGAGCAGAGGCTGTTGTGAGTACTTCCGCGCGTGATGTTGCATCCTTCAGGCGCCAAGCCTCGCGTGCTTGATAAAACGATGTGGGGAAATCGCGGCCCGCTTGACTGGGCCAATCACCGCTAAGCTAGCTCCTTTTACTCGATGACATCGAGTAACAGCCCTCTCCCAAGACACTGATACCGCAACGTCTACCATGCAATACCTGCACGATTCAATGCCACATTCTACACTACACCGGGCTTGTCACTTGTCACACCAGCAACCAGCTATCGCAATGCCATCCACGCCGCCTCGCCTCCATGGCAGGGTATTGCCTTCTTCCGTTTCTTTCCGTGCCGACCGCCTCAGCCAGCTATAGACAACCAGTCTCGAATGATCCATTCAGCTGGTCAAAATCTGCCCACTGCTCAACAAGTGAATCCAATCGACTCGCTCTCTCAACAGCCCATCTGCGTCGCTGCCTCAGCGCGTCTCCTAGCATTCTCGCCGCCTTCGTTGCCATGTGTGCCTTGCGCCCCAGATACCACAGCGCCTGTATGCAATCGTCGGCTCTTCCGAAGCTGTCCTCCTGACTTTTTTCCTCCTCGCAGTCTGCTGCTACCGCTGTCGACTCCAGCAAATGGACACTGGCGGTGGCAAAAGCACGGATCAGTACCAAAGTCCATGGCTCCGTCAACAGCGTTTCCTGCGCCAACGTGGAATCCACGTGTTGGTGCGCGTTTGCAGAGTCCCTTTCCTTTGGGCAGGCGCACCTCGCAATATCTGAAACAGACTGGCAATTCCTCTTCCGCATGTCTGCAATCACATTTTCTTGACATCTCGAACGCCGCCGTGAAGCCATCCCCAAGCCCGAATCGTCGATGATTTCCATCAGATCTGCTAACAGCAGCGTTGCCAAATGCCAGTGTCCGGCTAGGCAGATCGACCAAGCCCTCAGACGTAGCGGGAGTGCATCGTGGTTCTGGAAAGCATCTTGGAAAAAAGGTTCGTACATCTTCTGCCAGTGCTCGTACACTTGCAACGCATCTTTGATGGCATTCTCCATCTTCTTGCCCTGAACGCCGCGGGACACTTGGCTCTGCAGCAGCGTCACTTTTCGGAACAAGAGCACCTTGATTGGAGCTGCCGAGCAAAGTAAAGATTTCGCTACCTCATTCGAACACGGCCATCTTATTGACAAGCTAGCCTGATGACCGAAGAGAAAGTCGTCGTAGGTCTCTTGGCCACCCGTTTCTCGGTGGTTGATGGGAAATTCGCTATCTTCTGGGGACACTACCAGGGGTCTCTTGTGCATGGCTGACGAGAGTGTATCAAACATCATAGCAAGCCAAAACAGCAAGTCGATGGCCTCTTTGTCTGCTCCTTCGACTTGACTGGCAGAGTATGCGCCGTTTCTGCGCTTCGACGCACTTGGTTGCAATGTTCCCGCGACTGTTATGCGAGATTTTAGTGTATGGAGAAGACGTAGACCCTTCTCCAGATGAAGAGGTGGGCCTTCGCCTGCAATCAGTAGGTTTAGTTGAGAAAGCATGTCTGAGCACTCCTCAACAGCTTCACGTTCCAGTGGGGGCGGACTTGACCCAAAGTCCCGACCAAACTCGTTTTCGAGTTGTGAAGGCGAACTTTCTCCACCTTGGCAATCTGGAGCGATCTCAGGTCCATCTTCCACGGTATGTGGCTTTTGCGTCAGAGAGAATACGATAAGTGCTAGCGCAACTCGGAACGATTCGAAGCCTTCTACTTCAGCGAGAGCAAGACGCGCTTGGTTCCATATCGCTATCTGAAGGTCACGATTGAAGCAGCCGTGATTGGGTTCAAAATCACGTGAGGAAGGCGTGTCTGGTTCCTTGTTGTACTCCCTCGCCCCATATGGGAATTTGGTGTCTGCTGCCCCTGTGCTACTCATCCATTGAGACGCAAATGCAAAGATCGCTAGGTTCAAAGCTTTCGCCGTGGCCTTCTCCTCAGATCTGGACATCTCCTTGCCCCTTACCAGCGGGAGACGGTCGAGCTGAAAGACTTGATGGTATACATACTTCCAGTCTGGCCGGCTCCTTTCCAAGGACGAATTCACACTACGATTGTTTACGGGACAGGTTTTTTCGGTCAGCCAACAGCACAAGTGATTCTCGAAGCTCTCTCGGTAGATCTTCAATAGCGCTTCGGTGAGAAGGATCTTGTTCACACCCAGCATTTTATCGCTCGAGACAGAGGTGCTCGAGCTCGCAGTGAGTGAAGCAGAATCTGTACTGGAAGAGGTTTGACGTCTCCGCTTCTTAGATGAGCTTGCAACCATGTCCCTTCTTTCCTTCACGTCTTCGTTGCCTTCAGGTCCTACATGTAATACATCTTGATGGCTCTCTCTTGTGAAACCCTGGCTCGAATCACTCACACTTTCAGAGTTTTGGAGCTTCGGCGGCGACCACCATCCCACATCCAGACCAACAACCGCCGATGAACTTGAATCCGCCGCCTCTTCCGCACTGTCATGTCCCACAACTGAAGAAGCGTCGTACTCCAGTAGGCTCGGCAATAGCCCCGTGAACCAATCCGCAAGGCTTTGCTGTAAGCTTGCGAACAAGGATTGTCCAACAGGAGTGTTTGCGATTGCGTCGATGATTCCACCTCCTTGTTCTTCCGAAGAGTCAAATGCATGCATCTCTCCATCTTTTTGTATCAATCGCGGATTTTGCTCAAGTGCAGAAGACCGCGTTCGTCGTTTCTTCGGCGGGGATGGTGCGTTATTCGCTTGCTTTTGCAGCTGCTGTTGGTTTTGCAGTTGTTGTCTGGCCTGCAACACGCGCTGCGATCGCAACCATTCGAACGTACACGTCTTGCGCGTCTTCTCGCAATTACCGCAGCGCGCTAAGCTACCGTAGACATCTGTACATTGAAGATTGCGTAAGCATCTACCCATCCATCCACCCTCCTGGCGACCCCACATACTCAAACAGCCCCTTCCCATTCATCATCGAAAGAGCGGAGAATGAAAAGATAGAAGAAAACTCACCACTATAATGGAACGCCGTAACTCCTCCACGTACACCGTCTACCATTTCGCAATAACCCAGTCCATTAGCACCCTCTTCCGTCTTCTTCCCAACACTACTCCCTCCCAATAGCGCATCCTCCAGAATCGCCGCATTGCATGCGCGTTTCCCCTTTCGGCATTGATCACAGCTGCGGTTCTGTTTCCTCGTTGCCGTCGTTTTGTGTTCTCGAGTTTGCTTGCGTGGGTACGTTGACAACGAACCAGCCGTTTGGAGCGAAGGCGGCGTCGGACACGTCCAAGCATAATCTAGAAAAGAATGTGGGTGTGTATCGGTGAAGTTCATCTTTTCCAACTTTTCCGGGCGATTGCGTAATGGAAATAGAAATGCGATGATGCTACAATAGACCTGGTAGCCAGAATTGTAGTTTTTCTCCTTCTTTCTCGCCTCTCCTCGTTTCCACCGTGTTTCTTGCTCGGGGGGAGCGGGGCGACGTTTACGGAGATGCTGTTCGTTGATTCCAGGGTGTCTCCGTCTCTGATGCTTCCGGTGCCAAACACGCGCGCACAGGTGGGTTAGTAGTTGTATAGGCGCGTGCGCGGATACTCTCGAATGAATCCCTCACGAAGCAGGTGAATGAACACAAAAAAGCAGGTGTCAGGACCTTCCCCCCAAAGAACCCACCCAGATAGCTCTCCGATTATTCCCAGCTTACTAGTGGACAATGATGTACTTTGTCTTCCACGCGTTCTGCAGCCGCCCCAATCGAACCCTCTCTTCCCTAGACCTAGTCAAGTACAGGTTACCTAGACTAGGCGCTGCATTACCAATGGTATTCCCCATGATTGTGGACTGTTGTGTACACTGTATAGGTACTAGGTACTTACCCCGCACCCAGTTAGTTGCTAGGTAGGGTGCGATTTACCGGGGGTGGGCAAAGGTGGGAAGAGGGAAGCTCCACATTTCTTCCGTGTTGCCGTTGCCGTGATGGGGTGTGGTGGGTAAGTACATAATGTGGGGACGTTGGGTCTGCATGTACCTGAGCGGGGTGAGGCAGTTATAGGTATTCGTATCTAAAGATAGTCTTTTGAGGGCTGCCATCTCTAGAATGTGTTTTCTGACACGGTGGGAGAGATTCGGGGGGTGATTGAGGGGTCTGATTCGAGAGCGCGGAATCTTTGGGGGGATTGGGGAGTGCTTTTGTGTGAAGGCTGAGATGGTCGTGGTGGTCGTGAAGTGGCTGGGGGCGATCTTGGAGACGAGGTGTGTGGGATGGGTGTATGGCGATTCTTTGGAGTATTTCCTTTTCGGTCTTTCTACCTACCGGGAATTAATTTTGAGGAAATTGAGATTATTTTTTTGGTGAAGTTTTGTTTTGTAGGTTGATGTTATGATACAGTTCATGACTTGGTGTTGATTGTTCGATTAGGACCACCACCGAGGCGAGATTGGTCCATCTATATGATAGTTGGTTTGTATTATTTGGCCTGTTGCTGAATGTTTCCCGGGACGTAAAGTCAGATCACGCGCAGTCGTCAGTGACAACATTTGAATGTAGTGAAAGTTATATGGAAACCCCGGTGTCGGCCTGTTAGGGCGAGCATATCTGTTCTTCTCAATGTTCATAGATCGGGTCTACAAAGTTTAAGCAAAATACCATCTCTACTATTAGCATCAGCCTTTTTTTCCAGATTTTTTTATTAGAAGCTACATTGTTTCCTACACTTAAAAAAGCTAATTAAAGTAATTTGATAAAAAGCAAGTAAAGATAAAAAAGTTTACAAAAAGTGTATACTTTTGGCACTAGGCTAGGGTGCAACCTCAAAAAAATGCTAAGACAAAAAGGACGCTAGCGCCCATTCACAAAAAAAAAGGGGGGGGGTTTCTTTGAGCGCATTTGACGTAGTGACGTATACGACGTCCCAACGATCCAGTGGAGATGTACGGATTTGTAGTGTTGAGGTGTTGAGGAACAGAACTATGGTACGCTCGTCGCCCTCTGCTATAAGAGCTACAGCAGAGTTCGCACAAGGTTTTCACCTCCATCTTCCATTCCATCAACTCTGTCCTACCTACCCTACCGGGGGGGGTTTCTATTGTGCAAGCACGAAACATTATCACCGACTTCTCTATCTACCTAGGCAGTTCCCAATGACCACGTTCCCTAGCCAGCGACACCAGAATTCCAGCCAACATACCGAGCGAAGCACGAGAAACCGCAGGTCAATATATTTGGCCTCACTTGATGGATCGATCGCTGCGTTTAATTACAAGCATACCTTAAACTTGTCTCTGTTGTTTAAGACCTAGGAATTATGGCGCTGTCCTGTCCTTTCTATAACGTCTTCTTTATCAGCTGCTTGTTCTGTTGGAGTAGGCATTGTTGTTGCCCAGGTATTATTTACCATGTATAAGACGTGAGGACCTGTGATACATACTTCCTGATCAATGTGCTGAAAATGTACGGCGAACGTCCGCAACTTTGCTTAGGTAGTACGTAGTTAAGTGTTGAACCCGTTGTGGGGGGCAACACGAAAGCATTGTATGCACAGACCCACAGACTGACCGAGGTTCTAGCGTCTGTTGCCTTCGCTTCAATTCGGATCCTCTTTCAAAACCACAACAATTCACCACCTGTGTACGATGGGATCAGACAATTATTGCATATTTTGCTTCGGCCCGTTCGCCTCCACCCTGTACTACGGTTCGTCGAGACCCAAGCACTTGGCAATCAGGCGTCGAAGGCTGGGGTTCAAGACGGGTTATGAACAGAGTGATAGCGAATCTCCAGAAAAATATACGAGCGATAAAGATGAAGGAAGCTTAACTCTCGAAGCCCATTCGTCACAGGGCAGGACATCTGAACAAGACTTCTGGCAACCACACGATTCGGCGACATCCAGAGACCCAAACGCATGGGCTGAGGAGAGGAGTTACGATCCCACTGCAGTGAACAGCCCTGACGATATCAGTTGGCTTAGGCTGGCAAGATGTCTGGCTATCAATCCCAGATCTACAAACTTTCCGAAGGCTTTCATCTCTGGACTCGGCACCACGGATGACCAACGCTTTTTCGAGGAGATGTCCCCAAGCTCGGACCCAAATGCCGAAGTAGGTGTGAGGCGATGGCTGACCTACTATTCTAACCAAGGAGACGACATAGATGCCGCCTATCCCTTTCATGAAGAGTGTTATAAGCTCTTAGCTATCTATCTGTTTGGCCAGCCACGCATTGAAGAAATCAACAAAGACGCACTATACGCGGCGTATGGGTACTTAAGGTGAATCGCACCTGAAGATTCACCTCTAGACTATGGAGGAATCCAAGGACCGGAGTAAGTAACTATCAGTCAATGCTATAGATGGCTAGCTTGTTCTAACATTAACGGCTCTTAGCCAGTTTTGGGATTCTGTTTCGGGCGAAGAATATACAATCATTGACCCTAGAGTGAGGCTAGACATCAGTGTACATCTCCAAACGATGTGGCCCGCACAAGTCATGGAGACCCAGGATACATGCAGAGCTCGTGACCTTTCAACTAAAATACAGCCTGATCCTTTCGAAACGCTACCCTACGATGTGACCTGGATGATATTCTCAAATCTTAGTATCGAAGATACTCTGGCTCTCATGAAAGCGTCGTACCACGTCAGCCACGTAATGCATACCGATGTATGGAGAGCTCTCATTTGGAGCAAGTTCCTTCCGTGGTTTCCGGAATTCAGGAAATTATACCAGGAACTGTTGGTCCCAGGTAACATCAACTGTAAAAAGGTGTTCCTTTGGCTTGAAAATATCACAAAACCAAGAATTGGTATTCGAGGTCCTCTGATGGGCATTGCGAACCGTCGCCGTATTTGGCGTGTTTGCGAGCAAATCGGCATGGTATACAATCATTACGCGATGTCAAACGAGTTGGAGACCAACGAGATCTTGGAACAGGCTACGACGCTCACGATGGCACCGGTTATGTATCCGCTACCCGTCAATTCAGAGCCGTCAGTGATCTCACAGTGGATCAAATCTTGGGACGAGATCGAACAGAAGTCTTGCGACTTCATAACATATTGGCATGACACCGGTAGTTCAAAAGCAGGTGGCTTAGTTGGCCTAGGTGTTGCGTTTGGTGACGATGAACGAGTCTTTAATCATCCGAGAGGAGCTTCGACAACCGTCGCAAAGGTCACGCTTGAAAATTCGGACTGGATCCAGGTAGTTGTACTCCATATCGAGGACATATTCGAGCCCGAGCCGCCGGCCTCAAAAGGTCGCCATGCATTGATCGATGTTCGTGAGCAAATTTTAATCAGGGGTGTCACGGTAAGTGCCTCGGTTCTACAGGTCACACTTCGGATTGCTCACAATGCATACAGATCACCATGCGCTCGGGCATTCAGTATGATCTTTGCGCCGCTGGAACTATTCCATTCGGGCTTACCAAGCGAATTCTCACTGCTTCTAAAAGCCATGAGATAGTTGGATTAAAAGGGCGAATCGCTAGTGTAATATAACAGTCTCTTCCAGAGAGGACTGCAGCTAATGCGACGTGTAGGAATTCGAACTTGTAAGCCTAACAGTTTTGCAATGTCCTCGGCGCTTGCCCACAACCGAGAGCTCTCCGTCGTTCCAGAGCGACATTATTCTTGAGAATGTTTTGTGGGCTCACCAAGCAGCTCAACTACCTAGCCCTGAATCCTCACCATCCTCCACAAAAACTGTTCCCGCTTGGCTTCATCCATCCATGGCTGTACAGCCTTTTCCCTATCCGGGCTTTGACCGCTCTCCAATGCCTATGGTGAAGCGCGAAATTCTTCTTTGGGCTAATGAGCCTGCTGCATATCGAAACCTTGTCGCGATCTCCGCATGCCGTGTCAAGACAGGCCTCCCATTTGGAGTTCACGTATATAATGACATTATCGGTCTCCGTGCAGAGTTCATCGAAAACGGAGAGCTGAATTATCGCGAAATCGGAACCGGCGAGCCCGTGCCGAGCATCATCAAAGCTAAACGGGAATTGACTTTCAAAGGCCACAGAAGACTCTGGGATCGTATGTCCTATCTCGGGCCCTGGCATGCGGATAATACAGAAAGGTTCGAAATTGATGGCAAGAACGGGGAAGTCGTAACAGCAATGTATGTAGGGCAAAGTGGGAATGACCTCAGATTGAAAACGAACAAAGGCAGGCAATGCACGTGGAGGGCTTCAGATGACAAGGTTTATGAGGAGTGGTACGGGTCCTTTCCGGAAGAGGACCGCATGATTGTGGGCATTATGGCATGCTTTGCGACAGGGTCTAACGATTTCTCTGAAAAAAAGGGGCATTCTCATCTCATGCTGTCAGCGGCGACAATCGTTACGATGCCTGTTGATCAGGAGTTGTAAGCTTTTATCACGGAATCGGATCGGAATAATTTGTCTCCTGATATCCCTCTGCGCGGGTCGCTCGACCTAGCCTGTGGAATCTGGTGAATGTGGCGCCTGGAATGAAAATTGGAATCATAAGATAGATGTGTGACCCTGTCGTTGGCTGCCCTCCTGATAACCACGGAACATGCGTGTCTTGGAGCTCGAATACAGATTTATCGTGGGATATGCAACGATCAAATGATAGACTTGGTCATTGGTTGCCTAGCTACATAGAAGTTTTTGATCAATTCTAGATACAGGGTGGCTACAAGCTGGATGAATATACCTCATGATATGTCTCATGAAACAGGTAGCACCGACAAGTGAGAAAAAACGGTGTATTTGGCATTGTGTGCATAGTAAATGATTGCGCAAAAGATGTTGATGATCCAGCTTTCGTGACAAACATCTATTAAATCAAGTGAAGCAATTTCACACCCGGATTCAATGGGCATGAATTTAGAAAGGGGTTTTTCTGAGAGCCCTGAATTATACAACGATCTCTAGAAGTAGGAGCCTGTTAAATTTTCAATATCGATCAAAACAGTTGAAGAAATACGGAGACAAGACTTAAGACATTGTAAATGCTAGACCGGGGAAGATCTATCTGAGACTCGATACACATCTCGTGCTATCTCCGGCGGAATTGGAAGCAGGTCCCACCATCATCGCTCTTATTATTTATCTACTAAATGGGCCATATTAAATTTAGAAAGTCATAATGAAAGTTGAAATAACATCATATTTAGTTCCATGTGCATAGGACCATATAACTAAACATGAGTAACTCCAGGATAAATTATAGAGCAGTTCTCAAATTGGCTATCAGAGTTGTTGTGTAAGTGCAATGCCATTGTATATTAGTAGAGACTTAACACTAGACATTTGATTGCAGAGTTCTCAGCGCTCAGTACCAGCAATGACTCCGCAATCCCTCCAGTAGTCCAAGTATTTGTCCAATAGATCAGGACCCACGGAATCCATTCCGCCCAACATCTCTGGACAAGCATATATTGCACGGTCCATACCCAATACAACCGTCCCACACCCTATTCGCTCGAAAAAGGTTTCGAAGAAATGCAGAAGCGGTTCATGGGAGGCAAGGTCGTCTGTTTTGTCGTTTCCCGTACTGTCATCAGGACGTTCGTGGCCTTGAGACGGGTGAGAGCGCAGCAAGTCTACCCACTCGCGAAATTCGACAAGAGGTAGGTTGAGATTCTTGGATAAAGGGGTAAGGACCGACTCCCACTTTTGGCGTTGTGGATTCTCAATGTGATAGACTATATGGTTGTCGCGGGGTGAGAAGGGGTTGTTGGAGGGAGGGAGGAGGAGGATGGTAGATACGCTGCGAGCAGCGAGGTCGAGAGGGATCCACGACAGAGTCTGATGAGTATTAGTGTGCAATTCCTTTAATATGCAATCTGTTCTACTCGAAGACAACTGGAAAAACAGGAAAGTCACGAACGCAGACCGCCATAATAACTGTTGCTTGAAAACCACGAATTGATCGTCAGAGTAGAGTGGCTTACCCCTTCAATTTTAGGCAGAGCTCTCATTTTTACTGACGAGCGTATCATCATGGGAATATGCTCAGCCTTGTTCCAGTACCCGTTTTCCAATGCGCCAGCAATCTGGCCCATTCGGGTGATAACGCCATCGACGATACCGGCGTTTGTGGCGTTGCGCACTAACCTCTCGCACACGAGCTTCGCTTCTGCGTAACCTACCGGGAGGGTGTGAGAAGCCTCGATGGATGCATCTTCTGGGATCAGGAAAGTAGAGCTATTATGAAAAGCGCCAGTGTCTTTGGTACAGCTTTTTTCGTTGCCGTTGTAGAATCCAACGACGGATATTGATGAGACGAAGAGCAATCGCACCTTGAAGCCTTCCTTGTTAAGGTGCAGTTCCTTCGCGTCCAAGCAAAAGCGAAGCAGGTTGGACATTGTTTGAAACTGAGGGCGGAACGAATGGAGCCGACGATTGAGGTCCATAGGCCAAGCATTGTGTACGACGTGCGTGACGGTAGCCACGAGGCTTGCGTAGTAGAAGTCTTGCAATCCAAGATGCATATCATATGTTCTTGTGTTCAGTATTGTAATCTTGTTTTGAAACTGTGGGGGTATGTCGGCGCCTTTCTCGCTGCTGCAGGTGTACTGTCTAGTATAAGCGTCGACATAACCAGAGGCAGCACGGTCCAAACAGATAACCTGCTTGACAGAGTTATCTTTGACCAGCTCTCGCAGAATATGAGAGCCCAGGCCTCCACTCGCACCGGTCAGAAGAACTACGGCCCCTTGGGGAGGCTGTTTTGCACCCCACAGGCGCGGTGGGACATCGTGTTCGCGGACATATTTTTGGATAGCGTCTTCCTTCGAGGAATTCGACTCATCAGCTCTCGATTCTCCCTTTAGAGCCTCTGCCATTTTTGATATAGTGGAATTTAGGTAAACAAATCCACGCGGTACGATGCGCTCAGCAGCAGCGCGATCCCCCAATTCCAGTGACAGACTGGAAAGCAAGATTCGGTGCAGTTGTCCGACTTGCAACGAGTCAATACCCAGCTCGAAGAGATCTGTTAATCGAGTGAGTTCAGTCGGTTGTCCAGAACGCAGGATCTTTGTGCTGATCAACTTCTCAATATTGTCTTCTACGTCGCCGCGAAGAATTTTAACATCAACGTCGACGGCGCCTTTGCTTAATTCATCATATGCTTTTTCAATCTCCTGGCTATATTTTTCATAGCAGGCGCGTCTCAATACAGTGCCCTTGTCAGAGCGAAGCAAGGTTTGGCCTTCATTAAGGACGATAACAGCTTCGCGAAAGACAATATGAGCATGTGCGTCTATGGAAGTCCCTGATTCGACTAGATAACGCAATATACTGTCTTTGAACCCTGCCAGCTCCTTTGTAGAGGAAATCGATCGTGATGGCTCAATGAGAACCCCGAGTTGAGACTGACCGCTGCCAAAAACAACGGCAGCCTTTACGTCGTCTCGTTGGGCGAGAACACTTTCAACAATATATGGCGAAACCTTTTCCCCATTCTTCAAGACAATAACATCGTCTGTTCGCGCAAGAGGCCGGAGCCTTCGTTTTGTTCCATCACTGGGATCGATAGCGAACAAATCTTGCATCTCAAAATTCTGTATCCAACCTGGTGGTCGAACTGAGAGTCTGCATGTATCCGGGTCGGTGCATGCCTCATTCTCCTCAGTTATCATCTGAATCCCCATGTCATCCCGCAGCATAAACCACCGCCAGTCGTAGCCTTCTGGAGGTACGTACATGACAGAAAGAGGGCCCGCTTCCGTATTGCCATACGAGTTCAACACGTTCACGCCGGCCGCCGCTAGCATGTTGCCGACTGATTCTTTCAAGGCACCTCCAGCGCAGGCCACAAAGTCGAGAGACCGCAGCGCCTCCATGACTCTCGGATTATCCAACTCGACAAGCTCTTGTAAGATAACTGGGACAGTCATGAAAGACCCAAGCGTGAATCGTTCGAGGAGCGATACTACTTGTGCGCCCGTTTGGAGCGAGGAGGGAGGAATTACGAGGGGCTTTCCCAGGCTCAGGGAAAGTAGAGGTGCCAGTAGTCCAAATCCCTCAAAACTGATTAATTACATTCACCAATGGCACTGCTTATTCTAACGGGAACGCTTACATGGAAAAGAGGTAGACTGGTGAGATTGAGTCGATGGCTGTCTTCTTCCGACAAGTCACAACACAAGAGATAGTTGAGCACATAGCTATGAGACTGACGGATTGCCTTTGGCAGACCAGTAGTACCAGAGGAGTGCAGTATGAATACGTTTCGATCATCGTCTGCGACGTGGTGCCAATCTACGTATACACGGGTTCGATCCAGATTTCCAACATTCAAGAACTGTCTGTAAGATGTCGACGATTTGATGGAAAGGTAGTGATGCTTTCCGTTGGCAAGAAGAGAATGCGCTTCCTTGGCTAACGACATGTGTTGCTTCGAAGTGTAAATGACGGAAGCTCCGGTCTCTGAAAGCAGACTCTTGATGGCGAGTGGACTGAGGCGAATCGAAAGTAGGACCACCTACTCTTCACATCAGCCTTCGCTTTCGTGACTATTTTATCGTTTGCTATAACCACATACGGGAATGCCTAGGCCGAACAGAGAAAACAGGTACAGTAGGATACTCAGGTCACTCTCCATGAGGAGTGCGACAGGAGCGCTCTTGATAATTTGACCATCTGCATCTTGTCTTGGAAGACAGACTGGGCCAATGTCATCAAGAATGCTCGTTTGGCATGCGAGTATCGCGTTCTCGAGGCAAGCATAGTCAACGGTATGGAATATGTCGCCCCCGAGAGAGAAATCAGACTGGATGCAAAAGACATGATCCGGATTCTGGTGGGCGTGGAAGTCAATAAGCTCAGGTATCGTTTTGATGGTTGGACTCGAGATATCTGTCTGCGCAGTCCTCAGAGGTGCACTGCGGAAGTTGGACACGGATGGGGACATGGTGCCGTTGAATCGCGAATGTCCTCGCGAGGCAACTGATTAGAGCAGGGTCACTTCACTCTTGTCTGGCAAAGCCAAAATGATAAAAGCACGGAAAATCTGGGAGAATAGACTCTTGAGCCGCATGATCGTTTCGGGATGGCGAGTCTCTGAATTGCTGTATGTACCGTTACAGACGATCTTTTACGTTACATGACTAAACGATTATACATGGCTCACAAATGGATATAAAAACCCTAAACCTACCTAATTCCGAACTAGGTCTATTATATGACCATCCCCTATTGCCCATATTCTGCAATGTTCGGGAGAGCGCAAGGGGCAAACGGGGCAAATGAGCTAGATGACTGCATACACGTACATGAACTAGGCCTATTGAATCTGCAGTGTTCTAGACTGCGCAAGGCAAAGGAGCTGGATGACTGCATGAACGTACTTGCCAAGATAAGCTTGAGGATGACAAGGATACACTTCCAGCATGACAATTCATAACAAGCCGCGCCAGGCGGCGCTGGTGCCAAGTTAAAATTAACTTCTCCATTGGGACGTGCAATACGAACGCACTAGTTGCCTACTGTGGGGATGCGGTGCGGTCCGGAACCTAGCTCCGTGTACGAGCCTTCGTTTGGCTCGTGTTCGTACGAGATGCGCAACCCCTGTTAGATAATCACGTCCAAGCCGTGGCCTCTGTCGTAGGCTGTCGTGTTTGTAAGTGCAGGAGCCAAATCCCGATGGATCGGCTCGGTTGGCTGAAAAATTATCCATGGAGATTCATTGGTCAAATTGTCTGGAGGACCAATGTGCCTTGTCAACTGCATTGTCGTTCCTGGATGCCAGAGTCCTCCCTGTATGTCAGAGTCCTCCCTGTATGTCAGAGTCCTTCCTGTATGCCAGAGTCCTTCCTGAATTTCGGAGTCCGAAGCATGGATGCATGGATGCAAGATTGAGATGATCTCTGCTTACTTAGGTTTTTGGTGTGCATCCAGAACAGAAGAGAAACCATGTGGTCTTGGAGATACAGCGTAGCAGTGACAGGAGTAGCCAGAGATGGTGTCGAAGACAGATGATGAGGGCCGGCATGTAAATGAACAGAGTTGAGCGTTTGAAGTACGCTGGCTCCCGGTGTTGACTTCCTCTGAAGGTTTTTGTATACTCGTTTGTTTCATCGCGACGAAATACATCCAGAAAAAATGGATTTCACAATCTACAATCTTGCCATTCTTCTCGCAGCCGTCGTGCCCTCTGTTCTGTTACACAGAATAGTAAAATCTTACACCCGCCTCTCTCACGTTCCCGGCCCGTTTTTTTGCCACATCACCAACCTTAAACGAGTCTACTGGGTGTTGACAGGGCAAGCGCACCTCCACCACCAGAGATTGCACTCTCGTCACGGTCCCGTTGTGCGTACGGGACCCAACAGCGTCTTCATCAGCAACCCAGACGATGTCCCTGCAGTTTACCCCGTTCGTGCTGGGTTTCCAAAGGCAGACTTTTACAAAGCACTCCAGCCTTACTCACCTAACAAGGGGACACTGCCGTCCTTGTTCAGTATTCAAGATGAGGCTATCTACCGGACCATGAAGAACCCCATTGTGCCCGTCTTCGCACCGGCTAACGTGATGAAATATGAAGTGTTTGTAGATCAGATGCTTCAAGCCATGTCTGCTAAGTTTGATATCAAGGCAGCTGGTGACGAGCTTTTTGATTTGGGAGAGTGGTTGATGTATTTTGCCTTCGATGTCATGGGATTGATGACCTTTTCCAAGACGTACGGGTTTGTGGAGAGCGGCAATGACGTTGATGGGAGGCACAATACAATCTTCACATATTTCAAGGGCGCAGCCCCTGTGAGTATTCCCCAATGCCTAGGCAGAATGGGCAATATAAACTAGAATGTTGAAGTATTAACTTCGTGTTCCAGTGGACGCAGATAACTTGGCTTGATCAATGGGTCAACAAAAACCACTTCTTGATGCGATTTCGCAAGACGCCCGGCATGGCAATACTCGGTATCGTGCATAAGAGTGTGCAGGAGCGATTGAAGCACGGCAAAGGGTCCAAGTCCGAAGACTCTAAGGATATGTTGGACAATTATCTTACCATACAACAAAACAACTCGGCTGTGCCAGATTGGTGAGTGGTTTCCTTTTCTTTCGGGGGAGAGTGAAGACAGTGGGAGCGGAGACCGCATACCTAGGGAAAAAGACGATAAGTTTCTGACCTTGCAACACAGGGCTCCACAAGCTTGGGTTTACTCCAATGTAGTAGCCGGATCTGACTCAGTCGGCACCGTCATGCAAACCTTCGCCTACAACCTCCTCACCGACCCTCGTACAACTTCTGCCCTCATATCCGAACTGCGCTCAGCCTCCCTCTCGAAGCCTTTCCCCAAATACAGCGAAGTGCGCAACCTGCCCTACCTTGACGCTTGCGTGAATGAAGCCGTAAGGATGCATCCGCCATTCTGCCTGCCGCTCGAACGCGTTGTGCCCGAAGGCGGCGTAACCATTTCAGGCGTCTATTTGCCAGGTGGCACCAACGTCGGTGGAAACGGATATGTTGTCAATAGGAACGAGGAAGTATTTGGATCGAACGTGGACGAGTGGAGACCGGAACGGTGGCTGGAGTGTTCACCCGAGCAGAAGAGTAGAATGTCGTCGGGCATGCTCACGGTAAGCTTTGTCTCATCCTCATTCGTCCCCGCATGTTCGTATCGAAATGAAAAACGACAAAGAATAAAATTGCTGACGCGAGATACAGTTTGGTGCTGGAAGGCGCTCATGCATGGGTAAATACATTGCTGTAATGGAGATTAAAAAGTTGATGCCGTTCCTACTGTTGAACTACGAGGTCAGTCGAGTGTTGCTTACCTAATTAAGTATTCAAGTGATTCAAGCTAACCAGTCGCAAAGATGAAGATTCCAGATCCGAAAACACACTCAGTCGAGTGCGCGTGGTTCTTCAAGCATAAGGGAATACTTGCGCAAATCCGCAAGCGGACAGAAGAAGAAATCGAGTAGAGGGGAAGATCACCACCAGGAGTAGACATTACATTACAAAGTATAAATAAATAGTACTTCCGACGACTACCATGCACATATTTCGCATCATTGGCTTTTTCTATAACGTTGATTCAACGGGAGACAGAAGGATTCATTAACGTCCTCCCTTCATGTCTTCTGCGACTTTTTCCGCCAACATATCTGTTTTGTGTCAGCTAACGGTCGTCCAAGAATGGAGATTGAATAAACTTACAGACTGTAGCTTGGGGAAGCCCTGGAGGCAGGAAGGGAAATGCGGATGCATCTACAACACGGAGACCAGAGACACCGTAGACACGGCCCGATGAGTCCACCACCGCATTCTTATCGCTAGACTTGCCCATCTTGTTCGATGCCGCAGCGTGAAACATGGTCTGGAAGCTGCGCTTGATCTGCTCGTGAATCTGCGTATCCGTCTGGACGTTGGCCTCGGAGCCAGGGAAGTATTCGGGTCCGATGGTGATGGGGGCTATAGCGGGCGACCCAAAAATCTGGCGCAGACGCTTGAAACCAGCAGTGACAAGGTCAATGTCCCTCTGCGTGGTAAGCCAGTTGGGGTTGATGAGGGGTTGGTCTCTAGGGTTCGATGATGAGATGGAGACATTTCCAACAGACGAGGGCGCGTTCAAGGCTGCGAGCAACGTCGCATACTGGTAACCATCTGGTGGAGACCCGGCGGATGAACTTTCAAGATTCCCAGCAAAAGCGGGTAGAGAAACGTATTGAATCTCGGGCCAATCGGACGGCAGCGCCGCCAGTTCCGTGAGCGTTTGCTCTGCAAAGGAGGTACGCAAGCTTTCAGGGACCTTTTCAAAAGCAAAGTAATCGCCTCCTGGGCTCGACAGCAGACCAGAAGCATTGGTAGCCCACTGAGAGTTCGCATCTGCAGACGTGTTGCCGTATTGAAGCGAAGATGTGGTCTGGACATTGACACGGTAGGAGACGCCGAAGTAGACATGGTCCAACAAGTTTTGGCCCACACCCGGGCGGTCAGCTACGACGGGGATGGAATACTTGTCGAGTGTGTCTTTGGGCCCAATACCCGAAAGTAGCAGCAGCTGGGGCGACTGGAAAACCCCGCCAGAGATGATGACCTCCTTGGAGGCGTTCAGAGTATAGGTGCTGTTGGCGTTGGCAGCGGGGCTAACCCTCACACCAGTAGCCTTCTTTTCAGCATTGAACAAGACGCGCTCAGCCAACGTGCCGTTCAAGATCTTGAGGTTGGAGATGGGCGGGTTACCAAAGGCTGTCGCGGAAGAGTCGCGGTGAGCATTTCGCGGGTCAATGGTCGCTGTTATGTAGGCCGATCCCATGAGCTTCCCATTTACAAAAGATGGTACGTTGGCAATGCCAGAGGCCTGCATAGCCTTGGCTATCCAGGTCGCGAACGGCTGCCCGTAATTGGCATACCCGACGTCCAGCGGCCCCCCGGCATTGGGAGCATCAGGCGTAAAGTCGTATTGCGGAGTGGCATTGGCAAAGCGCTTTGTGTTGTCGGGAGCCCACATGTGGACGCTTTTGCGATACAGGCGCTGAGCATTGCTATACTCGAAGGCCGAATCGCCCACGTCGCTGGCCCACTTAGAAAGGGCGCCCTGGTTGGTGTGGGCATATGCCATGTAGTTGAGGTTGCTTGAACCGCCGACGGATTTTCCTCTTGCATAATGTGTGGAGCGGTCGTTGTTGCCCTTTTGCGGGGTTGTGACGAAGCCCCATTCCACGGCTGGATTGGTGTCGGCGGGGTCTTTGCCCCCGTAGAAGAAGTCGAAGGCTGGAATCTGACTCTGGGTGTCCGTTGCCGTTTCGGACCAGGGGCCAGCTTCGACTACGGCTACAGAGACGTCGGGGTCTTCTGCAAGACGACGCGCGATGGTGAGTCCGCCGGGCCCAGAGCCTACAACTACATAGTCGTAGTCATTTGGGCCTTTTGGAGGGCAATCCGACCCAGGGGGAGGCGGAGGTGGAGGCAGAGCAGACACAGGGGCGACTGCTAGGAGGCAAAACGAGGCAGCGAGATTGAGGGTTGCACCGAGCATCTTGTGTGCTTATCCTGTTCTTCACTCTGTGTATCGCAGCAGTGTTTGTGATTGGAACCCTGACCAAGTGTGACAAAGATGGTTTGATTGCATGCAATGTACTTATGTAGTATGCTCGAACGCGAACAGCGATATACATATCAAATGTGCGTACATATGTATGCATGTACATACTTGGATCAGCACGTGGCCATGGCGTGTTCAGGCTGCAGGGGGGGTGTTGACACGAGGAGAAGTGAGATCAATTGATGTTATGGTTACAGTACTTGGTCCTGATACGATGTACGGACACATGGATGTGGTGATAAGATTGAGTATCCAACCAACGCGCTAACTTGATTGGGTAACGCGTTGATGACAGCATCTGAATGTATGCGTTTTGATACAAGGATGCTTACATACAGGACCAGGGCCGGCCAATCAATCGCAGTCTCATCACGTGTTGCAATACGACGCCACGAACATGTATCCTTGCTCGACCGCCTCGCGCACCTCGCGAGGCGACGCCGAATCAAACAAATGCCTCGCGCCCTCCACCACCAACAGCTTCGATTCCACCCCGGCTTCTTGCAGCGCCGCTGCTGTGTCGCGGGCCTGTGAAACAGAGACGAGGTCATCAAGGCTTCCGTGCAACAAGCAGATTGGCGTCGTGTACGACCCTTTTACGATCTGGGCGTACGGGTTGATGCGGCTGATGGCCGCCTCTGATGGCTGCGGAAATAGCGGCACCTTCCCCTGCTTCCCCCAGTCGTTGCTGTCGTTGTTATTTTGGCCATGCTCGAGTGCGAACGCACCCAAGAGTATGGGGAGTGTCTGGGCCTTCCAATTCATGTGTAGCGCAATCCTCGACCGCACGTCCCCAGTGGCCATCCAACCGCCTGTGATTTGCTTTGCCAGTGCTTTCGGATGGTATGCAGTGAGTGGCTTCTCGGACAATCCTTCCGCTACCACGTACTCCATCGTACTGGCCAACTTGTCAGTACCGTTTGGGAAAATTGGCCGCCTCCACGATTCGTCCGCATAGTTCGTTGGGCTGTAAAAGGCGAGAACGGCATCGGGAGCTTGTACTCCGCGAGTGGCTGCGGTCCAACCCAAGCTCATGGCGAGCATGCCTCCCGTGGACCAGCCTACGGCCACCACGTGCCTACCATTGGGACGTATATAGCCATGCGAGAGCGCCTGGAAAGGAAGACTACGGCGTATCCACTGCAATGCAGTCAGGACGTCGGACATGGCTCCGTGTTCCAAGGCCACTTCGGGACACAGACGATAGTCGATGCTTATGGGCAGAAAGCCTTTGTCGAGTAGAATTCGGAGCTGCGATGGTGGGATCGAGGTACGCGAGAGCATGATGTGCCCACCGCCGTGGATAAGGAGAGCTGGCGAATAGAATCATTCTCAATCAGCAACTTTTCCCACTCAATTAGCGTCATGACGTTCACTCACCGACCGGTCGTTTCTCTACATCCATAAGCGTTTTCGTGTTTCTTCTCCCTTCTTCTTTTTCTTTGGGATAGTAGATATCCGCAAACAGCTCCACACCACCTACGCATGCGAACCGTATCGTCTCCATAACTGCATCCCTACAACCCTCCACCGGCCTCAGCCTCAAATTCTCCACGGATTCTTGCTCTTCCACACATCCCAGCAGAACCCGTATTTGCGTACTTTCCAATCCCTCCCCTCCCCTCCCGCTCCAGTCTACGTGCTTAAATCCGGCCTCACGGAGCACATTCCTCCAGTACACCTCGCTAACAAGTGGATATTGTCTCTCGTCACTGAACCGCCACCAACCATCCAGTGGCCCATAGACTAAGTCTAGCCAACCCAGGGGACGCATGAGTTCAATCAAACACATGATTCCTTTGGACCGCAACATCATGCGAATATGACTGCATGACTCGTGCAGGGATCGTGTGGCGTGAATACAGTTCGATGCAAAAATGATATCAAATGACGAGCGCAGGGACGCTGGAGGTTCGGTCTCGATATCGACGATGGAGTATACAATGTTGGAACTTAGACTGTGCGAGGAGAACCGACGCTTGGCGTGGTGCAGAAAGGATGGCGATAGGTCGGTGAAAGTGTATTCAAAGACGACATTTTCGATCTTCTCCAACATGTCTAACACGACGGCCGTCGTGCCACCTGTTCCAGCACCAAGTTCAAGAATGCGTATGACTGGCTTAGTACTCCCGTGACTTATGCTCCTCACTTGGCCAAACAAGGCAGCCAGATATGTCGAAAGAATGTGTGTGGGTGTCGCAAACAGTGGTGAAGCCGCGTACACGTCTGCACTCAGTTGCTTGTTTTCACTGAAAAGTACATGTAGTGGATCGGTTTGACCTGTCAGGAACGGGCCTAACTTGCTACCCATGGCGTTCAGAAGACGATGTTCGAGCGCAAAAGCAGGGAATGCGCTCAATAGCTCTTGATACAGATCTGATGAATGTGTAACCGAAACCAGCTTTTGTGACCGTGACAACCCACTAGAGGATTTATAAACCAACCCAGCCTCCTCGAGTATCTTCATCAAGCGTGGGACTAGTCGAGAGTGCTTCGACTCAGAAACCACTCTGGGTATTTCCACTTGTGTATCGGGGGGCATTGTAGTCAGGGAGCACCCCAGATCTGACAGTGCTTCCACGACATAGCTGACCACCAGATCGCGTTGAGCGGGATAGACGCTCTCAAAGAAAGCTGCAAATTTTGTTTGTTCGGCGAGCTGAGGGAAAGATGGTTGCATAGAGGCGAAGATCTTGCCAGGTGAGGCAATCAAAGATGGGGTTGTTTCGTGGGCGTTAGCTTCCTTTGAAAATACGGGAACAATAGTGTGTGTGGATTCCAATTGAGTTTGACCGTTTGAAAGCTGCGTATGAATGATTGAGGATGTTATTTCGACGCTGTCATCTCGATCTGGGCCGTTGGATAGAGTTCGGTCTTGTACAAGCTTCACGAGGTCACTCAACAAAATCACAGAAACGAGCTCGCTGCTGTGAATTTTGACATCGAGTTTTCTTTCGATTTCCGAAAACAGTTCGATGGAAAGGAGCGAGTCAAGTCCTGCGTTTTCCAGATGTAGAGATAGCGTCATAGCATCAGGAGCGAGATCGAGAAGCTCTGAGAGAATCATCGAGATCGTTTGGCTCACTCTCTCGTGCTGATTGGGTTTGCAATCCTCATTCGTGCTTGTGCCGTTGGTGAGGGGAGCAGTAGCAGATTCCCACTGTACAGGACGCTTGAAATATTCATCCACAAGGGGTTTCAGTGTTATTTCCTTGTCTGCGCATGTGGACTTGATGATCGAGATCAAGTCTCCTACTGTTCCGAGGCTAGCGAAATCGACAGTCGATAGCGTAGTTCCGATCTTGATTGATATCTCGGTCAAGAGCTCGATGCCGACGAGGGAGTCAATTCCTAGCTCAATCAAATCAGATGTCATTAGGATATCGACTAGTGGCACCTGCATGACCTCCGCGATGATATCTTGCACTATTTTGAAATAGTGAATTCCCAGTTGGCTGTCTCTTGTGTTGGATCGATCATGAAACGAGGACCCCTTGAGAGATTCAGTCTTGATTTCGGTGTTCGTCACTACATGCAAGGTATTTCCATGCGAATTGAGGCCGTTAGGGGCCGGTTTCTTGGCTTGAACATGAGGACCTCGCGGTTCTAATAGCCGGCGGAACGATGAGCACCGTACTTTGGCGAATTGAACACCAAACAGGATTGCGTCCACCATTCCCGTTTCTGAATTGAGCACGTAGATGTCCGACTCCAGCCCAGTCGTCTCCGGTGTTGCTTCGACGGTGCAGAATACTAACCATCCTGCAGCTGGCGCATTCTGTCTAAGGTCGCTATACATGGAAATGCGACCAATAGCGGTGCACAGAAACATGTATTCCTTGTCTCGGTTCTGGATTATATTGGCATAGAAGCCCGCTACTTGGGTGAAATTGTCAACAGCGAGTGGATGGGTGACTGCTTCCTTCGCGACGCGACTGAAATGCATGTGAACCAAACCGGCCACATTCCCATCAAGCGAAGCCACGCGTCGAAGGCCCCGATAACAAGGATTGTAGTCGACCAAAGGACCAAACTGATCATAGATAAAATGACCCTGAATCGACTCGGCGTCTTTGGTGTTGTCAAGGAGCTCCTGGCAACGCTTGAGGTCGACAAGGCGCTTGTATCGCCGACTCTCAGTCAGAAGCTCTTGAAGAGAGCAATTACGGAGGGCTACTGTACCTTGAGCGAAATCGACCTGTTTATCGGTCGGTGCAAATGCGTTACCAAAGATTCGAAACGTATATGCTGAGCTCTGTTTGGTGTCGCGCGTCAAATGAAGTTCGACGGGCTGCGCGCTGGTTATACTGAGCGGAGAAGACATTTGCAAATCCTCAATCTGTGGGACCATATTCTCACGTGTCGTATCTCTTAAAAGTAGCTTTGCGGCTCGGGTTGCCATTTCGATGTAGAGAGAAGCAGGACATAGTGCATTACCCAGAACGGCGTGGCCTGTTGTACACGCTACAAAGTCATCCGCATTGGTGTTGATGCCAAATCGTGCACCTTGTTCATTATTGCTGGAAATGAGCTGTACAATTTCCCCATCCTGAAACTTTTCATCTGTATGTCTGTCTGAAGAAGCAGGCGTGGACCGGCTTTTATACTCCAGCCAGTGTCGCGGTCTCTCAAACTGATAGCAAGGAAGATTGAGGTAGTCATACTGTTGATTTTGCAGCGTGTGGTGTGCCCAATGTCGCACGTGTACACCTTCTTGAAGAAGCGAAACAACTGAATCAGAAATCACATCCAGTGTCGCTTCGCTGTGAAGCGGCATCGGTATGCAGACGTGATGCGACTTCGGGCTCTCTGTGGCCAGATTGCGTTTCACCAAAGTCATGATTCCCGAATCGGAACCAGCTTCAATCCAACAGGCAGAGGAGAAGCGTTTGGCAAGCCGAGAAATGGCATTTGTGAAGAAAACGGGTCGCTGGGAGTGGCTTGCAAGTTCTTCCGGCGTCATGATACCCTGGAACTGTTTCTCATTACAGAGTTCCACCGGTATGGTAGGAGTGTGAAAGTGAAGGGTTTTGGCCAAGGCAACAATTTCGGGCGTTATAGCGCCTACCAGTTGAGAATGATACCCATGTGTAACAGACAACATCCGACACGAGATTTTTGTTCCATTGGCCTGCATGCCGTGAATGAACTTTTCGGTAGACATGATGGCTTCGCGAGCGCCGGAGAGCACGTGCGTGCTAGGGGTATTGTAGCATGCGACTTGAACATCAAGACCTTGCTTGGAGATGGCAGACATAACTTGAGTCATCAAAACCTTGTCCGTCTCCACGGAAAGCATGGTGCCTTTTTCTGGGCCCCATCGGCTATTAATTAACTCTGCGCGCTTGCAGATGTATAAGAGTGTGTCTTGCAAGCTCATGACACCTGATATACAGAGCGCGCTGAGCTGACCAAAGCTATGGCCCACCAAAGCATCGACTGTTAGGCCTGAGTCAAGCCATGCTCTCGCACAGGAGTATTGTACTGCAAAGAGACAGCAGTGCAGGTCGACTAGGTTGGAAATGGGGGTCTTATCGAAGATGTGAGGGAAGATTCGGCCATAGCCAATACGCGTACATGCCTTCTCGCAACAACGGAGATGGTGCCGGAGTAGAGCACAATTTTCGTACACACTCTTGCTTAGCGCGATGTAATCTTTTCTCTGTCCACCGAAACAGAGAACAACCGGCCTCCGTTGATTGATACTGCGAACAATGGAGTCTTGCTTACTTGAAGCAATTTCTCTAAGTTTGTCTTGAAGATCCGCGATTGAGGGAGCAGCTACTGTGACTGAATATGGCTGGTCTGGGTTGTGGCGGTACGCTAGATTGAAAGCGAGATTCGACATGAAGTGTTCCGTGGGTCCATCGTGGTTGGCGACATATGTGTTCAGCGTTCGGCAGTATGCCTTGAGTGATTCTTTTGTTCGCGCAGAGATATGAAATACTTCTTTCGTCTGCGTTCTGCTGCTATTAGCCTTTATGTAAATCGCAGGCTCTTGTACAGAGGGAGGCGGCTGGCAAATAAGAACACATGCGTTGCTTCCAGCTGCACCATAATTGCTGATACATGCTGCTCGCCAGATCGTGTTCCAAGGTCTCGATCGGACGGCAATCTCGATATTTTGCTCGTGTAACGAACCAATATAGGGGTTCAGTTTTTTGAAGCTTGCCAGTGGGGGAATCGTCTTTTCTTGTATCATCAACACCGTTTTGATCAACGCAGCAGCTCCCGATGCAGCTTCCAAGTGTCCGATGTTACCTTTGACTGAGCCGACCACAAGCGGAGAATTCGGAACTCGGTTGACACCAAAGACACGTCGAATACTCTCCATCTCGATCGGATCCCCCTTTGGTGTGCCAGTCCCATGAGCCTCCAGATACGACACTTGGTTTGGAGCTACTCCCGCGCGGTTCACCACTTGCTGGAACAGTCTTACTTGAGAATCGCTATGTGGAACCGTTATTGGTGAACCATTTTCGCTCTGATTGATAGCAGAACTCGGTATGACGGCGAGCACTTTGTCATTTTGTTCCAATGCGAGAGAAAGGCGCTTGAGGACTATGAGACCGCACCCTTCACCGCGGCAATATCCGTCTGCCTTCTCGTCGAAAGGCTTACATTGTCCAGAAGTGCGACTGGTGAAATTTGCAGCTCCTAGCGCGTTGAAGAGAAACGGGCTGGTAATGACATTTACACCGCCCGCGAGCGCCATATCACAGTCCCCAGATCTGATATCTTTACAAGCTTGATGTATCGCAACCAAGGACGAGGAACATGCTGTGTCGAGTGTCAAAGATGGACCTGTCCAGCCGAAGTGGTGACTGACTCTTGCAGAAATGAACGCTCGAACAGTTCCAACTAAAGAGAATGCCCCAGGACGATTCGAATCAACGTTATCTTGGTAGTCGACTGCTGCAACTCCCAGGTAACAGCCTGTATTCTTGGAAGCGGGGTTTTCATGTCTAAAATATCCGGAAGATTGCAAAGCCTCGTAGGCAACTTGGAGTGCCAGCCGCTGTTGAGGATCCATAGACGCTGCTTCGCGCGGCGATATGTTGAAAAACTTGTGATCGAAGATTTCGGGCTCACGGATGAAATTTCCCGCTAGTTCTCCCTTTCCAATTACTTGAGAGTGCTGAAATCTGGCTTCAGGAAAAGGCGAAAGGGTTGAAATGCCGCTTTTGATCACCTCCCAGAATTCATCGACCGAGTTCGACCCAGGAAATCGACAGCCCATTCCGATGATGGCAATTGCGTCATCACTGTATGTTTGCTCTTGAGCGATGTCTTCCGGTACCTTCGCTTTCATTCCGTGGGAAGCAGTCATTTCAGCACGCTTGAACAAGACTCCAGGGATTACGTTGAGGCTGTATTTATTCGCGAGTTGAGTGGGAACACAGCGATGAAGGCCAATCTCAAGAACCGTATGCGAAGTGTCATTTGGGAGTTTCAACACGGCTTTCGTTATCGAAGATGCCCAGTCGCACCTCGAAATTAGAATGGCGTCGAGGACATCACAATTGGAGAATCCAATCTCGATTTCAGGCCAGGAATCAGTTTCAGCTGATCGGTGTCTGTGAAGTTTTGTGGGCGGCAAATCAAACTCCTCGCGTTTATCGCAAAGAGATTTCAGTGTGTCGTATATGCCTCGATTTGCTGATGTGTGAAATTGACCCCTCAAGCTGATCCGGCTGGCTTTGATGTTGGCAGCACGAGATTTCGAGATAAAATCTCCCTCCATACTCTCTGGGACTGTAATAGTCATACTACACTCGTCTTTGATGACTGATACATAAGCCTAAACCCGATTAGTTGAGAAGTACAGTTCGTGAGGATGCTATTACATTTGGTATACTTGCAACAATCTCCCGCAAGCGCTCTTTCTCCCCCGGAGAAGACCATCTTGCAACAAATACACTTGTTTTGTGGGGCGTGGCCTGCCAGATACCATCCAGGTCAATCAGCGCACCCATTCCTGCAGCGAGTCGCAAAGCGCGACTTGCCATCTTGAGAAGAACATCTTCACTTGAAGAAAGTGCTACTGCCTGTGCAGCGATTTGGCCCGTACAAAATCCTTCGATCACAATGGAAGAGCTTCTGACGTGCGATCTGGACCCCGAATCTCTCCAGAGTTGAAGAAACTCAAAGTATTGGACAATATGAATGATTACTGTCAACGGCGATAGCAGCGTGTTGGGTGGGATTGAATCCCATGCATCTGCCGATTCGTATTTTTGAAAATTGGCAGGCGAAAGAATTCCAGTTTTAACCCACTGAGATAAAGATTCCAGATATTTCAGTCCTGGTGTATTCGAAAGAGCAGGTTCAATTTCAACCAATGAGAGCCACGCATTTGGGAGATCGCGGATCGCTTCCGCGAACTTGTATAATCTCTGATCCCCCAACAAAACACGCCGAATATATTTGAGAAAATCTTTGCTAGGCCATGAGGTAGATGGGCCAAATGCAATCAACGAGGGGACTGGAAAAGATGCCATTGATTTCCGTGCGGTCATGCTTGATGGTCATGGATAGTGGAAGCACGACTGTGGTGGTAGGAATATGTACAATTTGTTGGAAGGTGTGGCAAGGGACGATATATTTACAGATACCAATAGGTGGTTTGTGCCACCAAAATAATCATAATAGCACTTCAATACTTCGTTTCGACATGGTTATGATATTTAAATCGCTCAAGAGGACCTCTACTCTCCTCTACTCTACGAAATCTCACAAGGCAAATCATGGAAGCAGAGCACACCTTCCCATCGAGCGTCTCCAACCATGTCTGTGAGGTGGAAAAATTTGTAATAGACATCAATTGGGCAATTGATATCCCCGTAAGGAATGGGCCACATTTGCTTTGCCGCCAAGGAAAGGCCCGGAAGGCTCTACGCCTCGTACTCACAGAGCAGTATTCGAGCTGCACGATCAAAATTTCTGGGTCAGCAAGACTTGTGAGTGTGACTTCGGGGACTTAAGGGTGCGTTCCCCCGTTTTCTGGGTAAGATGTACGAGCCGGAGTAGGAATATTGTGCATATTCAGCCTTCAGGAGGAACTCTTGGTTGTTTGAGTGCAACCTCTTTGGATTACTACAACGTGACCAATGTGATACTTCACCCGCATCTGTGGGCGAGGAGCAAGAGCAATTCCGAATCCCGAGACATCCAAGAATTGCCTTGGTGAATTTTGTTGTCCACGCAGTCAGATCGAGTAATATGCGTACGAAGCAAATTCACGAAGCACAGATGACATTGTAAACTGGGATCATAATGCACAGAGTTCGGGGACCGAAGAAATACCTTGCTTCGCATCAGCAGCTCTGGATCTTTTCCCTGTAATCTGCACTACTCTTTTGACATGCCAGACGTGGACGCAGGTAAGACGCACTTATGTTCATGAATGCGCGTGTAAAGTGCGGCACAATGCATTGCATACAAGTTCCGCGTGAACATTGGTGGTGCGGGAGCCAAATGCAATATTCAACATGCTGTTGAAGACATGTCAGCCGGCATGAACCGAAAAGTGTAAATTCTTATATTGACATTATATGGAGGCACAGCTGCAGTTCAAGGACTAGCCACACAGAGCATAGGATTGGATTGAACACCTGTACTACGGCAGAACCGAGGCTAACCAACACCGTTCATTTGTTTCCCAAGATTATGTCGGCAATCCTTTCTGCGATTGCATATACCCCGGCCTGATAATGAGAGGCTATAGAAACTGGAATAATACTAGCATCGGCAACTCTCAAACCTTGAATGCCCTTTACTCTGCAATCAGTGTCCACGACAGTGCCCATAGATGCCGTGCCAGCGTTTTGGAACATACTCGCGCCCACATGGGCGAGTCGAGCATCAATTTCCTCATCAGTGCAAGAACTTGTTAGTCGTGGATAGCCTGGTGGAGGTGTTTCGTGCTCCACATAGGTCAATGCCTCTGGAGTTTCCATGATTCGTATTGCTGCTCTGAATCCCTGCCGCATGATAGTCCGGTCGATCTCAGTTGCGAGATAGTTCGGGTCCAGAATAGGATCATCAGCGACGTTCGTTGAAGCGAGAGTGATGGAGCCTCGGCTAGTGGGAAGCAAAATGACTACGGGCGTAGCAACGTGAGTTCCATCTGGTGGAATCCGATAGGGTGTGCCTGCGCTGGCGATAGGCGCATAGGGCATCAGGATCTCGACATGGCCACGAAGTCCGGACCCATATGTTGCATTGATTGACGTACCGTCAACAGTCGCTGCAGGTGACAATACCTCGTCAGGTAGTGCGAGAGTAATGATCCAATCAAAAGGCATGCCCGTGCGGAAGCTGGGATCATTGAAGTTTGGAGATCCCATTGCGAGACCCTGCTCAGGATTCCTGAGTTTCCAGAACATGGAGCCCGAAATGTGATCGTGAAAATTCTGCCCCACGGGCAAGTCGACAATAGTAGTAATACCCAAGGATTGCAAATGGTCCCTGGGGCCAATACCGGAGAGCATCAGAATTTGCGGGGTTTTGATTGCACCGGCGCAGACGAGGACTTCCTTAGCTTTGAAAGTTCGACCATCGTCCAACGTAATTCCAGTAGCTGACTTGGTCTGTTGATCAATGTCCACCCTTGCAACAACGGCGTTCGTAAAGACGGTGGCTTGAGATAAGTCGTAAGCAAGACCGGCTGGCTGCCTAAGCGCGTTTTTGACATTATCAGTGAAAGGCGCCACACCCAGCGGATTGCCGTCATTTCCGTCGGAAGTATATTCTATGCCGCTCTGTATGACAGCTTTCAAAGTCTTCTCCTTCAGAGGGTACTTTCTGAGGCCAGAGAAGTTGGCGATGGGTCCGTCATAGCCGTGCTGATCAACTGAGGCAGTGGCGCCACGATCATGGAACGTCTCCGATCTTTTGAAATACTTCAGAAGATTGGCATAATTCCACCGGTCATCACCCACTATGCGGGCCCAGTCGTCGAAGTCCACGGAGTGTCCACGCGCCCACAATCCATAATTCACGGCGGAACTACCAGAGAGGATTTTCCCGCCATAATTTGCAATTTCACGGTTGCCAAGATGGGCCTGCTTGACAGACTTCCATCCATACTCCCACTCGGTCGCATGGAGTAGAGGACCGCCAGTGGGGCTCATGATTTGGTCTGAATAGTTTTCAGGGCCCGCCTCGAATACGGCCACTCTGTGGCCAGCACGGGATAGGCGTGAGGCAAGGACGCAGCCCACCGTGCCCCCGCCCACAATGATGTACTCGTACTCAGATGCCATCTTTCCAATGAACGATGTGTGACTGTTGAAGAATAGGTGTGCTTGGATATTTAGAAATGTAACTACACTTGGAGCTTCAGATGCATGTGTGGGATGTTTTATATCATCTAGACAGGTCGACGAAATGGTAGAGGACTTGTCACGCCCCAGTAGGCAACGTTCAACCAACCTTGTGGTACGAACGGGGTGCAGGTCTTACTTCGGGCAGCGAGAATACTGGAGAGGTTGGCTTCTCTGGGTTGAGTGTAATCTGTGTGTCGCATTGGGTATAGCCTGATCGCCTGCGCCGCTTGAGCCTGCGGCACGGTATCGTAAGTAATGAAAGAAATCGTGTTAGATTACGATACGTCCACATGCCAAGTCTAACGGCGACAACCCTTGCACTGCACTCGTGTTCTCTACAGTATATAGTATGTATGTATGCGAGCTCCCCAATGGACGCTTCCGCTTGGCCCAGGGTCTGCGGAGCTGGCACTGTCTCGCCCAAACTAGCTGCATTCCTACAAACCTGCATCCATGTCTATTATCTTGTGCAGGAATTCATCCCTTGCTTACATGGTGCACGTATGCCTTTTATTATATTGCACAGGGACTCGTTCCATGCTTACATGGTGCATGGTGCATGATATGTACCTGTACATGCTGGGTCTAACGTCGATTCCTTTTGTATGTATGCCGCAAGCTGCCTAATGAAGACTTCAGCTCAGTCTAGGGTCCGCAAAAATGGCACCGTCTCATTCAACATAGCTGCATACATGCTATGTGTCGTATCATATCTTCCAGGAACACTAGAAGTCGAAACCGCTTGTGAATCATACGTTACTTATCCTTGAGCACTTATCTTTAGCTACGTATGTTAGTCGCCGTCTCGCCCTCTGTTCTGCTTAAACTTTAGCGCATCATACTGTAATCCACTTGATCGAACTATGCCAGAAGGTGGAGAACTCATAAACGGCCTTCCGGCTGAGTATTGGAATGAAAGTAGGGTGGATGTCTTGATTGGGGCTTCTACCTTCCTCATCATTCTCACTGTCGTTACAATTGTCCTGCGCTTTTACGCTCGTATATCATCGCGCGCGCCGCTATGGTGGGATGACTGGTTTGCTCTGGCGACTGTGGTGAGTTCCTCAATCATCATCCCAATTCTTCGCTTCTCTACTCGTCGAAGATCGCATTGCTAACGCGACTCGCACCGTCCCTACAGCCCTTTGCGCTCCTAAATCCCGTTTATGATCTTGTTCAAATCCACTATGGCTTTGGGAGACATCAAGCCGTCATGGTCAAGACCGATCCTCATCGGGCGGAAATCTTCTTTTTCAACTTGTACATCATTCTCATATTCTACAATGTCGGTCTGGCCATCTTCAAATACTCCTTCCTGGCGCTGTACATTCGCTTGTTTCGCGTTTCGACCAAACTTCGCTACAGCTGCTACGTGCTCGGTGTCTTGATCACCATGTGGTCAGTCTCCTGCGTGTTTGCTATTGTCTTCCGCTGCCGCCCCGTTCAAGCAAACTGGGATCCAACAGCTGGGAAATGTATTCCTATGCGACCCGTCTTTCTGGGCCAAGCTATACCGACTATCATTTTCGACATCATAATTCTGCTACTTCCCGTACGCCTTGTTTGGGCGATCCAAATGCCGCGTCCGGCCAAGATTGGTGTCTTGGTGGTCTTTGTTTTGGGTGGACTTGTCGCAGTTATCAGCATTGTCAGACTTTACGTGGTTTTAAACACCACCGAAGCAGACGTTCCGTGTAAGTTCATGTTCTGCTATGAAAACCGTAGTCCCAAACCAAACCAACCTCTAACTTGTACGCGAAAGGGGACTATCCCACTATTGGTCTATGGTCTGCCGGAGAACCAATTACCGGTCTTGTCTGCTGCTCGCTACCAGCATACACGCCTGTTCTCCGAAGAGTCCTCGCACATTTCAAGATCGGTTGGTCGAGCATGTCGCAAAGGACCAGCCGCAATAAGTCTAAGGGCCCAGTTTCCCTAATTCCCTCCTCCGTTCGCACAGGACGCTACCAACGCTCAGGCAAGGGTTCGGACACGTTTGAGCTCACAGAGACGGGGCATGGAGATGAGAGTCTTGAGACTCGCGTAGACTACGGCGGTCATGGTACAAATCATGGGAATGGGGGGATCCGTGTTTTGCAGGAAGTGGATGTTCAGAGCCATACCAAGAGCACAAGCTGAGGTATGCCTTTGTCTCTCATGATATCTAATGTGTAATCCATCCTGGCTTTTCATGTACCTCAAAATGATTCTGTACTCTCGACTGGAATTGCCACCGGTGGTATCTCGAGATCGTGGTCATGAGCCTCAAGTGTGTTTTTCGGGGTTCGCATTGAGATAGGCCCTCAGTCGGAGGGCGACCAGCGTACCATGGTTCTTTAACCTCAACACCACACATATTCCAAATCCGTACATCTCCACTGGTTCGTTGGGATGTCACATACGTCAAATGCGCAGTCAATAGGCTCCCAGTGCTGATGGTGATGACTTTAATTGACATTCTGCTCCCCAGATCAGGTTAACAATCTTATAATCGTCTCGATCATCAAATCTATCCGCAGAATAAACATGTCTTGTGTCATTACCCCATATCTGGAACAGATTTATTTGATTACCTATCTAACCTCATTCTTATCAACTTGGCGTCGGTCCTTATCTTAAGTTATGTAACTATAGGCATGCCATCTCATAGTTTAAATTGGGACCTAGGAAAGGCATAAGTTAGCACGTAAAAGAAAATACAGTTCTTAAGAAACTCTGTTCTTGGTGTATCTTAAGCAAGTGGCTAAATAACATTGAAGCCTTAAATAATTCGGCAGACGCGTTGACTGGAATGGGCGGGCTACGACTCCCGCGAAGTATCGGTTGGATCAAAGTAATTTTTTGTTGTGACTGACCACATGCATGAGCGCAAGAAATGTGGTAGTATTTGAAGCTACATTGTTTCCATACTACCGATGCAGACGTAGGTTGCTTGCGATAGACGCAGTAACGCTGCGCTTTAGTTGGTAAATCTAAACAGTCCTAACGAGAAGTGAAAGAATCTAATGCTCAGTCATGACTGAAGGGGACTGATCACTGCTGGACTGAAGGTCGACGGCTTCAGGATGAGGTATAGAGCGACAATCGAACGGGCCATCCGAGGTGTGTGAATTCAATGTGAAGCTTATTAGTTTCGTGATAACTACGGAAAATGTGTCCTGTCTGGAGCTCGAGGGCAGATCGATTGTGTTTTACATTACCAGGTGTTTTTTTTTTGATTGGAAGTTACAGTGATTCCTACACTTAAAAATGATGATAAAAAAATTACCAAGTGTTTGTGCCGCGTAGAAATGCGATGAATCACGATTCTGCTTAGTTATACCAACAACCAAGCATGATGCTCTAAATATCTCCCCCATTCTGCATTTGTACTGTACGTACGAGTGAAAACGCGACGTGTTGCTCACTACACCCTAACGCGATTGCCCTGGTTACCTTGCGAACGCAACGCCCAAGAAGATTATAGGCAGTTTCCCCGAAGCATATTGAGCATAACTGTTTTACGAGAACTGCTAAAATGACCAAGCGGGCCTCAACTACTCGATGATTTTGCGATTCGCTATTGGCACACTCCCGCGCTGCTTTGGTGTTTCTGTGTTCGTTTCGTAGAAGTTGGAACTCGAAATCTGGAAGACAACTATTACGCAAAATTCCCGAGTGTTGGTTGTGTTTTATGGATGTTTGGACGGACAGTACGAGTAGTAAGACGTTTCGTACAAAATTTCGATATCGATGCCAATTTACAGACATTCAACAGCATTATGGTAGGTGTCTTCAACTTGACTAGAGAGCATGAGGTACACTTGCAGGTAAAGTCGCTCGTGGCTATCGTATACTTTTTGAGCATTTTAAGGATGCATGATGTCATCTTTGGGGGCCATTAACTGCAGATGGGTTAGAGTACTAACAATGCTGTCCTGTAGTGAGCAATTGAGTTCTGCATAAGGTGGTGGAATTCTGATTCCATTGCCCGTAGAAGGCTAGTGCATTCTGTACGGTGCGTTCGTGGATGACAAAGTCAGGCATTAATTTTGCCACACCAAGAAGTATCAGATATTAGTAACGGAGTGTGCAGAAACTATGCAGTTTACATAAGGCTTTTCAATAAGCTGCGATGATCTCGCGGAAATCCACTGTATGTGAAACTCTTAATTCAGTAAGAATTCGGGGAATGGAATTCGTGATCAACCGTTTTGAGGGCGGAGTTCCGCGACTATATACGAGCTTGATCCACATGTGCACTTACCCGGTATGCACGTGACAACTCTTGATGCGACCCTATGAAGTATATAATTGCCTTTCCCAAGCATTTTGATGAACACAAACATCAAATTCATTTGCCTATAATACCAGCAATCAAGTAATTAAGCAATCGCCACACAATTGAACGCAACACTTGTTCGACCATGGCCTACCCAAAAACCTACCGCGCTTTCCGTAGGACCAAAACACCATACCCTCGCACAATCGAGCTGCATGAGGAGACTTTGCCCGATTCTTTGTCTTCGCATGATGTTGTCATTCGCATTCATGCAGTCTCCTTGAATTATCGCGACAAAGCTATGCTAGAGGAGGGACGCTACCCAGCACATGTGCGAGACGGCGGCATACCTGCGTGTGATTGTGCGGCAGAAGTCGTAGCAACTGGTCCACAAGTCTCAGAATTTGCAGTCGGAGACCGAGTATCTGTGACTCCGGCTCTTTCTCTGATAACAGGCGCGGAAAGGGATCAAGAGGCAACAGCTATGGGTGGAGATTCGACTGGCGTTTTGAGGGAGTATGCTGTGTTCGAAGAAAAACACCTGGTCAAGATTCCGGATCACCTCTCATGGGAGGAAGCAGCTACAGTCAGTGATTCCTTAGATTCAACTTCAATAGCTAACACATGTAAACAGATTCCAGGTGCTGGTATATCCGCTTGGCGCAGCTTGGATAGCCTGAAGGGACTGACAGAAGGTGCAACTGCCGTCTTACAAGGTAGTTCGAGCCCACCATATATTGGGACGTAGAACTGACCGTGATACAGGTACTGGTGGAGTCAGCATGTACGCGCTTCTCATCTGTCTAAGCGCAGGTATTAGGCCAATCATCACGTCTTCCTCGGACGAAAAATTGGCAAACATCCTGAAGCTAGACCCCAGAATTGCGGGAATAAACTACAAGACGCACCCAGACATCACTGCCGAGGTTTTGCGGATCACACAAGGCAATGGTGTCGATTACGTTGTGAACAATGTCGGCCTCTCGTCCGTCCCTGAGGACATCAAGTCACTGCGCAAGTGGGGCGGGTCAATTGCCTTAGTCGGATTTCTGGAAGGGTTCAAAGCTGGCTGGCCATCCGAAGTTCTCTTCCAGTTGCTCGAGAAAGCAGCTAAGCTTCAGTATGTTAACAACTCTTTCTTCTATAGCGTGCTCGGAAATGATTGCTAACCTTACACAGGGGTATTATGATAGGCTCCAGAATCGATCTTCAAGAGCTGAACACATTCATCGGGGAGAAGAAGATTCGCCTCGACACTTTGATTGATCGTACATTTGCATTCGAAGACTCGGCAGCTGCCTTAGACTATCTCTGGACAGGATCGCACGTCGGGAAGATCGTAATCAAGATTCCTTAGATTCGTGGGTGATGTGATCTGCTTGTGGTAATGCAAAGGCGATGTTTTCAATATCTTGCAGAGATGAGACATTGCCACACTGGATAATCAAACGACGAATTGCACCCCCCTCATGATTGGTTTATAGGTTGGACTAGAATACAATATAAAAGACCGTTTGGCCAAAAATTGACACTGCAGCAGGCTTGTGAGTTCTCTCACACAGTGCTCACGATCAAGATATTCAGGGAAGGCCAACATCACTAAAGGCCATGATCATGACATCCTCAAGGGCTTACCCCGCATTTTGGCCCTTGGTCCGTATTAACGGAAGCTTGCACCGTATGGAGGAGAATAAATCTTAATCTCCCGCTACGTGACACTAAGCCACTACGCGAGTCCATCGCCGGCTTAGTATAATCCTATTCGCGGATATAAAGAAAGGATGTTGCTGCATTGCTAAGTGGCTGTAATTCTAGATTGCATCTTCTAAAGTTTTCTATGATGAGCGGCACCCCCTCTAATGTTTGTCCCTTGGGGCATCATAAAATTCAGAGTATCAACAATGGAAAGATTGCGAACGGGACTATCAAAGCCGGCGGAGGGAATAAGCTTGCTCCCGGGAGCTACATAAACTGGAATGCTAAAGGGGTTGAAAAGATATCTGAGGGAGAGGCAAAAGACATACAGGAAGCTGCGGACCAGTTCAATCGATTTCAGATGATGAACTTCAATGAGCACATGCACTGCTTGAGAGGCACACACCTCAAGACACAAGGGGTATGTTCCAACAGCATGGAAATCGACTATTCTGTGCTGACCTCCTCCATGTGCGTGATGGGGAAGTTTATAGTTCATGGAAATCTTCCATCGCACCTCGCACAGGGAATGTTTGCAAAGCCGGGAACGTACGACATGATCATGCGTTACTCTTCGCTCACCCCGAAAATAGTCCCTGATAACGTGCCTGCACCGCGCGGTATTGGAATGAAGATTTTCGGAGTAGAGGGCGAAAAATTGTGGGGCGAAGACAAGAAAACACAGGACTGGACGTTCAACAATTATCCTATTCTTGAATTGCGGAACCCAAAGACGACCCTTGAGATCGCAGATGCCCTGGAAAGGAACTGGAATGACATACCGAAATTTGCCGAAGAGCAAGCCAAACGCGTTGATGCCGATGTTGCAACTCTTGGGTCACAGCTGCCCCGCCAACACAGTAAGTAAAATGCCAGCCTCAAGTAACACATGATGAGATCGACAGTGGTCGCCATGCCCGAATATTCTCAATCCGCCTACCGATTTGGAGAATATGTTGCGAAGTTCGGCGTCTTCCCGCTCGGCGAATCCCAACTCAAGCTTGAAGACAGCGAGATTGAAGATTCGGATCCAATCAACATCATATCGCAAGAGTTACGGGAATTTCATTTGAAGCAAAAAGTCACGTATTCTTTCTGTGCGCAGCTTTTGCAAGATCTCGATGAGCAGCCGGTCGAAGATATTGGTACGTATTCTCAACAATAACACTTTTTCGATAAACACACTCTAGCGGTGTAGCACTCCGACAGCATAATTCATGCTGCCTCTGCTGAAATTGACTTCTAGGTATTGAGTGGGATCCCGAGAAGTATCCATTTGAGCAGATTGCAACGCTCGAGTTTCCTCCCCAGGATAGTTGGCTGCCAGAATTCAGAACATGGTTAGTAGTTCTCATCTCAAATGCCACCTCAAAGACCGAGCACGACTGATTGTGTGCATTAACAGGTGGGATGACCGAATCACCGTTAATAGCTGGCATGGCTTGAAAACACATCAGCCACTTGGAAGTACGAATAGGATGCGGAGAGTTGTTTATGCAGAGAGCAGAAAACTGAGACTGAGAGTTAATGGTTATAAGGACTACGTGGAACCTGCAAATCTCAACGACGTGCCATGCCCAGTCCCTGCTCCAACTCTGCAACTCAGGTACCCAGACGCCACGCAGACCGTTGCAGTGTTGTGAAATCATCTACTCTCGGGCAAATCAGATTTTACTCTGGCTAGGACTGTGACTTTGGTTTACTCCATGTAGCATATCGAAATATAGTTTGTGTTCATCAATCCATGAATCGCATCGTGGGTGTGGGCGTGGGTGTCATAGTGAGGTGGGTAGGAGTTGATGGAAGATTGAAGTGGAAAGCCTTGTAAGAACTCTGCTGTAGCTTTTTTTATAGCAAGGGGAACAAGCGTACTATAGTTCTATTCTTTAACCTTAACACCACATATATCTAAATCTTTTGCATCTCTACAAGGTTGTTGGGACGTCGTATACGTCACTACGTCGCATGCGCAGTCAATGGATCGCATGTGTGAGACTAATCACGTGATCGGAATCCTGTACTTGTATCAGAGGTACAGCTATCATCAGCCCCACGGATTAGTATAACCAGTATGTACATACTAAAAACATGGCTATTATAGTCGGCATTATCTCATCAAGTTAGACTGCACTCGAATCTGGTACGGAGCGGCTCGATAATCGCCCAGCATGATGTTAGGCACTGGCTATGGTACGTGCACCAGGCAGCCGTCCACCGAGCGGCCGTCCACTATTTTGCGCCCTTCCGACGCCGCCATCTCATTGCCAGATCCACCCCACAACAGCAGCAGTCTTACTGCGGCGTCACTACGCCCTCGATGATTCGATCTCCTACACTGTATCCAGCGAGCACTATATGCCATTTAAGCCCACAATTCTGCAGGATCAACCGCGCCGCCTACTTTTAGGCGGCGATCCGCTACCAGTACAATAAGGGCGCACCGCCATTGTACTCTGATCGACAAAGGGCTGCAGCCACGAGCTGCAAATGTATAAATTTGTTCGGCATCCACCCATCATGTTGCGCACCAATACCTTGTATTCCTCCTCATCCATCAATCGGCATTGGCGGCTCCCCACGACTGCCTCACTACAAGTCCCGATTGTCTTTCGGCCGCCGATTCATCTTAGATCAAATAACTTCGTGCTCAGCATATCGCGCCAGAGTCATTCGTCCGCCCAGAAAAACATGCCTGTACCTGCATTATCCACCCTTCAACATGTTACCGAGAAGAAGCTAAACAAGCTTGCGCGCCACCAACAAAACTTTGAATCGGAAAAACAGTCAATCCTGAGGGATGTAGCGGCGACCGATGATCCTAGAGGCAAGGTGCAGGCGCTTCTGGAAGGCTTCAAGAGGTACGGTGTGAAGCCAAGATCGCCCACTCTTTCTACAAAAAATCTCGAGATCTTTGTCCGTCAAGCGGAGCACGACCCATCCGTATCGGCAACTCTTTTGAGCGATTGGCAACGCAGGCTCGAGCATGAACTGGATATATCCAGCGCCAAGTACGATTACACGGCCTTGTTTGGAAGACTCGTCATGGAATGGATCAAAAACCCCAACCCAGCAACTTCAGGGCATGGAGAACGTTCTACGACTAGCGACTCAGACTCTGAGACTAGCGGAAGTTTCGATACAATCGGACGCAAGGAAATGCATGAGCAGCGAAAAGAGTGGGAAAGTTATGCATTTGTGGAGCGCAAGGTCGATGAAGCCAAGATCGAGTCTTACCTCACAGACATTTTCACATCCAAACGAGAGTACATTGTTGAAAAGTCCCCTCTAGAGAAGATAAGACATCAGCTACGATATGTTATGGACTTCAAATCCGATCTGAAAACTCCGGAACCAAACGACGGAACAAAACCTCCAGTCCCGGCTGAGAATGAGTACCGATTTACGACAGAGAAACTCAAGTCTTGCATCAAGGGTGTTCTGAACTCGGACCTCCTCGCTGGAAAAAAAAGGCAGGCGTTGGTCGACCTTCAAAGTCAACCCGAAGTGCTAAAAGAACTTGTTGTTGTCTTGAATATGGATTTGGAGGAGTTGGACGAATGGGAATGGGAACCAACACCCGTTCCACTCTTTATGAGGCGCCAACTCAACGGGAAGTACCGTGTCTACATGGACGAGGAAACCCACCAAGCAATACTATTGCACTTTATCGGCAAAATCTGGAGTACCGCAGTGAAGAGTGCATTCACCTCATTCGCTCATTCCAGCGAGTGGAAATATGCCGCCCGTTCGATCATGGGAGTGCAGTCTCGAGAACGACGAAAGTATTTCCTGGATGAATCCCAGAGCACTCGTGACCCGACCCGAATCATTCGACGTAAACAGTACTGGGATGAGTACTTCATGTTGCAGTTGCCTGAGCACAGCTTTGAGGATGTTCGAGACTATAATGCCGAGGACCAGAAGTCTCAACCGGAGAAATCGCCTTTCACAACAAAGCAGAATATGCTGCGTCTCCTCACCACCGAGATGCTCCTCAACAAGAAGTTGTACGGTGAATTCACAGTTGTACAGTCCGACTTCAAGTGGTTCGGGCCCTCGTTTCCTCATGCGACGATCTTCACGGTGTTGAAATTTTTCGGCGTTCCAGAAAAATGGCTGCGCTTCTTCAAGAAGTTCTTAGAGGCCCCCGTAGTTTTCGCGCAGGACGGACCGAATGCTGAAAGCCACGTACGAAAGTGTGGAATCCCAATGTCTTACGTCTTGAGTGACGTGCTTAGCGAGGCTGTCCTGTTCTGCCTTGATTTTGCCGTCAACAAGCGAACACAAGGAGCAAACATTTATCGATTCCATGACGACCTATGGGTCTGGGGTCAAGAGACAACCTGTGTTGAAGCATGGGATGCCATTCGCCTTTTCACCCATATAATGGGTTTGAACCTAAACGAGGAGAAGACCGGGGCAGCATTGGTATTATCACGAGCAGAAAAGCGGGACGTACACCCCAGCCTCCCCCAAGGAAAAATAAAATGGGGATTTCTATACCTCGATGCTGCCGCCGGTCGCTGGGTAATCGATCGCGCTCAAGTCGATGAGCACATTGAAGAACTACGGCGTCAACTCTCAGCCTGCCGCAGTGTAATGGCATGGGTTCAAGCATGGAACAGCTATGTTAGCCGTTTTTTCCGGGCCAACTTTGCTGATCCAGCGAATTGCTTCGGGCCAAAACACAACGAGATGATCATTGCAACATTCAAACATATACAAAAGAGATTATTCACGGAAATGGGCGCTACCAATGTCACCGACCATCTCCGCAGCCTTCTCAAGCAGCGGTTCGACACAGACGACTTTGTGCCTGATGGATTTTTTTACTTTCCAGTTCAACTCGGTGGCCTTGGAGTGCGCAATCCGTTTATTGATGCCTTCGCGACATCCAAAAAATCATTTCGCAACGGCGAGGACCAGATCGAACGTGCCTATGAGCTGGAACACGAACGCTACAAACAACTCGAAGAACTTTGGAAAGAGGGCAAACTTGGACAGAACCAGATCACCCGCAAAAATCTACCCAAAGATGCGTCTAACATCGAGAATGAACCGTTTATGAGTTTCGAGGAGTACATCAGATATCCAGAGGAGACATCGTCATATGTCGCTTTAGCTTACGAGCGGCTCATGAGGTCTCCAGAGGAAGAGATTATTGAAGCGTCCGCAGAAATGCTCACAGCTATTCGGAACCTGGGTTTGACTGACACAACGTACTGGAGATGGATCCACAACTTGTATGTGGGTGACATGAAGCAGCGCTTTGGAGACCAGGGGCTTCAACTCGGAGAACGTGATCTATTGCCTCTGGGGCTAGTAGATATGTTGAAAAGTGAAAAGGTCCGCTGGGAAGGTTGACGAGAGAACGAACACAAATCGAGCCTCATGAATTTGTAATACACAGCAGGTGTGATGAAAGTGAATTTTAGAAACTCAACTTCTGTACAAAACTGTTAGATACCCCACTTAGCATTACTATAGAAACAATAAACCCCTATCTTCAATATAGAGATACGTTTTGTTCAATTTCCCACTTACTCATATAAGAAGAGTTATTCATACTCAGACTAACTAGAGGTATAGAATTTCCGTTGCTAAAACTAGATAAGTTCAACTGTATACTATCATAGGTGCAATGCATTACATGTATGCAGCAAAGTCCCTTCGGCATCACACATGACCACCTGTCGTGGTGAGTCTATACAGTGCAGCGTGTGCGTCCTGGGCACAGTCTATGGGATACCGTTATCGAAATGATAAAGCGCAGCTCGGATGACGGACTGGGCGGCGTGTGCTTTATTCAGGATAGCAGATGACGAGATGAAATGTCGACGAAATGGAAGAGTGACATTTTACATACACAACAGTGAATTTCGATCGAATGCGCTGACATGGGGCTCCCGGCGCGTACCGGGACCTCTTGGAACATGCATCATTGCTTTCGGACTAGCATGGATAGTACTGGCAATCTTTTTTTATCTTTGACCCGGATAGACTGTCGTAAACGCAAAAACTATGAGCTTCAGCCCACTAATAGCGGGATATTGGTTCATGTTTGGCGTTGTGGTTTATGTTACTTTGGGAAGAAGGTACGTATGCTAGTTTATCTATCCAATTACAATCTTGATTAATACAGAGCATTTATAGCACTGAAAAGGTCCAATTCTTGAGACATGGAGAATCATAAAGAATTTTTATGAGATAATGCAAGTCGTTTGTCTGCTGTGGGAGGATCTATGGATCTAAGAACCTGTTTTAGAGGCATGCCTCCATTGTAAAAAAATGAATAGCTAGCAGAGTACATGAATTTACTCGGATTAGATTACTTTTACGAGACTATGATTGACTCACCCAAGCTAAAAGCTCGCTTATTTACGCTAAACCTATTTAAAGAAATTCAAAAAAATTTAACTTTGTACGTAGTAAGTAAAGAAAAAAATATATATTATAACTCTTTTAAATAGATTTTTAATAACTCTAACTTTAGCCCTAACTTTAGGCTCTAACCCTAGGCCCTAACCCTACTATTATATATAAAAAAAATTCTATATTATAAATAGTTTATTATTATTAAAATAATATTTAAATAATACTGCTGTAACATCGCCGCATAAGAGTTAGTATTAAAGAGGATTAATATTGCTAAGGCGCTACTAGTTAGTGTAGGCAGCTTAGTAAAAGCACATAAAAGGCGCACCTAAGGCACTAAATAAGGATAAGTGTTATTCTAAACTATTAGAAGAAAATACTTTTTAAAAAAAGCTATTTTTTACTATTACTAGTAGTGTAAAGCAAGTACTATTGCCTATAACTACGCCTTACATAATAACACTTCTTAGTAAATAGCTAGAGATAGCTTCTTTAACCTAATCTTAGTAGCAGGCTTTTAACTGTAGAAGCCTAGAGCTTAAAAGAAGAGACTTTATAATAGTTACTACTGCTATAGATGCTCTTAACCTTATAGGCGCACTTACTATAATAGAGTAGCATATTTAGGCTGCTAAAAAAAAAAGAAATGCTTTTTTAGCAGCCTATTACCTCTAAGAGCTAAAAAACAAGATTGCCCTTTTAAAGGGTGCTACGCTAGCTCTATTTATAATAAACTTTACTATAAGAAAGATACTTAAAGTAAAGGTAACAGGTTAGCGCAAGCAAAATGCAAGCAGCTTATTACACTACGCGCTAGCAAAGTAAAGTCTAAAAATAAAAAACTTTGCAGACTATAAGAAAAAGAATTATAAAAAATATTAGAAGTTCTTTTACTTTTATAAACTAGCGTTTAGACTTACTCTTTATAAATTTGTATAAAAAGGTAATTAGATTGCTTAGGCTATGCAGTACTTATAAAGAGACCTAAAAAAGCTTTAGTACGCATATTATAAGTATATATTAAAAAAAAACAAGGCAGCGTTAACTTAGAAGTACTTTTAGACATTTATGCTAGACATACTTTTAAACTCTATTAACTAAAGCTTAAAAGCATTTATAGCGCACGCGTAGGCTATGCAATATAAAAACTAAAGCGTTTACTCTTTTGCAACCTACCTTAGCATTCTAAAAAATTAACTTACTCTTTATATAAAAGCTTAAAAGGTGTAATATTTATTTATAAAACTAAAACTAGAGTTGCAGCGCTCTATTACTAACTATTACTAAATTTTTTTAACATAAAAAGGCCTTATCTTATTAAGTTTAATGCTAAAATAAAATAACTAGCGCATAAGCAACGCGCACTTGTAAAACAACTATAATAAAGAAAAGAAAATTATATAAAAAAAAATAAAGGAAAAAAAGCTCTATTACCTAATATTAGCTTTAAAAAATAAGTTTTAAATTACCTGCTATAAGTGCAAGAAGCAAAGTTATTATGCTAATAAGTATTAAAATAGTAACTTAAACTGCAAGCCTATAGAAATTAATTAGGCAGAAAAAAGACACGCTTTACTAAAACTCTAGCTACAGTAAAGCGTGTGCTACTAGATATTTTACTAGGCATAAAGCGCAGGTGTTACGCAATAAAAGCAACATTAAAAGAATAAAAACTACTTTTTATTCTAGACCCTTAAGCTAATGTTAGCCTTATTAGTTAATAAGTAGCTATTAAGATAGAACTGCAACTAATAGAAAGAGCAGATCTTTTATAGTTAGGCTAGATTAAGTTATAGTATTAAAGCACCTACGCTGCTTATGCGCTTTAGTTATAACTTTTAAATAACTAGTAGGTGCAATGCTAAACCTATGCTATAGTTTATAAAGTTAATAAAAAAAAGGTACTTCTTCTTTTAAGTAACCTATTTTTAAAAAAAAAGCAATTAGCTTTAACTGCAGCACTTAAACATAGAGGTAGAAGTATATAGCTAGAAATATCTAGCTTATTTCTATTAAAGAATATTTAGAAAACGTTAAGTAGGCTAGCATAGAGCTATATTTACTAGAGGTGTTATAAATAATAGTTATATATATAGAGTACACTGCTAGCATCTACACTGCAGGTATAGCGCACACTTTTTACATCTCTAAGCTACTTTAAAACTATATAGATGTTTTTAATAAAGTTAAAGCATTAGAGCTCTTATTATTTAAAAGCTCTAATTATAAGATTTTTATTATAGAAGAGAAGGAGCCTCTTTATAGCCTGCTATACAGCTTGTTAGAACGTAAGCTCTAGGTGCTCTGTAAATACTTAGAAACTGCTTTATAAAAAGAATAGATTTAGTATAGCACTAGCCTAGCAGGGGCACTTATTCTTTTTATTTTTAAAAAAGATAGAAAATTACAACTGTGTGTAGACTACTAGGGTCTTAATATAGTAACAGTAAAAGATTGTTGCCTGCTACTACTTATTAGAGAGATATTAAACTGCTTGTTAGGCGTATGTTACTATATAACTCTAAATCTTAAAGACGCTTACTATTAATTGCAGATTAAGGCGGGGAATAAGTAGAAGACAGCGTTCTAAATAAAATATAGCTATTTTAAATATCTTATAATGCTTTTTAGCCTTACTAACGCTTTTACTAGTTTTTAAGCTTATATTAATAATGCTTTAAGAGAATATTTAGACTATATTTGCGTAGTATATTTTAATAATATACTTATTTACACTTATAATATAAATATTGCAATTTACTAGCACGCAGTATATGCTATACTTTAATCTTTTAAAAAAGCAAAATTATTTATAAATCTAAATAAGTGCACCTTTGCTATAGATAAGGTTTATTTTTTAAGTTTTATAGTTACTATGCGCGGTATATGCGCTAATCTTAAGCGCGTATAGATAATTACTAAATAGCTGCTGCTAACAAATATTAAGCAGCTACAGTTGTTTTTTAGCTTTGCTAACTTTTATAGAAGGTTTATTACAAAGTATGTAGTAAAGACAATACTTTTTATAAAACTATTAAAAAAAAGCTAAAAATTTAAATAAGGTAAAGAAGCTTAAGAGTATTTTAAATTGCTTAAAACGCTTTTTACAAGTGCGCTTATTCTGCACTATTTTAAATTAAAGCGCTAAATACGCATTAAAATAGATGCTTTAAATTTTGCTATATTAGGCATTCTTTCTTAACTTTTTAAAGACGCTAAGTAGCATCTAGTTGCTTTTACTTTTAAAAAGCTTTAAAAAGTAGAGCTTAACTACAAGGTCTATAACTAAGAACTTTTAGTAATTATATTTAGCTTTAAATAATAGTAATATTACTTAGAAGGTGCGCAGCACACTATTAAAGTTCTATTTAATTATAATAACTTACGCAGCATACGCGCTATATAAAAACTAAACTCTTATTAAGCACGCTAGGCAATATACCTAAGTACTTTTAACTTTAAAGTTAAATATTAGTAAGAGAAGAATAACCTTGCTAATAGCCTATTGCAAAGGGCAGACTACAAGTAGTAAAATAAGTTCTTAACTTGCTTGCTTCTAATACTCTAGAATAAAATACTTGTAAAAGTAAATTAAAGTAAAGTTGCTAGAATTACGCGTAGGTAAAGCTTAAAAAGCGTAGGTGTAAAGCATATACTCTAGAGCAGTATTACAGAACGCAAATGTGCTACTAGTACTATAGAAAGCCTTTTATGCGTACTACGCTTACTAGCTAGAGTTTTAGTTAGTAGTAAACTTATAATAGTAAAAAAAAATTTAATATCTAAAGTACTATATTAGCTCTAACAAGGGAACGCTTTTACATAAAAGTAAATAGCAGCCTTAAAGTAAAGAAAAAACACTTAAAGCTATAGAGAGGCGTAAGCATAGCGCTTTAATAAAAATAAAGTTCTAAGGTATAATAGCAGAATGTACATTTTAAAAGATATAGCTATTAGGCAAAAAATTATAATACAGTATTATAATACGTATATAGCTAGCTACTTTAGCGCACGCTAAACGTAAGAGTCTATTAGCTAGGTCTATTATTAGCTATTTTTAAACTAAGATGTTAAGAAGTACGTTAAGACTTGCGTAATTTATTAAAAAAGTAAAGCTTTAAGACACTAAAAATATAAAAAGCTAAGTTCTTTACCTATTTTGCAAAATATATTTAAAGAAGTTTCTTTAAATTTTGTTACAGAGTTTTCTTTAGCAAAGTAAAAAGAGTATAGAAGCTGCGCTTATAATGCAGTTTTAGTAATTATAAACTATTTTTTAAAGATAGCTATCTATATTTCTACTTTAAAAACATAGAACGCTAAGCAATTTGCTAGCGCATACTTTAAAAACGTAATACTTATATACAGCGTCTAGAAAGAAATTATATTAAACAGGGGCACAATTTTTACTTCTTAATTTTAGATAAAAATCTACTATTAGCTTTAGGTAAAGCGCAAGTTAAGCACAAGCTTCTATTTTTAAACTAATAGCTAAACTAAACGCTAAAACTAGACTTTAGAACAATACTTATAAACCTTTATAATAGACGCCTAAACAGACTAGGTAAATTAGCTAAAGCTAGCTTAATTTGCGTATAATAACTTAATTTATAACTTTATAAAAATAACCCCCTTTTACGCTGTATATAAAAAGTATCTACTTTTTAACAACTCTCTTAGGGACAGCAGAGCTAAGAAAAAGATACTAAAGGTAAAAAATAGAGTAAAGCGCATGCATAATATAAAAAAAAAGCTAGTAGAGCAGCTTTAAAAAGTGTAACAGTACTAAGCTAAGTACTATAATAAAAAGCACAGACTAGAAATCTTCTACTAAAGTAACCTAGTATTACTTAGTATAAAAAACATTAACTTTACCTATTAACTAAGTAAAAAACTATCTAGTAAGTTTATAAAGCCTTTTAGAGTAAAACGCGTAATTAAAACGCAGGCTTACTGCTTAATGCTTCTACCTTACTATTATATTTATAATGTCTTTTACATTTTTCTTCTAGAACGCTAAAAACCTAGGCCTAGTTAAAAAGAATTAAATACCTAACTACTTAATATTAATTTAAAAGAAGAAGAACTTTAAAAGGCAGAAAAAATCCTAGAAAAAAGAACTTATAAAGAGAAAATTTAGTACCTTATCTATTAGAAAGAATATAATAAAACTTAAAATAGCTAGGTACTAGAGTTAGATTTTAGAAATATGTAAAAGTTAGTAAAAAAATTTAAAAAAGAGAAAAGAGCACTATAGCAAAAGCGCAAGTAGAAAGCATAAAAGACATTTTTGTTATTAAAGAGAAGAGCAAGCCCTAGAAAAGCTATTATATATAGATAGGAAAAAATCCTCTACTCTTTATTCTTGCCTACAATTTTATTCTTGCCTACATTTTTATTATTATTATCTTTATTTTTACTTTTAGCTAGAAAAGAAACACGCGCTATAGCTGCGCTATTAGCGCAACTGCTATAAGCTAAACTACTGCTATTATGCCGTGCTATGGCTCTTTTCCAACTCGTAAGCTATCAACAGGTTCAATCACTCACTCACCTCAAATACCCTCTGAGAACTGTCTCCTTACAGGTCCGTAGCGATAAATAGGCTGAGCAAGCTGACAACTCTTGTCACCGTGCTACGCAGATAGGAAGCAAAGACCACAACTAGTGTCACAATAGATCTCAAACGTAGGATGGTTTTTCACACTCTGTATATTCGACATCTCTCTATGTTAGGTGCTTCTCCTCCTTATATACCACATAAGAAGCAGCTATCCTAGGTTGCCCTGCACTCCTGTTGCTTCAGCTCATCAAACTGAGACCGGAGAGAGCTCTTCCTTTGTCTCAATACCTAGCTTCTTCCTTGTACATAGGAAAAGCAATGGCGACAGCCAGGTAGGTGCCTGTGGGCACGTACAACTATCATTCAGTACACCTAAACAATCAGTCTATCTAATGGCAACTGAGTGCCCGCAGAGTAACAAAAGAAAATTTTGTAATGGGTGTCCTGCCACGGCACACTATAACTACTATAAGCACTACCTTAATTTTTTTAAAAACCTCTAGTAGAGGCGGCAGTCTAGTTAGCATTGCTATTATTATTATTAGAAGAAAAAGAAAAAGAAAAAGAAGATTTATTTAAAGATAAATCCTTATTATCTATACTAGAATAATTTATCTATAAAGCAATTAGCATGCGTTTAAAGTGCGCACTAAAGGTAAATATATAATAAAGCTTATAAAACTAGTAAGCTGCTTTAAAGCAGCAGTAATATAGCGCTGCTTAATAAGAACTAAACTTAAGTAATTAGTAGTAAAAGTAGAAACTTAAGTAGGTAAACTTATAAAGGTACTAGAGTAAGCAGCTTAATAGTAGAAAGCTAAAAGCTTTAAATTAAATTAACGCTGCGCAAGCGCAAGCTTTATACTATAATAGTGTACTATAACATTTGTGCAAAAGGCAGCAGCAGCTTTAATAGCTTTATTATATTAATAATAAAGCTAATATAGATAATTAACATAGCTGTTAAAGCGTATAAGCTTATAATAATTAGTAAAAGCGCAGGTAAAGCAGACGTCTAAGAATCTTACTAAAGTGCACTAGCTCTAGTTGTTTTTAAAGCAATAGCTATAATAATAATATTTTTTCTTCTAGTAAAGTTTCTTTTAGCTAGTAATGTTCTAAGCGCAGCGTAGGCAAGTTGCTACTTAAGTAATATAGTTAGCACGCTTATTTTTATTACTCTAAGTAAAGAGAGCTGCATTATAGAAGTAAGATTTTTTAATATACTTAAAAAGCAAATAGTAAACTATATTAGTAAGTGTTAATAGTGCAAGAGAGGTGCGCTAAGCAAAAAAAAGTAGAAAGTAAAAAAGATAATAAGTAATAAGGCAAAACAACTAATAATAGAAATATAAATAACTTAAGCAGGCTAGCACTAAAACTGCGTAATTTAACTTTATATTAGATTTTTTAAAGTAGTAAATAATAATAAGTAGCTATACTTGTTATACGCTACGTGCACTAACTATATACTTAAATAATAACTAGCGCTACACACATGCGCACGTACGCATACTATATAAATAAGTTTTATATAAAGGGACTATAAGGTAAGGCTGCTAGAAACGTTAGCTAAAAGGAAAGGTTTTATAACATTACTGCATAAGAGTTAGTATTAAAAGAGATTAATATTACTAAAGTGCTACTAGTTAGTGTAGGCAGCTTAGCAAAAGCACACAAAAGGCGCACCTAAAGCACTAAATAGAGACAAGTGTTATTCTAAACTATTAGAAGGGGATACCTTCTAAGAAGAGCTATCTTTTACTATTACTAGTAGTGTGAAGCAAGTACTATTGCCTATAACTACGCCTTACAACTGCGATGGGATGTAGTTCGCATTTAAATAAAAATAGAATAAAAAAATCAGCTTATAAGGGTGTAGCCGAGGTTAATTTTGCTAAGCGAGATTTTAGCTTGGGTGAGTTAGGTAAACCCTCTACTTTTACGCTTTGAAAGAAGTATTCGGTGCAGCAAAATTGTAAACGAGTAAACGAGTAAACGAAGAAGCCTTAAAATACTAATTGCTGCCTTGGTGAGCTGGAATTGGCAAGTTTCGGGCCAAGAGGGTGAGATCTCATATAGTACTAGCGTCCCCGACGCACCTGCTGCCCATAATAAACGCCGTCTTTCTCCACCTCGCCTCAACGAATATGCCGAATCTGAATATGCCGAGCAACAGAACTCGTGCTGTGCGCGTTTGCGAGTACTGCCACAGCCATAAAATCCGATGTGATCTGGACACAAAACATGACGAATGCTCCAATTGTAGTGAACGTGGCGAGTTGTGCAAGATTCGCACAAGGAAGCTCTACAGGTAAACCTCGTATTCCCTCGCGATACGTTCGCGCATTACTAACCATGGGCCTAGCTCGCGCGTTCGAACTGCTCGCCGCGACAATGATATAGAGCATGTGAATCATGAGGAGGGGTTGGAGGGAGCCCCCACACCCACGGGGTAAGTATATTGAGATGCGGTGAGATTGAAGCGTAGGCTTTGCTGACTTTATCAACCTCTTATAGGTCAACTGTGAATCCCGTCGAATTAGTCGCAACATGTTTCCCGGCACCGAGTTCAAGGGTCATACCCATATTCGTCGGCAACGGTGATTACGGTGCGATAATCTCAAGCACGGCCAAAACCAATGAGCGACACTTCCACGTCCCTGTGCCAGCAGAAAACACTCTTGCCCCCGAAGATCTCCAATATCTTAAGCTGAAAGGATGTTTCACGCTGCCCCCCGAAAGCTCGGAACTGATCACCGCCTACTTTCGATTCGTGCATCCAATCTTCCCAGTCATAGACGGGACCTCCTTCCTGCATGAATACAATGCGCACGGCGTTAGCGGTGTGAATTTGCTTCTTCTCTGGAGCATGTTTTCTGTCAGTGCGAGTTTCATTCCGACACTAGACAGAAAACAGTGCAAGGTGAAATATTCGTATCGCGCGAAGCTACTTTTCGACCTCAGCGAGGAAAGAGACAAAATCGTTCTAATACAGTCTGCCCTTTTGCTGAGCTTCTGGTTTGCCGACTTTGAGGATGTGAAACAGTCGTGGTACTGGACGGGCGTGGCCTTCGCAATCGGGCAGACTCTGGGCATGCACCGTGATGCCAAACAGGTCCTAGGAACAACTGGATCTGAAAGGAGCTCGGCTTTATGGCGCATCGTATGGAAATGCTGTATGATCCGCGATGTTTGGCTGGCTTTCACCATGGGCAGACCAATTCGTATCAACAGTGCTGATTGCGATCCGTTTCCACGCGAGGATCCTTCGATACATTTCAAAGACCTAACGTTGCATGGCGAAGTACTCTACACTCCCGAAGAAGCAGTAAAGATAGGAAGATTGTGGCAGAGTTTCTGTACAGCTGCCGACGTTTTACGCGAGAGTTCCACCAAAATATTGTCACCGTCGCGAGTCAAGCTTTTAAAACTGAGGTTGGAGGACGAGATCAAAGTTACCACATCGGCTGATTTTACGCATATCAGTTGGCATTGCCGGCTTCATCATTACGTTGCACTGATCGCCCTTGCGCGTAACTCGAAAGCACAAGGCGACATAAGAAACCTGTCGGACAGCATCACAGCTACTATACAGGAGTATTCTGCAGAATCGCCACTGATTATGCCCGCACCTTTCATCATACCACTCGTGGTTCCTGCGTTGATATCGTATTTTCACGGCTTATCATCAGCTGACCCGGGAAAGATGGAGGCATACGGCCAAATTGACATATTGCTTTCTTTCTTCGATGCGAATAAGGACAATTACCCTGCGGCAGGAAATCTCCATCGCGTGTTCACCACATGGCGAAATACCATGCAAGCTCAAACAACGAGTCTGCCGGCGCGGGATGTGCTGCACTCTATCCCAACGAATCAAATGCAGTTTCCTGAGAACTCGCCTTGGTTTGGGAGTCAATTGTCGTGGCCTGGACAAGGATCATCGCCGGCTTCCAACGGATCTAGTGATATACAGTAAAATCATATTTGATTTCTCCTAAATTGTCTAGAACAATCTCAAAATCGCTTGTGATATAAAGCAATGATCTGTGCGCAAGCCAATCGCGGGGCTGTTTACTCGGTGCTCGGTACATTCGGAACATTCGAATGCCACAATCAAACGCGCGTTAAATGATTTGCACCTAAGAGCAGCACCGCGTCATCCAACATAGACTAGAAATTGTCAGACGTCAAGCGTGGATGGTTTTAGTGACTCAATCTCCGTCGTTTATTTCGCATTGCAGGCTACCCAGGATGGCGCAGTGTTTGCTAGACGCGAATTCTCGATAGTAAGCTATCAATATGAGTCTACTTATATACAGCAAGTAGACAAATCCAGATCATCTCTGCCTTAGAATCGAATCGTTCACAAATTCTTCTTCTGAGAAATCAATTGACATGAAATTCCATAATTTGCTAGGACGGTGTATCGTCCCAAGCATTGTCCTGCTTCCAGCGTCCGCACAATCAGCTCATGATCTTCTTGATGCTGTACTAAACCCCTCCCCAGAGTCACTACACTATTCGTCCTACTCTTCCGCAATCTATTTCAACGCTACGCTTTTCAACCAAACGCCAGTAGCTCCCACGAACTACGACAGACTCGAAGCATCTGCTAAGGAGATCCTGCCTCGAAATGCTTATGACTACGCAGCAGGAGGAGCTGGTCTTGAAAAGACAGTTGCGTCCAACCGTCAAGCCTTCGACCAGGTAACGTATTCCACATCTCCCACCTCTCTACATCATATTAACTGTCCTTTGAAGTGGAATATACTTCCACGCGTGATGCGCCCCGTTCTTCCCGCCCGCAACCTTAGCAGAGTAATCTTCAATCGCACGCTTCCAGCGCCAATCGTTATGGCACCCGTGGGAGTCCAAACGCTCTTCCATCCAGACGGCGAACGCGCTACATCCAAAGTTTTCGGTGAAGAAGGGCTTCCATTCACCTTAAGCACGGCTTCTAGCACCGGTTTCGCCGACGCCGCAACTTCAAACGGTGAGGGCAACCCGCGGTGGTACCAGCTATATTGGCCATCTGACGATGACCTCACACGCTCGTACCTTCGCACCGCCCTCGCAGAGGGGTACGAAGTTCTTGTCCTCACAGTGGATACGTGGGACTTGGGCTGGCGAACACGGGATTTAGATCGTGGGTATTTTCCATTTGCTGGAGGTGTTGGGGTGCAGATTGGGTTGGAAGATCCCGTCGCACACGAGCAACTTGGGTTCAATGCGCTTGCGCCCAATGCGACTGCAGAGCAGCTGCAGATGGCTTCGCTTTATCACGTTATCGTCACTTCAAGAGGGATCAGTCCGGTCTGGGAGAATTTGTGGAAGTTGAGGGAGGTTTGGGGGGACAAGCCGATTGTATTGAAGGGTGTGCAGAGTGTTGAGGATGCAGAATTGGCGGTTAAGTGGGGGCTTGATGGCGTCATTGTCAGTAATGTGAGTTCGAACATTTCCCTCTGGCGCTTATTTGTTTGGGCTTGCTGACGAAAAATAGCATGGTGGTCGCCAGATTGATGGTGCGGTGGGCTCACTGACCACACTTCCCGCTATTGTCGAAGCGGTGAAGGGTAAACTGACGGTTGGATTCGATGGCGGCATTCGGACAGGTGCTGACATGTAAGTCGATGCTCCCGCGTTGTGACATGGAACAAAAAGAAGCTCATTGTTATTGCAGCTTTAAGGCCCTTGCGCTCGGCGCAGATTTTGTACAACTTGGTCGCCCAATACTTTGGGGACTAGCTCATGAGGGGGAGCGAGGTGCAAGACACGTGCTCAAAAGTCTGCTCGCTGAATTTGAGCTCACGGTCGGATTGAGTGGATGCCAAAGTCTGACAGAGGTCACGAAGGACCTCATAGTTAAGACTGAGGGATAATAAGGGTGGTGTCGATCTTTGTGTCCGCGAACCGCAAACCTTACTAGTTGTAATACTTCTTAGAATAAGCCGAGCTCTTTAGGGCTGATATTTAGACTTTATCCTAGCGCAAGCGTGTGGTCATTTGATATATTTGCATTGTATACCACCAAAAGTCCGCAGAATGTGCTGTGTATCTGATAGAAAAGATCGCCACAATAGGTCAGTTCATTCATCTGGCAAGTGCCGCCCTCCACGCAATTAAACACACCGTATAAATCAGTCCCTCCCTCACTGTCCTACCTTTTCCAGACCATCACTCATCTGCTGGCTATGCACATATCAACATCTGTAACTTGACTTGGTGTTAACTGTTTTGCAGGAAAGAAACCCGAGAGCAAACGAATCCTGTATCGAAAAAGCTTATTAACAATTCAAATTTTGATTTCGATCGGTCAGAGTCGCGCGTTGTGTCTTTCCATAATAAGCTGCGATTTCAGATCGTTCGAATACATAATATTCTGACAAAGGACTATCAAACCAAATGCGTAGTTTACGTCACACCGCCTTGGACTGTCGAAAATTCCGGCGTGTTGCCTACAAAGAGCTATTATCTGAGTGGGCTGCTCTCTCGGGGAAAATGAGGTGTCGTGTGCAAACACACACACTCGCAAACCTGATCTTACTCCATGTAAGATTTACAGGCACTACTTTTGCAGTTAGGACAGGGTAGCTTATAACATATAGTTTACTAGATAAAGCTACGTACTGTACTTATTTGCTCTTTCTCGTAATATCTCCGCACACTCTTTTCTTTCTTTCTTTCTTTCTTGTTTTTTCTCTTTTCCTTTCCTCCTCCCTCTTCTCCTCATCTTCTCCCCTTTTTTTTTCTTTGTTTACTTATTATACGTACGCATGTTCTGCTGCTCTTAGCGTGTTAAGTTTAGAACGCTGCGTTTAATTGCGTTGTGTTTCGTTGTATTGCGTTGCGTATATACTCAATTAAGATTCTGTAGTTAGGTATGCGGTAGGTAGGTAGATAGTTAGGGTAGAATAGGTTGCGCTAGATGAATATATATATATATATGTGTGTGTGTGTGTGTGTGTGTGTGTGTGTGTAGTCTTGGGGGTTAAGATCGCGCGCGGTAGGGTATACTCACATAGCCTAACAGTCTACTAAAGCACTTGAACTAAGCTCAAGATTTAAGATAGTGTGCACGACGCCACACACGCACACACACATACAAATAGATAGAGAGATGACCACCACGCTATCAATGGCATCTCACACACATCACGCTCACGACAACCATGTTCCCATACTCTGCATTTAGACAATCAGATCATTGATTCTCATTAATCCTAAAATGGATACATAAAACTCAGAGAAGTAGAAGACGCCCAAGAAAAATGTAAACCCGCACGCTTAAATACACGCACGCTGGAAACCACACGTCCAAAACAGCAAACCCAAAAGATGAAAACAAACAGCAGGGGTATTTCCGTGAGTGACATGAAGTACAGCCGTTGATGTTTCGTGAGCCATGAGTCGAGAGCCGTGAAATACGATCTTTGAGCCTCGAAATCTCGTGCCATGTCGTGTCGTTATTATTGGAAACATGGGTATTGGGGATGGGGGTATATCCGATCAACCAAGTAAGAAAAGAAAACAATCCCCGCGAGAAAGGGGGGACGAACAACAAAGGAGGCAAAATGAGTCGATGTCGAAGTTGAAGTGAAGGAAAATTCCAGCGTAAAGCCCGCAACGTACCAACATTTCCACTATATCCATGGTATCGGTGCGCTGTGTTGGTGCGAGGTTTTTTGTAGTTTGTTTGTGCGGTCGGTCGGTCTAGCGCCATCTGCGGCTTTTCTTTCCTTTGACGAGGATAAGTTAGAGAGGCAGGTGCATGTAGTGTTCAGGACCCGTCTCGTGTTGTTTTGTGTCTTGTATCGTGCGAGGAAATGTCGGGGTGGTGATGCACAAATGAGCAAAAGAGGGAAGGAGAGAGAAAGAGACAGGCTAGTGTAGAAACAAAGTGGAGAACGGTTTGTCGGATATGCAAGATAACAATTCCCAGCGAGACCCCTAGATCGCCTGAACCACCTGAGATAGTAAAAAAAAGCATTTATTTACTATACAGTATAGCTATATAAATTTCAATCTAATTTTTATTACTAAGCTTGCTCGAATCAGGTAGTTCTAATATTTCTTCTTGTGTCTGTACTAACATACAGACACTAAGGCATGTACAACAACCGCAGCTAACTCACAGGAAGAATTACTGACCGGACTAATCACATTTGGGTGAAATATCTTATTCACTCTTCAATCTAGATTGTTTGCTAACAAAAAATTAGTAAGTGCTAAGCACTGGTTCAGTGAGTGAATGCGTAGTTGGTGAGTAGAACATTACTATAAATACTGTGTAAAGTATGCTCCCCCGCAACACCATATCCGACCACGTCACAGCTGTTCAGTATCTTCATTTGACCTGCAGCTCAATCAACTTTTGAGCTTTCCACATAATGACAGCTTATACTTTTCGAAAACGCCATCGAGCCCCCAGTGAGAACTCCCTGTCCAGACATCCCCGAAAACAACGTCGAATCTCTTCTGCGGGCTCAAAGCAACAGTCACCGTCTACAAAACTCCTCTCTCTTCCAGATGAGCTCTTACTAAACGTCGCCGCTCTTATGTACCCAGAAGACACACTGTATGCTTCACGAGAAGATCGAAATCGAGACCTCTGCTCGCTGGCGCTAACATGCCGCCGTTTGCGACCGATTGCACAAGAAACTCTAGTTGAGATCTGCCAACCTCATGGAAGGATAGTGCCCCTTACCCGCACAATCCTCAAACGACCAGAGCTGGCCATAAGGATTAAGCAGCTCTATATCGGCAGAGTGTCCCAGGATCGTCAAGATGTACTCCAAGACACTTTGACTAGTGAAGAGATGTTGGAATGGGGAAGGGAAATCATGGAAGAATTCACACTTCGCGAAGCGTCCGTGTTTAGTAAATGGCTTTACAGGCCTTATGATTTTTACTTTGGCACATTGGCCTTGATGGTGTCCAAAATGCCCCGCCTCAGGACTCTATATGTAACCGATGCCAACGGTATGGATACTTACACTTTCAACTTCCAAAAACAACACTATGTACTACGAGTTGTGACGCTACGAGGCATCATGCGAAAATTTGCTGCGCGGATCGAGGAAGTGCACATCGCCGCTGGACCTGACCATTCTAGACTGAGCGTGTCGAAGTTCAATTCCTTCCCGCGCCTGAGGAAGGTCCATTTGGAAGCATTCTATATTGTCTTGTTGTTCATGATTCACAACAACCCGATTATCTGGCAGAAGAACCATGATGGCATCACTTGGAATGTTCTGCCAGCATCCATAGAAACTCTTTCAATCACATTCAACCAGAAATCAGCGGAGGAAGACGAATATGCATTCGTATTTCTAAAATACCTAATGATAAACACTGGGTATTTCAAGCACTTACGTTTTGTGGAAATTATTCACGAACAACCGTTACCCTCTTGCATCGAGCGTATGCTAGGAGCCTTGATGCCGACATTACGCTTGCCAGCTCCAGCAAAGAAGACACTCGAAGACTGGTTGAAATCGCCAGTTTCTTTCACTTTCTATTTCCCGGGACAAAAGGGTATACAGCAATGTATCTCCTTAAAAGAGCTCATGACGAAGATTTATCGCCCCAATGCTGGGTATGTAAGTGAGGCCAAAGCGCAGCAGACAGATGAGGCAACCTAGATGGTATTATATGCTGCAGAGAGTATTTCCTTGGACTCAATAGCATTCCGATATGGTATTAGACTTGCATATCAAGGGGTTACCAATTATCGAAGGAAAGCGAGATTTGATATAGCAAATTTGGGATATTCAAGGCACGGAAATAGGAGATGTAGCGAATCTGAGAACCAGTTGTTTGGGTCTTCATCCGCCAGATATTATCAAGAACTTCAACCCTGTGTTGATGGCAAGTGTGACATCAACTCAACTACCCAAATCTCTTCTTTGCTCATTATGGGCGAATAAGCTCCTAGATAGAATGAATATAAGTTTTTTTTTTCTTAAAAAACAGGCTAGAAGTTAGAGTGTCTCCCACACTTGAAAGGCTTATAAAGAAGATTTTACAAAAAGTCAGGCGGTAACAGAAGGTTTCACGCAAAGAATGTTGATTCCGGCACCAGGCCAGGGTGCAACTACACGAATATAATATCGCATCACAAATTTGGATTCCAGGTACACCGAATTTCTCTGTACCGCCCACCATGCGCTTATTATGGTCAATGTACACGTAAGCCTATACTCATAGGGAGGTGATCCCAGCCAATGCTTCTGACGTTTTGCGATCAACTATAATTCCTATTTTGGAAATCGAGGTCAGTTGTTATTGGTGATCAGTCGAGATCACTTGCAATTACTGCCAGATCTCATTGATCTTGATGGCCTTCAATCACGAAAGAACCGCAAGTACACAATGTAATTCTCAATAGTGAAAACAATACATTCCACCCAGCACATAGCCTGTAAGGATTCGATGTGTAAGAGCGTAAACAATGATTGTGTTGTAAGTGCAGGGTGTGAAAGATGTATAAAAATTATTCAATACTTCTTTCGTTCGATCACATCCACACAAACCACGTTTACAACTTCGGTCCCAAATATCAGACAAAAACACTTGCCAGATATCTAGAACATTATTGCAATCATGCCACCCCCAGCAAACGGGAAGACCAATCTTCTCTCGCTGCCTGCTGAAGTCCTCCTTGGGGTCGCTCAGTCCCTCACTGACAATGAGCCGTCGAAATTCGCTATCCCGCCTCGAGAAGATCTCCGAGAAGATCGTCGTACTGATCTAAGAAATCTTTCGCTCACATGCCGCGAAATTCGACCGATCGCTCAAGAAGCACTGATGATTTCGTGCAAGGTACATCGATCAAAGCTCTTCCTCCTGGTTCGTACTATGATTGAGAAACCCGAACTGTACGAGAAGGTTCAAGAACTGTCCATCGATTAAGACGACCCGTACTCGTATGACATCGGCTTCATCGACGCAGACACAAAATTATGGGAAACCGCTCTAAGAGATGAGTACGGTGACTCTTCGAACGATTTGATCGATCGCCTGACCAACACACCATCTGGGCCCTACTTTGCTGCCATTGCTCTGCTTTTCGCTAAGGCCCCTGCCTTCAGGCGACTGCATGTTACGAACGGGTTCCCTGAGTTTTTTGAGGGCCGTGAATGGATATATAGGGATTATATGGTTCCCAGGGGACCGATTGGATGGATCCAATCCAATTTCTGCCGTATCTTCTTTCCCGAATACAACGATACATCAAAATGGGGTGAATCCTCATTCGAACCTTCAGAAGAACGAAAGGCGAATCTACTAGAAATCCACCCGTACGAGCCTGTCGAGCCTCCACCATGGCTTAATAAGCTAAGAGAAAACTTTTGCTCGAAAGCCGAGGATATAAAGATCACATCTGCCCCCTTGTGGCGTAATCGAAACCTTTACGGCAGGGAGTCTTTCCAAGAGTGTCATAAGTTGAGAATTCTACGGATCGATGTCGAGAGAGTGTCGATAAACGTGCTCCCGCAACTCCCACAGAGCCTAGAGTTCCTGTCGCTAGAGTGTGATGTAAGTGGAGACCCTTGTTCTGTCATCGATTTGCAAGAACGCTACGAAGGAATGTCGGCTCGTCGACAGTTTGACTGGTTGGACAGAATCATCAAGAATACTGAATCTTTTCCCAACCTGCAAGTGATCGAAGTGCATTGGCCAAAAAGGGCTGCCTCATTTATGGACTGTCTGGCCCTTCATAGGGACCAAATCAGAATGCGGGATTCTATGGAACATATTGCGAAAGTCAGAGATCGAGTCCAGAAATGGTGTGCTTCTCCAATTGCCATCAAGTTTCAGTTCCAGAACTATAGCAACATCGATGAGAAAAAACACCCTGTCACTCGCGATTGCTCCGAGATCTCGGAGTGGCTGCAGCGCCTTGATTGGTAGCAAGGCCTGAGTTTGCCCATGTATCTTTTCTAGCCGTTCAACGTTACTGTGGCGTTTAGGTTTACAATAAATTGTCAATATGTCCCTTTAGCTAAAATTCCTTGGTAAAATGTCCCTTGATACGTGACTTCACCCATTTTCTCATTTACAATACTTTTGTGCAGTCCAAAGAACGATGACCCTCCCTGGATAGTCTACCACCTAGTACTTGATATCTCGGACGGATACACATGTTTATATACGGTATTGCGGCAGTCCTACCGATTCGCGTTTGTAGTGATTGTACATAAGTATGAATAAATTATAGAGTTGGAGTTTAGTTGCTCCCACATGCGAGGATGTTCACAGCGATAAAGCACCAGACAACAGATGATTACCATAAAAGAAATCCATAGTTTATGATTAATCGTGAGCCTTTTTAGTATTGCCCAATTATGTGATTTTGCGATTAGTTTGGGACCATTGGAATGGATGCTTTGTACATAAGTAACTATCGTGTGTACTAGAAACACGCAAAACCTTAACATAGAAACTGAAATATCCTTGTCTAGCAGTATATCACCCTTCAGAAGTATAGACAGTTCACATCTAGAACAATTCTAGACGTACGGCATATAAAACGTGTTTTTGTTGCAACGAGAGGATTTCTGTTCACGCAGTGTCGTCTGTTGTTTCACCGTTCTCACAGATTTCCTGTTGCAATGCAAATTTATGCTATTTGCTTAAGCAAGACTCGCTCTCTCAAAATTAAAATGCTGAAACATTTTTGTACAACAATCTGAGTGTACCCGCTCACCTTAAGGACGATGAATACCATGTGGGGAAAGTGGGGGCTCCTCCTACAGTACCCCAGACCTAAACTAGTTACCCCGCATAGAGTGGCATGTCACCTCCCAATCCTCTCTCCCGCAACATCGGATAACAAGCTCCATCACCCGCTAACTCTCCAATTCTCAACTGCCGAACATCCTGACAGAGCTACGCTAACCACCAAGTTCCTCCTTCGATCGCCAGAATCCTCAAATCCGAAAGAACAATATGTAAATCCATTCCATCGTCCCTCTTCTCTTTCTTCCTCTTCCACACCCACTTCTTCTTTCCCACCTCCCATAGAAATCTATCGCTGCATCATGGCCTTGGACTCCCTCCTCAACTTCCCCCCATATATATGGCTCTGCCTGATCCTAGCCCTCCCAACATACACCCTTCTCTACGATATTTACACATGGTCCCGCATGCCCCCAGGCCCCCTCCCAGTCCCTTTCCTCGGAACCCTCACACTGCCCCGGACGCAACCATGGCTGCAATTCGAAAAATGGAGCAAAATCTACGGCCCCATCTTCACAATCTGGATCGGACGGAAACCCACCATTGTCATCTCAGACCCCATTATAGCAGCCGAGTTGCTGGAGAAGAGAAGCAACAAGTATTCCTCGCGCCCGCGCATGGTCGCCATGGGCGAGATCCTGTGGGATAACGCCAGCGTGCTGGTGCAGCCGTATGGGAAAGAATGGAGTATCCGTAGGAAGCTGCTGCATCAGGCGCTCACGCCCAAATCGCTGCGGCTGTACAAACCCGTCCAGGAGGCCGAAGCGACGCGTCTGTGCAACGAACTCTTGCTATCGCCGATGCGCTGGGAGAAGCTGCTGGAGCGCTTCACATCGAGCGTCGTGTTCTGTGTGGCATATGGCCATCGCATCGATTCTCTCGACGCCGGAGTGATTGGGCAACGGTTCAAATTCATGCAGTACTCGGCCTCGCTAAACGTCCCGGGGAAATACAAAGTCGAGTCGTTCCCGATACTAAAGTACATCCCGGATGCGCTGGCGCCGTGGAAAGCGGAAATCAAAGCCCACGGCCGCGAAGAAGCAGCCGCGAATATGGCGCTGGTAGATCTAGTCCGGAGCGACATGGCGAACGCGCAAGCGAGCAAATCCTCGATCACAGACTCGCTGTGTAAACAGCTCCTGGAGCTGCGCGAGAAGGAAGATATCCCGCTTTCCGACCGCGATTTCTCCTTCATCCCCGCGTCGCTGTTCGGCGCGGGATCGGATACTACGGCGTCGACGCTGTGTTCTGCGTTTCTGGCGCTCGTCACGCATCCTCACATACTTGGAGTTGCTCATGCTGTACGTTCCCCCTTTTCCATTCCACGTCGTCCCCCTCTTTTCCCTCACCCTAACTGACATCGATGGCAAAGGAACTCGATGCTGTCATCCCCCTATCCGCTTCCCGCACCCCAACATTCGCCGACGCCCCCTCCCTCCCCTACCTAACCGCCCTAGTCAAAGAAGTCCTCCGCTGGCGGCCCGTCGCAGTCCTAGGCGGGACCCCACACGCCACGACAGCGCCAGACATATACAACGGGTACCACATCCCCTCCGGCACGACCATCCTAGGGAACTCGTGGTCCATCAACCTCAACGAGAAATACTACGCGAACCCGCATGACTTCAATCCGAGCCGCTTCCTTGGCTCTTCCGCCGAGCTAGAGAAATCTAGAAGAGGAGGAGAGAAGGGTGAGGAGCCCGAGTTGATGCAGCATCCTTCGAAAGCTGGTCACTCGTCATTCGGTTGGGGAAGGCGTATTTGCCCCGGGGCTGATCTTGCGTCGAATAGTCTCTTCATTGCTCTTGCCAAGATGCTTTGGGCGTTTGATATTGAGGCGTTGGAGGGGGAGGAGTACGATATTTTTAGGTATACCGATGGGTTTAATATTCGGCCGCAGAGCTTTAGGTGTAAGATCAGCGTGAGAAGTGAGGCGCATAGGGAGGTGTTGGAGAGGGAGTTGGTGGGAGAAGGGGTTGAAGGAGTCTTGAGAAGATTTACGGCTTTTGAGTAGGGGGCGCATGGTGGCATAATACAACGTGCTCCTGGACTTGCTATACTCTATGCGATGATTCGGAATACGCAAGGTTGCACAAAGGAAACAAGTAATAATCGTAGATTTAGTTAGAACACATTACGGATTAGCCACATATGAGCTTCATAGACGCTTATTATTCATGAACTTATTCATTGATATTCGATACACGAAGAGGACTCAATGTCAGCCTATAGGACGCATAGACAACGATGGTAAAACTAAAAAGAAGAACAAAAGAGAAGAAAAACATGACCCCTCCAAGCCAGTTTCCCTTCTACATCTGTCTTCTGTACGAATCGCAAAAACCAAATTCTCGTCAAGCTCCGAGCAACCCAGAAACACGGAACCAAAAGCAACATTTTCAACAACGCCTGCGTGTTTCCCAAACACAGACGACCTACTCCAAAAAGAAAAGACGCCGAGCTATTGTTACAGTCTATCTTCTCCGAGGTCATACTCTCTACGCCTTGCTTAGCATCTTGAGTACCTCCTCCTTCTCCGTCGTCGGGAGCGTAGACAAGAGAGCCATGACACCCTTCAGGCCACCCTCTCTATCCTTGCGCATGAGCTGAGCAATCTCCATGGCGATACCGTCACGCTTGAGCAGCTCGACCCGGTCGTGTACGAGTTTTCTGTTCTCCTCGTACCACACCGCGACACTCATGTCATCCTGATCGAATTTGGGAACCGCCGACCAGGCTTTGAGCATCTCGATGCCCTTGACGCGGGTGATGGCGTCGGGCTTGGCTCCATCGACGGAAGGAGCGGCGGCAGATGCCATCTTCTTGAGAATGTACTCCTCATTCAATCTACGGCGTAGACGCCAGTAGAAGAATCGTCGAGCGTTCTGCCAGCGGAGCGAGGAACGAATGACACCCTTGGCCTCCATGCGACCGGAGCGATCGTGGAGATCGGCGAATTGAAGCGCGATTTGGCTGTAAACAGGGAGAAGGTTTTGCTCCCGCTCGGTCATCTCCGCCTTGATCTTCAGAAGGTCTTCCTTGGCTGTTGATGGGTCCACCAACTTGCGCTTTAGTGCGCCGTAGGTTGGGTCCAAGCGGGCCATGGTCTCGAGTTGCTTGTCTTTGCGATATTTGATACCGACAATACCTTCTGGCTCTAGGACACCACCGCGCGAATCTTCATCGGCGTACATCTCCATGAATTGAGAGTTGATGGTAGGATCCACGACGACCCACGATCCTCCACGGAGTTCTCCGTACGGGGGAATGTATACGAAGATGGGCTGTTCGTACTTGACAAGTGCATCGACAATGTACGATCCGTATTTGAGCACTTCGTTATACATGTCACGCTGACCACCAGAGAAACCACGCCAGTTGGCAAGGATCATCAGCGGTAGTTGCTCACCGTTGTTGAAGTCCTTGATGGCCTGAGCTGTCTTGAAAGCGGAGTTGGGGTACCAGACACCACCAGCCTCTGAAGCGACTTGCTCGATAGAGTCGGGGTTGGCAGGATCGGCAGGTGTGACGTTTTCGACCGAACGGGTTTCCACACCGATGACACCGACAGGAATACCGCCAAGACGGGCGCGACCAACAACGACGGTCTTGGCCCATCCACCGAGAGCTTCCTCGAAAGAGTCACGGTCGAATAGACCAGACTGGAAACCGTCGGCATCTTCCTTGCCACCAATGAGGTGCCTAACGTCGTAGGCCGCTTTGCCAGGGGGATAGTAAGTCACATCGCGGTCCCAGTCATCAGCGGTGGGCGAAATGGGAACAGGGTTGCCCTTCTTGTCAGGTACGAACGAGAGCCACTTGACAATCTTGGAAACGCCCTCGAAGTCATCGGCTGCGGTCATGTGCGAGACACCGTTCCTGTACATGATCTGAGTACCACCGAGCTGCAAGTTGGAAGTGTAGACCTCGCGACCGAGCAGCTTGTTGATAGCCTGAGCACCGGTGAGGATGATAGGCTGGCCTTCAATCTGAATGGCACGCTGGCCGAGGCGGACGAGGTAAGCACCGATACCTAGGCATTGTTAGTTGAGTTCTTCAACAGCATATCAGAAAATTAACGTACCAACAGAGCGGCAGGTAACCAAGGTAATGGTAAAAATATCTTCATAGGCCCTTGATGTCTCACCAGCGATCAAACCGGAACCACGGAGAGACTCAACACCGAGACCATCTTCCTGACCGACAACAGTGGTGATCTTGTAACGCTCTTCGCCATCCACAATGATCTTGTCGCAGATGACATCGTTACGCTTGCCATCTACAAAGTGCTTGTACTTGGCAGGCGTCAGGTAGAGGTATTCGAAGCCCTGCTCAGGCTTGGATTCGTCTTTCCAGGCGACGGAAAAGTGAGGAATGAGCTCCTCAGCAAGACCGATACGAGCACCAGAGTTGGCAGAAAGGTAGATGCGGGGAATGCCAAGTTTGCGAGCCAACTCTGAGCATTTGTGGAAGAAACCATCTTCTTGGGGACCAAAACTGCCAATCTTGAAGGTGATATCGTTGGCAATAATGATGAAACGACGGCCACGAGGGTACTCGGGCGTCTTCGCTGTGATGATCCATCCAACCATGCCGATGGTGTTGGATCCAGGATCACGGTTGACCTCAGCCAGGTTGTCGTTGTCGTCAAGAACCAACTCGTAGTATTCTATACATTCTCCCTTGGGCGGCTGCTTCTCGCGCAGGTGAGGATGCTTGGCGACAGCGGCATTCCAGCTATTTTCAGTGGCCTGGCGGAACAACTCGGGGAAGTCATAGACATATTGCGTGCCCATGAGATGAGCCTTGTAACGCTTCGGCTGGAGAGCGCCCTTGGTCGGGTAGGGAGTGGAGACTGGCTGAAGGTGCAGGGAACCAATCTTGGATGTACCGCCAATGCTGTGGAACACCCACTTACCAGCCTTCTCCGACTTCTTCTCGGCGTACATGTCCACGTTGATGACATATCCAGAGGTGTTGGTAATGACAACACGAAGAGGGCACGGGGCACCAGTGTTGGGATCAGTGACAATGATGCGAATTTCGGCACCAGTAACACGGAGACGCCAGAGTCGTCGGCCGAAACGATCCAGGAACCCACCAATGGCCTCTTCGATCTCCGAAGACGTGAGAGGGAAGACGTGGGAGAAGTTGATGAAGATGTGGTTCATATCGGCTTGAGAGGTACCGACGATCTCCAGAGCATCCAAAATATCAGTCATCAACCTGTCAGTCTCAGAGATCATGTACTCGGCAGTGGGGATGTCTTCCCGGAGGCGGCCGGAGCGAACAACAGCCCTCAAGAAGTAACGCTTGTCACTCTCAGCACCCTTGCCTACGGCTTCGTAGACATGGATGTTGCGATTTTCCGTGAAGACAGGTTTGATGTTGAACTTGGACAGACGCCCAAGTTCAAGCTGGAAAGCAAGAGCCGGCTCGACGTGACGGATGCTGTCGTCCTCTTCATAGCTGGGTCCGCGGAAGGTGTAGTATCCGGGGTAAGTCCCATCCTTGTGGCCACAGACGAAAGTAAGACGGCGAACGCGGCGCGCCAAGAGCTCCTCTTTGTAGTCCTTGACAATTGGGAGAATGCGTTCCATGATCTCTTGATCATCGAAACCCTCAACGTCACGTACAGCAACGTTGAGAACACCGGTAAGCTCGTCGGAGCTGGAAGCAGACGCACCGCTAGTCGGTGTGCGCTTCAAGGTCATGCTCGCCTTCAGGTTCAAAGTGCTGGCCTTTTTGGAAGGACCGACCGATGGGAACAGATCAAGGGCTTTGCCCAATGATTCATCGGCATCGTCAAGATACTCAACGGGGACAACAACACCCTTCCTGGAAGGTTCGCCTGCCTCAATGCGGGAGTCGAGGTACGACATGTCACTGATAGAGTGAATACGGGGAGGTCGCTCGAAGCCAGGAGTGCCGGGAGTAGCGGGCTGCGATGCATCAGCGGGCAAGCCGTACTCAGACTCACCAACCTTTCGAAGAACAAAGTCCCACGAGAGCATATAGGGTTGCTCGCCGTCGGTGTGATAGTTGATCTCCTTTAGCTGGTAAGCACGGTATGCACGACGAGTGTATACTTCTAGAGCAGCAAGGGCAACCCATGGGTCCGGGTGAACGAAGAATTGCGGCAGGACATCGAAAACGGTGAACCGAGAGTCAACAACTTCCTTGATGACATCGAAATTGGGCTCACGATGCTCCCACCCAGTCTCACCGTAACGCGATTCAACGACTGCGGATCGGAGGATGTGTTCCATCTGAGATGTGCGCTCCTCGAGAGAAGGCATGGCGCATTGGATAAGAACCTCGCGGGCCTTGAGCGAGACCTTGGCAGTCTGCCTTGACTCAAGCTCGGTGAGCTTTGTCAACGCGCTCTTGAAGTATTTGCCGACATTTCCAGCGCCTGGCTTGTTGGGACGATACAGGTCGAGAATAGCGAGGATCAAGTTGTTCTTTGCGCTAACCCGAGTGTGGGACAGAACGGTGTGTACGACATTGGTGATGGTGTCGCGGTTCTCGTCACGGAGCTTCAAAACGACCTCCTCGTCACGGCCAGCACTGTTGGAAAAGAGATTCTCTACCTTCAGGTACAAGTCAAGGAGCTTGATCGCAACAGAATACTCATGCGCTTTGAGGCCGTCGGCGTAACGGCCGATCACATCGGTCAACGGAGTAAGGCCGGCTTTGAGAAGTTCTGCGTCGTTCTTGGTAAGGTTATCGTCCAAGAAGCGCTGGAAAGCCTTGTTGAGCTGTTTAGCAGGGAACTCGAGGTTACGGCTGTGAGCACGCTCGACGATCTGTGCAAGAGTAGTGTCGAGTTTCTGGGGCATGCGTGCATGGAGGGCAGACGCCTGCGCATTCCATTCGCCATAGGGCAATTCTTGATCGCGCAAAACCTCAACAAGCTCCCTAAGGGTGCTCTGCATGATGACTTGGTTGTCGAAACCCTGCAAAATATTTTCGAGAATTCCGAAGAGGTAGGCGAATCTCTGGGGCGGCTTGTTACCCATCACTTGTGGTGGGCCTAGATCGGGGAGGAGGTCCAAGAACGGCTGAGCAGATTTGACCTTGGAAGGATCATCCAGTGCAAGTATACCCAGAATGTCTCCAGCCTCGAGGGTTGCTCCGGGCTGCTTGATGAGGTTCACAAAACCGTCTTCTTGGGCAATCAGAGGCATGTACATCTTCATGACCTCGACTTCGGCGAAAGCCTGACCCTTCTTGATGTGGTCGCCGTTCTCCACGGTGAACTTGACCAACTTTCCGGGAGAAGGTGTGCGCAACTGAGTAGGGTCGTTTTCTTGCTCGAGCAAGCAGGTCTTTCCATCTACAGAGAGACGGGTGGCGCCCACCTCTTCCTTCCAGTAAATGTTGTGGGACTTGCCGCCGAGCAGTACGAGCAGACCACCGTCAGCAAGGGCGCGGATGCCGATGGAGCACTTGGAACCGTTGATGAAAAGCGTGAAGCTGTCGATACTGGATCGGGTGGCGGTGAATTTGTAGCGGTAACCCTCGTAGATGAAATCAATGGGGAAGACGGTCTTGAGTACCTCTTTGGATGGGACCTGGCCCTTCTCCAAGCTTGTCTTGTACTCGTTGATGCAGGCTTCGCTGGCGACATGGGCCTTGGTCACGGCACCGCAGATGACAGCGATGATGGGGTCAGGGCGTTCGGCGGTCAACTTCTTAGAAATGAGCTCGTCGAGCCAGCCAGTCGTGATGGTGTTGTCCTCGAAGGCGGGGGTCTCGAGCAGCTTGATCAGATATTCGACAGTCGTTCGGAAATCACCACGGATACTCAATTCTTTGAGCGCAACAACCATGTGTTTCCTCGAGGCCTGTCGGTTCTCGCCGTACGCGAAAATGTGACCGAACTGAGAATCCGAGTAGCTGTGGATGCCACCAGCGGTACCGACGGAGAAATAACCCCATACATTGGAGCTACTCCTGAAGTTCAAATCTTGCAAAGTACCTCCGGAAGGCTTGAAGCCCTCGTCGGGATCTTCTGAAGTGATACGGCAAGCTGTGCAGTGGCCCTTGGGGGTCGGTCGGCGCTGGTTCTGGGCGCTGCCCTCTTGAGAGAAATCGAAGTCAATCGGTCCGCTCGTGTGGGGGTCGGCACCGTACAACAACCGAATGTCACGGATTCTGTGCAGAGGAAGACCCATGGCAATCTGAAGCTGCGCAGCTGGCAGGTTGACTCCAGTGACCATCTCAGTGGTAGGATGCTCGACCTGGAGACGGGGGTTAAGTTCGAGGAAGTAGAACTTGTCGTCAGCGTGCGAGTACAGGTATTCAACTGTACCAGCAGAGACGTAGCCCACGAGCCTGCCGAGGGATACGGCAGCCTTTTCCATTTCACGGAAAGTGTGGGATTGGGCCACCGTCACGGGGGCCTCTTCGATAATCTTCTGGTGACGTCGCTGGACGGAGCAGTCACGGCCAAAGAGCGAAATGTTGTTACCATACTGATCGGCCAAAAGCTGCACTTCCAAATGACGGGCGCTTCCCGCCAGCTTCATGATGAAGATGGGCGAGCCAGGAATCTCGGAGGCGGCGGCGCGGTAGAGTTGAACAAAATCCTCTTCATTCTCCACCTTTCGGATACCCTTACCACCACCACCTTCGGAGGCCTTCACCATGACGGGGAAACCAATCTTCTTGGCCACCTCAAGACCCTCTTCAGGTGTCTTTGTGCAACCCTTGTCATAAATGTGATCTTCGACAGTGACGATTCCATTGTTGTCCACCTTGACTTGGTCTACACCCTCTCCCGACCACGGGATACAGGGAACTTTGGCGTGTTGTGCGACGATTGTGGAAGAGATTTTGTCTCCTAGCGACCGCATAGCGGAGCCTGGGGGACCAATGAAGACGATCTTCTTGGGCGATGCGGCGAGGGACTCGGGTAGCTTAGGGTTTTCTGAGGCGTGGCCCCTGCATATGCAGTCAGTATACTAGCTATCATACTTGTGATTTAGTGGGCTCCAAACGTACCACCCTGCCCATACGGCGTGTACATTCATACGCTCAGCCACGTCCACAATGAGTTCGACGTTGGCGTAGTTGTTGTTGTTGGTACCTCCAGGTACCTGTAGATTTTTGTGTCAGCCTTTCCGAACTTCGCCAAACGCTGAAACTTTTACAAATGGACTCGACGTACCTCAACATATTGGTCTGCCATACGGATGTACTCGGCGTTGGCCTGCAAATCTTCTGGCGTCGCCATGACAGTGAACAAGATAGCTCGCTCATCGCCAAAAGTCTCGTATGCCCATTTCCGTACGGAACGGATTTCCTTGACGGCAGCAATACCGTTATTGGCAATGAGGACATTTGTGATGACGGTGTGACCGTCGTGGGCCGCAACAAAGTCCCTCACCTTGCTGGGAGCAGCGTGGTTGAGGGAGTTTCCGCCGATGAAATGCGGCGCGAGATTGTACTTGGCGGCCATGGAGCTGGGAGCGCCGTTGGAGGAGCCATTAGCTCCGTTCTGCTGGACTCCGACCATTTTGTGTGTGTATATCTCCACAGGAAACGCTACGCACTCGGGAGTGGAGGTGAGGAGGAATTGAAATTTATTCGGTGGATCGGCGGCCGGGTGACGGGTAGAGGGCTCGGGAGTCGGGGATTACTCTGCTGGAGGAGAGAGAATACGACGACGACGAGGGGAGGGAGCAAGAGATGGAGGAATCAATTGCTCAGAATCGATGGAACCAGCGGCGGCTGCCAGATTAGATGGCGGGCAGGCACACAGTACTGGGTTTCGGGGAAGCGGCCGGTGGGGAGGCCGGAAAGTCGAAGGTATCAACTGGCGGAGGAGCACAGAAGGTACCGGACGGTGTGAAATTTTGATTGGGCGGGTCAGCGCAGAAGGATTAGCGGAACCCTCAATCACAAACTCGGCATCAAAAACCACTGGAAAGCGGCAATGATGAGAATTGATGAAGGGATAGATAAATAGGTGGGAGGGTAGGTAAATAGCAAAAAGCACGGCTAATAGAGAGGCGAGGGGTGAAGTGGCTCGCGGGTATATAGTAGAGGCAGTGGTCGTCTATTAAGATAGATGGAGTAAGAGATGATGATGCAGGTGAAGAGCAATCACAATGTCGGAGGGGGGATGGAGGGAGGGAGGAGGGAGAGGAGGGCAGGGAGGGCAGGTGGGGAGCAGAAGGGTGATGAAGTATTTATTTGGTGGTGGTCAGTAGTAAGGAAGTGGATAGAGCATGTATGGTAGTGTTTGATTTTTCTGGAGCCATTGGGCTGGCTGGCGACGATCCAACCCCAAGGCTTTTTTTTTCCTGGCCTCGTTCGCTGGTGTTCCGCTTCCGCTTCCGAGAGGTTGTTTGAGCGTCAGTCAGTATGTACATAATGTGGATAGTACACGACAAGGCCTAGCTAGCTCCCTGGCTGTCTGTTGAGCTGAGGCCCGGCGTGCGTGCACACGCCCTGCGCTAGTCATTCGCCCTCCCCCTCAACCCACCGCCCACCATTTTCCACACTGCCGCATCCTGGCATCGTTGACAGCGAATGGACCCGACGGTGCTCACGGCGCCACGATGGTTGAAATGAACAGAGCAAGAGAGAACGTGGAAGAAAGACAAGAAGAAGAAGAAGACACCTCCGTGGCGGGCCCCCCCTTGCTCGAGCAAGCATCCTTCGGATATCTCACAATCGTCGACCGGCTAACTGACACGAGAGATGGGACAAGGCGTGGATGACGATGGATAGATACACAACGCACTGCCGGGCCAATTCACGGCGGGATCCGAGGGGGTGCGCCACCCCTTGGCTAGCAGGCAGCCATTGCATCAACAGCCAGACTTTGGACATGCAGTTGACGGATTGATTCCAACAAGAAGACGACCGACTGATTCCATATCAGAGGGTTGATGGATGGCAGATGGTAAGCGAGCGAGTGTTGAGCGCTAGGCCCGCTCGCTCCCTGCAGACGGGCCAGGGTGCTTCGCGTTGGGACCTCCATCACCTCAACCGCATCCAACATGATGGCTAACGTGCAGGCCAACGGAACAACTCAAGAGACGATGCCTCCTGTCTGTCTGTCACCATGACTATCAATTGGCTCGGTCCGGTTTCATCCATCTATCCATCCATCCATCCTCAACCATCAACAGCAATTCATCACATCACTTGAGCTAATCCAACTTACCACTGTCTTCTGTCCTCCTCCCATCCCGCTCCGACCATCTAGACAAATCCATACTTGAAAAGTACATTATAGCCTTTGACCCCATCTTGATTCTTATTCTTATTCTTATTTCCCCTTTTTCACATTGTCTGTTCCCCCCATTTCCACTGTCCCATCTACCGCTCAAGTCTCCCCAGCCGATGCATCATCTACCTGTACATACACAGACACCCCCATTTCCATTCCCCGAACAACACTCCCTCAGCCTCACAATGCCCAAAATATACACACCTGTCATAGATTATTCTCAATCTCCAACCCGAAACCAACAAAACTAATAGCCAGTTCCCTCCCCTCTCCCCATGTCCGACTCCACCTCATCTGCGACCTCGATGTCTGTCCTCCGTCGGCCGTCGGCTTTCCCCCATTCCCCGTTACCGACGGCATGGCACACGTCAAAAAAGCCTTGGCCTTTTTCCCTCTGCTCTTCGGTCCTCCGAATCCCACTCGCCCAAATCTTGCAACCCGCGATGCTCCATTTCAATAACAATTTAGACGTTAATAATAGCTCTCATGTATCTGCTCGTGTCCTGCATGTGCAGCGCAGTTGCATATAGGAACGTGGAGTCTGTTTTTCCTTTTTATTTATGGGGTGGCGCGCGCGCTGTGTTCCTGCCCCCTGCGCAAGTACACCTTTGGCAGCCAGCAGCCTGCCAGCCGGCAAATCCACTTGGGTTACCCGAAGAAATTTCCATTGGACAGGGTCGCCGTCTGTGTGTGCGCCGGAGGAGACCCGAGATCCCATCCCTTCCCGTCAATCTCATCCATGCACCCGTCATCTGTATACAGATGTCCAAACCAGATCCCATATAATTATCAGCTCGATCTCGTGGACATCGAACCCCGATAACAAAGAAGAAATAGTATTCATGAGTGATAGTCGTGCGCTACCTCCTACCTCCCCAACTTCCTTGCCCATCGTGTTGCGCAGTATATACACTACATAAACCCCTCATCTCACACTCCCACACCCATCTACAAAACCCTCCCTCCATCCACAACACCACCTCCCCCAAATCAAACCCATAAAAAGAACAAACAGAATCCCACAATAAGATCTGCCGCCCAGCCATTAAAAGAAAATCTCCGATCGCTTCTCATCCAAACGGGTCTATCCAGGCGGCGGGACGACCCATCGCTCCCCCCCAGCATGTGCACTTTCACATGTCAATCCATTTCCCCCCCCCCCCAAAAATGCCGTCACAATCGTACGATTTTTACCCCGGATTTCTTCAGGATCTAATGCACGTGGAACGAACCGATTCATTGATTATTTACATTAGGACGCGGCTGGCCCGGGAGAGCTTTTCTGTTTTTGTAGCTGCTTGTAGTTTGTTGTTGTTGTTGTTGTTTGTTTGTTTGTTTTGCTTGCCATCAGTGTATGGGTGAGTGGAGTGACTGAGCGAGTGCCTATGTAGGTCTTTTCTAACAATGATTGCTGTAATAAATACATTGTCGCAATCGGTACGCTGACATTGAAGTAGAATTTTGCATTCGATCAATTTCGCAGGCGGCCGTCAACTACAACTCCACTACACTGCATTGCACTGTATAACGTTACGGGTATATCCATCCAAACATGCCTTTGCGCAAGAAACAAAACACAAACCAAAGAAAATACTCAAAGTGAGAGGAAAGGTAACAAACGAAAATATAGTCTACCTAAGGAGTAAACTGGCTTAGCTGTAGTGGTAGCTGCAATAGCTAGGTATAGTCTCTCTCAGATCCCGTGAAGAAGAATGCAAATATCGCTTCTTTTCTCTTCATCGCTCTTTCTCGCTGCGTGCTCGCTCAATCTCCACGCAAAATAAAAACGAGGATTATCCCTTTCCCATCCCTCCCCCACTCCATTCCATGCCTCCAGCCCTCTCGTGAATAAAACAAAGAAAAAGAAATGAATGTGCAAACTCAATACCTGGAGTCTGGTTCTGTACCCGCATCCATGCTTGTCGAATCATGTACCAAGAAGTGAATCAAAGAAAGGAAAAGATCAGATCTGCGTAGCGCCATGCAATCAGGAAATCAGAACCCCACCCCAAATAAGTTATCATCATGAACCTGACGCCCAAATAAAGAGCAATCAAAACTCCTCCACCTCGCTCATCTTCCGTGGTCGCGCAGGAGGCCCCATCCCACCGTCCGCCAGACTGGTACTTGTCCTCCGTCCTTGGCTCTGTCGCCGAGGGAGACCGCTAGGCGTGGGAATGGACGTGATCTTGTCCAGTGTCATGCGCCGAGGCACAGGGGTTGCTGCTGCGCTGCCGTCGCTGTTGTTATCTGCGTCGCCATCTTCGCGGACGCTGCTCGATAGGGACATCGAGTGGGAGTGGTGTGAGCTCATTGGGCCACTCATGGAGCTTCGTGGGCGCGGGATTCGTCCTTCCACGCCGCTGATAGAAGACGCCGAGTAGTGTCCCATCGGCGTGCGGATGCTGCTTCTGCTACCCGGTCGTGAGGCACGGCTGCTAGGCCGGCTATTGCTGCTTTCCCGTGATGCGCCAAAGGACAGTCTGCTCATGCCTGATTCACTGGCAGTTGGAATCGATGAAGCCGCCGAAGCCTGGGATGACCGTTTGCGGTTGCTTCTTATGGTGACGGTGCTTGGTATTTGTCCCAGTGCGCTTGCGGTTCGCGGGCTGGCACGCGGCGGGGTGCTCGTCGGCGCCGGCAGCTTCGACCTCGCGTGATAGACTCGTTCCTCAAGCTTCTGCATCTTGCCAATCAGCCCACGGATTTGATACAATGAGCCAGATCTAGGCAAACCAGCCGCTGCTGCCGTTGTGCCGACACTTGGTCGCGAGCCCCTCTGCCCTGGCGCGGTAGTACGGATCGAAGGAGTCGCACGGCCACTTGCGCTGGGCGTTTTCGCTGATACAGGGATGCTAGGTCCTCTCGAGTGTCGGGGAGGCCGAGAAGTGTATAGACTTGGGCGGGGAGTAGCAGAAGGGTCCAGGGCAATCGACTTCTTCCGAGCAGAAGGCATGGGCGTGGTGGGGATGGCTTTGGCTGTGACTGAAGCTTCTGATAACGGAGGTGACGGAGGTGTGAGATCGGGGCGTTCCGCATCGGATTTGCTCTGTGGGGGAGTCGAGGCTGTGGTGGGCGAAGACAGTGCGGTAGCGACGGTGGAGGTCTCAGATACAGGAGAACGTGGACGCAGCGCATCTCCAGCCAACAGATTGGAGGTTTTGCGCTGGTGGTGCCGCTCAATAGTCTCTTCGGCGAGACGCAATTTCTCCTGGACAATTTCGGTCTCGATGCGTAGATCGGACAGCTCGTCGCGCACTCGTTGGTTCTCTATTCGAAGAGTTTCTCGCTCCTTCTCGCCGAGTTTCATTTCCTCCTCCAGCATGACTGAGCGTTCGATCGCTACATTGTACTTGGACTCCAAGTCCTCCAGCGATGAGTTTTGATTTCGTGCTTGTCGCTCGAAATCGTCGTTCTGTACCTCAATGTCCCTAAGCTGGAGTTGCAGCGATCGCTGGGACTCGCGCAGGCTGGTGATTTCTTTTTGAAGTGTGTTTTGGGCGTTGTTGGCCTCTGTCTTGCTCTGCTTGTATTTTGTCTGTGGTATCATGGGTTAGCTTCCTGTCGTGCGATATAGAAGACAGATTAAGTGACAGAGTAAAATGCAGCATACCTTCCATTCATCAACTTCAAACCCCAGCTTTTCGGCCTTTTCCTGTAGCTTGCGCTCACGTTTCTCGCTCTCTTCCACGTCCTTCTCGAGTTCGGCCTCGAGCTCCTTGCTTGAAGCTTGAAATTCCTGAAGCTCTACCTCAAGCGTCTCATACTGAGTTTTGTAATAGGAAAGTTCCTCCTCCATGCTGCTCCACTCGCCGCGCGGGGGCGATGAAGGGGTGTCTGCCATAGCAGCGGAGCGTCGTCAAAAGATGTGACTCCCCTGCTGCTGGTGTCTGCTGCTGGTGTCGCTGTCTTCGGCGGCGGAATTCAGGAGAGATTGCGACTTGTCGCAGGTGGGGTGCAACGGGCCAGGGGTGGTAGGAATGTGCTGTGCTGGTGAGAGGAGGATCAGGCGATGTCGCGCATTCAAAGCAAACAAGTTTGAATGTTCAAACTGATTCGGAAGTCGTTCCTTCCTCTCTGCTTTGTGGGTGTCTTAGGTGCTCCTGTGTTTGTCCACATGTATCGCTGGCGGAAGTGGGTGGTCTGTTGACAGTCGGAACGGATCAATCATGTGCGTGCAAGGCACTACCCGGTTCCCTTCTGCCCCTTTGCAGTGTGCGCGGCGCAAGATGTGGCTCTTGTAGGGGGTCGCAGTAAGTCGCTCGACGGTTTTGCGCTGTTCCTGTAGGTTAGTAGTTAGTACACCGGGCGACGGTGGCCGGTGGGCGGTTTGTTGTGCTGTTGGGAGGTGGTGTTGTTCCCAGCCGCCTTCACGTTTGGGTGGCTGAAGTCAGAGGGCACGCACGGTTGCTCGGGAAGCGACGCACCATCCCGCACTAAGCCCAAAGCGCACGTCATCACCCATCACCTCTCTTCACCGTCTTCGCTACACCTCACTAGAATACATCACGAACACAGTCGAACCCTTCCTTTTGCTACAATTACGAGTATTACCGCTGGAGTTCTGCCAGAATTTTTTTCGAATGACTGGGAACATGACTGATACGCGTGAAGCACGTGTCCGGCAGCAGCCAATTCGACTTGAAACCTGCCAGCAGCAACCTTGCAAGTTAATCTCGCCCTCATTCCAAATCTCCAATTCCTAGCAAGCTGCCGCTTTATTTATGGACACATATGTACAGCACAGATGAAAGAAAAAAATGACCCCCGTCGCAATACCAATCCTCGCCGAGCAGCCTCATGATATACATCACTTTCTCCCACGCGACATTGGCCCTTAATCATCAATCTTTACCGGTCTTGTGATCTACGCGAGCGTCCATCAACTTCTCCTTTAGCTCGCCGGTCGCATTACTAGCCACCTCCTTGCCTTTGACAAGCAGTTCCTCTGCCCGATGTGACCCAGCCGAGACAGCATCTTGCAACTTCGCGGTAGCAGTTCCAGCAGCATCAGCCCCTTGTGCATATACACCCTCGGCCCCCTCTTTTCCTCGCTCGTATGCCTCTTTCGCCTGCTCCGAGGCCAACTTTGCCAGCTCTTCCGGGCTAGGATACTCTTTGAGTGATTTCAACACCAGATAATACAGGTTGATGATCATGGTATGAATACGATCTTTCATGAGCATGGTGATGCCATGTGAGAAAAAACCTTTCAATACTTCAGCACCCAGACCTTGATAGAGAGCAGCCAGGCCCTCAGTCTGAGCTATGCGCAAGATGGTGCTGAAGACGGTTCGCTGTCTGGCTCGCGCTGCACGTGTCTTGCTGGCATCGTTCATCTTTTCGGTTTCTGAAGTCTGCCCAAACTTCTGGGACGGCTTCTGCGATGACACTTGTGCACGTGTCTTTGCGAGCGAGAAGGGATATGTTATCGTAGATGCCATAGCCTTGCTGATGGCAGCTATAAGAAAGGTAGTCTGCGCGCCTGGGTCCGATCTCCGGTCTCTAGACACGAGCAATCGAAGAAGCACCTTGTGTAGAAGGAAGGTAATGGAAGGATTGAGTGTGAGAACCAAACTCGCTGAATATCCGGACCAGAAACCCTGCAGCCCTTTCTCGTCGCGAATCTGCAGTGCGATGTCTTTGAGGGTGATGTTGCGGGACGTTGCAGACGCAGGGTCTCGTGCTGCCATGAGTGCAGCCGTCTGTTTCCGTGTCACAACATTTTGCACGGGCGTCGTAAACAGCTTGGATATAGCGCCTGCTACCACGCCAATGCCGATTTCATCCAGAGCTGACAGTTTTGTTGACCCCAATGCATTCCTTCTCTTCTGCCCAATGTATGTGTATCCGAGGAAAAATAGGAAGCTGTCTGCAACGCCTTTCAGAGTCTCGGGCACCACCCCTGAGTAGAATGCGCGAACGCCACCTTCCCGTGAATATATCTTCTCGACTGCATCCAGTATGCCCTTGTATTGCGCTTCTTCATCGTCGGTCTGGAACTGCTTTTGCACCTGCAGCCGGGTTATAACGAGATCCAAAGGATATGTTACGAGCTTCGAAATGGCAGTCCCACTCGCGCCGGACAAGGCATGCCCGAGTGCAGGCAGAGCAGGGCCTATTATGCTTTTGCGCGGTTCTTCCCGCTCGTTTACGATGTGGTATAGAGTAAATGCATCCTGATGATAATACAAGCGTCAGTGGAAAACTACAGTTTAGCTGGGCCGAGGCTTACAAGCTGCGAGTTGTAGATGAAAGCCGCCATGGCGACTGAGTCTATGGCCTACAATGCAAGTGCAATAGCCGTTACATATGATACAAGACAAAAATCAGGATATCTAGGTCACGAAGCCGTGCAGGCGCGGGGTCGGTGGTGATGGCGTTGTCGCGCGACCGTTCATTTTCTAAACGTCATCTGGGAGCTCGGATGTTGTTTGTTTGTTCGTTCGCATGCCGATTAGCTTGTGAAAGCTGGGGCACGATGTCAGCCAGCATTTTGACAAAGGGAACTTTGAGAAATGCATATTGCGGCAGCTTCTTCACCAATCCATCTCTGTGGTCATCGCCAATTTACACAATTTCGGAGATGCAATCAGAGCAGATGTCTGGCTTTGAGCTCAACCCGAGGTACTTTTCTTGCGACCTTCTTCTTCGGGTTCGAGTGCCTACTGTTACCCCTTCCAGCTTGTCTCCCCCAGGTTTTCCCCACACTATCGATGACTTTTCTCTCCGACAAAACTGCCGCCAATGGGTGACGACACAAGACACGGCCAAGTATGGGGTACAAGGGTAACTAGACATCAAAGAGACTTAGACTGTGTGCATTTCCCGGATTCCACCCGTTTTGCCAACATGAAGACTCGCCGAATTGCGGTTTCTGGCAGCTTATAAAATAGTTCCTAGGCAGGCCTCAAAGTGTTTCTTAGTTATCTGCCAGTGATCTCAAAATGACTTCGAACTTCTTATACAGCTTAGGAACCATTGCGACTTCGCTGTCGCTTCTCGTGACAGCTGCTCCCACGCAGACGTCGCAATGCCAGCCATGGACAATACACAAACCAGATCGCATCTTCGTTCTCAGCGACATATCCAATGAACCGGACGACTCTATGTCTCTAGTGCGCCTTCTCTCCCATTCCGACATGTACACTGTCGAGGGCTTGGTTGCTACCACGTCCTTCTGGCTACCCAACGGCACTCGACCGGACGAAATCCATAAAGCAGTCGATGCATATGGGAAAGTGCGCGACAATCTCCAATCACACAGCAACCTCACCTTCCCAACAGCAGAAGATCTGAGCGCAAAAATCGCAAGCGGGCCCACGGTATACGGAATGGAGGCGATAGAGGCTTTGGAGGCAGGGGAAGACCTCCCGCCAGGCTCTGCAGCACTTATTGAAGCTGTCGACGCAAGTGAAGAGCCTCTCTACGTTCAGTTATGGGGCGGCGCCAATGCACTAGCTGCCGCTCTCTGGTCGGTGAATCAAACTCGTTCCGCCCACGAGATTGCTGTTTTTACGTCTAGACTACGCATCTATTCGATTTCGGATCAAGACGATGCGGGTCCATGGGCACGATAGCACTTTCCAGATATGCGATGGATAGCTAGCCGTGCAGCTTTCAACAACTACGGTACAGCGACATGGCCGGGGATTAGCGGAAACTCAGGCGCTGTCGACGCAGGTGGTCCTAACGATACAATCGTGCAGAATGAATGGCTCGATGAGAACGTTCGACTCGGTCCTCTCGGTGAGCACTATCCACAAATCGAATACATCATGGAAGGCGACACACCCTCTCTCATGTACAACTTTGCAAATGGCCTTGGAAACCCCGAGTTCCCAAGCTGGGGTAGTTGGGGAGGCCGATACGGGGCCAACCCCCCAAACTCATACGCTCAGTATGCCGACGCAACCGATACTGTGGTTGGTCTCAATAACCTCACGATAACAAGCAACAAGGCCACCATTTGGCGATGGCGCGAGGCGTTCCAGAATGAATTCGCTGCCCGGATGCACTGGACTCTTGCACCCAACTCGCCAAACTCAACTGTAGCGCATCCTCCTATCGTCGTAGTCAATGCTTCATGCGGCGCCGACTATCTTGAATACAACGTCAATGTAGGTGATACCGTTACCCTTGACGCATCTTCATCCTACTCTGTGGACAGCGGCGCAGACCTCGCTTTCGAATGGTGGCAGTACAAAGAACCATCTACTTGGTCAAACAATGTTGGTGTAGTGCCGAGTATAAACTTATCACCTTCCAACGGCAGCACGAGTGATGTAGTCCGCTTCGAAGTCCCTGCTCCACCTGGGGGCTTCTGTTTATCGCCGGAAAGCGTCAAGGGCAGCGGACAATTCAAAGAGAAAACCAAGTGCCAGACTCTACACGTTTTGGTGAAGGTGTGGGATCGTGCGACCAAGTACCCCATCGAGAGGTATCGTAGAGTCCTGCTGCATGTGCAGCCTTATGGGACACCATCTACATAAATACGTAATCATATAGTTATCGAACCGAAAAATGCACCATTTTCGATTTTCACCCTCCATCTAATCTGTCGACTGATTATCTCACCGGCTTATTCAAGATGTCAACTCCGCTCATTTCATGTATTCACGTAGGTATTGGATACTCCTCTTGCTTTGAAAGATGGTCGCATTTAGGTAAGACACCAAGTAAGAAGCGCCACCATGCAAGATAACCCCACAACCTCTTTCTCAACAAAGCCATTGACCCAGCAACGATTTTCTCGGTCCGCTGCGGAAGGCGCACCCACCCTCGCGATAGTTTTCTGCGGGGGTGAAGCAGCAAAAGAAGAAAAAATATGGAACTGTGACGTAAACCTAGTACTAGTCTAGAATAAAAGGCGCGTTTAGTGCACACATACCCCTCCACAGCAGACAAAAGTTGGCAAAAGCTTGAAAAAGAAGAATTCGGGATTGTAAAGGGGACAAAAAGCGACGGCTGGATATAACCATCGTCGAGAACCACATCACCAATTTCATCGAAAACGACAAGAGCGTAGCATCATCAAAGGATTGTTCCTACGACCTCAAAAGACCTAAGCTACTCTACCTAGCGCGGCCACTATCTTCATCACTGCCCCCAACACCATCAAAAAACAACTACTCATCCCCAACCCAAACAAATCTCAAACCCCGCAAAAATGGTCTACACAATCGTCGTTCACCTCTACGCCAAAGCCGACAGCGCATCCATCTCGAAGCTCAAGGCCAAGCTTGTCGAGGCCAGCGGCGTGTACAGCAAGGACCGCGAGACGCTGAGCTGGTTCGTTATGCAGGATGTCCATGATGAGCGCAAGTTCACGATTGTGGAGCGCTATCTGAAGGAGAGTAGTCAAAAGTATCATCTTGAGGTATGTCAATCTCTTTTCTTTTTCCTCTTCGGAGAATTAGTTGAGGGGTGGTGGATGTTTGGTTGTAAGAAGGTTATAGGAGCGAGAAAGGAATGAATGATCAGAAAGACAATAGAAGGATAGATGATTCAATATGAGTTTGCTAACGTTGAGTATAGAACCGTAGGTTAAATCCATTTTCACCATCCACAACATAACCATTGCACACCTCACATGCAAATATTTATCATCACGTGCTATACCTCTCTTCCTCCTCCCCCTTATTTCCTCAACCAATAGAGAAACAACTCCGAAAAAAAAAAGATCCCAACTAACTTCCTCTAGCATACTGGCAAACCTTCGACCCCTACGTCCTCCCCCTCCTCGACGCGCCCATGGATCTGCGCAGGTTCGAGGAAATGGATACGAGCGGCACCGCCGCAAGCGCGCATTACAGTGAAGAAGCCAAGGGAGATCCCAGTGTGGGTGACATGTACAGGGAGTCGTAAAAAGCAAGTTCCTTTCGAGTGTTGATGCTGTGATATGGTGAAAGTTCTACCCCAGATGCTAGATAGTGGAAATCTAGGATATAACTATACAAAGAAAGGTGCATACACAAACCATACAACGCTTTTTCGTTCTTTCCTCAATTGAAACGATATCAAACAGCGTCCCAGTACTCTGTATGCTTCTAGTGTGGCGCGTATGGATGGAGAACATGTCAATCGTGGTTACACATCTAATATAATAGTCCAAGAACCAACTATCAACACTTCGTTATCTGAACCGTCATCTCGCACGAGGGCTACAGGGATATCAGAGGAAATATTACAGAGCCTCCCGAAAAGTTCAATGTATCCGTCTTGAGCACATAGTAGTCATCAAAAGCCTTGAGTATTGATAAATTTATTGATTCTGCCCTAAGTCCACATTACCACCAACGCGCCGAGTCGCCCCAGTTCGTTCATCACCAGATTCACCACCATCAACGCCTGAATCGCCCGCCTGTCCGTCCATTCACCACCGCCCATCCCCATCGACGCGCCAAATTGCCCAAGCGTCCATTTGAGTTGTGATATCCGTGTCCGTTCATTGTTATAAGGTTGGAGCTAGCAATAACCAATCGGGAAGACGCGCAAAGGCAAAGGCATTAAAAACAATCAGTGCCTCCCGACAGTACTTTCCTTGGATACATCCAGTGACCCGGGTTCGTATGTGCTTCAGTGTTGATACCACCTCGGCATCCATGTCTAACTTTGGGATAATGGCAGAGAACAAGCGTAGGCAATCATTAAACATGTCCTAGAGAAGCCTCTTAGTATTCAATTAACTCCTTATTTCCATACCTGTGCCCAAATAACAATGTGGCGACTGTGATTTTCTTCAAGTTTCTGCACGTAGTTTTCGAGTCGCTTCTCAAAATCTGCGAGGCGAGGAGATTTCGAAGTTCATGAATCTGAGCGTAAGTGTTGTATCGCCTGACTTTGATCTGAAAGTAGTCTTGTTGATCCAATAAGGGTGACCAGCTCTTTGCAGGAGGGACATAACATTTCTGATCTGCTACCAAGCACTCTTCTGTATATCTGACTAACTCGTTTCGGAGATAAAGTGTGCGATAAGATGTGGTTCTTTCCGAATTGTTGTCTGCCCGATATCCTGCAGTGGGGGGACTTGCTGACAAATCAGCCTGACAATGAGATGCTCAGCAGCATATCGTAGGAGAGCGAATAGAAATGTACTATAAACAAGTCTTGTTATCACATAGCCCATTGCTCACCATGGGCACAGCTCTGTCGAGAGATAGTTGGATAGTTGGATGAGCTGGGAGTTACTGTTTTCTCGGTTCTAATAGCAATATTCTGACTATAGTGGAACCTTACACACATAATGTCTTTTTCAAGAATCAGGTTACATTGTTTTATGGCTGTTCAGTCTCTTTGCACATGCTGAGCATCAGTGGACCTGTCGCAGCACGGTATCGGAAGCATTCATCCGAAACACTGCAAATAGTGTGTAAAATGTCAGTCTGTATGCCATGTCGCCGCGAGTGTAAGGCGTGGGCAACCACACACGAACTGAAATAAGCAGTGAACTGTATCTTCTTTGCTCTGACGTCGCAGTCCATAAGCCCCCCGACAACATTTTTCTCGGGTCTGGTGAGATGATTTTGTCGAACACAGCGAGTCATACCTCGGTCCATATCCGGCTCAAAGTCGATATGGATATTGATCTGACCATGTTGAATATATTGCTTATCTTGATATCTCCAGAAATGAGGCTGTGTTGCTTTGAAATACAATTGGAACTAGGAAGGGAAAATTGTGCGATTGTGCCTGGTGATGTCTACTTAGCTTAATTTTGTCATCGTCCTGCGAAGATTACTTGGTGGCATTATTAGCTGAACTGAGAAGTGTTATTTGCTCTTTTTACGGCTGACAACCACGATAAGAACCACGAAGATATTCTCGTTTCCAGGAAATACAACAACATCGTATGATGAGGGTGGTGAATTGAAACATTGAGCGGGAAGAACACTCGATAACGTACTCAGTGCCCAGAATGTGAAAGCATTCGTCACGTGGTCGGCTGCAGGATAGCAATCCCAACGTCTTTTTGAACCGTTTGCCTGAACGAGTAATTTTTGATCTTGTCGCGTTCTTTTGCGCTCGAACGAGAATCTCCTCTTTAGGAATGCAGTATCCACTCACAGCCAGGAATGCCATCGCTTAGCCAACATATAAATTGAATCCCCATATTTCCGTAGTTAATATACAACGTCCAGTTCAAAGATGCACGGCATTTTCCGGCAAGCATGGGGAATGAAGGCTGGAGGTGGCGATGAATATTGAATTCGATCCTCGCTATGAATCGGCTGATCTGTCCAAGAACCAAACCCCTACACAAAATTCGACGAACCTCGGGCATCCAGGTGTACGGAGTCGGCTTAAGGTTGAGCCGTGGGGGACTTGCAATATAATAATATAGCGATCGCCGTTTGATTCGTCCGCTGCTAACGTACATCCGTACCCGATCAACCAGAAACACTATCAGCATATTAACAAAAAATGAAAGGGTGGACACAATCTTCCATCACAACGTGGAAGGCAAAGCATCGGGGTACCAGGGAGTGCAAGGAATTTGAATATGTTTAAATATTCATCATCGCCATCAGCAACCCTGAATTCACGGCACAAGTGATCTCATCAAGCGCACCCTCCCATCGCAAAGTCACACATAAAGCAAAACACAAGATGCTCACTACGCTCTCCACTCTCGCCGTTCTGGCTCCTGCTGTTCTCGGCCACGGCATCATCACCAACCCAGCCCCTCGCGCCCTTGGTCCCGCATACACCGCAGCCTGCGGTGAAGCCATCACCACCGCCGTAAAGCAAGACAACACCTCCTATGTAGAGCAGCTCACCAAGATCGCAACCTCTGCCGCCGACTACGACGCAAGCGCATGCCCTCTCTTCCTCTGCAAGGGCTTGCAGTACGCCGACAACACCGATAGGGTACAAACGTACACTGCCGGACAAGTCGTTCCCATCAGTGTTTCCATGCGCATTCCTCATCTTGGCAGCGCGAACGTCACCATTGTCGATACGCGCACTGATACGATTGTTAGCGACCTCTTGAAGAACTGGCCCTCTGGCTACAGCCCGGGCAAGAAGGAGGAGGATATTCCTATCGAGCAGCGCGAGTTCAGCGTCACGATCCCTGAGGGACTTGAGGAGACGTGCGCCGAGGCTGGCAACTGTGTAAGTTATGCTCTCTGTTTATCTCTTCAAGTTAATTTCGTTGCAATGTGTGCTGACGCTGTGATATAGGTTATTCAATGGTGGTGGTTGTATGATGCCAGCCCCATCATCATCGAGACTTTCGAGTCTTGCATTGACTTCAAGATCGCATCCAATGCCACTCGCGCTGTGAGCTTCAAGGCTTAGATGATGACCCCACCAGCTCGTTTCAAAGACAGTGAAATTCGGAAACAACGAATATAACTGGGGCTTTTAGTTAGTTGTGCAAGATAATTCTCATATGTAAAGAGATGTGGCCGAAATAGAGCAAGTAGTGTTTTTTCAAAGTTAATGATCATCTAACGTTATGACCTGGAATTAATTCAGCTTCTCGCCGTTTTCTCCTCGCCTCTCAGAGCTACCATCTCTTCGGTATCATGCTGTTCCTGCATTGCACTGTATTTTCCATTCGATCTTCGCCTACAGAAACCCTTGCATATACCCCCGCACCATCGGAAAGTTGAATGATCGACAGCCGCCTCCAGCCAATCACGCGCCTGCCGATCTGTACGATGTATATTGCATGCCCCATAATAAAGCAATCTACGCCTCGTGCTGCCGCGTCGCCCAAAGTGCTTCTTCGGGAATCTCACAATTTGAAATCATTCTTTTTCTTTGCTGTTGTGTGGTTTTATCGTCTGGGGAAAGCTTAGCGTATACGTCAATTGTGAACAGTGTCAGTGACGTATGCGGATAGTTCAAGAAGAATGCCTGGTTTGAGCTACTTGCTCATGACATTCTGAATAAATGGAGGCTCAGATCTGTGCATATTAAGCGGATGACAAGAAATGGGACTTTGGTCGTTCATCTTCTTTGGAGTTTAGGTGTTGCTACACACAGCGATGGCTTAAAGCGATAAAAGGTACAATGGAAATAATTTACGCGCCCAAATAAAGGGCAGCCAAAGACTCACCAGGAAAAATTCAATCGTGATGGGATCGACCATGCTTTTACAAATGTAGCATGACATGTTTCGTTGTGAGATACTTGATGCGGGGTCTGACACTTGCACAGCCTCTTCCTTCAGGGAACTACCTCGACGTGCTATCCAAACAAAGATCAGAGCAGTTGATGTAACACACAAAAACATCGTATTTCAAGGTTAAACTCCTCGCAATGCCCTCAGGATACGAATGCCTCGATACAGCGAGTCCGAGATCGCTCCTCTTCTACATCGTCGCCAACGTCGGCCTTGGGGGGAGTAGCCGGCCACTTGCGGTCGCCTACCGCCAAGGCAACGATTTCCATAAATCATTCCTGCCACGCGTGGAGAATCTCGTCAACGACATCCTAAGCGCAATCAAAATCTTCTCAAAACCTGAAGATCGCTCTGCTCTCGAGGCCGAGCGCTGGCGAGCAACGGAATGGTATAACCAGCAACTTCAGGATGATGCTGACGGGGGAGAAGGACAAAGATATGCCACGCTGCCAGACTCGCTACAGCCACCTTGGTCTGGTTATAAAATGAAAAATTGGAGGCCTGCCTTGCAGCCTGAGATGTCGCCGCGCAAAGATGCCTCTCCTCGCATGGAGTTTTCCTTGGCCAGTGACTATCTTGTGAAAGCTTTGTTGTGCAGTAACAGCAACACACGCGAGGGTGATGTGCAGCTCCAGCCGCTTTCACTCCCTTTCTATGGCAACTGCCTCGAGTACGGCATGGTGGTGATTGATATTTCTAATCTTTCGCGCATTACCTACGGCATCGCATGTTTCCCTGTCTGCTACATGGCCTACGTGGAGTATCACTCCTACACCGGAGGATGGGACCCCGTTGAAGACGATCCGCCTAAGAAAGAACCTGACGTTGTGCTTGTGAATGAGCGACCCCGCCTACTCTCATCTATCCTCTGCTATGTGCGCAAAAATTTTCCATTTTTAGAAGATGATGCCAAGGTTCGTGAGCTCGAGGAATCTTATTCACTTGTTGATGATGCTGGCATGTTGGACTGTAAGTTTGACCGAAACATGTTTCATCGGTCTTCAAGCAAGCGAATTATCTGACCTGATATGGTAGACATATGGCCTTTGAGTGATGATGTGTCACAGGAGTGCTTGGAGCCAAGCCAGGAAGAGCTACCTAAAATCGCGAGGCAAAGATGTAGTATCATGTAGCCTTATGCACAATCTTATTGTCTCTTAATTTAGGACACGATTTGGTCGGTGAGAAATTTGCCACTAAGTGGCCATTGATCAACTTGAAGGAGTAGATCATTCATTTTTTATTTGACAACCAACAAGTTTTCCCGTTGACCATAGCAATAAGAGCCAATTAGTTAACCGTAGTCTGGAAAACCCTATAGATGTCGCTTCGGCACCTCGCTAAATGCCGCGGCGACAGAAAGCAGACTGTGCACCCTGAATCAAGTGATAATTAGAACAGGAATTGAACGATACTATGTAGTCCATTTGTGCTATCGATAAAATATTCTAACTGAGCTTCTTGCTCCACGCCAAGAACGAGCAATTGACAATAGATACTATAGATAACCACCCTAGAAAATAAACCCACAGTAAATTTACCGGCAATCCCTCACGAAATCCTGTGAGGCCCAGTACAAAAATTAGAGATGCGAGAAACTTGAATAGCATGAAGGATGTGAAGTCTTTCATCGTACGTGATCGGTAAATATGCGCCGTCACTGGATCCAACGAAAGATTGTCTGATTTCTCGGCTGCTGTTAATAGTTGAACAGTTGGATCGCGAAGGAGATCGCTAAGCGTGGAGTAATATGTGATCGGAGGGTGTGGTGAACCTGCTACAGGCAATATCCTCGGCTCTGTATAAGATTTTCTTGTTTGTTTGATACCTATTTCTTCCATTCGCAAGGTCAATGCAAGGCTTCAAACTTTGAGTAAGAGCACGAAGAAAGGCAAAGCTTACCAACAATAAAACATACTACAGCTAAAGCCGGCTGCAACAGTAACGAACACATCACAATCTGACCAAAAGGTTCTTGTTCCCCACCCCCCACTGTATCAACTGGGGATGTTCCGCTCTTTCTAGCCCCAGCAAATAAGTCGAGAGCACTAGGCCCAATCGCTCTACTCAGAATCAAAAGCATTATTGTCGCCGTAGAAGATTCCATCATGTCCATTATGGTGATCAAATGGGCATGTATAACCATTAAAGCTTTGAACCGGATTCGAATAGCGATACTGAAAGGTTGCCGTCGAGACAAGTTCTGCATAGTGTGTTCCCAGCAAGCTTCAAGGGGATTTCGACACCGACGCCGGTAGTAGGTAACCATGTAGTTGGATGTATGACCGATGAAAAACGCGAATGCGCTCGTCGATGTCATATATCCTGCAATGAAAATGGCGTCGAATTTCCCGCGTAAGAGAGTGGATCCGGGTCTTCCGTCATCACATGTATTGTTGTTGATGGGGTCCGTATCAACACTTCCACCATCACGACTGTGTACATACTTTCCTATCAGAGCGAAAACTGCAGTAACGCTGAGTAGTCCGAAGGAGAGGAGCATGATCCACGGACGTATACTACTCCACCTTCGTTTCAGGGAAAAGTAGTGTTGCTGAGAGCGTGATACCACATGTACAGTTGCTCCTACCCACCCTACGTAAACTACATAGTTCCAAAGGGAAAGTGATAGTTCTCCAACGGAGAAATGCCAGAACGCGACTCCGAAGATGCCGAGACTTGTGAGAAGGATTTGGTCCGCGAGGAGGATGCCGAGCTCTTTGGCAGAATATGGGTTGCCGGTTGCAGATGGTTTCTCCGTGAATATATTTTTTGGGTCGCGTGAGAGTAACTTGTAGAGGGGGGAAACGAGGATGAGAATTATGCAGATGACGGTCGTGATGAGGTATGCTGTGATGGGCTGTAGTTATAAATCATTAGGAAAGGACTACAAAAGAAAGGAAGGGCGGAAGGAGCAGCTATAGAGACTTGCCTGGTAACTGCCTGGGTCAAGAGTTGGTTGAGAGGGCTGGTAGCAGGTAAAATTTGATCCTAGAGTTGCCATTGTGACTGTGACTAACATGTGTGGATAACCAGGAGATTCGATTGTCTTGAGGGACGGGAGAATCTGTGAAATATTAACTCTTAACTAAGAATCGCACAGTAAAACCCTTGAAGAACCAGTGTAAAAATAAACCAGCCATTGTTGCCTTCAATCGTCCCCAAACTTAAATGCCTTTACACGTTGCCTCTTGCCTGATCTGCATGAGAATGTAAGACAGATACGATACGATATCGCAGGCAGTGTATGCAAGGCGGCCACGGAGCTGACTGGTGATGGGGGCGGAGAATTTGTATGGAGCATGACAGGATGGATGTAGGCAAAAAACAACATATTGTCGGGGAATACGGCATTCGTGAGCCCCGATTTAATTGGAGAGGTTTATTGTTCCTGCAAAGCAGATCATACGCGATGATAAATTTAGGATAACTTGTTGCCTCGTGTACAAGTTTCAGCCTTGATGCTGCCCAGTGCAAAGTGGTACAAGTGGGGTTTGCCTCTCGCCGATCGGCGTTCAATAGTAAATGTCCAATGAGTACCGCGCAAAAGCTTGGATGTGCTCATGTATGCATACGCAAGTACAAAACAAGCGCAACTGGAGGTTTCTCTAATTCTCTGGTGGACTCGCATGTATGCTTTGCTTGAATAGACATCTTCGAACCCTTGGTTTCATCAAACCATTTTTGCAGATTCATATTCATTCATTTCTTGAACTTGGCAAAACCATTTGAAACTTCTTTTCTAAATATGGCCACTCCTCTTCGCTTTGCCCGCCTTGTTGGCGATCACGATTCCCAAGATCATGATGCAAAAGATCAGTGTCATGAACACCGCAGCGACCATCGCACAGCAGTGTCGTTGGTTGGCGCGTCGCTCGCGCCTCTCAGTCAAGATATCGCATGCCTCGCAGTGTACATGCGGTTGTTTTTTGAAGACACCCGCGATGGTTTGCGCGAAGGTTTCGGGTTGTTGAGAGAGGGGCGCAGAACTTGCTGAACTGTGATTGTGGTCGTGCGCAGGGATATCATTCTCGATATCTTCTTCTTGAGGCACGGAGGCATACTGCAAGTCTTCTGTTAACTCGTGATTGATCTAATGATTGAAGCTTGGTGATGCTTGCGTGCTTTACTTACGCCTGAAGATGACGATGCGGGGGTGAATTGGTTCATGGACAGATTGCCCATCACTTCCTCGTAGGCCGGTGCAGGCTCCTGGGATGTTGTGAGCTTGCCCATTATTGTGCGTTTTCTTTTGGGTTCTGGAGTTGAGAAAAGTGAGATGGGTTCCGAGAGGAGAAGATCTGTGGGTCTATATCTATGCTAGGTCCTTAGTTTCCCGCCAGCTGATGATGTTGTGGATGGCGCTTGTGATGAATGGCGATGATGCAGTGGCTGTGCAAATCGGTTACGCGGCACCGGTCAGGTTTAGAGCTGAGCCCTGGATCCTACAAAACTTGCGCCATATACTTTTGTAGTTAGATGGGTGTGTTAAGATTTGCGAGACTCCCTTGGCTTGGTGATGGTAATAGGCCGGCGTGGAGCCAGCCACAGCAAAACCAGCATGGCGGCCCCGAGTTTGTTCCCAGCCGTCGTTTTCTTCGTATCCGCAAGTTGGGGGCTCAGACGCTAGATGTGAGGACTGGTTCGCTCGTCTTTAATCAGGCATGTATTTGCTACCTGTAGTGAAGAGGAAAGGGTTCAGGCGACCATGATTCCTCTATCAACGAGGCTTCCTAATTGAAGGATTCAAGTATAACTCCCGGATACCATTGCATCGCACGACTACTAACACTTTGCAAACTGAATGTCTAACTGGCAAACATGCTCGGTAAAATCAAACAAGACCTTTTCGCAACCAAAACAATCAGGTCTGAGAATGGTATCTGGCTCATCAACTCAAAGATCTCCACCTGTGCCTCGAGTGCTGTCAGAAGCCAGTTCCGAAGCTCAATCGCAATGAGAGAATCAATACCATAACTCGCAACCGATCGGTCCAGTCGAATGTCTTCGGCAGGAATCGCTAAGAGGCGAGTGAGTTTAAGTTTTACTGTCTCGGTGACGATCTCAAGAGCCTGCTCAGACGTCGAGCACACACTCAGAGCATCCCGCACATTTACCTGCCCAAGCGACTTCTTCTCTCGAACTTCATGGGTGGCTTCCTTGCCACAGATGTGAGAGAATTTCGCATCGTCTCGCTGCATTCCTGCACCTTCTGCTGTGGACCCCTTCACCAATCTGCGTATTCCACAGACAAGCTGCGACTGACTGGGGACGCTCGCCAAAGGGTTCTGTATAGCCATTTCTATTATGGCCATGAACTCTTCCAGTGTGTAAGAGGTGAGTCCTTGACGTCGAGCAAATTCTGCAGCGACATCGTTTTCCGCACTGTAGCCTTCGCCTTCCACCAATCCGATGTCAATGGCATACCCTAGGTTACGTCAATAAAGTTCAGAATGGAAAGGGGAAATAGCCTAACCTGGAAGTCCAATGCTCGCCCGATAACGAGCGAAGGCATCTTGGAAGGTGTTTCCAGCAGCATAATTGCCCTGGCCAATCGAACCGATGACCCCAGCGCTACTGGAAAGCAACAGAAAGAAGTCCAGGGAGTTTCCAAACACTTCATGCAGATTCCACGTTCCTTGAACTTTGGGATCGATTGCCATTCGCCAGTCCTGATACCTCATGCTCTCGATTCGCGCGTCACGCAAGACCATCGCACCTTGCACAACGCCGCGTATGGGATGATCGGCGCATGATTCTTTCAGTCTTTGGATCATGTCTCTATCCGAAACACTGCCTTTGTAGACATTAAGAGCGACACCCCTCGAAGCCATTTCTGCGACAATCTCTTGTGATGCTTGGCTATCCAGGCCCGACCGAGAGAGTGTCGCGAGGTTCTTAGCTCCGAGATCAGCGAAACGCCGAAGTATAACTTTCCCGAGACCACTCGTTCCTCCCACAACAAGATACGTGCTCTCTGGATCGAGTTTTGGTGCCTTCGGCTTCTCTGGTTGCACCTGGATCAATAGTCAGTTATATCATACTCAAGTTGTATGTGAGCAGGCCAAGTACAGATAACATACCTTTATGGTTGCACGATGATCAACCTCTATGAGAATCTTGCCGATATGCTTCCCAGTTTGCATTAATCTAAAGCCCTCCTCTGCCTCGGATATTGGCTTTGTAGTGACGGGACTGATGGCTGCAACGTTGTCCTGAGAAATGAGTTCCAAAACAGTGCGTAAAATGTCCTGCATAAGTTCTGGACGTCGCTTCGCGACCAATGGCAAATCGACCGAACAAAATTGCACATTGTGCCGAAGGGATCGCATCTCTAAAAATGCATCCATGGAAAGTAGGTCCTTCTTTCCAATTTCTACGAACCTACCTAGTGGCGCCAAAAGCTGCACACTTTTATGTAATGCTTCGCCACTGAGCGAGTTCAGCACAACGTCGACACCATCGCCGCGCGTCCGACTGAGTATCGCATCATAGAACTCCAGTCCTCTGCTGGAAAATATGTTTTCTTCCGCGATACCAAACTTTTCTTTGACAAAGTTGCGTTTCTCTTCATTGCCAACTGTGACGAAGATGTTCTGGACTCGGAAGACCTTTTGTGCCAGTGTGATTGCCGCTTGTCCAACCGCACCGGCTCCAGAATGAATCAGCAAGCTTTCCGTGTCTTGAAGTTGAGCGACGGTCTTTAGTGCGTATAGTGCCGTAGCAAAGGCGGTACCGGTAGCGGCAGCAAGCTCCAAATTCATGCCCTGTGGTAAACGCCTGGCCCTTGTCTTGTGGATTATTGACGTCGTCGCAAGGCCATCAAAGTCATAAACGTAGACCAGGTCACCAATAGCGAATTGGTCGGAGGCGCCTTCTCCTATCTCCATCACACGTCCACTTCCTTCCACAAGCAAAGCAGTAAACTCATCAAGCTGGCCCATTGCGACCATCATATCTCGGAAGTTGAGAGAGAGGTGGGATAGCTGAACTCGAATCTCCTCTCGGCCCAGACTGCTGGAGTGTCTTGCAGAATCCATCCAATATAGCGTGTCCAATAGTCCGGGCACTTGGATGTTGAGGCTGAGGGGGCGTCCCAAGACCAGTGCATGCTCATCAATCGGGTGGAACTCGGAGACACTATTCTTGACGTACGTGTTCGTGTTATGATCCTCAACAACGCGTGGAATCAGAATTGCGCCAGATCGCATTGCGAATTCCCACTCTGTGGACGTATCGACGTACTCTGGGTTAAGAAGGCGTTGAGAAACATCGCAGATGTGTCTTGCTAGGTTATGTTCCCATTCCAAGGTTGTCTCGAGTTGCGATTGGCTCTCCAAATCAAGCGTTCTAAACTTGATCGCATGGTTTTCGGATTGTACGCAGCGGGCGAGGCCGGTGACTAGAGACCTCATTGGACTTGCGCATTCGATTGCAGCTCCCGATGTCACCCAGAGAATCATCCTAGCGTGCTGACAAATTTGGCTCACCTTCTCCCACTGTTCATCTTTACAATTCATTAGATACGGTTTTAGGAGCTCCAGGAGAACCACCACGATACTGCCTTTCGGTAAAGCGTACTGGGGCAGAGAGGATTTAGCATTGACTCCGTTAATACCGAAGAGCTTGACTAGTAATTCCGCAATGTTCTTCTCCGATGTCTCGTGTACGATGTAGACCGTTTGGCCTATGGAGCTATTCTGGGAAACATCATCTGATTGTTGCTCCATCGCTCCATTCGTATCTTCCACTTCGCTTTGAGAATCTCCATTGGTCTCATGTCGCCCGTTTGTTATGATTCTGGGGATCCGCGGTTTATTTACTCGCATTTGGGCCAGATCGTGTTGGTATCGTTTCGAATAGGCTACCGAGGATATGATAACGCTGATCTCGTGGTACGCGTTCTCATAGTCTGGCATATGAACATCCAGACCAGTGAATGCGCTATTCCGGAGCTTCTTGTTCCAAAGAGTAGGGTTCATGAGCGGCCCATCTTTTCTACCATCCGTTGAAAGCCACCATCCCGGTAACGTACCGAAGGTCAGGCCGGTATGCAGCATTGGAACAGTAATCTCCATGAGCGCAAGATGGCCCTGTGGCTTTAGTAAACTCCGAATCGACTTAAGAGTATTTTCAATGTCTCGAGTCGCGTGGACTACATTGACAGCAATGACAAGATCATATGAAGCAAGTTCAATGCTTTGTTCTCCGGGCGGGTATTCGATATCAAGTTTCTTGAATTCGACCAGATCACCAAAACGGTCAAGTTTCTTCATTGCCTTTTCGAAGAAGCCGGTTGAGATATCAGTGAACGTGTATCGATCTACCAGGGGGCGTCCATTGCTGTCCGATCTTGCAGCGAGAGCGTTGAGAACTGGCAACGTGGTGCTTGCCGTACCTGCTCCTATTTCGAGAATGCGCATGTTTGGATTCTTGAATTGTAGTAATTGAACATATTTTGCGAGCTGTCGATGACCTCTTTCGTGATTATCATAGCTGTACATCTTGTCAAGAAGTCCATCTTGCATGAGTAGCTCCAAACCATCCGTCTTGCCCAGGAGAATAGCACGAAGATGCGGAGCTAGACGAGCAAGTGCCTCTCCTTGTACCCCGACTGCTTTGACACGCGATTCCAAATTAACATCAGGGAACACCCCTGCTACTTTTTCAAATTCGGCAACTTTGTTCTTCATCCACTGGAGTAATTTCACAAGGTGTCCCTTGACGTTAAGCTCGTCATCTGGCGTGAGCGAGGCTAAAGTTGACTGCAACAACACTCGAGTGTATTCTTCGCATATCCTATTTTGACCAACAGAGCTAAGCTCTTTTTGCGGCAACTTGCAATGAGACTCGATCGCTTCTGGGTTGGGAAATGTCGGGTCGATTGACCATTGGATTCGGTGAGTCAAAGACTGCCCAGTAGATCTAGATGACTCTATTACCCGCTTTGAACCTCCGGGGTTTACCATTGTCAGTCCCTCAATCTTGATGAATGTGCGGGCTGTTGATTCATGAGAGTCCTGAACAACCACATCTAAAACAGTCTTAAACTGGCGTTGTTGGAGCAGGTCTGCGAAGACACAAAGTTCTTGTCCCGGTTTAGAGGATATGTTACTGTGTAGTACCAGACTTTTGATGGAACTAGGAACCACAAGATTTCCGAGAGCACCTGCTAATTTCATCGCCGGAAACGAGGCTTGTAAGCAAAGATCAAGGGTTGAGGGATGTATGCAGTGTGGCTGTTGATGTTTCTCAGGCATAATAGACTTGACATCCGGAATATTGAAGGAGCACACTGATGTATATTGGGAGGCTCGCATATCCTTGTTGTTTGCGAAGACGCCAGTGTAGTCTAGCCCAACTTTCCGGAGTTGACGATAGAAGTTGATAGGATCCATTCGGGTGTGGGAATGTTCCGAAATTGCCTTAATACGTTGCAAAGATCCGGGAATAGCCAAACTGCGCTGTTTATCAACTTGATGGACTGCGTTCGCGGAACCTCGACAGTGCCTCACTGAGTCACCTTGAACTGAGACAGAGAAAACACAAAATTCGAACCATGAGTCTTTAACCGAATGAGGTCTAAGAGAAGTGACAGTTTCCACGGTTGAATCTTCGGCTATGATCAGGGCACTCTCAAATCTTATATCACTGAAATTGACCACCATGTTTTTCCAGGCGTTGCCACTGTGTAGGGTCTTTTGCTTGACAGCCTCCAACGCCATGGATAAAAATCCAGCTGCCGGGAAGGTTATTGAACCACCAACCACGTGACCAGCGAGCCACGGCTGTTCTTTGAGACTGAAATAGTTTCTCCACGTTGGCTCTGAGGGAACATTGTCGAATGTTGGAGTTCCTAGTATATCATGCCTATTCAATTCACGTCGCCGGTAACAAAGACTCCTCCTCGATTCACTCCAAAGTGGGGCCTTGTGCGTCCACGTGTATGCAGGAAGATCGGGTAGGAGCCTCTTTTCGACGTTGTTGCAAGGGTTATTGATCACTTCGAGATTGAGGTTTTGGGCACCACTTTGGAATAGCTGCCCGGCAGCGGAGGTGGTGGTAGTGCTGGCGTTTTGATCTCGTTTCAATATCGATAAATATTCGACTGATTGCTGGTTCGTCGCTCTGATAATCTGTGCGATCGGTCCTGCAAGAGCAGAGTGAGGACCTATCTCCATGATAGCGACGGTGTCTTTCTTGTTGATCCGAGCTGCATGTAGCATTGATGTTACGGCATCAACAAATCGAACAGGTGAGGTCAAGTTGTCGCACCAGTAAACAGGGCCCAATTGAGGGATTTTGACTTCTTCACCATCGATCGACGAAAACATATGAATGCCGGGTTTTGGTGCACTACAAACAATGTCTTTGATCGAGGAAAAGTAATCTTCCCGAATTAGTGCCATATGATGTGAGTGATAGGCCGAATCAACCAGCAATGCTCGATTAAAAACACGATCCTTAGCAAGCTGCTTCTGAATGGCCGCGATTGCGCTTGCGTCGCCTGAAAGTGTCACACTGTGAGGCGAATTTTCGCAGGCCACGACAGCAGTGCCTGCGCCTGAAAAACTGGTGAGATAATCTTCGATATCCGTAGCAGAGAGTCCCACTGCAAGCATTGAGCCTTTGAGCTTCGGGTATCTTTCCTTAAGCTTCATCGCACACCGACCACGATGGTATGCGACCTGCATCGCAGCTTCAGCCGAGAGCATACCAACAACATAAGCGGCTGCGATTTCACCAGAGCTGTGCCCGCAGACGCTGGTCGGGTGAACATTCCATGATTGTAGCAAGTCCACCAGCGCTATCTGGATTGCTGTGCAAGCCGGCTGCGACAATGCTGCTTCATTTATTCTTGAGCTTTTCGGTGGTTTGCACACCTCCTGAATTAGGTGCCATTCTGCACCTAACTGCAAAAGTATTTCTTCTGATCTTCTCATTGACTCCGCAAAAACAGGGCTTGTGGCGAGCAACTCGCTAGCCATCCCAGGCCATTGGGCTCCTTGGCCACTGAAGACGAAGCAGATCCGAGGGGCCGTGATATAACCGGTGATTCGATCCTTGTCCTGCTGTTGTCTCTGTAGCTCGTCGAGAAGCTCCTGCCGGGTGCTGGCGATGAAGAAAAGCCGATATTCTAAGTGGGAGCGGCGACTAAGTGTCCAGGCTAGATTGTTCAAGGTTTCCAGCGAATCGTCTAGCCTACTAACGTATGACTTCAGATTGGCCACAGCTGTACTGAGCCCTGATTCAGTCGCATGTGAGAGCACAAAGAGCCGAGGCGTAGCTGATGTCTTCATTACTTCAATACTTCGATTTGGCTTGCTCGGAGGGTAAACGGTGGTCGCTTCTAGGATGACATGGCCATTTGTTCCACCGTACCCGAAGTTGTTCACTGAAGCTCGACGTTTCGCATGTGCCGGCCATTCGGTCAGTTGGACTGGAATCTAATCAATGTGAGAAAACGGCGGCATATACTGCGATACGCCTCTTTCACATACCTTCAAGCTCCAGTTACTTTTCGCAATTTCGTCATTCGGTTGCGAAAAGTTTGGGTTTGAGGGGATCATTCCCCGCTCAAGCATCATGACAGTCTTGATCACAGCTGCCAAACCAGAAACGCTTTCCGTATGACCTAAGTTTGCTTTCACACTCCCAACCAAAACATTCCGACCATCACTGCTTTTGCAGAATGTGGCCGCTAACGCGCGGGCTTCGATTTGATCGCCCAGTATCGTTCCAGTGCCTGCCAACGCGGTTAGCAGCAGCTTGGTATTATGAAGAACCCTGATTACCATGAGATTCTACGTAAGGCGTATCACTCGGTCTCAACTTAGCCTTTGCGTACACTTGTTCTATCAATCTCACTTGCGCTTCATACGAAGGCATAGTTATACCGGGGGTATATCCATCCTGATTGACTCCACTAGCGCGTATAACTGCCCTGACTGTGTCTCCATCTCGCAAAGCTTGACTAAGTGGTTTGAGAAGAACTGCAGCAACTCCGTCGCCCCTTCCATATCCATTGGCGCGCTTGTCGAAAGAGTAACAACGTCCATGCGATGAGAGCATTCTATTTCTGTAAGTAGGGTCATTCCGCATGCAATGGAAAGACGCTTACGACAAGGTTGACATAACTGTCATTTGATCAGGGTCAAGAATGAGATTGGCTCCGCCAACAAGGGCTTGTGTCGCTTCTCCTTCACGGATCGCTTTACAGGCCTCGTTCAAAGCAACCAGACCGCTGGAGCAGGCAGTGTCGAGCGTCACACTGGGTCCTCTTAAGTCAAAGCTGTGTGAAACCCGATTGGCCAACATTGATGGACCCTAATTCCAATAAGCCAGTGTATGCGTCGCCTTGTTCCAAGCACTCACAGTCCCCGTAAAGCGATACCTTTTCTAGTCAGCATTGATCCTGCCTTTGTAGTAACGCGTTCTTACATTGGAGATGCTTCAACATCTCTCCCCAGAATCTTTTCGTAGTCATGGTTCGATGCGGCACAATAGACTGCGGTATCAGAGCCTGCTAACCTGTCCATTGAGACTCCGGCGCTCTCGAATGTTTCGTACGCGATTTCCAGCATCATGCGATGCTGCGGATCCATAGCTTTGGCCTCCATATTCGAAATTCCGAAAAAGCTGTTGTCAAACAAAGCCGGATCCTGCCTGAGAAGGTGAAGGCCACGGGCATTAAACTTATGGAATATCAATAGGCATTATTCGATATATGCAAACTCAACTTACTGAGCCCGATATATCAGCTTGAGGATGTCTGAAAGCCTCCATTCGAAATCTTTCGCCCGCTTCATTGGTCCATCCGGTGAGACCATTCTCAAGCATATTCCAAAGGGAGTTTGGAGACGTGGCGATGCCGGAAAATCGGCATCCCATTCCCACAATCGCGACCGGTTCTTGAGTCTCCTGCTTGGACAACATCGTTATCAATTGGGAACAAAATAATTTTGGTATACAATTCGACAAGGGATGATGTGCCGTATCATGACATTCCTCGACTTTGCTCATTTGACAGTCTCTTCCGTAGTTCAACCTTATCACATTCACACGTGGCCACTATTCTAGGGGAATGATGAGATGGCTAGAACTCAGTTTCTGTGCAAACTCAAAAAAAAACTTCAAAAAAGCCTGCAACCATCTTGATCTGCGTCAGTGACGTCGCTCGTTGGATCATTCTCTTTAAGGTTTGTGATCGTGGACTATTTAATCCAATCACGTTGTCTTCCCAAAGCTCGCTTCACTTCGGTTATCGATACTGTGTCTGTCACTGACATGATGCTCACCGACAATCCAGACTTTGTGTGAGCTGAATAGATGTGGTGGCTAAGACTCAAATTAAGTCGTTTCGAAAACTCGCTTCTTTAAGGTACCTGTTCTGCTGTTCAAAGGATCAGCATCTGACTCATACATTTCCAGCAATGAATCTTGCCCGCGCTGCGCAATCTTCGTAATCTCATTGAAATACGACGATTTTCACTCAAGTATATGGGGCCTGTGCAGTTCCAACACGCTACGTTCATCAACATCCGAACACAGCCCATACTCCCGCCTCTCACCCAAGGAAATGAAATATTTATAGAATGAAGGGTGGAAAATACGAAACCTTTTCCCGCTCTTCTACACCCCTCTCGATTTCTGCCTGTAACATTCCTTGCTGCTTGTCTCGCATTCCGGAATCAACCACATGGTACAACTCCTAATACAAAACCACCTGTATCAGGCGAGCCAGAGTGGCGCGGAACGCTTCCTCTGATGTACGCAAGACGGAACGATTTTTTCACACTCTATCCTTTTCAAACAGTAGTATCGAAAGTATGTCGTCGGAATTGGTCACGCCCTCGGTCCCGTTGGTTCCTGGATTCACCAAGCTCACCCCTCTTGACCAAGTCGAACCTCGATGGCTCTCTCAACTAATCTTTGTCTTCGAAGTTGAATCTCCAGACTATCAAGATGTGATTGAACAAGATCTGAAAGATGGACTTGCTGCGACGATAGACGAGATGCCATTTCTAGCAGCGCAAGTAGTGCCCAGCGATGAAGCTCGTGGCTCAGTTCAGATGGAGATTTCCGAGGACAGCGGCGTCTGGTTTTACACACAGAATATCCCGGAACTTAATTACAGCACCCTTAGTCACCGAGGGTTCCCGCCATCTTGTCTTTCGGTGGTTGATCTGATACCAGAGCCGAGAATGTATGACTGGAATTGCAGTCCTGTTCTTGTGATGCAGGCAACCTTTATATCCGGCGGACTACTACTGGTATTGAATCGGCCATGTCGAATCTAGCAAGATTTATTCTAACTCATTCTTAGGGCGTGAGTTTGCACCATTCCGTGGTTGGTGGTAGAGGTGTGTCCGTATTCGCAAATGCGCTCAGCAAAAACGTGGGGGCTATATCGGAGGGCAAGCCTGTCTCACAAATTTCGAAGCAGAATTCATCTTTCGATATACATGGTTTTGGAAGCGTGGAAATGAATATCTCTGAGTTTCCCAGTTGTCGCAAAATAGAACACGGCTGGCGTGTTGACTTCCAGCGGGAACTCCTCAGGATTGATCTGACGGGCGACAGCGAACACCCCAAGTTTAATATCTTACAGAAGATGACGATTTCGTGTTGGTCAATTTCTCTGCCAGTGTTGAGAAGTTTGGGTCAGAGTGCTCCGACGCCCGACGAGCCTGTCCTTACCACCAGCGCCATGATCAGTGCATTGATCTGGCGTCATTTCACGCGCGCCCGGAATTTATCATCACGCGGATTCAAGTCAACGAGAATTGTGAACATTGTCGATATCTCGAAGCGATTACAACCCCCCCTTTCAGACAGTTATCCAGGAAATTCAGTTGTGTGGGCCTCTTCAACTAAAGATGTCTTGAAAGTGGAGTCTGGAGCGCCGTTATATGAACTGGCGAAAACCATTACGGACTCCATCCAGTGGTGGAACTCTGAGAGGATCCGGGGTTTTTTCGGAGCTGTAGACACACTGCCTCATGTTGCAAAGCTGTAAGTATCAGCTGACAATGGTGAATACTATGTGCTTACATATTGCTCCCAGAGAACCAGCAGTCGATACCAATCTCGGTCCTGATGTGAGTATCACTGATAACTCCTCGTATGGCGGCATGTATGATATGGAATGGGGCCCCGACCTGGGAAAAGCAACGTGCCTAAGGTTTCCAAATATCCGCATACAAGATGGTCAGGTCAGTATACTGCCTTCTATTGAGACTGAGCAGATAGACTTAATGATCTCGCTGGAAGAAACCACCCTGGCACGTCTACGCCAAGATGAAGAGTGGAGGGCGATTGCAAAAGAGCAGATTTAGGCTGCATTCGTCTTTAGATTGCTTTATCTAGAACCAAAGCCCTCTTTTAGAGAACAAAGTTCACGCTCCAACTTGAATATAAAAAAAAAGGAATCTGGGCGCCCGTGTTTAAAGAGTGAAATCTCCTGCTCACGTGACCAATATCATGTATTATACCTAGGTACCTACATAAGTATGTACCTTATAAGAACTGTTGCGCGCTGTGATGGTGCAAGCCTAGTGACCTAGCACAATATTCCGGACCGAGAAAAGTCTAGAATGCGACGAGCTCACAAGACACTTCGGTAGGACACATAGAAGGTACAAAAACGCAAAGCATTGCACGACGTAATGAGATGTAAGATTGGGTAAAGAGAAACTGATACCCAAAAAAGTGAGACTGGTGCTTAAATGAGCAAAGAATTGTGAATTCCCACCACGAATATGTTGACGAATCATGCCGGGTTCACCAACGTGCCCAAGTTTCGGTTAATGCTGTCGTACACAAAACCTTGTGGTCTTCCTCCGCGTGCCCCCTAAAAGAAAAAGGTATTACTCTCGTCAACGTGTAAAGGCGACGGGTCTTGTTTTTGAACTTCGGTACACAGTCTTGACTCGTGCAAGAGCGCAGTCCCCCCTTTGTGCTAAATCTAACTCAGATAAGGCAATTCACGCGTCCTGGCGATCGGCGGCGCAGGCCTCGTAACACCCCGCTTCGCCGAGCAAGCTTTGGCCCGCGCGATATTGGCCATTTACACATGATATCATACATACAAGCTGGCGGAACAACGGCAAGCTCGTCTTCCTTTATTGCGCCGCTATCAGTTGCTATCACCTTCCTCTTTGCGATTAATGTGCGAAGCACCCCCTGGATGACGCGGGAGAACAAGCAATGATAAGCTCCATAGCCGAGGCTTGACTTTGCTTAAATCCTTTATTGCTTGTCAGTTTATTCTCGCACAATTCTATGCGTGAAGGCAGACGAATATGTCGTGATCGAAACCGCATGCTGTGTTGCGCGATAACGCGCGCCATGCTAAGGGGTAACACAGTGTTGTGACATGTGTTGAGTCGTCATCGCACAGGTTCTTAGCTTTCAAGCTCAACTCAATCTCAGTTAAATCAAGATCAGTTCTCTATCGAACGTGCGGCCTTGATTCACAGCCCCAATGAGCAAATCGAAGCGATCTGTATGTGCTTTTTTAGCGCACGCTGACCCTGTGTGGACAGGGCTGTACGTATGCTCGCTCAGGTTCACCTGCTATATCTGGTAAGGAGCTCGATGGCTCCAACGCTCAATGCTGTCACTCCAATGCTCAATGCTGTCATTTGAAAAGTATACAAATAGTCTTCCTCATCCATATTTTTGAATCCCAGCTCGGATCTGCTTGAGTGACTGCTTGTGCCCATCATGAAGTTCTCGCTATCGTTAAGCACTTCGCTCCTATACGCGTCCACAGCGTTGGCCATACACCCCTTTCATCCACGCAGTGTTCACAACAGAGTGCAGCCAAAAGTGGAGAAGCGTGTCGCAGGCCAAAACTTCCAGCACCCGGAGTTGCAGAAGAGAGCCTCCCGTTTCTTGACAGAGAAGACCAAAGGTATGACAAGCAGCTTACTTATCTCTAGCGAGACAAACCCTAATAAATTGCAGAGTTCTCCGTCAACGGTACAGGGATACCTGAAGTCCCATTCGACGTTGGCGAGTCGTATGCTGGGTTACTTCCAATCTCAGACAGTCCCGACGAGAGTCGCAAACTGTTCTTCTGGTAGAAAACTCTTATTCGTCTTGCAATGGTAGAAGATGGCTAATATCGAATAGGTTCTTCCCTTCTACGGCCGCTACTAATCCCGATGAGATTGTAGTTTGGCTCAATGGTGGCCCAGGCTGCAGCTCATTAAGCGGCTTGCTCACCGAGAATGGACCTTTCACGTGGGAAGCGGGCACGCTTGCGCCAGTTCAAAACTCGTACAGTTGGACCAATCTCACCAACATGATATGGTAAGATTCTTCCCTCATTAAATTTCAATGCATTCGACTGACTATAGAAACAAGGGTTGAACAGCCTGTTGGTGTTGGTTACTCGCAGGGTACTCCGAACATCACAAACGAAGTTGAGCTCGCTACCGAATTTCGTGGATTCTGGAAGAATTTCATCTCCACGTTTGGGATGAATGGATTTGATATGTACATCACAGGTGAATCGTACGTCGTTGCTATCTTCCTAGTAATGGCTGAAGTCTTACTCATTTATTAGTTATGCTGGCGCATACGTTCCATACATTGCAGACGGCTTCATCTCCACCAACGACAACGAGTACTTCAACTTGAAGGGGATCTCTATCAATGATCCCATTATCGGCAATGACGTTATTCAGGAACAAGGTACGTTCCTACGATCGCATGGTCAATGATTACAGCTAACACCAACAAGTTGTGATATTGCCCTTTATTGAATATTGGGAAAAGCTCGCTTTTCTCAACGACACATTCCTAGAACAAATGCGCCAGAACCAAGCGGACTGCGGCTATGACACATACTTCACAAAGTATCTCCAGTTCCCTCCGCCGGAAGGTCCATTCCCAGTATTGCCCGATCCCTACGAAACCCAGAACGCCACCTGTGACCAATTCGACAACATCCTCGCTGGACTCCTCGATGTAAACCCTTGCTTCAACCTCTACCACATCACAGAGACATGCCCTCATCCCTTCTCTCAACTCGGCATAATCAACCCGGGGGATTACCAGCCACCAGGCGCAGAGGTCTACTTCAACCGCACCGATGTCGCAGAAGCCCTACACGCCGTCGTGCCGACTAACTGGGAACAATGTTCATCCAAAAACGTCTTCGGGAACGGTACGGACCGTGGTTCGGATTCATCCCCGAAACCAGCGACCAACGGCGTCTTACAGCGTGTCATTGAACACACGAACAACACCATCATTGGCTCGGGTGATCTCGATATGATTCTCACCACCAACGGAACTCTTCTCGCTATCCAGAATATGACGTGGAATGGTGTTCAAGGCTTGCAAAAGGCTCCGACCACTCCTGCATATGCGCCGTTCCACCCAGAGTACAATGGTGGATCGCTTGCGGGCTCGGGGATCCAGGGAGTGTGGACTCAGGAACGTGGGCTTACGTTTTACACGGGTCATTTGGCTGGTCATGAGTTGCCGGGGTATACGCCTGGCCTTGCATTCCGGATGCTGGAGATTTTGTTGGGGCGTATTGATAATTTTAATAGCACGGCTGGGTTTACAACGCAGGCTGGGAACTCCACGGCATGAGGAGGTGATTAAGGTAGCTTAGGATCGCGAACTGCTATACTATTGTTCAATCTGGTGCTATCTTTGCTTTCACTTTTTCCGTGTTCTTCGTTTCTGTTTCTGATTGAAATGAAAGATTTGTCAAGATCGCAAATCACCCAAATCCAGAATTATTGCATACATTTGCGCTACAGAAGCTGGAGCGATAGATCGGCCATGTATTGGAGAATTAGTTACAAAATAATAGTACATATCATCAGAATCATTCCACGCCCACTAACATCCGCGCCGCCACATCAAATTAACGAGGGACTGTAACTTGGTTCTCCTAATGTTGAGCCATGATCCTATCATCCACAAGTAACCCTTGCCCACATCCACCCCTCTCACAGGTTCCGCACCAGTCTGAACTGTTCAATAGCTTATCCTTTGGTCGTAGTGCTACACCACATTCAGAAGCCTATTCGTCTCCGTGACCTATGTACAATCTTGTCAATATATGCTTGTTTATCTAGTATCAGGGTGCCTTACTAGCTGCGAAATTTGTAGCATCGACTGAACACTACAGCGTTGAACTGAGAATTTCCGTCCGTAGAGTACTACATAATTATGCATCCGAAGTCTGATGAGTGGACTACCATGTATTCTACTACATGCGCAACTCTTACGAAAGTTTTATACTCACACTGACTGCATGCAGACCTGCCCGCTACAATCGGATTGGAACAGTTGCGGCTCAAGCAAACGTGCTGACGGCAAAAGCGAAGTTTTTCGTGGATCACAGCTTTTTTGCACTCTCCGTTTGCATCGCCTTGAAAAGTGCAAATGTCTATGCAGCATTAGCCAGAGAATAGGGAAGTAATGTGGGAAATGAAGCTACGATTATTGCAGTATGAGCTTTCAACGCAGGCTCCTCTCTCGCATCCTCGCCAGCAAAAGTAAGCTCCAGCGACTGGCATTTTGTATGGAATAATCTTGTTTGGGGGAAGTCCTTTGTGGGTATGGATAGAGAAGGTGATGGTTGGCGTTTATCAAGATCAGACGAGGAATGGAGAATGAGGAGACGAGATCGATTTTGAGAGGCAAGACCCGTATTAAGTACTTACATGAAGACTCTCGCGAGCCATGTAATATCATAGATGGGATGATTCATCTGCTGTCTTGCTCACGTCTTACTATGAAAGAAAGCAGTAAGACAGGGTTTCATTGTATGCTACCATTGCGCATGTCGGTGTGTTTGTAAAATTCCCCACTCTGTAATTCTACGATTGCTTGAAAGTTATTATCTCTCTAATATATGAAAAGCTATCTTGTCTGATAGATAGTTCTTGAAAATCGAACATAATGTCGAAAAATGAACTTGGTCCAAGTGTTTGAAGGGAGTGCGGTGGTGGGGCTGGAGGGACGTCTAAATGCTATGATCCGAACCTTCTAGAATATATATAGAACACTGAACGAATAGGAGTCAAAAGCAGTATGTAAATCACGTGAAAGTTTGGTAGAAGGTCTTGGCACGCTCAGTGTTTGTTTGTCTCGGTGCGCGTCCAAATAAACGAACTCGCTCAGACAGTCACGGTTTGACCGCAGATTCATCCATTGATCACAGCACGACATTACATCTGTACTCTACCAGTTTGTTTTCCAGACAGGAATTGCCGTACTAACGTCTGTGGACAATAGGCAACCACGATCATTCTCTCCAAAACTTATCCAACCACTCGAGACGACCAGCGCGATGGACACTCAGAGCGGCACAAAACCTTTCAATAGCACAGAAGACCAGCAAACCACCGCAACTAATCCTTCGCATCTTCTCAGGCTTCCAGATGAAGTCTTGTTAAACATGACCAATCTTCTGGGCAGCAAAGATCTATGCCGGCTAGCACAGGCTAACAAGAGACTAGGAGCGGTGGCGCAAGACACTATCTATAGGGAGATCACCCTTCCGCAGAATACGGTTGTTGGCCTGCTGAATGTTTTGCGTGAATCGTACGTATATCCCAGATACATGGTCGCATGAGAAACTGCGGGTCGCCGTGTTTAACGATCGTCAAGTTCCTTTTAATTTTTTTTCGATCCATACTAAATCAATTCTACAATCAGGACTACACTAGCCGAAATGACTACCACCCTTGATGTTTCATGGCGGAATCATCCGGTAGCAAGGCTAAACAGCATGTTCATACCGGGTGGATTGGAACAGCTTGAATCTTGGGCGTTGGCTGTCGATTCCCGCCAAAACAACAACTTCTTCGAAACTCTCATGGGAACTAGCGTGCGGGAGTTCTATACTTCGGTATGGAGCAACCCATCCTTTGAGCGTATTTTAATACTCGTGATCGGAATGTTGCCGAAGCTGAAGAAGTTGACGGTTAAGTTCCCTCCGCGAGGATATCGAGCCCTTCCTATTTCCCACGATCGACTGCTACCGCTCTTTCATGGAATAGGAGAACAGTTACTTCAACAAAGATTGGAAGAACTAAATATCCGCATCTCATCGCCCATGAGCCTTTCAATGGAAAATGTCACACTTCGAAACCTAGTCAACCTGAGAAGGCTGAGCATACCCATGGATGCGCTTACATTTCAGTCACATGGGTCATTAGTCGCCAAGGCGGTACTTCCTCCTAATCTGGAGCTGCTCCAGATAAAACCTTGCAACCAGCACATCATTGTCTGGATCGGCCAATTCACCATAAACTGGTTAGATGGTGAATTCAAAAAGCTGAAGACGACAGAGCTGTTTTTCGACCAGCCATGCTTTCGATCCGGCCTACTATCCGCTGCTCAGGGCGATGACTCTGACCTAAACTTCCTGAGAAGCATGGTGGGCATATTGAGAAGATTCAGTTTGACTCTCGAAGCCCACACTAGAAACAAAGCAAAGCCTGGAAGGCTGAGAGAAGAGTTGGACGCTTGGTACCACATGTCTGATAGTGAGCGGTGGATGGCATCAACTAGAGAGATGGAATTCTCCGAAGCAGTAGCGAAGAACGATGCTGGTGAACCACGATTCCGAACAAAGGCCGAGATTCGCGCCTTTCTCGTGGATATCAAGTCAAACCTGAGCTTCAGCAGCCCCAATGACGAGAGCAATGGTCGCGATATCTATCATTTCGGCGTGCAAGGATGGGGGAAGAAGACTCCTAAATATGAACTCTCAGCGTCTTTGTCGGATGCTGCCACGAATTGGATCATCGAGCAGGGAGACAGAAGTGCCGAGTCGATTGCATTCTTGACCTTCGATCCTTCACGCTTCACCTCCGGGCAGGGTAGCCACCTGACATTCAACGCCGAGAAGTGGTTGAGTGTAGACTTCTTTGCCCTTGGTGACAAGAAGACACAACCCATCAAATTCAAACCGGAAACCTCAGCTTCAAGTCCTCATACATCGAGCCAACAGACAGATCGTCATCCAACAAAAGTGAGACGGTGTTAGCTGCGTGAATACTCAACTTCCACATTCTGCAACCCTCACCTCGGCAAGTACATGATAAAATGAGTGCTCCTATCTTCTCCCACAACGTCGGCGGCTGTCATTTAGCGAGGAACGGGCTAATGGATGGTATAATCTTTGTCCTCTAAAGACGATCGATGGCCAGCCACCCTTATGCGATTGCAAAGTCATCCTGACATCAAACAGGTCAATTGGTTGTCCAACCGAAAAGTGTTTCACACACCTTAATTTACATAGCACACTCCCATTCCTTCCCCCTCCTCCTACCAACTTAAATGTCTTAGAAAGACAGTGCCACACAGGCCTTTGTGTAAAGGACATCGCTCTCAGTCGATACTACCGACACATGACTCCAAACACACAGTTTACTCTCAAATTATGGGGCTTAGCGCACTTGAAAATAGGGTGTTGACGGCATGTCCTACTTTTGAAAAGTACTTTGAGGCGTGGCTAGTTAGAGTTTTGTCGCAAATCGAAAGCTTACGAGAGTGTCGGTAGCTAGGTATCTACACGATGCGCCTTCCTCCGTACTGTATACTATGTACACATATCCCCTCGTTTCAATAATATCACACAATGTGCGCAAAAAACATCAAATGCTCATGTCTGATCCGAGTGACCATGGATACGGGTGCACATGGAGAACATTCACTATATGACTAAGCCAGTTTGTTTACCTGGCTAGGGTCCAAGGTGAGAGTGCTAGAGGGTAGGCAGCAACACGTGACACTGCAAACGTGTGTGCGAGATCGCGTTTGTCTACCACGCCAAGTATATATGAACAAAGCTTTGTAAACACACTAACAATCATACAAACGCTCAGCCAACCCATTTCTAGTGCGTCCATAAGCTGTAACTTCTTCACTGCTGGCGACTGGCGACTTGGCGCACATATCCTACCCACGAACACACACGGAACATCTCTAGCAAACAGTTCCACCCGCGCATTCACAATTGATAGCCGCGAATCGCTCGCCAGCGTCTTATACCGAGATGGAGATTCCGCCCGACATAATCCCCTGTCTGCAGCTTATCCGTGGGATGGAAGTTCTACCTGAATCCCCGGCAAAGTTGCCAGTCACGCTTCACAACCTTCCCACCGAGCTTCTTCTACACATCGCCTCCTATCTTGTTCACACCCGCCACTGGAATGCAAGCTTGCGCAGCCTTTCACTCGTATGTCGCTCTTTGCGACCAATCGCGCAAGAGATTCTGATAATCAATCCGCAACTGCATACTTCTTACATCCCCCTTTACATCCACAACGTACTGGAGTATGGCCATAGGTTACGTTATCAGGTCAAGACTGTTGAACTCGAAAGCAGCCTGCACGAAGATGTACGTGAGCGATGTGGGGGTCATCGTACAGATCCGCCAGCGACATCTCGACGTGATGCTGCGCTTCTTTCCTGGATTGAGGCGATTCAAGACCCCGACCGGATAAAAAACCCACAACGTCAATTTCACCTGTTGATGAAAGGTTGTATAGAACGAGATCGCGTTGATAATCTGTCGACGAACAGTATCTTAATGGATGATAGGAGCAACCGGGGGAAGAACATAGATACATTCATTGTTCCAATTCTTGTGCTTTTCCTCATCAACATGTTCGACAATCTGAGGGAGCTGAAATTGGCTGGATGTGTCGTACAGCATTTTCCGTTTATACTTGAGTTTGAACCAAATATAGACAGGGGTGGTAGGATTCTTCGTACAGAAGTTTTCCGGAAAATGAAAAAGCTTGAAAACCTCGAGTGGCCTGGGAAACTGGGCTTTCGAACTTCAATTGACGCTCGAACGAGGCAGATTTATCACAGATTCAACATTTGGACATCGGTCAAGGTTTTCAGCGTGCCTATGTGGATGCTTCGGGTGTGGGGTTCGCCGATAGCGAATTGGCTGCCTGGAGTACCATTGCAAAATATCTTACCTGCTGGGCTGGTGTGTCTACGAATTACAGAGGCAGAATGTGTCATCGGCAGACTTGTGACTAATCTGTGTATTGCCTGCAAGAACGGGCATCTCTCTCAGCTTCGACGCCTGGAAATTTACTTCAAAGGATGCATCGACAGGGAGCGCTTTTTGGCTTCTGTTTTACGATATCCAGACCCATGGATCAGCATTCCCCAAATGTGCGCTGATGCAAATCTGGAACTACTTCTGTGCTCCCCAGGTCCCTGGAAGCCGTGCGATATCCAATACGATGTATTGGGAGGTACGGTCTGGTCGCTGAGAGAGCAAGGAGAACTAGGGCCTGCTGTAGTTCCAGAGGAAGTTTTTCGGGCGAACTCTTTCTGCAAAGCGGATTATGTAACGGGGTGGGGATATACCGGCATAGACTTGAGGATTGAGCGAGAATGGGACGCGGACGGAGACATCGTGATGCAATCATGAGGAACACGGCGACAGGACCACTATCCGACGATTCGATTTTTATCAAAATACAGCGCAGGAACTATTCCAGTAAAAATGATCAAGGTCAGCCACTTGAAAGACTTCTCAGGGTAGATGGATCATGGTCAAGACTCAATGGTATCGTCAAGGCGAGAATCGTACCCAGCGAGACGATGTGAGATCACTCTATGAGAAAGACTTTTGGGACCCTCATTTCTGAACCATTAGTTGCCAACTTTCTAGCTTCATTATCATCATTGTTGTTAAAAATGTGTTATAATTCAATTAATACATCTCTGTTGCTTTCGAATGAACAGTTCGTGTAATCACTTTACATAATCACTGACCGGTGGAAGTCTATATGTGTAAGCTCAATACAGCTGATCGACTTGTATTCTCTCAATATCGAAAATACGCGATCTTCATTTTTCTAACAACCAACTCATCCCTCTGACCGTATCCTCCACAAATTTCTTACTCCGCTCCAACTCCGGCCAGTTCGTCCAAAACATATGTCCGACCCCACCATACAACTCAAACCTCGTCAAGACCCCACTCGCCCGCAATTTCTGATCATACAACACTGCCTCATCTCTCAACGGATCCAAGCCACAAACCTGAAAGAAAGCTTTTGCAACCCCTTTATGGCCATCTACATGATTGAATGGATCCCACAATGGACTATTCTTTTCAGGCTCGTATATCTGCGAGATCCTAGAATCATCGCCCATATCGCGGAGGACAGGATCAGAGTTGTTATCGAAGCGGGAAGTGTAAAGGTGAGAGAAATGTGACGGTACGTTCTGGCTGGGAAGGACGACAGGAACACTGAGGAACTGGCCAGTAATTGGGGGAGAAAAATTGCTGTCGCGAGAGAGCAGGGCAAGAACTGCTGCGATGTTTCCTCCGGCAGAGGATCCGCCTACTACGAGTCCCTGGGAAGGCGTTGCGCGAAGTGTCGAAGAATTTTTGGTAGCCCATTCGAGAGCATCCCAGCAATCGTTAACTCCAATGGGGAATTTATGCTCTGGAGCTAGCCTATATGGAAGACGTGTCAGTTTTGGCAATCATTTTCACTTGTCAGTAGAGGTTGATAAAGAAATACGCACCTATATTCTACATTCACACAGACGGCCTTCAAGTCTCGAGCAAACATTCTACAGTTCAAATCCTCGTCTGTAAGATCCCCCATGCACCACCCTCCTTCGTGATACATCATAATTAGCGGGCTGCCTCCTTCAGGAGGTCCATTAGCCGGTTGGTAGACGCGTACACGAATGTTTTCCCCATCCCGCATAGGAATATCTTGCATTGTCTCAATGACTTCGGGAATGGGTCCGGGTATCGAGTACAAATGTCTGAGCCTTTGAAGGTGTTCGGCCCGTAAAGCACGAGACTCAAGGAAAGTGGATCCATTCATGATAAGCGGTCGGGCTTCAAAAGCCTGCACATGTCTTGTTAGCAGCGATCTCTGGTATGGAGAGGGAGAGCAAATGGAAATGACTTGAGCTACCTTCCGAAATTCCGGATCCACTTCACCAGATGCTAAAACTTCTGCTCTTGTAAGGTGAGCCATTGTTTCTTTCGATCACTCCGTACAATGTATGAATGCCAATTAGAAATTTAATATCTGGCTTTTCGGTACTGAAAAGTCGCAATGATATGTTCGCTATCAATTGTTACTGGATATGGTTGCACTGATGACGTCGTCTGTTCTTCTTTACACGATATACATGCGAAGAGGACGACCAATCCGCTTACTTTCTTCTAATATTCGAAAGATATTTGCTCGAAACTCTAAGCTTTAGTAGCCAGCACTTGAGCGATAAGATAATGTTGGATCGACTTAGCTCGTTGCAACCTTCAGCGTGAAGTAGAGTGGGGTAAAATGCTCATGTGACCATCTCCGAGTTAGATCCGAGATGCCATTTGCATATACGAAGGCGTGTAGATAAATCTGCATCTTAGAACAATCGATGCTAGTACCACAGACACTGGGATTATATATATGGCTTACGCCAATATGTAACTTTTGTAGCGCATGGGTGTGCCTTACAAGGAAGCTTGCATATCTTCGAAAAGGAAACATAATTTTGGGACGACTGTGTTCTTCCTATATATCACAATCCATGCGCATTGTTTTTTGGTGGCAACACTCAAGCTACCACTGGAATACCCAAGATGTCTATTGAGAACGGCGAGATCACAGAATAACACTCGGTTGGGATTTCAAATTCTAAGATGTGTGACATTAGAACTTGTATCATAGGACTTAGAAGGGGGGACAGTCAGAGAGGAGTACAGCTAACAAGGTATTATTAATGCAACAAAGATATGGCAAACAGATTTACTTGCTGAAAGATTTCAGGGATTTCATATAGCAGATTCGCCGTTCCTTTTAAGTTGGTATTTCCCTTACTAGGTTGGCCCTGCGCTACTTAGGTGCATGTGGGATTGCCCCACCCACGAACAAAGACGGGGAGAAAGAAAAATTTTGACGGAATGCAGAACGACCATTTTTTTTGGGTTTCGACCGAACCACTTCCAAACGAAAGACGATTACATGCCTGGGCTCAAGAATCTGGCTATATATTGCAACTTAGCTTCCTGGTTTTCATCAAATCACAACAACGGACGTGTGGCCCAATGGCAAGGCGCTTGACTACGATTACAACAGCAATCAAGAGATTCCAGGTTCGACCCCTGGCACGTTCATTAGAAGCTTTCTTTTTGCCAATGCATTGGCCTGGAGAGAGTTCTGGCAAACGTGGTGGATCCTCGACTGTCTTTTTGGGTCCTGTGGCGCACTGCTACGCGCCTATGGCATACGAGGATCAGATTTGTCGACGACCATTACAATAGTTAGAGGGAGTGATACGGTAGGAAATCACAGCAAGTTGAGATCTAAACATTCTGCTGTTGAATAGATCTGTAAGTCCCGCATCGAGTTGTTATGTTTTTTGCTGTACAAGCCAACATCTTTTTACTGTTGTGAATTTCTAGGTTCAGTGCATAACCGATTCATGCCATATTTATAGAGTTAGGGTACCATACGAGTCTTCTCAATTACTGTATGATATTGTAACTGGATTCCAGTCTCATAAGAATTAGAAAGCGCAACGCGGGTATGTATCACTTGTACATACGTATTTAAAAGTGCTTCGCAACGTGAACACCTAATACATATTACACCCCTCAACATGGCTACAAGTGCAATGGAATTAGCAGCAGACCCAAGAACGTACAAGTTCAAACGTGAATGCGAATAGAATCCGAAAGACATCCACTTTCTCCAATCCAAAGTAAGGGATTGCCATTCCCCACTCCTCGGTCGTCTAGGACCTTTATCAGATTGGCATAGTATATTGTAAAATAAGAGGCATATGCTGTTCACTAAGAAGCACGGGTCATATAGTAGAGAGTAGGGCAGTTAAGCTATTACTGTAGTATCAAGTGCACTTATCCAAGTAAATTCCAGCGCATCACTACCAGACACTGATCCATCACACTGTAAGCCTCCTAAAGTACAAAAATGTCTCCATTGACTGCAAACATATCCGTAGTACAGACTAAAAATGTACTTCATATCGTATACTTCTTTGCAATCGCCAGGATTCTTATGAGGACTACCAGCAAAAGACGCGTTTCTTGCGAGTGAGACATGTCGATCACCTTTGCTAAGTACCGAATATGACTAGGTTCCAAGAACTTTCAGAACGCCCTTGTTCATCAACACATGGCGCTGCTGCGTCAACTGCGATCAATTGATGAAACGCTGCGCAGGTTCAATAGATAGCTTTAGCTTAGCCATTCAAGCAACAATACCCTATCCATCATCTCATCAACCAAACGGCAAGAAAAAAACGCGCGCCTCCATAGCAAAAAAAGAATACACAAACACGTCGCACTGCATATATGTCTTATCAGACAATATTGTCAAAAAGAAATGAACGTGCCAGGGGTCGAACCTGGAATCTCTTGATTACTGTTGTAATCGTAGTCAAGCGCCTTGCCATTGGGCCACACGTCCTTCTGATCCATCTTCAGATGGAAAATTTCTCCATTACAATCAATATATATACAAAAACAGATAAGACAATCAGAACAGCTCGAAGTTCCTTCATATAAGGTATGTCTGTGAGTTGAAAAAAGTGAGGCGTGAGCTGGTGGGATGGTGGGGTAGAATGGAATGGCCGAAGTGGGGCTGTTTTCATGGGTTTTTTTGCTAGTTGGGAATGAATAGCGAACGTCAAGGGTGTTGGCCGCATGCGGATCCAATTGCGGATTCAATTGAATGGACAGGATGCTATAAGAGGATAAAGAGTGCTATGTGATGGTTGACTCATTGAACATCGCAGTGAGAAGTTGATTTCTATCACAATGCAAGCCTCGTTATCTCCAAGACATGCGCGAGGAAACGCACTGAAGCATTATTCTATTCATGTTTAATGCACACATCACCATAATCTCACTGCTGGAGCATCATCATGTGAACTTCATGTATTCAAACACTCACAAAGTTTACCGATTTACTCCAATGATGCAACTGAAAAAGTATAGCTAAATGACAATGCGCTCGAAACTGTACTTGGGCACACGCTGACTGATCAACATACCCATCTCACGCGCACTCCTCTCCTTCCTCTTGCCATTCGACCTCGATTTCTCCACACCCATATCCGGCTTCGCACCAACCGGCAGCATAGGTAGCTCATCCGGTTTAAGCGCGAGCGCATACGGCTGGTTTTTAGCCTGGAGCGCCTGTTGACTAGGCTTCTTTGACTTGGGCACTTTAGAGGAGTAGCGGAGCAATTCGCTGACGAGACCGCGAATGTAGGTCGCTTCCCAGAAACCGTTCAGCGCGATCGAGGTGTCTTCGAGCAAATCGAAGATCAACTCTTCCGTGCTTTCGTTCGCAGCAGAACCGCCGATTGCGGTGAGCCAGGTGGCAGGGCCTATAGCATCGAGAGTGCAGCTGAGTAGAGATGCAACGATCGCGACGGCGCTGTCGTCGGCTTGGTCGGGTTGTGGGTTGCCATTCAAAGCCTCGGAGTCTGTGAAATGGTACGGTGATGTCCAGCCGCCATTCCGGAACTCGTGGTGGAGTAGTCGTATTAAGGATTCAAGATCGTGTCTGGGCAGCATGGAGCGCAATGTGGAACTGATCACTGGAGTTGGGAATGTGTGTAAGCGAATGAGTGCGGGGCGTAGTGTGCTACTACGGACGGTCAAGCCGTTTTCGAGCATTGCTTGTGCACGTATGATCTCCTTCGAGGCAGCTTCCATCTCAGATGCGATATCGACATCCATGGCATCAGTCGCTGTGCTTTCGCCATTAGTGAGCAGCCGTGTTCCCTCGTCATTTTCTGGTTGATCATCAAGACTCTGCATGAGCAGCTTGATAGCTTGGACCACTTCGCCAATGGGAAGATAATGGCTGTGGTTGAGGATAGCAGACAGAATATGCAGCTCGGGGTCAAAGTCTACCATGGCTCGTACAATTTCCCCATCCCTGATTGGGGTCGTAAGACTTAGGCTGGACGTAGGATCATCGAGCATGGCACGTCGTATCGAGTCTTTAGTCAGGTAACCGGACTGAAGGATCCACTGGAAGACATTAGGAGGGAAGAAATCCACGCCCAGAGTTCCCCGTAGATCTTCTACAGAAGGGGAGTCGATCCAACGAAAGATCCTGCTCAATGCATACAAAGCGTATCGCTTATATCGAAGACGTTGTCCTTCAGGGATAGATCTTGGCAGTTTCCATTTACGAGGCAATTCGTCAACAGAGTCGTGTTCTGCCTGTGATGCTGTATCTGCAGTAGAGTCTTTAGCGCTAGCTTGTCCATTGACCAATTCGCTGGTGTCGAGAAGTGATGAATTGTCTTCAGCTTTGTCTTCACCCTTCTCAAGCTCAATACCCAGATCACTAGCAATAAGACTCTCGAATCTGGCAATCTTCCCTTTGGAGGCATACTTGTCGAGTTTGGACATTCGGTCTTGCCATTTTTGTTTCTCATGCTCAGACAGCTTTGTGTCGTCGGCCGAAGATTTGATTCCTTTCCCAATTGAATCAATTAGACGCGTGCCTTCTGTCTTTACCCTCTTCCGCGAAGTATTGATTTCGAGCTGAATTCCTATGATCTCTGAATCTCGAGTACCGACCACCAAGCCAAGATCAGCATAGTACGAGATCGTTGTTGGCGTAATCGGGCTGTTGTCTGTGGCATCGGGCTCCGCATGTTTTCTCTTCCTTGAGTCTTTCGAAGGAGTGGGTAAACTGGAAGTCAAGGGTAGTTCGGCTTGTACTGAAGAGTATTTTGAGTCCAATACTTGACAAGCCTTCGGAGAGGTTGTAAAAAGCAGGTCTTGGGAAATGCGTAGGAAGGTCCTCACATCGGATACAGCAAGCACGGAAGTCAATTTTGGCAGTGTCCCAGCGAGATCAAAGGACAAAAGGTCGCTGCCGTATAGTACATGCAAGGCGCCAGTGTTGGCATGCAGGACATAGGATATCGCGGAATCTTCCTTTTGTGTTATAGAAGAGGGGAATGGCAGGTTCCATGAAGTCAGATGTTTGACGGGGGACATTTGACTTGTGGTGATATCCGGAGATCGAGGTGATATCCGAAAGAGGCCCATAGTTCGAAAGCTATCTGGTTGCTTACACACGACAGAGAGGACTTGTGTAAGATCCAGGAGATCCGACTGTTCGTCGAGAGCAGGGTTGAGTACAGCAGCAATGTCCTGGCGATTGCGCAGCAAACCATGGGTGATGGACTTGGCGGTACTGAGAGACACATGCTCAATCCTGAGATCGGCCCCGTGTGATGGCGATAATGTTTTCAAATTGGCGACCCAGCGTACAACCTCGAGGTTGAAAGATAGGCAAATGACATCGCCGTTTTCGAAAACCACGAGAACATCATGCGACGCATCCTGTTGGGAGCCACCGGCTTTTACAGGAAGTGAGTCAATGGCCACTACTTGGTGGTTTGAACCTGAGAGTGTGTATGAGGTCTTGACAATGTCGGAAGTGTTGTCTTTGCGGATTTCCTCGGTGAAACAAACAAGTTGTGCTTTGGCGCCGGGTGTTGATTCTTGTACGAATGCATACGTGAAGCGGCACGGTGAGGATTTAGAATTGCCTTTCCGGTATATAGAGTAGGGCGCAAATATGAACGAGGTCTGGGGTGGTAGAGCATACGAGGTCGCGAGGTGCGGATTTTGGATCTTTTGTCAGAGTTAACGATGGATTACAGCGCGGAGAGGGAGAGAGAGGCCTACGCTATAGATGGAAATGCCTTCTCCGTCGAGTCCAACGGCGATCTCGGTGCGCTTTTTTTTCTTGATGCCGCTGCTGATACTGCAGACACAGGCGGCATGCGGACGTCCACCGCTCTTGCCAATCGCATGCGGGAGGGTCGCAAGCGTGTAAGGTGCACCGATTGCCTGGTGGGAGGCCATTTCTCAATATGGTAGAGCCGAAACCGCAAGACTTCTTTTTTCCTCGGAAGCTGGGTGAGAGGTCTTTGAAGTTGAAAGTTGAGTTTGCTATTATCACTCGGCAAGCTCCGCAAAAAAAGTTTGGGCGCGGGCAGAATTTGGCGGTGTCAAAGTCTTGGCGCAGGCGGCTCAGGCTAAGCTAAGTGCTTTGCTCAGTGCCCGGCGCGTCACGTCGGCGCGTTTGCGAGCTCCGTTTACTACTTCATTACCAGCAGCCAGCAGCCCTCACCTTCACCTTCGCTCCAACGCCACGAAAACCCTCACCCCTCGATTAGCGATTAATTTCTCCTAGACTTGCGCTGCGAGTTCCTTTGTCTTTCCCTGGGGTTCATTTGTATATATTATCTTCCTCGCGACTCTAGTTACTACCCATCTTGACATGCTCCGGCTCATTGCCTCCACCCAAAGATAGATGGCTCTCGCTGCTGTGCAGCCTGTAATGGATACGGATCAGAATAAGGGCCTGCATCCCTTTTTTGCTAAACCTTCCAGTGATTATATTTGCCATATCCCTTTCGTTGACCTTCACTAACTCATACACAGAAACTCAACCACCTAATTCAGATAGCACCGCACGCCTCCCCGCTACTGAAACAAGCCACGAAACAGAGATTGAGCCGCAAGAGTCATCCGAATCGAAAGCCCCGAAAAAAAGAGGGAGGAAGCTTGGTTCCAAAAATGTGAAGAAGAGGGAAGATGCGTTAGGGAATAATAAGCAACCCTCGTTGGAGCTATTCACACGTCGATTAAATAAAGAGGATGTCGGCACTGGAGCTACGCACATTGACGATAAAGACACTATGATCATACCGGCGGAACAAGACAGCATTGAATCGCCCAGAAAGAGGAGAAGAACAGCCTCACCATCGGCTCGAGTCTCGGAGACCCTTGTTAACCCAGAAAACCGGGCCATTGGCGAGATCAAGGAAGGTTCCATACAGAGCCCGATACCGGCCGGTGAATCTTTTCCCCAAGCTCTGCTCCGAGATATCACGCCACCAATAGATATCCCCAATTCCGACTTACATACCCAAGCACCTGCGAAGGAACCCAACCCGTCAAGCATGCCAAACCCGGGTCCTAAGAGACTACTCACGGTCACCAAGAACGGGAAGCTTCTATCTTCCCCTCCCCCGGAATCTGACCAAGACTCGACTACCCCAAGAAAGAGGCGGACACGCCGTGCTGTAAATGCGAAACCCTTGAAAATGATGGTTGTCATCAACTATGGTCGAGACCCAATCAGGAGAGAAACGCTGGGCGAAAGCATTACTGCCATACTCGAAGGCAAAAAGTCATCGCCTGGTATGTCAATCTCAACTAAACCATCGATTCAACCTCCTGCGAAACCCCCCGCGAAATCTGCTGGGCCTCCAAAATCAACGCATCCATTCTTTCTGGGAAAGCCTGCACAGAAACAGGTTGCCAACGGCGCAAATAATGACCGGCGCCCTGATCCTCCATCTCAGCTACCTAATGTCCATCGAAAGAGCGCCGTGACCCCTGGAAAAATCAGGACTGAATGTCGTAATGAAAAGCCGGATTTTCCAGCACCTGGCGCTACTTTTGGAAATGTCCGGAACGTGTCTAAAAATTCTAAAAATGCAGACACGGAAGAGGCTCCTTGGCCCTCGAAAGGAACTGCTCATATTCGCAATCTGGATGCGGACGCTGCGCAATGCCTGCCATCATACGCGAAGCATTGCTTACTTAAGGATCCGAAGTTGAAGAAAAAGTTCTTTGCAATTCCTGACGACCAACAACTAATAACAAAGCTGTCACACCAGCTCCAACCATTCATGGGGGATGCACTAAATCATTCGCACGGCCATTCACAATCGGACTTTCAGCCTCCACCCGACGTACGACTGCCTACTCGACTGCTTACGACTGGGGCGATTATACAAGAAAAAGTACGCGGCCAGGTTTATGCTTCGTTGCACACCTTCAACCATCATGAAACTAATCGCTCGCCTACGCATCCGGCCATTCAATCTCTTTTCTCGAAAATTGAGCATACTCTCACTCCGTTCGATCTTGGTCAATGTGAATCACAGTCGTGGATTCAAAAACACGCCCCCAGGCAGACTTCTCACGTTTTGCAGTTAGGCCAAGAAGCCCTTATTCTTCAGGACTGGCTGAGAAATCTGACGGTTCTCACTGTTGGAGGCGCACAAAGCGGATCGAAAACTTCGGATGCCAAAAAGCCCCCCAAGAAGAAGCGAAAAAAGGCAAAGGATGACTTTATTGTGGACAGCGACGACGAAGAAGAGGAAGAGATGATTGAAGTCTACGGCGGCCGGGACATGCCCACTACTTCACACTTCAAGTCAACACGGAGGGCGCGCTGGACTCGGGACAAGAATGTCGTGATTTTGAGCGGACCTTCTGGATGTGGAAAAAGTGCTATGGTGTATGCCGTTGCCAAAGAAATGGGCTTTGAAGTCTTCGAGATAAATTCGGGGAGTCGGCGTTCAGGAAAGGACATATTCGACAAAGTTGGTGACATGTCTGAGAACCACCTCGTGAATCACAGACAAAAGGATCCGACGGAGAAACTGGAAGCAGCTTCCGCCGATGACACCGAGACTGATCGACATAGCGAAGCCTTCCAAAAGGACGTGGATAGTGGGCGACAGCGCACTATGGCATCGTTTTTCAAGCCCAAAAACCCATCAAAGACAAGTCCAAAAGTCACAAAGGCGAAAACTAAAGCTGTCTCTGCAAAAACATCGCACCAAGCCACCCTAGCAGCTGAAAAAGTACAACGAATAACCCAGAAACAATCGTTGATTCTTTTCGAGGAGGCCGATATACTATTTGAGGAAGACCAGCAGTTTTGGAGTTCTGTCACCAAGCTGGCATCTCTTTCCAAACGGCCCATTATCGTTACTTGCAATGAAGAGTCGATGATTCCTTCCGCTCAATTACCTCTGGCTGCTATTCTTCGTCTGTCCCCTCCTTCGTCCGAACTCGCTGTGGACTACATGCTGGTCTTGGCTGGCTACGAGGGCCATGTCATCAAACGAGACGCTATATCCTCACTCTATGAATACAAGCGTCACGACCTCCGAGCGAGTATCACGGAACTTGACCTTTGGTGCCAGATGTCAGTAGGAGACCGAAAAGGTGGATTAGAGTGGATGTATCAGAGGTGGCCACCTGGCAAAGATGTTGACGAGAACGGTCATATCTTAAGAGTCGCCAGCGAAGACACGTATATGTCTGGCATGGGTTGTATCTCTCACAACATCTCTGAGAGTATGAACAATGTTGCTTTTGACAGACAAAACGAATTACTCAAAGAAACTTGGAATGAATGGGCCATTGCTCCTACAGACTGGAGTTTTGGTAGAACCGAGACTGGCTGCCGTCCACCATCACAGGAAGCCACATCGCTCGGTCTGCTTAAGGAGCTCGAAGCGATGACGGAGAGTGCCAGCGCTGCCGCCCTTTACAGTCGCGTGGATCTTCCTTCCTATGCACGGGACTACGATCAACCCATTGATCCGTCACTCCCACCAATTCCCGGGCAAGAATATCTCAATTACACAACTTCTTTGCCTGTTCGGCAGATTGACAGTGTAATCGATTACAGCAAAATGGACGCCGACTTGTTGACCCAGACCTATCTACTTATTCAAAGGGTGTACGGCGACCAGCTAAGTTTCACCTCAAAAGGATCTCCTCTTCCGACTACTGAAGCAGACTTCGCTGAAGGCATCGTGCACCGGTTGCAGAAGTCGCAGCTAAAGAAACCTTTAGCCAGGGAAGACTTCTCCGTAGCCTTTGATATTCTGGGATATCAACCTGATGCCACGCCAGCAGTAAATGCAACATATAATCTCCTTGCATCATCCCTCGACCGACAATTTCGCGTAGTTGTCGAGGATATCGCGCCATACATTCGCAGTATAGTTTCGTACGAAACTTTCCTTGATGCTCAGCGTGTTCGACTTGGAAATCTGCTATCCGAGGGCGGACAAGGTACCAAGCGTTCGAGGACGACTCGAGCTGCTAGGACGGCATTGGAAGGTGGCGAGAGAAGGTCCAAACGAAAAGACAGGTGGTTTAGTGAGGATCTGGATCGTGTGCTAGTAATGCATACTGGAAGCGAAACATGGCTTGGCTTGGGGCTGGCTGTCACTGCAGAGGGGACAGAGACAGGCTCCCAGAAGGCAGTGGGTAGCCCATCATCTTCCTCACCATGATTATGGGATCACGATTGCACCTTTCTGCATGGCTTTGGTTCACACTACTGGGACACGAGTAAAGGATATATGGCCAATTTAGCGGCATTTTTGGCGTGGGTATCATCTATAAGGCATGTAGCGATTACCGGTGGCCGGCGGAGTCTTGCAGATCGCCGCAATCGCAACTTCATATTTGCATCATCATATGCGGTCGCTTTCTCTTCCAAATTCCACCGTGAGTCGTGAATCGTTTCGTGGTCGAGATTTGGGCCTGCATTCCTCCGCTTTCCTCATCTCTCAACTCCTCAAATAAAACTCTCATAGAAGCTCGTCGTCAAACTTAGCAGCAAGCACGGGGGCCGTCTCGGGAACTACAGCGTTCATCTCCTTGACCTCACCACCCACAGCAACAGGCGTCTCTTCCAGCGCACCTCCGTCCTCCATCTCTTCATCCAATTCCCACCTCCTCTCACTCTTACTAACGGCCTCATCACCATCCTCATCTACCTCTCCATTTGTCTTCTTTCCTTTCTTTCCTTTCCCTGGCAGAGCATTCACTTCTTCCCACCCCTTCGCCCTCTCCTTCACCTTCCTCTCCCTGCCTACACTTTTGGCAACCTTCAATTCCAACTTATCCATGTTCTGCTCCGCACGCTCCATACCTTTCAACTGGCGCTGGCGCTGCGCGCGGGTCATCTGCTTCCCTTTTGACCGTTTTTGGATTCCAGCATTTTGTGCGGCGAGGACATGGGGCTTTTGCGAACCAGCGTCGGGTGGGGGGCTTGCGGAGGTTGTTCGTGTGGTGATTGCAGTGGTGGCTTTGATTATGGAGGGGTCGGTGGGCGAGACGGCGCGGCGGGCGGCGCGGGAGTGTTGAGTTGATTCTGGAGAGATGGTTAGGGAGGTGGGTTTAGTACTAATTTTGGGGAGGCCTCACGCTTCTTCTTGAGCTTTGCGGTTTTGGCCATTTTGGCTGTGGGTAGGTAGTGAAAGATGGGGATGGAGTCAAGATGTTTCTCCGATAGTAGTTTCGTAGACTATGGAAACCCAAATTATCGGTTCAACTCCTAGCAGCGCGTATGTTGCGTCAAAATTTGAATTTTTTCAAATAGATTGAGTAGTATCACAGAGTGGTTACGCAGAATGGCAGCATGCATGTGTTGATGATAGCAGACCAAAAAAAATAAATGTTCCCGCCAAGCGTTCGCAGCCCCGCTAAATCCGGCCGCCATCAACCCTGTCGATCTCTTTGCACAGATCCACCATCTTAAGTCATCCTTTCTACTTCACGTGCGCCCTCGCCCTCGCTCCGCCCTCTCACCTCGCCTAACCTCACCTCTCCATGTCGCCTAGAAGGCGCTGTTCATTCTGTGAACGAAGTTTCTCCATAATACCCATGCCCTGGCCTGAAAGCTCGATACGCCAGCGATCGCGCTCACGATAAGACATTCACAGTCAAACGCAATCACGCCGAGACAACGCCCTCGTTGTTTGTCTCAACAAATTTCTAGGAAATATTTCTAGACAGGAATCAGGCTTGCCTGTGCCTGAAGCTATGGGCGATTTATACGGCGACGACGACAATGGGAATCGCGCTTTCCAAGCATTCAATAGCCGCCGATCTGCTTTCGAGAACAACGCAACGGCCATAGGTTCCCAGGTGCTCACGGCTCTCCTTGGGGTTTATATTGTGTTTAAGGTTTTGGAATTCTTTGGATATCCAGTCTGGCTCATGGCGACCTCGTGGTTTGGCTCATTCCTACGCGCGGCGCAAACATCGCCAGAAACTACGGCTGCAGAGGAACCGCCGACTACAGTCATGCAAAAGGGAGGGCATATTTTTAGAAAGGTGTTTGGCCTGAACAGCACAAGTCTGTTGCAACAGGGAGTACGAGGAGTGGCAGGCCTATCTGGAGGCGTGGGGTCTAGCCGTCCGCCAGGACTGGGCAACTGGGATAACTCATGTTTCCAGAACAGTGTCATACAGGGCCTCTCTGCGCTACCTTCCCTTCGCGAATACCTATCAAAAACAACCTCCGAAAACCGATCCTTCAATATCGATACCACCAACGGCGCGCTTTTCGATATTATTTCTAAACTAGGAGATCCGAACCATCCCGGTGGCTGTTTCTGGATACGAGGGAAGCTGAAGAGTATGAGCACATTCCAGCAGCAAGACGCCCAAGAATACTATTCCAAGATCATGGACGCGTTGGATAAAGAGGTAAAAGCTGCGTCTGGGGATAAAAAGAAATCGAGCGCATCTTTGCTGGAGGCTACAAAGAGCTTGGGAACCCCACTAAAAGCCGGTATGGATGTGAATATGGACCCCGATTCCAAACAAGAAGGCGAAGAAGAAAATCAGTCTTCGGAGCAACCTGCCGTGCTGCCTAATCCTTTGGACGGGTTACTTGCGCAGCGAGTCGGATGCATAAAATGTGGATATTCGGAAGGCCTCCAACTGATTCCCTTCAATTGCTTGACTGTCTCATTGGGAAACGGGAGCATGTACGATATCCGGGACTGCTTAACTTCGTACACGGAACTGGAACACATCGAAGGCGTTGAGTGCGCCAAATGTACTTTGCTTAAGAACAGGGACGCTCTCTCCAAGGTTGCAGCGACAAACGAAGCATTCAAAAAGAGACTTGCGCAAGTCGAAGAAGCGTTGGAAGATGATGATTTTAACGATAAAACACTCGTCAAGAAATTCAACATCCCAAAGAAGAATTGGGCGACAACTACGAAATCCCGACAAGCGGTCATTGCGCGTGCTCCAAAAGCTCTCGTTATGCATGTCAATCGCAGCATTTTCAACGAGTGGACTGGTCAGCTACAAAAGAACGACGCGGCGGTGTTGTATCCGCACATTCTTGACCTGGGAAACTGGTGTTTGGGTACAAATCCAAGCGAAACTAATGCGCCTGACGATGCGGTTGAAGAATGGCCGAGAGATCCAGTCAAATCGATGTTGGGAGATCCCAATGCTGAACCTATTACGGACTCACCGTTCCAATACCGACTCAGAGCTGCAGTGACACACTTTGGTACTCACGGAAGTGGACATTATGTTTGTTTCCGGCCACACCCAAAGAGGCGTGATGATGCAGAGGATCAATCCGGAAAAGCTGACGAGGCAAACGTGGAAGAACAGTGGTGGCGTTTTAGCGATGAATCGGTTTACGCAGTGGCGGAAGAACAAGCACACCAGGGCAATGTGTTCATGCTCTTCTATGAACGCATCGCGGAGCCTATGGCGCTTGATGAAATACCTGCAGCGTCTCCAAATGCCGCCACAATCCCCGCAGACCTACCTTTACCTCCAGTCAACGCCGACCCTGCGTATACCGCTCTGGATGATACAGCCATCCAGACTCCTCTACCAGAGGACTCTGATGCCGAATCCCTTACTGAGCTCTCAGGGTCCGAGCCCTTGACACCGCCCACTATCGCAGAAACTCCCACTCGTTCGACATCGGCCACGCTGCCTCCATATAACCACGTGAGTGGTCGCGCTACGTACCCTACACCACCTCCCGAGCAATCTCCTACCGCCCCTTCCGAGGCCGATTCCGAGGATACCCAAGATACGCAATCTACGATGCTCACCTCAGAGGACGAGACTCCGGTTCCACCAATTGACACGGCACATCTAAAAGCCTCCCACAGTCCGCACCACATGCGTACAGCAGGCAATACGCCGGGAAGACGGGGACAGAGGAGGAGTTTACCGATGGTATCAGCACTATAGGGAGTGTTTCGTATGCCAAAAAAGGCAAGGAGAATCCGGATATTGGTTAATCGGGGTGTCAGACTCGGTCTTCTTTCTTCTACGCCATAGGCGCTCTGGATGGGATAGGGCTTGGATGGCAGGATTTACAGGTGCATTGCTATTAGGCGTTCAGAGTATTGCAGGTTTTCGGGACAGAGGTAATTTGGGCTCTGCTTTCATGCAAGGATAACAAATGCATTGATTTTTGGTTCAATTATTATCGCATCCGTGTGTATTGTGTTTGGTTTGTGGTGCAGAAGCCGTGATGAACCTTAGACCCAGCAGCTTTGACAAGGGGTGTACGAGAACAGCGTATGTATGCAGAAACCTCCAGACGACGTTTCGATGCAAGACAAAATTGATGGAAGATCCCAACTCATGCCACCGCAAAGACATCCTTTATAAGACAAGCCCGGTCATGCTTACATACTGTAATTGGGCAAGGCTGACGAAAATCAAGGGATGGTTAGGTGAAACCAGTGCACAGATGAATCCTCGCCCAATCACGATCTATAAAGGACAACTCGGTGCCCGTCTTTTGATATCTTATACGATAATCTTTGCAAAGCTCCGATGGCTCCATGAAACTGAGCACAATGTTGAATCCAGATATAAATATGATGGAGCAGAAAAACTAGTAAGCAACTTGTGATACGTTCCCCTCGTCGCGTAATCACTATGTGGCGCGATTATTCATCCCGCATACATCTGTAGCTCTCGATACCAAAACCCGAATACCTCCCCTATTCTCGACTGTTTTATTCTCTGTCATTCAGTCAGTCCTCAAGGCATAAATTTGGTCGAAGCCCTTCAATTTCCTCGCCTCGCGAACGTTGTCTAATAGCTCGGCCGGAGGCGGACCGACTAGCATCAGCCCAACATTTAGCTGGTCCACTTGCAATCGCCAGGCCCACCAGTGACGAAATATAGTGTTCTGGATCCCGCGCGACATTTGGTACGTCTTCGGAGAATGCGCGGAGGGTCGTTTTTGGGATATCAATGCTAGATGAAAGCCCGCCTATCGTAAATCATTCGAGTATAGGTCGCACGCGCTTCACATTTTATGTAATCTGCGGCGCGCAACTATCCAACGGGAGATTTGAGATCAGAATACACGAAGGAAGAACGAAGTGAAGAGATTGTTGGTGCGCGACGGGTGAAAGTGATGGAGCGCTCGCAGTCTTCGAGTAACGCGACGCAGAGGGGCGAGACGATTGCAGACGACAGCATCAAGAGGGAAGAGACACAACACGACGATACGAATGGAACGAGTCGGGATGAACCGGCCACCCCGAAAAGTGCGAAGAAACCGTCTTTCTTCGCGACATTATGGAAGAAAATTGATCTCGACTTACCAACCGCCCTTATGATGATGAAGTATGTATAGCACCAACCCAAAAAAGAAAACGGCGCAATTTAGCAAAAAAAGAAACATGGAACTGATGAGAATGTGTTCAGGGCTGGTCTTCCTCCGACAATTTCTATTGCAATGTTCCAAAGCGCTGCGGTGGCCAATCACTACACGACATTGGGCTACCTCATAGCCATTGTCAGTATCATCGGCTTCTGCATCATGCCCCGAGCCAAGTTCATTCAAACAATGAGCATGAATATTCTGTCTTGCTGTATAGGTGCTGCCGTCTGCATGCTGATGCTCTGGTCTGGTCTCAAAGCTCGTGAGCATACGACGTCACCAGATGCACCCCCAAAACGATACAACTCTTCTCAATCTACGGTGTTGGGTGTATGGCTATTCTTTCAGATCTGGTTCGTTAACACCGTGAAGGCAAAATATGTCCAGCTTGCGTTCCCTACTTTGTTGTACTCGATCTTCGTGAATGTGGCGGCTACTTTTGGGACGCAGTTTCAGACGTACGCTCAGGTTGCTGGTTTCGTCCGGAAGTTGCTTGAGAGCTTTTTGACTGGATTTGCCATCACGACGGGCGTCTCGCTTTTCATCATTCCTGTGAGTTGCAGGAAAGTAGTGACCAAAGAGATGACGGGCTACATCGGCATACTCAGAGGAGCGCTCAAGGCCCACAAAGGCTATTTCCAGAGCATGGAGACGAAGGATATGTTTCGAAACACGACATGGACACCGGAACCTGGCCACAGCAAACTCAAGAAACCGAAAATGAAGCCTGAAGTGGAAGCGGTGAAGAAAGCAATGACCGCTATTGTCACGATACATGGGAAACTAAGTGGCGATTTGCCGTTTGCGAAACGAGAATTTGCGTACGGCAAGCTGACGCCCGATGATTACGAAGGAATTTTCAAGCACATGCGCGCTATTATGATGCCTATGACTGGACTTGGTTCGCTTATCGATCTTTTCGAACGTATCGCCGATATTTATCACTGGGATCAAGATGAGGAAGACACCGAGTTGAAGGAGAAAGTTGTGGGCGAATGGAACGAACTCATGAGCTTCGTTCACGAGCCATTCGCTCACGCCATCGATACCATGGACCAAGGACTCGAACATGTAGCTTTACGTCTCGCTTTTGTCAACCCACCCAAGAAACAGAAGAAGAAGAAGGGGAATGACGCAGACGACACTGAAGCCAAGGGCGACCTAGTCAAGCCAGGCGATAAACATTTCAGTCAATACATGAAACAACAAACCGAAGAGTTTTACAGAGGCAAGGAAAAGACTCTGAGTCACTGGCTGGAAAGAAAAGGCATAAAGGTCCGGGAGGACTTTTTCACCCAAATAAACGAGGCTCCCGACTTCAATGCGACTTTTGGCTCTGCGAAAAGCCGATATCAACGCCAACTGTACTTGGTGTTGTACGTCATCTTTCTGTTGCATTCCACGAGCCTCGCTATCCTTGCCCTTGTCGAATTCGCCGACGAGAAAGATCAAGCTATCATGAAGAAACAACTCATTACACCAGGGAAGCGTCGGTTACGAAAATGGGTCGGCACGATATTTAGTGTTGGGCAAGATCGTATTCACGACGATGAAACGACAGCAGCAGGTTTGGATCACAATAACAGCGTGGTCTACATGGGCGAGGCCTTCAGCCATCAAAAAGATCCTGAACATCTACCTCCCGCCAATGCCTTCGAGAAATTTGGTAACATGCTCCGCGGCGCCACTGGGTTCTTGAAAAGTTCCGAGTCGTCGTTTGGGTTCAGAGTTGCTTGCGCGACCATGTCAATAGCCATCGTTGCTTACCTTGAATCCACTCAAATATGGTTCATCCGACAACGAGTTGTTTGGGCTATGATCATGGTTGCGCTCAGCATGGTTCCTACGTCTGGCCAATCCGTCTTTTCATTCATGCTGCGCATAGCAGGAACAGTAGCAGCTATGCTAGTTAGCTTCTTGATCTGGTACATTCCCGCACAGAAAACAGCCGGCATAATCGTCTTCCTCTGGGTCTTCGTCAGTCTAGGATTCTACGTTCCCCTAAAGCGCATCGACCTCGTCGTCATGGGTCTCATCAGCATCGTCACGGCCACCATGATCATAGGCTACGAGCTGCAAGTCCGGCAGCTCGGTGAAGCCGCCGCAACTGCAAACGGCCAACCCTTCTACGCTATCGACATCCTCGCGCCGTACCGCCTCGCATGCGTAGTAGCAGGTCTCGGCGTTGCGTTCTTCTGGACCTTCTTTCCCTTTCCTATCACTGAGCATTCCGCGCTCCGCCAGCGTCTGGGAGGCGCACTCTACCTCTCCGCAAACTTCTACAGCATCATGCACGAGACGGTAATGGCGCGGATCCGCGGGGACGAGGGCGACATGACCGATAAGCAGTGTCCTGGATACAAGCTCGCAAAAGCGCGGAACAAGGTATTTGCGAAGCAAATGCTGACGCTGCAGGGTCTACGCATGCATTCGGAGATGGTGAAGTGGGAGTTCCCTCTTGGGGGTAAATTTCCGAAGAAGGAATACGACGAGATCATTGAGCTTGTCACGAAGTGAGTTTGAATCTCCCTACACGCTCATTCCAATCATACTACATACTAACATGCATGATTATAGCATAACAAACTACACGGCACTCTTGGGCTACGCATCCGCGACCTTCACAGACCCAAGCCTAACCGGTGTCGACAACGACCCGTCAACCATAACCTGGTTCCACGACTTCCGTCGCATAATCCTCTCCTCGAACATCACTTCCCACGAAATAACCTCGCTCCTCTCGCTCCTCTCCTCCTCCATCACAAACGGCCAATCTCTCCCGCCCTACCTAACCCCACCGCGCAGATTCCAGCTCACGCAGCGTCTGGAAGCGCTCGATCGCGATATCTTGAGTCTGAAACATATCGCGGAGCCTGGGTATGCGGCTTTCGCGGTACTGCAGATCGGGACTCGATGCGTGGGAATGGATGTTGAGAAGTTGTTGAAGTGAGTCTTTTCCCTTCCCCCTCCCCCTTCTTTGTCTACTCTTTATTTAAGAGGTGGGGCCCACTCATACGCATAAAGAAACTAACAGTCTTCAACAGGGCCGTCAAAAAGTTAGTCGGGGAACTCGATTTCTCGTTCCACGTCGTGAGTACACGGAACGATTCGTCTTCGTCGTCATCCAGTAACAGCGTTACTGAGACGCTTGGGAAAGAGAGGCTTGATTGAAACTATCAACTTCATCTAGAACTATCTTATATTCTTTGCATGTTATTCTTTTTTCTTGCTTTCCCGCGTTTTCTAAAATGTATATATCTTCTATTCGCAGGAACAAACAAAGTTGGGTTTTAGTATTCGTAATTGGCGTTGATTTGAACTTGCTATACGTTAGGGCGCTTAGGTTCACTCGTACTGTCTGATATTGTATAGTCACTGTACATTGTTATCTATCGATCTATATACACTATTCTAAACTAGCTAATGGTATTTATGTACATGATGATGATCGTTTGATGGTCAGGTGGATTGTGATGGCTGGGTGGATTTAGCGATGCTGCGAAGGAACTCACCTAGAGCAGGATGGGCATCTATCTTATATTTGGGGGGGCGGCACTAGCGCCCCTTTTCGGTGGCGCGTGCACGTCTGCCAGCCACCTCTTTTCTGTTGTCGCGTTACCAACCTCGTGCCATATCGCCACACTGCTTTTAGACTTTTTCTTTTTTATCGATCATAACCTATATATTTCTGCCTAACTACTTATTAGAATCCTCTGATGTAGAAAATACCTAAACTTTGGGACTCGAAAAAAAAATTAGTTTTTTTGTTAGAAAGAATCCACTGCGAGCGAAACGTCCCCACTCCCTTTAAGATCAGAAAAATCCATATCCATACAACCACAGCTCATTCAGGATATCTTCGTAACTTTGATATTCTGACGATGATGGAGAAGAGGACTGTGGAGCGTACTCCGCTCTTTCGCGATCTGACACTGGGATACAGTGAATTACAGAGTGGATATGTATAGTAATTCGTCGTTCATGCTCGGGTTCAAAATAAGGTTCAGGTCTGGGTTCAGGATCGAGGGTGGGTTCGAGGGTATTTTGAGGGGCTAGGGGCGGCGTAGGAGAAGATGGTGAATGAGAACGGGAAGGAGATGGGGAGGGAGAGGTGGGATTTTCTTCTCTTGAAGACATACTGTTTTCTTCTCGGTGGCAAATATCAGATGCCCGTGGCTTTGGGGGCTGAAAAGTGGGAGAGAGAGGTTATTGTAGGTAAATTTAAATAATGCTGGGGTTATTATTGTTGACTTGGACCACGTGGCATTATGATTGCTGGATATCATGTATATGTGTTGTCGATCAGTCAACTATTCCGTCGGCAGGGACACGTGTGCGAAGAATATTCGTGGCATAATGGCCCCATGTACGTGCATAGTTGGGAGATAGATGGTGTTGGCCACACGATGTCGATGCTACACAAGTGAAGTGGGGTCTGGGCGTATACAGTACTGTACATACACACGTACCTCTGCTTCATATCTAAAATATCTGAGCATATATGTGTGAGGGGATCTAAGATCGATCCTTCATCTCTCGCAGAGCTTTCATGACTGCCACCGGCTCAGTCTGGCCAACCAAGTCATGAATGTTCTTATCGTTGACACGCATGAAGACATTGTGTTTCTGCAAGGAAGTGATTAGCATTCTTGCGCCGTGTCTATTTCACTGCATTTCTGAGAGCTTATGCGATCTGACTTACCTTCTCATCACCAATGGTGAACTTCCCCTGGGTCTCCTTGTTCGCTTGGCTATACTCATCCAACTTCCTGATAGCCTCGTCGTCCAAAACTTTCTTCGCAAATCGCACGTTGCCCTTCGTGTACTCGTGTCCAGGATACACTTTGGTGTCATCTGGGAGAGCAGCAAGTGTTTCGTTGAGCGCTTTGTGCATTTCCGTGGCGTTGCCTTCGAAGAAACGCCCGCAGCCACCGATGAAGAGGGTATCACCGGTAAAAACGACGCGTTCAGAGCCATCCTCGAAGAAATAACAGATGCTGTCCTGGGTGTGGCAGGGTGTGTGGAGAGCAGTTACCTTGATGCTCTCGCCGATTGTGAACTGTGATTTGTGGTCCGGGGTGGTGGTCACTTCGGTGCAGTCTTTGCCGCCAACGATGGGCAGGTTAAAGTGCTTGAGCTAGAAGAGTGTCAGCATATTTATTCGATGGGGAGACGTGAGAAACCACATACGATTTCGACATTGCCTCCAGCGTGATCATGATGGCTGTGAGAATTTGTGAGCAGAGATGAATGGAATGTATTGGACGAGCAGCGTACTGGTGGGTATTGATGATCTTTGTCAACTTGATTGCACCGCTTTCGGTTTTCTCATTCAACACGGGAAGTACTCTAGAGTGACAGTCAATTGCAGTTTCTTGCCCAATGCTCGTCTGCAACTCACTCTGGCGGGTTGGCAGGGTCAATGACAACTGCTTCTTTAGACTTGTCGTCGGTGACCAGATATGCGTAATTGTTCCCCGTGCCCTCCCCTGGAATCAGCCATTAGTATATGTTTCAGAGGGAACTTTCCGCCCCAACATACACATCGGAATGGATTGGACGTGCATGGCGCGTGACGTTTTTGGCTAATGACGTTAGTCGAGTTCCCTTCTGGAAGCGCTCGGGGTAACTGCGCATAGTACACATACTTTGGCAATAGATCTAGATGTGAATGCTGAAGAAAATCGCTTTGCTGTAGCAGCTAATAGGGTCATAACAACGATGATGAGAATGGTGCGCGATTGTGTTGGAATCATGCAAGTGGAGTTGCTTGGAAGCGAGCCGCTCATGACGAGATTGTGTAATCGAGAAAAGCGGATTTAAGCTAGACTTATATCCGATCAGTACCAAGCATCATGGTCACCATTGAAGAGATAGACAACCATGTACGCAAAGATAAATATTCTAAACACAACATAAATTTGAATATTTCACACTTTTAGGGTGACCATTAAACGCCAGTGCAATGCTACACTATACACAAGCTTCACAAACTACTCTTCTTCTCTCTTCTCATTCCACTCGATCTCCGCCGCACGCGCTTTCTTCACGCCCTCTTTGCTCCCAATCTTCTCCTCCCACTCTCGCCATTTCTTGAAGACAGTATCCGCTCTTCTCTTCTTCAACCCCTTCGCCTTCACCATCCGTTCGAGCAATGCTCTCACGTTCTCCTCACTGCCGTGACTCATTTCCAGCGCTAGATATACATCCCAGAGATCCCACTTCTTAGGCCATGTGCTTACTAGGCCTTCGAAAATGGTACGTCCACGCTCAGCATCTCCGTTGGGAGACTTGAACTCCAGAGACGCGAATTTCTGCGTAAGATGTTGATGCTGCTGCGAGGGTACTGATTGCGTGGCTCGAGACAGGAGCGCGCGGGCTCGTGATGGTGAAGGAGGGCTGAGAGTGCCCATCAGGAAGCTAGCGTATGATAGCCAAAGCGCAGGGTCCGGGGTGAACGACTTGTTCTTTGTCATGGCTTGATAGAGTGTGTCTGCTTTCTATAGAATTGGTTAGCGACTGAAATATTTCGACAGGTCCATACATAAGCACTTACATCAAGCTTGTCCGATGAGATGTAAATCTTGATCATGCGCTCATGCATTTCGCGGGCATCATTGTTCTGGCAGGCCTCCTTGAAGGTCTCATCAACAACATCATCGCCACCGAAATCGTTCTCAAGATGTAGCAGCGCAGTCCACACATCCAATCTCTCCTTTTCTTCGCGTGGGTTCATGGTGGCTAGAGCGCGCCTAGCAATCTGTCGGGCCTTCTCGATCTCGTTCAACTCGCGCTGGAACACCATGTAACGGACCCAAAGCTCGGCACTGTTGGGTTGTCCAAGTAGAAGTCGTTCATAATCAGCAACAGACTGCGGGCCATATGCGTCGAGATCCCCAGTACGATCCTCTTTGATGGTGGCCCTCTTGCTTTTCTTCTTCTTTTTGCCGGCATTATCCTCAGAGTCTTCCTCCGCAGCAGCTTTGTGGCCATCAAATTGCAAGTCAGCACCGGTCCAGTCAAAACCAGATGTGGTTAGGCCTTTCGCTGAAGGCTCGTCAGAATCGGAGTCGGCATTCTCTTCATCCTCGTCAATGGAATCGCTATCGTCATCAACGCTCTTCACACTTCGCATATCCTCGTCCTCATCTTCGTCCATTTCAACGTCAATTCCACCTTCGCTTGAATCGTCGGAGTCATCCGCAGAATCATCTGAGAGGTCCACCATCTCTTCATCTTCATCAACAGCATCGCCCGACACATCCGAGTACTTCATGCTAAAACTGATCTTCCTCTTTCCTACATCAACGCGGATAATTTTAGCCTTGACGGCGTCTCCCTTTTTGTATAGTTCCTTGATCTTCTCCGGGGAGACTGGCTTGTCTGCCAATTGCGATATGTGGCAAATGCCGCTAACGTTCTCCGAGTTGTCTATCACGAGGAACACCCCGTAATCTTCTACATGGCGTACCTTGGCAGTAATGACTTCTCCTGCCTTGACGTCTTTGAAGGTAATAGGCTTGACGTAATCGCCTTTAATAACCGATTTCTTGAAACTCATTTGAGGGTTCTTCTGGTCCTTGTCGTTTGAAATGATCTTTCCGGTCACCAGTTGGTCCACCTCAAATGAGTCCTTCCAATCTTTCAGATAGTCATCGGACAAATGAGCCACGCGAACCATTGCATCGATCTGGGTCCCTAGACGAACATAGACGGCATTGTCAGAGATACTCTTGACGAATCCTCGAACGACTTGGCCGACCTTCAGATCTGCTTTTCCTTTGATTTCGGGATCTTTGACCGGCAGGGACGAACTGAGTGTACGAGAAGGACGAGCTGACAGCGTGACCTTTTTGTTAGGGGCGTCGATGTGAACGACGCAAACACGAATGATTTCCCCAACCTTAAAGTCAGAAGGTATCGCTTTCTCATAGTCATCGGCTAGCTGCTCGAAGTATATGGGGCCAGCAATATGCTCGTTAATCTGGACAACAATGTGCGAATCGTGGAGCTTCGTTACACGGGCTGGCAAGACCAAACCTTCCCTTAGATCTTTAATGGTAAGGGACTGGGCTGAAGGGTTGGTTGCTGCAGTGAAGCTGAGTCGACCGGTGGCTGGGTCGACTGCCTTGACACGTACTTTCAGTGCAGAGCCTTCGGGGAAGTTTTCCGAAACATTGCCAAGCAGAGAGAGATCGTCGGTGAGGTCGAGGAAGTCAATGCGGCCCCGAACATTGGAAGAGACGTTGACCCAAACGTATCGTTCCGCGATGTTATTGATGTAGGCGACGAAGGAATCCCCCTCTTTGATTTTTTCCGTGGTCAACAAATCGGCTTCGCTTGTGGTACCAGTCTTCTTGGTAAGCTCGTAGAGCTGGTTTTTACCCTGTCGATGGCTGATAGGAAGGAATCGGAAGTTTCTCGCATCATGCACGCCAATAACCTTCACCTGGAGAATGTCGCCAGTATTGAATTGACCAGTGGGATCTTTCTTGTCTTTGATGTCGTCCCAGCTGTCGAATAATTCGGCAACGTGAATTCGACCCCCAACATTGTCCGAGATGCGTACGTTCACTTGCGTGCTTTTGGCGGATCGTACTCGAACAGACAAAGTGGTACCGAACTCTAGGTCAGCAGTGCTGTTGATCTTGTCATCGATCGGGTTGACCAGATCTTCCGCCGCCGCCGTAGACTTTGCCTTCTTCTCTTCCTTGACTACCTCATCGTCCCTCATAGAGAGCCAAAAAAGCCTCTTGCCAGAATCAACGTGTGTTACTCGTGCTGTGAGTGACTGATCTTTGCGTAGACCAAAGTTGAGAGCCGCAAGCATTTCGTCGGTGAGTTGCGACTTGAAAAGAGCAGCGCTTACGTTGCCACCGAATTCGATGAAAATCTTGTCAGGCATGATCGCTCGGACGAATCCGTGAACCGTGTTGCCGGGTTTGACGTCTTCGAATTGTTTGATCAGAAGTCCTGCTTGTGCATCTTTCCGAAGACTAGGTTTGTTCGTAAGAACGACAGTACGGGACTTTGCATGTTTGTAGAGAACGACCAGATCATCCAACGTGCCACCGACACGTATACGGGCGAAAGTGGATCGGTCTTTCTTCTCAGATCCATCGGTCAACTGGCCAATCCGAAGTATACCCTTCACGCCATGGCCCAGATCTACAGTAGCACTTTCTTCCCCCTTCTCCACCACTGAGCCCTTCACAACGTCTCCTAGATTGAGGGACTGGAAATGAGCTTCCTTGCCAGCATCGACAGCCGTGGGGTCTTTGCACGAAACCACCATACGATCCTCTTCCTGATTCAAAGATATGATGCGGACGGTGACTGTTTGACCCTTTGTAAAATGACGCGTTGCATCGGCAATGAAGGCCTCGCTCATCTCTGCTGCTGGTAACCAAGCTTTCAAGTTGCCGTAAAATTGAACTAATGCACCGGAAGGCTTTACATCTACAAGCGTACCCGGGCTAGATGCACCTTGCGAAAGCTTGGACATGTCGTGCCAAGGCTCTACATCAGAGTTGACAAGCGATTTTTTGAGCGTGAGAATGACTTGGTGTTTCTCGGTGTTGGTTGACAAGACACGGGCGTTTACGGAGGCTCCCTCTCTGAATTTTCGTTCCGGGTGCTGCAGTCGGACGTCTGCGAGATGGGTCTCGTTCACAAAGCCGCTGATTCCGTCCGCAAGTTGAACAATAACAGCAGTTGATCCGCTCTTATCTGCTATAAGCTTGCTGACTTTGCCTTTGACGATTGATCCGAGCTTGATATCCTCGATGCGCAGAAATGGTTGGTCCAGCACCTTCTGCTGCAAAGAGAGCTGGAACATGCCATCCAACGTATTATACCCAATGACACGAGCTTTGTGTTTCGAGGCTAATTGGAATGGGCCAGAAAGCTCCGAAGGGGTATCGACTCGATCATCAGCAAGCTTAGAAACGTGCGCAAAGCCGACCACGTCACGAATTCCCATCTCAAAGAATGCGCCCAAGACTGGCTCAACTTTGATGACCTTGGCTTCTTGGATAAGGGATGATATGGGAGCCACATCCAGCGGAAGTTTCCTGTCCTTGGGTTTACCGGACATCTTATTGGATAAGGACAGTACATGATCCAAGACAGACATACCGAATCGCTTGGTATCCGAATCCTCGTAGGTGAATATGATTCTTGCTTTGATCTTGTTTCCGGCTTGATACTTCTCGGTGAGATCTGTCGCCTTCTCCGCGGCACCCGAGTGGATGACATCGGCAGTAGCATCGACCAAACCAAGGAGCTTTCCGGTGATTGTGCTGGGCGAAAGGTCGGTAATGAGCAGGTCGACGGCCGTGCCGGGAAGGAACACATCGATCGTAGGCGCTTCAGTAAGCATGTTGCCCTTCTTGAGGTTTCCGACTTTCAGGGGATCTGCGCACAGTTTGACCACTCTCCCGTCTGCACCTAGCCCAGAGACCTGACACATGAATACAGCACCTTCCTGAACTTTGGAATGGTCGACAGTGGAAGCCAAATCTTTCTTGCCGAGAAAGCCCTTCAACTCTGGCTCGTCAACTCCCAAATCCATGACCAAGCCATGGTCCTCGTTGCTGATCACTGAGGCTTGGATCATGGTATTTGCGACCAAGTTGGATTTAGAAATTCCTCGATTGACCATATTTGGGTGTAGGGACAATTCTATCCTCCGCTTTGATTTGGTCGCAGCACGGGAGCCAGAATCATCAGAAGTTGACGTGACACAAGCCCGGAGGTACTGGCCAACCGTGAACATGTCTGTTAAAGCAACATCCTCGAAGTCTGGATCCTCTTCATTCTCCTCGCCCTCCTCCTCTTTGAGCAGCTTCTCGATGCGCTCGTTCAGTTTGTCCGAGATGGCGGTAATGGGCGCATACCCAAGGAGATTGTTGGGTAGAGCGAGCACAACGTCTTGCGGGGTGACTTCAACGACCTGGCCGAGAACAAGGGTGCCTATAGCAAGGTTCTGTTGCTGTTAAAATTCTGCACATATGTTGCTAGGAAGGGAGGGGATATACCTTCAAGCTCAAGCCGTCTGCCTTGATCTTGTGTTCTTTAACAGCGTCGTCCTGCGCGGATTTGTTCTTCTTCGATTTGCGCTTCTTGGAAGTTTTCGGCGCATCGTCTCCCCCATTGTCGGAGCCTTGGTCACTCAGATCATCGTCGCCGCTGCGTTTAAGCCCCGCCTGCTCGAACAGAACATCCTGGTTGGCTTTGATTTGGATTTGTTTATGTTCCAAGGGAGTAAGAACGCTGGCGCCACCTCGAGGGAAAGATTTTTCTTCGTCCTTGAAAACACTCTTCTGGCTCGAGCTCTCCGGCTTCACTTGGGACGGTGCAGGTGCATTCTCGGCGGTAGCATCAGACTTTCGTTGGCGTTTTGCAGAGCGATCGGTCGCGGTTCCTTTCTCTTTTTTAGTCGAGCTGCCTTGCTCGGCTTTTCGTTTTATCGGGCCCATTGTGAACGGGTGTGGTGGTGTCTCTAGTCGCAACCCGAAATTTTCTGGAGCTTCGCGCTGATCACAGAAAAAAAAAGAGCCTAAAACATGCACCCTCCGGCTAGGGCAGGGTCGGCGATTGGAGATTCTCCGGCGCCGACCATTCTAACTGGTCGGAGGGAAACGAGCAGCATCATGGAGAGCACCGATACACCTGGACATGCCTCCCAACATCCAAATATTTTCGTAACAAAATGTGGATTCGAATCCAATGATACCCAAGGATATTCTTTTTTTCAAGGATTTATCAAACTTCAATTTCATGCTTAGCAGGCTGCTCTGACATCTACCTCGGCATTCTCTTATTCCCGAGCCAGGCACTTTAGCACGGTCTGGCACGAAAACTCGCGTTCTGCGCGTTCTGGCCCGTGCGACGACTGCACCTAATCCAACGCCCAACGCCAACCAACCTCTTCTCCGCCTCTTCTTATCCACACTTCTTCGTCGCTCTTCTCTTCTTTCCCTTCATTATTTCAGCATCGGAGCAGCTCTACTTCTGTATTATACGGCCAGGTTCTCTGTTACCAACACCCACAAATTAATTTCCTGTATCATACCTCACATGTGTCGCTAGAAACCAAAGTCACTATGTCATCCTCACCGTGTGCGCCCCGCAGCACGCTCTGCAGCGAGCCCTTCCCAGATATCTCCAGTTCGCCGCCTCCAATGCCTTCAACTACCTCTGGTACCCGAAAGCAGAAGAAGCCGCCGCCCATCACCCCCAGACGCTTAACACGCTTCTTCACTCCACGGACATCAACCCACGGATCCAGCTCTCTTTCCAAATCCGGTCGCCAACTCCAGGATATCACTCGAACTGCTGTAAATCGAAGCGGCAATGCTACCAAGAAGACTACACCTCGCAAATCGGTCAATTTTGCTGATGTCACCCCTCAAAACCCCGTCGAGACGCCCAAGATGAGCTCGCGCAAACGCAAGTCCCTGTACATGTCGCCCGAAACCTCTCCAGCTCAGTCTTCACCCACGAAACGGTCCAAATACGTTGACTCCCCTCCCTTCACGATCCTCGAAGATCCTCTTTTCGATGGATCTGCCGTTTATCCCACCCCAATTCGCAAACTTAGGAGCTTAGGCAGTGCTTCACGGAACTTACAACGGTCTTTCGGCGGCATATTGGGTACAGGGCGTGGCTTCATCAGGGATCATTGCACATCATGGCAAGACCAAACTGCAGATTTCTATAGCAGCGCAGAGGATTATCATGAGCTACCCCCCAACGCTCCTCCGTTCTGTACAGCAGCGTGTAACACCAACCCCATGGTTGCTGTCGGCGACGAAGACGGATGGCTTCATCTTCTGGATACTGATGAGGCCTCCCCATCCAACTTCGGCAAAGCATTTATATCATGGAGAGCCCACACCAATGCTGTAATGGATGTGCAATTCTCAGCCGATGACTCGTACATAGCCACAGGCTCTGGCGATCAAACTGCTCAGATCATTGATGCCCGGACTCAGCGAACTGTCAGTGTTCTTGCTGGGCACAAATCGTCTGTCAAGCAGGTGCGCTTTCAGCCTGGTACTGACAAGGTCGTGGCTACATCCAGCCGCGATGGCGCAGTTCAAATTTGGGATTTGAGATACAAAGGCGGCCAAGTTCATATCCACTCCGCTTGGGGTGAGGATGCGCCATACGCGAGATCAATACGCAAATTTGCCGCAGCCCATGCCGATACCAATATATCGCCTCTCTCTACCAAAAATGCTGTCCGTGGAAAGAGTGAGGTACAGAGCCGGCGAAACGACATATCAGTCACTGCTCTATCCTTCATGTCCACTGGCCGTGAGCACCTACTGTTGACTGCATCTGATGCTTCAACGAGCATAAAATTATGGGATATCCGCGGTAGTCGATATTCATTGCGTGCCCCCGACGCACCAATCGCTACTACCAGGATACCCGAGTCACACACCCGACATCGTAATTTTGCAATCAATTCTCTAACTATGGGTGGTGATGCATCACGCCTGTACGCGCTGAGCAAAGACAATACTGTCTATGCTTATTCTACGAGCCATCTCGTCCTCGGAACTTCACCTGATCTATCGTTGTCCTCAACCTCCTCAAACCAATGCCAAACGGGCAAGGAAGGCCTCGGTCCGATGTATGGCTTCCGACATCAAAAATTCCACGCCGGTTCGTTCTATGTAAAGGGGGCTCTTCGGAAGGCCACTGGTGATATGCCCGAGATGCTTGCTGTCGGCAGCACCGACGGATGTCCTGTCTTGTTTCCTACCGATGAAACATTCCTGAAGCGCGAAAGCCGCCATGAGGATGAAGATGACCTGCCCGGACTGCGTCCAACACTCTCTCGGTCTTCGAGCAGTGGAAGATACCCAAGCATGCTCGCGGACACTATTCCCATCTATGAACACGGCACATCTTTAATCCGGGGGCATGAGCACGAAGTCACTGGTGTTTCTTGGGCTCAGAACGGTTCGCTGATTAGTGTGAGCGACGATCATATTGTACGAAGGTGGAAACAAGGGCCAACGGCCCGAACACTGAGGATGAATGGTGAAGCTGAGGGTCGACGCTGGCAATGCGGATGGGCTGATGTGCCTGCCGGCTATGATGATGACGAATGATGGGACGGATATCTTTGTGTTTGGATTTTTTCTTTCTGATTTGGGTAGCGTGGCGTTCATGAAGCCAATGTACTACGGGTTGGCAGGCCGTCTGTGAGCTTTTATTTGTATCAACGATACGAAAAGCTCAGATCATGTTTTATAAACCCTATCATCACTATCACAAGCATGGAAATTTTACATTTCATCACTTGCGCTTTTCACCAATCAACAAATAATAGTCATGACGCAGTCTTCAAGACGAAAGAATGTCGAGTGTAAGCTACCGTGTTTATAGGGTGGTTCACCTCTTGCAGTTCATTCCAGATTTAACACAATCGCAGGAAGATCCACAAGCAAATCCATGCCACATCTGAATAAATATCATTGATCCTGTCCACGCTGCGCTTGAGACAACATGTACAAGGACACAATGAACGCATGAAACCAAGTTTGTGCTTTTAGCAATCACTCGTTACGCAGTGTGCAAACAAGCAAACAAGCCAGGGAAGATTATAAGACCGACCTTCGCCTGCCTTTCACTGGTTCAGTAAACAGCCTGGTCAATCACTCTTCATCTGATACGATTGAACTTGACGTTCATCGTAGATAGAACAGCATGGCGAAGAATTACTGGACGAAGAAACAGATCTACGAGGATAGGAGAATAAGAGAAGAGAAATATCACAGCTGTCAGGGGGGAAACAACCGGACAGATTCTTGGGAAACCCAATCTGTGGATCTCATTGAACTCTACAGTCAAATCCCGTGTGTTTTCAAGCGGCAGGACTTAGAACAGCTCAGATTGGATCGTAACCTCATTTTAAACGGCACACACTCCCAGAAGGGTGAGATTGAGGACTTGCGGGTCGATCGCTCTCCACGAAACATATGGCAGTCAGAATCCCAGAACATTGCACTCGATAAAGCGGTTAGCATCGATTATTTCACAGCTGTCGAGATGCATCCAAATATACACTGGCTCAATGACAGAGGTGCAAGGCTTAAAGAGCTATACAGACTCAATCCCGAAGTACATCTCCCCGAGTGTCTTTCAGTACCGTATCTACTCCAGGAATATTTTCCCTGTATCTATCGAGGAACGTTACATAAAGACGACAAACATGTTGCGGAGATCGAATCGCAATATGAAAAACTTGAATACTATTGGAGACAAAGCCTGGACACAACTATAGAAGATGCGCCTGCGCAAACGCGAGTCATTGACGAAATTCTGGAATCGACGTTGAAATCCAATGTTCCCATAAAGAAGATAGTATGCTTCGGCTTGGGTGAATTTGATACGGAATCATTGGAGGATGGGTGGCGAGACCACATAACGCAATATCTGTTAATCTTCCACATTGCCAACATGTTGAGGGATCTAGACCCCTCACACGAACCAGTCCCAATACTCATGCAGGACCCTCTTTACACGACCATCGATTATGTACTAATCAGGCGCTTATACAACCGTCACTACAACCAAGAGGCACAGAAACAAGGCATCAACCACAACCGCCTCTCCCATCTTAGATTCGTGAGCGATCCAGACGGTCTACTCGCAATCGACGAGAACACTCTTGTAGTAGGCCCCTATCTGCCCGTAGATTTTCCACTCATCCAGATCCTTGCCGATCTAGTACATCCAGCTGCTTTTCTTGGGAACACCATCTCACATGAGCTCAAACCGGACGAAAATGGGAATCCGCGCAGGATGTGGAGCTACCGAGATCGCGCTTCCCCGCGCGTCGTCGACATGCTTCAAGAGTACAAATGCTTCGCATTCGACAATGTCGTAGTTTCCAAGGATCTATACAAAGAGATAATTCCCTGCGACCCTATTATCGGCCTTCCCTACTGGCTCTGGAACATGGAATTGTGGATGCGGCGGAGGCCCGAAAGGTACATCATGAAGATTCCTGAGAAATCAGAGATCGATGAACAGTGGAATAGCTTGGATCAAACGTTTCTGAGGAATTTGATCTTTGATTATTGGCAGCTGAGCGATATGGGGGGAACAGACAAGATGATGCCGGAGATTCATGTTCAATTGGTGAAGCAGTGGCTGGATACCACGGCTACGAGACGGCCTGAGAGGAGAACTGAAAAGATTGCTAACTAATTGAGGGGGAATGATATTGAGCCTAGGGGCTCTGGATGAATTGAGACTTTGGTTAGATCTAGGATAGATTGGATCTATATTCTGGCGCTACACAGGCTAGAGTTTGATGATTACATGTCGGGATTCCTTGTTTGGGGATCTATCTATAGTTCTGGGTTGTTATAATTGGAAATTTCATGGGAGCCCCTTTGCGTATTTATTGGTTTGGAATACAATTCGTGCTCAGATATGGAAATGGTTTTGATTTACTAGAAGAGTACTGCGGCAAGCACATATGAGAGGGAAAGATGGCTGAACTATCTGCTGCATTGTTGTGATTGTCACAAGTTTTAGGTAGGGGACGTATCTGTTTGGTATTTGGCATCTAAAGAAAAGCTCCAGTGGTTAGCCATCAACAGATAACTCGTAACAACCTTCTTTTCTGACTAGCCGTGGGCAGAATTCTAGACTTTTGTTGATATCTAGCTGCGAATGTTGCGAAAAGCTACTACTCCTTCTGGACTTAATTGAATTACTGCTCTTTCTTCACTCTCTCTTTCCTATTGATCTTACTTTGTCTGGCCACATACTCCTCTGGACCGACAAGCACCTCCCTCCCCTTCGGAAACACATACTCAGCCAAATCAATCTCAAACCTCTCCTTCCCCTCCTGCACCCCATCAACATTCGCCACAAACTTGCGCTCCCCCGTCAACAACCCCCCCAAATTCAAACTTACCGGGAAAACAGTAAATTCACTCCTCGCCTCGACCCTCTCCTTCTGATCCTGAAACCCCCCAGACCCAGGCACCACTTCATTAGACGAACTCCTGCGATCGGAGTCCTTAGTCTCAGGCCCAATAGCGCGATACCGTCCAAACAACATCGGATACGCCCCAAGACAAAGAAAGGGATCAGAAGATGAGGCATGTCGACAAAGCGCAAGCATAGCAACATCAATAGCCTGCGCATTCGGAAGAAGCGCCTGATCATACAATAACCGCGCCGCACCGCGTAAACTGATACCGTATGCAGCTGCGCCGGTGAACTTGCTGACCTCCATCACCACACGCATCTGCTCGTCCTTGCCTTCTGCTAACGCGGGGGCGCTGAAGTCTGGTATACGACTCCATGTTCGTTTTTGTGACGGGATCACTGTGATGTCGTTTTGCGTGATCCAGTATTTTTGCACTTTGTTGGGTTTGTTGTTTGCCCCGATGTGGCCGAGGGCCAGTAGATCCCAGGTATCGCCATACGGAGAGTGCAGTGCAGGGTTTAGTAATGAGGAGTTTTGAATCGCGCGCGCACCATGCGCGAAGTCGAGCATTTGGTGGCGCAGGAGGATGTCCCAGTCTGCGTCGTCTTCGAGGATAAGCGCCGTTTGGATGTTGTGACTTAGCATGTGTTGGTAAATGTTCAAGTGGGCGCGCCAGACACCATAGTCGCCGGTTGAGGCGGTGCCTTTCCAGAACTGCTTGTTCGTTTTCAGTCAGCATGACTAGATACAATCTCTAGTTTATCAGTTTGAGAGGAATGAGAGGGAATGTACGGACCGAAGGATGCGATTTTGGGTGCATCTCACTTCCGTTCACCCCGTCTATAAAGTCTATTTGCAGGTTGGATACATAGCCCATCAGCGCTAGGTAATCCCTCTTATCCGTACGATGGGGCATCGATATGGCGTATATCTTCTGGAATCCGAGGGTTTGATTGAGGATATCGTGGATCGCATCTCGAAGTTGTACATTGTCCAGACTTGGGCTCGGGATCACTGGACTTGAAAACGGAAATTTCGACTCATGTTGATTTCTTAGCACTTGATGCTGCGTGCTGCCGCCCCCGGCCGAAGAATGGAATATCCATATGAGAAACGACAACGTCGTGATGCATATGGCAGCCACTTGATAGCAAGCACGCGAGATTACCATTTTTGGTCGTGGTCAGCAAACGCCTTGTAAGTGCGAATCCTTCAACTTTCCAAGTTGAGCTGCATGGGCGTGTTTTCCTTTTCCGGAGTATAATGTACGAACTCCGTTGTGTAAGAATTTCAATCCTTCCGTGGGGCGTGGGGCGTATAGGACCAATTTCGAGGACCCCAAATTAGATTTTTTTTGTCCGGCTTCTGCCATAATATCTCTAATTATGCATACTTCAGCTTCGGTCTTACATTGCAATTTCGTAGTCGCATATTTCTCTTTCCATCTTTCTTTGTTCAAGATAGTTTGAACCAGTCTTACATACGATGTGGGATTAGCATGGATTACTACTATTTCATAGCGCGTGCATGGTAGGACTCGCTTATCTCCAAACCCAGACCTCACGATAACCACTTAGCAAGCACCACATTAATTATCCCTTTCCAAGCCCTCATCCATCTCCCAAGAAATGCCACCCTTCAAGTTTCAGTAAAGAACAGCGCCATCAACCTGTCGCGCCCATGTCAAACACAAGCGTCTGATCGCCCAACCCCCAAAAATAAAATAAACGAGCAAGTTTCACTAGCTCCCGCGCGATGGGGTGAGTGGGTGCGATCTTGAATCTGGAAGTTCAGCGGGTCCACTTCCGGCTGAAAAGAGTGGCGTTTCGAAAAGATACGTCGTGTGGCTTGTTCTGGTTGTCCTGCACGTTTCAAGCTATTAGGCGCATTATTAGTATCTGGATTAGGCTGATGGAATCTAATAGAGTGGGCTGGCTGGCTGGCTGATCCCTTTGGTTTGTAAGAGCTGATCGTGAGCAAGGGAGGCTCTGATTCATCGAAAGCTGAGCGTCCCCCTACATTAACGCCCTGGATCCGGCGAGTTAAGTGATTCAGTGGTTGCAACACAGCAAGGTACGCGTTTTTAGCAAGGGGTAGCGGGCAGGTTTTGGTTTGATGATTTGTTTTTATTTGTGTGGTTCAATGAAATGAATGGGGCGACAGCCCCCTGACATACGTAGTATATGATGTGGGAATCTAGACAGCCATGCATAAATAAACAAAAGAAAGGAAGAAACGCCTTGCTAATAAAGATGATGCTCACGCGCAATGCAGCCAGCCATAACTCCACTTCAAGAAATGCCATCGGTGTGTTTGTTTCGAGACCAGCTAACAGGACCACTTTTCCTGCAAGGATCGCCCAAATCGTACGCTAGGCGCGTCGACCAGCTTAGACATGATGTCAGCCAGCCAGATGACTATCATAGCTGTAATGCAGAAACCGAACCCAATTCCAAATGAATACGTGAAAGTCGACTCGCTGCCGATCCGGTTCCAGATAGCTTCCACGAGTGGGTAGCCGATCATGTGGTTGATCGGACCGTGAATAATGTAAAGAGGAAAGGAAATCTTGCCCAAGTAGATGGCGGTGTTTGTCATAAAAGGTTTGCGGAACCATTCGCAGCCGCATAGCGAGAAAAGAAAAACGGCAGCACCGACGCGACGGCATTGGTCGCCGATGATTTGGCGTTGGTCAGTTTCGCTGCTGAAGTCGGTGAAGGCGTTGCTGAGGGCGATGTAACCAGGCGATGTAGCAGCGCCTTCGTAAGGCCAGGAAAGCAGATGCAACCCTGTATAGAGGAGAATGCCCCAAAGTAACGTGGGGCTGTGTTCGTCTGTAGAGGGCTTCTCTGACGATGGCAATTGTACAGCGTTCTCAGCCCGGATTTGTAAGTACTCCGCGAGACCCATGCCGGCGATGAACAGCGCGATGTCGCCCTGATCGACCTTCATGCAATATGTGAATAGCAACGCAACGAGCGTGATTCGGATGTGAGATCGTAGTTTGGAAAACCCGACCAGTACAGCGAACAGAACAATCGAGTATTGGAATTCCCGCTGGATGGTCCAGAGATGAAGGTCGTATTTCGGGTATGTGTGGAGGAATGGATTCAACAGTTCCCACATGGTGCCCAGCCAGTCCTGGATTTGCTCCCAATTTGTCGCTAGGACTTCGAACTGTGCTTCGTTCACTCCCCCAAAAGGCCATTCTTGCGCCAGTGCCCAGGCATAGTTGTAGAATCCCAGGCAAGCTGCGGTAATGACGCAGATCTGAACGAAGAACACGGGTAGGTAGAGTCGCATTCCTCGGCGGAAGATGGAAGAGAACATGGTGTCGAAAAACCTGTCCCAACTCTGTTCTCGCGCCAGCTGCACTGGCTTCAGTGATAGCGATATTCCTGATAACACCCAGAATATGGCAACATTGGCTTGGCCAGCGTATGTCATTCTAACTACCGGAAGTAGGAAGAATCTGTAGTTATCGCCACCTCTGTCTTCGCTGCCATAACCGACCAGCCACTTGTATGTGAAACAGTGGATGAAATGGAAAAGAAACACAAAGAGAGACGCGTATCCACGCACTCCATCGAGCCAGCCTGTGGGGTGTATTTTTCTGGATTTGACGTTTTGACATAGGAAACTCGGTTTGATTGCTGAGATGATGGAACGGCGGAAGGTATTACTCGCGACGGCTTCGAGAGGCTTCCACATGGTTGCGAAATCTATTTCAAATTAATGACGTGACTATTGTATCATAGAGTAGTTACTCACTGAGTTCCCTCTTCTTCTGCAATTCAGGTTGTAGAAGAGAGGCGTCGGTTACTTTCGTGTCTTGCGCCAATACCATGTCGCTCTGTGAAGTGAGTTGGTGGTGGACCCTACCCAGGATCCAAACTCAATATACAAGGAAAGTCCAAAAGGTTTCCTGTATCAAACAAGATCAAAGGCAAATATCTAATGAGTGACGAGGGGAAAGATGAAAGCTGCAAACGGTTGAGGCACAGCGGACTGGCAACTGGAATGTTTAAAATAGCGCCCGGGACATCGGCATGAGCCAAGGGCCCTTTTGCCTGGTAAGGAGCTTCCATGGAGAGCTGAGAGATCTGGCTCACGCTCGAGTCCCTATGACCGGCGCGTTTAACAAAGGTGGGTCTCCGATCCAGTGGATGAAATGACGCCCTGTAATGCAACGCCTTGCAAGGAATGTTATCCGCCACATTCAGCCCCTCAAACCCCAGTGTAAAACGCACAGGTATGATCTGCGGGTTGAAAACAAGAACTAACCCCCAACAATTCTCCCTACGGATTTCGTACGTTGCCTTTCTATCCGGTGTCTGGACGCCTCACCATGGCTGTAGAGCCTGCGCCGCATACTTGGTAAAACAATACTAGCGCCAGGAGTTCATCTACGTCTCATAAAGAAAGTGTGTTGCTTTTGCCGTGCTTGGGCATTGCCAAATACACTAAGCTTGACACGAGCTTTTCGAGTAGGCAGATGTGGGGAGATGACCATTGTCCGGAATGGAGTGTTCGCGCCATCACGAGTGAATGTAAAAGTGACAAAGCTATGACATGCCGATGATCATTACCGAGCTTGGAGTCAGCACGGACCCTCTCCCGGGCCGTTCCTCTGGGCATAGTCTTCCATTCTACACTGGGGGAGCGTACCGGAGAACCATTCGGGGCTATGTTCCAACGACTTTTCATCTTCATGCTTTCACATACTATGTAGATGCAGTACTTCAATCGCAAGCTCCTTACTCATAGTCAGTCGTTTATATCATTCATTTTCATCAAACCATCAAAACTGATGTTGATTGAGTGTTTACGCGTCCTTTTGCCTTGGCACTGGGTGTATCCAGTGTTTTTTGTTATGATCATCCTGGAGGTGGGACCTTCCCGGTTTCAAGAGCAGCATGCAATCCCAGATCGCTACGTTGATCAAAGGTCCAAGAACTGCGACAATATTTTACAAGTACTGAGGGTGTTCCCCGCGTCATGAACGCTGTCACTGCCACCCCTTTTCTACCATTCATTGGATAATGGCACCAAAACAGCCCGAGTCTCGATTCTTGTTGGGCAGGGCGCAGCACCGTTGCAGCAAAAATGCATCTAGCAGAACTATTGTCACCTTAAAAACAATGCAGAAAACTCCATGTTGACTATTTGTGTGCGGCGCGGAATAGTGCAACTTTCACTATCTTATTCTGTAAACAGGTGCCTTTACAAATAGAAAGTCGATTGTTTGTATGCAATAGATTCATGTTTGCGGACTAACAGATCGAACTCATACAATTATTCCGACAATGCTCACCGTAGCCTCAACTCCGTCAATGGCCGAACCCACCAGGTGGCCAAACCCCAAACGGCCATCGCAACTTTCTCTTCCACCTCCAGGAATCCGTTACCCCACCTCGTTAAACGCCCAAAAATGCCTTCTAAAAACATTTGTTTCAACCCTTCCGGACACGACACCTATTCTCCAGCTTACTCGCATGTGTCCTCCGTTCCCATCTCCGGTACGCACAACCTCGTCTCTTTTGCGGGTCAGATAGGCCGAGATGATGACCACAATGTGCCCGAGGACCTTGGCGCGCAAGTCAGCATCGCGCTTGCCAATGTCGACAAATGCCTTGAGTCTGTCAATGCTACCAAAGACGATATTGTGCAGGTTCGACAGTACATTGTAGATCTGCTGCATGATAGGGATGGAGAAAAGAACGTGCCGAATCCGGTGAGAGCGAAATTGTACGCGGAATGGATGGGTGGACGAAAGCCCCCAAGTAAGTTATTCATCTCAAACTCGTTGCATCCCATTGAACCCATGAAAACCACGAGGTAGGACTGACAGCTCTGGCGCTTGCTGTAGGTACGGTACTTGGGGTGCAAAGTTTGGCCAATAAGGAGCTGTTGTACGAAATCGAAGTCATTTGTGTGGTAGAGAACAAAGCCGGTTAACCGAGAGAACATTGATGATAGACGAAGAACAAAAAGATATGGCATTCAACTTCCATATCTACGGCCGGCAATAGATAATTTGACATGAAGACTTAACTCCCCGTAGTAAATATCATCATGCTGCTCCTTGACTTCTACCTTCCCCAGCTGCATGGTCATTCCTGGTCACTGCCCAACCCCTCCTTCCAATATCTCTATTAATGCTATCAAAGGCCTCGTTATTCCCGACTCTTTCCCAATACTCGGAAATCTCCTCTAGATAATTCGTCTCCCCCATCGGTTTGTTCCACTCTGGAGATCCACTTCTTGCTACTTCGCCCCACTGCGCCATCCTTTGCGGCCGCAAACCATCGCGGTTGGAAGCAAAATGAATCAGCAGTGAGCCTGCGCGCGCATGGGCAAGATTTCGATCATTCTCAATGTCGGCGTCGGGTGGGAAACCATTGAACCAGCGTTGCGGAACATAGGCCACACTGTTATTCCACCACGGCTGACAACGCATCAGTGGTGTTGGCAGATACAGCTTATGGGAAGAGAGAAACCTACTCGCTTGATTGTTTCCTCCATCCCACTCTGCTCCGTATACTTCAACACAAGCTCCGGCTGATACTCCCTTATACTCAACGCGCTCGCAAAAAGCTTCATCGCCCACTGCCCCACTCTGATCATGAACACCCCATTATTTAGCCCATTTCGGTCCTTGGTAACCAATAGATTGATATGACTGAAGTTCGCTTCTGGAGGAACGAAGATATCCAATGGAATTTGCGGGTTCATGAGTACGGTATCTCGATCGTGCCACATCAGCCATTTCAAACGCTGCTCTTCAGGTTTCGAGAGCTCTTGTCCGATGACGGTCATGATCCAGCCGTGTTTGGACCATAATCCACGGATCATGTGCTCGCGGAGGATGTAGTGAGGGTAGCCGTGGATTTGGTTATGGAGGTCGTGGGAGGCGATAGCGGCTTCGTATGGGGGATCGGGGTCGCCAAATGATGCGGTGCATTTGCCGAACTTGGGATAGAACATGCTGGGGTGGTTTGGTTGCGTAGAGATCGAGGATGATAAAGATGCTCTTTCATCCACGGGAGATTGGTCTGAGGGCGTAGGGGCGTGTCCGGAAGCTCTTGTGAATATAGTTTCTTCCTGGTATATGGCAAATGTGAGTAATAGAAGCACCACCAAAAGACAATATTTGATAAATCTTGGGGTCCTGGTAAAGTTTTGACGCCGGAATCGTTGACCTTGGTGGTCAGGTGCGTGTCTCTTCCATAACCCGGCTGCGTGTCGCTCGGTGGGATCCATATCGATTTGTATATCTTTCGACAAGAATGGTATACAATGTACAGGTGGTGATAATCGCAAATTTACATCAAGTAACGCTGAAGGAGGGTAACATAGTTCGAGCGGACCCTACAGGTCAACTTTTCGGGCCCCGCTCTGCATAATTCGAATCAATCCCATTCCAACACTGAACTCCTGAGCTGAACGATTCTGCTCAAAAAGTGAGACAATATTCTGTGCGCAAGACAGGAGGTTGTGGATGCGCTTCATGTTGCCTGATTGGGAATAGCAAGACTCATTTCGCCTACCTCTATCATGAAATGTGCGATCATCAACACTCGCATTTAGTTTCTTTTTCGACTTTGTCGGTTTCCGCCCATGTACATGATACAGCCGACAAGGGTCACTTCAAGTTCTAGAGCTGATACACTAGGGCTTTGGTTTTAGTCTGAGAGCAACTCGTTCAGCAAGCCAAACATAGCTCGCAGTAGACTTGGCATCAATTGGTACTCTCCTAAGAATCATGGAATTGTTGCCCCCGATTTCTATAGTTAGGAATACACAATTTCTATCGTCCACAATATTCGACCTTTTGCCAAATAACCACCCATTTTGAGTCCCCTACACCTATTCTCATTCTTTTTCCACCCTCCTACGTTGCTCTATAAGAAGAGGCTAGATGGTTCGCCTCCGTCATATTCACCGGCGGAATCGTTCCGTCAAACTTATGATCTTTTTGCTTGTCATCATCTCTTTTGCTTTACTGTACTCTACCTGTCTCGAGACACTACATCATGCCAGTAGTCCCTTGCAATTTATCCGTCAACCTTCGAGTGTATACAAGCCAGTTTTCGATACGGAAGCGAAGCTTTATCGCACGAGAAGCGATTCTGAGCGTCATATCTATCTCGAACATAGCCCTGTCAGAGATCCCACGTCGAAACAGCACGAATACTCGACATCGCAGAAACACAACTCGATATCGCCGAGAGACTCAATATCCGAGTTACGTACTACTCATCAGGAAGGCCTTGTACAAGATGATTCCGAAATGCACGATACCACATCGGATACGCATCCAGCGAGCAATGTTGACCATGCCCCGTATCTCGTACACGTGAACGACGACGAAGTGCTTGTCTCGAGAGGAAAACTTCCTAACAGCAACTCCCGACAAGGGGAAATTGACTCTTCGAATGCAGCACCACGTTCCAAATCCGACCCGGTCGCAATCAAATACGACGCCACCGTCGTTAACAACGTCTCCAACACCGAAGTCGATCATCTACAGCGGCCTATTGAGATCTCGAAAGGAATGATGGCATGGTCAGCGGATTACACTTTTCCGGCAAGAAGCGAGTGCGAACACGTCAAGGAGAGAGCCGATACTCTTCCGGACATGCTATTCATGCCGTTCGAGCAGTCAGTAGAAGATGTGACACTACAAGGGTGGGAAGATGATTGGGTTGCCAAAGCCGAGTATACCGGACCGAAGCTTCAGGAACCAAAGATTGACTTCGTGTATAACTGTGAGTCACTGTTTCGACATGATATGACAGCAATACTGACACAAAAAGGGGTCAACGGCTCTCAACCCGAGCTCAAAGACACGATGCATCCCTATGAGCTAAATTCATCTCTCAATGATCCAGAAGGCGTTTGGGTTGCGTCTCACGGGACGAACAGATACCGGGAGTGGGACGAGTTGCGATTCTCGATGCGCAGTGTGGAAAAATACGCCGGATCGTTTGTCAATCGTATCCAGATCCTCGTGAATGCTTTCCAGGAGACGTCACAGAATAAGAAACAGAAGATGGACAAGCAACGCCCTTCCTGGCTTAATAAGTCACAAAAGGTGCAGGTACTCTCTCAAGAGGAGTTCTTTGGACCAGAAGAGCGCAAGTGTCTTCCTTCATTCGACTCTTTGACCATCGAAAACCAGCTGTACAATACCAGGTCGGAGACAGACAGGGTAAGCTTTCTTATCGTTCTTCAATCGCAGACACTGATATTATTCAGCTGTTCGCTCTCTCCGATGATATGATTCTTGGAAAGCCCCATGCTGCTTCTGATCTGTACTCACCGCTCTTCGGTCCAACTATGGGGTTCAAAGATAATGCGTACAACACCTTGAAGCCACCCACTCAAGCCGATGCCGAGCGATTTGGCGAGAAGCCTTTTCTAATCTACACCTCGTGGCTTCTAAACCGCAGGTTCGGAGCGCGAAAGCGAAAAGGCCAAGTGCATTTCGGACACTCCCTTTCCCGCAGCATTGCAAAAGAAGCCATCACAAGTTTTCCAAGACCCGCACTTCGAAGCGCATATCAGAGATTCCGAGGCGAAACTGGCTTTCAGCTCTACTCTTGGTACGTAATGTTCCATTATACCATGGAGAGGCATCGAGAGGCATTGTTGTGGAGCTACATCATGCTGCGAAGCGATTCGGACGATGACGGATACCTCAACTGGAGCGAGCGCAAAAAGATCTTGCGAGAGGTTGCGGAAGGTCTTGGTCACGACCTACCTGAGCAATATCGAAATAGAATGTTCTACCGCACGGGCGAATCACTCCAGAAAGCTGGATTGGAAGCGCCTAAAGTCAACACCGAGGTTCTATGGACGGCAATGGACGGACCCATCATGATCAAAGGCCTAGACTGCGACGCTTTCGACACCGAAGACTGCCTTGCTCCAGGATTTTCGATGCCAGCCAGCGATACTGCTGCTCGTAACCCTGTGTTCTCCTCGGCTGCTATTTTCGATCGAGTTGCCCGCGAAACACCTCGTTGTGGCGACTGTTTAATCAAACTTCTACTCAATCGGAGACGAGCTGGACTGGGCCCATTGTTACCGCATGCTATCAAGAAGCCCCAGCAGCGAGCGACCGTGGTCAAAGCGTTGATGAAGTACCAGTATACCATCGTTCAGCCTGATGCCGCGTTTTATATGGTCACTGATGCAGAACAAGTAGATCATGCACTTTTTAAGCCTTATATAAAGCATGGCAAAAAGGTGGGTCAGATGTGTTTGAATGATGATGTGGTAACGGATGATGAGGTGGAGTTGGAGAAGTTGAGGAAGGCTATGAGCGCATTGTTCAATGGCCTACTTCCGGAGCCTTCGAGCTTTGAAAAGTGATTTTAATTGGTGATATAATCAATCTTTGACTACAAATCGTTTCAACTATCACTTCCAGATTTCCTCTGGCTTACCATATCCCACAAAATAACTTATGGGTAGCATATAGTCTCATAAAAAAATTCATCGCTCATTCACTGTGCGAATGCATATCCTGTGAATCATATCATACAAGTGATGGCATTACTTTGAATAAGATCTGCGTAACACTTAAAATAGATATGACACTAGTTCCAAATTTACGCGTTATCGAAATTTCTGTGAGATGTTCGCGGGGCTGAAGAGCTGATCTGGATCAGGTCGCGTGCCCTCGCCGAAGGCCTTTCATTCAGTGCGAGCCCCTTTTGCATAGCAAGCGAGCATCTCGTCAAAATTTGTCGGTGCCACATTATTCTATTCAAAATTTCCTCGCCCAAAGCCGAGAGCAACGATCAGTCAGCCACATCACAGAGGTCTAATTGAAGCGTGGCTTGATATGATCAGGATTTTTGACAAATTTTAGCGACTTCGGCGACCTGGTTTGGGACCTGTAGGTTATTTGCTAGCTGCCCCTATCGACAGTAATGTCATGCGAAGATCTCAAAGGTTGCAATCAACTTATATACAGATGTCGATTACCCGTTCGTCTTGCTATCACATTGAGTGCTTCTTCACTTGACGTCTCTTTTGTTCCTGCGTGTTTAATTTTCCGTCGTTCGTCGTCACCTTGCACTTCTCAGGCGTAGCCGTATAATATTGAATATCACCTAATTTTTTTATTCCCCCACCCAGCCATGGCAAGCACCGCAGCCCTTCTATTATCGAGCGCTGCTCTTGCCCATGGTTACACGTTCACTACCAGCTCCGTCCCCAAAGTTGGCTACACCACCGTCAAACCAGGCGGCACGTATGCCCCAGTCACCGTTACATCGCAGTATCAGCCAATACCTACATATATCTCTTCGGCATCAAGTTACGACACCTACCTGTATGTTTCAACTGTTATAGCCGATGCCAACAGTAAGAACATCACGGTGACAAATACCGACCAACCCATCACCTTCCACCACGAAAGGTATACCATCACGCACACCGGACCCGAGGACTCCAGCGCTTCCACAGGTCTTCCTCATCCATCTGGTAGCGGGCATTATCCATACCTCCCAAATGCTACCGTCGTTCACCAACCGCACACCTGGACAGAGCTATACGAAAAAATCGATCAAGCACCATATCGCGATCTCGGTCCATCCGCTTTGCCCGCTTACTCTGGCTCCGGACTGTGCAGCAAGTGCCGTGGAGAAGGTAGCATTATTTATCAGCCCGCACGAGTCAGCGAATACAGTAACAACCAATGGACAAAGTACAACACGACCTACACATATGGCCTCCCAGTACCCTCCGTAACAACCTACAAACAACCTGGAACATACACGATCCCAAAATACGACGTAACAGTAGAACAACCGTCCACCGTCCCCGCCGAAGCTAGCTACACAGCTCTCCCCAGCAAAACCGTAACATACGGAGGATCTCTCACTGAAGTAACAGAGCCATGCACCATCACCGCCCACTACGGCGCATACTCTGTAGCTACATCGTCTGGCAAACCAACGACAAAAACTATCATCCGAACAACGACAATTGTCGCGGGGAAACCGGGAACTTATACCATTGCGACACCGACGACTACATGGTACTCCACCAAGGAAATCTGCACGTATCCAACAATCAGCGTATACCGCCCCGGAGTATACGAGCACACACGCGAAACCGTCACTATCACGAAGACCAGCGAAGCTTACACATGCCGGTACCACAGCAGTTCGATGTACCCCCCAAGCTCCTCGTACGCTACCCTATCTAAACCAATCCAATCCACTAACAGCATGGCTTCCTCGGTCGAGGCAACTTCAACACCATCGCATGCTACAAACGAACCTACCATTCCTTCTTCTGAAGCCCAGTATACTTCTCCGTCTTCATCTTCATCTTTCACTTCTTCCCCTCCACCGTCGTATATCCAGACAATGCCGCCCCATACGAATTCTACTTCGTCGACACCGTGTCCATCTTCCACCTCCAAAACATCGCATCTTTCTTCTGGAAGTCCATCCAAACCAAGCTCCACCCCGTCATCGTCCACGACAACACCGGATAACCCTGATCCATCATCTGACCACTACGAAGAGCCGATGGAAAGCTACGGAACTGCTTCTTCGGGCGGGTATGTGAGACGTGGTGGGGTGCTTGAGCGCAGGAATGTTGGAGGCAATAAAAACGCAAAGGCTGGGGCCGGGGTTGGGGCTGCGGGACGGAAGAGGGTTATTTTTGTTTAGGGGGTGAGGGAAAGGAGGGGAAGTGTTGCGTGGTTTTTCTTCTTCTAATAATACTCGTATCTAATGATTGAGAGATGGGTTTGGGGTTATATAATTTATGGTATCTGGATATCATGCTGGACTTGCTTTGACGGTAATGGTGTGTTTCTTGTGGCTTACCTGATGTGTTTGAAATGATAACTTCATTGATGACCATAGCAATGCGATGGTTGATAAGATGACCTTATAGAATGTATATTTCGGAGAGTGCGAGCATACGAAAGCATCACTTGGCGACAAAGCATCATCTTCAAAAACATGCTAATTCTTGTAAAGCGAATGTCGTTGTATATTCAGAGTATAGACAGTGTAAACCAAAGAAACAAATATGTACAATGAAATATCTACACCGCATCCAGCATGTCTCATCTACTGCCAAAGCAGTATCTACGATCAACTCAAGGATATCTCTATAAAAAAAAATCAAAAGCCCAAAGCTTGCATCATCTAGTTACCTCCAACTGCGACAGTCCAGAGCGTGGGGTTGCTATCGAAGAGAACACCAGCAACATCGCTACCACCGTCGGGGACGACATCGTCGTAGGGGAATGCGTATCCGCGTCCGTCTTTCTGGACTTGGTGGACAATGCGCGCGTAGTGGTTCGTCGTCGCATTCTTGTAGTAGTTCCCAGGGTTGCTACCGTTAGGAGTCTGGTTGGTATCGAGCAACACACTACGGTTGAAAGCAGCAGCCAGACGGGGAATGACAGCATTGCGAGCACCATTATCGCCTGTCTGGAAGGGCCCAGTGGAGCAGGAGAAGATGTCCTTCGCATTGGGCTTGCTGAAGGTGCCTGCGGAGCCCAGGCTGAGCAGGTTGTTGCTGACACGACCTGTGAGGTTACCTGCGCCGGCTTGGGTGTTGATGGTGAGGTCTTGGGATTGGAATTTAGACCAGACTTGGTTCACGTAGGCGTCCCAGTAGTTACCCCAGGCGTTGCCGTCTGAGACCAAGAGGTTGTTAGGCGAGAGGGCGCGGAGAGGGTTTCCGCCAGGGCTGTAGATGAGGCGGTCCCAAGGTCGGCCGTCGCGGGAAGTCTGCGCTCTGAGCTCACTCACAACGGTGTTGAAGCCGTTTGCTGACATTCCTGGGGAGCTCTTGACTTGGCCAGCAGTGTTGGTGATAGCAATCGCGATGGGAATGTTGCCAATGAAGTCAACATAGGACAGGTTGACAAAGAGCTGGTAGTCATTGAATGTAAATTCAGTGAAGCACCTATTCTTTGTGTTAGTGTTTGATCTAGGTAATTGAAAATGTTGTGGGATATCTGTACCAGTTGATGTTGATGTTCGGGTCCGAAGGGTTGTTCACCGAAGGCTCCACAATTCCAGGACCTGGGTTCAATTTGAAGGTAAGTTTCGATCCAAAGGAGAACCAAATACGGCCACCTGCCAGTCTGGGAATGGTGACCTGATCATTGTTAGCCACAATTTATGTCGCAACAATATTGTTCTTACATTCTTGGTAGAACCAGGTGCGCCTAGAGGGATGGCGACATCGGCACCAAGAGGTGCACCAGTCTGGCTTGGAGAGGCTGGAGTATAAACTGTGCGCCCATCTGCTTGAATAAAACTGTAGCGATTGTTGTTGTTGATGGCCAGACCAGTAACGTAGGCGTATGCATCGCTATGACTGCTCTTATTCTGCAGAGCGATGGTGAGAGTTTGGGGCGTCGCGTCCGCGTTAATGGGTTGTTGTTCGGCCATTTTGTTTTTCTCTGCTGGAGCTGGCGTGTTTTTCAATGTGTCGTTGGCAGGGTTCTTTTCCTGGTTCTTGGTGCCGGACGAGACCGACTTGATCTTGGCCACTAGATTATCGAAGCAGCCCATGATGCAATGTCAAAATGTAGCCAAAACCTGTATGCAGGGGGTATAACAATATCAATATTGTGCTAATAGGAAGCAACAAGAGCAGGGAGGTGTGCAGAAATGTGGTAACACTTGCAGTAGTGTGCGACGAACATTACAGCGACGACATGCCTGGTATTAAATACACTTCGACCTTGCTATAGACGTAACGTTGTTGTTGATGTCACACTGGAGAGCGTTTCGAGAGGTCGACAGGGGTTGCTGGTGGCTCGAGGTCATTCAAGGAACACGCCCAATCAGGGAAAAGAGCCTTGCACCACCGGGAGATAGATTGCGCGACCGCCCCAGATTATCTCCAGGATGGCGAGCCACGAGTCCAAGGCTCGTGGCGCCTGGAACGGTGTAGGGAAGCTCGCGCATAACGTACTGTATACCCAGGTAGGTCGGGCTATAGATTAGGTATTTGGGCGACTGGCTGCGATGCCACTGTGACGTTTACAGCATCAAGAATGACTAGAAGTGTGATCAAGAGCCTGGGGCAACCATGCTCGGCGGCAAGAATAGGAAACTCGACAAATTTGAGCGACGGCGACACGAATGGAAGCTGTGTTTGCCGTGAACTGCGAGGTGATCGATGCTCGAAGTACTCGTGGGATTCCCTGGCACATCGAGATACAACCAGAGACGGGATTGCGCTACGGTTAGGAAGGTAGATGCAGTTCTCATCGCACACGCGACCCCATAATTTCCTATTCTCTTCTTGTGCCACAGTCACCCGTCTGAACCAGATGCGACGGTATAGTAGGCAAACCGCTGTTCTTGACAACTCGCAGAATCCTCCTCTTTCCGCTGGTCCACACGCGACGACGTAATGACGAAGCTCTATCCGCATGAGCGCAAATGTAGCTTGACTGTTTACCTCAAATGGAAGACGGGATGGATCCAGTGCCGGATGGGCGTTGGCTGTGCCGCGAATGTACTCGTGGAAATTGGAAGGGTAAACCGCCTGGCCATTGTTTGGCTCTCTATCAAAAAGATAGGTCAGAAGATGCTCATCTTGCTTTTGATGTCCGGAAATAATAAAGACCATTCCACCAGTCGGCGATCTGGAGTTTGAGGTTGATTTACGCTGGTACTTTGTACTCCCTTGAGGATTAGACTAGCCCGTAAATAGCTTAGTAGATTAGCATAGTTACACGACGGGACAGTCCCCTCCAACTGGGATATCTAAGACCCAATTAAGGAATTCTATGTATTGTTCGAAGCGCTAATTTGAGAGTTGGAAGCGATTCCAGTACTTCGAGCACGTGTTGATGGTGGCACTCAGGCACGTGCGGAAGCCACACCCTTTTGCGCCAATAAATACCGGATGTAACCACGCACAAAGGCCACAAGAACCTTCTATACAGTTTTCAGGCAGAACTTCTTTTACTATCAATGCGGTAGTAGTTTAGGTCCCGATAATCTTGCCTTCACGGCAGTAATGGTACATTATAATGTTTAGCCCAGCCCAGAACATTAACTCGTGTGTCTAGCATCGCTATCGACAGGCAAAATGCCTGGCTGCAAGATTGTGGAAGGGAGTATCGATGGATTGGTTCTGGATACTATGCAATGGGATGGTAATAGTATGTCGTTGATTGTCTCGCTGACGATTCCTGTTCGCATATAAGGAAGCCAGCGTAAGATTTGTCAAAGGTCATTCGTCTCGAACGCTCTCCACCATAACAGGCCGTTCAAATCTCGAAATTTTTACAAGGCCTGGAACAAACATGTCTTTGCTATCTCTGGCGCTTTATCCGGATATGTGAATAGAGACTGTCTTCAAAGCTTGATGGAAATGATGTACACCGGCAACAAACGATTCGATCGCGTGATGCGTCTGCTAGACGAACTGCAGGAGATTGTTGGTTGGTATATGGATGTGACTAGGACAGGAATATGTGCACGCACACAGCAGGCAGAATATGCAAACAAAGAAAGGGTACATCCATTTTATCTATGAAAAACTGGCGAGTGTACTAAGTGCTAACTGTCTTGTAGGCCGTGCACGAGGGAATGAAGAGTCTGTATGAAACCAGTAAACTCCTGGCAAATGGGCGGGATATCCTTCACATATAGGTGGTGAACCTGTGCACCTTCCGCCATGATTGAGCCTGAATTCTTTTCCGGTGGTGAGATGTGATAAAGAAACTCTGATCAGATATGCGCGGCGCGGTTGTATGATATTGACGCATGTGGTGTTTCCGGTCCAGTTGTGTTTAGGTAGTCGGTTGTCAAGAATGAAGCTGCCTATCATGTGTTCCACCCTCCATTCCATCTTCTGCGAGCCATAGTGCGTGCTCGCCAACAAAATCCACCAACGCCACGGTTTCTATAGCACTTGGCTCGTTTGTCAGAACTCGAGCCATCCACATCCTGAGCCATCGCCAGGATTCTCGGAGGCGTAGATTCGGTAGATTTTGCTGGAAACCTGGCATCGTGGCGAATGCTGGTCTGATTCGGGGTTTTGAGAGGGATATAACGTAATTTCCAGGCGCTAATAGTCGACACTGAGCTTGAGAGTGAAGTGTTGTGTGGGAGGAGTGTGGGTTGGAGTGTGCGGTATATTTATGTTAGGGGGGAGGGGGAGCGTGGCTTTAAATAGAGATCTACTGAGTGATTTCCTGCTGATTGATGGATCGATGAGGATGTTATTATCTTTAGGACGGTTACGATTGGAGATTCGTGCTTCGGTTTTCCATGGTATGTATATCTATGTAGCTCGCCAATCACACGATTACATTACCAATGTAGACATAATTATTCGACCTCAATGTAAAGCCGTATCGATGGGACTTCCTGGCTACCTGGTGGCATGCCGTACGTGAAATTCCAAAACTCAAATTCACTGTTCATAAGTCAGCCAAATCCCTCAACTCGCATAATATCTTGCGAGTAACACGGTAGAGAGGAAGGTAACTTACTTGATCGTATCCCCCTGACCACCAAACATACCATTGAACGTGACTTCATAATTCGTATCAACATTGCCTTCCACCGTCACTTTCACACCCTCTACATCCTCCCAGCTCGCCACATCCCTCTTTCCGTTCTTTGAGTTCGTAGCAACCAAGAGTTGGAAGGTACTCGTATCATTTCCTTGCGGATATGACAACTCAAGTACGTTCTCCTCAACTTTAACGAGTAATTCCATCACTTGCGCGTAAAGCGTCAGCCACCCAACGGTTCCATCAGCGCGCGCCCACTGTGCGACGGCGGGGTTGAAGCTGTTAGGGTTCTTTGCGGGGCCGCCAATAACGTTCTCAGAAAAGGACTCAGCGCCGATGGTGAGATTGGGAGAAATCCAGGCGGTGATGTTGCGCGGGTAGGTATCGAAAGGTGGGGAGAAAGCAGATGTATTGACGGTATGTGTTCCGGGGAAGGTGTGCAGGGAGGATAAGGCCTCGGGAGAAATGAGCGTGTTGTGGAAAGGGGCCAGAATGGCGATCAGCGGACCGATGGCGAAGTCGTCTTTGTGACCCATTGCATAGGGCTGTTTGGAGAGGTTAGCTCATCTAATTCTCCATGTCTACAGGGAGATTGGGAGGAAATTAGAACGATTTACCTTTGCGTTGATGGGAGCCTTCTCTTTACCAACCAATGTCCAGATCTGCAAAGCTAGAATACTAAGGTACCGGTTCATGTCAAATCCGTAGCTTCGATCCCATGGTCCAGCTACGTTCTTGAGGTTAGCATTATACAGCGACCCCAAAGACGACCACGTTTCCTGAATCATTCGAGCTCCGTTTTGTCCCATGACGGAGCTCTCGTCCATGTACTTCGCCCACATCGTAAGCGCATACAAGGATACACCAGCGTAAGTTCCGGAATTGAACTCGGAAAGCGTGTTTGCTCGATTGAAAAGATCAATGATTTCGTTCGCGTAGGTTTCTCCGGCAGCAGTCATGTTGGCTTCGTTTGTCCTTCGACCGACCCAGCCTGATACAAATGCTCGCATAATCGCTGGATTACTGTATGCTGGATACAAGTTGTCGTCATCAACGCCGCCAACTCGATACTAAACGCGATACAAAGTCAGTCAACTCCATACCGGGGTGTTCCAGCAGGCTGGTACGTACACTGTCGCCGATAGTCGCATTATGCAGACTTTCCATCATCCGATCCTTTGTATCCTGCGGAATCAACTCAGGAAACTCTTCCAGCATGAGCACAAACGTCGTGCCAACGAAACCTCTCCAGTTCGGATCCCACGAGTTATAAATAACAGGCGGGTATTGCTCCGTTCCTACGGTCGGCTCCTCAGGGTACTTCTGGTAGTCTCCAAACCTACATTCTCACACGTCAATGTCCCATTACGCATTTAACATTTCGCATCGAAGGTAAAGAGCAAGGGTGAAGGAGCATGACAATCGTACCATTGCGAACTCTCATTCTTAAACTGCCCCGAAATAACATTTTCTACAATCTTTACCGCTTGCTCGGCATCGTCGCCTTCGTTCCTCGCGAGCAGTCCCGCTGCATACCAAGATGAAGCTCTCGTCTCGTGCGTGAGGGCCTGCGCGCTCAAAGAATACAGATACCCGGCTTCGGAATCATAGTACATGTCCAACCAGCTCATAGACTCCCGTAACAGCTCATCCGCCCATTGTTGCGTAGTATCGTTGCGCTTCATTAGAGGGGTAGGAGTCGCGCCGACGAGTAGAGGAAGGGTCAGGGCAGCCGCCGTAGCAGAGCGCATTAGGGTGGTTGGAATCATGGCGGTGGGCACACGAGTGAGGGGACAAAAGAAAATGGACGCATCGTGGGCATTTTGTCGTATTTAACCAGGAATACTAACTTTTCCTATCGGCGCTCTTGGAAGTTGCTGGGTATATTATCGAATACCTCGGGCGAAGGCGTACGTTTTTGGGTAGCCTCTCGTGGAGAAGACCAACCCTGGTTCCGAAGACTAGGCTATCCTGTAAATGTATCGCCCGCTCCTAAAACTACTAAACTTGCTTCAAAGTACTTGGAGGTTTTACAAAACCATTGGTCATGGTTATTGATGCAAAGTTCAATTCTTTGTTTTTGGTGGATGCTGCTCCGTGAAGCTGTCAACTTCCGCTACATCATAAGCTAAGTGGTGAGCTCAGATCAGCTTTCACCTACACAGAAGAGGGAGGTGATAGGCAAATTGCGGGGGCTGCTATTCCATTGTAGGCCGCTCGGACCGAATATACCTGAGCTCTCCAGACGATCACCAAGAAAGGCTCGGGTTTAGATTCATCTCTTTTGATGCTTTCTATATGGTAGTAGACAGTTACCACCAATGGAACAGAATATACAAGACTGTTCTCCCTCGTACCCGAATTGACTCGCTGTAACCCGCTGTAACTTTTGAACTACACTGTCCCCAATACTCCATATGATACATAGCGCGGCCTCAATAGGCAATGGGAATCACTTATGTGTGTACTAGACATCACCTCCGCATGAATACACCTAAAGTACCAAAAGGCAAAACTTTCCAGAAACCTCTCGGTATAGCCTTACTGTGTCTTCTTGACACTCTTCTCCGTTGGCGCACTATACAACCACACCGCTACAAAGGCCACGAAACCACCAACGGTGACCCAGATACCTCCAATCCAGGGCCACGCTCCGTTGATCTGCCAACTCCTCGGCCACTCATCGTGCGCGAAGTGGCGCACGGTGACCTGCCTCTTCTCGTCGATGTTGGTGAGGAAAGGTCGGCGATAGTTGATGCGGAAGTTGAAGATACCGTGCTGATCAGGTGTCTTGAAAGAGACGCCGAAGATAGTCGAGTTTGCGGTCTGTCCAATAGGAGAAAGGTTTAAGCGGTGGAAAGGGGAAAGCATGCTGAATTCGAGTTGAACGGAATCATCAGAAGCCGGGAAGAAGGGAACGAGGTGGTCGTTCTGGTATTCCGAGATTTCGACTTGGAAAGCCTGCAGATGTCAGTACTTGATCATGATATTGACGGCGTTGAACCACTTACAACATCCTCTTTGATGCGGTAGATGGTGGGGTTGTTTTCTGGAACCGCAGTGCTGGTGTTGAGCTTCTTGTTCTGGCCCTCATTCTGATAATGAAGGAGCTTCCCAACTTGAAGCACACCGGTCTCCTTGAAGGTCCATTCAGTCACCTTCTTGGCAAACTCCCGGTTTGCGGTCTTCACAGCCTTGCCGTTCAACTTAGCATCTGCCAAAAACCATTGATCTTGAAGCATCTCAGCTGAGCCAACAACGGTGAAGCGCGCAGAGTTGTGAGATTGCAGAGACGAGACAATGTTCAATTGCGCGCCAGTAGCGAATGGATCTTCAACGATATCCGCCTCGTCCTTAGGGTTGTAGCTGTACGCAGTGCTCGGTGCACGAAGGATAGGAGCAAGAAGAGGAGAGTTATTTCCGAGGACCTGGCCAACGGGTTTAGGAGCAGCAAGAATACCTTCGCCAGCGAAGAAGTTCCTGACGTCTCGTCTAGGTGCGTCCGGGAAGGGTAGCAAAAGCACGTCGTGCTTATCCGCTGCGGACACACTATCATAGTTGAAGTGGTCCACCACCAATGCGCCCTTGTCGGACGGAGTGTGGATGTCGAGTTCGAGGAGAAGCGACTGAACAGAAGAAGGCACTATGTTGCTGCTAGACAACGCAACAATGACATTGCCATCGCTCTTCATGAACTCGAGGAATTGGTTGGCAGTCAGAGCAGGTCCGAGACCTTTTGACTTTCCGGGAAGAAGGATTACGTGGTCGTAGGCTCGTTCGCCATGTCTGAACAGAGAGAGCTTATCGGCTTTGGGCGATTCGACGGTAGTTTGAAAGCCACGATCTATTGCGAATAATGTCAGTAGATGCTCTAAAGACCACCCATCCCGCTTCAGCTTGATTATCCCAAGTAGCAGCAATTGGGGGTCCCAATTCAATGTGTACACCATTATATCCCTTCTTTCGGGCCATACGATCGCTAATTGGATTCGTTTGCAGACAATTGACCACTTACCATTTAGATCACCCAACAGCACACTGTACTTCTCCTTCTCACTCTGCTCTTCGAGTACGACCAAAAGTCTGGGTCCCAGGAAACTTTTGGCCTGCACCGCAACTGTTAGCACAAGCGCTAGAAATGAAAATAGCCACCTCATGATTGCTGTGAGTTGAAGAGGGAACCTTGACACGGCGTGTACATGCGGGCGGGACAGCTCCAAGTTGGAGACGTATGCAACGCCAAGACCCCGGGGAAACGTCGGAAGCGGTTGAGCTTAGCTCCCGAGCGCAATCGTCCAACCTCATCCGCAACAGCAGAGACAACCGAGTTCGAGAAGCAGCCATTGAGCACCCGAATAGCTGTGGAAAGCCTACAGTTGTTATACAGTGAGTGATTGAATGTTCTTGGATGGTACGATTTGACGGCTGACCGTGTGTGCCTAGATCAACATGGCCTCCACCCAGCCCTTCTTCTTCCAGCAACCCCTCCGCTACCTCCGATGGATCTCCATTAACAAACCCGCATACTTCTACTCGATTGTGATCGGGTCCATAGGACCTGTCATGGTCTTCACCGTTCCGCCTATTCGGAGATATCTTGGATACGAGAGGTCACCCAGAATACCACAGACATATCCGAGTATGTATTCCCCGTGAATAAACCGGGCACCACGATGAGGGAACATGATGGCGTGGGAGAAATTAGAAGATTGGGAGAAAAAGTATGGGAGTCCGGATTACTGACAGCGCTACAGTACCTCGAGGTCCCCGACCTAGGCCCAGCGGTTTCGAGGATGAGTAGGTGTACAGATGGCGAGTCAAGTTAAAGATACGATGAAAGACAACAGGAAAGATATGCATGGTCTACAGAAAGATCACCGGAAATCTGGGTTGAGGGGATGAGCAATTATATTCCAGGGTGGGCAAAGCAACCGCCGTACCATACTGTACAAAGCAAGATATTTCATTGACTTTTTGACCAATTACGCCTTGAACCATGTTCATATTCCCAGTGATCAGTTCAGTCCACGGATCGCCTTCGAACAGGGTCTCCCGCTGTTCAGCATTGATCCTCGAAGGCATTGCCTTTTCTCAGTAATGGACTAGTGCCAACCAAGCCGATAGAGAGAGTCGTAGATACCTGATCCTCAAGCACGCCTAGCCCGTTTACGGCTCTCGTCCTTGTCCCAGGCTTCCTCCTCGGATTCCTCTCCGGCACTGCCATCATCCACATCCACACCAGCCTGCTCGCGGGAAGCAGCCTGTAGATTCTGACGTGCAATCGCATTACCGCCAGGTCGAACACCACGCTTGGTTCCCGCAACCTGTTTCTGCTGCTTCTCATGCTCGAGCCATGGTAGATCATCGCGGTTAAAGTCAATGCAGGTAAGGTACGGGACCGGGTACTTATGCACATCGAGCTCACACTTGACCTCCAAAACGCCCTGCTTGTCGATGAAGTTTTTCATGCACTCCTTGATCTCCAAAAGGTGGTTCTCGCAAACGTTCAAAGCCTTCTTGGTCATGGGGAACTTGCCGTGGAACTGATTGATGACCACCTTGTCCATGTACGCTTCTCCGGCAGCACCGATCTGACGATAAAGCTCAAAACCACTGTCCTCGCCTGTATGTCCTTTTCCCATGATGAGGCGCTGGCCGACCCAGTGTCGGAACCACGTCAACGCGATCCAGATCAAGACGTCCCTAGAGTAGTCCTCGCGCTTGATGGGCAAATCTTGGGATGGGGCGCACATATCTCCCGGGTAGAGCGACATGACGCCAGTGTCTATCTTCTTGCCCTTCTTCATCAGCGCTCCGCGATGCTTCTCCACCAACTCCTTGACAGCTGGATAGTCTTTCAAGGCTGGCATCGCATGCTTCTTGACTCGCGGCCAGTTGCCGACCAAGTGGATCATGGCCTCCTTGAAGATGCTCTCGCTCTTGATGCTCATAGACATGCCTAAAGTAGCGCGCATAAAGTCAACATAATGCACGCAAACATTTTGGGGTGAGCTATGGGCGTCTCCAAACATCACGTCGCATAGTGACGCAACATGCCACTTAACTTAAGTATACGTACCAATCCAAGATCCGGGCATGGCCTGGATGCTGCGATACAAGTTTTGACCGTGCTTAAGAAGTGCGACCTCAACTGGTTTGCTGACGACGGCCAGACAACCCAAGTACTCGGCGATAGATACCATCTGCGTCACATCCTCCAGAGCAGAACGCATATCAGCGTCGCTGATGCGGATCTCCTTGTTGTAAAAAGCATATAATATAGCCTCGTAATGGTCGAAGATCTTGGTAGGTACACGTCCATTCTCGTTGGGAATGAGCCCGCTACGGCCATCAGCACGTTCACCGCTTGAGTTGAGCTCCTGTCAAAGTTGGGTGTAAACTCATGAATAGATTTGCGAAAGAGGAGGAATACTTACAACCAGTCCCATGAGACCAGCCGGGTGCTCCCGGTCAGGAAGATGCTTCAACTCGACCATCCACCTAGTGTGGACGTTCGCGTTCTTGGCCCGGTTGCTCAATTTCGCAGCGTTCTGCTCCGTGAGCATTCCGGCCAGCACGGTGCTGTTGCGCGCGAGCGTGCCGGAGTGAAACTTGTAACGCCGGGCGTGCGTGAGCACGACCTCGACGTCTTCAACTTGGTTCATTTTGGAAGTGTGTGATGCTCGTGTTGGTAGATATAGAAGGGTGGATGTGTGGGGGTAGAGTGCAGAGATGTAGTGGGGTGGAGGTGCTGGGTGGAGGGAAGATCAAGTCGAGGGCGTGAGGACCGCTTTTAAAGACGTTGGTCCAGCATTTTACCTTCTGCGTTTGACGAAAAGTGAGTGAGAGTGGTTGGAGGTGTCGTGACTTTGGATTGGCTGAGTGAAAGGTTGATTCCCATGACACGATTGATGACTCTTCTAGTGAGAGAAGGGCGGTTAGTGTAAGCTGGTAGGTGATATGTAGAATGAATCAGGGCATGAAATCAGTATGATATATAGGTATGTTAGAGGATGAAATCATTTACTGGTCGACAATTTCTTCTGTATAGCTCTCTGTATAACATCAACAATCAGTGTTGAGACCGAACACTTTGCAATGTCATTGTCTTTCGAAGTATCATGATAACACATCAAGATTTCTAATTCCATTGTCTGATATCCGTCGTGGGAACAAAAGTCTAGTGTATAGTGCGTCGAGTAGCGTCAGAAAACAGTGTATATGTGATCTCCTAACCTCTATAACTAACGACAAACACGGAAGAACAACAGCACCTTATACGATCCAGGTTACAGTCAGTTGTTTGAGTTAAATCACAATAAGCAAAATGATTCGGTTCGGACTACATATTATCAGCACATATATTTCTGAATAGCATCTCGGGTCACATTGTGGTATGACCCATATGTTTTTTATGTTGCTTATCGTACAGCCTCATGATGATTTAGGACAAAGTATCACTAGGTCGGATTTAGTGATCTGCCCTTGATGCACAGCAAAGTGAATGCGTTCAATCAATAGACCAAGATATCCAACAGTTCACGATGCACCGTTTCAGCAATATACATATAGCACAACTACAGTTCTCCTGCAAGAATAATCATAGGGGAATGCCACCACACCAAAGCCAATGACAGACAGGCCAAGGGGGTACGTGGAGGGCGAAGATGGATGGCATGGAAACGCGTGGACAAGAAAAGAAAACACGTCTGTGGCGAGCGGTGATTCAGGAATCAGGAGGGAGTGGGATGGATGGATGGATGGATGGATGGGGGGTGGGATATTACCAATCCTCCTTGGATGCTAGCGGCGCTCCGGGGCACGGGCATGCACGTCTACGTACCATGTACATACAAGCTTCCCCCCTCTGCACGCACATGAAGGAGTTGAACGTCCATCCCTCGTGTCCTTGGTGCTGAATCGCATCTTCTCCCGGTGCGGATAAATCATTCCCTCGAGCATTGAACCACCAGCCTCGTTTGGGGGAGTGCTTGATATATTAGTTTTTGGTTTTTTGGCGAGCCGAAAGCCACCTCACACACAGAGTGCCTACGTGTGCGCTTGGCGGCGAACGCATAGATCCCACCCATTGTCTTGCCGTACGTACCCTCGCTCATTTCTGACGACCCTCGAACCCAATCCACCCGTCACTCGTTGTTGCATCCATCTTTCCATCTTGGATACTTTCGAGGTACGTTGAGAAAGTCTAGCATGTCGTCGACGATGGCGGCGGCTCTTCCCGCGCCTCTGCCTTCGCTGTGCATCTGCTAATCAGTTGCGCTGCTGGCTGGCCTGCTCTTCGAGGAGGGGGGATGTTCCCGACGTCCGCTAACCAACCTGCCACCAGTCCCCTACCGCTCAGTTGGCCCACACTACCACCACCACCACCTCACCCACTGTACAAAATAGGTGCGTCACGCTCCGACTCGCCCACCCTGCTCCCCGTCCGAGTCCGATCCGGGATGTATTGAACTGCTCAACAGCCATGGACCGTGTGCACATGGGAGGATCGTGCTGATTGTCAACCCAGACTTCGGAAAGACTTGTTTCTCTAGATTTTGGCTGCGTATCTACTACATATTGGACATTGGTTGGGGGGAACACACACGGAGAATCGGCAGTGTTTTGCTTCATTGCTACCTGCTTCTTCTCGAGATAGAAACCTGCCAATATGGCAGCGGCGACTGCTGGTGAGTGCCTATCTGCTTGCCCTATCCTGCTCTGCCTGCGACTCCCCCCATGCTTCGCCACTTCCCTTCTACATGTATACCCTATTTCTTGTCGCGCTGTGAAAGCAATGCCACCCTCGTATTCACACCATGCCTTTTCTGCGCCCCATCTCCTTCTTAGTCGCATTTCTCACATTGCCCTTCCGGCTCGTAGGTTATGAGTGGAATCGCTCTTCGCCGCTGCGCTCCTCCCCCGACACGGCCTCGCCCATGTATCCCGATCGACCCATCCGCCCAATGCCCAAGCGTCGACTGCGCGATCGCATGTCCCCCGAGCAAGCCGAGCACATAGCGTTTCCTCCCCATCCTCCTTCGTCCGGGCCCCTCTTCAACTTTCCATATGCCTCGAGCGAACGAAACACCCGGAATCTGCGTTTGGGCGAGAGCGAGCATCATGCATGCCACTGTGGACACAATCACTCCGAGGTGGAGAGCGAAGAGGACGAGGATGAACGCGGCGCCCCAATGCCATCATCCCCGAGCTATCACTATAGCCGCAATACCCCTGGGAAGCTCGCGGGACCTCTGGCATATACGAAACCCGGCTCGACTGCGTCTTCAGTGGATGGCTACGAGTCGTTTGAAAATACCAATAACAAGAAGAAACGCAAAATTCCCAACATGGGCGGTGCAAATGCACACCACACCAATTTATCGGCAGAGATGGCTAGCATGGGCATATCACACCCCCACGATATGGCGACGCTCGACGATGTAGAGGGATCGGGGCGCTACTATGGGTCTGCGCCTTCGACGCCGCAGCAGCAACAGAACATGATGAATGCCAACAATGGCCCAGGAACAGGCATTTCGGGGGCGGGCAGGGGAAGATTTGGACGATCTGCTTCGGGGAGGTCGGAAAGGCGGGTGCTAGGTAATTCCACATCGCTCGCCAATGCTAAAGCAAGCACCAAACGTAGGCCTTCACGTCTGTTTCGGGAAATTGCGAGTCTGGCGCTAGTGTCCGTGCGCTGACTTTCTTTTTGTAGGACCCCCAGACCAGCAAGCCGGCATCATCTCTACCGCCATCGCCAACGCGCAAGCTACACCCCCCCATCCCGGCAACGAGAACGTGAGCCTGCTGCAGCAGGAAGCGTCCAAGACTCCCACCAACAAAACCCAATTCACCTTCACTTGCGGCTCCGACTCGGCCATCAAAATGGCTTGGCCCGGCCAGGAAAACACCATGCCCGGTGCGTATCCTCAGGGCTCCGCTCCACCTCCATCTCAGACGCGCGCTCGCCCGCCTGTCCGCCCCGAAAACCCAACGCTTGCCAACCATGGCACCCAGACGAGCCCTCGAGCCAACGGAGCGGGCACCGCCAACCCTGCATCGCAGCGAGGCCCGCCACCCAACCAGCAAGCCCCACCTCCGCCGCCCCCGCCGAAGCCCCGACGCAGTGCCACCAAGATGTACCAGTATGCCGCCCGCAAACGCCGCCTGGCTCAAGAGTACGCCAACAGCCAGAATCCACCCGACCCTGCTTGGATCTGCGAGTTCTGCGAGTACGAGGACATTTTCGGTCGCCCGCCTGAAGCCTTGATCCGACTCTACGAGAAGAAAGACTTGGCAGACCGTCGGCGGCTCGCTGAGAAACGTAGGCTGCTTGCCAAAGCTAGGATGAAGGGACGCAAGGGCAAGAAGCAAAGCAAGAAGCAGAACAACGCTGCCAATGCCCAGCAGTCTCAGAATCCTCCACCGGGAGGCTACGACAGGCGTCCGGAGGATGAACAGCTCGACGGACAGGATGATTACTACGACGACGACTACGACGATGTACCACCCAGCCATATGTCGCCTGCTAGGTGCTGCGATCATCCTGGCTGCCATTCTCACAATGTCGCTCGGGCCACTCTGGATCAGATGGACCCCCCTCGCGGCGGTACCACCAATGGTGCATGACGTGCGGGGTGGGCCGCCGTCATTGCTTTTTGCACTCTCTTTGCATTCTCTATACGCATAACTCCTGGACTTGGGAAAGCTGCGGCGTGGATGTTGGACTCTCTTTCGACTTAGGTCTTGGTCGCGGCCATGGCTTGTTTACTGTTCAAATGGTAGGTAATTCCCCTCGCTGCCAATGAGCAGCTGCCAGCCTATACACCCGATCCTTCGATCCTTCGTTGGATACTTTCCCCATCATTCCCAAGCACCCTTTCATCCTTTCAGGAGTACTTTTGTTTTCCATTTTTCGACCTTGAGCGTTCAGCATCTCGTTTCACACCCCCTTGCATTTCCTGGAGCACCTGTTTTCAGTCGTTTCTGAGCATCATCATAATAATCCCCATCACTGCGTTCCATCACCCTCCTGGCGACAGAACGGCCTGCACAAACCCATCATCCCCCATGTCCCACAACATGTACCATCACCCCACTCAAATCGAAAACCTTGGATCAACACAATCGTCTGTGGCTTTGGCGAGTGCCTCTTTTGCTTTATGCGGGCTAGCCTCACAGACCTGGTGACCAGATTACATACAATGAAAGAGGAGGAAGAGTTTCCAAGAATGTGTTTTGCCGCTATGGCCTGTCATGTACGGCGAACTAGGGCTCGGGAATAGTTCATCGGTAGCGCACGTTATCAAGACACACTACCTCTTATACTGTATTATGACGATGCTGCGTGATGTTTTTTCATTCGGTATTGTGAAGATGGATGTACTATTGATTGGTTAATCATGCCAGAGCTCCTTTCGTAGAGCTCAAATGCATGTACCCCACCATGATCCCCCCCACCAACCACCAACCTCGGCAGCATACTAACTTGAAGCTCACACAGGACGGCTCGTCTGGTCAGCAACTTCAGCTCTGATTGTAAACTTTCCCGCACTTGTGCTATATGCTTCAGGCTCTGTTCAAACTCTTTCGCAATGGCCGATAGCACCCAAGACATTCACAAGTACGGCACCGATGATGGGTGGCACGGCGTGATTGCGGAAGGAGGAGAGTTTCCACCAGAGAAAGATCGATATCATCTCTACATTGGTAAACAAGTCTTTCTGATCCTCGAGTTGACAATAGACGGCACCGACCAATTCAACGAAACCAACTCCGACCTCAATCACTAACTCCCTTCACCCAAAACAGGCCACTTCTGCCCCTTCGCGCACCGCGTGCAACTCATCCGCCACCTCAAGTCTCTCCAACCTTTCATAACCCTCTCCGTAGTCCGTCCCCACCCGAAAGAAGGCGGGGGCTGGCGATTCCCATCTGGCAGACCCTCGGCCTCGTCCGAGTTCGCAGAATACCCCGGCGCCACCGTCGACCACCTCTTCAAATCCTCCTTCCTCTCCGAAGTCTACTTCCGAGATGATAAAGAGTACAAGGGCAAATACAGCGTCCCGCTCCTCTGGGATAAGAAGAGCAACAAGATCGTCAACAACGAAAGCGCGGAGGTGTTGAGATGGTTACCTACGGCCTTTGACTCTTTACTCCCGAAGCCCAACGGTAGTGACATCGATTTTTACCCTCAAGAGCTGAAAAAGACAATCGATGAGTGGACGCCCTTCATCCAATCTAACATCAATTTGGGTGTCTACCGCGCTGGTTTCGCTACTACGCAGTCCGCGTACGACAGCGCTGTCGCTGTCCTTTTCGCTGCTCTCAACAAACTCGAGGCATTTGTTCACGCGAATGGTGGACCGTATATCCTGGGAAAAACATTGACTGAACTCGATGTTAGGGTCTTTACGACGATTGTACGCTTCGATGTCATCTATGTGCAGCATTTCAAGACGAATCTGGGAACCATCAGACATGACTACCCCGTTCTTGCGAATTGGCTCAAGGGCGTGTTTTGGAGTGATGAGTGGAAGGGTTTTCGGGAGACGTGTGACTTCAAGCATATTAAGGAGAATGTGAGTATATCTACATCTAACATGCAACTCTCTTTACTTTCCTCATCGATTTTTTTCTCCTTCTTCGCGGAATCCACCCTTGCTATTTCCTTTTTCCTCCATTCTCATCACGAAGCATCAAAGACTAACACTATTCTTCCTTTTCTCGTCGTGTGTTGTAGTACACAAAAAGCCACAGCGACATCAATCCACTAGCCATAACGCCCATGGGGCCCTTCCCAGACGTGGAATCGGGGTACGAAAGCGATTGGACGAAACTGTCGCCCGGGGAAATCAAACATCCTGCAGTTCTGGAAGCTGCTTCAAAACTATAGTGGCATAAAGAAAAGGAGGGTATAGGGGATGGAGGGTATTAAAGCGTATCAAGAGTTCCCGACAGTACCTATACTTGTACCCAAGTTGCACAGCGAAGTCTTCTGTATTACCCCTTGGATCATGCTGGTCAGATCCTGCCTCCCCATGGGATAGATGGGGCAGATGTGACAATAACACGATACAAATTTGTTGACGATCAGGGATAGACTGACATATCACATTGTGTTTGTTCACTTACAGCTCATCGGAGGCGGAACAGCGTCCAGAATTGTCGACTACAAGTCAAATAATGCATGCAATTGATAAAACCAAGGAATTTTTCAAAACTACAAAACATCCTTACTTTCCTCTAGGTTCATACCTACAGCAACAGTTTCTCTTTTCTACAGCCCACATCAAACACAGCATTTCAACGGCTCACATATCGTCCCACACGTAACTCCACACTTCTTCTCCTCCGCACCCACGGCTGTATCTTGACTCGCTCTCCCAGCCTCACTGACCAACTCAGGCTGCAGCGTAGCGCTATGAATCCCATACGCATGCAAACACTCGCCCACAACCTTCCTCTTCTCCATGAACCCACCCAACTCCTCCACAACAACATGCGCGGTAGCCACGCTCTTATTCTGATCGAGCTGCCACACATGCAACTCATGCACTGAAAGAACGCCGGGGATAGACTCGAGATCACGCTTGACGTGGTCGAGACTGACACCCGGGGGCGCGGATTGGAGAAGGATGTTTCCGGAGCGTTTGGTGAGGGGAATAGCGGTGCAGAAGATCATGATGGCGATGAAGAGGGAGATGGCTGGGTCAGCGTAGTAGCGGTGTGGAGAGCGAGTGAGCCAGATGATGAGTGCGGAGACCATGACGCCGATGTTGTTGATTACGTCGCCGCAGACGTGGATGAGCACGCCTGCTATGCCGAGATCCATGTGTCCTTTAGCGGCAGTGGTCGAGGTTGCGTGGAGGTGCGAGGCGTGGGTTGCTGGCGTGGAGAGGGTATGTGTACCGGCTTCTTCGGAAGCATGGTCGCCGTGGGAGTGGCCGTGGCCATGGCCATGGTCATGTTCGTGCAAGAATACGGCAGAGATGATGTTGAGTCCAAGGCCTATGCTGCCGACTATGAGGATGAGTTTGGGGCTTTCAACCTCTTCAATAGATACGAAACGTTCGATGGATTGTAGGGCGATAGATAGTCCGAGAGCGAGTAAGAAGACGCCGTTGACTGAGGATTGTAATATAAAGTCAGTGAATGCACTTCAAAGAGGGGGATGGCTTGTGTCGCGTTGTACAAAACATCAATAGTGCTAAGGTACAAGCAAGTTGACCCTAGAATAACACGTACAGAAAGCACCCAAAAGACTGGCACGAGACCAGCCATAAGAGAGTGACTCGGGAGGGGCGTCTTTGGATTCGGTTTTGTGGACGGCGATGAGAGCGATGATGAAGGAGATCAGGTCGTTAAAGTAGTGGAATGCATCGGCGACGAGTGCGAGGGATCCGGTGTAGAAGCCAACTGTGTTGAGTTAACATTTATACGTCTCCTAGCATGACTGATAAACAGGAAATCGTACCTCCAATCTCGGCGAGGAAAAAGGTAAAGGATATGGCGATAACGGCGCGAAGTCGGTTTTTGCGGGATATCTGAAACTTGGATTTGCCATGGGCATGGGCATGCGAATGCGAGTGACTCATGATGATGCACAGCGAACGGCAGTCGAGAATAAAAAACAATGGGTGTAGAGGTGTCGCGGTATTGGAGGGCGGATTATATAAAGTAAAAAAAAATCGGAAGGTTGCGCCTGCCCCAGGGGTGCTCAGGGATGGTGAACTCTAAATTGGAAAATGGAAGGGGGGATGGAAATAGTGAGAGAGTTGCAGTGACTGAAATTCACAGCTGCTTCATGATCTTTATATATGATTTCAGTCCTTGGGTGAGGCTATATAGTAGTTGCAACGTGAGTATGTGCTTTCGATAACATATCAAAACGATAACATATCGAAGTCAGATGGGATTGCTAGAGGCCTGAAACACAGCAGCGAAGTCGCAGCCTCTCGGGTGTATGTGTTTCATGACAACGGGTGTTGAGATATGGTACGACATGACGCTACACAGTGCAATTTTCGCAATGAAGGAATCGGCACCATGTTGGACTGTGATGAGTGAACAGTGATGGTGATGAATGGATAACAGGTGGTGTGCACGACGGGGAACTGGCAGAATTGATGTCAGCAGGACTTTCGATTGGCAACGTGGCACACAATACTACAGAAAGCGAATACACGCTGAAATTAGAGCGTGATTGAAGTAGTGGCTGAAAGAAAATAAATTGAATTAAAAAGTGCCGACGCACATGCACCTGTACATGGCAAAGCAACTAAGCACATGGAGGTTGATACCTCAGTTGCGGCATCTCGTAAACACCCGGCGCTACTGATCAAAGTGGTTTAGCGTCTCACGAGTAGAGATTGGCCAGACCGCTGCCTAGCAAGCATTGCGCCAAAAAAAACATCTCACCGTTGGTAACACGTTCCAAAGGGTCCTTGCAAGTTCTATCATACTCAGATTCCGAGCCTCCGAACAACAGGAAACTGATCATCATGGGTAACGGCAACAGGTACGCTATATTCAACCCATCAAGGGTCGCCTCTTCAGCGGGTATTCATGTGGGGGTTGCTAACCGCGGGGCAGGGCACAGCAGAAGAGAGAGCGGAACGCTGCCAAAGCGAAGGGCGGAGAACCCAAGAGTCAGCTCAAGTCGGTGAGTTCTTCTACGTGGTGAATATGGCCAGTTTCTCGTACTCATTCTCTTGAACAGAACGCCGCCGCCCTCACCATCAAGTGCAAGACGTGTTTCCAGTCCTTCCAAAGCACCACCTCCCGCAGGATGTTGACCGAGCACGCCTCCAATAAGCACACCAAGGGTTTTGAGGACTGCTTCAACGCCGACGACGGTGTCGCCAAATGATTCATCCGCCCTCGGTGCGAACACGATACCCCGGATGAGGCCTTCACATGTGCGGCTTCTCCACTTTTGCATGAGATACCACCGATATGAGACACTACGATTTGGAGTTATGGCGATTGGTGAAAGAGATATAATAGCAGCGGGAGGGACAGTTATTTGCACCAGAGAAATGCATATCTGAACCACGCATGCATAGCGTGTGCTTCCTCATCCTTGACTTCAATCATCTTGATTCAGTGTTACCCTAGTGTACTGTCCACCCAGTCGCTCTCTTATGTCCTCATCTTCAAAGGCCGCGCGAGATCGAGCTGTCAGGAATATCTTCAGGGCGGTTTTGGTCTTCTCCATCAAATCCACCAAAATTTCCATCACGTTCTCCATCCCTAGTTGCAATTTGTCTAGACGATCGATTACAATCACTAGGCACTTCACATCTAGCTCCTTTAACATGCCGCTCAGCACGTTATTTAGCTTCCGGCACCTTGCCCCTATTTGTTTCGACGAGCTTTTCTCCAACGCATCTATGCTCTGCTTGAGGAACGCGAAGCTGTCTTCATTACGGGTGATACGCTTGCCCATTTCAGATTTCAGCACCTGATGGATGATGGATGAGATGACAACGGTTGGTGCCGTTCGCTCCTGGCTCGAGCTGATAGCGTCTGGTGACCGGAACAGGTAATGACATAAGAGTGCGGAAGACTCTTTGCGGCCACCAAAAGCCGAGTCAAAGGTGCTGACCAAATGAACAGCTGCGGGGGATAGCCAACCATAAACCGTCTGCTCCGGGGCTACAGTCGCACCATGTATAAAATAGAGGGAGGAGCCAATTTTCTCTTTCCACGCAATAAAATCCGGTCGACTAAACACTTGTTCGTCAACATCCAACGGCGGGAGTTTCCTAGGATAGTGGAATGTTTCTAGGAGACTCTCTCGATATTTTACCAAGTCCGTATCACTGTCGGAAGTATCCAGGTGGAGGAGCCGACGTAGGATGTCCAATCTGTCGTTATCGCGCGCAGTTTGCAATGCGGCCAAAAATGTATTGGTCTCTTCTAGCGTCATTCTGTCCTCTTTTTGTCGACGTGCTATCTGCCATTGGGTCCGTTCCATTTGGTTAAGTCTTGCCCCATCGATAGCCCGCATCTCCCTTTCTGTTTCGCGGATCGCGTTTTTGATGTCTTCGACGATTCTTTGGACCCCTATCTAGAATGGCAAATACACAATCAGCTCAGTTCAAACAGGGCTTCGAAAAATGAGACCACGAGAAGTGATGTGCTATTACGGGTTCAAGTAAATACGTACACTAGGTGGGCGGGCGATCAGATGACCTAGCCGGCGAAATGGGCTCATCAAATAGTACCGGGCAGCTTCGTGGAGGAACTCCACGCCTAATCGATATAAAACTGCTCTGTACTTTTGCATCTCTGCTGTCGGGTAGGCCGGTTTTACCCTTTGCAATCGATCATACTGCTGGCCAAGTTCGACCAGCATCTTGTCGATAAAGTCTTCGGTCTTCTGCTTGTTGACGGCCGTCTAACGATATGTTAGAAATGCGCGACAGAAAGCAACCAATCTGAACATACTACTAAAAATAATTGTAAAGCGCCGTATGCCGCTTCTCCCTGACCAAACCCCGCTCCCTTCATGACATCTACTACTCCTTTATAAGCTTGGACATAGCCATTGAAATCATCCAAAAACTTCATGATTCCGCGCTCGGCTCTAGACCCATGAGAGGTATCATGTTTATAGCGGTCTTGTTCTCGAACAGCTTGGTCTCTGAACTTGTTCATCAGATCTTCCAGCTCTTCTACTGATGCCGTTTTGATCTTTATCTGCTCTGCCTTCGACCATTTCTTGAACGTCGCGCATTCATCGGCCTTTTTATACTCTTCTTCGACTAATCTAACCATGATATCAGTGTATCGCACACATTATGGTATACAACAGCCTCTTACTTCTTGGTATCGTCGTTCATGAAACTCCAGAATGATACCGACTCGGTTGATCCATTCTCCAAACCTAGTTCGTCTGTCTTGTCTTCTTCTATCTTGACAGTCATGGTCGTCACATATAAGATGGATCTGCAAACAAGCAAGTCCTTTCCTTGGCGAAAGATCAAGGAGACTGTGTTTAAAATCTTGCGTGGGCGGCTCTCGTTCATGATCAGATGAGTTGGGGGCGGAGTCCAATGTAGTAGGTAGTGGGTCTTGGCCGACTCAGCCTCGTGTACGCAAATGTGCAACACAACCTTTTCGTCCGTAAACCAAAACGCAATAACAAAGCTTTGATTTAATTCTTGAATAGATCTGTCCCGAAAACTTCTATTCTACTGCATAATGAAAAGCTACGTTCCATCAAGATACGCAATCATACTTCGGGGGTATGCGAATCCAACATTCGAGACACAGAAGTGACAAGCTCGAGCAACGCAATAGGTGCGGGGGAAGACAGTACGAAGAATCGATTGCGCTACCTTCCCCCGTCATCCTCAACGAGCGACTCAGTCAGGCTGACGGAGGCGTCCGCCCCTTCCCCCCAATGACAGCCTTCCATCATCCAGCCTTTATGCTGCTGTACTTCATTGATGCGGTACACCGACTCACAAAAACAGTAACCTAAAGCCCTATCTTCCCACAGGGCGAGCACCGTCTATCGACTCGGCGGTCACTGTTTTCCTATTGCCGCCCTTTCTTCGCTACACCAACTTTTTAGGGGTCGTGAGGCTGTGAGGCTGTGCTTTGCAGTGACTTTTGGCATACTGGATGTAAGAGCTGAATAGGGGATATTCTAGGCAACCACTTTGAAAGATAATCCGCTATTACATACATATTTTTTTCCCGCCGTGAGATCGGATTAGGCGCTTGAATACGATCAGATGCATATACAACGTCAGTTGCGTTACACGCATTCCCCCACCGCGAGGCTGAGGTACACTGCATGACTTTTGGCCCCCCCATACGGCCGTACATACACATCCGTGCATGTCGGCATGTATGTATGTATGCATGTGATGCTTGCTTGCTTGCTCTCATCCATTCTTCTCGAACTTAATATAGTGCCGACAGTCTAGTTCCCATTCCCCATCCCTCTCTGGAATCACAGACATTTCCTCGCGTCGCAGTTATATTGGTGCACTGTTACATCTACTGTTCTGGAGAATGGCGGACACCAACATCACCGCGAACAAGACTGGCGAGACGACGCAAGAAGCTGGTGATGATAAAGGTGGGGCGGTTGAAGTGTCACCGCTCACTATCCGTACCAAAGAAATGCAGTACATGGAGCTTTTGGAAAAACGTATTGCGGATCTAGAAGCTAGGCTGAAGGAATCTGAAAAAGTATGTTATGTTACACATCCCGGCATACCTACCTACCTCTTCCCTCCGTAGAGATAATGGGAAGTTTCAGCTTTCTAACATAAGTTTTGTTTTGTAGGGCAAGAAAGAAGATGATAAAGTAAGATTCCCACACATTCTGAGGGAGGGAGTTTGGTTGTGGGGGTTGGTTACGTGGACGGGAAAAGTGAGTCATTTGTTGACATTTGTGGTTGTGACTCTTTAGGACGAGGCAGGAAAAACGCTGGCACGCTCGCATACGCAGTTGCTTGAGTCTACTAGTATACGGTACAGACAGGTCAAGTATACGGATGATGGGTTGGAGGATGCGAGAGGTATGTTTACTTATTTCCACTTCCCCTTATGAGAGAATTAGGTGCGAAGCAAAAAACCAAATAAAAATAGAACGTGGTAGCAAAGACGGAGAAGGCACACATGAACTAATACGTTCCTCCACGCAAAGACATATCCGAGAAGGAATTTGCAAAAGTCGAACAAAGCGGTAAAGCCAAAGAAGGCGACGACATTGTCTGGACGCGGCACTTCACAAACGAAAACAAGTACGACCACACCGAAGCGCTCATCGTCGGTAGCGAGCTGCAGAACTTGCTCAAAGCGAAATTGTCGCACGACCCGCGGTTGCATTTTGCAAACGATGGCGATAACAACGATCTGACTATTCTGAGCCCGTTTGAGCCTATACTGCATATCTGGACGGAGTTGGGGAAGTTGGCGGGGAGCGAGATTGATTCGGAGGAGTGGACGGGGATACGGAGTCGGTTTGAGGAGTCTGCGAAGACGGTATGTATAGTCTAACGTTCTCGAAGTTCTTTTTATATGCATACACAGAGGTGTTGAGGTTAATTACTTGACTAACTGAGCCCAAACTCAGGCTTCCAAGAGCCGAATGTCCGTCACCGTCCGCCTAAGCACAACAGATGAGCGGCTCCGCAAAGCCAAAAAGGATTTGACTACCCTACTTGACCACATCCGCGCCACACAAGAAGTAAGTTCGTATCTCAACAGCGGGCTCGAAGCGTCGCAGACTAGCGGCACCATTCAATTCGAGTTCCTGTGGACTTTGTTCCCGCCCGGTGAGCTCGTGTACGCGACGCCGTTCATGAAACAACCGCAGCTCTTCATCGTCAAGGAGAGTCTGAGCTACATCGAGTACGAACGCGGTGATAACCGTGGCGACCGCGAGCAAGGGAAACGGCTGGCGCGATATTGGTATTTGGATTGCTGGAGTTATGATTGGGATGGGAAGAAGTATAATCGTGTTCCGCTTACGCTCAAGTTTGATAACTTCCAGGGCGCGAGGAAGATTAATACGCTGCCTTGTTATCCGCTCAAGTATAGGGATGATAGGGACGATCCGGATAATGTGAAGCTGAAGGAGAAGTTGGTGAGTAGGGGAAAGCTGTTCGTAAATTACTGTGAGAGGAAGAGGGGGAAGCAGATGCTGGATTACGAAGGCGAAGCTATCAGCCACGGGAGTGGGTTCCAGAAATTGAAAGACCCAACGCAGCAGGTATTTTTTTCACTTTGATATTGGAAGATGTAGACAGCTGACAACATGGCAGTCCGATTCGGAGATGGTGATCGCGTATCTGGGAACCATCTGGGATGTGAGGAACCGCATGAGCAGTAAACTCAAAATGAACCTCTCCAAAGCAGAAGTCCGTCATGTAAGTCTTCCACTCTCGTAAAGTCTCTTCAAATGTACCTCTCTCGCCTCACTCAGATGCGCAAATCGACAAGAACATCCACCCTCCTCATTCGTCATCACCATTTTCCCCTTCTAACCAGTCGCTCGCCCCCAGAAAACCGGCCGCGTAATGATCGACTTCGAGTCCTACCTCCAACACGCCCCCGATATCCGCACCAACGGACCAATGGGCGACATCGAGTTCCTCAGCTCCGCCGACGAATGCCACTGCGGATCCTGCCTATCCAACGAGCTCCTCAAAGACAACCAACGCCGTCACTACGACGACTTCGGCCCTACCAAATCCGGCGCGTTTCCGCACGAAGAACAGTACCTCCTCTGCCCACCCCGGGTCCTGGGCTACCATCTCGAGAGCCGCACGTGGCTCGAGCTCGATGTCGAGAAGCTGCAGAATATCTCGCAGCCCGTGAGCGATTTGGCGTTTCGCAAGTTGCAGCTGCATAAGACGCTGAAGGAGTTGATTCGGAAGCTGGTGCAGAGCCATACGAGTGGGACGGGGAAGAAGCCGCTTATGGAGGATATTGTGAAGGGAAAGGGGCAGGGGTTGGTGATTTTGTTGCACGGCCCGCCTGGTGTCGGTATGTTTCTCTCTCTCTCTCTCTCTCTCTCTCTCTCTCTCTCTCTCTCTCTCTCTCTCTCTCTCTCCCTCTTTCTGTTTCTGTTCCTTTCTTTTTCTTTTTGTATAGCTTGTCCTTGTTCTCTTGACGAATAAGGAGATTGCGGAAAGTGGAAAGAGCGAACACTCTCAACTTCACTCTCTCCCTCTATCTTTCATCTATAAGAGAAAAGAAAAACCACCTCCACCCAAAAAGCTAACTCACCGTTTTTTTTTTCTTACAAAGGCAAAACCCTAACCGCCGAATCCGTCGCCTCCCTAACCGGAAAACCCCTCTTCAGCATAACAACATCAGACATCGGACTGGCCCCCGCAGACGTCGAGCACAACCTCGAGTCGCTCTTCGAGCTCGCGGCGCGGTGGCACGCGGTGCTCCTCTTCGACGAAGCCGACGTATTCCTCGAATCGCGGTCCTCGCACACCTCTGACCTGACACGCAACGCGCTGGTGTCGGTGCTGCTCCGCGTCCTCGAGTACTACTCTGGCATCCTGATCCTGACCACGAACCGCATCAACCAATTCGACATTGCCGTGCAGTCGCGCGTCAATCTAGGGATAAAATACAACAATCTCAGCATGGAGCAGAAATCGGCGATTTTCTCGCAGTTTGTGGGGTCGATTGCGGAAGAGAAGGTGGAGAATCGCGACGAGTTGGAGAGTTGGTTTAGGGATGAGGCTGAGGAGTATTTGGAGCAGTTGAATGGGAGACAGGTTAGGAACGTGCTGTTTAGTGCGGGGAGCTTGGCGCAGAGGGAGCCGGGGGGCGTGTTGAAGAAAGAACATGTTGAGAGTATGGCGAAGCATACTGCGAGGTTTCAGGGGGATTTGAAGGCCGTTGTGCAGGCTGCTAGGCATAAGGCTGAGGCGGGGCATATGGCGGATTGATCTTGTGGGCGTAGATGGGGTGGTTTCTTTAGAGGTTATGTATAAGTTTTCTGTTTGATGTTTTCTGCGACTTGGTGATGTGTTTGGGTGCGGAGACGGCTATGTATAGATAGCATTTATATGCGCACAATGGACAAATTGATAAACAAACCAGCAAGCCATGCAAGTACTGACAGCATTTGCATACTTCTCTACTGTCACTTAACATCAAGTAACATACATACAACTTCATCGTTAACGTTATACACATGACAAAAACAAGACAGTTATCTAAGCTAAAATCCTATAAGTTGCAAAACGGCAAAGAAGCAGGCATACTTACAAAGCAGAAGCAGGCATCCTTCCCTACACATACTGAAGGAAAAGGAAAAAAAAAACAGAAAGGTATCCTTTAACAAAAAGTCTGGAACATGAATCGATGAAAGACGAAGCAGAAGTAGCTGTGGAGGTAGGTGCGTCCTACTCAGTTTCCCCTTTCTACCCTTTCCACCAAGCAACAAAGAGTATGGAAAACAAAAAAGCACATATCTACTCATCATCTCGTAGACAGACTATGGGTGGAACCAAAACAGTCCCACTTTTTTCGTTATACTTCGGCTCCTGCTTACCATATCAATTCAGTACCACCAAAATGTCCATCCAGAGTCAATATCCAAACCAAGGAAAGAGCTAAAAACTATTATCGAATCGGGCTTCTGTACATGGCTGTACGAATAAATCGCCCAGCACCCCGCACACAAATGTAGACAGCGGACTTAATCTTTCTGTCCTTCATTGAGGAGCAATTCTACAACCACTTGCGTGCGTTCCTGTTGGGGATGCTGCAAACTCAGCTTGATGGTTCGGTTATGAGACGAGCCACCACTGAGTCCATCGTCCAGGCACTTGACGTCTCGCCCCGAGATGACCTGCCGCAATCGACCGTTCTGGGCGTTGCGAATCTCCACAAAGTCTTGGTCGAAGAGCAAGACGTAGGGCCCGTACATGGCTGCGCTCAACGCTTTACCGACAAACTCCATGATGACGGACCGTGAAATATCACCATGTTTATTGACGTAGACAGCGCAATCTTCGTAGCAGAGCAGGAACTCTTGGTCTGAAAGTCGGAACATGCCCCGTGTCTTCTGATTCTCGAGCCGCGAAGCAATAGTGGCGACGTGTTGCTGCTTGAGATCTGGTACCGACCACGGTTGCTTCTTGTCCAGAGTAAGCACTTCGAACCCCTTCGAGGTTGAAATGGCAAGTGACGAATTGTACAGATTGATTCCTGTGCATTCCGTAGGGATGTAGAACTCGTCGTATTCACGGAAGAAATCTGTGCGTCCCGTCCTGAGAAACCTGGACTTCTTTTCGGTTGACTTCTGGTAGACCGGCTCCAGTACCTTGAAGGTAGATGAAAGACCCTCTCGCTTCTTGTAGAAGACCAGAGTGCGGTCTTTCATAACACCTGTAGCAAAAAAACCGATGTCTCGTGCGCCGGAGAGCTTCTGGGGTGCTCGGTGCCTCGAGTCATTCGAGGCCGCTACACCACCGACGGGGCACACAGTATCAAGATGATATGCGGTCAGTGATTTGTCCGAGATCAGTAACATGAGGCTAAACTGCTCAAGTACTGCTACTTGGGTCACTCTTGGTGTTTGAATTGCCTTTTCAATGTTAGTTTATACGGTGCATAGGAGTGAAGAAAGACGTACCTTGGTCCACCCACGAGGGTTGTCATATTCGGAGATGTAGACACCGATATCAGTGCCTACTGCAACCATCTGCTTGCCATACGGTTGGTGGAATCCAGTAGCGCAGTTGACACGCGCTCGACAGCTGGGTACTGGTCGGCCCGTGTTTTGGAACAGCTTTTCTACTTCATCGATGGATCGATCTAGTGGTGTTCCCTTGATGGTGATGCTCTTCTGCGACGGCATGGCCGACTCGTAGGCGAAGGCCGAGTCTGCCATAACGCGCAAGCGGAACGGTTCGGCATTCTGTGCAAAAAGGGCAGCTGCATGCTTTGTCTTCGCAATAATCAAGTTATCACACCATTCAGCTCTGGCTTGTGCTGACGGAGCGAATAGCGTATATGTTTCTTTTCCGAGATGCTTCACACGGAAAGGATACATAATCTTCTCATTGCTGTCCGTGTTTGCGTTCGCGTTACCGGCCAAGCTCTTTGAATCACTCGAGTTTTGTGATGTGCCAGTATTGGTGTGTTGCAACATGCCGGGCATCGGTGTGTTGAGCCCACCCCGTCCCACGGCCAAGTTGCCAGCTTTAGGGTTGACGGGATTGACTGCAGCGATACCCCTTACACCGCCACGCATGACTGGATCATCGTCTTCGCTCTCCAGCACGAGCAGATCCATGGGTATAGGAAGTCGCGACACATCGTATTTTTCGGACTTGGTGACTCCGTCTTGCTCTGTAGTTTTGATGGTCTTCGACAACACCAGATAGTGGTCGAAAAGCAGGGCATGGGTATCGAGCCAGTTGAATCGATTGCCTCCCATTCTCAGCAAATCACCTTTGAAGATGAGCTCTCGACCCAAATGATCCAGATTGAGTTCCACACGTTGCATGCCGGGTCGCAGTATAAGCCTCGCCTGGAGATCGGACAGGTCCACCTTTCTAGACATCTCTGCAACACGTGCGTCACACTCCAGTGTTACCGCCTTGATCTCTTCTCGAGCAATCAAAAGATTGCGCTTCTCTTCGTTCTCCACTTTGGATTTCTTCAAGACAGTTTCAATCAAAAGGCCATATCGTTGCAACCTGGTAATTGGGTCCTTCAGAAAACTATTCCAATCCAATCTCAGCGAAGCTGGATCTTTCTGGACGTTGTCAAGAAACGTCTTGAAGAGCATGTTCTTGTCTTTTTCCTGTCGCATCAGGAATGTTGCGTATGGAAACGCGGACGAATATTCAATATACGCTTGTTTTGCCTTTCTGATCCATTCTCGGAAGATGTCACTGAACCCGACAATCCAGGGACCTTGCTCTTGTTGCCGATATTTCATCTGCGGTAGCAAATGATCCTCGTTGGCTTTCTTGACGGCATCCACTTTTGAAAAAACGTCCTTGATGAACTTGTTCAACTTTTTGGGTGAGATGATGGGCGGCTGTGCTGCTAGTAGTCGATCACGATATAGGTGACGGAGCACATCGAGTCTCTGCATGTATTTGACTTCTCCCTGCACAATTTCGTGCAGGATGTTCTGCCGTTCAATTTCTTTTTGGTTGACATTTTCGATATCCTCCTTTTTGAGTTTGTGGAAAGTTGCCCAATCGTCAGATTGCGGTGCAGCCGATGAGGCCATCAGATCGATCTTCTTCAACGTCCGTTGGCAATGGTGAGCGTAGCAGCGTCCCGGTGTTGCGTGGGTGTGTAGTTTGGACGAATAACATCCGGCTCCAGTCAGCTGGTAAATCACACCAGTCATGGTCTGCGAGGAGAACTTGAGCCATTCTTCTTCATGCACCAAGGTGCCTGCTTTATACATCTCAGCAACAACGCGGCTAGCCAAAGTTTCAGCATCAGCAATATTCATAGTGGGAACCTTGTGCGTGAAGAGCGCAACAAGACCTTCTTGAATAGGGCCTTCCTTGAGATCGTTCTCTCCCTCGGTCATCATTCTAAGCCAGGAAATAATGGAACTCAATGCCCAAGGTTCAGCACATTTCAAAAAGTCCTTTGTCGACAGTTTGGCCGGGTTGAATCGCTTGCCAGAAGGTATAGCGGGAAGATCTATGGCGACCCCATCACCACTGCCCGGTGTTAATGTGTTACTGTCACTATCAAAGTTACCTCCGTAAAAGGTTTGGCGGTTACCGGGTTGTCTGGCGCGGTGGTTTTGCTCGGCATCGGTTTTTGACCTGGGAAGCGGTACTGCTTGTGGAGTGTTGCTATGCTGTAACAGAGAAGTAGATCTCGGGACAGCGGAGCCCCCTGGCGAGACCATGTGCATGGCGTTTGAATCTGTCGGAAATTGAGGCGTACGGGGGGATTGCTGGGCATTTCGCCAATATTCGTATGAACCAGCAGAGCTGGAGCTGTGATGATGGACCAGTCGGTTGTTGTTTGCAGGGGGTGGAGGCAGAGGTCGGTTTGTTGACATGCCGGGGTGGTAAAACATATCTGGCGGCTCTCCTGCGTTTGCTTCTGTTAACGTGACTTCATCTCCTTCGTCGTAACTACGGCGGCGAGCAGCCGGTTCCTCAAGGCCACCTGTGCCAAACGTATCCACCCGGGCATTAGCAGAGAAAGCAGGGAATGGGTGGATTGGATCGTAACCGTCGTTGGAAGTTTCGGAACGGCGTTGGGAGCCCGAAGTCGAAGGGGGCTGGGCATTAGGTTCAAATGTGCTGTGTCCCGAGGCAAGCTGATTCGGACCTCCACCATAGGTAAATTGTGGATCAAAAGTTCCGCCATACGAGCCGACATCTACCGGCACGTAGTCACTATCGCTGGCACTCTCCTCCAGACGCGGTGAAACCCCACTGGAAAGTTGGGGAGATTGAAGAGATACGTAATTGCTGAACAGCCCGGCACCTCCTGTACGTCTTCTCTCGTTGTCTGCATGCTCTTGCGCCTCAGCCATTTGCAGTGCAGCCAAACCAGCAGCTGCCTCGACGTCGCTGTCGCTGTTTGGCGAAAGATGACTGCCGTTTGTACGCCCATTTCGACCAGATACATCTGATTGACCGTAATGGTTGCCGTTTGGCTGTTCTGCGCGAACATTGAGATTGCCTACGTCAGCGGCCATACTCTCAACCTCGTCAAACAAATCATTTTGATTGTATTGCAGCCCATTCTGATTTGTCGCAAAATAATCTTCGCTGTCCGACTCGTTGGGCGGCGGAGGTGGGGGTAATGGCCTCCGGCCAAAGGGATCTTGTCGCTGCGAAGGCTGGTGCGAAGGAATCTCAGGAGTGGGAGGGAGAGGATTGGAGCGGTGGCTTGCGCTTGAGTTGTAGCGGTGAACCGGCTCTTGAGAAGCGTAGCCTGTGCTGTATGTGGGAGGAGAAGGAAGCGGGGCATGGGCGGAATCAGTCGAGCGGTGGTATTGGTGGGAGGCATTCGAGGTGTGACGACTCGGATAGCTGTTCCAGTCCTCGGTAGGAGACTGGGCGCTCGTTGGAGGCACAGGCAATGGCGGTGGGGCTGGTGTTGTATAGCCCGTCCGGGCATACTGAACGGATGGGTTCCTCGCAAACGCTGCTTGCTGATGAGCTGTGGGCGAAGGATAAGTAGCGGTCGCCTGGGGCGAAGTGGGCGAGAAGCCGTAGGGATGACCGCTCGATTGATTGGTAGGGGTCCCGCTGTCGGCGTAGAGGGCTGGATTGTAGGGCTGATGCAGCGGAGCAAAGTTCCTGGCCACGCCACCGTAATGTTGGGGGTTTGGCAGGCTCACGACGGACGATCCGTAGCTCTGCGGGTTGTACTGTTGCGACTGCGACTGGGTAGGCGAGTGTGTTTGGTAACGATAGTTGGCACTGTAACCTGTAGCGGGAGGCGAAGCGGCTGTGTTGGATTCGGCAATGAAGAGCTCGTCATTGTTGCGCGACGAATACGAGTGGGCAGAGGAGTGGTTCTGACGGGGTTGGTCCGAGTATGGGTATGCATTGTTTGTGCCGTCGGGGTTGTCGTAGGAGGACTGGTACTGGGAGTGATGGTGGCCCGAGGAGTGAGGGATATTGGGATTGTAGTAGCTGTTGCCGTTCCCGTAGTTGGACATGGCGAAGGTAGGCTGTTATGGACGGACAGCTAGAGGGATGTTGCGGTGTTGCTGTATCAGAAGGATCGTCTTCTTCATTCACGAGGCTGCGTCGCGAGCACTAGTTGGCAGCATGGCCGGCGGGGCGTCGTGAGCGGAGATGGGCAGGTATTCGAGGTTGTTTGGTTAGGAGGGGCAGCTGTGCAGCCGGGTCTCCAGGGGGCAGGTACACAGGGCAGGCAGAGGTGTGTGTCGGGTGCGAGGGGATGGTGGTGGGTATGCGCCGGGAAAATTGGGAGCGATGGCGGCGGCGGCGTTGGTGGTGGTGGAGGTGAAAGAGGAGGTGCTTGGTGGTAGTGTGCTGCGTCGTTCTCGCAAGGTCGGGGTTTCGGGGTGGGCACTAAATCCTGCGCTCGCTGTTGGCAGCTGGGCGATTACACCTATCGAGTAGTTAGGCGGGGTGTTTACGGGAAGCTGGGCAGCACATTGCCGGTGTGGAGTAGACAGAGCGAGGGACAGCAACGGCGAGGTAAACATACACAGCACGAGCACGAGTGTCGGCACAGTGGGTTTTGATGATTGAACGAATGCGCAAACTTCTGGTACGTCTGTATGTAGAAGAATAATCGTCGGTCTGTAGGGACGTTAGGCATCGGAACTACTAGAGATGTATATGAGTCTTGGGCAGCTCAGGCCAGTGGTTGGCCAGTTCATTGACTACATATGTACTGAGTAACCAAGCACGAGTGGTCCAGGGACATGTATACACATGTACTCATTCCTCCACACTTACGTCATGTACCTGTATAGGATACATGGCCTTTTTTTTTTGCCCTGACATCCCAGGGATACACGGATCAACGGAGGTCCCGGAAACATCATCAGTGTCTATATATTTATTCTCCGTCCATGTGTCTTTGAATGCCCGACTGACATAGACCTGTCGCTCGCTCTGCACGGGCCTTTGCTAGATCCACGAACCCACATTCCATCTCCGTTTCATACACCATCATCTCTTTTTCATCTCGGCATTTCTCCATCAAAACCAAACAATTCGAAACGTCTCCTCTTTGAAAATTCGCCCCTTTCTGTCTTGTCATTCTCTCCGTGTCGAATCCGCGCCTTGGTCGTGGGCAGTACTCGAGGTCATAATCTCTCTGATTGTAGCCCCCACTGGCAGGTTGTGAGCAGTTGTCAATCCGGATAAAAGAGTGCAAGAAAAATTGGAGTGATATCATCTATTGGCTTTGCCGCTCGCAATGCCTGGAACTAGGCAGTCAATCAGTCATGTGTTAACATATCCGCAACATACTTGTAGTTGTTAGATTTTGAAACCTGCTTGGGTGATTCTGATACTCGGTGCTCGAGGCCATACTTTGCGGGGAAGTGGCACTCTTCATTCAGCGTCAGTTTTTATTCGCAGGCTCCGGATGCAATTGATCGTTGATCAGACCATATATTTCTGGTTCTGCAATCTGTGAAGAGAGTTGAACGAGGTATCCAGTCGCTCAACAATACGATGTATCCATTCTGCATGAATCCATATCCTCGTAGTCCACTGTTTGTATTGTATGTAGTATGAGCACTCATTCTCACGACGCATTATTTTGCCGTGGCAAGATCCATAGAGTGCTTCATTCCATATGTTTGATCTCAGGTTCCCCAATGAGTATGCGTCCAGTCTCCCAAATCAGCTCAATTGGTGATCGCTGTTTCCGATCATAAACTGTTGGGAGACCTGTTTCCTCATATTGCGGGAGAATGGGCCGAGTAAAAGTAGTGCTGCTACCGTAAGGCAAGAGCAGAGTGCGACTCCACCCATCCCCGTGAACCAGTGTTGGGAAAAGGGGAAGGAAGAACGAAGAGAGCCTCCGTCACCAGTACCTGTATGCTAGAATGTGAGCTGGAAGAGATGAATCCAGACCTTTCGTGATGCCGGATCATAACAGTTTTTTCCCTACACAGTGAAATATCAGTGATCACCCTGTGAAATGACTTGAATGTGAAGCGGTGCAAGTTTGAATCGGGTAGCGGACGCAAAGGAGTGGTCTGATGGACCCGGTGTCCCGCATGCGCTCCTTCCCCCAGAGTTGCGAACACGCAGGGTGCATACCATGGCGACTTCTCTTGCTCGAATAACAGAAAGGCACGCCAGTGCGTCACGGTCCGGAGCCCTGGGCCCTCGCTGTGTATTTAAGCCTCTCTTCCTCTTCGTCTTCTCCAACTTTTCTTTTCCCTCAGAATACAGGTGAGACTTCCCCCCCTTTCTGTTGTGCTGATGGTTTGAGTAGGGCTCTACCACGTGGAGTCTTCATTCACGACAACTGCGGATCGAGGGCCGCCTCGGCAGGCTTCCATGACGATCTTGCTCCTAAAGACTCCTAAATCAAAATAACGGGCACGTCCCGGAGCTGATGGCACCCAGGCTTCTCTTTTCTATGAGATGACTGGTGTCCATGAAGCTGACATTTTCTTTGCTTTGCGTGATGTGTGACTGAAATGTGACTGTGAAGTGTGGCAGGCGGTTCGGGTGGTTAGCAGTCTTTTGTACATAGTATAGGATAGCTGCATGAAAATTGACTTACTTCAATCCCATCCTTTCTCGTTTCTCGTTCTAGTGGGTCTGGTCTGTCCCTCAACACTAGGTACGATGCAGACAGATAGTAAAGTTGTAGGCTCAGATGTTACTTTTGTCTGCAACTCATCACTGCCCATGTAAGCCCGGCTCGACTCGAACTCAAGCTCATTGAGCCGGCAACTAACGACTTAATCCCAACCGGCTCTGACGTTCCCATGAGATGACTGGAAACCAGATCACCATTGAGGCGGAACGCCATATTGTCAGTAAAGTTGTGGGCTCAGGCGTTGCTCTTGTGTGCAATCCATCACTGCCCATAACTCGGCTTGAGTATGAATCGAGCCCGTGTGGGCGTACTTATCACACGACACCCTTTTTTTGGGGAATGGTTCATGTTCTCATGAAAAAGTGCGAGGGGAAGGACTGTTTAAGTAGCAGGAGCGAAGCGCCAGACCCAAGGGACGGGTACTCGTGCAACACGGCGCCCAAGAGTGCGAAGTCAACAAATGGCGCTATGTTTACTGTGTTGCCGCTTCAATAGGTCAGTCACGTTAGTACCCTGCAATACTCATGATGACATTTATCATGGGCGACTTCCCCTATCCTATAAGGCGTGGTGTAGTGGGAAGAAGTTTTATTTATCTACATCACTTGCGGGTTCAACGAATCCATGGACCAATCATGGCGATGACGATTTGGAAGCATGGCCAACCAACCAGCAAGTTGTGTTTTTCCTTGGGTAATCACATGAGATTGGTATGGCATCTGTTGCGGGATTTCCTGTTGGGTTTTCTATGGAGTGTTGGTATGCTCTCGGGGCACTTGGTGCAAGAAGGATTTGGGCAACAGAATATGAAGTCGTATATCCAGTCGTTCAAATGTTGGTAGCACAGCTGGTAGATGTTCTCGGGACGTCTTTGGAAGGATTCCATTCACGTTGAGTTGGTGCAAAGGGGACATGTTCAGAGAGAGAGAGAGAGAGAGAAACAAGTGTTGACGAGATAGACGACAGAGTTCAGAGTGGGGATATGTCGTAGGCTAGTTATGAAGTACTCGAACCAATCAAGACATATCATGTACAGGATCGAATACAACAAGTTGGATCATGGTCTTAGTAAGAGGCAATTCTAGCTTCAAAGAGCATGGCTGCTACCGGCCGTCGTCCCTACACGTGTCCAATGTAAGGAAGCGAGACGCGACCCTGAACAAAAACGTAAAAGGCCTGGTTGAGCCTCAAGAGGGACGTCGTTATCACGGACGGGGCGCCGGGTGTCGCGTGTTCCCAACACACTAAGATTAAGATTTGCGGCATGGAAACCCACTATCGATTTATGATTTGATGGCGGTGGGAACTGTCCAAACGGTTATCTGGTGCGCGGTGGATCTTGGAGAATGGGAGCGCAGGGTTTTTGCCTGAGAGGGAGATAGCAGGGTTGCAAGGATCAGAATGGCGTGCAGTGCAGCGCAGTGCCTTTCGCCCAATACCGCGGCAGCGTTTTACCAAATAGATTGTGTTTGGGTTTCGCCCAGCTAGCCTGCTCGACTACTTAGTGCATAGTATACCTGACCTTGACGATGAAGCACGTAATAGTCTACCACGGTTACGAACTGTTACGGGCTGCCCGTCGCATACACGGCGACTTGGACCGCCAGGAAAGCGACAGGAAGCACCGCCTTAATGCCGCGACGGCCTTGTGTCGAAGAGCACAGCGGAGGGTAGGACGGAAGAGGTTGGTCAAGAAAAGACCAAGGGACAATGGGCACGTCTAGACGGCCTTGTGCTGAGGCACAGGGCATGAAGGATGGATGGATTGATTGCCTTGTTTTTGATTGTGTTTTTTTGTCTTTCGCTGGTCGTATCTGTTGCAGAGAAGTGACAGGCCGGAAGGAATCTGACAGCTGAAAGTGAGCATTGTTGGTGAAGTAGACGGTTATACGGTTGCTGGATGTCTCTGAATGTGTGGAGAATTGAGAGTGATTAGATATTCCAACCGGTAGCTATATGCAGATGAGATGCGCCGTCCAGAAGTCCTCCGTCAAGTCAAGGAAGGCGTCGTCAGCCTCTCCACTCCACCAAGAGACAGAGCCGTTGCAGCGGAAAGGCCGCTTTCTGTCGGTTTTCGAGAAGAGGGCACGGCAGGCCCAAGACATTCGTTATCTGGTGGAGAGCGAGCTAGACGGCGCCCCCGGCGTTGCCACTGTCTTGGCTCGCGATTAAACATGGCCGCCAAGCCTCCGCGCCCAGCCCAATCGGGAAGCTCCTTCTCTCGCGCGCATGCAATCCGGGGGCGCACAGACTGCGAAGGAGCGCTATCCCACTATCCTACAGTCGCACGCACACGAACGACCTTGACCGGCCATGCCAGCTGTTGCTCTTCGTCTCGAGGGGATGGATGGACAATCCCGAGAGAAGATGAAGTGAATCAACAGACGAGCAAGCGAGTGAAGGGGAGAGGGCTGAGGGGGGAAACACTCTCATTCAGCTGCAACATGGCCGTCACGCGATGAGGGGCATCTCCCTCTCCCTCCCTCTCTCACGCCTGCCACTCGTTCCTGCCTCGCCTGCCCATCGCGCCCGCCCGCCTGTTGGAACCGCAGCGTCGGCAATTCTTGGCTCACTCCTTGGGTTACCCTCCACGACCGACGCTGCCCTGTAAGCCATCCGCGCGCGTTATCAGCTTCCAAGACGCCTGCCCCCGCCTTAAATACCCGTCAAGCCTCCCCTCGAAGGCTTTTGTGCTTGCTCTCGCCGTTCTACCCGGTGCCAACCATTTTCCTCACCACAGAGTCGACTCTCTTTTCTAGGCGTCTTGTACCAAGCGCTTCCTCCCCTAGGAACCTAATCTCTGGATACATCGATCGACACTACCACCATGGCCATCACCCAACGGAATTCCGGCTCCTCTGCCTCGGACGCCGCCCGCGCTGAGAAGGGTGCTGATTTTGGCAAGGGTTATGAAGCTGGTGTCCACGCGGAGCCTCATGTCGACGCTGATGGTGTGGTCGAATATGCCGACAACCAGCATCTGCACCGCGGTCTCAAGTCCAGGCACATTTCCATGATTGCCATTGGAGGTGCCATCGGAACTGGTCTCATCGTTGGAACTGGCAAGGCTTTGGCCCAATCTGGGTACGAACCATCTCCCTTCACATTCATTGCACATTGGTGATGCACGTTTGCGTGAATCAGAAATGGTGATTCCACATGTCTTGTAATATGCATGGCTAACAAAGTCATGACAGTCCTGCCTCCATCCTCATCTCGTACACGCTAGTCGGTCTCTTGGTCTACATCGTCATGTGCGGTCTGGGCGAGATGGCTGCTTGGCTTCCCCACGCCTCCGGTTTCTCGGGTTATGCCGCCCGTTTCTGCGATCCTGCCCTCGGTTTTGCCCTCGGATGGACCTACTGGTGCAAGTACATCATCACGACCCCCAATCAGCTTACTGCCACCGCTCTCATCATCTCCAAATGGGCCCCGGCGAGCAAAGTAAACCCCGGAATATGGATTGCTGTGTTCTTGGTCGTCATCTGCGCCGTCAACTACTTCGGAATCAAGTTCTTTGGTGAGCTCGAGTTTTGGCTTAGTTCTTTCAAGGTCGTGGTCATTGTAAGTCCCTCCAGAGCCCCCGCCACGCATTCGATTCTAACGGGGATATTGTAGGTGGGCGTTATTCTCCTGTCTTTCCTCCTTGCCGTCGGCGTTGGCCCCCAAGGTGCCACCGGATTCAAATACTACAACGATCCCGGAGCTTTTGCGCCTTTGCCTACTAAAGCCGTCGGTACGACCGCCCAATTCGCTGGATTCTGGTCTTCGTTCGTCAACGCCGTTTTCGCTTACTTGGGTACCGAACTTATCGGTGTAACGGTCGGCGAGGCTCAGAACCCCCGCAAGACGATTCCTCGCGCCATCAAGCTCACTTTCTACCGCATCTTGTTCTTCTACGTGCTGAGCGTCTTCTTCTTGGGCATGTTGATCCCCTACAACCACGAGGATCTTCTCAAAGCCAACAAGAAGTCCACCAGTGCCGATGCCTCGCCCTTTGTGCTTGCTATCAAGATTGCCGGAATCAAGTATCTCGACCACATCCTCAATGCATGCATCTTGCTCTTCACCTTCAGTGCCTCCAACTCGGATTTGTACATTGCCTCGCGTACCATGTACGGTCTCGCTGAGCGTGGCCACGCCCCCAAGATTTTCCGCTGGACTGACAAGCGCGGTGTCCCAGTCCCTGCCCTGGCCATCTCGGCTATTTTCTGCTGCAGTGCTTTCATGAACGCTGCCAGTGATTCTGCCCAGGTTTTCACCTACTTTGTCAACCTGACCACCATCTTCGGCCTCATGGCATGGATCTCGCTGCTCGTCACCCACATTTATTTCGTGCGCGCGCGTCGTGCCCAAGGCATCACTGACGAAATGATGCCCTATGTTGCACCTGCTGGCATGTGGGGCTCAATCATTGCGCTCTTCTTTTGCTGCCTCATTGCCGTCACCAAGAACTTTAACGTCTTCATCAAGGGCTCCTACGGCAACTTTGATTACAAGGTACGAGAATTCTGTTATAACCAGTATGCAACGATGATCTAACTTTCACCACAGAACTTCATCACCGGTTACCTCGGTATCCCCGTCTACCTCTTCTGCATCATCGGCTACAAGATCGTCACGCGCTGCAAGGGCGTCAAGCCCCACGAGGCTGATTTCTACACGGGCAAGGACGAGATCGACCGCGAAGAGGAGGCCTTCCTGGCAGCGCAAGCCGCCAAAGAAGCCGTCAACCCCAAGAGCAACTTCTACAAGAAGTATGTCTCTTGGTTGTTCTAGATATCGTCTACATATACCCTGTTTGTGCTGTTTCTGTGGGGCCGCTTCCTCTCCATCATTTGCGTCTCCTCGAGTATCTATATAACAACCTTTTTCTCTGCCCTCGGTCCTATAACGGGGTTCACGGCGGAGAATGGTTGGTTATGAGTGAGGGTGGATGTAGTGAACAATGCATGATAGATACCAAAGCATAGCCAAATACCACGAGTTTAATGATCTGCTCTTTTTTCTTCGCCGTGAAATATGTCGTTTGTTATCTTCTTCCACCAGAGTATTTTGCCATCCGCGAGTATTCAGCTTGCCACACCCCATTTCCCAAGAATATCACTTCATACAATCTTGGAAATGGTCCTACGTGTTCTTCGCTTTCGCTCCTATGTACCTAGGTATCTGCACAGCCAGCGGCGCTGCATGCACGTGACTACACCTTCTCTCCCTTCAAATGTCCCCCTCTCACATACAGGTGTAGTCGAGAGAGAGAAAGAAAAAAGGACGCACGTACCCCACAGTACCATGACAATTACCCACAAAAACACTACCGCACTTTCCTTCCCTTCCCCCCTTGTTCCGTCATCCTCTCTCAGCTCTCTCACAGTCTCGTTTTCCATTCCCGGTCACCGGACAACCAGCATCATCATAAACCGCCCCGCGCTAACGCCCAACGCCTGAGCCTAACCTAACTTACCCCCCTTCCCCCCCCGCCAACGCTGACCTGAAAGCAACAATAAATAAACCTTCCTCACCGGGGCGCACACGGTGAACGACACCGCAAGGCAAAACGAGATTTTCTTTCTTTCCGTCGGTGAGCGCCGGTGTCTGTTTTGTTGTCGGACATGGCCGAGTCGCTCTTTTTCCCCATCGTTTTGTTTGTTTGTCTGCCTTGTGCTGGGAGGGGGTGGGACGAATCGATATGGTAGAGGAATTAGATTAAATTGGGAGGGAAGGAGAGGTTTTCTGTACGCCCTGAGATGCCGACTTTCCCAGAGTGCTGTGGGAGGACGTGGATGGAATGTCTCTCTATTTTCTCTGGGGTTTATTCTTGTTTGTGTGTGCGTTTACTTTCTTAACGCGAGTGTTCTTTTTTCCCGCTCATGTATTGCTCAACTCTCTCACTCTCCTCGATCCATCTCGCTCCTCCCTCCCACGCTGAACAACAGCCGGGATTCAAGACGAGCTAAGGGGGAGGGGAGATTTTGAGCGGGCGTAGGACGCAAAATTAGTCCCTGGCAAGGACAGGCTACGTATGATTCAGTGGCTTGGGCATATAATCCCACGATCTCTCCTCCCGGCATGTCATGCCATATCCATGTTCCCACATGTAACACAGGATTGCAAGATTGGCTGTTTGATTGATGGATGGGAAAAGGTATTGACACCATACCCGACAGGCCTTCCCCCCCTGTACCTCTACAAGGTCAGGATAGCCTTGTTTTTAAAGTGAGATGGGAAGATCGGGATACGGTAAGGCAGAAGAGAAAACGAGGCAAAAGAGGCTGAAAAGCAACCAAAGGTATATGGATAAAGCGGGGAGTGAGTGGCGCAGACCGCTCTGTTTGGTTTCTGGGATCGAGGAAATGCTGGCGGTATATCCGATTCATGGGAACATATGCACCACTCTCATAGAGCTAACAGGACAGGTCCAGGGTAGCCTTGTTCGCAGAAGAAAACGTGAGATACAAAAGTTGAGAGATGCTAGGGCACGGCGTGGAATGTGAATGGGGGTGGGAAAGTGGAGAGAAGGAATGCGTGGCGCAGACTCGGTTCAAAGATACATGCATGCCATGGCATGCCCAGACATGTATACAACATCTCATACGTGTGTATACCACAGACCCCCTTCCCACACTCACTACATCATCTCCTTCAAGATGCCGTAGAGGCATTTGATCCAATCAAGCACAAGAAATAGGGCTGCTGCTAGTCCTTCAGTCGGTCGGGTGGAGGGATAACATGCCCGTATCGGGATAACGAGAGATGAGAAACAAACTTAGATGTATCTACTTCATGCATCTTTTCCATACGCCCGGGGGCTTGGTTCCCACGTGCGAGAGAGCAATTTTCATCCCTCTTCCTTGCTCGACATCCCAGATAGCGGGCGTTGAAACGCCTCTTTTCTGTCGTATACAAGAAAAATTACGATAAATAAATAAACGGGTGCCCCAGGGATTGGTGCTTTTCCATGTCCGCCGAGGGGAGGGTGAGGGGGGAAATACGAGTGAGGCTTCGGTTGTCCCCGAAACCCACCAAGCGCGTAATCTTTGATGTTTTGTTTGACGCCCATGCAAGGCGCGCATGGGGGGAATTTCAAAGAAGGAAAAAACGAGATCGTGAAAAAAGTGAGTATGACGATACAAATTGGATGCGGATATGATGTAAGTAACATGCTTATATGTCATGGGTATGGATTAGGAAGGAAGCGAGGGGAAATAGGGCTGAAGAAGGTTTTTGGAAAGGCAGGTATATACTGGGGTTGCAACAGACTTGCTGGGATTGTACAATGATCTTGTTATTGCTTGGTCTTCCTTTTGAGGCGCAGGATCGTGTTTCTTCTTCTTCCCCTTGTTGAACTGGAGCTGAAGCTGTGTTTGAGGCGTACGCAGTACTTGTTTCCTCGTTCAAGATACTTGCCATCAGGTGCCAATTTATCCTATTAGTTTGCAGTGATGCATGGAGAGCAACGGACTCCCCGTCACTTTCGATCTTGGGCAAAGGGCGTGCGTGTGTGGGTCTCGGAAGACGAAATGATGCTGTTTTGTTAGAGAGGGCACGCTATGGTACGGGAGGAATCAAGGAAAGTGAGGTAAGTGCCCTGTCTGCACAACGTTCTCGATGATGTTTTCTCAGTCACATACGTGTAGTATCTTTGTGCCCTTTTAATATATGCTTTGCTTTACTTCGCCTCGATACGTGTCTACTTGGTGAGGGAATGTAGGGCGGGTTTTGTTGGTTGTTTGTAGTCCTGCGCAAGTCCTTGAGAAAGATATAAGAGTTTGAGATATTGCTGTCAAGACGTTTGTTGCAGCATCCAAAGATCTTCTCATCATCTACGCTGAGCTATTAGTTTGAATACTTGCACTTGTTATACTATACCTTCCGGAACTCTACCATCGAAGACTCTCAAAACAGAATCCTCTTTCTTGAACAGAGTGAACGCAGCTTCTCGACGACCAAACCACTGATCATCACCGAATACTTCACCTCGCCTTTCTCTTCGAGCACTGTACTTCAGACAATCTCGACGAGAAGTCCCTACACAACCTTCACAATCTCAGAACCCCAACAACAACAACCTCGCCAACCCACCTCATCATCCAAAATGTGTTCATCTTCCCGCTTCCACTTCACGACCGTGTCCGATCAACCTACGGACACTTGGTATTGTTCAAACTGCGAGGCCTTGAACATGAGCTATTACGATAGGTGCCCAGTTTGCGAGATCGGACGTAGATGTGCGTACGCGACTCAGCAAGACGGCGCGGGCTACCCAGCACCGGGAGTATGGACCTGCCCCAGATGCGGAGATCCGATCGCGGAATTTGTGGACTGCTGCGGTTCTTGCGGATGGCCCCAGGGTGACGATGGTGGTTATTGATAGGAAGTTGGATTCCTGTGCATCGCAGAGCATGGGTTTCCATCTCTTTCTTGTGCTGCTCGAGTCTCAGGTTCGATGTCTGATGTGTTTTTTTTTCAGTGGGACTCGATTTACTGACGAATTTTGATGTTTTCCTGTTGCCGGTTGAGGTTTGATTGTGCGAATTGGTGATTGTTTCTCGGCTGTTTCTTGGTGACAGGATGTTGTCTTCCTTTCTAGATTGTATTGCGAATTACCCTTCCCCCCCCCGAACGTTTTAGACTTTCACCATCGTTTTCCTAGATAGAAATATAAAGAACGTTCAACTAAATCTTCAATGACTTGCAATATCTCTTACGTGACTCAATCATACTCGGTGAAATCAAAGTTTGCGAGTACAAAGTACACGAAAGTTGATTATCAGCATGATTGTTAAACTCCAGGTGGATATGTTGGCCAACAAAACCAGAGGCAGCTCACGGATTATCGAATCCTGGACTTGTTTAGTCTCCCGAAACTCCAATATTTGAAGACCATCTGGAATTCGAAGAGTAGACTGTAGGAAAAGCGAAGATGAAGTAGAGAAGTCCAGCGGGGTGCATCACTACCTTGTATTATTCCCTGTGCGCTGGCACATTCATACATACGAAGCGTGATGTACAGACGCTCAATCGCCAAGGAAAAAAAGAAAAAGGGAGAAAGCATGAAACTCCCGTTGCTTTTTTTTCTGTCCCTTACGCATCTGTGCCTGTACCTGAGCGTGTGCTACCCCGCAGCGACGGCACAGCTTGATCGAGCTTAGGGATTGGGGGCTGGGGATCGTCGTATTGTGTGGGGTAGCTTCGGGTGCATAGGCTTTCACCGCGAAACCCAATTCCGCCAATACCCAGCCTTCTCCGGGTGATTTCCTGTGCTGTTCACCGTTTTCCAATCCCACGTTATTACCCTTACCTCTTGGTCTTCCTCTCCATGCACTGTGCGGTTGAGAATGCTGCGAACGGTTCTCGCTCGCTCATGGCGCTCCCCTCGGCTATTACGTAGCTCGAGGGGCATTCTGACCCAAGCTTGTTGTACGGGACCTTCCACGGTACGTTCTGTTTGATTTTATGCGCTCGTTCTACAGCAACTTACAGATTTGACAGCCCTCGCTACTTGAACAAACGGTGCCGCAACATTTTGCAGGTATTGTGAGCAATCATGGGGATCGTGACGCGTGAATCAGCCTGTACCTTTCTTGTTGTGCATGAGCTGATTTCCTGGACAGTGTGATATCGCACCATCAAAACACGGTGCTTACGTATAGCGATCTCGACCGTGACTCCAATGCAGTCGCCAGAGGTCTCATCAATCTGGGAGTTCGAAAGGGTGACAGGGTTGCCGTCAGCTTGGGGAACAACGTGGAATACGCTACCGCAACATATGCACTATTCAAGTTAGGTGCTATACTGGTACGAAGAAAAGAGATGGAATAAGACTTAGAAAAGAGAACTGATATATCGTCAATCAGGTTCCGTTGAATCCCGCCTTCAATGCACCGCAGGTCCTCAGCGCTCTCAATCACCTTGAAGCTTCACATCTCCTCATTGGCGCAGAAACGAACATTCCATACAAACCCCCCCGCTCAAATCTTCCCCTATTGGAATCTCTTATGCCCAACCTCCGGGGGAACTCATTGCAGTCTGAGCTTGTTCCAAGTTTGCGGGCGGTCGCGATTGTAGACAACTCACACGGACGCGTAGATCTCGCAGAATACAAGAGCCTGAGTCGGTATGAAAACATATTGGAAGATGGAGGCAGTGGCAAAGCTTTAGAGGGAATCAACCTTCATCCTGACGAAGTAGTCAACATTCAATTCACAAGTGGGACGACGAGTATGCCAAAGGCAGCCTGCTTAAGCCATAAAAGCATCTTGAATAACGGTAAAAGTATCGGAGATAGAATGTTGCTCACGGAAGAGGATCGAGTTTGCTGTCCCCCACCGCTATTTCAGTAAGAGTGTCACAGCCTCCTTTGGAATACAATACTGATCAACGATGCAGCTGCTTCGGATGCATCCTAGGTACCTGTCTCTTGTGGAACAATCTGACATCCCGCCGCTAACGCTATTGACCAGGCTACATGGCGACAGCAACCCATGGATCTGCGATTGTGTTTCCTTCCGAAGCCTTCAATCCACTGCATACTCTCCAAGCTGTTCGCGAGCACAAATGCACCGCTCTTTACGGCGTACCCACCATGTTCGTGGCTGAACTCGAACTGCTGTCCAACGGCACTGTCCCTTACGACGGGTTTCAGTACCTGCGTACTGGTATCGCAGCAGGGTCATCCATCCCCGCTGAATTGATGCGGAAATTGCACAAGACACTGAATCTCACAGAATTGACAATATGCTACGGCATGACAGAGACCAGTCCTGTATCGGCAATGACTACGACGGATGACCCAATGGATAAGCGCATCGACAGCGTGGGACGCCTACTCCCCAACGTGAGCGCCAAAGTCGTGGATCCCGTTGATCGATCGCGGATCCTGAAGCCCGGGGAGAGGGGTGAGCTCGCTGTATCCGGCTACTTGGTGATGAAAGGGTACTGGAACGATGTCGCGCGCACCTCTGAAGTGCTTGTCCCTGACGATGACGGCGTGATGTGGATGCACACTGGCGACGAGGCGACCATGGACGCAGATGGCTACGTCAAAATCACGGGGCGGATCAAGGATCTTATTATTCGAGGCGGTGAGAACATCCATCCCTTGGAAGTGGAAAACTGTCTGTTCGCGCACGACAAGATCAAGGAAGTCAGCGTGGTAGGGCTCCCCGACGAACGTTATGGCGAGTGCGTCGCAGCGTTTGTGGTGCCGCATCAGGTTAAAAAACCGACGGCCACCGAGGTTCGAAGCTGGGTAAAGGAGAAACTAAGTCATCATCTCGGTAAGCAAACTCCCTTCAGCGCGCGCCTCTCGCGTGATGATGTGAGATGATTCGCAATGGCAATAGCTAATTGGATGGGGTGGGAAATCGTGTATAGTCCCAAAATATGTGTTCTGGGTGGATACGTATCCCAAGACGGCGAGCGGCAAGATCCAGAAGTTCAAGCTGAAGGAGAAGGGGATACAGCTTGTGGGCGAAGGCAAGGGCCTTGAATGAGCCATCATCTAACAACATGTCGGACCATATCGGTCCCCATCATCTCAAGCCTGAAGCATTTGCCGAGCCGTGCGATGACATGTGGTGACATCTGTCTCTTTGTCCATTAGATGGTACAGCAAACAATTCATGTTCCAGAAGAATAGAAGACATGACGGCAGCCCCGCAAGGAACCAGGGTAGCCATATATTCAACACAGATATCAGCGGCTAGTCTTTCCAGAATTTCGAGTGATGATGATGGCGTTTGAGGATTTCTCCTTGAATCTTGGCGCAAGTGGACCTCTTCGGCCATTATTGTTTCAACCAGAGTCAGCGACGTTGGGCATTCATGTCATTGATGGTCTCGTTTGGGATGTTCTCCCGGAATGAGACGGCCCCCAATTTAGTCTACCTGTGTTGGATTGATTTAGTTTTTCTTTGGGTGGATCGGGGTGGTTCAGGCTCCCTATTGGTAAAGGTGGGGTTGGGCGATAAAAATACGAGTACGTTGCGATACCAGCGCACGCACTGATACACAGGAGTGTTTCCATTGAAATACATGCAAGGAGATTTAAGGCAGGTCATTGGACAGGCTGTGTATTGTAGTACCATAACGGCGTGGTGTATACTTTAAACAGACCTTGAGTGGGTTGCCAAGTAAATTACGGCCAATGACTTGGTCGTCAACATGACAAGTATTTTTTGGGTACACACAAAGCGGGCAGGAAACTGTGCTCGCCGGACTCGGGGCTGGATGCTTTTTGACTCTCTACACTCGTAAAAGTGCCTTGATTTGTTTTAATGAAAAGAAAGAATCAGGGGCAGTCAGAATCAATGGCTGTGTTTTTTTGGGAATCCAGATTTTCAGGAGACGGCCGTATAATGCGTATGTGGAGATTGGTGAGTCGGGGCAGGGCAGATAGATGATGATACTCAGGAGTGACTATTGGCACGTAACACGGCGTACAGGAATGATGAAAGAAGAGTGCAACTCCTGATGTATAAGCAGCAAGCGCGCGACTACATCTCCACATGGAATTGGACCTCGGCAGTGTCAATAGCAAGCCATTGGTGCGATTCGTGGGGTCGATGATTTTCTTGTCCTTGTGTCCCCTCGTCCCGCGCATCCCTAGTTTCATACCGGACGGTTAGTTCTTAAGACAAGTCGACGGGCTCGAGGGACGGCGAGCACCGGCAATATTGACGGATTAGTTGGCAGGCACCGGCGGGAAAAAAGAGGCAGTCGGTGGTGAACAGCGAACTATTGCCCGTAAAGAGGGGGGCGATGAGGTGTGGATGCAAAAGCATATCTTGACCAGGGGGGCAAGGGTTCAGGCAGTTTGTATTGATTAGCCAGGCGCATGCCGGGATGGGCGTAGCGTACGTGGAGGGTGGTGTTGATGGTGCTGTGGTGGTAGCTTGGCTGCCTCGTCTTGCTCGTGTGCATGATGATGATGATGATGATGATGATGATGTGAGGGCACACTGGCCTGGATGGATGACGCTTGTAACGTTCAGACAGAGGCAGCGAGAGAGAGCAACAGAGCAGCGACTCTTGATGGCGTGTTGTTGCCAGTGAGGACGGGATGGCATATCGCCCCCTTGGTGCCGTCTTGGTCGTCGACGTCGTGGGGGTTCTTGTTGCATCGGCGAGCGTGGGCTCAAACGGGTTTTTGCCGTGCCGGTCCCGCAGCCTCCATGATTAGCGAGGCGGAAGGCCCTCCATACGGCTATAGTGGGCTTGTATCATGCGCTGAGCTGTCGTGATCGTCATTTGCAAAGGTGCTTCTGTAGATTAACTTTGCGGTGGGGGCGAACGAGGGCGGCGGATCATTCGAAGCCTAGCGCACCGAGGAGCCTGTTGCGTCGGAGCGTCCCAACATAGATTGCTCCATTGCTTGCTGGCTGGCTGGCTTCCTGTGCTCCCGGTCGACCAGCCACTCCACGGCCCTTTTCGATTGATCGCCGTCCAAGCTGCTGCCGTTTTCCTTTTCCTGTCCTCACTCCCTCTCGTTCCATCACCTATTTCGGGACGCGCCCGCTACTTTTTTTTCCCTCCCGGCACCGTCCCAGAGCGCCACGCGCACAGCCACAATTACCACATCTCTCCATCCCTCCCCTCAGCGAGCGGCATTTTGGATGCCACTTTTCATCATCAATCACCACAACTCCTACATGGCCCGCTTTCTAAATGCCTCCCCATCCACCCGAGCTTGACAGTCATTGGCAGACCGGAGCCTGGTAGCACCAACCCCATATACCATTCCACTCAGCTTCTTCGTCGCTCGTGAAGCCCTTCCGCCATCATCCCCACTCACATCCACGTTGGGGTCCGCATCTCATCTCACATGACGTCCCACCCTCATTAGCAACCTCTGGTCGCTCGACTCCAACTCCCGCCATGGCAAACCCCGTTGCGCTCGCTGCCACCCAGGCCGCCGACGCCGCCGCAGCCGTGTGCAGTAATCTGTATCATGTCGTGAGGTTTGCGCAGCCCGCCGCTGACAATGCTGATATACCCGACAAAATCAGCACCGTAGCCCATTCTCTGGACACCATGGCCAAATTCTTCGTCGCTCAACCCGGCACCTCCGTCTTCTCGGAGCATGCGGTCCAGGATGCAAATGATTTGATTGCGCGCTGCGACGCCATTTTCACTGAACTCCGGCAATTGATCGAGAAGAGGTGGTACGAGGGCCGAGGTAGTCAGAAGGATTCGGCTGCGCCAGATCCTGAGTTGACGTGGCCCATCAGTGAGCAGAGTACTGGACTGTTGAGGCACCGCCTTGTGAACGTCGAGGATAGCCTGGCGTTGATGTTGCACATTCTGCATTTCGCCAACGTGCAGGCCCAAGGCGATCTGCCTGAGCGTGACCGCGAGGAAGAGCGCAACAAGGTTCGCGAACTGCATTTGCGCCAGCAAAACTCACTGGAAGCTCTAAAAGCTTTTGAGAGCAAGCTTAACAACAATTACCCTTCGGATGGTGAAGCCTTCCAAACCTCGAGTATTCCGTCGCGTGTTCCCACGATTGACTTCATTGTCAATACGCAAGGACCGAGTCGGACCCCACCTGCCGCGGGATCAATGTTCCGGAGAGCTACAGCCACCACTGTCGATCACTTCTCGCAACATTCGCTAGCTTCTGATAGCGACGATACTGTCACCGACGACGACGAGGACGACGACGAAGAGGGAGAGAGATCTTTCACCCAGGACGAGCTTGCCCAGTGCGCCGCCCATGTTCAGGAGCTACTGAAAGGTATTGGCAGTCTACAAAATACCTACAATGTCCAAACCGGAGGAAAAGCCAGGTATTGCCCCAGATTTAGAGTTCACAAGCTCTATAAGCGATTCCGCCGAAGATTTGAATCCGAAATGTCCGACCAGAAATCAAACACTGCCACCTCCGCTGTTCCCTTTCCTGGATTTCAACCACCCCAGACCTCCCATAATGACTTAGCCTCCCCAAGGTCTCAGATGGCAGCTCCCGACCTCCGATCAAATAGTATGTTATTCCCCGTCACACCCCGAATATGCATCGGGATCTCTTGTGTAACAAGGCCCCGCGATCCTGTCCACGCTCCGTATCAGCCCCGCTCGCTTTCAGCTGATTTGCATCTGCAATTTAGGTGTATACTCGTTTGAAAGTCCCAACCGCACTCTTGCGCCAGTGCAGGAGCTTCGTCGCACGCAATCTGTTGGAACTCAATCCCAATATGCCAACCAACTATTGAGCAGGCCTACACACAATGGCCTACCTTCGAATAGCAGAGATGAACGGGCTCTGCACCCCCACTTTCGTACCTCTGATACTAACCCTTCCACATCCACCATGAACATTTCGCATGTACAAAATGAAATAACCTCCCGGGAAAGCTCAAAGGAAGGAAGCCAAAGCGGTGGCGATCGAGACGGAGAATCAATATCTGGACGCTCAGCACCTATACACTATACAAAGACAGGCCGAATTTCGAAAGCGAAGAAGGGCCTCAAAGTCCATACTTGCAGCGAGTGTGGAAAGTCATTCACACGGGCTGAGCATCTCAGACGGCACCAGAAAAATCATGGTCCAGATCAGGTATGTATTCAAGGGTTCAGTGATAATCAAGATGTCGTGTCCCTTGCCGTCTTGAAGTTCCATCAACCGAGTTTTGGATGTCTGCGCAAACAGTACTGATTTTGTATCTCTTTCAGGTTACATGCGACTTATGTGGGAAAGTCTTTTTCCGGGTCGACCTACTCATGCGACATATAGAGAGACACAAAGACGGACCGCACCCCGCCTCTACAAATCAGCCCCTAGCTCCTTCTCGGGAGAACTTTGACGATCATAGATCAGCTATATATCCGGCACGTCAATCAGCTGACATGAATTCCGTGGAACCATCGCAAGCTTGGCGCTATGCGTGGGAAGAGCGGGACCGGGGATATATGCATACGCCCAAAAGAGTCTTATCAGGTGGAGACGAGCGCAATTTGATACACGAATCTGCACCTCAACCGCGAACTTTACACAGTGCAGCATCACCATCCAACCCTGCTCGTGTACAATCTACTACCTACGATGATACAGGCCGTGAATCCGGATGGCAAAACCCCAACAAGCGGAGACGCACGGAAGGTGATATTCATCGTGCGCCTTACAGTCCCCTGCACTCACCACCTAGCCCCTGGATCAAGGAGCATAGAAAACTGCCTCCTTTACCGTCACCCTTGCAAGCTACATACAATCAAAGTCCCTATAGCGGGCCAAGCGATAACGTCAAAGCACTTCGGTCGATATCGCCATCAACAGGTCCGACCTGGACACACGTCAACTCTCCGCAGAATTCCACACCTAGGAATAGCATTTCGCAATCAATACAACCTGCGCAGTCTTATGACGACTCTAGGAAACTTGCCAACTCCCAATCCTCGATGACTGACAACACGACACGAAGACGGCCGAGTGCTCATAACGTTTCTGCTACAACTTTAACCTCCTCATCTAAACCCGGATCTCTACAAGAAACCAACCACGAATCACCAAAGCACCGCCCAATCCCTGTTTCAAAGTCACAATCGACCTCACCCACCACAAACCCAGCACCCCGCATCTATCCCAACCCATTCCGCCCACATCAACGTCAAGTCAGGCTTGAAACGGATAGCGAAACGGGTTCCAGGAAGCGAAAACCAGAAGACAACAGCGTAGACGGTCAGCAACAGCAGCAACGATCCTCCATGTACACTCGCCATGCTCCGACGCCGCCAAGAGCCGATGGTGCCGGACCGCCAAATCCCGACCGCAGAGACGCCTCGTCGTCGTCTTACACAGCCAAGGACCGTCATGCCACGCCCGAACGGAGGAATCCGGAAAGTGAGGGCAAAAAGAAGGATGTTATGGATAAGCTTCTGGATCATTATACTGTGCCTAGTGGGGGAATTACTTCGTAACATCCACCCAATCCTTTTCCTCCTTCCTCTAAGCCCTTTCAGCCTTACTGAGTATTTCCGTTTCTCTATTCTCTTTTTTTCCACGCGTGTATATAGCACTTTTGTTCTTCACTTGATCACATCTGTACCTGTGTGCGTATGGTTCGGGGGTATAGGAGTTCTCCGGCCCTAGTCTCGATAGCGGGACTATCTGGCCTTTTTTCTGCTTCTTCTCTCCTCTTCCCCGAAGTTTTGTTGCTCTTTGCTACTTAGACTGCGATTGTATCTTCTTTTTATGCTATGCTATGCTTTGCTATGCGAATGAATTGGGAAAAAGGCTTCATTGCTCGGCGTTGGATATAGTGAAAAGGAACTTTTTTCTGTTTTATGCGTTTACAAATCGTTCCATGTGTGTGATGTGGCTTCCTTTACCTCCTTCCTCTTCCTCCCCCCTCACCATCATTTCGAGTGGTGTTCTTGCGTGATTGCCTTTGTTGGATTGGCCTTGTTTCTGCACGTGTTCTTTGATCTAGTATGGTTGGTGGTGGAATGTTTCGTAGTCTATAAAGGAGGTCTTCGATTATGTGCGGAGGGAGGATAAAGGAATAATGACAGCTGAGAGTGAATGGACAGACAGACAGACAAACCAAATGCCCAGCCTTTTTCTTCGTTTTCTCACAAAAGCAAAGTTCATCTTATTGTTGATTTGATTTTGAGTTTGAGTTTACGTGTTCCTTACACACAAGCGATGGTTTAAAGCGATTAAAACGAGCGATTACCAAATAGTTGAAACGAAAGTTCATCTTATATATGTGGTCTTTCCTCTTCCAAAGTCTTATTATTTGCTGGTTGGTTTTGGGGTTAAGTGGAAAGTTGCAACGTTTTCCCTTTTCGAGGAAATTACCCTTTTTCTTCTTCTTCTAATCTTCTTTTATTTATTTTCTTTGTGGTGGACGGTAGTAAACGTAGTATCTTGTAAAGAGCGTTAAGCCCGTCGCCTTTGGGGGTTTACTTATTTCTTAGGGCATCTCCATCGCAGTCGATATCGATGTGTTTTTTTTTCCTCGTTGGAAGATGAAGCGCTTCCCACCCTCAAAAGACTGATAAGAAGGATTTACAAAAACGTAGGCGAAGTATGCCCCAATTTTACACCGAAATTGCTTTATTTGTGAACATGAACATAACATGAACATGAAGCCTGTACATCTCGGAATTTCACTGATATACTGCAAATCTCTCTTCACGTCGCTTCGCGTGCCTGTTTGGAATCTAGCTGTGACGATTAACAGTGGGTGATGTCTTAATAATCTTTGAATTTCTTCAGTCCCTTAGTTCACGAGATTAGGTTTTTTTCTGGAGGGATGTGGAATTATCCCACTATTTTGAGTGGAGTGGTGTCATTCCTTCCTACTCTTCTTCTTCACACAACTCTCCTCTTCACACGGCTCACCTTCTTCCCCTCATGCCAACCCCGACCCCATTCCGCTCCTGTAATCTTGATTTTTCATTTTCTTTCTTTCGCGCGAACGGGAAGATTTCTCAAAGACATGTACGATGTAGCAGCACAACAATGCTACGCGCGTCAAGGTTCCCGCGAACTCTCCATCAAAGTGGGTATAAATAGTGGAGTAGTCTCTCCGTGTCTACTCCTCATTCCACCTCGCCTCTGCAAATCTCGGGATACCTACGATGAACCATAACACTCGGCTACTCCGACATACCGTCGTACGAGTTCGTTCATCGGGATGTCGGGAGGCGAAGGTAAAAATCCGTAGAGAGTGGAGAATGCAGAGATGGGGGGTTTTCCGTAGGGACCCGCGAACAGCTGATATTAGCCCGCCTGACTGTTAGATAAAAGGTGGGATCTTGATAGGCTAGGGGACCGGAGGGAGGGAACTTTATCACATGGTTTCGAATGGAATTGATCGGTGGAAAAAAAAAGATATTAACGGGTGGACTGGATCCTTCATTTCCCGTGTGTTTATGTCACGCTCGCTTGATGATTAGTCGCCGCTGTTTGTTCTGGGGGTCCATTTCTCTCTCCATCTCCCCCCGCTGTCAAGTTATGTATCCTGGTGTACGATCTTCTACAGGTTGGCTGCGCGGACGCGCGGATGGCGAAAAAAATTTAAAATTGTGGAATGATGTGCAAGAAAGTTCTAGAACGCTTTTCCGTTGTGTGGATTACCTTTGCTGCCTAAGCCATTGTAGTTTAACTTTTCGTGGCAATTAACATGACTGCGAGCGTATCATATTCTTTCCCCCATGCCCCCCCCCTTTCAAATACCTAAAACACGCTCAAAGAGTGCATGCGCGAAGAAGAAGAAGGTGCAGAAAGCGGATGAAATCCGGGACGAGCCGCCAAGTCGCAGTTTGATTGTTGATATATATTATTAGCCCGAGAGGAAGACGGTGTTTGAGAGTTTACGTTTAAATGAACGTGGAACCCTTGAATCGTTTGCGCTACTATAGCTACGTACCTGGACACTATTCGTGCAAATGATAGGGCTGGCTGGGTGGAGGCTTGGGCGAAGAATGTGGCCTTTTCCGCTGGGAGACGGGAGGCCTTAATGGTGGTCAGTGTCAGCTTGGGCATGTCCTTCAGCCAGGTATGTATCAAGAGAAATGCCCAACGTGAGGGCTTTGCAACACAAAAAGGGAAGCTGATGCTGTCGAGCGTTTTACCCCTCATGGGTTGACGGGAAGGAGGAGGCACATGTACAATATTGCAGCGTGAGTGTATAGATTGTGTTATGCGTGTATGCGTGCACCAAGCCCCCTCGTTCCGAGCATCCCGTGGTGCATTGCAGACGTCCCCCCGCTCAGCCTCTACTCTGACAGGATACGCAACAGGTGGCAGAAGTGGGTTTGATTGTTGTTAAGTTTTTGATTGTGATAATTCCCAGGGTCTGCGGCTCGGGAGACTGATGCTGTGCTTGTGCGTTTGCAACTGTACGCAGGGGAATGCAAGTCTCGGGCAAGACAAGCTGCAAAGGGAAAATGGCTTTGTGCATGCGTTTGCCTGCAAGGTTGGGCTTGGCTGATGGAGATAGAGTAGCGGGTGAGATGACACGCGGACTTGATCTCGGAAGCGGACCTTGTGTCGTAAATCCTGTAGTCGTTCTTTGGGCCAAATTGTACCGTACAGGCAGGACGGTGCTAGAGATTCTGGCTCAGCGACCGGCCCAACCTTCTGCCTGGTTTAATCAGCGAGCTTGCGTATGTACGCGGTACTTACGCAATGTGTTTCCTTGCTCGGCCGGTGGTCGTAAGCCCACAGTCAACAAACAAGACGGCACGGACTGAAACAAGACGTTTGCTCTGGCTGTCTGCTCGTCCATCATGACACACTCACTGCGACGCTGCGAAGCGGTCAGCGGCAGCCCATCTGATTGCCGTCACTCGTCGCCTGGCCTCAGCGGCGGTTGGGTGCACGCCCACGCACTGCGACAAGTTGCAAGTCACACTAGCGACGAGCGCATAGGGTCAAGGCACGCCGTCGACCGTGCCTACAGGCTCCAACCCACTGTTCCGAATTCTGGGCCTGGCGGATTGCCATTAGGTGGTTTTGGCCCATCTCCACCCTGCATTTCCCTAGCACCGCCTGTCCAAGGGAGCTACATTTCATCATCGGGCATCAGGCTCGCACCTGCACCCCTGTAGCGAAACAACCACCCTATATTTATTATAACCGTTGCGCCCACTGCTTCACCCGGATCCTAATACGGACTTTTGGACCCTTTGCACCGTACCCTCTCTCGCATCTATATAGCCAACATCGCCTCGGATTCTCTGTTCAAGCCTCAGGCATCAATCTCTTGGACCACACCACAAGTCATCGACAACACCCTCTACCAACTCAATCGATACGTCTTCGCTTCCCATCTCAAAAGTCTCTACACAACCAACCCACACCGACTCTTCCATACCAATACTTTTCATCATGTTCTCTTGCGTCAACTGTATGTCGTATACCTACCCATCGTCTCATGGCCTCTTGTCAACACGGTACTGACTCTCAATCTTCAGACGAACGTGGCTGCCGTGGTCGATGCAACACTCAACTTGGACGCTGCGACTCTTGCGTCACTCTCAACCTTCAAAGCCCTCGCTCAAACTCCCAATCATCTGCATCATCAGTTAGCAGCAGAGAATCAGCATCCTACTCAGCCCTGACATCTTCATTCGCCTCGCTCGCCCAGTCCTCGTCCGCTTCACCAACACGGAGCCAGTAAAGCACCAACTCTACGTGATGACGCACTTCGACGCGTACCAAACCGTCGTCGCCCTCACTACCATCACTCTTTACGTTTCCGACGAGTCAACGAATTCATTTACCGCTTGAGATTAGCGTTTTTCTACTTTGTTCGCCGTCGCGACAAATGTACACTTTCACCAAGTTATGCGCCTACCAGCAACCTTCGCTCTCGGCTACTTGTTCAAATTCTATCACCATTCTTCTAGGGCAGCATTTTTCGGGGGAGGATTTTTCTTTTTGGATTCATCAGGGCCGCGTTTACCAAAGATAGCATTGCATGTGGAGGGTTTCATTTCATTTCCTTCGGTTTCCACAAATGGGTGTTTTTTCCGGAATTAGGGTTTTTGCATTTTTCCGTTTGTATGATATACCACATCGTCAGGATACGATTAGCGCATCTGGATTTTTAGGCAAGAAACACATTTCCTTGTAGCATCATTAGGGTCCTCTTTTTTTTTCTTTCTTCCCATTGTTAGATCCCAGTACCCAGCAACTGTAGCATGTCACCCCTCATGCTACTCAGGTTGTCAGCCTTCTGAAACCAGCTACCATATATAGAAACCTCTACACAATTCCGATGGCATCGTTCGAGAAAACCGGAAAAGAGAAGCAAGAATTCTCCAGTTTTCAGTCTTTGAGATTCCCCATCTTTCATTTCCGTGCGAAGAGGAAATTCGCACGTCTCGGACTTTCTTAACATTAAAGTTATCATCCCCCCACTCCACCCACAAGAAACAGTCTTTATTTTATTTTTTTCACGAATGCCATGTCACGTACCCCTCCCCCCCTAAACCCCCAAGAACAACCAAAAAAAACCTGCTCAGCAGACCTAACCCATGATGCATGGAGCCGACGAGTAAAGGACAAAAAAATCCAGATCCCATAGAACGTTTCTCGATCCCCACAGACGTTCGATTGCTGAGGTCTAGCCTAGGCCGCGCCAAAACAACTAGCGATCGCCATAGAAATTCTAGATCTCCAGGGATGGGCAAATACAAAGTGGACATGCAACGTGCTCATGAGCACACCCCTGTCGTGTTACTCTTTAACCCTTTTGCTCGTGCTACGTATGATCATCTTTTTTGCTCTTCGCAGGGTCGAACTTGTTATAGGCATGGGGTTTTCCTTAATGCGATTGATGTTTTGAGTCGCGAGACGAAAATGGCCCACCGCGAATTCTTTTCTTTTCGCAACTAAGACCATATCGCATTCTTGAAGGGCATGCTGAATGGGAAAGCTCGTGTGGTTGTTGATGATATTTGCTGTGTTGCCATGTACCTGCGAACGAACCCACGAACACAGCAACAGTGCGTACCGGTTAAATTACTTCGTCACCCTACATATGCATCTCCATTACAACGTGATTACATTGATATCATATGTTGAGTGCCTTCGCGCTTCTCGCGAGAGACGTAGTTTCTCAATCATGTCCTCTTCATTTCGTCTTTTTTTTCTTCTTTGTTAATTTCGCATTACTGCAGAAAAATAAGACTAGCACATGTAACCGTTCCAGCCACCACTGATGACAGTTTTCGGCCTCCCCCCCCAATGACGTTCCATCAATCTTCTGCGAGTCAAAATCCCGAAAAAAAAGAGAGTCCCCACAAGTCCCCCATCAACCAAAACGTATTATTGCACCCATTGATCCCCCAAGGATTCCCATTTCACAGAAAAAAAGAAAGTAAGAAAGAACCTGGGAGGAGTTAAGGCGAGCAGGACAGAGAGAGACAGGACGATGTCGGTGACCCAGAGACAACGGCACGCAGATCGCTAGGATCCCTAAAAGATCCAGACCAACCGGACCACCGACGATCAAATCGCTTTCGAGACAAGACAAAGAGGACAGAAGAAAAAAAGGGACCCTATTGTCGAGTCAACAACAAAAACCTACCTGCCAGACCTGCCATTGTGGAAATAAACGGGCACGGCTTTCTAACTCCATGCAGCAAAAGATCAGAGACGGCATTGATGCTAAACTGTTCGCAGTACCTTGCTGTACTGGTTGGTGCTCGTATTGTCGAGTAGGTGGAAGAATCGATTCTATAGTCAGTTGGGCCTCGATTCCTTCCATTGACCCAGTCTGTCCTTCTGTCCTTCTATCCTTCTACAGTAAAACGTAGCTGCTTTTTTCCATCCTTGACAATGATGATGATGGATGGGAGGATTAGAAGTGGAGTTCTTCGCTCGCGCTCGCGCTCGCCGCGTGCGCCAGGTGCGGATAGACGGACGGCGGCGTTTTTCGTTCGAACGTTTTCTTGCCCAGTGTTCTCACTCACTCGACTGTGGGAAATGCGTGGTGACGCGCGTGGCGCTTTTTGGGGAGGTATGCCGAAAAAAGATTGGTCTCGCCTTTGCTGTTATGTGTGGGGCGGACATAATGCCATACCTATGCTGCGCTCTCCATTCCCATACCTTGGTCCGCTTATGTGCGTCTGGGGTGCTAAGGGTGGGGTTTGCTGATTTACGAAAACCGTCGATTTTTCTTCTTCTCTCATTCATTTCAATTGGGGGGAATGGGGAGGAAAATTTTGGTTGGAGATGGAAGTAGGTATCCGAGACTTGTCTTCTGTGTCACTGTGAAAAGGGCCTTTCTCGGGGGTTCTGTCGTTCGTGTTCTATTGTAGTCGCTACGCCAATCGAAAGTGGTGAGAATGATTCGATATGAGATGCCGTATGACTAGGTCGTCATACATAGTACAATACACCAATTCTACCCGTGTATGCACGCTACTCTGTGACATACATGGAGTATACGATGCCGCTGGCGGAAGATAAGACACAGATATCGAGATTGCCATAGGGTTGCCGGTATCCGGTCTTCCTACGGAACCACTCGCCGTAAGCGAATCCATTACACTTTATCGACTAGTCAGCCGTGCATGCACTTGTATATCCGTATCCGGCCGTCGCTTGTGTTTCTTACTACACAATTCGCAACTTGCAAACATGTTTGTAGAATCTGTGGGGTCCAATTGGGAGAATGGAAGGATTGCAATCATGATCAGACCTCAGCCTCGGGCTGCACAGTATGCATGCGTGTCCTGTCTGTTTGTCTGTATTGTCTGTCCCTTCTTTCGGTGAAATATTCCATGGAGAGGCCTCAGAAATCAGGTTTTCGCTTACCCGTAGACGAAAAGGCATACATTGTGCTGCATGCAGCATACCAGGGAAAGGAATGTAGAGGGGTAGGATTTATTACACCTTCCATATGTGCGTGTATGAATTGCGTCATGTTGCAGTGATTTGATGCATGGGTTGTTGTAGTTGGCGTTCATTGTTACTTTATATATCTGCGTGTATGCGTCTATCGTGGCAGTGGTTCGTGGGGAGTGTGTTCAGGGACTTGGAGTACCTAAATTTGGGAACTTGATGGATTGAACGAAAACTTGAAAAACTTGGTAGTTTTTTTTTAGTTTTTTAGTTTTTTTTTTTTTTTTTTTTTTTTTTTTTTTTTTTAAAAAAAAAATATGGGTAAATCTCATATATCGTGGCAGTGCCTCGTTTTCGAGGACGGATACCTCCAAAAGCAGAATGCGAAAAGCGACAGAGCTGAACAAGTTCCCAGTGCGAAAGGACCAAGTTGTAGGTAAAACATGACTGCATTATCTTACAGGTAGCCATACCCGGCTGCAGCAGATTGTATCATAGGTCAGCATCTAATCAATCGATGGCTATCATACCTGAAGCGCACACAATCAGTATGACTCGAGCATCCCACTTTTTCAACACTTGATCAACTCATTATTCATTCAAGGAGAGATGTTTACAAGCATGTGTCATAAGGCTTAGACCACAAACTGCACCCACAGACTAGACATAGAAACCAAGAAGCAATCTCTCGAACCCCCACTCCCCTACGCACGTTTTCCCAACCTCCCTTTGCACTAACCACTAGGAAAAGCCCCCTAGAGTTTCATCCCCGTAGTCATTCCACACAAGTTACCCGCCATTTAGGTAGTCCTCTAGCAAGCGTGCTCAGGCGGCTACATGCGAGCGAGGGCTTACATAGTACGCGCGCGCGCATCCCGCAGCTTGACGTCACTAGAACCCGGCCCCCCCCCTCCCACCGCCCCTAGACGCGTACCATACTGTGCAACAATTTTCCTGTTCGCCTGGAAGGAAAGTAAACGATAGGCCCGATTTCGGAACCTATCCGAATCCCCGTTTGCTCTGATCTACTCGCGTTGAAATGAAGCAAAGATGGTGAAACTACAGTGGGTTGGATCGGGAAATTTTTCTAAGGGCGGTGGGGAGGAGGTTGGTATGTTTGATTCCCTATTTCCGCTACTGGGTCTAAGGAGCGAGAGATGGAGGTCATGTTGAAACCAAGAGATCGAGAAAGAGAGAGATCTGTGTGTTGTTTGGTAGTCTAGCGGGAGGCGGGTAGATTGCCGTGGTGGCGGCGGGTGTTTGAGGGGATCGAAGATCTGTTTCTAGTGCGGATGTTTCGAATGCGATGAATGTGAGTTTAATATAGGGGGAGGTGGAGGAGGGCTGTTTCAAGGGTGCTATCTCCAGATTTGCGTGTGATTGAGGTATGGATTGGCAGATTTGGTGGGTGGAAGATCTCGATGTTTCATTAGATTGGTGGGGATTGCTGGTAAAATCCAAAGCTGATGACAGTAACCACGTGATTGGATTTATCGATACTCACCGGCTGGTTGTTAATGCATGGGCGTGAATGTGGTACGTAGGTGTTTGGTGTTGCAGCCCACGATCTGCTAGAACTTGTCTCTTTACGGAGCACTGAGTGCAAAGACTTGGAGGTTCTGTGTGTAGCAGTGCTTCAATCATATTCAATATATGTGAGGTTGATGTTTTCAAATTTTGGCCTTCATTCAAGTCTGAAGGGGACAGGGGAGGGGTGATGAAGCTGGGTCTCTGGGGTCAGGTCGACATTCAGAAAAAAGTGACGTGCGTCAAGTTCTTTCACATACTGGAAACGACATGAACTTGCAAAGACAAAGACAAGGGGAAAAAAGAGTATTCTACAGAGTAGCATAGAACTATGTATAGCTATCAGCGAAGATAGCAAGAAGCATGGTAACATTGAATATGCATTTGGTCCCGCACAATTGCATATCCTCGAAGATTGCTCTAGCTCTAAATCCGGTAAAAACGCTGCTAGATGTTTCCATAGTTACAATAAATCTCAACGTTTCGATGAACATGAACGAAGATGTGAGCATTACGAGTGATGATTGGAATCAAGTCAATTAACAATATACCAAAACTATTAAGGCGACGAAGACTCAAGCGATTAGGCGATGAAAATGTCAACGGTACACAAAAGGCTCCAAATCATCTCCTCAGCCAAGCACTCAGATACCAAGCTGTGAGCGCAGCGCCTACTACTGCTATAACCACAGCATTGCCCTTCTTCGTCAGGCCTAGGTATGCCAGCGTGCCTACAACGAGCTCCCATCTTCGAGCTGCGTCCTGTCTAGATCTCCAGCTGGGGCTGACGGGGAAGGGGGGGTTGACCCGAACATCATTCGGGTTCGAGTTTTGAGGTAGCGGTCGATCATCAACGCTCACGGAAAGTGCGACTGGGCGGTGGTCGGTTGTTGGCTGGACCGGAAGTGCGGTATAGATATGTGCTTCCAGCTTCGCGGGAAGAGGGGGTGGTAAGAACAAAATGCGATCACACCAGCTCGGATAACGATGCCTCGCCCAGTCGAACTGCTCGTCTCTGTCTGAGGCAGAACGCTTGCTGTTCTCTGAGAATTTGCGGACGGAGTATTTGTACGTGGGAGGAAAATTGATGGGGAGCTCTTCGAGACTGTGGAGCGTTCGATCAGCTTCTTTCTCGCGGCTTAGTTGGTCCCTTTTGAGTAAGTGTGAAAAATGTTCCCGAGCGGACTCAATAGGAGTAGGTTGAGGATAGGTCTTGTAAGAATCGGACATGGGTGGTTGATCAGAGGTGCGGTAATTGAGATCCCCGGAGAAGAATAGGTGGCTTCCTACAGCGAACATGGCATTGTTGTCTGATGGTGGAGTTTTTGAAGACGCAAGTGGCATTTGTTGGCTAAAGCTATACAACGAGTCGTAATCAGTATGGAACACCATATTGCGCACAATGTTTTCCCAGTCCTGATTACGAGCTTCTACGTTTTTCTCGGCGGGGGCAAGGTGGGCAGCAGCAAAAGCCAAGTTGAGCGTGTCGTCGGTATCGTCGGATGACAGTCCGATGCGCATGCCAACGGCACCTTTGTTCCCCATATTCCAGAAGCCTACGCCCACAGCCGCTGCTTGTATCCATTGTATCCTTTGAGCGACGCGCGGTTTGGCAAATATCAGTAAGGCAGTCATGCCCAGGCTTCGGGTCGCCACGTGTTGAAGCTGTTCGCTGCCATTGCTACGTAGGTCTGTGGCCAGATGAACAGTGGTAGAGACACGGTCTAGGTAAGGTTTCAAAAAGTTGCCGCCAAGGAAGGAGTCGGCGATGGGTGCGACCTCTTGGAGTGATATTGCGACGACATCTGGTACGGCAACACCGGTGGGAAGAGCGTCAAAGAGCGAGGGGGCCAGGTACTCGGGATTCACCAGCTCGCGGCCGCAGTTGAAGGTGATTATGTACAGGCTGAGCATCGGATGCATGGGAGAGTAGGGCTGGAGGGGAACCCCTATTTCTGTGGGATTGCGGTCAGTGAAGTATTTTGTTGAGGCCGATCATTGCATAAAGTGGCTGACGGCCGTCAACAAGGCGGCGAAACAAAGAACAAGATTACGCACACGTACGAACGGCGCGTGTTGGCAGGCCAGAGGGGAAATGGTATAGTATTGCGGGATGTAGATAGGAATAAACACCTGTCGATGAGGTTTCCGAGCTACATACATGTGGTAGTGCAGCGTTTGGCGGGGTAGCACTCCAGACTCGGTGATGTGCTGAGCGAGGGTTCAACACAAGCAGACGGCGACACCTCGAACGCTTTTTTCTGTGGATGTGCGGGAAGCTCTGTGTCAGGATCCCCCACACCGAGTGGAGTGGCGTGGGAGCATATGAGGAGATGTCCGAGCTCCCCGTCGAGGCCAAGGCTCTATGACGTTCCCCACGCTCCACGGACGTTCCTGTGGCAGCTCTCCAGGTGCTGCACATAACATTTGTCGGTGTCGAGCTTGACACGCTGTTATTTTGCTTTTCGCCCTTGCTCACCGACCATTTGCCTTCCAAAACATTGCTCCCATCACTCAATGCCCCAGCGGCCTTGCTTACTCACCTCTATCCGTCACCTGCATTCCGCTTGAGCACGGCTGCGAGCTGTTGATTGGCTTCGGCTTTCCGAGTACAGCTAGGTAGGTTCACGATAGTTTGACTCGTACACACGTGGGTGGCAGAATCCCCAACTTGAGCCATCAATCCATCCCCAGACCGCTATCCTCCTCCCTTCCTCAACTCACATCCTCGAACCCCTTTCCCAACCTCAATTGCATCCCACCGCCATGTTCAGGCTCAATGTTGCCCGCCAATTCGTGCGAGCAGCTCGTATGCAGCCTGCACTAGCTGCACCCAGAGCTATTCAACCAGCTGCAGCTCCGGTGCGCATGTTCTCTTCATCGCCCTTCTCACGCAAAGACGATTACAACCGCGACGACGTCGATGCAGCCACCACAGCTGGCGAGCCCGGCGAGAGTGGAGCTCACGAGGGTCAATATGCGCGTACGCAAGATAGCATCCGCGTTGAATATCCTGAGGAAGAGGACCTTCCACGCTCTCAGCCAGTTCAAGGTCGAGGTGGTGTTCACGACAAACGCACCCTGGGCTCCTTTTCTCTCGAGGGGCGTGTGGCTGTGGTCACGGGAGGTGCCCGCGGCTTAGGCTTCGTCATGGCGCAAGCTCTGGTCACCAGTGGAGCCGACGTCGCCATCGTGGACATGAACAAGGATGAAGGTCAGCTGTCAGCTAAGAGCCTTATCGACACCTTCAAAGCCGAAAACCCGGGAAGCTCCAAGTAAGTCCTTCGCCATTCCAACATTGTTGTGCCATTCAACTGACACGCGCACTCGATAGGATCCCCAAGGTTACAGCTCACTTCTGCGATGTCTCCAGCCCGACTTCGGTCAACCAGTCCCTGACGGAGATTTTGAAAGAGCATGACAAAGTTGATCATTTGGTCACCTCTGCTGGTTTCACCGAAAATTACGATGCCATCTCGTACCCCCACGATCGGATGCAGAAGCTGTGGGGTGTCAACGTCGATGGCACTTACCTCTACGCTGTAGCCGTGGCCAAACATTTGATGAGCAGGAACTCTCCAGGCAGCATCGTCATGATCGGTAGCATGTCCGGTGCCATTGTTAACGTGCCTCAACCCCAAGCACCATACAACGCAGCCAAGGCAGCTGTGCGCCATCTCGCATCCAGTTTGGCAGTTGAATGGGCTAGCGCAGGCATCCGCGTGAACTGCATTTCCCCTGGATACATGCTTACAGCTTTGTGAGTATCGTGTGCTTCCCTCTGTGGAGATATGCGCTGATGAGAACCCAGGACCAAGAAGATTCTCGACGATAACCCGGAGCTCCAGAAGCAATGGACATCCCTCATTCCCGTCGGAAAGATGGGTCGGCCAGAGGATCTCATGGGTGCCGTCACCTTCCTTATCAGCGACGCCAGTCTCTACGTGACGGTAAGTACATAAATGGAGGTCTATACAACCTTTTGCAAGCTGCTAATACCAGTCCAGGGTGCGGATCTGCGCGTCGACGGGGCCTACACCTGCACGTAAGCGTGGACAGGGCAATGTCCCGGAGGGTACCAGGCGTTCGAAAAATTGTGTGTTTGATTTGCGAGGCCAGTCTCGGCTGGCGGAACAGGGAATCTTGGCCTGGAAGCCAGCTAAAATGGAGTTTAAAGCCTGCACATGTACAGTAGTCGTGGGAATTTAGAAATGGCATGGTGAATCTCCTTTCCCGGTACCTAGGTTCCAGTCTCAGGCGTGCCAATGTCCGGTGATGTCCAAATGAACCACAATTGAAAATGATTTAGCGGTTATGTAAGCAGCGCCATTAAGGTGGGGACCGTGCTTGCCCAGCTGCCGCCGCAGGTGAGACCCTCTAGTCGCTCCAGCCCTATCCTGCGTTCGCATGCTTCCCCTCAAGCTGACCGACCAGTGAACGCATATCGCACCCACCTTGTTCCCGCCATGAGGTACACGTCTTTTCCGTCTTTTGCATAGTTCCATTCGTCATTCTTCCTCTAGACTCGTCGCGGTAGGCCATCTGTAGCAGCCATGTTCGCCCTCTCGAACCTGGTGCAGAAGGCTCAGCAGTTCATCGAACCGACGCTCAACATAGCTGGACCTACCACCTCGAATCAACGTCCAACGAAAGCCACACTCTTCCGCCACCAATTCCGCCTCCCCGATTCCCAGAATCCCCTGCAAGAGATCACCGCCGAACTCACTCTCTCCCCCCACCACACAACGCGGGGCTCCTCCGATGATCCGGACAAGGAGCGAAGTCAGGGCAACCACTACGTTGGGAAGCTACATCTTAGCGAACAGTACCTTTGCTTCTCCACCCAAGCCTCTAGCTTCGCCAACACTGCGAGCTTGAGTTCCTCTAGCAGCTTCACTGGCCAGACCCACGGAACGGGCCCTGCAGGGAATGGCTTTACACTGCCGCTGTGCGCAATTCGGAGGGTGGAACGGCTACATAGCCAAAGTTACATGTTTGCTTTGGCTATAACCACGTGGAATGGTATTCCGGATGTCAAGGGAAAACCTCCCAGTGGGCAGAAGCTTACCATCCAGCTTGCCGGGTCCCGACCAGCTTGTGAGCGGTTCTGTGATGGACTGAAAAAGGGTCTTCGGGAAGGAGTCAAGGAGGTAGAGAACCTCAGAAAGATCGTCCGCGATTGTTACACCGAATATCTCCTTGATCTGGATGACGACAAGAAGGGTGGTGGGGAACAAGCAAAAACGACCAGAGAACACCCTGATACGGGCCTCGGTCTGATATTCAGATACCCTGGAAATGCCAGGAAATTGAGAGACGCAACTAAAATCAGACTGTGGAAAGAGTATCTTCGAGGTATGTCTGCCCATCGCGCAGAAGAGTCTCCATACTGACAGTCACAGAAAACGGACGTAACGTCACACTCATCCGACAGCCTACCTTCCACAAACTCATCCGAGTTGGTCTCCCCAACAGACTACGAGGTGAAATATGGGAGCTTTCTTCTGGCTCATTCTTCCTTCGCTTACAAAACCCAAAACTTTATACCGAGACGCTGGCCCGCTTTTCAGGTCGAGACTCGCTTGCCATAGACGAGATTGAGAAGGATTTGAATAGAAGTCTTCCGGAATATCCAGGTTTCCAAAGCGAAGAAGGAATCGGCAGGCTGCGCAGAGTCTTGACCGCTTATAGCTGGACAAACACTGACGTTGGTTATTGCCAAGCAATGAATATTGTTGTGGCCGCTCTGCTCATGTATGTTGTTCCCCTCTATTGGTTCTATGCTCTTCTAACATATCCAAGCTACATGTCTGAATCACAGGCATTTTTCCTACTTTCCATTCTGTGTGACCGCCTTTTGCCCGGCTACTACTCCACAACCATGTATGGCACTCTGCTGGACCAGCGAGTTTTTGAGTCACTGGTGGAGAAGACCATGCCGATATTGTGGGATCACCTTGTCAAGTCTGACATCCAACTTTCTGTTGTATCATTACCCTGGTTCCTTTCGCTCTATATCAACTCCATGCCACTTGTTTTCGCCTTTCGTGTATTAGACGTTTTCTTTCTCGAGGGCCCTAAGGTTCTGTTTCAAATCGGGCTGGCAATTCTCCGTATCAATGGAGAGGAATTGCTGGACGCCGCTGACGATGGCACTTTCATCTCAGTGCTCAAATCGTACTTTGCTAGGCTGGATGAATCCGCGCACCCCAAATCTGAGAATCCAAAACTCCGCGCGGTCACGAGGTTCCAGGAACTCATGGTTGTGGCATTCAAGGAGTTTGCAGGTATAACCCAGAACACCATTTCCGAACAACGTTCAAAACACAAAGGCGCAGTCCTCGAGAGCATTGAAAGTTTCACGAAGCGTACATCGATTAGGAATCTTGGGCCAGAAAGCAAAAAGTTGAGTGTGAACGATCTGGGTTTTCTCTACGATAGATTCTACCAGGTGCTGTATGATCGAGAGCAACGTGCCGAGATCATGCACCAAGAGGCGGAACGGAAAGCGAAAGCGGGGAAAAGCAAAGCCACTGAGATTGTGGCTGGATTTTCCGCTGGCAATGTAGAGAAAGGAAGGGTTGCGCTTGGCCCAAGCCCAACACAGATGGACTACGATGGGTTTAGAGAGTTTCTAGCAAGTAAGTTATACGCAACATCCAGTGTGCATGAATCTGCCGATTAACACCATGCAGGTATTGCAAAATGGGCGATCACCGACTCACCAAGCTCGCCACCAGAGTCGAATGGCGCCTCGCATTCATATTTTGGCGGCAGTACCAGGAGCCGACCGTCCATGTCGCCCTGGGGATCAGGTCCGGAACCCGCAGAGCACGACTTCATGAGACGGCTGTTCCGACGCTGGGATACAGATATGGGTGATTCTTTATCTTTGCAGAACGTTGTAGCAGGGTTCGCAGCGGTCAAAGGTTCCAGCGACATCATGTCGAACATTAGCTACTTTTTCGAGCTCTACGATGATGATGGCGACGGTCGGGTTGACCGTGAAGGCATCTTAAGAATCTCCGAGGCTCTGCTGTTCCTATCTCGAAGAGGACTGAACGAGGCGAGCCCATCCCAATCGTCGAGTGACATTACGGCTGCCGACAACCCGGAAAGAACCACCCGCGATGAACAATTTCTCAGCAGTGTCTCTGCTTTTATCAGACGCTGTTTCGAGTATGCTGATCCAGACCATCCTTCTAATCAAGGGAACGATTCGGTCGGCGCAGCAAAGGAAGACCTCGACAGCTTTGCCATCGGCGATGATGAGGACGACCTCATGGACTTTCCCCCTGAACCCGAGTCCCCGGCCAAAGATAAGCTTAAGTCACCGGTAACGCAAGACAAGCCTAAGAACACGGAAGATGAACATCTGGCGCCTTTGGAGAGAACTACTTCGGCCGAATCTAATGTTTCCGGGAGGACAGAGAAGGCCAAAGCCGCCAACGCCGCTTTGGACCCCAACAAGCCACTATACATTACTCTACCGACCTTCCGTATGGTGATTCTGGCTGATGAAATCCTCGAACAATTTTTTGAAGTTGGCTTCTCGTCTTCCTTCCGTCTCTCTGATACGCCACTAGCAAATTCTGGAAGATCTAGTTCTGCTAACCTGACCACGTTCTCCAATGCTGGAAAGCAAGTCGCTGCCGCTTCAGCAGGCATGGGCGGTGTCATTGGTGGCGCCGGGGCAGGCATCGTACCCCCAGGAAAAGGATTGAGGGGTATGTTAGACAACATTGTCAGTGACGGCATGCGTGTTGCTGCGGAGGTTCGACGGAGAATGGATGAAGCACAGCAAGAAATGGACAAGGAGGCAAGACATAGCCGAGAGGATGAAGACGAAGAAGAGGAAGCGCACGCCAAAGATGCCGATTTACTCGAAGGGGCTGAGACGGCTGGTGTAGATGCAGCAGCGAAGGAAGCCATTCCAGATCTGCTCTCTCCAGATGGAGGAGCGAGCGTGGGCGAGGTCAAGACCACCCGGAATAGAACTGCCAGCGATGCGAGCAGAAGGGTATTGGAGTTTGAGCGATAGTCGGCGTGCTTGCGGTACCATTTACACTTTTCTTTTGCAACAAACCATGTCTTGGTGGGGAACGGAAATGGCGCTGGGACGATTCAGTCAACTAGATGTCGATTTCGACATCTCTTACAGCTCGCTTTCTTCGCTTTTTGCTATCATCATTATCACTCGTCTAAGGGACTCCCATATACTGCTAGATCTGATGAATCCATGAAATGTTTATAGTTATACTCTTGTGAATAGAAGTCGGTGATGTGTGTACTGGAGGTGTTGCATTTTCTTCCTACTGCGATGATACTGCTGACATGGCCATGCCTTTCTTTCTTCAGTGTGCGTCTGTGCAGAAGGGCGGAAAGGAAGAGGGACGAAGAGCCATGTATACATTCAATCATTCATATACCAGACCGTGAATCTAATCTACAGAGAACGTACGTATACGGAGAGGAGTTATCATTACGGAAAAACCACCCATCCACATCGCTATTGACCCCCACCAACACCGCAAAAGAAACCAAAAAAAAAGGAATATCCACAAATCGTAAAAAAGACCCAAAAAAGGCAAAACCAGATCGCCAATCCCCGCATTCACACCCTGCCATCCAAACCAAAAAAAAAAATTCTCTTGCAAGAAAGATCCAACGTGAAACTATCTTACCCTACCGAGGCCCAAAAGCCAGCTTGGCCTGCCCCTTCTCAACCCCGCCGCCGTTCCCACCCGGAGGCCTCCCCCTCCCCCTCAAAGGTTTTGACCCAACAGGAGGCGTCTTCTTCGCCGAAGCTTGGGCTTGAGCTTGAGCCTGTGCTTGAGCAGCAGCAGCACGGTCCTGCTGACGCATTTCCTTGGAGAGATCAATGGCGTAGTGATAGTCTGTGTGTTCTGGCTTATCGGTGGTGGGGAGGTGCATGTTGCATTTGTCGCAGAAGTACGTTTTGATTTCTGGTTGGGCGAGCAGGGAGAGGGAAGGGTTTGGGAGCGGGGGTTGGTGGGATGGAGGGGAGTGAGAGGGGGAGGAAGGAGGCTGGGGTTGTGCTGAGGGGGGTGTGCTGTTGGTGTCGTTATTGATGTGAGTGTGTGATTGTTGTTGTTCTCTTGGAGGAGGTGTGGAAGGGGTAGTTCGGGTTATGGGGATTGCTTTGTCAGGGTTTTGTTGGGGGTGTTGTTGCTGCTCTCTGTCTTCTGAGGGTATCCCGAAGGCATCGTCGTCGGCGTCGTTGTCGTTGATATCGTGTAATGTTTCTACATCCTCTTCGGTGTCTTCCTTGGTAGATTCCTGGTGAGCTCTCATGACAGCCCTTGCAGCGTCGAACTCGGTCTTCTCCTTACTCGGTGGGCCAAAGAAGTTTTTGATGTTGCCCTTGGTGCGGCGGCGTTTGGCGGGAGGCTCGCCACCACCGACGGTGGAGCGATTGGATGAGAGCATGGCTTTTGCTTCGGCGCCTCGGACAAGAAAGCTCCCGATGCCCTTGTTGTTTGTGATGCCCTCCTCGAATCCGCCAACGCTGAGTGAGAGGTTGATGCAAGGCCACGCCCTACCATCTACCACGACCTGAGCGAGGAGGTTCTTTGCTAGATCGAATAGTATAGCTTCTGAGAGGGGTTTCCCTTGAGGAACGGGACTCCCGCGGCTACGCATTTGTGTGCCCTGGCGATGGTGGAGAGTGATAGTCTTTGGTCTTCTTTTGTTCTCCAGCACACCTTCTTCCACACATCTCGAGAAGATATCTGCGACGAAGATGCGCAACCACCGTACACCCTGTTCGAACGAATTGATGGCGGGACGGAACGATTTTGCCGAAAGCATGCTCTTGATTTGTGTGCGCGGATTGACTTCGCTATGATCTTCCCCTCGAATCGTACTGTACAGCCACGAGCCCGTATCATCGCCTAACCGCTTCAACTGCTCCAACGGCTGCTCCAACAGATCCGTGACCTTGTCCGTGCCGAACATGGCCACAGCCTCGTCTCCCAGCTTCCCACCCAGCATGCGGATCTTTGTGAACTTCATCTCGCCCAGGAAGTGCTTGATGGCACGACTTCGGATGACGGTTTGTTGGTTCGGTTTCTTGTGTCCTGAGCCCAGTTTCGCAATCATCTTGTTCTTTGAAATCCCACCAGAACACGTATATCCCAACTGTTCTTTGACCTGCGCCCTAACCCCACGCACAATCTCCGAGGCGATGGCTATGCATACATCGTCCCAATCCGGATCCTCCATCTCGCCGTCGTCCTCCCCCGTATCCACCAGCGCATCAGCCTTCCAATCCAGCACTGTCGTCGGCACCTTGGGCAAGTACTCGCTCGGATCGCTATACGGCGGCGGACCATTCAGCTCCGGATACCTCTCCAAAAGAATCGTATGCACCTGCGCACTCAAGTCCATAAACACCTCATCTATACTCGCCTTCTCAACCCGCTGCTCCTTCTCCGGAAGCGCTTCTTTGATACATTCCAGAATCTTCCTGCTTTCAGTGCGATACGGGTCCAGAGAAACTTTATGCGTTCCAATATGTTTGAACGCGTCCTCATGGTAGGCCCACTTCTCATCGCCCTCTTTCCAAGTCGCCACGTGCTGGAGTATGAGCTCTGGACACGCTTTGAGCGCCTCTGTGCTTGTAATATGGCGATTCAGACCGAATGCGCGAGCGGGATAGTTTATAGCGATGAGACCTTGCCACTGCTGGACTGCTAGGGGTTTGGTAGGGTCGATTCCGAGACGTACGGTCTCGCATTGCGCGTAGAAGGCGTCGAGATCGACATGTGCGATTACGCGGAGTGGGGTTTGCGGGCTGTATGATTTGAGCTGGTGGAGTTGGCGGTATGTGAAGCGTGATTTGGGGGTGCGGCGGGGAGACGTGATGGAGAGCGGGGAAGAGGCGAACATGGGTGTCTGCGACGACATGATGGGAAGAGTTTATGATTTGCGAAGCTACGACATATCCGATATTGTCAAAGTTGAGGTCGGGGGTAGGAATGGAGGACGCGCCAGGGTTACGTGTTGGCAAGGCTAATTGCAGTAAAGGCGATGGGATTGCGAGGATCGCGGGTAACTACGCGTCGCGTGGTCCCGGGACCGATCTCGAGCATGGAGATCGCGCTAGCTCGATTAGACATATGGCTTTTGTCATTTGTTACACCACACCGCCATACTTGAACACCATCTCAGCAGCGGTGAAAGGTAAGTGCGAGCCAGATCTCATCACTCGACTATTCATTTCTGCGATATTATCAAAACAATCTTCAAGTTCCAAAGCCTCATGGAAACCAGGGAAGAGAAATGTTCATGAATCAGGAAGGTATTCCAACACCAAATCCCTCAAAGCAAGCACCACAGAAGAAGTCGCAAGACAAACCAAAGAGCGACAAAGAAGTACATCTAACCCCCAACCCAACCACTTTCACGGCCCATCGCACATAGCCACGGGCATCCCACGAAAACGGCCCGACTCCCATTCTCAGGTTCCCAACCCAAGCCCAAGACGTAAAAAGCTGCAAAGCTGCCCATCACATGGTTAGACCCACAGTCTCACGTCATAGGCGACTCGCAAAACCTCCCCGTTCGATGTTACCTCTGTGTTGTGCGGATTCCATGGTGTGTTACTGAGGTGATTCTTATCTTTCTACTGTCAAAATTTGAAGCACGGATCCCTAGGTAGATTTGAATGAGTTTTGAGTGAATTAGATGGGTAGTCATGTGTACACCCCCGAAGCTTTTACTACGTGTAGTCTTCTAATCAATCTATTAATCAATCGCGAAAATGATAAAGTTGATTACCGTTGTTGGTGGTGTGAAGTACTTACACAAACACACTTCCATCATCTATCTACCCACACTCCTAAGGGTTGGAGCACATCTTTTCCACCAGAAAAAAAAAAGATGCAAGAATAGGCGATCGACTTTCGCGGGCATACATAGCACACCTACCGGCCTTGCATGGTACTTTAAATCCGCGCGAATCAAATCATCACTCTGCATGGTTACCTATGTAATCTGGTCATCATTGGCTCGAAAAAAGGCATCCAGGACGACCTCACAGGGCCATGGCAGCCGACATGTGAAAGTCAAAACCATGCATGCATGCAGAGAAGTCGCATTCCCGCAACTCTTCCTCAGCCTCAAAGAAAATCATATCATGACCATACGTGGCTATTTCCTGTTATCTTGGATTGCTTATGTGCATGCGTGCATGCATGCGATCTCTGTGCAGCAGAACCTGCATCGGGCGAGAGGGTGGCTGGCAAGGTATATGAGGCGGTAAAACTAAAAAACATTGGAAAGAGGGTCGCCTGTCTGCTTTGCGTTTGGCTTTTCCGGAATTATTCGAGGATACGACGGGCAATATCAGAGTTTGACCAGATTGGGAGGATCTGACCCCCACTGATATCCTACCACCCGTTCTTTGAACGGGCGCTATGGAAGACTCACAGGAAAAAGATGCGAAATGGAGGCGTTCGTCGGGATTATGCAATAGATGAATACGTGGGGTGATTATGGCATGTAAAGGGGTGTGGGAGGGGTGGTTGAGATGATGCGAGTTGGAGCGCTTCGGGAACACGAACCGCTATCTCGGTTCCAGGTGGTTGCAAATTGGGCCATTATCCATCGATTGCAACAATCTGCTGTAAGACAATACCATCCGAGTGACTGTCGACCGAGAAAATTTTCCATTTGCTTCTCAGTGAAAGGCGTCAAAGCTCTAGTAGATTGAGTGGAGTTGCGTTGGGCAATTCTGCTATCGCTTAGGCTCAATGGTGCAACCGAGCATGTCAAAGGCGGCAAGAAATGCAGCACTGCTAGGGATCTCGCAGGGAAGGAGCTAAAGGAGGGCGAAAACATCATTGGGTAATTATGATTTTCGTCGTTTCCACCATTTCTCGCTCGCTATGCAAAGATCAAACGGCCATCCTGATCTGGACTGTCCTCATCATGGAAATCGTGAGCGGAAAAGATATATACATGGAGAAGTTCGTCGATGCGTCAATACCCCTGATGCAGTTGGAGGGATGGAAAGCGGTCCGGCATAGAAGGAGATGAAAGAAAACTGAATCTTGATAGTGGCACACAACGGCGAGTTTTGTAAGATTACGAAACGCAACAGCAGAAAATAGAGCAGAAAAGAAAATATAAAAGAAAATCGTGGCTAAATCCAGAACCGGAAACTCCGTGCTACACCAGGACCCCAGGGATTGGAAGCCTAGATGCCCATTTCTATCCGTACACGTAAACGGTCCGCCATCTGGGAGACTTGGGAGCGTGAGAATTATAGGTAAAGCAATACAACGTAGGTGTGGCCAGAGTGGAGCAGATGGTGTAGGTAGATGGGCAACCTCAAATGGCAACGGTAACGTGGCAATTTTCCACGGCTTCAGGTTGACGACGGGTCGAATCCTGCTGGAACAGCACCGCGTGGAATGATGAACGAGTCCTCGACATACTAGCAAGCGAGATCAAACAGTGGAACGGTGAAAGACGAACGACCAGATCCGATGGGCGCAAGATAATTATGGGTATCTCCGGGCATGGCAAAATGACGGAGGAATAAGTGGGTATACCTGGCGGACTGGAAATCTACCCCTGGTAATGGTAACGGCCTCTGACAATGGAAACAGGAACGATTCAAGTATGGTTGCTTTCAGTCCGGAGTCAATTACCTATCTCTTCGACGATTCGGGTTTGCCTGCGGTGGCTGCTGGGGTTGCTGCGATAATGGGTATTCTGTTGCGGAACGCGGTCAGTGGCACAGCACAACAAGGTCAAAAAGTATACTTACGACGACCATCAGAGGCAATGTAATACCCAGGAGCAGCCTGAGGGACGACACTACTAGCGCTTAGCGATATACATGGAAGGGCTGGTCGAGATAACCAAAATACCTGGGCGGTTGAGTGGTGTACTGGGGAGGTTGAGTAGTCGAACGGCCATAGGGATCCTGTGTCTGTGAAGAGTAAGGGTAAGGCGCCGCAGCCGTGTAACTATAGTCAGTTCTCACAGGTGGTGCCTGTCCGTAAGCGGCGTAAGGATCCGTCCTGGGCTGGTTATGAGCGGGATGCGATGGTGCGGGCTGGCCATATGGTTGGTGAGAATACGATGGGGTTGGGGCAGTGGTGTAGTGAGGGGAGTCGCTGACGGTTCCATAGGCCGACGACGGGTGATTTGAATACGAAGGCTGAGCGTAACCTTCAGATGGACCATAATGTTGCCGGGAGGCATGAGTCTGGGAATCTTGATAGGCTACTAAAGACGCGTCAGGTTTTCTTGATACCTTTGGCTCTCGAACAAGAGGACTACCTCCACTCCCATGCCGCTGGGAGCCATCCTTTTCCGCTCTCCAACGCTGCGAATCCAACCTCAAATCTTGGATCATTTGAGAGGTAAGTGTGCGATAGGCTGTTATCCAATAGCCTGGGCGACCCTTTGCGGACGTTAGCATGCATGTTCCGGGCACGGTTTTGAGGGCGTCAAGAGGAAGAGGGAGAGAGAGAGCGGCTGACCTCGTGATCGCCAGTGCCAGCGCCGGGCCTGACGAGAGCGTCTGGTCCCAGATAGCGCTGAATGTCGGCAGTGATGACCTCGCGAGCGATGCCCTCGCCGGGGACGAACCACTGGTTAGACCGCGACATGATGGGGGGGTTTTCTAGAGGTGAGTGGTGGGAGAGGCGAGGAAAGGAAAGATGATGACACTGATGTCAGTGGTTTATGGGGCCAAGCAACACGAGCTAAGAAAGACAAGGAGGGTGCTCCAGGCTCCAAATATTGGACCAAGACCAGAACCGTCGGGGCGGAAAAGAGAATGCAGGCTCCCGCGGTGGACCGAGGGTAGGCTTGTTGGGCTTTTTCTGGGACCAGGACTGAAGCAGAGGCAAGGCAAACGGGCTGGAGCGGGGGAGCGGTTGAACCAATATACGGCACTTGAGATGTAGAGTGGGCTGGGCTAGAGAGGCGTGATGAGCTGCGTGGCGGCGGCGACCTGTTTGGGCAGATTGGATTGGGGGGTAGGTATGTGATCCTTGCGGGTTCCTGAGCGCGATGTTGGTCTCGTGGGGATGGATCCTAAAGGGAATGTTTCTCCAACGGGCGGTGGGACGGATTTGTCCTCTGGTCACTTGGGGATGATTCCTATTTTCACGAGGTACCGGGCGGGCCAGTTACTGGATGGATCCAAGAGCGGGAGAGGCGCTGCAGGATGAATGACCAAAGCTTGGAAGAAATGAAAAAGAGATGGGACGAGGCGGGCGAGGGGAAGGATGGCGACGATGGATGGGTGAGGCTCTATGGAGAGCAGGCAGCGGGGGTAGCTGGGAGCTGGGAGGGTTTGGCGGTGGTGCGGGGCGGCGATTGGGCGAGAGGGCTGCACGTCAGGCGGTCGGGCAGCAAAGCAAAGCAGAGTGCGTTACCGAGGCGCGAGGGGTGGTGCTATGTAGTATGTAGGTAGGTGTAGGTATATAGGGCCTGTACCATGTACAAGGACGGGAGGTACTATGCGATACAGGAAGTATATGCCGTGGACGTGTCCTAGATGACTGATTTGATTGAAGTGAGATGATGTCGTTGGTGGCTGTCTCTGGAGGGAGGGGAGATAGCCAGGGGGGGTAAGGTGGTAGTGGTGGTCGACGCTGGTAGTAGGTAGGACAGGGTGACAGTGACAGCGGGTAGCAGCAGCAACAGCAGCAGCGGGCTGGGGAGACGGGATGAGGAATGGAGGCGCGGGGGGGAGGGAGGAGAGGAAGAAGAGGAAGAGAGAGTCAAGGGCTTAATAGGTGAGAAGAAGAGAAGAGAAGAAAAAAGGACGAGAGAAGAGTGGGCTTTTGGACTGGCGTTGGGAGCCGATGGGATGATGGTTTCGTTTCGACCACAAGTGGGCTGGTTTTGGGTAGCTACAGGCAGGCCACAGGCAGGTACATAGGCAGACACGCTTTTCCTTCTCTCTCTCTCTCTCACACACACACACACACACACGCAACACGCTGTGGGCACGCCGATGGGTAGCTGGCTGGCTGGTGAGTGCAGTTAGCTGGTCAACGTTGGCTAGCGGGTGGACCAATGCACCGCTTGACCGCGGGTCAAGTCCTTCTTCTCAAACAGGGCCCCCATCCATTAGAGAGAGCCCGGGCGTGCGTGTCGCCCAGAGAGACGTGACCAGAGTAGAGCACGGTGGAGCCTCCAAGGTTGACTGTACTGCATGTATGTACGGTAAGTAAGTAAGTATGTATTGTATCGTGTTGTGGTGGTAGTATTGATGTGAGAGAGGCCAGAGTGGCGCGCGTTGGGCAGCGATGACCGTCCGCCGTGACCATCGGGCCCGCCTGCCCCCGCCGACACCTGATCTTGCGCTAGCCGCCTTGGGCCCTGCCCTCGTTGCTCGTTGCTCTTACTCACCCAATTCACTCATCCCCACCGCCAGAACACTCATGTATCATGTACTCTATCCTCCGGGCAGCACATGTATTGATCTATGCAGCCATGTATCCATGTCTGCATCCATCCATATAACCTCCTGTGTCAACTTCCTGTTGAATCAATCAGACATCAACCACCGCTTCCATCCAACCGCCGCCTCTGGCTGCTGTCTTGGGCACGACTGCATTCCACCACTCTATGCGTCGTGGGAACCAGGGAACAAAGAGAAGAAAAAAGAATCCCAGAGCTCTGTCCATACTCTGCCGTACTATAGCCTTAACCCTCCCTCTCTATACAGGTCATCCCAGCGAGGACTGCGTCGTGGCACTTGCCAATTAGCTCGGGACTACTCTCTTGTCCACTCATCCTTCACCGGTAACCCTATCTGCCTACTCACCCACCCACCTACCATCTACTTAACTCTACTAGCATACATAGGTAGATAGCTTCACAACACCGTCTCTACCAAGTTACCATCTATTCTGCTGGCCAACGTCCTTCCACTGCATCTGTTGTGCCTTCGCGTCAATCGCTTACAGCCATTGAAAACCTTGGTTGCATTCCAACTTTGTAACCTCGCAGCTCTGCAACACCTTGATTCCTGGTGCCTGTTGTCATTTTCGTCTCTTGAAGCATCGCGTTTTGTCGTCCATCTTCGCCGCATACAAACCTCCGAGTTATGTGCGCGGCACAAAGCTTCCGTCGCCACTTCCTCACTGAAACCCATGAGCTGGGGCGCTTCCGATGCCGCTCCACCCGGGCCTACACTCTCAAAACTGCCCATCGTTCCAACACCATCATCCTGGAGGGAAAAACATCGTTCATCCCAACCTGCCCAGATTGCTGCTACACATGGGCCTCATCCTGCCCGAGGCCTATCACCACGTGTCGAATCGGCCCCTAAGAATACAATTTCTCGAGAAAGGATTTTCTAGGAGGGAGAAACAGCAAAACATCAATCCCAACGGCCAAGCAAGACGATTCAGTCAGGCCAGCCATATGCCATCGCGAAGGGAAACCTGACGTTATATTTCAGGACCAGCGTAGCTCGTCCGTCTGGGCTAGACAGGCATCACATACTGGGAACACAACACCGAAATGAAAAAGGATCACCCACGAACTCAACATCGGCCAGAAAAAAACTTCTCGGATCAGCCCTCGATGCTTCATTTGCAATCGCCGCCATCTCTAGAAAAACACTTGGATGGAAATCCACTCTACCACAAATCACCAGAGTCCACGCGTCCTGAAAGTTTTGCGTGTCCACTCGGCCGATGAGTTCGAAAATCTCGACATTCACCATGTGCTTCTCCAGAAGCTTCCCCGTCCTCCCGCGCGAGAATGAGTCCCTCATTTTGACGCAGAACGCAGCTCAATCTTGTCCCCATTGTCGTCATCTAATGAGATCTTACCTCAACGCAGATACAACCAGCATCTCCTCTCCACCTACCTCTAATCCCATCCACCCTCTCTCATATACCTCTTCGATCCGAAACTCTGTTACAACTTACCTCCTCATGCAGCATTAACCTCGTCGATAGAATAATTCCTCACACTGCATACACATGCACCTCTCCCATCCAACACCAAGAGGTAGTCAGCATCCTCTAAAGCCCTACCCGCAATCCACATTCCAAACGCGACAACCAGCCTGCATTGCAGTAACGAAGTGACATAATGATGCAGTGGCTGCGTACTCCTCATGCACCACTTGCTCCACTCCACTCCATTCCATTCTAGACAGACCCATCCATGATACAAACATGCAGGCTGTCCAATGGTTCACTCCTTAGCATGTACATGTATATATGCACATACGGAAACTGATCAAATAGGTAGTATGTTTGTAAGTACGTACGTAAAGTATATGTACATGTAATGCACCATGCACGCACGCACGTATTGCTCCCACACCCGCATTGCATATGTAGCATGTATGTATGTATGCTTCTGCATGGGTGCGCTTGTCGATCATGTATTTGCAATTTCGACCCAAAACACTCAAATAATCATACATACAGATATGCGCACCATTTGTGAAATGGCAGGATCTGAACCAGAGTTCACTGAGTTGGACGAAAGGAGGATGATGGTAGGGGGCGGCGCACTTGGTACCCCTCATTCCAGATCCATGGCCCGAGTTACACACACATGTCCTTGTACCTGTTTTGAGCATCAAACACTACCATCGCAGTAGGTCAATAAATAAACATTGTTACTGGAAGAGCACTGCATAAGCAAGCCTCTTGCATACATCATAATCAACACATCACGTTCTCAAAATGATAAACAATTCTTTCTCTCTCATGAGCAAAAGGGATCTGGATTCATCATCATCTAAACTAAAAGCAAAGCACAAAAAACCATTAAAAGAGAAGAACAAAGAACCAAATCAAACAAGCAAGTAAAGTAAAGAAAGCAGATTCATGACATCCCCGAAGATAGTCGTCTGCTATCAAGGTGGTGAGAGAAAGGGGAGCGGGTCCTTGGCAAAAGGGAGGGAGATGGCCAGATCAGAACAGAAGCAGTCGCAGTCGCAGTCGCAGAACCAAACAAAAAAGCAGATAGTTGCATCCCCGATGGTAGTAGTGATTAGGTGGAGAGAGAGGGGAGCGGGTCCTTGGCAAAAGGGAGGGAGATGGCCAGATAAACGCAAAAACCACGCAAAAACCACGCAAGAACAGTAACATGGAACAAAGCCAGCCAGCTAACAAGAAAGCAAGCAGGCAAATCGTAGGAGGGGGTATCTTCAGTGGGCATAATGTCGGGAACCAGCAAAAAAAAAAACCGCCAGACCAGTTGAGGAAGAGAGTAGACGCCCGTGAACACCCAAAGAACCCATGGAACAAGAAGAACTCCGGGGGTATAGTAGAGAAGAACTCCGTCATGATGTAAAAGTGAGATCATCCTATCAGCGGATGGAACAAGGAGTAAAGGTGTGGTGAGAAGCATCCAAGGGTCGTGAAAGGAGGAAGATGCCCTTAGTACAGCGGAGTAGGAGAGACGCCGACGTAATTCTCAAAGCTCATGATGTTACGAGCGGCAAAGCGAGCCAAGCCCTCAGACCAATCATTGTGGCCAATGTCGAAGCCGATGGGGATAACGCCGAAGAGGTAACGTCCGTTTCCAAAGGCGCCGGAGCTGCCGCGGGTCTGAGCGTACAGGCCAAGGTCTTTGGCGGAAAGGGCAGCTTGCTGTGAAGCGAGGGCGTAGAGGAGAAGGAGAATGATGGGGAGAAATGTGATGATGATGAATGAGGAAGAAATGTTGAATCCCAGCAGCTTTTTAGTGGGGTTGGTCTTAATGGTGACGGTCTGCACAATGTCGGCAGAAGTCTGGGTGCCAACTGCTGCAGTCTCCGGTGGAGTAGGTCGAGCCGTCTCTGCGGTCTCGTGCGTGGTGGTTTGGGTGGAGATGCTCTTTGGCTCGATAGGCGTGCTTTTGACGCTGATAGTAGGGGCAAAGGAAAGCGCTGGCTGAATGGCTGGGATAGGTGCGCTGTCTGCAGCAGTGGAGGAGGTGAGAGAAAGAGTAGGTTGGATGGCTTGAACGGGAGGACTGTCTGCAATGGTAGAGGTGGTGAAAGAAAGAGTCGGCCGGATGGCCTGGACAGGCGCGCTCTCTGCAATAGTGGAAGTGGAGATGGAAAGCTTTGGCTGTGTAATGGCGGCATCGGTCTGCGTGGTGACTGAAGCACGCTGTGGCTCGGTAGGTGTGATGCCAGCTACAGGAGGAGTGTCTGCGATTGTGACGATGGGAACGAGTTCAAGCTGCTGCACATAGGGGAAGGCATCGTTTTCGAACTCCGAGTCGGACACCTCGTCCAGCTCTTCGTCAAGGGTTTTCTCGGTGTTGTCGGTACGTTGATCTGGCTCGGTGGGTGGGGCTGCTTCAGCTGCGGCTTTTTCGGCGTTGAGTTTTCCTTTGAGGGCATTCTGGAGATCGGTCTCGAGGCGGGCGATGCGGGCGTCTTTGACGATGAGATCGTGCTCGTGGCTGCTGGAAATGTCGCGCATGGACTCGTGTTCCTGTTGGAGGCTTTCGAACTCATGCTGGAGAGCCTTGAACTCCGTCTGCGCGCTCAGCTCTTGGTTTTGGGCGTCGACGGCATTGTACTCGTCCTGGAGGGTTGCGAGCCTGAGCTCGGCTTCTTTGTGCTGCGCTTCGAAGTTGTCGCGAGCTTTGGCGGCACGCTTGCGCGCCTTCTCTTTCTCCTCGAGGTCGAGGTAAGCCTGGTCGAGGAGCTTATCGACGGCTGCTGTCGCCTCCTTCGAATCGTCGGAGGCGGTGCGCCACTGGTCAACCGCTGCCTTGAGGTCGTCGTTCTCCTTCTTGAGCTTTTTGGTGTGCTCGCTCGCGCGAGCAGCCTCCCTCTTGCTCTCCTCCTGCGCCTTATTGAGCTGTTTGTTGGTCTCTTGGGTTGTCTTGACGTCCTTCTCAAGCTTTTCGCAGCGAGCATGGAGGTCCTCGATGATCTTGTCGTAATATTGCGAGTCCATCCTCGCGGCGTTGTTGTTGGCGGCAGCGAGCGACTGCACGCAGCTGCGAGCTATTTCCGCAGCCTTCTCGGCCTTCTCGGCCCGAGCCTCGGACTCCCGCACCATCTCCCTCAGCCTATCGCCGAAGCGCCTGTCGAATTCGGCGTCCCACGTCAACCTGGCCGCCTTGATTGCTTCCTCCTTCTTCTTCTCTTTCTCTCCGAACTTGACCGGGGGGCCAAATGGTTCCCACTTGGGTGGCATTGTTGCTGTTGCTGTTGCGGTTGTGGTTGTGGTGATGGTAGTAGTTGTTGTGTTGTGATGATGATGATGCCGGGTCAATGAGGCTGTGGGTGGTATGTGGAGGAAAAGAGAAGAGGAAGAGAGGCAGCAAGTAGCAAACTTTTCATGGGCCAATTCCAAGCTGCTTCTATTGTTTGATTACGTACAATAGCGACGATAGCATACACGCCAATCAGGAAAGCGCACGCAAACAAATCTTCTCACCTAGGCAACGAGGAGAGATCAGTGAGGTCATAGGCAAGCTCAAGTTTAGGTGACGGGCGATTGCCGGTGCAGTAGGCCGCGGTGACAGCGAGTTCTGTCCAGCGGGGTACGGAGTTGCATGTGGAAGGGCGGTTTGGTATGTGAGGTTATTGGGTTTGGTATAGAGACCTTTGCATCTCAGTGTGCTATGAAACTCGTGCAGAGCTGTGTATTCATTGCTAACGGCGTCATCCACTGTGTTTAGGTACTGCATACGATTTCTCTTTTTGCTACAGTGATTCCAATGATAGCGTTAGTTATCAGGTTTCATTCACTGTCCCAGCATCTCGTAATGCACTTCGCAGTGGTATACGTATAACCAAATACAAACAATTGAGTTGATACAAAACATACTCTATGCGGTCTATGCAAGCTCAACATATACTATTGAGCCGCTACACAGCTTGTCTTAAACCCCATAACCATCCATCTTGTGTTCACCTTCAGCATAGCGAGAACTGACATATGTCCCAAGAACTGTCCACACACATCCTGGCTTCAGGATATTTAGATACTATCGCAGGTCTTGAAATCCACTCATTTCAGAGTATGTATCAAGTAGACTGTGTTATATCAAAGTGATGTTCACCGGTTGAGTCTCATATGCTACTTTCGAACTTTACGAAAATATTGCACACCACGCGTATGCCCATATATTAAAGATGATATTCCAACGTGATCTAGAATACTTCACGATAACCTCTCAGAGTACAATAACATGTAGGTATTACAAAACTACAGAGTCCCATGACAGATGCAGCATCGAACATGTAGACCATCTACACACATTCTACTTTTGCCAAAGTGTACCACACCCCAGATATCTGTACGTTTACATCCCACAGTACTTCTATCGTATGGGAAATCCCTTTCATCATATTACCTAAACCATGACGCTCACCTTTTCAACTACACGCCCCACAATATAAACCCAAAACATCCACATTATAAGTTCATGCACCACACCAACACCTTGTACATACCCCAAGAACAGTCATCAATGAGCGCCGTTGTGAAGTCCCGGGTTATATCCCGGGGACTCTTGAAATCGAAGCCAATAACGACAGATATAGTTGAAAGTAGCTAGTTGGTGTACATGTTGAAGATCATGTTTGCTTCAAAAGTGAATCCAATTCACATCTACATAACAGACATGAGAATACCTCGTTTGATTGTTAGATGCCAGAGTATGTGAGCAAGAGAAGAAAGTCGTAACAGAGTTGATCGTTACATTCCCATAACATCTAGTCTTGTACAAAGTCAGACACAAGAAGAAGAAAAAAACATATCTAAACTCGCTATATGCGTCTTCGCCTACGACATGAATAGGGTGCCCCAAACGATAAAGATAGGGAAGAGTGATTTCTGGAATAGAGGCTGGCTTATGAAGTATCGAGAAAAAGAAAAAAATATACGCTATGCAACAAAACAACAATGAGTTCTCGGAAGAAAAGGAAAATGGATAAAACAGAGAGAGTGGGACTCATGACGCGCAAACACCCCAGCTTCGTCGCTAACATCCACCTCGAAACCTCGAGGGGATTGGGTATTCTCTTGAAATGTGATAGCCAGCGATCTTGAATAAGTAGTCACATCCAGTGCGAAAGGATCATCCCGATTTCCTTCCAGCGTCCCCGCTCTACTTTTCCCGTAGAAAAACGGCGCTTCGTTCCACTCTCATGTGCTCCGGTATTGCTTCGCGACTCCCTCGTACTACTGGCCGCTCCATCTTCTTCCTCCTTTGCATGATATCGTGAAGCGTGTCTGTGTTTACTGGGGCAACTTTGCCTTCTGTCCCTGCTCTTGCTAGGCCTGAGTCTAAGTCATATCAATGAGCAACAGTCGTTTAGCATACAAGAGCGCGTAAAGAAACCGAAACAACAATGGCAAAGTCAAACAACTTTAAATCCAATCAGCATCTATTCACCTTCCATCTTCGAGCATGCGAGGGCGTTCACGGTCTCGCTCACGGTCGCGGTCGCGTCCAATATCATCATCGTCGTCATAATCTCGTCGTCGGTCTCTATCATCTTCATCGCGGTGACGACGGTTACGTCGCTCACGATCATGGTCACGATCATGGTCTCGGTCATAATCTCGGTCTCGGTCGCGTCGATCATAGTCATCTTCTAATCACACATTAGCCAACGGTTTCAGCAACCTAGTGGTTAACACGCGCTTACCTCGTGTTTCACGGATTTCCTTGGTGCGATCCGCCAGCTTTTGAATTTCTTGTTTGGTCAAGACCCTAAGCACAATCACAAAGTCCAGCCGCTCTTCGAACCGTTCCTTTGCTTCTTCCAGAGCCTCAGGGTTGACCAGCCTTCGATCGATCTTAGTCCATCGAGCGTTGACGGGAATGTCTTTGCCTTTCAGTTGGCTTTTGTGTGGAGCGACACCTTCTCGGATAGGCTCAGGCTCCTCGGGGAACTTCTCTGTCGGCTTGCGCAGGATCCCTTTCGGCTGTGGCTGAGGTTCTTTGGGGGGCGTAACGATCTGAACGGATCTACTGGGTTGTTCCTGAGTAGCTAAAGACATGGAATCAGGTTCCTGGACGATGTTTGTATCCAGAACATGAGAGTTTCGGTCATCGTGGCGGGATCGAGGAGCTTCGGCGACATTGGATGGAGGTGCACGGGACCGATACTCATCCATCTGATCGCGCGACTTATCACGCTCCTCCCTTCGTCGCTGGCGCTCCTTCTCTCGATCTGAGTCACCAGCGTCACGGCCTCGGCCACTTCGTTCGGCTTCCAGCTGAATTCGACGCCGATACTCCTCATCAGGGTCCAAGGCAGGGGCTGAGTCTTTTCGATGTTCGGACTCTTTGGGGGCCTCTCGTTCGACATAGTGGCGAGGACGCTCGTCACCACTGCCCTCAGATGAAGGGGCCTTCCGTGTTCGGCGTTCACGCTCATCATCGTCAGATCGGCGTTCACGAGGTTTGCGTCCGTCCTGTGTCGAATTGTAACTGGCAGCAGGTGGTGGAGGAGCACGCTCTTCAGGCATACGATCCCTTCGATCCTCCGGTGCGCGATCACGACGATCTTCTGATGGCCGGTCACGGCGGTCTTCAATGTTACGATCCCTCTTCTCATCGCGACGATCATCAGCGGCCCAGTCCCGCCGATCGCGTTCATCCCATTCCCTGCGCTGTTCCCGCTCCCTTTCCAATTCTCGGTCCCGGTCATAGTCCCGATCGGTATCTCTGTCCTTGTTGCGGTTTTTCAGCAGTGCCCCTCCAACCGTTGCAGCTGCACCGGCGACTGCGCCAACAACTGGTGGAATTGCGGATTGGGCTGGAGCATGTCCACCCTCTCGGCGGTTGTAATCGCGATCTCGGTCGCGTTCACGCGGTCGCTCTTCATATGTTGAGCTACCTTCGCGCTCCCGGGGGACACGTGGCTCTGGCATCCTAGATTCGGCACGTTCTGAAGAGTAGTACTGGTTTCCATACTCAGCGGGCCTTGTCCGGGGTGGTTCCGGTGTATTCCAGTGGGGCTGGTATGGTGCCTCTGAAGCATGTGCAACACTAGGAGAGGCAATGCCAAACCCGCGCTTTGCTACGTCAGTATCGACATGTTCAACGGGAGGTGCATAACGCCTATTCTCTGCATCTCTATCTGAACGGGCATAGTCGTTGCGATAAGGGTCGCGTCGAGGCTCTTGACTGACAACAGGTGCGTGGTACAGGGTAGAAGCAGGTCGGGAAGGGAGTGGGTCCGCATAGCTGTCATACTTGGACACATCTCTAGATCGCTCGAGTGAGGGGGACCTTCCACGGTGATGACTGCCACTTCTATTGACACTGTTGTTGATTTTATCAAATCCTCGTGTTGATGGTGGCGGTCCTAGTTCTCGGTTCGAGCTGCGTGGTGCGCGATCCGCGATCATACTGGTGGGACGGGCACCTCGCTCGACACTACCAGATCGAGGACGTCGCCAAGCAGGTTCAGTATCACGGTACATGCTAGCAGGATCGGTATAGGAATAGCCATCATCCCCGACGTCGCTTGTGCGCACAGGTTTGTGCGAATGGTAAGACCTTCCACCACTTGTGATGCTGTAACCACGGTCATCCAAGTCCCGCCTTCGAGGTTCCACAATGTCCTTCTCAGCAATCAGCTTCGCTGAATGACTGTTATCATCTACGCTGTATATCCTCTTGTGTTCCCGGCGGCTTGGCGGGTATGTAATGTACGTGTCTCCACGGCTATCCCAGTTACGCGACAATGGACTAGATGGACGGTCGTGGTGCAAATGTGGAACATGTGGACGGGTGGGAAGAGCTGGCGGGGGTATGTTGGGCCAGATGGGACGATCCTCAGGTTCCGTCAGTGTACTGCGCCGGGGGCGCCCAGTGTATGTGTCGTATTTGTATGCTGGAGATCGCGAGCTCGTGGAACTACTCGGGGCGTACGTGTGTTGAGGGTAATGGGAGGAACCACTGAGCCTCTCACCGCTAGTCCTAGGTGAACTAGGACGGCCATAGTATGTCGAGTCGTAGTAGGGGTCGAATGTCCCTGTAGACGAGCGTGCAGGATTTGAATAGCGACCCCGGGGAGAGGATGCCCGGCCGTACCGCGAGGTCATAGCCGAAGGCTGAGTGGAGGTGGTTTTGAGGTGGACGAGAGCTGACAGGGCAGCAGAATTACGCCGCGGTGGCAAAGGCGGGGGGGTTTCAGTACAATTGGACTGTTTACAATTGTACGAATACCTTCGCAGACTTTTGGTCTTGGTACATGTAGCAGGAAGCACGAGGCTGGTCATGGTTGCGGTCAGTTGAGTTCAGATCAGATCAGATGGAAGGAAGCAACAGCACAAACAAGATGGAACAGAAACTGGAATCTGACGACGAACCAAGTCGCAGTTGGACGTACATTGGGACGGTATATGGACTCGCAGGCCGGCGCTATATCAAGTGGAAGAAGCAAAAGAAGCCACGGTGTGCCTGGTTTGAAAGGCAAGCGAGGCGGGAACTTGTTCGCAAGCAGCCCGAAGGAGGATGGACGGAAGACGAAGCCCAACAAACGGGTTTGTAGTGTAGCAAGAGGCAGCCAGAGCAGGGACGAGGGCTGGTCGGGAGCGATGCGCACTGAGGTTGGGCTTCGAGGGCCAGGGAACCCCTACACGAAGCTTGGAGCGACGGCAAAGTGGAGCTGGGTGAGGCGTGAAGCGGCAAAGTGAGGGGCAGATGGATGTAGAGGCACCGGTGTAGGGCAGAGGTAGGTAGATGCAGAGGTGCGGGGACGCCGGTGAAGCAGCAGGTACGAGGGAGGGTGGAGAGACGATGGCGAGGAGGAGAGAAGGGAAAAACGCACCGCGCACACTCGGCAAAGGGATATGGTGGTGGATGAGGTTGTGTGCGTGTGCGGGTGTGGTGGAGGTGCAGTGCAGGGCACCGGACATGGTTTCTCAGTACGAGAGGGACGATCGAGGGCCAAAAATGAGGTATGACGCAGAGCGGCGCACGGCCATTGGCTGCCGCAGGGCTAGCCATGACCCTTTTTTCTGCACGCGCTGCCGCGCTAGGGCCGTCTCGGCTAGGCTGACAGGCGGCAAACGTTTGATTCTACATTGCTCCGACCACAACACCAATACTTGCTGCAGTTGGTTATCACTGCTTCCCCGCAGAGGACGCATTCTTTATATGATATCGTGCCACTTTTTCTTGGGTTCACTGCTTGCATTCCACATCTCTACACATCCTGCATCGTCGGACACCTCGTTCAGTTCATGTACGCACGGCGCGAGGCTCTCCGCTGACAAAAACGATTCGAAGCTTCGGCGCTCTCCCTTTTCCCAAAGCGGACACCGGCCTTGCTTGCCTGTTTTCTGGAATCAAGGTTCAGGGTTCAACATGGTCAAATTGGAAAACGTCAAGGCTCGAAAAAGTCCAATTGCTGCCCCGCTTCCGCTTAACAACTTCACTCTTCGCTGCAATCGTCTCGAGTTGGGCAGGACAACCCTGACCGGAGCCCAATTAGCCCCGTGCTGCCAAATCACTCCACCCGTTACCCGCTGATGCCTCACTTCTGCAACCTACTGTAGCCTCGGCCACTCGAAACACTTGCGGCCTGCGATCTTCGCTGCCGGCCGCGTGGTCTTGCAATTCCCCGCCAATCTCGGCCTTTCAACTCCATCGATATCCTTCGTTTGACTTTTTGGCAATGCTCCATTGGGCTCTCCCTACGCCTGTTCTATGTGATCCACAGCAGCACCAGCACCTTTCTGTCCTGTGCCTGGCTTACCATCAGAGTCAATGTCGTCGGTAGCGTGCCTGGATTGCAGCTGCTTGGCCCGCGAATACCGAGGGATCGTGTCTCGGATGCAACCTGCGATGATGTTGCCTTCAAAAAGGTGGTGCATAGACTCCAATGGAACCTAAATTTGCGGGTACGGTCAGTAGCGTTCGAGCAATAATCTTTGGGTTATCAAAGTCTAACAACGCCATTCCACGTGGTGTCGCTCATGCGACTCTGCAATGTTTGGGGTATACTAACCCCCTTGGTTTCCGGGCAACACACAACCACGTAGATTCCCATTGCCACACAGCACGCTCCAAATAATAGGAACGTCCCGTACGTGATATCCGCAAGCATGATGGGCGTTAGCTTCGCTATGATGAAGTTGAACAACCATTGGGTCATCAAAGCTGCTGCCATGACAAGGGAACGCACTAAAGACATGGTTCGTCAGTTCTTGCTCCATATATGCACGCATGTAGCACTGCCAGCGCATCGATGATCGACATACCATGGTTGGGGGAACATTCCGAAGAGAGAATGAATGGCGTAGGACCCCACCCTGATAACAGTTAGACGTGTCAATTATTCGCTTGCAGACCACGTACCAAATGAGTAGAAGACGACGAAGAGGTAGACGCAGATGATGGCGAATATGCTATTGCCATTGAGCGCGTCGCCCTCCTTCACTGGATTGACGGCCTGGTTCACACCAATATAGAACATGGCAAACGCTTGACCTGCTGAACCAATCAGGAGAGACCACTATTGTCTACTGTCAGTCTTTTTCGCATTCAGTCCCATGCAGCAAACACATACTTTGCGTCCCAGCTGCTCCGTAAAAGCCATCAGGCCAATGGCTGTAACAACAATCTTGACAATCCCGTAGATTCCGGTGGCGAAGAGACCCGCCGAAGTTCCCTTCAAACCGATCGATCCGAAGATCTGTGGGGCATAATAGTTGATTGAATTAGTACCTATCTGTGTGTTAGTCGCGAGTCTCATCTATTCAACATCAACACATACCTGTCCACTGCTGCCAGAACATGAGGATAACAGCAAAAGAAGTTTGGTAAAACATGCGCTTGCTGGAGCATGCCGCTTTGAGCTGGGCACCGAGCGTCAGCTTCTGATGACCCTGGAAGTCGGCAATGATGTCGTCCAGCTCTTGAACCACAGTTTCATCGTCAATTGCTTTCCCACGGACTGTAGCCAGTGCCTTCCCTGCCTCTCGGTAGCGATTCTTCTCGACCAACCACCGCGGGCTCTCGTTCATGAACACTATTCCCACCAGGAGAAGGACACCGGGAAGCATCTGCAGCGCGAACGGGATGCGCCATTTGGCTGCGCTCAACGTCTTTATCTGGATGTTGATTCCGTAGTTGACGAAGAAGGACAAGCAGATACCCGTCACATTGAACAATTGCATACTGTGTTTTCATCAGTCTTTCGTTCAGCAATGAGAATTCACTCATTCCGTGTACGGAGTACTCACCATCCAATGCACCGCCCTCGAATCTCCTTATTGGCATTCTCTCCGATATACGTCGGCACAACCGCAGAAACCAACCCGACTCCAAACCCACCAATAACCCTCCCCACATACAACTGCGCCAAACTCGTCGTGTTAATCGCACACAGCGTCTGCACCAAACTGCCCAAGATGAAAATCACATCGGCAATAATCAGCGCCATCTTGCGACCAAACTTGTCGCTGATGTAAAAGGATGAAAGGGCACCGAAAAAACATCCAGCTTGTAATACGGACACGATGTTGCCTTGTAAGTTGCTGAAATTATCGCTGTCCTTGTCGAGGTTGAACGAGTGCCGGAACGCATCCATGGTGAGCACGCCGCCGATCAATCCGGTGTCCCATCCGAAGAGCATGCCACCAAAGGATGCGACGACTGTGAGAAGATAGACGCGGCGGTATGCTTTGATATCGGCCCATATGGCGCCCATGTCGAATTTTGACTTCGCCATACTTGCGGGTAGGCTGGGGAAAAGGGGTGAGAGGTGATGAGACGCGAAGAATTGAGATGTGAGGTGAAAGATGATCGTCCCAGATTAGATCAGAGGGGTAGACATAGATTAGAGAAGGTAGCGCGCAGAGAATATGGTACAGTAGACGCCCGCAACGAATCGCGAGATGAACCTCAAAACAACTTCAAGAAACGCGTGCAAGCTTTATACCAAGAAATATCCCAATGGCGTCGAAGTGGATTGCCGCGGGGTGAGCCGACTTTCTGGGGCCCCAGTATTTTGATTCCTTCCTACCGACGGTGTGACGTGTGGAGGTGCGGGGGACGTCGCATGGGGTACAAAAAAGTTTGTCCTCCGAGAGATAACGCGAACCACCAAAAGCCGCGCCCGCCTCGAGGCGAGAAAGAATCATGTTTACATGTGGATCGGCTTCATTCGAGTTGGAAAAATCCGGGGTTTGTTCCTACGAAAGCATGGACACGGCTTTTGATCCCCTCAACACCTTGGTTGGAATTGCGGATGGGGGGGCTGCTAGCTGCCGACGATATTTTTGCCAGGCATAAATCAAATGCCGACACTTCTCCATAGGTCGCCAACTGATGGTCTCACCACTTGAAAGCCTAGGCATTGAATCAACTATCCGATTGTGATTCTATCATCTACAAGGTAACTTAAATGCCGGGAACGCCTATTTGATACCCGCTTTATACGCGAACGTGCTCTGCAGAGATCATGCTATCAAATGTTTGCCTTGGCTGCCTTCTGTTCTGGCACTTGCGTTACCAGCTTATCCTCTGTCATCGCCAATTTCAGATTTTCCAGAACGAGCAATTCCATGTCGCGCTTTTTGTTGTCAGCTTATAATCTTTCCATTGGAAGAGAAGTACCATACCTGTGTCTCGAAAGTGCCAGTGCCAACATGAGGCAGGAGCACTACGTTTTCTGCCTCTAGAAGGCCCGGGTGGATTTTGGGTTCCTCCTCAAAGACGTCCAAGCCAGCTGTCCAGACCTTGCCGCTCTTCAATGCATCCACCAGAGCACCCTCGTCCATCAGAGGCCCGCGGGCTGTGTTCACAATTACTATGCCATCTTTCATCATATCGAATTGCTCCTTCCCTATGATGTGTCTGGTCGACGGGTTGAGCGCGAGGTTGAGGCTTAGCACGTCGGACGTTTTCAACAGCTCCTCAAACGTAACGTATTTTGCGCCACCCTCCTCATTCGCAGGCAGCTGTCGTCGATTGTGGTACTGAATTTTCATTCCGAACGCCTTCGCCCGGTGCGCAACCGCTGAACCGATTCCTCCCATACCCAGTATTCCAAGCGTCTTGTGCTTGGGGTCGTGGCCAAGAGAGAAGTTGCCCCGCCATTTGCCTACTCCAAATTAGCCTTGCAACTTTCAAATAATTGAACATACACAGTATACACACCATTATTCACGGCCTGGTAGCTCTGCTTGATGTTGCGGAGAGCTCCCAGCATAAGCCATATGGCGATATCTGCCGTTGCGTCGTTGACGGCAATTGGGGTGCTAGACACGGCAATGCCCCTCTTGGTGCAAGCTTCAATGTCGATGTTATCGTAACCCGCGCCATTGTGGCATATGAACTTCAAACTCTTGGGCAATGCGTCAACGAGCTCAGCATTGAAGCTGCCTGTGACTTTGTTCGAGTCGTTGCTCCGGTACAGCGCGTAGACTTGGTCAAAGTCGCCGTTCTTGCACTTGGACAGGAAGTCCTCTCGCGTGCCCCCCGCCTCAGGGTACTCGAGCAGTTTCGATGCGAACTTGCCGCAGTCTTGCTCCCATTCTTTCCTGGTGTGGACGAGGTTGCCGATTAGCAGCGCTGCTCTTTGCGACATGTCGAAGTCTGGTGGTGAAGTGTTGTGGTGACTCAATGAGCTCAGTGAGGGGAAAGGTTGATGGAAGCCGAGAATGTTTCGAAAGGAAGCGGCGACGGCCTCAATTAATGCGTTGACGTAGCCACACTACCGGCTGTTTGCACAACGCGGCCCCTGTTGGACCGAGTTCCATGGATCAAGCCATTGAATTTCCCGCTTCAAGTGCATGCCTCATGCTGCAGTACTAGCTCAACTATACATATGTACCTTCACCTCGCACTGCTCTATCGAGGTTTTTGAGCCACACACACAATCTTCTGTGCCGCCGTGCGTGACATCACCGCCCATATCACTGTGAAGACATCGATCGATATAACTCTCAATGTTATCGCAGATGCCTGGCTGCATGAGATATCATCCGCATCTGAGGGTAGCACCCGGTTTCGCAGTGGCTATATCACAATCGACAGAGATAACGGTGCTACCTTGCAGCATATTCCAACCTATCATGCCTCTTTGAACTATCTTACCCTGCCAAGTACTTGAACAGAAAAACGGCATCCAGTCTATCACTCTTGAACTCCAATGCAAGCAAGAAGTTGTACCAAGCAAGTTTGCACGAAGACAACATCTCGGAATCAGATGGGATGAAAGCGAACCGCGCTTCGGAAAGCGATTCCGGAGAGTCGGGGTTTGAAAAAAAGGTCCGATCAGACTTCAAATGCCGACAGACGCCAACTGAGAAAGGCTAGAGTATAGCGGGGGTCTCAGGGGCGTAGGTGTCGTGCATTCGCAGCATTGCAACAAGGTCAACAAGGTCAACACGAACAAAGAACGTCATCATTCATTGCGTTCGAAGAAACTACGTACATGCAGCTCCAAAAGCAATTTTGAGTTGAGAAGAGAGAGAAAAGACGTGGATTGACGATATCGGGCGAAACATTTCGACCGGCAATCCTTCTAGGCAGCAACAAGGCAGCCATCAGGCACACCAATGAGTGCCTAGTATTCAGTTGCATATATATTTCCTTTCTCGTCGACATTGAATACAGCATCAAATCAGATACATTCGAATTGGAACACCAGATCCCTCGTCAACATCATGGAATTAAAGAACATCGCCATCCTCGGGGTAAGTTGTGCTAGTAAGAGGTGGAACCGAGGATTTTTCCCTTTCAGAAACTAACCCAAAAACAACAATCATCCACAGCCTCGAGGCAATGTTGGAAGCGGAGTAATCACCGAACTTCTCAAAAAATCCAATAATTTCAGCATCACGGCCATCTCGCGACCAAGTTCCACCTACGAGGCTCCGCCCAATTCCGACGTCACCACTAAATCAGTCGACTACGCTTCCTTCGACTCCTTGCGCGACGCCTTCGCCGGCCAAGATGCAATCGTCAACTGCATCACAGGCGGCGCCACGCAATACGAACCATCCAAACTTATCATCGACGCCGCCATAGCCGCCGGCGTCCCATTTTACTTTGCCAACGAATTTGTTGGTAACATCAAAACCGAGCAATTTATACGCCTACCCGAGTCCCGCGCAGGCGCAAAAGCGCGGATCCGCACCTACTTGGAGGAGCTCGGGCAGCAAGGCAAGCTGCAGTGGACGGCGCTGAACGGGGGTCCGTTTTTCGACATGTGGCTCATGAAGGGACCCGCTGGCTTCGACGTGGTGAACCGACAGGCCAGGATATACGGCACGGGCGAGCATCCGCTTTACTGGACCCCTCTTTCGACAATTGCCCGTACTGTTGCGAATATGCTGGCGAATCCCGCGCCGTTCGTCAACCACCCAGTCTACATTTGCCCGTTCAAAGGGTTGACGCAGAATAAGTTGCTCGAGACACTTGAGACTGTTCTTGGTGCCAAGTTTGAGACTACCGCTGTGGACGTAGCTCTGATGAATAAGAACGCGAAGATTGCGATGGAACGGGGAGATTTTGTGAGGGCGATGAGGGGTTTTACTTTCAGCAATCAGTTCTACGAAGGGGATAGTGGCAATGATTTGAGCGCGCTACTAGAGAACGAGGCTGTGGGTGTGGAGATTATTAGTATTGAGGATGGTGTAAGGGAGGCCATCGAGAGGTGGGGAAAAGACACCCCGGTTGTGGAAGGGATGTATAGGATAAACCCTGAAGACATCTTGGAGGAGTAGAAAAGATGTCAGGGTGATTGTGGAACTATGGAATACGATGTGCTGGGTCCGGTGAAGGAGGTTGTGGCGTTGTGGCATGCCTTCACCGGATGTATGGACTAGGAGTTCTCTCGTAGGGCATGTATACAGAATTCATGCATATCTAATTAGTACAATATACAAGAGTGGATTGTGTAGTGACCGTGGTAACTGTTCTTGGGACTTGAAGCGAAGGTTTATTTTAGTAGTGACATCGTCGATATTCAGGCTGGGGCGAAAACGAGCAAGTCGACAATGGGATACAACACTGACTAACACCTGAGATACCAAATCCCCAGGTGCTAGTATTATCCTTCCAGAATATGAAATTGCAAAGTGCAGTCGATGCAATCGTGATTGGACGCCAATTTCCATTTTCTTATACAGACAAGGGGACATCCAGTAGCGTGTGCCCTCGTGCCAAATCAATAAATCAAAATCAACTAGACACTTCTCTTGAACCAACCTGTTATTCCTTGGTGTTTTGTAGTACTTCTCATTGGGGTGTCTTCTTATGAGTTGGAATCGCGTTAATCGCCTGCGTGAAATTCTTTGTAGCGAAATATGGAGAGAAAAAAATTATGAATAAATAGAGCACGAAGAAGAAACGAGTAGGTCCCGCAATCATGCCCGTGTCATATATCGTGAAGGAAAGACATCTACTCAGACTAAACTGTCATGTAGAAAACATCCGCTGCTCGTCCTATTTTTTTACTCCCCCTGTTAATCTGATCTGGAGGAAAACAAATGTATGGGAAAACTAATCGTGGTCAATGATTAGTCTACAATATTGATATTGTCAAGTGCATGGTTCGGCTTTTTGTCAGGTACGTGTACACCTACGCTTGTCACATTCGCGAGGAGATGTGTGTCGCCATGAGCTTCATGACCGTAGGCATTCATTGATCGGAGTATGGGATCAATGCGATTCTAGATGATAGCAAAAGGAGTAGGGATACAAAGTCTTTTCTATAAAATTCTTCTATTCAGGAAAGTTGTACGATTACCAGCAATAGAGATCTATACCTGTTGATCTATAACACCATGAAGTTGGGCTGTATTCCATGCGTTACGTAGAAATGGTTGGCGGACCAATCAACGATTGCACAGCCTCGATGCGTGTGTCAACACGATGGGCGTTGGTTGCCAGAGCTGGCAGCGACCCAACGATACATCGTGATCATCAACACAGCCTTTATTTCAGCTCCACCCAATATCTTTTCAAATAGGAGTAAGCGTCGAACTTATGGAAAATAACAACCTTGCAACATAATATCCCCAAGAAAAACCATCCGATCGTCTATTCATTCCCCAATAAGCTTGTCCCGGAGCGTTCGACGAGGCCGAGAAGGACTTTGTCTTCAACTTTAGGCAGCCATATGGCGAATAATACCGAGCGCAAGAAGCATGATAGCAGCAGTTACATCAACTTCGCACATCTCGAGGAGCATCGGCACATGCCTCTAGAGATAGAACGATCAATCCGGGTCATAGAATTAAGTCCAGCGCCCAATGACGACGAGGGCGCGCCAATAGTATGTTCTCTCCGGCAAATACCTCTTGACGCCGAAACAAAGTATAAGAATCGATACCACGCTTTGTCCTATGTATGGGGAGGAAGAACAGGATCAGAGGCAATCATATGCGATGGGAAGAAACTTCTTGTTACCCCGAACTGCATGCAAGCTCTTCGAACCATACGAGCCAACATCGAACTGCTGTTAAACATTGATTATCTCTGGGTCGATGCGATATGCATCGACCAGAAAGAGGACCCGTCCGGCAAAGGAGAAAAGAGTCATCAAGTTGCTTTGATGGGTGAGGTGTATCAGCATGCCAGATCTGTAATCATTTGGTTGGGTCACATTTCTCGAGCAGCTACGCAGCACCTCGAGTACATGAAGAAGGTCGGCAAACATCACATGCACAGAAAAAGGGTCAAAAGACACTACAAACATATGGCGAAGGTCAACAAACACTACAAGGTGACCAAGGATAATCCACCGAAACGGCAGCTCATGGCGGAGGCAAAGATAGAGAAATGGATAGAAAGGATTAAAATTTCCGCCAGTCAGTCAGTCACTCTCAAGCCCAATGCTGGCCACTAATATGCATCCCAGAGAACGCTGCCTCAGTGAAGGGTACAAGATCATTCTGGGGGCCTGTGCACGAATGTCCGTGGTTTTGGAGGGTGTGGACTCTTCAAGAAATTGCATTCGCACGCCGCCCCGTTCTCTTGTACATGCCTAAAAATGAACGAAAAGCACGTCGGATGTCGTGGGTAGATGCAGAATCGACCAAAAAATGGTGGGATATCAACAATTTTGGAACATTTAATGATTGGTATATGATACCAGATCGGCTTACGATGTCATCGATGCTCGGACTGCTCCCAAGCATGACAACAGACCGGCGGAACTATAATAGCAAATGTTTGAAGGCATTCAGTTACCTGTGGATGAAGACTCTGCACATACTGGAAGCTGTGGACGAACGAGACTACGTCTATGGACTTGACGCCGTTCTTCGAAACATAGGACTTGAACTTCTAGAGATCGATTACAGCATTCCATGGGAGGCAGTATTTGAGAGATTCACTTGCAAATACCTAGTTCATACACAGGATGTCAGCCTCTTGATACAGGCTCCGAGATACAAACGGTCAGAGAAACTGGCGTCATGGGCATTTGACTTCAAGTCCCCATCCCCAACGCGATCTTACATACGGGTACCTCTGGATGAGTACACGGGAGTGAATTCGCTTATATCCAAGAAATCAGGACAATTATCCTTCGCAGGCCGTCGAATCACTAAAATCCGATACTCTGACGATATCTCAGGCGCAACCGAGCGCGCCAGACTATTCGAAGAATACAAACCGATCCCCCCATTCAACCAGTCGAGAGCCTTAGCTCAGTTGAAGATCTGGCTTAAAAAGGCCAGAAAAGTACTTTCGCAAATGTCAGATCGAGACATGGCCCGGACTCTTAAACTATTAGTGATATGCCCTCGCGAGGAAAGTTTTTTTGCTGACGCTGCCCTGGATTATCTTGAAGAAGTTAGTCAGGAGCTGCAATATCTTCTTCACGAAGACGATGCACTGGCTGATACTGGATCTACTTCTATCGCATTTCGGCCGAGGGAGCTCTGTGAAGGGGATTACGATAGCATCGATAGCTTGCTGGCGGTCGATAAATCCGCCACACAAACCTCTGATGCTACGAGCCTGACACTTGAAAACGACAAGAACTATAAAGTCACAGAACTCCCAGATTTGATAAAAAAATGGCTCCAAGTCTGCAATCTTCTGATCACTACTAATGGAAAACTAGGCTTTGGATTCTGCACTATTTTGCCAGAAGACGAAGTGGTTCTTATTCATGGCTGCAAGATCCCCATCGTGGTGAGGCCAAAGGCAGATAAGTTCCAGTACGTGGCTCCAGCTCATTTTGTCGACTTGATTGATCCATATTTGGCTACGAACGATGATCCGAGCGTCATGGAAGAGTTCACGCTTGTGTGATGAACACTGTGAATAGGGAAGTTTGCTGAAGATAGAGAGAGAGAGAATACAAATGATAGGGGACAGAATTGAAGATGGCTGGTAGAGGTGGTCTCTCGGGGCGTTATATGCAGGACGTCATTGTGCAGCGTTATTAATTTAGCAAGGGACGGCGATGGGCGAGGTTTAGGCTGGCGGGATTCAAAGGTTCAATTCAAGGATTTGCATGCTCGCACTCCTGCCGTGCCCTTTGCATACGAAAGGTACCTGAGCAGATACAATCCAGGTACACGGGAAAGTGACGGACGGCTTCGTTTCAGCATACCGGGGCTACGTTAGATGGGGTTGCTAACGCAAAGATCGGCTTGGTTGCGTGTATACCAGGACCCTCATTGCGGGAAGGCTAATACTAGGCTGACGTCCTGTTAGACCATTTGACAGGAACAGATGGAGATTTTTATTGGGGGAAAAAGAAAGAAAAGGAAAAAAAGCGCCATGAATAGACGGTTGAACACAAGACACAAGGTAAGATGTGATGATGGTGATGCATTGCGCTGCATGATATGTGGGAGGACTATAGCCTCAAAAGAGACTGGGAGGTAAGTGGAGACTCGAGAACAGGAGTTAACCACGACCGCGGGGGCAGTGGACATGGGTCACGTACACTTGTAGAGCAGCAGTATGTGGTGTTTTCTTCATTTTATGGTAATTTCAATCTCTTCGCGACGATTTGATTATCCAATCAATAATTGCGTTGCATACATTCATACATATACACGAGATACCTGATTGTATACATACCGGTGAACGGGGCTGTGGTGGTGGATCGATCGCGTACTGTGGTATAGCATAGCATGGCACATCAGGCCATGACGTAGTGCCCACGCTGCCCGCTGCCCGCCCGCTCTAGCCTGGCTGGGCCGCGACCCAACCAACTTCAAGCACAACCCCTCCAAGGCAAGCAGGTCTTTTGATCTCGAGCCTTGCCGGCCAACTATCTGTCCGTCTATTCATTCTCTCACTTTCTTCCTGTTCCTTCTTCTCCTCATCTCGATTCCTCCTTCTCCCCTTCCTCTATCCCGCTTTCTCCCCAGCGTCTCAGGTCCTCTCGTTGGCCTGAGTCAGCACCATCACTACCACCACCCACCATCCACCACTCTCCCCATCATTCTGCTAGTCCCGCAGCTACGCCCACCATGTCGCGACGCTATCCCACTGCCGAACTATACGAGGAACGCCAGCGCGATTTTTATCGCAATGGCAATCGTAGCGACCGCAACTACGACGACCTAGATGCCGAGTTGAGGCGCGGCGGTGACCCTCGTCGCAGCGCTCCAGATTTCTTCCGTGACGACTTCGACCGCCAGTCAAATGCTGGCCAGATGGTCTTACGAGACCGCCGTGATGATGATGCCTTCTCCAGAGCTCCATCCTCACGTCGTGGCCGTGAAGTCGAGGAGGACCAGATCGTCATACGAGGCGGTCGTGCCCCACCACCGCCTGCCTCAAGCGTTCGCGAGGTCGAACGGGAAGATATCAGCATCCGACGAGGCGCCGATGACCGTCGTCGACCAAGGGAGGCCGAGCGAGAGGAAATGGACATATCCATTAGACGCCGTGAGCAGTCAAGACCACGAGGCCCCGACCTTCGTGAGGTCGAGCGAGAGGATATCGTCTTCCGACGCGGTGATGGTCCCCCCCGTCCACGAACACGCGAAACCGAGGTAGAGCGTGAAGATATTCGATTCCGAGAGCGTCACTCTCCTCCTCGTCACCGAGATGCTGACCGCGAAGAAGTCATCTTCCGCCACGAGCATCGTGAAGACAATCGTAATGGCAGAGAGCGTGATGTACACAAGGACAGCCTGGTCATTAGAGGGGGGCGTGAGAAGAGTCTCCCTCCACCACGATCCCGTGGGGACCTGGTTGCCAGAGAGCGTGAGGAGTTTGTAGTTCGCCGCCGCGATCCATCTCCTCCGCGACGCGAACGTGAGATTGTCAAAGACGAAATAATAATCCGTCGCAAGGAAGAGCGTTCTCCTACACCCCCTCCCGCACCACTGCCTCCACCACCTCCTCCACCAGAACCCGAAGTCAGGCCTCCCATTATTCAGGAAATCATTACTCACCACAGGCACATTGATCATGGTAAGCGCGCTCCATTAGTCTCGAGCAGCACCGACTAACTCACGTATAGGAGTTGAACGAGCTCGTTCACCCACCCCACCACCTCCGCCACCATCACCACCCCGCAATGAAAGCCTGGAAATCTCGATTCGACGAAATGAGTAAGTCGCATAATCCCCCTTTCTGTTCCGACTTTTCTGATTGTGCCGCAGAAGCCGGACTCCTGGCAGAGATTTCGAAGAGGACATTATATACGAACGCGAGACGATTGAACGAAAGGGTCGCGATGATGTCAGCCGCCGCGGACGTTCATTGAGCGCACCCAGGCGTGCTCGCACCATGCCGGCTGAGTCTGATTTCGACCAGGAAGCCGATTACTACAACCGGAAAGCAATGGAGCGTGCCTACCCAGGCGAGGGCTGGAACGGCGCCACCAAAGATTGGGCCATTGTCGATGTTCCCCCCGGCACCAACCGAGTTCGAATGGACGGTATAGGAGGGGGAGGTCAAGAGATCACTTGGCAACGATACAATGGAGTGCGTCGCTCGAAATTCATTAGTGGCGATGAAGAGATTGCGACCGATTTCGGCGGCCCAGGTCCTGTGAAACCAAAAACCAAAGACATGTGGACAGAGATCACCAAGGACTTGGTTATTAGAGAGGCCATCGACTCGATGGGCTATAACTGCGAGGAGACGGACGATTTCTTCTATGTTATGGAGTACCTCAAATATGTAAGTGACCCTTGGTTGGACAGGAAATGCAGATCTAACGCGATTACAGGAGGATGTTCTGCAACTGGTGGAGATCTCCGACGACATTCGTCGCCGCCGAAAGTCGCGCATCCGGCAGATTGAATATGAACGCGAAGAGATCCGGGAACGCCGCCCTCCACCTTCCAGTTGGGACGAACGTTACTATGAACATGAGGTGTCAGTTGACCGTCACCGGTCTCGATACAGATAATATTGTGAAGTTCCTCTGCACCCTTGCAATGGTGATTGCGGATCACAATATACTCCTTCAAGGGCTATACACCTTTCCTAATTGGGATGCTCATCTCAGGCCTATCCACAATTGGAAAATGGTAGTAGCGCGCTGATTCACACGTGCGAGGTGATGTTCTCGCTCGTGGTCTACAATTCCTGGACCAACAGTACAGGAACAAACAAAGTGCAGTGTCTTGTCCATGGTCTTGAGACATGCAGATGACTTTACGATACGACGTTATGATGATCAAAGCGAATGGGTTTCCCTCAGATTGTCTGGGGGCTTAGCGTTATATACACTTTTACGACCTGCCGACGGGAGGATCAAGGTGACCGGGGGGGAGTAGCACGGCGTACACCAGTCTTGTTTTGTTTTTCTTCTTTTCCTTTGTAGCAATCAGTCGATAGCGAGCGAATCATTCCTAGGGCAAGGTTGTTTTGCCGGCAGGGCGGCACGTCTTTAATAAATATCATCTCACACCGTTGACCAGCAGGCTAGCAGTCTTCATGTGATGAGGGATAGGCCTCCCAGCTGAACGGAAGCGGGATAACCGGCCGTCAGACCAGGTGTTCGAACAAGCAGGAAACTCTCCCTAGCAGTTTCAAGCATCCAGGCGTTTGGTTTCCAAATCTTGCGGTTTGCGCTGCTGCGCATCTGCCAGCAAAGAGCCCCTGCTATAAATAATTCGCCGACTATGCACAGCAATCATGGCGATGCGAGGGATGGCGGCTGGCGGTTGGCGAAGAACCCCTGATGATGGTAGCGCCAAGTTCTGACGACGCAGCCATCCAAAACGTTATTGGGCAGCCTGGATCCAGCAAGGGACACGATCGTCTTCTACGCGCCCTCACTTTGTGTCAACGTGGGCGCGGGCGCTTGTATGTCTGACCCGGTCCAGGCTGGCGTCTGCTATAAGGCGGGGTCGGCCGCTACCACCTGCGAGGGAGATGGTATACGACGAAGGGTTGACACCTGCTGCTTTGGACCCATTGCGTAGTATTGGTTATTTCTTTCTTTCTTAATTCGAACGCCTTTGCCTCTTGTTTTTTTTTTTTTGCGTTGCCCGCCGCCGTCACCCTCCCAGCTTCTCCTTTTCCTATCCCTCTCGACTACATCTGCTGCTCCTCTTCACATTTCCATGTTGGCAGGGCCTGAATCATCATCATGTCGAGCTCTCTGAACCGGAGATGCGCGACTCTGTGTCTCTTGCTGTTAGCATGTGAGCGCTCCTTTCTCGGCTGGGTACATCCGTCATTCAACATCTAACTCGTATTCGCGTAGTCTTCACATCCTCTCTAAGGGCACAGAATACCACAGCGGCTTCGACTTTCTACCTCCCAAAAACGGAGACTCAGTTCTCATTTAATCTTGCAAACAACTCAAATGATGTTTTCATATATCTCACGTCTCCGGCATATTCATGGGTGGGCGTTGGGTTCGGGGAAAGCATGAAGAATGCTCTCATGCTCATCGTATATCCAAATTCCAATGGAAATAGTGCGTTAACCTCTGGCATGCTATGGTACAATAACACTGACTCCTTCCAGATGTCACTGTCAGTCCGAGGGTATCAACTGATAACACCGAGCCCACCTTCTCTTCCGATGTAAAGCTAGACATTCTTCCGGGAACTGGTATCACGGACGAGATGTTTGTGCTGAAAGCTCGATGCCGAAGCTGCCGCGTGTGGCCAAACGGTTTCCTCGATGCAGACAGCACCACGCAACCTATGGTGTACGCCTTTGGGCCTGCGAAGAACCTCAATTCAGATCGTCCCGATGCGCCTCTGAAGCGCCACTACACGTACGGAAAATTCACCATGAACATGCGCGAAGCAGTCGGAACTCCCGGTGTGCCTGCCCCATCAACAAGATCGAGTGGCGTCAGTAGCGAAAGTCCGCTTGTAAAAGATCACGACCGGAAGACTCTGGCGCATGCGATCATAGGGTGCCTGGCTATCTTCGTCTTATGGCCGATCAACATCATCCTCGCCGGATTCCTCAGAAACATCAAGATTCATATTGGCTTCTCTATTGGTATTATGGTTTTCATAATAGTATCCTACGCTCTCGGTATCGCAGCGAGCGGCCAATACAACCGCGTAAGTTCCAAATGTCCCCAACAGTCACATCTCCCAACTAACAATCTCACAGTCCAAAGCCTTCAACTCCCCCCACCAAATCTTCGCCTTTCTCGCCATTCTTCCAATCCTCCTCCTCTCTCTTCTCCCCATGAAACCACTCTCCACCCTAAAACAATGGATCCCTCGCGCTCATGCACCTCTCGCAACCCTGTGCCTCACCCTACTCATCCTCACCGGCGGCCTTGGCCTCCATCTCTCCTCATCTTCGACTCCCATCATTCTCACTTACCTTGCCATCTCTATCCTCGTCTTCAGCTTCATCACGCTGCTCCAACTCTGCGTCCGTCGCCGTGGTTCCGCGTACGCCCGCGCTACCACGCGGCGTCGTCTCGGCGACGAGGACGAGCAAGACTACGGCCTCGCGAATTACTGGGCCCGTCGCAAACTCGAGGGAAGTCGCTCCCAGAGCCAGGCTAGCAGCAATGCGACGTGGGACAGCGAGCGCCCGTGGAGCGGCGATAGCAGAAAACAAGGAGGCGGCGCAGTGTTTGGTGGCGGCACGATGCCAGGTCCGCATTACATGATGAATATGCATCCTGGTGTCCCTGTTTCCTTCAAGTAACGAAGCGTGCTGTGCTGAGCATGATTTGCGGCGCTTTTGAGGGCGGATTATGACCTTTTTTCTATTTATTTAATCTGATGATACAGAGAACACCAACTCTTAACGACTATGGGCTTGGAGTTTTCTTCTTCGAATGGGAAGATTGTTTGGGTATGCATGGCTACTGGGGCATTATGACCTTGCGCCGTCATTTTTCGGGTTTGGGATACCGATCTATTCATGATCTGACTTTGACATTTTGTTTTGTTTCGTGTGTTCTTGTCTTTGGGGTTTGCTTTGTTTGAGATACCACACTTTTCTACATCTATCAAGCTATCAGCGATACCGGGAACATGCATATAGCGCGGGTAGTTAGAAGCAATTATGACGACCAATAATAGCATATCATCATCATCATCATCATCGTTCATCTATTCGCGACCTGATGTCGCTTCTTTTGTTTTCAATCAGCAAAAAATAAAAAGGCCTCGTTTCAACATTATGGATCCACCAAATTCCTTTTTTTTTGGTTCTCGCCCTCTTCCCGAAACACCACTAAGAACCACCCTTCATCTACATCTCTTACTCCCAAAAGAAGAAGAAGAAGAAGAAGAAGAAGAAGAAGAAAGGTTCGCCCCTATCGCCTCTACAAACACTAGCAAAAAAGGTCACGCGTAACTCCAATTCAACCCCCCCTCAGGTACACCTGCCCCATTCACCCCCCTCGCATAGGAACAAAGTATCACATCCGCATCCAAGTCTCAAGATACACACCATGGATCTCGATCGCCAAGACTCATGTTCGGTATACTCGGTCTTGGTACCAAGGTTAGGTATACATGCCAAACGCCCGGAGTGGCGAACGTTGACGTGTGTTTTGGGTTTTGGATTTGGCATGCGCATGGTGAAACCGGGAGCTCGAGCGAGATGGGGTTGGGGCAAAAGCAGTGTAGAGGATGTGAGAATCCGATGATGGGGTTTGCGAATCTACTGTGCTGTGTAGATCGGAAGAAGTAGGTGCGCGTTTAAAGTCGAGATTGAGATGGTAGGTATGTACGTGGATATCATCGATGAACGCAGGTGGGCATGTGTGCGTGTGATCGATCGGGTTCCGAGTATACCTACCTATCTACGCCGCCGCGCGTGGCCGAGTTTCCGCACTTCTCTCCGATCATCTACGTAATACACCGATGGTGGATACTTTATTCGCGAAAGAGAGTCCGACTGCTCCGACGACGGTAGGAGTCTATACAGTAGTCTGTCTGTAGCGTAGTTTATATGTTAGCCTGAGGCAGCCAACATCAAAGGCCAGACATGGTCTGCGCTTGTTAACCCATGTAATTCCCGGCGCTTAATCGTATGCGGATGTTCGCGCTAAGTGATGGATGGTGGAGATCGACGCTTGGTGGGGGGGGTTTTTTTCGCCCACACTCAACTGGTGTCTACCACAACTCGACTGGAGTGTCATTGGCGCTCTATAGATTGCATTTTGACCTCAAATATCTCATCAAATCACGGGTTCGATGGTGTAGTTGGTTATCACGTGAGCTTAACAAATAAAAGAGCTGTTCTTCGGAGCTGTTTCTTCTAATGATTAACGCTCAAGGTCCTGAGTTCAATCCTCAGTCGAATCATTTTTTGTTGGATGGGAGGTGTGAGTCGTGAGTGAGAGGCGATTGTAGCGCTCGGCTGGAATGGAATGGGGCTTGTCCCCGCCTTGTTCTTTTTGGTTCCTGTTGTTGTGGGATCCAGCTTGAATAACAGGTTTCTTGACTGAAGAGTCCCATCTATATCCATGGGCCAATATAAGAGAAGGCAATGAAAAAATAATGTACAGTAGCATGCAGCACACGCACCGTACACGGCTGTACTGCAGTGCCGGAGCTGGCTTTGCAAATCCAGGTAACTACGATGGGTGGGTTTGGATCTCTAAGGCTGTTGACTGACCCGACGGTTTCCCACTCACTTCGGCGGTATTGTACCCTTTGTACCTGCAATTTGTGTGTATGCCTGAGTGCTTGGGCAACTCACTGGCATAATTGTGTACGTGTTGCGTCAGATCTCATTGATGACCATGGCCTCAAAACTACAATATGTACCTGCAATGGCCATGATAAATCTCTACCCGTACATATTCCGACCAATTTGAACTGACTCAGGACGTCCAGCATGAGCGAAGACCATCCTCAAGGCACTTACCAACAACTCATCGGTGCCTGTAATGCTTAGCTCGCAAACAAGAAAGTTTTGATACGACGGTGATCCTACCTGGAGGAGAAACAAAGGAAACAGCAACAGGTAGCAACTCTGGCCGCTTAGTAATTCTGGAGTTGTATCTAATATTTCCAACTGCGGTATATTAGATTCAATGCTGACGAATGGATCGAGTCGAAGGAAATAAGCTTACCTGGAACGGAGATCTCTGGTGCTCCGAGAACTGGCGAGAGCCAAAGCGGATCCCATGTGTCTTGAGCAAAGGGCGGCCTGAGTACCATTAGCAACCGATGATATGCAGGATTGATGTCCTACCCTGGATCCGTATCGCGATAATTTGGCTCGGCTTCTTTGATGGGCAGAACGACAAGCGCCGTCTCCCTGTCTAGCTCGAGAACATTCTGCAAAAGCCAATCCTTGTAAACTTGTGCGCGTCTTACGGCGTCATTATGCTGCTCGTGACTAATCGTGCCACCAACATCCCTTCAGTTTCGATTAGCGTCGAATGGGGAGATTTGGTAGGCTTGCAAACTGACCATCTCCACTGGGTGACCTTGTTCACAAATGGTGGGTGTCCATACTTCTGCTGATAAGTTTGCCGGAATTCGTCGTGATTGTGGCAAAAGCCGTAAACAAACGTGTTTAGTCCTACCTATTTGCATGTCAGGACTGTTGATATTGGAGCACATGAGACTCACATTATGCAAATAGGCTTCCAAAGATTCGCCCTCCACATCTTTGGGAGGAGACTCCTGCCACTTCTGTTTGAAAGAGACGGCTTTTACTGGAATTGAGAAAGCCTCTGCTACATCGTCTATGAGCTGATCTATCATAGTCTGCTGCTCTCTATTCGCAACGGGAAGATAGTCGGTTGGATATATGATTACGGTCGGCTAGGTGCGTTAGATGGACGAAAGAATGTTGTTCAGGATTCAAAAATACTTTGGAGAAAGTCTTCGGGTTTCCCACTGAAGCCCAGGCTTTCACAACAGCCTCGAGCTCGTTGATACTTCGGGTAAATGCTGCCGGCGCATCCATGGGCCTTTGTAGGGTGAATAACTGCGTCTTTTGAGGGAGTAGTTGGAGCAAGGACCTACCCATAGCATAGCTGGACACCTTTGAGAGAGAACAAGTCATGCGAAAATCGGTGCTGAAAACAGCCATTTACAAAAGCTGGTCGCCTGCTACTGCCCGTGGCTGTGACATTATGGGTAAGAAGACATGTCATATATCTCCAGTGTGTAGATACTCACTATCAGAACCGATGGTAATGTCGAGCCAATCATAGGAAGCGATACTAGCAGCGCTGCCACTGCTACTACCTACCGGGGACTGGTAGCCATCGCCTCTAGGATTCCATGGCGCTTGAAAATCGACCGCCTCGATGGGATCCTCTCGAGAAATCATGGAACTGCATTTTGTTGATCCAAGCAATACGACTCCAGTCTCTAGTAGTTTCTGGATGGCAGGTGCGGTCTCCTTGGCCGGACTTTGAACAGCGAGGAAGGCGCGATTGGAAAGAGCCACGCGAAGACCATGGAGAGAAAAGAGCTCTTTGACAGCGATGCACTTCCCGCGCAGAGGATGGTGGTCAGTGGCCAGAGTCGAGAGCCTGGAGGGGACGGCAATACTTTGCGACTGCGGATAGTTGCCTGCAAGTTGCAGAGGTTCAAAGTGTCTTGCCAGTTAGCTAGCTAAAGAGTACAAGAGGAAGGGAGCCACGGACCCATCTTCAGTAGATGTGGGTTCAATAGGAACCATGAAAGCATTTTTAGTGTCGTCGTACAGACGATAGACCTGACTCAGGCCAGTAGGTGATAGAGCATACGGACCGGGCTGACGAGGTTAGCATTGGAACGTGGCAAAGAATCGCTAGGGAACGCTTACAGGAAAATTAAGGTTGGGTACAAAAGCGTGCCACGGAACTAAGCGCTTCATACTGTCCAAGAAGGTCGACGAAGGGGATGGGGTCGGCTCAGGCGTGCCGATAAGCAGGCCTTGAAGAAAGTTCTCGTTCCATACATCGTCTCCCGCTCCGACAAAACTGCGCACCTGTGCTTCAATCCAGCCGCCGTCTGCGAGTTGGGCTGGGTGACTCGCGGAAATGATGGTGACAAGAGAGTGCTCGGTGGGTTGTCTCTCGAGGCGCGGCAAAGCTATGTTGACTGGACGCGTTATGTACCAGGCATCGCCGAGCTGGAATTCAAATCGGCGAGCTGTCCGATATGCTGTTCTTGCGTGCATTTCTGATGTGATGCTGTCGGGCTGGAGAGCGTGTTTGGGCTACCAACACTTTTATAGTAGCTATTCTGGTGTGGCAAAGGAACACGCCAACAACCCCATTGAATTTCTACCTTACCTACACATGTACTACGTTCTGCGACCGGTGAAGGACAACCCACCCGGTAAGCCAATCGGTGTCCCGAGCCTTTCCTACTTTTTCTCCGGCGACGACCAAAACAACAGCAACGACATCATCGTCTCCCTTCACTTTCTAATCCCATTGCTCCGTCATGTCTACCCAAGAGCGTGCGCCGCTTCTCGCCGACGACCAAGAACACGGTCAAGAGGCAAACTCTCGGGCAGCTTCAATCCAGGTCCACCAAGTGCCAACGCGACGTCTGGCCCTCATCCTAGGGAGTATCTGGGTCAGACAGACTTTTGCTTCTGTGTGAGCGAGATTTGATTACTGACAACTGCTGTGTAGATCGGTGTCGTCTTCACTGCAATCGATGCTACCGTCATGGCTACACTGCTTCTCCCCATGACGACCGACTTCAATTCTTTGAAAACGCTGTCGTGGCTGGGCTCGTCGTTCCTGATTGCCGCCACTGCTGGAATCCCTCTCGCCGGGCGATTGACCGACATCTTTGGCAGACGGGCGGGAGCTGTGCTCTGCAATCTGGTCTTCGCTTTGGGTACTCTTCTGTGCGGCCTGGCGCCGAATGAAGCCACCCTTGTTCTTGGCCGTGTTCTTGCAGGTTTGGGCGCCGGTCCTTTGCGCACCATATCTTCCTTCGTGTCGTCGGATCTTGTGCCTACAAAGAAGCGTGGCCTTGTGCAAGGCATTAACCTCGTTTTTATGGGCGCTGGCACTGCCTTTGGGGGCTTTTTCGGCGGCTGGATGAATCGACTCCTCGGCTGGCGATGGGCTTTCCTCATTCAAGTACCCTTTCTCTTGCTCGGCACCTTCCTCGTCTATCTCTTCCTGGATACGCCCAGGAAGCTTTCAGATGTGCCGCCGCTTCGACGTATCGACTGGCTCGGCTGCTCCACTCTTGTCTCGTCTTTGACACTTCTTCTCGTTGGTCTAAACGCTGGAGGCAATCTTGTACCCTGGTTCCACCCGCTCCTCCTAGTCACCATTCCGTTATCCGTCGTAGCTCTCGTCGCATTCGTTTGCATCGAGTATGCGTGGGCTGCTGAGCCCATCCTACCACTGCACATGTTCGCCAACCGCACAGTTTCCGCGTCATGCCTGACGTATTTCTTCGCGCACATGGCGTCCTTTGGTATCATTTACTTCATTCCTGTCTATGCTCAGATCAAAGGTCACACATCCACTCAAGCAGGTCTACAATTCATACCCCAGGCAGCTGGTAATGCGACTGGCGCTGTACTTGCGGGCATAATTATTCGCCAGACAGGCAGATATCTCATGCTCAACGCTGTGTCCCAGCTTTGCCTACTGCTCGCCGCTATTCTGTTTTTCACACTACGCGACAGCACTCCAGCGTGGCATCCATTTGCTTATCTTGCTCTTCATGGGTTCGGTTTCGGTATAATGCTAGTCGTTGCCTTCATTGCTTTGCTCAGTGCCATCCCTCATTCCGAGCAGGCGGTCGGAACCTCAGCATTGATCGCACTTGGCTCCGAAGGCTCAACTCTAGGCGTATCCATATGCTCCACTGTCTTTCAAAACGTACTCCAGACGAACTTGTACAACCGACTCGGCGACTCAAAGGAGGCCACAGACATCATCAAGCGGGTCAGAGATTCCTTCGGTGCGGTGCCCACTGTTGATCCTGCAATTCGACCCCTCGTTCAGGAAAGTTTCATGGCAAGCGTACAAGCTGTCTTTGCTCTCACTTTAGGCCTGAATCTACTCGCTTCAATATTGTCCTTTACCATGAAGCAAAATACATTGCATAACAGGATCTCGCGAACGGATGAAGCCAGTTGAAAAAGCCTCTTACTTACAGATGGTTTTAGTACGTGGGAGTCTGGAGTGCTGCAAAACTCTGACTGATCTGAAACCGAGATCATGTATCCGTACACCGACTCTCTACCGAAAAGTTGTTTCAAAACGTCGTGAGGAGCCTATTGGATACTTTCTTCGATGATCGACCATCTTTCCACCTCTTCCCAATACTTGGAATCAAGATCACGCTGTGAGCACATGGCAGCGTTAGCTTGGGGGAGGATCGGACTAGCACACAGGGGTGCACGCTTGACTCACCTGACACTTGCATCGTTTCTGGCTGTGGCATAAGTTATAACTGAGAGTGCGCGATCTGTATTAGACTTTTGTTTCTTCTAGCCTAGATCTTCCTTATTACTATTTCTTACTCAATTAATGACGTAAGATGGCATCTTGCACATAAACGCTATTCTGTGAGACTACCACTGCAGGATATCTTGAATTCTATCCCTGACATTCGAACCTTCAACTAGCTCGTCCTTGGTCCACCCGTCGCTGCAAATACATTTCCGACCTGTGGACCGGTAAATCGTTTTCTACCCGTGGTGAGCCAAGTCACAAGACTAATCATCATGACCACCCCTATCGCAGCAGAGGTGTAGTTCATGTTGTCGCTGTTCACTGGACTCACACCAGGAAAGTTCGAGATGATGCAGCAGCAGAACAGGAAAAACACCCCAATCGCGTTCAATGGCAGTCCATATCGTCCCATAGAATATGGCCCGTCGAGTTGATACTGTCCACCTGTCACGAATGCTAACAAGCGAGCTAGAAGGGGCATTGCGTATGAAAGATCTACGTCCCAGTCAGTTACGGCAATCGAGTGAAATTGGATAATTTACACTCACAAAAACCTTCGGTCGCGATCAAAATCACCGTGTTGAAGCCTGTCAATGTTCCGAAATAAATGGAATCAAACGCCATTTGGGCGAAGGCTGTCAAAAGAATAGCATTGATAGGAACCTGCTTCTTCGACGACACTTTACTGAATAAAGACGAGAAAGGCAAGCCATGATCACGGGCGAAAGCATATACCGCCCGCGATCCTTCTGCTGTGAGCGAATTGGCACATACAAGCGCGATGACTGCGATCAGCGAGCCTAGAGTCGAAGCAGCACCGACACTTTGAGTACTGTGCCGGAATATCTCAATTACGGGAACTGCCAGTCCATCTGGTTAGTCAGTGGACGAGAGAGAACGCCATGGACGACATACGTACCGCCAGTTGCGGAACCTGCTGTTTCCTCGATATCACCCATGCAAAAGGATAATGATATCAAGAAAGCTAGACCAGTCACTGCACCGATGTAGACAGACATGACGATTGCTTGGGGTGCCCGTTTGCGCGCCTGTTTGATTTCTTCGGTCATGTGAGCAGGGGCATCGTAGCAGCACATCCCAAACATAGCTTGGGTCAGCCCCAAGATGGCAGCGTATGGCGCATTGAAACCCGTCTGGTTTTGGAATTCGCTGAAGACAAAGCTCGCTGATTGCTTTTCCTTGTTGGTCCCGAGTATCGTGCTGAAACAGACAACGAAGGCGGTGATATTCCAGAAAAGTATGAACTTCGAGATCTTGTTCAGGCCAGACGGGAGAAAGATATTGAATACGGCGGCAACAATCGCAATCAAGTAGGATAACAGGACGGTGTGCCATCGCTCGATCGTGTAGTCCGGGTTGTTCATCTGTGCAATGCCCAGCACGAAATTAGCCGCTACAAAGCTGTTGGTAGCTCCCATGGCCAGGATCCCTTTTACACGAATTAGTGGAAGGCTCAAAATCCTGCCGCCCGCAAAGGAATTTACCAATCAACATGAACCATCCACAAACATACGAAAAGCCTCTCGCCCATCTCGGAGGCGCAAGAATGGCCACCCAGCTGTATTGACCTCCAGCAACGGGGTATGCGCTGCACATCTCGGCCATAGAGTACGCTATACTCAGTGAGAATAAGCATACGCCCACCCATCCATATATCATGACTGGCGGCCCTCCCGATTCCACGCCGATGATGAGAACTCCGCTCAGTGCAGTCCACGATGTGACAATACTGAACGAGAACCCGACCATGCCTAACAGCCCAAAGTTTCGTTTCAATTCTGTTCCGGGTCAGAATGGAAACCGTGTATAGAGATACGTGGGGAGCTAACCTTGGGTATACCCCAGCTGTTCAAGCGCAGTGTCGTCACTCGTGACTCCATCAAACACCTTTTCCTTTTTTGAATCCATGGCTGGTGACATCATGCAGTGCAGTGATGATATCAAATCTAGAATACAGCAATTCTTTTCTTTCTCTTGCTATCGTAATCTAGGGCCCGCGAGAGTTGGTCTGCCGTGTCTGAAAGGCGGGATCGCATTATATATATGTACAGAGTTTATACCTGTTGATCCCCTCACCCGGCTCTATCGAAAATCCTCCGTTCTACTGATAATGGCGGGGCACATTATGCATACGCACTTGTGATGGGGTGGGCTGCATATCGTATGTGATCCTTATCGCTACTGTATTGAGATGGATCATCATCATTGGCCCAACTAGAGATACTCGCAGCATTTCATCCTGCACGACCGGCAATCGGTATACAACGCTCGTTGACGCTGTGTGGACTAGCTGCATGAAGTAGGAGTCTTTGAACATCCAAACAGAAACTGGAATGAGCGAATGGAGAACAGATTTGATAATCACGGCATGGTTTGTGATATGAATGCAGTTGCACATCACCTATTTTTGTTTAGCATCTTTAGGTTCTGTCATTCTCCCTGTCGACTGGTTAGCTGGGTATGAACGTGTCTCTCTTTTATTGTGGTATATCCCCTCGTTGCCTTATTCCTCGGCGTTCCCGCAGTTGCTTGGAAGAATGTCGCTGCGACTTGTGATCTACCAGGAACCGAACCACCATATGCATCATTGTGCAGTCATGTCAGATTAATGATATGCTACGATCATGGTATCAATCAGCATCGGCTCAATAGAAAAAAGTTCAAAGTCTCATGTGAAATGTATATATCGATTGGCGAGATCGTTAACGAATGGTTGTAGGAATGTGGGTCTCCGCCCTCCCCGAGCGAAGCGGTCACTCAACGGTCGCGAGCGCATGTCACATAGAACACCATTTACACAAACACCTGTCTCGTGCATATTATTTCGATCACTCCATCCTACCCGTAACTATATGATCACACCCCAAGAAACACCTCACGTCGTATTTATTACCACATTCGGGGCCTCTACTTTATGAAACCTGTTCTACCTACACACAGAGTGGATGTTGCGGGGTACCTTGCTGCCCTCTAGAGGAGATCCCTGGGGACCACCATCTCACCCTCGGGGCGATTGTTGAAGACACTGACAGATGTAAATACTGGAACAACTTGTACGGTTTGATGGGTGAGAGAGATACGGGGGGTCCAGCCCCACAGCACCTAACTAACTACATTGAAATGGACTTGCCTATCTAACAATTCTTCCGCTCGAGGTACACCGCCGTTTCTTTCCAGTTCGCATTCACGATACCTGCATATAACCTAGGAAACCCACAGAAAAAGACCGATCCCCTGTCTATACGACAAACACCGAAAGATCTTCAATTTCCGAAAGGAACCGGTCATTGTCGGAGGAACAATCCAAAAAGAAAAATCTCGACACAGAATCTCCAAACACCCCCAGCCCATACGCCCAGAAAAAAAAACATCAACACCAACAACACGTCCAACAACCAAAAACAATAGTCACAGAGAGAAGGACAAGAAGAAGAGTAAGAAAAAAAAAATGGCAACATCATCATGGCCACAACCACCGCGAATCCCCACCCCGCAAAAATCCCAAATCCAAACCTCAACCCCCTACGCCTGGCCGCACGACGCCTCCCTCTCCCCCAGCACAACCGCACTCATAATAATCGACATGCAACGCGACTTCCTCTCGCCAACCGGCTACCTCTCCCTCCAAAACCTACCCCTAACGCGGTTTTCTTCCCTGATCCCCGTGCTGGTCTCGCTCCTGTCGACGTTCCGCCGCGCAGGGTTTCCAATCTACCACACGCGCGAGGGCCACGCGGCGCATCTGGGTACGCTGACATCGCGCGAGCGCCATCGGAGCCGGGTGAATGGCGCCGAAGTGGGGAGTAGAGGGCCGCTGGGGAGGTTGTTGGTGAGGGGGGAGAGGGGTCATGATATTGTGAGCGAGTTGACGCCGTTGCCGTTGGAGGCGGTTATTGATAAGCCTGGGCGGGGCGCGTTTACGCATACCGAGTTGGATGCTATGTTGAGGGCCAAGGGAGTGAGGAATTTGGTGGTTTGTGGGGTGACGGCGGATGCGTGTGTGAGTAGTACGGTGAGAGAGGCGAGTGATCGCGGCTACGATGTGTTGGTAGTCGAGGATGGGGTGGAGAGTGTGAGCGAGGAGTTGAAGATTTGGAGCTTAGAGTCGATCAAGGTGGAAGGGGGGTTGTTTGGGGTGACGGCGAATAGCAAAGACGTGAAGGAGGCGGTGGAGATGTGGATGGGGAATAGAAATGGGCAATGACAGTGAGATGTGTCGCAAGCAAGTTTTCATCACGCATGATTGATGTTGGACAAGTTCGCATGGCAACCGCATGCATTTGATAATAACTGACTAGGTCATGCACTCATGCTTTACGCAGAGCCAACCCGTGCTTCATTTGATATCATTCAGAGCCCCCATATACATAAGCCGAAAACGCCTTGAACCGATAACCGTGGATACCATCCATCACAATCCTTGAGAGTAGTCAAGACACGCCAGCACGTTCTCGACCGAGCATAAATACAAGCCGACAAGAGTACTGGAGGACAGCCGAGACCGAAAGCCAAGAGTGATATTTAACCGCCGAAACCGTAGAGGGTGCGGCCCTGGCGCTTGAGAGCGTAGACAACGTCGAGAGAGGTGACGGTCTTGCGCTTGGCGTGCTCAGTGTAGGTGACAGCATCACGGATGACGCTCTCGAGGAAGGTCTTCAAGACACCACGGGTCTCCTCGTAGATCACTGAAGATGGGTTAGCATGGTGTCACGATGAAGGCGACGGTAGGGTAGACTTACTGGCTGAGATACGCTTGACACCACCACGACGAGCGAGACGGCGAATGGCAGGCTTGGTGATACCCTGGATGTTGTCACGCAAGATCTTGCGGTGACGCTTGGCACCACCCTTGCCGAGACCCTTTCCACCTTTGCCACCTGTGGATACATGTCAGCATGATGCGTGTAGACGATGAGGTTGTGCAGCGACAATATGCAGGCGTCGCGACGCGCTGCTGGTGGCGATGCGATGTGCTATGGTCGCGTATCGTGAAGTTGTGGTGGGGGCGCAACACCAACACCACGATACGCGACTACTCGTGATCTGCCGCGCGTGGCGACGACGACGACAGCAACAGCACCAACAGCTGCAAGCAGGATACGGTGTGCATGAAAACAAGTTACTTACGACCGGTCATGTTGAAGGTTGTTGAGTGTTGATGGAGTTGGTTGAGATGAGTTGATGGGGGCGCGTGGCGCGTTGATTGTTGTTGTGGGGGTTGATGATACGGTGGAGCAGAGTTGTGTAGAAGAGGAGAAAGAGAGAGAGAGCGGGCGGCGGGCGAGGGCTATTTAAGAGACGAGGGCAGGCGGCGGGTGCCTTGAGAGCAGTGGAAAGCAGGCGCTAATCCCGGTTGGGGGGCAGGAGCAACTTCAGATCAAACAAATGCTTGGCAAAAAGGGCTTTGGGCGGCGTGGAATAATGGCGAAATATAGCAGCAGCTTTCCAGCGCTTTTACTTTGGCCAATTTTACCTGCGGAGAGAGCCCTTTGGCGGCGTTTTGCGCTACCGCTTGCATGCATGCTCTTAGTCAGCCGTCAGCCCCACGAACATCAAACCACCACCGCGTCTGCAACACCAACACAATTCACTTGATCCTTCGCTCACTTGTCGCGAGACTTCAATGCAATCTTTGAAGGTAATACGCTACATACGGTGGCTCTTTCTTGTATCCAAAACCTGCCTCTCCAGTCTGCTCGAGTGGTTTCTCATAATATACTACTCGTGTCGTTCAGGTGGTTGGTGTCTTCACTGCGTCACGCCACGGAGGAACACCTGCTGCTTTACGCGCTTTCCAGCCACACGTCCAAACTACAAAGTTTCTAATCAGAGTCATAAAAGTCGCAATAAGCTATCGCTCACAGGTCCAGAGTCTTGATCACGTCTTCACAGCTAATTTTGTGATTGGAAAGAATGTTCGCATTATGCATTACACATTGGCCTTTCGTCGCCTGTCTATCGTAGCATGTCCCGTGTGAGCCTCACACTGACGCCGGGTATAATACAATTCGGAAGAAGCCCACAGATAAGAAGGAAAATAGGCACCGCAAGAAATGCAGTTTACTGCACACAAGCCACCATCAACCTTTTGTAGTCGCCACTCGTCTCTCCTTCGATCCTCTTCACAAGAGTCTTCTTGTATTTGCGATGATACGCGTCGTTGACGGCCCTCATGAAGTTCTGGTCCCAGTGGCAGCGCACCACGCGTTGAACCAGGTATGTGTCCTTCGTACCAAGTCCTGCCATGCTGTCTTCCAAGCGGACAGCCTCGGCCATAGCTCGATCGTTGGCACGCGAAAGTAGAAGAGTGAGCGCGTCTTCCATGTGGCCATTGAACTTGGACTTGATGGTGGCTTCCAGGCTGGTGCGGAAGCGTTGCTGGTACGATTGGCTGATGGCTCGCAGCTGTGCGTCATTGCGGGAGAGAAGAAGCTCGCAGACCTGTGCCGAGTTCTTGCTGATAATGTTTCCAATGGCTGTTTGAAGCGTCGTCACGTCCTGCTCGATTGCTTGAGGGTTGGCAGGCGTCGAGTCTTCCTGTCGACGGGCCGCAATGATAATCATGTACATTTGCTCCGTGCCAGCGGAAAGATCACCACGCAAATCCGACTCCAGCGACTTTTTGAATATGCGCTGGTATTCGGCCTTGATAGCTTGGATATCGGCATTGCTCCTGCCAACGAGAACATCATCAAGGGCGCTCTCTTTAGTACCTGCGCCTTTCATTGCTGCGTAGAGGGTGTAGCAGTCACCCGTGAGTGGACCACGTGCAATCTGAACCAATCCCTTCTCGAAATAGCCAGAGGTTTCCGACTCGAGATCGGCGATCAAGTCTCTCATGAATCGCTGGTTGAACTGCGCGCGAAGCGTATTAATTTGAATCGGATCCTTCTTGGCCAGGGTAGCGATAAGAGCCTTCTCGTCCGTGCCAAATCCCTTCATTGCTTTGCGAACGGCTTCGACGTCTACTTGCATGTTGAAATTGCCCGTTTGCATGGGTCCATACCCAAGCGATGCCTGAGTAGGCGGTCCGAAGCTTTGAGGCGGAGCGTACCCCGGGGCTGCACCGTGGTGTTGTTGCGGCGGAGGGGCATACTGCTGTGGAGGTGGGGGCTGAGATCCCCACTGTTGCTGCGGAGGTGGAGGTTGGCCCCAGCCTTGCTGTTGCGGTGGTGGTGCGCCGTACTGGGCCTGTGGAGGAGGAGCACCCCAACCAGCCTGTTGATTGTATTGTCCTTGTGGAGGAGGTCCTGAATTGTAAGGTCCCGGCGGAGGAGCGTTATATCCTTGATTTGGAGGCGCTCCATAAGGAGCTTGGGGATAACCGCCAGGCGGAGGAGGAGGAGCGCCTAAAGGTGAGATATTAGCAAAGTATTCGCGTCGAGGTGAACTGATCGTGTACGAACCGTACTGTCCGCCCGGTGGCGGTTGCTGACCCCATTGATTTTGTTGAGGGGGCGGTCCTCCCCATTGCTGAGAGTAGCCTTGTCCGGGATATTGATTTTGCATCAGTATCTGCTTGTAGCGAGATGTCCTTGATTGAAAATGTGAATGTTAGGGAGATATGTGCAGTTGTTCTTGCGACCTGGGGCAACGTGTGTGAAGTGAAAGAAGCGGGGTCACCAGAGCCAGCAATGACCTTTATACGTGACTCGACGAATTACCAACACCCAAGAACGCAATGACGAGTTCGTGTTACCTGGTGGGGACCACAGCCACAAGGCGCAATGCGATTGGGGCTTAGCTCTACCAATGACACGGTCCGTCGAAGCTTCCTTGCCGATCATGGGATGGCTGCCTTAATTATGCGGGGGCTCCCAAACCAACTTGGTTCCTTGGTAATTTGGCCCCCGTTAGCCACATCCCATGACAAACCTGCACGCAGATTCTGCTCCGTATGATTTCACTGTAAATTGGCTTTTCTCTATCCGTATTATGGCGCATCAATCTGTTGTTCGCTTAGCCGCCAAGCCACCAACGGCATGTTGATGCCGGAGGGACAATGAATGAATATCAAGGCAGGTGTACGTACATATGTACATCCACTGCATTCAAAATCACGACACGACGAGGATATTACGTATTCATGCACGCACTTATATTCTCTGATGAAACTAGGGGCATACGATTCTTGACTAGACGAAGACTAAGCTCCGAGTCATACAGTCATTAACCCTTTCACCACATCATGTCCAGAACGTATACATGTCAATCACCGCCCGATTCCAATGCCACTTCAACTTAGTAGCGACCTCCAGGAGGTGGGCCGGGCGGAGGTGCACCATATTGTGGCTGGCCGGGGTAACCGCCTGATTGGGGAGGCTTTTGTTGCTGATGCTGGCCGGGATAGGGAGGATATTGTCCTTGGGGAGGCTGCCCTTGTTGGGGAGGATATTGCCCAGGTGGACCAGGCGGAGGAGCACCATAGCCCTGCTGGGGATAGGGTTGTTGTGGGGGTTGGCCGTATCCTTGCTGGGGAGTATATTGTGGAGCGCCATAGCCTTGTTGAGGAGGGCCGCCATATCCTCCTTGTGGTGGAGGAGCGTTGGTCTTTTCGTCTTTGGAATCGTAGCTGGAGTCGATGGCACCAAGCAACAGCTTAACAATCCATAGATCAGGCGTGAGGTCCACCGGCGGGTTAGCACGAGACATCTCGTCTTGCTCGTTCTCGAAATCTGACATCACGTTAGACTACACACAGAACAGGAAACGGATGAACATACTGGAGGTGCAGTCGACCAGATTTCCGATTGCGGGATCCTCGTCGAGCTTTCCGAGAAACTTCTTGGCCAGTTCATCGTTGCCGACTTGGGCAAACTCGAAGGCAATGCCACCTGATCCGTACTGTGGGTAGCGCTGTAGAGTGTCGACAGCATATTTAATAGTGTCAAAGACAGCGTTCTGGGGTTCGCCAGCGGGCTGGCCATCAGTGACGCTGATGACAAGAACAGGTTTCTTGAGCTGCTGGCTCTGAGCCCTTGAGAGAACGATCTCGTCGATGACCTTCCTGCGCAAAGAAGTTCCCATGGGAGTGAGACCCTTGAACTGTACGCCACGCATGATCTGCTCAATCTGCTGTTCAGAAGCCACGCCGTCCTGGAGTGGTCGGCCTTGGGGATCACGCATTTGGCTGAGATCGGTATTCATGAAGCGAAGCGAAATTCCGTCCGTATCAAACAAGGTCGCAGCAAAGGCAACTCGCTCCAGAATAAGGCGCAAGTCTTTGATACGTTCGCCGCTTTCTTCAAACGCCATAGAGCCACTGTCATCTATCAGTCGCGTCAGTAGGACATTTACCCAACTTTGGAAAGACTCCCATACCGATAAAGATCACAATGTCATAGAGCGCAAGCTTGACGATATCGTTCGCAACCTCCTTCACAATGCGCCAGCGCTGAATGACCTGATTGATCAATGCTGGAGCACGCTGTGCGATCTGGTCTATGACAGGGGAATTTGGAGGGTAAAAGCCTTGCAGCTTCTTCTCCTGAATACAAGAAAGCAGAAGCTGCTTGTACGCGCCAATCTCGGCGGGGCTAGCTTGCCCAGGAGGACCGCCAGGGGGGGCAGAACCGTACTGCTGCTGTGGAGGCCCGCCATACTGCTGTTGCTGCTGAGGCGGAGGAGCACCCTAAATGAAGATGGTCAGCACATGGCTTTCAGAAAATTTACACCAGTTCTAAGTCAGGTTTTGCATCGAGGACGCGAGGAATGTGCTAGCGTACGTAAGGCGGCTGCGGCTGACCCCAGGAATTCTGCTGCTGTCCGTACGGTGATTGCGGTTGCCATTGATTTTGCTGTGGTGGATACGGCTGTTGAGGTTGATTCCATTGGCCTTGCTGAGGCGGAGGCTGCGAAAAAGTCTGCTGGCGCTGTGGGATTTGCCCTGGATAGGGAGATTGGGGTGTCTGCTGAGGATAAGAGGATTGAGGTGGTCCTGGATAAGGAGATTGAGGCGGTCCTGGATAAGGAGACTGAGGCGGTCCTGGATAAGGAGATTGGGGCTGGCCTGGAGGAGGCGGAGGGGGTCTATTATAACCGGACTGCGATTGAGGATAGGGCGAGGGTGTCGACGACTGAGGATGTTGTGGTGCTACAGGAGAAATCGGTGTGTACGAAGCATGAGAATAAGGTTGAGGAATCGGCGGGTTGGAAGGTGGTTGAGAGCTGGACTGATAAGGGTTAGGGGCGTTCGGCTGGTATGGATTGTAGTTGGCCATGATAATGATAGTGGTGGTGGTGAAGCAGCGAAGGTCGGCGTGGTGGCAGACAGTCGGCGGCGAATCTCTTGGCCCGGGTTACGTAGGTTTTTCCGGAAAGCGCAGTCCAGAGGAGTGAAGCCGTGTTTGGTGTTGGATGGAGGAGTGTAGAGGAAGAAAGATGGAGTGGAAAGAGAGGATGAAGGAAAGGAAAAACCTACCGGAGCGGCGGGTCCACCGGCTTGGCCTGGATAAGCCTGATAGTTCTGTTGTCCAGGCTGACGTAGTGAGTTAGCGAAGGGTCTCGCAGCAGCTTCTCGTCTTTCTGGGAGTTGAGAACTTACATATCCGCCTGGGGGTGCGCCTGGTGGTGCGCCAGGCGGAGGGCCTGCGGCTGCGAGCTTGCTTGCCAACTAAGAAATGCCATCATCAGCCTTGCATGCATGTATACCCCACCAAGCTCCCACGCAAGTTGTAGCTCTGGTGGTGGTCTCGAGGTTCGCAGAACTTACACCCATGATTTGCAGATGTTCGATTTGGAGTTGTTGGTATGTTTGGGGCGGTGGAAGGTTGTCCTGGCGAGTATTTGGCAGCTTTAAGGGAGTGGAGAAGAGATGCTGACCGTCCAAGATTGCACTCAGGTTGGGCGGCAAAGAAGGTGGGGTTGACGGTGGACCGTGGTCGTAGCTGCCTCACAAGGTTCCAGCTCAGCCACACACTAGTTTGCCCGGCACAGGCGTACAAAGCTGCGTATGTACATGATGTGAGTACTTGCTTTACCCTAGGAAATTACTTTATTGGCACATGTTCAACAGATATTCACTTGATGACGTGAAAATCCCTTTCTATTCACATCGTGGTGGGGTTTGTCGTCATCGAATAATGTGGCGCGAGCTTACGAACTGGCGGGGTCCGAGTGTGTTTGTACCTTCATGTCCCACTTGCTGCGTCACCCGCTGTCCAACGATTGTGATTGACAGGATCCGACCGGGTTTGACTTATTCCCAGGCCCAGTCATTGCGAAATGTGGCTGAGGGGGCACGCGAGTGCATGACAAGGCAGCCCTACCCGTACAATGGAATCATTCATCGGCGTTTTCCACGGCCAATATCGTTAGTTGAAGATTGCATAAACTGAGCGCCCCATCACTACCGCGAAAATGAGACTGTATATAGGATATCGAGAGGAAATATGAGAATATAGCGCTGCTTATAGTATTCGATCCATGCTTCAGTTCATAGTCAAATTTCCGATGCGAGTGCGCTTGCGTTGACCGGTGAAGCTTGTATCGTCACCTGTTCCGAGTTTGGGTGTCAGCTGTGGCTCAAAACACAAACCACATGTACTGCTGGCGCCATGTAACACTCAATTCATACTTCAGTCTCCCAAAACCAACCCCGTGTCACTGAAGGAACGTTTCGCCACACTCCACGACGCCGATTCCGCCGCCCTCATGCTTATATCACTGAAGTACCGAGATCCTTCTATTTCTAGAACACTGTATACATCATCTTGATTTGGTATTTATATTTAAATGATAGAATTCATAGCTTACCACAGAGACCTGCTGTGCTTCAATCAACCGTCTCACAATATTTCTCAGAAAGTACATATCGTAGAGTTGCACAAAGAACAGGCACACCGCGCCTTAGCTATGAACGCCATACAGTCAAGTTTTCTGCGATCAGAAGTGAATTGTTTCCTATACTTGAAAGGCTGATAGAAGGATTTTACAATAAGTAGGAGTTTTGCTTTGAGCGCCAGGCCGTGGTGCAACTACACGAAGTTGGGGCCAGCCACAGCGCATGGCCACTGTGACTGTGCGCCATGTGCCACATAGTTGAAAATCGACAATTCTTAACACTAAGAATTGACCTAAGCATGCCCATTGCGTTGGAAATCTAGCAATAACATCAAAAGTCGTGACTCACTAAGGATCGCGGTGTGCCTGTTATTTGCGCAACTCAGCGGTATACAGGGCACCTGGCAAAACCATGTGCTGATTACTTAAGTACTCATCTGGGCGGATCGGATTCTTACCCATACGTGTGACGACCCATTCTCGGCTTAATCACGGACCGTAGTGCACGGCCCTCCAGTCTTGATCATCGACTTGCTAGTTTTGAAAGGGAAAGGACATTGACAGAAGCGAGGATGGTGCGGCCTAGATAACATTGTCAATATTAATTTAAACGTTCCAAAATTTTCCATCAACATCACCTTACCGTGCTTCGGCACATCAAAGGACCGCATCCATGGTCCAGCGGTAGGATAATTGCCTTCCATCTGTCTGCTCACTAAGCAATTGCTTAGTCAGCGATTAGTCAGCAATTGGCACGGGTTCGACTCCCGTTGGATGCAATCCAGCACAATCTTTTTGCGAATTGAAATGGATTTGGACTAAGCTCCATCTTTTTTTTATCTGGATGAAATGGCGGGATGGCTCTTGGTCGTGCTAAGTGTTTGTTTGGGCGTCAAAAGTAAGAGTCTTGGCATAGAAATCGACTTTTTGCGCCCACTTTCAACAAATAGAGCTCGCCAGCTAATGTTTCAACCTTTACGTCCATTGTAGATTGGTCATTGCACGTAAAACACACTAATAAATCCCGTGCGAGATGTCTATTACTTGGCTTGCTGCTGGGTACGTTCGCGTCTCTGTCTGGAACTCTATCCGTGGGCTTTCACGTTGAGCCTTTTCTGAGAACATGAGATTTACGCTTTACTCCAACCTATTATACACACTCAAGTGCTGTATTGCCAAGTATCTCAATGTATTCAAATCTTTTTCTGAAGTTCTCCAAAACTATTCTCGACTTCCACAAGTCCAGCTGTTATTTGCACAGCAGCACCATCAATTGATGGTCTGCAGTTCACATGACGGTCAAGTCAGCGAGGCATCTGTCGTTGGATTCCAAATACTAGTCGCACCACTTTGAGACCCGACCAGCGATGAGTCTCTCATTAATGGTTGCAGATAAATCTACGGGACAACCTTCATGATCACGCTTGATTGTACATCCCGATATGCACAGAAGCAGTTTGATTGTCGTGATATCGTCGCGCAAGGTGGTAGCACTACCTACGCATTTGCGCAAATTATCGTAGGCTTCACAAAAGCAGGAAACTCAACTTCTTGCGGTAGCCTGCATCAACAGTGCGGCATTACCAACGAATCACCGGCAGTATGCGAACGGCTCATTCCACCAAATGGAAGTCCCAAATTCCGGATTCCCCAGGCAGCAGCCCTCGCCAATGTGTTCCCAAACAAGCCGTGGTTATGCACGGCCAGCCTTGTTTCTTCGCATTGGCAGTCTAGACCAGTGGCCGCTAGAGTTGATGCGCTGTCGCCGACGCACATGAAGGAGCCCCGCGCACATGTACTCTGTCGGTGAAAATTGGGCTGGCGTGAGGAGTTGCGGGGACAATCCAACGCAATTAAGCACAAATTAGTACTGATCAGAAGTTGGATCGCCTGCGATTGGTTGTGGAGTGTCGCCGGGGAGAGAGGACTCACCGACCCCCGTTTCGGATAGGATGTGCACAAGCGATCGGGGACAGGCGGGGGAATGCCGCGTTGAGTAGGCAATGGTTGATTATGTTGTAAAGAGGACACGAGGAGACATTTATTGGTATAGATATGACGGCCAGATAAGCGGGAATGTGATCATTGAGCCGCATCCTCTTTATAAACCCACCTGCACTCCAGACCATCACAAGTTTTCAGCTCTCTCGTCTCCTCAGCACCCCCACAAGTCCACACATATATCTCTTGTTAAGACAGTGCAATACTGTGAGCCACCCGACCAACGATGTCGTCTCGAAACACCCAATACCAGCAATTCCAACCCCCACCACCCATTCGCACGGCAACGGCCGGTTCAGAAAAATCACACTCTTCCATGACTTCTGCCGAAGCCCTCTCCCCTCGTTCACCCTTCTCGCCCGGTATGAACTCACCCACAACTCCCGCTGGCGAGTCCTTCTTTGGTGCGATCACCTCGAGGATGCGTGGAAGGTCACGCAGCCGTTCGCGCGCAGAGGCATCCCGCAAACGTTCCAAGTCCCCGATGGTGATGCCGCCTGAGCGACTCCCATCCACGACCACCAAAACACAAATCGCCAGCCCAACAACGCCCACTACGCGGCGGCCACAACAATCACGTCATGTTTCGACTTCCAGTCAAACTTCCTTCTCTTCAACTACTTCCAGCCAGAACCGGCCAAGCATGACCGGCGCGTCAAGGCGTAGTACGGGAAGCAGTGATATGTGGCAGGGGCGCCATTCCAATTCCTGGCTGTTCAACGACTTCTCGGTGACCGAACAGGCGAGAGACATCTTTCATCGCAGGCGCAAGTAAGCACGTCGCTCATACAGGCCGACATGCGACCGAGGGGGGCCAGATAGCTGCAGGAAAGCATCACACTCCTCTGCAGTGTCCGGTGGTCCCACGCTGTCTTCTGACGTACGCTTTCCTTTTTCAAGTAAAATTGCTCTACTGTTCGATTTGGAGAGGGGGTTTTTCGACGCTGGCGAGCGATGCCCATAATGCGCTGAATCGTGATATTTCCTTACGACCCTTCTTTTACGGACGTTACGAAATACTGTTTAGCTGTCGTTTTCTACCATATGTATATTAGCTTTTGGGGGGAGTGAAATCAAATTCAGTCCAGCTGTTTTTGCACCACGTATCATTCTATGTGCCGTGATTCGATTGGGTGCCGACGAGAGCCTTGATGCAATAATCTTGTCGAGATCAACGAGGCCGTCATCACACGGTGTTATCAACGATCGCATGATAAATGAAGTTCGAAGTTATGCTTTGTCAATATCTTCCAAGAAAGGTGGAAGAGTGGTGTTTTCATCTCGTCGAAGAGGGGTGGATAGTCTCAGCCCTGCACTGCCCCCTTACTAATCGCCGTGTCGCGACCAATGATATATTCTGTTAGATACATATTGACTATTGCAAGCAGGATCTGTTCACTGTGAAATTCACCTCGAACCTGGGAAAATGATTCTCAGAAGATTTCATAGGTGTTGTTGTGCAGAGCTGATCAATCGGTAACCCCGCCTTCATAATCGGAATGGATTACGTTCAGCGGCTCTTGGGCTATTCCGAGAGCACATCAATGCCGATTCTCGTTGCATACAGTTGGGTACTCTCTTATACACCAAGCAATTACTTCTGAACGGTCGCTCCGAAACGAACAATTATCGGCATTGCATATTGTGTCATTCCACTGGCCCACTAATCAAAGACTGAATACATTAGTTCGACCCCGCCCCGACCAGTGACCCCACGGTTGATAACATTTGGTATCAATAACATCGCCTACCATAAGTCATTCCCCTATCGCCAATTTACAAACCTCCAGTTTCTACAATGAAGCACGGACGCTCCTCTTTGCCTACACCTACATCAACAAACTCATTTTGGCACACGGAGCCGAATGAGTTTCTGTTGGGTCACCAAACAACTGCAGAGCTGCCCGAAGAAGCCGATATCGTGATTGTAGGCAGCGGTATTTCAGGTGCCAACGCAGCGAGATATCTTATTGAAGATGGAAGGGCAGACGGTTTGAAGATTGTTATGCTGGAAGCAAGAGAAGCATGCTGGGGTGCCACGGGACGGGTAAGTCTGCAACCCCCAAATTTGTGATATCTATACCGCGATCCAGGACACGGAGTCAGCAATTATGAGAGCTTCTTATCCTGCCGTTAAGATGACTCAGGACTGAAGTACTATCTTAATGTTACTCCTAGATACTGTGCTAATCAACCAACAGAACGGCGGCCATTGTCAACCGCTTCTCTTTGACCGTGGTCCTGACGTAGCAGATTTCGAACTGCAGAATGTATCTGCCGTCAAATCGTACATTGAAAAACACTCTGTTCCTTGCGAATGGCGCTCTGTGACTGGCTGTCGCAGCTTCTGGACAGCAGAAACAATGGAAGCAGCTGAAAAGGAAGTCGCGCGCTTGCATTCAGCGGCACCAGAAATTGGCAAGCTCGTCACTATTGTCAAAGACAAAGAGGAGATGGAAAAACATCGCGTAAGTCATAGTGCAAGTTCTGAGCGATCGGATGCCAAAACCACATATAAAGTCAGACTTAAGACAGGTATATCGAATCACTGCTGGATTTCGGCTGACTGTATCACAATTTATAGGTCAATCCGGCTGCCAAAGGCATTACGTTATCTCAGAACGCAGCGAGCTTGTGGCCCTACAAACTTGTTACCTTCATCTTGGAACAGCTAGTCAAAGAAGGGAAACTAAACCTTCAAACCAAGACGCCCGTAACAGAGATCACATCCTCGGACAACAGCCATACAATCCATACACCACGAGGCAAAATCACCTCTCCGACCGTCATCCTCGCCACAAATGGCTACACCTCTGCCCTCCTCCCTCAATTCGCAGATCTCATTGTCCCTGTGCGAGCTCAAATGAGCGCATTAATCCCACCAGCCAACTCCACCATTCTTCCAGATTCCCACGGCATGGTAGGCGCACCTGGCCAGCCCTTCTGGAACGACGACTACCTCATCCAACGGCCGTACTCAGACGTCCCCAACCCCGCGGGGCATCTCATGTTCGGCGGCGGCCGCGGAGACGGAGCGTATCCTACGGTGTGCGTGAGCGACGATTCCGTCCTCGACGAAAAAATCGCTGCTTACTTGCGCCGCGCACTGCTCACCGTCTTGAAGCTCGATGGCTCAACCCAGGGACTTGAGGAATTGAAAGCCGCCAAGGAGTGGACCGGCATCATGGGGTATTCTAGAGATGATCATCCGTGGGTTGGAAAAGTTCCTGGTAAGGAAGGATTGTGGTTGTGTGGGGGGTATACGGGACATGGTATGCCTAATGGGACGCTTTGCGGTAGGGCGATTGCGAAGCTGGTTCTCGGAAACCGTGAGGGGAAGGAGCTGGATGAGATGCAGGCGGAGATGGTGGGTAAGGCTGAGTTGCCTGCAAGTTACTTGATCACTGAAGAAAGGATCGAGAAGGCGAGGTTGTTCCCAATTGTTGAGCGTCAAAACGATCCCGTCATCGTATAGTATACTGCAGAATCATCATGCTCTAAAGTCTTTGGGAGTATACTGAGGCCAATCGAAACCGTACGGACATGTCCGTTTGTTACTCTGCATTTCAGATCTACAGGCTGTGTCTCTATCTGGTGTTGTCTTGCGTTGCTGACATTCGATCATCACAGCGTCTTCCCGGCCGTGGAATATCTCCACGCCGGTGACATGTTGTTCGGCGCCCCAGACGCTGTCTTTCCAAAAATCTCAGGCACACTTCAGGCTTGCAGCGTGACCGCTCCCCAAATGATGCAATTGCTCAAACTGTATCAATCGCAAATGCTGACTAATATACAGCTCAACGGGTCTACGTACGAGATGCGAGTCATACCATGTTCGCATCGTGAGTGGAAAACGTGGGGAAAGCGGAACCAAGATGTCATTCTTGGCCTAGCGGAATTTCTTCCGGTTCGGTCCAAGTTCTATGGCCAATTCCCATGTATATAAAGACCAGGTAGCTGCTCCATGATACCATAAGCAAACATCACATCCAGGCACACATCCCTCTTCTTGCTTGCCGAATACAATCTCCACAAATCGAAGGATACAACTTTCTTGCACCAAGTCAGATAAATCAAGATGTCAGCCCAACAACCCCCCAAACACATCGGAGTCATCCTTTTTCCAGGATTCCAACTCCTCGATCTTTGCGGTCCTTTGGATGTGCTCAACATCCTCGCTACAGAGCGCACCTTAACGCTTTCCATCTTGGCTGCGACGCTCGATCCTGTATCGACACAGCATGCGTTGCAGGAGAGCAAGCAGTCTGACTTTGGCGAGAAATTGGTGCCTACGCATACATTTGATACAGCGCCTGATGACATTGGTAAGTTGACACTTGGAGAATCAAGGTGGATTCGGGAGTTTGGTAAGACGTGGTAAATCGGGAACAGTGCTGACGAAATGGCTGTAGAGGTGTTGATTCTCCCTGGAGGCTACGGGTCGAGGAGCGAGGAGAAGATCGAAGGTGCCGTCGAGTTCCTGAAAGGTTACTATCCAAAGTTGAAATACATGATCACGGTTTGCACTGGAAGGTGAGTACCCTCAGAACATGGAAAGTGTCGAGGCAAACTCCAATTGGATATTTTTATTCCCCGAGGAGCCTTCGAATTGCCTGTATTCGAATTTTGCTAATCCTGTGACTCGTCATTAGTGCCATCCTGGCGAAAACAGGCGTGTTGAACGACCGCCGAGCGACATCTAATAAAAAAGCTTTCACATGGGTACGTGTCTCTACGCACGTGAAATCTCTAGCTAAAATTGTACAGGTCAAAGAACAAAACACGGCTGTGAAATGGGTGGCCAAAGCCCGATGGGTAGTAGATGGCAACATATGGACATCTTCCGGTATATCGGCTGGAATTGATCTAATATATTCTTGGATTGGAGAGGTATATGGCAAGGAACTGGCAGATCTGTTGGCTGATCAAAGCGAGTACGAGAGGAACACCGACGCAGGCGATGACCGATTTGCAGCAAGGTGGGGCGCCGTCTAGATATATTCCATAGTTCGGAATGTTAAATTCCGTCGTCGACTATGAAGCATCGCAGTTTCCGACGGGATCCTGGCTTCTTCAGGCGGTCCTAGCAAAATCCATCACGTCGGTCTCTAGATGCAGCGCCTCGAAATTTGTGAGCTCCTGCGGTAGATTCTTCGATGGTTTTACCGCAACACCTATCATGTAGTTCTCCTCAAAGGCTCTTATCTCCATCCTCACATTTTCCAACTTCCTCCTCTTTAGCCATATCTCAGGTCCTTCCACTCTCTCGCCCCACGTGACGTGGGTGCTGCACCTGGCCACGACTCCAGCTGTCGGCGCTCTCACACCTTTGAACTCGAGGTCTCGGATCCAGGTTGCTAGCAACGCCTCGCCATCCATCTTGATGTATGCTTCTTTGTAGCACCAGTGGGTGTAGAAGCGACGTAATTTTGCATCAATCAGAAGATCGCTCGAGAATTCGCGTTGCTCGCCAGATGGCAGTGTCGCAACGAGGTCCTTATTGCGGACGCAACACCGGTCGTGACGTCCCAGCATACTAGCATCCACGATAGTGCCATCAAGCAACTTGAAGGGGTCGACGTTGTATTTCATGTCCCAGCTCTCCTCCTCATTGAAGATCTCCTGGTAGACATCCACCCAACCATCGAAACCCTCCTCATCCACAAGTCTATAGTCGTTCCTTTCGTTGACGCAAACAATATCTACTCCGACTTCGGGTTCCTCCAGGCTACTGGCCGAATCTTTTGTTATACAACCCACGAGCGCGACCAGTCCCGCTTGATGTGAGATGTTGAACTCAACCGGCAAGCGCGTACCATCTGGTAGCTCTGCGCAAGGCTTTCCATGCTTGGGATCGCGTTTGCGGCCAAACCGAATGGATTTCCATGGTGTCCCAAGAGTTTTGGCTACAAAAAGTCGTTTGAGAAGTGCGGATGCCAGCGACATTTTGGCATCAGCGATGCGGAACTTGCGTATACATGCCTTGCGCTCTTCCTCGGAGATCAAGCTGAGCGCCTCTGCGGCCTAGAACAACGGTCAGCTTCGGTACAAGTGACAGCAGATTAGAATTGCGCACCGAGTCTGCAATCTTGTCACCTGGCCATAGCGAGCGGGTATCAATGAACCAGCACGTGTAAGGCAGCTGTTGGTTCATTGCTGTCATATTGTAGGGCGTAGGGCGTGGCTATTGACGGAGGTGAACTAGAGGGGTGCGGGTATACGGATTAGAGATGAGCAATTGCGCTATCGATAAGAAGGGACCCTTTCCGCTTTTTGAACGTCACCATTCCGACCCCATCGGACTCCGACAACTCGTGATATCACCTGAGAATGACCGTCACGTTTCCGGATATCACGGTTGGTGTGCTGGCGCTCCAAGGCGCTTTCAGCGAACATGTGCAATTGCTGCGATTGGCGGCTAAAAGTCTCGAGCAGCGGAAAGCAGTGCATGTCAAGTGGGGTTTTATCGAGGTCAGAACGCCACAGGAACTGGCAACATGCGACGGCTTGATTATTCCTGGTGGTGAGAGCACGGCCATGGCTCTAGTTGCAGCACGGTCCGGCTTATTGGAACCGCTGAGAGAGTTTGTCAAGTAAGTGCAGCGCTGCCTACAATCTCACCTTCATACTGACGCTCGATAGAGTCCTCCGCAAACCCACCTGGGGAACCTGTGCAGGTCTCATCCTGCTTGCCGAATCGGCCAACAAGACGAAAAAAGGTGGCCAAGATCTCATCGGAGGTCTCGATGTACGCGTGAACCGCAATCACTTCGGCAGGCAAGTGGAAAGCTTTCAAACAGATCTTAGCCTTCCTTTTCTCGGCGATGCGATCGACAAGGACTCGAGCGAGCCATTCCGCTGCGTCTTCATTCGAGCACCAGTTGTTGAAAAGGTCTTGCCACACAGGGAAGGCATACAAGCAGAGGAGGCAGAGCAAGATGCGACAGTCGTTGCTCCGGCACAAACACCAGCGGATGAGTTAGCAAAAGAGGCACTGCAATCAGAGGTTGAGATTATGGCTAATATATCCACGCGGAATACTGCCCTCCAGCAGAACCAAGAGCACGAGCATGCAGGCAACGAAGATATCATTGCCGTACGCCAAGGTAATGTCTTTGGCTGCAGCTTCCACCCCGAGTTAACGGCCGACCCTCGGATACATGTATGGTGGCTGGAGGAAATTCTGAAGGCTGTTCAGCGAAGGCAGGAATTTGTTGACCGCACTGTACTGTCAGTCTCATGAATGACGCCGGGATCCAACAGGTGGAGAGGCACTTGGGAAGAAAAGCACTTGTACTTATAGAAGTCTCTAGAGACGGCCAACCTGGCCAATTGTCGCAGAAGAATTACTAGTGGAAGCTTCAGCTCTCCAGTTTTCCTGTATGAACGCCATTAACTCCATTTATGCCTGATATCATACATCCGCCCCAATGCCTCCATTTAGTCGTCGTAATACTCGTCGGCATAGGCCCGGCCGTAGCCTCCTCGTCCTGGGTCGAACTCGTTCCGGTACTCATCGCGCACTTGACCACCTGATTTTCCTCGTCTGAAATACTGTTAGCCAACATGAACCTCTACATTTTGGAATTGGTAATCGTACCCATATTGACGGCCCTCAGCGAAGCCCTCATCGAGATCGGTACGAATGACTCGCTCGTCCAACTTGGTACCGCCGATGTACTTCATGCAGTCGAGGGCATCTTGGTGGGTGTAGTATTCGACGAAACAGAAACCGCAAGGGGTTTTTTGAAATCGGTCCAACCCCATAACCAGTCGCTTGATCTCGCCACACCTATTTCCAAAAGTCAGAGGGTCTCTCTTAGCTGTGAGGGTGCTGTACTGCGTACTTTGAGAAGAGCTCGTGGATTTGTTCTTCGGTGGTGTAGAATGAAAGATTTCCGACGTAGAGTGTGGTAGCCTCTTTGAGCTTGTCATCGAATTCAGGCGTGGGCTCGCGTCGTTGGTCATCGTCGCGACGATTATTCTTCCGGCGATTCTGTGAAGCTATCAGCACAGTTCCAGCGTATGCGCAGGCGGCTATTTTACTTTGCTAGTCGCATATGAACTAGGTCTGTCAAGACGCTCGACCGTGTTTCTCCTCGACGCCGGCATTGTGGGCAAGACTGCTGTACAGATTAGAGCTGTGGAACTGGTGGTTGCGTGGATAGAAGAGAGTTGGCGGAGAGAAAGGGCGCGCGGTTGTCACACAAAGCTGCTCCGCAATTCAGCCAATCACAGCTGTGGCTTATCACAGTGTGGCTGATGCTTCGCAAACAGACGCGTTCTCTCTCACTACTTCCTTGTCGCTTCCTTGCTTGCTCTCTTACCAGCACCACAAAACTTCACCGTCACTTGAAGCACAGTATTTGGTGCAACGACCCAACCATTTGCGCCGTGGAAGCGATCCAAAATGCCCCGAGTTCTGAGTCACACGCCTGCTTGGCTCTCCCGGCCGAGTCCAGGCTACCATCTTTTCGAGCCAACGCCTTCAGGAAACCACGTTCCGACGGACAAGCAAAAGAGCACAGGGCTTCGAAGACCCATTGCAACTAGAGACTCCGAGGTGTTTGTGGCTGTCGGCCGCGAAATACGTTGGGCCGATCTGGCGCAATTGAAGGAAGACGACGCGCCCCAATATCGCAAGCTCGCCATCTCGCTACATTTGCCCGTTCAACGCCTCACTATTTCTCCTGCTGGAGACTACCTCGCCGTATCCACCTCGCATACTGTTCATATCGTCACCCTTCCGGATTCCTCCCTCCTTAATACCGACGACCCATCCCCCATAAAGCCCAAAACATTTCAAGTTGGGCCTACGACGCACGTATTGGAAGAGTCGCCGATCGCATCAATACTTTGGCATCCATTGGGATACCGTGGAAGATGTCTGGTTACAGTTACTCTCGAAGGTGTGGTGCGATTATGGGAGATCAACCGCGCAGATAGACTGTCGTTCAGCGAGCCAACGCTTTCAATTGATTTGGTCAAGCTTGCAACCGCCGAAGATTATGAAGATGACCTGAGCGCATCATATTACGGAGCTTCGAAGGGTTTCTCCGTGGACATGGCTTATCTTGAAGTTGCCTCAGCTTGCTTTGGAGACTCGCCCGATCAAGAGGGGGCTCACGGTTGGGCACCCATGACTTTATGGATTGCGACAGTTGCAGGAGAGGTCTATGCTCTGTGCCCGCTTCTCCCCAACAAGTGGCAGTTGCCTGAGTCACATGGTGCGGCCACTTTGTTACAAACTTTGGTGACCTCCATCGACATCAATTACGCCGACGTTTCTGATGATCAAGAGGCCACCCCTTATGAAAGAGCAACAGTGGCAAATCAGCTCTCGTGGAAGAGCGATATCATCTATCATGAGCCTTTGGAGGAAGTCCTTGCCAACGGAGATACTATTAAGGTCTTTCCGAGGCCGGCTAGTGTTCCCGCCATCCCTTTGCTTCAGGGCCCATTCACGATCAAACCAGCCGTAGACAATTTTGAACTTAGCGACATGGCCATTTACTCCCTCAAAACTTTCTCGGACGGTGGGGAAGAGGGGGAAATAGCTGAAGGCCTACCGGCCGCTGTAGTGTGTCTGCTCACGGACACCTGCCAAGTGCATGTGTGTTTTGACGCGAAAGGTATAGAAGGCAAGTGGCTGCCTTTGGAAGGGGTAGGTTTTTCTAATTCAGAAATAAAGCCAACATGACTGATTCGCACAGGATGAATGCACTATCGAGCCCATTGATCACACACTGATCGTTGCCGAGACTATCACGTTGGTCGACAATGCGGTTTCATCAAACAAACAGAGCATAACCTCGGATGTGCATACTGATTTTTCGTTCTTCGTATCGCATGGCAGCGGTGTATACTATATATCCTTGGAGTCTTGGATCAGAAAACTCGAGACTGAGCTATCTAACCCGAAGCATGAAGGCACTGCATATCGTCTCAGGACCCTGATTAGCGAAACAAATACCAAGGTCGAACGATGTCTTCGCCGGCAGCCTGGTGATGAAGAGAGGGAGGCCACGTCTTGCGTCATTGTCGAGGACGGTATCGTTGGGTATATGATGCTTACCACTCTTGATAACGAACCACAAGCAATCACTTTCGATGCCCCAGAAGACGGGTTGTGGATGGGTTCTGATGCTGATGATTATGAGTTTGTTTCCACTCCAGGGGAGGTACGCGATTTGTGGAACCCACGGAAAGAGCTATGGGAGACATTTGACTTATATGCGGCTCTGAACATTCCCAACCGACACAGGAGCTTTCTCAAAGATGAGATAAGATTATCCCCCGCCAATCTCGAGCTTCTAATGAGCGCCCATCGTGTGCTGTCTACCCACACCGATAAACTCCAACATGCTGTGTCCAACTTGTTCAATCGCTGTCAGCGCCTACAAGACGAGTACCGGGCCGAGATCTTCCGAACTTCCCGCATCGCAGCACAGATTGACGCCATTACAGGCGAAGACGAAAAGGGTTCGGAAACTGCCGGCAGTGCAAGGATGGAAGAGCGATTGCAGAAAGTCAAAGTCAAACAAGAAGCGCTGAACGCACGCTACCAATCCCTGCGGAGAAAAGCGGGAGGCATCCAGAACCCCCAGATTAGCGAAAAAGAGTCCGCCTTCACCGCCGAACTGCAGACATTAGAAAGCAGTCTCGACCCCACCAAACAAACCTTGACCGACGACGTTGACGGCCGCGATGTTCCTGCATGGCAACGTCTGAACAGCATCAAAGAAACGAAGGCATCATTGGCGCAAGACGTGGAAAAGGCCGTGCAGAGCGATGGTACAGAAGGAGAGCGGACGAATGCGAGGGTCAACGTACCATCTCACTCCAGAAAATTGGAGAATGAGCAAGTCCAGAAGTTGTTGCAACACCAGACCGATCTATTGGAGGCCACTGCAAATCGCTTGAAGGATTTTGGGATAGCCGTTCCCAATGTGTCCGTGGAGGGGGGCGGATAAGAGTGGATTGGGAAGCTCGTTACACCTTGTTGATTGATGCAATTACCTGCATGCAGATTGCCAAGTCTAATTCAGCCAACTCAAGAGAAAAGAAGCATTGGCAAGGATCTTTGACATGCCCATATTGGAGCTAAGCAACGGGCGCATAGCGGAATGGTTAGATTCAGTTCAGGTACGGACGGGGGTAAGCGTTTGTAATTCGATTCGCCTTTGCCGATTGGCGAAGGTTGATGAAAGGGCAAGCGTGACAAGATTGAGCTCTTGTCCTCGCAAGGTATCTGAAAAGTAGGACACTATCTTACACGCAAAGCACTTACGTGGCTAAAATACCCCTAAATAATCAGTGTTATTTCTTTAATTCTCGTCATCATTGATCAAAACGTAGCATATGTATGTAAATGCTGGAAGCTTGGTAGCGCATGAGAAGGGGCTTTTATCCTTAAGTCTACTATTCTATTTTTGAACTGCATTGAGAGATGTCTCCTTCTGAAGTTGGTTTTCGTATCAAGTTAACCTATCATTTTCCTTGGACTTATCTGACGTACTCCCATTGAGAGCGTTTTAACCACCCAGCTGTAGAAATTTGCAACTATGGTTTCACAGCAGAGCCCGCCAACACATACATGTGAGCGCAGTATCGAGCAACATGATGAATAGCCCCCAAACATTCTAACGGGCTCATTTTGCGTTAATCATCACTCGGTCGTGTGTTTCTTTGTCTACAATTAGCAGCTCGTATGTAACCAGGGAAAGGGAAGTGTGCGATTACCGCCGGACAGATCAGCAAAGACATTGCCGTCCTCAACGGTCAAGCTCGCTTCTGCAAATAAGAACCGAGAACGATTAGTACGGGGCGACATATTGCTGGCTCCCGAAAAGCGTAGGACAACCGACACATACCATTGAATGTCAGCCTCACAGATTCTCCTTCCTGTTCGGCGGCAACCGGATGTATCTTCCCCTCGCAGCTGTCCGCCTTGAACCAAAAGACCATTTTGGGGCCGAAACTCCGATCTTCGGCCATTGCGCGGGCCAATACCCAGTCACCTGATTGCAGACGTCCGTTCTGCAGGCTGAAAATGGCAGGCTGGGAATCGCCAACCTTGGCTTGGTGTTTCTCACCAGCGGAGTTGGAAGGCGGGGCAATAAAGGAACCACCAACTTGAATGGAGAAGGAGTTATCCAGAGATGAAGGCATGACTGACTATCGGAGATGCCGTAGGTATGATCAGTGCTTGGCAAGGTTTGGATGGAGAGCGAGGAGATGCAATATGTATGTAAGGCGCAGGAGCGAAGAATGACGTGCGTGTATCCCGAGGTTGTGACCTTGCTTGGTATTGCAAGTATGCACAAAGGTATGTGATCAAAGGGGCTCAGTGGGGCCTTTTCTTTTGGCGGTCAGATACAAGTACGGGAGGTAGTGGCCTAATAGGTTAGGTGGAGAAATTACGTCTACCTTTTTCTCGAGATGCGACTATCAGGTCGGGACAAACATCGGGATGCCAAGGTGCCATAGCCCCACGGACTACCAACACCAGACCAATTGTGTGACGACTGCAGTCCTGTTCCTTCACGTCCATCGCGAGGTGTGTGTGCTGTAGGCATACATGTCATTTCCTGCGTGACTGCATGTTTGTTATTTTTGGGGACGACCTTCGCGCCCGCCGACTGCATAACGATCATCCACTCATCCACCTCTAAGCTCTCCATGCCAAGAAGAGATCGACACCAGAGACCTTGACACAACAGCTAACGAGAAGAGGAAGGACATCTACTATGACGATCCTGGGGTTAGCCCTTACGGGCGAGATGCCGGTCGCATAGCCAGCAGTGCCGCCACTCGCCGGGCGATGAACCCTGCCTCCGAGAGGAAGTGGAAACATGGCGTGGAAACAAACATCTCATCCACGGTTCCTGTTTGACCAACGCGCACAGTTTGCTATGTGCATACCGCATGAAGACAAATCCTTCCGTCCAACAGCCGCAAGGAATTGTGGGTTTATTGGGTAAGAGAGATACGCACATACCTCTTCGTAAAGCGGAGGCTTACTGATTTGCAAGATCTGCACGGTTATCGATCCCAAACGGCAGGTCTGTTTACTGTCACGACATTGAATTCCCCGTCAGGAAGCACGTGCAAATAAACATCGTCGTCATCTTGTCAATACCCGGAGCATGTGTGCACACAAGAAACCGCATTGCTTGTTTTGCTTGTCATGCATGCATGCGTGCATGCTTGCACACAAGGCATCTATGGCACAGCAAGCGCAGGGGAAAGGGGTATCGACTTGAGGGTGTGGGTTCCCCAGTCTGCGATACAGTGAAGAAGCAAACCTATTGCAATTAAAGGACGATTAATGCTGGAGACGTATAGCAGGGCATGTCAACTACTGACTCGGTTAGATCCCGCAGCTCAATCAGCCATAGGCAGGTCATTTAAGATGAAGGAAACAAGCAGGGAAACCTCTAGGCAAATCGCCCGAGGCCAAGGGGGATGCTACTGTATCAGCTCCCTCTTTAGCCACTAGCGCACCCTGTGTCGAGTGGCATGTTGCAGCAGATAATCGTCCCATACTACCGAACACACCTGTCGTACACGAATCTTGATAGCAACGGTCTGCTGCTTCCGGAAGGCCATTTGCCAGCGCTGGCTTGGCGGTTTCAATACCGCCGGCCAGGAACAGGATGGGAAGGTTGATACCTGACCATGTGTTTACCTCGAGGGCCAAGCCTCGTGATGCATGTTGTATAAGTATGCCCGCCATGTCTCTGTTTTGAGAATCACCAGGTCGCTTTCCCTTCAGCTACAAGATACCTGCTCCAGTCACTCACTCCAAAGAATTCTTTCGGTCAATCCTCACAATGAAGTCCTTCTTCGCTCTCGCCCTTCCCGCCCTTGCCCTCGCGGCACCAGTTCCCCAGGAAGATGAAATGAGCGTTCAGATCGTCGGCGGTGTCCCAGCTGTTGCTGGTGACGCCCCCTTCATTGTCGCCATCTCCCGCAGCGGAAACGCTCACTGCGGAGGTTCTTTGATTGATTCTACTACGGTTGTCACCGCTGCTCACTGCACGCAACCCTACGCCGTCAACACCCTCACCATCCGCGCAGGATCTCTGGTACGTTGATTCTAGCCCATCATCATGCTGGCTGTACACTGACTGGGACGCAGCAACGCACTTCCGGTGGAGTCACCTCCAACGTTGCTTCCAAGAGGGTTCACCCCAACTACAACGCCAACACGTACGAGAACGACATTGCGGTCATCAAGCTCAGCACCCCCATTCCCGAGAGCGACACCATCAAGTACGCCAAGCTCGCAGCTTCCGGCAGCGACCCTGCTGCTGGTACCACCCTTACCGTCGCCGGCTGGTATGTGCAACTCTTCGCGAAAAGGAAAGAGTAACACCAAACTAACTTTATGAATAGGGGATCCACCCGCTCGGGCGGCTCTGCCACGACCGAACTTCGCAAGGTTGACGTTCCCGTCGTTGCCCGCGCTACGTGCGACTCCAACTACCAACCCGAGGGATTGAGCGTCACCAGCGACATGTTCTGCGCTGCTCCCAGCGGCGGAGGCAAGGACTCTTGCCAGGGTGACAGCGGAGGCCCAATCTTCGACTCGAGCAAGACGTTGGTCGGAACCGTCTCCTGGGGTATTGGCTGCGCTCAGGCCGGCTATCCCGGTGTCTACGCTCGCGTTGGCGCTCAGATTCCCTTCATCACCGGCTCTTAGATGGGGCGATGATTGAAATCATGTCTTTTTTCCTTTTTTGCATGTCACTGAGCATTTGGGGCAATAGGGACGCAGAGTATCTTGAAGTTAGCTAGCTGTTGGGATTGCGCCCGGCAAAGGCGGCCTATGTTGTATGTTTCACGATACCAACCATGGTTACTTTAGTACGATGAATGTAAATATCACACCAACAAAACCATGTCTTTGGCATTACGTTCAAGTTGTGAAGCATCGATTCCCATGAAGGACATGTCGATTGCCTGACGTGGGCATGCCGTGTGCGCCGCGCGGCACCAGCAAAGGAGCAGCAACAGGCTTTGGGATTGAAGCGAAAAACGGTGGTTGCAACATGCACAGCAGGGTTATCAGCGTCGCCACCGCACAAAAAGAGTTTGGATGAAGGCATACATGGACGGGGGCAAGGCATATTTTTTGGGCGGCGACGTATCGATAAGGGTGCGGCATGGCATTGGCGTGGCAATCTAAGTATCTCGGTTAACTAATGTAGGTGGTCCCTTGGGGTAGAAGGGACGACCCAATCACGGTTTGGTTTAGGGCTGAAAGTGATTGCTAAAATTATATACCCGGCTGAAGATGGATACATATGGACGATATGGAAATAGATGAAATCTGCGGGACAAATGCTTATCTGTGATGGCGATGCGGTAGGTGGGAAGGCTTGTGTTGGAGCGTGGAACGAGAGGTTCGATTGATGGCTGGATCCTCTCCGACCGACATGGGAGGAGGATGATGTAACAAGTACGGGTAGGCAGTTGGCGCATAAACATGTTTATAAGTCGGGATATTCGATGGTTAAAGCACACACGCAGGGACGGACGCACGGCACAGCACAAACAGAGCGTGTGAATGGAAGGATGGATGGCATGACGGCACTGCTGGAACGCGGCACCGTGACATGTCCATCACGCTTCCGTCACATCACGGCGGCGGCAAAGGGGTAATTGAAATGGAGTATGTGTGTTGGTGACTTTGTTCTCTTCAGTCGACGACGGAAAGCCGAGGGTAGTGGAGCAGGGCGCTTACAAGCACAGCAGCATCCCCACGGCTGCAGACAGCATCACACGCAAAGGGCTTGTCGGCCTCTTAGCGATGCACTCCCGCCCCCGTCCGCGCATGCCGTTGGCTGCTGGCCCCTGCCGGCTCAATATACGCTGGCGGCGCTGATTGGGCGCGGCGTGCAAATGCAGAGCCCAAAGGGTGCGTCTCGTCGACGGCTGCTCAGCCATGGCCCCAATCAAGAAAAGCGTCCACCCGTCTCACCCAGCCATTCGTTCGCACTCCATGTCGCCAGCTCTTGGGAAGCCCACCAGGAACGATGTGGGAGGGTCCAGGTGTGCCGCAACTGAGGTGAGACCTTATTAAGTGCTGCATTTCCGCCACCCGCGCGCTGCCGTTTGCCTTCTGCTTGCTTGCTGCTGTTTGTCGCTGCCATCCGTCTCGAGTCCCTTCAGCTGCCCTCACGCGCGCCGCCACTACCACCACTGCTGCTGCTGCTGCCGCAAGTACCGCCAACATGTCTCGCTTTGCATCCTTCCTGTGCCTCGTCGCATCTTGGACCTCGCTCATATCCGCTCACACAGTCATCGTCTATCCAGGCTGGAGAGGGAACAACATTTGGACAAACGGTACCGTGTCACCGCGAGACGACAACATCAAGCCCGGAAGTCTAGGCATCACCTGGGAGAATGGTTCTTATGCTTTTCCTTATGGAATGCAATGGATGTATCCATGTATGTGAACACCAATTCTCAACAATATGTCAATCATACATTTTGTTCCGTTTGCGAAACGGGGCGGGCTGCGAATACCATCACCACGTAGTTGGGAATTGCCAACTAACCACCAACAAACAGGCGGCGGTATGCCAACATCAACAAACCGCACAAAATGGCCCCTCACAGGCGGTGCGCTGTCCATCCAGCCCGGATGGTTCCCCGGCCACTCCCTCGCGCAATTCTACATCAACATGGGCTTCGAAACTGAGCCAAAGAACTACAGCCACGCCATGCTTCCCGTTTTCCAAATCGTCGGTCCCTCCAACGTTCAGTACAACGGAACCTTTTGTCTGCCACAGGTCCCACTGCCCACTGGCTACGAGCCCAAGGTCGGGGACAATGCCACTATCCAGGTCATTGAGCTGGCACAGCATGGCGCCTCCCTGTACAACGTAAGTTTTAATCCCTCTTCACATTGCGCGCCCCATTCTCACCGCCTCACTGGCCAAATCAACATGCGCTGACAAGTCCTTTCCAATCAGTGTGCCGATATCACCTTTGCGGAGCCCGGAGATCCAGAAATCCGCGAAGTCACCAGGGAAAACTGCTTCAACTCATCCGACACCGACGACAAGATCGGCTTCCAGCTCTTGTACGCGACCACCAGCTCACCAGCAAATATGAACTTCAAGCCGAACCCCTGGGCTTCCCTCCTTATCCCGCTCACAGTTGCCGCCGCGAGTTGGATAAATTGGTTGTAATCGCAGAAATGCGAAACACAATCCCAATTCGTTATAATCTTCAACTCTTATTATGACGACCATTTTCTGTTGTGCACATATACATTTCATTCCTCGTTTCGTCCTTGGCAATTTTTAGGACAGGGTCTTTTGCTTTTGGTCTTCTAAAGCGGGTGTTCTAGGCGCGTGATATCCACCGGGGGCTTTCCATTCGTTTTGGGTCCATCTTCGTTCTGTTTTCTGGTTTTCGAGCACTTGATATCAAAACATCATGACCGGAGCGTCCTTCCTTTTAATTTGACGTCGGATGTGGAGGACAGAGGCCACTATCAAGGCAGATAGGAGTGATGGGGTGATCTTGCATGGCAGCTCTAGCAGTAGGCAGTCTCGCTGCGATGGCTTTATATCACAAATTGTCTCGCGAGTTCGACAATTGAATATTGACAAATGTTTCTCATTTCGAGAACAATGAATGCGCTTGAAGTTTTTCTAGTGAAGACGCTGCTTCTTGGTTCATGAACTTGTAGCTTCACTGTTGTATGCTTTTACTACCGTTACTCCGGTTCCAACTAGTAGCCTATCAAAAGCAGACACACGCCCCAGTGATGATTTTCATCTCCAGGGCTGTGACAAGGAACCGAACTCTATCCTTTAGTGCATTCTACGTATACTTGAAGTTGGTGGTAAGTCAGACGATGACTGGATCGATGTTTCATTCCTGAATCATCACTCCACCTTCCTCTCATCGAACCACAATCCGTCGAGATCTGCCGCACATTCACCTGAAGAGGTCCGCACAGCCAGTATCCACTCCAAAGATCAAACATCCCTGCGAATGCCATTATACACCTGAGAGATAATAATCCACGTATCCAGCATCACAACCCCCCAAACAGAATGATTAATCCAAGTCCAACATCACCACCCCTCGATTCCGACCCTTCCGAACTAACGTTCCGAAAAAAATCCAACCCAACCCCACACCAAAACTAACAGCATAACAAAACATACCATCGATCCCCCCCCAGTTCGCGCGAAACATAAACAACGCTTCACCCGCCTACGCGCCGTCAATCTCCCTACCCCTGCACAGTTCCAATTCACACATAACATTATCCGCCTTTTTTTTTGCCGTTGCCCAGTGCAGTCCAGTGCCGTGCGTGCGCTTCCTTCCCGTTTGAACCGCGCCGGTGTCGTGCTTAAGCGTAAGCGCCCATGCACGCCGCAACCCTAACTCAACGTCCAACGTGAACAAACAGCAGAAAAGAAAGAGGAGGGTGGCTTGGCTTGACTAGGAACGGCACTGTATTCCCCCTTTAGTCTTGTTCGGTATCGTGATTGGGGTTGGGAGGTTGGCAGGAGCGCTTGCGTTGCGTTGGGGATTGGTTACGCACGGAGATATACTTGTCTGGTTTGAGGGGGGTTGTTTTTGTTATTTGCTACAGGGAGTATAGTGTGCGGCAGTTGTGTGCTGGCGGTCGCGAATACTCGATAGGTTAGTCATAGAAGAAGAAGAAGAAGAAGAAGAAGAAGAAGAAGCATCAGCAAGAATGGCGAAGAAAAAGCAGGTCCAAACGGACGATGGATGGACCGTCGTGGCCGGCTCAGCAACAACGCCCAGCAACAACGACAAGAACGGGAATGCCGAAGCCAGCAATCGCGCGCAACAAGAAGCACGACCTCGAAAGACAGTCAATGGTCTGACGGTCGACAAACTGGCCCACGAGTTCCGCGGGATGCAGAAGCGCTTCAACGACACCTTGTGCGCGAAGAATCTCGAGCGCATGTTGCGGCTGCGAGACGGGCTCTGGACCCTCGACAATGCGGTTTGTATAGGAGTGGGGAGTTTCAGCATAGATTGGGAGCATCGCTATCGATCGTTGTGGCAATTCGTGCTGTTTCTCAATGTGGTTGAAATTGGTGAGTTGCTCCTTCTCCTTTCCTCTTCCCCCCTCATATCCCCCTCTCCTCCATGTGGAATCCTCCGAAGATTCTAGATCCTTCACCTGATGATGGCAATCTTTTTTCCCTCTACTTATTAACTATCTGTGAAGTCATGGGAAAGCAGAACAATCACATCTCCCTCTACGCGCAAGACCCAGCCTTCACGCCTCTCGACACCGAGTTCCTCTCCTCCCTCAACATCACGCCCCTTACATCCACAGCCGCTACACACATCTCCTCTTCCTCCTTCGTCTTCGCGCCGTTCGTGGACTGGTTCCTTCTTCTTCCGCACTTCTTGAAAGATAAAGATCCACATTTATACGTTGGAAACGAGGTGTTGAGGGACTACGCTGCGTTTGCGAATACGCGGGGGAAGAAGGATGTATTGACCGAATGCAATCGCTTGGGTAAAGGGTTCTTGGAAGGGAGGGAGAAGAGGAAAGTACCTGGGTTTGACCTGCATGGGGGTGCGTTGGAAGGACTTGTTGTTTATTGGAAGGAGGAAGGGGATAGCGACGAGGAAGGATGAAACAGTGAATGATTGAATGATAAAAAGTTGGAAGTTTTTTCTTGGGGGGTGCAAAAGGAAACTCGCGGTAAATAGGTATTACTGGCTTTCTGTTTCATTCTCGCCAGACGGTAACCCATATCCACGTTTGCACTTGTGAATTCCTCTAACTCATTTGTTAGACCATCACGCATTACTCCAAATTAAACACTCGTTTATATTTGGCGGTCCGGGCAGAGTTGTGCAGCCACAATTCCACAATCCCCGTGATGGGGAACCCTGCCCTAGTACACTCCCTCCACATATATATACGCCAGATCGTGGAATTCCATGTATTTCTACATATTCAATTGTGCCAGAACTTGAAACACTGGTAAAGATCGTGGCTGTGGCGCAAGCTCGACTGTTCTAGAGTCCAAAGCTGAACATGACGCTAAGCGTATAGTACCTGCGAGGCGGTAACTTTACATCTATACATAGTATCAATTTCAGCTCCGCGAGAGGCTGGTGTCTGTTCTTCTAGTGTACCGTGGTAGACTGCTCTTATGGTCCAATCGGAATAACAACACATTGAATCGTTGCTTCTTCATCAAGTATGAGCTATTGGATGGTCTGCATGTTCACGTGTTGAACGGAACGGACTAGAGATGGAGTAGCAGCCCCGTAAAGAGCGCATTGCATAAGAAAGATAGATATGCCCGTTGATCGGAACCTTCCTCGCTACATTTTTTGAATTGGGGAGTCGTCGAGCTGCTCAGTCAAACATGCAAGGGGCAAGAGAGGGACAATATCACATTGTACCAATAAGTGAGCCGTATGTACTTGATGAGTATATTTTAACCCGCCATAAACACTAACAATGCTAACAATGCTAACAATAAGGCAGTGACTCCTCAAATCGTGTCAAGAATGAGTGTGTCGATCCCGAAGATGAAGCCAAAGATGGCAACAGACGGATGACAGCGTTCAATGAGGTGTACACACGATATCTCTCGTACAGCGGCTGGCAGAAGGGAATAATTTATTGCATCGCCGCAGCAATGCTCGTCATGCTGCTCACCGTTTCATTCCTCGTTTGGGCATCAACACAATCGATGCTCGGTGCAGCCGTCGCCATCATTTTCGAAGGGGATTGCGTCGAGGCCAAGGACCTATCCACTGCTTCGCATGTGGTCATCAATATATTGAGTACGTTGCTACTAGGTGCAAGCAACTATTGCATGCATATTGCATGTTCGCCGTCTCGAAGGGATATCGATCGCATGCATGCTCGAAAGAAAACGCTTCAGATAGGTATCAATAGCGTGAGCAACGTTTTCAAGTTACCTTGGAACCGACGCATTGCGTGGTGTATTCTAGGTCTCAGTTCGATACCGCTATATCTGATGTAAGTCGAGCCACGTTGATGATGATGATGATGCAATCAGGCATCGCTGAACATGCGTAGCAGCAATTCCATAATCTATTCGACTACAAACGCCTATTACTACACTGCGGCTCTTGTGACGACGGACTTTCTCAAGGGCCAATACTGGAATTCCGAAATCGTCTTCCGATACATTGCCGGTACCGCCGACGATCCAACCGGATCCAAGAAAGATCCAGGACCGGAATGGCATAACTGGATGGACGAAGTGAACGAGGGGAGGATCCAGTTGACACCTCTTGATAACAAAGCTTGTGTGGAAGCGTATGCCACTGCGCCCTTCACCACTTCGAGGGGTAATTTGCTCCTACTCGCCGACGCGAGCAACCCGAATACAACTTCGTACCGGAACAACCCGCTGCTCACCACTTACTTGGGCACGTATGACTTCTCGGGAAAGAGACGTGGTTATTCAAATTCCATGAGCTACAATTGGCTGTGCGCCAGGCAGGAAGGGGAACTAGGTTGGGGGCGTGGACCCAGATGCTCGGATCTTATTGATAGACCAGATAGTCTATCATTGCATACAGGCGTGATCAAAACAGTTAATGATACAGACGGAAGTATATCATCAAATCTGTCAACTATCCCCATTAAAAGCTGTCTCGGCCAGCAACTCAGTCCAAGGTGCACGGTAGAGGCGAGTCTGCTTCTCACCGGGGCTGTCATCTTCTTCATAATATGCAAGATCGTCTGCATGGTTTGGATGAGTTTGCGGTTAGCAGATGAGCCTCTGGCGGTTCTAGGAGATGCAGTTGCCTCGTCCGTCAACCGCCCGGACCCTGCCACGGTGGGTGCTTGCCTTGCAACTCCAGATACATTCAAGACAAATGGGAACTGGATGCAGACTCGTAAATGGTCATCGAAGACCCAAAGGTGGGGCCGAGCAGTCTCCATCACACAATGGCTCATCTGCTCTACCTTGTAAGTCAGCGAGAAGCCTCATCGCAATCCGATACAAAGAAAAAGAGTTCGCTGCTTACCCTCATTGTCGATTAGACATCTCCTCGCGATCGCAGTCGCTACATTTCTCATAACCGTGATTGTCGACAACCTTGAATTCGACGTATCCATGGGCTTTCCCACTCTGCTGCGCACATCCCGATTCAACACGGTCAACCCCACGTTCATGTTTTTAAGTATCATCCGCGACACAGGCAACGCAGCATCGACACTCTTCCGGGCCGTACTTCTAGCCAACACGCCGCAGCTCGTAGTGAGCCTGATCTACATATCCTACAACTCCGTCTTCAGCTCCATGCTCATGGGTCTCGAATGGAGCCAATACGCGCACATCCGCCGCCCGCTCCGCGTGAGCTACCCAAAACCCGGACAACGCTCAACATACCGCCTGCAAATCCCGTACCGGTACGGGGTCCCTATGATGATTCTCGTAGGCAGCATGCATTTTTTCGTCTCGCAGAGCATCTATATGGTCCGCCTGCGCATATACACGCCGGAGGGGATGCAGATTCAGGATCAGTTCATCACGACGTGTGGGTTCTCGGTGCTCGCGTGGCTGGTTACGACTATCCTCGTTGCTGTGCCGCTGTTGGTTGTTGTTGTTGCGTGTGGGTTTCGCACTTATCGGCCTGGGATGGCGAGGGTACGATGCAACAGTGCTGCTATCAGCGCGGCATGCCATTCGAGGCCAGAAGAAGAGGAAGATGCTGCGTTGAAACCTTTGCTGTGGGGTGAGGTTACGACAAACACACTTGTAGGGCATTGTTGCTTTAGTACTGGCCCTGTGATTCTACCAGTAAAAGATCTGTTGTACGCTTAGTAGCACATAGGAGAAACATTTATTTTATTGCTTGCATTAGAAGAGGAGAGATCTTTGTAGATTGATAGGATGAATGTGAGAGTAAATATCAGAGTGAAAGCAAGAGTGAAGTGAATCTCAAAGTGAATCTCAAAGTGAATCTCAAAGTGAATCTTAGAGTGAAAGCAAGAGTGAAAGCAAGAGTGAAGTGAATATCAAAGTGAATATCAAAGTGAATATCAAAGTGAATATCAAAGTAAAAGTGAATATTAGAGTGAAAGTGAATATCAGGGTGAGAGTGAATATCAGGGTGAACGCCAGAGTGAAACATACCTAGATAGAAGCACTCAAAAAAAAAGACATGCAGAACAACACCTGAGCAGTAACATATCCCCCTAATAACTATAAGACACACAGAGAAGTCTCCCTATTAAACACGCTAATCTGCAAACAACACTCCTTATCTAGCTTAGAGGAAACGTTACCCTTTAACTCCTATTAGAATGCTTTTATTATTGTCAGAGTTTTACTGCAGATTATATTAATCTCTGAGCAGAGTCTTGCATAGACTCGAATCAAACCAAAAGCCCAATCAAGCCCTACCCCGGCCGCATAACCTGCGATCCTACAGGGCTGGCTCTGTAGCAAAAAGAAGAGAAAAACACGGGGACACGCGTTCACTAATGTGTTTTAGGACAATACAGTGTAGAGCAATGTTTGATTTTCCAACGGCACTGCTGTTGTAGATTGTGATTCCCCCCGCATTGCCAATCAGATTTCTCGGCCGCGCTTCTTATATACATCTGCCTAGGAAATTGCGCCTTAATCCGGGTGGTGCGAGCTCTCGAAAAGCAAAAGAGCGGAAATCTCCAAAGATTCGGATCAAGGAGCGGGACAAAGTAGCGTTCTGAGGTTCATGAAGAATGATGGCGCTGTTCAATCCCACTTATCACACCTGCCAGGTTTTTTTTTTCTTTCTTTTTGAGACTGTGGGTCTCTTTTGCTCGTTATATTCTGTTTTCTCTGGAATCGTTCTGGGGGGTCGCCATCAGAAAGCCCAATCTGACCAGCAGATCATGCGTGGTGGTGGTGGCGGAAACAAGAAAGTCACAACATGCAAAAAAACAAACTTTGAGAGATGGGACACCTATCCTTGACGCCAGAAGCCCCAGGATCAGAGTAACAACGTGGTAGGGAACAAAAAGGCAAAACAAGAGAGGAGCCCCAAATAGCCGCTCAAGTGGGGTCGTTGGGCTGAATGCAATGCAAATCCGCCCTCGCCCACGTACATACAGGTAGATAAAAGTGGAGAAACTGGGCAGCAAGAGCCTCACAATTTCGATTCGAGGTTACTTTTCTGGGTGGGGTGACTTGGGTACCCAACTGCCTGTTTGGTGGATCCTTTCGGGCAGCGAAGGGGGCGTGGTGTGGTTGAGCTAGGGCAGCGGGGTGGGCAAAGTGAGTCATGTAAGGTTGTGGTGGTGGAGGGGTGGTAGACTTGTGGATGAGGGGAGTGGGGTAGGTTAGAGATTTCAGGGTGGAGAGGGACGGCACGTGAGAATGCTATGGGACAATGCGACAGAGGAGAGGATAAGAAGGTGTTTGATAGATTGTTTTGGTATGGAGAAGAGATTTGTGTGGAGTAAGTGGTGGCATAGGCGTATCTGTAGCTACGCAGGGTCCATGTGTTCGCCAGAACTTGAACGTCGCCGCGCAAGTCCATGGTAGCCGTTTACGGTATAGTACTGCAGGCTCGTATATTTGGAAACTTGGCCAATGTTTTGCTCCCAGCTCTCTGAGCAAAGGGTGTTGTGGGTGAGATAGGCAAGACATTGTGCTTGTTCTTTGGATTGTGTTTCCGGAAATCGCCTAAGAATGATAGAACCTGTAGAACATGGCTTCAGATCAGAGTCAAAACAAGCCTGCCTTTCGTTTATACGCTCAGTCCGGTAAAGCCATCGTGATTAGGGCGGTAAGCACACTGCAAGGGTACGACATTGGACGAAGATAGGGCAAAGCCGATCCAGTGTCGAGACGAGATTGGCATCAAGACCCCGGATAAATGAGAAGTCGAATAGATACCGGAGTCGATGACTTGCATCGTCTATTTACCTTTGGACTGACCTTTTGTGTAACTCCCACTTAGATTCAGAGGTTCTGGAGTAGTCATGTATGTGTTGTCAAGCCCATCGGTGAGTGAAGGGCTGCCAGCCAAAAAGCAACGCAACTAGTTGGCTGTCCACGGCATGTTGCCTGCTGAAGCCAGATAGTCAGTTGTTTGACGTCAGTCAAAGTGCAACCTTGTCCACGAAATGAGTGACGAGGGGATAACGCGCTTGAGGGATGATTCCATCGTATGCCTGCATGGGCAGTTGGGGAGGCCCTCAAGGACGGTCCACATGTCGTGCCTCTGGATGCAGGTTTTTGAGAGATGCGGAGTCCAGGGTTTAAGCTTGCCGTTTGCGGCACGTTGTGCGGATGAATGTGCACCGAATCTGTCTCACCGGACGGCGGCGAGCAGCGCTTGGCACACGATGATAATTTTCGTGGACGTGTCACCTCATGACGGGAATTGGTTCGCTTCACAGTTGTATGCATGTATGTCGGCTCGTGGGTCCGCTTCGGCGCTGTCGAGCCAGCTCGTGATGGAACTTGACCGATGTCAGGGTTTCTAGCACTCATACAATATGCAGTTCTCTATGCTGCTCCACTCCTGAAATGACAGTGGACAGCATGGCAGCACGGGCACCAGTGGTAGTATATTGTTGGACAGAAATCGGGGATGACGGGCAGAAAGCCACTCTTGAGAGTAAGATTTTTGCACGACCAGAACCAGTCAGGCAGACTTTGGCGCGTACAGATATAAGTCAGTGGCAAACAGGCACGTCTTTTATTTATCTAGCGCGCAGCACGATTGATGAAGACTGCGAATGCGCGTACTGTGGTTCCTGCATTGGTAAGCGAATTTTTGAAGCGAACTGACGTGGCGGGAGCAGGAGCAGTATGTAAGCAAGGAGAGAACAAAAAGCTAAAATAGAAAAAAAAAGGAAGAAGAAAAAAAGATGGGTGCATGCATGCTCGTGTGGTAGATGGGAAGAATGCATCTAAACAAAATGCTCCTGTCAATATCTGCGGTTGATAGTCGAAGCCGAGATGTATGGGAAGAAGGATGATGATGATGAGTGAGGTAAGTTGAGCCCATGTGTAGGGAAGCGTGGAAGGACCAACGGCCGGGAGGCTATTCCCGGATAGGGCTAGCTGCCGGCCTTAATATAGTGCTGTGGGTGCCGGTGGTGGACAAGGCGGTGAGCAGCGGGGAGGAGAAGCATCGATCAATCAATCAATCAATCCACACAGACAGACAGGCAGACGGACAGCCGACGGACAGACTCGGGCGAGGTTTCAAGTGTGCGCGCGAGCAGGGCATGCAGACGAGCGACCAGAAGCTGATGGCCATCCAAGGCGTCCAGCCACTCTCGGTTGAGACGAGGGGAGGCGACTGTCGCGCATTCATCCACGGCGAGTGGGCCAATGGAGCATGGGACGAAGTATTACTCACATAGCCATGGAACATGGGAAACGCACACATGGAGGCATACATGGACTTGACCACACGGGTCGAATAGGGTTCGCCCAACGAGGGCTGCGGGAGGGGGAATTGGTCGCTTTGGCCGTTTTCTTTGCTTTTGCTGTGCCCCATTATCCATGGCGAGTATATACGAGGTTGGCTGCCGGCATCTAGGGTGGATTGGACGAGCAGCAGCCATATTGCACAGCCGAAGATACAATGTACAATACATACCGGACCCATACTCTGGATCGGCATCGTCGTCGTTCTCGCCATGCTGCCTGCATCCATCCATGGCTGCTGCTGCGGAGTCAACTCAGTGTCGAATCCCGTCGACGCCAGCCATGGGGGACGACTCGTGACGTCTCGCAGCCAGCGTTCGCTCGCCCTCTGTGCCGTCCACGTCGAGCATCATGTATGAAGCAGAATCAATCCGTGGTACACGCCGCGGGAGTCCGTCAGTCCATGGTGGTGCTGACTCTGGCGGCTTGACAGCCAGACAGCCAGGCAGACTGCTGCCCAACCCTAGGCCGGTGCACGTTGGTTAGCACAGCAACAGTACTGTAATGTATATGACAAGCTTCATGCAGCCCCCTGTCCTGCCCAATGCTCGTCCAAAGGTTGATGAACAGAACGAAAAAAAAAAGACGCTGAAATTTTCCGTGCATATCTGCGGCCCGCTCCTACTGGCAGGAAGAGAAATAAAGACTCTGGCGGGACGGAGAAGGCAGCCCTCTTCGTCATTCCAGCCTGACCCTACCCACTCACCCACCCCCATCCCATCCCATCCATCCACCCATACCTCCGCTGCCCTCCACTCCCTCCCTCCCCCTGCCCTGCTCTGCTCGACCTTACCCTACTAATCCCATCCATTCCCGTCCTTCCTTTCTTCCTTCCTGCCTGACCCTACCCTACTCTACTCTGAGCCGCCGCCGCCGGTCCCACCTGCTCTTCGACCCCATCCTCCACCGCACATCCACTCTCTGTTCTTGCATCTCGAAACCTTCGCATCCTCTGTCTTGCTATGCTCCGATGCCCGTGCCTCTTGACCTCCACCAGTCGACTAACGAGGCTTGTTCGTCTTTCCGCGAGTGATCGCCGCCTTGGGCCCCATTTTACCCGTTCGCTCGTCTCTATCGATAATAGATAGTTCCCCCTCTGCTCCCCCCTCAAAAAAAAAACACACCTCGCTCGCACCTCTCTGCTGTGCACCACCATGGCCGACACGGCCCACCGCGACCTCAACCCCAAATGCGAGGATTACCACTCTGACGATGGTAGCGACCATGGCGTAGTCCTCGAAGAGAGAGACGACCTTTTTCGTGCGTCTCCCGTGCCTACCGCTAATGTCGCTGCAAAGCGCTCCGAGTTGGGCAAGTCGGGCATTGCCAGCGACATGCAGAGCGACTCTGGGTACTCTAGCCATACCGCCGCGACCATGGCCAGCGCTGATTCCGCTCCAAGTGCGAGAAGCCCGCCGACTGCTTCCACGAGCGCTGCTCAAACCCCAATCCCACCTCCCAGCCCGGCTGCCGCCCCAACACGCCGACGACAAAACACCTTGGTAGCCGACGAGAGGCAATCCACCAGCCAGAGCAGTCCCCGCAAGCCGTTGCAGCGCGCTCCCTCCACTGCTTCGAGGCGGCCATCCACGAACCGCAGGCCGTCTACCGTTGCTACAGACTCCGCCGAGTGCACCAATCCCAATTGCAGGAAATGCGGCCCTAATGCTCTTGCCTACCGTAATCGCAGACCCGACTCGGCCCTCGACTCCTCCTACTCTCAAGTATCTGAAGTGCCTTCGCAACATTCGGAACCGATCCCTTCTACCACCTACTCGTTTCCGCCTTCTCCGACATATAACCGGCATTATATGCAAGGGCCAGCTATTGTCCAACCCGCGCAGACACGTCGACGGTCGTCTTCCACCGCTGGTACCCGTCGCCCTGCGACTTACTATGACAACTCCGACCAGGGCTACTACGGCCAGGGTACCATGTCCGCAGGCTACCCGGGCACTCCCCAGGAACATGGCCCACCTCCTGCTCTTGCACGATACACCAACATGCCTCACCCTCAGATGCAGCACCCTCAAGTACAGCACCCTCAAATGCCTGCTTACATGATGCCACCACCCAATGCTCCCTACTATGCCAACGGCCAGCCGATGGCTCATCAGACCTCCCCTCCCTACGAGCATCAACGCCCACCTCTGTCAGCTCGCAACTCTTCCAATCCCAATTACCAAACCCGTCGGCCTGTATCTGGATATGGCCCTGCGCAGATTGTCCAACCAGACAGAGCGGAGCAGATGCCATCTGCTCGATACTCCAGTAACGTTCCAAAGGCTTCTGGACGGGGAGAGCTCCAGGCTCAAGACGAGTCTGAATCATCATCAGAGGAATACTCCTCCGAGGAAGAGGCCCGGCCCCGTCCTAAGATGAAGGCCATTCAAGATGCACGACCGCCGCTTCGCAAGGCAATTACAACCACTGTGATCAACGATGTACGCAGTGGACGGCGTGGCTCAATCTCTCAGCCGCAACCCGACCGCCGAAGAGAGCGGGATGTCCAAGCAAGCTCAAAAGCTCGCAACAGGGCTCCGTCAACCACTCGTCCAGCCCTGGTGCAAAACCCCAAAGCTCTGTCTTTCCCTCGCCAATCCAAATCTAATGTCGTGGTCGAGAATCCCAAGACGCAACGCCGTATGTCTTATCAGCAACCTTACGAACCCGAGTACGAAAGGGAGCCACGCAAGCATCGCAATTCCAAGCTATCTTTCCAAGACTATGAAGATCAAGTGGTTGAACGCAAGCGACAAAGTAGGACCCCAAAGCCCTATCACGATGATCAGTACAACAGAGACTTGGATAGAGAGGTCGAACGCAGGCGAGCCAACAGGAACTCGAAGATCTATCAGGAGGTGTCTCAGTTTGAGCTTGAGCCAAAGCGCCGGAACCGGGAATCGAAGATCTATCGCAACGATCCCGAACCAGAGCGACGCCGGCATAGAGACTCTGTACTCAATTACGACTCCGAGTACGATGATGAAAGCATCGATCCAGAACCTGAACGTTCTCGCCGAGGAACCAACAGTGGTGCCCATAAGAGGGAGGAATACGCCGAAGTGAAGAATCGACACAAAGTCAGTGAAGCTGAAGCATATCAGCAACGTACCCGCGGCAGCAACGACCCTCTCAATGACATAGTTCACAAAGCCGCTCTGAAGAGGCAATCGCGCGTTCCTTCCGATGGCGCTTCTAGTCGTAGCGATGACAAGAAGAGCCGTGTCAGTCGAGCTCAGACTTCGATGACAAGCGGTGGCAATGGTGAGATTCGCCTTCGGGTTGATGCTTCGGCCCCCATCAGCGTTTCTTTGAACGGCGACATGAATGGCCGTACCCTCCAAGTGGTCCCTGGCGAAGATGGAACGGCCGATATCGTTATTGGTGGATCTCAAGAAAACGAGACAGTTTACCGAAGTGAACGAGGAAGCGTGCATGGTGGCAATCGCAAGTCTCTCACTGCACCTGGGAACCCCCGGCGGGATGCCGAAGAGCAATCCATCAGGAGCTCGCGCAGCGGCAATTCTAGAAGGGAGGCAGAACGAAGAGAGGCAGAGCGTCCATCACGCGGTGGCGGCGTGCTTCGACGTCGCACAGACTTCAATTGAGGTCCTCGACGTGCCTCAGCGCCATTCCCGTTGCGAGTTTACGCCACCTTTTTTTCTCAAGCGATATGATATTGCATATATTACGTTTTGGTTTTCTTGTCTCCTTATACCCTTTTTCTTAGGCTCTTCTCTGCTTCTTCACCGGATGGGCCGGAGTGAACAGAAAGCTTTTACCATCCAAAAGTTGTGTGTTTGTTCCATCCCTACCCCAAAGAGCTTGGCAGTGCTTTTTCCTACCGCGATATTCCCCTTTTAGCACCTGTCTATTTTCTTGAGCCTGTTTGCGCTTTTGCTAGTCTTTGATCGCGACAGTGCAGGACACGACATGGTATTTTTATTTGTTAGACCAGGGACGCTCACGCGTACGCGTGGGAAAATGTTCCAACTCACGACGGAATGAGCATTGTACGATTCGGTTCATGGCTCTTGCCTTATTTATTTATGGGCGAACCTTTTTTTTTTCTTTATCTTTTCTTCAATGCCCTTTCGAATTCTTTCGAGCGAGCGAGCGAGCGAGCAACGATTCCCCTTATCATACTCACTAGCGTTCAGTTTCACTTGATTTTCTTACAGATCTACACCACATAATCCCCACAGTGTGTCATCCTCAGTGGATGAAACATTCATGGACTTGGATCAAGATGTTTGAGTTTTTTTTCCCAATACCCCCCTTTTTTCGTTATACCTACCCCTTTTCCTTAGCGCATTTCCCCCCTTCTTTCTCCTTTGGATACTTTGCAGCGCATGGCGAAGAGACGGAAAGTACAGGGATCCTGTCGAAAAGGGAAAAACTGCTGTCGGTATAGCTACGAATATCACGAAACAAAGCACAACGATCTTTTGACGCAGCGAGGTTTTGCATACGGTCATATGCTTGGGAACAAAACTGGTCTCTCCACACCGGGAAGCGAATGTTGCAATGGCGATAATGATGACAATGATCACGACGACATCGACGATGATGACGAAAAAAAAAGTTGATGAGGACGATGATAGTTGGTATCAATGGGGGGATACGTTCGAATCTGTGTGATAGCTAGGTTTCCCTATATACATCTCATCTCAAAACAATCATACTCGTTAGGAGGCACGCAAAATTGCACCGCACCGCACACATTCACTTCCACTAAATCTTTCTCTCTACATGTCTGTTGCAATTCCAAATCCATGATAGCAGTTCGCCACTTATCACATTGGCTCCCATCATTCCTGTCACATTTACTGCACAGGCCCCCCCTTACTCATACATACGTACGCCTTTGACGTAGGTAGGGATCAAGAGGTGAAGAGAGAGGGGTTGCGTGGCGAAATAATGAAGCGAAAGAAGCGAAACCTAGATAACAACACATCAGCAGCTGAATGTGAAGCGTACCTACGTACGTGCATACACGAACAACCCTGACGAGCAACGCTCTGACAAGAACAAAAAGTCTAGAAGCTTTTTCCAAATAAAAATAAAAATGGAGAAAGAAAGACAGAAAAAGCAAGTGGAATTTCTAAAGACATTTAGCCTTGGGATTCTTTGGTGTAGTGATGATGAGGTCGTCTATACCATTATTCTGTATACGGAATGGTCACAAATTAATCAGGCAAAGAGGAAGAAACTCCTAATCAATCAATCAATTCATTGATTCAATGTTCACTCCCTCGAAACCACTCGGTAGAATTCAAAGTGTTGAAAATCCTCTGCTTGCCTACTTTACAGCATTCTCATCGTCACATGTAGCCACCCGCTCTTTACACAAAGAAGAAAGCGGTAAATGAGAGTCAGCCCATGTTTTTTTTGTATCAATTGATACTAGTATTCTGAGAGAGAAGAAAACAGCACATGGGTCTGCAAAGATACCTTGGACGCAAACGCAAGAACAAATACCGGCACACATGTGATTGTATCGCTGACAAACTCATGCATATGTATGTAGATGATCTTCCCTCTCCTCCCCTCCCCCTCTTAGGTGCATAAATACTCAGGTATGTAGTGTCAATCAAAATCACGTGCCGTCACCGGATCGAACGAGCACTGGAAAAACCGGTGTACGCACATCTCCCCACCGTTTCCAACGTCCCGAACGTTCCAGACGTCCTTTTTCTTATTATCGTGAAAAAGCGGCTTTTGTTTCCTTCAGTTTTTATTCCCTCGTATGATTCCTGGTGGTGGCGTGGCGTGGGTATACTACACACATATGTATGGCGTCGACCGGTAAACCGTCCATCCTTTGACATGAACATGTATGGATGGTCAAGTACACAAAGGATTTGTATCATACGACAAAGACTCTGGTGGTAGAAGTGTGGAGATGCCATGTATTTTCATTCATTTTCGTGGTGAATGGGATATGTGATGTCGATGAATTTTGGTTTCCTGTGAATCGATTGGCATACAGCCCCCTCTTCCCATCCCCCCTCCCTCTCTATGTGTTATTATTCATATAGAGAGAAAGAAAACAAGGGAAAAGTCGTAAAGGGTAGAAATTGTTACGGTAAGCCGCCTCCCCCATGTCCGCTTCTACACACCTACATGACATGATATGCATGTATCTGCATCAGCTGCGGTGGTGTGAAACTATGAAACATGCCGATTGCGTCTTTCTCTTTCTGGGGGAGGGGGCGGGAGAAATATCGGTATATCTTGCCTCCCCGAGGGTCGGGTCTGGATTGAAATGGGGGAGGGAGGGATGGTATACCTGCCTGACGATCGGCGGGGTGTTGTTGATAGAGAGGGTCGAAGTTTTGTTACATAGGATTGATGGATATAGAGCTTGATTGAGCACTGACTCCTTTGACACACCGATGGGCTGACAGCACGCAATGAGTTCACACTTTGGATGAAGGTCTCTCCCAAAGATAATATATGGTATTTTGTTTGTTGCTATGTAGGAGAAGCAGGCCCACAATGACGATGTACATCGCAAAACTGTGCGAGTTACCTGGCTTTTTGTTCAATTCAAACTCACTTTTAGGGAAGCTGAAAGATCATGCCCAATCTCGATTCATACACACCATTTTTGTTTTGTAAGTAAGCAAGAAAAAAGATCATCAGCAACCACCGGTGACAACCTATTCGCCCAACCGGGCTGCATGAGAGGGGAAAACTACGACCCAATGAAAGCGTACAACACAGCTTCAGCTCTCCAGTCGTGCTGCACTGCACAAGCATCTTGAGCGGGGGTTTATACGATATGCATATCGTTCGCTCCTTCAGAGACACATCTGCCCCACCAAATCTGCGCCTGCTGCGCGTCTGATCGAGAGGGAGACCGACAAGAGACGCGTCTAGTCCTCAGTCAGGTCGCCATACTCCCATTGACCCCTCCTTTCTTCCTTGGCAATAGTTTGCCTCTTGTTCAGCGCGGCAAGGACGTCGGTTGCGCTTCGCTCCCAGTTGCGCAGTTTCTTGGGAACCATGGCGAGACCCTCGCTGATGACCTCGGCGTTGACGCTGTCTTCGCCTGTTTTGCTGTCCTTGGGGTCGAAGAGTGTCACCCAGAGCATGCCATCTTTTTCGACTTGGTCCACGTTGGCGACGAGTTGACGGTCTGCCGTCTCTTGAGAAATGACGTTGATGGCATCAGCGAGATACTCCGGGTTTCCTGGTAGTTGGATGAATGACAGCTGTGCGTCCACGGCCTGGGGTCTAAGCTTCGAGGGAAGGAATTGCGGTTGGGAAAGGGGGCGGAGGCGAGACCAAGGGATGAGCTCAGAGTTACCGTAGTCGACGTAGACGACCTCTGCCTTCTTTGCGTCACGGTCGTTTCGTCGTATGCGAGCACGATACCATTCGTCATCTGCGGTGAATTTGGCGGCCACAAACTCGCCAGCTTTGGGAGCATCGGGCAAACCTGCGTTGTTGGCAGGGTTGATGTGGAAGCTGCGGAAGGCGCTCATAAGTTCGGTCAGAGCTGCTGTACCTGTGCCAATCTGCTGAAGCTTGAGCCTTCCGTTGTCATCGACATGTGTAACCATAACGTCGCGGTAGTCTTTGCGTCGCTCCGCTGCTGCATCACCGTTCTGACCGGAAGCAGCCGCACCCTCAGTAGTGGCATCTGCGTCTTCTTCCTGCGACGGGTCATAATCGTGCCAGAGCGCCTTGCGAGCTTGCTTAGCCCGCTCCTCAGCAGCGAAGAGCTCGTTCGCATTTCCTGATTTCTCAGCCGAATATGCGTGTACGGAGGCCAACCCCTCTTCAACAAGTGTCCTCGCGAAGTTCTCGCCGTTGATATAGAGTGTACCAATGAAACCACCGACCTTGTCGCAGTCTTGAACATCAATCTCAACATCACGCTGTTGAAGTCGCCTGTTCGCGAAATCGTGTGCCTCTTGTCCAAAGGGCTCACCCTTATCGGTGGGGTTCCTAGCAGATCGCGGTGCTCGGATACCAGAGAGAACAAAAGTAAGTTTGGCATTCTCGCGAGGTACCAGAACAGTGAAGCGCGAGCCCGATTTGACAAAGTCCACGATGGCGGGGACCTTGCGCTGGCGGGTGAGCAGAGTCAGTTGACGCTTAGCTTTCTCAAGAGACTCTGAGTAATCAACGTATTGCTTTGTCGAAGGGCCCTTTGGCGACCACAATCCTTTTTGTTCGCCTTGCGCGGTCGCTTCAGCCAACAGAAGATCATCGTAGATAGGACTGCGGTCGGTGTCGTCTTGACGATGGCGGATAACGGAGGCCATGCCGCTCTCCACAAGAAGCAGTCCGATGTTCTTGCCCTGAAAGGTCACAGTAGCCATTTCTCTCTCCTCATAGCCTTCGGTAGCGGGACGCTTTCCATCAATGTGGAATTTGACGTGCTTGCCGATGAGCTTCTTGCGCAAGAACTCCTTAGCTTCAGGTACCCACGGTGATTGCTTGGGGTCGGTGGGTTTGGGCTGGCGAACGCTGCTGAGATTGATGCGTCGCTCAGCACCTGCCTTATTCCGCACGAATAGAGTATCAGCGCTCTGTATCCTGCTAACCGTAGCCTCCGATTCTCCTGGACCCGCTTTCTTTTGGGCAACGACGCCCTGGTAAAGACCTTGCCGGCTCTCTCTGGCAGTCTTCTCGGCTTGTCGCAGCTCGGCCATCTCCGTTCCTAGCAGCGTTGTATGGTGATCGTTACACCGGGCTAGGCCTGCGGAAAGCAGATGGGGAGCAATGCTACCCTGCATAGGATGCGATATGCTAGCGATGATCTGCCCGTTGGGCGCGTTTCCTAGTACTTTAACATTGACGTTTCTTTGTAGTAGTCGGGTCTCGATGAACTGGTGGGACTCGTCGCCAAATGGCTCGGCAGGTTGTTCCTTGCCGTCTGATGGGTTTGTTCGCTTTGTGGCGGGTGCTCGTAGACCAGCTAGCAAGACCATGGTTTGAACGTGCTCGTTGGGAGACAACAAAAATCGGATTATCATGCGGTCGCCAGAGAGAACCCTCTCAACGATACCTGTCTACGGTCAGTCATAATATTCCTTGATCGGTGATCAATATTGCTTTTGCATACCAGTGATGTCTTTATCCTTGTTGTCTTCGACGAATTGCTTGGGGTCGCTAAGCTCATTGGAGTTGTTGATGCGGCCACCCGACTCTTGCCATACGCCCCTGGATTCTGCCTTCGCTCGGGCCTCAAGCGCCTGCAGCTTCTCGAGTAGAGAAACAGATTCCTCGCTGTCATCTTTCCTGCCAGCATCGTCCCGTAGCTTGAGCCAACCCTCTGCGACCGCTTGCTCGGGCAATTGCGTTCGGTTGGGTAGTGAGATAACACCGTATTCACGGTTGACGCCAGTAGGGATCTTGTAGAGCACATTGAACCGTACTACTCTGCCTACCAACAGGCGGCGCAAGAAGTCGCGAGATTCGAAGGCATATTGTTCGTCTCCCTCGCGCTTCAGCCTCGGCGCGGAGACGTAGGCCAGGCTCAGGGTGCGTTCTTGTTTCGGGTTGTTGATGTTATGGAGAATGACGGTATCACCGGAGAGGACGCTTTTTACTTTTGCTTCGAGGAGAGCCATGGTGGGTTCGCGTTGCCGGAGGCCGTGGTCTACAAGGAGGTGCATCTATTAGCTACCGTGTTCTCAAAAGCTCACCATGCATCAGGTGCTGCGGGGCATTTCGAGGTACGGTCTACTTACTCAAGAAGATGCAATTGGATGAGATTTTCGGAAAAGTAGGGGAAAGGGAACTGCAATTGATAGAGTAATGGTTGGACAGCTCAATTGCACAAGGTGAGTTTGGGAAAGGTGGTCGGAAGTCGTGTGCTTGCCGCAAGCTACTCGGTATTACGTTAAAGGGACCGCATCCGCCAGTCCTTTTGTGGGGTTAGGCGAAGCTCAGCCTGCATTGAGTCTTTCACTCCAGATGTCTCCACCATCACGACAGCAGTGTCTTTACATGGTATCGATGAATTGAGCGGTAGATAAATAGAGTTTATATTACCACGCAATAGGTCCACAAATTATCTAATGGGTGTAGAGACAGCTGCACCTAATGTCTGAATATCTATGGTACCCTGACCTGCCATTTTGGTCTTAAAGCTTTCCAAGTGGAATCATGAGGATTTTAACAAGAATGTTTTGATTTTGCCATGTATATCTGGAAAAATGATGATTCTATACAATGCTGGATTCGCTATGCTTAATGCTTAGAACAGTTAGGAAGCCACTCAACTCCTGTAAATGCAAAACTTCGAACCATGCCTCTCACCCCTTCTGCTCACGCCCCAGTAACATCTTCAATTCTCAGCCATCTCTTTTCAAGAGCCAATACAACCAATTCCTTCACACTCCCTATACTATCCGGCTTTCTCAAAGTTTCCGGCTTTAAAAGCTCATTGACTTTCTCCAGTGTCGTGAACAGCTTACATGCCTTTTTGACGATCTTTCCCGATTCGCTAGGTTTGGCTTCGACGTTGCGCATCGTCTGCTTAGGTGAGAGAGCGGTAGGCTCGCCACCTTCAAGATGTTGAAGAAGTTTAGCCAGAATGAAATGTACCCACACCAAATTCGTCCCGGGGTGGAATGATCTCCATACACTAGACGCTGTAGTGCTGATTCTATTGCTGGGTAACTTGCGCGGAGAGCGACGGATTGGCGCTTCGGCATCACCCTCTTCATCGAATCGAATATGCTGGGCGGCTTTCCGGGGCGAACGTCGCGGTGTATCTGGATAACTCGAGGTTGGTGGATCGTTTTGGAGAGGGTCATTGTATAACGCGACACCTCTCATGTAACGATAGATTTCATACTGATATTCTTCGCTGGCGTCACCCTCAAAGAGACTTGGATCCTTGCCAAGGTCAAGATAGGCAACTTCCTCGTTTCCAGTCGGGGTATGCGTAAAGCCAGTAGGTATTGATGGAGGTGGGTAGAGCGGGAGGCTTTGCCGGGACTCTGGAATAATATCTGCACGGGATAGGGTATAATCTATGACGGTGGTGTCCAGTCCCGAGAAGCCCAACTTCCGCCTCAGGGGATCTTTGATGAAAGGTCGAGTGAGATCATCTTCTGATTGCGTTCTGGACGATCGTATGCAGATGTTCTCCAGATGAAGGTCTCTATGCTCGAATCTGCATGTCTCTTCGGCTTTGGCAACACTAAGACAAACCCCCCAAAAGACGTCCCAAACTTCCCATATAGTCGATACTCCGCCGCTCTCCATGACTTTTTCGCAATCTGTACCTGCATCTTGCATTTCCACCACAGCCCAAAGCTGTGTATCTTCATAACTAGTCTTCTTACTAGGATCCGGAAACTCGCTCTTCTTGCCCCTCGCTCGTGACTTGTTCCATGCTTTCCAAGCGTTGGCGAATGAAGCAGTTGGCCGGCCTTGGAGAACCGTGACTTCTCGGAAATTTGTGAAACCAGGTATCTGGTTTAGATTTTGTAGCAGTTTGACTTCCGAATGGACATCATTCACGTCAGATTTCCATTGTTCCTGCTCTTTGAACACCTCTATATTACTCTTTGGTTGACGCGTCGAACCTCTTGCCCTGCGTCCTTGTGGGGCACCTGGAAGAGGAGCATTTGGCGGCGATTTCAATGCTATAAGTTTGAGAACAGATTCATTACTAGAGTCCAGCTCTGTGTCTGCGGCTGAAAGTCGATATACTTCCGAGAAAGAGGCTTCCGCGATCTTGGAAACCGTGAAGTGTGATTCTAGCGCTGACGACCATTCTTCAAATGAAATAATTTTCTTTCCATAGCTTTGAGCTAGGAGCGGCGATACGTGTTTTGTGTAGACGTCTTCAGGCGCTGGACTGAAGCCCAGTCTTGCGTCGGGAAGGGATTCTGGAGTCGGTGGTAATTCCATGGGGGGCGATAAAGAATGCTTCGGTATTAATACTGCCTTCAGTTTGCGTCTAGATACACTTGTGCGTGGTGCGAGAGATGATGATTGCTCCCCCAAGATTTTCGCATGATCGATTGTTTGCTCGTCCTGTGTTGTATGCGCTGCGCAATCCTTTGTTTTGGGCGCCGATATTTTGTCTTTGTCAACCTCTCGCGACCTGTCTTTCTTTCGTGCATTGTTCTTCTTTGTCATGCGCCGGGATTCCGTGGGACTGCTCAACCTCCTTGCGGAAGAGTCGAGTTGCGTTTCTGTCCCATCCTTGGTTTTTTCTCCCGACTTTTCTATGTCTTTAGCCTCGCAATTTTCCTTATTTTCTTCCAGATTCAATGCGGCGAAACCATCTTCTAAGCTCCCCTCATTTCTAATTGTCACTGGCAGTTTCGTTTTATTATGCGAAGTGGTTCGTTCAGAGTCCTTTCCTGGGGCAACACTATCCTTATCCGGGCTGATAAATTTCGAGAAAGTCGCGGCAGCTTTGACGGGCTTCCGACGCCCATATACTTGTTTAGGTGGCATGGTACCAGAATGAGTTCAGAGCGATTGTGGGAGGTTTGAGTAATGAGAATTGAAGTCTTGCATGCATAATGTGGAAAGTGAAATGCAGTCGAGTACTGGTTGTGTGTTCGATATTCCGGATCCAGACTAGTGGATCATGTTGGCGTGGCAACTGCGAGCATTGAATGTTTGACCACGAACAGATAGAGTACTGCGCAACTCGAAATCTGAGTAGGTTTGGCCACACTGTGATATATTGCTGTTTTCGAAAGTGATAGCCATAGATCCCATTCACTTCTTACATTAATATTACTTTCGTTACCTGGACTCATACCCAGCATTTTCTGCACCGAAAATGTGGTACGACTCTACCAGTAACCCGTTATATACCAGTACCAGCTCGGGTCACCAAAAAAAACCTCATCTACTAAAAGTCTCTCAACATGTGTACGTTCCACCTCGCTAATAAAATCCACTTGCGCATCCCTAAAATCGCTGGAAGAATGTAGAAAACCATAGCTACGAGAGCCAACAACCAGCTCCTGCCTGAGATAGCTAATGCAGAACAAAGGAAATGCGCCAAATGATTCAATAACAATCTTCAACCGATGGGAATGTGTGGAGAGATGCGTGAATGATGCAGATAGAATAATCAATCTCTAGGCAAGCATGAGGATATCGTATAGCACAGGACATAGGAAACGCTCGGCGAGCATGGGCACACTGCTCGAAAGGAATTCGGGCAGCCGCTAGCCTTCGGGGCTCTTTACACCTGATATTGAAGGAGCATCATCTTCCTCGGGGAGAGATGGGGGCGGTATGACTCCCATACTTCTCCTTTTGCCCTTCTTCTCCTCATCTTTTGGCTTCGCCACGCCACCATTGACGGATGATGGACCTGCCTCTCCGTTGCTGGGTGGGTGAGAACCGATGGTTGGGCTAGCTGGTTTCTTCTTTCGGGGAGCAATAGTGTGGTAAGAAGTGGAGAGCTTCGAAGTGCCAGTCGTCGTATCGGAATCTGTTGCGAAATCCTTCCATTTGCGCCAGCCGTCGAAATCGATCAAGGCCTGCATACAGCCCCATTCCTTCACTTTGCGCTCCAACCAGACAAAGTTGACAGGCTACGAAAGAGTCAGTTTTATGGGGATATGTGTTTTCATTGCTTCACATACCTTGGTCAAGAAGTCATTGCAGCCAGCTGCCAAAGCCTCATGTCGGTCACTCTGGAGTGAGCTGGCTGTAAGCGCCACAATGATGACGGGACTCTTGAACATATTCTTCTCGCCAAGCTTGTCATCTTCCTTGATGTCGCTGCTGCCGTAGCATCCGTTTTCGCCTAGTCTGTTGTTGGGTGCCTCACTGCTTCCGGAGCTGAAGACGCCAATGCTGTTGACCCGTTCCAACCGCCTGATCTCTCTTGTTGCTTGTAAGCCGTCCATTATGGGCAACTGAATATCCATGAGCACCAAGTGGAAGCCACCTGCTCTCCATTTGGTGACAGCCTCTTTTCCATTCATGGCCCTCTGCCATCGAACCTTGAGGCGCTGCATGAAAGCCCCCAAAACTCTCAGATTGATGATGTTGTCTTCCACAATGAGCACATTGATGGGTGGTACTGAATTGTCTAATAGACCCGCCGGTAGGCTTGGTGGCTCTATGGGTCTTGATTTCTTGCCCGATCGAGATGGCTTCTTGTCTGGCCGGGGTGAGGCCACTCGCGGTGTGGGAGGAGTCGAGTTTTGGCGCACAGATTCCACAGGGATCGGCGGAGTAGGTATGGGAGCATGCGCGGTAGCAGAGTGTTTTGATTCCGACGCGGATGAATCATGGCGAGGGCGGTTTGAAGAAGGGCGAGCAGATGCTGAGGCGTGGTGAACACCAGTCAGTGTGGTGGGTGACGCAGTGTTATGGCGTGTAGTGTTGGGGCGTTTCGGGTGCCGTCTCGAACTCCCTGGTGAGTGCAAAGCCGGAAGCTGGCCGGTTTGCAGCACTGCGATAGAGTGCGGAGCATGTGTAAGAGAGGCGCGGGATTCGTGAATGCCGGCAGCCGGGGAAGGATTGACCACGGGGGGCATGGGAGGGAAATATTCGGTTTGGTGGTTGGCCGAGTCGTCGTGGTGGGCATAGTAGAGGGGGACACGGGGCGAGGCCTTTGGGGTCCTGGGTTTAGGAATTTCGATGATGAGGGCTTCACTGACAGATTGGCCACCGGGAAAGTATGCGTCCAATGTCCTACACATTTCCTCCTCGGGCCCCAGGACGCGATCCTGTGATTTTGAGCTAGTGTGGTTGGGGGTGTCGCGGGATACTATGCGGAGCAGGATGTCCGGGGCATCGAAGCTCCTGCCCAACGAATTGCCGTACTTTCTGAGGATCATGTCGCGCACATCGTCGACCAGGTCATCCTCACGGATCTGAACCAAGGTGGCAGAAGCATGTGGGCGCTTGACCCAGATCTTGCGGTGCAGCATGCCGGCGCTGAAGTTGGTGGGGGCGGGGAGCTGGTGAGAGTCGGTGGATGGATCGGATGGTAGGGCGACAGCGACAGCGGGTATGCCCGGGTCTAGCAGCGTAATTGCGCGTGTATTTGCAGGATCGACAAGAGACTGACGGCGGACTATGGGGGGAGGACGTGGGTGAGTGGTGGCTTGCAAAGGGAGCTCCGACAGCAGTTCCTCCGACTCGGCAGGCTCTTCTGCGGTAGCGTTGGCGGCGGGGGTGGTGGTGGTGGTGAAGTTGGAGCTGCTGGTCAGGTTGAGGTCGGGCGACGGCTGCAGCGATGCGGGCTGGATAGGAGGATGCAAGGGAGTGGGTGCTTCGAGGGTGAGAGCCGGGGGGACGACATGAACTTCTGGAGATTTGGACTTGGGAGGGAGAAGCGAACTGGAGGTGTCGTCGGTCTTAGCAGACGGTGCGGTGCTATCGTGCCGATCTTTCAAAAGCGAGCTCGAGGTCGATGTCCCCGCCGCGGTCGTTGCTAGCACGGACGCTGGCGTGAGATCGCGGCCAGCGTTCAGCACCTCGCTTTGGGTCAACCGTGGGTCGATGTCGTGGGAGGAGGATGCGTTGGAGCTGGAGTGGGTATTGGAGACCTTGGGCAGTTTGGAAAGGGAGATGGACTTCTTGACCGCACGGTCGCCGCTTTTGGTCGACGAGGCGGCAGAGCTCCCTCTCCGCAACAACTTTTGCCGAAGCCTGGACTTGATACCCGTCATGACAGCGGCGACGACAAGACCAACAACATGGAACTGCTTCTTCCACGGGGATGAAAGCCGGCCGTCGTGCGAGGACGGCTGCGAAGCCGTGGTGGGAGAACGAGCGCCAGGCTGGCCGGGACTCTCTACAGTAATAACAAGCAGCTTTGCTCGCTCGCGCACTCAGTCGGTTGTTGGCTGCTGCTGATTCCTGATTGCGGTGCAGATTGTGGCGCATAAATTTATTCTGGGCATCGGCGATCTACAGCAGACGGCTGGGGGCGACAGCGAAGCGATGGATGGGGCGAGTGCAGCAAAGGAGTGGCATCAAGGAGTTGGACGGTGGATGGATGGAGGGCAGTAATAAGCTGTTGCTGGTTGTCTACTTCACGGGAGAGAAAAGAAAAGAAAGGTAAACACACAAACAGTAGCCCAAGGGGGGCGCGCGTCAGACAGTCGGTGTTGTTGCTGGGTGTGTTTACGATTTCTGCGGTGCCAACGACCATGGCCTTCGATTGAATGCCGTTTTCTCGATTCCCATCCTGATCCTGTCCACTCGTGGCCCATGTCCAATCCAGCGCTTTGGCCGCATCGAGGGAATTGCAACTGACAGCATCGCACGCCTGTTCTCATCCATTCTAATCTTCGCGCTCGTTTCTATTGTTGGCGGGCTTGTTGCTGCTTTTTCTCCTTCCGTGTGTAGTGCTCAGTGTCTTGCCTTCCGCACGCGTGAGTATGTACCATCGCAGACTTGGCCAAGTACATAGCTATCCATCTACACCTATCAAGTGCACAAACACACTCACTCACTCACACGCGCACACAATTCAACCCCCCATCACATGCGTGTGGTCAGAATCTCCAAGCGACGTTGTCCTTTCCACCTGCAGAAAAACCTAATTCTATTCGCGATAAACATCAATGATACGCACACATCTGTCTTCACCACCACCTCCATCACCAAAGTCTAAACTAAATGACAGGCCGTGTAAAATACCTACTTAGGGACATATGTATACTAGCACACCCTGTCCATGTTAGTCTTGTTGGCCCCTTTTACATCGGATAAGACAGCCCGTTCCCAGAGTCCTATCGCTCTCTACATCCGGTGGCAATCTCATCGAGATCTTGCCTAACACCCATTTTCGTATACGAACTTATTGCAGATTGCAGTACCTCTCCACTTGTAGTGTCTTTTGAAAACAAGATTCCTGTCACACTACAGACAGCTCTTCAAGTATATGTTCTGCTATCATCTTCTTGATCCGTTAGATGCATACATACCAAGACTACACATGGAGGTCAACTGAGACATGGTGTCACCCGCATCACTTGTAAGACGGATGCGCACACAAAAGAGCCAGCAGATCGAAACTAGAACAGCTTTCACGCATAACGCAAACTGATGATAATAGTCATCCGGCAACCCCACCTGTAAACTTTGTATCTGACAAACTCAAGCAGCACACTCAAGGTGAACGTCGATAGGTATAGTTCCCCGAACCAGTCTCCCTCCCCCCATGAATACATATGTATGTACTCAGGTAGGTATAACCATAGCACAATCAAAATCACATCCCAAAACGTCGCACACATAGGTACTCAATGGCACCAACATGCTATAAGCCAGCACAAGAACCCATTAAAAGTCCCAGGCCCTCGATAGAAAAATGAAAGAAGAAAACAAATTGTCGCCAAAGAAAAAGCAAAAAAGCATCAGTAGCAATTACTCCCTCCCAATGAACACATATTGACAAATAAGTTACACGCTCGTTCAACTATGTCCATACCTCTCTCCGCCATGAAGATAATGAACTCCCACTCCAATCATATACACGTGCTATACTATACTGTTGATCAGTCACAACCCTCCAGCCCCCCTCCAAACCCCAGCAACCATCTCAAACACCTTCATGCCACCTCCGCCTCCTCCATCCTTCCGCATCCCCCTCATCCCATCTATATCTCTCGCTGACATTAAACACGGAAAACTGATATACACAAACCGATCTCTTTCTCGCCTATCCTTCTCGGTCCTACTAAAGCGCTTCCAGCACTCAGTGCAGACAACGGTACTCTGCTGCTTCGAGGCCGACGAGGAAGGAGAAGAGAGAAAATGCGAAAGATTGCATGTTGGACAGGGGAGGACTGTTGGTGTGGTGGGTGTTTGGATGTGTGTGGTGGTGGTAGTTGTGGGGGAGGAAGGAGGGGAGTGTGGTAGAGGTCGTTCTCCTTGGGAATTCCGTCGTAGAACGAGAGTCGGTCTTATTTTTGAGGGTGTGACGGTACTTGTGGAGGATCTTCTTGATGATGGAGGGGATGGAGGGGATCTGCTTTGTGTTTCGGAGAAGGGGTAGAGGGTGTGTGCAGATGTGCAGGAGGCAATCGAGACATGAGACTTTGTGCGGCGGCGGCGGCGGCTTCTGATGTTTTCGATGTCATCGTTGCTGATGATCGTTGGAGGTAAGAGAAAAGATATATGGGGGTCGGAGGGCTCTGGAGGAGGAGATGGTGGTGACGCTGCTAGAGGAGCGAGTTGGCTGTGAGCGAGAGATTTGGAAGTGCGCATTTTGTGCCCTTTCTTTTCCGTCCGGTCAGGCTGTTTGGCTCTTCAAAGGCTCAGGTATGGCAGAGATCGTGGAGGAATCGGTTGCTGGTTGCTATACTCTTTTCCCGAAATCTAGTCGAGCGCAGATAGGCAGGGTGCACAAAGTGGGAAATGAATGTTCGCTCTGGTTGCTACGTGGACTTGATAGTTATTAGAACCACCGAACCTGCGAAGAGACATCTCAAAGTAATCATGGCAATGCTTCACTGGTAGGATTGAAGCGTTGATGGAATGTAAGGATTTGCTACCAACAGCAACAATCCAAGAATTTGCGGTGATCCGCAGAATCTCATGAATAGCCACAAAATGTGAAGACGGAACCTCACCTGAGATTTGCGGCATACGATTGTCCTAGACTAGATCCATCGATGATGAGAGCCAGCGCTGCAGGCACTGGCTTCGATGGCATTACATACGAAAAGAAGAGGTTTGTTCACTGTAGTCCCATACCACATGCTAAGAATGCTAACCAAATCTTGGATGCACCAAGCCTCACCTACTAGTACAGCGATTTCAAGCAAAAAGGAGATTCGCTAAGGAGACGGGCCCAAAGGTTTGCTGCTTACCCAAAGTGCCCCGGACAAAACATAAATGGTCTCTAACCTGGTATCTCGTTGCGGCACAACCCACTGCGCACAAAAGCTGTTAACAGGCTTTGCACTCTCGAACTTCTTCCCACCTCTTGCTGTTGAATGGGCTTTCGCGCCTTCACCCGTTGCACCACACTTGACTTGCCTTATCCGTCGCCTTCCGCAGACAACACGCTGCGTGTCTGATCATATGCTCGTTATCCATTATGCCATGATTCATTAGAAGTCCTTGAAGTATTCATCCCACTTATTGCTCATATCTTGCGTATACGGCTCTCTTTCTGCTGACTCCGGCTCGTACTCGTCGAAATTGCGCGTGTCGGCTGGTCCACGCAAATGTGGTACGATCGGACCGTTGACCTTACGGTAGTACAGCGAGTCCCAATCGATGTCTTGGAACCATGGGTGTGCTTTGACTGCGCCTGCACCACCTGATATGTTGCCTAGACGTTTCGAAGTATCCACGGTACAAAGACCTGATATCAAATCGCGGGCGTTGGAGGACATAGCAGAGGGGAATCGGACGCGACCTTCGACAATCCTTGATATGCACATTAGTCCATAGTTACTGAGTTCAATCCGGGCCACATCTTACTGCTCATAAATCTTCATAGGATTCTGATCCCAGAATGGTGGCTGTCCAACAAGGAACTCATATACCAGGATACCAAAGGCCCACCAATCGACCGCAGTACCATGGCCTGTTGTAATCAGTACTACCGGATTTGTTGGGGTAACTGCAACCATTACCTGTGTTCCTAATCACTTCTGGTGCTAGGTATTCGGGTGTTCCGCATAAAGTGTACGTTTCCCCTTAACGCAATTAGCACAAGTCATAAGCCCAAGCATCCTATACATACTATTTTCCACTTTTTTCGCGAATCCAAAATCCACCAACTTGAGGTGGCCTTCAGCATCAATCAATATATTCTCGGGTTTCAGGTCTCGATATGCCACGCCTTCCCGTTCGTGCAGAAATTCGAGTATCAAGACGATCTCAGCGGCATAGAACTGAGAAGTGGCTTCGTTGAATCGACGCGCCCTGCGAAGATAGCTGAAGACTTCTCCACCGGGACAATAGTCCAGCTACAGGTGCGCTTAGTAGAGCAACAAGCACGTTCATCTAGCAAATACATACTAGCATGTATAGCGAGTCGCGGTCCTGGAAACTCGCAACCAAGGTGGTTATGAAGGGATGTCCCGCGACACCAGCAAGTACATTGCGCTCGTTCCGTACGTGTTCGACTTGCTTGAGACGGATGACTGAAACACTACCGTTAGCAGGAAGTAACCGTGATAGGCGAGGCAGAAAGGATTCATACCGTCTGTTTTACGCAGGATCTTGAGTGCAAACACGGTGTTTTCATTCCCATTGTTGGTGTCCTTGAGGCGTACGAGCCATACGCGCGCGAATGTGCCTAACCCGCGGTCAGCCTTCAGCTTCTCCCTGCGCGTAAACCGACGTCTAGCGCACCGGTGCCCAAGGTTTTGATCAACTCGAAATCCTGCTGGCGCAGTACGTTGGACGACTGGCCGATCGTCTTATGGTTGGCGTCGTCTATCTGGCCGGGCTCCAATGGCTGCTTCTGCTCCTCCCACTGCAGAAGGTTCTGCTTCTCCTCCTCGCGGGCGCGTTCCGAAGCCGAATCCTGGCGGTCGTGTCCACTGGATTGATTATCATGGCCGGACTTTTCCTCGTCGCGCGAGCGATGCGGGTGCAAGAGCTTCTTCACTGCCGTGGCCATGTTTTGAGGGGGAGGGGTTGGCTTGGATAGGATCTAGTACGCGGTCATTGGGGGCCAGCGCAGTGTACTTGTGAATGCAGAGTAGAGTGCGAATGCAGAGTAGAGTGCGAATGCAGAGGAGAGCAGCAAAGCGAGTGCGGATGTGGGAGCAAGCAGATGTGTATAACTAAAGGTGGCCTTCTATAAGGCGGATTGGCCGAAACGCGTCTTCATTCAACCATAGACAGAGCGCGGCAGGTGAGGTCTGAGGCTAGAAGGTACTGGAGAGTGAGGGCGGGGGATGTTCCTTCCTTGTAGATGACGCACGTGGAGGGGTTTAAAAGGGGAACCTAGGAACTCCGAATGTTTGTAGCTGAATGCTGGCTCACCGGACAATGCCTTTCTGATCTGCGCATTCAAGTTTGTATACAACCAAGTACGTACAATTCGCAGCAAGGTACCTGTACCTATGATCATGGCTACTCCCGCTGGACGCTGCAACTTGCGATGGAAGACTCCAAGCACCACCAGACGGCGTCAGTCGCCTGGAGTCGGGCCGCATAGCAGCAGTACCTGCGGATCCCTGGGTTGACACAATAGTTTTTAGTTTTATATCTGGTCAACGCCCCATTGCGTCACATAATGAGATCTCTCAAAGAATCTTTAAAATGTAGGCTAAAATGCTCCGAATACTGTACAAACACCCCTGAACAGACAATGAAAAACCTCTGTGTTGCAGTTGCATCAATCATTCTATGCGAACGAACCCAATGCAGTTGAGCGCACTGTCTCGCTCGTATGCCCAGCATGGGCTGCGCGCGCAAAAACTCATTCCACTATGCCAGCAGAATCATAGAGTGGTTATATCTTGCCTGCCTATTAGGCATACGTGGACACAGATGCGCAAACTCCACATATTCGGTTCCTCTTCAGATATGTACATGCCTGCCTGAACTCCATGCTGTGACACGACCAAATTGGTGACTCTGCGGATATTCGTACAATGATCGACTTCTCGTGGTCTCTATCCGCTTGCCCTAGTGTTGAGAATGAGAGCTACAATGAGACTAGAAATCAGTTAGCCAACTGTGAAAGCGTGCTCCTGCTCGTATCGTGTTGCATACCCGTAAAGTCCAAGAACCTCAGCAAAGATCAGAATCAGCACCATTCCCACAAAGATTCTAGATTGGCGCATGTATGCGCGTACACCCGCATCACCAACGATTCCAATAGCGTACCCAGCGGCCATCCCAGAAAGTCCCACGGACAAGCCGGAAGCCATGTGCATGAACCCAGCGAACAGAGAGTAGTTAGAGGAGTCGCCCGGGGGTCGAATGTCGCTCGCGATGAGCACGGAGATAACGAGAGCGTATACGGCCAGGATACCAGACATGACGACGGGAATTAGACACTAGGCAGTGTCAGTTCTGCCTGCTCCGGAAGATCTGAGTAGGATAGCAAACCTTCATAATGAGATCCGGTCGGAATGTTCCCACACCTGCAATTCCAATACCCGACTTAGCGGTGCCATAGGCAGCTCCGACGCCTGCGTCCGGTCAGTTCATAGAGCTCTGGGGAAAGCTCTTCATCGAGAAAGTTGCGTACATCCAAAGATCATCTGTATCAGGTTAGAAACTGATAGCCATGGTTGTAGTCTAGGTGCAACTTACAGCTCCTGCAATACCGCTCTGCTGCTCGTTAGCTTATGCAGGCCCTCGGTGAGGACTGGACTCTTTGATGACGTACCATGCCGAAGAACGGGGCGAAGCTTGGTGTGAGTGCGCTCTCCATGTTGAAAATGTTTCTCCAGATGCCCCAGAGATGTGCAAATAGAAGTGGGTTGGGAGTGGTGTTGGCTGCGGTGGCTAGATGACGGATGTGTGGACGATTCCTCGAACGCGGCTGCCAACCAGAAACGGGGTCAGGTGATTCGACGCTAAACCGACCAACACCTCCCTCTCACCCACTACAAGCCCATGAGACCCGGCCGCCGCAACGACACGCCATCTCTGCCTTTCGACACGCTTGCCGTTTATCCTTAGCCACCCTAAACTCTTCCGTGCCGCTGCATCCAGCTGCTGTGGACCCTCGTTGGGCGTAAAAAAGCCAATCCCCTCCCCGAGTACTTCAGCGACCCCCCGTTTGCTGCTTCGCCCAAACAAGACCGCCCACTCCTGCAAAGCCTTCGTCACCCACGAACACGGAGCGATACACCGTGCCCAAGACCATTTTCCGACCATCTCTCACGCCCGCAACCGCCGCGCCCATCCCTCGACTGGGCATCCCCCAATACTACACGATCACGCCCACAACCTTCCCGAAAACTCTTATCGGAACACTGGTCCCCAAGGCGAATGCGCCGGCAAGCCTAGTCCACTGCGTATAATCGAGAGGCTACATGGCGGACTACGGCAACCAGCAAGGCCGAGATTATGCGCGAGGTCCCAACTATGGCCAGCCCTCAGGACCAAGAGACGCCGCATTTGCGAACATCTTCGGAGCCAGCCCGGCTATGGCAGGCCGCTCGCAGACGATGACCTCGCAAAGCCCTATGCGACAGCCCGATCGTGCTGCGACCATGTCTTCACAGACTGCCGATATGATGCAGCGAGCCCCGCCAATTCGGCAGCCCGCCAACGGCTACGAACGCCGCCAACAAGCACCGCAGGATCCGCGGTTCATGGGCAATTATGATCAACAGCAACAGCAGTACTCTCAGGGTTATGGACAGCAACAGGATAATTACAATCGGGGCTCCCCGAATGGTTATGCCCAGGATCCACGCATGCCGAACGGCCAGGCGCATCGTCAGCCCCAACCCCAATACCTTCCACGTCCTCTCCGTCCAGAACGTCAGCCATACGGGCAACCTCAGCGCTTTGACACGCGGCCTCCGCCTCAGGGTCAGCCGCCGTTCAATAAGCCTATCCCTCAGCGATTTCCCGGAGGGCCGGGTCCAGCAATGAATTCGGATCCCTATCGATCACAGTCAATGGCTGTAGGCTCTCGGCCTCAATTTAATGGTCCAGCACCTAATTACACATCGCCCGCGAATACAATTCGTCAGCAGCCATACATAAATCATATGGCCAGGACGACTGCCCAGGGTCGTGTAGTCCCTGAGCGTCCAGACGAACGCACAATGTCCATGACATCATATACACGCGATAGCGAGTATGGACAGACAATGAGTGGGAGAGTTATACCAAGCCGAAGAAGAGAATCTGGAGACACGGACGTGTCATCATTTGATCAGAATGCGCCCCCCATTTCTCCACCTCCTAGCAGCGTTGGCCCAGGAAGCAAGACCAGGAACACAAGCCAAGGTAGCATTCCACAGTCACGTACCATGTCAATGGCCTCGACTATCATCGCCCCGTCTGAGAGAACGGAAACAATGAGCTCAACAGTTTCTCGACCAACATCTACCCAGACCGTTGCGAGCAACAATAGAGCTTCTGGACAGTCTCAACAAGGCCACGCTTTAGTTGCACAGCGCAGGTCTCCTCTGGTTTATCCTGCTCTCCTATCTCGTGTAGCTGAAGTTTTCAAGGATAGAATCGGGCTTGCAGAGAAGGAGAAGGATGGGCTGGTCTACAAAAGCGCTTTCACTGGAGCAGAATCGGTTGATCTGATTGCATACATCATCAAGACGACAGATCGCAATCTGGCACTGCTGTTAGGTCGGTCTCTCGATGCCCAGAAGTTTTTCCACGATGTTACCTACGCACATAGGCTCCGTGACACCAGCAGCGAAATTTACCAATTCCGCGAAACATTGATGGAAGAAGCTGAGGACGTCAACGGAGTTTTTACGCTGTTGACAGAATGTTACTCGCCTACCTGTACACGCGATCGACTATGCTACTCCATAGCCTGCCCAAGGCGACTGGAGCAACAAGCCCGCTTGAACATGAAACCACAACTTGGTCTCAAACGTGCCGAATCTCACACGAGTTTGCACGAGGACAACGACGAGGAGCAGAAGCTGTGGATCAATACAGTAACGAAAGACGTTGCTGATAGCGTGTCGGACACTGAAAAGAAGCGCCAAGAGGTCATATCCGAACTTATGTACACCGAGCGCGATTTCGTTAAAGATCTTGAATACCTGAGAGATTTCTGGATGAAGCCTCTCCGGAACCCGGCAACCTCGCCTATCCCCGAACATCGCCGTGAGAAGTTCGTTCGGACTGTGTTCTCCAATTGTCAAGAGGTCTACAAGATCAACTCGAGGCTGGCCGACCATTTGACTCGACGCCAGCAGCAAAGTCCAGTTGTCTATGCTATTGGGGACGTATTCAACGAATATGTACCTCACTTCAAACCCTTCATCCAGTATGGTGCGAATCAGCTCTTCGGTAAGTATGAATTCGAGCATGAAAAGCGCACCAACGCCCAATTCGCCAAGTTCGTGGATGAGGTAGAAAGGATGAAGGAGTCGAGAAAACTGGAGCTTAATGGCTACTTGACCAAGCCTACTACTAGATTGGCCAGGTATCCACTCTTGCTTGAGAATATTGCGAAATATACCGCGGACGACAACCCTGATAAGAAGGATATCCCAAAAGCTATCAAGATGATCAAAGAAACGTTATCCAAGGTGAACGTAGAATCTGGAAAAGCCGAAAATCATTTCAACCTGATGCAATTGAACCGCGATCTCAAATTCCGCCCAGGCGAGTTTGTAGATTTGAAGTTGACAGATGAAAACCGACAATTAGTCTTCAAAGGCACATTGAAGAAGACTCCTACAGAAACAGTCGGAGATATCACCTGCTATCTCTTCGACCACGCTGTTCTTCTTGTTCGCGTTAAGACCGTCAACAAGCGCGAGGAACAAAAAGTATACAAGAAGCCGATCCCGCTAGAATTATTGGTGATTGGACAGATGGATGAAATCAACCCGAAACTTGGCATCGCAAAACGTCCTTCTGCAAACCTGATGGGTGCCAAAGCGATAGCAACTGGAACGCCTAAGGGAGATGCAGCAAAACAACAGACATATCCACTTACGTTCAAACACCTCGGAAAGGGAGGTTATGAATTAACATTGTTTGCAAGTACTCAGATATCGCAGCAAAAATGGATGGAGCACATCGACTCGCAGCAGCGATCATTGAAGGAGAGAAGCAACATCTTCACTCAGAGTATCCTGAACGAAGGTTTCTTCTCTGCGGCAATGAGGGTCACTTGCGCTGTTCCCCTTGGTAAGTCTAGGATTCTTTTTTCTCCTTGAATCCTATCTAGACTATTCACTGACGATATTGACAGACGGGGGTCGTAAACTCGCCTACGGAACGGATGCTGGCGTTTATGTTGGTGACCGCAAACCCAAGGATGCATCTCACAAACCCCGCAAAGTGTTGGATTGTAAAGCAGTCACCCAAATTGATGTGCTCGAGCAACACTCAATTGTACTTGTACTCGCCGACAAGACTTTGTACTCATATGCTATGGAAGCTTTGGACCCTGATGAATCCCAAACGATCGCTAAACGCCCCAGAAAGATATGTCATGCAAACTTCTTCAAGTCTGGTATATGTCTTGGACAACATCTCGTGGCCACTGTCAAGACGTCCGCCCTGTCTACGACTATCAAGGTCTATGAGCCTAAGGAGAACATGGCCAATAAGTCGAGAAAATCCGGATTTGCGAAGATGCTCTCCACCAATCAGGACCAGCTTAAGCCTTACAAGGAGTTTTACATACCTACCGAGTCTTCCTCGATCCATTTCCTCCGTTCAAAGCTTTGTGTTGGTTGTGCTCGTGGTTTTGAAGTTGTCAGTCTCGAAACTCTTGAGACACAATCGTTGCTTGACCAGGCCGACACATCGCTTGACTTTGTGGTACGCAAGGAAAACATCAGACCGATTCATATAGAGCGCCTGGCTAGTGAATTCCTTCTTTGCTACACCGATTACTCATTTTTCGTCAACCGGAACGGTTGGAGGGCAAGACAAGACTGGAGAATCACATGGGAAGGCACACCGCAAGCCTTTGCTATTTTCCATCCATACATTCTTGCCTTTGAGCCAAGTTTCATTGAGATCCGGCACATGGAGAGCGGTGGGCTTGTTCATATTGTCACGGCAAAGAACATTCGATGGTTACACACATCGACCCGAGAAGTAAGTCTTGAACCTTTCAAATTTGACGGCCAGTGGACTAATTTGCAACAGATTTTGTATGCATTCGAAGATGAAATGGGCACCGACGTCATCGCCAGTCTGGACTTTTGGCAGACCACCCAAGGTCCCAAGCAATCCATGGATGGCACTAGACATCCTGAGAAGATCTGAGCAAATGTGACTGAAGCCGAACGAACAAGGGCTCGCTCCCCTTGCGTGTACACGACAATTCCGTGACAGCCCTGCGCATATTGGCGCCTTCGTAGTAATCACCTTGTTCCAAGAACAGCTTATGTCTGTCCAAGCGTGCTATTACCGTCAACCTCGCGCCGCCATCACTCTACCCCCCGTCGAGTATTCAGTCCGACTCCAGTTGTTGGCCAGTGGAAGCAGCCCGCGAGAAACACTTGTTTTTTGCATCAAGAAATGTTCTTCTTCTTTTGTCTCCATCTAGGCCCAGGAGTGCACCCACCCACCTTTGTATTATATATTTTGGCTAGGCCCTTCTGGGGAGGGCTTGTCTTTTGTTTGTTCTTTTGCGAGTCGAGATAAGAAGGATTTTTTTCCATTTGAAAGCGAAAGGATAGGATGGAGGATTGGCCTGGAGTTGTTAATTGCGAGATTAGCGAGAATTTGAGCGGCTCCTCTTTGGGCATTTGCAATGCATATGCATCATTCATGACTGTCGATACGCGCGTGTCTACTTTTCTGATGTTTGTCAATGATATTCAATAAGCAAATTCACGATCTCTTGTTACTCCACCTGTAGTGCTTTGTTTCATTGGAGTTACTCCTACTGTTTTGCTAGACGGAGTAAGGAATCGTCTACGATTCATCTCAGGCCAACTATCGTTTCCTTGGTTGATATGGGTGGCACACTACCTTTCTATCTCCAACTCTCTACCATCCCCGATCCATGTTTCTTGCAATTTTCTCGCCATAGAACATTCCATCGTACTTGACATATACACACATCTACACGCTTGTCAATCCAATTTTGTTCGGTCTTCTATTCGATGTGTACCGGTTCCTGGCGTTTTTTGCCATTCTAGATAGTACTACCATCTAGTATCAATCAATATACTAGCTTCGAAAAAAGTCGATTTGGGTCCATGCGAACGAAAGGACCAAAGCGGTAGTACTTGGCCTTGTGTTTCTCTCAAGATGAGTGCGGATATCTCAAAGCAGATTTTTGTTAACCTCAGGAAAAGGATGTTATCCTTCTCTCCCTGGATTTGCCGAGTCCCGAGGATCGTAGAGTCAAGTCTACACACGAATACATAATGGACAAAGTCATAAACGTAAGACAACCCAAGTACTCCTCTACTCTCCTTTTCTTCCCGCCTTGCCCTATTTGCTCCCCTCCTCCCCATAATACACACACGCATTAGTCACGCAATATTCTCTCAACCTACCTGCTTCCTGCTCTATCCCATCCCCCCCTTCTCTCCACCATCCATCCACCCCAGATCTCCAAACCATACAGCGCCACCTAACCCTACCAACACTCTCACTTCTGTCCCGAAAAATCCACTAAAAGCCCGACCCAAGCCAGGATACGAACACGAACACGAATACGAGAAGGAGAGAAAAAAGAAGCAACCCCAAGAATTCACGCAAGCTTTTTTCTTTCTTTCTGATCCCTGCACTCGTATGGGTATGGCTCGGCGAGGCCGGGGCGAAGGACGAAAAGCTAGAAGAGAGAGAGAGACAGCGTAACGTGAAAAAGGGCTAGTCCGAGCTGTTTAAAATTGCGTTCTCGTGTGGGGTAAATTCGTCTCATATACATAATCGGTGTGAGGTTTTCTTCCTGGGCGAAGTTCGTTCACGCCACACACCGAATGAAAAGGAGGGGGGAATAAAGCCTACGTGAAGGAACGGAACATGGGTGGAGAGGGAGGGTAAAGGGAGCTGAGGATCCTTGTATTTATTCCTTTTATTCTTTCTTCTCTGATAGGATGGTAGCACATGTGAAGATGGCAGTGGCTTTTTTCTCTGCTGGTTCGGGCTGAGATTGGGCTCGGCTTGCGTGCATGGTTCGGAGCAGGGAAGCAAAGTTGAGCTGAAGCTTTTTCTTGTTCATTGCTTGTTCGTGCGGGAATATGGAGGGGGAGCGGGGGGATGTTGGTGTTTAACGGTGTAGGTTGGATGGGGAGGTGGAGGTGGACACGGGAATGTGTGGGGTAGGGAGTTTGTGGCACTTGATGGATTTTAGTGGCGTTTATGTTGGGGTTTGATAGGATCGTTCTATGCTCCGACGACACACGGTAAGAAGGGAGACGGGAAGCGTAAATTGGTGTGCGGTGGGAGTGGTTCGGAAAGAATGAGAGTGTTTACATATGGAAGGGAAGTAATGTGTGGAAAGGACACATTTGGGTGTATGAATGGCAGTATATTCTATGAGAAGAAGAGAGAAGTACACAGATACTTAGCTAACATTGGAGAATGTAGTCCTATCAAACTCAACTCCCAAGGGGTGGAATCGAGACTTGTTTCCCTCTCCATACGATTCCTTGATACTATTTTCGGTAGGCCACTTCATCTTACCTCCCCCCTAGCTATTCCGAAAGCCACTCCGCATGTGTACATACCCATAAACTCAGCAAGAAATCAATGAAAATCATCACGCGATCACGCACACGCATGCACATACCAAAACCAGCACTACGAAGCAAAGAGCAACACGCATGCATTTCCCACTCTCCTTGCATGTCATCCACCCGACATCCCGCATGAATGAATCCTTCAAAACCCCCCACCCCCACACGAAAGAAAAAACCCCATTTCCGAGAAAAAATCTCTGCGATTTTCAGAGTTCCGATTCGCAAGAGTAGATGGTGACACGAGAATGCTTACTGGCATTAGTTCTCGTAAGGATTCGTTTTTTCTTTGCCTTGCTTGTCTTTGCTTGTGCATGTATATGTTCTGCAATGTACACAAGCTCCCTCCCTTGGAATATGCTTACTGCAATGTGTTGCTCTCCTGTTCGTTCAATCGGTTAACGGCATCTATATATGGGAAGAGGATGGTCTAGGTTTCCGCCTTCCTGAAGTAATTAGCGTTGTGTTGAGTTTCGTCGTCTCGTGGGCGAGTGCGTACTCTGCAGGTACCTACGTCGACCCGTACCAGGGTATTTGGAGAACCCGGAGTTCTCCATTCTTTTTTTCTCTTTTTGGGGTAGAGTAGAGCCAATGTACCAGTATGGAAAGTAAGCAGAATTGGAACAAACAAATCACGTTCTTCTCACGACTACTCCATCTGATATGGGATTTGAGCACACGAGAAGAAGAAGAATGTCCAGGGCAAGAACCCATCCTACATCCGCAGTCACTTAACCAAGCCAATTGAATAAGAAAAAGAAAAATTCGACCTGATCTGATCTTGCAAAACGAAAGTGAGAGAAAAAAGTGGTACACCGCAACGTCAGCAGCAGAGCGGTCTCCCCAACGCGCGCGTGCGTGGGCTTTGTCGTTTTCAAGCCTCGTATTCTTCCCTTAGTTTCTCCTCCTGCACGGTCTACCCACAGAATATGCAATGCAACGCACATTAGCCTTTTTCCTTGTGCGCTTTTCGCGTTTCGCGAATGGGATTCTTACTATTTTGCGCTCCTCACCAGGACAGGCTTGGACGCTTGCTGCGGTGCAAATGCGGGACGGGAGGGACGGATGAACGGATGGTCGGCGTTCAGCTTTGTCTGCGGGGGAAGATTTTTTGTTACGAAGGCGGGATGGGGGATGGGGATGGTCTTTCGGCTTGAGGCGGTTGAGAATCGTGATCTCTTGCTTCTTACCTGGGTTGATTTTTTGCTTGTCAATGGTATACGACTCGCAGTATCTTTTACTATTTCGTTCAGTCTCGAAAAGTCAATGAGCCATGATCCGTCAATTGATTACCTATCATGTTCTATTAATCCTACAAATCGCATCTAAGCATCAGCGAAGCCGAATATCAAATCTACAAACGAGCTATGTAAGCTTGGAAAAGGAAACCCAACAACCCCTCTCTCTCTCGTACTCGTATAGAAATACGCCATTAAGCCCACGCCCCATTCCGAACCCAATCCACCTCGATCGAAAATCCTTCGCACCCAAGAACAAACCCTTCCCCTTCCAACCCACGAAAAAAAAACAAGCAATTGCCGTGCTTCTGGGCAAAAGACACCAAGCCCCATTAAACGAATTAGAAAAAGCTCGGCGCACGTATTCACCTTTTCTCACGTCCCCAGGAAAAAAAATCAACAATCTGGCGAGGGAGTTGAAATGAGTGGTAAAGAAACAAGAAAAAGCCCTGCAACTAACCAACCGTTTTTTCGTGGATAAGTTGATCTGACTGACGACGATCCCATCTTTTTTTTCCTTTCGGGTGCGCCCAAAGAAGAAATCCCGAGCCGCTTTCTTTTCCTCTTCCCTCTCTTTACCCCAGCTTCAGCTTCAACGTCGTCAGCTCCGACTAAAAAACAAAAACGTTCACCGCATACGCGGATTGGTTGGCTGTGAGCGAGCGAGCTAAGCGTACATGACATTACATACGTAGATACATAACCTCAAGCTAGCTAGCTAGCTAGCTTAGCTGCTTGCTTGCTGGAGAGGGAGAAACAAAGGGGGGGTTGGTGGTCATCTTTACCTAGTTCTGAGTAGGGAAGCGAAGCGAAAGCGAAAAGCGTCTCGCAGCGCGAACCCAAGCGTGAGGCGCCGCCGCCGAATGATATCTCGAGCCGTTTTTTTGTTCTTGTTACACGATAGCATCTCGTTATCGGGGGAGAGGAATGGTGTAAGATGGGAATGAGCAAGGAGAGGTGAGATTTGTTCGATTAATTTTGATTTTGATTGATTGTTTTTGATTTGATCTTTGTTTGATTTCGAAAATTTGGTTGTTTACGATGGAGGGATATTATAGATACATGCTCTCCTTCTCTCTCTACACCTCTATAGCAAAGTTTTCCTATACTCCTCTCTCCCGCATACAACTCAGACAGTAACAGAAGAGGGGGATAATGCAAGGCATAAAAAACGTCAAAATAAATAGATGAACAGGCCATTGGACTGTGTGTTGGTTCAACAGCCCTAGAAAAAGTCCCGACTACAGTGTACATCATTCTTCGCACTATCCACCAAGTTCAGGTGTTGAAGAGAGAATAAAGCGAGAAAGATGCAAGCGAGCATATAATCGAAAAAGCTCGGTGTCGGATCCAAAAAACGCCTGCAATGCTAATGCGACCAAGGAATAGATGGTTCAAAAGATATTATAATGGGAAACCCCAGAGTTGCATGTCAATCACTGCCATCCATCGCCCATATCGAAGCGATGCGTGAGCGCCCTCCCGAGCTTACTCTCGGCTTTGGGTGGTATGTGGTGGTGAAGGTACTTCTTCGTAGGAGCAGCTTTGATGCCTTTGGTCCCCTTGGATGCATCCACGCAGCACTTGGGATCCTCGTAGTTTTCTGGGCAACAGCAGTTGACATTTCTCATAAAGTGAGTGTCCAAGGCTTCGCGGATCGTGATGCGCATAGCGGGGTTGGGATGAAGCATCTTCAACATCAGCCGTTTAACTGCTGGGGGATTGATCAAGCTGAAAAGCTTGCCACATTTGGGGTGCCCGTCGACGCCATCGAAAATCTTGCCGTCAGGATGCTCCGGCAGCCACTCATCCCAACCCTTCTTGAAGCGCGCATAGTATTCGAATTCAGGCTTTGCAGCCTGCCACGGGCAACCTCCAAAGGTCATGGTGAGGTAGACGATGGCGCAAGACCAAACATCGAGCGGGCGAGGATCATACTCTCCGCTCTTCTCAAGGACTTCTGGTGCGATGTAGGGCAGACTGCCGCAAATGCCTGGTGCCGAGAGACGGACGTCTGTCATGTTCTTTCCACATTCCCCTTGAGCTGCACGTAGCCCCGGATGCTCTCCACTGTACACTTCTGCGACACCAAAATCGGAAATCTTGAGATGGCCGTCTTTGTGAAGTAGCAGATTCTCTAGCTTGATATCGCGGTGAGCAATGCCATGGCTGTGTAGATAATCGACGCCGCGCAGTAGCTGCTTGAAGAAGCACAGCCGATCGTCAGCAGAATAGTAGCCTTCTGCACCACCAGCGAATAGTTTGCGTTCGACCAAAGAGAAGAGTTCACCATGGGCACAAAACTCCATGACGTGATTCCACCTGCCATGGTTGGTGCACAAGCGCAGCGTTTCCACGATATTCGGGTGGTGTAAGCTCTTTGCGATGCAGAACTCCGACTTGATCTTCTGAATGTACTCTTCCTCGGATTCGGCTTTGTCGCGGGAGCGGAATTCTTTGACTGCAACCAGCTCTTCACTGTTGAAACCCTTGCGAGCCATGATGCGGACTTCAGCGGTAGCTCCCTTGCCGAGACATTTACCACGCTTTCCGGGCATCAAGCTTGAACTCTTGTATTCCTTTTCCAGTTCGCAGCAATCAACGACAAATTCGTCAGGCAGACTAAGACTGAGACGGCGAGCTTTCATTCCGACTCCCGTTGCTGCAGGCTTCGAAAATGTGGCGAGCATACCAGCCGTAGGCTGCTCGTCATCATCATCATCCAATCGCGGGACCTGTTCCTGGCTTGCCGACCGCCTCCGTGCCCAGGAAGCCCTCTTCCCGGGCTTGGCGCTGTTCGCCCAAGCAATCCCGGGGCGTTTGTTCATGGAAGAGAGCGCAGTGGACGAAGACGAATGCTTCCGTCCTGCCTTGGGCTTGGGTTCTGTAGTATCGTGCTCACCTGAAATGGTACTGGTAGGAGAAGCTGGCGAGGGTGGTGAGTTGGCCATGGACGATTTGGGGGAGTTGCGAGCCGACAAGGAGAAGGAACTAAGCCGGCGATACTTGGGGATGTTAACGGCAGGGGTAGCGAGTTCCGCAGGTCCATCCACGCCCGTCTTGACTATGGATTTTTCGGTTGCCATCTTTTCGACCGGCGCCGGCTTTGGTTTTTCGTCCTTTGGCTTCTCGACTTTTGGCTGCTCATTTTTTGCATTAGGACCATCTTTGTGGGAGCTGCTTCGATGCAGCTTAGAGCGCATGAAGGAGGCAGCACGCTTATGGAGACGGGGGGCCTTGTCTGTGGGGGAGGGAGGCTGCTCAGACTCCATCTTGTCGGAGCGAGTGCGGACCAGAGAAGCAGGAGCGGGTGCAGGTGCAGGAACGGCAGAGGCGGGTGGGCTGGATTTTAAGGGTTCCTTGGGCGTGGCGGGATCGGACTTGACCAATACAGTGTCTTGGGATTCGTCGCGGAAAGGGTGGGTGAAGGTGATGTTATCGCCATTGTGACTGGTGGGGGTAACGGGCTCGGCGGGCTCACTAGCAGTCTCGGTGCTTTCATCCTCCTCGGCAATGGGGGTTTGATACTCGACCAGGCGAGATTCTCTGCGGACGAGATTCGAGGTGTTTTGCGAGGAAGAAGATTCGGGATGTAGCGAAGTGGGAGCCGGGGGACTGGTTACCAGGGCTGGCATGGCTGTCGAGGACGTTGACGATCAAAAGGTTATTGGGGATCGGCGAAGGCGAACGACGACGACCGATTGGCTGCAGAGGCAACAAAGGGTCCAGCGGTGCAGATGTTCGGTTACAAGGCGGGAGCTGCTGTGCGACTACGCCCTCTGCAGAGAGTTGGGCTGGTGGTAACGGGCTTGGAGAGAGGTGCAGGCGTGGTGAGGGTGCAGAGCGGAGGAGGCGGGCGTGGTGAGAAAGGGTGCGGAGAGATGAGCCATCCGACGGTGGTGGGGACGGGACGAAGAAAGAGAGGAAGTGGAAGAGGGTTGAATTCTTAAAGAGGAGAACGAGCAAGAGAAGAGGAAGCGGAGTGGAAGCGGAATAAGAGAGAAGGGCGTGTCAATAGCGGGGGGGGTGCAAGGGAAGTGTTTGTGGGTGGGCTGTGACGATGGCGGTGACGTGTGATGGGGCTGCTTATTGTAACAGAAGGCAAAGAGGAGAGGCAGAAAGGATTCAGGGTCAAGGTCAGGTATAAGTAAGTGTGGTATGGAGGATGGGTGGATGGATGAGGCTAGCCAGCAAGCAAGCAAGCGGCGGCGGCTATCTTTTGAGCTGTGGGGAACTGATGAGTAGCGGCTCAGCGGGTTTCTGTGCTGGTAGTCTCAGAGGAGAGAGTGAGAGCATGTATATATGTATGTATGTGATAAGTAATGAAGAAATAAGGCGGCCGGACTGGACGACGACGCCAATTTAACCCAGCCAAAGCCTTTCTCCTGGGCGCGGGCGGGCTGCCCTCTGCATCCCTGCACCCTGGGCCGGGTTGTCTGTGTGTCCATGTGTATGCAACCTATGTACAGTATCAAGATGCTTGGATGCCAGTATCCGAACATACACAGTAGCAGTGGGTAGGACAGTAGCCAATTCGCCCCCTTTGGCCCGCCACTCATTGATTACTTAGTGAATGTACACACGATCCGTCCACCTACCTATTCACCTGGTCCTCATCCTCTCGGCCTGGGTAACAGATATGCACGTCTAACATGCATGCATGCATTCAAGCCTGCCAGCCTGCCTGCCTGCATGCGGTCCCCCCACCCGACGTGCAGCTGATTGGGATCCTCTCGCTGTCTGTACCAGCTGTACCTTTTTCCCACCCAGGGCCAACATCCATCATCGTGCCTCACAATTGAGATACATATAGTCAATCAATCGATGGATACTCGGTTGCAGCGCTGTTATTGCACTTCGCATACAGTACCGCAACGCTGCAGCCTTGGGTCCTCTGAACCAACTGTACGTCGGTGTGCCACGGTGCTAGAATCAATCCATCCCTTTGACCGACGTGAATCAGTCAATGCCATGTGCTGCCATGACTTTGATGGTTACATGGTTGTACTACCTGCCGAGTATTCTGTCGTCGTCGTTGTCGTCGTGGTTGCTGTTGTTATTATCATCACCATGGCTAAGTTTGGCGCCCAGCTCTTCATCATGTCCGCCATGTCCGTTGCCTGTGTCGTCCAGAGTCGTGCGGCATTTTCATGACTGGCTCGCTACCTCCCTCTCCTTCTCCCTCTCCCTCGCCCCCGAAGCGCCTCCTGTATATACATACGATATACGATACATTGCCTTCGAGGTACCTGCCTACTCGCAGTCGAGATGGATCGAGGCCATGGTGGTTGTCAACCCCAGCCTGTAGCCGTTCCGTGCCCATGCACCCCGCTACACACAAAGCACGTCTTCCATGCCCAGCAGCAGCACCCGCTTGCAGTCGGCTCACCCCCTCCCTCGACGCATCCATGTCCAACCACTAATCCACCAGCCGTGCCTTGACACTCCTGGCTGACTTTCGAGCGCCAAACGCGACAGAATTCCGACTCGTGGGGGTTCTTCATCATCACGCCGCCTGACTGCCTGCCTGCCTGCCTGCCTGCCTGCCTGCCTGCGACCTACTCGCTCATCGTCATCGCCATCGACATCGCCATCGACATGGCATGCTGCGCTGTCCGGAATGAGTGCATGCCACGGTTACACAACCATTCACGCGAATTGGCCAATATCAAGCCGCCATGCTCTTCTCACCGTCGATTGATTGTTAATGCATCCATCGCCTGGCCTGCTGTGTATTCGTGACCGCCGACATCCACCCCACGGCCCTGCGGAATCTGCAGTCTCCGACACACATCCCCGCAACAAGCACACCAGCCAGAGTGCGGGCGGAAACCCAGTTTGCGCCCAGCCAGCCAGCGCTCTCGGGCTCACAGACCACGCCAACTTCCTCTTCCATCTTTGTCGTCATTGCCTGCAGCCCTCGAAGCGAACCCTCGATGCAATCCTTCGCACTTTGCTGTCTCTCCAATTCCGCGACCCGCCGAGGTCCATGGATCCATCACTCATTCATTCATTCCTTCATCACTTGATGACAGACAGACCGACCGAATTCACCGACTTGTCCCATTGGACGACGTGCAGCCAGCCGCCAATGCCAACATACACATGATGCTGTTTCAACAAAGAACAATCAAAACACTCCACCCCCGCGTGAAACTGAACAACGGCTTATGATATGCCCGCTGACCTCGTGCATGCTCTTCTGCCGTCATCGCTACTGTCGCCTGCATGTACGGTGAAGCGCCTCTTACAAACTAGTGCAACCGTACTTCTTCTGTGCCATGCCGCGGCGATCCTTGCCTGACTGGCCTCCAACTCAGTGTCAAAATTTCAAAAAGACCCAGAGTCTAGAAAACTGCCACTACACTCGGCACACTCGAGGCGCCCCGTGAACCCTTCCATCAAAACGCTTACTTGTGCCTGCCTGCGTACGTACGTACGTACCTACCGCCGGCGGTGAGTCTGACATTAGGTCCCCTCTGCAGCCTCTCCACAGTCTGATCCAGCCTCCTGCAGTAGTGCGAGCTTCTTTACAATACAGGCGGACAAGACATGAATAATAGCGCCGTCTCCTTGCGCGCCCAACACATATTGAGCGACCCTGTGTGTGCGCGAGAGTGGCCCGTGCAACGGCCCCGAGAGTTGGATCGTGGGGTGCTTGGCGGCATCGTGGAGCACCGGTCAAATTCTTTCGCTGTCAAGGGCCAAGAGCCTCATTTCAAGCTGTGCACCGTTGCCAGTCCGTTTGTTCTTCTTTCCTTTTGGCGTTTCATTCTTCACATCTTGGTCCCATGGCACCTCGCTCTGCAACAAAGCATCTTGGCTCCTGCACTTTCAAAAACACTACCGTGCAACCAATGCCACCAAGACCATTGGCGGCTTGTCTTGTTTCTCCATCACATCCATCTCTTCCCTTCGTCCCTCTCTCAACGTGTAACAATATATGGGACCGCGCTGCGATAATCGCCAACAGCCTTCCTTGGCACATGCGACGTTCCTCGCACCCTGGGTGATCCAGCCATGGGTTTCCCGATCTCCATCGCGAGACAAGACGGCAGATGCCAACTCGCAAAACACCATTTTGACTCTGCATATCAACCACCAGTCACGCATATGAGGATCGCCCTTATCAATAAGCCGTCATCTTCTCAATTGGGTCTTCCGACCGGTACGGAATCCAAACTTGTCTTCTGCTTGGCGTTTCCTCGCTGAACCTGTAAACTCCCTTACGAGGTGCAACCTTAATCTTTCATTTCACGCCTTGGCAGCGGCCATCAATGGAGCACGGAATCTCTTGGCAGCCACTCAGTCATTCTTCTCCCGCGCTTGGCATATGCGGAAGAGGAGGGGAGCCAGCTGTCGGTACTTGAATGCCAATCGTTTCTTTTCGCCGTATTACTATACTGGTCCATCGTGCTCTCTTCGTCTATGAGCAATTCGGTTGTACTTTCGGTCATATTACATTGCTGGTTGCCCAGAACGAACAGCGCATTGTCACCCGGAGTGAGCCCATCTTACCGTCTATGTGGAGGAATGTGACCCATTACTGCCGCACAAAGACATCATAATCAATCGCCGTGTTTCGTGAGTCGTGTGCCTTGTCCAGCGGTCATCAAATAACACGACGTGATTCCACAACCTGCTCGTCTCTATACAATCTGCAGTGCGGCCCGAGGCGATCATCTTTAAAAAGCAATTCGCTTACTCCGGGCTGTCACCTCGACGATCAAACTGAGCCAAGAACATCCAGAACCGGCAAACTATGTATTGAATTAAAACCAGAAACTCTGGCATCGCGTCCGACTGGATGATAGGCGTCGCGCTTCTCGTCTATTTCAACCTCACTTGGAAGGTGACCACTGCTCACCACCACTGGATGGACGAATTTGATGCCAAGCCCAATAAGCTGTCGTACACTGACAGCCAAGACTTCCGTGCTACGTTCAATGACCAGTCTTACTGCATCCTCATCGAAGCATTTCTTGGCATGGACCAGATGAGCTTTTTTATCCCTCAGAAGTGCCCTACGGAAGAAGGCAGCATCATACTGCCGTAACCTTGTTTCATCTGGACATCTTGCCCACGTCTTAAACAACACGAATGAGTGCAGGCGAAATCGGGAAAAGAAGGCGTACATTTGCTTACGGGCAAATTAATACGGAGAAAATATAGTGCTCACCTACGATCGAACTCGGTTGCTGCTCGACTTTAACCAGCTTCCCTATCGATTCACAGAAACATTGACTGCATGTCTCACGACTATGGTGGCAGCCTTCAACGGCTGGTAACAAGGCCGCACGTACACTTACAGCGAGGATGAAAGATTCGAACACGTCGAAGCTGCATCTTGAAACATTTCCACCACGCGCCCGGCCTACATGAAAGGGACGCGTCACTTGAACGTCTTGGCTTTGCATCACAACTCTGGTAAATTCCATTCTGGTCATCTCGATTAGAAAGAGACCGAATAGCCTTCCACCCATATGACCCTGCCACCCCCAAAATCTTTCCGCAGTGCTCCGTTCGATATATCCAGTCATGATCTCCTCCGTTTCCGCTTCGCAACGCTTCCCCCCTTTGCAAGCACGCGTAATCTCAGTGAAACCGGCACCTTGACCGAGTCTTTGAAGGGAGGCACTGCCACTGCAACAAGCCGGCATCGCTCTTCGTGGGGTGTGATGGTCTAATCTTTCGGTGTGGAACCAAGCCCGATCTGCAGAGATATACGGCCTTGGCTGTGAATTAAGGTTGCACCTGCCGGCGACAGTGGCTGTTGCTTGTAGACGTGGGGACAATTGTTGAGTCGTACTCTTCTACAGAGGCCTCGTCCTTCGAATGCCTTGTGTGGGAAATGGCCACGGCGGCGGTTGAATTGGAAGCACCGGCCCCTTCGTCACAAATGTCGTTCAAAAGATCCATGTGATCTTTTGCCGGATCGGGTCCAGGAGATTGGGACCGAGGAGAGTCACCACAGGCGAATCTTGTAGAGTTACGTATGCAATGTCTGTCGTGGGCCTTTGCATACGTGCGTACGTAACGAGGCGGTGTCAACAACGCAGATAAGTCTTACAGTAAGTTGTCCTGTGGATCATGTTTCTGCGGGTATGTCCTGTTGAATTGCTACCCCTTCTGGACAATACGCAACAGTGACTCTGTATCACCTCTGCTTTTTGAGGCAACTGATCAAGCGAACACGATTACAGAACACGCCTCGGCGCAGTAAGACGTCCTCGGGTGGCGAAACAGGAAATATCGATGCAGTCAACCTTCCTCACTCACTCCACCCATGCGGTTACCTCTCTTCCGTCTCACCTCTCCTCCCTACATAGGGCTGTCCCAACTGATTATGAGGTGTTATCAAGATGTGATGACTTGTATTCGAAACAGTGCACTACTCAATATTTGTCCTTCCCCTTTCTACATGGAACAAAAGTTTTGCTCGGTATCCCCGGCAAACAGTAATGATGCTTACCCTATGTTCGCCCTCTCACCAGACAAAAGAACTACACAGAGACAAATTACTACTTTTTTCCTCCAGGGTTAGGTCATAGGGCGTAGAGAAGGCGATCTTATATGTCTTTCCCCCAGAAAAAAAAAATAAGAAGAAGGTAGACGAAGACTTTTGTAGGTAGTAGATATCAATAAGAGGAGTGCTTAAGATGTAACAGAAAGCTTGAACGTTTGCATTTGCCGTCATCAACATACTACATTTGCGCTATAGATTATGCAAGCAAAGTAAAGGACTAGTAGTAGAATTCTACTAGAACACTGTACATCTTTAAGCAAAGAAAACAACCACATTTATAAAAACAAGAGAGTAGTTTTGTCTCTCTTTTTTTTCTTCCCTTAGAATACTTGAACTTGCATTTGTTATAATGTTTCTTAATCTTTTAATACATTTTCTCTCTCTATTCTTCTAAACTTTTTCTCATCCATCCTTCCCGTCTCTTTTTTTTTTTCGATTCCTTTTTTCGTGCAGCTCCATCTTAGTACAGGAATTTCTTTTATTATTTAGGCTCTACGCGTGCTCATTGCTTTTCTTAGCCACAGACAGACAGATAGACATACACACCCATGATAAAAGGGTTAGATATAAAAGAGAACGATGGAAAAGTGACCTGACTGCTAGCTTTTTTATGGCATTGGGCTTTGAAGAAAGAGATGTATGTATAGGATGCTTCTAACTGCAATCTACGGTGGAAACGTAATTGACTACGATCTCTCTTCTGGTTGAGAAAGAAAGGTGGGCGGGGGGTTCTAGACAATGTATGTGAGGAAGGCAAGAAAAACGGAGCAAGTTGAGGGAATCAAACGACGGGGTAGGTACGAAACTCACGACGGTGGAAGTTAATATATATAGATATATAACATCAATCAGCAGATGCAGCGTCAATTGCAGATGCTAGGAAATAGAAGGAGGGTTAATGATGAGCAGATGATTTAGCAATGCGCAAAACACGAGGATTATCTACTTAGGTAAACAAATGCGTTTGACGGTTTCAGTCTTTCCTGTGATTTTTTCTGTTTTATGGTTCACGTCTCTAGCAGTAGATAATTTTGTCGGTTTGCAAGAAAGGATTTCCCCATGTTAACAAACCGCTTCGAGTACGTCGTTATCCATCGAGAAGAAAAGCGAGGGCTGTTGATTCTGGATTGCGCGATGTATATATATATATATATATATATATATATGTGTGCTATGCATTCAATCCTTTCCGCCTACCAGCCACGTTCATCTCTTTTGGCAATCCCCTTTTCACTCCCTTGATTTTAGCGCTTCCAACTTCGGTTTATAGATCCCGATCCTTGAGCTCATCCACTGCGGTCTTGAGAGCTGCGGAGTGTTCCTTGACCACCCACTCCCAGTACGCCGCCCAGTGTCCCAGCTGCGGGTCATCGTTGACCGTAGAGCCGCTCTCAATACCAATGTGCTTGTTCAAGAGCACCGAAGCTTTGAGTACGCCCTTGCTGCCTTCTGAAATCCTCTCAATTTCCTGTTTCACGGCGTTGTCCTTGGGCTTGATGATGAGTACGGCGCGGAACTTGTCGGCAATGGCTTCTAGTCGTGAGCGTGTCTGGTCAAGTGCAATGACCATGAGCTTGGTGAGCATGAGGTTGCAAAGAACCCGGATATCAAGCTCATCGGTGATACCATCGACTATACGGTCGAAGCAGTCGGACAGATCCGAAGGCGACAATCTATCAAACGCAGTCTCGAGCAAGGCATAGAGAGTTTCGTACGCGCTCTTCCGGATCTCCAAACCGTCATCGACCTTGTGCTTGAAGGGCCCCATCTGTACTTCACGAATCAACTCCTGCTTAATCTGTGTTTCCTTCATGGTCAACGGCAGCAGCTGATCCAGAGCTGGAAGGATGAGCTCAGGTTTGTTGTGCATCGCCGAATTGAAGGTAGTAAGTGCTAATCGTCGGTTCTCAAGGTCGGTTTCGCTCAGCATCTGTACAAGCATCGGGACGACGATGGGCCGAAGGAACTCATCGTAAGCTTCATCGGTATCGGCAAGGGTGTAGCGAAGGGCAGAGATGACCATTCCGCGGACGCTTTCGGTCCGGTCGCTGAGAAAAGCCTGGGAAGATCAGCGAAAGATTTTTTTGGGGGTGAAAACAGAGATCGTTGCTTACCTGAAGTTGCGGAAGATATGTCTTCGGATCAATGATCGTGAGCCTACCAATACATTCCGCGCCAATGGCTTTGTTGTCTTCAGCTTGGGATGCAGTCACCAAATTTTGCCAAAGAGTAGAAGCGTAAGGGATAATCTCGGACTCCGTTCCATCATGCTGAAGGATCTCTTTAACGGAATGTAACAGAAGATACTGCGGGCTAGCGGGTTGACCCATCGTAGATAGTATGACAGGTAGGTATTTGCTCACACTGCCAGCACCCGCTCGACCCAAAGCCACGGCGGCTGCCAGAGGTACTGATTCTGACTTGAGGTTGAAGAACTTTATAAAGAGCTGTGGGTCAATAGAGGATTGAGATCCGAGTCGTAAGGCAGATTCTCCTAGCACCACAAGGGCTAGGCATTTGCGCTTATCATCTGGAGCGGTCTCCAGCTCAACAATGAACTGATCTATCTTGTATGAAAGGCTATTGCCACCATACACCAGAAGATTTCCGATCACTTTGCCGACTACATCAGGATGGCCGGAGATACCAACCTCTGAGAGCAATGCGGCCATCAGCGATTGACCGCACTGTTGTTCGCCAATGATTCGTACAAGAGCGAGGAGCGCTTCCAAGGAGCTACCACTAATAGAACCTTGTACAACTGCACACAGCGCTTTTGTGAGCTGAGGGGACATGGTTGCGCCCGCATCATCTTTGACATAAGTAGCCAAAATGACCAGCGCTGGACCCAAGAGATGTAAATCTGCAGTATCGAGCAGATGAAGAAGAAGTTCCACGATCTGTGATTTAGTTTGACCATCCAGTTGAGCTCTTGAAAATTGATTGATAGACAGCGTTCGCAAAGCAGTCAAGCTGGCTCCACGGATGGTCCTACTATTTTTGCGTAGCTGAGCTCCAAGTTCAAGTGCAATACTGCATACCCACTGGGAAGACAGCTCGCCTTCGACCTTGGTGTGTGCAGCTATGAAATCAATGGCACGCACAGACGCCAGACGAGTAAGCTCGTTACGCAAGCGATCGGAAAGCAGCTCAAGGCCAGCGACACGATTTCTCAGGGAAATCAACCCCTCGGTTCCAGAGCTCCGTCCGAGGAGAACCCCTAGGACGTGGATAGCGCTCTGGCGGACTTCGAGGTCAGCATCGTTGGCCGCAATTCGATTCACGAGAGACTCATATAATTGCTCAAGGTACTGCTGATTCTGAGTACCAGAAGCCGCTGAACGAGGAGGCGTTAACGCTTTGATAACTTCTTCGGCTGCCGAAAGTGCTTCAATCGAAAGCTTGCTGTATCTGTCTCGAGATCCGAGGAGGAGAACTGGCACAATAGATGCGAGATACGGTTGAAGTGACGCAGATGTGTGCGTGTCAGCTATAGCACCGATGAGCAAGAGCGCTTGAATACGCAGACTGTTAGCAGTGGCAGATGCGGTACTGGAAGAACCGCCTTTCGTCTTTGCAGCATCTACTATGGGCTCAATAATCTGTGTCAGGTACCCATCCAGTCCCCCATGCTGAGTGATGACAATATCTTTGAGAAGAAGGATACATGACTGCTTGGTAGAGGGAGGAGAAGAAGGCTGCTTGAGCAATTGTGATACTCCTCGAATGATATCTGGGCTTAGCTTGGACAAGCTTGCTCGCGGACCAGTAGTAGGTGTGCTAGCTCGTGCTGGCGATGCATAGCCCAACGATAATGAGGAGTTGCCGGGAAGGTCGAACATACTGGCATCGCTGCCACCACGACGACGTTTTCTGCTAGCAGGGGGTGCCATTGTGCCACCAGCAGGATGCTCGTCGGCAAATTTGACTGGTGTTGGCCCATCCCCTGACTTGCGTACTAGGTTCGAGAGGGCAGAGAGAACTTCCACACGAACGTTCTCTTCTCGCTCCTTGAATCGGGAGATCAGAGCGGGTGCCACCTTACCGTACAAAGTTCCGTCATCGAGCAAATCACCGGCGCTTCGCGTAGAGATAAGTGTGTATAAAACCTTGGCGGCACACCTCCTGACTTTCCAGCTTGCATCCTCGTCGTCATCGAAGCCCGTCTCTTCTTCGAAATCATCGTCTTCTAACGCATCTTCCTCTTCGCTATCCATTGCGTCGTCGTCGTCGTCATCATCATCAGCGAGATTGGGGTCGTATTTGAGTAAGCGAGTGGTCGCTTCAAGTGTTTCGTCTGTGTATGCTCGCATATCCAGTGGGCATGAGCTAATGAAGCCTTCCAGAGCAATAAGAGCCGCTTCCAAGACTTCGTCAATTTCAGGGTCACGCTCAGCCTCATCATCTGAGGTGTCCATCTCTTCGTCAAGCTCCTCGGAGCTCAATGCACTAAGAACGAAGGGTGCCAAAGTTTTGAGGTACGGTCCGAATTTGCGGGGAACAGAACGAGCCATGGATCCTAGTATGGTAATGTATAGCTTCCTTTTACTCCGGGTCAGATGTACATCCCGGAGATACTCGATCAACCGTGATATGACCGCACTCAGTAACGAATCAGAGAAGTGATTGGCCAAAGTGGATATGGCTGTGACCGATTTCTTCTTCATCATGGAGCTAGCCCTGTTGTGCTCCAAAACCTCAAAGATAATCTTCTGTAAAGCTGTCATTTCGGCATCCTGAAGCATAGGGCCGAAGCAACGGGAGACTTCGGTCAGCACGTCAATCGCGTTGCTGTCTGTACCCTTCTCCAAATCAACCTGTAGCATGCTTTTGGGAACAGATGGAAGGTTTTTCTGTGGCGGCGCAAAGACGTTGTAGCCCACTAAGCGTGGAATCAGGACCTTACTGACAGCAGTGTATGCATCCTGAACTTGCTTGGTGCGAGGCACGCCGGAGACGGGGCGTGGTAATGATACGACAACCTCGCGGAGAGCAAGGCAAGGTATGGACTGGTCGACAGTGGTACTCGTTTGAAGGTTCGACAGCTTTTCCAGCATAGGACAGAGCACGGATTCAGCGATTTTGTTGACGAAGGGACCCAGGCATTTGACAGCTTGGTTCTGGACCTCGCCGTTGCTGTCCACCAAGGTAGTCAGCAGGCCTTCGACGGTCTTCGCGCAGGTCACCGGGTCGTGTTGAAGGAACGTAGGGTGGCCAACGACCAACATGTCGTGCAGGTCGCTGAGGGCCATGAAGCGAAAGTCGGGATCGTCATCGTTGAGCTTGGGCAACAGCTGGATGACGCTGTGGGGGGTCGGCGAGGGAGTCACGGCGGAGGGAGGCGCCATGGCGAGCTCCAATGTAATTGTGCCTCAAGGCGTGGGCGGCGAGCGAGGTGGGTGGAGTGGAGTGGAGGTGTGGTTGTTGACGTTGTTGTTGTTGTTGTTATTGTGGCGTGGTGGGGTGCGGAGGAGGATGGTGATGGTGATGGCGGGGTGTTGGTAAGACGACAGCGGGTAGAAGGTAGAGACGGGAGGGGGCGGCGCCGGTGTGCATATATGTAAAGGCGTTTGATTCAGGCAGACAGCAGGTGAGAAGCGCCAAAGAAAGAGACTGAGGGTGGTGGAGACGGTTTGTCTCTCAGTTTTGCTGAGGTGCTCAATTGCTGCCTACATTGTCGACGCACGGGGCAAGTGGGCGTACTTGAGCGTCCCAGTATTGAGAGTGAAGGCCTAGAACTCAGCATGTACATGATATTGCTTTTATTATACTCGTGCAAGAAGAAATTATGATTATTATAAACAGCAAGTGAATGTATTTTGTATAGCCAATGTTGCTGTAGACACACCGGTTGACGGCATAAATATTTAGTAAATGGTGCATTTGATTCGGAGCTCCCAGGCAAACCTTCCACCCGGGTTTCTATTTGATCGAGCAAAAAGACACACACACACACACTCACTCACGCGCACACACGCAAACATGCACAGCCGAAGCGTATCATCAGTATGCCATGACTTGCATAGTGAATCAAAAGGATGCGATCTCCAATTGTGGGGTGACACTGACAGTCGGGTTCGAGCCGATTCGAGCTAAGCTGTCCCGGTGCACAGGCCGCTGACGTGACGGTGATTTTGCGCTTCTTCCGTTAGGTACTTACCAGCCATCTTGCTCCATCTCTCTTCCGCCAGGCCTCACAGCTCCCATCTCGCCGACATCGCTGCCAATTGCTCCCCGTCCGAGTCAATTGCCCTTCCCACAGCTTCATCATGTCTTTCGTACGCTCTACTGCCCTCCGCGCCTCCTCGTTCGCCCGATGCGCACGAACGGCAAGACTGGTTCGCACTGCCGAGCTCCAGCAGCCCTGGCAACGAGCCATCCAGAGGAGATCATATGCCTCGGCCCACGGTTCTGAGTCGAAGAAGAGCGATTTGCCATGGTGTGTGCTCTGCATCTGACGGGAAAACCATCATGTTATTGGCCATCGCTAACCATGACTGACCAGGGCTGTCTCTGCCGTTGCCATGACGGCTGTTGGTCTCTACGTAGCCGTGAACCAGGATACCGGTGGCCACCACGACGAACACCACGACGAGCACCACGATGAGGCTCATGAGAAGCACGCAGAGGAGTCTCACGAGGAAGAACCCAAGGAAGAGGAGAAGACTGAAGAGCCATCCGAGGGAAAGTCTGAGGAGAAATCCGAGGACAAGCCCGAAGAAAAGTCCGAGTCTGAGCCGGAAGAAAAGAAGGAGGACCAAACTACGTCGTCACCCGACAAGAGCGACAAGGTCAGTCTCTCTTGATGCTGGCAGGTCTTGCGTGCTTCCTAGACTAACAAACCACAGCCGGACCCCCGTGGAGAGCCCAAGTCTTCGAATGAGACATCTGGCAAGCAGGAGGGCATGTCGAATTCGGATACGCACCACACCTCTGAGATTAGCAAACACCCCGAGAAGAGCAAGAAAGGAGAGGGCGTTGCTGAAACCGCCAAGCTCAAGGGCACTGTCTCTACTGAACGACCTGGTGTACGTATATATATTTCGAGGGTTGTAATGTTCCGATCGCTAAACTCCAACAGGCTGAGAACAAGGAAGAGCGCGGCAACGCTCAGATCGACAAGAAGGAGTAATTCCTCGCTTTGCAGCTCCCTACTTCTAGGAAGATTCCCTAATCTTCTCGATACCTACCCACAATCCTCCGGCGGTATATCCCCCTGTGTTGCCATATGTACATTTTTTTTTCTTGGTGTAGAGTCGTCGACAAATACAATATCTATTCCATTTTCCCAGTTCGAATGATGATTCTGAGGCTCACCGAGTCGGCACTGGGTTGCTAATGTGGAAAGTTTTGATTGATCGAAATAGCGCTGTTCCCGGTGGTTGATTATCGCTGTTAGTAGCTACGATGATTGAGTGACTCGTCTAGTGAATTATCCGTACCTTCACCCGTCGTCGTCGTTCCAAGCAAGAGTCAAATATACGGCGAATTGCCCTAGACGATGAGCTTGAGGAAGTGCTTCTTCACTATCTTTCAACGAGCGAAGACCGTCTTATGAGTATCCCAGAGTGAACACTTTCCCGCGATGACTTACCCTTCCTGCACCAATCTCATGAACGTATGTTCCATCTCGGCTTCCCTCCCAAGTATGTCCCATGGAAAAGCATAGCGGGCTGCGGTTAATAGGAAGCTGGGAGTCGAGAAAACATCAAGAAGGGCATGGGATTTTGTTGGTTTGCCCTTTCCACACCAATCCACCGCATCATTACTGCGTGGTGCACAGAACAACGCCTTAATTGAACAAGCGCATACATATAACATAGCTAGGTATGTATTGCCAGCAGATGCCCTGCTCACAAGATACGAGGTCCGAATGAGGTACGGGTACCGGGCTTCTGATTGGCTGACAGGGGGCTTCTAAGCGCCCGGGAGTGACACGGAAGACTCGAGAGGTCGACTGCATCACCCAATTGGCCCGAACTGCGCCGCGTTGAAGCATCTCAAGAAGGTCTTGTCCAACGAGGAGCTGCTCGTCTTTCCGCTTCCGCCGCACTGTGCGGAGGAGGGAGATAGCTGCGAGGTGGATCACTTGATGCGCTCCAATCGCAACTGGGCATTCGCAGCGCCTCGACTGCCCCATCCCTCGTCAGGCTCGTCTGAATCATGCCTGGCTCTACCTCATGGACGCCATATCAGCCCCCAGAGCCCCAGCTTTATTACCTACATGTCTTCAATCACCGAGTGCAACCTCCTGCTTCATACACTGCTGTCCTGCACTCTTTTGTCTCACACTTATAATCTCCGTATTCGCTAGTTGACATAACTACCAAGTACATTCTCCACACCACGACTCTTGTCACGCCGCACTCCTCGGCCTGTTGGATTTCCGTCTACACATCAAACATATTTCAGACTGCAAGCATGGATCCTCGTCACAATGGACAGGATCCTAATCGTAATACACAGCAACATCATAGGTTTTCATGGCAAACGCCACCAGAAACACCACCTGAACAGAATGCCCATGTCCAGCAACAGCACCATCAGTACAATCAGCAGGTACAACAGCAACAGCATCAACAATACAACCAACAACAGCAACCCGCAAGAATTCATACTGAAGTAGACGGTCAACTACATAACCGAACATTCTCCTACGCACAAACACCGGCTGAGCACATCGCTTTCCAGTATATACCGTCTCCCAGCGATGTTCCTCCAGTGCCACAGATGCCCACGCCAATTGATCCAAGACCAGCTTCGTATTACATCCCGCACCAACAAACCGCCCAGCCTCAGCCTAGCATGGCGTCGCCACCATACGAAGAACACCCAGTTGTCTCCCCTCTTCTCCCACACACTCACAATAGAACTTCGCAACTGTCACCAATCTCACCCGTTACTGTACCCGAACAAACCCATGCGCCCGAATCGCAAACACAACGTACGCAGCACGCAAGGAACTTGAGCAACCTTTCACCCATCAACACAAACTTAAGACAACAAAGCTACCCTCAGATGCCCCAGATGCCCCAGCCCAATCCCGGAGACGCCACAATCACCAACACTCTAACGCCCATCTCTCCCAGTTCCATCAAGAAAGAGCCCCTGGAAGACAACCGCCCTCCCCTATCCCCAACCAGCAAAGCATCCTATGCGCACCAACCCTACTCCCCCCATGGCCTCTCCTCTTCCATGAACACCCGCCATGCCGTCTTCTCCCCAGACTCCGCCCACGGCCCCAACGGCCTAGACTTCTCCCTCCACCGACCCGGCCAAATCGCCCACCCAAACATGGACCTCTCTACCTCCGGTTCGAAGCAAAGCTGGAAATCCTCCCTCTGCTCATGCACCCCAGACGTATCAACCTGTCTCACAGGCCTCATCTGCCCTTGCATAATCTACGGACGAACCTCCTACCGCCTCTCCCAAAAATCAGATAAAAAAGATCCCACGGATTTATTGAGCCACAGCGCTACCAACGGCCATTGCATGATTATGGCGCTTAGCTGCGGATTCTGGTGGTTATATCCTATGCTTCAGCGCACGCGACTGCGGCATTTGTATAAGTTGGAAGGGGATCTGGTGGGCGATTGCGTTAAGGCTGCTTGTTGTTGCTGCTGTGTTGCTGTGCAGAATGAGAGGGAGGTCAAGACGAGGGAGGAGGCGACGCGGAGGTGGGCTGGGCCGGCTAGTAGTGAGGTTTATGGACGGGAGGCGGGCATGAAGTATGCGCCGCAGACATAGAATGCACCTATGTACGCATGTATGGAGAAGAGGGGGTGGATCAGAGACTGAAGGAATCGCACATAGCTTTTATGATAGTTTTAATGATACCCGATTTGATTGATCTCTAGCCTTAATTTTGCCTTGTAATGAAGAGTATGTCATGATAAGCGTTCCCTACGCGCTTTGCAGGGCTTTTCAAAATGATTATGTTTCTCGTAAAACTGGAAACGTATTATCAGTATCTAGCTACGCAGACTTCATCAAAGTTTATTAGAAACGTCATAGATACGTTTGAGCTTCGATGTTGGGCTGTTTTGCGGCCTCGTGCTCAACCTTCCTGATAAGGAAGGTACATTCATGCATCGATTACTGTATGACAATACCTCCGCGCTAACTCTATCTAAGACGACCACCCCACCTCTTGTTGCTGCTATTGAGAATCCCCATTTGATTCTTCGCATGCAAATAAATAATACGGAAATTCTAGTGAATAGGAAGGTGTATCAACTTGACATATGTCAGCTTCAAGTGCTGTAAGTATAAAAATCATGCTCGTGACGATTAGGAGGAGTTATCCGCCAACCTTCCTAATTGGGTAAGAGGTCTTCAACCGTCGATCACTGTGACTTGAAAAAGGACTGTCGGTGCTCAACCAAAAATTGAGCAACCAAAGTAAATTGGCGATAATGCGTCAACGTATATTTGGATACCTTTTCTCTAATTTGTTCAAAGACATTTTGCGTGTTCAAGAACCATCTCATCATATCCTCTCCATTGGAAATGAAATCAATAGACATGTATGCGACTGGTAGCACTTCTAAGCTTCCTGGTCTGAAAGGGTCAGATTCGTAGGGCGCCGATCGCCATAGTGAGAACAGCCGCCTTGATCGTCACACTAATCCCAGACATGATGGCCAAAACACCAATGGTCTATTATAACTTGGGATAACGGTTTTAGATATAAAATTGAAAGGTTTGAGGTCACTGACATCATAAGCGTCAGGATATAGTTGGTCTGCTGATCGTACTGCAATTCTGGTCGTTGCTAAAACACAGGCTGAAGCGGAGCCTCAGCCTCGTCACCTCTAGTGCAAGCGATCACACCGCATCATGATCAACAGTGATTATTTCGAGACTGATTACACACAACCTTGTAGCTTGGGACTTATGATTTTTTGTTTTGACGAGGTGCAATTATTTCTTGGCTCGGGACTGCTGTTATCGCGTTGCCCAAGTGGTGTTCTTTAGTTAATCCTAGTAATGCATAAGGTCTTCGATCCACCTAATTGGTTTACCTTACTTTCGGCGTAAAAATGGTGCGAATTCACTTTACGACTTGTACGGTTTGTAATTCAGGTCTTCCATATGTTATCAATCTTTGGGGTAGGCCTTGAACCGGAATAGTGTATTTCCCCAAAAGCTACTTAGGTGAATCAGATACCCCCGCTGACCTCATCTGGCCCATCGACCTTGAGTACTTCTGTGCATGATATCTCCTCTTGAATACCTGCCCGAATTCGACTTGACTAATTATCTCCCCGCTTTACGAAGACCGTTTGCTTCGCATTCGGTACAAATTTCCCTTCAACTGTGATAGACTCCGGCGCACTGTCCTCCCTTTGTCTGTCCCACTCTATTTCGTACTCTATCAATAATTTCGTTAGAACATGGGGCGGTCATCACAGGAGGGAAATAATGGCAAACTGCAGTCTCACTTTATGAATTATGAATGCCAGCACGAATAGTAGATGATGATCCAATCGTGAAGCTCAGAAACAAATACGCCACTGGACTACATGAAAGTCGATGAATGCGAGCCCCCAAAATGGGGAACCACGTTAATGCATTCAAAGTGTTCTCTACCCTAGTCTAAGATGATAGTTTTCTTCCCCATATGATACGGAGGGGGTAGATAGCCCCAGTCTTCGCAAGTTCGGCCTTCAACTCATCCGGATGGTTGGCAATTTGCTCAGATGTCAAGGGTATGGCACCAGCGGGCAGAGCTGTTTGGTTTTTATCAGTATCACAGTTCGTGGATTCTAGCGAGAACTTGGAAAGGAGACAGATGAACACACTTGAGGCAAAATGAGCCAAACCCTTCGCAGCGACTGTAGTCGAGTAAACACCCTGCTTCGCGAGCTGCGGATTCGGATTCAAGGCACCAAGCTTAGTGTCAATGTCTTTGTACTCCACATCGACAAAACCAGCCTCCTTGAGCCAGGCAGGGATGTCTTCAATGAGATTGAGACTACCACGAAAGACGGTGTAAATGCTCTTGATGATAGTGACAAAATTTTTGAAGGCAGGACCGTGGGACGGTAGTTCCTCGTTAGACGCCTCGATCAACTGAATCCAGCCTCCCGGCTTGACGAGACCGCCTAGAATGTTCACGATATCCTTCTGCATGGGACCACCAGCAGCAAGGGCCAGGCGTTGATGCACAAAATCGAAGCTCTCCTTCCACTCGACCGGCCAGGGCTTGGTCATATCTTGGATCTGGTATGATTGGTGAGCTGGCGGGTCTTTTGGCCAGGGCGCAGAGTCAATATCAGTCCTGATAAATTCATGCGGAACTGTGGGGTATTGCTCCGCGAGATCACGAATCTAGATTCCTAACTAGCGTGCAGTTTGGTCAACTAGCATTCCACGTAGTTCGGTCAGAGTACATACCATCTGCGGTAGCCGAGTCTAAGATGCGCAGCGGCTTTGTTATCAGATCGACTCTCGCGAGTACGAGGCCACCGGCTTCATCCTTTATTACGTAGTGCTGATTGGAAAGTCGACTGATCTCTTCCTCGGACTCAAGAATGTAAGCACCCTCTTCGGTGGTCATGATAGCTGCAGTATATCTTGTTTTCCGTGAATCAGTGAGAATTTTGGAGGACTGAGGGGGTGTGAGAAGGAGATTCAAGCGGATGTCTCTTCTTAAGGATTCTGGTGCGGCACGGGCGGCGCCTCACTTAGTGGTGGTACATACTGATATACCGGCCGGTTACCGACCGACTGCCTGATTCTGACCCACGTGACCGCATGTATGCGCATGCAGGAAGTATTGGTGTTTCATTCACGTTGGTGTATTACATCTCCTACAACTTATATCTATGCAACTGATCAATGTGATAGCAAGCAGCTGAAAAACCATAGGTGCTGTTCTTTATGAATGAATTCCGAACTGGAGTTTGGGTGCTGTCAACTTGTTTATCTCCACCACTCTTCAAAATCGTACGATAAATGGCCATGTGTGTTGTATAATGTGTGATAAAGCCAACCTTCAAGCAGAACATGACACCGACGGGCGTAAGCTGGCCAATGATTCAAAAACTTACCCCGCAATAATACGAGGACTACGCCTGTTTCTAGGGCATTGAGTTAGGCTGAGGCTCTTAACCTGTAGGCTGCCTTGTTGCTGTGACTTAAAAGCAACCTTTTGCCTGTGAGATGCTTTACGCTTTTCGTCCGTTTTCCACAATAGTTTAATTCTGTCCACAAAATTGCATCTGGACGTCAGTAATTATGGCAGCCCCTGTGTCTTCGACTGCACTTAACTATCGGCGCCTGATTGTGTGTTTTGACGGTACTTCCAACGATGGGAATGCATTTGGGAAGCATCAAACCAATGTTGGGCGGCTTTATAGCTGCATTACTCCCTACGATACTGTATACAAAGTGGAACAGCTTAAGTACTACGTCCAGGGTCTTGGAACTACGTCGAGTCTCAGTATCTTTTCAGAAGGAGCATTAGGCGCGAGTAAGTTATTTCTATATTCCGAGGATCTGCATGGCTCATCAAACCTGGCTAGATATTCTGGAGAAGGCGATGAAAGGATACAAATGGTTGTGCAAGAACTGGCAGTCACCAAACGATGAGATATTCTTGACCGGGTTCTCTCGGGGAGCCTTCACCGCTCGAGTCTTAATACTCTTACTCAAAGACATTGGACTCCTGGACAAGGATTCGCTCGACCGAAAAACGCTTGAAGAGATCCGGAATAAGTGGAAAGCACAAGCTGATCGACTATGGAACACGTACACCGTTGATCAACGCGATAAGATGATGGAAGCCCTCCAAGATAAGCTGAGAGAAAAGGGCAAGATTTGCCACTCCAACATTCGTGTCAAAGCTTGTGCGCTATGGGATTCTGTCAGATCAACGCATTTCGGCAGGGGATCCGAGCTTCGCCATGTTGATATGGCTGTCTGCGATAATATTGACTATGCGTTTCAAGCCCTCGCTTTGAATGAACGGCGAGGTGTATTCAAGCCAAAGCTTTGGCACAAGGTGCCCGGCCAGACGCTCAGGCAGTGCTGGTTTCTGGGCCATCATAGCGATGTCGGAGGTGGGAATAGGAACCTTCGGCCAGCGAATCTTAGCTTGATATGGATGGTGGAGCAATTGAACGACTTGCTGTTCATTGACGAGAAGCAGCTGGTGTATCTGACTTCCGGAGGTGTTCTAAGCAGCAGCCCGCCAAACATGCCACAGCAATTGATACTAGAGGACTCTTTAACTAGCGGATGGCGAGTCTTCGGCATTGACGAGAGAAAGCCAGGCGTCAATCAGCAAGAAGAATGGTCGGCCCTTGATATGAACAGTCCTACCGAAGAGACAGTGCACTGGTCCGTAAATTGGTTGGTGAACCGCGCCCAGCCGATTCAGAGGGTGACAGGGTATTCGTACTTCGCCCTGTCAGACTTCGCATACGTTCGAGACGAGATTTATTGGCAACGGCGCGATGGCCAAGTAAGACTGCCTGAGAATCTATTATCTTCCTTCGAATTGCGTGTGCTCCGTAAGAGCCAAAACATCGACGAAGACAGTCCCGAGATGCGATTCGCTGAGAATGATCAGCCTGGAGATACGCTAATGACAGAAGGGGAGATGATGAATCACAGACCTTTGCACTCTCACACGCCAGCACAAGCAGTCACCCCAATGGCGCCAGAACAAACAGAGGGCAAGCTAGAGTCATTCCCTCAGCCCAGTCTGTACCTGCCACCACAACTTCCTCCGCCCGTGCCTGAGCACTCAACCCAACCGTACCCAGCTCGACCATACTCAAATCGATCACACTCTACTGAATCATCCCCAACTCAATATTTCTCAACTCAATCATACCCAGCTCAATCAAATCCACTCTGGGAGCCTGTTGATCATTACTTGCAGGCGTATTATCAAGGCATTCCATTGTATCAGAGGTTCCAAGCCAAAGAATCGTGCTATGATCTCAGCAATGGGCTCAAGATGCAAACGAATCGTGCACTCTTCGGAAGCCCAAGAATTGTAGTCTTCCAAGAACCAGCTACAGAATGGCAGACTGCACTACAAGCCTGGCAAGATAAGTATCCCGACAAAAAGTTGTATCAACGATATCTTCCACGCGAAGCGAGCGTCGAGTTCAGTAATGGCGTCAAGATTCGGGCAAGCGATGGATCTATGATCAAAGGACCGAATACACCATCAATGAATGATCCAGCCACGGAAGAGCATCCTGCAAGCGATGAATGGAAGGCACGCTATCCCGAAGTCAAAAATCTGACGGTTCGATGGGTCAAAGAGGATGACTGCTGGCTCTTTTCCAATGGTGTGAAGATCCCGCGGCCCTGAGTTTGTGGTGGTGCCAGAGCAATATCGCCTTCGTTATTTAAATCTCGACCTTCCTCTTCCCTACTTAATTTCCTCACGCTTCTTCCTCTCGGTATATTTATTCTATGCAATTCACTCTCTCGTCATTTCCAGATCGCAATATCATGTTTTCGATGTTTTCTTGTTCGGACGTTAAGTTATTTGACACCATCCCAATATCAATTAAATGATCTTTACTACTGGCATACTGTGACAGCTACATATAGCATTGCCCAAAATATCTTTCCACCAGATCATCTGATCTTCAGGTGCATTCGCAAGCTCGCCCCAGAATAATTAGGGTGAGTGAAACGCGTACTGTGTTGGGTGTTTCGAGATCTTGGCATTCGGGAGTCGCATGCTGGTCGTCGGCACTTGCTTCCTGTCGACAAACCGTCAGAAGGCTTGTCGATGAAACCAAGGCGCCTGCAACTACCCGGTCGATCATTGTGTTCATGTTTTGACTAGTCTCGGTAGCTATGCTTTCTGTTTTTGGCAACGATTGTGCTGGCCTATTTGATGTGAGGGTACCCAGGCAGCGAGATTTTCGCTGACCATCTAGAGCTGGTCTCATGAGTTCAATTCCTGCATTGTCTTTCTTTTCTATCATTTGTATTCAGTAATATTTTTTGGTGTATTCTCTTCGTTGCTCACTTTCATCTGCTGGCAGATATTTCATTTCTTACCTCCTCCTCTTCCTAGTATATTCTTTCCCCCTTTATCGAATCCCTCATTTACATTCCTACATACCCAAGATATGGCTTGGGGTGTGCTAGATGACCCGCATATGGCGGCACCGCCAGGCACGGTGAATATTGGAGCGAAAAATGATACAGGTGGTACGTGATATACCCACAAGTCCTCATGTACACTTGTTGACCTTCATTGCAGACGTACCGAAAGATGAGTCGTCATTAAAACGAGACGGCAACATCATTCTCCAGCCCCAACCTTCAGACAACCCCAATGATCCACTGAACTGGTATGCAAGCTCCATGTAGCTCGGTATATTTGCAAATTTATTTACGTCTGAGACAGGTCGCGCGCATGGAAAGAATCTATCATGATCATTCTCGCATTCAGTTCAGGAGTCACCACTGCGTAGATTATCCCTTCCCGAGTTGAAATTTCGCAGCTAACCTTCCAAGTTTGGGTCCCATGGTCACACCGGGTCTTCAAGTCATTGCTATGAAGTACAATGTCAGCTTGAATATGGTCTCTAGTTTGATCATTGGCTTTTTGGCTTTCTGGATCGGGTTCACGACGTTCTTCACGGCTTCAGGTGCTAATATTTGGGGAAAACGGCCCTTCTTCGTGATCTCCACTCTCATTCTGTTCGCAACCAACGTTTGGGGATTCTTTGCATCTGTAAGTTCTGATTCTTGACTGCTGGAAGCATATCACTAAATGAATTGGCAGTCTTTTGAATCGTTGGCCGTCATGAGGGTGATACAAGGAATGGCTTCAGCACCTTTGGAGACATTGGTTACGTCGACAGTATCTGATCTGTTTTTCGTTCACGAGAGAGGTACACGCCTTAGCATATGGGGCATGATGCTGGCTTCTGGTGTACTACTTGGGTATGTGGCGCGTCAAATTACACTCTCCGGTTTGAACCTGACATTCGGCTACTTGCAGACAAACAATCTCCGGCGTCATCATCCAAAATGTATCGTTTGAAGCAACTTTCGGAATATCCGCGTTGATCTTCATACCGATCATGCTTGTAGTATACTTCGTCGTGGTCGAAACAACATGGAATGGCGCACGTGACAGCCACGACATCAAGGTGGAAGAAAAGAACTCTTCCTGGACCGTCGTTACCGAAGGGAAAGAGCCATATAGACAACAACTTCGACTTTTCCGCGGTCGGATATCGGGAGAGTCATTCTGGAAGGGTGCGTGGAAGCCAGTGCCTCTGATCGCATACCCGGCTGTGCTATTCTCGACCGTTGTATACGGCTCATACTTCACTTGGTTGCTTACCATCTCCGTCCTCTCCGTCACCGCTTTCTCCATGCCCCCTTACAATCTTAACCCAGCTCAGATTGGTGCCACCAACCTACCACTTCTTTTAGTAGGTCTAATTGGTTCGCCACTCTCTGGATGGATGGCAGATGCCATTCCGAAGTTCCTAGCACGTCGCAACGGCGGTGTCTTCGAACCGGAGTTCCGCTTGACCCTAATGCTCATTGCCACTCCTCTCGCAACGGCAGGTTTCCTAGGCTTTGGAATGACCGTGAACAATGGTGCGCCATTGGCATGGCCGGTATTCTTCATGTCTATTCACTCCCTTTCTGTTCCGTTCGCGTCGCAGGCCTCTCTGGCCTACGTGATCGACTGCCACCCCAAAGATGCGAATCAAGCTTTCGTCACAATCAACTTCACGAAAGCTGTGTTCACATTCCTGGCTACAACATATGCAAACGGGTGGATGGCCAATGTGGGACCTCTGAATGTGTTCACCACCATTACGATCATTAATTTGGGTGTATGCGCATTGACTATTCCTGCGTACATGTACGGGAAGCGATTTCGAAGTCTGGTGAGTCATCTTCTACTAGTGAGTATACGGGCAGCTACTAAAATTATTTCTAGGTCGCGCGAAGTAGCTTTGGCCAAAAGATGGGAGGATAAGCATGCCGGATCGTGTTTATATTCCATTCTAACGCATTGCGTCATATATGTCCTAGATGTGATAAATATAGCCCACAATATATAGTAAGAAACACTTGCTTAAACGCTCTTTCAATGCATATGTCTCACTTGGTTCAATGGTGAGAAGGGTTATGCAAATTATATGGATGTAAACATTCGCTATCATGAAAGTCGCGTGATAGTGTTGTAATACATTTGGAAAAGCGTGCATCACTTGGTGAAGGCGGGTCGGATCTTCTCAAAGCCACGTATATCTAACGCCGAAGCAAATGTTCAGTCAATCAGCATGATGTATGCGACTGCAAGGTATACGCCGGCAAAGTACATCATAATGTCGCATCCCTGTACCGGTACGGCAGAATGCTTCGCCTTGTTCAAATAGGAAAGTCCCAAGTCATCGCTGTACCTGATTTAGACGAGCACTATAAGTTCATTTGAGGACATGGTAGATCACCGACTATCTTCGACCTACAAACTCCGACGTCACCGCTTTACAGCAGCAGTGGTTTCAAACCTCAAAATCCCCAATGTTAGCACCTCTTTCTCCTACTTGGAAATATTTTCAATCATGATGCTACAGACTCATCTATATCTTGCATTTCTATCTCTAAATTCATTAGTGTCTGCTCACTGGACATACGACCGTCTCATTGTCAACGGCGAAGCCATAGGCGAGCCCTGGCAACACGTCCGCCATCACACCAATGGCAATGTTCCGCTCCAAAATGTGAATTCCACAGACATGATTTGCAACATCAACGGCCAATCTGGCGCGACGACAGAGACATACCCAGTAGTCGCCGGCGATACGCTGGGCTTCACCATCGCAGATACCTTCGGGCATCCAGGTCCGCAGCAAGTGTACCTCTCCAAAGCACCAGGAGATGTGAAAGAGTACGATGGCAGCGGGGATTGGGCGAAGATATATACGTTGTCGTATACCTTAAATGGGACGGGTGGTGGGAGTGACGGGATCCTGAAGTGGGCAACGCACCGCGCGCAGACGTTTGAGTTTAAGTTACCCAGCGAGACGCCCGCTGGAGAGTATCTGCTGCGCGCCGAGGGATTGGCGTTGCACGCTGCGCACAAGGCAAATTCTGCGCAGTTTTACGTCGCGTGTGCTCAGATCAAGGTTACTGGCGGCGGAGCGGGTGTTTTAGAGCCCACAATTAAGTTTCCGGGAGGGTATAAGTGGGATTCGACGGGGGTGTTGATTCCTGAGTTCTGGAGCAAGAGTAAGTTTTTCTTAAACCACCCTATAGTTTGACATGTTGGGAAGATTGTTCTGACCCATTTGTACAGTGACGAATTATACGAGCCCTGGGCCTCAGCTTTGGCCTAAAGGTACGCAGGAGGATCACGTACTTGATGGTAAAGTAAAGGTCTGATGTGGGATATGGGAATTGAAATGAGAACGAGCGAGACGGAATGGGAGTTATGTGCATGCACGCTGCGAACATGCACTGCATTATGTACAGCTCAAACAGCCGATTGATAAAACCCATACATTCTACGCAGGTATTCGCAAGCTAGGCCACACAATTGTTGCTAATCCTGCCCAGCACTGCACTAGAATATATGAGACTTTGATCTCGAACAAGGGGAAACTTGCAACGAGGATTGAAGTAACAAAATACTTTATCCTGGTTCCCAAGTATGTATTGGTTGCCAGGGACCTGAGATGGCAACGTGATGAACCATTTGCAAGCGTTGCTCGAGATTCGAGTGTTTCGTCTTTGCATTTAGTCCAAGCACATGCTAATTCAGCTTCTGACCGCTTTTGTAACTCGGTGACTGTTCCTCCACTTTATCTACGTTATACGTCGGTATCTTAGTGTGCTTATTTGCCCATTGACGATCGATCGAGCGTGTGCGAAAAGTGGAGGGTACCGTAAACCAACAGCAGCGTACCGGATACATGTAAGATGCATGTATGTAGCGACGGGAATTCAAGGATTGCGGTCGTGTGTAAAGAGCATGCTAAAGCGACAGATGACTCAATTCGTTGGTGACTTCCTAGATGTAGCTTTGTCAGATAACTAACTCCGCAGACGTAACATCGACTGTTATTTACCACGTGTCGAAGTTCAGCATAGACTCTTATATGCCGGTGCGAAACAAGAGCTTCCACTCATTGTGTAAGGTCGCAGCTAGTATGCCAAATGCATGGTGGATTGTCCTCATCAATTGGATGAGGTTGATGAAACGTGCCCTGTTTGTTTCTCCTTTTCGTTGAACTCTGCATCACCCATGTATCTTTAATTTGTGAGCCAGGACATTTGTTGACTCTTCATTGAGATGTGAAGCACTAATTCCAAAGAGTGCTGAGGCAAAGAACGAGTTTAAAGCTCGCAATAGGACTCTCGCGCGTGGCTAAGCATCCTACGAGATGTAGATGTCTAACGATGAGATCATAACAATACAGTGCCAGAGGAAAATCAAGCTAGACCTTGGGGGATACGATTGTCCACCAAGTTGAAGAGGTACGAGGAAGGGGGATGGCCACTGATCTGGTCGCACCGGAAAAACATGGGGGCGGCGTCAAATGAAACTTCAAATGTGGTTGCCTTGCGGGCACAGCACTCCGCCACCAAACCTACCAACAGCTCAAGACTGCTCATACCCATCGATTTGATGTTTAAAAATCTGGAGAATGAGAATCTCGTTATGTAGTCACGTTGAATTCTTCTGCCATTGAGCCGCACGTTTTCGCTGCTGGTGCGCTCCTTATCTCGCACACAGCCAACGAAACCTGAGATCGAACCAATTCACAAAGTAAATACAGTAAGATGATACGATCTGTATTTAGAAGCAAATAACTCGACTGACACTGTAAATCTTGTTCGTAGATAGGCGGTTAGCCCTCTCTATTGAACCTGACAGACTACCTGTTTACCCTCGTGCCCGTTCGTCGCCAGAACGTTATAACCCCGCCGTACACCATAGCATCATCGATTGTATCCATATAAAGTCTATATCCAAATTCCAAAAACTTTGATTTAGGCGCTCGTCTATCTACCTTCTAGTGGAGGCCTCCCGTGCTCGAACACCCGGTTACAATGCGGAGGCTGGAGCAAGCTGAAATGGACGGCATCTTTTAGATGTTTAGTGTATATATGAGCCATATTTTTGGAATAAAATGATTTTGATTTACTTCCCTCGTGGGTGACTATAATAGACGGAACACTTGCGCCGGGTTTGTCGTCCGGTGAAGTTGTTGGGGGCTTAATGGTTGTCAGGACATCTTCCTTCCAAGAAAGTGCAGAGTGGCTGGCAAGGCATCAATGGCTTGGAAGCTTCATTCCAATGGAAAGAGACATGCTCACTTTAAATCTTGATCTTCTGTTGCCTCCATCTTTGTATTTATTCTTATCTGGTTCGGGGAGTATATATAGAAATGAAAACAAATGAGTTTCAATCAGAAGTGTTGCGTGCTATCTGGATATATACTTTGTATACAGTGCAGTCAAAAAATAAAATGTCACCTTTTTTTCTTTTTTTGTACCATGTTTGCGACCGCATGCATGCCTAATTCATGTCACCTTTCTTTTGCAAGTCGTGGTGATTATGCGCTTCGTATTACATACATGGCAGATTCATCTGTCATACGCAGAAAACACAAGCTCGCACGCGGATGCACGGTTTAGAAAAGAAATCCCGAGTCGCTATCAAACCATTATCGGTCATGAGTACCCGTGGTTATTCGCGATACCGAACTGCGACGGGCAGGAACAGTGATCGGGCCGGAGAGTGCTAGGAAGCGCTTGAATATTGCCGATCGCGTACGCAATCAACGCTTGGGGCAGTAACGATATCATACACATTCGTAGGGAGTCACCTGCATACCTTGTACGACGTTTGCTCGTGGACTTGTTCTATCGCAAGGTACGTAACGACCAAGGCATCTCTTTCCGCTTCCCCGACCCATGTCCCATCACACAGAATTGATCCGAACGAAAATTTAGATTGGACACGAGAAATCTCATCTTACAAAATGTATCATCAAAGTGATCGACCGGACTCCTAAAATGATAGGTCCAAGGGAGGACGCAATAGAGAGGGTTTGAATCCGGAACATTGCTGTCCCATCTCATTCAAGCTTACAACAAGAGCAGAGTATGAAAATCTAGCCCTTTTGCACTATGTCTCTTATCTGATGGATATCGTACGGGAAATTGAATCTCAAGCGCTTTGCGTTCAAATCATCTTGCTCCTGGCTGTGCGCAGTCGCCTTCGATCGTTCAGGGAGCACTTATCGTCAGGACGAATACGAACACCGTGTCTTCAAAGACCAGATAATAGCAGCATCTGTCAGCCCAGTTGGAGAGACAAGTACATTTTCATTGTGTGGTGGCGTAGTGGAAAGGGTTCAGGCGCTGCCAAGCGAGCAGGCAAACAGATCGCAATTTAACGGTTCTCACCCCTTTGATCTCGATTTGTATCCAGAGTCGTACAAGCTTATGGGTATCAACAAAGCAATTATAGGAGTAGATTGAAACAGCATCTGTATGTGATAACGTGGTATTCTTTACGTAACGACTATGGGCGGCCAGAATTGCTCGTCTGGAGGAAGAAAGTCCAGAGCGCGTTGGAATATCACGAAGCGGGCAGAATAGAACTGCTCAAATGCATCATGAATGTTCTCAATCTAGGAGCATGTACAACCAGCAGAGGAAGCACAGCCGGCTCTAACAGTGGCAAGCAGAACAATGGGAGACTCTGCTACAGGCTCTGAAAGAAATCGCTCCATGGGGCTCAGCCCGACAGCAGACTCACCCGAAGGTTGCATCTCCAATATTGGCATGTGATAAGGGCATTTGCATTCTAAATGCCTGGTAGGAGATGCTACACAGATATGTCAGTTAGCAAGCATTAGTGATACTGTATGAGTATTACCTGAATCAATGTCTTCCTTCGAGAACGGCTCTTTTGGTTCCTCTTGTGTCTTTGTTTCCTGATTCTCCATACATGAGCCTGGATTAAGACTATTACAAGTTAACCGAAGCAAAAAGGTTGGAGAGATTGGCTTTGGGGGCGAAAAATCGAATAAATCTAGGTAGGGTGAAATACCGATGATAATCCACGACTGTCTGAACATGATCGTTTGATGGTTGGGTGTTGGAAACTGACATTGTGCCGGCACGTTTAGTTATGATGAGTAGTAGCTTCCGTGATCCCGACTGAACTTGATGTAGTGAAACCCTCTTTATATGTAGAGTCAGACAGCACCATGACAAGGGCAACAGGCGAAAAAAGATATAACAGATACAAATCCTCCCTAATTAGGTTTGGCGCAATGTGACGTTGAGGAACAAGACTCGCGAGAGGTTGGTAGCTTCTGCGATTGCGACAGATGGCTCTGTATCCCTGCGTTCAAAACGCAAGCGGTGAGCTTTAAACATACAACAGGGGTTTTCGTGCTTCAGAAGCAGCCTCGATTGAGGTATACACATAGTGCCGGGAACGAGCTGACTTTTCAAGAGCCCATTAAAAAACGATAATGGAATTCCCGTCGCATTATCAATGGGAGACGTTTTCTTGTTTTCTTGTTTTCTTCTACTCGCGAGAAGAGTACTGTTACCAAAAGTCTAAGGTTGAAGATAAGATCACCAACAACCTTACCCCGAATCCAATTGTGCCAGACGAGAAATCGCTAAGGGCTTAGTGCTGAGAATACAAGTCGAGAATCATAATCATCGAAAAGACTTCGGGAGCTGATAGACACCGAGAGAGTGGAACGAATTCCAATGAAGTGGTACGTTAACCGCTAGCTTGCTTACCCACGAGGCCGCCCATTATCTGACAGCGTGAAAGTTCGCTAGGCGTATGTGGCTGCCTTAGCAAAAGCATTCTCGGCCATCTTATATTTGACTATTCTACATCATCTATCCTAAATCCTGGTGAGAGAAAGTTTTGCACTCGCTCAAAAGTAAAGAAACAGAATCCCAATTTTCATTTTTTTTTTAAATAAACAGAGAAATTAACGATCCCTTTGGTTAACATCAAAAAAATTATACATCTCCGTCGAAAAACCGAGAGGCTGGTTATGGAAGGTTCTGAATCCTACAGCAAGCCACATCGGAGAAGGATTGGATCATCCTGGCAGTATCCCAGTAAGTTGTCTCTCTTCTTCCCGCTTTTCTTTTGCATATATTATGGGTCGAACAGAGTTAGCTGGTAATAACATGGGTGGTGAGAAGGAACGGGAGAATTGGGAGGGTCGTTTGGAAAGACGGTGAATTGGTTGAGAATGGCAGGAAAACAATCACTAGCTCAACGCAGGCATACACGTCACACTTTTTGCTCAATCCCTGCTCGCTCTTGAAACCATCAAGGAAATCCTTTCTGTGCTTTTGACACTGTCCTTGCGCAACACGAGATCACTTGCAATCTGCATCATACTCCAAATTATCAATAACATCAAGCGGACTCGTGCAAACCGGCATTTATGTACGAATGCAATAGCGCCAAAGAAAAAAGCTGTCTATAATTATGCAGCCGCAGGAGAATTAGCTCCATGCGAATCAAATTCTTTAGGTTCATATATGTCATATCGTTGCGCCTGAGATCAAAGGTGTGTAGTGAGCCCCTGGGTGATTCATGATTGAGCAACCACATGCGTATATATGTGCATATTTAGCTCGAAGACTTGAACATGCTGAGAAGCAAAACTATAACACAGCCATTACCGGATTTTCACTTGATGTGTGAGTAGCCCACCTGTACAGGTAGGCAGGGGTGAATGTAAGAGTCACATGACAGCGATATAGAACTTAGATTGCGAATGGATTGTAAGATGGAGCTTGGGTGATCCTAAACACAGAAATAGTTATAACAATAGAAGAATTAACAAACAGTCGCTGGTGAAGGTTACTAAGTACTCATCACGTGCTACATGCGGAAGGCCACGGGACGTGTTCGGGTTCTAGGCCGAGTTACCGCGGCTCCGAATAATAGCGTGGGGATCCGTCATTCGTGTAAGAGCCGCATCTTATAGCCTTCAATACCCGTGCCGATCGTCGCGCAATCTCTACATGCTCAATTGTCAAAAGACAGAGTAACATCTTGGAAAATGAACGGTACCAACGGCAGCCATGCTAATGGAGCCAATGGCACCAATGGCACTGATATAATACCCCAAAAGGGGTCGGAACCACTCTGGATACATCCTTCCCCGCAATCGACCCCGATGTTTCAGTTTGTGCAGAGTGTGAACAAAGAGTATGGACTGAATATATCCGGTTATAAAGAGCTGCACAAATGGAGTATCGACAACATCGATAGATTCTGGGGTCGTGTTTGGCATTTTGTCGGAGTACGGGCTGAAACGGAAGCTTTGAAGGTCAATACGAAATATAGCCAGCTTGGTGGATCATTCATATACTGATAGAGGATACAGGTAGTTGACCTCGATGCACCTATGATCCCTCGTCCAGCTTTCTTCGAAGGTGCAAAACTCAATTTTGCAGAGAATTTGTTGTTCCCCGCGCAGCGAGTGGATGTCGATGGTCCTGCTATAATAGCTGCCACTGAAACGACGCGAGAGACAGTCTCTTGGAAAAGCCTCAGGGAACGTGTCAAACAATGCCAAGCAGGAATGATTGGACTAGGGATTAAAGAAGGTGACCGAGTGGCAGGATACGTTGCAAACCATACCAACGCTCTAGTCGCCATGCTGGCAGCTACATCGTTAGGGGCAATTTGGACGGCAGTCAGCCCAGATACAGGCGTACATGCTGTGCTAGAGCGGTTGCGACAGATTGAACCTAGCATCCTCTTCGCTGACAATGCTGCATTCTATAACGGGAAGAGCCATCCTGTGTTGCCTAAGATCATTGAGATTGCTGTTGAGCTCCCAACTTTAAGTGCAGTGGTCGTATTTCCCACTGTACTCTCCGTCGAAGTGCCTGCAGAATCCATTAAGGTTCCTTCTGGCAAATCGTACGCCTACGCAGATTTCATCAATCTTGCGGAGACGAGAGAGCTCACCTTCAAGCAGCTTCCCGCGGATCATCCTGTGTACATTCTCTACTCCTCCGGAACCACTGGCGCGCCGAAATGTATCGTGCACGGGGCTATTGGTACTCTACTCCAACATAAGAAAGAGCACATAATTCATTGCTCGATCACGCCCAAGTCTCGACTTTTCTATTTTACGACCTGTACCTGGATGATGTGGCATTGGCTTGTCTCCGGACTTGCCTCGGGCGCGACTCTCGTGTTATACGATGGCTCACCCTTCCGCTACGTAAATCCCGATGTCCCAGAGACTTCAGTTCCCGACGATCTTGCCATGCACAGACTCATAGAGGAATTTGATATTACGCATTTCGGAACGTCTGCTAAATACCTGTCTGTACTAGAGCAAAGGTCGGTCTCCCCTCTATCAGCAGGTTTAAATTTGAAGACTCTAGAAGCCATATATTCCACCGGATCGCCTCTAGCTCCGTCAACCTTTAGCTACGTCTACTCAGCTTTCCCCTCCACCATAAACTTGGGCAGTATTACCGGCGGTACAGATATCATCTCACTTTTCGGGGCGCCCAATCCCCTTCTGCCCGTCTACGAGGGTGAGATTCAAGGTCCCAGTTTAGGAATGGCCATCGCAGCTTTCAATTATACTGGAGAAGATATCACTTCCACAGGCGAACCTGGGGATCTCGTATGCACGAAACCTTTCATATGCCAACCGGTTGGCTTTTGGGGCAAAGATGGCGCGAGGAAGTACCGCAGCAGTTACTTCGAAAAATTCTCCAACAAATCAGGACAGCCCATATGGCACCACGGAGACTTTGTGCGTTTCGATCCTCGGACTGGTGGTATTTGGATGCTGGGGCGTAGCGACGGGATTCTCAAGCCAGCAGGAATCCGATTTGGTTCGGCAGAAATATATAACGTCTTGCTTGAGCACTTCTCGGTTGATGTCGCAGACGCGCTATGTATCGGAAGGCGACGCGAACAAGACTCGGATGAGACGGTTTGTCTGTTCTTGAAGATGGCAGACGGGAAAGCATTCTCGACTGAGCTCGCCGAAAGCATCAAGGTGTCTATTAGGAAGGCTCTTAGCGCCAGACACGTCCCTGGAGTTATCGACGAGTGTCCAGAAATCCCTGTCACCACGAACGGAAAGAAGTAAGTTCACTTCACGCACTTTGTTCTGAATAAGCTAATTGAAAATAGGGTCGAAGGTGCCGTGAAGCAGATACTGTGCGGATTGAATGTCAAAACATCCGCAAGCGTCGCAAATGCGGAATGTCTCGATTGGTACAGGGAGTGGGCTCACTCACATTAATCCGTGGAATTCTCTGGCTGGAAACGTATTCGGGGTCACTGATAATAGAAATTGGATGGATAGATAGATTACACCAAAGGCTCATATATCCACGTGTCTTGACATACGGATGATCCGCTGGTCCAGATCTCAGCGTATGGATCATCTCTCATTTATTCATGACATTTGATTTTCAACCTCTCCGATTGAGGGCCGATCGTGAGGCACCAATACAGGAAGCTCCAACAGCTCACTGTGCTAGCTTGTGGTTTTGATAGATTTTTCATTCGACAATTGGTCTCAATCTGCTCCTGCTTGCTTGAAGTTTTCTCACTTGTTGACTTTGTTGTTTGTCAAACTACACGTTTGTATACAGCAACTCTGGACAAAGCACTCTACCTTCGTGAATAATACAGCAGTCGGTAGCCACTTCAAATCCAGTGGTCTATCTCTCTTTCACACTTCCGCAGTGCACATATACTGAAGCTGTTCAAGATCCGATCAGCTCTTCTCTTCTTCTCTCTAGCACAATCTGCCCTAGAAACCTTACACATAATGCCCGGGCGAGTCGACAATGTCTACTCACGCCTGAAACTGCTTTGCGCTGTGCCGACCGAGCTGAGCGAGGAGGAAGTCAATCAGATGATCAGTAATATCATCCTTCGATCCTGCTTGTCTAACCTTGATTTTTGACTGACTGTCTATTAGACAACATGGCCTACTGGGTCACTGGATGCAAAACACCAATCAACATCGGAGCCGAAAACGTATTCCTATTAACCTGCGCCACCATCGACAAGTTCACTGGAGAGCGATGGTATCACATGGATTTGGTCTTTGCGAAGAGCGCACTCATCAATGGTCATAAAAGGTCTTCCCGGCTAGAAGCACTGGCTGGATTGCGTGATGCGCTGGAGATAGTTGTTGCTGAAGAGGACAGTCAACATGGGCAGCCGAATAGATGAGCCGGGCTATGAATACATCCCAAGAAATCGCAATTCTCACTTTCAGGGATTGACTTCTGTATGGGAAATGAGGAACACTACTTGGGGGTACAAAATTTACATTGATGTATCCAAAAATTTGCTCATGTATGCTATGAACACAACCAAATGCGTATGTCGATGGTGACCGATACCAATGAGATATACCCTTCGCTTTCAGGTACATCTATACACCAATGCTATGGAGTAGATATTGATCAAGATTGACCATGAAGTAATATCCACTCAGGCTTTGAATTGACTAAGAGAAAAGGTTGGACTCCTTCAATGCTATTCAAATACCCACTGTCTATGAAAGCATCCTTCAAACTCCCCTCAAAGATCATAAGTCTTCTCAACCTCCCGATGCAGGCCCTTGATGCTAGGCCAGCTCATCGCCATCCACTCCTCCTCTTTCTCCACTGCCTCCACAAATTGCTTCAGAGCCAACACCGTCTGCGCAGCCCACTTCTGCGGACTCACAATCCCACAGCCCGTCGCAAAAGGCGTCATCATCATCGTCTTGATCTCACTCCCCTCGCCACCTTCCTTCACTCGTCGATTATGCCGATCGACTGCGGCGCACAAAGTCCACATACACTCAAACACTACCTCTCGATCCCACCTCACAGCCTGCGGGATCTTCATGGTCGGGGAAATCGCCATGTACTTGCACCCCCAGTCGTTCGGTTTCAAATCCGGTTCACCTTCGAGCGGCACAATCAAACAGCTTCCTGGAGGCGCAAAGCCGCGATACTCATTGTATAGCGCTTTTTTAGCCACCCGCGTGAGCGCCAAATAATCATCCTGCGGTGCAAATGCGATGGATAGTGCAGCATCGAAGCCGCCGTCCATGAGGCCAAAGGAATTTGCGGGCGAGACGATGAGATCGAATTTTGTGGACGAAGGGAGTGCGTCGAAGTAGGTGTGCGAGAATGTGATGTTGATGGAAGAGGGTAGAGAGTGTGCTTCTGCGGCAGCTTTGAGGGCGGTTTCAAAGGCTTCGTCGATGCAGAGGAGGGTTATGGAAGGGATTGGGATAGATGAGGAAGTAGAGAATTGGGTCCCCATCTTAATCGTTTTGTATCTCTTTGCAGTGGAAATTTGGTGGGAGTTTGTGTTGTTCTAGGCACCGATGGGGCGGGGTTCGAAGATGACGGGATTATGTTTGCCTGAAAGGTCAAGTCGCTGATTTACATTCGAGAAGAGTTCTTGCGATGTTTCTTCCCTGTGTTTCCAGATATATGTACAGATTGTTGCCTAATTCGTGATGGTGTCGTGTCTTTCTTCGTGAATTGCAGGCTTCCACTAAAGCCTGAATCATGAGCTGCGCCACACTCTAATCGTCGGTGCTAGGGTTGTCATGTACGTCTCTATGTATGTCTCGCTCAAGGCTTTAAGCTAATCGGTTTCTCTTGATTAATTTCATCTTCAGCCTTGGGGCCAAATGTACATGTACATGTTAAGATCTGGCATCTATGCCTCGATTATTTATGTCTCGGAAGCGGGTACTGTGACTACAGTTCCACTGGTACCTATTTCACTCCTGGTTTAGCATTCCAAGATCTATATATCTGTTGTCTTGGGCCGAGAAACCGTGGCAGTTTGGCTTGTTGCATTGCATTTTTGACCCTTTGGCTTATTTACTCCAGTCATGATCGCGAGACAGCACGAAGACAGACACACAAACCATCGTATGGTATACGCATCAGTCTTGGAAATGGAAAATTCGGATCGAGCTGACAAGTGCAAAGTTACATGGCTCGATAAAAGCTCCACTTGCAAACTTGGGCCCCACTGTTGCGCCCTCCGTATTGCATTGCTTACTCTGGACGATCACTAGTAAGTATCAACGGGTCCGGTTTCTCCCGCGGCATCTGTCGCATTGTTCTGTTTAGAATTTGAAGTTCCAGCACTGATATTTTCATGGGTTCGGAACGAACCAATACACTTTTCATGTTCCACCGTTCAAGCTCTTGGCTGCAGAACAATCAGCACGTTGTTTTGATGCATTTCTAAACCGATGGCGTGACCGTCCGTTCATCGCAATCAATTGATACTTTTCAGGTACGCCCCGTCTGACAATTGCGGCACGTACAGCTGGGTGAGGCGTAGATGTTGCCATTTCGAACAGGTCGCTGTTACTTCTCCCCCGAAATCCCGACTGCCCGGTCTCCCGATTGGAGAGCCGCCAATCATATTTCGTCAGTGACATCAATAAAGCCATTGCGGCACTGATATATAAATAAATCTTATGTCGCAAAGATGCTCTTGAGGATATCCAGGACCTTTTCTTCCACCTGATACTTTCACCGTCATGACCGCACCAATCCGATACATGCGCCCTGTTATAGCGACAGTCGCAGCTGGAGGCATTGGCGCAGGCATCGCATTTACTTTTCTCAATCGCAACGTTCACGCAGACGCCGGGGAACCACCCAAGGTTTTTGGAAAAGGTCCGGCGTTCGTGTCGTTACCAGTCGAGAGCGTCCAAGATATCAATCACAATACAAAGCAATTGCGATTCAGACTCCCACAAGAAGATGCCGTGAGCGGTCTTTCGGTGACCTGTAAGTTCACACACCCACGCAACAATGCACATATCTTTCAAAGGCTCATACCCTACAAGCTGCGGTCCTCACCATGTCATGGCCTAAGGGAAGATGGTTTCCCGTCGCGAGACCATACACACCAGTTAGCGCGTTAGACGAACCCGGCCACTTCGACCTCCTCGTAAAGCAATACCCGGATGGCAAACAAAGCACACACCTACATTCCCTCCAGCCTGGCGACAAGTTACTTTTTGCGGCAGCACTTCGAGGTTACCAATGGGAACCAAATACTGTACCACATGTTACACTGATTGCGGGCGGCGCGGGAATCACACCGATATACCAACTCGCGCGAGGAATCCTGAGTGACCCATCCGACAAGACAGCAGTCACGATTGTTTACGGAGCCAACACTGATCAAGATGTGTTGCTCCAAAAGGAATTTGAGGATTTCAAATCGAAGTATGGCGACAGATTCGAGTACCTCTATACAGTGAGCGCGCCTGATCCTGGTTCACCGTGGCGAAAGGGACGAGTCACCAAAGAGTTGCTGGAGCAAGTTGCGAGTACGCGGGAGAAGGAAGTTGATGGAAAAAAGATGGTTTTCGTATGCGGTCCACCGGCCATGGAGGCTGCCCTGGTAGGAACGAAGAAGGAGAAGGGAATCTTAGAACAATTGGGTTATGACAAAACGCGGATTCATACTTTCTAGGCTAGAGCAACCTGTTATGATGCGTGTATAGATATTAGCATTAGCTTAGATGTAGAAATAGAATATACCCCACAATGCAGAATTACATAGAAAAGACATGGTGAAGGCGGATTTCAGGCAGCAGGTGATAGCGCGCATTAGCCGCGAACGCATGGTCTGTGCGCTGTGACGCGGTCTGCCGAGGACCCTAGAAATTATTCAAAAGTTCAAAAACAGCTGCGTCCAGCTCTTGCCCCTCCTCTCTTACCGACAACACCACCAATTGCCAATCCTCCGGCCAGAACTGGCACCAGAGAGGAACAAGAAAACAAAAGGTAAATACAAAACCCAATTCCCCTTATCGCAATGCCGCGGGCGCCAACCGCGCGCAATGCGCCTCCCCGAGGTGGAGGTCATGGTGGAGGTCGAGGTCGCAATGGATCGAGGGGACGAGGAAATGCGCGGGGACGAAGCAACAGTCGCGGAGGACATCGCAACGAGCCTTACCCTCGAGAGCCTGTTCCCCTGCCAGTGCGATCCAACGATGCGCAGCGCCCGGATAGGATCAATTCCCACGCCGAGCTCGAGCAGGCGTACCGACGGGACGAGCAAGATTACCGACGAGACGAGCGCTTCTACGCACGAGACGAGCAAGCTTACCGCCGGGACGAACAAGCCTACAGGCGCGACGGGGTTGACTACAGGCGTGATGAGGTCGACTACAGGCGCGATGAGGTTGACTACAGGCGCGATGAGGTTGACTACAGGCGCGATGAGGACGACTACAGGCGCGGTGGGGACGACTACAGGCGCGGCGGGGATGGCTACAGGCGTGGCGAGGAATACTACAGGCGGGACGAGCAAGCTTATAGGCGTGACGACCGTGAAGAGCGAGGCGCGACCCGTCAAGGTCTGAGGAGCTCTAGTGATCGAGGACGGAACGATGGAGGACGAGGCAATTCGCTAGATCCGCGCGCAAGGCACCAGCAGGCCGACCAGTATCGCCCCGGTACCAGCGATAGTCGGGCCAGCGGCAGTTTCAACACCGAGAACGACTTGCGAAGCGATGCGCGTCGAGTAATTGATCCCGACGGAATCGGACCAGACAATGAACCACGGGTGGGCCAGAGGCAGCGTTGGCCGGTCGAGCGACCATACAATCTGGGAGCTATGGGCCGTTATGGAATTGATAGTAAGAAAGCCTAAGCCTGAGCCTTCGGTATAGTATTGACATGCAACAGTTCCTCTTGACCAGGATCTTAATCCCTTAACATCAAACCTTCGGGAGTCAGGCCGTCAAGAGAGCTCCCGTCGGACGCCATCTCGCCAATATTCAGCGCTTCAAGACCAAGATCGTCAAGACCAAGATCTTCAAGATTACCCTCGTCAAGATCGCCCTCGTCAGGATAACCCTCGTCAAGATCGCACTCGTCAAGATAACCCTCGTCAAGGTCGAAACCGTCAAGGTCAGAACCGTCAAGATCTCAATAACCAAGAGTCAGATGGTCAAGGACCCGGTCGTCAGGATCGTCAGGATCGTCAAGATGATCGTCAAGAGTCAATTCCCAACAAGAAGAAGAAGAAGGGCAAGCGAGGAAATAAGAAGGGCAAAAAGGCAGCGGCGCAGGCGGCGCAGAACTGAACAAGACATGCACCGGTGGTACAAGGTAGCAGGGCAGGCGGCGCAGCGATGACAACACATATGTTGGATGGTTTTCACGTCGATTAAGCACACGTCAGTGCATTTTGCAAAGCAATGAGATACCTCGCATGAGATGATGACTGGAATGGGTCATGAATACACAAAATACTAAAAGGGCTTTCTGAATAGCCCCGATACTCTTTCATAACTTTGCCCTCACCCAGTCCTTGATGACTCCTCTACTTCCCGTGCCACTATCCCCTTTGTACCCAATCAAGAGCTCCAATATCGGCTCCATGTGTGCTGCCTTTTCTGTAATCACTGTATTCACTCTCCCACCTTTCCCACCAAACCCCTTGGTAAACCTCTTGGAAAACTCCTCGATGCTATCAATCAAAACCTCGCTTTCACCGCCCCAAATCAGCACCTCATCAATGACGTCTGCGACTCTTTCCCACCAGTTCGCAGGCGCCAATACTGGCTCATTATAAAAATCCCCAGCAAAAGGACTATCACTACCCAAAAACGCACTGGACCAGTTGTTCAGCGCCCTCCGATCGAAGCAATCCTTCTCAGCATTCGTCCTAAACGCAGGCGTATACGTGTTGAATGAACACCACGGCGACATCAATAACGCAGCATGCAACTTTGTCGGCAACTGCAACGCCCCAATCTCAGGATGTGGGTGCGCCAGATGCGAAAGCACGCCCAATACAAGATTCCCGCCCGCGGAGTCGCCTCCAAGCGTTATATCGCGTGGCGCGCGGCCCGTGGTGTGAACGAGGTACCGCAGGCAGGAAACTGCTTCGCGGAGCTGAGTTGGATAGGTTGATTCTGGGGCGAGGGAGTATGCGAGGAAGAGGACGGCGACTTCAGTGCCAGTGGATGAAAGCTCGTCTTTGAGATGTGTGAGGTACTGGAAGTGGCCTGGGAGCATGGGCATTACGTATCCTCCACCTACTCGATCCATCGTAAGTCACATATCAGTTTCATCATCTCGATTTGTGGTTACTGTGGAGTGACTTACCATGATACCATAGTATCACTTTCTTCGCGTCTTTGTTCCCTAGCCAGTGTGCTTGTGCTCCGCCGGGGAGAGTCACGCTTTCTGGCCTGAACCCGTTTTCTTGAGCGTATTTTAGGTAAGCTGGTGTGCTGGTGCCATTCATGTAGCGTTGCTGGACTGTGTCAAGGCTGCCGAGCTGGGAGCGCATCATGCTGAAGAGCACATCTTTGTAGTAATTGTGGGCGCCGGTTTGGCCTTTGAAGGGGGAGACCCATATGCGACCGGATGCTACGAGCACTGTTGAGCGTTGGGGTTGTTGGTGTCAGTTGAGTCCAGTGATGGATGAATTGATGTTTGGATGGAAGAGTGAACGGTGAATGAAGCATGGATGGGATGGGTGGGGAACGAACTAGCTTTCAGGGTAGCGGAGGCGATGCCCAGCTTGCTCACGTTTTGATCCGCCATTGTACTACTCTGGATGAATATGAAGGTTTGGTTGCAGAGTTCCGATCCTAGGGAAAGGATGAAAGGATGTCTCTTCGTATGATACAAATGCGCATTATTTACTCCAAAGCTAATCCTGCTCAACTCCCATCTCTAAACAGTCGACTCGGCGCTTCTGGGAATGTATTTCCGAGGTCCCTGGTATGCAAGAAGAGGAATAAGCGGGGAACTTGTAACCCCCGCATTTCGGAATACCAGGTACAGTGCCTATACATAGATGTGCATGTGTAGCCTTGCTGCCACGCGATTCAGCTACAGGAATCTGGGGTGCATGTAAGCACAACGTATTCGAGAGAAAAAATGTAGAACAATGGTTGCTCTGTGAATTGCTCTCCAGCCCAGGACATTGACCAATTGGTGATAGATCAGCAGCTGATATCACTGGCGATCCGCATTATCCATCTGGACCAATCAAGCGCCAGGTATATACGCAAAAAGAATATAAAACAATTAGAGGCTGGAAAAAGCTCGAGCATGTAACGTCAAAGCAGGCGGGCTGAACATACATGTTCAAAGACTGTACATACAATATGGCAGAATGTCATGATACACGATCACGAATTTACTTGTCCAAAGTATAAATCATGGGGATCCGCATAGCGGAATGCATGCGAGTCAGATGCTTGGTCTGTTCTGCACTCTATGAATCTTACCTCCCATCACCCCAGCACAGGTCAGCCAGGTCGCAGCCCAGCCCACGCCTTCGTCAGCGACAATGCCCGAGCCTGTCTCCGACACTCACTCTCCATCTCAGGACGGCCATGCCGAAGCCTCCGACGGCAGCGCTCAGCCCGCTGCAAAAAGGCGCCGCAATGCCGGCCGTGGTGGCTCGTCATCGCGAGGCGTCGCTAATCTTACTCCAGAGCAATTGGCCCGAAAACGCGCAAACGACCGAGAAGCGCAGCGTGCTATCCGTGAGAGGACCAAGCAGCAGATCGACCTCTTGAACCAGCGCATCCGTGGCCTCGAGAGCCAGCAGCCCTACCATGACCTCCAGGTCGAAATCAGGGAGAAAAATGCCATCATCGTCGAAATGGCCGACATGAGGAAGCGTGTGGAGAGCATCCTGCATATCATCCAGCCCATACTTCACCCATCCGGAGGTCTGAACGGTCAGTCACGGAAATCTTCCCAATTGCGCGTCAGAAGGGCGAATCGGCTGACATGGCGTGTTTACAGAGCTTGCTGCTGCTGCAGAGCGTTCGCCCCTGCCTGCTGTCCCACCCACTGACCCCCGCCTTCTCAATGCCACCCTGGGTGAGATGGCCGCGGAGCCTCACAGTGGCATCCATTCACTAGTAAACTCAGAAGCACGCCGACCATGGGGCTTCGTAGGAGATGCTGCTCACCTCAACAACAACAACAACAATCATGGTCGCTCGTGGCCGGGAGATAGCCCCCACAATCGCGTCTCCACTGGTGGCCCGCCTGAGACGCCCTTCGACGAGAGAATGGGGGTATGTACTACACTGAGACATAACGCTGTGTGGCCTTCTGAGTCTCCAGCACACATTGAACTATATCTGCTGGAATCGTGCTGATCTTGTATCCCATCTTTTCTAGGTAGACTTTCTTCTCGAGAATAACGCATCTCGTCGGCCAGTTGATCCCAGCCTGACCGCGACGTCAACACAGACAGTCGCTATCTGTGGGAATGGCATTGGCCAGCATGCTCCTTTACTATCGCCTTACTCTACACTTCCGCGCTATGTTCAGCCGACTTGTCCCCTCGATGCGCTGTTGCTAGATTTCCTGTCAGAGCGACGTTCGCATGCGGCCGCAGGCGCTACCCTAAAGGAACTGGCAGGACCTCCATACCCCAACTTCACTGTTGTTGTGTATCCCGAGCGCAAAATGGAATCCCATCCGCTGTCTAAGTTACATACCGACATTCTGCAGACATTCCCCGACATCCAGGGTCTCCCCGAGAAGGTGGCTATAATCTACATCATGTTCTTGGTCATGCGCTGGTTGGTGGACCCGACTCAAGAAAACTACGATAGAATGCCCGAATGGGTCACGCCGCGGCCATCGCAGCTATTCAAAGATCATCCATTCTGGTACGACTACATCCCGTGGCCTCGAATGCGAGATACCTTCATCTCCCAACCAGCCATCGTCGACTTCGACACCTTCTTCATCCCCTTCACAACCACCATATCCATCAATTGGCCACACAATCCCCGCGACGTGCTCATTCCCGCCTCCAAAGCACACACTCTTTCTACCGCGGCATCAAGTCCATACTCTAGCACGGACTCACCTGCTGGCTACCCTCCCTCTCACACTCCCAACCTCTTCGCTACCCCCGTTATCCCCCACGATGACGAACAGTGGATCATGAACCCGACTTTCGAAGCACACCTGCGAAACATCAACAACTGGAGTTTGGGCCCTGCATTCCATGCTGTGTTCCCGAACGCGGTGGCTGGGGTGCGACTTGAAGATTATGAAGATCGATAGCAGCACTTGTAGATGAACGCCGCTATTGGCTAGGAGGAAACTGGGTTTTCGCTCCCCGTCAACTCTTCATCCTCTTCCCATCATATATCCTACTGGATAGAGGAGGGATAGAATGAGGGGATGTTAGGGGCAGTGATTACCCACCGGGATTGGTCTTTTTCGACTAGCATATTGGTATTGGTATTATCTTTTCCCTTTCACATGCATTTTTTCTCTTCATCACCGCATAACCACTGTATCATCTATTTCGCCAGTGTCATTCCCCTTCTTCAACGACAGACTTCTTTCCCCTTTCAGCTTCGGAAAACGGGGCGATCAGCCTGTTCCCAACCAAAAAAATCCACCAAGTAACGATGGCGTGTAAGTCTCTCTTCATCTGAAGAAGGCCTCTTTTTCTTCTGCTTTTCTCTTCCATGATCATTTCTCGTCATCCTCTTACCTCTGTATTTTTATAACCCGATATTCTGTCCTCCCCTATCTCCTCTTGGAGCTCTAGGGGGCAAAGAGTATCGTTTCTACTTTCTTCAAAGCAACACTTTACGAATCACGGGGATGCACATACCCCGTTTTACCATGATTACCTACTTATTGCATGTATCGATAGACGAAAGCGGTATTTTAGAGTCCCGTTATAAGGCTTTGGGGCTTGTTAGTACAACTTATGAAAATGATTTGGATATTAGTTATGACTTGCGTGAATTAGACTTTGATCTTATAAATTGTTTTTGAATTCTGCTATTGCTTTCAACACTACTCTCTCGCCCTCAATATGCATGCTTTGAGCAGCGCGCCTACTGGAAAATCCCATTTAACCACTTTCTAGCACAATCGAATATTCGGTAGAGTGATATCGAGATGTGACGATCAAATAACCAAAGAAAACGCAGCCTGTATATCTCACAGCGTGTAGTCTTACGTTATGTATTAGCTTTGTGCCCAATAGTAGCTATATTAGAGATCTTGTGAAGCTGACTCGATACTACCACTGTTTCTAACATTTATCTAGACCTATTTGCCGGTGTATTTTAGATACAGCCGAAGGGCAATTGATCCGTATATTCGAATTTTGGAAACACGGATTCAATTTTATTTTGAATATATGCACATGAGAATGATCAGAGAGATGTTTACTTCACTTCGAACTCGAGTACCAATGAAACCAGCACACATCATGACCATAAACCGCACGGCACGATAGGATATATTGGGAAAGTCAATGCATTCTAAAGACCATCGCTACCCTAGCACTTGCTTCTTGAAAGTACAAAACTCCCATATTGGCCATCACCAATCATATCCAGTATGCCTGATACATCGAGAAAAAAAAGCTCCCTTGTCTCAGACTGAATGCAGAACGCTCGAGAAAGGAGAGAGGTCGAAGAAGCTCTCTAGCAAGAGGTCGTGCAGGTGACGCTGGCAGGGTGGCCCAGAATACCCGGCAAGCAGCAGTTCGGGTGGCACCACTTACCACCGCACATCACCTCATCACGTTCGTTGAGGTTGTTGAAGTCGACGCCTTCGACGGCGGGCAATGCGTAGGTGGTGGCCATGACTACAGTTTTGAGCACAGGAAGTCAGTGGGGTTCATCGTCAATTGATCATTCTGAACATTACACCATGTACTGTTGCAGTGCTACTTTTGGGGGCGGCATTATACGTACAGGTAGAGAAGATAGTGATGGCGATGGTGGAGAACTGCATTTTGGATTTGGGTTGAGAAAGTTTGAAGGAGTGAAGATAGTTTTAATTGGAAAAGAATGTAATGGAGATTGTAGAATGTAATGATGGTTTGATGCTGATGACTCCAGAAAATGCGTCCTTCGTACGCACTTATATATCTGTGTTCATTGTAAGAGCCTCATACACATACATGACCTCCGTAAGATGCCATCTTGGTATTGACGAGCTGCTGTCCATAAGCAGTAACCCTTAAGTAGCAGTGTACGGAGCAAGTGTACTACATAGCGACGGACAATATAAGGAAATTAGCGTGGTGATCCACCATGCATACTCGGTCCTATAAAAAACGCGCAATCCTTATATAAGCTTAAACGGTAGGCTGATTCTGATATGGTAGATTTTCAATGCCCTGATGATCGGAGTCGGACTTGCTTGGGATTACGTTGATGCTGTTTCAGTTCTCCGGAACGCAAATCCTTTGCCCAGAAGTTCTCGTTTGAGATGACCGCGAAGTATTACTACAATGACATGGTTATAACGAAGCCGCATTCGATAAGAATTCATACATTTTCATCCGCAAACGTAGTCACTGACTGGGTTCAAACGCTTAATGATGAGGAATGCCAGCTCTTGCTCGTTCAACAAGATGTACCACCCTGACCTAGCCCAATCAAATCGCTGCTCGTAGATTATATTGCTATACATGTAATAAGCCACGCTTTCGGTTTCATTGACCTAGCGATCGATTTTAACAGTAGTGTACGTGCAGATATGATCATTGGGAACCACTGCCTGTTACGTGGTAGTGTACGCCCGTGCGCAGAGCTGTGAGCCAATAGTGGGAAAATTTATTCCAATCGACCATGAAAGCCGCTTGAATGGATGTCCCCATGAAACGAACGAAACATCGGAATTCGTCATGGGAATGCAATTCGCTGTGAGCATGTAGTTTATCTGGGAGGTGATGCTGGCTCCACCAATCAATTGATTTCAATGTTCACTTTGACTATAGGTCACGACACATCACAAACAAACATTGAATTACCTAGGTACATATACTCACATGAACTCCGAATAGAGATATATTCACTCGCAAAACTAACTTGCTTTAATGATGTCTTTGTGCAAGATATGGTGAATACTAACCTGCCCAAGCAAAACATTTAAATCTTGACGCCTGGAAGATGCCGACACGTGACCCAGGCGCGCCAAGATTTTGTACGTCTGTAATCCCTGCAGCGCTATCATGCCTCTCCGCAACTTTTTTGTAAACTCACCAAAAATTTCCTATCTCTCACAGACACCTTGAATCACAATCCGGGCAACACCCGACAAAACTTTCCACGATGCCTCACAAGCACAAGCGCAAAGCTGAAGATCATGATGAGAAAAAGTAATCAATTACTATGCACTTTTTCATCGCTCTCAATACTGATCAAGTGTAAACCAGCTTCAACCTTCCCCCCACCGAGTATGCCGCACCCCTCGCAGTCCGTAAATCAGGTGGCGGCCCGAACGCCAAACCCGCCGCAAAGAAGCGCAAAGTAGCTACCATCGAAGGATACGGCGCAGACGACACCCCGAAAGCGTTCGCGCGTCTCATGGCATTCAGCAAAACCGGCAAACGGCGCTCAGGACTCGACGATGGGAAAGTGAAGAAGGGCAAGAAGAACAACGGCAACGATAAGAGCAAGGCTCATGCGGGATCTACGTCGCAAAAAAATGCTGCAGCGGCATCGGCAGAAGCTGTGGAAGTGGAGAAGGAGACAACGGTAGATAGCGAAGCGCAACCCGCGCAACCGAAGCTGAAGATTATGCCGGGGGAGTCTCTTGCGGATTTTAGGCAGCGTGTAAATCAAGCGCTGCCTCTGGGCTCTATCAACCGCAACGGGAAGAAGATCATGGGGTTGAATGATCACCGTGTGACGAAGCATGAGCGCAAGTTGAAGAGGTTACAGGAAGGATGGCGCAAGGAAGAGGCGCGCATCCGTGATAAAGAGCAGGAAGCGCGCGAGTTGGCTGAGGAGGAAGAAGATGAGGCTGAGGATCTTTGGGAGGACAAGACTGCCGATCTTCCATCTGATTCTGGGACTGGGAAGAAGGGCAAGAAAAAGAAGGGAAAGAGAAAGATGGTCGTTGGAGAAGTGGATGATGGGGATGTTGATGAGTGGGAAGCATTGAGGAAGAAGAGAGAACAGAGGAAAGGATTGCACGATGTTGTGCAAGAACCGCCGACCTTCAATCGTGTGCCCAGGGAGATTTTCAAAGTCAAGGATGGTGCGAAGGTTAACGTAGGGAATATACCCAATAGTGTTGGTAGTTTGAGGAAAAGGGAGGAGTTGGTTGGAGAGAGGCAGGGCATCATTGAGACGTACAGAAAGCTGATCGCAGCGAAAAGGGAAGGTTAGTTATTGGGTTTCGATAGTATCGTAAAAATGGAGCATCAATCATATCATTAGATGGTATAACATATACGCTCTACCTAATTCGACTCCTTCACGATGGGCTATGAAACATAACTCTCTAATGCATATTCATACAAAACTCCTCCCATGTACCCTAGAAACTCCATTTGCAATCCTTCGAATCCCGAAATCGAGTATTTTTACTGGAAAAGCTGTTTCTCGCCTTCCGATCCTACACGTAACATGTTAGCTCATGTTTACACAGGGGCTGGGCAAGCAATGAAACAAGGACGCACTGAACACTGAACGCAGGACATTAAGCACTGGATTTAGGTATTCGTACTCAACCGATGGACAACAGGCACCGAGCTTGGTGGCAAGCTTCCGTACTCTGTAATGACCATATCAATGTACTCAGCGGGCGTGACATCATAAAGAACTTGCAGATGATGCAAGTTCTTGGACGCGTCAATCCACTTCAGGACATCCGAAGCAACTGGTGGTTTACTGCCCTCTCCATCATTTTCTTCTTTGCTTGCTGGGTGCGACTTTGGAAGTAGGTTTTTGAGCGGAAGCAGGTTCTGACGCTCGGATTCCGAAAGCAGCTCTTCAGCAGGCGCAACTTCGTTGCCGACAATCGAATCAAGTGCTACCTTTTCGGTGAATTTGATCGACTCACAGAGTACAATGACAGGGAGCGACTGCGCATTCGCGAGCATGGATACGAGTGCTGTACCGACACGCGAGTAAAGACGGCCGTTAGACATCATTGCGTGTGCGCCCAGAAACACCTTCGAAGCGTCCTTGATGGCGTGAGAAGCCCCGGTAATGAGGAAGTAACGGACTTTGAGACCCGCGTTTGCAAGCTTTCGTGCAAGTGTTTTACCCTCGAAAAGAGGCTTCGAGTCGACAACAATGACAGAAAAGCTGATGCCTGCGTTGTGAGCTTCCAACAGTGTTTGCTCCACGATTGACGAGGAAGCATATGTAAGAATCACGTCTCCAGGTAGAATTTTGGTAACAGCGAGTTCACGAATCAACTTGTCGGCGGCTGTAACGCGTTCACGAATGAACATATCGATCTCATCCAGAAGATCACGCTTTGCATCAATTTCCGGGGTTGACGGATCGGTTTTAACAATTACTGCGGGAAATCGTAAGCGACATCTTCATTTGCTACTACAAGCGCGCCCAGGCGTGTAGTTGGTCTTCCAGAGCACTTAAACAAGGTGGTACATACTGTCTTTCAACCAACGAATAGCATTACCCATGGTGATACTATAAGGACGGCAATCTCGCAGATACTCGATCTGGATGCCGAGTAGTTGAATCAAATGACGCGAGAGACTCGTGCCCATCGGTGTTTGATAAGACGCAATCAGTGACTTGAATGCTAAAAGCATAGCAACCATTCGTGCAGTGCTTCCACAGATAGTATAACTACTGTACTGCAATCCAAGAGCAAGAATAGCCGGGTGAACGTCTTTTGAAGCCCCAGCCATGGAGTGTTTTCGAGGTTGACTGTACAGATGGCCAAAGAATAGTCCAACCTGCTTTGCATCTGCTTTTGGTTCTTTCTTGAGCGTTTGCGTGACTGGAGCACTCGATTGAGACGGTCGTCTCCGAACTGGAATTGGTCTTGATTTGTCGTCTTTGGGAGCTTGTTTGGAGCCTTTTTGCTGCTTTTGCGCATCCTTTTGCTGTGAGCCTTGCTCCTTGAGGGCAGGGCCGGCAGCTTTTTGCTGAGCCCTGCGCGCCTGCTTTTCAGCGGCCTTTTGCTTCTTCAATTCTGCTGGGGAGAGTTTCTTTGGGGCATCTCCACCCTCGGCTGGCTTCGCATCTTTGGCAGCACCCTCGGTCTGCTTAGCATCTTTGGCGTCCCCAGCTGCTTTCACGGGCTGGGAATTCTGTGCTTTCACAGATACATCAGCGGCAGGAGCAGCCTTTACTGCTGATTCACTCATTCTGTCTGAACAGCCCTCTGTGAATTAGGTGGAACGATATTTCTGAGTCACTCAAGTGCAATTAAAACAATTGAAGCCTGTGTGTCGGTGCCGAAAGTGGGAAACGGTATCCTTTGATAAATGAGTAATCTGCGGGGGAGACATAGGCGTTTTGTCCGGGGTTGTTAGAAGGTTGAAGTGCTGTGTGCGTACAGCATGGCGAGTTTAAAGAAATTGAGGGATGTTGCGCTCCGCATAAGCTGTTGACTCATTGTGGGCTATTCCGCTTGTGGCACTAGCGCATAATCACTCTGTTCCCCTCCTTCGCGGGAGCGAACAATCACAGTAAATAATTTCACAGTTATAGCACATATAAGGAGCAAGGAGCTATGACCCTTGACATCAAATTCGATAATCTTCTTCCTCTTATTTCCTTCCCGTGCGATAGTACCAGCTACTGCATATACAGTTAAAAGCTGGAAGAAACAGAAAGCGTGTAGCGCTGGACCTCTTAACGCCGGAGCGAGCCCGAGCCGCCCGCCCACCTTACCTGCGTCATAGCTCGAGTGGATCAACTGCGAGCATCTCTACATTCAATCCATAAATCAATCTTGTTTGGACCAGGCCTGATAGCAGACAACTATGATGGAAACCAAAGCCACCAGCCTCACAGAGCTTCCGCTCGACGTGCTTGTCCTTATTCTTCCATATCTAGAGGCAAGCGACTTCCTCGCGCTCTGTACGTATACAATGCAGTACCTCATGGTGCAATATCAACATGTTGAACTCTATTCTTATCATATCCTAGGCCGTACGTGTAAAGCGCTATATTCAATTCGCGATGACCCCACGTACTGGAGCTACCAGACTCGAAGCACTTTCCGCGTTCCCAACAAGCCGGTGGTTCAGAATGATGGTGCTCGATGGCAAAAGATGTATCGCCGAATGCTCACCCAAAGCCGGGTCTACACGTGGGGCTCCAACGCCAACTATCGACTCGGACATTCATATGCACCCTTGACTGCTGGCGGTCCCCATCGGAATATGGGGATGAATCTGGGGTTCACAAGGAGACAGCTTCGATGCTACACTCCCAAGGAGATGGAGCATACACGAGAATTGGGTATCATATCGGACCTACAGTGTGGAGGGTGGTCCACTACCATTCTGACATCAACTGGTACGCTACATACCGCCGGTAATCTTGATGGAGAGCGTTGGACAAGTGACGACGGCCGGCTTCAACCTTTGCGCTTTCCTACGAGTCATACAAACGACGTGGCCCACAACGAGCCGACAGTCGCAATTCGACAGTTCTCGGCTGGGCGATCACACATTCTAGGATTATCAGATAGTGGGAGGATATGGGCTTGGTCTGATACGTCCCAGCCCGCAATGCAGATCAAGTTCGACAGTGTGGACCTGTCAGAGTCCAGTACGACCACAGCCACTCAGTCATTGCAATATGGCCAAGTCAAACAAGTTGTTGCAGGATGGTCATGTAGCTCAGCGTATATACAAGGGATCGGCATTGTTTTATGGAGTCCAGTGCGATCCGATCCAAACGAAGACACGGACACCATGCTTGTCATTCAAAGTTCCGAGATTCCCAGGACCGGTTATCAGCGCACTCGAGGGGCTACCCGGCAGAAAGATCAAGACAGAACGCTAGGCGAGGAAGTCGGGGCTGTGCTCAACTACATTATATTGGAGAACTATGTCGTATTCGTGACTGACATAGGCAAAGTATTCTGTACACGACTCGGCGAAGGCAACGCTGTCGGCGAAATTCTTGAGCTAAGAGCTCTAAACAATCAGAGCAGAGATGCGACTGATGTTCAAGGCTCGTTCCGCCGGTTTGCTATATTCAAGCACGGAGAAGTTATTGTTGTTCATCAAGATTATCTCCAGGAATGCTGGAATGCACGAAGAACGAACCCCGAACAGATAGGCATAAAGGGCCTGGACGCAGTTCCTGCACTTCAGCACAACGATGTCATATCCATCGCGTTCGGCGATTATCACTTTCACGCCTTGCATTCTTCGGGAAAGATCACTTCTTACGGAAGTGAGGTTCAGTCTTGCGGTGCTCTTGGCCTAGGAGCAAATGGAGGTCCCACCGGTCGTTTGAGGGGAATCGAATACCAAGGTCCCTTGCGAAATTCACAACTCCTGCCTCATGCATACACACATGGACGTCAAGTATGGTTCCGTCCAGAGCAAAGCGAGTGGTTAGCAGTCATGGATGCAGAAGGGGAGGGCAAAGAGTGGAAAGAGTTTTTTTCAGCCAACCGTAACGTGCAAGGCGAAGTCAGTGAATGGGTTGAGCAAGAAGGGAGAGCATGGGATAGTGCAAAGGGTGATGATGGCCTCGGAGCGTACTTTGCACTCCATGTTAGTGCCGCAGGTTGGCATTCGGGCGCAGTGTAAGTCCAACCACCGCACAACACTATCAGAATGATGCGGTGGTTTCATTGATGGCTGAAGGGTCCTCGGTATTCTATCTGCTTGAAGTATGCTGACTTTTTTGTGTCTCTAGTGTGCTCGTGAATGAAGAATTGGAGAAGGAAGCAGTGTATAACTGGAAAGATGCGACATTTCCTCGACTAAAATTGAGCGATGGAACCGAGATGCCCGGCACGAAAGACTTGGACGAATGGCGGGAGGGTATACCAGGATGGCAGCTAGATGTGCAGGTTTGATGTTCGTCAGACTATCTCACGGCGGAACATGACACTATGATCAAGTGTCTGTCATACTGGTTTACACTGTGCGCAGCCGCATAATATTTCTTGACACGGTCCGGCATGATTTCAACCCATCATCCTCTTTATGAGCTCCACCATCCTACCAATGGCAGCTTCTCTTTTCTCCACAATCTCCGCCAACTGTTCCTCGCTACTGCCTCCCACAGGGCCGACAAATACATTCTTATCACCCTTTTGCATTTTCTCCCATGTCGCTTTCGTGTAGACCTCAAGTGGCATGCCAAATCCCTTTCCCCTGGCCTCTCCCATCTCCTTGTGGTGGATCTCCGTTTGTACGGGGCCCGGAGAGAGATGTATCACACTCACGTTTGTGCATTCCAGCTGGACGCGTACCGACGTCATGAACGACTCCAATGCCGCCTTAGAAGCGCAATACGCTGGCATTGGAGGCGCCGGAATCAAGCTCACGTGTGAGCCGGTATAGATAAGCGCTGTTGGGGTGTCGCGAGCCAGAAGATGGGGTAGTATAGCGTGTGTCATATGGACAACCGATGTAAAGTTGACCAAGAATTCCTTATCAAAGTTGGATAGGTCGACCGATGATGGGTTGTTGAAGAAGAAGCGGGATTGGACACCGGCATTGAGGAAGATTGCATCGATGGTTGGATGTTGTTGGAGAGCACTGGATTTAATGATTAGCGGTTTATCTTGAGAGAGTGCCTACTTTTACGAGGAAAAACTGATTACTTTTTGATAAAGTTAGGGATTCCAGAGATATTGGCGACATCGAAGGTGATGCTGGTAGCCTTGCCAGTGGTATGCTTGGAGACGAAATCATCGAGACGGTCTTGACGGCGACCTACGGCTGTGACGCAGATCTCTTGAGAAAGAAAGAGATCAGCCATTGCCCTTCCGATACCTGAAGTCGCGCCGATGAGGAGAACATGCTTATATGGGAATGACATGATTGAACGCGCGACAATATTCAAACTCAAATAGTTTTGGATGATATGGTAATGCCAGAAGTTGTAAAGCTGGAATTGATTGATAGCAAGAAGAATGAAAGCCATTCATACCATCTCATATTTATATCTCTGATGATGTCTAATTGCCACCATCTACCGCCATTCAAAGGTCTTATGAATATGCACGTAGTAGATGCCTGATGGGGAAATGGTTGGTAGTCGGCGGCACTTGTCATATGATCTTACCAATGAATAGTTGTCCGTGACCGAATTCAATGAGCGCTCGGCCATAGAACGGAGTTTGCGCATTTACATCAATCTTCTTTTGTATCGGGAGGAATGTGTGAAATCGCGCCTCTGGTCCAGTGCTGCACGTCTCCATGGTTGCTCTGTATAGTTTAGCGTTGATTTCTCAGTGGACATTGGTGCCTGCGTAAGCTCAAGCGTAGAGCGCGTGGCCCGACCAATTACAACCTGTGATAATCTGCTGCAAGATATCATACACCAATCGTCAGCATTTAATTATACTCATTACATCTGGTCGGAACTCCGGAGTCGCCCGCGAAGCGTGAAGCACAACACTTCACGGACGAACGAATGAGTTTTCGCCAGACTTTGTTATGCGGATTTTTGCTCTCTGCAGCCTGCGAGTAGTAACCCATCGTTCTAAGTCCCCCGTGAAACAACCGTTCTTAGTCAAACAGAGCCCTTCCGAGGCATACCGGGCACGGCCGTTAATGCCATGGTGTATCGGGGGAGGCCATCAAAAGCATGCCAAAGATGTCGAGACAGAAAACTCCGTGTATGTATTTCACTTCAATCATCATTTCTGTCGTAATTTAGCTGAGTCTTGAATCTCAGTGCGATTTTCAGCGGCCTAATTGTAATTCCTGCTTGCGTGCAGGAGCTCGGTGCCACGGGTATCGGGATACAGAATCTTTGCGCATCGAAGACGAGACACAAGCCATATGCTCAAAGCCTAAGAATTCTAGAGAGAAAACGGCTGGTTCATGCCGAGCAAAGAAATTCGATTTGAATCATATTCCTCTGGATCTGCAAGTGCAGGCACGAGAGTTATTCTTCCAATACTTCATTCGGGACTTCGGCCGCTCTTGGGATTTCATATATCCATACTTGAACTCACAAGATACTCCCGAACACGTGAATTTAAGTATAGACGCCGCCAGTCTAGCGTTTCTATCCCACCATGTTACATCACTGTCTGCGCAGAGCCTCGGTCGTTCAAAGTGAGTCAGTCTTCACCAGTCGGCTCAGCTAAAGATTATAAACCTGTGATGTAGGAGTTTGTGTGAACCTGGTACATAAGGCTGAGCTAACATTACTTCTTATCTAGGTACATCACCGCACTCAGGAAAACAAATATCGCGTTGCGCACAAACATGGCTCGGGATCAGAGTGTACTCGATTCAACACTGCTTCTTGATTTATTCGAAAAAATCGTAAACCCTCGTGGCGTCAGCGACAGAACTCAACGCGCCCACATTGAAGGATCATTGGCTCTTGTCAAACTGAGAGGCCTGAAAAACTTTACAGATAGCACAGGACTCAAAGTGCTACATCGACTTAGTATCAACGTTATGATTGGATGTATCAGTCAGAACTGCCCTTTACCACCCGAGATCTTCGAGATCAGACGACACCTCAGTCGTTTCGTTGACACTACAGATCCAAAGTTCAGATCGGTCGGGGTGATATTTGATATCGTTAGCCCTGGAGATACCATCAAACAGGACTTACTCAGTCCACCGGAAAAGATAAGAAGGTGCACATGGCTCGATCAACAGCTAGAAATAATATCGTTGGAAGCTGCGCCCGCATGGACGTACGAAAGAATCGTTATACCTGTTGGCAACACGAGCCAGAGGATACTGGACAACTACTACGACGTATACAACTCGCGGATGACTACACAGATGTGGAATGCTTTGAGGGCTTCTCGAATTTTACTTTGCGAAGAAATTGAGGAGTGTTCTTCAACATGCCAGGATGATGAGTCTATGCTGCTCTCACAACGTGCTACAACCGCGTCGGGCCTCATGATCAGCGAGATCTGCGCTTCCGTCCCTCAGATGACGCACTGTGAAGGGGCCGCAAAATCAAAACTGCCGTCCGACATCGACGTTTCCCAAACATCGCATGGACATACTTTATCTCATTTTTTGGATAACTACATCCTGCTATACGCGCTTTACGTGGCCGGTTGGTCACGCAGCTGCCAGCCGAGGCAGCGAGAATGGATCATCGCACAGCTGATCCATGTCGGTGAGCACTTTAGGATGAAGGAGGCTGCACTAGTAGCGAGCATACTGCAAGATCAGACCAAGAATTCCATGTCGGAGAGACCACGCCCATGGGATGTCTACAGGCTTCTTGGCAGCTATGCTTTCGCTGCCTAGATCCTAGTACACTGCAAGATGCCAGTAGTTGTTTAAACTAGTCTGAATTCGTGCCCAACACGAAGCACTTGTTCGGACGGAAAGACATCATACCGAATGAAAGAAGCATTCGGTGTAAGGCTAGATGGCTCCAGGGCTTACTAGGAAATGTACTAAACATCTTTGGGCTGCAAGTGATTGTCTTCAGTATGCTACGCGACACCAGTTGGTGTGATTGAGACCATCAAAGGCTCTTCGTATATACGTCGATCTTCAAGCGAGAAGACTTACTCCGCGGTACGATAAGGCAATTGATCCCGTAAGCAATGGAGTCATCTGCGGTGTGATGTATGTATTTATAAATTGCCTCTGATCGAATGCCATGTTGCTGGACATTGGAAAGGTCGTATTCGTGTTCAATGCTGCGTCGAGGAGTAAGTGCTGTGCATTATGTCCTGCATACTAGTCCGTGGCGAACACGTTTTCGTGTTTGTTACGAATCCCGTGGGCTGGTTGAGGTGAGAAATGGGGATGATGTGAATATCAACGCACAGATAAGAGGATGGTCAGTGCTCAGCTGATCTGGTCTACCCGCTAATAGATTCCAGACCCTTTTTCCAACACCGCTGCGATCTCTTTACGGCTCCAGAATCTCATGGGTTATTTTTAATTATCCTTGATCAACTGACAATGGGAGAAGACATGAGTCCTTCTACTTCAGGCTGCTTGACATGTGTATTGAATGCGTCTGTGTCAAAACTCGTAGACACTCACTGTCGACGCGTCCAATTCATACATAAGCTGTCATAAGCCCCTTCTGCAGCGGAATTCTCGTGTCGCTCGGTCCAAATCGCCTATATCCCTTCATGATTCGTTAACCTGGAAAATACGTGCATCTTGCTCAAGCCACACGGCTCAAAGGAGTCGTATCGAACACCACTCGGGAGCGTAGGAACCCTTCCCATGACCTTCACTACCATGGTACGGCAGTAAAAATAAATCGGCCCTGCAGTTCGCCCTCTTCCCCCGTTCCCGCATGGGAGGATGAGATGCATATTCTAGATTTTCTGCCGGCAGCTGTGATTTTTGTACCTGGATTTTGAGCATTGGAAATGATGGCAAGTACATGAACGTCGCTGCTGTTGCCCTCCAATGTTTGCCCAAGTAGTACATCTGAGGTCATGGACATCCCGCAACCTCCAGCAAGCATGACTTCTTCGCTGTCGTGTAACGTCAAATAACAGAGAAAGAAACTCGCAATATACGTACTCAGTGCGGCCCTCATCAGGCATCAACACCCCGTAAGCGGATAGACGAGGACTCAAGACTCGGGACTACATAGGCACAGAGGCTTAGCAGAGCAGGTCCTCGGTTTCGCCCCATGTTTGGCCGTCAAGGCTATTCTCAAGAAGCTTGAATCTAGGGTCCAGTCGCCTTCCAAGCCGTCGGGCCAGCCATGGCTTTTGAAAGACAAGCACTGTACTCCCTGTCGAAAACGCCGCTTCCGGTGTGGCATGCTCTTACACGCCATCGCTAAATTTCTTGGAAATATTGTGGCGGATTGTACCAACATGCTGTTCAGTCCAAAAGTTATGTAGACCGTGGGCTCGACCCTTCGATCCAACTATTTCCTCGGCTTGGTATAGCTTTGAGCGAGGGAATGTAACTGAGACGTGCATACGGACATCATGTTTGTCCAAGTGCCCGCGAAGCTGAGATCTAGTTGCCTCAATACACCTCGTATCTGTCCAGGCATATTGCTATATAAACTTCGCCTGTACTCTCTCTTTAGGATGTACGCCAGTCATCCAATTTGTACACTTTATTCAAATTTTCACCATGTATCTTTCTCGATTCTTACTCTCGCTCTCATTGGCTTCGCTAAGCTATGCTGCCACTCCCATCCCTAATTCCTATGGCATGCTCCTAACTGGCACATTGGATGGGTACGTATTTATACGAAGAGGCTTCCGAACATACGATTAACACATTTCAGATGCAACACCGATAGTACGGAATTCAATACGGGAGGATCAGTCTTAGTCGATGGCTGGAACGTTCAAGTACCGAAGAACCTTATTGTCCAATTCCCAGTCGTATGGGTACCTTTCGGCAAGCTCTGTGGCGCTGGGGTTGGTGGGTACGAAGTAACTGTCAACGGCAACGTTGTTAATGGTCAAGCCATTGCTGCACAAATTGTGGTAGCACAAGGTCTCAGCGTTCGTGCTGGCCAGGGCTACATTGAGTCCATCAATGGCGCCGATGCCTCCTTCAAACTTAGAGGCGGTCCTACCGTCAGACTTTCTGATCCTAGTGGGAAATTTGGCTCGGCAACGGATATCGCTCCATACTTCCCCGTGGATGATGAGAATCCCAGCATCACTGCTTTCTCTGGGTACCCTATGTGTATCTCGCGGGGCGACGGTGATACCAAATGCCCATCCTCCAATCGCCCTGCAGGCTCGACCAACTTCTCCCCTGCCGATCCACTTGCTATGGTTCCCTTCGCGGTGGGAGATTTCATCGAGTATACGGGTGTCAAGATTGGCAATAGCATTGCAGCTTTTGAAGTATCAGCTGTCAATGTGCAGGCCACGACAAGCGCCTCAGACACTGTACCGCAGTACATTCGGGTTGAAGATGCTTTAGTGGGTGTGTTTTCAAACGACCCAAACACGGAATCCGCCGACTTCAGGGTATGTCATTCATTCTCACATGAAATTTTCTAGCTGACTCATATTATAGTTCATCGGATATCTTTCCAGTTGCGCTAATGCTGCGGTGACTGTCTTTGCAATTGACGTCGATCCATGTACAGGTGCTGAGACCGAACGACAAATCGGCAGTGCCACGCCTCGAGCGGGTGATGTGCGTTGTAAATGGGAAGCTCGCATCCCTTCAACCACTGCCCAGACGCCCTACACCCGTGAATACATCCTTCGGACCCAATCGAAGGTAATCACCACCAAGGATGGCATTGAGGCTGGCCAATACGTCACGCCAGTCACAGAATGGATCTACCCCGAGGTCAACGTTCCAGGAGCTGAGTTCCCGGCCTTTGACTTTACTCAGTTCCGGAATATGGTCCAAGGAGATTTCCTTGATGATCAGCAATTTGGTCCCCTATCCCCCTTCCCCGGTGGTAACCCGCCAGCTCCTTCGAAGACCTGCAGTCCTTCAGACATTCTACCCACCGGTACGCCTACACCTAGTGGGCCACCAGTTGCATTCATCGCACCGGTCTCTTCTGTCCAGCGCGGTGGTAATAATCTTGTACTCGTCGCCCAGAACAACAACACCAGCATCCAAGGCTCCGACCTTAGCTTCGTCTGGAAACAGACTTCTCCTGCATCTCCCACTGCCAGTCTCACAAACCCATCGCAAGCTTCTGCTACAGTCGCTGTCCCCAAGGTCTCTGCAAAAGCCTCCTTCATCTTCGAAGTCACTATCACCCAAAAATCCGACACCACCAAGACTAGCAAAGCGACTGTCACTGTTTCAGTTGATCCTGCTGCTGCAGATTCAGTCGTTGTCAACACTTATACATGGGAATCTCGACAATCGGGAACCATCGGTGTAACATGCTCGTCCAACGTCGTCAACGGCGATAATAAGAGAATGTCTCTACTTCTCAACAACGGAGGAACTACCTTGACCATGACCAACTCAGCGCCGGGCAAATGGTCATACTCTTCCAACAAGGTCAAACAACCCACCAATATCCAGTGCGTGTCTGATCTTGGGGGCAAGAGTGAGCTTGTTACTGCTCCGCGCAGAAGGAGGAGAGGTCTTGCCAACAAAATTTTGTCTTGAAAAAAAGTTGATTATTTCATTTGCTGATATTATGGTTGCATTGAGCTGAATGGAAAGTGCGCAACGAAGTTAGAAGATACCGCTGTTTTGATGTTCGAGAGTCTGGCGATGCACTCATTCCCTCATTCCTGTTTCTTTCATATTTAGCATTTCGGACGCATTGTACATATTACTTCGAAAATACAAATAATTATCATAACTTGAATGCCTTTCTAATACGCTCGATCATCAAACGGTAGAAAAATCCTGACTAAGCTACCAACCTATATCTCAGCTATCGAAGTCATTGATGCCAAGTGAAGCTCTCATCAGTAGTAACCACATAGGCGATCACGCCACACCATCCATTATGTAGTCAGTCTTTGCGTGCAATGATAATATGTAAATTGCCAGAAGATCAATGTGAACAGGGGAACGTGATGCATCTTAATGCGATAATTACGAGCGAAACCACGTGAACGGAGGATGCTCTCAGAGTCAGCACCGGCATCGCATTACTCACGCCGGATTGACGGAACGCAATGACTATATTAATCAAGAGCCTGTGAATGAAGGTGACCCTCTAGTGAAACGATCATCTCCATAGGGTGTGTATGTTAGGTAAGCAAAGCCCCCACCAATGATTCTTGGCGGAGTATACTGCTCGCTTAGGACCGTGTGCCGAAGAGTCCCCGGCCAAAAATCCACTGCGAATTCACAACCCCAATCTACTGATCGTGAACGACCGACTAACCGCAGCCCGACAACACCGCCCACGAGCATCCATTCCGTAAGTGACTGTTCTTCTACTGCAGGCATTGAATTTTTGAGAGAGAACGACTTACTGATTGGCCATTTACAGCAGCGACTCCAATCTCGAATCTCGCTCCAACCACCCAACATGTCTCACGAATCGGTCTGGTACTCGCGCCCGCGCACCTACGGCAAGGGCTCCCGCTCATGGTACGTTTTCACTTAGCTGAGGATACGTTTGGATTGGCTATGATGTGTTATACACGGACTGGAAGGAGATGGTCGTATGATGAAGGGGGAATCAATGGGTAGATGGGACACCTTTGCTGACGGAAATTTGTACAGCCGCGTCTGCACCCACCCTGCTGGTCTCATCCGCAAGTACGGCCTCAACATCTGCCGTCAGTGCTTCAGGGAGAAGAGCGCCGACATCGGTTTCGTCAAGGTACGATTCACAAACGTCCCTTCCCACCAGCATCCACCGTAGCTCAGCGCACGTTACCCGAACGCTCAATGCGCAAACGCAACATATGGACTGGGATACTCTAGGATGTATGCTAACATGACACAGCACCGATAAATTTTCCACGAGTTCGACGGCCGGAGTGAAGCAAGGTGTGACGGTGTGCGCGATGACCCTCTAACGACAAAAAAGGCGAACATCGGCAATCGGAGGGGGATAGATGAGAACGTCGGAATATGCATTTTGCTCGGGCACTTACACTTGTTTTCCTTCGGGTTCGGGTATCCTATTTCAGCAATTCATGGATGGGAAAGGTGTCGGTCTCGATTCGATAGGAAGAAAGAAAATTCCAATCATGAAATTCACTTACGCTGCTGTCCCACACTCTCGGAGTGTACGCTCGCCAACGTTCCATTGAATACACGCACAATTCCACTCGGGTGTTTGGTGCTGATGTGTTCTCTGGGTACTGATCTCGGGCGATAGCCTGAGGGGTGTATTCACAAATCACCAGCTATCGCTTCCATCGATGAAGCATCCATGCATGACACGTCAACGTGAAGTGACGCCCATCCAGAGCCCGCATCATCATTTCTATAACAAATGTGCAAACACCTCGATTGAGGAAACTGCGGTTTGGTCTCCGTACATTCAACGGATGTGTTTCTTCAGTGCTATATTGTAATACATTCAAGTAAACCTACGCCGGTTGGTCTTGAATATTAGACAGGCCATCATCCCCACGAGACGGCCAGCCTGCGAACGATGGAATGGATAAGCATGAAGGGGCAAATAAAGACATCCCCGTCATTACATAAATATACAGTTATCAGACCAACAAGAAGGGAAACCCCATTCATATCTTGACAATATCCACCCTTGTCCGTTCCCAAAGTTTGTTCGCTACAGCGGATCCCTTCTCCCGCTCCTCGTCGCTCACATTAGCGGGTTGAATGACCAAGCGCGCATACGTTCCCGCTGCCCGACGCTTGCTCAGTGTACCGGGGTTGATGACGAGAACGGATTCGACAACCTGTTCATAAATTAGAAACACGTCAACTCAAACATAAACGACAGAACTGGAGATATCCGGAAAGAAAAAGTGAGTAGCAACGTACCTTAACACATCCCTGGAGCACACTGGGTGTGATCAGAACATCAGGTCTCACATTCAACATCTCGCCGAGTTTGAGATACGACGTATCCATCATAGTACCAAGAGGGAGGAAAGGAGACGGTCCTTGCAGACTGCCCTCGGACTCGCCTCCCTCTTTGTGCAGATTCTCTTCTACTGTCGCCGGCGCAGCTAGCTTCTCCCTGGCTGTGGGTGGGAACAAGGGAAGGAAAGTTCTTTGCTCGATCACATTTCTGGCGCCTCTCTCGTAAAGGTTGATGCCTTTTGCTTTGCCACCCGTGATTTCTTCTCGGCGGAGCATGTCGAGGATGTCGATAGAGCTCATGCCCATGATGAATTCATTCATCGAGAGGGTCATGGGGTTAGTGATGCACTGCACCATTTTACCTGCTGCGCCGAGACCCAACTCCCTTTTCAAGAACTTGTCCTGTGGGAACGCGGCGTGATGATGATGTGCGTCTCGAAGGCTAGGTACCAGGATGACGTTGCATTTCGGTGTGCGATCAATGAAATCTTGCAGGGGAGAGGAAACGTAATGACGGAAGACATCAGTCATAGTTGCTTGGTCTGGGTTGGTGAGATGTGAGGGAATGTCGAAGTCGCCTGAGCGGATGCTGGGGTGTTCAGCGTCAAGGAAAGGTCCAAGAAGAACCACAGCATCTACTTTTGCGGACGCAGCATTGTCGAGAAGTGTATGGAGAGGTGCAAAGTCTAGATCCTGGTCTGTGGTGTATGGTCCAGACGCTATGTAGACTTGCAAAGGACGCACGTTCGAAGGGTCTGATTCGGCAGAGTCAAGGTAGCGTGCATTGTGGGCATCGAGATCGGCAGGTGTGGTAGCGGGCTGGGTCAGGAGTGGGAGCGAGAGAACCTCGGCGACGACAAACGCATTTCCTGAAGCATTGGTGCCGCGAACTGCGACAATTTGCCCTGGAAAGAAATTATATGACACCAGAGTCTCTACTTTAAGTGGAACACGTCGACCTGAGCCCCATCTCCGTGATCCTTCTAGTACAAGAGACGCAGGATTCAATTTTCCTTCGCTTGTGTCTGAGCATATACGTCCAACGGCGATTATCTCACTCGGGGATTGGTATGACGGGTTTCCGAAGGCGCTGTCTTCAAGTTTGAGGTGGTCTTGTATTAATTGGCGAAATTCATCGATGCGGTCGTCGAGGACTTCTGATGCTTCAGAAAGCTTCATCGCCATGGTCTTGTAGGAGAATTTGGACATATCCGTATTGGCTTTCAGCTTTATGCGTGCTTCCATTGGGTATTCTTCTTCTTCTGGTGGTTCTGGTAAAGCAATATGACCGTTCAATTGCTCGCTGATACCGCCTGCGTTTTTGCGGGTGGAGAAGTCAAATGTGCTACAATCGTTAGATACGTAAATTGGAGACGATACCATTACTTACGTTCCGTCGTGAGCTTCTGTCTTCGAAGGCACAATACCTCCTGGAGAGCTCATCTCATGACCCTTATTCGCTTTGCTGGCTGGCGTGTCGAAATTTGATCTCCGCTTCGCTGCGCTGCCATTCACTCCGCCGGCACGCGGTGTTTGTATCATCCCACCCAACCTGTGATCCATAAGCTAGACTGCACGACTATACGTGCACTCGACTTGACATACATATCGTACATGTCCCCAGCCTTCGCGGTCCTTGGTGTTGATGCAACCTTTCTTGCGTCACTTTTGTGTTGTTGCGCTTTCCCTCTACTCTCCCTCTCGAGCGCATCTTGTGTGACCTTCTTGAAATCTCGAACTGTTTTCAAATCCATAGTGTTCTCCTCCCCTCCAATCTTCATCATGTAGGCCTGCCATTTGAAATCCAACTCCTCGGCAGAGATCGAATATAAGTTCAACATTAACCGTAACTCTGCGAGCACCTCGGGAGGTAAAGCATTGTCTTTCGTATTACAATAGCGCTCGAAGCGCTCGGTGAGCTCAGTTGTGCTATCGTCCATCGTGAAGTATTGGGATGTCGCTGGTGTTGCTGCTGTGGAGGGGTGGAAAGGCGGGCGCGAGTATCTGGTGTTGCTGGAAGACGCGTTGACGCGACTTGGGATAAAGTGGCTAGCTAGTCTTTAAGCAGTCTAGCCTGATCTACGGTACTGGGATATCCGAGCTCGATCTATGGGCCCATTGGATTCAACGCAGGGTCCAGGGAACTTTTTTGTTTATATACGACAAGAAACATCATAACTTTCCACATCTCCACGAAGTATCTGCAACACCGTTCTTTTCATTTTCATCGAACTATTCGATAATCGTTTGCATTGATCTTTTGGTCGCTTCCCCTACACAATACAATCCTCGAATCAAACTCCCCCTTTCGAGCCCTTAAAGTATGTCGACTATAGGCCCTTTCCCGCACCCCGCCGACGGTGTCAAGCCAGCAAGCCCCCCAGTCCTCACCGAAGACCAACAGTCTAAATACGATCAAGTCCTCACGGCTGTAAAAGCATGGACTTCCCTCCCCAAAACCTCCGCCAAAGGCGCAGAGCAAGAGCCCCTATCAGACAGCGAACGCATGTGGCTTACACGCGAATGCATCCTACGTTATCTACGTGCTACCAAGTGGAACGTCGCGCAAGCGGAAAAGCGTCTTCAAGATACACTCGTGTGGCGTCGTGAGTACGGCACTGACGGCTTCACATCGGAGTACATCTCGGAGGAGAACGCTACGGGCAAGCAGGTCATTTTGGGCTTTGACAACGAGGGTCGCCCATGCTTGTACTTGCTGCCTCAAAACCAGAACACGAAGAACAACCCGAAGCAGGTGCAGCATTTGGTGTATATGCTAGAGCGGACGCTGGATCTTGCTCCTCCTGGTCAGGAGTCATTGGCGCTTCTCATCGACTTCAGGAACAGCAGTGCTGGAAGCCAACCCAGCATCGCTACTGCAAGACAGGTGATGAGTATTCTTCAAGGACACTACCCGGAGAGGTTGGGCAGGGCCTTGATTACTCACTGTTAGTTCACACTCCCATCCCCTACAACACCAACTTTCAAGATTTGTACGCTAATCGTAGAGGCAGTGCCCTGGTACGTGACTACCTTCCTGAAACTCGTCTCTCCCTTCATCGACCCCGTCACGAAAACGAAGATGCGCTACAACGAGCCCCTCACCGATCATATCCCGTCTTCACAGCTCATGAAAGTTTCTGGTGGAGAAGTGGACTTCAAATATGACCATTCTATCTACTGGCCCGCCCTTGATACTCTTGCAAAGGAAAGGCGGGCCGCAAGGACGGAAAGGTGGGAGAAGGCGGGTAAGCTGGTCGGTGAAAGTGAGATCTACCTATGGGGTGGCGAAGAGAAGAGCGTTGGTGCGACCGAGGTCAAAGAAGAAGCCAAGGAAACGAATGGGACTGTAGCCGCCGATAGCACACCAGCAGCCAACACTGCCGCGGTCGATGCGGATTTGGCAAAAGACACAGCCAAGTTGGATGTCAAGGACGCACAGGAACCTTCCGTTCCGGCGGCTACTGCATCTTAATTGCTTTCATGTCTTGTTTGCTCCACCATTGCAGCTACATGCCGTATAGTTCCTTGAGACAGGACATACAGTTCGCATTTCGTGTCTTACAGCGTAGCATTTTGATTCTACACGTTTGACGTAACAACCGCGAGCCAAGTATAGATTTTATAGACCGATGGTTCAAAAATGTTTAATAATTCACCGAAAACTTGATCACAGTAGCTAAAAAAACACTTCAAGGGATTATGACGTTATAGATTGTGAATCCTAGCAGAAACGGATCTAGAGAATCGACCCAGAACTGTGTTTTTATAATACAAGCAAAAACAAGAGGCCTGGGGATTCGAAAACACGAATTGATAAGGCATAAAACGAGACAGGCTCAAACATTTACAGCCTAACTCCAATCAAAAACAAGTTATACAAGTAAGTCGTACAGAAGAAAGGACACGGGTGACTCGCAACGCCACGTGGTATAGCGTCTTGCAACCTCGAGATCTCGCCAGGTCACTCAAAGAAGATATCCCCAAGCTTAGCCCCTCCGTCGCCCCCATCCCTCGCTGAACTCGTTCTTAGCCTCGGTCGCGAAATCAATTCGCTGTTTATATAAGCGGTGCAACCTCCTAATCTCGCCGTCCTTCTCCATGCGGTCGACAATCTTGTTGGCCCTCTTGAAGCGTTTGCGATCACTCCACTTTTCTCTCTTAACCAACTGCTCTGGCTTGAAGTGGCCCTCACGTTCGAGGTACCCCACCACCCAGCCGTGGAGGTGGTACCGCCAGTGAAGTAGAGTATGTGTGACTTCCGCGTTGGCTTTGCATGTGGATCCCAAGGTGAAGGTTTTAGACTCAGGGGGGATGCGTTCGCCGACAGCGTTGTAGATAGCCTTCTCACCAGAAGAGGAAGTAGAAGATAGTGAAGAGGAGTCGTCGCTGTCATCATTGGAATCATCAGAATTGTCGGACTCTTCTTCGACCGGTTCCTGCGTTTCCTTAAGGTACGCTGGACCAGTGAGAGAAATCTCCCACGATGCGGGATGGTTCTTTCGGTTGCATGCTTCGCAATGAGCTTCGAGGACGTCTTTCATGCCTCGTCCAATCTCATTAGCGATGAATTCAGGTCGCGCATGAATCGCGCGGGAGAAATCGCTTTGCCACGCCGTGGAATGAAATTTGGAATTTGCCAGTCCATTGGCTTCGTCGTCCAATTTGCGGAAAGTAAGTTCGTATATTTGATCCGACGAATCGAAGCTCGGGTTGATCTTTTTATGCACCGACCATTCGACCGCATACTTGAACAAGTCGCGAGGTTTTGCGGTGCTCATTGAAGTGAACTCAAGAGGCATTTGGGTATCGTGAGCAGGGGCACCTAATGGTCCTTCATCCTCATCGACAATAAAATCGTCGTCTTCATTAGTTGAGCGGAAGATGTCATGAGCGTTTGTCGTATTATCGTCACTATCCTCAATCTCATCTTCTTCTTCATTCTCATCTTCATCATCGTTAATGTCAGAATCTTCCTCTTTGATGACCTGTAGGTCTGGTCCTGATTCTGAGTCTGAATCATGAATGACCGGTTTTTTGCGACCTGGGGTAGCGGCCGACGATGATGGTTCATTTGTGTCGGCTCGCCGTTTCTTGAGAGCTTCTAATGCCATCTCGCGGCTGCTCTTCACCTTATTTCCAGTGCTTCGCAGCCTGCCTCTATCGGCGACAGGGGATGATTGGAGGAAAGCAAGCTCTTCCTTCAACTCGTCCTCTTCTGAATCGCCCCCACCATCTGGTGTACCTTGGTCCTCTCCCTGCTCGCTTCCAGACTGGTCATTTTCGGAGGAAACTTCTTCTGGTGTAGATTTGCGTACAATTGCTCGACCGTGGCGGGTTCTTCTTCGAGGCGCTTCCTCTTCCTCCTTCTGCTCGTCGCTGTCATCCACAGGAATTGGTGATCTGCGCTTTCCCTTCGTATGGGTTTTGTGGCGTGTAACCACTTGAACTTCATTCGCGCTTTCTTCTTCCGGTGTCACTTCCTTGCGCAACCTTCGCGACCGGGTCTTCTTTGGTGGCACCACCACCTCGACCACACCCTCGCTCTCTTCATCGGAGCTCGACTCATTCTTAGTCTTTCTTTTGCCCTTTTTTCGCTTTTTCTGCTTCTTCTTGCTATTCCCAGACTTGCTTGTCCTGACTGTCTTAGAGGCTGACCCGTCTGAGTTGGTCGAGCTAGAGAGCAGATCAGGGTCAACGTCTGAGCTGTCAAACATACCCCCCCTCTGCGTTGGCATGCCCAATTTCATTCCGCGCTCTGTCTCCTCCTCAAATCTCCTGCGCTTCGCAGGCCTATCCGGTGAGATTTCATCTTCCTCGCTATCGCTGAGCTCAATGCGCTTGATAACTTTTGGCGCAGATTTCGGGGTGGACGAGAAATTGATGGTAGTCTGTCTTTTGCGCGGGAGCGGCCTTTTCGGAGGCATGTTGAATTACGGGGATGATAGCACGGTAGCCCTTCGGTCTTGGGTGTGTTTGTCGCGTGTGGGCGCGTGAGGTGTCCGAGGCTTCGTACCTAAGATTATAGGCTTGGGACAAGGATCGCAACAAGGCTGGTATCCAATAGCTATAGCTCCAGTAGGTCTCAAAGCTCAATATGGCAGTGTAGACGCCAACAGCCAAGTAATGCGTAAGGCGTAGTGATAAAAAAAAGTGGGTGGGGCGACGAGGGCGGCAAACACACTAAATTTGAGGTTGGGCGCTTGCCGAATCGAGGATCCAGGTCGCGTGGGCACGTGACGTCAAGACAACACCAGTTGACCGGATAGTCGAGCGCTTTTGTCATAGAATTCATCAATTCATGTTCCGTCGCTGAGCACCCATGTGCTGTAATAATTACCTGTAATAAATGAATGTTATCTTGATTTTGTGCCGATCGCCACCAATAATCTATTTCAGAACTGTACGTACTCACTCTAGTACATGTAACACCATTCTTATAGACGATGTCACTGCAATTATGACATTCATCATCTCTATCTACAACTGTCTAGTGGATCTATGAACAACAGAAGCCAAATGGTCCTTGAATCTCGCCCATAAATTCCCACAAACCCCGCCAAAACCCATCTATGAAACGCAAACTCCAATACACTTCAACCGCGAACCGACCCATCATCCCCATCAGATGTCATAGCACGCGACTCACCCCTCCACTGACTTCCCTTACACTCTCTCCCTAATCCCTTCTAACCCTTCAGGAACCCAAGCCATACAAATGCTATCAAACCCCTCCGCAACATTCACCTCACTCACAACCTCAAGCCCCTGCTTCATATACATAGCCTTCCCCATCATACTGCTCTCCAGCGTGAGCGGGACCCTGTCTTCAGCAGCGAGACGCTGCGCGTGCTGCACGAGCATGGCTCCGACGCCGCGGCGTTGGTGCGCGGGCGAGACGGCGAGAATCGAGATGTGCCAGCGGTTCTTGTACACGTCGAGAGAGTTCCAGCCGCTGGCGGTTTGAAAGCGTTGTATGTTTTTCGAGGAACGGGCACGGTCGGTGAAGGTTCTGTCGTACCAGCCTTCTAGCTTTAGGAGGGTACGCTCGAGGGCTGGAATTGGGGTGGAAGGATGATTAGTTACGCTTCTCCTTTTATTCTCTTTTTTCTTTCTCTAATACCCCCTTGTAGTAAAGAAGAAGGGGGGTAAGCAATGGAAAGAGACTGCCGTGGGCGCACGAGTGACTGCCTTCTTCTCAAACATACATCAAAAAGGAAATAAAAGTTTGACACAAACAACCATTCAAACACCTGCAAAAGAAACCCTGATATCAAGGCCTTCCTCCCTTCCCCGAAAAAAGTATAAAAAGGATTTGAACGAAGAAGAAAAAAGCACAACTCACCACACCCCCAAGAATCCTCCATCCATTTCCCCGCCTCCTCATCGTCCCCCAACCTCAAATTCATTGCATACCCAGCAATCTCCGGCTTGTCTCCCTCGGTCTCCACCACGACCCCATGCATGCCCTTTGTCACGAATCTCGTGCGCAGTCGCAGAATCTGATATCTCCGCAAATCACCGGGGTATTTATCCTTGCCTGGGTAAAAGAAGGCATTGAGTTCGTCGTCTTTGAATGCTCCTTCGTTGATGTTTGTGATTGGTCCGAGGTCTTTGTGGGTAATGGCGCGGATCTTCATCTTTGTTTGTCTTTCCCTGGGGAGATGCTTTTTTGGTGGCGTTTTCGGATGGAACTTTTCCAGGTTATATAGTTTTCTATATATACTTTTTTCCTGTTAGTGAGACGGAGTGCTATTGGGTTATGCTTCAGTATTTATTCCACTCCGAGTGTTCATGCGCCCTTTTCGAGGGAACCATGTCAAGGATTATATTCTCCTTGGGTGACGTGAAAGGGCTGAAGAAAGTAAATGAACTAGAGCAGAAGGGGAAGGTGATTGGCAGACGGTCAGCTCTTTTCGACACGTCCAACGTCAATTTTTGATCGAAATAGTTAAAACACCGCGACAATAAACTACTCGTGCGTGAAGATTGAGCCATGGGGGGAAAAGTCCGCTCGTACATCGTCATAGTGCACATTTCGGGACTCGGAATAGTCGGAGTGTTGGGATGGAGTAGATAGTTGAATGGTAGATACGTGAAGGATTAAAACACTGGAGTGTAGGAATCAGCACAAGCTACTTCTTGCTTAATGAAGATCAAACCCTCCATCCAATATATCAAATAAGTTGATCAAGTTCCCAATCAAGCGTCTCCAGACAATTTGCAGCGGATGGTAATAGACGCCGACATCGTCTTAACATCCATCACGTCCACACCAAACAAACACCCAGCAGCAGCAAGGTATGGAAAGAAGAACAAGGAGAGTTTTGTGTGCAAAGTGTTGAAAAATAAAGAGATAATAAGGTGATGCTACAATCTTTCTCTCCATCCAACTCCCTATCCAGCTACACACGCGCGCATCCCATCTCTTTTCCAGCGCTACCTACAAGATCAATCATGAACAAGAAGAAGAAAGAGCCAAACGACAAGGAACAAGGTGAACCAGCGAACCGCATAAGAGAATCAAAACACCATCAATCAACAAAAAAAAGATCAACTAAATTCACACATCTTTCTTTCCTTCAGTAACGAGACATATTTTGCCCCATCCACCCACCCACACTCTCTCGCTCCCTCTTCTCCTCTAAGCCCGGCCCATCTGGTTGCACTCACAAGTTTTGCATACCAACCCATCCAAAAAGGGCTCTTCACCTCCACCTCCACCAGGCTGCTGTTTCCCCACCGTTCCAAGCTCCACAGTCCCTCGACACTCTCGGCAGGAATCAAACAAAGGAAATGAAAAAGAACTGGAAGCCCCCACACAACAACCCCAATCATGCGTGGCTGGCCCCAACTGGAGATCCGTGGATGTGTTGATCAGGTTGAGCCAAAAAACGGTAGGCGGTGAGAGGGGTGATGGTGACGGCGGTGACACGATTGCAAAGAAGTTGGTCGACGGTGGAGAGAAATGGGGTCGATAGCAGGTGCTATTCATGTACGTAGAAACAGCCTGCCCAACGCGAAAACAAGTTTACGGAGGTAGTCCGCATTGTCCAAAAAAAGAAGAAGGGAATTGAGAAAAGGGCAGCACAATGGTATGGGAAGAGAAAATAAAAAAGACATAAAAAAGAACCCAAGCGCCTCGTGCTTATCTCATGACACGATGTTCGTATCCTTTTCCAAGAAAATGGTAGTATTATTCGAGACACCCAGGCATGCCTAGGGGGGGCCGCTGGAGCTTTTGAGAGGGTATGGTGCAGGAAAGCGTACAAGGATTTTGTCGTGGGTCGAGAATGAATTATGGTGCGCATCCGCCGTCATTCGCGATTGTATTATGACACAGGGTTAGAGGATGTATGGTATCTTTAAAAATGGCAGCGTTTATGCCCAGATGCGCAACTACAAGGAGTTAGTGATACACGATCCAAGAAAATGTAAGAGAGTAGTAGACGTACCATGGAATCCCAAGAACCTGTGCACAGACTGAGCGCATCGTTGCTCACGCCGAGACAGCTGACTCGGTTGTCGTGTCCTTGTAAGGTACCAACACGCTCTCCTCGGAGGACATCCCACACCTGGAGCTATGTTAGTAACAATATGTGGGAATATGATGGGTCCAAGCTTACTTTGCACTCGAAGTCATCGTAACCGGCGAACAGCAAGCGACCAGAAACCGAGAAGGCAACCGATGTAATACCGCAGACAGGCTCGGGAATCTACGACGAAAGTTAGTGTAAGAGAGAGAGAGAGAGAGAGAGAGAGAGAGAAAGATGAAAAAGACAATGCGCAGAATGCAACCGGAAGGAATCGGAATGAGTGGGCAATTGACGTACAGTGTATGCCTGTAGTTCACGATCAGCACGGATATCGAACAGACGGCAAGACGCGTCATCGGACCCGGTTCCGAAGGCGTTGCCGTTGGGGAAAAATTGAATAGCATTGATGTCGGAGTCGTGGGCGGCAAAAGTCTGCACACACTTCTGCTGACGAATATCCCAAAGTTTGGCAAAAGCATCGCAAGCACCCGAAACGAATTGGTTGTGGTCAAGCGGGTTGATGCTCAAGCTCATCACGTCACCCAGGTGGTCGGCGAACTCGTGTACCTTGGAACCGGTCTCCAAATCCCAGAGCACGCAGGTCATGTCACCGGAGGAGGTAAGAATACGCTTGTCGCTTATAAAGCGGCAGCAACTGAGGTAGCCAGAGTGACCAGACAGCTCTCGGGCGACGCGGGTAGGGCCTTCTCGGGCGGACAAGTTGTAAATGGAGCAAATGTTGTCCAAGCCACCGCACGCCACGTAGTTGCCGGATGGCGAGTAGGCGCAGGTCATGACCCATGACGAACGAAGAGGGATGGCGTGGACCTTGTTGGTGGTGTATGCATCCCAGATGATGAGCTTGCCGTCCTGGGAGGCGGAGACAAGGTGTCGTCGGTCGGTGGACCAGTGCATGGCGTAGATCTTTGCGAGATGGCCCTTGAGGGTGCGCTTGGTCTTCATGGACAGGCGCGGCAGAGCCTCGACCCTCTGTTTGGCGACATCGCGGACTGGATTGAGGAGTTAGCCACAAGATTCATTCATTGAGAGCGTGGGTGGACGGGTAGGGGCTTGTGAAGAGCACGTACGGGTTGTGTCAGCAAGCTCATCCTTCTTCCGCTTTATCCTGTCCTTGAGGGCTTCGGCGTCGCGACGGGCGACTTGAATTCTCTGCTGGATACCTTCGGCACTCATGTCGGCCATGCTACGATGTTGAGAGGTAGAGGTGAAGACGGGAGGGTGCGTCGGCGCAGTGGAGGAGTTGGGGGTGGTGGGTGGAGACGAGGAGGAGATCCAGGGGCCTCGCAGCAGCAGCACAAGCAAGCAGGAGTAGCGAAGAGCAGGAACGGAGACGCGCACCGGGGTCAGGGATGGGCGGGAAGAGGGCAGCAGACAGCGGCTAGACAGTCGCGCACGTCGCAGGAGTAGCAATTGCTCGCGCGTTCAGCGGCGTTGGACAATGGGGGAGGGAGGGCTGAGGTGTGAAGAAGAGAGAGACGGTCGGAGTGGAGTGGAGTGCTGGGAGCGAAAGGTACTGCGCTGCACTGTACGGGGGCGGCGGCGGCGGGTTGTTGCTGGGGGGCGTGAGGAGGGAGCTTGGCTAGCCGAGAAGCGTCAAGCTGCTCTGAATGGAGAGACGGACGGAGATGGCTCGCGCGTTCCAACAACGGTAGGTAAGTAGATCAAAGCAAGCAGGTAGGTAGGCAGGTAGGCAGGCAGATGGGTGATGAATGAATGCCACGCGTGCACCGACGAGACAGGTGGATCGTGGTGGTGGTGGTGGTTATGTGACTGTGAGTGTATATACTAATGTCCTGCGATGCGATGAACAGGGCAGACAGCAAGTAGGCGGGCAGGCAAGGCAGGCAGTCGGTAATGCGATGGTTCGATTGTTCCTTCCCTTCGCTTTCCCTTTCTTCCCTTTCCGCCCGCGCCTTCTTCGTCAGGTTGCTAATCTCCTGGGGGGCTCCTTCTTTCGACCGGCTGTCGCGCTAGGCCAGATCGGGCTCTGGCTCCGTCCCATTGGCTGCAGCGTTATTAAACTTGTCCATTCCGCCGATGGGTCGACCTGCAGCGCCCACCCACCCATCCACGATGCACCACCATTCATTCGGTTGCCCATTCACAACTTCATCTCTTCTGCACTGCTTACGCTGCCTGCCGGCACAATCGCCATCCTCTGTGCTCGCTCTACCATGGCACATCATCCGCCACCTCCCGTAGATCCCCACTACACGCGCTCCCTGCCCAAAATCGAGGTACCCTCCATTGCCTATCTTGCTTCCCGACCCGCTAGATACCTACTTGGCCGTCCGCGGTGCGCTACTTGGCCAAGGAGGCATCGTCTACCCATATTTCCGCACATTGCCTCTGCTTGCTAACCGAACCTCCAACTTGCCAGCTTCATGCGCATTTGACTGGTAGCATCACTCGACAGTGCTTACACCAGATATGGAACACAAAAAAATCCCGCGACCCTGCATATGCTTTGCTGGACCCTCTTGTCGCCATGCTGCCGGAATACGACATCAACACGTACGAGTCATTCGCTGCTCAGGTACTACTCGTAGCCGTCAACCCCTTGGGCTAATTCTGCTCTCAGCTTCTTCCCCTTGTTTTCCACCTACACCTATAAGCTTTGCAATGATCTCTACAGCATAGAGTATGTTCATCTCTACCGGACCGGGACCTGCGCAGCCCGAGTGACATTCACTTAGATACTCCACCAAGGCCGTGCTCCAAGATTTTCAGCAAGATGGCGTGGTTTATCTTGAGCTCCGGACCACGCCGAGGGCCGTTCCTGAAGCTGCTATAACCAAGAGTGATTATGTCAAGAGTATCCTCACCATCCTTCAAAACCACAACACCAGCCCTGAGAATACTATGAGAGCGTACCTGACATTATCTGTCGATCGACGTAATTCGCCCGCCGAAGCAGAAGAAGTCGTCGACCTTGCGCTTCAATTCCAGTCCGCAGGTGTGGTAGGGCTGGATCTGTGTGGTGATTGCGCAAAGGGAGATGCCCGCACTTTTTCCAAGGCCTTTGCCCGCGCAAAAGCTGCAGGGCTCAAGGTAACGCTGCACTTTGCAGAGGTTGAAGCATCCGCTACCGATTTAGAACTCGAAACTCTTCTGTCTTTCCAACCCGATCGCTTGGGCCATGTCATCCAAGTCAAAGACATATTCAAAGAGCAGATTGAGAAAAACGGCATTGGCATCGAGCTTTGTCTGAGCTGCAATGTACAGGCCAAGATGATCAAGGGTTCTTATCCAGATCATCACTTTGGAACTTGGCGACATAGTAGTGTTCCTCTTGCTTTGAGTGTTCGTTGACTTTATGACTTCGTCATCTAGCTCTCAAACTAACACGCACTAGACAGACGATGTGGGTGTCTTTGGTAGCCCCTTATCCCAGGAATACTTTCTGGCAGCTACTCACTTTGGACTCGATCGTGGTCAGCTCAAGGCGTTGGCAGAAAGGCCAATTCCTTGTATCTTTGGGGGAGAGGATGAACAAGCACGACTTCGCAATTTGTTCTCACAGTTTAGTCATGTATGAATGTTAGATCAATTGCATTGAGATCGGCCATGCTCTATTCTGCCCAGCTCGAACAATTAGCCGGTGAATATAGCATTAGTTCCCCTTTTCGATTATTATAGCGGTAGAATCATCTCGAATGTATGGTTTTCTATAAAATGCCCTCAATGATTTTCATACCTTTCTGTACAGGCGGACGAAACCGCACGTGTTAGCGCGTGCCCCGCCACCGCCACACTTCAGAGGGAAGGCACCACATTTCACCACCAATCCTCCCACGTCAGCGCATGTTGCCTGCCCACCGTTCTAAAGAAGATAGATTTGGCTTGCTCAATAACAGAAAGCTATACGGCCAGCAATTTTGTATAATAACAGCGAACGAGCAATAGACATTCTCCATATACACCCACCTACTGCGTTTCCGATGGATGTGCAACTTTATGTCTATGACCTCTCCCAGGTAGGTTGCATTGCACCCCTCAGCCCATATCAATATCTACGTGAACGCTAACATATCCAGGGTCTGGCTCGCTCTTTTTCGCAGGCTATGCTTGGAACTCAGATAGACGCCGTTTACCATACCTCCATTGTGATTGACTCTATCGAATACTATTATGGACAAGGCGTGCAGACATGTCGCGCCGGTGCCACACATCACGGTGCACCCATGGAGAAGATACCCCTCGGGAAAACGGAGCTTCCTCTTGAAGTGATTCTTGAGTATCTGGAAAGTTTGAAGACCATCTATACGGCAGAGGCTTATGACTTGTTCCTACATAACTGCAACAACTTCTCCAATGACTTTGCTATGTTTCTCGTGGGCAAAGGTATCCCGGAACACATCACAAGCCTACCGGAGACGGTTTTGAATACGCCGTTTGGACAGATGCTGAAGCCCAGGCTGGACGCCATGATGAGACCGATTGTGCAAGCACCTACGCCACAAGCAGGAGCGATACCGTCATCAAAATCCGCTGGTTCAGCTTCAACGAACGGTGCGGTGAGGAATGGAGCACCAGCACCCGCGCGAGTCCCCATGTCGGCAGAGGAGACGGCGCTGGCTGGCGCTACAGGAAAGGTTAACAGCATCACGACTATACAGGACGTGGATCGTCTGCTGAGTATTGCAAAAGATCGTAGTGCTATCATCTTCTTCACGAGCTCAACATGTGGCCCTTGCAAGATCATGTACCAACCATATGATGATTTGGCTGCTGAAGTGGGAAACAAATGTGTGTTTTTGAAAATCGATTTCAGTTATGCGGACCGATCCATAAGCGCGAGGTATCCGCATGTCCGCGCGACCCCCACATTCGTTACGTATCTGCGAGGCCAACAGCATGACGAATGGAGCGGAGCAGATCCACGGCAACTGAGAACCAATGTGGAGATGCTCGTCAGTGAGGCCTTCCCAGCACACCCGCATCTGTCCAAGGGCGTACCTACGCTGTTACGCCAGACCCAGCGGCCCATTACCTATGCCAAAATTCCTCCGTTGGAAAAATTGGTTGCAAAATTAAAGGACGTGGGTGTCGATCCAGCCGTTCGTTCAATCGTCTCATTCATCGAGAACCGCGAGCGCTTCGGCGCCCAAGAAGCACCTCTCACTCAACTCCCCCAGTTTGCTGAGTACCTTCGAAAAAGTACGACGATTCTACCACTCGATCTACTTTTCGTATCTTATGATCTGCTCCGTGTTACCCTTACAGATGTTCGTGTGGCAGGCTTCTTCGCGGAAGAACACACAGGTGCTACAGGCACCCCGGCCACAATCGCGCATCTGCTCGAGCATGTCAACACCCTCGGAGACCAGGCCCCATATCCCTTGCGCCTGACGACATTGCATCTGGCATGCAACCTCTTCAGCTCTTCTCTTTTTATTCCTCATCTCCTTTCACCACCTCTATCATCAACTCTGATCTCTGTCCTTACCACTGCTCTGCTAGACGAGAAACACCCCGCGCTTAAGGCTTCAGCACTCAGTCTCGCTATGAACCTCGCGTCCGCTAACCACAAGATCAGGATGAAGAGGCATACTGCGAATAACACTAGTGCCAACTCATCCTTGTCGGGCTCCGAGCTCGACGAAGCCGAGCAAGTTGAACTGCTTGCTTCGCTGCTAGAGACACTGACGCCCGAGGAAGAGTGGAGCGATGTAAAGAAAATGGCTTTGATATGCACTGGGTGGCTAGTTTACTGTGCAGACATGGAAGGAGAAGTGAGAGATCTATGGAAAGTTATGGATGCTGCGGGGACGGTCGGGAAACTCAAGGGGAAAGCAGTTGAGGATCGCGCGTTAATCGGAGAGGTGAAGACTCTGATGGAGGTGTAGGATGCTGTTCTCCCGTAGCCAATCATACATGCTGATACTTTGTACCACGCCTTGCTAAGGTCGCACAGCATTAGTGCAGGCGGTCTTATTGATTGTTGCCTAGATAGGCATTTGTATATATCATTACCCCTCAACCATGGTTGTTGCAGATGCTTGACATCTGTCCATCATTGACCTCCGAGCTAATGTGCAAGACACGACAGTTTCATCTCCAAAAGAGCAAGAATGGCGGAAGTTTGTCATTTTTTCAAGAAGGGACGGTGTAGGAACGGCACGTTTTGTAAGTTTCAACACCCCACTGGGGCGGAAGGTACGGTGGGATTGAGAGCCAGCGCTCAACCATTTCTTCCTTTGAGCGAGCGGGATCCACGTACACTATCATCCACCACTTCCACCACTCTTCCGCTGCCTTTTCACGGCGGCAAAGCTTGGAGATCAAGACCAGTGTGTAAATACTTTCAGTGGAACGCCTGCAACAAGGGATCTGATTGCGGATACCGCCATGTGTTGGAGAAGCCAAACAGCGACTTCGACGAAAAAAGCGCAGGTCATGATACGCCATGGAGATCAGCTTCTGAAGATGCACCAAATTCTGGAAAATCACCTCGAAACGAGACAGAGGCTGCGTCTCAAAATCCTCCTGTAACTATGGGGGGTGCAGAAGTCATGTTTGATGGGGGAGCTTCTGTTTCTTCGATCTCATTACCATCCGATTTTTCAACGATCTCCATGACCCATATACCCAGTCATATATCGCGCCATGACATTTGCGACATGATAAAGTCGCACGGCTTTGAGAATATTACGCCAGCTTCGATCACACTTCACTCTGAAAAGAACTCAGCGCCTCAGTCGGCCAGAATAATACTTGCAGATCCTACGTTCGCTACGAGGTTTCTACAAGCGGCAGGCCCAACATTCGACTTTGGCGGGTCTGTGGTTTCTGCAAGCACGGTCACACTTGGGGGTGATACTTCTGTGGGAGTCAATCGATTGCAACTCAGCACTGTCTCTTGCACATGGCATCAGCCGTCGAAAATCTATTACTTGACATATAGTAGTAGGATTCAAGCTGACAGGATAGTGGATGCGGCGAAGAAGAGAGCTGTAAATCTACATGACCGAAAGCTTGTCTTCGAGCGCCAAAACCCACTCACGACTACTGTCATTGTTAGCAATGTCAATGCACGCACCACGAGAGAAGTACTGAAACGGTACCTACCCGGTGATGTTCTCCCGCTGAAGATCAACGTGGGGGACTGTTCCCATCAGCTTCGATCAGAAGAGCTTGAGGGGCGCGTGAAATTGAGGCTCGAGGAGTGCGGTATGTACACTTTCTGGTATATTGAGCACCTTGAGGCACTATTATGTGCTATGTGTTGAGATTCTGATGCCTATTCAAGAATCGCTACTAGGCTTCCACTGAATCCTCATTTTTTGCTAGGTACACTACAGAGCTGGACCATCAATCCGTCTTCGGGAACTTCTAGAGTCAAGGCCACTGGTGTATTTGTTGAAATGGAAGCGGCAAGAAGAGCAATCGCTGATTTGAATCACACAAAAATCGATGAATCATCAGTAGACAAACTTCTGGTGCAGCACCTTATATCGATCAAGTTATCAGTGTCATTGCGAGTGCTACGTGCTGTCGAGGCAAAGATCAATCATCTCACTACTATAGCTAGGAGCTCTCATGTCACTGTTAAAATTTACGACAATCCTACCAAGCAGTACACACAGGTACGAGTTTCGGGCCAGGAAAAGGATGCAGTTGCCCATACAAAAGCATCGCTAGAGAGCCTCTTACTAGGGCATGTTTTTCACCTCGATAACTCGCCTAGCACGCGTCAACTGTTCTTCCAGAATGGTTCTGATGGCTTTTTACATGGTATTATGAATACCAACAACGTTTATATCGCGCAGGATCGGGCGAATACAATATTACGGATATACGGCGACGATCAGAAAGTCCGCGCAGTTGATCAGATCTTGACCGAAAAAGTCAAGCTCCTGCACGAACAGTCCAAAACAATAATACTCAAGGAAGGATTATTGCAAGCTGCTATGAGAGGTGGTTTCAGCTATCTCGTTGCGTTACTTGGAAAAGACACCGTAAAAATGGACATTACTTCAGATCCCAAACGGATCATCGTTCTGGGTTCGGACCGGATCGCCCAAGAAGCGGAGAAAAGCCTTCACTCTTTCAATTCCAGCAACTTGCAGACTGATATATCGAGTCTGAAGCTCGAAGATGACAGAACCGATCATCTATGCCCAATTTGCTGGACTGCCCCGGAACAACCATTGACAACAACCTGCGGACACATTTATTGTGCCGATTGCTTCTCTTCCCAATGCTCGTCTACAACTGCCTTCCCAGTAACCTGTCTCGGGGACTCAGGAACATGCGCAAAAGCTCTAAGTTTACGAGAAATGAAAGAAGCACTACCACTCACCGAGTACGAAAATATGCTGCAATCCTCTCTCGCCAGCTACATCCGCAGCCATCCGATAGACTTCCAATATTGCCCCACGCCAGACTGTAACCGCTGCTACCGCACGTCTTCAAAACCTCATCCTCGTATATTCACTTGCGACAACTGCCTGGCTTCCACGTGCACCGCCTGCCACCGCCCTGCACACGTTGGTTTAAGCTGCGCTGAAAACAACAATGACTCGGATCTACTCGCGAAGTGGAAACAAGAGAATGACGCGAGAGATTGTCCACACTGCCAGACGCCTATTATCAAGTCCTACGGCTGTAATCATATGCAATGTACAGCATGCGGGACGCACATTTGTTGGTTTTGTATGAAGATGTTTGACTCGGGGGATGGAACGTATAGGCACATGCAGCTGAAGCATCGAAGCATTATTTAGAAACATATTTCTTCTTTTGCTTCCTTGGGAAAACATGCGGGGATGTTGTGTTTGGATTGAACAAGTAGTCGTAACTTCTTGCAGCCATGACCTTGCGATCTTAATAGATATCCGTGGTACTAGGTAGATAAGTAGGTTTCTAGGTATCTAAGTGAGTTTAGTCATCTTTCCCGTTGGTAAACTGCAATTCATAAGATTGAATAGATGGGGTCGGGATAGAGTCAGTAGTATCAGTAGGTATATATATCTAGAAGAACGCGCGGGCTATGCGAAATCCGTCATCACAAACTATCCCCAAAGTATCTTGTTTCTGATCCACCTTGATGCTGCTCTATTATCCTTTCTATATCATCAGCACCTTGCAGATGGAGTAGCTAAGTAGGATCAACTCAGTGAAAGCGGTCGATTTCGAGGTCACTTCACTTCCTCTTCCACAGTATTTTGTAAATCACATACACATGAATGACATATAAAACTATTTCCCGCCTTCGATAGAGGAATTCTCTCCTATGTCATTTAATCTCTCAAATCAGCTCAGCACACTTTTCCCTTATCCACTGCTCACCTGTCCTGATTTATCGCCATCTCCTTCCCCGATCGCACCTGCGCAAAGAAATGTGATACATTTCCCATCACACAAGAACTACAATGGCAAAAAAAATGCAATGTATAATATGACGAGCTATTACCTCATCTCCCCCCACAACAAAGTCAAGCCCCTCCTTTGCTTTCCCCGCAAAGTAACATGAAACTCACATCACAATCCTCCTTCACGCCGACGAGTCAACTCTCCCCCCCCTCTCCCCCCCCAAAAAAATATCAAACAAGTCACAATACGCACTTCCTCCCCCACCCAGATCTAGGCGCATTTTTATTTCTCAAGAGCATGGAATCTCGCACACCTTGGCTAGCTCGTGATACCTTGATTTGTGGTGCATGCAAGGTTGTTTTGACAGTTCCTGAAACAACAAGGGTTCCTTCGCAAACCCCTGGTTTATATCGTGCAAGTGTTTGTATAGATGACATGACTTGTGTGTGTGTGTGATGAATAAGATATTGTGCGTGATGTGAATTGAATTCGAGTGTGATGGCGTGGTGTGGGATCGAGATTGAAGTTTTATTTTTTAATGGAGGTGGGATCTGTGCATGGTACAGTATAGGGGTGAGAATGCAAAGAAGGAAGAGAAAGAGTGAAGGGAGGAGCTTGTGCAATAGTTCGTCTACTGAAGTTCAGAAATAATAAAACATGATTGAGTGTTTTTTGCATGGAATTTCTTCATAGACATTAAAACGAGAAAAGTTTGGTCTTGGAGATATCACGAAGGTCAGGTTAGATAGACCAGGACAGATGATATCCTTATAATCATTTCGGTTCTGGGGAAATCAGGGGCGGTTCAGCGGGACTATGCGAAACTTCAGTTGAGTGACAGTTTACCTTGAGTGAATTGTATACGTGTACGCAGTAGTGACTCAAAAAACAAAACAAAAAACGCACCAAGTTGGTTGCTTGATTGTTTCTGTGCGAGTAATTGATATCCCCCCCCCCCCCCCCCCCCCTAGAGTAATGATTACACAAATGCAATTCGTCAAACACAGGATCATAGGATGGATGTATGTATACTTGCATATATGTACATATGTATGTACGCATATCCGCGATAATCCCAATGTCCTGCTTAACACAATCCAAACTTGTAGACTACGTTTACAGCACTAACACACACACAAAAACCCTAGTTCAGTCTTATCCAACCATGCATGCATGTATGTACACAGTATGTATGCAGAACGGGGGGGCGGTGGGGCGGAAAGAGTTCGAACAAGACAAGCGGAGATTTCAACAGCGGACTTGGTCAAGTGTAACTGTGCGCTGTGGTCTTAGACTAATCCTAGTTTACCCCCATTCAGCTGGGTACTTGCTTTAATCGTTCTTTCTCTGACTAAGGTGAATACTAAGATGTATAATCGGCATAGATTTTGTGGTTTGTATACATAGTATGATGCCGCAGGAGGTACAATCGGCCACAAGTTTCCTGAAGGAAGGAGAGAAAGCAGGATCAGAGGATCAGTGACCGCTGGGGGAAGATCGTAGGATCGAGCGTGTTTTATTGATATAATGGTTGGGCGAGTATAGCAGCTCTACATGTTTCCATGCGAGCCCTGGTCTCTTATGCATGAAGAGGGAAGAAGGGGGGAGCGGATCTAGATTGTGTTGTTTATACAGGACAGTGTGCTATGGATTATCTGGGGATTTGTTGTACATGGCTGGTTGGTTGTTGGGGAAACAACGGGACCAATTAATGATTGTTTAGGGTATGGAGGGTACCTTTTTGCGCAAAGGAATTACCATATGCAGAGTTCATGGTTCTCGAGTGTGGGTGGGGGCTTGAGGGACGGGCGCCATGATGGTTATGTATGGATATGGATACGCATACTTGGCTGCTTGTACGGGTGAACAGGATTGGGGAAAAGTGTACAACTATCCAGTGCAGATAAGATTGCAAGAGTTAAAGTTTAGAGGAAGCGAAACAAGATGATTGAATGGTTGTTGAACTGTACGTTGGTGTAGCAACCAGATGAAACAAACGGCATAAGAGTGTTGGAATGTGTTTAGGGGATTTGCACGGAGAGCCAAGGCAGTGGTGGTATGATGGCCATCCTTATACCATCCACACGTACGTATGTAATACTAAGTATGGCATAGGTGTGTGCGTATGTTGGCTCGCACGAGACGGAACGCACGTTTTATGCCCTGTGTGAACTGTCAAAAGGCCTGTCTCATGAACAAGTAATTCCCACGATTGTTCATGCCAGCGCATGTAGGCGGTCACTTGTGCGTGGAGCAGAAACGATGTGGACCGGAGTGGCAAAAATGAGGACATGTAATTTCCTCGCGGGTGTGGGCTGGTTTTGTGGGTGCACGTACGGAGTGACCAACTCAACGGCATTACGCTGCAACGAATTTGCTACAACAAGAGAACAGGAATGGAAATTATACATGGGTAGTCCGAGCGGAGAAGGAATAAGAGAGCGGGGGATGGAAAAGGAAAATGAGCGTCGAGATTGGCAGCCAGAAAAGTTCATGTACAAGCGGACGTCAGTGCAGTGCGAAGGTTTCACAGGTCCGAGTGTCACCAGCGAGGGAACGAACATGTGAAGGGTCGGTGGTGGGCGTTTGCGTGCGGGTGTAGCGCGAGTTCTCCTTCCCTAAAGAGCGCGGTAGGGCGAGCAGTCTCGATCCAGGACAAGAAGACGAGGAAGGGCCGTGTGCGGATCTTCTGTTGTATTTGCTTTTCACAGGTTAGCTGGGCGAATTGAGGCACTCGGCCCTTACGGACTGCGTGGTCGCGTGTCTGGGGACTCGATGGTGACTTGAGGCTTGTGGGGGTAGGCGAGAACGAGTGCATGTTACGAGCATGGTGGCGGTTCGGCGGCTTGGAAGATTGGCAATTTGATAAAAGCAAATCATCCACATTGACATGCTGTGGCAATTGCCATGCTATCGAGTGACGATAATAATAATAATAATAATAATAGCAGAGGAGGTTATTATTATGTGCAGGGCGTAAGCGGGGATGGGGCACTAGGGGACACGAGGCGCTTTGCCGTTTATAGGCTGCACGTGGCAAGCAGCAACAGTCCGTGCCCGGCGATTCATCTTGACTGCAACCGGGCAGGTGTCACAGACAGGCACAAGGCTGGGTTGGATTTGTGTTGGATTCGCACGCAAAGCAAAGAGCCAAGAGGACAGAGGGAGGATTTGGGCGGGTCAATGCAGAAGAAGCGGTAAGTTTCCAGAAGGAAAAAAAGAAGACAGACCGCACAAAGCCGAAGAGGGGACGAAGGAAGCCGGAGTGGACAGGCAAGGGAGGAGGGCAAGGACATGGACATGGGAAGGAGTGGACACACAGGCGCATGCATACACGACTATCAAACAACGAGCACCCCTTTTCTCCTCTCTCGGCGGGCATGAGGTTCGCATTGGGACAGGCGAATGTCCGATCGGAGCAGGGAGAGAGGCCGCAAGGGGAGGGGACATGCAGGCGCATAACAGACGTGACCGTACTGGGCGGGTGCAGCATGAAGATGGCGGGCACGAAGAGGTGATGAGTAGATGATGATGTATGGCGGGTTACAGAGCAGGTTTCGCATTGGGCGCACGCACACGGCGGCGGCGAGTGAATGGCAGCGCTGGCAGGGCCTGTCGAATGGCACCGATGTTTCGCTGGCCCAGCGAGGGCGTTTCAGGCGGCCGGGGCGTGCGCGCGGAGCTTTCGCCAATCTCTGTCCTGCGTCGCGTCGTCAGCCTCAGCCCTTTGGCTTCTGTCTGCTGTACTCCTTTTCCGTGCGCCCGCCCAGGCCAGGCCAGTTTGGCACTACCGCCCAGTTAGCCTGTCGTCTGTTGCTCACCTCACCTCACCCAACCCACTCTCCCATTCCCACTCCCCCCCCTTCACCACCACCCCCCTGTCCGCCCTGGCGTCCAATCACTGCCCTGAAACCCAAATAGCAATCCCATCCCTGTCGCCCACGCACGCCGCCGCCAAATTCTCAAGCCTGTCACTGTCAACCTGCACATCCCGGGTCCCTACCTCTCTCACCACACGCTGTTCCCTTCCAACCTACAAATACCTGCTGTCTGCCCCGTCCCGAGGCCCTCTTTTTTCGAAATGACTACTGCCGCTCAACAAGAATTCAACGAACTCGTTCGAGACAAGGACCAAGACTCTCGACACCCAGAAGATAAACACAACGATAGTGACCACTCTGAACCCGACGCTGACCCCGACACCTACTACGAGATTGACACCGACGACGAGCTCGGTATTCCCAAAGACATGCGGTCCAACAACGCCAACTACGTTCTTCCCTCGATCCGCTCCGAGGCCAACACTGGCCCCAAGGGTGTCATCGCAGACGCACATGCCTTCGAGAAGGCCAGGAAGCAGGCCCGCCGCTTCACCTGGTCAAAGAAGACTGCCCCCGAGAGCTACACCGTCACCGCCTACCACGATGAGAAGCAAAATTCCTCCGACGAGGACACCGAGGAGAGCTTCATGCGCCAGTGGCGCGAGGCTCGTTTGAAGGAGCTCCAGACCGTCGGCCAACGGATACGATCGCGGACTACCAGCCCCAGCAGGAGAGTCTACGGCAACATGCCCGCCGTTGACGGCGAGGGCTACCTCGAGGCTATTGAGAAGGTTGCGCGCGACGTCACTGTGGTAGTCTTCATCTACGACGACCAAGTAGGTCCACTTCACGAACATCCCTTCATGACCCCCTCGCTAACAATCAAACCACAGTCCGAAGCATCCACTGCTGTTGAGCAATGCATGTACGAAGTTGCAAGGCGAAACGACACCACTCGCTTCGTCAAGCTTCACTATGAAGATGCGGAGATGGACAACGCTGGCGTTCCCGCCGTCCTCGCATACAAGAACGGCGAGAAATTCGCCCAGCTCGTGCCTGTGCTGGACGAGCTCCCAGAGGACTCAGTGCTGAGCGCCGTGAGCCTCGAAACTGCCTTCAGGCGGTAAGTTTTGACCCCTCCGCAACCGGCCTAGCGTACCCGCAGCAGGCCGGACCGCGCCCCATGTGAAACAACAGTAAGCTGACTAACTCTTCGTTCAGGCATCGCATGCTAAATTAAGTCGACACCATGGCTGAATTCCAATTTCAGCGACTTGAATAAAATCATCCTGCAGCTGCTTGCGTCGCCCGCTGCTCAGCGCAATCCTGCATCGGCCCTTTCCCGATCCTCCCACGCGTGGGAAGGTTTACGTTGACACTGCGCCGTGGCCTTTGCCGGCTTCCGGCCTGTATCCACGTGGACTGCGTTAGGACGGTGCGGCACTGCCTCTAGGAGTCACGACACGACTGATGCAAACTTTACTCCTGCGTACTCATGGCGTCTACGATTCTCATCACCTGAACCTTTTCCTTTGTTTGAACGACAGCTTGAATCTTTTCTGCTTGCTCATTGCTCCTCTATTCAAGAGGTTGTTCTCCTTGATCTTTATTCCTTCAGCGCGGCGGCGGATCTGTTTGGGCGCATTGCAACTGGCGTTTCGTCCTTCTTTAGAATGAGACTGGCATCGGGTTATAGACGGTTCTTCATTCTTTGGTATTTCGGGCAGGAGAGATGGGCGGGTGGGTTTTACTGCTGTGCATCATGCCTGGAGAAAGCTCTACCAGCAAACAGGCAGGCGTTACAGATCACGAAAATCATGTGTATCATCATCACATCAGTACATTTACTTATTTTATCTAATACCCATATCAAACATTTTCCCCGTCTTGGAAATCGTTTTCCAGACGGGTATATTCATCATTCATCTCTCCTACGTCAATGGCGCGCGTATATGTTTGTGTTAATTTCGCACCCTTATTCATGAAGCGAACACCAAAATAACCCAACCAACTAACCACCCCCCAAAACTTACACATAACCTTAGTTGACACACCCGCCCAACACACACGTCCAACGCCAAAACTTCTCCACCTTCACCACCTCACACTAACAAACTCGACTACCACTACCAAGCCTCCTCAGCTCCCGAGTCCCCTTAAACCTTCTTTCTATTTCTGTGGGCTTTGGGGCTAATCGTGGGAACGCGATTGACGATGCCTCCTCCTTTCACCCCACTTGCTCCGTACACGCATGCATGCACGCACACTTGCATCATGTACGTCAGCGTTCCAGACACACTATAATAAAAACAAAGGACAGGTGAGAGGCATGGAGGGAAAAACAGCCACGCGTGATGAATATATGTATGTAGAACATGGGGTTTCCCTGCTAAGGCGACGCGGGAAACGAAACAAGAGACAGACTGTGGAGTCTGGGTTAGATGGAGCGGACGCCGTGTGCCCGCCCGGCAGTTGAGTTGGGTGTTTACACGTGGGATTATGATTTGTTTTTTTCCTTGGATGTCTTTTCTTGGGCTTCTTTTTCTTTTTGCTTTTTGGGGTTTGGGTTTCGAGGGTGGGCGGTCGGGAAGGCAATGGGGAGCAAAAAGAAAAATGGCAATGCCATCATCTCCCTTTCCCTCTCTTGCCGTCTTGTAATGGAGTGAGTCATCCTTTGACATGAGCACTGAGTTCTACTTGGAGCACAACAACACCAAGGCATCGAAGATTACTTACTACATGTTCTTACCTACACATCCTACGATGTCATACATCGATGCTGGATCCCTCCCTAAAGAATCCCTACACCTCCACACACTCACCTCAATCCAGCCCAAGCCCAAGCCCAAGCCTGAGCCTGAGCCAGGCCATACATCCCACTCATTCCCTTGCCCAAAACCTCCAAACGCCCACTCCCTCCCTCTCCGCTCCACACAGCGAACTATATCTCGTTTCGAATACCACATGTCTATCCCTACTACTTGATGTACATATGTACGTCATCCAGGGTCCAGATCCCCATGTGGGGAAACCATTTCAAGGCAAGAAGGCGAGAAAGAAAAGAAAAAGACACAAGAGAGGTGAGAGTAGGTTAGGACCAGGGAACCTGAACTTTGCTTTCCAAAGGTTTCACACTCCCGCATTAAACACACTACATGATTAGGCTAGCGGGCTTTGCTGGGTGTATACTGACTTGTTTATTCGGAGGGAGCCGAGGGGACCGAGGTAGTGTAGGTTTTGTGATGTTCGATGTATAGTTTTCTGTGGATGGTGGTGTTTTGGGGGAGGGGAGCGCGCATCTTGTGGGCTGGATAACTAGGATTGAGGAATGGGGTGGAAGACATGTTGATTTGGTGACTGTGTATGTGTTGAGTGTTTGCACATCTGTTCCCTTCTAGCCTATCGATCAGTTTTATGGGGTTCTGTGAAGACAGGATTCAAGTTCTCAATGTCGTGTGTATCGTTATTGCTTCATTTTTTCTCATCTTTGTTGGGTACATATGTATGGTGAGCGACGTCACGCGCAGGGCCGTCATGATCGTCAAATGCCTTTCTTCCCTTCCGGTCTACGAAACATGGCGCAGCTGCAAGTCTACGAGTCTGCGCTCCGATTCGATGGTACCCTACGTTTTCAACTTCAAGCCATGTGTTTGATATCTGTCAATCCATCCTGTCAGCTAACCAGTCACGCCCCTTAGCTCCCTGCCTTGCTTTTCCGTTTTACATTTCTCGAGGCGTGATCCACTGGTGCGGTTTCAATTGGCGGGTAGTTTTCTTCTCCTTCTTCCTGTTCCTCTTGTTCTTGTGCTCAATTTACATCTTACGTAGACGCCCCCGCACAGATGTGTTTCGCGATCTTGCTGATGACTAGTTCGATGTTCTGACGCGGTAGCGTGGATGGTCGTACGAAACGGCCGCGCACTGTTCACCACCTCACGTTTTGGCCTTGTCAGTGCCGCGTCACGCTACCACCACGCTCACGTCAGGTTCGAGGTGTGACAGCAATGTATTGCTTCATTGTGGCCACGACTTTTCTTCATGGATTTGGCAATTGGCTTGGATTGTTTGGGAAATGTTTTATGTGGTGCTATGACTTTTGCGGTCCTCCATCTGTCGATGTTGGATTTACTAGTAGAGGCGGGTGTTACTATACTTAACTCTCAGCCTCTAGTTATACTGTACACACACTATCGAACTCCGAAAGCATAAAAGCACAACTATCGCTTATCCTACACTAACAGTTAGACAGGTAGATCCGGGGGCGCCTTCCCAATGAACACCCATTCAAAGCCACTGCGCGTCGTAGACAGCTTCTCCACATTCCAGTCCTCCACGCTTCCATCCTCGCCACCTACAAAAATAAGTCCCAAATAGAGCGGTCGACCCTTACACCAGAGACTGACTGCACCGCACACGCACGCCCATGTGGCGCGGCGCGGGTCCATCGTATAATGTCCGAATCAACGCGGTCAGCAAGTAAACCAGCAGCAGCAGCAGCACACTTTCAACTCCCTCCTGCAGGATGCGTGAAAAAAGAATAACACAAACCAAACTCTGCATTGCATATACATACAAACAAGTCCACGGCATATGTACCACCTGCAATCGTCCCCCGAAATCTCCGTCTATGCACGCATCTATGATGTGTATGCAGGTGAATCTAATTCCAGGAACACAAGACGCGAAGACCGTTTCGTTCCGGCGCACACATATACACACACACACTTACTTTTCCCGTTATCGGCAAATGCACATGCAAGTAAGAGATTTGTCCAGTCCGTTCGCTTACTCGTCTATCGCATGCGCGCACGCGAGCGAGCGGACGGGGGCGGAGTAGCCGTACGTACTGTACGATGGGAGGGAATAGGTATTGCCAATAAGACACCAATTGGACCAGGGTCGGAGAAGTCGATACACGCACGCGGTGTGTGTATACGGAAGGATTTGGTAGCTAAGGCAAGGTAAGCTGACATGCGTTTCGTCCCGGGGGCGGGCTGCCACGAGGCGGGCTTGCTGGACCTGCTGCAGTGCCTTGTCAAGCGCGGCGCGGGTAAGCGTGAGATAGGGGGTTATTTTTTCTTGATTAGATATCGGGAGGATCTGACTTTGGGGTTCGGATAATGCGTTGGGTGTATGTATGTATGTACGTGGAGGGTGGAGAATAAGAGTGGAGTGTTGTTGATGGGTGGATGAATGGCCTTGTTTGTTCGGGGTTTGTTATATCATTCCAACTCGGTGTAAAAGCGTTGCTTCACGGGTTCTACAGCAAATCAAGTCGATGTAAGAGCAGTGCTCAGACCGCCCTACTGGGTCAATCTGTCACTGTAATGACTATACTGACATTCCAAAAGGGAAAAACCCCTACAAAGTCGTCCCTCTCCAACATCACGCATGAAAATCCACAATAAACCGCATCATGCATTCTCAAAAGCACAACATCTCTTACTCCGACACAGTGACATACCAGCTCGCCCGACCACCAGCGCTTACACACAAACCCACTCCGAACCCTCTCACCCGGGTCGCCTTACCACCCACACATTATCCACCCACCCTCGAAGATCGTTCCCAAGCAAAGCTAGCAAATCGCACCGCAAAAACGGCCTACCAACAATCCACCGTCCATCTGAGATCCACAGTGGGCTCCGATCTCCAATTAAATATCCCAAGGAAGCAGAAGCAGAAACATAAAGGATGACACGATGACGAACGCCTGTGTTTGAGCACGCTGGATACAGTATACCCGACAGACAATCGCATCCAATGAGTCCAGTACTAACCCAACGCCACGGCGTCGTCGTAAACAGGGTTCAAACTGTTGATCAGTCAGGCATGCTGTTTGTGTACTGTGTATACCTACTCCCGCGTGACCCCGTGGACCTGGGATGCGGAATCCTGCGCTGTTTGATGGGCAGCGCTGTTATCTGAGATGGGAAATAGGTACGATTAATTAACGTGTAGATCGGCAGGGTGTTTGACTAGGGGGATTATGTACGTTGTTGGTGGTTGGTGCCGATCGCTTACTTGCTCGGGTTACTGCTAAGGTGGTTCCAGGGTGTATATGGCAGGACGCTTTTTGGGATGTTTTGAACTGTGGTGAGTATAGGGAGGTGTTGATAGATGGCATCTTGGCTGCAAAGATTGGTGAGCATGCTTTTTGTTCTGTAGTAAACGATTTCGACTAGATGGTGTGAGAGTGGATTTCTCAGTGGGTTTGCGCGTAAATATCGATGTGATATATTGAGAGCGAAGGAAATACTCGTAGTTGCTGGATCGCTGAGAGGCCGATCAAATGCCAATTCGACATGATTAATTGATATTAATGGCAGCGATGGAACATATGTAGAAATCCAATAAATGCCAAAATCCTAGTTCAATCAGAGCAACAACAAAACGAACTTTTGCTTTTCACAAAGCTGTACTATCACACAGTAATGAAATAATCTGCATATTCAAATGTCACATGAATCAAACTGAAATGGACAATTGCAATTTCAGCGGCTGAGAGTGCCGTTCCTTACAATACTATATGATGAATAGTGACGAATTGTTTTATTGCTGCTCTCCTTGAAATTGTTTGTCAATAGTCCGCTTTTTGCCGGTAATTCGCTCATCAACTTCGATTGCTAACTATACCGAACCCAACCAGCAAGGCCTCAGTTGTGTGAGTGAAGCAATAACTATCGATTTTTACGTGCTGAGTGAGCACCGAAGGTCACGCCGTACGATTTGTGGGCACGTGCTGTCCATGATGACATATTGGTGTTGATCAACGTTTTATTATGAATTTTACTATACAATATCCCCTCCTGTCAATGATTTAATGCTCGTACAGCTGCCACTGTCCATAGCGTCAAATCACCTCGTACGATTGCTCTTCCACGCTTCTATCGCCATCACCATGGGTGCTGCCTCGTCGTTGCGATCCGCGATGTAGAGGATGGTCCACATCCACTCTTTACTCCCTCCCCTGCTCCAATCTTCCTCTTCAACCTGAGCCGGGGACCTAGGGACCTGGAGACCTGGAGACCCGTCCAGAGCTGGACTCGAACTGGGGACTTGTTGAATGTGTGATTGATATCACCTCACCGCCTGACAGCCGCCACTGCCGGGTGGTTTGGTGAATCAATGGAAAACCAAGTCTGTATGTAATGTAGGATAGAATTGAATGGAAATTGGTATCAGAAGAAGCAAAAATGGAACTTGTATGAACAAGACCGCAATCCTCTCCAGGCTGACAACCTCTGCTTCAAATTGAAGGCTCACTGCGAGGTGTTAGCTGGATATCACAAGTAGAAGACGGAAAAGGAATGTTGCCTCAAGCACTCGCCCCCGAGCAAACATGCAGCTCGAAGAATGAGATACGACAGGCACTGTCACCCAGAGGTAATGGATGACAGAGTGGTTTAATCTGGCTTCCCTGTCCACACTCGCCTACCGTGGTATTATAACGTTCTGGCGAGCTCTAGCTTAATTGGAAGCCAACAGAACCAAAGTCGTGATGACGACCCTGATCCCAGTCCCGTTCAGCGACTGTACCACGCCCTTTCAGGTGGGTTCATAAAGTGAAGAGATGATGGTACATTTTTGGTACACAGGAATGTCCAATCCTGTTTGATGTTCATTGGTCGAAACCAACACTCAACTGGGTACCACACTTCCTGGAAGTGCAGTCCTTTGGAGGGCTTATTTCAGCACTTCTAAGGAAAACTCAACTTGGGCCCCACTCGGCTCTGGATGATGATTGGAAGGCCTTCCCCATGGGTAACAATCATCAACTCAGGGCCAATTACAGTGATAGGAGGAAATCCAACCACTGCAATTTTTTTCAATTAACACAGGTGCAAAGACACACGAGCTGGGTCTGGGGTCAAGCATGAGGTCCTACAAGCAAATGGAGAACCTCCTGATTGACAGCCGCAGACATAGTCTCTCGATAACAGCCCGAAGATAACTCACCGGTGGTAGTGAAGCAGGGCCTGAAGGGCTCTCCTGCTCCACTGCCTAGGGTGTGATACTTCCGGCATGAGTCGTCACTCATGTCGGGTGCGTTTTTTTTCTTCGTTTTTGCTTCAAAAACGAACAAACCCAACGCAAAAAAAAGCTTGAAAAACGTGGTGCCTCGAACGAAAAATTGTCAAACGCGGGCAAGTACCTCTCACGTGACAATCCAGCCTTTTGACGTAGGAGTCGCAAGACTGCCGTTTTGCAGGGAACATCGTTGGACCTTTCGGCCTGTCAGCACCGCAGATGCGGTGCAATATCTGATGCTTGCCACAACATTGATAGCAGCCCCGACAGGGTCAAGGGCCACTCAATGGAGTTGGGGTATGAACCCATGTTGTACAAATACGGATAGATCGGGCGGGATGAATTTGTATTGTGGCGGGGAAGAGAACCCGAACCTTGAAGGCGTCAGAATATTGACGTGGGCAAGGGAACCCTGAGTCTTCATAGAGCAGTGTAGAAAGCAGTGGGAATGAGCATGTTTAATCCGAATATTCTGTGGGCGCCGGGGCCCTATTCTGGATTTCGATGGAGACAAGAGAGATCTTGTACCCCGCAACGCGCGCGTAGACCGACGCGTGAGACGGCGGGAGGGAGGAGAGGAGGAAGTAGAAGGGTAAGGCATGTTAAGTAAAGAAAAGGGTAAAAGAGTGAAAGGTGCAACGTCAACAAAGGACGCGACTAACAGGGGCCATACATAGAAGGCCAGCAAAAGAAGATGTTGAGGAAGAATGGACGATGAGTGAAGGTCGAGAGCAGTGGAAGGAACGACGGCTTTTTATAGTGGCTAGCTTCGAACTCAATCTGTTGCAAAAGGTGACACGGCAAGCGCGTCGTTTTATTGCCTAGAAATGTGCGTCATAAGCTAGCCACCTCGGGATTAGGGTAATATGCATTGGCCATGCATCTCGTCATTGACTCAAGTGTTGAGTTGAGCAAAAGAAAGCAACTCGCAGATTGTACTTGCTGCTGTAGCGTTTCATTAACCATGGTAAAACATCACCTGCCTTCGCGTCATCGAATGCATGCGGAGCATCAGCTGAAACGTACAACAGCCTCCAAAGCGACGCGCCCAACCCGCGCGCAACACCCCAGCGCGCCCCTCCAAGCTCGCCAAAGAACACGGCATAACCGCCGCGCAAGAAGCAGAGATCAGAGAAGCATTCGGCCTCTTCGCGATCCAGCACCCAAACTACGCGGATGCGAAAGAAGGAGTTCTGAGAAGAGATGATGTGCGACGGTGTCTCATGTACGATCCTCCTGCTCCTCTTTTTCCTGTCACGGCAACAAATGAAAGCCTTCAAAGGGGGGCCCACGGGACAGACTCAATGGCTGACGCAAATCATGATGTAACAGTTCCTTAAATCTTTCTCCATCCCGCGCCGAACTCCCCGAAATCTTATCTACTATCGACCCCCTCAACACGGGTGTCGTCGAGTTCATACCGTTCATATCCTACGCTGCTATCGCGATCCACTCCAAAGACGCTTCTTCCGACGACGATGACGATGATGACGAGGAGTACAACGATGATGGCGCACGACGGAACCATGGTGAAAGCGACGCACAGCAGGTCCAAGCAGCCTACCGCCTCTTCACGCACGGTGGCGCTGGACCGATTACACTCGACCACCTGCGCCGCGTCGCTCACGAGTTGAAGGAAGATGTACCAGACTCGGTGCTGATGGACATGATGTTGGAGGCGAATGGTGGCGTGAAAGGAAAAGGGAAGGAGAAGGATGTAGGTAGTGTGGGAATCGACGAGTTTGAGAGTGTGATGAAGAGGGCTGGTTTATCGTTCGGTTGATCTTGGGGTGGTGCTAGGGGGTGAGTATGATGCTACGACTGTTATGTGTATATTGTCGATGTTTGGATTTTTTGCGTTCTAGCGAACTGGCGTTCTTCGATTTTATGTGGGGGGGTTCTATATCTCACTCTTTGGCACGAAATCGTGCTAGTGGGACATGTCATGAAGAGGATTCATGGCCGGATGGCCCGAGAGAATCTACTGTCATATGAGACCTTCGTACATCATGAAGCTATCATGAGAGTGTCTACTATGCTTTCCAAATTCATCAAGGTCATATATCAATGACTTCATTCAAAAGATTTCCTCGAGACATCTACATCATAAACATAAACTTTGAAGCACGACTTTGATGAATCCATTCGCTATAAGCTACAACACACGCTCCCCCATAGATATAATGTACATCACACAGACAGACCCATGTGCCCAAGCTCCCATGTACACACACCACCATACAATCCCATTAGATCGCGGAATCGGGCAACACCATGTCGAGAGACTGTGCAAAAACTACAAGTACGCGTAGATGTAGTGGGCAATGTACCACCCCTCGACATACAGGTAAAGGAAAAGAGTAAAAGAAAGGAGATAATGCACACCCTCATGATTCGACATTGCCAAGAAACCACTTCCTTTCAGCGCACGTAGATATAAGACGGACAGGCAGGATTATCAACAAAAATTGGGTGTTTGAAAGAAGAAGGGTAAAAGGACAAAAAGCATCTAAAAAGACAGACACGCACACGCACGCACGCACTGCTCAATCGCCGAGCACGCTCTCCACATCAGCAGGGTTTTCCTCACCATCTTCTTCGTGTTCGTCCGCAACATCGCCGTTGGCTTGCTCGTCCGCGTCCGCCATCTCCTCGTCTTCGTTAGGTTGTTGCTCCTCCCCCTCCTGCTCCTCCTCGCTATCATCCTCAACAACAATCTCCTCGCTCTTCGCAGATTTCGCACCGGCCTTGGCGGCAGGCTGAGCTCTCTTGCCACCTCTACCTTTGACTTGCTTCTGCGCGTCAAGATGGCCCACGACCTCCTTCCACGTCGTCGACAACCTCGTCTTGTTCCTCTCCAGCCGCTTGCGCACGTCGTCGCCATCAGCATCGAGGGTGCCGCCGTGCACGGCTTGGACGAGGCGGCTACCAAATGTGCAGAGACGCTCCTCGGCAAGGAGGGTGCGGATCTGTTTTTGATTCTGGACTTGCTCATCTTCGGCCTCGTCTTCACTACTTTCCGGGTCTTCGTCAAGGTCCACAGGGTCGTCATCAATATCTGGCTCCTCGAGACGTTTGCGGAGTTGTTTGGCCAAGTTGTTCTCGAGAGCTGTCAGAGTCTGGAGGAGGAGTTTAACGGTGGAAAGGTCAATATCCTGACACAGGGCTTCCCAATCGTCGTTGAGATCTTGGGCATCGTCCGGGTTGTTCGACTTTGCCTTGGCGGTCTTCAGATAGCGGAAAGTCAGGTATAGGTCGAGTAATAGGTTTGCAGCATCGACTCTGAGCTCGTCGGCGCCCTTCCTGCTCTCAATGATAGCCATCAATCCTGTGACACAAGCGTCTCGTCGCTCCGCCACCGCTGTGAGCTCGTCATCGGGTATAGGCGTGCCTTCTGTAATATGCGTTGAAAAATTCCTACATTTCCATAGGAAATACAGAAGCATTAGAGACATGGTGTGGCGAACAAGCGCATCTTCCGCTTCGTCGACCTCGGGGTCGAGGTCTGCGCCTCCAACCCCCCGGTCGAGTATCTCGAGCAAAGATGTGATCGGAGGCGTTGTAAGCGGAGCACTTTTTTGTGACTTGCCGCGCGCCTTTGTCGAAGTTGCTACACGATCCAACACGGTCGGATCCGAAGCCTTTGCTAGTTCCGCCATCTTCAGTACAATGTTCGACACACCCGCTAATATATTTTGTTCTGTGTTGCCGCGAACGGAGAGATCTCTGCCACGCCGAAGTGCATCCAATGTGCCTGATAAGTCGTCCCACAATGTCTGTGTTTTGCGAGTAACAAGCTCTTTCAGTTCATCGTTTCCTTGTGCGTGCAAAATAGAATTAATCGCTTCAGTAAGGACGCGCTCATTGTGATGGGTCAAGAACTGCTTGTTGATATCATCGAGCAATGCTGTCAATGCAGTGTTCTGTCGTAATTCCGAGAATACTTCGAGATTGAGCTCCCGTTCAAGACGCAGACATAGTGCGGCGGCCTCGGGTAGGGCGCCGAACTTTTTGAGTAGTTGAGGAATTAACACGGTGAGTCGTTTCGCCATATCCTCCTGTTCCGCCTGACTTGTGTCTCGTTGTGCTTTTGTCTTTTTCTTGTCTCCCTGAGCTTCGGCCAGATGTTGCAGCCGCAGCCTAACGGAAGCACCCAGAATATCGAGGAGAGCAGTTTCTTCGTGTTCTTCGAGTTTGCAATTCACTCGGAGAAGTGATTCGGCATCCTCACCAGTGGCATCAGAGTCTGTTTGGGAATGATCGAATAACAGGTAGCCTGCTAATACCTCCCAATCTCTGACCTCTGGAATCGCTTCGTACAGAGCTTGAGCAGCCAGAGAAAATCTTGACTCGACCCCAACAGCAATCAGGTTCAACTCAGAGCCGTACGGTGTAATGCGTTCCATCTGTGAAGGCAACCCTGTATCTTCATCGTATGAAATCAACTGCTGAACAAGACACTTCATCTTCAACCATTCCAAGCGAGGATTTTCGTACTCTTCGCCATCATCTGACGGGTTTAGCGCTTCGTCCAGAGCCTCTTGACCGCCCATATCGTCGATGAGAAGCTCGTAAGCAGAATTGGTGTTTTCAGCAAAGAAACTCACGACAGCCTTGCGCACTTTGGGCTCCGAGTCGAATATGAGCTTCCCGACTGCATCGATATCGTCGGGTTCTAAGAATCCTGCGTCTCGGAGGAGGTCTAGAAGTTCGACAGCAGTTGCACGAATGTTAGTTTGAGCATCTCGTGTGGCAATCTCCACCATACGAGGACGGAAACGCTCTGTGAAGGACTTCAATCCCGCAAGCATGTCTTGATCGCGATACAACTTGGTGAGCTGCTTGACATCTTCGGCACGAACAGCATCGTTCGGGTCGGAAAGCATCCAGCCGAAATACCGCAGGTGCTCGCCATCAAAGAAGTGGTCCGGGAAAGTGATTAGCCACTCCGCTAAAGATTGAAAACACTCGACTCGGATCTTGGGGTCTATGTCTCGGTATCTGTGGGTGTACACAGTGTCGAACCAGTCCACAATGCGCGCTTTGACAAAATCCAACGTCTCCCCCAGCTCAGCAACCTCTTGATCGAGTGCAGCTAGGCGTGATTTATTGGCACGAGCTTTCTTTCCTTCGGTCTGTCTCTGGCGAAGCTTTTTAGCGGCGTTCTCCACCAGGTCATTTGCCACCCTGGTTAAACCAGTGATGACGCCTAAGCAAAACACGGTACTAGTATGACGCAATGGACGATTGGTAGCCGATGCCAATGTGGTAGACCACACTTGTACATTCTCCATCAGCGAGTTCTCAAGGTACATGTGTCCGGTCTGGGCGATTATCTGCGTAAATGCCACGGCGAAGTCGTAGAGAGTGTTACGAAACGTGGTATGGCCTCGTTTCGCAATAAGAGGATATTCCGAGACATCTTCCTGCTTGGTGTTAGCCAGTGCAATCCAAACTGCTTCCAGATATGCTTACCTGCTGGTATTCGTCCTGGATTTCACCCAAGCGAGGGGCACAATTGTCTGGGTCGAGAATGTCGTCTCTATCAATTTTGGCGTGGCAACCAGCTGCTCGGATGATGAAGGTCGGGATTTCGGCCACAGCTGTCGCCTCGTCTTCCGCGAATCTTTCAAGCCATTGCGCGCAAACGTCCTCTGGCCGGGTTCCGTGCGCGAAGATATGGGCTACATAATCAAGTCAATTGCTAGTACTAAGCCTCTCCGGGGAGCTACAAGCTTACCGTACAATCCATCAGCATCGTCGTCGGCGACAGCGCTCTTGCGAACAGGCGCTTTTCGGGGCTTCGCCGCCTTCTTTCTTGCGCTGGTACCCGGTCGCAAGGGAAGGCTCAATTCGCCATTGGTTTTTGGTTTCTTCTGCGGTGGCTTTTTTGCGCCGGGTCGATTCTTCTTTGAGCGACGGCGGCGTTCTTTCAACTCTTCCTCGTCGGGCTCGCTTTCGTTGCTCTCAGATGATTCATCTTCAGATGGTGGCGACTCTCCATCAACATCACTGTCGGCGTCCTCGGGACGTTTGCGCTTGGAGGTGCCGTTTGGGCTTGATCTGGGTGTGAATTTCTCGGGCTTCTTGACTACGCGTCCGGATCTGCGCCGCGGCGCCGCTGGGGACGTGATGTCGGCGGCTTCAGACGATAAAACCTCTGCGCTCATGATGGCGGCGCAACAGAGCTTTGGAAAAGTGTAGAAAAAGAGGTGGGTGCGCGGTCACGCCGAATAGCGCGTTGTTGGTGGGTGGTGATCTGATGTTGTGTAAGTAGCTATGCGCGGGACGCGTTGGAGTGCAACCGCCAGTTTGCCAAGGCGGCCCGCCCCATCAATCCATATTCTCTACTATGCCATCATCACCCCGGTCTTAACTCAGCATCAAACACGCATCACTGCGAGCATTGTCCATCGCGGGGGTATTTCTTGGGTGAGCGATTTGCTGCTTGTTTTCTGTCAAGACGGAATATGCCATTCTTGCAGGAAAATAAACAGCTAACTCGTTGATCTCTCATTTCTGCTCCATTTCTACAGCCTGCTTAATGAAATCTTTCACCGTCGCCTGAAAACTCCGGTATCTCAACCCCAGGTCTTTCGCTGCAGTCTCTCCATCCAAATCATGACTTTCGTCAATAGTCTGTGTCTCCCCTTTCGCCACTCTCTTTTCGCCCCAATCAAACTCTGCGCGCACGATATCTGCGACTTTGCTATATGAAAACTTCTCCGGGCTTGCGACCGTGAATCTACTCCCTCCTACTTCAGGCCTCAACAATGCCTCCACATGTGCGACAGCGAGATCTCGAACGTCTACCCAGAAGGGTACCCGAGCAACAGGTAGATCCTGTCCGCTGGCTACTTTCCAGAGAGTATTGTTCGACTCGTTCAACTTATCGATATTCGCGACGGGATGGGATACCGGGCCAAATGTCATTGGTGGGCACAAAGTAACAAGGTCGAAAGCTGGGTTATGTCTTTTGATAAAGTCCCAGGCTTCCAATTCGGCAAATTTCTTCGATCCCCTATATGCGACCACAGCACTGGTTTCTTTGGCTATCGACTCTTCGTATGATAGTGGGTTCCAGTCCGCTGCCGTATATGTGAAGTGAGGTGGGCTTTTGCGATTTGCATCTAAGACCGATGCGAAGGAAGATGTGATGACCACTCTCTTCACATCTAGGTTTGCACCTGCTGCCTCCATGACTGCTCTGACACCCGCAATGGCCGGTTTAACAAGCTGAATCTCGTTGTCCTGTGCAGTATAGTCCAAAGGGCTAGCGACGTGGATTATGCCATCCAAATCTTTGACCGCATCTTTGAAGGACACTGCTTGTGAGAAGTCGGCAATCTGGACGATTTGAAGCCGATCTCCGTAATACAATCTTGCATCTTTCAGTAGTTTGCCTTTCCCCGGGTCTCTGGTTGCAGCGCGTACTACGTGTCCACGGCGAAGGAGTTCGTCGACAACATGAGCTCCAATGAATCCCGTAGCACCTGTGACCAGCACCTTTCGAGGAGGACCCGACATGACCGATTCTTGAGATTGAAACGTAGTGTGGTTGAGTGGTTCTCCCATGGAGTATTCATGTTGAGACAGTGCGACGTCTCGAGAGCTTCGGCGGGGCGAATCGCATGGGGTTGATCGGCATTTAGCAGGGCCTCAATTCATGGTCCGATTGGATATAGGGCGACAGGGGACTGTGTACCTACATCACTTTTGCATGTCTTGGACATGTTTACTCGCAACACGTACACACATGTCAACCCGTAGTTTGGGGAGTCATCGCTGATTCTCGAGACTCTCTTTTTTGTTCTGCTCGCTATACTTGCTATAAAGGTTTGACCTGCACGGATCAATCCTAACAGTTTCTCGGTACGTCTGGAATGCCACTCTTTTGGACCAAGATGCAATCCACATCACACATGCACGAAGGAATGAAGTCCAGACTTCTCCAAGACTCGTGTCTGCACCGTCGACCCAATGAACAAGTAGGAGCCGCAACTGTAACACGAGCCCTACCACAAGAAGCGCATTGATCCCCACGTGTAATTCACTGCTAGTCACCTAGGAGTAACGCAGCGCGGTCCTTTTCTTTCAACGGGTTCATACGCTACTGTCTTACCGCTCCCCAATCATTGAATCTCACCTCGCTCTACCTACTACCCCGAATCAGAAAGAAAACCCGATTCAATGCCCAACTAACCCAATCACACCCACCCGAGAAGAAAAAGCATGCTCCATTACTTGACTCAATCTACTTCGTGCACTATGCGTGAAAATTAGCATAAATTCTCTGAAGTTTTCTTCGCACGTGCATAACTGAATTTCTCGCGGTTGGTTGCACGGCTACATCATGTACTGCCTACATATCAGCACACGTTTGTTCACACGTACGTCTCCATTTTTAATCGTGTTGTATGACCAGGGCGTAGGCGGTGAAGGTTTGAATAGGAGAATGGAGGACGAAGGTGCAATATGAGGTGCTCGGTACCCTATTGCGTGATCAAGGCGTGCTTGTACGTTAGGTACCTAGGTACCTATGTACCTGCCCCATAGACTTGTCCTCACAAAATCAAAACGGCCTTTGTCATTGTGGGATTTTCCACCACACACCCTCGTATTCATTTTTACTCTATACTGCTATTGTAGAAACACAATACTTCTTTCGAACCACAAGGACTCTTGTTCAATTGTGGGCGTGAGATAATCGTAACCACTCACTTGGGATTTCCAACGGAACGAGGAACCAAATTTGGTACTAAGGACACGATTTTTTTTTATTCCCACCAAAAACATCAATTGAGGGAATCAAAGCAGCAAAATTTACAAGAACACCATCTACCACCATCACCATGGCCCCAGGACCCAACCTCGCCATCCTGGCCCACGAAAACACCCATCCAAACACAGACCCACTACCCTCCAAAACAGCTTCAACAAAACCCAAGCCCACGACAACTACACAGAAAGGAACCAAAGTCCTCCACCCATCTCTAATAACAACCGAATTCGACCTCCTCCGCTTCTCAGCCGCGGCAGCACAACAGCTCTCCACTCCCACGCATGTCCTAACCAACCAAAACGACGAAAGCAACACTGAAGACCTCTACTCCCCCCTCCTCATCTCCTCTCCCTACAACAGCCCTTCCCACTACCTCGACCTCACAACGCTCACCACACCCTCCCTGATCTTCGCAAAAGCCCTAACGGCCCTCAAACCCCTCCGCGAAGACTACGCCACAGCGCCCTACACTTCCTCGCTAAACTTCTCATCCACCATCCTCCCCCTCGTCCGGGAACTAGCGGCCGCCGAGCGCTTCGAGTGGAAAGAGCAGAGTTTCTATGTCGTGATTTTCCGCTCGAAACTGCAGGACGGCATCGATGGCGAGTGGCTCTACAAGCTCGATTTCGAGAGCCACAGGGAGGCTTGTGAGAGTGGCGGGCTGTTGAAGTACTGGTTTGGAAAGGCAGATGCAGGAAGGAGGAATCTAGCAACTTGTCAGTCTTTCCACTCCCTTCTTTTCCCCATTGATTTGCAAAAATAGTTTTTTTGCGAGTATAGGTATAAAGCGGAGGACTTTGAGTGCGCTGCGTTGAGAGAATGAGATGCTGACTCCTGATTTTGTGTGATTGATTAGGTTTCTGGCACTCGCGCGATGATGCTCGGAAAGGTGGTTTGGGGCCCTGGCATGCAAAAGCCAGAGCTGCTGGAAGGTCGCTGTACGAGTACATCAACTTCTCAACACACTGGTTCACGATCTTAGATGGCGCCGAGGACTTCCGGTTCGAGGACTGGACGGAGTGATAGAGTAATGCGGCGGCGGCGGGTTTCTAGCCTGTGATGGTGGAGAATGCGTCGGATCGTGGGGGTAGGGAGGTGTGACGATGAGCTTTCGCAGGGGCAATGGTAATGAATGTTCGAAATGGCTCTGGAACTCGAAATTTCTTTTTCGGCGTCTCACTGCCTGTCGGTACGACGATGTCAGGTCGTAACTCGGTTCTCGAAAATCCTCTGCATTGGAGTTTGGAGTATGGAGTAAAAGTGGAATTGATATCTTGTACGTTGGATTGACGGTTTCTAGAGAACGTTAAGATGAAGACGACCAAGCAAAATGCTTCAATGGATCATAGAAAGAAAGACAAAATCTCCCCTGGGTATGGATACAAGGTGAGGAATTCTAGTGGAGAAATACATATCACTTCCCCCAATGCGTACGAATGTCAATCTGCTTCTTTGTCACTTTAAGATCTCCCGCGAAGGGACTTTTGTTGGTATATGGTTTTGATAGGGAAGAATCTAACCATAAACGAATTGCACATACAGAACACGAGCCAGAGTTTTACATCTCGTTCTAATCAATGAGCTCGCGCCTGTCCAAATGACAGTAACCAATCAATAGATGGTTGTATTGAAGGGACTATATCGTCGAATCCAGTCAGTGGCTTCGCCATATGCCCCAACGGCTTCGCCGTATTCCTCCAGGCAGCACTCAAAGGGCAGGTTATTCAGTTGAAGTTGAGGATCATCCGTAGATAATGGGAGCCGGATTTTCTTCTCTTTCCAAAGTGCGATTTTGCGCTCTTGAAGATTACCCCACATGATAAACATCTTCTCCTCCAATTTATGTAGGATATTCGGGTTATTCGCTAGGCTAGATTGTTGTGTTAGCATGTTTATCGCCCAAAAAAAGGCGTGAAAAGGATGGAAACCTACTCGCACGCATCCATTTGGAGCAGATTTTGGCCTTGAGCGTTACCAAAGAGAAGAGGAATTCGCTCTTTCTCGTTTCTCGCAGGTGTGGCACCATCTTCCACCAAAAGAACAAAGTCCCATTCCCACTTATGACGTGATTTCTGTCGTTGTTCAGGCGTCGCTTTGGTGTTGAAGTTGGCATCACCCAGGTTCTTCGAGAATTGTGTGAGGTCCATTGGCCAGAAGTCGACGATACGGAGGTGGACACGGTATCTGCAATTGACAAACGGCATTCTGAGAAAACCATCGTCAGTCCACCGTTCGCGAGCTTTGTTGTGTACGATTTCTTTCACTGTGGACAGCGCGTGTTCGCTGTTTCCCGCGCGGACTGGATACAAGTTAACAAAGATTCAAATGATCATTCTAGCGGAGCCATACCGTTGTTGTTAAGCCCTGCTTGATTCATCTCCTGCCTTCTCACTCTTGCCTCAAGTTCTTGCTGTTCTAATTCCTTCTGTAGCTTGTTCCGTTGCTTCTTCTCTTCCTTTTTCGTAGATTTTGTGGATGGTTTCACCGACGGCTTCGATGGCAGGGGTTGAGGTACAAGAGCTGGGGATGAATCGCGGTTCATCTGATAAGCCCTTTTGCGCTGTTTCACAGCATCTAGTTGTGTCGGATCCGCACACTTGAACACGCATCTCCTGTTGGGATATTTGGTATCCTGGTTCAAAGTGCCTTCCATGATGTTTTGTGGGGATATTTTGATCCGGACATTCTGGAGGTAAGCAATATCCCCCTCTTGAAGTGACTCCTGGGCAGCATCAGCGTGGTCATCCCATAAGTGAACCATGAGTGTCAATTGCCCGTAAGGACCGGGCCACTTCTGGGCTACTTGGTTTCCGTATCCCTCTGCCATGATGTGATCCTTAGGATCCGGGTAGTGATATAGATGTGCGTTTTCAGTATAGTCCGTGATATAAAGATCCGTTCCTCTCTCACTGAAAATCTTGACTACCTCCCCCACAAGGTTATAAAACTTCATGGGCTCGATATCCCGGATGAGGACCTGCTTCTTCTTGTTAAAAGATGATCTGTTGGGAGTGGAATTGCTCTGGTATGGGTTTGGGTATGGATATGGGTTGCGTGAATTAAGAGCACTTTTGGGCCCAGTAGGAATTGTAGCGGTGGTTTGGCGTTTAAACATGGGAAGATAAGCAGCAACAGAGGCTTTCATATCGATGGCAGCGGCTTGCTCGCTTGGGGTGGGGCCTTTGGAATCCAGCATGGCCTCAAAACCAAGCTTCGATGTTCCACCTTGTATGAAAGGTGTGCCCATTGTTGGAGAAGGGATATTATGAGCAGGAATGAACGTGACCTCCGACGCCAAGTAAGCAGCATTAGTAGCAAGTGGCTGTCCGTTGTATTCAATCATCCTCATCTTTCTTAGAATGGCAATATCCCCTACGGCTCCCTTGGGAAGGCGTGCTTCCGAGCCTCGTTTGAGTCGACATTTCAAGCGTGACTGAGCATCAGGATTTGCGGAGAAGTGATCTTGAATGGCGAATTCGAGCGTATACTGGGGGTCCTTATCTTTTTGGATAATGATGTGAGGAGGGTTTATTTCTACAATGACCCCCAGGAAGGAACCGCCGTCCTTGACCGATTTTGCATCTTTGATGGGGCTGAAGCCAGACAAACCGCTAGCCATGCTACTGCGGCGACCAGGCTGATGGGGGTCCGTAAGAGGCTAGCGCTGAAATGAAGTATGTAAGGTGTAGGTGAGAGAGCTGGGGGGATCGAGCAGGGGTTTTGGCTGGCGGACAGTTTGCCGCTGATCTGAAAGGTCTGGCATTCAATGTTTGGATTGGTAACAGGCAGGCAGCAATCGAAGTCGTGGAAACCAACGAGTGCAACCGTCGCGTCGTCGCGTAGGGAACAATCGTTTGGTACGGTTTGCCAAGGCAATTAAGCCAAACGGGATTAGCGTGAGCACGCTCTTACCGTTTCCGCCAGCCTTTTCAACTCCCCTGCCCCACGACCGACCGAAGTTTATAATCCCCCCTCCAAAACAATACCCACCCTCCCTCGACACATAAAACAACACACCCTCTCCCACCGTGAGTCAGCCATCACACCGTCAACCACAACCATGGCCGACAAGTACATCCCGGAGCATCGCCGCACCACCTTCAAGGCGAAGGGCGCTTTCAAGCCTGACGAGCTCCGCCGTCGCCGCGAGGAGCAGCAGGTTGAGATCCGCCGGGCGAAGCGTGATGAGAATCTTGCAAAGCGACGAGGCATCGCTGGCCGCGACCAGCCCGGTGCCTCTCTGGGTGCCGCCCCCGACAGCGACGATGAGGGAGGCAACATCGAGAGCCAGGTTAGTTACCCCTCCTCTCGCCCTGTGTCCTGCACATCGCCCTCCAGTTTGTTTGTATGTGTCGTTAACAGTATGCGCTAGTTGAACGAGGAGCTCCCTCAGATGGTCAAAGGTGTCTTCTCTGAGCAGATCGACGAGCAAATCCAGGCCACCACCAAGTTCCGGAAACTTCTGTCCAAGGAGCGCAACCCCCCCATTGAGCGTGTCATCGAGACGGGCGTCGTGAGCAGATTTGTCGAGTTCCTCCGATCGCCACACACTCTGGTACAATTTGAAGCCGCATGGGCTCTCACTAACATCGCCTCGGGCTCTGCTCAGCAGACCCAGGTTGTCATTGAGGCTGGCGCCGTCCCCATTTTCTGCGAACTGCTCAGCAGCCACGAGCCCGATGTTCGGGAGCAGGCCGTTTGGGCTCTCGGCAACATTGCTGGTGATAGCCCCGCTTGCCGTGACTTTGTTCTCCAAGCTGGCGCCCTTCGTCCCCTGCTTACCCTCTTGGGCGACAGCCGCAAGCTGAGCATGCTCAGGAACGCTACGTGGACTCTCAGCAACTTCTGCCGTGGAAAGACGCCCCAGCCCGACTGGCAGACTGTGAGTACATCCTCTCCGAACAGAGCTGGGCACACCACTGACTCTTGGCAGATCCAACCCGCTCTTCCTGTCCTCGCCAAGCTCGTCTTCTCTCTTGACGATGAAGTCCTCATCGACGCCTGTTGGGCCATCTCATACCTTTCTGACGGATCCAACGACAAGATCCAGGCTGTCATTGAGGCAGGCATCCCTCGCCGTCTTGTGGAGCTTCTTATGCATGCTTCCACTTCCGTCCAAACACCCGCTCTCCGTTCCGTTGGTAATATCGTGACCGGCGACGATGTTCAGACACAGATCATCATCAACTGCGGTGCCCTTCCTGCTTTGTTGTCTCTCCTCAGCTCCACCAAGGATGGCATCCGTAAGGAAGCATGCTGGACCATCTCCAACATCACCGCTGGCAACTCCACACAAATCCAGTCTGTGATCGATGCGAACATCATTCCTCCTCTGATCCACTTGCTCCAGAACGGAGACTTCAAGACGAGGAAGGAGGCATGCTGGGCCATCTCCAACGCTACTTCCGGAGGTCTCCAAAAGCCAGCACAGATCCGATACCTTGTCTCGAGTGGCTGCATTAGGCCACTCTGCGATCTCCTCGCCTGCCCCGACAACAAGATCATCCAAGTCGCTCTCGATGGTCTTGAGAACATCTTGAAGGTTGGTGAGATGGACAAGGAGTCCAACGCCGAGTCTGGTGAACCTATCAACCGCTATGCTCTTTTCATCGAGGAAGTCGGCGGCATGGAGAAGATCCACGATTGCCAGAACAATGCCAACGAGGACATCTACATGAAGGCATACAACATCATCGAGAAGTACTTCTCTGATGAAGAAGGCGAGGCGGAGAACATGGCCGAGACTGGTCCTCAGGTCACGCAAGATGGTCACTTCGGCTTTGGCGCCCCGCAAACCCAGCAACAGCAGAACTTCAACTTCGCTAACGGTGGCGACTCAATGGACATGTGAGGTAGCTCACCCAGTTTGGTTGCTTGTAGTAAAAGTTCTTGCGTTCCCGCCTCCACGGCCCCCCAAAGAGTCCTGCCCTACTGCCTTACGTCTCCCAGAATGGGACTGCCAGGAGACGAAGTCTACACGATTTAATAGATGACCCTTTCCCAATACCAGCATGCCGTGTTTCGACGGAAATGCAATCCATTGCCCTTTCCAGATATATTTTACCCCCGAGTTGATGACTTTCCGTCCTGTTTATTATGATAGCATAGTACGATACACCGTCTTGTAACCCCTATGAATTATCCGCATCATATCCCCGGCGTTGTTTGCGAGTTTGTCACCCCCTTTTTCTTTTTCTGGCGGCCACTGGGGCCGATAAGGATTGTGGATGGTGTGAAATGGGTTATCTATGGCAGGGCTTTGTGCAATCGGGTGGATCATTGAGCGAGGCGGTCAAGTGTCTGTCATTCTTGTGCGATTGATCTCGTCGATACACATGATCAGATAATAATGCACCTTATCACATTTATTCATACTTTCTGCCTGGTCTCTGGGTCATGATGTTCCTAGCTTCAAAAGTATATTATCATCGTGATTAACTCGTGCTTGATCTCGTACCCCACAGGGCATCCATGTCTCCTTTGCCCTAGGAGAGATTGTATACCTAACTGGAGAGGCAGATACAACATTCAATCAGATAGAAAGTGCACCCGCGGATACAGAACCTCGAAAATGGTCACTATTATGGCGACGGAATGCATCCGGGTTCAGTACCTGTTTACAAGTGGGTATTATGCCGAACGTCTTGGCGACGTCATCTCGCAACCCCCACTCCACCCACCCGCGTCGAGTGATCGGGACATGCGTGCTTTCTGCGTGGGGGCTTTAGCTGTCTTCGTCTCGGGCAAACAGTGCAGACGTCTTGTAAATATGAATTCTCCATCGCCAGACCTCATCATGGGAAGCATCTTGAGTAGGTTGCTGGCCCAAATCGACTCACCATTCTAGACATGAATGGCGCAATCTCACCGCTCTGACCGTTTGCCAAACCTCATCACCTTCACTTTCAACACAAGCATCTCTGGAGTCATCAAAAATCGAAACTTCGGCGCATAATTTGAACTCTTCGCTGGTCTGCGACTTTTGTTTAAACGCGAGGCCTAGCATTTATTTTGAAGATTGGCACCATGTGTAGATTCATGGTCAGTACCTGGTGTCGCGTGCAGGCAAAGTAACACATTTGCTCATAAAAGCAGGTGTATAAAGGCACAGATGAGATTCTACTCTCAGATCTTATTCTTAACCCCACACATTCTATCCTTACTCAATCATTCGACTCGCGACTCCGACTAGTACGTCCTTCAGCATCCTCCTTTCCTTTGACTATATGACTGTTCGGTCCCATTGACATCTCAAAGGACACAAGGCGCCCCCATAACGGTGATGGCTTTGGTATCGGGTACTATACGTCGCCCTCATTGGGACCAGAGCCCTGCGTCTTTACTTCTACTATTCCCGCTTGGAATTGCATAAACCTATCGCGAATCGCCTCGAAGACCACTTCGTCCCTCATTTTCGCCCACGTCCGCGCCACCACCGAAGGCAACCTGTCCGATTCCAACTGTCATCCCTTCACATACAAGTCTCTCATGTTCATGCATAATGGCGGAATTGGGTCGTTCCGGCGCATCAAGCGCAAGCTTGCCCTGGGGTTGAACGAACAGTGGTTCACATTAGTACAAGGATCCACGGACTCGGAATGGGCATTTGCGACGTTCCTCGACTGTTTAGACAAAGCAGGACACAACCCGGACAAAGAAGGAGGGTTTGGACATACAGTGCTCAGGAAGGCAATATTGAAGACAATTGAGAGAATCAATGCATTGATCAAGGAAGTTGTTGGCACAGACGGAGCTGGCGAAGAGGATAGCAGAAGTCTTCTCAATTTCGCCGTCACCGATGGAGAAAGCGTGGTATGCACGCGGTACGTGAGCAGCAAGACGGACGAAGCGGCCAGCCTGTTCTGGAGCAGCGGGACTAGCTGGAAGGAATCCAAGAGCAGCGAGAAGCCATCCACCCCTTCGCCCGATCCAAGCCAGAAAGACTACATTATGGAACGAAGGGACAAAGGATCTGATATTGTGCTCGTCGCTAGCGAGCCACTTACTTTCGAGCGAGGTATATCAATTTCTTTTCCTTTTCGCAACCCAACACATACTAACGATCAATAGATAATTGGGTTACTGTACCTACTAACTCCACCCTCACGATTCACAAGCAAACCGTCATGATCCATCCCATCATCGATGAGTTCTACAGCGCCAACCCCGCACATGCGCGCTCCGCTGGTTTCGCACAAGCCAAAGGACAGACCATTACGGGGCCAGATAAACGTGTACTCCCGCAGCCCGTGAACAGAAGCCGTGGCGAGGGAGGCCTGACAGGTAGTGATAACGGGAGTCCGTTTCGGAGTGAGGAGGTGGTGAGCGGCGCTATCACGAGATTGAAAGTAAGCTGAGCAGTGTGTGAGCGCTGATTTGCATAGCTGCAGGTACCCGAAATGGTGAGTGAGAGCATGTCATGGCAAGACTTATGTGCCCTATGTAGACTTGCCACGCATTTCTCAGAAAGTTTGATCTTCCGCGTGGATTTTATGTCATTGTATCGTTCTTGACGTGTTGCATCCAAATATATAAAACGCTCTGAATCTTAATCCATGACTTTTATGTACATTCTATCGATTTTTACGTGCTGAGTGAGCACTGAAGTCATTCCAGGATCAACTATATCTTTGTAGGTAAGTGCATACCATAATTTACGTCTAAGTTCATGTATGGATTCAACGAGCTACTTCGGCTCGATCATCTCTGCATGAGCAAGCGCACCACCAGCAGTTCGTCCTGGAATGCTCAACGAAGACTGATACAACTCAAGTTGACAATCAGCAGGTAGTGAGTCCCATGTTTGATCGAGATTGGCATAAGAGTCTTTTGATTTGCTAGATATAGATGTGTATCACTGCGATCAATGAGATGTTGTGCAAACACTCGGTGTATAATTTCGTGCGCCGAGGTTTATTCTTTTACTCTTAGATAAGATTGATTGGGGGGGTTGCTTTTTAATGAGAAGCTGAAGTGTTTCCTACACTTAAAAGGCTGATAAAATAAGGTAACAAAAGTGGGCGGTGACAAAAAAGTTCGCACAAGCAGTTTTGCTTTCGGCACCGGGCCAGGGTGCAACACCCAAAGGTTGATATGATTTGGTGCTGGATTCCTTAGTGGAACCACCATTTCACCGTCCATGATCCCATGAACATAAGCGTCTCCCACGAACTCATGTTTCACGAATTGGGTATTGTCGTCGGAAACAAGTTCCACTGGTTTGGGTCTCAAAGTAAAAGGCACCCGACCACCGAACAGCACCCAAACTTCATCGCCTTGCTGGATAGTAGGGGGCCCAAGCCCAATATACCCGTTCCGTGTGATGAAGAATGCTTGATTCACAACCATATCACGTAGCGAAAGGTAAAGATTATTTTGAGACTTAGCTAAACGAAAATCGTTATACTGTTCGCGGTGTGCCGAAATTGCTCTGCGATACGGGGGTTTGTTAATGATGATATCTCCAAGCATGGTTCTCCAAAATGCATCATTCCACGTGATGGAATCTTTGGGATATAGTGGAGTAGCGCTTTGCGATACGTGTCGGGTGAGCATCTCTTCCCATTCTGAGATAATGCTGTTGAGTTGGATGTGACTTAGATCACCCAACTCTGCTTCGGTAACGACATTGCCAACTTTTGTAATGGTATCCACCTGTACCCCAACGACTGATAGAATAGTTTCGTTCTGAAGCGAGTTGAGTTCAAGCCGTTTCATACCATCAGCTCTGAACAATTCGTATCGGTACGAGTGACCCCACCACATCCGCCACTGCCTGGTACTGTCCGGATATTGAACCAAATCAAGAGCCCATGTTGGCAGATTCTGGGTCATTTGTGGTTCTCCTCTCCTGCCGATCAATGGTCTCAGACCCTTCTCTTCGCGAATCATGTCTAGTGTGACCCGGGTGTAGACCGTACTCACTGGAGACTCATAGTCGCAAGAATGGATACTAGGAAATGGTGCGCTCGGGAAAAGCCCCAGGAGAGCATAGACCTTATCCAAAGGCTCACTAGCATCGCGGTATCGCCATCGTTGGAGAGCACTCAAAGCCTCCTCCCCAGTTTTCGCGACTTCCAACCCGAGAACAAGAGTCGTGAAAGTGTGCAGGATGACACGGAACTGCCAGAAGTGAGGGAACGATCGTAACTCTTTGGAGAAATAGCCTCTATTTGCGTTCTGTGCTGCCATTTTTACTTGTACAAATGCTACACAGAACGGACCCCAGATGATGGTCAATTGGGGAGGGAGAACTGCTTCTTGCACGGTCCAGATACGCGACCACCACGAATTAAGTACCAAGCTTCTGAGAGCTTTAAGGACTCCTTCGAATGCAGCGTCTGAAGAAAGTGTTGACGGTATCTCACAATCTGGAAGACCCTCGACCGCGAGCCAATTGACAACATCTATTGCCGCTGACACATCATTCATCGTGAACCCTTCTGATTCCTCATCAATCTCCCCCAACCAGATGAGGCATTCGGTACAGCCTCTATAGATATCGCGCATCAGCCCCACCTGTTGAGCCTTCTCACTTTGATCCCATTGCGAGATGCAAAGCTGATCGATCCACAGCCGCCTCCTTGCCGTAGGATGGCGAAGACGGAGAAGAGCACTCTCCAGGTTCGGCGTGACCTTGCGTTCAAATCCATCAACGATCACGATCTTGTTGTGGTCTTGACGGCCCCAGACGTAGGAGAGGGCTTCGTATTGTTCGCTATCGGCGAGGGAGACTGGTATAAGCTCGGATTCGACAGGCCCGCTTTCCCCTGGCAGAAGTTCTAAGGCTCGGATCATGCCATTTGGGAGTAGATGAGGTAGAGTGTCTTTTGGTGGGAAGGAATTCCCCGAACGAGCCTTATCGTCAGGCGGTTCTATTCTGCCTTCGGGGGACTGGTTGGGAGTTTTGGAGGAACTATGCGGACTTCCGGTCTCGTTGGAAACTTTGCGGGGATTGACTGCGCATTTGATGTAGTGACGTATACGACGTCCCAACGATCTAGTGGAGACGTACGGATTTGAAATGTGGTGTAGAGGTTGAAGAACAGAACCATGGTACGCTCGTCGCCCTCTGCTATAAGAGCTATCTTTGGGGGGATACATCATGAGAGGAGAATGGCGATGTTTGATCTAGATCAACTCTTCCCACAGAGTTTTTGTTGGTATAGCATCCTGAAGTATGGGCCTCGAGGTCAGCCTTGACAGTGCTCGTAGGCGCAGCACACGAGGCTGTGTTTATAAGGATATGCAAGAGGTCTGGCCAGCCAATCAATAGACGCAATTTGATACCTCGTATTTGGGTAGCGACGTGACATGCGCGCATAGTACGGGGTACCCTTCATGACCTTTTGTTCATTATTCTTTTAATGGGGCTCCGGAGGCCTACAAGTAATCTACTGCGTTTCTATAGGTTCAAAATCGCATCCCATGCTAATATATACATTCAACCAGCCTTCCCCATAACCAAATTACCCCTTCCTGCCCATCGCTATCCTGACTTTATACAGCCCCCATAAGTGCAACCAACCCCCCAATCACCAGCCCACCGAGCCCTCCTTCAACCCTCGTCCCCGCATTCCCGTCCGCAGGCGCCGCACTACTCGAACTCGGCGCCTCGCTCTGCGTGCTGCTAGTACTCTGCGTACTTGTTGTCACACTCGCATCCGTCCTCGTGTTAGGGACCCCTTCGGTCACAGGCGGACCACTACCACCTGGGAAGATGACCAGGGGAGACGAGGTGGATTCACTCAAAGATGCAAGTGAGGAGACTGAAGGAGAGTTGGAAGAGGAAGCTGATGGGATCGGTCCGTCATAAGCGCTGAATGTGACGGAGGGTTCTGCGGGGGGCGCGAGGGTTGGGTTCGTGGTGGGTTTGTCGTCGAAGCGGGGTGCGGTGTTTGAATCGAATATGGGGATTGTTACGGGTTCTGGAGAGGAATTGTGTTAGTTTTTACATTTCGTTTGCGACTGGTGGAGAAGACTGGGACATTTTTGGAAATCGAAAGGAACTCGGGGACTTACGGCCACTCCATGTGACTACGGTTTCTGATCCTGTTGGTTTGACAGCGGTGTTCTCGTCATTTTGTTGCGCGTAGGCGGCAGCTGTCGCTACAGAGAGGATGAAGAGGTATGTGGATCTCATAACTTGTGACGGATTTCGGTGGTTTGATTGTTTGCGCGCGAATGGAGGATTCGTTTCTATGCGTAATGCGATGGTCGTTCAGGTGGGAAATGGTACCAATATATAAAAGTGAAGGCAGACCACGAGATCTGAGAACTGCAAGCCAACCAAAACAAGGAAACTGAGAATGGAGAAAGAAGAACAAAGAATAGAATTTTGCAAACAATGATAGGATGCGCTGGTAAAACCTGGCGACGTCAGCTGCTCACTACCCACTGCCTTGTTGTTCAAACTATCGAAAACTATTATTGAACATCGACTAGGCGATTGGGAGGAAGAACGAAGGAATGGATCCAAGGACCAGTCGTAGCCTCTCAATAGGATATGGCAATAGATTCACGCGGGGCCCCGTTCCCTTTTTAACGGGGATCAACGCGACTGTGCTCACTAGGGGCGGTTAACGGGGCATGAAACAAAGGGCCTTGTCCATTATTGTTTGCTGACAGCCCCGTCCAGTAGTGAACGAGCGACGAGTTGCTGAAAGTCGCTTAGAAGAGGCGCGGGGCGTGAAGTATGCGAGCCTGCTATTCACTGGGCACTGCACAGTGACGGTGCTATGGCGTGGTTCACGCACGTATCGAAGCCGGTTGCCGAAATGGAAGAAGATGGGAACTCTGTGGATGGAATCGTAGCTGAACAGTGGAGGTTGGGGCTTTGGGGGCGGAACTCAGCTATAATTGGTGGCTGACCCCTGAGCTGTGGGGAAATAGTGTACGGCCAATGACAGATGACAGTTGACAGTTGACATGTACATCAGTCATCATCCAATATACACTCGAAACAGCATTGATGATATCCAAAATACAGTTCCATTTCTTCCCAGATCAAATCCTTGTTACCGAATTCGATAGCAACTACCAGTTAAGTTGAAACGATGATGATATGACGACATCCAAGTCACCACAGCAAGCGAACTGGCCGGCGCCCTTCATCATCGAGCCTTCATCACCACCACATACAACAACCTTCATCTTGCTCCATGGCTTGGGTAGCAACGGCGAAAAATTTGGTCGGGAGCTTCTCGATACCGGAATATCTTCTGATGGCCACAGTCTCCGCACCGCCTATCCTTCTGCAAGATTCATATATCCCACCGCTAAAACTCGTCGCGTAACCGCGTTGAAGCGGTCCAGGGTCCCCGCATGGTTCGACATGTACAGTCTTGGAGATCGGCTGTATCGCGAGGATGTCCAAATCGAAGGTCTTGTAGAATCCTCGGAGTACATTCGCGTCCTGATTGAGCGGGAATTGCGAGGGTCATTGCAACCGAAGGATATCATTCTGGGGGGCATTAGCAACGGATGTGCACTGGGCCTCACAACACTTCTGAGTTTGGCCTACCCAATTGGAGCTTTTGTAGGGCTGTGTGCTCGACTTCCCTTCCGTGGAGATATCGAAGATGTTATTCGCCACGCAGATGCGGTCATCAATGGGCAGGGCGATGGCGAGGTTACGTTTGGTGAAGAGGATGATGCCGTCGCTTCCGAGCTCAAAGATCCAGCAATTGAGGTCTTGACTCTCGTGCGAGATTTGGTATCCATTGATGCGAAAGTCGGTGAAGAGTCAATAAGCATTGCGAAAAGTGCTCTGACGACACCAGTCTTCCTAGGCCACGGGGAACAGGACAACGTGGTTCCTTGCTTTCTGGGAAAAGATGCCGCTCAAACACTCACCTCGCTCAACGTCGACGTCACTTGGAAGCTTTATCCAGATCTGGGTCATTGGTACAAAATTCCTGATGAGATTGACGACATACTAGCTTTCTTGCGCGACAAAGCCCAGCTGTTTGACACTGAAAAGTGAAGCAGGAAAATGGTCCCCGATGGTCTGATCTTGGAAATACTGATTACCGCTGTTACTAAGAAATCGTCTGGTTCACGTCCTCAGTGGGAAAAGATAATGTGGCTGTTGCTCTCTCCAAGATTCAATCATTATTCTCCTAAAGCTGCTCTCAGTATCGCTGATCACAACTCCAAGGTGCACTCTGTAGTTCCTTCTAGTCTCGCAATAACTGGACACTATTGCGAATAAGAGTTGACGATATGGGTTACCAAGAACGAAATCTCGAGTAGGATTTGCCTCATAACAACAACACTCAGCTCATCGTCAACAGGAGAGCGAGGAGGAGAAAACAACCAATCAAACACCCACTTGATCTCTTAGATTAAGATCGGCAAGCCCTATCGTATAAATCCCACTCATCCGCACTCAAACCTAAGCCATCTTCCCGCCTACACTCAGATTTACGAACTCAGCATGTCGTTCGGGGCTTTGGTATCAGAGGAGCCGAATGACAGATATGTGACAGATAGCTAGATACGCGAGCTGAATACTTCGCCCGTGTTTTCGGGTCAAAGGCGCTAACATCTTGATACATCTACGTTAATCCTTGGTGGGTTGATATGTTCTAAAAATGGTGGTGTATCAAGTTAGTTGCTCGCCGTGCAAAGTACGCACGGCATTCGAGAGATTGTGGCACGCCAGGAAAACCTGATGGAATCAGCACAACCAGCTTCTAATGAGTTAGATGTATCCGAGAATGTATGTAAACAATCTTATTGGGGCCTTCTGAGAGTTGATCGGAAAGAGGTGGTTTGTGTAACGCAGTCTCTAGGGAAATGTTTACCCGTACGACCTCCTTTCTCTCCACCACTTTCATACAAAAAATCTCCCGCATAGCCGTAGTGATGGATGTTCCTTCCAAATGATGCAATACACGCCAGAATTGCAAATCGTCAAAGGGCATCGATTTCAAATTCAGGGGTCAACGAGCACATATCGCCGACTTCCCCGAGACACACTTGTCTCTTTCTCCGTCCCTACTTCACCTTCCCCCCGTGTGTCTAACATTCATTATCTGGTACCGTACCCGCGGGGAAAAAGGTAAGATTACGGAAGGGACCGGGGCCGAGGAGCAGATGAGACAGCGTCTCACAAGCACGCAGAAAAGCAAGGCGTTCGCTGATCTTTGAATCTGGACTATGAACTTGGACATATCTGAGCATTGCTCGGTAGACTATCTATGTGTTATCCGGCGCGCGCACATGTTTCAGAGCAGATCCGTCTATGGAACGGCACGGGTGTAAAAATTGGGGGATAGGAGATAGAGAAAAGTAAGATGCGCGGGTCGGTAGACGGCGGGGCTTTGGAAGGGGTCGCGGTATGTCCTGGGGGTTCGTGTTTCGTCGCTTCTTTGATTTCTTGTTGCTTTTTCCCCTCCTACTGGGTTGTCTTTCTTTTTTGGTCGAGAGGAGGGTCTTGTTTTTTCCCCTGTGCGATGCACGAGGTCGTATGTATGTACTATGTAGTAATTATTCGCGTCATATATACACATACGCACGATATTCACGCCACCATTGATATTGGGTGTTGCGATCATTCGCATGGCACATATTGCGTCGTCTAATTTCTCATGTTTCTGTCAACCAATTACTTACGCTTCCTCAGGTCAATATAATATCCTAGGCTGATACAAGACGAACCCCGCTTGCGTAAGAAACCACCTTTATCGCCCTATCTGACTGGAGGTATCTATGTATCTACGCATCACCTGCAAACATCGCGAACGCCATCCCACGTCCCCCCACTCAACCCAAATACAGAACATCAAGAGAAAAAAGTAATAATAACACCACAACCTCCACAATCAGGGTCATAACACAGCCCTCGGTAGTTCCTTTCAGGGCTTGGATTTCTCTCGGTTCCTGACTTCTCCTAGCTATTCATGCAATGTGTACCCTTTACGCGCCCAAGCGAGCCCCTGTCGTGCTGAAGCTATCGTATTCGCATCTGTGACACCCCCGATTCGACATGTCCATAGATGCATGTGTATACACATATGCCCATGCAGGGCCTCACTTCGAGCGTGGGACCCACCCGCTTCCGGAATCATGGGAATTTGCACGTATTTGTAACGCCGTGCATGGAGAAATATCGATAGCGGGAGCGTTTTAGGTGGGTGGGTGAATGAGATGCGCGAGGGCCCTGCTACCCGCTTTTTGGGTCGCGATGACTCGGTTGGGTGGTAAGGGATGTTTGTGATTGTGATGAAATAGATACGCAGACTTTCTTTTTCCCCCTCTCAGTTGGAATGGAAAGGGAAATGGATGGACGGATGCCCTGCTTTTCGCGTCCCGATTTCTGGAAATGTTTCTGATTCTCAAAGATTGGTAGCTGACGAATTATGGTGTCGAACGAGCGAGCGGGGATAGCTGCTCATGATATTGACGTATATGAAGTGAAACAGACTGGTCTGCTATGGCCTAGTTTCCACTCACCACGCGTATTGACGAGGCCTTTGACCCGAACTCGCGCCCCCAATAGCTCAGAACACCTTCCTCGTTCCTTTTTCACGGCTTCGTTTGGCGGGAAGGGAAGGGCTGATGCGGGGCGAGTAGCCGTCTGTTCCAGGGTAACGTAGCACGAAACCTGTCAGTCCCTCGTTTTGGATTGGCAGGGGGTGCGGCACGCAGCTGTCTTGGGAGTTTTCTTGTCTTACATTCTGTCTCTTTTTTCTTCGCTTCGGGTCGGTTCCGGGCCTTGGGATCGGCGTGCTTGATATAGATAGGGTTGGCGTGGGACTTTGCGATCGGGACGTATCGGTCTTTTACTATTGAAGGGTCGATTTGATGATTGAATGGGCCCCGTTCGATTCTTTCTCTTTGTCTATGTATACACATGTGTCTATCTGCTCGCGTTTTTCGGTTCTTTGGTACTTTTCTGTTACCTCTTTCGAGCTTTCCTTTGCTTGATCGTTCGCCATGGATGAAGAGAATATGCAGTTAGCGGTAACAACTTGGGCCTTGTATGGGGTCGGTGTGTGCCTGATCATCGTCAGAATGTATGGAATGAGCTAGGCTGTGGGCCAGCATTCAAGAATTCTGACAGTGACCAGTGTTTCTCGGCTCCTCACACTTCGATCGTTAGCGAAGCTACAACTAGATGACTGGCTCATGATAATTGTTGTTGTAAGTACCACGATGTCGACTTCACACGAATTGAAATGTTAACGTAGGGTGCAGGCACCTTTCACCGGGATCGTCATATGCGCAAATTTCACATTACCAATACATGCATCAGAAAGAACGAATGAAATCGAAATAGTCCGGAGCTTGAAAATGCGATTCACACTCGAAGTGCTGCAGATCACCACGAATTGGCTAGTGAAAGCTTGCTTGCTGATATTATACTGGCGCATCTTGTAAGTGGAGACCTAAGACTCAATATCCGATGGATGTTATTAGTGCTGTGAGTCTGACCTAGAGCAGTCCAGCTTCTACGAACAAGATTCAGCGGCGATATTTCTTCTGCATAGCCATTTTGTGCTTGATTTCCTTCATCGCCATCCAAGGTCTCCTTCCTGTTTGGTGTCGGCCAATGCACCACTACTGGAATACAACTCCCATCAAACGTAAGTATTCAGTAGAACTTTTGTAACACACAATCGCAGAAATAATAACATGCAGCCCAGTACAATGTGCAACCTATCGAAATCACAGCATAACGACTTTGGCCCTCGGCACCTTTACAACCCTTGCACTTCTCCTTCTGCCTGTCCCTCATATTCCTACACCACGCACATTCCTCCTGTTCACACTTCTCTTTCTGGGCACGATTGGCTGCATCACCGGCGTTCTAGGTCGATACTACGTCATTAAAAACCACTCATCTTCAAAGTATCTTCTATGGTACGTGGCCGAGACTACAACATTAATCGCATACGCAAACATGCCGTTCCTCAGCTCGCTTCTCAGCTCTAGCGGAGCCAGTTATCGGTATGTCAGTCAAAATTCCTTGAGCCAGTGGCCACGCTCATACAAAGACGGACCACTGAAATGGGGTGCGAGACAAAGGTTGGGGAGTGAGGTGGAGGAAGGAGAAGTCCGCGAGATGTCGCGTGCGCAACGACATCACGAGGGAAGCGTGGATGAGCATAGAATCTCTGTATCGAAGAATGACGATGAGGACGGCGCCGAGTGTTCTGTCGCGGTGCCGCAGGTTGTGGTGCGCAAGTTGTCGCTCACGAGTCCGCCACCGGAACTGGAGGCATATTGGACTGCGCGAAGGGTTTCAGTGCGTGGGGTGAAACTGGGGGAAGGAGTGCAGGAGGTGCGGGTGAATCGGTGAATGGAAGTGGGTTGGCATCAGCAAGATGTATCATTGATTTCCTACATGTATGCATAGCGTATCACAACGGATCATAAACTACTCTTCATTTTGAAGCAGGAGGTCAAGTCCCTGAAAACGAATACTCTTATGTCTCCGTACGATGATTACAGGAAATGAGAATTCACTAGATCTTACAAGAGAGAAAACTGATAAAACGAGTCAAACTGCGCACCGACGAATGTCCCACGTTCCCTATTCCATGTTAGGTGAGAACCCTGAAGATAAAAGCGATGGCGAGCGTAAATCGAGAAACCTTATATTCTTAGGATGTGAGTAGAAATTTTGATCGAAAAAAACATGGGTGATGAACTCTTTTCGGAATGAAACATCTGCCCTCGCAATAACCCAGTGGCCATAATGTAGCTTAATGAACAGGCAGTCGATAGGGCAGATTGCCTCATAATCTGCCATTGGATGCATCTAGCGTGAATCCAGTATAAAGCCATGCTGGTCTAAGAAGCCCAGAAATATCTACTCTTGGATTTTTTCCTGTGCTCTTCTTGCATGGAACTCTGTAGATCTCTTTTGGATTTTTCGGATTTTTCCAGTTCCTCCCTTCTTGCGGCTATGGTGGACATTCCAGTTATCCACCCAACGATGAACATGAATATGACACATCCACCCACTATGGAACTCTCATCGTTTGAATAGGATTTCAAGGGAGTACTAGTGTCCAAGCGATCAAGAGCTTGGGAGCGGCGGAGTTCCCGAGCAGTTCTTTCAGAGGAAGTCGGGGCGATTTTGCTTGCTTGGGATATGTCGCCATTTGGGTGTTGCAGTTGCTGGGCCATCTTCGACATGTTTTGAGGAAGGGCGTTGGTGGTAGGTGTTTCCCCGTGCAGTCCGCGTGCAATCATGCTTGGTATTCGTAATCCTGGGACCGCTGGACGAGATATCCCCCTAGCCACGAACGACGCGAGAAGACGATTCATAGCTGATTGAGAATTCGGGGATAGTCTTGTGTGAAGGGGTTTTAGTTTCGTGGAGATCGAAGCCGAGTTTTGATTTGTGCGGTGGGTAGTTTGTGTTGTGACAAGTTGGAAGTGTGATGAGGATAGGTAAAGAATTGTAACTGCTTGGGATGATATGGTATTTTATATGACATTTCGTAGTAATGTAGCTTTTGCTTCGGACCAAAGAGAGGCGTGAGATATAAATCGATGACCACAGGCAGAAATATACATGGTCAGAAATCACAATTCAATGATGATGGAATGGCGATTTTTTTTCGAAGCCAACCAATTACTACCGGTTCAATAGAATCAATCGCTAAGGAAAGAATGGGCGGCAGAATCGTCATAGATCCAAGTTCTTTCCCATGGTACAGGGTACATCGGAATACTTCTCTTGCGCGACGCGTTGGGAACTTGATTATGTATTGAAGTGCGTTGGCTCCATCAACACTAATGATGTTGAGGAGTAGCTCTTCCGGCTTTGAAAACTAGCGTACATCACAGTAGCAAGAATCTGACGTCTTCGAATAATTATGTGCAGACTTTCAGTGCCGATGTTCAAGGATATTTTTTGTCTTCCATGAGAATAAAGCTTTTTCTTTTATTGGAAATTAAAGTGTTTCCTACAGTTACAAGGCTGACAGAATAGTTGTACAGAAAGTATCAATGTAAATTCAACTCGCGACATGCTTCCCTCAGTGCCGGGTGTACCATCTGTTATTCACGAATAGAAGGCTCCGGTAGATTCTTAGCAGCTCTTGTGTTCGCGAGGAGAGTTATGGTACACTATGCTCCCGTCATGTGACATCCCAATGCTATAGCCTGCGATAATAGTCACGAATGTCATAGTAAGGTGTGCTTCGAAATTCCCAACTAGGAAAAGTAGAAGGATTGTTCGTGCAAATCTTCACTTAGCGTACACGACCTTGTTCTCAATCTCTCCAATGCCGTCGATCCTGACCTTTAGTATATCACCCTTCTTGGCGAATATGCTCGGTTTTCTTCCGAATCCTACGCCCGCTGGAGTACCTGTAAAGATCAGGGTTCCTGACAGCCAAACTAGTCAGCTCTCTTCGCGTCCGCCCAACAAATGTTATGGATCTGCGTACCGGGAAGGAGCGTCATTCCTTGACTCAGAAAGGATACGATCTCTGCGGTCGAGAAGATCATATTACTAGTAGTTCCATCCTGCATAATTTCGCCATTGAGCATTGTGCGAATCCCTAACCCTTTTGCTGGATCAAGAATGTCTTTGGACACAATGGCTGGTCCAACGGGTGCCGAGAAATCGAAGCTCTTTGAATAACACCATTGGCCTCCACCTAATGTGGAATCGAGTTGCCAAGTGCGATTGGAAAAGTCATTTCCGACCTACCATAGTTGAGGGAACAACTGATTAGAACAATGTCGATTGAGACATTGAAGTGTTTTTGAGACTGACAGTATACCCATAAACGTAATCTAAAGCGTCTTCCTTGCTTACTCTTGACGCCTTGGTTCCGATTACTATGACCTGAAATACTGTTAGCAGACAATCAAATCGTCTGATGATTTCAATTGAGTTAAAAAAAACATACTAGTTCCGCTTCGTAATCCAGCTTCCCTTTCGACCATGACATCTCGGGTACATCCAAGTCGTCATACGGGCCCGCCAACGCCGTGACAGGTTTGTGGCTGAACAACATCTCAGCCTAACGTCGACCACAACGTTGCAGACAACCCATTTGTTCAACGTAATCACCGCACATTCGGCCGTTCATGCAGACATAGAGAAACTTACAACACCACAGGAACAGTGGGAATCGCCATCTTGGCTTCCTCGGCGTGGTCCCTGTAGTTCAAACCGATGCATACTATGCCTCGGCAGTCATCCATCGACAGCGGGCACAGCAACCTCGAAATGGTCTTCCTGATCTCAGTCGGCTCTGCGCGTTGGGAGAACGGATTTACGCAGTCGATCACGGAAGCGGTCCCGAGATTTTCGTCGGCGGCGCCGTAGTATTGCTGCCCATCGTCTTGGGCAACGAAGCGAACTAGGCGGGGCACAGGCATATTGGATAAACGGCGGAGCGGAGCGCGGAATAGTCTGGGTGTTGTTCGCATCATGGTAACATTTCTAAATATCTTGATTACTTGCAGGAGAAGGGGGTGGCTACAGATAGACAGCTAAGCTCCGCACCAATCAGATGCATTTCATGCCAACATCAGCTCGTACGCACGCCAAGCCTCGGACATGTTGGACAAAACTGAACACAGATCCATCTTGTGTCAGGATTGCCTCTCGATCAAAGATATACAACACGTTTCGAGATTCTCTCCTCGATTCGAGCCAGAAATCATTGTACGTGTTCAATTGCCCCTGATGTTCATTGCCTCCAGTGACTAGAGCCTAGCGGGCATCCGCATTCGCCCACTACGACCATCTAGCGTTCCTTGCTAACCCACCGACCGCCCAGGACTCGCTGCCTATCCTATGATTCCCTAGAGCCTTTCCGCCGAACCTCTTAAATCTGCTACCCTCACATGTCAAGCGGCATTGACGTCCGACGGCGTCCCGGCATCTGGTCATACTTCAGTTTTCCCAGCGGTACTCGACGACGCACTTCCATCTCCCTTCCTCGTAACAACACCGACGCTGCCGCCTCAGACGACGACGATCCCTACGAGAAGCCCGACCGACATATTCGCGGCCACCGCTCCGTCCCTTCCAACAGCCTTATGAACGAATATAAAGGATCTGTCATGAACGGGGGTCAGCGTGCTCGGTTCTTGAAGACCGGGGGGATAATCGCCTTTATTGTCCTGGTTCTATACTTCATTGCGCCCAAGGATGGTTTGTCAAGAACCAGCGGTAAGCTCACTTTACCCCACAATGTCCACCAATTGCGGAGAGAGGTGGCGATGGACTGACAATCCGAACAGGAGCTTTGTCGCCAGCCAAAGGTGGCAACACAGCTTCGCCTGGCGCAGAGGCGAAATGCACCAAATCCTTTTCCAAAGACAAGCCGCTCATCCAATACGCTCTGATGGTCGATGCTGGCAGCACCGGCTCGCGCATTCACGTATACAAGTTCAATAACTGCGGTCCCACCCCCGAGCTCGAGAATGAAGTGTTCAAAATGACGGAGAAGTCAGCTGGTGGACTATCGGCATACCCTACGGATGCTGAGGCGGCAGCAAAGAGTTTGGACGTTCTCTTGGACGTGGCCGTCAAGAGTGTACCTGAGGCCTACCAGGGCTGCACACCCATCGCAGTTAAAGCCACTGCCGGTCTCCGCAAGCTCGGTGAAGAGATGAGCTTAAAGATCCTCAAAGCCGTCCGCACGCGTCTCGAAACCGAATATCCATTCCCCGTTGTTTCGGAAGAACAAGGAGGTGTGGAAGTGATGCCTGGAGAGCAAGAGGGTGTCTACGCTTGGATCACGGCAAACTACCTGTTGGGCAAGATTGGCGGACCAGATAAAACCCCCACGGCCGCTGTTTTGGACCTTGGTGGTGGTTCTACCCAGATTGTCTTCCAACCTACGTTCCCTGAAGTAGCTGGTGGCGGTATGCCGGAGAAGCTCAAGGAGGGTGACCACAAGTACGCTCTCAAATTTGGTGGCCGTGACTTCGAGCTCTATCAACACTCATACTTGGGCTATGGACTTATGGAAGCACGCAACAACCTTCACTCCGCCATTTTGGAGTCTGTCTACCACGAGAACAAGGATGCCGAGACTCAGGAATGGCTTAAGAAGCCCATCACCAACCCCTGCATCGCGCCGGGCATGAGCAGGAAGGTTGAAGTCAGCCTTCCCAAAGACCACGCTCTGGGCCAAAAGGTTACAGTCAACATGACGGGCCCCGCTAGCGCTGCACCAGCAACATGCCGAGGAATCGCAGAGAAGACGCTGCAAAAGGACGCCGAATGCAAAGTCGCCCCCTGCGCCTTCCGCGGCGTGCACCAACCTTCTTTCGAAAAGACATTCGCGCGCGAAGATGTATACCTCTTCTCCTACTTTTACGACCGCACGCAGCCGCTCGGCATGCCCGAGTCATTCTCGCTGGCTGAGCTACGCGACCTCGCCAACCGCGTGTGCCACGGCGAGCCGGCTTGGGATGTATTCCACAGCGTTGATGGCGCCATCAACGAGCTTAAGGATCGTCCTGAATGGTGTCTCGACCTCAACTTTCAGCTCGCGCTCTTGCACACGGGCTATGAGATGCCCATTGACCGCGAAGTCAAGATCGCCAAGAAGATCAAGGGTAATGAATTGGGTTGGTGCTTGGGTGCTAGGTATGTTTTTCGCTCTTCTCTTTCTTTCTATCATGGATGCGATTACTAATGATTTCGAATAGTCTTCCGCTGCTAGAGAAGGGCTCAGGATGGCAGTGCAAGATCAAGCAGGTTCAATAGACGACGAAATGACTTTTAGCGCTTCTCCGTTATTTTTTGCTGTCTTATCCGCGCTCTCTCTCTCTCACTTTTTCCATCTTAGCGCAATAGATTATGTTCTGGGAACGAAACGCATGGTGGATGGAATCCCAAGGCGATCCAATCTTTTTTGTTCGAGATATCATCACATACCGGAATGAACTAAACGGAACAAAGGAGTAAAGACAGTTCTGTTTCGATGAAAACAAGAACTGCCTTGGCATAATTTGCATGGTTCCGATGTGAAGGCAAAGGCGATATGTCATGTTTACCTGGACGTGAAAGTAGAGGCGACATCAGACGTTCGAGGAAATTGTGGTACATTGAAACAGTGTCTCATACGAATACTATACAGCGATGTTGTCGCAATTATGTGAATGCCGTGTGCCTCATATTTACTTCCCTTGGCTCCCCATTCAGTATCAATATCAAAGAACTCCCCATTCCCACCCTAATCTATATTCCATCCTTCCCCCAAAAGAACTACCAATGATCGAACAAACCCACACAAAAGAAATGATACCTATGCTCCAAACCCCCCGGGCCATCCCATCTACGCATAACTGGCCCACCCCTGGTACAAAACCGCCAAATTTCCCTCATCAGTCGCAGCCTGAATAAGCTCATTGACAGTAGCCTTGGTGCTAAGCGTCTTGCCCAACTTCTTCTCCACAACCGCAAGGGCCCTCCCCGCCTCACCAGCCTGCTCTTCATCCTTCTTCTTACTTGATTCCGGGTTCTCCTGCGGTGCTGCAGTAGCACCAGCGCCATCTGCAGGCGCAGGCGTGCCTCCGACAGTCCCCGCGCGAGACACAGCTGTGCTGGAAGGAGCACCGCCGGCGGCAGCGGCAGTTTCCTGACCTTCCTGCATGCGTTTTGCTTTTGTGGACGTGATGCTCCAGTTCACGAGGGGATCGTAGCGGAGGACGTTGAGGAGAGTCATGATAGACTCGCGTTCTTCGCGGAGGGTATCCATTGTGAATTCGCAGCAGCGACGGAAAACGCCTTCGGTTTTGGTGTAGCCCATGGCGTCGACGAGGTCGCGCGTGAGGCGGAAGGGGACGACTTCTGGGACGGGTAGGACGCGTCCGGCTTCGAAGCTGACGCCTAGGTCGATGTGTACGACGTCGCCGCTTTTCTTGTCAAGAAGGATGTTGTGACAGTGGCGATCACCGAGTCCTAGCACGTGGCCCAGAATGGAGATGGCGGCGGTCGACCGTGTGTATGCTAGTCGTCTTTGGAACCATTCGTCTGGGTCTTGGAAGAGCTCGAGGAGGAAGTAGCGGAGGACGGGGTGGAAACTGTTAGCTACCTTTTGCCATGTTTTGATGCGTGTTGATTGAGTGTCTTGCTGGACCGCTCCGATCTGTTTCCTACACTGATCGGGTTTGAGGTCGTTGGGATAGTACTTTTCGTGCGCTGGCATCACCCACACGTGGAGCGGTACAGTGTCTTGAACGAACTCCATGAGCCCAGATCGCGTCGAAAGTGGAAGCACTTTGTATGTGCGAATCCCCAGATTGCGAAGGCGCGTCGCTGTATGATTCTTCAAGAGTCGTGAAACTTGATCAAAGACCTGTTCCATGATGGCATCTTGCCGAAGATCATCGTTTCCAGACTTGAACTACCGTGTGTCAGACTATACGCTCACGCTCATTTTTTCAAAAATAATTCAAAACAAACTTACCAGTTGTTTATAGGGCTTGCCGTCGCTACCCTTCGCAGTGATGATTTTTGGAGCGCTCAGGCCGTTGGCAATGGTCATCCTAGAACCGAAGCCTACAATTCTGGGCAAATCACTATAATCTTGATTTGCCCTCACTTCGATCTGCAATGTTGCTGGCGGAACTCTCAATGGTGGTACTTTCTGAACTAATTCTTTCGATTCTCGATATCTGTCGAGCGAATACTCTCGCCCTTGGCGGTTGTCTTTCTCATCCTTGAACATAGCGAGCGCGTGATAAATCTCATTCGATCTATAAATGGTTCTCCAGGTGGATTGTGATCGTTTGTCCTTGTCAAGTTGCTGCGCAATATATGCTGCAGCTTTCTGACGGGACCGAGCAGACTCATCCTTCGATCTCATCATGTCTTCTCTTGTGTAAGCCCCAACTTTTGTTTGTATGGCAAAGATTTGGTGCATTCCGTGGTATGGATGGTCCATGCAGATTCGTAGAACTAGTTGGAGCAACAGCTTTTGAAAGGCAGTTTGCTCGGACTGCAGGCGTGATGATAGTTGGTTCATTAGCAGAGCAAACTTGCCGCTGGGAACCTTGTTAAGGTAACGCCCAACAGCATCGTTCGCAAGAGAAAGATCGGCATTCTCCAACCACAGAGAAAATACTCGAAGAGCGTCATTGTTATACTGGTCGCTGGCTTGAAGTGAGAGGAGGTAATTCTCCAAGCATTGCCGCAGGAACTGTTCGCGACCTTTGCGTAGCCGCTCATATTCTGCGTGGTCCAAATTGTACCATGTTTTTGATTTCGAGGCGTTACGTCTGTAGGTATCCCTCATACTTTTACTTTTCTCTGCATTTGCAAGCTTCATGAAATCATTGTACTCCTGAAATCTGCGGTCCACGCCAGCTTTGGCACGATCCACGTCATCGATAGCTTCTGGACTTTGTAGTTGTTTGTCGCAAAATAATGCAAATCCATGGAACACTTGAGCCGGGCCCGAGCCTTGTGTCTGTCCTTTGAGTTCTTGGATTGCAGGCTGGAGATAATCCCTGATGATGCCATCTGGCTTCTCCAGACGAGATTCGGCAAGGTGATGACCCTATCTCAGTGAGCTTCTAAATTCGAGTACTAGATGAGGCAACTTACAAGTTTCGCCAGTATAACAGGAAGACTAATGTCATCGTCCTGAGAATCAAAACGAGTACTTTCGATGAGTTGTCGTCGCATGCCAGTAGACGTTTCAGCCTCACCCTGATCCCACAATACACTCGCAACTTCATGTTGTGCGACTGCTTCGATTTCAAGACCGACATCTTTGCATTGCTGGACAAGTCCTGAAAGGTAGGTCACTCGCGCCAGTGATTCCTGAAGCGCCCCATGTCTCCTGCAGATTCTCGAGGAAGATACCAGTGCCTGGACCTCCACGCTACGAACACTTCCTTTTCTCACGCGCAGGGAATCTAAAAGGGGTTCATTCGCACTCAAAATATTGAAAAGAGTCTCTCGACAGGATAAGATTTGCCGGACGTTCTCGAATCTAGTGCATATACGATTAGCTAGACACCGGATTGGAAGCACGTCAAGAATTGACTTACTCGCCGGCACGCATCCACAGCTCGCGCCCTTTCATTTGATCCCATATATCGAGCAGATCGTCCTCGGAGCGACTACCGACAACTTCATGCGCTTCTGTTAGTATTGCCAGTGTCCTTAAGTGAGCTTGAGTAGACATCGACGCGGCATGTCCACTGGATAGGTGCCCAACCGTGGTCAGCAGCTGCTTATCGAAACATTTCTGCGCGGCAGCTGTATCGATTGCATAATGGAGTCCCTGGAAAGCTTTGAACAGTGTGCTCTGCTCCGAGTGATTCATTTCGGGAGCTTTTATATCCCATTGACCTAGTTTGCGCGCGGTGTGGAGGGTATTCTCGATGCCGATTTCGCCGGTGTTGCGGAACTGATCATTTGACAAGAGAGAATGTGTAACGCTATTCATGTTGAGCATTATAAGACTCCTGACCATACCGCTCGTATCAGACGGCTGCAATGCACCTGATTGCTGTATTTGGCTGTCTAAACGAGCACCTCGAAACAACAGGCTCTTCACACCGTCACCTTCGTAGTCTACGCGGTCCATAACAGACTGAAGACTGTAGCCTCTGTCGACCCCGTAGAACGAATCAGGTTCATCGAGGTTCTTGTAGATGGAAAGCTGGAGATCGATTGGTAACTTGGCTGGTTTCATGACACTAGAACTCCTGCGTGAAGTCTTCACTGCTGGCTCCGCTGCCGTTTCTGCAAAAAGCAATGCGCTGCGATACATATCGCAAGTGGCCGCTGCTTCGGCAGCTTTGACGAAGTCGACATCCAGCCATTGATCTCGATCCACTCGAGTGACTTCCTTAGGGACCGGTTGTGTCCGCAAGTATAAGATGGTCTGGATGAAGATTCGCACTTGAGGTACGTGGTCGTTTCTGGGATCGGAAAACCAGCCTGTCAACGCCCTTGATATCGTTCTCCTAGTTTTACATTCGCCTTCGAATTCACCCAATAAAACAAGATGGAGGATGTAAGGGAACAACTTTGCGGCCATTTGGCTAATGCCCAAGAGCAATCTGGGCAATGAACCTAGTAGAGGCTCTTGTGACGCTATACTGCACAGCGAGATTGCAAGATCTCTGGTCCATATAGCGACAGGCGTACCCTCTCGCACGGCAGCGCATTGCTCCACTGTGTTGGTATCCGCAGACAGTGTAGAGTCCCCATCAGTAGATACAGATAGACCTAATGCTTTCGTAATATGCTGCGGAATTATTTCGTTGAGCTCCGCCACATATTCTGGAGGTGCTTGAGAAAGCCGAGCAAGAGTAAGGCGAATCGATTCTTCCGCAAGACTAACCTCATGACGATCATCACTGTAGAAGACGCCAATTACCTCACGAATGATCGCTTCTCTTGATGCACGACCCAAAGAGTCATCGGCTGATGTTTCAAGAGATAACCATGGTTTTGATGAAGCAGTATCTTGTCTTACTTCGCCATAAGCACTGAAGGCTCGACCCAGCACTCGAGCTGCCCACAATAAGTAACCATCACCGACATTGGTTCTTTGGCATGATTGCCACACATGTATGGCGTATTCTGCTGCCTCTGCATCAGATTCGAACATGTCATCTTTTGCAGTAGGAGCTGGCTGGAAATTTTGACAAAGCAAATCAAGCGCGACTTCACGGGAAGTATTGTTTAGGAGTTTACGACCCGACCGAACATCATCGAGAATTTCTCGAAGCAACTTGCTTTCTTCACTTCCACGCAAGGAATTTCCCTCTGTGCGAACCTGTGAGGCAGCTGTGGTTATCAGTCTGAATGCCTTGATGTGAGAGTTACTCTCAGTATCAGCTAAGTTGTCCGCGTAAGAGGTCAAGTATTGAGAGAACCATCCGTGGAATTTGGTAGCCGTGTTCATTGTCGCCATGTATTGCGATTGCTGGGTTGTGCTCTCTTGCGACGATCCTAGAAACACACGAATGGATATGAGAACCGAAAGACCAATTCCTGTTACAAAGCCCAAGTCTCTTGTCAAATAAGTTTCGCCACGATCTAAAAGATACTGCATGATGCCAACCACGTCTTCTGCACATTGTATATCGGTGAGAAACGGTCTTAAAGATTGCAATGTCATCTGGAGAGGGTAGCCCTCACATGCCACAGGACCGGCAAGAGCGACGAGAATTCTCAATTTGCGAATGATGGACCGGGCATAAAGTGGTCCCAGTGCAGGATGTATCCGATCAAGCAGCATCCGAGCTACGAGTGTGTAGTTACTCGAAGTCCAAAAACTGTCTGGATTATCCCCCGTCCTGCGGCAAAGCCGTTCAAGCTGGTCGTTGAGGTAGTAAGCTGAAAATGATGGTTCTATCTCGATTTCGAGTCCTGCCGTAGAATGACTAATGTTGTTCATCTTTGCCAGCGCTTTGGACGCATCGTGGAAAGCTGGTCGCTTGTCCAACTGCTTGCTAACGCGATCCTCCTGATCAATTGTTTGGAAGATGTGGCCCAACACCTGTGGAAATTGTTGAAGGATAAGTTCAGCATACTGGTCCTTTCCTACTAGGTCGCGGAGAATGTTACAGCTGCTCGGTACGGACTTGTTACGTGCGTAGCCAGTGCAGGTGTCCCATGAGATTGTGTAGGCAGCAGCCTTTGGCATGTTTCTTGCCAAAACCGCACGTGTTTCGTCACCGAAAATTGTAGCCAGATATTCGACAGCGTGTTTTTGCCCCCGCATGATCGCTTGACCAACAGTTTCTGCTTCGACATCTCGTAAAAGGCTTACGAGGGTTTCGTAACCAAAAGTCTCAAATGGCATCTCGGCAAAGGTGCGCCCTCTGTCCAGCCAGGTGTGTATGATCTGTGACGCAAAAAGGCGAAATAGTGCTTGAGAGTCTCCCATATTTCTTGCTGCTGCAACTTTGGAGATACAACGCTTCGCATGGCGCGTCGCGCCTGCTATGGATCCAGCTGTCGCAAACATGCGATATATGCACAGTCGTTGCACTGTGTACCATCGTGATGCAAGATTGGAGAAAACAAGCAACCGAATGGCGATACCTTCGAGCCACGTCTTGTCACTGGGCAGGTTTTCATCGATGTCCCCAAGTATCTTGTTATGCTCTGAAAATACAAAATACTCGAAGATGTCCGACAGACGGTCTACGATATGATATTTCACGGCCATTTCGCCACTCCCAAGAAGTCCAAACAGGCTTGTGCGCACAGATGGTATCTTTCGACTCTGTCCAAAATTTGGATGATGCCGTAGAAGGCCATGGAGAAACGTAGCTAACCGCATTTGAAGACCCGGGGATCTTCGCACACCACTCTTCTCCATTCCTTTTATGTAATAGGCATACAGCGCCTCTACGTTTTCGTAAAGATCTCGGGTTTCATGGTCGGTACTGTCGGAGCTCCAGAGATGGGTAGACCCAATCAGTACGTCCAACATCATGCCGTTTGCCACTTCGGATGTATTGTACTCGCGGGCACGAGGATCGATGAGGGCGTCGCTAAGCCTTTCAAGCAATTTTATGGCATCTCCTTGAGATATTCTGAATCGCCCTTGCATCAAAGTGCTGGTGAATTGACGCGACCGAAGGAGATCAGCTTCAGGGATTGATATTAGGTACTCAATGAACTCGGACGGTACACAGTCCGGATCTTGATCAAACATGTCGCCAACGGACTGTATCAAGTGAATATAGGTCGAACAGCAGGCATTAAAAGCGCCAGCTTCGGAAGAGGCGGATATTTCATGGCGAGGTATGTCGATTTCAGAACTGGATGTGCCTGCTGTTGCTTGCGAATTGGGCTCATCATCGATGTCCATGAAACCATCGTCTTCAGTGTAGAAAGACTGTTTGATATCTCTGCGCTGGTCTAAAGCGCTCGAAAGATGGTTGGCGATGATGAGCATCCCCGCATTTTTGAAAACGGCACTGGACAGATCCTCCAAATCGTCAATATCTTGTAAGCTCTGGGCACATGTTTCGAGAACTGCGTCGATCTTGTATCGTTCAATTTGTGGTTTCGTCAGGACCTGGGTAAATGATCGTGCAAATCTATCAGTGACTGTGCCCAGCTCGACTATGCGTGGGTCTTGACGCTTCACTACCGATCCCACTGCTGAGGACACAATACATAGGTTGACAATGATTTGCAGCATATCCGACGTGATATTTTGAAGGGAGTGCTCTGACCGTTGTGTCCATCGTTGTTTAGTTTTATCGAGTTCGGAAAGACAGAAATCGAGGATACGGTCTTCTAGTTGCAGTACGTGCCCAGAAGGGGATGTATTCGAGGAGCTAGATGTTTGTGACAATTCCAGAGTAAAGCCCTCGGTATCGTCTAGAAGCAAAATATATCGGGACAACTCGTGGAACGCATTAGTTTGCAGGCGAGCTTGGGCAATCGGACCCATGACTTTATAGGGAGGAGTTCGAAAGTGCATGAATGGTCGATCTAAGCAAGCATGGAGTACTCGCAGGATATCGCGGGCATTAAAATGGCGGGCATGTAGAGTGACATAGGATCTTTCCGACCATAAACCTTAGTTTTGTCAGCAGTGCTCATGCACCTTTATCGCTTCGGAATAAACTTACTTGGCGTCCATTTACTAAGAAGCCAGTTAAGCACTCTCTCTGCAGACGATTTATAATGAGTAGGGCTTCCGGCGATCACTTCCTGAATTAATGTCGTCATCAGAGAAGTGGTGCTTTCTGTCAGCAAAGCAGGACCGTTGAGCTCCACCGATGTTAACATTGTTTGGACAGTTTCAGAGACCGCAGAATAGGGGATAACTTTGAGTCGCAACACTACATCCATGAAATGACAAGCAGCTCGCGAGGATGAGGATGAGGTGATTACACGCGAGGCGGTCTTCCACGCGGATACCCAAAGATGTGAGAGTGCGTTCGATTTAGCGACTCGTTGGAAAGCAGCGCTGTTAATTGTCAGCTACTGGAAGGAGCAACAAGCATTGAATATATAAAACTTACGCAGCTAGGGAAATCAGAGCCCACGAGGAGTGTGCAGCATTCTCGTCCGATATGCACGGCATGAGTTTTCCCAATAGTGACTGAAGCTCTTCTTCATCTAAAGGGCCTTCCTGAACAATGAAAGCAATCACTTGTAATGCAGCCCGCTTGGCGTTGGATCGAGGTTCGGATACGTGACGGAGATATTCTTGGAAATGACGAGTGATGCGAGGGCGCTTTGATGGAGCTTCATCATCTTTGTAACTATGGGCTAACCGACGGTTGTGCTCATCGAGCATGGTCGAGAGACGCGCGATACATGACACTGTGGCCCAAAGACCCTCGTAACGAGAGTATCCAGGATCCATAGCAAAAGCTTGGGTACACAATGAATGTGCTTCCTTGCTGGCCCTGCCAATGCGGCGAAAGCAAACATAATCATCCTCGAGATATTGGTGTGCGGTCGTGTCTTGCCTGCGCCTATAGTCACCATATATGACATCAAGAAAGGCTTCAACCTCCAGCCCGAAGGATTCATCGGTGCTGCCCTGCAAAATACTGGCGATGTGCACTTCTGAATACGTCAAAGTGACAAAAATCTCATCTCGCACGGTGGAATCAGCCCATAAAGTTTTCATTAGAGGCAATACCTCGACCACGACGTGTCTAGCAAGTACTGAAGAGTGGAGAGTGATGCGAGGGATGATAGCGTTGATTGCGGATAGTGCAGCAGCCTTGCCACGTGCTGCTTTCTGGCACATGTAATGAATGAGCGAACGTAGGATACGCTCGGCTTGGGGTAAAATAGGTGAGTTGGAAGCCTTGACGAGGAGAGCAAGACAGTGCACAAGATCTTCCGCAACACGAATGAGCTCAGGTGAAACATTCGATATGCTGGAGGAAGGAATCCGATCGCTGGATCTTATTGCGACGTCGGTAGAGTCGAAGGGCGTACGTCCCCGGCTAGAAATGCCAGTACTCCAACTAGCAGGCTGGTCCACTTCTGGTTCAACGAAGATGCCGGCAAGTGAGTCGATACAAAAAGCAAGAGTTGTATCCCAGCAAGCTGAGGATAGACGTTCGACGTGAGGCTGATATTCGAGCAATGCACGCAAGGTCTTGGGAACGTCTTCGAGAAGTGGGGCGACCAGAGACCCGTCATGGCCGGGTAGAGTGTCAATAATGGTCGAGACTATGAACTCGACGGTCGTAGACTTGATAGCGCGCACGCCCGAGTAAATGACATGGCGTAGTGCATTGGCAGCATAGACGAGGTGATCAGTAGCTTTTGACTTTATTTTGGCCTTACTCTTAAGAAAGGCGTGACGTTCATCGTGCATACACTGAAGCAATGTTTCACAAAGGGAAAGGTAGGCCTTGTTCCCTAGGCTCTCGAGAGTGGGCTTTCCACGGTTGTGCTTTAGGATGTGAACGAGCCCTTTGAGACCGTTGGTTCGATCATTGGATGCTGCGGATGAGATGAGGACTGCCGAACACATGGATCAGTCAATTGCGGAACATATGGATCGTCGTCAAATGGAACTACTTACCCTTTGCGTCCTGAATGGTGGTGACTGCCATGCCTGTTGCTAAGATCCGAGACCCCTACCATGTGCATAGCAAGGATGTATGAATGTACTTATGTATCGCGGTCAGAGGAGGACAAAAAGTAAGTAAACACAGACAGCGGAAAGAGAGCAACGAATGAGAAGTGAGGAGGAGGGACCGAACGATGGTGAAGGGTCACATGGAAGTTAACAAGCTGAAGGCATTCCCCATGCACTCGCGCTGCTCCGGAGTGTTGTCAAAATCGAATGCGCCTTTTCCATCTCATGTGCGGAGCTATGGCGGAGGTGAGCCATTGATGGTGAATGGCATGGGTGGATTGATGTTGGTGCCAAGCGACAGGGGTGAGAGAGAAGGAAGGCGCGTCCGAGCTCCTGTTTAGCTGGACAGGCGACGGCACTAGTCCAGTTAGCAAAGGCGCGTGGGACGGAAACCAAACCAAACTTTGTCACCCAAAAACAACATCACGTACTGCAACTCCTCCCCTCTCGACCCTTCGACCGGCCAGATACACATCCAGAATCGCCGGCGCATGATGCCCAGTGGCCAATTTCGACTTTGCCATGGCTGACGACGACAGCCTTCAGGCCCTCGAGGCCCTACACCGCGATCTCTGCGCCCTCATTGACAACAGACTGCCCGTGCTCGAACGCCTGCTGGTCAACCTGGAGAGCCAATTGGAAGACTTCAAGGCTCTGATTGACAAGAAACCCAAGAGCGATGCCAGTCGCAAAACTTTGAATCAAGGCAAAATCACCCTGGATGATGTCGAATACGAGCTCAATGATGAGTTCAAGCAGCAAACGCTGGAAATGGCAGAGGCTCTGGATCTGGATGAAATGGACGCCGCCGCCTATATGGTGGGTGCTCAAGCTGAAGCGACTGAGCTCGATCGCTCTCAGCTCCAGACCGCCGTCATACGATTCCACCGCCGTCGCGAGTTGGTCCTACTGTGCCTGCGCATGCTCTTCAAGATCGCCTTTGAGAGCCCCGACCCCGACACCGATCAATACGACATGTTGCGGACCGCTGCGTCTTTCATTCTCGACGTGAGCGACACCCAGAATTTCGCGACGGCGTACATGTTCTGGGGGAAATGCCTAGAGAGCATGTCGGCTGTTGAGAAATGGCTTCAGAATATTGCGGAGCGCCTCCAGAGCGCTCACGTTGTTGGACAAGTTCCCCTGCCTGGCTTCGTCGAAATTATGACCTTTCAGCGCGAAAGTCTCACTCGCCAGCACGAGAATTTGTCCGCCATTTGTACACACATGATCAAGCTTGGCTATGCCAATATGGAGAACCTCAAGGCCCTTCTCGCCAAGGCAAAAACGATCGACAAGCACGACCTCATCACCATCCACTATGTTCCGATGCTGCTCCGCCTGGTATCCCACATCGCCTCCGAATCTACTACTCCCACTAGAGAGGCTCGAGCCTTCCACACTACCCTGTTGGCCGGAAGAGACAACGACCCGTGGTTATTGAGGAATCTTCATGCTGCCGTCCTGACTTGGTGGCTTGCTGAGTATAGTGGAAGATACATTGACCCAAACACCGCGGATGCTGATTTAGCGAACGTGGATTTTGACCAGGAGGCCAATGCTCGCTCCGAAGCTTTTCTCCGGGCTCTGGATGATGGCGCTTATCATTTCATACTTTCCTTCAGTCAAGATGTGCGCCCAGTCAAGTGGTATGACCCACAAAAGACGAGCATGATCTCTGCACTGTTGCAAGATACCACTGTGCTGACATTGGAATCTGCGCAGCCAGAGGAATTCTTCAAGATCCTCATCATGGAGCAGCTCCAGGTCTTCGTCGACTCATTCATCACAAACATGCCCGATACTCTCCGCAGACTCAAGGTCGAAGAGGACGATCAGCGAAGGCGATTGCAACTGCATTTTGGTCAGTCCAGCGGAGAGTATCCCCTTCACTTGGAACGTTTCCTTGTGATTGTCTCTTATGCGTTCGACGGCTTCCCCGAAGCTGCCGAGGACTTTTGGGAGGACAAGGAGAGCAATCTGTATGGGTTTTTGCAGTGGGCTGCGAAACGACAGCCCACACCACGTATAGCCATGTTTTGTGAAATGCTCCGGGCCATTTCTGCTGGCGATGCGAATGCCGATGCAGCGCATCGATTCTTGATGGAAGAAGGGGCTTCATCAGCCGGCAGAATTCGTCGAACTAGCTCCCTCAGCTACACGCATATCTTCAACGAGCTTGCCGAGTTTCAGTCCGACATTCACGAGCCTAAGAAAGCGATCCAGGGCGGTCTTTACGCGCCAAATCAAAATCCCGCTGATCAGATTGTGGAGCCTGAGAGCGCCACTATGCTCGAAAGTTATCTCCGTCTGTTAGCACACTTGTGCCGCGAGAGTAAACTGGCACGCGAATGGTTACTAGACCATCAAGACTACAATCTGACAGGTATATGTTTCGGACTATGTGCTGACAAGGTCGAAAGTGGTCTGCGTGCATCTGCGTTTGATGCTATTTCTGCAATACTGGTCGAGAAAAAGCCATTGCGCGCCGCTGCTGTGTGGAACAATCTCGATGAATGGACAGTTTCCGGGTTCTATGTCGGCTCGAAACAAAGTAGCGCAATAGTTCCTTATGCCCGCGATGAGCTGTGGGCCAATTTAGCCAATGGCTATGATGAATCAATCTCGTTTGTTCGTCTGCTTCACGCATTGATTGAGCCGTATTCCACCGATGAAGGCTTAAACGACACGCTTCCATTTCCAGAAGGACTTGGTTCAGCCCGCAGAATGCCCGGCATCGAAAAGTATATCGACTTTGTCATGCAGCAAGTCTTTGCAGAGCGAAGTCCCGAAATCCAAGATTCCTTGCAACGGAACGTCATGCGATGGACATGCTTGCGATTTATGAGTGTCTGCCTTCGCACTTTCAATGAGAACCTTGTTGTCTTTGCGAACAAGTCGAGCATTCCCGTGGACGACATCATCGAACCCTCTTCCCTGGCGGCTTATGTTGTGTTGCATCCATTTACAAGGGTGATGGAATGGTTGTTCAACGACAAAGTGCTCAAGGCCCTGTTTGCGTCTTCGCATCATGATGCTAAAGACGTCGACGCGGCTTCCACAGACTCACCGTTGGTGCAATCTCTCATGCTAAGCATCGATGTGATGGATCAAGTTTTGAGGCTACAAGCTACTTACCTTGACATCGTGCGGCCAGTGTTGAAGCAACAGACATCCTCACGTGGCTCGACCGTAGCCAACGTATCGCTTGCTTCTTTCGAAGATGCCATTCTGAATAACCTTCAGATTATTGTCGATCTCGGTCTTTATTGCGGTACTGGGCATGAATCACTTACCATTGCTTCTCTCCAGCTGCTCGAGAAGATGGCCTCATCACGGAAACTTGCGATATCCCCCGCCGGGTTTGCACAGCGCACAGGCCGCAGTAAAATCGTTGGTATACTGGAGAAGGACAACGAGTCAGAACGCATTGGACGCTCTCTGTCCGGCTTGATGAAATTTACCGACGATGAGCTAGAGGCAAAGGACGAGGCTCCTGGCTATGTCATCAAGATTCGCATTCTCGACTTTCTGAATAGTTGTCTAGCGGCTGTCTCGCAAAGACCAACCATCGCCCATATCTTGCTCGGCTTTTCGTGTGGCAGCACAACTGTTCGTATTGCCGAGGATAGTTTATGGGTTTCTGGCAGTTCACTTTTCCATGCTATTCTTCTGTCCGCTGTGAGGTATCCTGACAACGACGGGGAAACCTTTAGCTCCTGGATGTCCGAAATTAAAACCAAGTGTTGGGGGGTCCTGCAGAAGCTCTGGACCTCTCCCCTGACACATGCAGTGGTCATGGAGGAGTTGCGCATCAACGAGCTTCTGTTCGTGGAAACGCCTGCGCTGATGCCGATCAGTCCTGACACCCCCTGGGACGGACTTTCTCTTGGGGAAGCACTTTCAAAGCTAACAACAGGAGAACATACACCGTTCTTCTACGAATCACCTGCGCGAGCATTACAAAACTTCCTACAGCGACGTGCCGCATTTCTGGACTACGAATCACGAGAGCTTCGTCTGACGGTCAAAGAAGGAATGCCAACCATGAAGTCACGAATCCAATCTGCTCTGTTAGGTACGACAATACGACCTGGCGAAGACCCCATTTCGAACGCTACTGTATTCGATCTGTTCGACTTCATAGAAATGAACTACCCTCAGAGGGGTGTTCCGGAGCACGTTTTGCTTGAAGGCATCAACCTTGCATCCTGCCAAGAAGAAGAAAATGGAATTGAGCTCTTCTCTAGGCCATTACTAGAGCAAGTCCTCCTGTTGAAGTTGCGATTTTTCAAGAGAACCGGACAATTTAAAGATGAAGAAGCGGAGATTGACTCGCAAAACACTGCGATCGCTCTATTAATAGCGTTTGACGACTGGAACCGTCGCGCACAGCTCATTCACTACCACAAAGAGATATTGCAATCATGGGTACAGCTGCTGATGGTCACGCTCACTGCATGTGAATTTGATACCAGTTCGCGTACCGCATTCATTCTCCAGACCTTGCAAGTCATACTGCCGAAACTCGAGCTATCTTACAATGCCGACATATTCACTGCACTTCAATTAGCGAGCCTTGGTGAAATACTCATTCGTAACATCGACTTCAACTCGACCGCTTTCGAGAAAACACGAAATGGCGATTTCGCCAATGATCGTCTCTCTCAACTATTCCGCGCTGCGCTTGTCGGCATTTACAGCCCCGTTTCAACGATCGAGCTCCGGGAGTACTGCTACCAGATCTGTTTCCGCTACATCCATGGCACCTTCGAGAAAGCTACCAAGGGCTCCCTCCTCGGTCGACACACCCTGAGCACGGTTAAGAACTGTGGTAGTCACTTGATCGAAGTCGTGTGCGATGATGCCTACAGCGGACAAGGCATGTGCAAAGTTTCAGCACTTCTCCTCCTCCAAGCCCTTGTCTCTGTCGCAGCCCGCCAAGAGTCCAAATACATACTCGAATCCTTCGTCTCCCTCAACTTCATCGGCGTCCTCATCGACAACATCAAGCACATCCCCGAAGAACTCAAAGCAGCCGCCGCGCCCCAAGTTCCCGCCCTCCTTTCATATTACGATGCCAGCCTCGCCCTCCTCCTGCGCATATGTCAAACCCGCATCGGTGCCGCCTACGTTCTCAACGCCAGCCTCTTCTCCTCGATCCGGGAATCCCGCATCTTCGACGTCGATCCAGATATCGGCCTCGAATTCGACAACCCGAACGCGCTCAAGAAATACTACGAACTTATGCTTGCCGTGCTCCGCGTTATCAATGCTGCCGTCATTGCACGCGGTCGACAGAACGACCAGACTGTTTTCCAGGCCCGCGAGTTTTTGAAGCAGAGTAGGCATAGCATGGTTGCCATCTTTAAACGCAGTGTGAATGTGGGATCTGGGCTCGGACAGGATCAGGAGCTTGTGCAGGATCTGAATGATCTTGTTGATTGCTTTACCGTGCTTGTGGATATTACTGGATTCTTGGAGGTATGTTGTACAACTTGTTTTTCTTTTTTTTTTCTTTCTCATGCCTTTCCCCCGCTCCCCGCCTCTCTTCCCCTCTGTTACAACCATTGACGAATGCTAACCGTTCTTTTCTCTTTGCGTGTATAGTATGAAGATTCGTCGACTCAGAAGATGGCTCGCGCCAACATGTTTTCTTAGCCTACCGGGCCTGCCTTTAGGATGGAATGAGACAGATAGATGGAGAAAGAGAGAGACAACAGAAAAAATGGGCGAATGCTGTGTATCTCAACAGCGATTTTTCATCGCTTGCAAAGGGAGGCGGATAACGAACACTTCGTGTTTGAGGAAGCGTAGTATAGCGTTGTCATAGTTTCATGTCGTTGGATATTGGGAGGAAGGGGGGTTAAGAGAAAAAGAAAACCCCCGTATAGGAAAAGCTGGTGATATAGCGAGTTCTCATTAATCCAATCCATCTCAAATTAAATCTTTCAAACCAATCAATCAATTGTGAGTCCCATATATCATCTTTTCTCTGATCTCCCTCGGTTCTGTTTACTTCGAAAATGCCTGTCCTGTCCTGTTTTTTTTTTTTTTTTTTTTTTTTTTTTTTCAGCGTCAAAAGACTCAAGACCCCAAGGCGAGACAGGCAATCAAAAAAAAAATCAACAGTAACGTAACAACAACAGTGTGTCCAATCATTCATTCATTTGTTATAGATGATAGATACGCTTGCAAAAACAAAAGCAAAAGAAAAGTAAAGCGGGATGAGCAAGAGACCAAGCCATGAGAGAGTTTTTGCATATATATATATATATATATATGGTACGGTACGTACGGTCGATAAGAACAAACACATGTATATGTATGTATATCAAAAAAGTCGAGTCATGGAAAGAAGAACGAGGAAGAAACAAGAGATTTTTCATGTTGATTATAAACAGAAAAAGAAAGGGAGGGAAAAAGAGGGGTATGAGAGAGGGGATTAAACATGTAGTATATACGTCAAGGGAAGAATAGAAGAACCAAAGGGGGGAAGGGAAAAAGGGAAAACAATAGCGGGTATACAACTCCAAACCAAAACGACATGGAAAAGCAACATGAACCGACCCAACGAAGAAGAAGAAGAAAAGAGACCGCCCGTATCGTAACGTAAACACGAAGAAAGAGAGAGAGAGAGAGAGAGAGAGAGAGATCCCTTCACGAACCCACCCACCACCAACTTACGTAGCCCTGACTCTCCCAAAACCACGACTCAAAATCGCATCCATCTCCTCTTTGCCCAACTCCTCACCCACAACCGCCCCACCACTCCCTCCGCCACTCTTCCTCATTTCACCCCCAGCATCACCATCATCCCTTCTCTCCCTCAACATGCGTCTGACCTCCTCCTCCCTCCTCTCCCCCTCCCGCTGCTTGACCTCCTCAACAACCCTCCTGACGTCCTCCTCCTCCCTCTTCTCCTTATTGCTCCCGCGATCCCACCCAGCCTGCAACTCTTCGGCCGCGGCTTCTTCGAACCGGCGTTTGACAGCTGGATCCTTCTCCAACGCCTGAAAGACGTCTTCGTCGCTGGTGAAGAAACTAGCGCGGAGCGAGGAGACTGCGAATTCAAAGACGACGACGGAGGCGAGAATCAGGAAGAGGGTTGCCCACCAAGCGAGGGAGCGGCCGAAGGTTTGGATGAGGGAGAGGTGGACGTAGTAGATGGGCGAATGGGGATTGTAGCGGAAGGCGAGGATGATGCACCAGAGGAACCAGCCGCCTATCGAGAGGATGAGGGATATCAAGTTTGTGAGGGTTTTGCTGTGTGTTTCTATAAATCTGTGAAAGGGGGTGTGTGTGGTTAGATTTGTGGGATGTATATAAGGATGGGAGAGGGAAGGAGGGATTGACGAAGGAATGGGGATATACGTACTGCATCTTTAAGTTGATGATGATGACCGAGGCTGTGAAAGTAATTGTTCCGAGGGCGTAGATACTATTGTCGTCCGTGAAAATCGCATCGCCATACAGCCCCAGCATGCAAAAGTACACCACCATGGCCTCGGCACTCGCCATGAACATCCAACCTAGGTAAATACGGAAATTAAACCCGCCGTTGCGCTGACCTTTGGTGTAGAGTTCGGGAACAGCGAGGAGCGTAGATGCCGAGAGATCCTTTTCGAAAATGCCCATGAAGATAACGGGGAGGGAGGTGAAGAGAGTGTTGAACATGGATAGGGACCAAGATTCATAGAGGGAGGTGCCTGTGTAGCCAACGGAGCGTTGGAATAGAGCTTGCGTGATGTAAAATAACTGGAGAGGGTTTTGCATCAGTATGGAACGGACATGTATAGTAGGAAAAATCGTTGTCTTACCATTTCTTTCCAGAACGTCCCGACCGTGTACTTGCACGTGCGGATGTAGTTCCATCTCCCGTGTACGAGTAGAAGCTTGGTAAGGAATCGAAACTGTGCGATTGAATAATCACTTGTTCTAGCAGCTTGCAAACCTTCTTTACCAGTGATGCCAATACCCACATGGGCCTCCTGGATCATGGCAATGTCGTTGGCGCCATCTCCAATTGCTAGTGTGATGCTTTTCTTGACACGCTTGCGGATATTCTTGACGAGTCCTGCCTTTTGCGATGGCGACGCACGGCAACATATGACGGACTCCGCAAGGATGGCTAAATCGTAGAAGAGAATCTTGAGAGGTTCTACTTCATTGATTTGGGCTAGAGTAGGGCCATCGACGACGATGACGGAATGGGCTACAGTCCCTTCGTTGATGGCGAGCACGGCAGCAGCGATACTTCTCTCTACTTCACCTGTTTCGTGATCGAGAACGGTGACTGTGGAGTAGTCTTTGATCAGGCGACACGAGTAGCCAATGTTGATAGCGGTTTCTCTCTTATCGCCTGTCAGCATCCACATTTTGATCTTCGCTCTACGCAGCTTGTCGATAGCCTCAGGTACGCCCTTTTGCAGCTTGTCTTCGATGGCAGTCGCAGCACAGAGCTCGAGATGCTGCTCTATACGATCACCGGCTTCTTCGATCAAACGAGCACGATCGACTAGGCTTGTAGTGGCTTCCAAGTACCCTTTCTTCCAAGTATCATACTCGCCGTCTTCAAGGAAACGGTAACCATAGAGCAGCGTGCGCAGACCTTCTGTAGCGAAATCATTGATATGTTGTAAGCACCGCTCAATGACCATAGCCTCGTCAGAAGCCACGTTCTCATCAACCATCTCATCCATTTCTTCCACCTGCAGCGAGCTCCGTGCCTCCGAATACGCCATTGACGGTCTTTCCAGTCCTGAAGGTCGAGGTGTTTGGGCTGGCGAATCTTCATCAATGGACTGTATCTCGTAATCATTCTCGCGTTCCTTCAGCCACTGATCTACTTCATCGCGCATCCCATGGAGGGATCGCCCGCCCAAGCTCGATCTTCCTATTCCAATCACGCTACCGGCTCTTCCGAAAGAGGGTCTTCCGTGGCCAAGGCTGGCACGAGCGTTTTGAGACAATGCAAGACTTTGACGACCCCCAATACTGCTCTTCCGATCCAACTGTTCGCTCATACGTGCAATCGCATGCTGCGCTTCCATACTCTTACGCTTGTTGGCACGGCGTTCAATCTCCACCATTCTCTTGTTCGCCAGCGTAGCAAGCTTCAAACGCTGCATGACAATGGAATCTGCGCCTTTACACAAGACGCATATACGACGATCGGGGAAACGAACCAGAATCGACATTCTTTTACGTTTACTGGAGAACTCGATGACGTCTAAGATCTCGTATGTCTCTGTTACAGGCTCGGCATTGGTCCCAGACGGCATGATTCGCAGTGTAATGGTATGTACGTCGCGATTGACGACCAGGAAGCCCATGTCTTGGGCGGCTTGGACGAGAGCAAGCTCATCGGGCGAGGAAGCCATGAATCGAGTTGATCCATCCTCCTGGATTTCGGGAAGACAAGTGTGGCACAAGGCAAGTGAGAGTAAGAACATGCGTGCTTTCTTCGAAAACGGTGTATAGGGCCTACGTTGCATATACCGTAGCATATCCCGAGTGAGGAGTTCTTGTTGTGATTTTCCAGGCCTCGCCGATGATTTCCATTTTGCGTCCTGTGTTTCCTCCGAGGAACTCTCGACGGGTTCGATAGCTTCGACAGCTTCCATATAAGACTCAGGGTCTTCAACTGGTGACGTAACCTCCTTTGCCGACCGATGACTCTTCCGAATCGGTTGTTTCCCTTTCTTAGAACCCTTCTTGCGTTTTTTGTGTTTCAACATCTTCTTCTGTGTGTCTTCTAGATCTGCATCGTGGAGCCAGGCCGCCCCACCTACGCTCATTTTTCTAAACTTCATCGAGTTGTCCGTCAGTGTTCCAGTCTTATCCGAGAAGATGTAACTGATTTGGCCCAATTCCTCGTTGATAGTTGAAGTTCGCGGTTCACAAGGCGTATCCGAGACAGGGTCGTACATATCAACATCCGTATGCAAGAAAAACATCTGTGCTACTTTTACAATTTCCAAACTGACATAGAGGGAAAGGGGTATCAGGGTGTTGAACATGATAACAAATGACGTAAAATTCGGGAAGAAGGCCACAGACGAGCCAGCAAGGTAGAACATGGATGATTCTCCAGGTCGCCAGAGCTGGTAGGCGACGGCGTTGAAGATGGCCAAGAGGACAACAAAAACGACGACGAGAATGACGATACGATTGACAAGGACCTGGAGAGCCGGAGACTTGATGCGTGGATTCTTGTTGGCGTTCATGCGAATGCGGCATTCTTCTCCAGAATAGATGACCATTCCCACGGCGTCTGGGGTATTTCGTAGGATGCTGCCACGGAAGATGATTTCATTCAGTGTCAAAGGTGCCGACTTGCCATCGATGGTGACACGGCCTTCAAAACTGTAAAGATCCTGGCTGGGATCCTCGACCACGACCTCGGCTTCGCAAGCAAGGACATCTTCCTGAGTCTCAATTGCCTTGGACATGGATGCCGTTGTTTGCTTGCTCTTTAAATTCGTCTCACCGTCCAATGCCATAGTCTCCACAAAAGCAACACTGTTTTCTCCGTGTGTGTGCAAAAGAATCAGATCGGCAGGTGCTGCTTCATCGCGATCCAATTTGATTATGTCCCCGACGTTGATATCCAACCACTTGACTAATTCCCAGTTCATCTCATCAAGCGACGGAGTGCCCTCTCTACTGTGGTTAGAGTGAAGAGCAGCGCGAAGAACTTTGGCCTCGCGATTATTTTCCGCTTTGTCGAGCCGATATCTCCGCAGGTCATCGTAACCTTCTTTCCCTATAGAAAGAAAAACGAAGAAAAGTAACGGCACAATCGTGGTAAACTGCCCGGTCGTACTAAGTCCAGGGATCATTTGCAAGATTGAAATGCACAAGAAGTAGAAATTGGCCAACTTGGAAAACTGGGCGATCAATTGACGAGGGAGAAAGTTCCAGGCAGAGTATCGAGTAGACCTAATAAAGTTGCTGATATAGGGTTGATTGGTACGCTCATCTGTCAGTGGTTCTCTCCTTGAAGGGTCGAGAAAGATATGCCGTCCATCTGCACTCGGCTTTATATCTTTGATGCGTAGAACAAACTTCTTCGCCCTGAGCCCCCAATCGCTGGCTTGCTGCCAGAATTCAGTCTTCTTCCGCGCTTGGAGCCAAGTGTCATAATTGCGAAGCGCTGTCGGTCCCTTGCCCAACTGAGTCTTGAGCGGATCCGAAGGGAAGTCGGCACGGAGTGGTGAGACAGTAACGGCCGTATTCTCGTTCTTAACACTTTCCGCCTCTTCTTTGACTCCATCCATATGCCCAGAAGCTCCCAGTTGCGCCTTTGATGACCCCGCTCTTTCCTCGAGCTCGATAGGCGCCTCGGATGTATGCGCTTGATGGTGAACATTTTTCCGGAACAGCGCGCTGCGTAACGAGTATCCCCGATTCCGACTTGTGGGCGAAAGAGGCGATTTGGAAGGTGACAGCGGCGACCTATCCTCGGGTGAGATTGCCGTGGAGTGACCCAGCGTAGTCGACACTTCCTCGTGGGATACTGGTTGTGTATTGATTGAGAGGTCTGGCGTACCAGGTCTCTTGTTACCGCCATCGCGCGGCGTCACATCAGTCCCTTGTGTAGAAGCAACACCTGTTCCTGGTCTGGATCGCTGGTCTGGAGCGTGCCTCTCGAGATCGGTGGAGAAGCGCACGCGAAGCGCCGATGCGTCGGTAGATAATCGCGAGATGGAGGGTCTGGAAGAAGCTTCTACTGCGGGAGAAAGTTGCGAGGCAGACGCAGCATTGGGGTCTCTGAGGTCGTCATCGTTTTCGCGTTCGCTGTGGTGTGACTGCCGTCTTCTCACGTCACCACCAAAACCGGAGGGTAGCTCTCCACCAGTCGACATGGCGGCTCACGCATTCGGAGGGAGGAGCGACAGAGGCGGGGCTGCAAAGGTCGTCGCGACGACGTAGCACTCAAGTTATTAGTGAAGCGAACGCTGGCGCGGTTCCATCTGAAGGGCTATCGAAAATGTCGCATACAACGAAGAGTGGATTGCGGTTGCGCCGCGCGTTGCTGGAGAGCTAAGAAGAGCGAGCGGGTGAACGGGCGCTTGTCCTTGTCGTCGTCAACGAGTCTGGCGTGGTCGATACGCACCAAATCTGGGCGCTCTGAACGGCACGATGTGATTGATTGCGTGGTTGGCGCCTCGTGTTTGTTCGGGGGCACTCGACAACTCCACATGGATACCGTCACCAACTCCGCCCCGCAAAAAAAAAAGCCACCCGCCGGTCCCAAGACCGAGTCCAAGGGAGAGACAGATCGGAAAAGGCCCCAAACATCAAGGATCAACCCAAGCCTCGATTCCGTCTGTTGTTTGTATTTGAGATGACTGCTAATTGTAGTTCATTCTATAAATTCTACATGTATTTTCGACATCGTAGGCCAATCCTAGCTTTCTTTACATGATCACAAGAAGGGAGAAGGGATAAAGGGAGAGAACACACGCCATTCCCGCAAGCCACCATGGCGAAAAAGAATGATATGCATTTTCCCCCTAGCCTGTGTACCGCCTGTCTTCTCGCTACACTCTCTTAACAATGTATACTACACATAATCAGACCCCTGTTAGGCTGAATCTCCTTCGCGTGTCCTGGTCCTTCTGTTGCTATTTTTACCCGCTTCTTCCCGCCCGTCATCTGGTGGCAGTCTGACGTACATATGTACATATCCTATGCATGTATACTTGTACTACACACCATCAATAATCACATATGCTCTGCTATGAACTACATTGCCGTGATACAAGCATAGAGACGGCGGCATTAAGCGTATCATGTGTGCCCAGTGCGCCTTGCACATAGCTGCAAAGTGGCGAGGTGGCAACACTTCATACATCTTCATACCAAATCAACAGTCGAACGTTGGGGAAGAATATGACAGAAGCAAACATCTATTTTGCAAGATATAAGAAGAATAATCAAAAAAGCAATTCCTTTTCCGTCTCCCGCTGGGGAAATTCCGAAGGATTCTTTTTGGTTTGGATTGGGGAGCAATGTCAAGAATAGGCTACGAACAGTGCCCCCAGACTCTTGACTCCCGTTTTAAGAATATGGTATATAAGAGAAGACTCCCATCAAGCAAGACCCATCCATCGAGACGGACTATGATTAAGCAAATGCATTTGCAACCACCCCTTACACTTTTCCCCCTCTCTCACGCGCAAACTCGTAATGGTAGATCCCCCTTCCGCAGAACAATGAATAAGAAAAAAGACAGAAGAATGGAAAAAAGCCGTGAGCAGTCTGAATGGTATGGTATGGTATGGTGTGGTATCCGGGTCGTGTCGCTTTCATTAAGATGTGGGAATTCGATAAATGTGAGCAGAGCGCCTTGCAGTATGCGGCATAAATAAAACAGTGTACCCCGATGACAATGACGATGATGATGATCAATGCAGAATGCAAAAGGAGAAGAAAGGGACCGTCGCCTCGCTAGTTTGCTGCCACGCACCAGTGTCGGTGGTACACCCAGGCGCTCTTTTGACATTCTTTGCTGCAGTACTTTGTGCGTCGACAGCGGCGGCATTTGGCAAACTGTCGTGTGTATTCTTCCCACTTTCCGCACTGATAGTAGGCGCACTGCCGGATGCCGCCTCGCGAGTCGTCTTTGCGGCACAGGTTTCGCATCACCACGCTAGCCCAGTACTGCATATCCGATGTGTGGTGTCGAACCGTGAACTTCTCCACAAGAGGGAAGATGTTGTAATCGTCCGGAAGCTCGTACTCTTCCAGTTCCTCCTCATCTTCTACCATGGGCGTCGGGCTACCGGCTTCACCATCCAGCAGCTGGAGATCGTTGCCGATCTTGAGCTTAGGAACAAGGTGGGATTGCTGGAAGTAGGTGCGAAGGTTGCAATACTTTGACACATAAGCGAGAAGCTGGAGCGACATGAGGACATCCTCATCGCGAGGCATAGCCGCAAGTACACCAGCTGTTGCAGTCCGGTCTTGGGCGTAGCGAGGGTACCAAGGAGGAGGCGGGTTGGTATTAACGGCATTAATGGCTGGCTGGGGGGAGAAGTTGCCGATGGGGCCCGCAGCTTGGGTATTAGTGGGATTGATTATGCTTCCATCCAACGCGGGACGGTGAGTAATGTTGAAGGTTTCGTGGCCTTCCTCGACGACATCGGATGGTGCTGGGATGGGCACCGGTGTCGCACCAGCCTCGATCATCTCCGTAGTGTCAACAATGTCCGACATGTTGATGTCGTTGTTTTGGATCCCCACAATTGGCTCGTTTACAGCGGGACCAGCCGTTGCAGGTGCCTCTGCAGAGATCTCTTCCTGCTGTGCATCTACATCAGACTCCCCAGACATGGATAACTGGTGGCGAATGGAAGGGCGACGGCGAGCACGCATGGCTGCTGCCCGCGGACTGGATTGTCGGATCTGAGGGGCATTCGGAGTGGTGGGAGATTCGGGCTGAGATGTGATCTCTCCCTGTAAGGCAGGGAGCATGGAGGGCAGGCGGTCGGCATCTCGCACGGGTCTCAAATTGAAGCCCTCACCTGTCTCCATCGCGGGTAGAGCCGTAGCCAAGGGCTGGGCCATGTTGCGTATGGGACCAATGGGCAACTGGGGGCGGCCCTCGTGGCTACGGTGGTGATGACGTGCTTCTGGGCGGATAGGGCGAGTGAAAGAGGTCCGCTCGGGAGGGGAGCTCAACGAGAATGCCGGAGTAGGTGTGGTGGCGTCTGGGGCGGCCTGCGACTCCAACGGGACGGGGAGGAAAGGCTGAGGGATTTCGATGGGAGGGGGCACAGCACGTCGAGAGCGTTCAGCCCTGTGGCCGGAGCTGGATGAAGCCTCGCCAGAGCGAGATGAGTGATGGCGGCCGGATGTACCAAGACGGGTGTTTCTCCTCAATTCGGCTTCGGCCCTCTCGCGACACTTGTCCACCACTTTGATGTAGTTGTCGAGAATGGTGGCGATGACGGGAACCATGTCGGCTTCGACCACACGTGTTCGCACGTTCTCGGATCCACGAACCCCTATATTAAAGATGCATTGGAATGCGAGATTCCACTTCCACATGTCCATCATGTCCTTGCTCCGGCCCTCTTTGAGGATGCATATCAGACGCTCGATGCCGCCATCGACGGTGAGAATGTCCCGTATCCTAGCAGAAGACGTTGTGAGATAGGCAAGATGGTTCAAGGAGTTGATGAGAGGGAGGGTGGAAGTGCAGTCGAGGGCACGGCGGTCATAGAGGGCGGTGGTGATGCCGACGGACGCCTTGTTGGCATTTGGGATGCTGAAGTTGACCTCACGCATGGTGGGTGATGGTGTGGGTGTGAAGAGGACGAAGGAGTGTCTGCAATGCGCGGGATGGAGGTTGTGGTCGAAGTTGCTTTCACACTCGATCTATCGCGGCATAGAGTAGAAGGGGAGGCTAAATGCTTGATGGTGAGACAAGCAAGCAGTGGGGTTGGCGAGTCTTGCGAGCGGCGGGTTGCAGCAGGTCGCTCAGCAGCACAAAAAGCGAGGAGGCTTATTGGTGCGATGTCCGAAGCAGCGGGAGCAGAACCCGTGCAGTCGAGATGAGAGGCGGCGAAGTGGTCGATGGGAGGTTGTGTGCTGCAAACTCGGAGCAGTAGCGCGGGTGGAAGGTGAAGGGTGAAAGGAGCCCGGGGGGGCTGGCTGGTGGACAAGCGACGCAGGCAGGCAAGCGTGCGGGCGGCGAGATGACAAACGGAGATGGGTTGAGGTTGAAGAGTGGTGAGGATGTCAGAGGTAGCGTAGGCGGCGGAAAGGAGGGAGAAAGGGTGGAGAGGGGCGGTAGATTGGCTGATGGATGGCTGGGACCGGGGTTGATCAGGAGGCTTCGCTATGCAATGGTGTTAGGGGTGTCCGTCTCAGGTTCGGATGGAAAAGCAGGCGGCGAAGGGCAAGGACAAGCAAATTGATGATTAATGCAGGGCACACGACAGGCTGGCAGGCAGGCAGGCAAACAGAGCAAGAGGGCAGTTCCGAGGTGAATTTGTTGTTTCTTTTGTGGTTGCTCTCTCTCTCTGTGTGTGTATTTTGGTCGCCTTGTTGAGGTGCTGGCAGCGGCGGCGGAAGTTGGTGGTGGTGGTTGAAGGGTGGAGAGAGGATGGGCAGAGAGACGGGAGGGGAATGTCTCAGCTTCGGGCGGCCAAGGTGGGAGGGTGCAGCGAACTGCGACGGCGGCTCGCACCGGTGGGGGAGAGGATTTATTGAGTGTGTGGTATCAAGTATATGTAGGATTATGTATGTTGGGTGGAAGTATGTAGTGTGTAGTGTAGTGCAGTGCAGTGCAGTTGTACGGGTATGGGTCTGTGGGGAATGGAAGGGAGTGAATGGTGGCAGTGGGTAATGGATCAATGGTATTCTTAGCACGCGCACGCACGTTGGTTAGTCGGCGGTGGGTTGGGCTGGGCTGGGCTGGCAGGCGAGGCGAGGCGGCGGCGAGGGAGGGACAGAGAGGCAAGAGGCAAAAGGGAATGGGTGAGTGAGTGAGTGAGTGAATGGCAAAGAAAGCGCATTCGGCCGGCTTTGGGCCCTTTGGGACTCGACCCGCCCAATCATCGGCTTCCGCCGCACTTTACGCGCCCCCGCCCATATAAAAGAAACACCGACTGGCTGGGCACTCACCTCCCTCATCGCCCTTCAACACTTAGTTTCTTTGCAATCCTTTCACCGGCTATTTTTTTCTGTCTTTTTTTTTTCCCTTCTCCTCTCCCGTGATGTTGTTGATGACAGCAATCATCTAATCGAATGTCAAACTGACTGACAGACGCATGCAACATGTACATGTACGTGCATAGCTAAGTACCTAGAGTACCACGGAATCACGGATAGGCATGCAAACCAGAACCCCCAAACTCCACGTCTACCCGCATGCACTCCGTGTCCAAAGCACAACCGGCTTGCTGCATTGCCTATAAATTCTGCCATTGTACTGCCGTGGCACCGTCCCACTCGTTCATCCTCATCCCCCACCCATCCATGCCCACATGTGCAGATGCCATGTCATTCACATGCATCCTTTTGCCATTGAATCTGGCCTGGACATCTGCTACTTGTCCACCTAGTATATACCAAACTGACTAGTCCGGACTGCCGACGGACAACAACGCTCCCTCCATTTGAACCCACTGCACACTCCACATGCCCATCTACAGTACAGTACTATGTACATCTGCATGCGACTGCTCCAGTAATCAACTCATGGCTATGTAAGCAGCGGACCCGGCCCTCGTAATGAGGCACCATCACTCTCAGCTGTGTCTCTACGGCGTGGCGGCCGGGGGCTGAAACCTATTTTCAGCTCTCTTCACCCTCAACCCCCAATAACTTCAACCCATATTCCATTCTCGTCTTTTGATTTTTCTTTCGCCTACCACCTGTTCACCTCCATGTATATACATGTACAATCCTCCGCTACAGACTCATGCATGCGCCCATGTAGCAGACCTCGAATCCCCTTCCATCGCACCTCAGCGCCGCGCTGCTTCGACCGTGCCCCCGTTTGCTGCTCGCCCTCGTTTGCTTGATCCAACGCAGGCATCGTTGACCCACAATTCAATACATTTTGTATAAACAGCGGCTGCCAGGGTCATCCATTCAACCCTTTCCCGCTGCCGCTGCAACAGCAACGACAAATCCCTTAGCTTCTATGCACAATGGCTACCCCGAATATTGTTGATTTCGCATCTCCCACCTCGCCTCAGACCCTCCAGACCTCCGACCAGCCTCCGCACGCCGCTTCCCGCGACGCACCCCTTCAACTCGACACCCGCTTAGATGTCCAGTCCACCCCTGGGAGGATGCGCTCCGGGAGCCAGCGCTCTGCTGCAGCTTCCCACCTCGATGGCAACAATCTGCTTTCGCCCACCCTTTCTGCCACTTCGTCCATTCTGCGCCGACGTCCCGCTCGCTCCAATACTGTCCACCATTACCACACCCCGACGCGTTCCACCATAGAATATGAGGAGCCTGGTGCAGAGCCTGGCGTCGATACCAGCAAAGACGCGGATCCGCCCCAGTACGCTAGCTTGTACGAGGAATGCCAGATCACCGTCGTCGACTTCTCCGATGAGAGGGTGGAAAAGACATATCTGGAGAACGATGAGCTGGAGGGATTCCTGTCCAAGCCTCAGGAGGAATGGGTGCAGTGCCGCTGGATCAACGTCAATGGATTGAGCTGGGATGTCATCAAATTGCTCGGTAGCCACAAGCGCTTGCACAGTCTGGCCATAGAGGATTTGATGAACACAAGGGGCCGCACAAAAGCAGATTGGTACTCTGATCAGGTCTTCTTGTTATTGACTCTCGCCAAGCTCGTTCGTGTTCCCGACGACTCCGACAGCAGTGATTCCGATTCCGACGACGACGATGATGACGAGCCAAGGAAGCCAAGCCGGCCTCGAAACCAAGGCTTCTCTAGTAAGCTCGGCCGACTCTTTGGTAGAAAGTCCAACGACCGCGACCTAAATACATGGGATTCTCAAGAAAAGGGTTATGGAAAAGACCGTCCCAGCCGGCCACGAAATCGCATTCCTGGTCAGCATGCTTCTCAGATACGCACATTGCAACGCTTCCGAGGCGGGCCGAATCTCGATAGAACCTTATACATGGAACAGCATTCGGCTCTAACAAGCCGAAAGCTCGCCGTCAGTGTGGAACAGGTGTCCGTGTTTCTGTGTGCCGACAACACCGTCATCAGTTTTTTCGAGCACTCAGCCCCCGAGGTGGAGGAGCCCATCCTTAGGCGCTTGAACAGAGAGAACACCATTCTTCGTCGTAGTGGAGATAATAGCATGATTGCTCAGGCCATCATAGACGCCATTATAGATCTGGCCATGCCCGTAGTAGCGGCCTACGAAGACGCCATGGGCGAACTGGAGCTTGACGTCTTGCGAGACCCCGGCATTACCCACTCCCAGCAACTGTACATATTGATTTCGGAAATCGCTATCCTACGCAATACTGTGCAGCCCATCATCTCTCTCATCAATGCTTTGCGAGAGCACAAACCAGCAGACGTCAACGCCACTCCAGGACCGTCTTACTTCCCTACCCGAAAGGTCATCTCCTCCGTCACCATCTCCCCGCTCGCTCATACCTACCTCGGCGACGTGTTGGATCACTGCTTGATGATCACAGCCTCACTGGACCAAATGCGCCGCGCAGGTGACAGTCTAATCGATCTCATCTTCAACACAATGGGGGCCTATCAAAGCGAGATCATGAAAATCCTCACCGCAGTGACCATTTTCTTTCTCCCACTCACCTTCTTGGTTGGTTACTTTGGGCAAAATTTTGAAGACTTCCCCGCCGTCAAGGACAACAGCCCCCAGTTCTTCTGGATCATTGCAGCGCCTGTTTGCTTTGGGACTGCAGTGATACTCATGGCCTTTCCCATATACCGCAATTGGAAGAAGGTGCGCGGCAGGTGGACCTTGGGGAAGGCGAGGAGGCGTGCGGGGCCCATGGGCGAGACACGGAAGGGTGTCAATTCCGGCATGGCCTTGGCTATGGGCTTGCAGAAAGAGCAGCGCCCCAGCAAGAAAACTAGGAACAACAGCGGGATGAAAATGAAGAAGAGGCAGACTATGTATTCAAAGGGCAATATTGGGTCTTTTTAGAAGGGTCTTACTATCTTGCGTATGTCATGATATCTCCTGTGGTCTTTGACCTTGTCTATTTTCCTGGGAATGCGGTTGCGTTTCCTCGAGATACTTTTCTTTTTAGATTTGGAGGAAAAGATTCTGGCCTCTGCGATATGGCGACTTTTTCTATTCTTTTCTTTTCTTTTGTAGTAGTAAATTACCAATATTATAATACTATTCTCATATGCATACCAGACCCATCACGTTGCCAAAAGACACCATTAGCATCCGAACCTCGGTCACTTCCAGATCCCATCTGCATTCGTACGGAATGGATGTTAGAGTTCATATCTGCTACATAACCACCTTCCACATCTGCCAAGCGTGCTGACCTACCATACCTCAACGAAATCCAGCGCTATATAAAGCAGCACCATAAATAAATGTTATTAATAGGTTTTGAAGTTCGAGTCACGACGATCCTACGCACAGCGATATATAAAGCAATCAACACCATAAATCAAACAAGCCTTTCATTCAATCTCCTCATCCCCCTCTCACAATGCTATCCCCCCGCAGCCAACTCACTGCCGCATCCCTCACTAAACCATGGCGCTACGTCGACCCAGGACCCAGAGGCATATACCATCCAGAAACTAACCCCAACGGCGTCATCACGCAGCTCACGAGCGCGGAGAACCAGCTGGTTCAAGCCGACATCGCAGACTTCATCCGCCGAGAAGTCGTTTTCAGCCAGGATGTGTTGGGGTATAAAGCTGTTTCGGATGGGAGTCGCAGACTGGCGGGGGCGCTTGCAGAGCGTTTGAACGAGTATTGGAGACCCGTCGAGGTGTTGAGTGCGGGGGATGTTGCGGTTGTGGGGTCTGCAACGGCGCTGCATGATGGGTTGGGGTTCTGCTTGTTCGAGGCTGGAGAAGGTGTTTTGGTGTCTAGACCTTATTACGGTCGGTTTGAGATTGACTTCGGGTTCAAGGCGCAGGTCAAGGTCGTTGCTGTGGATTCAACCATTGATACATGTTTTCTTCCCAGCGTGGTGGACGAGTATCAGGCTGCGTACGATAAAGCTCTGTCTGAAGGGATCAAGATCAGAGCTGTTATGCTCGTGAATCCGCATAATCCTTTAGGTATGTGGGTGCTCATTGCCTCCCCTATTTCTCCCTAGTGAGATGGATCAGTGACTGAAAAGTCAAGACTCACAAACATCATGGCTTTCTTCTCACACAAACAAAACAAAAAAACAGGAAGATGCTACCCACCAGAAACCATCCGCGCACTCATGACCTTCTGCCAAACCCACAAACTCCACCTCATCAGCGACGAAATCTACGCCCTCTCCGTCTTCCCTTCAAACACCTCCACCCCAACATATCCATTTACATCCGTCCTAGCCATCGAGCAGCCAGGCATAGACCCAGACCTCCTCCACGTCATCTACGGCATCAGCAAAGGTGAGTCAACCCTCCCCTTTCCCCTCCTCTTTCCCTACAAACCTCCCCCTTTCTAACCGCGAGCACAATAAAACAAATAGATTTCGCCCTCCCCGGCCTCCGCCTAGGCGCCCTGCTAACACGCTCCGCCACCCTCAAAAAATCCCTCTCTTCCATCCTCCGCTTCTGCCCTCCCTCAAGCACCTCCCTCCTCATCGCCTCCACGATCCTCGAAAACCGCGCCTTCTGCGCCTCGTTTATCGAGGCCAGTCGTACGCGTTTAGCGGAAGCATACGCATTCACGACTGCGCGGCTCGATGAAATGGGGATCCGCTACGCGGACGGTACGAACGCGGGGTTTTTCGTGTTTGTGGATCTGTCACCTTTTTTGGTCGACGAAGAAGGGATGGGAAGGGAGGGGAGGGAGCAAGAGTTGGCGGGGAGATTATTGGAGGGTGGGGTTTGCGTCCAACCTGGGGAAGAACATGCGGTTGAGGTTGGGTGGTTTAGGGTTGTTTATTCGGTTGAGAGGCGGGTTTTGGTGGAGGGGTTGAAGAGGTATTTGTTTCCTTCCTTCCTTGTCCTTTTTTTTTCTTACTTTTTTCTTCCCCGTAGAGATGGGGGGTTGGTGCGTGTGCTAACTTGGGGTTGTTCTTATGACTAGGCTTGGTGCTGTCCTCGGGAGATGAATGATTTGATACGAGCAAGTAGATAGTAAATCTCTGCTCTCGAGATCGCAATGTCTCGATATCTCTTTAGGGCATGTCTACTTTTATACATCTCCCCGCCTCAATTCATATATACATGTCTTCGTTATTGCCAAAATATGTCAATACATATACCGCAATGAAAATCACAGGTTCGGCAACTCTACACCTGGTGATTTGTTTAAAAAAAAGCATCAACTATCACGAATTCCAACAGGCTCAAAACAACAAGATACGCCAACTACAAAAAAATTCGCCGAGTTAGTGAAGGAAATCGGGCGGAAGAATAGGGAAATACAGAGTCGGTGGGAATCGAGGGGTGTGCTTAGGAAAAAAGAAAAATACGATTATTCTTCTTTTTCGGCTATGGTATGGATTCTTTTCAAGGGTGATGATGATATACATCCTTGTTGAGGTATTAACTTCGCCTGCGTTCAGCAACGGGAAATGAAAGGAATTTGCTCTTTTTTTAGGAGGAAACGGGGGGAGGTGGCGGAAGTGTTTGTGTACCGGTTGATTGAAGGGAGGGTATCTGCAGGTATGGAGGGATTTACTCGTGGACTTAAGAAATGTTATATACTCAAGTGTATTTTTGAGCTACTTCTACCTCTATGTACTTCTTCATTCAAGTCCAATCGATGCAGTATCTTGCATTTGTGTATGTGTATCGATATATGGTTAGGCCGCTGGTTCTCTTCGCGGTGACTAAATAAAAGAGATATCTTTTATAATCAATTAAACTCAACAACCACCTCCATAGTCCAGCTTCTCGGTCAATTCTATAAACAGGTATATTTTATAGTAAAATTTCGGGTATTCATAGCGATATGTTTATAATAACAGAGATACTAACGAAAAAAGAAGGCGATTAACAAGATGAATTGTCATTCAAATCAATTGTTCGTTTTTCCCTTGAACGAAAAAAAGGATGGTTTTCTGTCTATGCTCAGGATTCAGCGAATATCGAAAGACTCCAAGGGAGAACAATATCGGATCCGGACATCACCATACTCACAACATCCTCGGCTCCCCAGCAGCAACGAATCGCTCAAGACCGAACCTAGCAAATCTAGCATTTTCCACATTCGATCAAAAGAAAAGTCTCGAACGACCAGGAATCTCTCCTCCGTGACGTCAATCGACAAATAGCAGCAGCAGCAGCAGCACTACCCTACCTACATCCAGCTCCCCTCAAACGGCAGGTCGCCGTTCGAACTGGCCCCAAGGCAGATTCCTCGCCCTGCTTCGCAATCACAACTAATACAACGGTAATGCGGCGACACTTGCAAGTGCAACTGCATCCATTAATCCTGTGCAACATCTGGTAGTTGGCAAGGGCTAGATGAGTGAGGGTGGGATGATTTATTGCAGGACTCCATCATAAGCGGACCTTTAATTTGCGCTGCTGCCTTCTCGATCGGGAAAGCTGTTTGTAGCACGCAGGGGTGGGGGGCTTTTTGTTTTTCTGCCCCAAACTGTTGTTCCTAGCAAAAGCAAGGGAATGTAGGTGTCTGTGCGCGGTGGTTAGTGTAGCGTAGTGGGCTATTATTCCGTAGACACTATCACCTGTTATAGTTGTGGAGAAGGAGTGTGTAGGATGTATGGGAATGGAGGGAAAAGTATATATATAATGAGCAAGAAGTCCACGGGAAAAGGCTCATCATCAGTGGTCTGTTGTTTTGCCATTTGAACATTGATTCTTGACAAGAACCATCATCTTTGCATCATCAGAATCGAAACTCATTCTCTTTCTCAAGTCCAAGAGCCCTTCCTCAAACCCAAAAATGCATTTCTCAGCCCTCCTCACAACCTCCCTCCTAACCCTCACCGCGCACGCCAGCGCCCTCCTCCCCCGTCAAGGCCCCGGCTGCGACGCCATCGTCGGCCGCGGCTACATCGACGTAGTCCCCTCATCCACCGTCGACATCCTCGCCCCCGTCGACGCCGCCTCGATCCGCGGCTGTCTCACCGCGACGGGCCTCTGGACTCTCGACCGCAACAAATGCGCGACCTTCGACCACTGGAGCCAAAACGAGCCTCTCAAGTCCTCGGCGGGGACATGCACCGACCTCAACCGCGGGCAAGCAGAGGGGAAGGGTCGGTACGCTTTTTGGTGCGGCGCGGGGAGTTTCCCCGAGTTGTGGGCTTATTCGACGTTGCCGGCTGGAGAGGGCAAGTGTTGGATGGAGTTTTATAATATGCAGATCAAGCTTGAGGGGGATAGGTCGCCGGTTGGGAGTGAGGAGGTGCCTTGGTTCTTGAACTCGAAGACTCATGCTGTGACGCTGTATTTGGTTTGGAATAGGGTTTGAGTATGGTTGGCGAGGTTCTGTTTTCTTGGACCGGGGATTATGGGGAGTGGTGATGGAGGGGGGTTTGTAAGCAGAGCTGTGTTCTTTGTACATACACTATATGGTATATAGGGAAGAAGAACGAATTGGCAGTCACTGCTCCTGTTGCAACGGATCTTGCGTGTGCAATTATTTTGAAGTTTGTGGGTTCGCATATGTGCTTGTATGTTGTCAGCTAAACCCTGGGGTGAGATTGATCTGCCGTAAGATTCCTGGGGGTTTGATCAACAGCCTTGGTTCAAGCTGTGCGAGCACCGTCCATTTCTTCTGGCTATCAGCTAAAATGTCGTAGAAGACTGATATAACAATAACATGGGTGACACTACACAAGCCAGTCTCATGATCAGCGTATTCAAATCTTGAAAGAATCGAACTAGAATCAGCAAGTAGAAAGCCAGTCTTGTCATCACTAACTCAACTGATGTACCGAAAGTTGCAAAGACAGAGATGATGTGGATTTTGTAGGTATGTGATAGTATGTTATCAGTTACAAAACGGCATCACAATCGCTCTCAGTATACAGTGGCAAATGAATAGGAGACGACAATGATAGCTATCACCGATTACTAGTGCAACGCGGCGCATAACCCGAGGAAAATAGGATGATTGTCTGGTATACTATTGTTTCAACCTTCTGCTCTAGCTGTCATATCTCGGCATTTTTATAGTAAATCTAGCCCACACACCACTTTTCATCCATCGTAGCGAGTGATATTTGTATGGGACACGCAAATGGATGTACGATTAGTTATTTTGGATATAATGACAACCCAGTAGCTGGTGGACATGTGGAATATACTTTGCTGTCCATAATTTGCTTAGCTCAACTTAGACAGTGAGATCCATTAGTCAAGAGCGGAATATAGGGTAGGATAGCCTAACCCGGTTCACATCATTGCGGCAGATCGGCAGGGGTATCGTGGGGAGTGTAGTCTTCTATCTAGCGTTCAGCACTTTTCCCGCTGGCTGTCTGTATCATCGCTCAACATGCTGAGGTATTCAAATCACTCTATCCCTTGTTCAGTTGAGGGCGATGCTACTTCACATTGCATCTATTCTTTTGAGACAAATCACAATCTAGGACGCCCCACCAAAAACGTCGGATATCTCTTGTCAGTTCGCAGCACCTCCCCACATCCCGCATTATGCACACCGATGTTTGTTTCCCATACTACCCTGACCGGGGACCCTGATGTTCCTGAGTGCCATTGTGTTGAAAGGAGGGTTGACGGGTGAGATACGAGACGGGCCTGATTGGATCACTAGAATGGGCTAGACCTGATAGCTTTCTGAATGCTACCTAAGTGTAGATATGTAGACGGAAGAATGGGCTAATGAATGAATAGCACCGACTGAGTAGTGAATCTACTCTATCCGAGATAGTCGAAAACCTGGCATAGGCAGATATAGGTAGGATGGATATGTAGGACAGCGAGATCGGCAGGGGATACTAATTAGCGAACCTCTGGATAGCCTATTCCCAAATGCCAGAATGCTGTGTTGACTCAAACAATCGTTTACTTCACCTGCTTTGTTCACGAGTGATCGTAGTTTTGGGCCAGGTTTAATATTCACACAAAAGGTCGTCCCTCAGGAATACTTCAAAGTCATCAACAGCCTTATCTCTACGAAAGATATACTCAGACCAGCATCCTATTCGGGACGGGAGACCACGCGGAGATGATTGCACATGGTGCAACCTCAAAAAGGAAGGTATCGTGTGGATAAGCGCTGATCTTAGATTACCCATCCTACCCCGGCATTTGAGCGAATGAACGCCGGCAACGGGACTTTTGTACCTGCAGATCTCTCGGGCGAGATGTTTACTCGTGATGCGTGGTGTAGGTAGTGTGATTGTGGGTGGTAATTGAGGGCTTGGTAGTTGTGTCGTGGTGTTGTAACGAGAGTTTTGGTGAGCGGGTTGCCTCTTTTTGGCCCGGTGGGATGAGGAATCATATTTGGACGGATTGAACAGTGATTGACGAAGGGGTCACGCCGGGATGTATGCGCAAATGTCTTGGAGCTGGGGCATGAGAGATTATGCCGGTACTGGGAATCCAAACACGTAATACTGAGGTAGTGGAACCTAGGTACTTGGTAGTTCTATGTGTAACTCTTGAATGAGCCACGACTTCAAGACTCAATGTGTAACTCTTGCGCACTCAGAATACGCCACCTATTGTGCATGAACTTTGTTCTATGAAATAGTCTCAACACGATCTTGACTCATCAGCAACCTCAAATGTTCTTCCCCATTCTTACAATACGACACGTGGGGAAGAGTGAAAGACTAGCGGATTACTCATTTGGGACTGGCGTATCCTGCTCAACAGAGTTTATGTAGCATTCGAACACCACCACCGTGGATTACATGCAGTATCCGAAAGTTTGAAGTGCGTTATCACTCGTGACGCCGCGTGGTCTTATGCGCTGTTTCTTTATCCAGACGCCTGCTCCAGAGAAAACTCAACATCATCTATTGGCCGGGTGCACATGCACACGTTGACCCCATCAGTATGTTTCCTGGTAACTCTGCGAATCTGAGACCTGTCAATCTGTAATATGTGGAGAACTTTTGCCGTCATATGCTGTTGCCGTGATCCATGTTCAACTCACAGGGGAGCTTGGACGTCCGCAACCACGCAATACGGGGCGTCCGAAATTTCTAAAACATCATTTTTCTTCACGCGGTACTGACTCAAGAGGGGAATCATATCAAATGACTGATAGATGTTCGAATTTGAGATAGTCGTTAAGCTGCCTGGTGCTAAAGTTCCACCTGCTACCTACCTTTTCCCAAACTGAAGCCTAAAGAACCATGTTTGCCCGCCTGTCACCCATGGGCGCTTGGAGTGAACCAGGTGCCCGCGTCGAGTTACATTTCCTCGTTGAAACTAAGCTGATGAAGAGTAGAGGTTGGCCGTTGCGACACAACCATGTCCACATATATCTGCAAAAGGCAGGCGGCTTGTCAGTGTCAACCACACATCGACGTAACTCAACGCCCTGTGAGTCTAAGACTTGCGCCACCACCCCAACAGCTGCCCTTCCGACATCATGGTAACCTTTCCGGTGTCGGCAATGCCACCCCTCCATTCTTCCATTTGCACAGTGTGTTCAATCTCCCAGGCGCTCAAGATACGCGCATGTATATAAAGTCTGGTGACGACCCTCGAGATTCTTTCGTAGCAGAGTAGTCCGAATATCCTTCTTCCATCCCCTATACGTATTTATACTATCATTTATCATGGCAATCTTTCAATCCATAGCTTTGCTCAGCACCCTTGCGGCTTCAGTCCACGCTGGTTTCAACACAGGGAGCAAATCCAATGTAGTTGTTTACTGGGGCCAGGTACACTCGTTTTTTCTAAATGTATAATCCGGACTTCAACTCACTATTCTACAGAACTCCGCTGGTCAACAGAGCACACAAACACGCCTAGCGGATTATTGTAACGGTACAGTCTTCCATCGCCCTGACTAAATATATTTGGAAATTCACTGACTGAGAAATGCAGACTCTAATATTGATGTATGGCCATCGTTGCCACCAACCTAGCTGCAAAGCTGACAATCAAATCCAGGTTCTCCTACTCTCTTTCCTGCTCCGCTTCAACGGTGCGGGCGGCCAGCCAGTACTGAACTTTGCAAAGTTAGTTTTTCCTGATGCAAGGTCGTCTTATGCCGGGATTCCACATATCCCAGCATTTTGACGCACCAGTAATCCATTGAAAGATGTTTACATGAAACATACTGACTCCTTATAGTCAGGGGGACAAATGCAGCGTCTTCCCGGGAACTGAAACGTTCTCATGCCCGGAAATAGAGTAAGGAAACCAGCTTTTTTTTTCACACAATATATACTGACTTCCCTTTGTAGAGCCGACATCAAGACTTGCCAAGGAAAGGGAAAGACAATAATGCTTTCCCTTGGAGGCGATAGTACGGATGCCCTTCCATTTCCTCACATCAGAAACTGACGCGATTCTAGGTTACAATGAAGGTGGTTATACCAGCGCAGCTGCCGCAACAGCCGGTGCAGAGAAACTTTGGGCCCAGTTCGGTCCCGTTCAATCTGGCTCTAGTGGTGAGTTTTTCCGTCATGGGTCGAGACTCACGAAATACTAACTTCAATTCTAGTACGTACAAAGACATCTCTTTTCAGAAACTCACTCCCGATTCACTTAGTCATGAGACCCTTCCCACTCCCAAAATACCCGAAAATTCACAATATTGAAATACTAAAGATTCTGACTCCATTCATACACAGGCCCTCCGCCCCTTCGGCACCGCCGTCCTTGACGGCTTCGACTTCGACTTTGAAGCCAACGTTGCCAACATGGCGACCTTTGGCAACCGCCTCCGCTCCCTCTACTCCACCTCGACGTCCAAGAAGTACTTCCTCAGCGCCGCGCCCCAATGCCCCTACCCTGACGCCTACAACCGCGACATCCTCGACAACGTGCCCCTCGACTTCATCAACGTCCAATTCTACAACAACTACTGCGGCGTCAACTCGTACGTCCCCGGAGCGACCGATCAGTGGAACTTCAACTTCGCGCAGTGGGATACGTTTGCGCGCGCGAGCAAGAACCCCGCGGTGAAGATTCTGTTGGGGGTGCCGGCGGCGCAGAGAGCGGCTGGGAGTGGGTATTTGAGTCCTAGTCAGTTGGCGCCTGTTATTCAGTATAGTGGGCGCTTTGCCAGTTTTGGCGGTGTCATGATGTGGGATGCTTCGCAGGCGTTTACCAACTCTGGGTTTTTGAGTGCGGTCAAGAGTTCGTTGACGAGCTTGAGGAAGAGGAGCATGAAGTGGGGTGTGAGGGCGGCCGAGGAGTAGAGTCGCTGCGAGGAAGTCTGTGGACTAGATTGGCACTTTTCGGTTCATGGCTTGTTTTTTGTGTGGTTTTTCGTCGCGTACCTATGCCGATGCGGAGGTTGTCGAGGGTTTGGGTTTATTCATTTGGGATGCGTTCTTGTTGCCATGGCATGCTAGGCAATTCGCTGATTTTGGTCTTGCGACCATTGTATATATCTTATTCAGACTGGCAAATCGTATATACTTATTTTCTTTTATTGAATCTATCATACCTGCCCGGGGTCCTTGCACTGCCTTTCCCAGAGCTGCTTTCGGAGTGCATTTAGGACAGCCCGACTTGGTGTCGCTCTCAATATCCGTGGGAAAACCGGCGATAGTAAGACTTCGTCGGTAGATAGTCCCTTCAAGTATACCTAGATTACTAATTATGTCAAGTCTTTCAATGCGGATGATGTGTCCTGCTATCCTACTCTACACCAACAAGTGAATAATACTCTGTCCAGCATGCATAGCTACTAAATCTAAGCTTCTTTTCAAAGATCTATATTATTAAAAATCGACAACTCCTGCTGTATTTCTTTAGACAGACTCGGTTTTGCATGGAAGACAAGGTCGGGGCAACTATAAGCCGTGGGGATTACTGTGTCCCTAGCGTCCACTGGCGTAAACTATTCTGTTTTTGTTATATAAAGGGAAAACTCTACTATTTTTATCACCAATAACTACAATGCTATAGTTTAATTTGTCGTTGTTATCTCGGAGAATTTGGAGTGTGTCAGAGTTGCTGGCGAGACTCTAAATGTCCGCCTACAGGTCTCGTGCAGTACGTGGGACTTTAGAAGATGAATCGTACTGTACGTGCACAAAATTGGAATTCTGAAAAGTATCATATGTGGCATTGAATGCGTGAAATCTATCATCTCTATGTAATAGTACAGGTATATGAAAGCGCGTGTGCTCTTGTACATGGTGGTGTTGGGTTATGTCTTGCCTCGATCAAGACCTTGTCAGTGGCGATTTGACAATTCTACTCTGCTTATTTTGCACCTCTGGGCTTCCTTCGAAGGATCGGGTTTCATCATCCATTTCCTCCTCGGTGCTAATGAAGGATACATGTTGTACATGCCCGTGACATTTGACGGCTGATAGACGTCATATCTATACGTCTAAACGTTATGCTTTTGCTTGCATTGATCGACTGTGATGTTCGATGGAATTTGTGGATATCTGACAAGACTGTATCAAAGATATACAGCGTCTCATCCCGGACTCGATTTTCATTGCTGAGAGCTTGATCTCTCGATGACTCGAATCGATGGTGTGTTGTTCAATACTGTGAACCAGAACACTCATGTTGATGACTTGATCAGGATGCCAGGAGATTCTATCGGGGATTCTTGATCCAGCCGTTGCTGCTGAAGCAATGTATGAAGGAATCTCGTATCGTTGGGATCGGTAATGGAACGGATTTCTTCGAGGTGGCCGCGTATCCAGTCTAGCAAATCAGGGGGTAGGTCGGAAATCGTCGAGAGGTTTTGAAGCTGGTAGTAAATAACGAACAGACCGCTTGCTCTAGGTGAAGCAACCATGAGCACACTAGCTGGTACGTCCATGGTATTCGGAAATGTCATGCCCTCCATATTGAGAAAGTCGCTGGTCTCCCCCAGCTCGAATTCTAGACTCTTGAAGCTTGTGCCAAGTTCGCCGTGTTTGCCAATGTTCGGCATAGATTCGCAGACTTCTCTAGCAAGATCTTTGACGGCTGTCGTAGACGCTGCTTGTTGGTACGCAATGGACACTGATTCAGGTTGGGTGGAAACGAGCTTATCGCTTGGGTCAGTACCAGTCGAGAGTAGCATAGAGCACTGAGCAACGATGATCCGATGGAGGTGGAGCCAGCATAAGCGTATATTGTTCCAACAGTGTACTCTCAATCGAGTCTCGTTCTCTGGACGCGCGTTAGCCAGAACCCTTGGATCATTATGGCGCGGGCATCCAAATACCAAAAAACATACCAAAGAATGGCGCGTCATGAAAAGGGTCTCCTACAGGTGGCGGGAGAAAAATGTTGCTATGTCGACTCATGTTGGGAGCACTCATAAGCTTCCGTGTACGATCATGGATACGCAATCCTTCGGCGATGATATCTCTCGGAGAAGAAAGTGCACCACTGCTAAGGGAATGCCGGAAGCTCATGTTCTCTATGAGTAACTCGACCATCTGAGCGTAAATGGAGTCTGTTTGCTTTTGTGGACCTAGCTCGCTGAAGAGGGTGTAGAACTCGGGTGGAAACCCTTGATTTCCTACCCAAGACTCTCCAATAACACAGTACATGATGGACTTGAGTAGCTTCTCATCTACATGCTTGTTTTGCTCCAGTAGCATGCATGCTATCGAAACAGCGCCACGTATATGTCTGGAGAAATTTCTGTAGCCTTCTTCGTTGGGGAGAGCCATGATTTCAAACATGGCTAGAAGAACGACTGCCGTGACCAGTGCGTTTTCATCGTCTCCCAGCTTTGAGCTAGACAACTTGTGATTTATTTCTCGTACCGCAGCCATATAACTTCTTGTGGCCGTCATGAGTAGATCAGGGCGCTGTGAGACCCTTGCGTAGCCAGCAAGTCCAACGGCCTTGAGACTCTGCTGTAGTTCGGATGAGCTACGACCGCCTGTGGAATCAGCCAGACCAGAGACCCAGCCGAACTGTGCTGTATCAGGATTGTTGCCGACGTAGATGCGCATGAAATAGTTGACAGCTAGGTCATCCAGAGATTCGCATATCACGACATTGCTTAAAGACTGCTGTATAGCTGCTGTCTGAATCGTCTGTTTGGTTGGAGGTGTTATTGATCTCGAGCGAGATGAAGCGGGCTGGCTTTGCTGTCTGCTCTTTTGGGCTGCTTCTTGGGTCTGATCGAAGAACATGAGATCCATAGTATTCCTGTAGCCCGAGCATTTTCTCTTGGTCCTCACACATTGTCCGCAAGAGGGTACAGCCTGATCGCACTGAATTGCTGTCAGAATTTAGACAAACATGATTGGATTTCGAAGGATGACACTGCTACGCCGTGCAGTAAGAAGGCAGTTTGAGTAGTTGACTCGATTGGGACAATGAATGAACATTATACATACCCTACTTCTCTTCTTCCTGCATTCAAGGCATGCACTTGATGGCTTGCCCCTGTAAACCATGGCGAGGGAGGGTCGATGTACTGTGAGAGAAGGTCGCAAGTCTACCGTTTTGGAGATGCGTGATAGACCAAAGGTATGATGACCTCAAGTACCACCTGCATAGCTCTCTTTACATAGTCGCAGCAGTGGGTAGGCTGGTGGCCCCTTAAGGTAGTGATAGAGTGTGGGCCTACGGGACCGGGGCTGTACAAAATGAACAAGACCCTAGTCCTTGTATGGAACTGGTCGGCTATTAAGAAGGATGTGGCCAATCGCATGGCAGAGTAAACGGAAACACTAGGTAAGCCGACTTTCAGCTACTAGCCGGAGATTTACGCAGTCCAAGGTAAGAGTTTGCGAAGCGACGACTTTGCCCCCAGGTGGAACAAGTATTGTGTTGACGTGTGAGTAAGTTTGCGAAACCACTGACCAAACTGCAGAGTGTTTGGAGTTAGCGCCGTCAGGCGTATTTGACCGTCGGGATTCAATCTTGAAGGAGTAAAGCATCAGAGCATTGGCTAAAGCTTGCATAGAGGATAGTAGGACTCTAGCACGCCCTCGCATCCAGTCTGCTATGAGAGTTGGCTGTCGATCTCCGCACAAGGGTGAGCGAGGACAAGGTTGAGCGGATGTGAAAGAGAGAAGCGAGCAGGGGATGAAGTGGACGGCTCGTGAATTCAACGGTTATTAGCCGCTACCGGTACCACGGCTTGGTGTTCAAGCCAACATCACGACCCCCTTGGATCAGAAATCAAACCACAAGGCACGATCGGGGCTTGGGGCCTAATCAATTGGTATATCACAAGGCAGCATTGTGCTGCTCGGCTTCTAGTCATCTTCTCCTGGCCGTGTCGGGGATTTTTCGCACACATCTCCGAGTAGCGCAACACGTCCGCTCTACCCTGGTACCCTTCCCTTATAACTACACGTCGTATCAAATTGATTTGCCCGGACATTGGAAACGAAACTGCCTGACTCCACCATCCTGTTACTCTATCATGAGGATGATGTAAGCGATGAAACCCCCATACATATGTGATATTGGACATTGAGAAGACATGCTTAACTCCAGCTCACCTCGGCACTCATGGTCAGAGGATTCACTATTTGGCGTACGCTATTCTCTTTCCAGTTGTGCAGCTATAAGACTTGCTGTATAAAACAGCAGGATCAGCATCCATGTTCTCGATCAAGCAAGTAATGAAGACGCTAGCACGCATTGCCCGCTACGGCAGCGTGGGGTCCACGAACGAGTACAAAAGTAGAAGTCTATTCGTAGCTAACATGTTAGAGCCTTGTTTCTACCTTTTTCCGCTAGTAACGAACAAGCACGAATGGAGAACACCACAGTATGCCGAAGGATATCGGCGTCCATGGGATTCATAGGATTCCAAGCGTCAATATTGTGTTGAACAATCCTTTCTGGTCGGCATCTTTTGATCCATCGGCATAACCGTCGGAATCTTTTGATCCTAGTGTATCTGGATTGTCGGGGACATGATCAGAGGATTAACCTCTTCAAGGGCGACATACGACGCATGAGTGGGACTCAAAATATCGCTAAAGTTAGACTTCGAAGCGAGCATAGTAAACAGTTAACCAAGCTGCGCTACCTTCCAACAAGGCAATTCCCCCAACCACCCACCTTGTCCTTACGCTTCATCTGATCACACTATCCTGGCATGGCATATCTAAACGGATAATACCGCACATCATCGTACCAATCCTTCCCCGTCGGATAATTCCGCACACCAACTCACATGCGGCCTGCAGTATCCTAACAGCTTCAAAAGAGTTGCCCAAGGATTATAGTATGAAACGGAAGGATCTTCCTTGCCTACCGTCGATTGGCACAAACCCCCACCCGGTTCCCCCATAGTTCAAGGTTCAATACTTCCTTCCCGTCTCACGCCCTTCCTCGACAGCCTCGCATCTGTGCTTAGTATTCCAACTGTTCCTCGGGACAATTATTGTCCAGATCGAGTTCTGGAAGACGTAAGGCGTACTCTGGAAGCGAAACCGGACGCAATCCGGCGAACTTTCGTCCTTTTTTCACGGCCGTAGAGTATGGTTAAGGATATGACGTGTCAATTCTCAAGAAAACAAGGAATTAGACGTATAACCATATATCAGTGAGCACATTGGTGTAACAGGAGTACTGGCGGGCCCATAAACATCAACATATCTCGGGACGTTGCGAATAGCCGTTATGCTATTGAATGAAACACGGCAGCTGTAGTGAAGCAATACTCCTCCCCAAATCGTATTATCCACGAAACATTGCAAGAGTAGCCATTATCCTAAATCGGACATGCAGTCATGAGAGACAGTTTCCCGCGGGAGCACGATTCATTCGTTCCAACAAAGGTGGCTCAGTTTCATACGCGGCGAGAGAGTAGCTGAAAGAGGCGGAGCTTTGCGAATGAGCATCGGGGACCGTGGAATCCTATCCCTACCGCATCCCCCGCTTTTACATCAACCCTGCTTACACAAAAGTGCCTGAACTCAAATCACCCATCTCAATCCCCGGTCCCGATCGCTCACAGAATAAACCACGCCATCATCTCTACAAACCTGGATTGTTGAGGCGCTGCGCCGCTGTGGACCGGCAGTTATACCTTACCACGTAAGTCGCTTCGTAGCCAGGCCGCGCGGAAGTCATGTCCGGCGTCATGCGTTTCGTCAAAAAGGGCGTGGAGGAGCGCGGGGATCTGAGTTGGTTGGGTTGAGGCTAGCTAGCCGCTGGTGGGTGGAACGCGGGAAGGGAGCATTGTTGATTGGGCTTTTATCAGGATTGTGCCCTGAGACTTGAGGTTCGGTCACCGAGATGAGAGGCATTGCAGTTATGAGACACGAACAGAGCTGGCACTTCAATGGGTAGCTTTGCAAGATGTACAAGAGGTTCAGAAGACTGGCGGGCCATACTTGTGTCCGTGTGATGATGTTGTTCTCATGGAAAGCGTAGACTATACACTTAAAGCTCTAATGAGGCTAACTAAGTCGAGAAGGATACGCTTGGGTCTTCTCAGATGGTTTGAATCTTGGTAAGTGCACCCCATCCTGAAGGCAGGTTAGGAACGAGATAGTGGTGTTTTAAAAGGGTTGATTTGGAATCAAATCAACGGACAACAAAGGCCTTCCCAGAGGGGCTATATCACCAATTCCGAATCCTGTTTCATCGCATTAAAGAATCCATAGGACAAGAAGATAGGAATATAATAATCTAGCCCATTTTTCCCCTTTCAGGATCAACATGCCCGCTGTCCGCATACTATACGTTGGTGTGTTTGATCGATCTTTAACTCAGAGCCCCACGAGAAGGCATCAAGCACAGCTGTAAATAGCTCATGAGATAATGCATCAACTACAAAACACTAGTACCATATCATCATGACATTGAATACTCAATCTCCTACATGATATAGAAGGCTATCAGTGCCTAGTACCGACGCTAACTGTCGTTCATTGAGAGACTCACGCGCTGTTCACAGGATTAGTGCCTGAAGAACGCTTATTCATAGGGTTTCAAAGCTGTGCAGCTTGATGCATATGCAGGACTGCACGTCAAATTTCAAACATCGAGGTTCACCGAGTTGAGCTTCTGCCTGGAAATTGGGTTGCCGCCTACAACTACTTTTTGCTCAGAGTCCCTTGATTGACTTTTGGCCCCCCTATGGCTGCATGGATCGCATTCCACAAGAGATTGAGGGACAGCTCTAGCGAGACGCGTCAAAGGGTTGTTGTTGTTTGACGAGTCGTCGAACGAGGTAGAAACAAAATTCAAACATTGAAGCGTGGGAAAATCAGTATATGTCTAGAACTATATGCATTCTGCACTTCTTAGATAAGCAGTGATTTGTGCTACTTTCTATAAACGCGCTTCTCTCTCGATTATGTCGCGTTGTGTAGCCAGAACTCTTGAGCTGAACGGGTCAGCTGGCCAGGGGTACTCACTGAGACTTATTGCGGCACGCGACAACAACATCTCATCGCTGGTATCTTTCTTCCTCGATTATGCAGCTCTACCATTCACTCAGTGGTTCTGTCGTTATCTACGCTGCCATCCACTGTGGCTTGGTACTCCAAGTATTGTGTCGTGTTTATCACAGTACATGCCAAGCTCGTTGCAAGTTCACCGCATCTCTTGATTACGCATGTTGCTCTCATATAGGAGAACATGATTCAGAGACTGAATAGATGGTGTCATACGCTGTATCAGGTCGTTAAGTTAAGTGTTACTTTCTCTATCTCTGCGAAATCTTCTCGTGCCATGGACAATCAAGCCATCATACTGTTTGGAGTGCTTCATGAAGAGCAACATCCATCTATGTGAAAACAGTCCTCCGACTTCTTCAACAATGATATAACTCGGTTTTTTTTGATTGGAAGTTACAGTGGTTCCTACACTTAAAAAGGATGATAAAAAGGGTAACAAAAAGTAGGCGAGTACAAAAAAGTTCAAAAAAGGTGTTTGCTGATAAAGCTCATCTTGGAGCCTCCTTGAGAAGCCTATAGAAAGATGTGAAGATACAAGCTGACTAAAAGCAATAGGTTCTTGATAAGTTTGGCTGACAGCCCAGCCCTTCGAGTGTACCAAATCATACAAGGACACGGGTTAGACGCGACCGTGGTAACCATATTCACCATACTCTTGTGAATACTCATACGCATAAGCGAGGCTGTCTCCGACTCACATTGACTCACCTCTCTTTGCCATTTTCCATTTTCGTCCGAACACAAATGATGTCGGAACCGTTCACGCTATCGGACCGATTCCACATATTGCCCTGGGAATGGGAAACCGTGCTCCCATTCCAAGGCTTACACTAGCACGCTTTTCTTAAACCCCCATGCCAATCTATTTATTTGGTAGTTTTAGTGCTAGCTTGGTCGCAACGAATACTGTATAAGGCCGCGCTAGTTTAGCCTTGCTTTGGACTTTCGGTGTATCAATAATCATCGATTCTCATGTATCAGAATTGGCTTGAGATATCCCGTGCCCGCTGTTGAGAGCAAAGCGAGTCACACTTGGGATGCACAGCGTAAGAATATGAGTCAGTAGATTTCTCCAGAAGGGAATCGCACGATTTGGGGTGGACTAGGGCGAATATCGGGTATCGGGTATCGGGTATCATATGATGATGATGATATTTATATGGCAGGCAAACTATCAATTACTGAATACAGTCTGGCCTTTTCATAATGGGGAGAGATCCCGCGTAACGGTTCATGTGATCGTAGCAAGACATTCGATTGCTGATTGAAAACTCGGTTTCGGACTCGTCATAAACAGTTATCTGTGATATGCTGGCAAGATGATGTGCATTGTTCAAATGCTGAACACAGGGACGGTGAAGTGGAAGCAGTTCAGGGCGCGTTATAGCAAGACAGAATTTGGGGTTGTACAGCGTAGTCTGATACAATCGATCCAGGGGATGAAAATCTAAAGACTCATTTTGGAGGATGGTGTTGGTTCCTTTCATTTTTGAATCCTACAGATGGGTTAGATGGTGAAATCGTGAACCTGCTTGAAAACAAATTCTCTCAGTGCGTGGCACTCTTGTATTCACTCTCGCTAATTGCAGTGGACAACTAGTAATGGCAGTCTGCTTGATTGTCTCATCAATTCTTGATTGATGTGCTCCTGAATCAAAGACGTTTTTCAATTGATGTTTCCGATACCAATTTCTCATTTGCGCATTGAACGACCCACGGGCTCCAGATGTGCATTTACTCAAGCCCCCGAATGACAGGAAGGCACGAACATTTGAAGGCATTGTATAGATGCTACTCTTTACAAGTTCTCATCTTCGACGGGTACTCAGTTTCTTCTGTAAGCAAAAACGCCAGCCTATGCAATCTTCCTCTGCGATACTATAAATCACACTCCATATAATACACGGTCCATGCGAGCATATCGTGGCAGAGTAACCCGTTAATCCTCATGCGCAATGCAATGATATGGCACCCATTTGTGTTCCAACCCCCTTCCTTGCCTGCCTATGACGACTTGAAATCCGCGACTCCCTCCACGTCCTTGATATCTTCGAATTTGGTTCCTATCTTCACAATCGAGTATCTGATCAAACGAGGATCCAAACTCATGGTACGACGGAGCAAATGCTGTGAGTTGGCGCTGGCGTCGAAGCGCATAATGAAGTGATGGCCGGCGTGGTGTGTTGTTTGGAGCTTGAGCGCGGGTTTGGGAAGGAGGAAGGTGCCCCAGTTGGACACGCCGCGCACGACGCCATTGTTGTCGAGGACAATTTTTCCGGCGGTTCTCGCGATTCTGTGGAAGAGGGCTGTCAGAGCTTGAGGAGGCGTGGTAGGAGGTGGGAGAGGTTTACTCTTTGACTTCGGAGAGGCGGCCAGGCCGTACCTAGAACTTGTCAACTTCCTTTCATCTAGACACATGTGCATGATGCAATAGACTCACCACTCCGATCATCTCGTACAACATCTTGACGCGGTGTGGATGGTGTTTCGATGTTCGCAACGTCCGTCGGAAAGGGAAAAGATTCGGCGGGCGTGCTTAGGTTTTCTATAAGCGGTTTAGCGCGCTTTGGCGGACCGGATCGTCATATCTTACCATGGACCACACTTATCTTTCCAAACATTATTGCTCCTCCTCCCTCCACAAACTTTTGACGCGCTTCTTGAAAAAAGAAAGCAGACAAAAATGGCTTCACGATTCTTTGCTGCCCGCGCTGCGCGCCAATTGACCTCCTCTGCCGTGCGCAGGCCTTCTTCTTTCATGTGCCAGCAATGGCAGCGTCCGCAGAGTGTGGAGAAACGGCTATTCTCGGTCTCCGCCGCGAGTACGTACACACTTGCTACGGGTCGACAACGATTCCACACAAGATCTCCTCCATTTGCTGACGAGGAACTCTACAACAGTGGCCGAGAAGAAGTACACTGAAGACCATGAGTGGATTGAGCTTTCAGAAGACGGCAAGACCTGTATGCTTTGTTCCATGTCCTCGATTCCTCATACTTTAGCTAAACTCTCGTTCCTCAAGATACCCTAGGCATTTCCACATACGCCGCGAAAGCCCTTGGTGATGTCGTATACGTCGAGCTTCCTGAAGTTGGCCTCGAGGTCTCCGAAGGCGACACCATTGGCGCTGTTGAATCCGTGAAGTCAGCGTCCGACATCTTGACCCCAGTCGCAGGAACCGTTAGCGAGGTAAACAGCGCATTGGAGGAGAAGCCTTCAGCTTTGAACAAGGATCCTGAGGGCGAGAGCTGGATTGCGAAAATGAACGTGGAACAGGAACCAGCGGGTGTTCTCATGAGCAAGGAGGAATATGCGAAATTCACAGAGGACGATTGAGCGTTGACTGGTGTTTTGTAAGACGTGATAGAGTAACTGTTAGCAGTGGTGAGGTGACGAAAGCCTGGGGGGTAGACAGATTTGTTGGTGGGTGGTAAGCCTGTTTGATGCTCTTTCAACAACCTGAGCAGCTCTCTAACCCGTTTGAATTATATCCAAAGAGAGCAACACGAAAACCAAATAAAAACGCTTCAACTCAAAATCAAGATCCTTTCCTCTTGTCGTCTTTCTGCTACCTAGTTCTATGTCAACATAACAAATCTATATATACTAAGAGTGTGTCGTGAACTTAGAGAAAGCTCCCAGAGGAGTGAAAAGAAGGACCAATTGACTTCTAGATGAAACACTCGGATAGCTCGCTCGGTACGCCATGAATTCGAAGTCATCATCGCAAATTCAGATATTCGACGTAGAGATAGTCAATCATGTCAAATGTATCGCTACACAAGTATGCATGGGGCGGTTACAAGCCAATTATAGCGGGTTAATGGGACAGCCTTGGCCTGGTGAACATGAATCGGATACATCCTGTTGACTTTGATTATTTCTATAGAAGGCAACTTTGTGACCGTTGAGATGGATGATTTAGCCAAGTAAGTCGGGAATAGTGGGTATCTAGGTAGATAATTGTAGTTTAAGTACATATCCAGGTAGTCAAGTAGATATGTGAATGAATTATCGCCGGGTAACTCCGGGGAAAGCTGGAAGGCAGCAAACGGAGGCGAAGGACGACAATCGTATTTACCCGTGCCGTACGAGAAGCAACATGAACGAATGCAAAGGCGAGACAAGCCTTCTCTAATATATTCATACCCGAATTCCAGCAACCCCCAAGACAAGACACTACAGTGGAATCCCAGCACGTATATACTTATCAGGCCTTACCATATCGCTATCAGCAAATCGCCGAGGAGCAGCCACAACGCACTAGTCGCGTCATCCAAGGACTCCTCTACGCAGACACAGAGAGCTCCTGCATCTCTGACCAGCAAGCACTAGCTGCACCTGCACCTCCCCCAGCCCTCCCCTTCAATGTCCTCGACACAAGGCGACAGGAAACGCAAGCATCCGCCCGCAAAAACCATCAAAGAGCTCTTCAGCACCCAACAAAAGCCAAACTCGTCCGCCACAGCTCCCCTCTCGCCATCGAGCAAACGCGCGAAGCTCGACAGCCCCCGAAGAGAAGCCATAGCCGCATCAACACCCCCGCCGCTCATATCCCCGACCATGAGCACCGCAAACATGTACCATTTTCCCAGCAAGAGAGGGAGTGTGCCCGCGGCTGCTCAAGTAGTTGATATCAGCTCGAGTCCGCCGACGGCTGGCAGCCCCGCCCGGTCGTCTGCTGCTGCTACGGGGCTCCCCCGCAATGGCTTGAAGAAGACGGCAGGTCCGAATACGCACGCAAACTCGGGACCCAAGAAGCTCATGGTTAAAAACTTCCGACCGATTCGCAAGGTCGATCCCAATGTCTTCCTCGATCAGACGTGGCAAAAGGTGGACGCGGCACTCGACACTATTTTCAAGCAGGATGAGATCGACTTTAGTCTGGAAGAGCTATACAGGGGTATTGAGAATGTGTGTCGTCAAGGGCTAGCTCGTGATGCCAAGGACAGGCTGGTGAAGAAGTGCGGTGCGTTTGTTGCTGGGGCTCTGCGGGAGCGAGTGATGGAGGTGTCTGGGCGGGCAAATGTGGATGTGTTGCGAGCAACGCTGTCGGCTTGGGCAACATGGAATGAGCAGATGGTAAGTCATGGAAATTCCAACAGCGCCAATGTCCGGTCATGACAGAATCGCTGATCAGTGCGTGTAACAGAAATACTTGGACTGGATCTTCTGCTACCTCGACCGTTCCTATCTCCTACCTCGGCAGGAGTCCCTTCGTGATATTGCTGTTGATCTGTTCAGAACCTCCATCTTCGACCATGCGAAACTCAACCGAAAAATCGTGGACGGTGCTTGCGACCTCATTGCTGTGGATCGAGCAGGGGACGTCCTGGATCGGGACATGTTTTCCAAGGCCATCAGTATGTTCCATGATATCAGAGTATACACGAATCACTTTGAGCCACGTATGCTGGAGCTCAGTCAGACATATGTCGTCCATTGGTCAGACACGGCAAGTGCAGAGAAGTCGCTGCCTGAATATGTCAAGAGCGCAATCGCTCTCATGGAGAGTGAATTAGCGAGAGTTTCGATGTTCAGGTTGGATGGAACAACCAGGAGGGATCTGCTTACGTTGTTGGAAGATCACTTGATATCCAAGAAAGAGGAACGATTAGGTATGATATACCGCTCTACACTGGATTTCGGCATAGTACTCATGATGAAATTTAGTGAACCAAGATGATCTTGCAGATCTGCTCGATGACAACGCTGTATCAGATTTGAAGTTACTATTTGGACTTCTGGAAAATCGGAAACTCGGGGCAAAATTGCGACCGGCATTTGTGAGGTGGATCGAAGATACTGGAACCGAGATCGTCTTCAACGAGAAAGAACAAGATTTGATGGTAGTCAAGTTGCTGACTCTCAAACGGCAACTTGACACAATCTGGAAAGTCTCGTTCCTTCGCAACGATGACCTTGGGCATGGTCTGCGTGAATCGTTCGAGGCATTTATGAACAAGACGAAGAAGTCAAGTACGACGTGGAACACGGACAACTCCAAACCGGGCGAAATGATTGCCAAATATGTTGATATGCTGCTAAGAGGTGGCGCCAAAGCTATTCCCGCCCAGTTGAGTAGGAAGGCGGGAAAGCCCGCTGTGTTGGCGGCTGAAGATGAGGATCATGATGATCTCGCAATTGACGAAGATACTGAAGTCAACATTCAGCTTGATCAGGTTTTGGATCTTTTCAGATTCGTTCACGGGAAGGCGGTGTTCGAGGCTTTCTATAAGAAAGACCTCGCCCGTAGATTGTTGATGGGAAGAAGTGCCAGCGCCGATGCAGAGAGAAGTATGCTGGCGCGACTAAAGACAGAATGCGGTGCAGGATTTACCGCCAACCTTGAGCAGATGTTTAAGGACATCGAGCTATCGCGTGACGAGGGAACTTCGTACAAAGCGATTGCCGAGGAACGTAATGAGAAGCATGATGTTGACCTAAACGTTAGCGTTCTCTCAGCTTCTGCATGGCCTACCTACCCCACCGTTTCTGTCATCATTCCTCCTCAAATCAAGTCAGAGATTGACAAGTTCGAAGCCCATTACAAGCTGAAGCACTCTGGCAGGAAACTGGAATGGAAACACGCACTGGCACATTGTCAAGTGAAGGCCAGATTTCCTAGCGGACAAAAAGAACTTATAGTCTCGTCTTTCCAAGCAATCGTGCTCCTACTATTCAACGAAGTCAAGACCGGCGAGCATATAGACTACAACTACCTCAAAGAAGCCACCGGACTGCGTAAGCCACTCCACTCTTTCTCCAGACCCGTCCCCGTTATATATTACATAATCTATGATGGACACTGACCTTTTACCAGCTTCCGCTGAACTCGAACGCACCCTCCAATCGCTCGCCTGTGCTAGAATCCGCCCTCTAACCAAACACCCCAAATCTAAAGAGATCGCGCCTACAGACACCTTCACATTCAACGCAAACTTCACAGACCCGCGCACGCGCATCAAAGTCAACACAGTCCAGCTCAAAGAAACCGCCGCCGAGAACAAGGAAACCCACGAGCGCGTCGCCGCTGACCGCAACTACGAGACCCAGGCCGCCATTGTGCGCATCCTCAAGGCCCGCAAGAATATCAAGCACGCGGAGCTCGTTGCTGAGACCATCAGGGTCACCAAGAGTAGGGGTACCTTGGATGTTGCAGGGATCAAGCGGAACATCGACAAGTTGATTGAAAAGGAATTTTTGGAGCGCGAGGATGATGGGAGCTATAGCTATGTTGCTTAGTTGGTTGGTGGGTGGAGTATAAATGCGGGAATGGATCCAGTGGGTTTTGACCATGAGATGGAAGGATGGAGGGATGGAGAGAAGTCACTTTATATATCCACCTTCACTCGTGGTTACCATGTCCCAATTTTCAATTTCCTGGTCTTCTTGGGTCTTTTTGGTTCTCTTCTTGTTGAGGGGGTCTGCTTTCCCTTCCACTGGTCTGCCACTTCTTTGCGCTTGTCAAGATCTGGGAGCGGTCGCGGTTTGAATGTCTGGTATCCAATGTACGAGCGGAAGATCAAACGACGGATTGGTGGAATTGGATGATAGAGTCATATATATAGATGGTGGTGATTCAACAAACCACCGTCCCGTACTTGTTGACGTGTGATTGCTCGGTTATGATGTGTCATTACACGCCTATGTCCATTCCGTCATATTATATAAGCGCTTGGATGTATAACATCGGCTTTTCAGAATTGCAGTCATCTTTATCTGCGTATTCCCTTCTTTCATCGCCTTCCGAGTTTCTTGGGTAATGGGCCCAGAATAAAGCAGATAACAACGTATAGACCAGCGGGGCGAGGAAGAACGTCTGCCTACATCATTTAAACCATCACCAGTACATAAACCCAGTCACACCATTTCCGATTTTTCTTTTCAAATACGAAAAAGAAATCGCAGAATATCATATGATTGCATTGAATTCGTTTCCCACCGAAGATTCTAATTCTATCGAGACCAAAGCCTGAGCTGCGCCCCAATCATGTGGATGTGCAAAGGGGTAGGAGGAAAGTCATAAGAAAGGGTATGTATATCCATTGGCGGGATCATGATGGCGGAAGAGAGAGAAATAGTGAAGGCCAGACCCTACTCCTTCTACTTCTCCCATCCGGATGCCCCATATTCCCATAAGATCTATGCATTTTCGGGGGAGCTTCGGATCCATGGACAACTGCGTGCGTTATCCATTATCCCCCCAATTTCTGATAGTGCTCAAGTCTCCTCATGCTCGTATATAGTTGATGACGTCGAAAACAGCGACGGTTGCTTGCAAATGTCTTGAAAACCGGTGCAATCAAGCTGGCGAAGTTTTATGGCGTTGCTCATGCCCTTAATACTCCATCGCATCGGGCTGGGCGCTGCTGCCGCCTCGCTTCTCCATCTTGACCCACTCCACGAACTCATCAATGACCGATGGCCAAGAAGAATCCTCGTTCCAGAAACCCATCGTCTCGTCCTCCAGCGTCAGCTCTGCGAACTTAAGCGTCTGATTCCACATGTCGCGATTGACGCTCTTCTTCCACTTGGACTCAAGAAACTCCTTCCACCATGCGAGCCAAGGGGAGCCCGGAGCATTCCACTTGATATGCGAGATGGACGAGCTGAATAGCAGCTCCCAGAAAGTTATGGCTGTGTCCAACGCTACAGCTTTCTGGCCCCCGGTCTTACCGGCTAGAAACGTGTATTTGTAGACTTTGGTGAAAGCGTCCTTGTCAGCTGGCAAGGTCTGCTTGAGGAACTTGATGTGCGCCTTTTGTTTGTCAAGGGTATCACAGCTGCCAAAAGTCAGTACAGCCGAACGACGTGATATGTATATGTGTGCTACTTACTTCACAGCCGACCATCCATTCACAAATCCTTCGCGGCTCATTTCTCCCATTGTCGGTGCTTGGATCAACTCGGATGCAATCAGCACATCTAAGTCCTCGAATTCGACACCGAGCTCCCCGAAATAGTTCATTGTATTTTCGGTTCCGACAGTGTCTGGTGCGTTGGCTGGATCCTCCCTGTATGCGTCGAACATCTTGGTCAGGTTGTTCTTCATTGCGGTGGAGGCGCCTCCTCCCGCGTTTCCATTGCTCGAAAAGAAACTGTCAACTCGTTAGCCATTCCAGCGTGAGTATTCCAAGTCAAGAATAAAGAAGCAAGACAGAATGCAGTACGTCTTCAAAGCGCGAAAATCAACAGTGCTGAGAGCCGTCATGGTGCTATAAGTGGGAGTTTTATAGGCACGAAGATCCGAGACACTCTTCGCGCGCGATGGAGTGATAGGTGATATCGAATCAGAGGATTGTGATGAAATGACCCTCGTAGTCTAGCGTTGAGCCACCAACGCGTCAGTGAGTGCCCGGAGCGGTCAATAGGGGCATGTTGAATGCATACGTACCTCAACCACGACACTAAGAGGTGGTGGTTGGTTCATATATGGCCAAGCGGGCTTCTGAGACAGGATAGTATGTTGCACTGGTGAATAAGTCGATGAACCAGAGCTGGCACGACTGGTGTACGAAGCGTTCGAGTTTTGACGTGATCTTCGATGGCGGCCAGCATGCTGTTTGGCCCTGTCCTGAGAGGCACCAAACATGGTGGGGGCGATAGAGCGCTGGTAAATCTATGGGGTCGTAAAGAGTCTAGGGGTCGATGAGGGAAGATGGATGGATGGACGGAGTTGTTGTAATGCGAGTTGAATGACGTGCATCCAGACCGGAGAAGGCATGTCCCTCCGTGAAGGCAGTTCATTAAGCAGGAGCAGATGCGCGGGCACTCTGCAGCTGAATGATGTAAATGGGGAAGGTGTCGTGGTTCATACGGCAACCATATCAATCGCGTCCGCATCCAGCAGGTTCAAGATGGCCAGAGGTAATTGTGGTCCAGTGCCAGGCAGTCGCCGTTCCCTCCTCACCAAAAACGCAAATATGCATAGAAACGCAATCCAACGGATAACAAAAACAAGACTGGAAACAAAAACAATGAAAATTTACTTACGCATTCACTGCCGCTTGAGGGTCCCAGTTTGCGCTCTTCAGGAACTAGATTCCAGTCAGCTCACTTGCACATATACTAACTCAGGGCTGGCATGAACTCACCCGCACGGCCATATTCCGATCCGCCTGGGAGAACTGCTGGAACTGCTGAATCGCATTCCTCTGCTGGGTGTTGTATCCTGAAGGCATGATTGCGTCAGAAAGACTCTTCTTGTGTCAAATAAGCACGCAACGCTGCGCCTCAAGTTGTGGTATGAATCCTTGTCGCTATTGTTGATGTGGTCGCGTGTGAGCTTGTAAAAGTGGTATCGCGCCCCCACTGCACCCGGGGTTCAGAAACGACGTTTGGTGAAGTGTATCGGGGCGAGATGGAAGTATAGTCGTGCGAAAGTCGGTCGGTCGATCGATCGGTGGATACTTGGACTGTGGGGTACGGAGGCGGCGGCGGCAGACAGAGTAGCCAAAGGTGATTGTTCGATGTGAGCCGACTTCTTGGGAGAGGCTTTGAGGAAGTACCGATTGTTGCGGTTTCGACGAGAGAGACGAAGATTGATGTAGGTTGCAAGTAAAGCCAAGCCGGCGAGGTTGTGCTGTGTAGGCTGCAATGGATGCGCCCGCATTTATGCCACCACGTCCTCGGATTACCCCTCCAGTGCTCTCCAACAAGCCACAATTGGCCCAAGCTCTCCTCGTCGACAGCGACAACAACAACACCACCACCATTGCAGATGAAGATTGGGCCTGCCTGGCATGGCATGGGGAGATCAAACTTACCGTCAGGCTCTTGGTTTTTCTTGCCTTTCTTCTTCGTTCCGCCCGCATCATTAGCTGCTTTGCGTTTCGCCATTGTCGTCTGCTTGCAACGGGTGCGTTGATGGCACCGGGCGCGTCTCAATTCTCGATGTCAGGTTGGGGAAGAGGTCGTGGTGCTTCAACAGCGATCGAGGCTGTAAAAGGCAAGCCAGGGCTTACTTTCTCCCCAAGGTAATAGGTACGTGAGGGCGCACTCAGTTGTCCCTCGCGCCTGCCTGGCTGCCTGCTGTTTGGCTGTATGACACGCAAACCAAAACGTCAATCAAAGGTGAAGGCAAAGAAGAAAGAAAGAGGTAGGTTTCCACACAGGTATATAGTACTGATAAAGTATCAACTTGAGTGCCGTCACGATTCCCCTAGTACTGCCCGAAGTCCCGCGAGATGATGACGGGGAAAAATAGGAGAACAGATATAACGGACGCGCTGCAAAAAGGTATACACAGCCAACCGCGCAAATATGAGAACTAGGAAAATGTACAAACTGCATCCTAATAGAGACATCCAAACAACCATCTCTTGCAACTGTTGTGTATCCAACTCCTGCCCCCCGCGCACAATGATGATTCGACATTACCATTAATCGCCCAAAGGCATTCCCTCCACCTCCTCGCTCAGTGCTCTCCAGTTCTCCGCCTGCAGCTCCGCGTACTTGACGCGTTCCTGGCTCCAGTCCTGGTGCAACCGACTGATGTGGTACTGACTATGTTGGAAGAAAAGAAGTTCGTCGCGAATGCACTCTTTGATAAAAACGCCCCGCGCGTGCTGCTGCACGATGCTTTCCTTGTCCTGATGCGAGTTAGCTTTGCAAAAGGGATGATGTGAGACTGGTTCGCAGGAAAAGATGGACTTACCCTGAAAATAGCTTCCTCGACCTTTTCTGCCTCCCCGGGCTTAATCATTTCAGGCGCTTTGCTCCGAATGCCCTGCAATTTTTGTTCGTTCTTTGATATCCTCTGCTCCAGGTACGGGATATTGTCTTTCGCGTATTTCTCTCTCCGGTCGAACATGTCTCTCATGCTGACCAGCGTGTCCCGTTGCCTCTTCAGGTCTTCAAGAACACCCCCTTCCCAACCCCTTGCTTCATCCTCTAGCAACGCCCTAGATTGGTCGAGATGTTTGGCGGTAGACTTTAGCCCTTCATTCAAAAGTGGCACATCGTTTGTTTCAACCGCATAAGTATCCTTGGACGACTCCGTCAGAACTTGTAAAGCGCTCGCAAAGCGAGAGTACTCGGCCGCCATCCCTTCATTTCGTTTGCTCAATCGTTCCATCATATTGCAGATGTTGATGTACGTCTCTGCGGAACGACGGATACCTGAGCGGACCGTGTCGAAAAGATCTGGCAAGGTCTTGGGAAGGGAATCCTCTAGATCAGGTGGTAATGACTTTCCAGTGAATTCCTCTTGGACAGAAAGATTCGCCTGTTTGCGCCATACAGCAAGCTCCTGCATACCTATCAGTTGAAGAACGAGACTGTTGACGCCAATGTACTTACCGTGGGCACGGTCAAAAACATAATGACTAGCTGTTCCTGGCCCAGCACAGGATGTCTGACCAGCGCGTTGGAGAATCGTGCTAGGCCTCTCCTTCTCTTTTCAACAAAACTCGCGTCGGTAGCTATATAGTTGCCATTGACTAAGAACACGCTCAATTAATGACACGAGAGTGGGGGTGAAGTGAGACTTACTTGCGACTCTCTTGGGGGGTAGTAGAGGGAGCTGACGGAACGGATATCGCTTGTGTAGGCAGTCCAAAAGCCAAACAAAGTCGCTGTACCGGCGGACAACTTTGCTATTTCGCCGCGTGCTGGCGACCTCGTAATTCCGGTGTTGGAAAAGAAAAACGCCCTCTTTCTCGGCAATTGTTGTGATCGTTATATTCTCTTCGGGACCCGTCCCTGCGGTACGCCCCCCGCCCAAAGACCTGCCTATGCCGCTCATAGGATCCGCCCCACTTTCTCTGCCCGATGGCGAGGGCTGGCCGAATCCATCTCTTTCTGGAGCAGGAGCCGAAAAGCCCGGGTTTGAATTTCCATTGTACCCTCCCCAGCCGCCCTCGCTGCCGTAGGAGCTGGGACGGGGATAGGTTTGGTCAGTGGGGCGGTTCCCGACTAGAGTGGCAGTGCTAGTAGTAAATTGGCTCGTGGTTCTTGTCGTGCTAGGCATGTTGCTACCGTTGCTTTGAGTGCGTCCTGCAGTGTATGCTGGATGATTGTGACCGCGGTGTAGATCTGGGCTCCCCCATGGGTCTGCCTCCGGATCGCCAAATGAAGGCTTCCGTGTTGTAGCACGCGACCTAGCCGGTGTAGAAGCTTGTGGAACGGGGGGCTCTTGGGGGTGTGGCTGCTGCGGGGTGGCATCATGGGTATTGTTCTCTGGCTCAGCAGGGGTAGGCTCTGGCTTGGGAGCCTCGGGCAACGATACTGAAGGCACGGGAAGATCTAACACAACCATCGGGTTAGTGGAGGCTCGTAGTAGTAGGGTTGACATGTTCGCGCCATGATTTATAACTCACTGCGCTTCCTTTCATCAACACTGTCAAGTGTAACATCGTCACCCTCTTGAGCGAGACCGATGAGCGCGTAGAGCACATTGAATTCGTTCCTTTCCAAGACAGCCGATTCCTGACCTGGTTGCACGACGATGTCCAAGATCTTCGACTGCGTATCGTTGGGTAAGCCGCTGCTAGCTAAGAGCTTCTTCGCACTTTCGACGCTGATGCCATTGCCCGCGCCGTGTTCAGCTTCGAGCAGCAAATCGTATGCGTCAATGTATGAATCGGGCACGTCGGACGCAGGAAGCAGCGACTTCACGAGCGATCCGCGCGCCGGTTTCTTTGGGGTTGGAAATCCCCACGGTGAATCGTCGCCACCCTGGAGATCATCGGCAAATAGGCTGTTGCCTGTAGGCTTCGGGTCGTCATCGAAGAGCGAGGAGCTCTGCTTGGGTTTCGGGCGCGAGGGCAGGTCCTCATCGCCGAAGAGAGACATGACGAGAGGTAGCGAATGGCGCGTAGGGTTTGGATTGGTATTTGTCGGGTTATATCAGAGCATGGAAGCCCTACAAAGTCGCCGTGTGCAGTCAGATCAGATGGGACGCTCACAACGACGATAACATGGACAGTGGACGTCGTCACTCGAGCTATGATGATAACGTACGGATGGTCCAAGCTTGTACCTCAAGTCAAGTCAAGTCAAGTCAAGGTACCTAGCGCCACATCATCTTGGCCGAACTACCCGCTACATTCACGGATAGATGCACTGCCCAATCGTGCTTTCGAGATTGTTCATATTTCACAAGTATCCTCTATCCAAGGTATCCACGGAGTAAGTAATTTTTATTGGGCTCAATTCGGCTTGTTGGGTAACTCGTCGCGCTACAACATATATGCAGCGCGCGACGAGTCACCCAATGGCATGCTCCTCTCCTATCCACCTGTTCCCAGCAACTACATGCAGAACCCAGTATGATCCATATCCACGCCTAATCCAAATGGAGCCGAGCATAGTGTATCGGCAGGGTATCATGGATAGAGGCAATCCAACAAGAAAAAAAAGGAAATAAACAAAGTAGCCATGGTTGATGATACAACCCCATTTCGCCAGTACTGATGCAGATGCAATGCGTCGATGATGCAAGTCCTTCTCCACAAATAGCGATGCGCCGTGTCGTAAAATCCAATATGTACTCCAATATGATCATTCATTAAGTAAGGAAAGCGGTTCGAACAGACTTCAGCTCGGCTGGTCATCTGTCGTGGTCGGTTCGGTTGGATTGTGAAGATGACGGAACGTCGGTATGATCAACTGAGGCTCCTGGAAGCTGCCGTGTAGCTGGCATCGTGTCGCGCACCTCAGATCCCAGAGCAACCGAAGGTAAGTGGGGCGAGACTTCGTCCTGCCCTTCGGTTTTATGACGCACGTTGGGTCTCTGGAATGTTTCTGGGGTAAACCTTACATGGGAGTTGCGACTTGACGATGAGGAGTGGCTTTGTTCTTGTTGCTTTGCAACGGCTGCAGAGCCTTGTTGAACAGGCTGTTGGCTGTTGTCGCCAGAGTGGGATGCTTCGCTGTCCACTTGTGGAGTCGACTCAGCATTGGATGACTCTTGCTGCTTCAATATCTCAGGAGACCAGGTCCTCCCACGAGGCTGTGCGGGTATGATGGTGACGGGCAAGTTGGTTTCAGCTTGCGCTCCCTCCTTCGACTTGGATCTGAATCTCTCTCCTTGCTGTGCAGCGAATGTACCGAGTCGGTCTTTGAGAGCCAAACCAGTATAGTTCCGTTGAGGTATATTCACAGGAACATCCTCAACTCCCAGCGGCTCGATGACACGACCACGCTGTACTTCTGGTGGAGGCGAACGGCCTTTTCGCCGGAATGGATTCACACTGGCAACAGCTTGCCAGTTCCACCTACTTCTATTAGCCAGAGAATCTGACTCTGTTTCGATGACACCCTTCTCAGGATCCGAGTCAAGAGGGTCCTTTTGAACAGCATTCGTGCTGTTGCCTGCAGGCGCAGGGCCATTTTCAGGACTTTCTTGAATTTGATTCGGGATTGCGGGTGGTGATTCGCTGACAGTATGATAGCGCACAGCATAAACGGTACTATCTGCACTTGCTGTATCCGTCCTGCTAACTGGTGACGCAATAGCGGCTGGAGGGGTTGATATAGGGATGTAGTTTCGGGAATCTCTATTACTGCGTTGGGCAGACTCGGATCGACGGACCGCGGGGGGTGGTGCTGGTATATGAATGGTGCGTTTCTTGCGGGCCTCCGTCTTGGGTGTTCCTTTCCTCGTTCGGCCCAGTCTATGGGCAATATTGGTAAGGCGGGCAGTATGACCGGTTGCGAACACTCCACCGTTCCCACCGTCTCCAGACTTCTTTTCGTCCGACCCCCAATTGTTACGGGGCCACGTGACTTCATGTGATGGCGTGGTATCCAGCATCTCGTCTCCATCATACACTTCTCTACCCAAGATGCCATCTTTCTTTTCTTCTCTTTCTAGAGCCTCAATGCGCTCTACCCACTCCCAAACTATAACGCTAGCGGCGGCGGCTCCAACCCATCTAAAGTAGTCTCCCCAACCAGCAATGGTGTAGTTGGAGATATCGGTAATAAAGAAAACCACAGGGGTCAAAATGGCGATGAATGACAAAAAGGCGACTAAAGAGAGGTTCCACATCATCGGGTGATAAAACGCGTATCTTCGCTTTGTGATTGCGTAATACATGACCCAGGCAGCATAAAGCATGCTGAGGGACAGTTGAAAAAGGTAACTGAGGGCGGGAATGGCGGTTTCGAAGTGACGGGGGCTGCTTTTGTTGCTGTAGGGACCGAAGCTGTTGAGGGAGGTGAAGGTGATGTCCAAAAGTATAAGCGCGAACCCAACCCATTTGATGATGACCTTCTCTTTATGTCTGGGAAAGAGGCGAATCAAGGTCTGGACCTGGGCGAGCCAAAGAAAAATGTCGGATATGAGACGGGACACCTTGATTTCCATACCAGACACGACTTCGTCACGTAACTTCATGGCATCCATGTATCCAGCGCTGTACTGTTTTTCGGCGATTTGGAATGTGTCGGCAGTTGCGAGGGTGAGGGAGATGGCGACGGTCAGGGCGGCAACCTTTTGCAGCCACGGACGCGTGCCTACTCCAATGATGGATCCTCCTCCTGAAGCGCCTCCGATCATGCCGCGTCGACCCATCAGTCCCGATCTCCCTGAGGCGCCTCCGACGAAGAATGTGCGAGGCGTGATTATGAGCATGATAACAAGCATCCAGGCGATGACGGTGGCGGCACCAGTCGCGTAGGCCTGGGGGGTAATGGAAGCATGGAAAGGGTCTTTCATGTCGGCGGTGCTGGGCACACCGCCCTCGTTGCCGTCGGGGCCATTGACTTGGGCTAGGGCACTGGGCGGGCATTGGGGGACGAAGAGGGCGTCGGCTTCGAGTTCGATGTAGTGGCCCGGCGAGATCTGGATGACACCGAGAGAGGGGAGGGTGAAGGGCGCGCAGTTCTGCAGCGGCGGGTTAGCGGACAGCAACATGGGATGATACAACGAGGGACATGTCGTTGGAGGTCGCGAACTTACGCGCGAGGCCTGGTAGGCCGTGGGCTGGTTCGCCCTTTTCGCCGGCATCCACGCCTCCATGCTCAGCGGCTATACTGATCCAGCAGCAGTGGGCAGTCGAGCGTCCTGTCCCATGTCATTCAGCAAGCAGGCGACATGGCAGGTGGCGTGCAAGGCGGCGGAGGCTTGGAATCAAATGTTTATTTCGAGGGCGGCGGATGGGGTTGGGAAGCGTGGGTGGAATAGGAATGGATGTAGGGCCAGAGAGGTGCGTGCTCGGGCTTGGGTTGGGCAAGAGCAGCAGGAAAGGCTTAACTGTGACTTGGCGCTGCTTTGGTGGGCGGCGACATGTGGGAAATGTGGGAGGTTTTCGCAGCGCCTTCGGGGTAAGCCGCAGTGGGCTCTCCCCCCGTGCTCCCCAACGCCAGCAGCTGGAACGGCAAGTGTCAGGCCTAAAGTGCACGCCATCGCCCGGAGAGGCCTAGCGACCCCTCCGTGCTGGCCATGCTAGCCAGTTTCCCCGGCTATCCCATCTTCTTCACCACCAACCCACCCCCGTGATCCATCCGTGCCGGGCGGGGACCAAACATTGCTGCAACGGAAAATCCACGTCTCCAGCAGAGCGAGCAGCGACCCTTCATCTTGGCACGATATCTGGCTGTCTTCTGGTGGGAGGAAGAAACAACACCACATTGATCGACTGATTCGCAGTGGCACGGCCCACACACAGATACACACACATAGATACATACCTAGTCTATGTACATACGGGGTCGATTCAAGGTTCATGGCTCGTGGCTCATTACATTGTCAGTTCTGCCATTCGCAAACCACGCTTGCCATGCCACGGTCTTGTCGACCGCCAAAACAACTACAGCAACAACATTGAACCATCCAGTCATCTACCTGTTGCCCGTGACTTTCTTCGGTCCGTTACTTGACCGGGCACTCATCCGGCACCTTTCCTTTACGTCTGTCGTGTTGCGACCTCCAAAGCACTCGCTCTCACAGTCTCGTCGTCGTCGAAGCACGTCGCGCCGCGTGTCACCCACCATTGCTGTCGTCATGCGCTGATACAGAAAAGACCGATTTTCCATTTGTCCATTTGCAGCTAATAATCGGTGCTCAACATTCTCGTACATGCTGGCGATGCTGGTGTCATGTTCACTGCACCCACCGCAACACGTACACAGAATACAGTCAGCCCGTCCAGCCAATCAGAGACGCCATGATGCCACAATCCACCAAAGCCACCAGAGACCGTCTTGCATCCATCTAGAACACCCGAAAACATCTTTTGCACGTCATTCTCTACCGAACCGATGATGCGGTGGCCCCTTGGGTTCTTGTCCGCGAAAGCTTGTGCTGTGAAACACCTCTTCTCACCAATAAGCATCGGCCGGGATTCCATGCAGGAGCCGCATATCCGTGAAGTTTCGTCGTTGCATCTGGCTCGTGGCCACGCAAGAGAACAATGTCAAATCATCTTCAAAACGATGTTGGCACACACCTGCTGCTACTGTATCGTCGGATCGCACGCCGACGCACCACACCTATCCCTGCTAGATTGAGACTAAATCTCCCAACCACCCGACCAATCTCGCCCGCGCAGTCCGCTACAACCTGGCAGCCTGCAGTTTACACCGCTTTTCGGCCCGTTGAAGTCACAGCATGGTATCACAGCTTCACTGTCGCGTCCCTGCGTTGTGCGTGTAATGGTTCCAGCCGCAAAGTGATACCAGGGAAAACATGAACACAGAATGCCCAGGGCCTATAATCACAACGTCTACAGCGAGTACGAAATCTCACAGCTTGCTACGCAGGAATATCTCGTTGTTGTCGTAGCAGCCATTTCAGCTGATCGTGCTCATCAATATTTAACCTTCTTCCGGGTAACACCTCCGATACCTGTGATTCACTTCACTGTGCAAGGTGAAAGGGGTTGTTGGCTGTGACCATCAATCATCAACCTGTCTGAAAATCTCCCGCTATTCCAAACTTGCAACGTAGTTTTCGAATACAAGCACGCAAAAACGTACCCGTGAAGGCCCACTACGTCGTGCTGATCTTGGTAAGCCATGTATGTATACAAATAACTGTGATGCTCACTTACCTGAACCACAATCTCTCGAATGTAAACACTCAAAGCCCCAAGCAATCTTTCAACCTCACTCATCCCTCCCATCATCGCGGCAAACCGTTCCCAGCACCCGCATTTGAACTCTGCGCCGCAACACTACCGGCACCACCCGTCCTCCTCGCCCCTTCACTCCCACCCCCACGACTCCTCCCCAACGCCAACCTGACAGGCTCATCTCTCCCCATAGCGCCCCTCATCCCATTCCCATTCCCCCCTACTCCGCTCCCACTGCCCCCAGCACCCCCTCCATCTCCCAACCCTTCCCCCGGCGCCCTCCTCACCAGCTCCTCAAGCCCAAAGTCCTGCCAGATACTCTCCTTCTTCGCCTGTGTAGCGCGCTGGATGCCAAATGCGGCGTGTTGGTCTGGCACCACGTCGTCTTCATCTTCCGGGTTCAGCGGCTGCAGGTGCGGCGGGATGTAGATGTCTTCTGCGGGGAGGGCGGAGGTCGAGGGGCGCGTGAAGTCTTCGGTTAGATCCGCATGGTGCGAGGCGTGGAGGTGGAGGTATGTTGCTGTGGAGTCGCGGGTCTGAGGAGTTTTTTGGTGGTTAGTTATGTCGTGTTTGTGGTTGTGGATGGAGGTGTAGTTACCATTTTGGAGAGACGAGAGGGAGGTTTGGTTGGAGAGATTGCTTGTTACTGGTGTGCAATATTCTTGGAATGGATCTCGTCGCCGATGGCAAAAAGACGAGGAAGATTAGAATAATGGGAAAAGAAGAAATTCGTGGTCGCGTACAAGTGTGTGAGCTCTATTGACGATCGCAAGGCTGCTGTTGTTTTGCCCTGCCTCGCGACTTCGCTCCCCCCGCATAAAATCACCCCGCTAACCCCAATCCCACTAGCGAGGATTGGAATCTATGCCCCACCCACCATCAACGGCCATTCCAGACTTGTGCAATAACGTCGTTCGGGAGGCGAGTCGGATCTGTACTATGTAAGTAGCGGCTTTACATAAGTGTTACTCAGCACGTCCGGTGTGAGAGGAATAGAAAACCTGATATAGTCTGGCTCTCAACCCTCTGTGATTAATCAACCGCTCAATAAACAATTACTCTGTGACTTACCAATCTGCGATCCGAGTTTTCCCAATATACCGTGAGAATCGAGAAGAAGGGGGTCAAAATGCCAGAGGGACACTGCAACTGTGGGAGCGTCAAGGTCATTGTCCCTGAGCTCCCTAAGGAATCTGCTCTCTGCTACTGGTAAGTCTTGGACAAAGTCGTTCTTTGTCAATATATCTTCAACCTGTGCTATCGAAAACTTGTTCCAGTTACTGACGCTGAGAAATACAGTGCGAATTGCAAGCGCGCAGGCGCCACAGCGTTCAGCGTAAACTGCTTCGTCGAAAAGTCTGCAGTCGAGATCAAGGATCCACATGGTGTGTTGAAGAGCTATGTCGACAGTAATACGAAGAGCGGGAACTCTATCACACGGCAGTTTTGTGGGAACTGTGGGACGTGAGTTTATCATTCTTCTGCCCTCTTCGCTACACGATCTTGATTCCTTCAGCCCGTCAAATGTTGGGAGAAGAAGAGCTCTGGACACTCAACGAAAGCTAATACATTTTGAATTGTTTTCTGGGCTTCATAGTCCTGTAGCTACCCTACTAGGTCCCGATTCCCCCTCCTTCATCATAAAAGGCGGCATCTTCGATGATATCCCACCCGCCAACAACGAGTTCTTCAAGGATTCGAAGCCAAGCTGGTTAGGCAACGTCATACAAACAGACCACTGAAACCACCTCCTCATCCCATTCACCCCTCCAAAAACAAATGATCCAATCAGAAAAAAAACATAAAACCGCACTTCGCCAAAGTATCTCGAAACCGTACACTCAAAACCTACGCAATCACCCTCCCAACAACAAACACCAACTCTCCATCCGTAACCCCGGCAACATCTCCTAGGACAGCAGCCATACCCTCCTCGTCATTCTTCGCGCTTTCCCAGCTTTCCTCGCTCTCCCACTTCATCGTGATGGCGTATGCGTACTCGGAGGTTTCGTCGACGACTCTCGTTGCTGTGCGTTCTACAAGACCATGCGGACCCCAGTGCTTGGCTACGAGCGGGACGTGGACGGTGAGGAGGTGGTGCTCGTTGAAGTGGAGATTGGGTTTGCGTTTTACGAGGAGTGTTATTATGATGGGTGTTTTGGTGGTGATGGTGGACATGTTGGGTCGGTGCTTTGATTTTGGAGGGTAGAGGGGTATTGAGTATTTTAGGTATATTGGATGGATGTTATGATTTAGTAGTTTGAATTGGGAATTGATGAAAAGTGTTTGATATAATGAGGAGATTTCATGATGCAGATGGTCGGGTATTTGTACTGTCTTTTTATTCGTGTCTCGGTGGAGTTCCGCTCTTCTGGCGGAGAACGAGTTGCCGGGTCTTTATCGTGGTACCCGATGCTTACTGTGTACGGCATTCAGCTCGCCGTTGGACTAGAATAAGACTTGTATCGGATTGTATGACTAGATATGATGTTCGAGGAGGATGTTTATGTCAAGTGGGGTGAAAAGCGATATCTGTCGTGATGATGATATATGATGCTTGGTCATGGGCATGATAGTTGATGGATGAACACCGGTGATGAGATTACCATGTGAGCAGACTTCTGTTTAAAATGACTTACACTAGACATACTAGACATTGGATGATTGGATAATCAGTCTGATTCAGTAGAGCTTAAGCCGAATGCATGTCGTAGCGCTACAAGGACCGCTGGGTAGAAGTACCATACATATGTAGTATGCACATATGCAATGCTCATCTACCTAAGTTGGAACGAAAGATGCATTGCAATCGAAAAACAGTATTAATCTCAGCGTACGCCATGATCCATGTCTTCTGACATCCTCGTTTCTTACGACTTTATCCCGGGGCAACCTGGGATTGTACAAATATCAATTGGTAGTTCTTGGTTGAATCGAAGCCCATGACGGTATCTACGCGGTTGTGACATAAACAACCCCAAGAACCCTACATGTATCCATACCTCCTTTTCCCGAGTCTCGACCACCCTTTCAACGGAACACCAGACCAACAATACACACATTAGAAGCGAACAAGGCTTCAGAATTTTTTATCGATAGATGCTCATACCATTCGCTGCTAGGTGAGTCACCCTGACCTTACAAAAAACTAGTGAGCTCCTTACAAGGAAGTCATCCTAGTCGCCCATGGAACGTGCGAAATGAACTTGTATTATGCCCCTATCGATTCGACCAAGGCCGACCCACTGCGTCAGGGCGGATGTTCAGGGTCTTCCATGTCGCGTAAGTTTTTGTAACTGGTGTACCATGTTCACGATGTCAATTTGGGGTTGTTGAGATTTTCGCGCGACAAAACGGTGTGGCCAAATGACTTCAACCAGAGAGTACAAAACCCAGCGACAAGTCAACTACGATAGAGCTCAATCTTGTCCAGGGGCAGTAAGTGTATTCGGAGAATATAGAACAATGATGGAACCTTCCGTTGCCTAGAGGCTAGACGCACGCGGGGACCACGAGCACTATAGACCTACCAGCCCTACACCAGTAGGCCAACGGCAAGCCCTGTCATTCACCTGTTCGCCCTCAACATGGCGATTCCTCGTACGGATTCCATAGGGGAAGAGCTCTCAACTCGACAAAAGCCCCACTTGTAATAGATCTACATAACTGCCATCTGCATCCTTTCTCCTTTCCACTCCTTACGCGGAAATCGCCCGTCAATAACACACTCTCGTTTTATATATCAAACCACTCACTTATACACTCTCTACAAATATACCTACATATAATAATATCACATACACGAATATACCTTAATACACAACACACCACACCAACACACGCAAGAACATCACATGGCCATTTTCAGCAGCAGCATGGCTCCCAAGAAGACTCCCACCGTCCAGCCCGTCACCGACGATGCCTCCTCGTCCCACATGGACGCAGTAGAGCCCAAGCGCCCAGGGACCAGCGGCACTGAAATGCTCCTCAAGACAAACCGCCGCGACGCATCAGCGCAGTTCCTCGCAGCCCAGCGCGCAGAGAACGCATACAAGGCAAAGAAGCGAGCCGCCACGGCCCGCGAGCTTCGCACCGAGGCGCGCACACACTTCCGCCAGAGCGCTCATCACTTGAAGGAGGGCGTCAAGAGCATCATCAACATGGTCAAGGCTGTCCCTTGGATGATTAGGGAGAGAAAAGAGCGCAGACAGGCCGAGAGTGAGAAGAAGTCTTATGAGAAATCCATGGAGAAGAAGAAGAAGTTGGAGGAGATGATCGCGAGACAGGAGGCGCAGAACGCGAAGGAGAAGCTCGATGCTTCCACTGCTGAGGCTTAGACTGGCCAAAATCTCTTGTTGAGTTGTTGAAGATGCGCGATCCCTTCTCTCCCCTCTCCTCCCCTTCTTCTCCTTGTGTCTTATTTGTTTGCCTTCCGCTTTTCCATCGCTTTTCAGATCTTTTGACCGTTTTGCCTCGCCCCTGCTGGCTTACTTTTCCTTGTGTCTCTCTCTGTTGTTTGTTTTGTTTTCTTTATCCCGTTCTACCCTCACTCCGTTGCTCGTCAATATACGAAGCGCAATTTCCTATGTCTCTCTCTTTTCTTTTCACAATTTGCACTCACTCCCATTTCCTTGTGTTCTCGCATCTGCAAGAAGAGCGTTCTGTGCAGTGGCCTCGCCTTCTAGAGTGGAAGAAAGAAGCAGAAAAAAAGAGCGACGAAAAAAACATCAACACACACTCATACTCACACACACACTTGTTCTAGAAACAGCGGACACCAGTTTCACTGTTTTACAGGACGTTTTCACGGATGTTTGTTGCTCTGCTTCCCTTTTTCGGTCTTTCACGATGAAATCGATACCCCTCACTTAACGACTTCTCACGATGTACATATGTCTCCTTTCGTTTTATTTATTCAGCAGTAGTAGGTGGGAATGTGGATGTTGAAGGCGACGCTGTCGTTGTTGGCTGTCCGTTAGTAGGAGATGAGTATCATATCGATAGTAATAATAAAATTCTGTCGATGAAACCCATGATATAATCACTCGAGTGGTCCCGGATGCGAAGAGCACATTCGAACTAGCCGTTGGTTCTCAGAGAAGCGAACCAGTAGAACAGTTGACTAAGGAACAACAGCTTTTCATCGTATACTACCGATTTTATTCTGTATAGCTATGGATCAAACCCGCCATACTTAGATTGAGAGATTATGATTCACTCCTACTTCTTCATTCCAGTCCGATTCCTTCAACTCATGAATACTTACACAGTCCAATGATATCATCACTATTTAAAAGAAGCGACAATTTGGTTCGTTGTTGCTCTGGTTGGACCATGGTTCTTTGCATCTACGTCCCTTTGCCTCTGATCCCTTGTTGTATAGCATATGATGTCCTTTGCAACACCACAGAAAGACAATCAAAATACGACGCGCCGCATTCCCAACACATATTCACAAGCTTTCGGGCCAGCCACAGCCCCCACGGTATCACCTGCATGCTGCGATTAGTCTGGACCCTTCGGCGTGCAGGGCGCTATATTCCATTCGTCGTTTCCGACGTCTGCAACCCAAGCCCGCCGTTAGCACACTTTGCACTCCGATATAAAACCCCCGAAATCCCCTGGGAATTTCATGACTAGGTACCGGTACTCCCTTCCTCCTTCCCAGACAAAGACACCAGTATACCAGCAGCGCTCACAAGTAACACTAAATCGGGCCCCGCGGTCTCCTGCTATACGCGGATGCTATTTATAGCCGACATCGATCGATCCAGGGTCCACCCCACGCACGCCAGTGAAAACAAGCTCGACAGCTGATTGGTGCATACCTAGTTCGGTGGATGAGAAATTATGGCATACATCGATGGCGATGCAACGACGACGCGACCTCTCCTAAGTGATTTTGAATCGTCCAACGAAACTGTCTTTGTGTGTCCTCAACATAGAAAAGAAGTACCCCTCGTTTCCGTACAGTTGTTGCAAGAGAATGGCGAGAGCGAGTTTGAGGATCCTGAAGAGCTGAGAAAGAAGGACGGAGTGCTGCGCCGCTTGGTGATGGCGATTGTTAGACGGAGGCAGCGGAATGGATCGGTTCGAGAAAGAGAGGAAGATCAATATAAACTAGACTGGGAAAATGGTATCTCGAAAGATAGGTGCTCGAGAGGTAACGGGATCTGCAGTCGGACTGGGCTAGGAGGCCTGGTAATCATCATGTGAGTTCCTGGTGTACACTAAACCACTCTCTTCGAATCAGCCATACTGGCAGAGTGTGAGTTTTCCAGTTGCAAAAGCCTGTATTAACCCCTCGTCACAGTATAATCGTCTCCATCTCTATCGCCATATATACCCACAACCCCAACATACCTCCTTTCCTGAGAGAACAGCCTCCGCTCCCGCTCCCCTCACCCCCAACGCTCCCAGACCCCTTCCTGGAATCACTCACTAAACATGTAACCCCAATCCCCTGCCATTCCCACAACGACTACTGGCGGCCTTCACCTCTCTACGACGCACTCCGCACAGGCTGCACCAGCGTCGAAGCAGACGTATGGCACTTCCCTCCCTTATCCCCCTCGCTGTACGTCGGCCACGACACTTCATCCCTCACGCCCTCGCACACCCTATCAACAATGTACATCTCGCCGCTCCTCCAACTCCTCGACTTCCACAACACCAATCTCAGCACCACCACCACCAGTAGTAAATTCGGCATTTTCCCTACATCCCCATCAACAACGCTAATCCTACTCATCGACTTCAAAAACAACGGCTCAGAAATCTTCCCCGCGCTATCCACGCACCTCGCTCCGCTCCGCGAAAAAAGCTACCTGTCGCACTTCAACGGCACGCACACCAACTTGGGTCCAATCACGGTCGTGGCAACGGGCAACGCGCCGTTCGCGACTCTGATGACGGCTAATACTACCTATCGCGATATCTTCTACGATGCGCCGTTGCACAGCTTCTCTTCTTCTTCTTCTTCTTCTTCTTCTGCAACGGCTTTGATGCGCGACGAAGCGTTTTCAACGCACAACTCGTATCTAGCGTCGACGTCGTTGCGGGCTGCGCTGGGAGGGCGGTTGTGGTGGGTTCATTGGACGAGGCCGTGGGCGATGGGACGGATTTCCGGGGAGCAGAGGGGCAGGATTAGAGAGCAGATTAGGGGTGCGCGGGAGACGGGGTTGAGGGCTAGGTATTGGGGCACGCCTGGGTGGCCGGTGGGGGTGAGGGATGCGGTTTGGAAGGTGCTTGTGGAAGAGGGGGTGGATTTTTTGAATGGGGATGATTTGGAGGGGTTGAAGGGGATGGTTGGTGGGGAAGGGGGAGAGAGGGAGGTTGAGGTTAGGTAGTTTGTTGAGGGAGTTGGTTTTAGGGGTTTCTGGTGCGATGTGTGGGAAGAGATATTTGGGAAATATTTGACTTGGATTAGGTCGCTACTTGTGGCAGCAAGCACGAGAGAAGACGCAACACGCCATCACTACAACTTTTTCAGGTGGGACATGTGTGATAGGCTGGAATTATTGTACAGAAGAGAATAGACAAGGAGTAAAGTAAGCCTTGCGGATGGCAGCTCCTTGTATAGATCGATACCGGGTATTTGCGACAAGGAAAAGTCCCTCAACAATTCTGCCATTCGCAGATATAGGGCGAGTGATGATCGTAATACTGTGATCAAGGTTTCCCTCAGATCAGATTCAGAGACGAAGAAAAGCCCCAAAGACATGATGACAAAATACACACCCCTCTCCATTTCTCCGGCCCCTTTAGATCTCCGCACCATGGCCAAATTTTTGGCATGATTTCAGATAAGACGGTTCCTCGCTCTACAATCTCATCCAAATATCGACGAAAAGTCAGGCGTGACAACAAATTTTCCCTTGACACGTCCAAAGCAGGACACCTTCCCACCGTCTTCTGGCGCGACTTGCTGTTCTTCCGAAAAATGGCTGATAGACACAACTTCTTGTAAAAAGGACGCCGGTTTTCCAGGTGTCAGCTCGAGATCGACGCCACCCCAGTTCAATGTAGTCCGTCCTGACTGATGGACCCGCAGCTTCCCTACACGACCACTGACGAATGTTGGTCCCTCTGGTATACTGCCAAGCGGGTTGGAGAATTCTTCTTCCTTCTTAACCAACGCGGCCTCACCATTCTTTGGGACCTGAGGCTCGGAAGGCTTGGATGTGCCGTTTGAGGACTCTTTCTTGATGGAGGGGCCTTTGAGTTCGGGTATAACAGGCGGTAATTGGAATAGATATACGTGGTTGTCGCGGCGACTCGGTTTGCTAGCATTAGCTGCCGCATCGGTCATTGTTGCATCACCAGACGCGTCGACAGTGGGGTCGTCCTCTGGTCCCAGTTCGGCTCTCACATGTTCCATGTTTGCCTGGAAACGTGCCCACTCAGCTTTTTCTTCGTCTGTCTGAAGATGGGGTTGTTTTTCGCGCCTTCTTGGTTTCCTTTCTGCCGCGGGCGACTCCTCTTTCTTCGCTACCGAAGGCGTGTCTGTTGAGATGCCAACCTGCTCTGCGTCGACCATCTCTTCGTCATCGCTGGTTGGTTCAGACTTGATCTTTGCCTCAGCCTCGAATTCTTGACCGGTGCCTCTAATATTCTTTCGCTCTCCTGTGACCTCCAAGTCACTTGCATTTGCCTTTCCTTTTCCCTTCGTTTGGTGTGATGTTTCGTCTCCGTTCGTGTTCGTCGGTAGTGCATCGCCGGCTTTATCCGCCTCTTGAAGTATTTTGGCCGAGGTTTCCGTACTCGCGTCAGTATTGATTCCCACTACACGTTCCTTGTGCTCCTTTCTACCGATGCGGACCGGAAGATGTGTTCGAAGTTTTGATGCAGCATTAGTATCCTCTTCATCGGAGGACAATTCGATAAGATCGATGTCTTTTCGTGGAAATTGGGCATCCACTTCGTTCTCGTCGTCAGATGAGTCCTCTCCACCGCCTTCTCTCTTGATGTAAGAGCCTCCCGATGCGCCGCCGAACCTTCTGGATGGCCCTCCAGATCCGTCATCTTCATCCTTGACGCGTGTGGCCCGAGATCCAGACCCAGAGCCCCCGAAATTCCGGTGCACAGTTCTTTTGTCTGCAGTAATACGTTAGCAATACTCAGTAGCAGAGATTGTGAGCGAGCATCATGCCTTGTCGAGCGCTTTGCATGGAGAAAGGTCCACTAACAGCTCCGCTGTAGCCACCTCTTCCTCGTGATGTTCGTTCTGCCAGTCGTTTAGCATCTCTCTCTTTTACAGCTTTTCTCCGCTCAGCTTGTCTATCGCGCTCCTTATTCCTCTCAATCTCTCTCTGCTTGTCGGCAGCGGTACGGGCGTCGCGCTCTTCTTTACTGCGTCGGCCGCTGAAAGTTGGAAGAGCTACGGGCTTTTTCCCTCGTGTAGATGCTCCGCGACGTACGGAAGGTGATGCGGATCGTGAAGCAGGTTCGGAACTTTTCAGACTGTCCAGTCTCTGTCTTGGAGGTCTGTTGACAGTGGAACTGGTGGGCGCCGCCATAGGCCTGGAATTGTGTTAGTTACTGAACGGACTTTGCAATCGTTGATCCGCTACGCACGAAGCTGAAATTGAAGCTGTAGATTGAGATTCGACAGTAGGCGCAACATTTGTTTCTGCGCCGCCTTCATTCATCGGGACAACTGCAGGCTCCGAGGGTTCAACAACTTCCGCGTTTGCAGGCTCTGAGGGTTGTGTGGTTGTATCTGTGCGGCCAGAGGATGCCGCTCCCCCTCGACCTGAGCCTCGGCCACGCGCGCCTCCTCTTCCTCTTGCTCTGGGTGGCATTGTGTAATTGAGTGGGCAAATCTTGGTGGTGAATGCGGGACAATGTGAGTCGAGGGTCGAACAAAATATCCGTTATCGATATCGGAGAAACCCCGGAGTTTTACCTATCCATCGCGACGTCACGCGGCCCCGATTAATGCATGAGGTTAGCCTGGCAGAAGAATTATACGTCGAAGGCACATTTCTGATCTGTAAAAACGCATCTCGTTGAGCTCTATCCGTGCAATGAATCGTAAACACAGCGGTACACTATAGATCCATTGATTCAACATCTGGATATGTGTGTACGCGATCTGCTGTGGATCAAACTAGCTCATGAGCAATACGTAGAAAGCTAAACAATTCAAGTGGTATGACCAATACGCAAATCCGGCTCCTTCCATGCTCGCTATGAATATCGAATGTGCTTGCTCCCAGAAAACGCCGGTCTCCAAACGATCCATCTATGGGATGATCGCGACATAAATGAACATAAAGCGCATTAAGAAGAAAGGGGAAAAAGAAGAAGCAAGAGTGGTGGCAGACAAAATGAAACGATAAGCAATCCGTAGAAGATGGGTATAAAAAGGCGGTCCATATGTTTACCCCTCTACAAGGGTTTTCGGCGTTTTGCCCAAGATCTCAAGGCACCGTTGTGCAAGGCCGACAACTTCGCCCTCGCCGTCTTCGTTGTCTTCCTCGTCCGACTCAATGTTGCGCTCAGCAATGTCGGAAACCATGCGCACGATCTCATTTGATTTGGAAATGCGCTCGAGAAGCGACGCGTCTTCGGATTCGAGCAGCTGCAAAAGCGTCCAGATAGCGATATGCTGGAAAGTGGGGTCACCGCTTGCGAGGAAACGACGGAGGTAGCCATGGATTCCACCGGCAGGTTCCGTCCAGTTTTGTATGAAAATGGTGTAATCATCAACTGAGAAATAAGTCAGCAAGGTTGTTGGAATCATCCACAGAAAGTTGACTCACCCTTTGATGAAAGGTTTCCCAAAGCTGCAGCACTGTTTCCTTGAACTTCGATACTGTCCGACTCAGTAAGGGGAATTAGGACATCAAATACGCCCAACCTCAATAGATGAGGCTTCAAGTCTTCACTGAGAGCGAGGACAGCAATGGCTGCCGTCATTTCCGACTGCACCGGGAGGCGCACGTTCAGTACCAACTGCTTGCATTTTTGCACTGCACCAGCTTCCAGAACCAGTTGCTTGTTCTTGTCGGAGCTGGCTGCCAAGTTTCGAAGTGTGGAAATCGCATGGCATTGGATCTCGTCGTTATCGGTGGACCCAAGCAAATCCACCAACGGTCGGAGGAATCCAGCATCGATGATCGGGGACTCGTTTGCGGGATGAATGGAGATGTTGCGTATGCATGCAACGGCGGAGAGGATAAGAGGAAGGTAAGACGATTGGAGGAGCCGGAGGAGGGACGGGAGACCGCGGGCGCGCACAATGTCTAGCTGGTACCGCTCATCTGAAGCAAGGTTCCGTAGCGCCAACGCAGCTTGGCACTGGACCTTTGGCGAAGATGATTCCATGAGATGCACGAGCGACTGCACTAAACGGCCTTCGGTCTGGGCTAATTTCGCACGATTGCCGGCGTCGACAGCGATGTTACTCAACGCAGTTGTGCAATAGTACTGCACATCGACATCCGAGGAGTTGAGCAACTGAACCAGGACAGGGATAGCGCCAGCATTAACGAGCTGTTGTCGGTTATCATCTACGATGCGTTAGCCTGACTCGCGAGATGCAGCTTGCTGCGTGGCCAGCGTACCGGAGTGGGTCATGTTAAGCAGAGCGCCTGTGGCGTTTCTCTGCACCCGCATGTCCTTGGATTTGGCGAGTCTGGTGAGAGGCTGCAGAGCACCCGAACGAGCTATCTTGGATTTGTTGTCTTCGTGAGTCGCAAGGTTCGTAATGCATCCGACGGCGTTGCACTGCACTTCGACGTTGGGGGAGTTCATCTGCTTGATCAGGGGAGCAAGGCCACCCAAGGCGACTATGTTGACTTTGTTCTCGGCTGGATGCCGTCAGCTAAGAAGCATTACATGAAGGGTCTGTAGGGTACATACTGTTAACGGCAAGGTTGCCCAAGGCGGCACTCGCTGCCCGCTGCACTTCGATATCGGGGTTCTGGAGAAGAAAAAGGATGGGTTCCAGGGTGTTGCGGTCGACTTCTCGAACATCTGCCGAGGTGCACAGTTAGCGGTGTGGAGGATCGGGGAGCCAGAGGTTGTTTCTGGCGGAAGTTGTATACCTCGTTCTGTGATTTCGGCGAAGGTCAAACTCGCAGACCGCTGCAAATCAATGTTGTCTGAATATACCAAGGTACTCAATGCGCGAAGGGGTTCTCCTGAGAAGAAGTCGGTCTCGGCTCGCTATCAGGGTCAGCATCGAGGTGCAGTGCGGTTGAGGTGCGGAGTGGAAGGTGACGAACATTCTCAAGGAAGCCGAGCAGGTCGGCGACAGCTTCTCGCTCGCTGTCTGCTAAGATGGGATCGTAGATGCTGTCTTTTGAACGGCCTTTGAACGCAGGTGTCAGTAGCGCTACAAGATGATATGGGAGACGCGAAGGCTACAAGGGAAAGTTAAAGGTGGTGGTGGTGGGGAGCTTACCGCCGCAGCATCCCCCAAACAGCTTCGAGCAGACGTCGGAAAGACCCATGGTGGGCAGGGTCACGGCCTCACGGCCTCTCGATGGCGGGAAAGGGGACTAGCAGTCGGAGTCGGAGCAGGATGTGACGTGCGCTGATGATGGTGCAAAAGGCGTGCGGGCGAGATGGAGGGAGTAGCAAGAACCGGATGATAGCAGAACAGACGGACAGACAGACAGACGTCGACGTACACAAGCAAGCAATCAAGCAAGCAACGAACCTCACTTGACTTGGACCGCACATGCAATTCGAGCTAAGCCGGTTCTGGGAGCTAAGCCTGGTCCGTGCAGCGACTTATCTTAGCAGGCGGCGGGCAGCCTCGTTTTCGAGGGTTCAAACTGAGCGGGCGGACATGCGACGAAAGAAAATGAGGTGGAAAATGAACAATCATTCATCTTTTTCTATTAGCACCAGATGGGGTTGGAACGAACCCCAGGCAGATGGAATATCTTTGACGCAATCTTTATTTCTTGCCATGGAATAGAGCTGTCTGTTTGGCAGCACTTCAGTTGGTTACTAGAGTACGCTACTATTGACTGAGTATATTGGAAAAATACACAGCGATATGATGGACAGGGTACTCGGACGTCATGCGCGCAGGCGTCGCATCCATGATGCTAACCAGCACAGAATTGGATGATGACACAAATCCATACTACGTACACAAGTACGTACATTGAGACATACCAGACCTCTCACCCTGGGTACGTATTCCACTGTTGCTGTTTGGTGATGGTGTGTAGAGGCTGTCGTGTTTCGCGCCCACTCGCTGGATCAATCACAAGGCAGCTCTTGTCAGCATTGTTATACTGGGCTGGTTATGGTTCTTGACTGCGATCATGATACCACTGTTGCTGTCATGATGCATTCATTCACTGCACCATGAATTCATAATCCATTGTAGATTGGGCCAAGTCTCTCAATCTGTAACAGAGGCGAATGGGTGGATGCAACATTTCCCCTCACTCACTCCCTCACTCACTTGGGAGCCACGGCGCTACCAAGTCAACACACACAGCGACAAGCCGTGGGCACAGCGACAACCACTGTTTTGAAGACCAAAGCAGTGATTGAGTTGCGACGTCTTGGGCCTGTTGGCGGACGTGATTGGCGCCTAGCGGCAAATCAGTGCGAGGATTGGGTTCACGTGCCGGCGCCCATTGTTGCCTTCCGGTCTGCTCCGGCGCGTGGGGGGTGAAAACGGACTTGTACATAATCGAATCGACGACTTTTTATTAAGGAAACGCCTACGCCCGTTAGCAACTTATGCGCAAGACAGCAAAGCCTGGTTGATCAACAAGCATCTGCTAACTCTGGAGTCGCAGCAATTTTTTTTTTTACTTTCACTCTCTTCTCCTCCTGCCTGCTCCTTTTCTTTCCTTCTTCTCCCCCAACTCCTCTCCTCAACCTCCATCTCTCGCTCCTCACCTGCTCTCGCCGTCTGTATCCGAAAGAAACACCACCACCAACTAGACGAACCGAACCGAAACATTCGGCGGGAAAACGAATCAGCGCACAGCTATCCCGGCTTACCCACTTCATCAATACCGTCATATATACCTACCTACATAGGTATCGCAGTCGGGAAACCGAACAACTGCACGTTGATCCAGACTCTGCCTTCCTTGGGCCCAACGGCCTTCGGTCCATCGCCCTATCTTGTCTGCTTTGGTCTGGTCGACCTCTCCCCACCATCCCTAGCGCGCGACCCCCCATTCACATCCCTCCCGTATTTCTGTTACTCCACCAAATTACCCTCGCCGCCCTGCGACTTCGCACATCACCCCACCCGCACGCCGCACATTGAAATACTGGGCTGCGGCTGCTCGAGGTCTGCCATCACCGTCAATTTTTGCCCCCCAAAGCCGATTTCATGGCCCCTTACTCGGGTTCCTCACACACTTTCCAGAAGCTCAAGCTCGATACCGGCGCTCAGAAGCCCACCACCACCTCCACCTTTGCCTCGATCCCCCGTTCAGACCCTCCCCAGAGCCAACATGCCTCTGCCCCTGCATCTTCGCAACTAACGTCTGACCTGGCCGATTGCTCTCTGCGTACTCGTAGCCATGGCATCCCCATCAAACGGCCCGGCCACCAACCCAGCCATCACCATCACCACCATGCGCCGTACGACAGTCGCTCGGTGGTCATTGGCAGCAGCAGCGAGGACGATGACCTCGAGATCCAGTTCACCCAGCGCCCCAAAGCGATAAGCTTCAGTAAAGAAGTAACGCTCGATAGCGGCAATCGCCTGTCGCTCGAGGACCCTCTTCCCAAGCCCGAATTCAAGCCGCGCTCGCGGCCCGAGTCGGATGGAGACGACTACTCCGATCAGGACTACCTGGAAATGCACCAGCGCAATCGAGCGCAGCATCACATCCCCGAATCCAGGTACCCCCTGCTTCAATCGACTGTCGATGACCTCAACGAGGCCAAAGAGTTGGATGATCGCGTTGCTTCCCTGACCTCGGCCACCACCGCCTCTCCCACCGAAGTTCGCACACCCTTGGAGGCTCCTGCCGAGTATACCCTGTCGCCTTTGCCCTCCACTTCGTCTCCCATCGAATTTCCTATATTTCCTGGTAAACGGTTTGGATCACAGCGATCGCGAAGCTATCGGGAATTTGGCGAGAATGACGGAAGTCGAAGGGCAAGCCGCCGGTCCTCTGCTGCTCGATCTGGTCGCTCCTTGTCATCCATGTCTCCTGCTGCCTCGTTCCTATCTCGTTACAAGACGTCCGATGCGCCTCTGAAGCCTCCGGAGCCAGATGAGGAAGGCCAAGGTGTTGGCTATCATGGTGAATACATCATCGGCAAGCAGATCGGTTACGGCGGTTTCAGTGTCGTCAAGGAAGTTACCAGTATCGAGGACGGAAAGCGGGTTGTCAACGCGGTCAAGATTGTTCGCAGGCAGTTGCAGTACAAGTCGGAGCTGGAGAACGAAGAAATCCAGACGCACTTCGATCACGAGGTAGAGATCTGGCGGTTTCTCCGACACCCTTATATTCTCCCTCTTCTTTGCGTGTACACAACCGACTTCGCTACATACTGTATCACTCGGCTGAACGAGGGGGGGACTTTGTTTGATGAGGTCCGGACCCTACGGAGATCGCAGAAGACTGGACTTCCTCAAGCGTTGGCTAAGCGGTACACATACCAGCTCGCTTCTGCTATGCGATACCTGCACAACGATGTGCAAATCGTTCACCGCGATATCAAATTGGAAAACTGTCTCGTGGATAAGAGTGGCCCGACCGCGGAAGAAGAGGGCGGGAACGTTCTCCTCTGCGACTTTGGCATGGCAGACTTCATTGTGAGCGACCAGCGCGACGGGCCCGATCCGCACTCGATTGGAGAGAACCAGAACATTGGTCCCGGTGGAACCAGCACGTCGATCGCCGGCAGCCTGGAATATGCGGCGCCGGAGCTCTTCACCGTCTCCGGTTCGGTGTTCTCACCGGCTGCAGACGTATGGGCGTTTGGAGTGGTGGTGTATGCTCTCTTGACAGCGAAGCTACCGTTCAGCGAAGGGCTGGAGTCGAAGACGTCGATGAAGATCAGGAGTGGTGAATATGACGTGGAAATCATTCGAAGCTCGGAGGCAGTGCAAGGCGGCGGGGTGGAAGACGCAATTGCGTTGGTCCAAGGGTGCTTGGACATGGACGTCGAAAAGCGGTGGACAATCCATGACATCCTTGAATGCCGTTGGCTGCAGGGGTGCATGCAGCAGTATGAGCATGTGCCTCGTGAGTGGCTGGCAGAGTCTTGACGTGTCTGTGGTGCGAGACGATTGCGATACCCTTTTCCTTTCCAGTCTGTTTGTCGGTTTTGTTTTTGCTGTTTTGCTCGCCTCTGGTTTGATATTATTCATGGGGTTTTGTTGCGCTTTCCCCTCAGTCTTTTCGGTTTTCGATACCCCGCTTTGTTGTATCCCTTTGTTTCTTGGTTTATTCGGCTGAATGGTGTTCTCATGACCTTGGTTAGTTGAGCACATTTGCTCTTAGTTTGTCATGTTGTACAATTATTCATTCAGTTGCTATTTGTTTACCTATGTAGGAGCTATTTACTGCCAGCACGGTCGCTGGGGATGAATGGATTACGGTAGGGCAGCAGCCCATGTGTAGGCAGATGTTAGCAAGAGCGGAATGAATCCAAGCATACATTACACATCCCCAGGTCTTTGATGATGTCGATGATATATTCTTACCAAATGCAATTGACAATGTGCGAGCTGCCGGCCAACACGTGGCGGCGATGCTGGCTGAGCGGTGACGGAATTCGCCCCCTTGGGATGAATCTACTGATCTACTACACACAGCCCGCTCAAAGACCTTGGGTTGAGTTGGGCTTTGGTTCTCGGGGCGAACGTTCTGTGGCATACAGTCCCGTATCACGGCATGACGTCTGAAGGCATTGCTCGTCCAACCCACCCATTCCCACACACATAGACACAATGCCCGGAAACTGTAACCCCAAACTTCAAATGTTCTTGCTCAAGCCTCAACCAGGCAGAGACTTGATTCAAACAGGAAGGAGATTCGGCAGTCTGCTCAGGTTACTCTTTAATATAAACAAAATCCCAGAACCCTCCAATCCTTTTTCATCGCGAGCAAGTTCTCGGTGTCGCGAACCCCCATCACATGCGCACTGCTGATTTTTCTTTCCCTTCTGTCCTGTTCACGGGCGCCATGTTGGGTTGAATGCACGGATGACCGACTCGCCAGCAACCCCCCCTGCCCCCTTCCCCAGGTTTCCAGCTTGCTGTATCTGACTGAGTCGGCTTGATGTGGCGTTTTCCCCAGACGCCTTGAGCGCCCCGCTCTCTGGGCATCTGCCATGGCAACACTTGCTGCCATTAGCCGCTAAGCCGGCGCAGAATGCTTGCGTTGCTTGCTTGATTCTTGGTCACAAACTCTTTTGCCATAACCGCCTTCCTTTTCTTCGCCCTCCTTTTGAAATATTGCTCGTGGTCATGTTGTATGAGGCTTTGCGGCTTTGCGCCCAAGTGTATACCGTATGCGTATGCAAGCATTCGGCTGGTCCAGAGCCCTAAGGCTCTTTATACACACTCTTGTGCAGGACACATCTGTACCATGTGCCAGATCCGACTACCCGTATGCATGCGTGCATAGTAGAGCCATTGCTGTAGCCTGAGAGACGGTCGAATGTCCCCATCATCCACTGTCACTGCGATGCGTCCGCAAGAGAAACTATTCCGAACTGCCGCGGTAGCCCACGCTCAGCCCAACCGCCGCTCCACATGTCACCCGAACCACTCCAATCGTTTTCACGTTACTCTTCAACTCCATCACGAGGATCGTGGCATTCGCACATCCCATCTTACTCCATGGGATATCCAGCAGGGGTCTCGTCATCCTATGAGCGCTCTGTTCAATCTCTGCCATACGTCACATGCTGGATTATCCACACCTCGATGGGTGTCGGCAGCTCTTGGACGGCCAGCCCCATTCGTTTTCCCAAGATACACCGCCATGATGCTTGATTCTGGGCCAGAACCCATAACGTGTTGAGGTTTCCATTTTTCCAGGTCGCCATATAAAGTTTCACGCCCAGACTCACTCCCACCTGGACCAAGGTAGACGTTTAACTCTCCGAGTAAGCATAAATCATGTTCAGATGTGAACAATCAAGCACGCGACTCCATGTGTACGTCTTTCCTTTACATGTTGTCGATTGTAGTAGTTCTCCAGCCGTTTTTCTCCCGTCCCCCAAGCGTGATGTGCTGCTCGGCCTTTTGTCCTGCTTAGCGTGCATCTCCGTCAGCACTTCTTCTGTCCTCCTTCTCTGCATCTCATCTCTTGACGTCAGACAGGGTCATCTTTAGCAGGGTGAGTGGTCGCGTGGTGAAGTTCTCACCGTCTTGGTGTGCTCAAGCAAGATCCGCCAAGCAAAGACTTTAGTCAACCTCGTCCCCTACTGGAACTCATCACCAAAACATGTGCCCGGATTCCGCATCGCGCTAGTATTCTTCTTAACACGCTGTAGCTGACCTGTCTTTCATGTTACCCTATGCGGGAAGACAGCGCTATGCCAAGGTCCACGTCTGGTAGCCGGTTAGGTACCATCTCGGGTCTCCAGATGTCTCCGCTGCCATCTTCCAAGCTTGATCACAACACACAGTATAGTATCGTCCGAGTGCCGAGGTGGAAACCATCTCGATTCGCCACGATACTAGCCATACCGACGTTTCGTGCATGTTTCTCACAAATTAGAACCCTCTGTGCCTAGAGTTATTACAAGACGGGACGGAAGCTTGTCACGACGGTTCTGACGTGGACGTCAAGGCTTCCTCCTGGGCATGTCAAGCAGCAACCTTGTAGCAGTGCACATCTTTTCAAGGGGGAATAGCGTCACATCTCCATACCTGCCTGCTTGTGGAAGTAGGCGATGCCCTCAACGGTAGGTGGTTGGGTTTTGCTGTCAGCTGGTCCCCGTCTTCTGTCTCTTCGACCCTCCACTACGGCGGTATATGCAAACAAGGGTAAACTTTTGATGCTGTCATCTCTTGATTCAGGAAGTAACCTTCATGTTGGATCATATGGTAGGTTGCTGTGTGCTCGCCCCGATTCGGACATCATTGAATACTGTACACCACCCACCACCAATCAGGGACCACCTATTATCGACCCATTAGCATTTGGGAAAACCTCAACGTCTGGATTTAAAGCATGACCAGGCCATTGCCTGCGAGCATAGCGCTAAGAATTCAGATTTTTTCCACCGCTGTCATACCTCTGAGTATATAACAGGTTAGGATCTCCACTGATTCTTGCCTACCATCGCCCAGTAGAGATAACTTCCTCCAACCCCTTCGGTTGAAACTTACCCACTACTGACCAACCATGTACCTCCCTACACTGGGTGCAGTGTCCACACTGCTAGCCAGTCTCGTGACTGCGCAGTCGACATTCACACCGGCACGCCCCCCAGCTTTGCCGCTGGCTGTGAAGAACCCGTACTTGAGCACATGGTTCGCAGCTGGCAGCCAACGCGGAAACGGAGGATATTTGCCGGGTCAATGGCCCTCGTTCTGGACGTAAGTCATAGTTACAGCCAATATCCAAAAGTTTGAGACTAATCTGATTCTAGGGGACAAATCCTTGGATGGGCTGGTCTGATCCGGGTAGATGGCGAGACTTTTACCTGGATGGGATCACCCTCCAACTTTGAAGCAGCCAGCCAGGTTGCTTATGAGTACACCAGTACCAAGAGTATCTTCACTATTGACGTAGCCGACAAAGTCACCGTAAAGGCGACGTTCCTCTCGCCCGTCACTCCGAATGACTTCAAGCGTCAATCTTTGATCTCCTCGTACTTGTCCGTATCAGTGTTTTCGAAAGATGGCCAGAAACACGATGTGCAGCTGTACACTGACATCTCTGCCGGTAAGATACCCCCGGTTGTATTATGAAGCTTTGGTGGCTGACAAAAGTTTATAGAGTGGGTTTCGGGAGATTCAGAATCCGTGGCGCAATGGGACTCTGGCGAAGTGGATGGTATCGCCTACCACAAGGTCTGGAAGCAGAATCAACAGCTTTTCCACGAAATCAATGATCGAGCTGAATGGGGCAACTGGGTAAGTTTTCCTGTGGAGCAATGTCTGTGCGGCATAGTGTACTAACATCACGATCAGTACTATGCAACCGATGCTGCCGGACACACTCGCCAATCAGGCAGAGATGAAACTGTTCGCGGTATTTTCCGGGACAGCGGCGAACTTCAGGGCAGCAAAGATACTAACTATCGCCCTATCAACAACGACTATCCCGTGTTTGGTTTTGCAGTTGACCTTGGTTCTATCGGATCGTCTCCAGTATCGACACTGTTTACCATTACCCTCGCTCAGGAAACCGCAATCCAGTTCCTCGGTGCGGATGGTCTGAAGAACGTCCCGTCGTTATGGACCGATTACTTTGACGATGAACTGGCTGCGCTTTCGTTCTTCTACAAGGACTATCCCGAGTCTGACAAACTGTCGACCGAGCTCGACAACAAGGTTGCGACTGATTCAAAGGCCGCTGCGGGCGACAACTACCTCATACTGACCTCGTTGGCAGTCCGACAGGCCTTTGGTGCCACACAGCTCGTGGGTACCCAGGACAAGCACTACCTGTTCCTCAAGGAGATCTCATCCAACGGAAACATGCAAACCGTCGACGTCTTCTACCCAGCATCGCCCATCTTCTTCTACATGAACCCAGAACTCGTCAAGCTCCTTCTCGACCCTCACTTCGAGAACCAAGAAAGCGGCCACTACCCCAACAAATGGGCCATCCACGACCTAGGCACGCACTACCCCAACGCCACAGGCCACGCCGACGGCAACGACGAGCACATGCCCGTCGAAGAATGCGGCAACAACATCATCATGGCCCTCGCCTACGCCCAACGCACAAACAACAACGCCTACCTCACCCAACACTACGACATCCTCACCCAATGGGCAGGCTACCTCGTCGACGACGCGCTCCTCCCCGCCGAGCAGCTCTCCACCGACGACTTCGCCGGCCACCTTGCCAACCAAACCAACCTAGCCCTCAAAGGCATAATCGGCCTAGCCGCGACCGCCGAAATCGCCGCCCGCGCAAACAACCCGCAAGACGCCGACAAATACTCAGCCATTGCCCGCAGCTACATCGACCAGTGGCAATCCCTCGGCATCAACTACGACGACTACCCCCCGCACTCCATCCTCACCTACAACGACCAGGCCACCCACGGCCTCCTCTACAACCTCTACAACGACCGTCTTGTAAACACCTCGCTTGTCCCGCAGTTCGTCTACGACATGCAGTCGACGTTTTACCCCACCATCAAGGAGAGATACGGTGTCGCCCTCGATACGCGGAATCAGTACTGGACAAAGGGCGATTGGGAGGTTTTTTGCGCCGCCGTGGCCTCGGACGAAACCAGGGATTTGTTGATTGCCGCCTATGCGAGGTGGGTTGCCGAAACGCCTACGGGGTCCCCGTTTACGGATCTGTATAATGTTAATGTTGGCACGCATGTTGAGGGGATTGAGTTCAAGGCTAGACCGGTGCAAGGGGGTATGTTTGCGCTTTTGGCGCTGCAGAGTTGAGAAGGGGGAAGGTTGTAGAAGAAGAAGGGATACTGGATTTTTTTTTCGAGACAAGTCGTCGAGTTTTGGGATGAGATTGTATTTCTCTTTGTATGCCGTCTATGCAGTGCGGACATTTTTTGGTGTTTTCTTATTTTTTTTTCATTTTTCCCCTTTTTCCTCTGTGTGAAGGAAGACGTTGAGTTATCTAGGGGTTTGACGTGTTAACGGTCGCTTCTTCACATCTGAACACTCCCCCCACACACACATATCTGCTTGGATAGCGCAAGTAAGTAAGTAACCAAGTAACCAAGTAGCTTTCAAACCTCAATCTGGTTTGGAATTCTCATTCCCTCTCCTCATACCTGTATTTCCAACTCTCCAGTCCATTGACCTGCCCACCCCCACTACGGTAAGTAGTACGCCCGTTGTTAGATAAGTCACAGACACCATGCCATGTATATCTCAAGTCTTCTTTGGAATAATAAAGTCAAAAAATGTCATTTGAGTGTTTTGATGCATACCCACGGGACAAGGATTACTGTGGTTGTGTACAGCAGGGTTGTGTGCGCTTGGACTGGGAATGTAGGGAAGTGGTATATGTAGGCATGTGCTTTGATGATTCTGCAAAAATGGGGGGAAATGGAGGACGATATTTATATATGCGTCTTTGTGTCTGTGTCTGTGTGCAACGCTTCGTTCGTTTGCTCGTTCGTTCGTACATGAGATGTACCCAACACCACCACCACCACCACCAGCAACAACAAGCAAAGCCCCAGCCCCGCGAAACCCAAAAAAGAAAAAGAAAAACGAAAACAAGTTGTATCCAATCTCCCTCTAACGCCTCAAATCCTCAGCCCCAACCCCTGCACACCCCCAGCAGCCTCTTCCTCGGTCAGAACCTGCGGCTCCAACCGCGGCGAATTCGACGCACTGGTCATACTGATCATGCTAATCCGACTTCTCCTCTTCGCCGGCGACGAACTCCTCGTCCCGCTCGCCCTGGGCGTTCCACTCCCATGGAACGCTTCGAACAGCGACGAGCTCGTGCTCGAAGGCTGGTGGGAGAGTTCCTGGCGCCACGACATGATGCGCTCGTTGGGGGGTTGGGTGGACGTCGAGTCTCTGCGGCGAGAATCGCGGCGGTTCGCGTTGTTGGCGCCAGAGCGCGAGATGAGGCTCCCGGTGCGACTGATGCTTATTTTCGAGCCCGTGCGTTTGGAGAAGACGGACGAGGCGTCCCAGGCGGCGGCGTCGGAGAAGCGCATGCGTTTTGTGCAGGCGCAGTCTTGGCGGAAAACTTTGATGGAGCCCGTGTAGTCTGTGGTTATGATGATGTTCCCGTCTTGGTGGGATGACCGCGAGATATAGGCTGGGCTGGCGGCGGCTTTGGGGAAGGTGGGTTCGGCGGGGGTGTTCAGGTTGGAGGAGGCGGTTTCGGTGGGGGGTTTGGAATCTGCGATGGAGGGTTCGCGCGAGATGAGGGTTACGGGAGGTGGGTTGCAGAGGTCGAAGATTGGGTCTTCGGAGGCGCTGAGGAGTCTGCGGGTTTTGAGGGGCGCGATGATGGCGCAGGTTGTGATTGCGTTGTGGGCTTCGAAGATTTCAACGGGCCGTTGGTTGCGACCAGCTTCGGGGACGGAGGTGGTCCATATGTAGGCTTTTCGGTCTTCGCTTCCGCAGATGATGTGGTTAGTATCGTCGGCGAAGGTGGCTCGTATTTGACTCGAGTTGTTTTCGTGCGCTTTAAACTTGAGTTCTAGACTCTTGTCTCGCATATTGTAAACGCGTATCCTGGAATCATTACTTGTAACTAAGAGTTTAAGGTCTTCCTTGTCTTTGCTAGTCGAAACCTCTTTGACTTGTATTCCAGTGATCTTACTGCCCTTGGCGTTTTGTCCTCTGGTTGACTTGACATGGATTTGTGATTGGTGTTTCAATCCTTCCGTGTCGTAGAACGAGCAAAGCCCACCTAATGTACCAGCTATGCAAGTTTTACCATCTGGAGTGAAAGCAACGGCAGTTATCATGTCGGTAACGTTTGCGGTGTACGCAACCGACTTATCAGGGATACTCCATAATCTCAACTTGGTATCGAGGGAACCTGCGAGGAAGAATCGGTCATCTCTGGGGTGGAATTGAATCGAGGGTACGATGTCGGAGTGCTTGAAAGTACATAGGCTTTCACTTCGGCTCAAATGCCAAAGTCGAACTGTCTTGTCCATTGACGAGGAAAGCAAGAAGTTGTTCTGTGTATGTATGTCAGAATCAGCCGCGTACGTCACAATCACGTGAAAATCACTCACCTTGCTCCAACTCAAGTCCAGGATGGTCGACTCGTGTCCAATATACAATCTATGAGGCTTCTGTTGGAAGACCGGCGCACTGAGATACGTGCCGTCACCACCCGCCATTCTCTTGTTGCTCTCTTCCAGCTCATGCACCCTCCTCTCTTCTGGCGTTGAGATGACCGTCCAGACTCTTATGACTCGATCCTGCCCTCCAGCAGCAAGATACTTTCCGTCTTGGCTGAACTCTGTAGCCCAGACAGGATTTTGACTACCCGCTGAGCCGCTTTGAGGCACTGGATTGGCCCCTACAGCTGGTACATGTTTATTCTTCGTCCCCGACTGTAGCTCTTGCGCGAGGAATAAATGGTTAAACTCCTTCGCTTTTTTGAATTTGGTCCGTACTTTGATATATGCCGGAGGTTGAGGGTATTTTGGGTGGAAACCCAAATTGTCCCCAGTGTGTGCGAAAAGCGTGGCGTCCATACCTTCAGGTCTGTGGTCCTCGACTTCAGAGCCATTGTCATCTGTACCATCAGTCGCTGTTTTCTTCTTAGTGCCGATGAATCGGCTTAAGAAAGAGACTCCTTTCCTGAATTCGACATGAAGGGTTAGCTTGGCTTCGATAGTGATATTGGTATTCTAAAATAGGCCCTTCTAAAGGTCTGCTGCTGGCAACATCCGTGAAGAATTTACGTATTGCGACCAATTGCATGTGATGTTAAACGGCTGCCTTTTGGGCGGACACCCCGGAATGCGGCGGGGGTACGCGTATAGGTATACGAACATCGTATAAGCCTATACATGGTCGATGCATCGGCCGAACTATCCGGTGGAGCCGAGACTCGGGGTATTCAAAAACAAACCATTCACAGGACAAGAAGGAAAACAAGCACCGACTCACTTTTTGTCCGCCTTACTCGCGCTACTTAATTCACGCAATGCATCTCCCTTGGTATCCGTATGCGTATCGGCCGTTGGTGCGAGGATCGGACCCGATCCATCAAGGGTTTGAGACCGTAATCGCTGAAGGTTCGACGTATTCGTCCGCTTGAAGATGTGCTATCCCAAGTATTTCAATCAGTCTCAATGTATTGATGGATGAATGCATTGTCGTTGGGGCGTACTTGAGAAAGTGGATCTACTGCCGTGTCCTCCGCATGCTCTGGGCTTTTCTTCTCAAAGCTCCTTTTCTCCAGACTTTTCTTCTCCATACTCTTTTTCCCGTTCGCAGGCGCTGTCGCATCGTTCGAGGCTGTCGGTGCCGCACCCATAGGGTTTCGCAATTTCGAAGCAAGTTTTACGCCCGTGACTGGCTGCACTTCACCCCTTGCTCCTCCTCTTCCCTTCCCGCCCGTATCCTGCCTCTCCAGGGAAACCCTCGAGGAATCCATAATCCTGATCTTAGGGAGTACGTTGGCCATCAGCACGGTTTTTAATGGTCAGGTGGCGTCATGGGGTGCCCCAAGAACGCCGACCAACCGATATGTGCATACACCTCTCGGGCCACCCAAAAAAAATCTTTCCCTCCGTCGAGCGATGGGTTGAGTTCTCGAAGGCCTCCAGATTTCACGGAAGACCCCCCACTTTTTATATAAGCGCTTTGCAACGCTGATATTGTCTCGCTTGCGAGAATTGCGCGCCCGTACAGAGTGATGTGCGTATAGAAGGGTGTGTACAGCGGAATCCCCCAACTTGTTTACGTCGCGGGTGCACGATCAAATTGTGCGGGACGACTTCATAGAGCTGTGAGTCGGACGAGAAGCGGACTTATAGGTGTTCCGGCGGTGAGGTGATGCAGGGCGTTTGTTCGTGTACGTGAGATTCGAGGGATGCGGCGTGCAGTGTGCGGAGGGCGCGGAGGAGGCGGTAGGATGCGTCGGCCACGGTTCTGGCCTATCGATGACAGTCGTTAAATGTACGTGGTTTATATTCGATGTCGACAGTATGATGATGGAACGCGATTCGCGTGTTGCTATGAAGCGCGAGAAATATATAGTAGAAAGGGTAAGGTAAGGAGAGTATGATCGGTTTCTATTCCCTAGGATCGAAGATTGTGTAACGTCATAGGCGCCTGCTGTATTTACCCTAACCTATTATAGCCGTGCATCCTGAAACGGAAACCCAAGACTCATCCTGTTTTCATTTTCGGGCGAATGAGTACGGTTCCATGTAGATCAATGCTGCTGTGCACAGGGAGAAATCGTGATTTTGAATTGTATTTATTTCAGGGCGGAGTGAACCTTCAACCCGGGTAACTGGCGCGTGTACAACCAAACAACAAGGTACAACCTAGTTTGGCGTGCATGACCCACTACAAAAACGTGTCACTGACAGATAGGGCTGACGCTCAGTATATTTTTAACAGTTGAATTCGTGAATTATCCTAACAGCCATGACCCTGATCCAATCCTATCATATACTACCGACAAAGCAGTCCCATCATACAGAACAGCCAGCCAACCTACTCCCTCGACCAAAAAAAAACTTTACCCCTATGAACGCCATATATATCCCAAAACACCGCAAAGGTATCAAAAAAGAAAAGAACAGCTCGTACGGCATGAGCCACTGTGCTCGCTATGCTACGATATGCTGCGACTGACTCCGGCAATGCAGAGAATGGAGATGCAAACGTGAAGAAGGGTAACCTAGCCCATTACCCAAACCCAGCCAGTGGTATACAAGAAAGTGGTGATTAAAGATGGTAGAACGGCGGTGACATCACTTAAAAGTCTTCGTCGAAGCAGAAGTCGCCAGACTGGCCCTCTTTCTCCTCGGCGGGTGACGAGGAGCCCTCTTTCTCGTTCTTCTTTGTGCTGGCCATGACACCGGCCTTCTGGTAGTCACCGACGCGCTTCTCGAAGAAGTTGGTCTTGCCGGCCAAAGAGATGTTCTCCATGAAGTCGAAGGGGTTGGTGGCATTGTAGTACTTGGGGATACCGAGAGTGAGGAGGAGACGGTCAGCAACGAACTCGATGTACGTGCACATGAGTCCGGAGTTCATGCCGAGAAGCGCGCAGGGAAGAGCGTCAGTCAAGAACTCCTTCTCGATCTCAACTGCCTCAGTGATGATGCTCTCGACGAGTTCCCGGTTAGGGCGGTTGTTCAAAAGAGAGTATAGGAGGCATGCGAAGTCGGTGTGCATGCCCTCGTCACGAGAGATGAGCTCGTTGGAGAAGGTAAGACCAGGCATCAGACCGCGCTTCTTGAGCCAGAAGATGGAAGCGAAGGATCCGCTGAAGAAGATACCCTCGACTGCGGCAAAGGCGACGAGACGCGTCGCGAAAGTGGAGTTCTTGTCTGAGATCCATCGGAGAGCCCAGTCGGCCTTCTTGCGGATGCAGGGGACTGTGATACGCGTTAGACGCGTCTTGCTATATGTAGAATACGGTTGTTACTTACTGTTGTCGATGGCGTTGAACAGATAGTTCCGCTGCTTAGGTTCGCTGATGTAGGTGTCGATCAAAAGGGAGTATGTCTCGGAGTGGATGTTCTCCATCATGATCTGGAACCCGTAGAAGCATCGCGCCTCGGGGATCTGAACCTCGCCACTGAATCGCTCGACCAAGTTCTCGTTGACAATGCCATCGGAGGCGGCGAAAAAGGCGAGGACGTGGGAGATGAAGAAGCGCTCGTCATCGTTGAGACGCTTGTTCCAGTCGTGGAGATCCTTGGAGAGATCAATCTCCTCGGCGGTCCAGAAGGAAGCCTCGGCCTTCTTGTACATTTGCCAGACCTGTCGCGTTGTTAGTGGCGTATTTGGGAATTGGAGTGACGCGTCTACGTACATCGTGGTACTTGATGGGGAACATGACGAAGCGGTGGGGGTTCTCTTGGAGCAATGGCTCATCGGCCTCCTCCGCTTTGATGGTCTCTGCCGTGGTGGGCTTCGCGTCGGTCTTCTCTTCGACGAGATCAGGTATGCCGACGATAGGCTTGAAGATATTTTCCTTGTTCGCGGTGGACTCGAAGTCGAGCTTCTTTGCGGGTGAATCAGACATCTTGAGAGACTCAATGGCTGATGCAGCCTGGGAGACGCGTTAGTATCTTGACGCGTCGAATATTGGTATGGATTTGGAAAGCTACCTTTTTGGATGGTGTTACTTGAATGGCAGACATTGTGTGTGTAAAATGTAAAAGGTGGTAGTTGAAAAGGCAATCGACGGACAAGAGGGTAATATGTCGATGTTGAAGAGAAAGCGTGGAGTGCTGAAATGATGATGTGGTGGTGAAAGTAGAACAAAGAGAAGAAGTCGCGTCTGAAATACTATTCACGATTTACGCGGTCACGTGGTTGGCTTATAGTGGCTGCTAGTGGCCAAGAAGGCCCGTGCAGGCTTGCATCATGACGTGTTTGCGGCTCTGTATGCACGCTGCAACTTTGCTTTCTTTTTGCGAGAACTCCATGTTTGACTGTTCAAGACACAACACTGCACGAGCTTTCGAATGACACCCATCTCCAATATTAATTATGCCTCTCTCGTCTGGCAAAACATGTCAAAAAGCATCAGAAAGGGTGTGTTCGGTCGGCCCAGCCATCGGGTAATCGCGAGTGCAAAACAGTCCTTGCGCCCTGCGACGCGTCTCTACGCGCTCTGATTCGTGAGCCCCACCACAACAAATCCATTCCCGTACAGGAAGACCGAGTCACACACATCAGACGGGCTGGGCTGCACATCTCCACTCGGATTTCCAAGGCCGAGAGCATGTGCGTACGTGAAACCGCGGAATACTGCACGTCAATACTGGGAAAATCATGATCCTCGCGCACCGCTTGCAAGTTCCATGACAAACCGGGTGGGGTTGGTTTGCAATGCAGTAATCATTGGATAAGCATTGTACAACTTTCTTCTGGCCCTCGGCCAATACGGTCATCTCCCTTGCGCTCTTTGGTTCAAGATGATTGTTCTACATACAGCTGTCCTCATACACACACATCCTAAAACATATTGAAGATCCTCCTTCCACAATTGGATGGTATCCTTGCAGGCTACCATCCTCAGAGGCTACATAGGCCATAACCATTCAATCAGACTCAACGCATCCAACGTTTCCCCATTAACACGAGACGACGCGCTCGACGCGTCTCCCCCAGAAACCTCTAGCGTTTCGGAGTCCCTCGGATCAGATTAGATTTTTCACCGATAATCTGCCCCACTTGAATCCATCTAGCGCACGCCCGCATCATGAAGGATGCGTGGCTGGCGGGCTAGTAGATCGCCTACGTCCTACACACGCCCAAGAGTCAGTTACAAAGTCATCTCCCTCCTACACGCGTTACGCTAATCCACTCACTCCAATATGCCCAGAAATCCGTAGCAGCCTTTGTGTTTATTCGGCAATGTAAAAGACGTTGCTATGGTTTCCATTGTGGCCAAGGGCACTTGGAGACCGTGTTACGCTATCATCGGGCGAAGAGCAGGCCGACAGACAGAATGATGGAATTATATACGTTCATCTCAGTAATCTTGGGACTCATGTAACTATTCTTCTGACCAGAAGCATGAATTATGATACAATCTACGTCCTCCTATACAAATGAAGCTGCACCCTCCCATTCTCCAGTTCAATCGGATACTTCAGACCCTCGCCAAGCCGAAACCACCGACTTTCCTCCTCCACAACCTTGATCCATCCTTTTCCTTCCACATCATCCTCACCCATTCCACCCTCTCTCCCCAAAAGCGTAAAGTCTAACAACCACCGCATAGGATATTCCTTCTCCTTGCCGTTCAAGCTCACCGTCGAGTAACTCCCGGGACTATCCACGACCAGCAACAACGCACCTTGCCGCACGTACTCGGTCAGCCTCATCAGGAAAGATTGCGTTTTCGCGACAGAGACGGTGTAGAGCTCGTTGAGCGTAAACATGATGGTGACGACATGTGCGTCTTGCACTGCGGCTTGGAGTGCGGTCGGGGGCATGGACAAGATGTCTGCTTGTTGAAAAGTGTGGGTAAGAGATGATGAAGGAAGGAGTGGTTTATTGGCGGCCTTTACAGCGGCGGAAGCGTAAGGCGAGAGATGCGGGGCGGTGGTGATGTGGGTGGAGAGGAGGTTGAGAATGGGTGACCAATTCGCTATGTCGATTGTCAAGATATCGACAGTTGGCTGCGCTTCCTCCTCCAAACCCTCGGAATTCTCAATCTCTTCGCCTTTCTCGACTTCTTCGTCGGTTTGGGTACTTCTGTCTGCTATGCCCATCATTTTCGCAAACCCTCCTAGAGCTACAATCTCCGCCCCGGCTCCGCCACCCAGATTCACCACTTTCCACGTCTTTCTCTTTTCCTCACCGCTGAAGGGTCGGAGCTCAGACTTGAGTGTCTGGAATATAGAGAGATAGTTTAGTGCGCGGCTCGGGCTCCATCGAGCGGCATAGGCCTCGAGGTATTCTTCCTTGCTGAAAGCGGCGGCAAATTCACGGTTGAAGAGATGTTGTTTGACCTCCTGGAGCAGCGGTTTGAAATCGGAGTCCAGGCGCGTGCGGAAGGCGTCTCTGAAGATGTTGAGCAGGAGTTGCTGGAGGTCGACGGGGATTGTCGGAGTGGAGGGTGCTGATGATGTAAGCCCCTGCTTCTCTTTTGTAGGTAGCTTCCCCTTCTTTTCTTTCTCTTGAGGCTGCGCGGTGCGATGTCTCTTTTTCTGGGTTTGGGATTTGTTCTTCGGTAGGGGAGGCATATTCCTGGTTCTTCCCTCTTATTTTTCTTAAAAAGTTTTTCCTCTTGTTTGACAGCTGTGTTCTCTGATAAATTTTAGACTGCTATGAGAGGTACCCTATACTCATACGTAATCGCGCCTATGAGTGAAGTCTCTGGGTAGTTCCGTCGCTCGTGGATAATAATCACGTTCCAAGCGAGCGAGAAAGAGAGAGGGGAGAAAAAAAGAGAGCCGCCTCGGAACCAATGCTACTAACATCGGAAACATTTCCGACATCCAAGTATACATATTCCGAACGGAACGGAGCATCAGATTACACACCACACACTACATCCTCCTTCCCACCTCACCAAGAACGAGAAAAGCAGGCGTTGAAAATCTCTGGAAAAAAATCGCGAATTCCATCATAAAGCTAGAAAAGATAGATTATCCGCAAAATGCGTCTTCCATATATCCCCTCCGACCCGCAATTCCCCTCCCCAGAAGACCAAGCCATCGTCTCCCGAATCCAGCAACGACGCGGCCCCAACGGACTCCTCGAGCTCGACCGCGCGCTCCTACACTCGCCTCCCGTCGCGGACGGATGGTAAGGCCTCCCCTAGTCCATTCCTCATATCTAACCCTTACACGTACTGAACACGAGACGCGGGGTCGTTCGATTCCAGGAACTCCTTCCTCGCCTCCATCCGCACCCAGACGTCTCTCTCGATATCGATCCGCGAGCTCGCCATCTGCCGCGTCGCAGTGCTGAACCGTGCATGGTATGAGTGGGACCATCACGCGCCGCTGCTGCTGGCAGCGTCTGGTATGACGCAGGCGCATGTAGACGCTGTCAGGAGTCTACCACCCCATTACGACCGCGCTGGAGAGAGCGACGATGTGTTTGATGAGCCGCACCGTGCGGTGTTGGCGTATGTGGATGCTATGACCTTGGATGTTACTGTGGCGGAGGAGGTGTTTGGAAGGGTGAAGAAGGCGTTTGGGGAGAAGGGATCGGTGGAGGTTACCGCGACTGTTGCGGCGTATAATTGTGTGAGTCGGTTTTTGGTCGCTCTAGACGTCGGAGAGATGAATGGGAAAGGAAAAGAGGCCTCGAGTTAGCATTTGAATACATGATTGCGGTATCATTATCCATACACGGATTTCTTTTTTAGAGTTTGAACAGAAGTGTGTTTTATTTATTTTTGTAAGTGTATCTACTTAGGCTCATACAAAGTTCATATACTCTGCTATGTTCCACATCAAAACTCCATATCGGTATTTTGGTTGCTAAAAGCCACTGCTGTATTCTTCGTTCAATGAAATTGGGCCTTCAATTGTGACGACTTCCCCACGCTGGCTTGCGCCTAGCACCGTGACATTTTGAATCACAACATCAGTATCATAACCAAATGTGCCCGTCATCTTGAGCGTGCCATTGGCGTATGAGAAGTTGATCTCAGACGTGGCATCCTGCGTGATCTTGTCACCTTCATCGAGATACAAGGAACCCTCAGCTTCATTGTTCTCATTAGGAGCGATCCAGAGAACGAAGTCCTTCTTGCGAAGTTCCGTGGTAGTGTTTGCTGATTCAGCGCGTAGCGGGATAATGGAGCCGCCGCGGATATGGAGAGGGATTGAGGTGAAGGGGATATCGGTGAGTTCAACAGTGGATCCGTTGCTCTCGATTTTCTCGTGCGTCCAGTAATCGTAGAAGATGCCCTTGGGGAGGTAGATGGACACGTCTGTGCTGTTCTCTTCTAGGACGGGGCTGACGAGAATGTTGTCGCCGTAGAAAAATTGGTGTTCGATGGCGAAAGTGTTCTCATCTTCAGGGTACTGGAAGAAGAGTGGGTTGAGCAATGGTAGGCCAGTAGTAGATTGGCGGTGAAGATGCGTGTAAATGTAGTCGAGCAATCGGTATCGGACACTGATGGCGTTTTTCGCGGCTTCTGTCACCGTGTCCCAGAGATAAAATTCCTGGGAAATAGACGTGTCACCGTTGTGATTACGCATAAAAGGGTAGAAAGCACCCAAGGTAGCCCATCGAGCACACAGCGTTTCGGTGGTGTTGGCACCAAAACCGCACACGTCAGCGCCGACGAATGGGACCTGGAAAAGGGCGGAGAATTCGAGAATGTTTGAAATACTCTGGCGGTAGTGATCCCAAAGCGACAAGTTATCTCCAAGCCACTTGCCCACGTGGCTTCCCGCACCAGCAAACTGTATGACGTTAGCCTCTTGAAGAAAGCGGACGAAGCGCGATGTACTCACAGTTGATCGAGTGATGATAAGGGGTCGCCTTTCTGGTCGTCGTGCAAGTAAAGCATTTCTCGAAGCGATGGACATCATCAAGCCGTAAAGGTTGTGAGTGTCATATTGGTGAGATCCGTCGTAGTTCTTCACATCCGTAGGGATAGTCTTGTAACTGATTGGTCCTGCAGCGTTCTGAATCTCGTATTCAGGGTTGATAAGATCACGCCCTGGCTGTCCGAGATACTTGTCGGATTGACGTGCTCGAAGACGTCTGGCTGATTGGGGGGGCTGGAATGTGCCAGGGAAACCTGGAATTGGTCGACCGGAACTGTTTCGGACTGGTGGTGGGACTGGAGGGTTACCAGACTCGTCGGCCCAACCTAGGAAATTTGTCAGTTATTTATAGCATATCATAAGCGTGACTTCTTACCATGCGGGTCCAAACAAGGCCATTCACAAAAGTTAGCAGCCTCGTTCATGTCGATCCACAGAGCATCGATATCAACACCAGTCTCAGCATCGAAGAACTCCAAGAACTCTTTGTTCCAGTAGTCTTGAGTGCTAGGGTGGAACCAATCAGGGAACACAGTGGGGCCAGGCCAGACTGCACCCGTGTAATATCCAGAGCCATTAGCATTCTTGTGGAAGATGTCGAGCTCTACGCCATCAGTGTAGCCATTGTTGGGAATACCATCCTCTCTGTCGGACACTGCAGGATCGACCATGACGACGTAGTGCTGTTGGTTGGCATGTAGATAGTCAACAAGCTCTCGCATACGTTCGATTGGGAATCTTTCTGGGTCGAGCGTGAACACCCTTCGAAGATACATGTAGTCGATGTCGGTCCACATTGTCTGCGATAAAGTCAGTATGTCGCAATTTCCAGTGTACTCGAGGTACTTACCTCCAGCGGAATTTCGGCCTTCGAGTAGTTCGCGACGACTTCTGCTACATCGAACACATCGCGGTATCCGTAGCGGCACTGGTGGAATCCAAAGCCCCAGTATGGCTGCATGACTGCTTTTCCGGCAATCTCGGAGTATTGCACGCTGACGTCCTTGGGTGTCGGCCCGGCCATGAAGTATAGATCAAACATGCCACCGAGGAGATTGTACTCAAGGAATTGACCACCGACGTTGTCGATTTTGATGTCTTTTCCAGCGGAGCTCAATAAGAACACGCCATGCGTGCCGGATGAACCACGGTGATCAAAGTAAATGGGATGGTCACCATAGAGGTTAGTTCCGACTGGGACACCATACGAGTCACGATTCCATAGCTATAGTATGTTAGAATTATCATTGTTGGGAAGTGAGTAGATCTTACCGTCCTAGTATAGTTCGTTGTGTTGAGCTGGAACGGATCTGTGTGCTCGCCCAAACCATACAGATGGGGAGATTCGGGGAGGCGCGTCCTCAAGCGTAAGTACTGAGATTCGAAGATCAGACTAGCAGCTGAAGTATCGAAGATGGTCTCATTGCTGCTCTTTCTGACAATGCGGAAAGAGAAAGGGTCGTTGGTGTACGAGAAAGCAAGTAGAGAATTCGAAGGGTCGGCAGCCTCGCTCGACGGCCTAGGAAAGATTGAATCAGGAATCTGATATGCTAGCTCTTCGGCATCGTAAATCTTGACGTGCAGGCGGCTTTCTATTATGGATCATCAACAAAATGTTCAGATCAAGTACTCAGGCGGCCCCATTGGATTGAAGATTGTACTCACCAGTCTCGTACTCGACTTCCAATTTCAAATCCACGATATCCGTCCCATACAGATTGCAAGCGGGCCCCGCCAGTTTCAGATCGGCCGTGACTTTAGCACCATTGTCTTCGATGTTGCTAGCAGTGTAGCCTGGGCAACTCTCGTTCGAAGCTTGACGAGGGACAAGGGCACTGCCGAACGCTGACGTCGCTAGCCCCACAAGAACAGGGACTTGGTACAACTTCATATTGGCTCTCTTTGCGAAACAAGGTGCTCGAAGGTGTGGTCCATCAGAAAGAGGTCGATCACACTCTTTATATATGCAGAGCTGGCTGGCCTAGGCTAATGACACGGCCAGGATAGGGTGACATACATGTACATATGTATAGTGATTGACATGGTGCATGATGTAACTTTTTTCGCGTACTTTGCGCAGAGCATGTCGCGCCATTGGTTGCTTTGCGAGGCGTTGCGCCCCTCGCCTTCTTGCCTGGGACTAACCTCCCCGCATTTTATGGCAAGCTAACATCTCCGTTCAGCGATCGGACGACAGTTTTGCGGAGATATGGGTGTAAACAGAACGGTTCTTGGCAGCGTGCGGAGCATCCGCGATTTTCATCTTCGTGATTGGCGAGATGTCGCTCCGACACGCGACTCACCCGAGCGCCAAACCCTCAACCACACGGTACAAACTTGGAAGGTGTTTATGTAGATGCGATATTATAGCATGAGATCTGGTACCGCGGCGATCTTGAACATGCCACTGATCCGGGGAATCGGATGATGGATTTGAGTGTATCAATTGATGCTTTCGGATGAGCTACCAAGTGTAAGCTACCTACTTAGATAGACGATACCTCCGAAGTGAGTGGATTTATCCTACCCCAGCTGATCTTGGCTTGCTACACGGCATTGAAATATGCTCATCACATGTTGTTGAGATACTCTACATGCCTGAAGGATATTGAACATCTTGTAAAGGAAAGCTACAATATGCTACCTACAGTGGAGACAGATACGTATGACATCTGCAATACGAAGCATTCCCTCCCACGAGGAGAAGCAGGTTCCCATATGAGATAGTTTGATAAACGCGAATTTTTTTGCTGTCACTACCTACACCATGACTTGCCTCCTACACTCGATTCAGTGAGCCGGAATCGCTTGTAAAAGTGGAGTGGGGGAGTCGAATCATCGTGAAAAGGGTTGGAAAAGGTAATATTGGTCCTCATACAAGAGACTAATGTGATGATTGCATGCGGAAGTAGTTGTCATATTGGCAGCATATCATAACAAATGACAACAAACAGTTTCAGTGGACATGCAAAACCTGGCGATCTTATAGTCGCTTCCAGTCTGCAAATATTCAATGTCTTCCAACCATAAATTGTTGTTGATGGGGTAGATTCCAAGGTTCAATGTTGGTATGGATGATAGACGCCTATAAGGAGATAGATCTGTCATGCTAACAAATTGGTGAATAATGATGAGACTTGTAAAGGTTTTCAAGGCCTACAAAGTGATAGGCGTTAGCCATTAGTTGTTGATATCAGGCATACATATGTGTACGGGCGTGCACGAACGGCTTGAACTAGTCAGGTGACTAATTATTCACATACACACCTGGGCACTCCAACCGATCCAGTCATATCAGCTGCCGGCGTTGGTCTGCAAACAAACAAACCTTTACCGCACACCACAGAATCCGCGCAACCTCACTTTCCATCCCCACCAACACTTTTACCTACCGTCGTATATACCAACACCATGACTTCAAGAATCATCTCCAAGAAGCGAAAGCGACACTCACCTTCACCCGCCGCGCCCTCCAGGAAAAATCCCATCGCGACAACCGTAAAGGGACTACACAAAGCCAAAGACGACTTCACTGGTGCCCCCGTGGCTGACGATACACTCTGGTACCTCACAGTAAACACACCTTCCGAGGACACCTGGACCTACCACGGCCCAACCAAAACCTTCGCAGCCCTAGTCCCAGTAATCGAATCCACGATTCGGGCCTCGACCAGTGTAACCGCAATGCCGAAATGGCAAAAGCTCCTCGCCGACGACGCAGAAGAGCAAGAAAACCAAGCCACGGAGCGCGAAATCCACGGCGACGCCTTCGTAGACTCGCGCCTCGCCCAAGGCAAACTCCGCGCAAAACTGCTAGACGTAGGTATAACCACATTCGTGATCCCGCGCGTGCTGTTCCAGGCAGAGGAAGGAGGCGTGCAGACGATCTTGCAGATCGAGCGTGAAGTAAATCCGGCCGTGTACCGCATGCTTCCCGCACCTGTTTATACTGTATCTTGTGAGGGCCCGGTTCCTAACGAGCATATGTTGATGACGGAGGCGGAGAAGGGCAGGCAGTTGGAGTTTATGCGTGCGTCGGGGAAGGCGCCGACGCTGCCTGCGCCGAGGTCGACGACGTCGAGGATTGTTGGGTCGTTTGCGAGTACGGCTGCGGCGAGGAGTGCGGCGACAGAGACTATGGAGGAGCTGTTGGAGGGGACTGAGGAGTGGAAAATTACTAGGAATGAGGCGTGGGGTGCTGAGAAGAAGAAGCGGAAGAAACCTAAGAAGCCGGTCAAGCCGACTGGGCAGGGTGAGACGGAGAAGAATGGGCAAGCGACTGGGGGGTTGTTGATGGCTATGACGCCAGACGGGCGCTGGGAGGTGAAGATCAAGTATGAGGAGGATTGCTTGGCTGGTACTTCGTGATTGTATGCCAGTGATTGTATTCATCTGGAGAGTGGCCTGACAGCAGGCTGGAGAGCCTGAAATGGCTGGACTTGGGTGGATGAATGGGTTCAATGGATATCCGGATAGGTCACTTGGACTGTAATGGTGTGCTATCGAGGGTCGGAAAGGATACTTGGATGCTTCGAACAGAAGCCAGCAACTAGTTGATCACTGGCACTGCTCGGTTCTGACTTTCGACTAACATTATCACGATTGGATGAGTGAAGATTTCTCATCTTCGTATCCACAATATTGAATTATTAGAAATCATCTTATGAATTTCGAGATGCTATCAATAGGCCCACAGGTTCAAATACTACAGCAGACGAATCAATCTGCGCTAGCAGGCTATGCATCTAATTGTTGGTCTCTCGAGTCATTCCAGTCAGTGAAGTTTAAGTGTGAGTGTGCTGAAATTCAAGTTTTGGGCACTCATCGATTAAAAAATGTGTGAATTTTTTGGAGCAGGTACCGACGTGGATATATTTTACTTTTGCTGTGTGTTTAACCGAAACATATTGTCGAGTGGTACCATATACTATCCTTAAGTGACTATCGCTCGACAGGAACAATTGTACACACCCAGCTTTTCCCTATCACCCTAAGACTGAAAACGCCAGAGCGCCATAGAATGCAATCATACTCACAACATCCCTCTATTCATCCTCTATTTCGACTTCATCCTACGGGCCTTTCCGGGTCGCGCAGCAGCGCCAGTCTTGCCCTTCATCTTCTTATGCGAGAAATCCCTGCCGTCTGCGCTTGACTTCGCATCATTGCTTTTAGCATGTCTCTTCTTGCCACCGAAACCGTATTTCTCGTTCTTCTTTGCGCGCTTGAAGTTCTTGCCATCGCCAGTGCCTCCGCTCCTGCGGCGATCACCGGGTTCATCAGCGTGGTCGAGTTCAACATCGAAAAGGTCTTCCTCGTTAGTCTTTGTGACGTCGGCGCCAGATCGCTCTGTGATTTGTTAGTACAAGCGATTATATGGCTGCAGATATAACATACTTCGTTTGAGAAGGTTGATCTTCTCCATCGTGTCCTTCTTTTCCTTGGCACGCTCTTGTAGTTTGGCGACCTGGACTTGCTTGCCGAATTTCTTCAGATCCCTCTGTTTGCGGGCTTCAGCAGCTGCTTTCTTGCCTGCCGCATCATCAATCAACTTCTGCTTGATCTTGCCCATGTGCTCGTCGCTCTTGACCATTTCGGCAAAGTAGTCCGCAGGTCGTGAGAACGGCGCACCCTCCTTCTTCAACAACTTCCGCGCATCTTTCACAGTAGACAACGCCTGTTTGTAGAATGCGAGTTCGCGATTGAGGTCATCTTCGACGTCTTCAATCTCCACAGGCTCATCAGTCACGACCGACATGTGTTCCGAGAAGGCGAGTTTCGAGTAGGGTAGTTGGATGCGGTTCACGGCAGCGGTCAGGGCGGTCGTGTTATTGATAGTAAGGCGCTGGTGGGGGATGATGTCGCCCTTGTCTTCGGATGCAAGAGACTCGATATCAGAAAGCGCAATGTCCTCTTCCTCCTCGGCTTCATCATCCTCTTCCTCCTCGTCATCTTCCGAATCGTCGCCGCTAATGTCGCTTTCACTGTCGTCCAAACGAGCTAGACCCAGCGCGGTCTCATCTGGAATATCATCGTCATCATCCGAGTCGTTCTCGCTCTCCTCTGTTTCCCACTCTGGCTCGGTTTTCGTTGCCTTTGGGCTCTTTGCATTCTTGGCTTTGCCTTTCTTTTCGCCATTGACCTTTGCGCCAACCGACTCGTTCAGCTGCACACCTCCTTCCTCTACATCTTCGCCATCTTCATTCTGAGCCGCGGCTTCCTGCTTCTTTTTCTTCGCTGCTTTTTCCTGCTTGCGCTGCCGCTCGAGCTTGTAGTTACGGTTCTTATGCGCGTCGAGCGCAGTTTTGAGCACACCCTTGGCCATCTGAGCGTATTGAATCTGTCGGTGACAGGTTAGGATGTGAAGGAGTGAACGTTGGTGGTGGTGGTGTTTGTTGCGAGTGTAGAAGCGTTGAAAGCTCACCAAAAAAGTCCCTAGTTTTCGAAATCTTGGCCGCAGAAAATATTCGAGCGGCGGGCGCTAAGTGGCTCACCGCCCACGCTTTGGGAAATAGCCGCGGGCGACACACGTCACGTGTCTACTATCGACGGCATTTCACGAACTCCATTCCGACGCCTTTGGTACAACTTGAAGGTTGGAGCAATACCCTTGAACTTGCATTTTGTCTTTTTTACAGTGGACGCGACTCGTCATAATTTTGCTTGACCTCCTCACAACCTCTTTGAGAAGTCGCCCACAGCATGGCAGCAAATCGCCCTTCAGCAGACCGCACAGCAACTGGCGACAGCGTCGTACGTTCTTGGACATCCGAAAGGGGATGAGCCTCATATCTCTCTGAAGATTTCTAACAATACTGGAAATAGCCTGCACTCAACACCAATGCCGACGGCTCATCCGAGCTCGCGCAAGTAGTGGACGAGCTCCTTACTCAACTCAATACCAAGTTCAGCACCGTGAGCTCAGAGCTACTCGCCAAAAGTAACTTCGCCTAGTTCCTTTCTAAGTTGCAATCAAGAACCTCGTTATTGCAGGATTGTTGGCTGATTGAACAGTGGATGACATGTCCCGACGCCTAGACAACCTCGAAGCTACGATACAGAGCGGAGATGGTGGAAAAGGATCAGGATCGGGAAAATGATCTTTGAATGTCTCTTGTCCGACGGGAGTTGCTTGGGATTCGGTTTTAGGCCAATTATTGATGCGCATGGCATGATCTACTTGCGGTTGAAGAAACCTTTTTCGGCATATTCAGCTTCTTGATTGTCGTTGTTGGAGTTTGGAGTAATATATGCGGTAGCATATGAGGCTTCTGCCTCTGGTTTATATGTGCCAACGGATCTTTGAATGGGGGGTAGAAAGGGATGTCGAGAGGCTACATGTATACCTAGGTATACACTGCATCACATCATCTTGACAAGCACAGGAAACACGACGCCGTGTCAATGATTCAAATCGAAACACTGTCTGCTATTCATTTGTGTGAGTAACATAGCAATAGGTCTGCTATCCTTTTTCCGGGCCAGCCATACCGCGCTAAAAACAAATTCCGTGATATCGTTATACTATGCCAGCAAGAGCTCCGCCGCTAATCCGGTCCCATCTTACACGTTACACTAAATCTTCAGACATAGAACATTCTGTCGAGACTGGCTACGCACAAGCCAATCTACAATTCGGACTTCTCTTCCTCCTTGCCCAAGAACTTCCTCAGAATGTTGCTGCGGCTCGCCAAATCATCAAGCTTCTCAGGCGCGAGGTTGCCCTTGGCGATGAGACCCTGGAGTCTCTTGAACTCCTTCGCGGCGTAGCCCTCGTTTTTGCTGCTCTTGTCGAAAGCCTTGACATAGTACTGTGCGTACTTGTCCTTGAGGCCCTCAGCAGCCTTCTTGACCTCCTCATTGCCAGATTCCCAGGCGCCGTTGAACTTGGCAACAAGGGTGTCAAGAGCTTCAATGGTGCCACCAGTGATATCAAGACCGCCATCAGGGGTGCGGTGAGTACCGGCATTGGTGTTGAGGAATTCAACAAAGTCCCCGATGGTACGGGCTCCATCGTAGGGAAGGGGCTGGGTAGAGCCTTTCGGGAACCATTTGATGGTGGGGTATGAAGTAACGCTCTGTTCGGCAGCAAGCGCCTTGCTGTTCTCAGCTTCGGCATCGACCTTGGCGACCAAAACATTGGGCTCATTGACGAAGACGTTGGCAAGATCTTCCCAGATGGGGGCGAGGTTCTTGCAGTCTAGAAAACCGATTAGCATACCAAATCCCTTTTCTTTGAAGTCACAGAGAGATACGTACGACCGCACCAAGGAGCAGTGAATGCTACCAAGACATTCTGGTCTTTTCCGACCTTCTCCTTGAAGCTCGCATTGTCGAGCATGGCAATGTTGGACGGCAACTTCGCCTTGACCTTTGGCCTGACACCCGATTTTTCTTGGATGTATTTGGTGAAGCTCTCCAGATCGCGTCCGCCCTCATAGTCAATGGGCTTGTCACTCTTTCCATCGAACCATTTCAGGGTTGGGAAACCCGAGACACCAAACTTCTTGCCCAAACTTTTGTGGTTGTCGGCATCGACTTTGGCGATTACGAGTTTGTCGGAGGCCGACGCATATGCGTCGGCAAGCTCCTCGTAGACGGGGGCAAGGTTCTTGCAGTGACCGCACCACGGAGCAAAAAACTCGACGAGAGCTGGCTTGCCAGACTTCAGGACGACCGAGTCGAAGTTGTCGGGGGTGAGGTCGATAACATTCGATGCGGCGGCGAGTGCGGGGAGCAGCGCAATTGCTGCTGGGAGGATGGATTTGAACAACATGATTGCTGTTTTCTTAGAAGCTTCAAAATATGATTGAGGCTTCTGTCGGAGGTGTAAGGTATAAGAAAGTTGCAAGGCAAGCTTGACAAAGAGGGTAGCTTGGATTCGAGCCGCGGGCTGGTGGCGGAGGTCTTGGCAACGTTTAGGTGTCCTTTCGATGCGTTTCGGATTGCTCCTCTGTTGCATTATCAATCCTCTTCCATCATTCTTGACGCTATTTCATATTGATACATTTGTCATGGAGTATTCTGATGAGCTTATGCAATTGAAGATTGACATGAGTTAGCCCCTAAGATGTTGGATTTCATGTGTGCAGTCAATCAGTCACTCAAGTGCAGGTTCAGTGAAGCATAACTTCCGCGTACAAACTTCGCAAATACACGAGCTCAACAACTCCATAAAAACATTTGATTAATGATAATAATGGCCGTATTAGTGATAAAGAGCAAACCACTCCAAGGGTATCATATGCCGCCGCCCTGTGCTCCATGTAAATACCCGTAACCACGCCCTGCCCCACATCCAGCCAGACAAGTCCCATATTTGCTATCTGGTGAAGATTTTAATTGAGCGACATTTTCCAGCTTTTGTTACTGGTCATGCCATAGCTTCCGCTGACAGTCTTCTCTTCCGCGGCATTTGTTGATTCGGTCGTCTTCTCCTCTGTAGCCTTTGGTGGTGCGGTCGACTTCTGCTGCGCACTCGCGCTCTTGACCTCTCCAGCGATTCTTTCCACAATCTTTTTCAGCGCTGGTGGATTAGCTCCCTTGATTTCCTCGATTTTCTTTCCATCCTTGAACACCAAGAATGTTGGCATGGCCTGAATACCATTCTGTGCCGCAATTTCTTGCTGTTCGTCGACGTTGATCTTGACAAAGCATATTTTGCCTGGGACAGAGTGGGCTTTGGAGAGTTGCTCGTAGACGGGTGCAATAGCTTTGCAGGGCGGGCACCATGTCGCATAGAAATCAGCGATAACGTAGGTGTGACCAGTCACCAAGGTGCGGAAATGTAAGGGAGCGCTGATCTCGGTCGGCATTGTTGTTGTTGTTGTTTTCGTACTGCAGCTTAGTCTGAATCAGGTGTCTGGGTTTAGATGTTCAGTTCAGTTCAGACGGGCGTGTTTGTTGAAGCTACTGGCTAGTCGGAGTGAGGTGCTATTGGTGTGCGCGATGTCCTTTGGATGCGTTTGAGAAGCTGTTGTTGTTGTTGTTTTATGCTGGGTGAGTATGGGGAGTTCGAGAGTTTTTATATTGGGTTATTGCGCAATCGGATAGAAGCTTCCACAAGAACTTAGTGTTGGTTCACGAGGTTTCATGGTCAAGTTCGGAGCCACATTCGAATCCGGCCAGCCAGTCTTAATTTGTAAGCATCCGACTCGACTCTTCGCCGGCTCTGCATCACGTACTCACATGTGTATTCAGCTGTTTCTGCGCAGCATTCGAATGCCTAAAGTGGAAAGCATATTGCCATCAAATTGCCACTAGCTATGCTGAGTTTCGCTTTTACACATGCATCCAAAGCATATTGCACGCGTCTCGTAATCTTCCCGCAGATAGGGACTTATATAAAGAAGCTATATGAATAATGTAGTTCTGTCGCACTGATTTTGATGTTCGGGCAAGGCTGAGGAGTAGCAGATTCAAACTACCTAATTAGGAAGGTATAGGCCAAAAGCGTGGATTTCGGCGCAGGCTCACTCAGCGCACGAATAGAGCCTAGCGCTGAATCAATTCAGAGTTGCCCGAATTCACATCGATGTTGACACAATGCGGTGGATTACTACGTTGAAATAGGCCCTATTCATTTTCGCCTGCTGCTACCACGAATCTCCGAAGTGTGTCTTGCTGAATGAGATCGTACGGCCATGGCGCAAAGTCACACAGCCATTGCCGTTCGATCGACACAAGCTGTGTGCTTGCAGCCCCAGTCTCCCCCGCACGCTCCACCAATGGCAAATTTCCTTATTGAGCAATATACGCGCATCGGGCATATGGGGAACCATGTTCGCATGCCTTGCGGCAGTCTTTGACCCGATGCTCTTCGTGGTAATGTTCGACCGATGTCAATTTGAGGAGACGATTCGATCAACTGGGTCCGAATGGTCACAGTGATATAAAAGCTACATACTGCCTCTTATAGTTGCTTCATCTTGTCGAGATACACTCTACTTGCTTTAGCTTTACTTTGACTACGTTGAAGACATAGTATTCTTCTCTCTCTCGGTTCTGATGGTGTAACAACATACACACTCATCCCCTTCTACCACGAACGACAACACAATTTGACGTGAATTCGCCATAAAAAAATGGCAGTCTCACTATCCCATCTCTCTTTTGAACACCACCGTCACTCTTTCGGCATTGGGGAGACGAAACCTCGTATTTCCTGGCGGTTCGAGGGAACAGCAGTCGACTGGGAGCAGACCGGATATGATCTTGAGATTGCACGTGGACCTGATGGCGTACCCAAGGTTTTCAATGTCAACTCTTCGGAATCTATCCTAGTACCCTGGCCAGACGAGCCTCTTCAAAGCGCAGAATATGCAAGTGTTCGCGCCCGTGCCCACGGGAAAGAGGGCCGACCTTCTGCAGACTGGTCCGAGGTCTACACGGTCGAGACTGGACTACTAGAAAATGATGATTGGGCGGGTGCTATTCCTATAGCTGCAGACAGAGATACTGAAGTGGACGCAGCGCATCAACCCATTCTGTTCAGAAAAGCCTTTGACGTCAACTCCACGGTGGCTTCTGCTCGACTATACATCACATCCTTCGGGTTATATGTTGCGGAAATAAACGGAAAGCGGGTCGGGGACCACGTTCTCGCCCCTGGATACCAAGCATACAATTTTAGGCACGTGTATGATACGTATGATGTTACCGATTTGGTTCAAGCTGGAGGAAATGTGATCGGGGCAACTGTTGGAGAGGGGTGGTATGCGGGTCGCTTTGCCTTTTCACCATCAAAACCACGCAATCTATACGGAGATACATTGGGATTGCAAAGCTTGCTAGTCATTACTGCTGAAGATGGCAGTAAACAAACAATCAAGAGTGATCTTGATTGGCACGCAAATACGGGCCCAATAATCACCTCGAATCTCTACGACGGCGAGACTTACGATGCAAGCAAAGAGATCAAGGATTGGTCATCTCCTGGTCTTGATGACAGCAGTTGGCTGGGTGTGAAAGAGCTCTCTACTGCCGGCGGGTACGTGTCCTGATACTGCGTCGTGTGTTGATAACCCATTAGAACGTCTACGAATGCATTTTGCTGACTTGTTCACCTGCTTTCAGATCAATTGTTTCTCCAGATGGCCCACCAATCAAGAAGTTAGAAGAAGTCAAACCCAAAGAAATCATGCAATCAGATTCAGGGAAGACAGTAATCGATTTCGGCCAAAATCTTGTGGGATGGTTGAAAGTAACTGTCAATGGACCAGCGGGCACGAACATCTCTTTCGTTCACACGGAAGTTATGGAGAATGGAGAAGTCGCAACTCGACCACTCAGGAGCGCGAAAGCAACCGATACCTTACTGCTTTCTGGAAATACCACACAGAATTGGGAACCCTCTTTCACATTTCACGGATTCCGCTATGTTCAAGTGACTGGATGGCCGAGCACCACACCACTCAACGGCGATTCAATCTCTGCTGTTGTAGTCTATAGTGACATGGAACGAACTGGATACTTTGAGTCGTCGCACGAACTCCTCAACAAGTTCCACGAAAACGTCATATGGGGTATGAAGGGTAATTTTCTCAGTGTACCGACAGACTGCCCACAACGAGACGAGCGACTTGGTTGGACTGGAGATGCGCATGCTTTTATGCCGACTTCTAATTACTTGTTTGATACTGCCGGATTTTGGCGAGGGTGGCTAAAAGATGCAAACTCTGAACAAATGAAGAACGGCTTGGCTATCCCGTCGTTTTACATTCCCAGCGACGATATTGCAGACACTGAACGGGACCGCGTGCGGAAACCTACTGCCATCTGGGGTGATATCGTTGTCGGCAATCCATATGCGCTTTATCAATTCACCGGAGACATGGAGATGTTGCAGGAGCAATTTGAGGGAGCTCAAGCATGGATCGACAAAGGCATCCCGCGAAACGCAGAGCAATTATGGGATCGATCGTCGTTTCAATTTGGAGACTGGCTCGATCCTCTATCTCCGCCAGAAGATGCTGGTCGAGCTACCACAAGCCCGCATCTTGTCGCAGATGCCTACCTCATCCAAATGACGCGTTACCTTTCAGAAATAAGTGCAATTCTCGAGAAGCCCGAGCTAGCAGAGCAATATTCAACTCAGCGCGACGAGCTCATCGCTGCGTTCCAAGCTGCCTGGATCACCCCATTTGACGTCATTGCAAACGAAACACAAACCGCGCTCTCGCTCGCACTCCATTTCGACCTCCATAAAGACGAGGATGCTCGGAAAACAGCCGCGTCCACTCTACGCTCAATAATCGCCAACAATACTTATCTTGTTGGAACTGGTTTTGCAGGAACGCAACAGCTCGGCTTTGCACTCACTGACATCAATGCTACGTCCGACTTCTACAAAATGCTCCTGCAAACCACGGTGCCCTCGTGGCTATATCAGGTGTCCATGGGCGGCACCACGACGTGGGAGCGCTGGGACAGCTTGTTGCCAGACGGCAGCGTAAATCCTGGAGAAATGACGAGTTTCAATCACTACGCGTTTGGCAGTGTTGCCGATTGGATGCATCAGAAGATTGGAGGGTTGGCAATTGGAAAGCCCGGATGGAAGACGATCAAGGTTTCGCCGGAGCCCGGTGGTAACATCACGTGGGCCAAGGCCAGCTATACCTCTCCATATGGTAATGTGTATAGTAGCTGGACTGTGGAGGATGATGGATTTCATTTGGAGATTAGTGTTCCGCCGAATGCTAAAGCGGAGGTCACGTTGCCAGGGAACACTGAAGTGGAGACCGTGGGGAGCGGGAAAAACACTTTTTTTGTGGAAGGGTATAAAGTCCCAGAGTGATGGGAATTGTATTCGCTGAGATGAATCGTTCCATGTAAACATAGCCTAGTCAGCGCAGTTTACCAATAATTTCACACATGTACCTTATCAAAATCAGAGCATCTATAATGCAAAACCGGAAGAGAACGTTGGACGGAGTGGAAAGGTGGACGATAATTGCTTTTATACTAATTTCATCTATGTACGACCAACACCGGCACTGCATCTCCATTCCCACTTTTTCCATGCTTCCCCACATCGTCCTCATCCGCCGTCCAATGCCATTCTTCATCTCCACCAACCGTCTCGTCCAAAACATCCTTCTTCTGCACCTTCCTCACCCGCCTCTGAGAGATCGTTTCCACAAGATTGATCCTATCGCCTTCCTGCCTACTCTTCCCACTCCCACTCCTCGCTCCTCCAACCCGACTTCCAACTCCAGCCTTTTCCAAGCCTTTCGTTAAAAGCGGCCGCAGCGTCGGTAGACACGCAGATATGATCCCAATAGACGGTTCGACGAGCGACCATATGAATACATCGCTTTTAGTCCAACTCATGTCTATGCTGTCTGCGAATCGTACGATGGTGATGATGCGGTAGAGCGAGGCGAAACAGACGAAACTGCCAAGCAGGAATGTGACTATCACGGCGGCTTTTTGCGTAGGCGGGAGTTGGAGGCGGAGGACTTTGCGGATGGGGATGCATAGGATGAGGATGTCGCCGATTAAGTTTATGATGGCCATGGCTAGAATGAACTGTACACGCTGTTAGTTGTGATACGCAGCGCGGATGGGTGTAGACAGGGAGAGTGGTATACCTTTGGTTCGTCAACGCACATGCGTCCTGCGTTTCCCAGATATTTGTCCCAGTAATATGATACAGGTGATGCAAAGAGAGGTAGGACGACGTGATGCGCAAGGAGGTAGCCGATTGTGAGAAATGTGCATAACCAGCATAGCCATGACATGCCGAAGATGCGGCGGTAGAAGGTGATGATGGAGAGTTTGATTACGGACACACTCCACGCGTATACGAACAGAAAAGCGAAGTGGATCTATGTAGTTTTGCAATCAGTGGAGAACCAGAGCCATTTTGCAGAGATTGAGCTCACAAGACTTATATGGCGCATCTCTTGAGAATCGAGAGCCCACATGTGCTTTCCCAGGCCAAAGCGAGCAGCAATGATACAGCACGCGAGGTTTGCAGCATTTAGAACCTTCATCATTGACGATGATTAGCAAATGAAATACGCGGCGATGGAATGGAATTTCAATGTACAGAAGGACTCACCAATCCAGCATTCATCAAATGATCGTCCATATCCAGCTTTTTTCTTTGATAGTTCAACCTGGTGAATATACGCAATCCCACGAATACCGCAGAAAGAGAGAACAAAACGCTAACCACCACCATGTTCGAAGTCACCTTCGTCTCCCTCAGATCCACCTCTGCCGGTGCTGGCGGCATAGAGAACGCTGCCATGGTGGACAAAGTTCAAACCCAGAATTAACGAATGTCGACGAAGCAGAATCCGATTTCGGTCAGAATCCTCTGTTCATATTTCAAAATACCGTGGCATAGCCACGGTGCGCCTGACGAGCAACTTAAGAACTATGAGGAATCGAGCATTCAAGAATGTCAGCCCCCCCTTGAAACCCTCGATCTGGTTTCAGTGCGCACCCTGGCAAGTCCGTTCGCTTATGGTTTTATCTCTGCAGTATACGAGTGGGACTGGGACTCCTTGCGTCAGCATGTAGAGGTTTCGCTTCATGGGGCTTAGTTTAGATAATGCTGCACGTCTCAGGTATGATTTGGGGGCCGGGGACGGGTATGCTTATCCAACTCTTCATCGGCTCTCTAGGTTAGATAGATGTACCCACCAACATAGTGGAGAGCTCGGGTTTCACCGCTGGATCAGGAAGTAAGCTCGTCAAGCGAGCCTAGACTGAACTATATAGCGTTCACGAGTTGTTGCTTTGGTACGCAAAATGGTGTTCGGATCATGGTATCTATTCATGATGGGAATAATTTCTGTTCAGGCGTAAGTCAGCGAAAGTAAAACAATACAATTATCGATTGCAGAGAATGACATATTCAAACCACACGTGATACTGTCCGGACCGGCCAAGCAGGTTCACTAGACGTATCGCCATATACTAATGACGGAGGCGCAGTGCGTGAAAACGAACCGACGAAGCCGCAAATTTGCACACCCGAAGAAGATTCTCCGAATACGGCATTATTTGTACAAGATGATTCCAGATATGACAGCGGGTCAGCGTCTTCGGATGTACCGATAGTTGCCGATCCATTAGAAATGTCAGCAGCCACCAAATGCCCATAAGATTGAGCCAGAGAACAATTGACGTATTATTTGTGGCAGGTGGACGCAAAATAAAGGAATTCTGACCTGCGTCAGTATATCTACAGTACCAGCTGGGGATATGCCGAAAGCTTACTAACTGAAGTTGGGAAGAAAGTGCTTGGACAGTTCAAAAGTCGTCCCCAGGTGTATCCAAAGCCTCAGCTTCAAGCATACTGGTAACCTCATCATGAAACGTTATATTCTGGTGTGAAGTTTTGAGCAGCTCAGACATTTTCTTGATATCATTTTTCAAGGCCTTCCATCTCAGGATCCTCTTTTCTTGCGTATGTATAGTATCATCGGTCCAGTCCAGGGGATTGTCTTGAAGTCTATCGTAGCGCCCAGGGAAATCTACTAATGCGTGCATGTAATTTTGGTAAACATCCTCGAGTTCATGTATGTCGTTCTGGAGGTTTTGACCGTCTCTAGCCAGCTGCCACAAACGATTCAATTCCTTTCGGTCCATGCTATATTCCTTTCGTAGGCGCATCAGTGCGTCGACAGCAAAATCCTCGGTGGGTCCGAGATCGAAGCTTTGGTCCACTTCATCACCGCCTGCTCGTCCAAAGAGGGGATGCATCGAGTTCATTTGCCAAGTCATGCGACGATGCGTAGGGTTGTTTCTGTCCATCGTCGCCTGCAAACGTTGGCGGCGCACTGCTCTGATGCAATCACTTTCGTAGCCATAGGTGAAGTTTGAGTGTTCCCGTCGCTGTTTGTATCTATTAGCATTGCAAGTCAATTTTCCAGGCATAAAGAAACCCAAGCACTTACTTCTTCCAACGTCTTTCTCAGCAATCCTTCAGTTTTCATAAACTTCCAAAGTAAACCTTTCCATTCGATCATGAGCTTCCTACAAGACAACGTTTAAAATCAGCTTATGCTCGTCAGCAATTGCATTCGTAGACTTGCCCGCTACCAAGATCTACTGTGAATAAATTCTTTGCCGCCTCGATAGGAAACTGCAAATCTCCAACCGATTGGTCAACTCTGATACACCATCTCAAGGTACTAAAATATTGCTCTCCTTCAAACAATTGTAGTTTGTCCAATTCTCTATAAAGCCATGCATCCATGACAGGACTGGTGGTAGGCAATTCCTGTTTGAGGACGGTCAAATCATCGATCCAAGCTTGATCAATTTGGAATATAGCGAGAGATTCGTCCCATTTAGCAGGGCGCTGTCCGCTTTTTTGCTTCGACACAACGGGTGCTTCTAGCCGTTCAAATTGAGCGTGCAAAAACCTCATTCGATAGAGCCGTTTCTGCGAGTCCACTCCTATATCACCATCTGTGGGGTCTTCAGTAAGTAGGTTGAAGTGTCCAATCAGCTCTATTCTTCGTATGTATTCGTAAAGCAACGGCCCGTCAACATAATCACGGGTTGTGCGACAGACCAGCCGCCAAGGTAGAGCACAGTCAACAGACACATGATGGACAATCATGCACACAATTTCCATTGGAATATGCGGCAATTTTGGAATCCGTGAGGACTGGCTCGCATCGATGTCTTCTATGAGCGCGTTTACGTCATCGGCTTCGAAACCCAGCTGGAAATGTCGTGATAAGTAAGGCGGCAAAGAAGCCAAGCCATCGTCGTTTGTTTCCATCGTGTGGTTGTATGAACAGCTGCGAGGGTCAGGTGTGATCTGTGGTGGAGATAGACGGAAGATGGGGAGCGTCATGACCACGCTTAAGTGTGACAGCGCGCTAATCGAGGCTAAGCATTATCTCACCGCCGTTCCCTCAACGACGATGCATTCATGCAGTAGCCGCTTTTGAGCTTAGCACGCTCTTATTAGTCTATAGCTAGATATTGTAAAAGAGAGTAGCATTCCTCTGACCCCCCTGTCTAACGAAGACTCGAAGCCCTATATCCAGCTCACACCGGAGAGAAGGTGCTCTTTTGACAAGACAAAATCAAGCAACACAAGCAAGAGCGCACAAACTACTCCGCAATCCTGCCACTCGTTTCAGCATCGCCTGTTCATCTACTAATGCAAGCGGAACGGGAGACTATAGTAGGTCGAGAAATCATTGTGACGTTGTAGCGGGCACAATCCCAAGGAATGTGCCCATTATCGCCTTGGCAACATCCTATGATTGTTTCATTTACGATCGCTCGCAGAGTGGTCCTCCATGAGCGAGGCAGTAGCTTCAGCTGCATGAGGATAAGAACCGCTAATATCCACGCGCTTCTTTCCAACGGCATGCAGCCACACAGTATGCCGTGAGTTCGGTGGGTAGTCATCCATGTATAAGAATTTTGTGTAGATTCGACCGGCAGATGTCTCGTCTAGAAACCTTTGAAGCTTGGAGAGCCTTGTACGCCCGATGAGTACGAAGACCAACGCTAGTAAGGCAATTGCGACGAGTAGTGCGAGGACAATAAACGCTGGCACGCCGTACAGTACCTTAAAACGGATCGTCCGGGCATTTGTTCTGACCGGAACCATGACTGTTGAAGGTACGTCGCCGCCTGCGGGGCTTTCTGCCTCCTGCAATCGGTCCTTGGATAGCTGTCCCCTGGTACCGACGACGGCATTCGCACTGATTTCCGTCCACAAAAGATTGACAATCTGTCTTGCTGATGTGCTGTTGGCTGAAAGTTCCTGCCATCTCGTGAACAGGCCAAAGTTCGTCTGCCCAGAGTAGTCGGGCATGGGAAAATCGGTTGTGTCTTGGGGGTATTCTAATCCGTATACTAAGGCCATGATGTTGTGGTAGAAATCTACACCAGCAAGGTTCTGTTTCTCTTGGAAGGGTTTGAGTCCGAAGCGATCCGAGTACCCGGGAAGATAGAGGTGGTCTTGTCGACTCGTCGAGATATTTGTATGGTTTTCGAACTCCGGAACCGTAATCCCCCATATCGGCGGGGCGTAGTTCACTCTCAACGCAGTGTTTTCCACTGCCCAGAGTGGCATTTCACTCACGGAATTGTACCGTTTTGGCTGGATATCTAAAATCCTTAGAGATTTCAAATCGTTCGTGCCATTAAAGCCGAATGAGACAGTTTTGATAGATGCTCGTGCAGCGGACGCGCATGAGTAAAGAGGGCTCGACCACTCTGCATCTGGAACATTTTCCATCGGATTGCCACCGTCAATTCTTCTAGGTGTACCGTAGACGAAGCCGCATGTAATGGCAACGCTAGAGATGTTAGCATGGTCTGAATACCATTGACCCTTGCACGCGTCCTCTGCCATAAATCAGTCATGAACTGCATGAGGGCGAGTCCAACTCACCGATGTTCGTGAAATTCGCGGTCGAGATATGGTATGGGTTTGCGTAGGAAGAGCCATTTCTAGCTGTCCCATTATAATCCGTATTCATCTTCAAAAACAATCCAAATTGGTCACCCAATCTCAGCTGATCATATCGAAGGCTGAAATCTTCTCCGACTGCACCGTTGTCCACAGGAAATCTGGCCCCTAAGCTGGAATTCAAGTAATGAAAACGATTGGGATAACCCAGCTCTTTTGGATTCGTGACGTTCAGAAAGTACATGGTGTAAACATTGCTCCACCATGCAGAGTAGTACGCTCTGTCTCTCAGATTCGCATTCTCCCATGTTTTGTTTTTATCGACTGTAAATGTTATCTCCACTGGCACATAAGCGGTATCCTTAATTGCATCACTTACACCACGGGGCATCCCTGCTTAAATTCACGAATCCGCCGCGATCTACAACACTGATGTTTACAAAATCACCCGTGTAACTTCTTTGAGTTAAGTTGCGAAAATTGACAGTAATGTTCCTGTCAACACCTATGTGAATTAACGTGGTCAGCCTAACGCTGCAATGAAATTGGAACAACAGGAAGCAGAAACTCACACTCGGTTTCAGGCTCGATAAAGAGAATATCCTCGGACCAGACTGCGCCATATAGTAACTGTGTTGCAGGTATGGTGTGGTTCCTGAAACCAATTCCACCATCCTTCGTATCCACTATGAGACCTTCGTAGATTTCCCAATTGTTGTTCAAAAGCACCTGTTGCAGGTGTCTGTAATTCCCACCAATATATGGCTGCCCCTTTTGACCACCCGGTTCTGTCTGCATTTGTTGGTAAGTACGCCATTGGATATCAAGGGCACTTGAAACCGTTTTGTCCAAGGTATTGAAACCAGCGGTGTAAACTTCTGTAATGTTTATGGGCAGGCGCCTATCATAGCCGCCAGGAAATGTCACGTTGGTAGGGTTAGTAGAATTTGTCGCTCTGATGATTGTGGTATTAGACCAGGGACACACGAATGGCTGTACGTCGCCACAATATCTGGAGAGTCCGAAGTCATTGCGCCTGGCCATAGTGCTGAAATTGTCAGGTCGAATAGCCATTTCAAAATCCGAGCACTTACCCAATTCCTAGTGACGTACTGTCTTTGGCATAATGGAAAGGCTGCTCTTTTAGATCCTTTTGCGGCGCGACAGTCTCATACAACCCAAGTGGCGTGACGATAGAAGAAACTGATATGAGAAGGAACACGAACAACTGGAAAGCAGTGATTACATTGACGCTTCGGCGCACTCCATCGACTCCCGCTGTATCCGTTCGCAATAGTACAGGCCAGTGCGACGCATGTAAATTTCGACCTATGACGGACCTGATGTTTGTTCAGCCTCTGCAAGATTTCGTTTTTTTCAATCGTACACACCATGTTGCTGCCGTGTCTTCTTGTTTCAGGAAACCGACCAGGATCAATGTCAAAAGCGAAGGAGCAAGGAATTGAGCAGCAAACACGCCAGCTGCAATCACACCGGCCACAGTAGCAACAGAGAGGTCATTGTATCCAAGCATATTGGAGAATGAACCAAGGGAAGAAACTGTGACGAAGGCGCGAAGTTGATTTGGAAAGGAAATTGGAAAAATTCATTTGCAAGAGGCGCGAGGCATTTTGAACAATAATCATACAATCATAACATCTTGTGCCCAGTATCTTCACCGGTGACTTCTCCCTTGGCAAATACACTGATATGTACTGAAATGCGATCAATACGATCAATTCAGAGGTGGCGACAAGCGAAGAGTCTACGCTGGCGAAACAGGAATGGGAGAGAGCACAAAGGAAGAGAGAAAGCTTTGAACGTTAGAAAATTTGGCTGCTCTCCTCTTTATGGCTTGAACAATTACCTTCGCCTCTCCACATATCTTTCAATGCAGTTATACTAGACGACTTGCAAGTCGACGTGGATGCACTATAAATAATCATGCGGGGCACCTGTGATCTGCTGGACACCACATGTGCACTTATGTAGGCGGGGTTCTTCGGCACTCCGATTGGCCCACTGTGTTAGCATGTTGAACCCTTTCCAGACCATTCATGCATCAACATCAAGCTACTCTGGTATGCATCAACACCAGAAATGTATTACACTTGGAATCCTATCTCTACGAGCATACATCACCCTAAAGATCAATGAAGACGAAGTCAAAAGATCATCTCTGAGTGTATAGGCCTCCATGCACTGCCCCATATGTATTGCCAAGGCTCGTATCTTCGTTTTCGCGTGGTGCGGCTGACTCGCGTTGTTAACCGTTGATACAAGAGACCCTTATCCACTTCTCCACCGTTTCCTCTCATTCGTCTTGCGCGCCTGGTACATAATTTGAATCGCAACAGTTTTTGATCTCGAACGAAGATGTCACAGTTCCCGTCTGCGCCCCAGCCGGGAGCTTACACTCCCCCGAATCAGAATACCCCCGTTCCGCAGCCTCAATATGGCTACCAACAGCCGCAAGCTTCCGCACCTTACGGGTCATCGGCATCGGTGCATGGCTCTAGCCAACAGCATGGCACCAATAAGCCCACAAACGCCTTTGGTCAAGCTTTCAACCAGGCCGTCACTCAGGGAAAGCCAATGCTGAACAAGCTAGGCAAGTCCATCAGCTCCAAGCTTGGAAATAAGCCAACTAGTCCGACGACACCGCAGCATCTTCAGAACTACCAGACATATCAGCAAAGCCAGCAACACAATCAACAGTCAAATCAGCAGCAGTATCCGCCCCAGCCCTACCAAGCTCAAGGCCAATATTCGAACCCGCAGCCTGAACAGCAGAACCCTTACTTCTCATCCCAACAGGCACCATACCAACAACCCCACCATGCAGGCACTGTCTACAATCCTCAGCAATCCTCCACCCCCTCGAATCACCCCACGAACCCTCCGCCGCCTGCTCATGTGGGATACAAACCTGCTGGATACGGACAGGGCGAATATGTAGCAGGGCAACACCAGGACCAGCCGCCACAGGGACATTACAACCCAGGACAAGCGCAACACCAGACATATTTCCATCAAAATCAAGCATTACCAGAGTCTGGACAAGAGAGTGGGGTCATTGGAAACTCACAACCTCCAGTTCAATTTGCCAGCTCTGTACCGCCGCCCCCACCTTCAAACCCGCAGCAGCCATGGGGATCACATCCCGGACAGCATCCCTCTATCGGTCAAGCCACGACTACGCCTACACAGCATCAACAGTTGTACAATCAGGCTCCTCCCCCTCCGCAAGCTCCGCAAGCTGCCGAACAACAACAGGCGTGGTCGCAGCCACCTCCTCAAACTCCTCAAACTGCAAATGAGCAGCAACAATGGCCACCTCATAGTGCACAACAGACAACTGGTATTACACAGCACCAATCATTCAACCCCAGCCCTCCACCTCTGCAATATCACGCAGCACCACCAGTTCCTCCCCATCCAAACCAACAGCAGCCGCAATGGAACCCGGCATCGCCAGCCAGCTCGCAAGCTCCGATGCATAGCCCTATTCCACCTTCGGTGAGCCCTGCACTTTCTCAGCCTCCGACTCCAGCACCTCTGCCAGCAGCACCTCAAGCTGTGCCTCCGCCCACCGATTTTGTAGCAGAATTGCCAGCCGATATGGCCAACCTTAGCATGGCGGAAGGCTCGCAAGGGATGCCCCCGTCGAATAACCCGGCACACCCTTCATACCAGCCATATCGACCAGCGGGAAGTCAAAGCACGTCGCCTCAACAACGGAGGTTCTCTATCGCAAGAAGGGCAGTGAGCACGAGCAGCCTGCCAGTAGCGGATCCATGGAGGTTTGCGGACCCAGCAACTGAGTTGCCGACACGAGAGTTTTACATGATTGCGGATCTGATATACGATGCGATCGACGGCAAGTTCGAGCCCAAAAACACAGGGTTGCTAGAGGCGAACAAGGTATTGGAGAGCTGGAAGGTACTGGGACTGGCTGAAGACGCCGCGCGTATGTTCACAAACTATGTTTTGTGTGTGAAAGTTACTGACAGTCAATAGAAGTTTTTGCTTACGACTCGTATAAAGGCTTTGCGAAATTGTGGAGCCTCGAGGGCATACCTCACGTCATGGTTCCTTGTCAGGCATTGTTGACGCCTTTGTGGAATTTCCAGCCGCAAACTCATTCGGAAGCAATGAAGGTTCCTATGGGCATGGTTTTGGGAGACGTTGTCGAGACAACGTACGTGGCGGCGATCAATCGCGCGGGCTTTTACAAGTACTTCTTCCTCGAGATGATGCACGAGCCTGAAAGTCTGGAAGCCATGCTGAGCAAACTCTGCGCGGAGACGTACAACCCGAGCATGCTGAATCAACCCGACGTCCAGAAGCGTGATCGTAGCAACACATTGCCTGGGGTTGCTGCGCAAGCGGCCACGATCCGAAGCGCATGCGTGTCCGTTGTGACTAAGGAAACATCTGCGCTGATGCAACAGAGCGCACGCAGCGCGAACCAAAGTTCTGTTGCTAGCACGGCAGGGCAAACATCGGCTGTACCGGGGGATAGCAACCAGCAACAAGGGCAACCGGGGCAGACGGGTAGCGGTGGGACTATGACGGCGGACGAGCAAATGTTGGTACAGATGCACAGTCTGAAGATGCAACAGCAGTTCAATCACATGATGGCGGCGACCATGGTGGGCGGGCTGGGGGCGCCGAACTATGGAGGATTGATTTAATTGAACTGTCAATGCAAAAGCGTGGGAAACGAGCCAAAACAAGGTTTCCGCAGCACGTCGGACGACAGATTGCTTGGTGTCGGTCGATTTAGACGTGAATCTTGATTTGCATCTAGGCACGCCAATGTTGGGTCCGATGGGGCCCTGTCACTTGTCACGGTGGGCGGTTCCAGCCACATCGAGCCGCAGATGGCGGGTAGCTAAGGGGAACCTGCATCGCCCAGGCGGCGCAACGTTGTCCAGAGCATCGTCGTACGCCGTGCGCGGATGCCGTGTACAGATGGAGTCGACGGATATAATTTTTTTTCCTCGATAGGGAATCGAAGTGACTGGATTAATTGAATTCAATGAAGCGCTCGGCAACAAAGGCAAAGAAACGTGATGGACAGGAGCATTCACCCGTTTGCATGTCGTCACGGCTAATTGATCAACGATTCAGGGGCACGGACCTTGGCGAAACGTACTTTCCCCCATTGGCAGCGATTGGCAGGCACGCCCGGTTTGTTGGTGGGCACTTTCCTTGCTCTTTCTACGCGCAGCCAGGCAGGCAGGCACGGCGGGCAAGGCAGGGCAGTTGCACCAAACAACCACAATCTAATCAGGCCGGCACCCGCTGTTGTCCTCCATGCAGACTGCATACATAGGAGACGCGCCAGCCATCCCGCGCCTTTTTAACATCGTATCCTCTCCTGGCCCGCTTGTGTCCTCTCCACTGCACTCCACCACTCCACACCACCGCATACTCCAACACTACTCTGCGTTTCCAATCTCCACTACACAGCAGTAGTCGTCGTGCTTCCCTTCTCCCTCTCCGCTAGCTCTATTGTTTAATATATTCCCACCCACTACCACACATACACATACTTTACCATGCGCTCCATAAGCATCCTCGCCGCTGCTTTGGCATGCACAGTTTCCGCCGCCCCCCAAGGCCCACCAGAAGGCATTGCCCCAGACTCGAGCGCTCCCGAGGGATGCGATGACTCGCCCAAGGGTAACTTCACCATTGGCTACGATCTGTTGTCATCTATGAAACGGGAAACTGCCGTCGAGGTATGTTGACATGATCTCCTTCAATGCCCTCTGTACGGGTCGCTAACTACCTACATTAGGCCGAGAGCACCGCACTGGAATGTAACTTGAAGGACGGCATCTTGAGAGACCCCCAGAACCGCATCGGCTCCGTCGTCGCGAATCGTCAGTTTCAATTCGACGGACCACCCCAAGCTGGCGCAATCTACACAGGCGGCTTCTCCGTCTGCAAGAACAGCTCTCTGGCTATCGGAGGCAGCACAAGGTGGTGGAAGTGCGGCAGCGGTGGCTTCTACAACCTGTACGACGAGTGGATCGGTGGTCAGTGCGACGAGATTCGCATCGTGGTTTCTTTCAAGGAAAGTTCCGAGTCTTCGAGCTCTTCTTCGTCTTCATCCTCGGCCAGTGCGTCCAGCACCGCGAGCAGCTCTTCAGGCTCCTCCTCGAGCTCGGGTAGCGCGTCCTCGACCCCTACCTCCTCCGCCGATAGCTCTTCCTCGGCTTCTGCCTCACGTTCCTCATCTGGTTCTTCTGGACCTACACCAACCTCCGCTAGCTCCGCAGGCGAATCTTCCAACGAAAACCCCCCACCTGCTCCTTCTGCCGGCGATGCTGCCCCTACTCGCGTTCCTCGCCGAGAAACATTCGGTGCTGTTGTTGGCATCGTCGGTGCTGCATTGCTCCTATGAGCAACGAAATCCACCCTTGCATTCGATTTTGCCCCTATACTTGTTCCTATTCTGCTTCTTCCTAACGACATGAAACCGCCTCTTTCTCCTTCTTCTGACGTCCACACGCTTTCACCACGATCCTCACGCTTTTTCAAGGCGTCCTCCGAATGAAATCCGTCCACGCCGTCCCTTCGCATTACCGTGTATGATAGGATACCTCTTTCGATTTGAAGAGGCTTTTTCCACATTTATTTGGCTTTGGAGAGAAGCAAATTGGATGCTAATACCCATCGCCTCCGGGTTGGAAATACCTGCTGCATTTGAGCAATCACACTATGGAGGAAGTGGCTGAAGTAGAGGAGATGTGTAATACCCACCGTTTGTTTGTATTCTTTTTTTGGCTTCTTGTTTCTTCGCTTTGCTTCCTGTCCTTGCTGTTTGATTCGGTTACATAACTGTTTATGTACTTTATCTTTTTTTCTGCTGCTGCTTCTTGGCTATTGTTTGGGCTTGTTAAAGATGGACTCTATAAAAGGGAGGGCAGCGATATAGGAAGGGCACGTATATCCTTTAGTGACTTGGGTTTGGTGGGCGAGTGGTTGTTCCCAACGAGGTTGGACGAGTATGTAGTAATTGTAATACTGAAGAACCAGTATCTCTACGTCTAAGGCCTAACTCTTGTGTTTCTGTGGGACTGAGTGTTTGTAGTGAGACAGGGGAGTGGAAAGAACGTATTTTGTATCTAATTGGAAGTTTGCATGTGTCCTACACCCGCAAGGGCAGAACAGAATACTTCAATCAGCATTGGCGGCTGAAAGAAGCAAGTTGGTACCAGCAAGCTTTGCGGTAATGCTGCTCCACTTTCACTCGTAATCACGACATGAACTCAATCCGCGTTGCACAATCGACTTCACTTCTCCGCAGTTCCTATCTCCTTTAGCAAAATGTTTCCATATCTTGAAGAATTTTGTCCTTCATAGTTTCCTTGGTCCTGTTTCTTTTTTTGCTTTGTGAGCGAGAAGGGGATAAATATCTGTATAACCTCAATCAAACTCATGTTCTTGACCCTTCTCTCCATGGAGTGACCCCATACAATAGCAGTCCGAGAGATTTATATTGCTGATGTGTCATGGTACAGGAACAGAAACGACATCTTACATAGCCCTCGAACCCTCGGAATCCGATTCAAGTCAACAACATTCCCCGGGGGCCGCATACATGTAAGTAGGGTAGTGGGAAACGCCGATTGGGCTTTCACAATGTTAAAGTCGCGTTTGTCAAGCTCCTGCCAAGGACCTCTTGGTGTTTGGATATGTGCAAGTGGGGTCTGCGCAATGGATATTTCACTTAGCTTGGATTATTGGTATTTAAATGTAGTGGGTTGGGGGGTATTGCTGCTACTACTTCCACGCACTGGAGTCGATTCAACCACCGACCAACTTGGTCAACTTTTGATGATTCTAATTCATCCACTGCGAATCTTTGCTATGAACGAGAAATTTGGTGACTTATATTCTACTCTCAACGTGGGATTGAAATCACCACTACGACTGTCATACTCGACTTGATTCAACCAAGGACAGATATATTCAATCTATACTATCAACAACCATCGAGTCCCATCTTCCAAGAATCTATTCAACCAAGGACGAAATGGCGAATAGAAAACCCCAGAAACGTAAACGTTCTACAACTGCGAGCAGTAGAGCTCCAAACAAACGGAGCAAAAAAAACACACCCGTGTCTTCACCACCATCCGAGTCCGCGTCCGCACCCGCATCCAACGCCACTCAACTGCCTCCAGACGCGACATTCCCCTTTCTCTCTCTACCTCCCGAGATCCGCCTGATGATCTACGGCCACATCCTAGGAGACCAAACCTATAAAATACCCTTCATCTCAACCGCTCCCAAAACCACCCCTGAAAAAAAAACCCCGTGGCACCAACCCAAACCATTGGGCCATCCTGCGCGTGAACCGCCAAATCCACGCCGAAGCCGCCAAGCTCCCCTACCAACTCAACCACTTCGGACTCGCCTGCCACCTCTCTATCCCAGTGAGCAAACTCCCACCAGGAAGCCGGCACATCCGTTCCCTGACCATCCTCTCAGACCCCGCCTTTGTCCAATCCCCCGCGTTCCTGCATAACCTGCACCACGAGATCCGTCGGCACTACCATTCGCTGCTGCGTGTCACTGTTCTCAGCGGCTGCGAGTACCCGCCTGACTCGTATTGGGAAATGGAGGTGTGGGGGATGAAGATTATGAGCGTGCTTGTCTCGCAGCTCCCTGAGGCGGAGCTAGATTTAAGGATTGTGACGAGAGAGGCGATAGAGCGCGTGGCTAAGAATTCGAGGGAGCTTAGGGAGGCGGTGGCGCGATATGGGGATATGTTGCGGGGAGAGGAGAGGAAGAAGGTTTGGAGGGTTTGGTTGAAGACGCTGGTGGATTTGATGGGGGTTGAGAGGCCAAAGATGCCGGAACCGAGGAGGATTTAGGGAGGGAGAGAGGGTTTGGTGATGGGATGGGATTTTGGGGATGATGATTAAGTGTTGTAGAGTCTTGGGGTTAGAGACTTGGAGGTTACATATTGGATGGCGTAGATGACGCAAAATGCATACACGGGGTTTTTCTTTTGGATGGCAATGACTGAAGAGCATGGAATATGGGAGATATTGATTATGTTTCAACTATTCTGATTTACAAAAAAAAACAAGCTTGGTCACTCGGGCGATTATCGAGGTTCGAGGTTATGGTGTCGTACAAACGGATGGCCTAATGAACATTGTTAGACTGCGAATCCGAATTCTCTATGAGGCACAGTCCTGCAAACGAAATCGAAATAGAATATGTTCTTCTCTTAGACCATCGATAGGCCAGAGAAGTCGTATTCGACTTGCCGCAAATCGTATTCTTGCTCCTCGAACACCGGTGTAGGCAAACGACGAGGCACACTCCGTGCGAGTGGTTGCATATTAGGCATCTGCGCCGCAACCAATCAACCGCGTCCAAACTCCGTTGCGGGGCATATATCATCCGCAGCAGCGCCACTCTGCTGGCCCGACTCTGTTCATTCTTTTCCCATCAAACACAATACATTCTGCCATGGCACCACTCAAGGATGAATGGAACTATTTCACCCGTGCATACCCACGCACATGGTACTGGCTCAGAATCGGCCTTTACATAATTACTTGCCCTTTTTGTTTCTCCTTTTGCTGCTTCTGTTGTTGCAATCCAAACAGATGCGCTATCGAACCTTGCGGTACTGGCAGGATGCAAAGAAGACGGCAAAGGGCAGAATACAAACTGAAATCTGCGACCAATGCCCTCTTCGAGCACAAGGGGCGAAAATTAAAGCGCCGCCAAAGCCTTTCCACCGATTCGCCTACTACTCTGTTCGCCAGACTGCGCAGAAAACCAGTCGCTGACCAAACGTCATCCCCTCTGTTCTCCAAACTCCCTGTCGAAGTCCGCGAGCGCATCTACGAATATGTTCTGCTGGACCCGGGCGCAGTCGTCTACGGGTTCAGGCGTCCTGATATTCCCGGCGATTTTCTAAATCTCCGGGGTCAATCGTGCGTACCGACGGGTGAAGCTGATGAGAACTACATCCCAGAGATGACACTCGCGAAATCCGGAAATTCGATTTCGTTGCTTCAAACCTGCCGGTGGATATATACCGAAGCTCTTCCTATACTGTACTGCAATACGCAATTTGTGTTTCAGGACGTCTTCGCCCTCAAGGCGTTTTCACACATCACCCCACAGTCCAAAATCGAGAAAATCCGCAGCGTTCGGATCAACAGCAATAGCTGGAGTGGTCACTGGAACAACATATACGCCGATCACTTCCAAGCATGGAAAAACCTTCGTGAACTGTACATAGGATACGCATACCATCATTTCTGCCATAATCACCCCAAGGGTTACAAGACGGCAGATGTTGTGGGCTCTGGAATCTGTGCTATTCACCTGTTTGTATATCATGTCTATGGAAGAACTCGAGGACACAGTCCACTGATGATATTCCATGAGCTCATGAAATCCTCGCCGATGAACGAGGACGAAAGCGCATGGAGAAAACGTAAATCTTCGCTAGATCAAAAAGCGTTACGCTGGGAACTATCATAGGATTTCACCAGATCAGAGAGTGTTATTGGTCTGCGCCCAATGCTAAAAGACAAGAGTTTGCATCATATGTTATCAAAGTCTTTCGTGATATAATATGTGCTCATCTGCTCTGGTCCGTGGACTTCATGCAGCAGCTTAGAAATGAAGCATGTTGCAACTGGCATCTGGAATCCAGACAACCTAACGTTCGTCTTGTGGATCAATGTCTGATTGGTAAGACACCATTTTCTGCATAAAATCCCTACTACGGTATGTGTAATGCGTCGCCGGATAGTTGGTTGGCCAGGATGATTCGAACTAGGCTGTGCACCCACCTTTACAGTAATGGGCGGTACACTAAGCTTCTACGGTGGGGTACCAGACCCTACATAAGATGCGTCTGAGGACGAGCGGCGCTACATTGACCCGCCACCAAAGTAACTCATTCACATTCGTCCCATATTTACCCATGAAGAGAACACGCCGCCGTACCTTCATCTCTAGCGTATCGGTTAGGAAAAAACACGAAACAAGTTCTTCGAGTGAGGAGGATCAGCACTCACCTGACTTCCGTGTAACCCGCTCGATTTATCAAAGGATTTCTCGACGGTTTCGACGACGACGACGACCATCACAATCGTCGGGACCCGATTCAATCTCACCCTCTTTTGATGACACTGCCTCTGTGAGCGACGCCATAAGCGGTGATGAAGCTGCCTCACTCAGGAACCATGTCTCGCGCTCCATGTTTGATGCTCGGGAGGAAGAAGAGATAGTGCCCCGCCAACTTCTACCATACCTGCCTTATGTGGAAAAAACAGTCGACACAAACAGTCGGCCTCCGTTTTGGTCGACTAAAGTTTTTGATCCCGTAAAGACTGTCAAAAACTGGCTCCAAACATGTGATCGGCAGCATCGCGGTCATGCAGGCTGTTCTTTCGAGTCACAGACGCTGGATGGCCCGTGGAGTGGTCCTCTGTTATTGATCGACGTTGTGAACAATTGCTTGGTGCCTACGCCTACAGATGCTACATCCTACAGATATGTTGCGCTTAGCTATACATGGGGGAATAGCCATGCTTTGTCGACGTGTACCACTACTCACAATTTTTCGTCGTTTAGAGAGCCAGGCGGACTTATAGCAGCTGAAGAGACGCTTCCCAGCACCGTGAGGGATACTGTTGAGTTTGTCCGAAAAATCGGGGAGCGATACCTATGGGTTGATCGATTCTGTGAGTTTTTCCTTTGAGTGTGGAATGTTTTGCAAGACGGCATTCGTCTGCCTATCGAAATATCTCTGTCTGAAGTGTACTGACCATATACGCGCGCCTTAAGGTATTGTCCAGGATATGATTGTGGGAAAACAGAGCCAGCTTGACGCCATGGGTAAAATATATGCTAGATCATACCTCACTATCATCGCTGCACAAAGTGAAGACACATTCGGTCCGCTATACAATCCGAATCCTATTGATAGAGCCTTGACCCACTCTAGTCCACTGCCACTGCTGAGCGGTGCGCAGACTTTGGTGGGTGAAGCGCACTCGCTCATGTGGTCGACTTGGTATTCCCGTGCATGGACGTTCCAAGAATATCTCTTCTCAAAGCGCAAAATAGTCTTCCACAACGACACAGTCAACTGGGAATGTGGGATATCGGCATGGCATGAGACCCAGGAAGTTTCAACGACTACTATACCAGCACTAAGATCCGAGCACAATCATATTCGCTCGGCCTCCAAAAATCACCTAAACGACAACTCCACTGGTTTCGATTTTCCGCCGTGGCCTGATATGAATAGATATGCACGTTTAGTTGCGCTCTTCAACGATCGTAATCTCACTTTTCCAGAAGACGTTATGGATGCGTTTGCAGGCGTTCTTTCGCACCTCAGCCACGTTTTTCCAGGAGGTTTCATCACCGGGTTGCCCGTCATGTGTTTTGATGCTGCTCTTCTCTGGCAGCCGTTCAGTCCCGTGCGGCGTCGCCAATCATTAAGACGCCCCATTCCCGAATCCACGCTTCCATCATGGTCATGGGCCGGCTGGGCTGGAAATCTGAACTCACAGGCTTGGAGAAGCGCTGCAAATTATCAATTTGAGGGGGATCGCACGTATTCGGTGGACCAGTGTTCTTGGAAAACCACGAGCACCGTCGAATGGAGTTACTCATTGACTCTAGAGTCTCCCAAAAAGCCCATCAAGCCCAGTATCCAGTATCTCGACCGTCCCGCCAATCCGGAAACCCTGATTATGAACAAGGCATGGTCGTGGGTCCAGGAACCCAAAGGCGACTACGTGTTTTATCATTCGAATTTTCCCATGCAGCCTTTTCGATATCCAGTGCCCATACGTGATCAGCATAAAGCGCACATACCTCCGATTAATGCTCGATACTTGCATGGTACGACTGTGCGCGCTTCTCTACGTCTGGGATCTTTATATTGGAACGACACATCGAAATGCATGGTCCTCGAACTTCGCACCACAGAAGACAAATGGGCCGGGATGCTGCGTTTGAATGTCAGTAAGTACCACGCCGACAGAATATATGATAGCGAAGAAGAACGGGAGTTCCCAAGCGTATATGATCGCGAACACAATATGTCCTCAAGTAGCGGCGGTAAAAACGAGAGCGGCTTTTACAGCAAAGTCAGTGACTATGAGAACAAAGGCTATAGCATCACAAATAAATACGGGAGTGATGTTAGCGAAGAAGAAATCGAGTATAACAGCGGAGATCGCAGAGAACGCGATGTAGTCTCGAGCAGCGGCGGTAAAGATGAGAGCGGTTCCTACAACGGGGGCAGTGAATATGGAAGCGAACGCTATAGCATCACAGGTCCCTGCGGAAGTGATGTCGAACGATACAACCGATCAGAAACTGTTCAGCTGGTCGAAATATCCGCTGGTTCGGTGCGTGATCAAGACATTGAAGAACAAAGCTTTGATGAGTGGCAACAAGAGGGATGCCCGAGACGCGACGGAATCTACGAATTTGTCAACGTTCTTTGGGTGGATTGGAAAGAAGGAGTAGCATATCGAAAAGTGCTTGGGAGAGTTGAGAAGGGGGTTTGGGACAGTCTTGAGAAGGAAACCATCGAATTGACTCTTGGATAGGCCATGGCCTATCAAGACCTTTTCAGCAGCATATTACCACCCCCGGCTCATTCCGGTTGAATGATATTCCCACCATGGAAACATCTTGCAGTGGTGCCACAATTCTTCAGTCACACGACGTCACAGTCCTGCATTCCTATCGCATTGCCGACAGAACCGACTCATTCCATACTGCCGCACGACAACAAAATAAACATATCCGCGCGGCTAACGCACTTGTGTGGTCTCCCTATGCTTATTCATTCGAGGACTAAACCCTCGATCATTCAACCCACACCGATCCCCCTTCCGTTGTCCTCTCTTAACCGATCGCTATGCTATCACCAACACCCCTCCAGATCGTCTCGGGCATAAATATCTTCGCTGCCTTGGTAACATACGTTGCAGCCGGCCAAATATGCGGTGGTATTGGAACGAACGATTTCGCGGGAGTGATCTTCTACATGGGAAACTTCTTTTACAAATCGCCCTCTGTATTCGCGCTGTGCGCCGACCTCTGCAAAAACGACTACCCAAAATGCAAGAGTTTTCGATACAGCTATTTCTCGGACGCGGATGCACAATACTGCGAGTTTTTCCCGGAATGGCTGTCAGTATTCCTTTCGAGTAGAAATCTGTTCTCTTCATAACTTGCGCTACACTCTGAATAAATTGTCTTTTGCCTTCTCAGTCTCGCATGCCTACACCCGATGTCTATGAGCTACATCCATTCCGATCTTCCGCATAATACACACCATCACCAACTCCCTTTATGACCCACAAGCTCATAACAACCTCAGAGAAAACTTCTTCGTAGAAGACAACACACAACCTTACTACTACTACGATGTCGACTGCGCATTCCCAACATGGGCTATAACAGAGACATACTTCTCGACAACGACAACGAGCGTCGCATCCTTGACCTTGACCTCTAGCCAGACCCTCACCACAACATCCATTTCAACGACGACTTCCATCTCCACAGAAACAGCTACCGCGATAGCGACAGCATACTCCATATTCACAACGACAGCTACAACCACCGTCTCGCCATCCCCCGTCCTCCTCACGCAAACAACCACCTCCACAACCATCCTTACCGCATCACCGAAAACAACCACAGCCTACAGCATCAGCACCATCACCGCTACAACAACAGCCACAGCAACCAGCACAGCGCGCTACAGCATCTACAACACCACCACCGCCATCCGATCCTCCACGACTACAAAGACCGTGTCGGTCGTCAGCGTGCGCAACTCAACGATCGTGCGGACTTCGCCCGTCATATCGACGAGGGTCGTCACGGTTTCGGGGAAAGGCGTGACTACCACACGCGTCGTTAGTGTTTCGGGGAAGGGGAGTACGACTACGAGGGTGGTGACTGTGTCCGGGAAGGGGCCTACGACAACTGTTACGAGGAGTTTGAGTGCGGCGGGAAAAACGGTCACGAGGACGGTGTCGAAGACGGTCACTGTTCGGTGATGATCATGAGTTGTGGAGGTTTTCTTTTTGAGCGGCGGTGTGTGTGTGTGGTTTGAGCAGTCAGTACTCTGGACGGGGGCGGTGTTGCAGGTAGTCAAACTGCCTGACATCTATCTCTCTTTCTTGCTAAGGCAGACGTTGTTCTGGTATGCCAGCCCCAAGTCTCATTTTTTTTCTTTCCCTTTTGTACCTGCATCTTTTGGTCTCGTTCCTCTTTTTGTTTTCCTGCATGGGAGGGATACATAGTCTTTGTTATTTCCCAGATTGTGCAGTTGAAGAATCATTTTGCAATAACAGAATAAGAATAGGAAAGGGGGGGGGAAGATGGTGCACGCCAGCATTCTTAGCAACAGCATGTTATTCTCAATTTGGGGGCATAAGTAGTACGGAATAAGTAAATACAAAAGGGCTTTGCTTTTATAACTTTTACTACAGATTAAAGAAGATGCAAAGAAAAATCAATGCGCGTGCGTGGTCCATTTGCCTGCGTATTTAAATCCATATCTATTTCCTTATCGAGCGTCACTTCAATCACTTCTAAATTCCTACCATAGGATCAATCAAGATGTACAAGACTTTTCCCAAAAAAGACAAAAGTCTTCTTGAAAACAGAAAACAGAAGGAGGTATGCCAAAGAAAAAAGAAACCAAAAACTCCCCCTGCTGATAGGAAAAAAGTAGTGGAGTGACACTCCAACCTCCACTTGACACTTATTGTTCACTACACGCTAAGCCTAATCAATGTCTCTAAGCAGAGTGAAACCTACCGCAATCCACACTTTTGCGCTATACCTTCCCAATTAGGAAGGTTGAGCTCAGCACTTCCTACGCTAAGCCTAATCACGGTGTTGCTCTTAGCAGAGTGAAACCTACAGTAATCCACACCTTTTCATGTTACCTTCCAAATTAGGAAGGTTGAACTCCGCACCCCTCGCGCATCGCCTAAACACTGTAATTCACTGTGACAAGACAATTGCAAGGCTCGCATAGCTTTTTATCTACAAGCTCTACTGTGATTTCCAGCTATTACGATCAATTTCTCTAAGAAATGAGTGTGCGCGCTGCTATTCTTCGCATACACATGTGCGAATTGTAGTAAGGGGGGGAGTGGTACACGCTAAACCCCATCTGTAGCAATCACGCAGATGAACCTGATAGGGAATCAACGCTTTTTTTACAATACCTTCTTAATTAGGCAGGTTCAATACACGTAGGTAGTTGTCGGCATATAATTGCCTCAACGACATCTATAGTTACAAGCTGGAGAGAAAAGTACGTTGTTCTGCACGTATCTCCTCTGTTTCCTTTTAGCTTTTCCGCATCCCCTATTTCTCTCTTAGAGCGTAGTAACGATGGAAGATATCAGCAGTGTAGCAATGTGCATGCGACATCTTGAGGTTGCTAACTCTAGTATTATTGTGTTGAGTGTTAAGTGAAGTGCGAATGTAAGTCTCTCTTTCTCTCTCGCCTATTACCGTTCAGCTACATACTTTTCCCTTCTTTTCTTCATCCCTTTCTACCTACATTGTTCTATTCTGTGCAAAAAAAAAGTCATCATTGCACACGCAAGCCAATGCCGACTAAAAAAGCTGTTACGCGGCGCTAAGCCTAATTAGTAAGTGAAAGCCTAATTACTAAGGAAATATGCACCACGGCTGCAATCAACACTGTTTATAGAAATCACCCGATTAAGCAGTTTAGGAGCACCACCCCCACCACCACTACTACGGCCAGTGCCGTCCTCCGTACTTCTCCCTCTCATATTTCCTCCGCTTCCATAATCCTTTATAACTTTCCCCTCTGTAGAGAATAAAAAAACAGCAACCTGCACTTCGCTCCTCGCGATTTTCGAAGACAGAAATGCTTGCACGCAGGACGTGCATGTTGAACACGGTTTCTGTGTTGGTTGCTGGAGGGGGAGGGGAGATGACGCTAAGCCTGATTGATTAGCCACTTTCACTGCAGGTGATAGGGGATCCACACCTAGTGAGAAATTACCCGATTAGGAAGGTTGAAGAAAAATGTATGTCACTCTTTACGCACCATCGCCTGGGCGTTCGCGAAGGTTTTTTTTTTCTGCTGCTTCAACTTTATTAATGTCTGATATTCTTGCAGGGCTTGCGTAGTTATGTGTTACTCTTTTTTTCTTCTACTTTTTCTTTTGGCTTCACAGGATTGGGTAGAGGGCAGGGCAGGAGGGTATACATATTTTTCCGTCTAATAAAGAATACTAAAGTAAGGTAAAAGGCTATAGATTACCATAGGTATGCTGTAGTTCATACCTGCTGAACACAGAAACAGAAAAGAAAAAAATGAGAGAGCATATGAGATGGGTTCGTATATGCTCTCAACATGCAAGAATGCCTATCCCCCCTTCCCACCGAAAAAAAAAGAAAACGCCGATGATCCTGACTACCTTTCCGGCTATATGCTAAGTGGAATGTACACATTCAGTGGGTCTTTTTTTACTTTCCCGGTTGTTCTGATAGAACAACGATGATGAGAGGAAGAGGAGAAGGAGGAGGAGGAGGGAAAGAAGGGAGAATTGATCATCTCTTCCCCTTCTTCATCACAAGACCCTTCCACCCCTTTGTATCTCTCAAGCGCTTAATAGCCTTCGCAGCAGCGGGATCCTTCATCATCTCATCGGTGCACGCCTTCTTGGCCGCGTCATCCTCATGCTCATGCCACTCGCACCAATCCTTCTCTGATTTTGGCCGCTCGCCTTTCGCCAGCGTGGTGGCGAGCTCGAAGAGGAACGGCTGGGGCAGCTGCGAGCGCAGCGCAGACATGCGCTCGTTGTCCTTGTCCGGATTCCAGTACACGCTGTACATGTCGAGGAAGTACCTGCACAGCGGCGAGTCCGAGGGCAGGCTCTCGTAGGCGTCGATGACGTTGCTGTGGTCGGGCATCGATTGCAGGATCTCGTCGTTGGTTTGCCACGCGAGGAGCACGGCGCGGCGCAGCTTGGGGATCTCGTAGCGGTGCGCAAAGATGTATAGCGAGATGAAGCGCCGTTCTAGGAAGCCTTCGAGGCCGCGCCACTTGTAGGGCCGCGAGCAGCAGGGGCAGAGGGTTTCTTTGGGGGCTTCTGGTTTTTCGATGCCCGTGAGGCGGATGGGAGGGGTGGGCATCATTGAGGCGGATTTTTCGCTTTCGTTCTCGCCGGGGACTTTTTCAGCGCCGTTTTCTGCGTTGGGTGTGGGCTCTTCGGTCGATGGGGGTTGTTGTTGGGGCTCTGGTGGGGGTGGGTCGTCGTTGTCGAGGCTGATGCCCCATGATACTGCGTCGACGTCGTCTGGGGCAGGTTCGTCTTTTTGGTCTGATTCAGAGGTGGCGTCATCAGTGCTGGGACGGTTGAGATCAATTGAATGTGAGGGCGGCTTCGTTTCCTTGTTGCCTTCGATCAAATGGTGTGGGATGTAGCCCGTGTAGAGCCACATCATGAAGGCGTCAAACACATCCGGGTTGGTGTCCTCGAGCTCGAGGCCGGCATCTCCATCTCTCTTGTAAGGGGACGAGCCTTGCTGTTGCAGGGCTTTATCAAAGTATGTCGAGCATCTTCTTAGTAGCTCTCGGTGGCAACTGAACGATTCCGGGTATTCTCCTTTTCCGACCTTGACGGTGAGTATCGTCTGGTCGAAATTTCTTCGAAGAATGTTAGTAAAAGCTAATTTCTCCTTGAACTTCCCTTCAATTGCATCGAGCGACTTACCTGAAAGTGTGTCCAAGGGTCGACATGCCTTTAGGATTCATAAATGGCATCTTCAGCAAAAAATCGGGAGACAGAGATTCCATACACTACGGAGCCCAAGACCAACGGGCTGCAGACCCTCCTTTTAACTCTCTCGACAGCCCATCTCACCCAACAACGCGGGGGATAGTAGTTTCAAGACATTGTGGCAGCAATGGCTTGGCGTAAGAGCTCCTTGAGTTGAATGCTTGTGCCATGCTTGGCTATGATAGTGCGTAGCTTAGGCCGGAACCCTGTTGAGGCAGGAATAGGCGTGTGAGGACGGGTGGTGGTGTCGATCTTTGCGTTGCCGTGTTTGTGATGCTGCGTCGTTGCGCAGTGGTGGGTTTCAAGCAAGCATCTCGGTTCGTTTCACCTGGCTTGGCGGGGGTCCAAAGTGCCTCAGGACGATGCCTTTAGTCCAGATCGCTCCACGGACATGGCAAGTCACAGGAACGACTCAGGGAACATGTTTCTCGGTCATTTCTAGCTGCATGTGCGGAATGACTCTGCAGGTGTGATAGATGTGTTCCCGAAGGATAGATGTTTTGCTTCGCAACAGATCTTCTTCGCCGTATCGGCGACTAAGGTGTGATGAGGACAACTCGAGTTTATCGGGATATACACATACATTCATCAGGAATTACCATCCCATCTCTTCTCGATATCACCTCCGTTCTCCAGCTATCCATCGATATACATCAAGCATGTAGTTCAAGCGAGCAAACCTCAACTCCACACCAACCAACCACATCCAGAACCACAACCTCATGACTAATCCCGAAACACCAACAAAACCCCTCCTTCCCGCTCCCACTCTTTGCCAGATCCTAATCTCTCCAACATTTGAATCAATCTCATCTGCCTAACCACTTTCTTTTCCAAACCCGGAGTACCAACACCAACACCAGCACCATCATTACCAAAATAAAACCCACGTTTCTTTCCCTCATCCTCACAACAACCAGCAACAACCCTACACTATCCCAAATTGCCCTTTCCCTCCTCCGAACCCGAACAAAAAATAGCCTCTCTCATACACGATATTCTCTCTTTGACCCCAAAAATACCACACCTTCCTTATTCACTCACTAACTCTCTGTCCGGTCCACACTGCATCCAACCCAACTCCGAGATCCCGTAGATCCAACACAGCGCAACACAAGGATTCGCAAAGCGCCGCACTGGTAGCTAAGTACTTATACCACAAAACTCCAAATAGGGTTGTTGCATGCATGTTCAAGTAAAAATCTATTTAATGTGATAGTCGTATTATTAAAAAAGGGAAAAAAAAGCTACCAAAGGGTACTTAGTATATATAAAGAAGTAAAGAAATGAAAAGGGAAACGTATATAGCCAACCAAAAAGAAAGAAAACTCCCGTTTTCCTCTTCTTTCTTCTACTGCTCCACAAGTTCAACGAGGAAAGAGCACCGAGTCCTTCACCTCCACCTCCACCTCCACATGCAGCATCGCAACATCTCCATGCAAACGCAAACCATGCAAGCAGAAGGAAGGAAAACAAAAGCAATCATGCAAACAGCACTCTCACACATCTAATCCAACCGCGCATTGTACACAGAATTGCACTCACCTCATCTATCTATATGGGAACGCTTGCAACACGAGCAAACATGAAAAGATCACATCGTTCCCACTCACTCTCTTCTCGAAGAAAAGCGCGAGGGGGGAAACGGTACCGTCTAAAAACAAGACACAACCCTCTAAGCCCTTTTCTTTATTTCTTGAACAACCTCCCCAAGCCCTTGCTCTTTCCACTGCTCGTCTTCCCCGCCTGATCCTCCTCCCGCTCCGCTGCATCCTCCTTAGCCCGTTCATCCTTTGTCGGAATCCTAGGTTGTTCCGCAAACCGGATCCCCGGTGTCCTCGGCGGCGCCAGATTACCGCTCTTCTGCTTTTGCTGTTGCTGCGATCCGCTACTGCCTTCGCCAGCCTTGCCCTTGCTGTGGTGCGTTCCGCGACCAGTCTGGAGAGGGTCACCCGCCTCTTCGGCATCTGAGTCGGAGTCGTTAGGGCTGTTGTCGTCGCCGCCCATACCGAGCGCGCCGAGACGACGTTTACGCTCCACGGCTGTTTCGCCTTCGTCCATTTGCGATTTGTGGTGCGGGGCGGGCGAGGTGGACGTGGGTTTGGGGCTGCCCAATTGGCGGCCACGCGGCGATTCGTCGTCTTCACTGTCATCGGCGGAACTGTCGGGGCGGTTGGGTGGGGCTTCGGTGGCTCCCGCAGCCCGACGGCGACGCTGTGCCGCGGTTTCGCCTTGGCTGCTGGATTTCGTGGCAAGCTGTTTACGTACAGAGTGGAAAGGGATATCTTCCTCGTTGCTGTCTACCAATGTGAGGCCTTCGGGCCCACGGGCTCGATCTTCTTCATGCGCCGCGGGTGATTCGATATGCTGGATTTCGGCCTGACCTTCTTCTCCTACGACCGGAGGAACATTGGCTGAAGATGCTGCATTCCGGCGAGAGGCGTCCTTGGCATCTTGTCGAGCTTCACGCTTAATGGGCTCAGGAACATCGCTGTCCTGTATGAACTTGTCGCGGGTTTTGGCATCCATATTAGACATTTGTTGAATGAACTCGGCTTTGCTCATGCGGCGCCCGCCGGCTGTGACGGTGAAACGAATCCGGTCGTCGTCCTGATCAAGCAAAGGTGCTTTCTTCCGCTTTGCGTCTGCCTCTGCGCTCTCGGATGGCCCCCCTTCTTCTTGGGCTGGAATGCCCATGTAGGTCCCCATCTTCCGCAGACTCTGCAGGGCGCGACCACCAGTCTCGGCCACAGAGCCCTTGCGATGTTCTAGAGCTGGGCGTTCTTTTGCCGATGACGCAGGAATGTCGTATTTCTTGAGAACTTCACCATCTTCATCTTCAACAATGATGGTGTTACCGAACTGATAGGCGAGTGCTGGACCACGCTTCTGTGGGGGTTTTGGCTGTTCGGACGACTCTCCTGCTGTATGATGATGTTTGGCAGTAAAGCTACCCATGCGCTTGCGCCATGCCTTGGGATTCGGATGCTCGATTTCTTCTTTGATAGCTTCAGCTGCGTGGTGGGCAGGCGTTTCATCGCGGTGCTCGCTTTGTGCAACACCGTGGACAACATGCTTTTCATCCATCAGCTGTTTGGCTTTCCGGCCGTCTTTCCTCATTCTCTGCTCTTCACTTTCACCGGGTTCACTTTGTCTAACTCCCAAGACATTGCCCTCTTCATCTTCAATGACAGTCTTATCACCCTCTTCATATATCTCTTCCTCAGACTCCCGACGCCTCCCTTTCTCCTTTGCAGTCGCAGATCCTTCTGGTGAGTCATCACTGCCGACAGCAATCGTGTCTGAATCTTGCATCGGTGAGGCCGTGTCATATTGGTCCGCATCTCGGACCGGGGCAATGGCAGATTCAGAGATGGGTCCACCGGGGCCACGCCCTGCATCCCAGCGTCTGCGACGAGTAGTAGCTCCACGAGAGTTAGCCCGACTAGAGTTTTCATCCTCCTTTTGACGACGTAGAAAGTTGCCCGGTACGCCACCAAGTGGAAGACCACCGGGTCCAGAATTCTCGGCCTTTTCATCGAGAGACGATTCGGAAGGTCGGCGTCCAAGAGACATGGAAGATTTGGAGCGTGATTGGATACGGGGGATACGCTCCATCCAGCTTGGACCGTTCTCGTCGGCCTGGGTATACGACAATGAAATGGTAAGCGTATTGATGTGCTTTCCGAGTGTGAATACGGCAATAGAGCTACCATGCACCAATATACTGCATATCACCAAGAAACACGTAATTGGCCAAATCATTTCGATAATGTTCCGATGGGGGAACCCTGGAGGAGGTATCTCTGCCAACGGAGTGGTTGTGTCGGTTTCCAATTCGGCCCTGGCAAGGATGGCAACAAAAATACCGCCCACACCGATAGGTCCAAAGTGACCAGCGAACAGAGCCTCTCGCCATGTCTTGATATCCGGTATAAAAGGTTTCATCGCAAGCATTATAGGTATGCGACGGAACAGGAGCACAAGCAAGCCTAGCACTACCAGTCTCCAGGCTTGCAATCCGATGATATCCGAGTTGAATTGGGGCCAGGGAATGATGGTGCCGAAGTAGACGAAGAAGGCCAAGTTGATCAACAAATCGATAACGTTGGACACGTGGGACTCTTCGGTTTTCTCGAGAAACCAACCATCGTTGGAAAAGCCGACACCACACGCAAAGCCGACGAGCAGATCGTCCAATCCCAACAAAGCTCCGGATCCCGCACAGAACAGCGCCAGCACGAAATAGAAAACGAGGAAACTTTCTCTATCAATCAGATCCTTCTCGTGGGCATAACGGATAGCGCGCCTAGCGATGTATCCAACCATGACCCCGTAAAAAGCTCCAAATACACACTCGTAGAGAATGGTGAAGCAGATCCAGTGGAAAGTGGTCTTTCCGGCGTCTTGGTGGTAGTGGATGAGGTATAGCGGAAGATAGACGAATGGAAACGCCATGCCGTCGTTACACCCCGACTCGGCAGAAAGCAGATCTCGCAAATGCTTGGGCACCCGTTTCGCGAATTTGCCCTTTCCGACCACCGAGGATGCCAGGACGGGATCTGTGGCTGTGACACAAGCCGCAATAACGAGAGCATCTAACCAATTCAGGTGCGAGCGGAAAAGACCCCAGATGAAAAGGCTGGTGATTAGCCAACCAAAGGTCATGATGGGGATGAGCAGGAAGGAAACGGATTTCCAGTGCTTTTCCATGTATGCGCGCGGCAATTCGACACCGACGGCGAAACATTGCACGACGAGGACGATTCGCGAAAACTCGAGTGTAATGAGATCTGTGTTACCCCACTCGAGAGGGTTGATTAGATTGGCGGCATGAGGACCGAAGATTATACCGCATATTGTAGCGACCGTGGCTTCACCAATGTACAAGCGTTCTTTGATGATGGAGGAGCACAGCATGAACAAGCTGGTAAAGCCGCCCAAGATGATGTACACCAAGTGCGGCTTAGTGATGGAAAGCTGTTCCCAGGCCGGCATTGTGTGATTCAAAGGTCGACGTGTTATTTAACCCTGATTGATGTTTCGATCGAATTGTAGCTCCTCTCCACGAATGAGAGTTGTTTGGGTCGTCGAAGAGGCGAGTGCAGCGCCACGCGGTGTAGCGACGAATGACAGCACGAGCGCACGCACGAGTTGCACAGAAACGAGCGATTTCGGCGAAGAAGAGACGGGCTTCTATCGGTTATGTGGGAAGGATGTGGTAGCCGGGGCCAGGGCTGGTGAATCCAGAAGTTTGGCCGCAGGCACTCTCTCTGTCAGTACAAAGCCAAACGCGATGCATGTATGAAAAGGTGCGCCCAGTCGCCGCTCCAAATCGTGCTAGGGAGCTGTTCCTTTTTTTGCTTGTTGTATGGAAATGACGCTGCAGAAAGTTTGAATCGGAGCGTGGGATGGTCCGATTGTATGCAGGTGCGGTGCGTTGTGGTGGTGCGCAAAGGGATTTCTAGAGAAAGGGACCGGAGGTTAGTGACGGTTGGGTGACGGGCAAGAGCGAACATATAGGCGGCTTTAGAGTTTAGTTGATGCCCTTGTCCGGGCCATTGGTTGGCCCGAGATGGATAAGGGGACCACAATTGGGCGGGCAAATTCTGAAGGTTCGGTAGCGAAGAGGCTCATTGAATGACGCTCTCGCAATGCCGACCGGTAGTTTGGTGGAGGGCTGGCTCAACGAACCATGCATCACATACATGGACAACGGTCCACTTACCTAGAGTTTCAAGAGATCTCCAATGCTTGCGGCAAAGCTTCGCGTCTTATCGGCGAGGGCAGCAACAGACAGGCAAGCAACCCAAAAAAAAGCTTGCAGAGGGTGCGAAGACGGCTGACGGCAATGGAGAAAAGCTTGGGGGAGGAGGGCAGCGTCTTAATATGAGAGCAGGGTTCCTTTTCCTGGGCGTTGAAAAGACGAGGTCGCGAGGCCTTGGCTGACATGGCCCTCAGCGCAAACCGCGGGCGTTGCAGCCAATGACGCCACAGCGATAATCGTGCGCCGAGAAAAACAATCCATCCTCCACCACTATGCTTGCTTGTTTGTTTGCAAACCGCCGTTTCTGCGCCCGTCTGTTGCCATGGCGTCACATAATCACCGAGGCAGCGCAACGCATCAACAACACAGGCTCTCGAGCTCTTTGATCAATCAGTCAGGATACCAAGCACCGAAGCCAATGTTGGCGTGGGACGGTGCACTGGCAGAAGATTTGCCCAGCCGGAAACGGCAAAGGCTCCACTGATGGAGTCTCCCGACCACGTGCCCTGGGCATCTTAAGCGACCAGTTGACGGGAGTAACATGTACACATGTACAGTACAGAGTACCTACACAGAACATAAACATCCCGCTTCCGCAGAGGAGCACGAAAACACCAGGTCCCGCGAAAACGAGAATCCATCCATCCCAATCACTAATCAACCAGCCCAAGTTACCCCTCCATACATACATCCATTCATGCATATACCCCTCACTCATCCCGCACGCATCCCGCACCCGTCATAGCCTTGCTTTGCTGACTGTGCATCTTCTTCTTCCACGTACATACATGAAAGGGAACGAATATGCATGCATGCATCCATCCATCCATGCACATCTGCAATGTCTTGTCCCTCTGTCTGTCTGCATCCATGCATCCGACGAACCAAACCAGGACCCGAGAGAGAGAATCTTTTCCCTTGTACGGAAAGGAAATCAAACACATGACCTTTAAGAATCTTCATGTGCAAACCTTACATACATGTACTCATACATACATACATACGTGAGATACCGAACACGTTCGCTCGCTCGCACGGAAATATCGGAATGATGCAAATGGCAAGCGGTGTGCGGAGAAGCATCGATGAAATCCGGCGACTTCGGAGAGTGAGGCGGGTAGGTTAGGTTAGGTATTGTAGCCCATCCATCGCAACCTACGTGTTTAGGTCGAGTTCAAGTACAGGGTGTGCTAGAACGGAAATGTGCTCCCTCCCTTTGGATAGATGAGGCGTGCCAGGTGCGCATCCAATAACGCGGATAGGTAGATGATGAGGCTTGCCTTTAAAACCCCCACGCCTACGCGGCATGACTTACCGTCTCAGCAGACAACCTCGAAACGAAACAAAAAAATTGTTTCTTTCTCTTATCAAGTCTTATAGTCTGTTGTTCAAACGTAGGTTGGGTCACGGTGTACAACTGTGTAACACACACACACACACGACCAGCCAGCCAGCCGGTAGGTAGGTAGTAGCACGCGACCCACTCAGCCAACCCAATCAAGCAGCCCAAGTTTTTTTGAAAATGAAATTTCCATATACATGGTTGCATCCCCATTTTGAACTTATATCAATGCTTGATTCGATTCCCCATGATCCCCCCACGAACACCACACCCCTATAAACAAAACCCCAACATAATCTCTCCTTCCACATATATACTTGATGTGACCACGCGACGGATGAGAGAGAGAGACAGTATCCACGATAACCCATGGAGAAAGATAACCCAAAACTTGCCCCCATGCGCCGAAATCGATTTTTTTCCGCGAGGAAACACCATGTGATGAAGATCCGACCGCTCTTTCACTCCAACACCAAAAAGATAGACAAGTCGAGATAAGAGAGAGAGAGGAAATGGAGGGATGATGCCCCTCTATATGAAAATGACCTTAACAATAGGTGAAATTATGAGACCGCCCCCCTTTCCCTTCCATAGATCCCCGTTCGATCCACCGTGTAAATGGCCTTGATAACCCACACAACCCAAACCCCCCTGCGTGCTTTCCCCAGGATATGTATGTATGCCATGACCAAAAAATCTTCGTGACCCTCCAAAAAACACATTTCGCCGAATGCTCCCATGTCCTCCATTCGCCTAGGTACATCCCAAAAAAGAAAGAAGAAGACAATGCTGAATTCAAATGGTTCGGCCTTGGAAGGTATGTAATGTAGGCCTCTGTACTCGAGCCTCGAGAGCCTATGATATTGCCGCGCTTCATATATCCGCCAGAAATAAATATTATGCCGTTTTCGTCATGAACAAAATGGTAGTCGTGTCCTGTGCGTTGCGTCATGTACTCGCTGTCGTGCGTCGTTGTCGGATCATCATCTCTATGTACAACTTCGGATCCGGACTTATCGTTACGTTTGAGGGTGCACGTGTCAAAAGATTTGTGCATTAGTTGCCAACCGGCAACCAGGTCCTTCGCTCATCCAGACTTCTGCTGTTGATGCGTGACCCTGGTGTGAGGGGTATCTCGACTCGACCACGGCTGTTTTCCGCAGAGTCGTGATCACTATCATCGTTTTCTTCGTCATAGGCAGACAGTCGGGCAAAGTAATCTGCTAAGCCGCTGGTCGGTGAGGCAATGCTTTCGTAGAGCGGGGGAGGTGTTTCTAGTGGTGGTGGCGGTTCCTCCTCCTCAAATGGCGGCGGGTTGAACGAAGGCGCGCGAAGGAGATGCATCGGCCGCTGTAGCTGACTATTGGCCGGACCTCCAATGTGGGCTGCTTGTGGTCGTGCAAGTGCAGGGCTGGGCGGGGTGGTGTCTGTATTACCTCTGGTCCGCAGCGAGCTCAAAGTCGGCACGAAGTTGGAAGGCGAATTTCGTCGGGTAGGTGCTCCCGGACAACCACACTCTGGCATCCTCGCTGTGGCTGGAGCAGGCTCAGGCGACGAATACGCTGGGAGTGCAGTATTTGCCTGAGTTGCCTGGCAGGAAAGTATGTGGAATGGGGAATCGATGGAGATTTCAAAGTGGCGTCTCTTTGATGGATCATCCTTGTCGGGTTTTGAAAGACGCATCACAATCTAATCGCCGTTAGCAACAAGTCCAAAAGTACACGTAAGACTCCGACTGACCTTGATCCAATGATGTACCTGGATGTTCTGGTACGTGGTGTCGAAGTGAAGTTTCCCGGTCTTATCCTTTTCCCTCATGCTGTGGCAACTTGGAAGCTGGACGCTAAACTCCATCTCAGTAGGCCCGATACTCGTATCACCATTCGAGAGATCGCCCAGAAGGTTGGTAGGGTCGTTCAAGGCAACATCTTCACCTCTGGCAGCGGCCGCTCTTTGATCATAAGGAACGCCACCGCCTGATACGATTCTCATGGTGCTTCCAGGAAATGTGCTCGTAGCTGGTCCGTCTGCACGTTTCTCGAACAGCTGGACTTTGCGAACAGGTTCCATGCGATGTACCCGCTTGTTTGAACAGAAATATTCGACATTCTCTGTAACAAACACTTTGATGCGATGACATTGTACCTTTGCCAGCGGTGTGAGTTTGAAGGCAATGGGCACTTGTGCTCCAAGTGGAAACGATTTTCCAGAGATGACAATGTCGTAATGTAGCTGGTCTTCCCAACTGCGGCTGATGGCGATTGGCTCAACTTGTTCGAGAGACCCTTCAGATGGGGCTCGAATGAGTGTGACTTCCTTGGTGCCCACAAGATTGGCACGGAATGCACCAGCGCGCTCAATCGTAGCCTCGAGTTCGTACTTGACGGAACCAAGATCGACATCGATTGTTTCTGGAAGGTGGCTGTCAATTGGAAGCTCGAAATTGTACTGGTATTCGCCTGGGTTGAAAGTCCTGTATCCCTTCTGTGCTATAGTGGGACCGCCTGAAGGTGATTCTCCCTTGCCAAAGCTTCGAGATTGGTTTACGGCGAGGGATAGGCGCTTCGCCTCCTTGACATTGAGGTTGGTAGACGAAGCGTTGGGTGAACCGGAGAAAAGGCCTGTTTTGTTCGATGTCGTGGTTGTAGGTTTGAAGAGATCGACCTGATCGGCACCCGTTCCCGCTTCTGCGGTGGGGAACTGGGCGTTGAAAAACGGCCAGGTATGGCTCATGATCGAGTCCACCTCTTCGAATTCAACCTTCTTGGGCGGAATGCCTTCGGGCCACTTGGTGACTGCTTTGCCTCGAAACTTCAGAGTGATTGCCTTGACTTTGGCAGACTTGGTGACACGAAGATTCAGAGTGCCACGCAGCATGGCCGTGCTCCGGTCAGAAGTGTCTGACTGTTCAAACCCCTGCAGATACAGGATGGGTTCCGTGAGCGAGACACCCACGCTGATGCCATTGCCGGAGGCCAAGGGTTTCTCCTCTCCCATATTCCTGATACTACTGCCCATGAGACTTTTTGATGAAGCTCTACCCGTCGATCGGTTGGTTTCGGCCAAGCTGGGGCGTGAAGCAGTAACCAGGGCGGGAGCCATGGGGCCGCTGGTGGAATTTCTTGAACTGGATCTCATATCTGATGTCGCCCACGACCACCTCCTACTCTCCGGGGGAGATACGGTCGAAGTTCTGGAGCTGCTCGTCGACGATCGGGGGGTGGAACCGTCGTCGGGTTGTAATGGTGGGTTTAGGTGGGTATCGATGAAGGAACGAAGGAAACGTTTGGCGTTGTCGCGTGGACCCGCCAGCTTTTCTACTATGTACGACTTGGTGGAGGATTGTCGTCTCAAAAGGGTAGGGTCGGGACCGACACGGGCAATGTGGATGCGATGAGGACGGCGTCCGCGACCTTGGAAGAAACCACGCCTGGCACGTGAAGGATCGGGGAGGTGGTCTGGTATATAACCAAGACGTCCACGGTCTGAGTAGACGGGACGGTATTCTGTCATGGCGAATGCGTAAGCATACGTCAATGGCAAGCAAGTGTGACGACTAAGAGGCGACGAGAGGATGATGACATGGGGTGCGAGAGGCGGGATGTTATATGGGCAAGCAAAGAAGAAGAAGAAGAAGAATTGGGCGGTTGCTTGGATGGTGGACGACAAGCAGGCTCGAACAAGCTTATTGCAGTCATGCGAGGTGCACAAAGGGGATCCCCGCTACGGTCGCATAACCAGGTACCAGATGATGGTTTAGGAAGGGGGGTCTGTGGTGCAAGAGCTCCCTGGGGAACAAAGGCGCAGACGAGATGAGACAGGGACTCACTGGGAATAAAAGCAAGGTCAAATGACGGTCAGCGGCAGGCTACTACTACATATACAAGTATAGTATGGGAGTGCTAGAGTGCACCGTCGTGTGAGGAGGGGGGAGAGAAGCTTCGCAGGACAGGATGGTTTGCAGTAGGTGGCCGGGATGGGTGTCGCAGCGGGTCGCGGGCAGGACCCTGGTGTGAGGAGTGATGTGTCTGGTGGATGGGGGGTGGATTGGGTCAGAAGAAGCAAGTCAGTCGTCGGTCGTCAGTCACCCAGGCGGGACTCGGTGTGAGAGAGCAGCGGTCAATCAGTCAATCAGGGGCTGCCGGTACTTGAAGAGCAATGGCAGGCAGAGCGAAGCTGGGCTCGGCAAGACTGCGGTCATGTTAGACCACGGAACAAGGCGTTGGCGGTTTGGGTTTTTTTCCGCTCGGCGATGGGCAGGGGATCGGATGACGCGGGTGTGGGGATGGTGGGCGCTGGCGGGCGCTGGCGGGGGGGACAGACTTGGTAGCAACGCAAAAGGGCCAGGCCCGGATTGGATAGGGTTGGAGGTGGGCATCTTTTTTTTTTCTTGCAGTGATATTGCGCGGCGCCAGGACTCGTGCATTACGTTACCTACATGTGTGCTAGCTGCCTCGATGGCTCAGCCAGATGAGCTCAGCGCCCAAATTGTCGACGACAGACGAGTGAAGCGGTTGGGCCCGCGGAGAAGGATGATTGATGGATGGCGTGGATGGATGGATGGAATGGAATCAACGAGCCCTGCTGCTACGTATGTATGAGCATGCTAGCTGCTGAATTAGAAAAACCGACAAGACAGCGGTCCAGCTCATCCATAGTCAGTCAGTCATCATCACGCTTCTTAACTTGGACGTTGGCTGCATGGACTGGGAAGCCAAGGAAGCCCCGGAAGACTACGTCATGATTGCTGGAGCCCGTGTCTGTCTACACGCCTGTCACTGACTGCATGCCAAAGCAAATTACGGTTGTGCGGATCGGTCGGCGTGCTCGGCACCTCTGAAGGAGATTTTCTGTTTTGTTTTCCTCGCTTTGTCTTTTTTTAACCCAATCCATCACATAGTAAGTGAGCACGACTCGCGCGTGGGTTAGAGAGAACGGGAGCGTCATGTCATGGTTGGATGCGAGCTCCCAATATCGGCGGCGGCACGTCCATGTCGCATTCCGCTGCGACGAGGTACCCCGGCTACATCGCATCTACAATGAATACTCGACCACCTACATATTAATAACACACATGTATAGCAGCATGCAGACACGCAAGCACGCAAGCACATGCGGAGTGCGAAGTGCAAAGTCGTCTGCCTGCTGACTGACTGGCTGACGGGCAGAGGCACACGCCGGGAAGCGCTAATGTAGACTCCCATCCATCCATCTCACGCCGGTCAGGGCTGCAGCATCGAGAGCCACACCAACATCCCATACCTGAAACCTGCCAAAAGCAAAACGTCTGGAAATCATGTTTTTTGCCAGGACGTGCTCAATATCCCTTATCTCCCGGCGGCCGTGCCATGGTCATGCCGCTTTGTCGTAGGCCTGCCTGCCTGTGTGTACACCATCGAGACTAAGAAACAACTTGACCACCCACCACGTCGAGGCCGTGGAAGCGGAGATGCAGCAGGACCCATGAAGCGTTCCCAGGTTGCGTGCGTGGATGCGAGCTTGTGAGGCCCCTTTGGGCCAGATGCAAATGTCGCGAGCCCAAACGGGGCAGTGATCTCCCAGCGCAGTCCCTCCATTAGGCCTGCATCGTTGGACTGGGGCTTGCGATCGACACACTGGCACCGACTGGCCAAAGTGACACCGCCATGTCTGCCACGCAACAACAAGCCGGTGAGCAGTGCAGGGCGAACAAGTTCGAAAAGGGGGGAGAAGCGTGATGAGACATGTTACCCAACGCTGACTGGGGGGCCCCGTCATGAGAAGAAGAAAGCGTCAACAGTCAACAGTCAACAGTTTGCCTGCCTGAAGGCTGCTGGACTGCGAACGCCCGATCAGATTTCGGATCTGAAGAAGGTGCGGCGGTGATCGTACCGTGCCTTATCGATAAGAGCGGAGGATTGCTTAGTCACTCAACTTTAATTCGAGAACGCGCTTGATCAATCGCAGCATGCTTGGCGGTTCCTTCGAGCACGCGACGCGACCAACAAACGGCGCTCGGTGATATCACAGCACTGTTTTTGTGTACTTTGTTAACCTACAACCACACCATACCACGAATGCACCCACAACTGCTATCATGAATTCGGGCCATGGGGGACATGGTGAGTAGAGCACATTCGGATCGAGATGTATGCACCGCCATCGGAAACTGACAACAAGTACAAGGGACAAGCCAGATGCCACTGGCGGGGGCTATCCTTTGCTGCACTTCCATCTCGCCTGAACAACGTGTACGCCTATACCTATATCCCGACTGTTTTATATACCCCAGCTGATGTAACGACGCAAAGACAGAGCTCGGAGTCATTGGCGCGCAAATGGGAGCCGTTATCAAACTCGACCTTACCTCGGACGTTACACATCTCGTTGTCGGAAACATCAACAGCGCTAAATACCGCTATGTCGCAAAGTCACGCGATGACGTGAAGGTGCTCGATCCTGCATGGCTGGAAGCATTGCGCAATGTTTGGATGGAGGGAGGCGACGTCGACGTAGCCGTGATAGAAGAGCAGTACCGATTGCCCACATTCTACGACCTGAAGATATGTCTGACTGGATTCGACGATCGTATGTACCTATCCCAATCCGATATGGTATGACAAGGGGCTACACGACTGACAGCAGCAGCCGAGCAGCGCAAATTTATCCAAGAAACGGTTTCCAAGAATGGCGGCGAATACCACGGCGACTTGACTAAGAGCGTCACGCACCTGATTGCCGCGTCACCGACTGGCAAGAAGTACGAACACGCCGTCAACTGGGGCCTCAAAACCGTCACATGGGAATGGTTCGAGCAAAGTGTAGAGCGTGGCATGGTTCTAGGCGAGGAATACTACAACCCAACAACTCCTCCTGAAGAGCGCGGAAAAGGAGCCTGGGAACGTCGGCAGGAGGCATCGCCCATCCTAGGCAAACGCGTCCGTGAGACAATACAGTCCAACTCGACTAATCCCTCACGACGCAAGCTTAGACGCTCCGCAAGCACGCGACTAGGCAGTCAAAGTGTCGCCCTGTGGGCTGGTATCACGGCCGGAGGTCTGGAACACACAAAGAGCAGGGCGGATGACTGGACCGATACAAGTATTCCAAATCCCGAGTTATTACCCGCTGGCGCTGGAGCAGTTCAGAAAACAGCGCAAGCCCCAGAAGTGACGCACATTGATGCGGATCGCGCGGAAGACCCTGCATCCCATACCCGCGGACCCTTTCTAGACGACGAAGACGGAATTTTTGCAAATCGTTTGGTGTTCCCGCACGGATTCGATCGGAAAAAGGTGACTAAATCACTTCCGCATTACCTGATTGGTTGCTGATCATTCTACAGACGGATATCCTGTATGACCATCTTGAAGGAAATGGAGCCGTCGTCGTTCGCGAATCTTCAGAGCTCAACAATTTCTCTTCTGATGACATCACTCGTGGCTTCCTTGTTATTCCCCATGATATCTCCGTTGACCTAGTGGCGTTGCCGGAAGGGTCCGAAAAACTATCGTTAGTGACTAATTGGTGGGTGGAACGTTGCTTGCACGGAAAATGCCTGGTCGATCCAGCAGACAGCCTGCTATGTAGGCCTTTCAATAACCTTACTGTTAGCGGTACGTGACTTGGAAACTATACGTAGTGGATGATGCAGGAAGCTGACGATGCAGGTTTCCGCGATTTGACTATCAATCTTACCGGCTTCTCCGGCATCGAGCTCTTACAGGTGACTAAAGCTGTGTCACTATTCGGTATGTGCATCGCGCAATTCCCAAGAATTCCTGCTAACGAGTCACTGCAGGAGCTACCTATGACGATTATTTGTCTCCAAAGACCTCGGTAATGGTTTGCAACACACGCAAACCCAACGCCGAAAAACTAGGTTTTGCGACCGAGAAGGGCATACCAGCTGTGCATGCTAGCTGGCTATGGGAGTGCATACGTCAAGGCCATAAGCAGCATTACGACACATATTCACTCACTGCAGTGGCGCGTCCACAGAAACCAAAGCCAAGATCCAGAGCATCTTTGCCTGCAGCACCTACCGCTCCGCTTTCTGAGGATAATCTCAAGAATCGTCCCAATAACCGCAATGCGAAAATAGCAACTAAAGCTCAGAGTGGTCCCAGACGACCCGGTGCACTAGAACTGTCACTGTCACTGTCAGGGCCTCCAACACCAACATCCGACACCAAGTCATCAAATAATACAGAAGCAAGCACTGACCGCGCAGCTGAAAATCAATCGCACATCACACTCGATGGTGCAACCTCCCTACCTCTACAAGACATTCACCACAGTGTCAACTCACCTCATCGCCGCCCATCCACCAGTACCACACATTCCGCTTCAGACGCCGATGCGCCCACCACTAAGCCCGCTCCAGCACCGCGACACGCACGACGCCCCACACCCGATTCATCTGCAACTGCTCCCCAGCCCAACAAAGATACCCCGCCAGTCGCCAGCGATGACCCCAAACCACAGCAGCAAACAGACTACTCGGACATGATGTCTAGGCTTCTCGCAAACCGCAAAACCTCCAACTTGGGCTCGTCCGCAGACGACAAAACGCGCAGCAAGAAACGCCGACCCTTGGGGCGGGCGCAATCTACGCGCTCAAACGCATCCACAGCTTCGGACGCTGCTCGACAAAACTCGGCGCAAGACCAGGATCCTGCTGACCAAGAGGCTAAGGAATACGAGGAAGAGGCAGTGCTGCCAAACGAGGATAAACATGATGTGGAAGCAGAGCCTCCCTCGTTCGCCATCCCCCAAGCCAGCCAAGAACTCGGCTGGGACTCGCCGGGGGCGCAGCGCGCCAGAGAGAATATGATTAGAGCTATGGGTGGCAAGGTAAAAAGTGCGAAGAGTCTGGATGATGTCGCTGCTGTTGTCAAAGATCAGACTGAGGCTGTGGGCGTCATGGGGGGACGTGCGACTCGAAGAAGAAGAGGGTGAACGTTGTTTGTGGTATAGCAGATTAGAGGCCCGTTATTGTGTTATATCGAAGGTGTGTGTTGTATTATTCAGTGACTGGGCAGGAGAGCTCAGAGATGAGTGGGCGTGTTGTTTGGATTACGGCGTCTAAAGAGAGCAAGTTGGATCATGAATGAGCGAATAGGTTCTATACATATATACATGTAGCGTAGCGTAGCGTAGCATAGCATAGCATCTGGCGACGGCGTTCAAATTCAGCATTTTGACGAATCCATCGACTGCAGTCAAGTCCCCCCCTACCAATTCTCCCAAACTAAAACGTAATCAATCCATGAAATCCCATTCCATCAACATACACCTCCACACAAGACAACCATCCCACTTCCTTCCTTGTTCAACAAGAAACACCTCTTTGTCTGCCAACCTTCATACTCTCTCACACACACATCCTTGTCCTTCCTGACAACAAAAAAATATGCCTGAGTCACTCACCCACCCACACATATAATTAGATAGTCAGTTCGTTACACAAAACACAAAAGCCGGACACAGACAGGCTCTGCTGCTGCTGTGTAGCTAGACAGTAATCCACACCTACGCCACCAAAACCCCGAAAAATTCCTGATGAAGCATGTTTGACAACATGCATGCATACTGTCTATGTAAGGTAGTAACGTCACGCAGATGACCCCACTCAGCAATCAATCAACACCTACCTTGCTAAATGTAAGTAAACTTCCCGATAAAGCATGTTGACACACTGTACTATGGCATGCGTGCATGCGTGCTGCTTACATGTAGGTAACGTTACGTTGGTCGTCAAGTAGCTGTCAAGGAATCAACACCTGTCCTACCTAGATCCAAGTAAACTTCCTAATAAAGCATGTTGACACATGCATGCATAACTGTCTAGGTAACCGTACCCAGGGGGGTGGAACTACACAGCAATCCACACATATTCCCATTTCAATCAATGGAAACTTTCCCTGATAAAGCATGTTGACATGGACGTACGTATGTACGTATGCTAGTGTATCCAAACAGCAAACCACACATATTGATTCCCTTTCAAAAGAAAAAAGAAAAATTCAATGGAAAATGTCCCTGATTTGAAGCATGTTGAAATAAAACGTACGTAGGTTGTTGACAAGTTGTTTCGGGCACACGAAAAAATAGTAAAATAGTAATACTATTTACGTTAACGTGTTTCACCAGTAAGCTGGCCACACCAGTAAGCTGGCCACCCCACCGAAATCCACGCGTCACTACTTCATCCATCAACAATGCCACTACAACCAGATGCCCAGAAGCTATTAAAAGAAGGCCGATTAGGCCTTGCAATTGCCTCTTTTTAGTTAAACCCTCTATTATCTGTACGCAAGCTTGCAGTAGCCTATAAAGTTCCTTAAGCAATACTCTAGACGCGTCTCTAAGGTGTACAGCTAAAACACAAGATTAGATTACTAAACTAAAAGCTATCTCCTACTAAGGAGCAGACCCTAGTAGAATAGATCCTAGACCTTAACTAATGTAGATTTCTACCCTAGATTATTAACGTACAACAAATAGCAGACGCTTTAGTTGCCGCGTAAGGCAAACAGCCTCCTCTTTCTCTCCTAGGCAAGAACTAGGTATCGCGCTTTATTTAGGCTTAGCTAGAGCTTTAGACAAAGTAGAATAGGAAGTTTAACTTACAGAGAGCGTTATCTTAAGATTCTATTATAATTTAGAGCTAGTATTAGCGCGTACAAGACGCACGCAAGAGATATAAAATACAAAACGTAGATATATACAACTTTAATAAGACTAGCTTCTAGATAGGCGTTGCTAGCACGTCTAAGGTAGTAACTAGCTCTAATATAGTTAGCAGAGCAGTTACTATCTAGCTAAAAAATTAGGAGTAAGTTACAGTAATTAAGGGCGTAAGCGCTGCTAGCTAGTCTATCCTACTCTTCTTTATCCTAGCTAGAAAGCTCTACTAGGCCGCCTGGTATTGTAATATACCTAATACCTAGATAATTGCTGTTAGTAACAACAGCTAGATAACTAATTAGCTTAGCTTTGCCTAGCTAGAGCACTTTAATTGCTGTACTTAGGCTTAGACAGTAGGCACCTATTAACTACTAATTATAGACGGCTACAGCAGCTATGCTACACCTAAGTTTAATTAGTACTATATAGAGAATTAAATTATTACGCTCTATATGCTAGCTTATACATTGCATCTACTCTAGTGTTGAGATCTTGGAGAACTCTGGTTGGGTTTCGCGGATGACTAGCGGGTAACACTGAAGTAACAAAGGTAGAAGTATAAAGTAACAACTAGATTGTATTTCCAAGAAGTGGGTTGTAACTTAGAGTGAATACAAGAACCATAAGGTCTTCTTGTCTACTGACTATATACATATTTTGTCCCATAGTTCCCATATGTCCCATAGGGTTTCATAGATGGGATATCGTGGGATCTCGTAGGACCCTGTGGGACACACGTGACTTGTCCCACAGCAACTTTCCGCCAAGACTCGTGGGACCACGTGACGTGCGGGGTGGCGAAGTCTATTGGTTCATACGTAGTGTCCTGTTTGCTGACCGTGAGTGTTCTTGTAATTACCTTCCTTCATAACCTGTGCATCCCCATTCTTAGGTTCGTAACACTACCCCCTTCTTCCAAGTTCTTGTCCTCATGAACTGACCTCATGGTTTCCAAAAGCACCGCTCATCGTCACGCCACTGGGGATCGGATAAACGCTGTTGGACAAATCGCCATGGTATCTTGTCAATATTGTTCGAAAAAGGGTTTGGAGTGTCGCATGTCTTCTTTGAAGAAGGAGTGTGGGAATTGCTATCGCAATGGCGTAACGTCGTGTGTTCCTGTAGTCAGAAGCGGACGCAGCCGAGGCAGCAGCGTTGGAGGCCCTGGTTGCGGCGCGAGCGAAGAAGGACCGTCTTCGTAAACAGAAGAAAAGACTTAAGCGTCGTGAGCAGCAACTGATGGATGACTCAGGAAAATTCGTTGAAGAAATTGAAGCTCTTGAGGCGTTGGAAGGACTCAACAAGGATGTGGGCAACCTTGAGGATGGGTTGATGCCTGGTACCCTGGCTCTGGACTGGAGTTCGTACATGCCCTCTGTTTTGGAGGGTGATCCGTTATTTGACGAGGCCGTACTGGCTTCTTGAGGTTAGTTGTTCTGGATCAGCGGCGGTCTCCTTTTCCTGTTGTATTGTTTGATTTTTTGCTGACAGTTCGCCAGGTGTGCCTCTGGTTCCCAACTGTTGTCCTCGTGTGGGTATCCCTTCCATTTTACCAAATATTCTTTCCTTCCGCGGTCTAACTTGCATTGTAGTATTCTTTCGACTTCGAATTCGTTTTCTTCTTCTGTTTCGTAGTGGAATGTATTTTGTAGTGGCGTTCCGGGGTTCGCAGGTTCCAGCAGCGCTATGTGGAACACTGGGTGTATTTTTGCATCTTCTGGGAGTTGGAGTCGGTAGTTAACTGGGCTGACAACAGCATCAATTAAAAATGGTCCGACTTTGACGTGGTCCAACTTTTTGCTTGGTCGTTTTGTCCGAAGATTTTTTGTTCGCAAATATACTCTATCCCCCCTTTTTAGCTGAGGTGCCATTTTTCTTTTCTTGTTAACATATGAGATTGATTGTTGTTGTGCTTTTCGCATGTTTTCTTCCAGTTTTTTGTATGTCTCCTTGTATTGTTCTGCGTTTTCTAACGCTTTCTGTGTTTTTATTGTTGGAAATGTTTTTTCAAAGAGATTTGGATGTCTTCCGTGGTTTGCGAAGTATGGTGTTTCGCCTGTTGTTTCTGATAACTTGTTGTTGTATACCAACTGTGCCATAGGCAATAAGGAAATCCAGTTGTCCTGGTTCTGGTTGCTGTATAGCCGTAGGTACGTAATCATGGTTTGATTCGTACGTTCTGTTTGTCCGTCTGTTTCCGGATGGTAAGCTGTTGATAGCTTTCGTTTCGTTCCGATTGTTGCCATCAGTGTCGTCCAGTAATTGGAGGTAAAGAGCTTGTCTCTGTCGCTGATGATTGTCTTTGGTATCCCGTAGTTTCGTACTAACTTATCTAGGATAATATGTCCTAACTGCTCGGCTGAGTAGTTCTTATGGAATGGAATCATAAGTGCGTACTTAGTGAATCTATCCACGATCACAAGTATCGAATTGTACCACACTCTTGTGACAGGGTCCTGTGATGCAGGGAATCCTGTTACGAAGTCCATAGCAATATCTTCCCATGGTGTCGTAGGCACCGGAATTGGTTGCATTTTTCCGTACTTTGCGTGTGTATCATGTTTATTCTTCTTACATTCGTTGCAAGCCTGAATGTACTGTGTGACTTTCTCTTTCATGTTCGTGAAGTCGTAGTTTCTTCGTATATGTTCCATGGTTCGTTTAATTCCTGGATGTCCGTATAGTGGGTCGTCGTGATGTTGGCGTATGATGCGTTCTTGCCATTCTTCTGGTACATCGTTGGTAATTTGCATGGTAACATTGACTTCCTGGAAATGACTTGGTCCTATGGTTCCGTCCTGGTTTGTCTTAAGTATCGCTTGTCGTACTTCCGTTTTCTCGCCTGCGATGTCCGTTCGTCGGCTGAGAGCGTCAGCTCTTCCGTTATCTTTTCCTGGAGTGTGTATGATCTTGAACTGGTATTGTCCTAATTTCTCGGCCCATCGGACTTGTCGTCGATTAAGGTCCTTTGTGGTCGTGAAGGTGACAAGGTTCTTGTGGTCCGTGAAAATTGATAGTTCAGAACAACTTTCGCAGTAAATTCTCCAATGCTGAATTGAATCGACAATAGCCATTAATTCTTTATCATAGACATCGTAGCGTTCTTCCGTTGACGTGAACTTTCTTGAGTAGTAAGCAATAGGGTGCCATTTTCCATCTTTTTCTTGTGTGATGCATGCTCCTAATGCGAGATCCGAAGCGTCGGTCTCCATTCTCATTGGTTTTCCTGATTGGAACATGATTAGTACTGGAGCAGAAGCGCATGCTTCCCGAAGTTTCCGGAATGCGTCGTCTTCTTCTTCGTTCCAGCGGAAGGTTTCCTCCTTCCTCGTAAGTCGTGTGAGTGGAATCGAGATCCTAGAGAAGTCCTGGATAAATCTTCTGTTGAAGTTGCAGAATCCCATGAACGATTGTACTTCTTTGATGTTCTTTGGTGTGGGCCATTCTTTGACAACTTTGACTTTCTCTGGGTCTTGCTCGATTTCTCCTTCCCGGATAACAAATCCTAGGAACTTGACTTGTTTCGCGTGAAACTCGCATTTCTCTGGTCGTACTCGTAGGTTTGCTTCTTGTAACTTTTGGAGCACCCAATGCACATGTTTCTGGTGTTCGTGTTCGTTCTCTGAGAACACTAGAATGTCATCTAGGTACGCTATGACGGTAATGTCTAGTTGATCTCTAAGGACGTTGTTCACAAGTGCCTGAAACGTTGCTGGTGCATTGGTGAGTCCAAAAGGCATAACCGTATATTCGTAATGTCCATAACGAGTGCGGAATGCGGTTTTCCATTCTTCGCCTTTCTTCATTCGTACCAGATGGTACCCGTCTCTAAGGTCCAGAGCTGTGAAGATTTTGGCCTTCGCAAGTCGATGTTGTAATTCTTCAATATTAGGTAATGGATACCTATTCTTTACCGTGTTGTCGTTGGTCTTGCGGAAGTCTACACACATTCGTAGTTTCCCATTCTTTTTATTTACAAAGAGGGTCTCGTGTGCTACTGGCGACTCCGATTCTCGGATATGTCGTTTAGCCAGTCGTTCTTTGATGTAATCTCGTATAGCTGCTAGCTCCGATTCGGAT